CCCCCCCCCCCCCCCGGGATGTGGCAGATTCGCTAGATTTGGTGTGAGGAGGACCCCTTGCTCGACCGTTGAGGAGCTGCCAAACAAGAAACGCGGGGTAAACAGGGACCGTGCAAAATAGATACCCCAGGGATAATGAACTATTGGCCTCAGGTCTCCTTTGTTTACAGCACTGCACAGCACTGGTGTTAGTTCGAAAGTGCGGGGTCAAGGCTTCGTCACGTCGGGTGAGATTTCAGCTATAAAAGACAAGCTGGGATGTACAGTGGGGATCTCACTTTCGATGCAGTTGTTTGTCAATTTGAATCTGCTTGTATCATCATCACATAGGAGTGTCAGAATATACTACCAGTAAAGAACACTACCCTCCAGAAACACTCTAACATCCATACACCACCACCATGGGTATTTTACAACTCCTCTTCAAGGCCGACGAGGACGTTCAGGGCTCCAGGTTTAGGGCTATCGCCATCGGCCTTTTCGTCGCGTTCGGCGGTGTCCTGTTTGGCTACGACACAGGAACCATCTCCGGAGTTCTCGCTATGAAGTTCGTTAAAGAGAACTTCACGGATCGCGGCTACTTCACGGCCGGCGAAACCTCGCTAATCACTTCCATTTTGTCTGCAGGCACGTTCTGCGGCGCCGTCTTCGCACCCCTAATTTCTGACACTTTGGGCCGCCGGCTCGGTCTTATTGCGTCCACCATCATTTTCACCGTCGGAGTTATCTTGCAAGCGGCCGCTTCAGAGAAGAACCTGTTAATCGTGGGAAGAGTTATTGCCGGTCTCGGTGTCGGTGTGCTATCGGCGATCGTGCCATTGTACCAGTCTGAAGCTGCTCCAAAGTGGATTCGTGGTGCAGTGGTATCGTGCTACCAGTGGGCCATCACCATCGGACTGTTGTTGGCCTCTTGTGTCAACCAGGGCACTCACGCCCGTAACGACAGTGGCTCGTACCGTATTCCTATCTCGATCCAGTTTCTATGGGCAATCATCATGTTCTGCGGAATGCTTGTACTCCCAGAGTCGCCCCGTTTCTTCGTCAAAAAGGGCAAGCTGCCAGAAGCGTTGAAGTCGCTGTCGACGCTAAGAGGACTGCCCGCAGACGACAAAACCGTAGAGGCAGAGTTGGAGGAGATTGTCGCTAACTACGAGTACGAGAGATCGTTCGGTTCCACCACGGTTGTGGACTGTTTCAGACCCGCCAACCACCAGCTAAAACGTATACTCACTGGTATCGCAATTCAGGCACTCCAGCAGCTCACAGGTATCAACTTCATCTTCTACTACGGTACCCAGTTCTTCCAAAACTCGGGCATCAAGAACCCCTTCATCACCCAACTAATCATGAACGTCGTCAACGTCGTGATGACCGTCCCGGGCATTGCTCTCATCGAAATCGCAGGTAGAAGAAACTTGTTGCTATGGGGTGCTGTCGGTATGTGTGTCAGTGAATTCATTGTTGCAGCCGTCGGAACCGCTTTGCCACACAGCAACGCCGCCAATAAGACCCTGATTGCGTTTTCGTGTACATTCATTGCGTCGTTTGCCGCCACCTGGGGTCCTTTGGCCTGGGTTGTGGTTGGTGAGATCTTTCCCTTGAGAGTGCGTGGTAAGTCTGTCGCATTCTGTGCAGCTTCCAACTGGTTATTCAACTTCGCCATCGCCTACGCAACACCTTATTTGGTCGACCACGATCGTGCCAACTTGCAGGCCAAGGTCTTCTTCATCTGGGGTGGTTGCACCTTTTTATGTTTCCTGTTTGTCTACCTTTTCGTCTACGAAACCAAAGGTCTCACATTGGAACAGGTCGACGAGCTGTACGACACCTGTCCAAGTGCACGCCAGTCCAAGCACTTTGTTCCTTCTCAAGGGTTTGCTCACGACTCCCCAGATGCAGAAAAGGCCGTCGTGGAGGCCGTCGAAAAAATTTAATAGTCGTCCGTGTGGTACTCGACAAAGACGCCTCGTTGCAGCTATCCGTTCAATTCAGACGACTGTGTCGTCCAATTACGGTTACAATTATGGCATGATGTTATGAAATATCACTGCATAACCAGTGAGTAAAAAGCCTTTTACAGATAAGTAATACTACTCTTTAGTTTTAATCAAAAGAAAACGGCAATCAATTTGACAGCTTCATTGGTTCTGCTAGTCTATCTCATACACGACTATCTATCTCTACCGTCGGGAATAGTATTTCAGTACGATCGAATAGTTAGCAGTAGGATCTCTAGTTGTATACATGCGGACTAGCGCAAAACCCTTCAAGAATCTTCTTAATCTTATTAGTATTTCTTGTACCGGATACTTATAACTATAGATCACGTGATATAAATATTGTGAGTAAGCCGTGATGCCCCCATATACAAACTAAACTCCCTTCGAATTCATCACCAGTTTGATTCGCAAGTTTTCAAATAACAGCGAACGTCACAAAGGTAGAGCTTATTTGGAGGCTTGTCGATCCTGAGACATTGCGAAAAGCACTTTTGTGGGAATATTCTGAAGACGGCTTTGTTCAGCTTTTCAACCAGTAACTTGAATCCCAAACAAAAACAGTTTCTGGCATAAAAGATGGCCTCCTGGTTTACTCACAATCTCCAAAGACGTCTACTGCTATATTTTATTCAGAAAATATCACTATTTTCACAAATCGACATAGCTGCTCTTGATGTATCACTCGGTTCCAGTTCGCATTTCACATTTCACGATCTAGATCTAGACGTCGATAACATAGACCTTCCTGATGTGACCATAAGAAGCGGGTTTTTGAAAAAGCTAGATTTGAATCTGACCGTTAGTGGTGGGCTCAGTGTCGCAGCATCTGGTGTCGCATTTGTGGTGAAACCAAATTTATCAAAAGCATTCGATGCTCAAGCATCAAGCCTCCTCCTTACCAAAACTGTTTTTGATCTGACAAGCTCTGTGATGCATCTTGATGGAGGTAAGGACGAATTTCCTGATGAGGACTCTATTCTTGACGATACGAGTGAGAGCAGCAGTACAAATCAGAACTCGGGCTCTGCAGCGGCGCCATCGATGCTTCAATCGATGCGCAATAAGGCTTTGGACCTGATACTATCAAAGCTCTCTATGGTTTTAAGCGATGTCAGCATAAAAGTTTTGTTCTCAGAAGAAAACATCGTGGAGCTGAGAGCAGGGGAAATCGAGTTCACATCTGCAAATGAGACCCGTCAAATTAATATCTCAGGGCTGGCCCTAAATCATCTCAAACAAACTAGAAAGGGAGAGGAAGAAAGTACTGGGACTCCGAAGGCAGAAGCTTCTATGTCAGAATCATTGCTTTACTCTAAAGCTGAAGCCACATCAATTTACATGAGCGCTATTCAGAGCATGGCAGATGTTGATCAAGCGGATACATCCACTGCAGGTCAGAAAGAAGGTATCGCGCTTCTAACAATCAATAATCTCAACATCTCTTTCAAAGGGTTTACATCCATCGATGATATTGCCGTAAGAGACGCTATGGTAGAATTCGACAGATGTAGGATAGAGCTACACCATATAGCTGAACTTAGTGAGCCCATCATCATCCCTTTGATAATGCTTCTAATAAATCAGCCGAAAAAACCCACGAGTGTGAGTACAGCACGGACTCCTCAGAATCTCCACGGTTATAAAAGATTCAGAGAGGAGCAAGACCTTCATGATGAGAACTTCTTCTCTTCCTTTGGCGGCAATGAGATCAAAATATTTTTGAGTGACACGCTGTATGTCACAATAGGTGTTTTCTCTTTCAGTTTGAGCGACCATCAACTCCTGCATGTTAAGCTCGATGCTCTCTCCGCTTATCACAATGAGTCGATAATTTTCGAGGTAGCCAGAACTCTCGAACGCTCAATAGTCGAGGCTTCCTACGCTATAGTTGAGGGAAATATCGAGGTCAAAGTAAATGGCAACACAAACATTGATATTGAAATAGACTCTGCTCGTGAACTACTGAAATGCTTCTTCTTTTTGAGAAAGTCATTTGAGATTTGGCAACAAAACGTGCCCAGAAGCTTCAAAAAGAAAGGTAAATCGGGAAATCAGGTAACCTTGAAGGTGGAGGGAAAGCCACTAAACCTCAGGCTTCACCTGGCAACTGGAACTCTAAAGCTCTCAACAACAGACTGCCTCATCAATCTTCCATCCGCTTTATTTGCGTGTGACGCAATCAAGCTTGAAATGCAACACTCGAATACGTCGGTAAACCTGATAAGCATATCCAACGTGGATGTAAAATGTCATTCCGACCCTTCGCAGCATTCCTCATTTAACCATGGTTTTGATGAGGTGATTCTATCCACAAAGTGCAAAGCTTTCGTCAAAAAAGTCAAGCTGTACGCCACTGCCGAAGTCTTTAAAAGGATTCTATCAGAGATCCAAGATATACAGTCTGAACTCTCGCTACTATCTCCAGACTTTGGTGTAGTAAAATCTTCCTTAAAATCTCCGAGACATCTGAAGAGGAGTGTTCGAGTCATGGGTTCTTCTTCTTTCATCAACAAACAAAGTTCCACTGTCCACTGTTTGATCGAGATAGATCTTATCGATGGACTGTTTGAGGGGTTTTTGCACCAGGCCTTCGGTGACCTGTCCATTACTGGGAAAGGCTGTTTTATGTATTACAATGAAGACAATACTTTTACAGGGTATGTCAAAACATTTGATGCGGAGAGGACGCTAGATGGCAAGAGTGAGGTACTCATAAGCTGCGCGTGTCAACATAAATCTCAGGCTCCTGTGGTGACATTCCATAAAAAGTTAAGCGGTAAACTTTCCTGCGCCTTCAGAAAAGTTGGGATCCATTACCATGCGCGATGGCTTGACTTTTTACAAGGCAAGCAAGAAACTGCACCTTCTACACCTTCCACGCGCGTCGCCTTTAAAAGTGTGGACGAACAGTCTGGATTAGAAATAAGACTTATTGAATGTGCCATACATTTAAATCCTTACAGACTCAAAGCTCAGATGCTTCTGGTTGTTGGGAAATGCGCAATGGAGCTTAGCATGCCGGCCATGAATCTGAAAGGAAGCATAAGAGCTGGCTCTCTTCTTCTGATCGATGACATTGCTAACTTCAAACCAAGACCAAGCTCCCAAGAAGTTACATATTTGTCCCCTTACTACACAGATCGCGGATTTGCAAATATTGGCAAATTTGATAAATTTCATTTTTCTACCTGGCAGACTTGCGAGGGGTTGAAGGCTATGGTAGATATGGGAACCCTTTCTCTTTCCTTGTGCGCCGACTCCATGCAAACCTGCACTCAGGTCTCCGTGGATCTAGGTATCCCCGTAAGCTTTCCAGAAGTTGAGAAGTACAGAACAAAACCACCTCAGGTGGAGGTGTTTCATGATGTGGATGAGCAGTTTTTTACGGGGCAAAAACTCCAGCTCGATCCTTCAGTCAAACAGGATGGTAACTCCTCAACTGCTGATATACTTTCAAAAGCGTACTTTGATGAGGCGGTGGAATTTGGTGATTTTCAAGTGCTGGGTAGGGCTGCTTCCTCCAGTGACGAGCCTGTGTTGATATCTGGCGCTCAAGACAGCTATTTTGATAATAGAAGTCAACAAACTGAATCCAATACTTCGAACTCCACGACACAAAAAAAATTGGCTCTGACTCTTAGCTTAGAGCGAGCGATCATAAAGCTTTATGATGGTTTCGATTGGGCATATACTAGGAATTCGGTTTCAGACTTAATCAATCGAGTCGAAACAGCATTGGAACACCAGGATTCCGCGCGTCAGGAAACCGTCAAAGCTTCAGTTTTTGACTCCATTTTTTTATTTGCAGGTGCAGAAGTAAGCCCAGGTTCATTGAGACAGCAGATTAACAATGATCTGCAGACTGAACCTAGCATTGTTGTCGGCTCACCAAAAAAGTTGAGACTGCGACCCTCATCTAACTATAAAATAAGAATTGAGGCATCTGGTTTGAAAATCAACGTTTTGCGCTACAATGTCGATGAGCCCACGGAATCCACCTCAGATTTATCTGCAGATATTCTCAACGATATAACTCTCACTTCAGAAAACGTGGAAGTCATTGACAACATCCCTACTTCCACATGGAATAAACTGGCCACTCATTGGAAGCATGAACCCCGCGCTAAAGGTTCGGACATGTTTTTTGTTAACATCATGACCGTTAAACCTCTTGATTTTCTAGCAGCTACAGAGCTGATTCTCAAAATAAAAGTCTTACCGCTAAGGCTACACATTGACCAGGATGCATTGGACTTTCTCACGCGCTTCTTTGAATTTAAGGATGCGCGCTTCGAACTGATAGATGAATTTCCTGACTTTGTTTACATTCAAAAGTTAGAAGTGGAATCAGTTAAGATCAAAATGGATTATAAGCCTAAAAGCGTTGACTATTCAGTCTTGAAATCTGGTCATAAAAGTGAGTTTATGAACTTCTTCATTTTAGAAGGTTCAGAGCTGCAACTGAGACACCTTATTGTCTATGGAGTGAATGGCTTTCCAGAGCTTAACAAAATCCTAAATGGAATATGGGTGCCCGACATAACTGGTAGCCAGTTGAAAGGAATACTTGGTGGAGTCGCCCCGATGAAAACCGTGGTTACTTTAGGAACAGGGATAAAGGCATTGGTGTCGACTCCAGTTAAAGAATACAAAAGAGATCAAAATCTGAGCAGAGGGTTGCAAAAAGGTACACAGGTTTTCATCAAAATAACCGCCAGTGAGTTCATACGTTTGGGAGTGAAGCTAACGTCTGGTACGCAAGCTTTATTAGAAAATATGGAAGAAGTTATGGGAGGAGAGGGTTCACAAGCTCGAAATCACAAGCTTAAAGGTGTCGACCTGGAAATCATATCAGAAGACGTCTTCAAAAAATATGAAAGATTGGTTGGTGGTCGCAACCCGAAACCGAGCAGTCAGGAGCCCGAAGCTCTATTCGTTGAGCCTGGTGCTAGGGAGGGCGATGCACCTAGAGTATTCAGTCTGTATGCCGACCAGCCTTCGTCTTTGAGACAAGGATTGAAGGAAGCGCAAGGCTCGTTCGGCAGAAACGTAACGTTGGCCTACGAGGCTGTACTCAAAGCACAACATGACATCAAAGACAACGCTAGCGCGCACGAAACTGCTTCGACCCTTGCACGCGTGGTACCTGTTGCACTTCTTCGGCCCATAATTGGTGCCACAGAGGCGCTTTCAAAAGCATTGCAGGGAGTGTCAAACGAACTCGATGAAGAACAGATGGCAATGCTCAAGGATAAGTACAAGTCTAGGAACTAGCATGATCGAAACACACTAACGACAGTCCGTAACTATTTGCGGCTTCCCAGCAGGTTCGAACTCCAGGTTCTTTGATGTGATGTTTCATCATTACATACGCACGTATGTTTTGTTTTATCATTCGAAAATAGCACATTTCAGTCGCCAAAATACCGTCAAAACACCATCGGAAAAGGTGCATAACAATTAGCTCTAAAGACCGCCAGCATTCTTTAGAACCTGTATCAATTTTGCTCTACTCTGAGCTACTAATTCGGATCTGAACTTGGTCACATCTACTCAAAGCAAGCTGTGGTGCGTCGAGAAAACGCGAAGATTTCACTTTGTTGAGAAGTCAAGATGAACGCATTGGCCCAGCCACACAGGATGGAGGTACCGCCGGTGCGAAGCGATCCAATGGATTTAGATCCAAAAATTGGCGAGGTGAGTCAGCAAAGACCTGTTCTTGGACCACCCCGGCAAAGCTCACGCAATCCCAAGATATGTGCAAGCTGCAACGAGGTTATTATCCGCGGATCTTTAAAGGCACTTGGGAAGTATTATCACGAACACTGCTTTGTGTGCTACGATTGTGGTAAAGTCTGCAAACCAAAGTACTTCCCATTTGAAGATCTAGAAACAAAACAGCTCATCCCGTTGTGCCAGCAGGATTATTTCAAGCGGAACAATCTGCTATGCCATGTATGTGGGCATGCGCTTCGAGGAGTTTACTACAATGCATTTGGAAAACTATATGACGAGGAGCACTTCTGCTGTAAAATCTGCAAGGAGAGGTGTGGCGTAAACACCTGTTTCAATTACAAAGACGATCTTTACTGCAAATTTCATTTCCTCAAGTACTTTTCAAACCGCTGTAAGGGCTGTAACTATCCAATATCAGACCAATATATTGAATTTCCTCGTGGAGAAGAGGTTCATCGCTGGCATCCAGAATGCTATGGTGTTCACAAATACTGGCATGTTAATTTACCTCCAGAAGCGGTGGGTCTACCACAAATAGAAGCTGCCGATCCCAATAACATTTCCAAGTCTGAGAAGCATGGTATTACTCGTGGAGACCTTGAAAAGTACGTTCTTTCTTTCGGAAAGTTAGTTTCCAAGACATGGTCTGTGCTTTATCGATTCGAAGAAGAGACAGCCGTTTGCATATCTGACATGTTTCAGTATCTGACAAGTTTCGATCAGTTAAAAGGCCTCAACTCTGCTGCACTTTTTGTGCTCAAAATTGAGTGCCAATTCAAAGCCCTAGATTCTTTAGAATCTCTTTTCGCTCACAGCACGTTTAATGGCGTGGAGACCCAAAGTGGTACAATTAATCAGGAGCAAACTCTAAATCCAGCGGATCTTGGCTCAGGTTCACAAATAAAATATGCGAAGCTACCCCGCAACCTGTCTACAAAAGTCATGATATATCTACAACTTCTGCGAAAGCTAAGCTCTGCTTCGAAAGAGAGGGATGTGAGCGTGGCATCTCTCATGTCAGTGATAACTGGTGTGGCTCATTTTCTAAAGTTGCTGGTGCGATATGGGTTACAGATTGCTCTCGATAGAAACAAGTCGGCACATTCGGCCAATGCCCTGATCAAGTATCTGCGAGAAATCGAAAAGAACGAAATAATTGAAGGTGAGCCTTTCAGATTCATTAATGTGGGGATTGACGCAACTGATTGCTGCCCGGTGTGCGGTAAATACATTCAAGAGGAGTGCATACAATTCAAAAACATAAGGTGGCACAAAAACTGTTTCCAATGTTCTGCTTGTCGAAAAGATATCGACTCATTTGGGGTGGCTGACGCAGCATTCAACAGCAAGACAAAATCGGTGTTGTGTGCCCAATGTGCGGTAGGGGATCCCGAGTCATCCACAGGCTTCTCTCCTGTCACAAAATTGTCACAGCTAATATTTTTGTTGAAGATCGCTCTTGTCCGGTCTAAAGCTGTGATGGAAATTCAACTCAAAAATAGAGAAGCGCTTCAACGTTCAAACAGTATCAAAGAATCGATCTCCATGCAACAAACTTACATCAGAACACTTAATGATATTAAAAGGTTAAAGTCTAGAAGACAGAGTGTACCATTAACAACTACCAATAAACAAGAAGCACGCCGGTCGCGCATTCTTGAGACGTCAGAGATAGACGTTAAAGAAAATGTTCCGGAGGAAAAATGCCTAGTTATTCAAACGGATAAGAGTACAGGGCGGGACTCTGAAAATCAAAACATGTTTAATAGCACGAAGACTTTGACTCTGGATGATATTTCCCGTATTGTGGCAGCTGAACAAGCGCGGGAACTAAGGCCTAACGCATTCACACATTTCAAAAAATTGAAAGATAATGATGAGGAGGAAATTAATCTTGTCAACAACAAAAGTGGGATATACTTTTCCGAGTTGAAATCCGAAGACCAATATCTTATCAAGTTGATCACTCTTTCATTAATAGCTTCTCATGCAGGAAGTGTCATTGGCGACATGTCGGTGGTCAACGAGCTCGTTCCACAACCACCTCAAAAGAACCCAAAAAATAGTAACAACTTTTGGTACAAGATGAAGACAATGATGAGCAAGGAAGGTAAAAAGCAATCAGCGGCTGGTGTATTCGCTACACCCTTAGAACTGTTGACTGTTCAATGGGGTATAGACTCTGACTTGGGGATAGGCCCCGCAAAAATTAAAATACCTATAATTGTTGATGAGCTAATATCTTCTTTGAGACAACTTGATATGTCAGTTGAGGGTGTCTTCAGAAAAAACGGTAATATCCGCAAACTGCGAGAACTGTCCACTGCTATCGACGAAAGTCCTTCGGAGGTCCCTGATTTATCTAAAGAAAACGCTGTTCAGCTTTCGGCGCTGCTGAAAAAGTTTTTGAGAGAGCTTCCAGATCCGCTACTGACGTCAAAATTGTACGACTTATGGATTCAGGTAGCAAAGGTTGAGTCGGACTTGGAACGGCACAAGTACTTCGGGTTACTGTACGCATTATTGCCCACTTTCAACCGTAATGTAGCGGAAGTGCTCTTTTCATTTTTGCACTGGACGTCATCTTTTTCCCACATCGATTCTCAGATGGGCTCTAAGATGGACATTCATAATCTATCCACAGTCATGGCACCAAACATCCTGTATCAGCAAGGTACCACAAGTACTCAACCTACGGTACACGGTGGTGCAATTCACAACACGTACAATGATGCCTTTGCTCAGAACGAGGGCGAAAATTACTTCCTCGCTATTGAAGTTATTGACTATCTTATCAACCATAATGAAGACCTTGCAGTTGTTCCAAAGTATATGGTTGCACTTCTCGAAGCGGTTAAAAGAGAGCAAGCAATAGATTTCGAAACAGTCAAAAAAATCGTAGCACACCAGAGTACGTCCAACGGCTCAAATTTCAAGGACTACGGATTGGTCGAACCTGTGAAAATGAAGGAGTCAGCGTCTGTCGCGAAGGTTGAGTACAAAGCGAGGGAATCTACATGAGTATGTGTAGCGGTGTCATATATACCTAGCGATAAAGTAAACGTTACTTGCATATCAAAATGACAACACTTGGGATTTAATTTATCCAGCGACCCTGCAGGAATCCTAGATATGGACAATCACCGAGCATAATCGCTGACATCGATTTGACGCATATTGCTTGATCAATAATGTTCTCATTCACTTTATAAGCCTTAATAAAAGGATCATGGCAATCAGATAGGTGTTTATTCTATGCTACAAGGCAGTAAGAAACAAAACTTATATTGCGTAACAGACGTCTAAACCAAAGAGTGAAGTGAAACCAAACATATGCGGGAAAAATCTTGGAGTAGAATCTTTACATCTTTGGAGCGTTTTCGGACATCTCTGGTGTAGCCACAGGCCATTGGTACAGATTGCGGTCCTCAAAAACATAATTGTGCTCTTCGAGGAATTTCACAAGATTCTTGGGGCCTCTAGATCCATACGCGTATGTTTCTGGAGTTGGAGCATTTGGACCTTCCAAATGGTTCAACAGAGGAGTGAACAACTTCCAGCTGACATCCAGTTCGTCATCTCTTACAAAGTGAGAGTGGTCACCATTCATGACATCCTTTATCAAAGCTTCGTAAGCCTCTGGAATCCAAAAATTCTTGTAGCGTCTTGCATATGTCAGGTCCAATTCTGTTACTTGACTGCTGGTGGACAAACCTGGAGTCTTACTGTTGACCTTTAGGTAGATCGCTTCGTCAGGTTGGACTCTGATGACTAGTTCGTTATGAGCAATCTGTTCGTTGAAAACGCCGGACGGAACACCCTTGAACTGGATTCTAATCTCGACTTTGCCTTCATTAAGGGCTTTACCAGCCCTCATGACGATAGGAACACCATCCCAGCGCTCATTCTGAATTTTAAATCCGATGGCCGCAAATGTGACACACTTGGACTTGGGGTCCACGGTTTCGTCGTCTAAGTACCCGGGTTTGGAACCATCCTCAGATGGTCCATATTGACCGGTCAAAACATCCTTATAGTCGATTGGGGCGAACGCTTTGAGGACTCTAACCTTTTCGTCACGGATAGATTCGGCGTCAAAGCCCACAGGACGTTCCATGGTAAGCAAAGTCAGTATCTGCAGCAGATGGTTTTGCATCACGTCTCTTATGATACCGATCTCGTCGAAATAACCACCACGACCTTCGGTTCCAAAGGGCTCCTTAAACGAGATTTGAATGTTTTGGATATTCTCTTTGTTCCATGCAGCGTTCAAGAATGTGTTACCGAATCTCATCAACACCAAGTTCTTGACCATTTCTTTTCCCAAATAATGGTCAATTCTGAAAAGCTCGTCTTCTGCGAAAAGTGGGGCGAGATCGTTTTGCAGCTCACGGAATGAGCTCAAATCGTGACCAAAAGGCTTTTCTACAACGACTCTGTTGTGTCCGTCCTTTGCATATGCTACCTCCTTGATCTGCGTGCAGACAGCGACAAAAGCGCTGGGAGGAAGTGCCAGGTAAAACAACCGGTTGGGGTGCTCGAGCTTGTTGCTTTTTTCGTGGTCTTCGAACTCCTTGCGCAGTTTCTCGTACCCGACGCTCTCGTCGTAAGGACCAGAGATGTACGTTACCATTTGCAAGAACTGCTTCACCTTCTCGGAGTCTTTGTCGCCATTAGGTTTTTTCAAAAATGGCTCTATTTTCCCTCTGAGATCCTCATCTGACAGCTTGGAACGGGCAAACCCTATGATCTTGCATGAGGCGTCCAGATAACCTTCTCTGAAGAGCCCAAACAGTGCAGGGAACGTTTTTTTTTTGGACAAATCGCCGGACGCCCCGAAAATCGCAATCGATGTGTGTTTTTTGAATTCCACTGGCTTGCTGTCGGTCATTTCTGCAAAAAGCTGTTGAACGTTCTTCAAAAACGTATTCTATAGGCTACCAATGGGCACTTAAAACTTAAAACCAAAAAACTCTGAATCTTCTGTAACCTTTTTCGCCCGTGGAAAAAGCTCAATTGAGTCTCTTGAAAGTTCGCAATTCTTATGAATTAATTCTCTTAGCACAAAATCAATTGTTTTGGGCTCTTAAAATGCTATCTTCTCTTAGGAAAACACTATCTTCACTGCGTTAGCAATTGATTTAGGTAACCTGTTGCCATCAACTTTCCCGAATCCCTTCGCTTTTTATAGTCGCCCCTCCTAATATTGTGGGCTCGCACCCAATCAAACGTTCTTTTCTATGACAAATTAAATAGTTGAGAAAAGGCTAGGAAAATGGAGTGTATCAGATCACGTGACAAGAGAGTGAGATTTGCGATTTCATTTGCCATGGTCATTCTTTAAAGAGATTGGCAAGATGGGAGAGACAATAGGGCGGGATCCGGGATTAGAATGTCGAGAGAGAGAAAGGTAGAGGGAGATAGAGATTTGATGAAAGAAAGAGTTTGTGAATGTAGAATGGTAAATGAAAAGCCGTGTAAAATGATAAGGTATGGATTTTTCCGGATTTGATATAGTTTTGTTTGGAGAATAGGTTTTACCAAGGAAGTTGTTGCTTTGAAGCAGAATAAGCTACTCACATATAGCCTGCAACAATAGGTCTCCGTTTGTACACGATTCTCCTCTCGTTTTGACGCTTCATCTTTGTGATAGTGTAAGATTATGTTTCGAGGTCACGTGACTTCAGTGTTAACACATACCATTGCTACTATCCAATTTCTAATCTGGGCCCTCGGGCTGGCTATCTTTGACAGACTGGATTTTAGTGGATCAGATCCGTAATTGCGGTGTTTTCAATCTCCGCGGAATGTCTTGACAAGTCTAATGGAAGCAGCTCTGTGTATTAGTGAGCAGCAGCAGGCTTTCAAAGGACGAGACAATAAACCTTGAAAAGAGTAAGCAGGCCAAGAAAAAAAAAAACACCCGCCCAGTGCCCCGTAACGTTTCCAATGTGCATCGTTGTAATCGACACACAAAGAATAGAAGAGGTGAGCCTTGTCGTTCTTCCTTGTCTCGTTTAGTAAAGCATTGTTCTTGGAGTCACGTGATATGCTGCTCTTTTAAAATTAATAATTAAGTCCCAATCTGTGTCATTTCGGTTGAAATTCTGGCCGAAAGACCAAGGTGTAGTGAAGGCACATGTATGTGGGGCTACAGGAAACCTGATGCAGAGCTAAAAAATTATGACCGTTATTTGTACAATTGGCGATTTTATACCCTTACAACCTTACACTCATTTACCAGTTGGAAGTATCACGTGACTGAAAGACACCCAAATGCTGAACAATGATGCTACCCATGGTGTTCTAGTACCAGTAGCTTTGTAGTAGTCTGTATATCTTTTAAACGGAACAGCGAGAAAAAACACGTTTAAACATCATTATGGTAGCTTTTAGAGACAACTGGGCTCTCTTTTATCACAGTTCAATGATCAAATCCTCATCACGTGCTGATATCTACGATCGTCATGATTGTACCCAAAGCACTTGAGGCAACCTCAAGTGTAAGAAAACCACTAACAAGTAGTAGCCCATGGACACTGATACTGTCTATACAGAGTGTACATAGACCTTGTTCAGGCGCCAGAACTGTTCGAATGACGGGATCCTCGTATCGCAGCCTTTTTGCCATCGGATCATCTTGTCCTGCGTCTCCTGCAAGCAAGCGCTAGCCGCTATTTCGAGCCACCATCCGGAAATTTTCACTCTCCGCAGCATTACAATAAATAAAATGCCCATAATATAAGGTTGCTCCCTCACTTGAATATCTACACGCCACTCATCACAGACATGATACAATTATCTCCGTTACCCATTTTACCAAGTATTACCCACAGTCACCACATCTGACGATTTTTCAATTGGAGTGAAGGTGTATTTGTATGGCACGTCGTAACTGACATCACCTTCATTGTAAACTGATGGCAACGTATCCCTGTACTCATTCTCCAGAGTCTTCGCTAGTGCTCGTCTTCGACTGCTATTTTGCTCACCATTCAAAAGCCCGCCCCCGTTAATGCATCCCCCTGGACATGCCATCACCTCGACAAAATCAGTTTTGACTGGGTCTACTGCCAAACCCGATGTGCTTTCACGTGAGGAAGAGTTAGTGTTTCTCTTTCGAAGTACTTTCACATTCCTTGTCTTTGTTCCTGAATTGGAAAGCTTTCGTACCATGTTTTGAATATTTCGAAATCCGTAGACCTGGCTCGAAGATGCAATCGTCTCTCCTGTAGAATTGTCTACCAATCTGTATTCTGTGATATCACTATTCTTACCCTCTAGAGTCCTCACTTCTGAATCGGGATGCTTTTTCTGCTGATGGAGAATGTACTGGAAAGCAAAACCTCCTGAGCTGCTGCCTTCGTTAGAAGCCCAGTGAACCTGAGGATCCCAATTTTCCGGACTGCATGCGTTCATTAAGGATTGACTATGTGGAACATCAGCGTAGTCTTTCATGTCAACATGAAGTTCTCCTAGCATCGTCACAAACTCACGAGGGGTTATAACACAGTCCACTTCATTTTCACCATCTTTTCTGCTAGCCTCTAGTTTTTTGTCGAAACAAGGCATCACAGTTAAGTGGTAAATGTTTTTATTGGTCTGCTTTAATAGAGAACCTGTAATCTGCTGAGGCGACTTGACGTCCAACAAGAAAGGAACCAGTTCTGGCTTTGACTTTTCAGCATAAAGCACAAAGCCAGGACAGACGGCGCATAGTGTCGGCTTGGCAAATGTCTCCTGTTGTTTCCGTCTGACCAGTTCTTCGTTGGTCTGCTTGATGGTTATATTGCGACCTATTTGTGTTCCAACGACGTATTTGGCGGCGAAGTACTTATGCATGAAATTCACAAAGCCCTTGTCAAACACATCGAGTTTCACATCGTAGTATTTTGCCAACGAAAGCCGACTTTGAGGCGCTATGCTTACCGCCAAGACAGCGTCTTCTGGCAGCTTTCTCCAGGCCTCTAAGAATACTGTGTAGCTTTGTTGACCCAACAAGATTTCCTCACTGGAGGTTATGCATCCTGAACACGCCAGACAGTCTTGCAAGGAGATAGATACCTTCTCTACTTCATTTGATTCTTTCCCAACTTCAAGTTCATTGCTAGGGCCTTGGTCTTCTTTGACAGTCTCAGTTGGCTTGATGCACGCAAGTCCAGGACTGATGAAGTCGTTTAAATCATTTTCCGACAGCAAAGCGCTCATTTTTTGGCGTGTATCGATGCCATGCGTATGTGAATAGCTTAAATGCGGTGTGGATGACAAGAGATGAGATGAGATTAGCTGAGAAATCATATCGCTGTTGTAGATTATTTGAGATAGAAATCATTTTATCCTTTCCCGTCACCAGCCGATAAGACTTAAGACACGTCCACAGCATTAAGCGACGACTAAGCATCGATGCGACTGAAAGATTTACAGAAGAGTGCCAGTGTTTGATACTAAGCAGTGTCTTTAAGACTCTGAGAGTTCTCAGCTCGCGCGGCGCGAAAAATGTAGATAGAATCGTCATCTAGGTTCGCAATGCAAATTGACAATGAATAGCAAACCGGCCATCACACTCTGAATTAGAACTTAGATTGATAAGCGTTCTGGATTGGCGTCCAGTAATTTTCAGTAAAATACCTTGTAACATGCGTACACTCTAAAGGCTGGCATTAAGCTTCATTTTTCGTGTGGGAAACAATTGGCAAGCGGTGAAAAAGCGCTGACATCATGTCTAGAGATATTGAATGATTGAACCGAATAAGCTTCACAACGAAATAGAATGCTCTTTTAAACGTTCATTTACAACTTTATCAAATACTTGCAGTCACGCGACATCCTACCTAATACCAAAGCTGTTTACTCTTGGGAAGCACTCTGGAACATCGGAACAGACATCAATAGAGACAAGATTACTCAAGATACCAGGATATTATCGGGAAACTGTTGAACCGATCTCTATGAACTCATGAGTACTTTAGACAAGAAAACTCAATACTGCACAAATTATAACATGCATATCTAAATACTATCACGACTGAGACGCGAGAGTCTCAAAACACGAATCTCGACACCGAATAGCGAGTTAGTGAAACTGAGACAGCTATCCCGCCAATCGTGCTGCTATCGGAGTTAAACAAGCTCAGCACACGTGAAGAGATGCGGCGACAGATTACTGTAAAGTGATATACGCGTTACCTAATGGTTAGTTGCGACAAACCCATCAAAGGAACTATTTAGCAAGAACCGAAGACCATAAACTGGATTAACAACATCTCATGAACCACAATTCAGCACTCGTCAACCTGTTGTGGTTTTCTCTATGGGCCATGTCTATAAAGTGCAACCACTCAAGTGTTCGGGCACGTGATATGTGTCAAAGAATGCTCTATAAATTTATCGTGAACAGATGCGTACCGTGAATCAAGATCAAAGCTTAAACTTTAAGCACACTAAGCTGCACCACAACGCTTCGTACCCCTCGCAGAAGCGTTGAGGCTCACTCCTTTTTAAAATCATGAAGCTTCTGTCAAGCGCTCGCTTTGTTATAGGTCTTTTGCTAGCTGGTGACTTTTGCCAATCGCGACAGGTACCAAAAAAAGACCATTTGGCAAGAAGTTATTTTGCGGTAGAGAGCTACCTATCACCTCAAAGACTTCGAGATCTGTATCCAGAATGGCAGTTCGAACATGCGGCGCGAGGACTTGAAAATCATTTCGTGTTTTCGGTGCGAAAGGATGATCTACAGAAAAGATCCCAATATGATGACCTGGAAGGCGTGGTTTCATACCATAGCTTACTGCCCAAAACACTTCAAAAAAGACTTCCCATAGATTCAAGTCTGCAACCACTGCAGGATGCCAAAGACCGTTTGACCATCGAAGACCCTTTATTCGACAGACAGTGGCATCTCATCAACACGAATTTCCCAGGACATGACGTTAATGTTACCGGACTTTGGTATGAAAACGTTACCGGCCATGGCATTGTCGCAGCAATCGTGGACGATGGACTCGATTTCGAAAGTGAAGATCTCGCAGATAATTTCTCCGCAGAAGGGTCCTGGGATTTTAATGACAACGATCCAATGCCAAGACCAAGACTAAGCGATGACTATCACGGTACAAGATGTGCTGGCGAAATAGCTGCTGTCAAAAACAAAGCCTGCGGCGTTGGTGTGGCTTATGATGCCAAAGTTGCAGGTATACGAATTCTTTCTGGTGAGATTACCGCAGAGGACGAAGCTGCGTCATTGATTCACGCTTTGGAAGTAAACGACATTTATTCGTGTTCATGGGGTCCACCTGACGATGGTAGATCTCTTCAGGGACCAGACGACTTGGTTAAAAAAGCATTGGTAACAGGAGTCACGAAAGGGAGAGATGAAAAGGGAGCGCTGTATGTTTTCGCTAGCGGGAATGGTGGCATGTTTGAGGACAACTGCAACTTCGATGGCTACACGAACTCAATCTACTCGATTACAGTTGGTGCTATTGACCACAAAGGTTTACATCCCCCTTACTCAGAATCTTGTTCCGCCGTTATGGTTGTCACCTACTCATCTGGTTCTGGAGAGCATATTCATTCCACAGATATAAATGGTCGCTGCAGTGATACTCACGGCGGAACTTCCGCAGCTGCCCCACTTGCCGCAGGCATCTATTCCTTGGTCTTAAGCGTTAACTCTAATTTGACTTGGAGAGATGTCCAATACCTATCTATCCTGTCATCCGTACAGATCAATGTTGAGGACGGCAACTGGCAGGACGCAGCCCTTGGAAAGCCTTACTCCCACAAATATGGATACGGGAAGCTCGACGCATACAGAATAGTTGACCTGGCTCGTAACTGGGAGAATGTCAATCCTCAATCCTGGCTGTACCTACCTACTGAACAGGTAGGAACATCCACTAACTCTACGGAGGAAACCCTTGAATCCTCAGTTAAAATTAGTGATGCACAACTGAAAGATGCAAATATGAAGCGCATCGAGCACGTCACTGTTACTGTCGACATTGAGGCAACCTTTAGAGGACGTACTACCTTGGATCTGATTTCGCCTGGTGGAGTGATATCGAACTTAGGGGTCACTAGAAGAAATGATAATTCGCCGGACGGGTTTGTTTCTTGGACTTTCATGTCTGTTGCGCACTGGGGTGAAAAAGGAGATGGCGAATGGAGACTCAAGGCAAGAACAACGGAAGAAACGAATACCATTGTATTTAAAAACTGGAGATTAAAACTATACGGGGAATCGTCAGATCCCTCGAAGGCAAAGAATTTTGAGTTTGGCAATGACGACGAGAATGCTTCTCCGACCACATCTAGTACCCCAATGGAGCCAACTAGCTCATACGATCCAACAACTTCGGCCTCAACGTCTTCAGTTATCACAGCACCCGTATCATCAAGTGCCTCCCCTCAAGATAACTCCGACGTGAATAAACCAAATCTCCTGACACCGCCTTTTGCCGGAATGCATTATTATCTTGCTGTGTTTGCAGTTGGAGCTGCCGTTTTGCTCTTGTATTTCGTCTTCTTTGTTAGGTCAAGAAGACTCATCAGAAGAACTCGTGCCGAAACATATGAATTTGACATCATAGACACAGATTCAGACTATGATTCGTCGATGAACAGTGTTGCAAACCCAAATTCGGACTTACAAGAGGGAGATGACGCTAATTTTGATTTCGATCTCGACCTTTCTGATGAGGAACTCTTGAGAAGCAGTTCAGGGTCACCTAATCCTACAAATGTTTCCACAAAGAACCAGGAAGGAAGAACTTTGGATGAAGTGCTAGAGAGTACGGACAAGAACAGTCCTCATGGTGGAAACGATGGTGATGGTGCCACGCGTGTGACAGATTCGTCAAAGAAATGATTCTCTCACATACATCAATATATATGCATTGTGGTGCTGTCACGACAGAATATTCATTTTAAATAGAAATGTGTAACATAGACGAGACTCTTTCTCAAAAGGCTCACGATTGCCAAGGCTTCCCACTACGATATTGTCTTAACGTTAAGCAAGCCAAGAAAGCTGTCACTCTGTACTTATCCCGACATATTACTCAATAATAAAGGCTAACTTGGCAGCGAGATATTATTCAAACTTCGGGTGAACATATAATCCACCACTAAGTGGACCTCCCAATATGGCCAAGATAATGTCTAGAAAGTATTGTGTGAGATTGGCTTCAGTGCTTTTCTTGGCATGCCTTATGGGTCCTGCCAAATGTATGGAGATGGACGACACATCAGAATACACAAGGCCTGATATAGTGGATGCGGGACCTAAAACAATTCACTGGTTGTGTACCCTTGGTCTGCTTCTCATAGTGCCTTCGATAGCTGCAGTTTTTTCCTTTGCTGGGAAGCTGTATTTGTCGATGTTTCTGCAGTTAATCTCAATGGTGTACTCCATTATAGAAGCCCTGATTCTGAGGTTTCCCGATGGTGACGGAGTTGAGAACCGCACTTCGCGGGGTACTGCTTGGTTTTTAACAGCTCTTTTGGGCTCAACGATCTTATTCGGGAGTTTGGCTACTGGTACTGGTGCTCTGGCTCAAAATAAGAGGCTTCAGACATTTGTCACCAAAACGGGAGAGCACAGGCTTCACATCATTCACAGAACACTGTCTTTTGCAGTTGTGTTGACTGGGTGGGTAAAAACCTGTCTCGCTCCCGTAGCTATGTTTGGATTTTGTCGCGACAATCACACCGGTCAATGTATAGCTCACGGTGTGATGGGATCTGCCTTCGTTCTTTATGGCTTTGTTTATTCTATGGTGCTGATCATACCCTGGATACGTAATCACGAAGGCCCTTACTCTCAGGACCGGATAGACAGCTGGGTTATGTGCGCATGGGGTATTGTGAACACTTTTACAGAGCATCGCTGGGGCAGGGAAGGTTGGGGTCACGGAGACTATCAGCACACGGCCATGGGTATAATATGGTGGGCAGGTGGTCTTCTAGGAATCTTTCTGTCTCGTGGAGGTAGACGGACTTTCGTGCCAAGTCTTCTCATCATCTTCACAGGCTGGGCTATGTCCGAGCACAGTCAGCACTTACTCATTAGCACAAAAGTTCACAGCCTCTTCGGTCTGGTACTAATGTCCGGAGGTGCACTTAGATTGATAGAAATCTCTTTTCTGCTGAAAGACAGAAGAGCTGCAAGCGAAGTGCTGTCTTTCCAGTACCTTGCGCCTTTTTGTCTGGTATGCTCGGGTATTTTGTTCATGAGTGCGAACGAAGAGCAACTCGTTCTTGCGCTGAGACTTGGAGCGGATCATAGCGCCTACAGTCTGGTAGTAATATCTGCTGCATTTGTTACGTATCTGTGGATTCTCCTTTGTCTGGAATTCTACCTGAAGCTGGTGCTCGCGGCCGAAAAAAGTCCTCTGAACTCCTATAAGGCAAGAGACGTGGCTGAATTCGAATTAGACAATATTGATGACATGAACAGTGGAGATGAAGGTAGGGCTTAGTTGATCAAAAAGATTGGACAGTGAAACGTCGGATACGAAGAATATCCTTCTTCACAGAAAGGGCTTTTACCTATGAAAAGTCTTCAAATCTGAACGAGAATCAAACTCCTATCAAACCGTTGAGAGATGTTTTAGAATCTCTATACGTCACAACCCACCTACAATCTTAGCAGAAAAGTGGTAAGATTTACAAAATTTAAATACATTCAGTACATAGATTCTCAAAATTAGACAGCATGGCGCATCGATCAAACTTGCTCGACAAGTCGTTACTTAAATTCATACACGAAGTCCTCGTCTTACCGCATTTTCCCATCGTAACTATCTTTCATAATTTCGATAATCTTTAATGAAATATCGAATTAACTCTACTCTTCTTAAAGCTGACATCATACAGAGCTAAGTTTTGTAGAACAGTTCTCATTCCATTCAATTGGCGCCAAATGATCAGCTCCGGCTCGATTAATAGAGGCCTAGTATCGTGGTCGAAGACTGGTGTGATTGCATATGTGGATAACGAGTCTGATCATTCCAATCTGTGTATAACACTATTGGAAACCATCAATGGCACCAACTGGAGACTGCGACCGTGTAAGAAATATACTATCCATCCTGAAATGATGCAGACACCAAATACAGCTAACGGCACTAGTGCGGCCATTAGTGGGAGCAGTGGTGGCGCTCAAAAAACATTTAACTATTTGAACTCCATCCATTGGAACAACACTCACAATCTTCCAGGAGACCAATTGGCTCTCTTTGATGACGTGGGGAACCTCACGGTGGCGAGTGCCGGTCAGACATTGGAGGGGGTCTCGACCCTCGACAACTTAGTGATACTATTCCAGGACAATGGCTACAAAATACATAGTCAAATTGTTCCACTGCAAGAGAGCTCATCCGACAAAAAGATTACTCGCAGCCCTATCAAGCGGGAAACTCACAGTACAATTGTAGAATTCTATTGGATTGGTACACATACACCCATCTTCACGTTAGCAGGGGTACGCAAAGACCCGACAACGTCATGCTATAAGAGTCAGGTAGAGCAATTTCAGCCACTGGGGATCACTCATCCGACATCCGTCAAGTGCGCCTGCCTGGGACTAAGACGCGGGGGCCAATTAGATTTTTGGTACCAGTTCTCCAACTCAAAAGACTACAAAAAAATCTCTCTACATTTGAGTAGCATCCAGGAATCTCGAAACAAGCAGGTCGATTGGATTCATTGCGGCAAGTTTGCTCAAATGGACGAACCCCAAGCTATGCTTATAGGGACCTTTTCCAAACTTTCAGGAACACTCGTTTTTTACAAGCTCACAGTTGACTGGAACGTTCCCTCTCAAAACTCTGTGCCTGATCCAAAGTTGCAGCTGCAACACCTCTTAGAATTCCGTCCACAGTTCGTGAGCGAAAGACAAGAGCTCATTGAGCTGAAGTGCTTTGAACTGCTGTCGGCACCTAATGACAAGAGTTATGGCATCGAATTACTCCTCAACTACGAAGTCACAGGGGCTTCACGATCCATAATTAAGCGCTACAAGATTCGGAAATTCACACCCTCTCCTGAACTTTGTGCCGTGTTTGGTGTTGTAAACAATGAAGAGCAACCTTTACCACTATGCGATTATACATTCGAGGAACAAAGTAGCTATGAGTTTGATTCGTCAACCTGCGCTATTGAACTTAACGCTACGGAAGATTTGGTGACTTTCAGATTCAAAAATGGCCGTAGTACGATTTATAATAGAACTACATGGACTTCTGATCAAGATTTGGCAAAAGTACAAAATCGCGACTCAATTTCATCACCGTTCAGTACTGGAATACGAATGCCCAAAACACCCCCCACTGGCGCCTTTGAATGGTCGCAAGCATCCCCTTCTTATGGTTTGCTAATTTCAAAAGTGGTTGGTCAAGAATCATTACACTTTGATCCCGTTGAGGCCCCCGTCACGGACAATGCTGAAGATGACGTTTCCGTGGCCCTGGGGTTTGCATATGCTTTTGTTTGCTCGGGTCACCGGCAGTCGTCTGGTGAAGATCTCTCGATCGCTATCAAAACGCATTTACTGAAGTTGGGTCAAGTCAGTGAAGACCGAGCTGAGAAGTTTTTGAAGAATTTAATTCTAATCGTTTATCAATTGTTTGGCCTCACTCCCGATGCTTCAAAAGAATTCAAGGACAAGCTGACAATGAGCCGCCCTGTACAGAAAGCCATGCTATTGCAAACGGAACTAGCATGTTCTTTCAACCACAATAGCATTTACAATATGTCGCGGACTGCGCTCTCACTGAGAAATATCCTTTTCGCATTTAATGGAGTCTCTCGAAACATTCAGGTTTTGATTCATCACAGCGCTACGATGAATTTCCAGCAACCCAATGGGAAATTGTACCAATTTGCGTTCTCGAAACAAGATTTGATATATTCGTTAATCCCAAGCGCTAAATGGTTTGTGAAATTGGTGACTTTTCTCACTCAACAGCTGATTGTTCTAATCAATTCACCAAATGACAAAGAAAATACTCTCGTTCTCGGAATTCTGGGCTCTAAAATGACACGACAGCTATTACTTTCAGTACTGGGTGAAATTAAAAAAGTCATTCATCTCATAACCAAGTTCCCGGAAACCTCATTCCCGGTGCTCAACGAGTCCTCAATATACTTGCGCAAAATTCTGGGCGACTCTCCGGTGAATTTCGAGAAGTTTGAGACCTTCTTGGCCGACGTCAACACCAAGTTTTCGTTGCTTGAAGAGAGTCGCTCAGCCAAGAGTACAACTAGAGACACATACCTCATTATAGATGGAGATATTCCACCTGAAGTATCACAGTTGAAAGATTTTCTACTGTCTTATTCAAACACGGCCGTGCTTTCTCACATAAAGCCTGCTGAGGTTTACTTTTCTGACACCCGTGGTCTCCGCATTCTGTCTTCAGAGATGTTCCAACCGCGTTTTCTCAAGCTTTTGCAACCTCTCGAGGACGGCCTTGTTGTTCGCAGCGACGTATTTTCCAACGATGTTCCTTCGAGTTCGCTGGGCGTTTTCGAAACCGACGACATTTCCAGAGAACCGCTTGAATTTGGAAAATACAAAGTAAAGCGGTGTTGCAGATGTGGCGCTGTTACTCGCGCGGGCTATCCTGTCACTTCTGAAAATACTATATTTTCCACGAGTGTCACTACAAAGCGCTGGACAAGTCTATACACCAAGTCCTGTATTTGCTCTGGACTTCTTTATGAACTCGATAGAAGCACTCTTGACTGAAACTGCGATACCACAGACCATTCTCGTTGTGTACCAAGTGCTTGTTTGAAGTCTCCGTTGATGCTTGTCCGCCGGTAAAATGCTTCCCTCTAGTTTCGAACTCATGACTCGAGATTTTATCAAGTTGACTCGAAAAATGTATGAGGACAACAAATTGAAATAAAGGTGGCAAACTCACAATTTTGAAGAACTTCAGCTACAAGTTCTGCAGCTTTCAAGTCATTGCAAAGGCACCAATTCAGGTTGATTAACCACATAGTGACACTGGGTTCTCAATAGGAACATCGGCGTCGTTTTATTAAGATTCTGACTTTCGATCACTGTAATTTGTCCGCGAATTGCAACCGAAATCTCGATTCTTGTCAAGAAGTTTGTACACACACTTCTCGCTCCATAATTTCATTTGAAAGCTGGATTCTGATATTTGAATAACGTGAAACATCATGTTTTTGACCAGAAGTGAGTATGACCGTGGGGTCAGCACCTTTTCGCCCGAGGGAAGACTTTTCCAAGTCGAATATTCGCTAGAAGCCATCAAATTGGGATCTACTGCCATTGGTATTGCAACATCTGAAGGTGTTGTTCTGGGAGTGGAGAAAAGAGTCACTTCGCCTCTACTGGAAGGAGATTCTATCGAAAAAATCGTTGAAATCGAGCGTCACGTCGGGTGTGCGATGAGTGGCCTTACGGCCGACGCTCGTTCTATGATTGAACACGCTCAAGTATCAGCAGTTACCCACGACCTATACTATGATGAAAATATAAGTATCGAGTCTTTGACGCAATCAATCTGCGATTTGGCCCTCAGATTTGGTGAAGGTGCATCTGGCGAAGAAAGATTAATGTCAAGGCCCTTTGGCGTAGCACTTTTAATTGCTGGATATGATACCGAGCAAGGATATCAGCTTTTTCATGCAGAGCCCTCGGGAACGTTTTATAGATACAACGCTAAAGCCATAGGTTCCGGGTCGGAAGGTGCACAGTCAGAACTACAAAATGAGTGGCATTCATCCCTTACGTTAAAGGAGGCCGAACTATTGGTACTCAAAATTTTAAAACAAGTGATGGAAGAGAAATTGGATGAAGACAATGCTCAACTAAGTTGCGTAACTAAGGATCAGGGATTCCAAGTGTACAGCAACGATAAGACAGCCGCAATCATCAAAGAGTTGAAGGAAAAGGAAGAGCAGCAAAGCTCCGAGAATGCGGATGTAGAAATGACCACATAAATCTGTTTCAATGCATGCAATAAAATATGTAGCCTAACTATAAAGCATAAAATCTCAATTGGTACCCAGAGGCAATTGAATGACATTAATTACACATTATAATTAGTAGCATTATCACAATGCATGAAGGTCTAATCTACCAAATGCGCATACTCAGGGAGTTCCTTTATTTTGGAATTGAAAAACTTCTCGAGTCTATTGGCGTACTTGAAATACGATGTGTTTTCTCCGTTGTAGGCTCGACAATTATTAAATACAAGTCGTGCGTCATAAACAAAGCTCTCCATTTTCTCGTATCTGTTGTTTTCCAGCTTTATCTCCATTGTGCTCAAGTCCATTGGCTCCTTAATAAACTCATAATAATCCGCGACTTCTTCTCTATTAACGGGCTGTAAGAAGGGCCAAGCCGCCGCATGATTTTGCACCTCCGTCAGTACGTTCTGCATAGCAGCATGATGTGGAGCTCTCTTTGGTCGCTGTGCTAACTCATCCATTTCTGGGGTCCATCCAGCCTCTTTAAGGCCAGGTATTTCCATGGGATCCATGGGCTTTATGTTGCTCAAATCCTTGAAATGTTTCAAGCCAGGATGAACCACATTACTTTTGGAGACAAGCCGTATCTTCTTTTGTATAGCCGCTTCCTGGAGTAGAAGAATTTTAGCGGCGTCCAGATATCGTATACGCGGGAGCGTTGTGCATTGCATAAGCGTACCACCTTCATAATCTTTGATATATCCCATCCAAATGCTTTTTTCCAGAGTGACCTCCTTGGTGAATCCCTGCTTCTTGAAGTATCCAATGGCATAGTTGTCTGCGTATGTTAGAAAATATTTGATCTTAGACGTGGTTCGCACGTAATCTTTTAAATGATTCATCAAATGCGCACCATAACCACGTACTTGTTCTGTTGAACTTATAGCGCAAAAGACAATTTCTGCAAATTCGCGGTTGTCAAAAGGCCTATACGTGATGCCCCCAACAACTGTGAGGGGTTTGCGCACCACCGCCATTGACAAATGACTTCTGTCATATACAAGCCTAGCAATGTATTCTTTAGGCATTTTGGGCAGCTGTTTTTGAAAAATGTTCTTTAAGCCTGTCAAAACCATCATGTTTTCTTTGGTATTGTCGTTGTTCACCACCCTGAACTCTATTTTGCCCTCTTTTTCCTCTATCACACTGGCTCTTTCCTTGAACTGATACTGCCTTCCGTCAAATACAAAATGCGTTATACCTGCATTTTCAATATCTGGTTGAATCTTGGCTGCAGTTGAACCCTCCGGTGATGTTTCCTCACCGTTGATAGCACTTGTCTTCTCTGATGTTAAATCCAAAGTCTGGTCTTCATGTTTAGTATTTTCTTCGAGCTTTGGACGTTTAGAATTGATGCTTTCAGCTGTGCCACTTCGTTTCTTGATAATCATCACCCACCTCGATCCTTAAAGCCCACCTTTGATGTCTGTTTGGTTGAGTTGAAAACTGATCAATCGTACATAATCAATGGAAGCCAAGGCTCTTGGACATCAATCAATTAGTACAAAGTGATGACAGCTAAGACTTACGTCAAAGAACTTAAGTCCACTTTTGGGAGGTAACTGTTTTTCTTGGCTTTTACAAGAGCTCTTCTTCACCCAGGTCGTCTTGCCAGTCGTCAAAAACATTTTCCAGGGCTTCTTCGGCTTGTTCTTGCACTCTTGTTAACCCTGACAAGTCTTCGACGTATTTGTAGTTGTTCAGAGCCTCAGTGACAAAGCTCCAGCCGCGTAACTTGAGTGTTTCCACCACAGAGACACTACAAGCAGAACATTCATTAAAAGATGGACTTCTGAGCTGAAGTGTTTTAAATTCGTTCAAGAAGCCACGAATTTGATGTGGAAGGTCTCCTAATACAGTTGTGGCCGAAACTTCACGGGTGTTGCGAGCTGGGTGCTGCAATAGTGAGACCATTAGCTCTACACTTTGAGATGCTGCCATGAGTGCAACTCCAGGTCTTGTCACGGTACACATTTGATCTAGTGTCCGATCAGTGAGACTGTCGCTTGGAGCGACGATGTCCTGGCAAAAATAGCAGCCGAGACGTTCTTCCTGTCCAGGCGAGTAAGCGCCATGTCTCATAACCACGTAGCTGTCAAATCCTAGCGCAGCGTTCATTACTATCTTGTTCTCGGCACAGCCTAGCACAGTAGGGAGCCATCGAGTTTCGCGCGAGTCCATCAAAAGATATACGACATCGTGGCTCCGCACGAGGTCGACTAATGTTTCATAGTCGCTTTGCTGTCTAGTCTCGTTTGTTACAGGGTGCCCAATCATTGGAACCTGAAGTTCTACACCTTTCGTTTTGACGAGAGGAAAAATTCGCCGCAATCCTTCTGCAGCTTCTGCAGCCTTTGGTTTTCCGCAGCTTTCAAAGGTGAACAGAGGTTGTCGTACTGGGTTCGAATAAGAGACACGTCCGTTGTCGACGAATGTAATTTCTCGTACACCCCAAGCCAGCAAGGCGCGAGCAACGTAGCATCCTAGGGTGCCAGCCCCCAACAGCAGTACTTTGGTATTTTTGACTATGTCAAGATCTAGCTCGGGAGCGACCCGCCATTTCATCAGTTTAAGATTGAGATCCAGCGATTGATCCGCAACTTGCAATGGATCCAACAGGGAGCTTAAATCCGTTGCTCTTGGTGTCAGTTTATTTTGCGAGTTTCTTTCCCATCCGCTGACTTTCAACGTTGATGAATTTGAATCATGTGTAGGCTGAAACGCCACTTCCACCCAGAAACTGCTGCTAGCATCCTGTCGAATCAAGACCACACGTATTGTTTTCACTCCTGGAGCAAAATGTTTCAACAGAGAGATAAAGTTCTTCGCCAAAGCAGAAGGTATCATCTCTATTTTACTGGTGTCTCGAATAATCAAGGTGGTGCAGCCAGCTGCTTGACCTTTTGCAAAAACTTGAATGTTACCACTCTCATCTTCCAGACAAGACCAATTCTCAGGATGTAAATCAAACCAGCTTTTGTATTTCTCAAATTCTTCGAGCTTACCACTCTCAGTCACTATTAGGTTGAAAGGCGTCAGTTGGAAGCAGGGTATGCTCAACCAATGGAAAAATTTATAGGATTTCAAATCGGCAAAACTGATGACAAAAAACTGCACACATTTGTTTGGATCATCCAGGCTTTCTTCCCACACGTCGAGTCCTCGCTGATTCAAAAAAACGTTTTTGTCAAGCTTTTTGAATTCCACAACGGTATTGAAGTTGTACAGAGCGCCTTTGATTGGTATGCCATTTCCATGGTCAGTCTTGTCAAAGCTTTCACCGTTAAGAAACAAGTGTGCACTAGATGAGCTTCTCGGAGTATATGCGATATCAATGACACTGTTGAGCTCCTTAGGGGATGAATCCAGTTTCAAAACGTCTAATTTTAATCGAGCCAGTTTTTGAAAGAACGATGTATCTATGAAAGATTGGCAGGGGTTCGCAAATTTCATATGATTGCTCACCATTTTCAATTCAGAGAGCTGGGACCAACGCGAACACTATGGGATCTCGATTAAGGCTCTGAATTTATTCTTAGTAGATGTTATATAAGATTTTATAGATTGATGATATATATTCAGTTCGTGCTTTGTTATGATGAACCTAAGAATAATCAATAGTCTGGGAAGTTGAAAGCCTGTCAGTTGACCTTAGTCTAGCTGGTGCTGGCAATATGTATTGAAAGTCGAATATCTAAGCGGTTGGCTATTCATCAAGCGTCATTTCGTCCAGTTCATCAAGTAGTTCGTCAATATCGATTTGTGGAGCGTCTTCGTCTTCATCTTCGTCCATTTCTCCCTCCGCTGGAGGAGGAGCTTGTGCATTGTTCTTGTAAAGGTTGACGGTTTGACGCATTTCAGCGTCTTCTTCCAGCTCTTGTAAGAAAGTCTCGTAGTCTTTCTCAGCTCTTTCCATTTCCTGCTTCTGTTGTCTGGATGTGTAGTCCTGGGAAGCGTCGATCTCCTGGTGTTCACGAGCCATTCTCTTAAGTTTCCAATTTCTGTTCTTGCGAGTCTTACGGATGTACTGCTTCTTGACCAGTACTACATCCGGAATGTGCTCAATGTTCAGATCGTCGAAAAGATCGGAGTTGTAATTGGAGTTGGCAATGAAGTACCCCATTACACTATCACCCGGATGGCAAAGGGCTCCAAGATGCGAGCGAACATAGTATACTTGGTCGTTGACCCCTAAATCAGCAGCCCTGGCCACCGTTATATCGGCGAGCACCCATTTGTTCTTGCTCTTGCCCGTTGGATCCACGTCGAGGACGATGAACTCTACCAGCTGCGAGACCTCAGCCAAGGACTGAAATGGATTCCTCCAATAGACAGGTGCAGACATATCCGCGGTCTGCAAAGTGATCGGATCCATGAACTGCAGGGAGTTTGAGACTTTCGAGCACAGCACGAACTGAGATATGTTGCCTAGCGATTTGGCAAGCTTCTTGGGCAAAACGACGAGATCATCTCTGCAAATTGGAACAATCTCGACGGAGAACGAGAATTTGTAAGTAGAAGAACCGGTGTGGGTATCTTGGGACACGAGCTCTTCGGACTTTTTGGATCTGATTGGCACCACCGAGTTCAGAAAATCAAGCATTTTCGCAGCATGGTTCTTTTGACCGTAGAAAAAGTCCAGACCATCCTTGGCTTCCTGAATGTTGATAGTATCTACGTGTGCGTTATGCCTTAGGATCAGCTGCTCCAAGTACAGAAAGGTACGCTTGTGAGGAACCTTTTGTCTGATTTGTATCGTGGCTCTCCAGGTGTTGGTAGTATAAGAACGGGCACAGTCAGCACACTGCATGGCGACAACCACGTATTCGACTTCGAAAGTTTGTTGAATGATCGTATTAGTCATGGCCTCACCTTGCACCGTTAGCTTGACACGGATACGTCTGGAATGGGGCTCAGTCCATATGAATGAAGCGTCCACTAATCTAACTTTATTCAGACCTTTCAAACGGCGCAAACATAGCGCCAGAAGCTCTCGAGACTCGAGTTGTGCATGTACCCACTGACCTGGAGGCTGCAAAAACCTTTCACAGTTTCGACAAAACGATACGTTAGCCTCTCTTGGAATACCCTCTGTGATATCAACCGTTAGCTTGATACAGTCGTAACACATCACCAAGCCCGAAGACCCTTCCATGGGTACACCACAGTTGCAACATAGCAGTGTGGCCGCTTGGTGATTCTGAAAGGCACTTTTGTCTAACGAGGTATAGTTCATCTTGACCTGAAAGTGCTCTGGAACTTTGGTGAATGCGAAGTAAACTTGTTTGACGCTCACTCTCTAGCGCTGTTCAGCAAAAAGTGGCAATGCAGTGGTCGTACTTGTCTGCGAACATGATGATGAGATGCGATGCGATGAGCATCTGAAAAATTTTAGAAACATCGAGATGGGATGAGATGAGGTCACGTGCTATTAAAAACAAGGAGAAATCCACGTGATATGTGATAAATTATGAGTAGCACAGTAGTCACGTGATTGAAAACTCAAAAGCACACGGACAGCGGGCCCGTACGAAGCTACTACCGTTTTTTGTTCTTCTTCTGTTTGCCTTGAAATAAAAGACCAAAAGACTTCTTCTGGGCTTTCTCAACGAGACCACCGTCATCGCTGTCACTGTCGGAGAACTGCTGGTTGCTTTCGTGTTGTTTGGTCTTGAATTGGTCACTTTCCTTATTTTCCAAGTTCGTGCGTATTTCATGACGCTGCGAGCCCTTCATCTTTCGTTTTAGCGCTATCATTGCTCGTGTATCATCTTTAGTGATCCTATGAACCGCACTGGTATTATTCGTATGACGTCCTGAAGGAGGACTGCGTTTTTTCGTTTTCGCTAACGATGAGACTTTTTTGTCGCTGTCTATAAACTCCCCCACTGTTGCAATATCGACCCCCATGGGTTCAGATTCGGTTGCACTTTTATCAAAACTTAGACCTGCTCCTATCGCCATGACAGGAAGTTCGTAAAAGGAAGATTTTGACGATGACAAGTCACTGTTGCATTCGTCATTCGCTTTATTTTGTACCCATTCAGCGGCCTTCACCTTATTGCTACTAAATAGGGCTTGCAAGGAAGCTTGTAGGTTCAGTTTCTCATTGATTTCTTTGGCCCTAGACATGCTGTTTGGTAGCTTTAGCTTGTTTCGATGATCGGCCAGGCTCTGGCGATGAGCTTGCTGAAATGAAAATACATAATATTTATCGTAGAGCGCATATATTGACCGTGACACATGTAGAACTCAAGTTCATAGGGAAATACACGTTCGAGCTGAGCATGCAGCACAGCGTGCTTTTAACTACTGGCAGACTAATGTTTACTTCCTGCCGGAATACTATTATCACTTTTTATTTTTATAGTTTCACTGGCTACGTGATACTATCGCTTATACAGTCCTTTTCCCGTTTTTGCGGTCGTTTATCTTGCGTCGTTCACCAAAACTTTCCTTCTCCATGGCCATCAAGCTCTGCCGTTTAGCAGCGGTCACTTTGTTGAGTGCTTTCCTGATGACCGCTGTGTCGTGCACATCCGTGAATAAAGTCATCTTTTTATTAATCCTTTCTTCGATAGCTTCAATTCTCGATACATCACGCTGGCCAACAAAACAGATAGACTCACCAGCCCTACCAGCACGAGCAGTACGTCCTGCTCTGTGTATAAATGTGTCAGGATTTGCGGAAATGTCATAGTTGACCACCAGCTGAACAGTAGGAATATCGAGACCTCTCGAAGCCACATCCGTGGCTATCAACACACGGGCGGCATTTGCGCGAAATCTGTGTAGAGAATTGGTACGCTCCTGTTGTGGCATTTGTGAGTGTAAAGAGGCTACTCGTACGTCCAGATCTTTCAGCGTTCTTCTCAGTATTTCGGCCGTCACCGTTCTATTCACAAACACTATGGCGCTGGCTTCGTTGTATGCACTGCTAGTGAGAATCTGATAGAGATAAGCTTCTTTGACCTGCTCCGGGACGAGCAGGTATGTTGTCTTCAACGTCCTAGGAATAGCAACATCGTCCATCTTCTCAACCTCGTAAGAAAAAAGCTCCGGCTTCCCCGGAGTAGCTGCAGCATGTTGCAGTTGTTTGACTTGATCTGTGACGGTGGCGGTGAATAAAAGGTTCTGGCGGCTGGATTTTGGTGGTAGGGCCCCAACGCACGTTGCCAGGTCATCTGTGAATGTGTCAGTCAGTAGAATATCTGCTTCATCGAGAACCAGATACTTTAATCTTCTTAAACCACCAATGGTATCGTCACCACTGTTCATGATATGATGGGCTAACCGACCTGGCGTGGCTACTATGAAGTGTGGCTTCTTTTGAAGCTCAAGTGCTTGATCGACAATACTCTCTCCTCCCACGACTCGTGCAACCCGAATGTTCATAGAACTCCCCAGTGCTGTGAATTGCTCGGCAATCTGCATCGCAAGTTCTCTGGTTGGAGTTAAGACAATCCCAAACATTCCGCTCGGATCCTCAGACCACTTTGTGAGCATAGGCGCAGCAAATGCAATAGTTTTACCCGAACCTGTCTTTGCACCCCCAATACAATCTCTTCCTTCCAAAATCTTAGGAATGCATGCTTTTTGAATAGCTGTTGGTTGGGTGATTTTCATTGAATGCAAAGCTTCGACCAGCCATTTTGAGACCTTAAGGTCAGCGAAATTACCGCTGTTTTCAGATACGCTTGCCATCTTAACTTGTGAATTATTGATTCTAATGCGTTTTGTGAACCACCATAAGCTCGAAGCTGTTTCCACCGATGAGATGAGATGAGATGGGATGATGTCTATGCTGTAAGTAATTTTTCATCAATAGACCTTCAAACATTTTCACGTGACGAATTCCAGGTCAGACCTTCCCAGCACACACAGCCATCTTTTGCAACAAGAGATCGATATTCTGTTCCTTGAGAGCACTTATGGGTATCGCATCCCATTTTTGAGTTTGACAAAACTGCTGGATAATGTTGAATTTTCTCTGACTGGCGGGATTCTCATGACCGATATCCGCTTTATTGCACACCACAAGAACATTCTTTTTGGAAACTTCTTCGAGGCCACCCAGCTCTGAAATTAGCAGATTCAGATCTTTCAAAGGGTCTGCATTACCAAGGCTGAGTATAATTGCCCATCCCTTCGATCGCTGGATGTGTCTAATAAACTCAAGACCCATGCCTTTGTCGTTGGCTGCGCCTTCGATTATGCCTGGAATATCAGCAACGGTAAAACTGACGCCGTCAAAACCTCTTTTGACAGTGCCAACGTTTGGATGAGTGGTTGTAAACTCCCAGTGACCAACTTTAGGCCTGGCGTTGGATATGCAATTGAGTATGGTGGATTTACCAGCATTTGGTAAGCCCACCAACCCAAGATCTGCCAGAGTTTTCAACTCAAACATGAAATGCTGTTCAAGGCCGTCTCTTCCCACTTTGGAAAAACGCGGATTCCTAATGACGTTTGTAAGAAAGTGCATATTTCCAAGACCGCCCTTACCACCTTTCAAAAGGCATATAGGATTTTCATTAGGCTTAGCTAGGTCTAATCCACAAAGGGGAAATCTGTCATTTCTGAGCTCAGATTCGGCAGCTTCCAAATCATAGATCTTCACTTTATCGTTCAAATCTGTAAACCACGACTTATCTTCGTGATAAGCCTTGTCTTTGCCTTTAAAATACCAGCCTTCACCTGGTCCATAAGAATCACGAAACAACTGAATATGGGTAGGTTTCTGGTCCATTTCAAAACGCCCCGTGCATTGCAAATCCACGGTTTGCTGATTGATAGCGTCTCGAAGGGCCACTCTACTATTTCCTCTTCTCCATGCTTGAACGGCATCACGAACTGTTAGTGGGTCCATACACCACTTTATCACAGTGCCTACCGGAACTAATATCAAAACGTCCTTGCCACGAGCCCCATCGAGCTGCCTTGCAGCTCCATCTTCGCCGTCAGCGGCTCTATAGCTGGTTTTCAGTTTGGCAAGGCCATTCAGCCCTTCAACGGCTTGAACGTATATTCCACCGCCGTCTCCTCCGTCACCTCCATCGGGCGGTCCGATCGCCCTTCCCGCGTCCCTGAAGAAAGAAACGGAGCCGTTGCCACCTTTTCCACTTGTCAGTTTGAGAACTTTAAGATCGACGAATTGATTTGTCTGTGCATGACGTTGGGTTTTTGGCTGTAGATAACTGACAGTGGTGAATCGGGAAAGTGCGGCTTTTACGTTGATGTATGGCGTCTCAGGTGGAGTTGACACAATTTGAAAAGAGGTCTCTTCTTTTGCAGTAGTTCCCGCTTCCATGCAATTGCCTTTCCTTTCGTTTTCGGTAGAGGGCGATACTCTGCGTTGACCTTTTCCTAGTTTACGAAGCCAAAACTCGTTGTCTGATGCCGTTGGTGCATTGTCCGGCGCATTCGAAAGCCATCTGCAAAATCGAAGTTCTCTGCTTACCGTCGGACGAGGTCTCAGCCTCATTGCTTGAAGGAAAACTCTTATAGTCGATTCCCTGTCGCTGGTAAGGGCGTCCGGCTCTGACGATGAGCTTTTCTTTCACTTGAATATGCACTGAAGCTCAATAAAGTTGAAGTGAAGAGCAGGTCACGTGACAGTCTTTGTGGAGAGAAAAGGTTGCTGGTTGTCAGGAAGCTTGCAAGTCATCTAAGAAGTGGCATAGTCTTCTCAGAACTGGAAGAACTAACTGCATTCAACACATGTCTACGTCTTCTTCCTGCTTTGCCAATACTAGCTGAGGTTTCATTTTTTGGATTCGTTGAATTGTCTGCATGATCGAGTGCGGGTCTTCCCCAAACATCGTGTTTTCCACAGATTCGTAGTTCTTCTTCCATTGTGTTACCTCTGCAGTTATGCTCTTCAGCTTGTCCCGCAAAATGTGCTGGTTCTCTAAAGTGAACCTCGCGTTCTCCATTTTCATTGAGTCTGTCCAGCGAAGAAGTTGGAGCTTCAAATTGGCCGTGTCTTCCACATCCTCATCCCCAAGAGAGTTATAGGCTTCCAGTATCTGTTTGAGATCGAAAGCATCGTCGCGGTCCCCAGCAGCGCTTCGCGAAGCCAACGCTGGATCGCACAATTTGGAAGACAACCTCCCGACCAGATTAATGTGCTCCATATGAAGATTGTAGTTTTCACACATCTCATATACTAGCTGAAAAAGTTCCGACTCGTTTCCTTCGCTATCAACAGACACAGCAAGTCTACTCTTCGCTACGTCGGCTGACGGCCCCAATTTAAGTTTGGTGTTGTAGGATTCGATGACATTTGTATGCTCCTCCCTGAGATCTGCCATAGACATGATAAACTGGCCAAAGGTGTGTCTCATAGCAGACAATGCTTCCATTTTGTGCACATCATCAACAGACTCTTCAATCAATAATGCTAAATTATCAAGCAACTCGTTCGAGTGCTGATGGTTGGATTTTAAAGTCGCAATAAGCCCATCTAGCATCAAATCTACGTTCTTGGAGTTCATTGGCAAAGTTAGGTATTCCAAGGCTCGTTTGACTCTCCCGTTCAAAGTATCTTATTCAAAAATTTGGTATTTGTGTATACCTGACAATCGCTATAAACCTGACTTAATTACAGTTTTTAAAGTTTGTGCATAGAACATCGCATCATCGAGCATCGCGCTGACGAAATACATACCTCAAGGGGCGCAAGGGCTTTGTAAAAATGGACGAGCCATTTGTACAATTAGTTAGCGACATCAAAACAGAACTAACATACTCGTCCTCACAATTGTCACGACTAAAGTTATACAACTCCGCGAAATGGTCTGCAGAAGCGCTGTGGGGAATGTGTGTAATCGAGCCAACGACGAGTTTCACCGACTTTTCCAAAATGGATGAGTCTCCACTAAGAAACAGATGTAACACTGAAGCTATTGTTCCCCAGCAATCGCCAGAGAAGGCCAGTCCAAGTATGGATACTTTCGAGTACAATCAATATTTACTGGCGTCGACGCTCTTTGACTGCAAAGAGTTCGATCGATGCGCATATTTTTTGGCTGACAGCACCCACCCCGAACTTTTATTTTTGAAACTGTACAGCAAGTTTCTTTCCTGGGACAAGAAAAACCAGGAAAGCGTCGAGAACATGCTGACCGCGAAAGACGTGAAGGGCGTTCAAGGCATTGGCAATGTCAATGGCGACAGCAAAGGCAGAGAAAGCATAGAAAGGTTTCGTGATTACGAAGCTGGCAATAATGGACATCACAAAAAGTCTGCCGATCTCGATAATGGCGATTCCACCAGCGTGCCTGCGATACTGAAGGAGCTCAATCAGTACCTATCAGAAAACCGAGAAAAAGAAGAAGAAGTGAGCGTGGGATTTGCCCTATTGTACTATCTAAAAGGTGTGCTGTACAAATTACAAGACATTCCCTCGAACGCTATCAGTTCGTTCCTATCTTCGTTGTCGCTTTTCCCATACAATTGGACATGCTGGACTGAATTGATTAGTTGCATCACACGGTCAGACGAATCTTTGCTGCTTCTAAAGGTTCTCAACGAAAAACTGACGTCGGAAAAGTCGCAGATCATGCTAAAATTCTTCAAACTATCAGTCTTTCAAGAGTTCAACGGAAATATTGACGATTTCATCCAGGAGCTGGACTACCTGCTTTTGATCTTTCCCCGGTTTGCATTTCTGAAGACTCAGCACGCTCTCATCAATTACCACTACATGGACTATGTTAGTGCCGGATTGATTTTTGACCAGATCATAAAGCTGGATCCATATCGTTTGGAAGACATGGACACGTACTCCAACATTCTGTATGTGATGCAGAAAACATCTAAACTAGCATACCTTGCACAGTTTGCCTCTGGAGTCGATAGGTTTCGAGCAGAAACTTGCTGCATAATAGCGAATTACTATAGTGCCAAACAAGAGCACGAGAAGTCCATCATGTACTTTCGCCGTGCGTTGACGCTAAACAAGAATAGCACAAGCGCCTGGACATTGATGGGTCATGAGTTTGTGGAATTGAAAAACTCACACGCCGCCATTGAATGCTACCGCCGCGCCGTTGACATCAACCCGCGGGATTTCAAAGCCTGGTACGGGCTAGGTCAGGCATATGAGGTGCTGGACATGCACCTGTACTCATTATACTACTTTCAGAGATCGTGTGCGCTCAAACCGCTTGACAAGCGCATGTGGCAGGCGCTGGCTAGCTGTTACGAGAAGGTCGACAGTATCGATGAGTCGATCAGATGCTATTCCAGGGCACTTCAGCTGTCTCTCAACAGCAGCCAAGACATTTCGATTCTATACCGACTCGCGATACTACACGAGCAAATTAAAGACATCGAAAGCTGTAGAGGATATATGGTAAAGTGCGTGGAAGCACAAGAGCAGTCAGATGGTTTAATAAGTGACGAAATAACGAAGGCTAGTCTCTGGCTGGCCAGACATGAAGCAAAACACAAAAAGTTCGCAGAAGCCTACAAATACGCACTCAATGTAACGCATGGATCTTCTCAAGAGATCGAAGAAGCCCGTGCTTTAGCTCGAGAGTGCAGAAGACGAATGGATTAGCACTTATCCTCAAAGCTCGCTCTTTGTCACGTGACAATTATTCAAAAATTTTGGCAATTCAATATAGTAGTAGCACACGATATATGTGGGAAAGTGAACATTCAGGTTTTAGTCGTAAGGCCAACAAAACAGACCAGGTACAGCAGAAAAAACTGAACAAAACCTGGAACCTGGCGATACATTTGCGTAAAACAACTTTGTTCCATGAGCGGCCTGCCTCCTCCCCCTCCGCCCCCTGGGTTCACAGCAGGGTCTTCCTTACCGCCTCCACCACCACCACCAGGATTCAAAGGTCCCCGTCAAACGGCTTTGAATAGCAGCACGCAAAAAACAAACTCTGTAGCACATGGCAGTAGCAAAGGAGCCTCGGCGACATTAAATGGCAATTCACAGAAGAGGAGCTCCGTCGCATTCAGTCCCGTAAATAGTCCTGATGGGCTTCCAGTGCCTCCTCCACCACCTCCTCCAAGAACTCGTAAATTTCCCACGGACGAAGCTTCAAAGCGGCAGCCATCACCTCCTCCTGCATCTTTAGATAATCACTCAATGAAAAGGAGAAAAACAGTTCCATCTGGTGTCCCAAGAGTTAACCTTACGAAAGAAACGCTTCGATTCAAGCGTACGGAGTGGCTAAACTTACAGAAAAACAAGTTTCAAAGAAAAGGAACCCCCACGAAAGTCAAGTCCAAAGCACACAGACGTGGCTTGGTACATTCACACAAGGTAGACATGCCACCAGAACATCTAAGGAAAATTATCAATGATCACAGGGACATGACGTCTAAGCGATTTGACCCTGACAGAAGAGCATTTCTTGGGGCGCTTAAGTACATGCCTCACGCAATACTGAAGCTCATAGAAAACATGCCACAGCCTTGGGAACAGGTTCGGGAAGTGAGGGTTTTGTATCATAGTACTGGTGCTTTGACCTTCGTTAATGAAATACCGCGTGTGATAGAGCCCGTTTTCGCTGCCCAATGGTCAACTGCATGGATTGCTATGCGACGCGAGAAAAGAGATCGGCGACATTTCAAACGTATGCGTTTTCCGCCGTTTGATGATGACGAGCCTCCTCTTTCGTATTCCGAACATGTACAACATATCGAGCCGTTAGATGCTATCAATCTGCGACTCGACGAAATTGAGGATGCCGCTATAAAGGACTGGATTTTTGATTCGAGGCCATTACTCGAGAGCAAAGCCAACATCAACGGCTCGTCCTATAAAGGTTGGAGACTCGATTTACAGATTATGTCCAACTTGTATAGGATTACATCGCCTCTATTGGAAGAGGACCAAGACGGTAATAGTCGATACCTTTTCAACAACGATTCCTTTTTCACAGCTAAAGCTTTGAACAATGCCATCCCAGGTGGACCAAAATTTGAACCTTTATTTCCCGAAGATGAAGACGGCGATTATGATGACTTCAGCTCACTTGATCGCATTATTTTCCGCATTCCCATAAAAACGACATATAAGGTTGCTTTTCCTCACCTCTACAATCCACGCCCCCGAGAAGTTCGCCTTTCCTGGTACAATGATCCCATTAGTTGCCGTGTTAGCAGAAGCGACGATGAAACAGCCCAGGCTTTCCGATTTGACGCTTCTTTTAATCTAATTCATACGACATCCCAGAAGTCCGAGGCAGGTCTTTTATCCAGTGACTTCAGTCTCCAACCGGAATTTGAGGCGTGTCTGCAAGATTTGAATTTAGAGTCTCCTCAGACTCAAGATGCTGTTTCTTTATATCATGCACCATTTCCATTTAATAGAAGAACGGGCAAAACAATCAGGTCGCAAGATGTGGCTTTAATAAAAAGATGGTTTTTGCAGAGGCCGGAGCATGATCTTCCTATCAAAGTAAGGGTTTCTTACCAGAAGCTGCTGAAAAATCACGTATTGAATGAACTCACAAATTCGAGATCGTCAGGTAGAGGCAAAAAGAAGTTACTCAAAAGTCTTCGCAATACCAAGTATTTTCAACAAACGACTATCGATTGGGTTGAAGCAGGCTTGCAAGTATGTAGCCAAGGCTTCAACATGTTGAATTTGCTCATTCATAGGAAAGGCTTAACTTATTTGCATCTTGATTACAACTTCAATCTTAAACCAACAAAGACACTGACGACAAAGGAGCGCAAGAAATCGAGGTTTGGCCATGCCTTTCACTTAATTCGAGAAATTTTAAAGGCTACGAAACTTCTGGTGGATGCCCATGTTCAACATAGACTGGGAAATGTTGACGCTTTTCAACTTGCTGACGGTATCAATTACATTTTAAACCACCTTGGTCAGTTGACTGGTGTTTATCGTTACAAGTATAAAGTCATGCATCAAATCAGGGCTTGTAAAGATATCAAACACATCATCTATCATCGCTTCAACAGAATCATTGGGAAAGGTCCTGGCTGTGGTTTCTGGCATCCGTCCTGGCGTGTTTGGATATTTTTCATGAGGGGTATTATTCCACTCTTGGAGCGTTGGCTTGGAAACCTTCTGGCGCGCCAGTTCGAAGGTCGATCTAGCGAAGTCGTCAAGACAGCGACGAAGCAACGTCTAGACGCATACTACGACCTCGAGTTGAGAGCCGCGGTGATGAATGACATACTCGACATGATGCCCGAAGGGATGAAACAGAACAAAACTAAGACAATTCTACAGCATTTGAGCGAAGCGTGGCGGTGCTGGAAGGCAAACGTGGCATGGAATGTGTCCGGTATGCCAGAGCCTGTCAAGGCAATTATTGAGAGATATATTAAAGCCAAAGCTGACGGCTGGGTTTCTGCTGCCCATTATAATCGTGATCGCATCAAGCGCGGTGCTCACGTCGAAAAAACTGTTGTACGGAAAAACCTGGGGAGATTGACCCGCCTTTGGATGAAGTATGAGCAAGAACGCCAGCAGAAAATTGAAAAAAATGGTCCCGAAATCACCCCAACTGCTGCAACCAACATCTTTAAAGCAATGGTAAACTGGTTAGAGACAAACAATTTCTCACCTATTCCTTTCCCTCCATTAACCTACAAAAATGATACCAAAGTTCTCGTTCTCGCACTTGAAAATCTCAAAAATGCTTATTTTTCCAAGGTTCGACTAAATGCAACCGAAAGAGAAGAATTAGCGTTGATTGAAGAAGCTTACGACAATCCTCATAATACACTCAATCGGATAAAAAAATATCTTTTGACGCAACGGGTCTTTAAGCCTGTTGATCTTTCTATGAAAGACGAGCTTCTTCAAATTTCTCCTGTTTACTCCGTGGATCCTTTAGAAAAGATAACTGACGCATACCTTGACCAATACCTGTGGTACGAAGGTGATCGGAGACATTTATTTCCAAACTGGATTAAACCGAGCGATGCGGAAATTCCTCCCTTGTTGGTTTACAAAATGACTCAAGGCATTAACAACCTGAATGGTATTTGGGACGTGTCGGATGGACAATCAACTGTCATATTACAGACAAATCTGGACGAAATGGTAGAGAAGATAGACTTCACTGTACTCAATCGACTTTTGAGACTAATCATGGACCCGAACTTGGCCGACTACATCACTGCCAAGAACAACGTAGTATTGAATTTCAAAGATATGAGCCATGTTAACAAGTATGGTCTCATTAGAGGTCTTCAATTTTCCTCCTTCGTTTATCAATTCTATGGTCTCATGATCGATCTTCTGATACTGGGCCCTGATAGGGCTTCTGAGCTGGCCGGACCACCAAGCTCTCCAAACGAATTTTTGCAGTTTAAAAGTTTAGATGTCGAAAAAGGATCACCGCTCAAGCTATACTGCAGATACTTTGACAAAATTCATATTGTTCTTCACTTTGAGGAATATGAAGCCGAGGAGCTTGTACAGGACTACCTATCGGAAAACCCAGATCCAAACTTTGAAAATGCAGTGGGATATAACAATAAAAAGTGCTGGCCAAAAGATTCTCGCATGAGATTAGTCCGGGACGACGTTAATTTAGGCAGAGCTGTATTTTGGGAGTTTGCCAGTCGTGTACCCTCGTCTTTAGCGAACATATCATGGGAAAGCTCCTTATTGTCCGTTTACAGTAAGACCAATCCTAATCTCTTATTCACCATGTGCGGCTTTGAAGTACGGATACTTCCCAACGCAAGAAGCGAAGAAGTGTTATCAACAGATGAGGGAGTATGGGATCTTGTTGAGCAAGATACCAAACGAAGGACTGCAAAGGCTTTTTTGAAGGTTTCTGACGAAGATGTGGAAAAATTCAATAATACAATCAGAGGTATTTTAATGGCATCCGGCTCAACCACCTTTACGAAAATTACAGCAAGGTGGAATACCGCTTTGATTTCGTTATTTGCCTACTATCGAGAGGCGATTGTGGCTACAGAATCTCTTCTAGATGTACTGGTCAAGTGTGAAACAAGGATTCAAAACAGGGTGAAGTTGGGGCTCAATTCTAAAATGCCGACAAGATTTCCGCCCGCAGTTTTTTATACTCCGAAGGAGCTCGGCGGCTTAGGCATGTTGAGTGCATCCCACATCTTAATTCCAGCTTCCGATCTAAGCTGGTCCAAACAGACAGAGACGGGAATAACACATTTCAGGTCAGGAATGACCCACGAGGAGGACAAACTCATTCCAACGTTGTTTAGATATATTACAACATGGGAGAATGAGTTTCTTGACTCGCAAAGAGTATGGACCGATTATGTCGCAAAGAGGCAAGAGGCTTTACAACAGAATCGCCGTCTTGCATTTGAAGAACTGGAGGGATCGTGGGATCGTGGTATTCCTCGTATAAGTACTTTGTTTCAGAAAGACCGCCACACATTAGCTTACAACAAAGGGTATCGAGCAAGGCTGGATTTCAAACAATTTTCATTGGAACGGAACAATCCATTTTGGTGGACAGACACTCACCACGACGGTAAGCTTTGGAACTTAAATGCTTATAGAACCGACGTCATTCAAGCTTTAGGAGGAATCGAAACAATCCTTGAACACACCCTGTTTAAAGGCACCGGGTTCAGTTCATGGGAAGGCCTTTTCTGGGAAAAAGCATCCGGATTTGAAGATTCCATGCAGTTCAAAAAACTAACACACGCACAACGGACAGGCCTGAGCCAAATACCTAATCGTCGTTTCACGTTATGGTGGTCACCAACAATAAACAGGGCCAATGTATACGTTGGTTTCTTGGTCCAGCTTGATCTAACAGGAATTTTTTTACATGGAAAAATTCCAACTCTCAAGATTTCGCTTATCCAGATTTTCAGAGCTCACTTGTGGCAGAAGATTCACGAGAGTATTGTTTTCGATATTTGTCAAATTATTGATGGTGAAATGGATATGCTGCAGATTGAGTCTGTGGATAAGGAGGCTATTCATCCGAGGAAATCATATAAAATGAATTCATCGGCCGCGGATATCTTATTGAAAAGCAATTATTCTTGGAATGTTACAAGGCCATCTCTTCTTCATCATACAAATGACAGATATGATGCAACGAATACAGGTAAAATTTGGGTTGACGTGCAACTTCGTTATGGTGATTACGATTCTCACGATATTTCTCGATATGTGAGAGCCAAATTTCTGGATTATACAACGGACAATATCAGCATGTATCCTTGTCCTACAGGTGTAATGGTGGGTATTGACCTCGCATACAATATGTATGATTGTTATGGTAACTGGTTTGAGGGCCTAAAACCATTGATGCAAAATGGTTTGAAAACGATAATGAAGGCTAATCCCTCCTTATACGTGCTTCGGGAAAGAATAAGGAAAGGACTTCAAATTTATCAGTCTCAAACACAAGAGCCTTTTTTAAATTCCTCCAACTACGCGGAACTGTTTTCGGATGACACAAAGTTTTTCATTGACGATACGAACGTTTACAGAGTAGCTGTGCACAAGACCTATGAGGGAAACATTGCAACCAAACCTATTAACGGTTGTATCTTCACGCTAAACCCAAAAACTGGAGAACTCTATCTTAAGATCATTCACACATCGGTGTGGGCAGGTCAAAAACGTCTAAGTCAGTTGGCCAAATGGAAAACTGCAGAAGAAATAAGTGCTCTGATTAGATCTTTACCGAAGGAGGAGCAACCCAAGCAGATCATTGTAACAAGAAGAGCAATGCTCGATCCGCTTGAGGTGCACATGTTAGATTTTCCTAATATCTCTATTAGACCTACAGAGCTGAAGCTACCCTTCTCGGCTTCTTTAGCTATCGAGAAGCTCTCGGATGTTGTCATGAAAGCTACTGAGCCGCAAATGGTTCTTTTTAACATTTACGATGATTGGCTAGACCGTGTATCTTCATACACTGCTTTTTCGAGATTGATTTTGTTGCTAAGAGGATTGAGAACCAATGAGGAAAAGGCCCAGATGATTTTAAAGAGTGATCCAACGATACCTATCAAAGAGCATCATTTATGGCCTTCTTTCAACGATAATCAATGGATTCAAATCGAGAGCAAACTGCGTGATTTGATCTTGGATGAATATGGAAGAAAGTACAATGTCAACATCGCTTCTTTGACGCAGACGGAAATCAAAGATTTAATTCTGGGCCAAAATATCAAAGCACCGTCCGTGAAACGACAACAAATGGCAGAGATAGAAGCTGCTAAATCTTCAAGCAACAATATTAATGTGGATGAGCAATCCGCCGTAGCAACAAAGATAAAGCAAACAAATGCTCAAGGCGAAGAAATTATGGTTGTCACATCCACTAATTATGAGAATCAAATGTTCAGCTCTAGCAACGAATGGCGTCAAAGGGCAATATCTAACTCTTTGCTGTACATGCGTTTGAGAACGATATATCTCTCATCAGAAGAGTTTGTGGAGGAGAAAAATGTTTATATCCTTCCTAAGAATCTTCTAAAGAAGTTCGTTGAAATATCGGACTCCAAAGCCCAAGTTGGAGGGTTCATTTTTGGTAGCGCTGCGGGAGACCATAAAAAAGTAAAAGAGATCAAGACAATTGTGATGGTACCACAGCTTGGCAACAGTCACACCATCCAGTTAAGTCAGCTATCAGAAGACTCATTATATCTTCAAAACTTAGAACTGCTTGGGTGGGTGCACAGCAACAGTGAAGAGCTCAAATATATGACGGCGCCCGAGGTTTCTGTGCATTCCAGCTTGTTTCTCAATCGTCGAGATGCCATAGATTTGTCCGTGTATCTCAATCCGGGTTCAGTTTCTTTATCGGCTTACACCTTGTCAGACGACGGGTTTGAATGGGGATCGGCCGATAGGGATGAACTTGTCAGAACACCGGAAGGATTTGAACCAGCTTTCAGCGAGCATGCACAATTGATGCTTTCGGATAGAATTACTGGTTATTTTCTTGTACCGTCTTCTGGTATCTGGAATTATGCTTTCATGGGTGCGGCATTCGATTCAAACAAAATAAGCGATCTAAAACTTGATGTGCCACTGGAGTTCTACAACGAACTACATCGTCCCGTTCACTTTTTGCAGTTCGGAGAGGTCGTAGAGAATGAAGAGCTCGAACCGGATGAAGAAGATGTGTTTGGTTAGTGCAGCAACATAAATGATCGGTTCGCATAATGTAAAGTCTATAAGAAAGTGCTCCTTTCCCTTCAGATGAGAGAAGCGAGGGCCCTAGCGAGACGCAGTAAACGTTTTGATAACCATTTCGCCACTGTCAGGTTTCTAAATCACGGCAGTAGTAGTATACATAATTAAGTAATCGGATATTGTCTCAACTACAATAATCAGCGATGAGCATCAAAACTGCTGCCGTCGAAGACATCAATGAATAATCATCATGGTTCCAATTTAGAAGGTAACTTGTTCACCCAGGCTAAGGCAGGGGATTCGCAACTTTCATTAGCAGACAGGAAAATCGCACTGTTGCAGTCTATTTCTGATAAGAAAGCGAAACTGAAATACGACACTATGCTTGCTGAAAGAAGAGAGCAGGTCAGCGATGCAATTGACGATATTGTGAGACTCGGTTATAGCTACGAAAATGTACTTAAGGAATCCGGAATCAATGCTCAGTTTTTGAGAGACGCATTCGAAAGCACAGGTCGAACGGTCCCGTTAACGGAGGACATGGTGATGGATGCGCCTGAAGATACACATACAAAGAGACCCAAACAGTCAGATCTGAAGCCCCTCAATGATATCGACAAAGTCAACCTCATCCGAAAGCACACAACACGTCCCATTACACGATCTTGGAAAAAACAGAAAGTAACAGAGGCACGGCCTGAATGGCTATCAAATCTTGTGATTGATGTGACAAGCAGTGGAGATGATTCAGAACATGATCAGCTAAGTCGCAAACCTCTCATCCCCGCAAGTAATCGTCCTTCGCCGGAATACCAGGTTGTGAACGTGAATTCTGAAGTGAGTAGGATCAGCATGCGCTTGAAAATCGAGATTTCACGCCTTACACAGCGACTTCGAGCTGCACAAGACCTGCCAATCGGCGAAGATCTACTAACGTGTCTCCAAGACAAGAAAAGGACCATGCATGACGATATCACCCGTTTGTTCGAGGAAATTGCAGCCAAATCGAGGCACTGATACAAAGAAAACACTCATTTCAGACAACCACACGACATTCCGATAAGAGCCTCGTTCCACCTATTACTATTGTCATCTCACATCCTAATTTTGATACCCAAATTTCTAGCATTATCTAACCAAATTGTGACAAACCTAGCGCATTATATTCAAAAGAACAGACATCCTCGAGTACTCGACAGCTTTTTACCGCCACTCAGCAATAGTATCCAGTTCAAACGTTTCGCTGAATAGCTTTGTAGCGATGCTTATCTTGAGAGACTGTGCTGGAGTACTCGCCATATGTACTCATCATCACTTATTCTAAAGCCAATAGTTAATAAAACTAACTAATGAAGGAGAGACAGATCAAGAAGACAAACAGCATCCATCAAATCAACAACTCACAACAAAACACAGGTTATGGTTACCGGCCTGGAACTGAACTCAAAGACTTTGTGAATGGAAGGCAGAGATCTGAAGAAAAGAGGACCAAGCCCGTTTGCTTCTCCTGAGCGCTTACGCGTAGTTGGTGAACAAGCCGGCGATGCTGAGAAAACCTCGGCGGTAAGCTCACGTAAAAACCAAAGAGCTTCACGGATCAACAAGAAGTACAAATTCACTCCGCTTGATACGATAAGTGACAACAGAGATGAGAAGTTAGCTCAACCTGGATCTCTGCGATCTATTTCCCTATCACAAGTACGGAAATCCACAAAGGATAAAAATTTCAAGCGTACTTCTCGTGAGGATGCCGCTGTTAAAGCTACGGGAGTTTCAAAAACTCCAGGCACGGTTCAGGAAAATGAGTCCAAACTCTATAATAATACTAATAGGCCGGAAGAAGTGGTTTGGCAGTATTCGCCGAGAAAAAATGTCAGGAGTGGTACAGGATCTGAAATAGAGCAAGGGTATCGATCGCTATCTGAGGATAGCGTGATTGAGCAAGTGGTCAAAGAATCTTCCACTCCAATCGTGCCCAACAAATACAGAAATGTGTTGACTTTTCGACACGTTGATAACGCCCAGGGCCGTGGAGAGGACACTGCTAGCCTTGCGTCGAGAAATCCCTCGCTGCAAAGAAACTCGCTACCTAGGTCTTACGAAAACTTGTCACCATCGAGACCCTCAACACGGGACATTGATGAGATTATAAATGATTTGGAGTGTCATACTGGTTTAAAACCACCTTTTCAAGCAAAAGATATTCCTTCTTCACCAACTTTTTCTTTCACAGAAGCAACGCGAACCAACGAGGAATTGTCCGATCTACGAAAAAAGGTCTCGCCAAATTTACGGAATCCATGTTCAGAGTCCCAAAAAGAGGATGCCCAGGAAGAAATAAAGGACCAAGGCAAAACCCTCAACTCTGTATTTTCTTCCCCCACCGCTGGAATACCGATCGAGTGCTCCGAGTACGTGCAATTTGCTAAGAGGAAGAGTGAGTCCGCAACCGTAGGTACTGTAAAAACCAATGATGACAAAACCGACAAGGAGTACGAGTATGACGACCACCATGGTAACATTCATAATAGAAACGGTGTAAAGAATCCAGATAAGGAAGAAGATGAAGATGATGAAGATGATGAGGATGATGAGGATGATGAGGATGATGATGGTTCTTTGATAGAAATTTTGACACAGAAGTTCACGGCCGGTGAGAATATAAAACATATCACAGCTCCTTCCAAAAACACTGCATCTTCAAAATCAAATTCTTCTGAATTGTCTTCGGATGATGCGTTTGACGATTCCCTGATTGAATTTCTAGGTACTGCCACCAAGAACTCCAATATTGCTACAATTGGGGGTGATCAAGTGGAATCAGAAATCGAAGTCGTAGAGCAGCGATTCTCCCAGACGCTTAATGTTCAAGATCAAGAATCACATAAGAACAAAATTCCTGAGAGGTACCTTGAGCGAGCGCAATTCGCAGCACATAGGAATGACATGAACCGACTAGTGATTATAGAGACCGAGGATTATAATCTAAAAAATGGCGCCAAGCAAAAGATTCTTAAATGCGTGGATTACGAAAGCAAAACCTGCAACCTTGTGCTAAGATCACCGTGGGTAGATTTGCCATTTGAACAGGGAGATGTTGTCCATACTGTTCCAGGTAGAAATGCTACCAATAAGCGGCTATTTTCTAATGACAAAGAACCAGAAACAGGAATGTTGAACGATAATCTCTTGATTCTCAACCCCGATATTCTTCTTGCTGCAACGACAGTCGGAAAAGCTGTGGAATGCCAAAGAAAAGCTATAATCGGCACTCAATTCAGTGGGCCCGGTGAAGCTAATCTCCCAGCTTTGATCGGGTCCATCGTGCACGAACTACTTCAAGCATGTCTTCAATTTAAGCTGGACCATCACAACTTATCTGACAGTTTTGTAAATTCGAAGCTAGAGTATCTTCTAGAGTACTACGCTGCTGATATAATATTGTGCCGGACTACTCAACAGCAGATTTCACAACAAATTATACAAGATCATCTTATGAACATCAAAGACTTCACGAGAAAATATGTGAAAAGTCAAAGCTCTTCTGTGGTAAAGGAACGCAACAAAATTCCTTTTACAATTTCCAATATTATCGACATCGAAGAGAATATCTGGTCACCAATGTATGGGCTTAAGGGATTTATTGACGCAACAGTGGAAACGAAATTTCCGAACAACTCCAAATTCATTGCTCCTTTGGAGCTAAAAACTGGTAAGACAAAATCCGTCAGTCATGAGGTGCAAGGAAGCATTTACACGCTACTGCTTAATGATCGTTACGAGCTTCCAGTCAATTTTTTTCTGTTGTTTTACACCAAACCAAATGACTTCAGTAAGCAAAACACCTTACTTACCTCAATTAAGCATCTCCTCGTGTTGAGAAATCAGGTTTCCGCTTTTCTAAAGCATGAACTTGAGGAAATAGCAGGCACAGAATGGAACGGAACTATTCTTCCGCCTATCTTGCGTAGTTCGGAATGTGATAATTGCTACTCAAAAACCGAATGTATGGTTTTGAACAACATATGTGAGGACGGTAATGCCGCTGACAGCGGTCTAAAAGTTGGTGAATATGACGCAATTACGAGTCACCTTTTAATGAACCGTCGTCAATATGGGGATTTCTACAAGAAGTATGAAGACCTTATAGTAAAAGAAGAGTCCAGTCTGAATGGTGTGAACAGGAAGGTCTTTCTTCTTGACAGCCGTACCAGGGAGTCGGTCAGTGGGAAGTGTTTAAGTAGCCTGCGAATAAAGAGCTCAGAAGACAACAATACCAGCAAGCAAATTGAATACACTTTTGTAAGGAAAAACCTAGAGTTGCAATTACCGCTAATGACGGCATCACAAATTTCCACGAATGAAATTGTAATTATAAGTGATGAGTCGGGGCATTTTGCACTTTGCACTGGCCGCGTCGTAAGTATCACCAGTCATGAGATTACCGTAATGACCTCTAGAAGGCTAGAGAACAATAACATTCATGTTCCCGGGTTTGAAAAAGAAACAAACCAAACTCTAAAAACTGTACTTATGCCTGTGACTGGTTTGAATCAAGCTCGGCAAGAAGCTTTGAGCTATAGAATTGACCGAAATGAAATACAAAGAGGGATGGCGGTAGCAAGGTTCAATCTTCTCAATCTATTCCTACCCCCAGTACCAAAAGATGCAGTTACACTCGACGAAATCAGTGGAGAAGAACGCAAAGTCAAAGCATCGCTAGGCGGTGACATGAGAACCCGAGAGCTTCTGGTCGATGGGAAATCACCCAAATTTAGATCAGGCTCTGATCCGCCAGTCTTTGCTCGAGAAAGTGGTGTAAGCCCCGATCTCAATTTTGATCAACAGGTGGCATTTGACAAAGTCATGAGAGCAGAAGATTTTGCTTTGATTCTGGGCATGCCAGGTACAGGTAAAACGACGTTAATTGTTGAGATAGTCAGGATGCTTGTTAAGCGTGGTAAGAGTGTTCTACTAACTTCATATACTCATTCAGCAATTGATAATATCCTCATCAAACTCAAGCAGTACAAAGTCGAAATTATGAGACTGGGTACAAAACATCGTGTACATCGGGAAACCCAGGAATTTGTTCCCGATTTATCTGGTGCAGAAAACTTTAATGAGCTTGTAGAAATAGCAGAACGAGCCCCTGTCGTTGCGACAACGTGCCTCAATATCTATGACACGCTGTTTTCCGTGAGACGAAAAGATTTCGACTACGTTATTGTCGATGAGGCGAGTCAACTATCACTTCCAATGTGCTTGGGACCTTTAAAATTCGCACCAAAATTTGTTCTGGTAGGAGATCATTATCAATTACCGCCTCTAGTGAAGAATGCTGCGGCGCGAGCTGGCGGTCTGGATGAATCACTGTTCAAGATCCTGTGTGAAAAACATCCCAACAGCATGGTGGAGCTGACACACCAATACAGAATGTGTGAGGATATCATGACGTTACCTAATTACCTGATTTACGATGGGAAGCTAAAATGTGGCAACGATAGTGTGCGTAATCAAGAATTGAACACGCCGACAATAGAAGAAGTGATTAAGCTGCAGAGGTTTAATGCATCGGACCCCTGGCTGATCAACGCTTTGGAGGCAAGACGCAAAGTCGTTTTCCTGGATCATGATCGTTGCTCCAGTTGTCAAGAGACCGGAGAAAGAGATAACATTACGAACGTGGGTGAAGCCGAAGTGGTTTGGCAATGTGTTGCGGGGCTGGTGAAGAGCGGGGTAGCGCGGAAAGACATTGGCGTCATGACACTGTATCGGTCCCAGCTTCGACTATTACGAGCAATATTTAGTGACAAAGAAGATGCGGAGTTAGAGATCCTAACTGCAGACCAGTTTCAAGGCCGTGACAAGAAATGTGTGATCATTTCGATGGTGCGCAGTAACGACGGCGCAAGTGGCGGCAGCCTGTTGCGGGAGCTTCGGCGTGTGAACGTTGCGATGACACGGGCCAAGGCAAAACTGCTGATTGTGGGTTCGAAACGCACGGTAAGCTCCGTGGAGACTATACGCGGATTTGTGGAGCTGCTTGGATCACGAGGCTGGATCTACCCGCTCCCTGCAGACTGCCTGCAGTGCTACAACTTACCAAGGAAGACTGGGGCTAAAAGGACAACTAGCGAAAAAAAGAAAAGTGCATCAAGCCATATAACGGGCGATTCGAAATTCGCACAAAACAAACCCATTATACGGGACGTACTGAATGGAATGTAAAATTGTTGCCACAACCGCTATGGTAGCTTATCCTAGCATGACAGAGAGGGGGAAAGTGATCTAGACGCTGCCAAGTGGAGGCAGCGGAGAAAGAGTTGGAAACATAGCGCGAAAGCATCATCATTATTGTAATCATCATAAGAGAGCTTTTCATCACCACTATGTCGCTGGGCTCAATGCCAAGCTTCTCAAAAGCACGTGAATGTCACGCTATGTCTTCACGCGATTATCACGCCACCGGAGTTTTTTGGCACCCTTTCCATCACGTGGCATCTTTTGTTGGTTCTCGCCTCTCTTAGCTCCTACGCAATTATCCGTGCCGAGAAACAAACCGCGCGAGTTGTTAAAGGTTACGAAACCCACAATATTAAATTAATAAAGCTAACAAGGTCGGTGTTTCCTACACTTGTGTTCTACTTAAAGGCCGAACAGAAAGCAGTCAAAAAGGGTTCTTTCAGCAGCGGAAAAACGATCAAACATCAGGTTTCGGCGTGTTGATCACTTCACAATTCTACCTAAACTTTTGAAGCTTTTTTTTGCGCCTCGTTTGACACCTTACTTGTCCTGGTAGCACTATTTTTGGTTTCCCTTTGGTAAGTTTCACTGGATTCTTGATGAGCACGGAGTCACAGATGCAAGAAGTCGCCAATGGACTGGCAGAAACGGAGATCTCGTCACCAAAATTAGGGACGGACAGTCGTTCGGAGAGTAATTCATCCAGTCGTTCTCCCGGTACGCCCACACCGAACTCAAGTGCGTTGCAATTGGACCAGTTGGCCAACACGAACTTGCTGACGGTGCGGATTAAATGGAACGATGCGGGTGACATGCAGGATGGGGACGCAGAGGCGGGTGCGGATGCAACACCGGCTTCCGTTACATCGACCCTAGCTGCCGTTCTACATGCTCATCGCGGAGTGCCCGTCAATCCATCGCTAATCGAAAACTACGAATACTTGAGCGACAAAAGTAGACAAGAAGTGCTGGAGGACAACCGGGACGTGTATATCCATGAGTTTGGGTCGACCCATGTGGCTCAATGGCCCGCTACGAGTCCTACGTCGTCTGTGTCCGCTTGGCCATACGATTTTGTCCTCCAGAGTCAGTTTAAACATTGGGAAGATTTAACGGCAGCTCGCGACGCCGTGCTGGAAGAGCTTCGAAGGCTCAGTGACGGGAATTCCGACCACGACGACAATGAAAACCACGACAAGGATGGAGGTCATGATTCGTCACCGCTGGCGAAATGGTCTGTTACCGAGAACGCACACGGTCTCACGCATCCTGGAAACCTCTACATTAGAGGGATCCCCAAGGACTTGAATGTAGACGATTTAGTGCCAGTGCTATTGAAGTTTGGCCCCGTCTTGGCGTTGAAAATTATTTGCGACCCCAATACAGGTGAATCTATGGGCTATGGATTTTTGTCATATCAATTGGGCTCTCAAGCATCGCGCTGTATCAAAGAACTCAATGGCAATCTTATGAATGGGTCGCCCTTATTTGTTAATTACCACGTGGAGCGCAAAGAGCGTGAACGCATTCATTGGGACCACATCAAGGAGGACAACGATGACGAACGGTTCCGTGGCGTGTTCATTGGAAATCTGCCCATTGAAAATGATGGAGGTGAACTGGTAACGCCCGAAGATGTGGTTTCCAGATTTCAAACAGCTTTTACCGACGACACTGAACCCTTCGAGGTTTTATCGTATTACCTGCCCAAACGTAACAGCGAAAGCGATGTGGAATATGAAGACGAAAATGACGAAAAGACTGACGACGCGGAAACTTGCGCAGGACGCCATGAGGCGAGTCCTCTCAAGGGTTATGGATTTATCAAATTTGGCTCGCATGCGCAAGCACTGCGAGCCATTGAAAAGTTTCATGACTCTGAATGGCTTGGTAACACACTGGTTGTGAACAAAGCCGTACAATCCAAGTCCCATCACTACAACCACCACCACCATCACTACCATAATGCCCACCACTATCAAAACAACATCCATCATCATCAGCACAAGCCTCGCCGTCATAGCGAAAGATCTGTTGGCTCTAGACAGCCTAGTCTCACAAACCTTTCATTCTACTCCCCATTCAACGGAGTTCAACCCGGTCTTGGCTTCCTACCCAACCAATTGCCAATGTACGCACATTCAGGTGAATTAGATCCTCACGACAATTCGGTAGGCTACTCTCCCGTTCCTTCTCCTTCACCCAATGCGAATTACGTTACCTCAGGACAATTTCATCATCCAGGATTTGGTGCTGCTCGTTCGTTAAGTACAACACCAGAAGACTCCACCGCTCCTTCATCTCGAAATGGTTCGATTTACCAGATGCACGCTCAAAATGGAATGGTACCACAATCTCCCTTCATACTTCCCATTCCCACCAAAGACCAACAAGAATCGAATCTTTACGTGAAGCATCTGCCTTTGGCCTGGAAAGACGAGGATTTCCATCAATTTTACGAAAAGTTTGGCGAGATCATTAGTGCAAAAATCATCACAGTGGGAGGTAGCAAAAACGGTGAAGTGCCTAACAATTGGCCGCCTACCAAGACTACTGAATCACCCTTGGGCACTTCAAGAGGATACGGATTTGTTTGTTTCAAGAATCCACTTGATGCGTCAAAAGCTATGATGATTACGGACCGTTACCAAGTGGACGAAAACCACACGTTGTACGTTTCGTTTGCTCAGAAGCGCTCCAAGTCTGTTAGTAACGGCGATGCCATGCATGTGGCGCTGAACGAAAATCGCTCTAGTGTCTCACGCAAGAGCTTCCACCATCAACCAAGTTCAAGGCCAGATTTTTTTGGTAAATACAATCCAAAATTCTTGAATGCAATGATGCATCAACAAAATGGGCAGAAGCAAGCCGCTAGGCCTCGTGGCAGTTGGCCTGTAGCCATGGGTGTTCCAATGGTACCACCCTATCCTGTTCCGATGGTTCCACCGATTGCGTCAGCGGTTCAATTTCAGTCTAACTCAATGGTTCCTGGATCGAACAGAAGTGGGAAGTGGAATCGAGATGAAAGCAGTTGAAACAAAAGATTGTTGAAAAAAAAATGAACTCTAACTCTTGAACGATATTTTGTAAAGACTAAAGATATATAGTGTTGGAAAAAAGTTATCTTATTGTTACGGTCATTGAATGATACCATGGAATTAAGGTAACGGGTACCTAAACTTTCTTGCATGGTGAATTTCTTGATAATTTTTGTTATCATACATATGTGTCTATATATATATGTGTGTGTATGTATGTATGTACGTGTTTCCCTTATGTCTTGTACTACCGGTACAGAATAGTTTTAATTTCCATTTCTTGCCACGTCCGTGTCGCTAATATCCGTGTTGTTGTGTTCGATGTTGTATTGTTACAGTATGCACACTATTGTGACAATGAGTTGGTCCTGAGATTAGAGAGGTGATGGTTGACTCGTTGAATTGGTAAAAGACCTTCACAAAATTGGACAAACGATGCATGTAATTGAATTCCTTTGAAAAATTAGCATCATCTTTTGAAGTGCGAGTTGTTGAACCCATTCTCAGGATCCAATTGAGATGGAGAACCCCAATAGTTGGTTGAAGAAGATCTGACATTGCCAACGTTGCTGAAACGAGGATTACTGAAAATGGAGCTTTTTTGTGTTGACAAACTCGGTATCCTGCTGGAGCTTGGACCCGATTGGTGTGAGAAAGAAGATCCAACACTACTAAAACTCGAGTGCGTGGAGAGCATAGGATGCTTGGAGAACGTCCATCGGCTGTCCAGGTTTATAATCTCATGTCTTAAGCTCTGTAGCGTGGCAGAAACTTTTTCAGCTTCTGCATTGGACGAAGGAGGGAAATTTTGCAGCAGATCGAGTACGGTGACCATACTGCGTTGTATGAGGTTGATGTTTGTATGAAACTGTTGTAGACTGGCGTTGGACGCCAGAGGTGGATTGTTGAATGAAATTTGCGGCAGGGATTCTACCGAATGTTGGGAGTTGTGACGTGATGTGGTGGTTTGGTGCGGCGAAGGAGGGGACCGGGACAAGTCTTCATGGTGGTGCATTTGTGGAGTTGCCAACGGTTTCAGACTCGGCAGTGGGGACTGGGCGTGGATTGGGTTGGCAGGTGGCAATTCCAGTTTTGCGTTGGTGACGGTTGAGCCTGGTCTGGACAAAACGGTTGTTGACGAGGAGGACGCTGCTGCTGAGACGGCAGGGACCGCTGGGACCGCAGGGACCGCTGGAACCGCTGGAACAGCCGAGACTGCAGTACCGTCCACGTAGTTGATACACACCGGTGAAAGCACATTTTTGCGTCTTCCGTTTCTGCCCACGCCGCCGCTTTTGCGTTGGATGCGATGCAAATCCGATGCGGTGCTATTGCGATGGAAAGAACCCGATGGATGTGCAAACCCCCACACCAGATCTGTCTTGTCGGGAGTGGAACTGGACGAAGACCCGGACCCGGACCCGGACCCGGGTTCTGCCCCAGACGCAAGCTTGTGGAACCCATACATGTGGAGCTGACGCACGAAACTCGATACGTTGCCGTGTTTGAAGAACCGGCGAAGCACGCCGTCGGCGAAGCCGACGTCGTGCGGCCGGATGAGGAACACCCCGGATCTCTCATTTTCCTCGTTGTCATCGTCCCATCGGACCCACGTTTGCAGCTCTGAATGCTGCAAAATAGCGTGCAACTGATGTATAAACGTTTTCGCCTGCATATATCAACGACACTCTATCTCTCTGATTCTTGAATACACACACACTCACTCACTCACTCACAGCACCAAGCGAAGATCCAGCTATTTTCCAACTCTTGTTGTATTCCCAAGCAACAAGTGTCAGAATCCGATCTTCTTCTTTCTCTCGATGAACAATCGACGAGACAATGACGAGAGTTTCTTCCACATTCTCTTACGGCGATGGATGACGAACTGTGGGAATTACTGAGCCAGACACGGCCGATAGGTCAAGTATAATCACACACGGCATTTAGACAAGAATTAGGATTAACGGCTCTTACCAGAAGAAGAATAAGATTAGGAGAGGTGGGGGGAGTGGGTGGGGGGAGCAAGTGGAGGAGCAAGTGGAGGAGTAAGTAGAGGACTAAGTGGAGGACTAAGTAGATGACTAAGTGGAGGAGTAAGTAGAGGACTAAGTGGGGGAGTAAGTAGAGGACTAGGTAGAGGAGCAGGTAGATGACTAGGTAGAGGACTGGGTAGAGGAACCACTGGAAAGATTTATTACATGGGTCAAAGAGAAGACAGGCTATTAGTATAGTTGAACAATTGAGAGTGACAGTGATCAGTTGTTAATATTGTAAGCACATTTGAACAATTGAGAGCGACAGCTATCAATTGTGAACTTAAGCGATGAAAGTTAGTATAAGTAAGCGATTTTGAGTGTTACCGATCATTTTTGGGACGTAGTGATAATTCAGAGCACTATTTAGTAATTGGAAGCGACGGCGATCAATTGTGAATAGTAGTGAGTTTTGTAAGCACAATTGAACAATTGAGAGCGACAGCTATCAATTGTGAATAATCGTGAATGTTCGAAGCAGAGCTGGACTATTGAAAGCGACAGCGACCACTCATAAACCGTAGTGGTGGCTATTATTACACTTGAACAATTGAGAGCGACCTTAATCACTCTTGTGAATGACTGAGGAAAATTAGTACAGTTGAGCAATTGATGACTACTCTTATAGATTAGTACTTAAACATCAGCGATCAATTGAATGACGTGGCTAACTGCATAGTTGAGCAATTTTGAGCCTTACCAATCAATTATAACTATTGGTGGTGGGTACTAGTATAGCTGGGCGATTGATGGCGTCAGCTAGCATTTATGACTACTAGCATTGTTGAGCAATAGTTAGCATCGACGATCAGTTATGAAAGGTAGTGACAGCTATCAGCATAGTTGAACAATTGATGACTACCAGATAGTTGAACAATCAAACATCAGCGGTCAATTGTGTCGGAACCTCTGTCTGTCTAGCGTCAGAAATGTGACAAAGTGATCACAAACACGTGACAAGACGACTGCGTCACAAATAACAAGAACCTAGAATAACCATCGATCTAACAAGAACGAGGTCAATCGGACCAAGTGGCACCACTTACAGCGCTCGTATAGCTCCCGGATCAGACCATTTCCACCAATTGCACCCGGAATGCTTGAAGATTTTTTTATCCGTTGACGACGGAACATTTCCAGGAATTTGTATAAGAAGGGACGTCTTATACACTCCATAAGATCATTCCGCTTATACTAAAGACACAACGGAGAGATAAATAGATCCTATAGACCATTACTATTCAACAGAGAAAAAATTATGACCGAGCAAACTAAGCAGATCAATAACTCAGACACTGCTGACGTAGTCAAGTCTCAATAAATTGAAAGCGACAGTGATCAGTTGTGAATAAAGTAAATGGCTAGCATTCATAGTTGGTAAATTTAGAGCCTCACCAATCAATGGTGAATAGCAGTGATGGAATTTAGTATAGGTGAGCACTGAGCGTCATCGATCAATTGTGAGTCCTAGTGATGATTTAGAGCAATACTCAACAACTGAGAGCATCAGCGATCAATTGTGTACCTGAGTGGTGGCTATCAAAACCGTACAATCGAGAGCATCAGCTGCCAACTCTACATAGTCGAACTGGCCTTTAGCATTTTGTACATTCGAAATGACTATAAAAACACTTAAACAATTGATTGTCTCCGCGATCGATTCGAGCCGTAGTGATGATTATTAGTATAAATGAACGAGAGACTAGGAGCATCGTTTGACAATTGAGAACATCAGCGATCAATTGTGAACAGAGATTACTACAAGTGCGCTCTCAGCTGTGAACTGTAAAAATGGGTAAGAGTATTCCTGAATGATTGAGAGCCTCAGGGATCAAATTCAAACGTTAGCTTTTTGTTGTTAAGAGTAGTGATGGCTTAGAGCACCGTTGAACATTTGATTGCTGACGCTCCCAATTGTGAATATAATGTATTGAGGCTCGACTACGTCGGCAGTGTTCGAATTGTTAATCTGCTTCGTTTGCTCAGTCATGATTTGCTCTAAGTGAATGGTTATGGTTCTGGAGTTTACTTACCTCTTCGCGGTCCTTTTGGCTATAAGTTTGGTACATTCTGTTTGACCAGACCACGGATATTTAAATGATTTCTGGAGCAAGAATAGCAAACAATTGGTAACGCGTGGAACTCAGCCCACTGGGAAAGATTGCTTAATAGTGCTCCTAGACTGCTTGCAAATTCTGCATAGCGTTGACGTATTGTTGCTTCATATCTTTACGGTTGGTACATTTCACCTTAGCGCTTAACATGTCATTTTAGACTAATATGTCATTTTCTGATTACGCAATTGGCACTGTACCATATAGTTTACCAATCCCAACATAATGGCCATTAGCATTGCGAACAAGTGAGAACATTAGCGGTCGATTACGAATTGCAGAGATGAATGTTAGAATAGCTGAATGATAATGATGTCAGCGGTAGATTGTGAATCAGTAATGAATATTGGCACAGTTGAATGAGTGTGAGCATCAGCTACCAAATGTGAATAGTTGTGAATGCCCTTAGCACATTTGAGCGATTGTGAGCGTCAGTGATCAAGTAAACGATTAAGCCGGCAATCACCATTTCTGAACACTCTAAAGCAATAGCGATAAGTTGTGAATAACAGTGATGGCTTTTAATATACTGTACTGGCAAGCATGGCTAAACAATTGTGAGCATCAGCGATAAAGATTTGAACGACAATGATGGGCATTAGTGTAGATGAACAATTGAGGGCGAAAGGTGGTGGCTGAGAGCTTACTACAATAAGTGAAAGCATTAGCGATCAAGTGTGAATAAACGACTATTAGTGCCGTGAGCTCTGTTCGCCTAGCGTCAGATTAATGACAAAGTGATCACATACACGTGACGCAATGACAGCGACAGAATCAACAAGATGTTCAAAGATTTTAGAACAGCTACTGACCTAACAAGAATAACGCTGATTGCACGGCATGGCACCACTTGCAGCTCATCGTATAGCAGTCAGTTGACACAATCACGCCCGGAACACTTTCAAAAGTTTGTATAAGAAGGGACGTTTCATCCATCCTACAAGCTCATTTCATTTATGTTAAATGCATCACAGAGAGTGGTTCTAGACTCAATGAAACAATATTTTATATCTTAAAATCTTGGAGAGGATCACCCAAGATATGAGACGTTTATCGTTTAACGACACTCCAGAGACAGAGTCTCAACACAAGCATAAACATAAAGCAGCACGACGAAGCAGTATTTTCACAACAAGCATTCCGAGCTGAGCTTAAAATGGGATGCTAGACTTTCCAAGCTGTTAGAAGTATCTCCCTCTCCGTCAAGCAAAGACGTACAACATGACATTACAAAAGACACCAATTTCAAATGGGCCCAACAAACGCTACGACGAAGACAAACTTATATACACGTTTGAGTAGTCACTGTTGCATTACCACTTGCCTTCAAACCTTTTGAACCTTTTCAATCATTCTTCACATCACGTGCATTAAACGTGACCGTCAAGATTTCCAAAACTCTAATTATGTGACCGGTTTTTTATCGCAATTCCCTTAACTACTCGAAAAAAGTAGTAAACTCTTCTAAACTGGAAAGTAACCTACCATACTCCAGTAGCCCAACTCCCAGATCCAACTTGAAGAATGGCTTCTATTTACACATACGACAACTCCAAAACTCTGGCACACGGTCTTGCCCAATACATTGTCGCCGAACAGGACAAAGCGCTCGAAAAGGGCAAACGTTTCAATATCGCTGTAAGCGGAGGCTCGCAGCTTAAAGCGCTCAACGCAGGTCTAATTCAGGACCCTCAATTCAAAGACAAGATCCAATGGTCTCACTGGCATGTTTATTTCTGCGACGAGAGAATTGTGGCACTTGAAAACGATGATAGCAACTATGGTGGTTTCAAAAAACAAGTGTTAGACCCATTGCTCAGCGTAGACGGTGCTTTGGGCCCAACTTGTTACGCAATCAATGAATCGCTAGTGGGATTATCCGAAAACGACCGGGTGGCCGCAGAATATGAGTCATTGTTGCCAGACCATTTCGATCTCATCTTACTGGGTTGTGGACCAGACGGGCACACTTGTTCTTTGTTCCCAGGCAAAACTCACGAATATTTGTTGCAGGAGAGAGAAAAAAGAGTTGCATGGTGCCATTCTTCGCCCAAGCCTCCTGCTGACCGTATCACTTTCACGCTACCAGTCTTGGAATCAGCACAGGCGCTATGTTTTGTAGCAGAAGGTGCTTCCAAACAGCCCATTCTGGAGCGTGTTTTTGAAGGCCATGACACTACTCTTCCTGCTGGACTTGTCACCGAACACTACCAATCCTCTGTGTCTTGGTTTGTGGACGCCGCCGCAGTTAAGGACGTATCCATCAAGAAGGAAACGTATTCTGGAAATTAATTTACGGCGCAGAAGTGAAGTCTCGCATTACGTGGACCTGTGTGTAGTGGTTTAGAAATGTTTATTACACGCATAAGAGGTCACCGTTACGATTGACAAGGTTTAGCAAGCAAGGGCATCCATGAATGGAGTGTGAGATAGTGCAGAATAGTGCTGTTTCGCGGGATCAACAATGATGCTGTATGTGAAAGCATTCGTTGGTAGGAAACGTAAGCTCTTTCATAGTCGGGGTACTGTCAAATTATGGTAATTTTCCGTAGTTTCCATATGGGCAATTTCGCAAACCTCGTCCAGACATTATCAGAGTGAAAGTCTGATATACATCAATGCTGATCGTCATTGTAAAGTCTCTAATGTTCTAGACTGTCTGCCGGTAAAGAATACAAACAATGCGATGTCTCATATAAAATCATATATCAATATATTCTATAAGTTTTGAAGTCCGTTGCTGCACATTCAACATTAGTGATATTACGAAAAGAGATTCTTCGGGGAATACACGGTTATACCATTGGTTTCTAACTTGAAGAATGTTTTCCAAGTGAACAGCGTCTCGATATATTCATTGGGTCATGTTTCGATCGTGCATCGTCACTGTAGGAGGAGCCCTTGGAAAGAAGCCATGGCGCTATTTATGTCAATGTAACATCTATTTCTGTAGCGATTTTCACCGCACAATCTACTGGGATCCTTGTTTTCATCGAAATCTGAGCTTATGGGAGGCACCGGATAGTGTTTTTCACACACTATTCAGAAAATCTATTACTCGTCGTTAAAAGCGAATTTTTATCGAGTGTTTGCTACCAATAGGCCAAGTTCCTGTAGTTGTATAAGTGCTTGCTACCAATTTTTATCGAGTGTTCGCTATCAATAGGCCGAGTTCCTGTAGTGGTATTATTGCTTACTACAAAGTTCTTCCCCAATCAGAATCTTAAGGGTCATCCAATGGCGTTGCTGTGGGGTTACGTACTGGGCTCGAAAGAGATTTATGCAGCCAGATTGGTGGCACCAAGTTCATGAATATGGAATTCGATTTTTCAACCACTAGAGTGTCTGCCCATGCCCTGGGATGACAAGACCATTCCCAAAGTCGTTATGCTCTTGATGCCTCTCACACGCTGCAAACTCGTAACGTGACCTTCAAATTACCAAGGGACAGGCTGAAACCGAACGAACCACAATACGAAACTAGATCTAGAAACAGGAACAATGTGTTCACCGGCAATGAGAGATCTGCTAAACATTCTCATGGTTCTTGCACGACAAAAACCCAAGCTTCTCCAAGCCCCAGTATATTCCTCCAAATCTCCTCCCTCCCCAACAACTAGGGCGTGTAACTCAGTTGGTAGAGTGCTCGCTTTGCATGCGAGAAGTCATCGGTTCGACTCCGGTCTCGTCCAGAATTTATTTTTTCACTTGTTCCACACTCCCTTCGTCCAAAACGACGCTTTTTTCCCACCTTCCAGCTTCCAACAGTTTATTTTTTTTCACAGGTCACGTCCCGCGGCTAGGAACGTGGGAAAAGTCCGTTTCGTGTCTAAACGAGACCACAAGTCAGGTTTCGATCAAGATGATTCCTACACACAAGTAATGAATGCTCCCCATACTACAAGCCTTACACCCCTTACACCCCTTGCCCTACAACAAGACCTGTACTCGTAGCCCGCCCAGTACTCGCAACGCTGTTTCTAGAAGTCGTCCCCTATCCTACTACCCTCCTCTCAACGACCGCTGCCCCGTCCCCGTCTCCGTCTCCGTCTCGGCCGCGGTCGTCAAGTCTCACCCTCTTTGTGGCCCAGACGTCCTCGCACCCGCTGTGCCGGTCATGGGCCCCTATTTCGTCTTCAATGTCTCCTCCGCTTTTTTCCCCAACTTTGCGGCGTGACGTGTTATGTGTTTTTGTGGCCGCACACAAAAAACTCTTACCCAACAAGGTCACCGTGTACGTGTGACTAACCCAGCGTTGTCACGGCCCTCTGCGGCGCTCAGCCAGTATCTGTATATATATATATATAGAGAGAGAGACCCTACGTAAAACAATGTAGACTGGTGGGACGCCACCAGCGTTCAATCAACAACTCCTCTGTGAAACATCTTTGTAACACACATTAACGTTTCATTAACGTTTCTTCGGTCTAGAACACCCATCTCTCGGTTCTCATCATCTCTTTACAACTATTCCACAATGTCATCAGCAGCAGGAGGCGCATTTAGAAGATTTCTCAATAGCGAAACGGGTCCAAAAACCGTACATTTCTGGGTATGTTAAAGTATATTTTACCAAGTGGGGTGGAGAAACTAAGCACAGGCACGAAGAATGATAATACCAAGAATACCAAGAAAAATAAGAATTCGTCAAACTCAGCTCTCTGATCCTTCGCACTGACCAAACTCCTTTATATATGCGTTTGGGCTATGTGTGTTTTTTGGGATTAGACGGGTGGTGAGTTGTTCTGTATGTGGTGTGTTTGGTGTGTTTTGAGCGCGGCATATCTCTTTGTCAGTCGCCCAGATAGCAGCTGGAAAGGAATAAATTTTTCTTCTCCCACTGGCTCTCCTGGGTGGGCGCTCGTTCGCCTTTCGGAAGTATAAGTGCGACAAGACATCGTCGTCGGTCGTGCTTGGGAGAAAAAAATTGAGCCACGCGTCATGTGAATGTCACGTGGAAGTTATGTGACCTTGCACCCATACACCCTCGCATCCCTACACCCCAGCACGCAACCAAAAGTTTCTTTTACTAACTGCTTTCCCCTCTTTTCATCAGGCTCCAACCCTCAAATGGGCTCTCGTTTTTGCCGGTATCAGTGACATCCAAAGACCCGTTGACAAACTTTCCGGAATCCAAAATCTATCGTTGCTCGCAACAGGCGTTATCTGGACCCGTTGGTCGTTTGTCATCAAGCCCAAAAACATGCTGCTTGCGTCTGTCAATTTCTTCCTCGCCGGTACTGCCGGTTACCAGCTCTCGCGTATCTGGAACTACCGCATGCAACAGGGCGACTCCTCCATGCAGGCCGTCGATTACGTCATCAACGGTCCCCGCCAACCCGATAACAAGATTCACAAGCTTCAGGGCTCTTCCAGCTCGGTGAACAACTCTATGAGCCACGGCTCTGCTGCATAAAGGTGGTCACTTTTCCACCACCACCCCTCCCGCCCCTCCCTCTCTCTTTTTTGCATCTCCCGTTTTTATTAAATTGTACATTAGCGGAACCTGGACGTTTCCATCGGTCGCATCATTGCAGTCACGCGATGAGATTATATCTATTCGAACTTTAGAATTACAATAACTTCTTTATCCTCATCAGCGTCTTGTAATCAAGAATATAAATTCATTTATTGCGTGCGCATCTTATAAATATCGCCTATAGAAAAGCTATCAGTGGGTGGGTAACTCCAAAGACAAAAAAAAGCGCGTACAGCATGCCACGAGCCCTTACTGTTGAGTCAATTGAACCACCTTCTCAGCAGCTGGATCCAGCTCATCGAAAGAGTAGATCTTCAAACCGGACTCCTGGATGATACGACGACCTTCATCCAAGTTGGTTCCTTGTAGACGGGCCACAATTGGCACACGCACAGCCAAGTTCTTGGTAGCAGCAACCAAACCTTGTGCCACGTAGTCACATCTCACAATACCACCAAAAATATTGACAAAGATAGCGTCCACATTCTCGTTAGACAAAATCAATTTGAAAGCAGTTTCAATGGTCTCTGGAGTAGCACCACCACCACAGTCCAAAAAGTTAGCAGGATCACCACCGTAGAGCTTGATCACGTCCATGGTGGCCATGGCCAAACCAGCTCCGTTCACCAAACAGCCAATGTTACCTTGCAACTTGACAAAGTTCAAATCGGATTTCTTGGCCACCACTTCATCTGGGTCTTCTTGTGAAAGATCTCTCCAAGAGTAGATTTCTTCTTGTCTGAAAGAAGCGTTGTCATCGAACCCAAATTTGGCGTCCATGCACATGACTTTGGTGTCCTGGCCAATCACTTCGCTCAATGGGTTGATTTCGATCTGAGACGCATCTTTGTCTTGGAAGATCTTAAAAAGCTTGGTGACAGCGTCAGCGGCGTCAGCTTCGGCCTCGGAAGAGAATCCCAAGCTCTTGGAGATCTGAGAGGCCACTTCTGGAGTCAAACCTTCCGATGCGTTAACGGTGAATTTCTTAATGGCATCAGGGGTCTTCTCGGCCACTTCTTCGATGTTCATACCACCTTGGCTCGAGCAGATGATCATAGCCTTTTTGGAGCCTCTGTCGAGTAAAATCGACAAATATGCCTCGTGTTTGGCGTCCACACGTTTAACCACATAAACGGCGCTCACGGGCTTACCCTTGGCACCGGATTGTTTAGTGATCAAACGATGTTGCAACATATCTTTGGCAATTCCCTCAGCCTGTTCTGCACTGTCTACCATGTGAATACCACTTTTTAGTCCAGTGTCGAAATGGCCTTTTCCACGACCACCAGTGAGCGCCTGTGCTTTCACCACCAAAGATTTGTTCCCGAGGTTTTCAGCAATTTCATAGGCCTGTTTGGGATCAAAAGCAGCTTCACCGGCTGGAGTACCAATGCCGTATTTTCTAAGCAATTCCGCAGATCTGAACTCGTGAATCGACAAACATCTTTTTTGGATCGCTACTTGTTGCAGACCCTTCTTCAAGGCCAAACTTCTCGATAGCATTGTTATTAGGGCAATTATGGTCTTCAATTGATCGTGAACAAATACACCGTACTTCAACACCTAATAAATAGTTTCAAAACGTTGATAATTGGTGGTTTTGCCTCTGAAGTTTCGATAACTTGAGTTGACAAGAACGGATTCGAATTGATGATATAGAGGTTTCTTATGTGATATTTTTTTTAAGTATGGGGCCTATATAATAGGCTGGGAAATCTTCAGACCGGGTAAGAGAATTCGGAAATTGAGTGAAAAGATGGCCGGGTCGGGGTTCGAATGGAGGTGCGGTTATGTTTAGTTGCGATTTCTAAGGCTTATGAATCGTCTTTACAGGTAGTCCGTTTTTGTCGGCTTGGACTTAAGATGGAGAGGTTTTGGATGATGAATTGATAGTGGTTGAGGTAGTCTGCGTGACTAGAGAAAAAAGGGTTACAGAGTTGGGCGTTGTATCCCGAAGTGGGAAGATGGGTGTTATAGTCTTGAGTCATTAGACTCGAAGCCTTTTCAACTGGTTTGGTTGATGCTTCTTGTTGTTTGAAGTCGATTAAACCGATTCTTGTCATTTTACACATATTGTGTCGCAGACCATGGTCACGTGCTCGGATCTGATTGAACTGACGTCTCTATCATTCTCTCCTTTTTATCTACCAACACCACTGGCTTATGATGTTACTAAAATCAACTAGAAGTCTGGTTTTCGGACTCTTTGTTTTTCTCCTGTCTTAGAATTATCTGTCTTGGCATTTCATAAATCAGTGCGTTTCATTTGACAAACGTATCTATCTACTCACGGTGTAAACTCACACTTAACGCTATACACTTGGTAAACATATTTCTAAACTTTACTTCTCCTGTTTTTACTACCATCGATCATCTAATTGTATTTCACCCAGTTTACGTATGGTCCAGAGAAAAGCACACTTAAAAAGTGATTTCAGTCGACCAAGTCCCCAACGCTACACCCCCGCGTCGCTTGTGATCCTACTTTTTCTCAAATTACTGTCCTTCGCCCCGAGATTATAGTATACAATATAAAATGTTTATCAAAGCACCTGAACAACAAAAATTCGAGCGCCAAGCAACTGTCAGTTCAATGACCCTTCTTCTTCTGTTTAGTGATGTGTTGACGCAAGACCTTCTGGCGATCACGAAGCGACATCTTCTGTTTTCCCTTGACAGATCTCTTGTGAATCATCATGACAAAATTCTTCTTCCGTTCCTTCTCACGGTTGGTGGTAGAACGCTGCTCATCTCTTTTACTCTTGCGGCTAGCAAACTTCTCTCTACCCTCACGACCTTCCATAATGCTAGCAATTCTCTCATCCTTTGTGGCCTTACGATGTTTGAGAGGACCTACCAATCTATCAGAGTCCACAGTTTCCTCGTTTCTTACACCCATCAAACGGGCTACACCTTGTTCGGTTTTCAGCTCTTGGAGCTTGGCGAAATCCGCAGGAGTTAGAACACGAGAAGATGCCAAATCTCTAAAAGCCGTTTCAGGGTCGATTTTCTCCTCTTCCTCTTTTGGCTTCTCCTTCTCGTCATCACTATCACTCATATCCACATCGTATTCTTTGTCGCTCTCTACAGTAACCCACTCACCTTCAATATCCTCTTCTTCGTTGTCTTCTTCTTCGACTTCCCAATTTTGATCATCATTCTCGTCAACATCTTGTCCATCGGCGTCTTGCTGTTTCTTTTTCCATTGGGCAAGAAGCTCGATACCTGCGATGCCCTGAGTGGTATTCTCCACACCAAACTGAGGTCTCTTCGACACCCTGCCTTCGCGAGCAGATTCTTGTAACTCCATAGAAGCAACTTTACCACGGTCTTTGCGTTTCAGCATGTCGGGTGCCACTTCACGATATAAAGCCACCAAGCCCTTTGCTGCCATGCTGACTCCCTTGGCTTTGGAACCCTTATACTCCGTTAAATCTTGTAGTAGAGTTTCATCAATTGCCAAAGGTGCACGAGAACAAATTTCACGTATGGTGTTCAAACCCGCGGCCGCCACTTCCGAAGCAACACCATCGCTAACGAATTCGTCGGCAATTTTGCGTACCAAATCTGCAATGGTCTCTGGTGGGACCATATCGTGCGACGACTGAGCAGCAGCGGCAAGAATCTTGGTGACGTCTCTTTGTTTTGGAGTCAGGTATTTCAGAAAGTAAGAGTAAATCCCCAAAACCGTCAGTTTATGAGTACCGATTAAACGAGAAAGTAACTGCATCAATGCAATCTTCTGGTCTAAGTTGAACTTGTTGTTATTTTTACTGGACAATTGTTTTGAGAAAAGTTTATCGGCGAAACCCTGAGGATCACGAAGCAAATGTATAGCACTGAAATTGAGATACCCTTGGGGAGTCTTAGGAGCCGCGCTCTTCTTCTTGACAGACTTCAAAGCGGCCTCTAATTTTTTGCCCCTCTTACCACTCTTTTTGTTAATCTGCATCTTATGTTTCAGGCCCTCCATGTCGACATCTTCATCGTCGGATTTCTCCTCGAAATTTTCTTCACGCTCTTTGTCGGCTCCCAAAAAGAACAGAGCACCGGAATATGCGATTTTGACATCGTCGTTCAACGCAGCTTGCGTCATAATCTCAACGGCTCTCGAGTCATCCCAGATGCCTCTTCTCCATAGCTCACGCGTAAGTCTTGCAGCCCATACTCCCTGGGAGTCCGGCTGGTCCAGAAGATTGAAACAGATTGCCTGTGTTGACTTATTCAGTTTTTGGTTTTTTGAACCTATATTACAGCTCTTGAGCAGCGAAATAATTGTACTGTAAACCAGTTTCCTTATTTCCTTGGCGTGTGAATTGTGGCCCAAAGAGTTGCTTTGCGACGAATATGCCACCAACAGTGGGAACATCGTTTGAATCAAAGTTTCCGCAGAGATAACGCCCTTGTTTCTCAACATGGTCAAGGAGGATACGATTTTTTCCCGTACCTCGAACGGTAGCGATCTATGATAATCCAATATTAGCTGTTTAAGTTCATTGGGAAAATTGGCGGTTTCTTCTGGATAGCATGAACACACTTGGCTAACAAAACCCACGAGCTCTACAAATTGTTTGGTGTTGGTATCCCCAGTAGTCTGTGCTTCTAGAGCCTTTAGCATGAAAATGTCTCTCAGAGATTCATAATGCGAATACTGTTGTAAAAACTCTTCCCGGTACGATAGTGGATCCCTCTTAACCAGATTTTGAAGTAGGATGACGTTGGTGGGGAGGATAGCTGCTCTTGATTGTCTCACCATTTTGGATCGTTTACCTGGTGATGTTGACTTAGAAACGCCTTGCTCTTCGTGGGACTTCCTTGGATAGAACTTGTCCGATGAGATGAGATGAGATGAGATGAGCTTGATCACTATTGGAAAAGAAAATTTGTTAAAAGAAGTATCTTCGTGCCAAGCGACGTAAATTGACACACGTGAAAGTCACGAGCCATTGCGAGACTCTTCAGGCTGGCGGCTAATCAACAACCCAAGTTGCAAGTCATAGGACGGTCGAAAGATTTCAACCGCCTCCAAATAGTCCATCGATAGCATTGTAGTTGATTTTCTTCGAAAAACTAGACTTTTGTATCATGTTTTTTACGTTGTCAGCAGTTGTTATGTCACCGGAGTCTTCAGCGAGCTTCAAGGCAGCCTGCAGCCCTGAATCGTCCTTGATATCGGCCAAAATACCCTCTGCTTCAGAAGCAGGCTTCCGCTTGCGACGCCGTGTGCTTTCACGCTTCTTGGCAGATGCATTGCCAGAAGCGAGATCTGCTTCTTGCTTCAGCCTGTTCGATTCTTGTTCCAGCAAAAAATCGCCATTGATACCGATCCAGATCCGTTCCTTTAGTCTGGAAGCCTCTTCGTCCAGTAACTGGGCTTCGAGCTCCTCGTCGTCTACGTCCTGTAAGTCTTCAGGATCATCGGCAACTTTTGCCAACAGCGACGAGGTAGTGGGTAGCAAGTGCAGATTTCTCGGGCGATGAGGATCGGTTTCGATAGAGTAGCCGTCGATAGAGTCTTGGAAGTTCAACTGTTCCGAAGCAGAACCGGCATCGCCGCTGACGGGTGCATCCGAACGACCAGTCTCACTCTTTTCTCTTTGTTCATCCGTTTGTCTTAGAGGTAAACCAGTAGACTCTTCTGTTTCCTGGCTTTTCTCTCTTCTGCGCGAAAATTGCTTAAGGTAGTACAACACTTCTCGAGACGACAATTCTTGTGCTCCTAGTACCTGCGACAAAATCGGGTTTCGGGTAAGAGCTTCCTCGCTGGTCTCAAACTCGTTCCCCAAAGTTTTCTGACGTAGTTTCTTTTCCTTGAGCCTGTTGCGTGCAAAAGACGGTGGATGAGATTCTGTACCTTTAGTACTGTCTTCGTCGTCGTCTTCCTCCCGAAATTCATTGATGGATAGCTTCCCGGACTTGGTATTCTTGAATTCATTCAGACGCTGTTGCAATGTTTCCTCAGCAACGTGCGATACAGCCACCACTTCAGAGTGCGTCCTCCGCAAGTTGTTCATACGGCAAGCCAGAAGCAAACATGCACCGGCAATACCGGCAGGACGACGCCCTTCGTACATCCAGTCTCGGGCCATGCGTTGTGCAAGCTTGACCGCATCTTTCACGACTTTGATCTTTTTATCTCCCAAGTCGAGTTTCTCCGCAAAATGCTGGATGAACAGCGACGGATCTGTGAGTGGCAAATTCGTAATGTGAAGCACCTTTACCATTTTCAAAAATGTAGCCCCGATCGAATACACTGAGACTTGCAAACGCGAGGAAAAGTCGATCAGCATGTGGTGTGTCTTTTCCTTTCTGCACGCGATATACAGACACGCAGCAATGACATTTTGAGACCGACGTCCTTGCACGAAGTTGTTGGCCAAAGCCAGCGTGTACCACTGCGTTGCAGCCTCTGTGACGTACTCTGGGATGATCAGGGCGTGTGAAACAGCCCGTAGTTTCCTGCGCGCATTGTTTATAGTAGCTTCACGGGATTCCAGCGCTGACGAACCACCTCTGGGGCCAAATGCCGCATGCGATTGTCCAGCACCCACATAGCTACCGTGCACGACTGCGGCTCCTGAACTCGACTCTCCAAACGTAACTTCGGAAACGATGGGATTATCCTCTGCGACTGTACCGCAGTCTTGACACACCGTATCATTGTTGGCGTTGGCGATGTCCTTGATAAAATTAACACCCCCGCAAACTTTACACTTGGGCATTGTTAGGGTAAGTTTTGGGAGCTCTATATCCCGTCTAACTTGGCGGCTGGGCTGGTTTTATTGTTGATGTTTGTTTGGGATGAGATGAGATGAGATGAGATGAGCTATTCACTTTTCCGTATGGTTTGATTTAGGTATTCTGGATAGCAGACGACACACTCACACAGGAATACAGAATCGAGAAGACGGAAACATGAGACGGAGGCTGGGAGATCGCTAGCATGAGGCCGTTTAAAGTTGAGCAGATACGTATGTATATGTAGTTACGGGTTTATACCGATGCTAAAACTATACTTCCTGGTTCCTTCCGTTCACAGTGATTGGATCCAGGCGAGACAAGTTAGCTATTGGTCGTTTCTCAAAGGTTTCCAACAATGGTATGTCTTCAATTAATCTTCGATGTTTAAATGTTCAGAGTTTTCTATGTCTCATTTCCAGCAGTTGTGAACAGACTTCGAAGGTCTTCCGAATATGCACTTAAGCTGTCGTCGATGAAAATTCAACCTTACGCATAAATTCTGAGTTTCCTGGCAACAATTGAATCGTTTCCAATACACCCGGAAGACTTCGTTATCGATCTACGGCCCTCCCCTTCTCTTCACTTCACTTCCTCTAGTGTCTTTAAAACCTATCCTATTATATATAGATATATAGATATCTATATATATATATATATATATATATACATGTATAAATTTAGAGATAATTCAGAGGACTATAAGATGGAAATTCTTGGCAGACCAACGAAACTGCCACTAGTTGTTCTTTCAGCATGGGAGTCGCCGTATGGTTTGTGCCACACGCGGGATCAGCTGTGTACGAAACGTTGCAATCACTCATACTTTCTTTACAGACATTATTTCCTGACGCACCTGCATTCGAGCCCCATCTAACTATCACATCGCAGCTGAAATGCGATTCCAAAAACGACGTCCAGCAGATACTGACAACCTGTGTCGCCGCCTTTGGCGCGGTAAAAACCAGGCTGAAAGAGGACAATGAGACCATAGTCTCTTTCACGGGTGCTGGAATCGGAAAGGGCTACTTCACGAAAGTCCGGCTGCTGTGTCCAGAAAACAAGTATTTGATGGGCATCGCGCAGATAGTACGAGAGCTTTTTGTAGCGGAAACTGCTGAGGAGGCGTCCCAATGGCTTCTAGAAGAGTTCCGGCCGCACATTTCGCTGGTCTACTCTGACATGTATCATGTAAACCAGGCTCTCGAACGGGTCATTGCGCAGAGAATTGAAGATACGCTGGATCTGTCGCTACGAGAAAATGCTGTGGCCGGCGAAAGGAATCAAAAATCGTGGTCCTTTAGCCGTCTTTCACCGGGTTGGAGTCTACCAGGAACCTTTAAAGTAGTCAACTGTGACGGGCCAATACAGGATTGGCATGTCTTGGGCAGCGTTGAAGTATGACTCAAAGGAAAAGTCGTCTAGAAAGAACTGTCTGTGTCAATGCGGCGGTCTTGATAGAACAAGACCAAGGAAAGAAGAACAAATCTCTGGCGTATTTTCCCAATTTATGTGTTGCCAGCGTTTTGCCCCATTTTTCTTCTTTTTTGGGCCGCTTCGAAACCCAAGAGAAAGCACTGCACGTAGACCGATTTCGTGCCGCATATACTTGAGCCCAATAAGTGGAAACTGTAGGGAACTTCAAGGAACAGGACGTCACTGGCGAATCGCCATTGTTCCACCATAGTCATTATCTACGTCTTATATATATGAAATACTCATTATATATGCAGGTAGTTTAGTCAATCCATCATGTAAGTGATTCTAGCTAACTACAACTATCATCACGCATCTCGAGACCTTTGGCTCAGGTACTAGTAGTGCTACTTCTCTAGCTGTCTAACGGTTCACACACATTCTAAGATTTAAGTTCCCGACCCGGTTAATTGCCGTGTCCAAGGAAATAACATCGACTCATTCGCATAATGTGGCGATGAGTAGCACCAGCCGCCGTATTCATCGTAAAACCGGCTGTGTGCCGTGTAAAATCCGCAAGAAAAGATGCTCAGAAGACAAACCGGTGTGCACGGCATGCAAAAGGTTAGACATAACATGCGTATATCTGCCTGAAAGTTGTCCGCGAGAAAAGATCAGTTTTTTTCGAGAACAAGTCGAGGAACAGCTGTTGGAGAGAAAGAAACTCAATCCTAAGGGGACTCGTAACGGCAGCACCGTTCAGGCTGAGGAACAGCCGTTGGAGAAAAAAAAACACAATCCCAAGGGGACTCGCAACGGCAGCACCGTTCAGGTCATTCCAAAAGTCGAAGATGACGATATCACCACCGAAATCTCTTCAGAGGCTGTACTTGCTAATACGATCAGACCGTCGGACCTGTGGCAAGTCCCGCCGTACGAAGAAGCTGCTGACGACCCCGACAATTTCTTGGATTTGATATTTCCAGCGCCTTCACCCTTACCGTCACTATCAGAACCTGGGTTGATGAAACTTGACGATACCGCTATGCATCTCTACAATTATTACCGCGATTCTTTATCCCAGATAATCTCCATCGCGCCCAGCAGACAGAATTATTATCTTAGAATATTTCTGCCAATGGCGCATCAAAATAAGGGCATATTATATGGTATCTTGGCTTGGGCAGCACACCATTTATCACTCAGTGGTGCTGCCAGCACTGGTATCGCGCAAGGCGTCCCAACTATCACACGATGTAGAGAGTCCAGTCCTGCTGCTCTTGACGAAACCTACCGCGATGTCAATTGGTACGATAGCGACTCAATTCGAGATGACCCATCGACATCGCTTATGTCATCGCCATTGTCCTCGAGCGAAAGCTCGAACTCGTCAACGACTAGACAATCGCCAGGACAGTCACCAAGATCTTCCAAAAAATGGCCCATGGATATGGAAATGAGGCCCAGTGCTCAGCCAGACCCACGCTACGCTGCCGTTGCGAATGAATACACCCTCTACTCATTACAAGAAATTTCAAATTCTACCAGAGAGGGACTTCTTCCGGCTTTGGCAAACCTTCTTGTGTTATGCGGCGCAGAGATTTGTCAGGGTGACATTGAGCGCTGGAGGATTCTTCTTCGATATGGCGCACGTATAATCAAAGATCGGACACCAAATAATGACATCGGAGAATTGTTAACCGAAAGCGAAAAGCCCAGTTCTCAATTGGACGCTAAAGTGACCCGCTGGCTTTTGTCAAATTTTGCATACCACGATATTCTGGGTTCAGATAAAACTCACTTCCCAATGGAGCAGTATTCGCGGATTCTGGAAGAACCTGCCATCACCTACAATTATCCAGTGGATCCTTTATACGGAGTTAATAGACCCGTTTTCCAGATACTGGGTCAAGTCAAAAACCTTGCGCGCAAGATAAAGCAAGAAATGGCAGCTGGAGGTCATAACAGCGGCTTGGTGGTGAACGGACCTTTGTACAATATATTAGGAGCGGCTCAACGTTTACAAACGTCTCTGTACAACATCCAGCCTAGTGAATACGAGCTCGCATGGTATCAAAATCTGGCAGACAACGGCGACGATGCACGCCCGTTGGCAAAAGTCCTCTACTCGGTATTTCGTACCACGGCTCTTCTGCATTTGAAAACTGCAGTCATGCGTCAGCCTTCAGAATCTTACGAAATTCAATACATGGTCTTGGAGTTGTCGAATGATCTTGATAAAGTATTGGGCTCGAGACTGGAAGGCGGGTTATGTTTCCCGCTGTTTATTTGCGGTGTAAATTCGTACCACAGCGCCCTACGGCAGGACGTTGAGCTCAAATTTACTAACTTTTTGCAACGTTATAAGTTCCGAAACGTTGAGAGGGCGTTCGCGGTAATGCGGCAGGTGTGGCATGATTGCGATACAGGGCATGAAAAGGACTGGTACGATATTGTGGATGAGATCGGATGGGATCTCAATTTCGCATAAAGAAGAAAATTAAGAGGCTTTTCGGTTATAGTCTTCGAGTCATTGTGCGTCATCTGTATATACACGCCAAGGACCGTCATTTAAATACTTATGCATAAATACAGGGAGTTTAACGGCATTCAAGGGTTTCTCCACCGTCTCTACCCACGTTGATCATCATCCCAAGCTTTGGTGTTGCTTTAATTTTTCCATTACAAACGCCATTCCCATCCGGCTACGCTGGATGTTTTCGTCAAATTTAGCATGAGACCATTGCTCGATGCGACTCCTTACGGCCAAATTGAAACCACTGGAAAATTTGACAGAGCTTGAGGCCAGAGTTTTGCCCGTGACAGGATTGTATTTGTAGATGGTAAACTCCTCGACTTGAATGATTCGAGTATGATCTAAATTCCTAGTATACGTTCGGAGCACCTGGTTTTTGACGTCTACTTCTGAGCGCTCAATGATCCACGAGTCTGAAATCCTGCCTAAGAAGGGTTTAACCCATCGTGGGAGCTTTCCCGTCTTTTTTATGAGCCTTGTAGTGCACAGTTCTCCGCTGGCCTTACATTCTCGAGAAACGGTGTCTATTGAGATGACGTGTGAAGCATAAGGATTTGGATAACGGTTGAAAAACGCAAGAGATACTGTTTCGAAGTCGTTATCGTAAAGGAAACTGTTCTTATACCAGAGAACCATTTTCACCTCGTGTATCGTCAAAAATAAACTTTTGAAGCGCTTTTGTTCGCAAAAACCTCAGATCTTACACGACCTGCTCAGCTAGCAGTCAGTGTAACGGTTTTAGAGGTTCAATATGCTTGCTTCGTCTGTTCGACTTGTGAATAAACTTGTGAATCCTCGAGCATTTTTCACGCCTGGAAGAATCAATATATTATATACGGACCTTACAGTATATGAAGACAGCCAGCATGAGCAGAATACGCTTGAGCGGCACGGCAAGAAACAACAGAAAGCTTTTGCTCATACTCCTAACCCATGACTGAGCTAAAATTAGTTAGATTTTTTAAAACCAAATTTGTGTTGAACGGACTTCTATGGCGGGAGAAACAGCGAATGACACACAGTCCATCGTACTGCTTTACTCATCGCTCCAACAGTTCAGGACGATACTGATTTCATTAATTTGAATGTTATCTATTGTACAATGCTATTGAAATGCAACTGTGTGCAATTTGATGCTAAAGGGCAATGGCACCGATGGCCAAAGCCCATGCGCCAGCCCGCAGGCCAGTCCCGTAATCTGTACGAGCAGCGGCATTGGTCACGTTTTTGATGCTCGCAGAGCTTGAAGAGCTAGCAGACGCCGTTGAGGAGCTTCTGGATGATTTACTAGAATCGCTACTCCATGTGGGGGAAATAGTCAATTCACTGACAGGAGTCCACCATTCCGAAACGGTATTTGTCCACCAAACGGTCGAAGTGTAGGTTTCGCCAGCAGAGTTTTGAGTCGTAATAACGGTGACAGGGTCGTCCCCTCTTGTTGATGATGTTGTTTCTACCGTTGTAGTGGCTGGAGTGGTGGAGCTTGCTGCAGAACTCGCTGCAGAACTACCTTCCACGTTGCTGGTATGTACCATTTTCAAGGTCTGACTCGCAGAGGGTGAATTGGAAGTATTTACGACATTGGAGCTTGATTGTTTGTCGTAAGCTCCAAGGGCTCCGCTGCCACCCAGCACCTCAGAGATACATGCTGCCAGTATGGTGTAACTTATAAACTTCATAGTTTTTGATGGCTTTCAAAACGCTACCTTTTTTTATGGCCTACGCTACTTCAAGAAGAACAAGATGGTATTTATACATTCCGAAATCAAAAAGGCGTCAGGCTGAAGATTGACTGAATCAGATTATCCTACGGCTCAGGCAGAGGATCGACGTATTATTAGCGTTGATGATATCACCAGCCTGCCAAATTTTCATTCCCGTTCCGTGTATCTAATTTATTCGCGTCGGTGTAATCACTTTGTATGAATTTTGACGTAATGGCACGCACTGACACCAATGAAGCCTATTTCAAGAGTGTGTCGTGGAGTTTAATACTGCTGCGCGCTAACATTCAAGACCCTAGGAACTTGAAATGCACTTTTTCCTTTTACAAAACATTTATACTGACTTTTCGAAATTGAACACACACATTCACTCACTCACTCACTCTCCATCGCCTCAGAGCATTACGACACCGACGCTGCTGCGCTTTTCGGTATCAAAACTATTATCTTTTCTCAAACCACCAGCAATAGGACGAACCTTGTAATTGAATAGGTAAAAGTTCAAAAAACCGTCACCAGGCCCGAATTTCAAGTCGTCCAAGAACAAAGAGTTATCCTGACAACTCATTGCATTGAATACGTCCATCTTGAGGTCTCGGGCTTTGATACAGACGTCACTGATGAGGCGATTGAGTCGCTTGCGTAGCTTCGAAGAACCCTCAGGGTGGAACCGATCAGGATACTCGAAATCAGCGTCAGAGGCATAGTAGAATAGATAACCGATCCCTAGCTCTCTGTAATTAGGATTATTCAATACAGTGAAGGGCAACGAGTAGAAAGACACGAAATCGGTAATGATGCCGTTGTTTTCAACCACATAAGAGTACACCACATTCTTCGAGCTCAAAAATACATGTTTGAACTCCTCTTTGGTGAAAACTTGTATAAGATCAAATCTGGACTGATATTTGTTGAGAAGTTCGAAAACCTTGTCTACGTCTTTTTCCTCCATCGGTCTCAACCCAGCGGTGTCGGTTTCCTTGGGCAACGTGTATTTGGCTATCATTTGAGTCTTCGATGCGTTCGCCGGCAAACCTGTGAAACCGACCTCGTAAAGCTTGGACCAATTCAAAGGACGGTGGGCATAACGACAGGTGGCAGTAGGCGAAGGAAGTACAACTCCCGCAGTGTAAAGAGCTTGCCAAATGTCTTGTTTGTTGACCCGTCTGGTGACTTCCTTGATAAGAATTGGCGTTAATCTCTTGGCTCTCAACTTTTTGTGTATACACAGAAAGTTGATTTCGACACTTTTGATCAGCTTGTTTCTGACACGAAGTGTGGCCGGTACAGCACTGATGAACGCCACCAAACGGCCACTCTGCTTAGTACGGACCCCGACATGCCAGTCTTTTCTCCAACCGGGACCTTTTAGCGACCAGTTGAAGAATTCGCGTGAATAGTTGAACCTGAAAGTGGCATCTTGGTCCTCAACGTAGTTTTCATTCAAAAGGATAAAAACATCGTCCAATTGCTCCGGGTCAGTCAGATCGACGGTACACCATTGGAACTCGTCCAGGAGAGGCAATGGCTCGTCTGGAACGTCCTCGGATCTTTGGGAGCTGTTGATAGGCCCCTCATCGTCAACTTTATCGTCAAAACGAGAAACGGGTTGTGTTTTCCAAAATTTGTATTCCTCAAATTGCTTGCGTTGCGGCTGTGTCAGTTTCGAGGTATCACCTTTTGATATCGCGAGCATCTTCAAAAGCGCTTCTAGCTTCTTGGCCTGCTCTGGATCTTGGGACATTTTGTTCTATTGCAGGAAGGTAATGATTCTTGTAAGTCAATGTTCTGAAAGCAGTTTTGGGCAATTTTTACAGATATTTATATAAATGGATGACTACAATGGTCAACGAACGGCGAACGGAATGAACACGCTAGCCCAGCAAGAGCTATTGGATCTATTTTTTTTTCAGAGAGAGTATAGTTGGCTTTTAATTCAGGATTATATGTCTAATTTGTTGAAAATAGAATAATTCTTTAAGTTCACACACCAAAATGACTAATGATGAACCAGAGCTTTGATAGATGTTGGAAGTTTGCTTGTTGGGTATTTACGTTTTGAAGCTTCGATGATAGCATTTCCAGACCAGGATTCTGAGCCTTGCGCGATGCACTGAGTCTCTGTTTAAAGTAGTATGTACAGCAGAGCGTGGAGAATGCAGATCGAAACGCAGATTGAGTACAGGATGCATTGATGGAGGTAGTGTGAATTACCTGGCTAAGGAGCAGTAACTTATCATATCTATGTATCGCGCTCATCGGCCTGATACTCAAATGGTACTATCGGAGTCGAAATCACGTGCAATTTCTATAAATGACTGCCATAACACACGTAGCTGCGGTAGTCAGTAGCTAGATGGTATTACTAGTAAGAAGACTACGCTCCGGACCATAGTTAGAAGCAGGCTGTTCTATGTAAAATTGTGATCCCATCTTGAAATCTTTCATTATTAATTTTTAATTTCGGGAACCTATCTTGACATTCAAAACCTTCCGGGCTCCCGAATCACAAAGTAGACCTCCCACAGCCAGAAAGTCGGCCACAATATTAAGTTGAAGTCATAATCCATCCCATAACTCTCGGTATACATTACGCCCCATATTTCTTTGAAGTTTGATCAACAATCGGAAAAAACGTCTACAGTTTTTACAGTTTTGCTAAATTACAAAGACCAGAAACAGAAAACCAGCTGCTCTATATACCGCTGATAAGGTCCTACATTTCGTTCTCCATCTCGCCATCCATCTAGCATGTTTCGGACGAACAAAACTGCATTTGACACTTATCACTTCTTCTCAAACTGACGCTGTCACCTCTCATCCTACCACTAAAAATTTTCCAGATGCGATGAGATGAGATGAGATGCGATGCGATGAGCTGAAAGGTCAACTTCTCTGAAAAACTCCCACAATTAGCGATAAAAGCACTGCCAACCTAAACCAAGATGATCTCATCAACAACTTGGGTTCCGCGTGGCTTTCCGTCCGAGTTTCCTGAAAAATACGAGCTTGACGATGAGGAAATGGAAAGAATCAACCAACTTGCACAGCTCAACTTGGAAGACGCCAAGGAAGCAGCAGAAGAGGACGATGAAGCCACCGAAAAGCTGAATGATAAAATGCAAGATTCTGGTAATGGTGCCCAAAAATTGGGTGCCCAAGCGGATGCAGACGACGATTTGAAAGAATATGACCTAGAACAGTACAATGATGATCAAGACCTGGGTGAAGGAACAGAAGCTACAATGTTTCCTGGGCTATCTGACGAAGTGAAATACCACGAGGGTGAGAATGGTGAAGATGCATACATGTCGCTGCCTACCGAAGAAGAGACTCACGAGGCCAAAGAAGAGCTTCAGGTATACCCTACCGATAATATGGTGTTGGCTACCAGAACAGAGGACGACATCTCATACTTGGACGTGTATGTGTACGACGATGGTGCTGGATTCCACGATCCTGATGTGGCTCACGAGGCCGGTGACGAGAACGATCCTGATGTGGCGCGTGGACTGGTGCGTGACAGCGCTTTGTATGTTCACCACGACCTTATGTTGCCTGCATTTCCATTATGCGTGGAATGGCTGAACTACAAACCGGGCTCCCAATCCGAAGATCCCGCTAATTTTGCCGCTGTGGGTAGTTTCGACCCTCAAATCGAGATTTGGAATCTGGATTGCGTGGAAAAAGCATTCCCAGACATGATCTTGGGCGACCCACACGCTTCTGGTGACGTTGCTGGGAGTAAGAGTAAGAAAAACAAAAAAAGCAAAAGCAAGCATGTCACAACTCACCACACTGATGCTGTATTGTCTTTGGCACACAGTAAGCATTTCCGTTCCGTATTGGCCTCTTCGTCAGCGGATAAGACCGTCAAATTATGGGATTTGAACGAAGGAATTGCTGCCCGTTCCATTGCCTCGCTGCATTCTAACAAAAATGTTTCTGCCATTCAATGGCACAACACCGCTGGCACAGTGTTATTGAGTGGTGGTTACGACTCTCGTGCCGCTTTGTCGGACGTGAGAATTGAAGACAATTCCAAGATGAGCAAGTACTGGTCAGTTTTGGCCGGAGAAGAAATCGAATGTGTTCAATTCGCGGACGAAAACACTTTCATGTGCGGAACAGACTCCGGTAACGTATACTCGTTCGATATCAGACAAGGTGAAAACAGTTCTCCTCTGTGGACTTTGAATGCTCACGACGCAGGAATCTCTACCCTCAATATCAATCCTTACATTCCAAGTTTGTTGGCCACAGGTGCTATGGGAGAAAAAACCGTCAAGCTCTGGAAATGTGGCGAGGCGGGCCCCAGTATGGTTCTTTCCAGAGACTTTGGTGTTGGAAACGTGTTGTCGACTTCTTTCGCGCCGGACATCGAAGTTGCCGGTAATATTGTAATCGGTGGTGTTTCCAAGGGACTGAAGCTATGGGACGTCTTTACCAACAGATCTATTCGTAAAAACTTCGGTAAGGAATTGGCCACTCTCCAAAAACAGGCCAGACAAGAAGCTCAAAGCATAGGGAAAGCTTCAAGAATCGCAAGAAAATATACCAAGAACGACAATCCGGATACTGTGGTGACTGTTGACGACCAGGGCGAAGACGAGGAAGAGAACGAAGGCCGCGAAGGACAAGACGATTGGGAAGACGCCGACTAATGAATCATCCTAAAGATAGAATCGTACATCATCATAAAATTTCCGTCATATGTATATTATTATAAAGAAACAAAGCACTACATCAAGCCAAGCCAACATCGCCGGTGCCGCCAGCGGATCACCCTTTCGCTCGAGAGTGTCGCATAGTGATCGGTCCACAGAATGTGTCATCTATCGCGAAGAATTCGTTTCCACTCCCTATTTTCTTCTGTGTCCTCTTCGACGTCCACCGCTATCACTTCTGTCTTGTGGAAACGCCCATTTTTGGAATCTGAGACGAAACTCACGCTTCGTTCCGATCTTCTTCTGGGACGCATCAACACATGCGACATACGACGCACCCGGAGTTCGTCATGCGTTGTTTGGTCCTGCTCATCGTCTTCCTCAAACACATCGGACCCACCGCTCAAATGCTGCACCTCGTATGCCAATCCAGATCCAGATCCAGACCTGTCAAACGTCAAAAGGTCGTCAATGCAGTCTTCGTGTCCGTCGTAAACCACTTTACACATCTGCTGATACTGGGAAGCGAATATATCTTGATTCCACGCAAATCCTTGTGATTGCGACGTCGCAAGCGTATAATGCGGGGAGTCACCGACCGTTACAGAATACACAACCGGTGTTTCACTTGCTTTCATACTTTCTGACACTGCCATTACACTTCTCACTTTGGGTACTGCTGGAAACTACGTTTTGGCTCAAATACCGCGTCTGATTTCTTACGCGAGCAGGCCCAGATTTCAAAAACTTGCGAAAGTAGTATCAATCAAAAGCCAATCGAGTGGAGAGCAAATGTAGTGTATCCAATCGATCTCAAGCGGTCTCTAAGATTCCCACAAACGATTGTCAAACCCCCTTTTTCCTTATTGATCTTATTGAATTAATTGACCTTCAAAGTTCCGGATGTTAACGTCAAAAAATCGGAATATTTCTCAGTCACGGGAACAAACTTCTCCCTAGGACGGGTAACATAAATCTCAATTTTGAATTTTTCACCATAAGCTCATCGCTCTGAAAAATTTTCGAGATGAGCTCAACTAGCTAGCACATCAACTCACCTCTTCTTGATAAAGTCAAGACTTCCGTCAAGCAATTGTAGTTTGTTTTAGCCGCGGTTGTATTCTCCCAAAAAAATGGCGCCTATTGAGTACCTGCTTTTCGAAGAGCCCACGGGCTACGGGATCTTTAAAGTTAAATTGCAGCAAGATGACATTGGGTCTCGGTTGAAGGAAGTACAGCAACAGATCAACGATTTCGGTGCTTTCACCAAGCTGGTGGAACTGGTGTCGTTCGCACCTTTCAAAGGTGCTGCCCAGGCTCTGGAAAATGCCAACGACATTTCCGAAGGTTTGGTTTCTGACTACTTGAAGGCTGTTTTGGACATGAATCTGCCAAAGGGCTCTACCAAGAAGCCTGTGACCTTGGGTATCTCTGACAAGAACCTGGGACCATCCATCAAGGAGTCTTTCCCATACGTGGACTGCATGTCCAACGAGCTGGCACAGGACTTGATCCGTGGTGTCAGAATGCACGGCGACAAACTTCTAAAGGATTTGCAACAAGGCGATCTGGAAAGAGCACAATTGGGTCTTGGACACGCTTACTCCAGAGCCAAGGTGAAGTTTTCCGTCCAGAAAAACGACAACCACATCATTCAAGCGATCGCTTTGTTGGACCAGCTAGACAAGGACATCAACACTTTTGCCATGCGTGTCAAGGAATGGTACGGCTGGCATTTCCCTGAACTGGCCAAGCTAGTCCCAGATAACTACAAGTTCGCCAAGCTTGTTTTGTTCATCAAGGACAAGGCCTCTCTTTCGGAAGACTCAGTACATGACCTTGCTGCCATCTTGGACAATGACGCCGGTATTGCCGAGCGCGTCGTTGACAACGCCCGTATCTCGATGGGTCAAGATATCTCTGAGACCGATATGGAGAACGTTTGTGTTTTCGCCGAAAGAACTGCGTCCCTAGCCGACTACCGTAGACAACTATACGACTACCTGTGCTCGAAGATGCACACAGTGGCTCCTAATTTGTCCGAACTGATTGGTGAGGTGATCGGTGCCAGACTGATCTCCCACGCCGGTTCTTTGACCAACTTGTCCAAGCAAGCAGCCTCTACTGTTCAGATTCTAGGTGCTGAAAAGGCTCTTTTCAGAGCGCTAAAGACCAAGGGTAACACTCCAAAGTATGGTCTCATCTATCACAGTGGTTTCATTGGAAAGGCCGCTGCTAAGAACAAGGGTAGAATCTCAAGATATTTGGCGAACAAGTGTTCTATGGCCTCTAGAATTGACAACTACTCCGACGAACCAAGCAATATTTTCGGTCAAGTGTTGAAGAAGCAGGTAGAACAAAGACTTGAATTCTACAGCACAGGTGCGCCAACTTTGAAGAATGAGTTGGCCATCCAGGAAGCTATTGAACTTTACAACAAGGACAAGCCTGTGGAAGTCACCAAGGACTCAAAGAAGAGAAAGCTTGAAGCCAGTGACGACGAAGAAGAAGAGGAAGAGGACGACAAGAAGGTGATCAAGAAAGAGAAGAAAGAAAAGAAGGAGAAGAAAGAGAAGAAGGAGAAGAAAGAGAAGAAAGAAAAGAAGGAGAAGAAGGACAAGAAGGAAAAGAAGGAAAAGAAGGACAAGAAGAAATAGATAAAGACTATGATCTCTTCGTGCAAACCATCGCATCTCTCTGCATATCTTTCATGTACTAAATTTTTTACTTTGTATATTGTGTATATCTAGCCAACCAGGAATCTGCTTAAGTCTGTGAAACGAGTATTCGGCCATTGAAGAGGGCTACAAATACAGCCCTGCATGGGCGCCCATAGCGGTACCATTCAATTTCCAGTTACGATGGCATTCTTTGAAGTAAGTGTCTTTGTCGCCTAGGGCAAACTCTGACCAACATTTCACTATAAGGGTGTCCATGGCTTCTAGTGACAGTTTTTCGTATCCCGAAGGACCTTCACTTGGTGCGATGAAGCCGCGGAAAGGTATATTACCCAAGACTAGTTGTGTGACCACGCTAGCAATGAAATTGGTCAAAAACTCGGGTGGGATCAAACTATTCAAATCGTTTTTAGGCTTGCTAGTCTTAAACGCTAGGTTTTTCACCTCTTCGATCCTGTCACTTGCTCCCAGCACAATTATGTCCAGAGGCTTTGAAAATAGCTTCGCAATCTGTTGGGACAGAAGATTTAGGGCAATGGGAGGGACGTGCATGAAATCTTCAGCGACACTAATCACCACGGTTTCTGAATCGATTTGTATCACTGGAAACTCCAAAACTTTCTCATTACCCTTGCGTAAGCTTTCTTCTCGAAGCTGAAAATCATCGCGATACAAGCTCTCTTCCTTATTCCCAATGCTCCACGTAATGCGGAAAGTGGAAACGATGGTGCCATTATTCAAGTTTCCCGGGAATAGCGATCTGAAGACCTTTGTCGTAATGATGGCCCTCTTGTAAGCTGAAATGTCCAAATCTTTCACTAGTTCAACCTTTGGAAGAGCCTCATATTTCAAAGATCCTAGGTCTTCATTATCATCCAAGGGTGCATCGATGTGATGTCTTGGTTCAGTGAAATCATTCCATTGTTTAAACTGCATCCATGAGAAGTTAGTTCCGCGAGTCTTGAGTCACCCATCATTGCCTAGAATACTTACAAGCATTGTTATGTGTTTGGATCAGCGTAGAAATGTCGATAGTCTCTGTCTTGACACTATTTCTATACTTTGATGTAATCTACAAGAAGTTGATGAGAGCTAGCATATTCAAGCTCTTCTATTCAAACTACTTATTTTAACAGAGAAAATCATAGAAACCATCGTCAAAAAGTCATAAGTAGAAGTGTACAATGTCCGCGGCCGCTCAGCAATTGACTATGGAATACACTGCAGCTCAGCAAGGGCTTGAAGACCTGGTGGTTGCCAGACAGAAACTGGAAACGCAATTGCAAGAAAATAAGATTGTCCAGGACGAATTCAACACGCTGAAGGACGAAACGAAGGTTTACAAGCTAACAGGTAATGTGCTGCTACCGGTGGAGCAGTTCGAAGCTAAAAACAACGTCGAGAAAAGACTGGAGTTCATTACTACTGAGATCAAAAAATGTGAGGAAAATATCAAAAGCAAGCAAGCTGCTTTGGAGACTTTGCGCGCAGAACTAATAAAGGCCCAGTGCACACAGCAGGGTGCACAGGCCTAGTGAGTGAGCAAGAATGTAAGATATAGTGGTGGGTTCTTTTTAATGCGCATTTTCCGCCAGTGAATTCATTTGTATATACGTGCTAAAGGCTGATCTGAAAAATGATACAAGAATGGGCGCAACTAACAGCGTGTAAGCTGGGATTTTGCCAGATTGATACTCATCAGTAGCGTGTACCACAAGTATTCTTCAGTGTTAGTGTAGTATTGTCCTAGCCGGGTCACGCGATCCAGCTTTTCGGCCGCGAATTCGAAAGTCTGGCCGTAATCTGGAGACTTGTCCTGGGCCATGAAAAGTTCAGAGCTCACAAACGCACTCGAAATGGCTACCCGTTTCGAGTACCATGCAAAATCGGGCGAATCAGTCTCGTTAGAATAGTACACCATGTCGTCGGAAAGGCGATGCAGCTCAGGAAGAGCACTTTTCACGAGGAACTCGCCTGGAATCGATAAAATCGATAAAAGCTGCGACAGATGAGGCGCCACAGGCTTGTTGAGCTCGAGACGACGTTGGAAAAGTGTTTTCAACGCCGGTGCGTTGTATGTGGCGGTATCCGAGTTTGCTAATTCTGAGTCCAGCTCTTGCGTAATGGCATATCGCTTGGTGACCAGATGAAATTTGACCAACTCCAGCACCGAAGGCGCCACGTTCAAAAAAGAGGGCGAGTTGTCGCTGCCCAATGCGGACAACACCGACGAACCGAGTTCCAGCTCATTCAGCGATGCTACTATCGCCCTTTCGTTGAATCCATGCTCGGGCACGTGATTTTTCAGCGTGTTATTTAGCACTTTATACTGAAGAGAATCACTACCATAAGTCAAAGGGAAAAGCGGAAATTTGGCTTGGTGTTCAAGCGCATTTGGATGATACAATCTACGGCTGATACTCCGGGCAATTCTTGACATAATACCGTTGGACCTCCAAAAGAGCAAATAAGGCTAGCTTTTTTCTTTTAATGGGATCCAAGTTCAAAATCCACCTTGTAGGTGAGTATTCGAGGTAGAATAGATAATATATATATATATATATCACTTTACATGCACATAATATTTTTCAAGAGAGAAAATCGAACGGGGAAAGACAGGAGGAGCGGGAACGCATTGCCAACCCTTAGCCTAATGACTCTAGCGTCAAGGAGTTCAACAAACGCTCTTCTGATTCGGTGTTTTCATAGTTTGTCTGTTTAAGTTGCGAGATGGTAACAAATTTCAAATCACTATAAACGGAGACGTATCCCTCTTCTGAAAAAGGAAGTGTAATTTCCCTTTCGGGAAGATCGATTTTTTAGGTAATGCTCTTTCCCCTTCGGGGAAAATAGCATAAACTTTACCCGCTCCACTAGAGCACCTGACATCCACGTGATGGCTTAATCACATGACGAGAAATAAATTGGTTACTCACAGCAACGATAATATACCTACAAGATACTTGATTGAAAAACTAACGCAATGTGAAGATAACTGAACTTAGCACATCGAACTACGACAGGAGGCTCCCAGGTGTTTGCGAAAGACTTTAAACTTCTCTGAAATAGCGTAGTTTGTGCCCAATAACTTTGTTTTGTGCCAAAACTTCATTGTCGAGCCAGTTGTCCCTATCGATTTTCAAGCATTTTTGACCTAATGTCTGCAGGAGAACCTATCAAATGTATTGCTGCCGTTGCGTACGAAGCCGGAAAGCCACTCACCGTGGAGGAAATCACAGTTGATCCACCCAAGGCTCACGAAGTCCGTGTCAAAATTGAATACTCCGCTGTTTGCCATACTGATGCGTACACTTTGAGCGGAGTGGACCCTGAGGGCGCATTCCCATCGATTTTGGGCCATGAGGGTGCCGGGATTGTCGAGTCTGTGGGCGAAGGAGTCACCAACGTCAAGCCGGGCGACCACGTTATTGCACTCTACACTGCTGAATGCAAAGAGTGCAAGTTCTGCACCTCCAACAAGACCAACCTGTGTAGCTCAGTGCGTGCCACTCAGGGCAAAGGTGTGATGCCTGATGGCACTTCAAGATTTCACAATTCCAAGGGCGAACCACTGCTACACTTCATGGGATGCTCCACTTTCTCGCAATACACAGTCTTGGCCGACGTTTCTGTTGTGGCTATCGATCCTGAAGCACCTCTTGAAAAGGTTTGTTTGCTAGGGTGTGGTGTAACTACAGGATACGGGGCTGCCATCAAGACCGCGAATGTCCAGAAGGGTGACACCGTTGCCGTTTTTGGTGCCGGAACTGTAGGCCTTTCCGTCGTCCAGGGTGCCAAGGTCAGAGGATGCTCTAAAATTATCGTTGTTGATCTTAACGACCAGAAAAAGGACTGGGCTATCGAATTCGGTGCTACGGAGTTCATAAACCCTACAAAAGATCTAAAAGATGGGCAAACAATAGTGGAAAAACTTGTTGAAATCACCGATGGCGGTCTCGATTTCACATTTGATTGCACTGGTAACACTCAAGTTATGAGAGATGCTCTAGAGGCCTGTCACAAGGGCTGGGGTCAATCCATCATTATCGGTGTCGCAGCAGCTGGTAAGGAGATATCGACGAGACCCTTCCAGCTTGTCACAGGAAGAGTGTGGAAAGGTTCAGCATTTGGTGGAATAAAGGGAAGATCTGAGATGGATGGCCTTATTTCGGACTACCTTGATGGTAAGCTCAAGGTTGACGAATTCATCACACACAAGAGAGGGTTCAGTGACATTAACGCGGCATTTGAAGATCTGCATCACGGGGACTGCTTAAGAACCGTTCTCAACTTGTCTAAATAGAGACCACCAGCTTTTCAACAATTCATCAAATTCTATCATTATTGGTACTATAAATTACTTTCATAACAGATGATAACTAACTTTTTATGCTTCCAACCCCTACCTTATTACAATACTTTTAGTCAATTCTTCCGATTCATACAGCTGACGAATACGAAAAGAAGTGTACGATAAACCAATAACCATTATCTCCCACTTGCAATTTTTATGTTTATAATGCGTTCTTACCATGCAGGCTCCGAAAAGCTCCTAGTATTCAACGTAATACCCATTCCATTGTCAATCCCTTGAATATTGTTATAGGAGTTGACAGTGCCTAAATCTTTTTGTTGGTGATCAGTAGTCTTCGGACCACCACAGCGCAAACATACCACGTTTTTGGCAAAATTGTGATATGTGCAAACAGCGCACTTCCAATCGCCTGCTCTGAAAGGCACGTTGGATCCACCCTGTTGAGCTTGACCAAGTCGTTGTGCATGGTTGTAACGCACGCGCTGCTGATGTTGCTGCTGGTGTTGCTGCTGATGCTGATGCTGATGCTGTTGCTGAGAAAGATGCGTCTGCTGAATGAGCGCATTTGCTATGTGACCAGGCATAGGTGACATTCCAGCAATACCGTTTCCAGGCTTGAAGCCAGTCTGTAGATCACCAAGCGCCGTTTGCTGCAATGAATTTCTAACGTAGCCGTTTTTGTTCATAGCACCAGCATCGTTTGCAGGAAATGAACAGCGGAAACAAGTGGTTCTTCTTTGAAAGTTGGAGAACCCACACGAAGGACAGTTCCAGTCGCCAGGTCGAGGTTTGTTCTTGCTTTGTGGGAAAGGAGAGAGAATTTCTTGAGCTCTATCCAGGACTCTTGCGCTTGAAGGCTGAATCTCAACAGTATGCTCAATGACCCTTGGTTGTTTCGTGTTGGCGATGTTAGACAGTATCGATCTCCCATTTAAAGAAAGAGCCTCTGTGGCTTCTTCGTGCGTTTGGAATACCACAAATCCTGAGATACTATCTTCTGCCTCCACGTACGTGCTGTTGTTACTAGACCAATTATTATTGACGTTGGAGGTTTCTTCGACGATATTTCTGACGGTCCAGAAACCGACCGGACGAGCTCCAAATTGAGTAAACCAGGACTCCAGTTCGCTCTGTGTGGTATCGGGAGGCAAATTGTTCATGTATAAAACTTTGGATCTTTCTTGCAAAAAGGTACGCACGTCGAGGTACGAATCGTACGGATGCGTCAAGACCATAAGTTTGTCCTCCGGAGTACAACATTTTTGGTGCAGCTGCAAAATAACTCCAAGAGCCTGATTAAGGAGAGTCTCCGCATTATCTACCGGCTCTTTTGACTCTTCATTAGCGTCATCCGCCACGTTTTCAAGTTCCAAGACCGCACGTAATTCATCCAAATCTTTGGTTTTCTTGCTTTGTGACGAAGTGGCTGTGGTACGCAACGCCAAGATCTCCGGATGATTCACGCACCATCTCTGATACTCCTTCCATAAATCAAAAACCTTAGGGTGCTGCAAATGCGGCGGTAGAATGAAAACTTCGTCCCGCGCTTGTCGTGGCATCGTCACACGAAAATGCCACGTCGACCCCAGAGAACACAGCACAAAATCGCCCCCAGCATGCTCCACGATATCCCGATCCAATTGACCCACGGCCTCTTGCAATGAGCACCCAGGACCCAGCTGAACCTGTCGGTTTTTAGCAAACGCTTGTTTTAACGTTTTCGCATCCAAGATTTGGTATTCAAATCGCGCGATTTGAGCCCAGTCTTTTGCCCTGTCTTCACGACGAGCCACCTCCACCTCTAACACAACATAATGCATCGCTTAGACGCCTGTGACGTTGACTTTTCGCGCCAAAACTGGTTCGAACTTTGATGATCTTGAATGGTTAAAGGTTGAATAGCTCGAATTTTTCACGAGAGATGAGCTAAAAATTTTTGACCGTGAATAGACCTGGAATTGTGTCATGACTAACGAGCCTTTCCGAGCATGTGATAATCATGCGATAGTCATGTGACTCTAGAAGAAGTTGAGTGCTAGCTGGAACCAGGAAGGTTAGCAACGATCTGAAGTTGTTTTGTTGTTCATCACTTGGAAAATAGTATAGGCCCAGTTTGTGTGTTTTGAAATCTCATTGATGAAGTGTATGGGTATGGAGGTAAATGGCCTCGATCACAGAAACCAAAAAAAACCAGGGCTGTAGTTATCAAGAGCCCTAATTATCATCGCTGTCACCCTCAATGGCCTCTTCTTCCTCTTCTGCGCCGTCACTCCCGGATCCGTCCTCGTCTTCGTCCTCTCCTTTGTCGTCCCTCTCGTTTGTCACGCCTTTGGGATGCTGCTTCAGCCACGCGTCGGTCCACATAACAACCCGATCCACATTCTGCTCCATATCTTCTGTCGAGTTGCTTTGCAGCTCCACCACTATTTCCGCGGCGTACGAGTCCACAGCGTCCTGCATCACCACACCCATAATCTCAGCATCGATGTTTTCCTGCAACTTGGCTTCGTGGTAGCCCCGTGCGGCCAGTCTATCGTACAGCACAGAGTTGTCACACCTCAAAACAACCACCAAGTCTATCAGTCTCTCAGGGAAGATGTCATTAACGTGCCAGTCTACAATCGCTCCTCCTTTCCGCAACAGAGGTTCCAAATGGTCCAAAAGCTTGTCCTCGTCCACAATATGCGATTTTCTTGCGTCGTCAAACCCCTCGTAGCACTTATTGTCTCTAGCAAAATCACTTATGTTGTAGTATCGGCTATCTTTCAGATGTCTACTCAAAAGTTCACTTGTAGTAGTTTTCCCACAGCCTGGTGTTCCAGTAACCAAAATGTTGGGAGTAAGCCTGTAAGACATGGTTATCGGAAGAGTTTCGAAGAAATGAGATGCTTGAAGTTCGAAAAGCTGGTCTTTCAAAGTTCAAATACTGTTCTTTAGTAGTTTAAGTTTCTAGCGATGAGCTTTATTTTATATTCTATCTATATATAATATATATATCATTGTTAATATCAAAAATTTGATGTCATGAAGAAACCAGAGTTGATGAACTTGAAAGAGCAGTGAATATACAGCGTTGTCTCGACTTTGGCAAGATGGATAAGTATGGGCTCAAGGCACTTTTACCTCTGATAAGGCGTGAAGACCAAAGTGCGGATTATGACCCTTCTATGACTCTGGGAATCGATCTCACACCAGTGCTTCACTCGTTAGGAATTTCCAGTGATGCAAACGGGAGACAAAGAGTTTTAGACACATTTCCATCACCATGGGTAGAAACCTCGCGTAGCGAGGTAGAACCGCGCTTTTTTATTCCCGAATCGTTTACCAAAATTCCCAACATACTGCAGTCTGGGTCTAATAACCCGGTTTTCAACTCAGTCCAACAGGACCATGCCAAAATCTCATTATTTCAAGACGAAACACTTTTTTACCTCTTTTACAAACATCCAGGCAGCGTCGTGCAGGAACTGACGTATTTGGAGCTCCGCAAGCGGAACTGGCGTTACCACAAGACTCTAAAGGTATGGCTCACAAAAGACCCAATGATGGAACCAGTGGTAGCACCAGGAGGTGCATCCGAACGAGGCTCGTACGTTTTCTTCGACCCACAGCGCTGGGAGAAGTGCCAGCGGGATTTCGTGCTGTTCTACAACGCTATAATGTAACATATAATAATGACATACACAGACGACTGTCTGAAAAGTAAAAAGAAGAATCAAGGGTATACATATGTATAATTTACATACAGGATTAATATTTACAAGACCCGCGAAATGGCCAGGTGTTTTGGCTACCTACCTTATACTTCAATGGCATGGTACCGTTTACCTCTGAACCCAGCCATGTACATATTGAACTGATACACTTGTTGAGGGTTCATGTCGTTGAGTTCCCACTTGGTACTGCCAAACACGTTGTGAGAGGGTTCCATCAGCATGTCCAACTCTTTTCCATAGGTATCCACAACAGCAGCCATGTCTCTTTTGAGATCGGCTTCGTTGAACCCTGTGGTGAAAATGGCACATTTTGTCTCCAACAAAGCTTCCATGGTCTTACCCATCCAGTTTTCTCGAGACTCTGGGGCGGCGAATCCAGGATGGAAACAGAAGAAAATGTCTGTGTATGGATCGTAAGGGAAAAAGTCCTGGGCTTCATGAAGAACATGGAAAAAGTCCGTGTGGTAGATGAAACTCAAAGTTTCGTCTACTCTGCGCACAATAGGCGTTGACGAATGCACGTAATCTCGCTTATTTCTATCAAAATGAGACTCTGGGCCGACAAAATGCAACTCCATCTGCGTTTCTGGGAACATAAATTGCAATTGTTTCCAAACATGTCCCGGCAACTGTGCTTCGGCTCTGGCCCCAAGGATGAAGATTCGAAGTGGGCTGTCTTTGGCAGTGGAAACAACGCGGCGGTTCTGCTCAGGATATAACGTGTAGCGGAGTGCTGCTAGCGATTTGAGACCTTCTAGACTTATAGGACCTTTTGGATTCAAAGAGTATGGCGAAAATTGGTGAAGAACGGATCCAATTGTGATTGGATAGCTGAGCATTTTCGTAGACGCGGCAAGTTGAAATTCCGTATCCATAGAGTAGAAGCCACGCGTGTAGAAGAAAAGATCCCAGTTCGTCAGGTTGACCATACGGTCAAAATCCTGGTCTAGCGGGAAATCGAATTCTGGGAACGGCCTGCCGGACCTCAGATCATGCTCGTAAATGTTAACTTTCTTCAAAATTTCCGGTCTCTTCGATTGTTGATAATCGATATCTTTCTCCCAAGCTTCCCGTGAGTGGTGTGTTGGGATACCCGATATTGGACAAGTATAGTTGATTTCTTGGCCAGTAACAGGACATTTAGCTAAAGCCCGTATGGTGGCCGCTCTTTCTCTCAAGTCGGGAGAAGGCGATTGATCCCACGGATGAAACCTATTTTCTACCGTAGGCTCATCTGGAGAAGGTGGTGGGTCCAATCCCAGTGCGTTTCGAACAAATCCCATGATATGTCTTTTCTGCATTAGACCAACACCATAGCGAATACCAGCACTATTGGCAACATACCCGCGCATCGGAAAGGAGTAATAAAGCTAAACCTCGTTTGAGATATCGGTGATAGCGTTTATCAATGCTAGGGAAAGTTTATAAACCTATACCTTAAATACGGCGATGAGCTACAACATAAGTTTAGGTTTACTTTATAGATGTCTTATTCTAAAATTTTTCAAAATGTAATTAGTATGGGAAGTGAATAAAGTTAACAGGAAAGAAGTTAACCCAGCTGAACAAGCTGTGAACAGGCTAGAATCATTTCAATAGCGTAGATTATTGTTAGAATTGAGTCTTATTTTTTAATGATTAGTTTGAGTTTTCGTTGAAGTCTAGGGCCTATTTTTATGGTTGTTTTTTGGTATTTTCAAAAATCTTGAAAATGTCAGAAAAGTCTGTGACGAGAGGGATCTAAAGGGCTCTTAGTAGACCATGTTATTAGTATGATTAACAAAGTGGGCGAAAGAGTTGTTTGAAGGTTGAACTGTAAACCTCATCGCGCGTTTGGGTGAATCTTCGTCACGTCGTGAAATGAGACGTGAAGTCGTAGGACATCGAGGGGAAGAATGGTCTCCAGATTTCAATAAGTAATACCTGAGGGTCTCTGGATTTGTTATTTGTAGCTCTAACGCATTGTTGTGTAGATGAAAATCTGTCACTGACATCGATCACGTGCGTGTTATGAACGCAGTGCTGAAGTATGAGGACCGTGGCACGGCAGTTGTTGCTGTGTGACTTGGCTGGTCAAATGAAGAGGCCGATATCACTTTTGACCAATTCCGTTCCTCCCTTTTTGCGTTTACCTCCGGAGTTTTTCAGACACACCAATTTACGCACAACGACACTGCCAGAAAGAATGACTGAAAAATACCCAATCCAATATGCAACTGGTCAAATATATCAGCCTATACTATGCAAGTCAATTAGGAACGGGTCCGCAAAGCTAGAAACCCGCATTTACGAAATGACCCTTCACCTCCGTTCTAACTGGAAAACAAATATTCCTTGGGGTCACGTGACACACAAGAACTCTTATATTTACTCTGAGATCGTGAGTTTCACCGCACACATGGCAACTCCAAAACGAGTTACAACGAAAAGCTCAGCTTAATCCATGCCCACCACAATTGCTTCGTTCTTCACACCGAGAATCTCTGGTCGCCAAGGCTCATCGCTTCACACGATTATTGAACTTCTAAAATTTTTGAAATTTAAAGATACTCATTCACCCACCACCATTGGAATGGATGAAGCATCAGAAACAGTGAGTAGCGGGAACCGGTTTTCTGTTCGACATCCGGTGGCTTCCACAACGGTACTAGAATATGCTTAGTGCTTTTAGACAACTGGCAGCGCGAGCGCTGCTGAAGCCTCGTGTCTCGAGTGCAATTGGTAGATCTGGCATGCACACTTTCCAAAGCCATACGATCTTAACTCAGTCAGCGATGCCCGTGTCATTACTGAAGCCAATAGTGCCAATGGAACCAAACACAACTCCTGAAGAGCTGTTCACAGACAGTGTAATGCGGAAAAGACGACTAAAAATGAAAAAGCATAAGCTGCGGAAGAGAAGAAAGAGACAAAAAGCTGAAAAGAGGAAAAAGTCTCAAGGTAAATGAGTGGAACGCCCACACTTTTATAATCATTCCCTGTACATACGCGAGAAAAGGAGCATTCGCATGACGTTGTCGTTCGCAGCAGCGTTTTACACCAATATTTCAAAATTTATAAGAAAAAGCTGCAAGGCCGTATAGATAACCAAAAACTGGACACTGCACACTTCTAAGTTCACCATCTTCATTTCCGCTATTTTTGGAGGCCCTACATTTTATATGGCTTATCTGTCTAAAAGAATCTACGCAGCATCCACCACATCGCCAGGATTTGAATCATAACGCCCATGGCCAGCACGAGACTTTTCTGTTTGCGACTCAATTTCTCTGTGTGTTTCCATTCGTCCAGGGCAAAAGTAATTAGTTTAAAGCTTAGCTTGCCCATTAGTTCTTGACGATTGATCTCACCCAGTTCCGAAATAACCCGGGTGTTCCACTCGAAAATCGCGTTTGACACCTCGATTATATCCAATTTCTGCTCCTCGGTTAGACCCTGGCGTGTGGCCAATTCGTATCCGCGTTTGTAGTCCTTGCGAAGCTGGTTTTCGGCTGTCACACCTTCGGAGCTGAAAGTGAAGAAATTCGTTCCACGACGAACCACTTCTTCCGGGGTGAGATCTGGGAATTTGGGGAATAGCCCTGTCGATCTGTACACCGTCGAACGCATTACACGTCCGCCTGCGAAAAGGGCAAGATACAGCACGTGACAGTACGCCAGCACCGTAGTTGGACTATTCTGGATGCCCTGATGAACGTAATCCACGAATGCCTGTTGTTGCATGGGCAGCACGTTTTGCTGTATGAATTCATGTAAATCTGTCTTTTTGGGATACTCCTTTGCGTACAAAACCTCCAAATCCTGTAATATTTTGTCTGAACGCCGAAAGTCATCTACCCAAAACTGATTTAGGATCTCTTTGGTCTGCAATTCTTGTTTAGTCTCTGCGTTTTCCAAAATTCTGTCGATTTCCTGTTCAATAGCTTGGAAAATGTAATAGAACGCTAAAATGCCTTGACGATATATGAAGCCGTGTTTCATGGCAAAAGCGAACTTGACGCTCATCTGGGCGTCAATTTTGTTGTGTTGATCTCTAGTATGAAAGTTGATGCGATTGGCCAAAGCACCCACATCTGTTGGCGCTGGAATTGTGCTTGTCATAGTGAAAAGAAGGCGTGGTGTAAGTTTATCAGTTATTTCGATGGGGAAACAGCAGCACACAAAAAGTTCTCCTGAAATCCCTAGATCCTTAAAGGGCTTTTTATACCTTTTCTTAACCTCAATGATGTTGTGGAGAAAGAGGGCGTAGTTTTGTCTTCAATCCAGGTGTGGTTACTTATAGCTGGAAGTGTAGTTTTGGGTGTCATCCGATAACTCCCGGAAGGTCATGTGATATATTTGACAAAAAGGCTGACATAATCAAATAGGATTCGTCATGTGATCCATAAAAGTGTCTGGGTTGTTTGTTATTTTGAACCCAGACACGTAAACAACCAAAACAATAACGCGTTATAAAGCACCCATGTTTCTTACACCTTTTCCCACCCCATTTCTTTCCGGTATTTCCTACATGCAAATCTCTCCCATTCTTAGCTCATATGCGCTTGCGCCTCGTAAAACTCTATAACTTGCTCGGAAGATGTTGCGTCCTCCACACCCTTGTCGTCTCGTATGCGTATGAATCTTGGGAATCGTAGCGATATGCCCTTGTCGTAGGAACCTGAGCCTGCCTTGTAGACTGGCGAAAGCGATAGATCCGCGGTCAGGACCTCGAACAGCATGGTGGGCTCGAACCAGACGTCGGGCGGCGCAGATTCGCTGTAAACGTAGAAAGCTTTCGGCTTGTCAATCTCTGTGGGCTTCAAATCGTCATACAGCTTTTGCAGCATCTCATCGGAAAACCCGGTGCCGATCTTGCAGCAGGTCTCGTACTCGCCGCTATCTTGGTTGTAGCAGCCCAGTAAGAACCCTCCGTAAGTACCCGTACGTTTTCCCCGCCCATAGTATGCACCCAAAACACACAAGTCCAGCGAATCGCCCACACCTTGCAAATAGTCCTTTTTCAACTTCAACCAGTTACGGGACCGTTTGCTGGGTTCATACTGCGAATCCTCGCCGTCCAGCGATTTCACCATCAAACCCTCGCAAGAATCTTTCACGGATTGGTCCAAATAGTGCTGCATCTCTTCAAGACTCGTAGTGGTCATTTCACTAGCAAACTGCAGTTCCCCAGGAACCGGCTTCAGCGCCCGATGCAAGTACTCACGGCGTTCCGCAAAAGAACGGCTTATCAAAGGCTCATCGTTGTAACACAGAATGTCAAACGCAAATAAGCACACTCTAACTTTAACGTCTTCGGCCACCACGCCCTTTCGTTTCCGTGTACTCAGCACTTGGAAGGGCAAAATCGTGTTGCGTTCCTTGTCCCATGCAACCGCCTCACAATCCAAGATAAGCCTATGTGTAGCGTCTTTGTTCGCAATAAAATCGCTGATTTTGATCTCTGGATATCTTTCTGTCATGTTTTCGCCATTTCTAGAGTAAATATGCATCGTGCCATCTGGAAGCAAGTGGACTTGGGCTCTTTCGCCATCGTATTTGTACTCACAGGTGAACCTGTGTCCTTGAAATCGATCCAAAACTTCAGAGACGGATTTTGACGGCTTCGCCAGCATGGGCTTGAGTGGGATGCCCGGCGTCAACACGCAGTGTTTATCTAAGTTCATGATGCCATGTTTAAGAGCCGTTTTTATCACAATTTCATAGTTCGGTATTTGGCAGAAAGCATCACGAATTTTCTCTTCAGCTGCATCTACGGAAGCGGCAGAGGGCTCTTTACCGTCGTGTTCATGAGTTAAGATCGCCTTAGATAGTGCGATCAACACGCTTTTTTCGGCGAGCCCAATTCTGAGTTTAGACTCTAAAGACCTTATGAGAAACTTAGCCTCTACACCCTCACATGCGGTCAACATTTTCTTGATCAACTGGATTTTACGCAATTGTGAATCTTTACCTTGAGCTTTAGCAATGGCCTGTAGATTGGCAAACACTTCACCCGTGGTTAGTGGCTTGGGCTTAAACATGGTGGGCTGTACTGCTCTTGCCTCCTGAGCTATGCGGCCCAGATCACCGAGCTCACGGTAGCGCGCCCTCACTTGTGGCAGAGATTTGCCGCAACTTTCGCTGATCGTCTTCATGAGAAGCCCCTCTCCAAGCCCAAGTTCGAGTCCGGGCTGGTAATCGGGACCCAATCGGTTTATCAGCAGGTAGGTGATTGGCACGAGATCATCTTGAGTATGGGAAAGTACTGAATACAAGAAATCACTGCACAACTTGACGATCTGTAGTCTCGAAGATGTAGTTTCGATTTCGTTGAAGACATTGCAGATTTCAGAATACAGGATCTTGGACTGTTTTGGGGCCTTGGGGACTATTTCTGGCGCACCAGGGATATCGTTTTGGACAACGGGTTTCGCGGGCTTCAACGATGCAGGAATTGGGTCTACCACAGGCTGATCAAGTGTCGACGACGACACCTCCAAAGATGAGCTTTTTGGCTCTGTACCATCTGTATCGTTCAATTTGGGCTTTTTGACAGTTTTGTCCAATTTTGACGTATCGTCCACATCTCTCTTTTTAGAGCTGAAAAACGCCGCTAAGGTGGCCTGTTTTTTACCTGAAGACATTCCAAAACGGGCCAATCGTATCATAAACAGTTGAAACTCTCAATTTGCAACGTGAATCCGCTGTATTTGATCTACCTATTTTTTTTTGCCGAGATGACTGTTTTACTACCTTCCAGCCGTAAAATGACCCTAAATTGGCGCTTGGAAAAACTCAATGTATGCAATTGGTTAGCCACAGACAATTGGAGTCACTGTGAGTCTCTATCAGTATCTAAATAGCTGTCGGAGCGTTGTCTTGTGCCTTTTTCAATCACTTCTTTGAAGCTCATCGATACGTGGATAAAAGCTACAATATATTTATATATACTTAAGCTAATTTCATAGGGCGACAGCGACACACCCGTTAATAGCGATATATATTTCCTAAATGTTTTTATTAGCTAAAAACAATGCAAGTCGCAGTAACGATGAGGCATTGACACAGTTTGGATTTCTACGTGTCAAGTACATTCCAAACATACACTCAGTATCATATTTGGCTCAAAAACTATTTGAATTGTAATTTCAGCACTGAGTCATCATATACGAGGTGAGAATGCTGGTTAAATTACCATGAAAAATTGGAATTTATAGACTCTCTTATAGGGGTCTTGAACTAACCAAAACCACGAACGAAACGGTTAAGTACGACCCCTTTTGGAACGCTTGCAGGCTTGAGTTTTGTGTGTGTGTAGCTGCGTGCAATTTTGTTGGATTTAAATTTGTAGCGTCGGAAGTTCAGAAATTTCCAAGCTTCGAAAATGTCAAAATCGTTGATGAGAAAGGCCAAAAATGTGGTGAACGGATATTCGAGCACACAGGTTTTGTTACGGGAGGCTACATCTAATGACTCAGATGGACCATCTGTGGACCTTTTGGATGAGATTGCGGAAAGGTCGTGGGACAATGTGAGTTTTTTCGAGATCATGGATATGCTAGATAAACGGTTGAACGATAAGGGCAAAAATTGGCGTCATGTTGCGAAATCGTTAACGGTGCTGGACTATTTGGTCCGGTGTGGCTCAGATCATTGTGTTCCTTGGGCCAAAGAGAATTTGTATATCATCAAAACATTGCAGGAGTTTATACACGAGGACGAACTTGGAACCGACCAAGGTCAGCTTGTGCGTGTCAAAGCGCGTGAACTGACCGCGCTGTTGCTGGACGACGAGCGTTTGAGAGAGGAAAGAGAACTAAGACGGAAGAACCGTCGGCCAAGACGGCGTCGGACTCGCGACAATCTCAACGACGACGACATGCAGCGTGCTTTAGAGGAAAGCAGACTCACCGCAGAGCAGGAAGAAGAAGAGCGTCGCAGAAGATTGGAGCTCTACGATAATAGCAATGACGACCTGCAGACCGCCCTGCAGCTCAGTCAAGAAGAGGAAGAGCTCAGGCGTCTACGAGCACTTCAAATGCAGCAGGCTCAAAACCAGATGTTCGAGTACAAGCAACCCGAACAGCAGGCCATGTATTATGATGTTTTCGGAAATCCAATTACCTTAGAGGAGTATCTTCAATATCAACAGCAGATGAATGAACAACAGCTCGCGCAACAACAATATCAACAAGCGGCTCAGCAGCAATACCTCGCCCAACAACAGTACCTGGCTTTACAACAACAACAGCAAGAGGAGGCACTTGCGCATCAGCGATACTTGCAGTCGCTTGCACAGCAACAACAACAGTTGCAACCCTTAGCAACAGGCTCTAACAACCCATTCGCAAGAAACAACCAAATGAGCCCACCACCCAATACGGTTCAAACACCCGCTCCACTTCCTCCACGTCCAGTGGAAGTGCCACAGCAAGCGCCTGCTCCACAAAGAGTTCCTTCCCCACCACAGCAGCCACTCAAACAAACCAGAACTGGGAACCAGTCTATCTCTGACAAGTTCAGCGACTTGAACAATCTTTTGGCCACAGGTGCTGGTCTAGATACATTCGGTAATACAGGTGGTACTCGTATTCCTGCTCAGCATACCAAGACCGGCACCTTCATCAATTCACAAGGTACAGGTTATAAGCAGGTCACAAGTGAATCACAGGGCAAGAAGAACCCTTTCTTAAGCCAACAATACACGGGACTTCCAAGTACCTCGGTTGTGCCCTCTTACACTGGCTATGGGTTTGGGAATGGGAATCAAAATTATCCGCCTCAACAACAGCGCAACCAATATGCTTCCAACGGAGCAGCAGATCAAGGCGTAAGTCTAATAGACTTGTAGTTAAGTTTGTACTTCAGAATTTAAAGATCTGTCTTTTTACATGTCTTTGAAAACCACGATGGACGAAGTGCGAGTGAAGATAAACTTATCGAGCCAGACGTTGATAGGAACGCTAGAATAGATTTGTTGGTTAGACTGTTACGCACGCGGACCTGCGAATGTACAAATCTAATCACCTGCGTGCTAACTGATGCATCTTCTTAAGATAGCATGGAGTGACGAAGAATCTGTTAAACAACCAAAAGCACAGGGCCTTATATTCCCCTATATATTGACCATTTATATGCCACACCAGTGACAACATGCAGCGGGAACTGACCAGCTGAAACGAATTACTTACGGAGAGAGGTTGGTTTTAACGATGCGTAAAACAACAATCACTGCATCATGCTTACCTCATGGCCACGCCCAATTGGTTTTCAGTTGTTCGTAACACAATTAGCAATCAGCCTCTGAGCATCGGGCCATTCAATGCTCCAGAGAGTTCAGGCCTACAGCCCACTTGATTCAGAAACATACAGAGTTATTTATCCGATCGTGAGATCAAAATGCCAGTGACCTATGGTTGAAACCTCATTAGATCTGATAATGCCTGTTCTTAAAGACATTGTGCAGGCCAGGAGCGCATTCTGAAAGAAAGTGAAGTCATGGTGTAAATACCTGATGGCATGAAACGGATCAAACACCTTCAAAATTGTAAAGGCTTCAATTGTAGATAACTTTAATCCCGCATTTGTTAGGATTTCTTGAAGAACATGCTTCATGATTTCACATATCTAGCAGCAGAAGTCCGGAGACACTCTCCAGATCTTTGTGAGTCAGAACTAGCTCATTGTTTAGACGATTGGAATCTTCCTCTTTCACACGATCTTTGTTTTCCACAGATCGTAGCACAGCTTCGCGAACAAACACTTCAAGGTATTCTTCGATAACTGTTAACGTAGACTCCGTGATTCTTGTGGAGTCGTGGTTGAAAGAACAAGTTTGAAAAACACGAGCAATGGTGTCCTTGGGTACCATACTCTTCATCTGAATATGAGTGTTCTTGTATGAAAGAGATGTGTGTTTTCGGACTTGTGTTCATTGATTTAGTAGGTGATGATAAGTATATTTGAGTTACTTGTCTATGTAGATACAACCATCTGGAGCGTTACTTGAATATCGTTGGTGGATACGTCCATCTGCACCTGGTAGGATTCGGAATCATCCTCCAGATGTAATGGGATTATGGCCCACCCATCTCCCTCATCCACAACGTCAGCTTGAAGCGTGTTTCTCGAAGTTTGTAGACAGTTTTTCGAAAAACGGCTCTGACTTAATAGATAGCTCGGAATGCGCGCACTGAATTGTTTGATATCGTCCTCTGGGGTTTGTGCCCGCACAAAACCATTTTCAAGCTTGAGATCGAAATCGCACACGGGTAAGTAAGCATTGATTGGCGGTGTCAATAATACCTTGGTAACCTTTGCAGCTTGCTCTGGTACCCTGAAAACAAGTGCCACGTCTTTTGAAGTGCAGTCGGCTGATGAATGGACAGTTGCCAGCGGAACAGCTTTGACGTCTGGCACGAGGTCTGTCGCAAAGGATTGTTGAACGAATCGCGAAGACTTAGGATCTGGAAACACCTTAGTAATATAGGCATCGCATTTGGGACATTTGTAGTTATATTTTGCCTTAAGTCTGCGTGGCAGTGGTAGTAACGACAAATTCCTTTCAGAATCGTTAGGTGTAAACTTTCTTTTCGGCAGTGGAACCGCATGTTCTTCGTCAATCAATTCAAACAGTTTTGCAGTTTGAAGTTTAGCCGCTAGTTCTCGAGATGTAGCTTCATCCAGAGTTTCAAGCACACCCTTGTTGGTCCTTGCTTCAAATTCCTCTAATTTCCGTTTGGTGTTGTAGAAGGCCCGTAGATCACGGAACCTGGCCAATTGCGGGTCTGATTTTTGGCGCAATGAGTCGAAATAAAGAGCCAGACCTTGAGATCGAGCATTCTTCAATTCGTCAGTTTGATAGGTCCATCCACAGCCATGGCAGCTCAGTATCAGTTCTTTTTTGTCAGAAAGTCGTCGACCGTCGGTTGTCGCAACCAACTGATTTTGGCATTTTGGACACTCTAAACAATTTTTAATGCATTGCGTTAGGCTCCCACTATCGACTGTCGAGTAGCATCCGGGACAGAACTTTACGGCCAGTTCTGGTTTTTGGCACTGATGGCAAGATATATGCTGGCATGCGCGACATACGTTGAGAAAGTAAATGGACTTTGGCTCTTGGGAACAGCTACATATCCAGCCTACGTGCATTTGAGAGGGTGAAAGTACATCGAGCGAGGACCATGGTGAGTAAAACGTAGTTTGATCTCGAGCTTTCAACTGTGATGAGCCTGTGTAGATCCGCTAATAAACCAAGAGATCACATGATGAAATACTGCCCATTAGGATTATTCTGGTTTTGAACAGCTGTAGAGATCGTTGGCTCAGGGCTAGCGAGATAACAATATCATGAGAATTTCTTGAGTGAGAATTAGTACTTTTTAAATTTTCAATGGTTATGATTATCCTCTACTGATACTTGCTGGCGATGCGTTGTGTCAGAAACCGAATAAAATGACAAAAATGTAACAGATCTTGGGAGCTGGGCAATGATGTTGGTGTGAATTAAATCAACGACAACAATTGAAGATGATTCATTCATACCTGACGGTATTTGAAGATATGGTACCCTGTGGGTGTGGCGATGTGAAAATTGGCGTAGGAAACTACCTCATCCGGGAGCTGTGAAAAAAGTTCATGCTATGGGACGAAGCAATTAAAGTTTATCTTCGAGAAAAATGTCAATTTTTCCACAACCTTCAAGGAGCCTCGCATGCTTCCAGGGTCGTTCTTTGGCTTTTATGTTCTCGTAAGTTTGATCTTGCCAAATCACATCACTTTATACTTTTTTGGCACAGCGTCAGGTAATAATCTTGATAGCTACCACTCGACTAACGAACAACATACCTAGGTTCGCTATAAATCTAATCGCATTGCTAAGCAGACCATTCCCCGATGATTAATTCTCTCTTCACTAACATTTAACGGCATCGGCGAACGTTCCGGTGCGTCTTTCGAGCCCCATTTCCTACTAAAAGTGATCAAGTTTTACTTTTTTCACTTTTTCAGTCGAAATTCTTGTAGCCTTGAATTTATCCTGAGTTTTGAGCTTATCTCCAATCCAATTCGAATCTCTGAACCCGTTAAAACGTATTCAACTGGCAAAAGATCGCTCGGAACTTATATACGTGTGTAAATTCGTTACCGGTGCCATTAATTCAAGCTAGATACAAAGAAATAGAGCTCAGTACACATTCTTGAGATAACAATACCAACGAACGGTACCGCGCAATTAAGCAGGCTCCATAGACCTTCTTAGTTCTGAAATATCGTATTACGCTCAGACCATCATGTGACCTGATATATGATTAACACTATCCAAGATGTGATTCAGGAACTAGAAGAAGTAGCACCTCTAGAGACACCCTGTCACGATTACACGTTCAATTGACATTAGTGGTGCTTCTTTTGTCCCTCGCATTGGTTGAATCCCATAATACATGAAAGCTTCTTTCATCACAGCTTTCCTGGTCAATTGCATCTTCGTCCGTTGCTTACAAGAAGACAAATGGGACACTGTAGCTAAAAACCTGGCACTCCTGCCGAAACACGAGGAATGTTTGATCAACTCTGCACAAGAATGGGATCCCCACCAAGGTGGGATAAATATAACTTTACCGATTGATTATTACGAAGAGGAGCAGGAGCATAACTGGGCTGCTTTTCTTGCTTCAGAAAGCCACGACAATAGACTCATGTACTCGGAACTTGTGCGATCTAGCGAAGTTTTCAACAACACCGAAGCTACATACGTCCTCTCTCAAATATTATTGCAACAACAATATGGAGTTCCCCAGAACAAATCTTTGGCGTTCCATCATCTACAGAAGTTTAACAATCTCACAGATTACACCAATGCCTCTGCGGTTTTTGAACTAGGTGTAATGCATATCACCGGATTTTTTGGTACCATTCCAGTGGATATTCCCCAAGGACTGATCTTATATGAAAAAGCAGCTGAGCTGGGGGATTTGAGGGCTATCATGGCATTGGCGTATCGATATTCCAAGGGTATAAACGTTCCTCTGGACGAGGAAAAAGCCCTTATGCTCTACAGCGGGCTTGCCACAGAACTGCGTGAAAATTACACGGATGTTGAGTGGCAAATATTCCATCCCTACGTGGAATCTTATTATGTTCGCATTCCAGATTTAACAGGCGGTCTGTTGGGCACTGGTCTGAGTCGGAGAACGTCTACTATCTCGAGATTCAGGGCAAATAGGCCTGATATCACAACTCCTGCCCTGACAATTCTACGCTCACAAGGTGTTAAGCTCGTTCCTGGAGAATTTTTTTTCAAGGAAGAAGACGAGGACAGCAGACAGCTTCTGGACTTGTATTACACCGCTCTTGACAATTACTTGGGCACATACACTCAAAGACGCAACCTAGGGGCTACTGTACAGATATTAAATGCCACGATAACTGAATACGCGTCTCAGCTGCCAATAATGGATACTCTACAGAAATACTACTACGGCAGATGCTTAGAATTGTGGGGTCATATGCTTCTCACTGGACAAGGCTTTCCATATCGAGATGTAGATGCAGCTGAATCAATACTGATGGATGCAGTGTCCATGCCAACCTCCTCTCAATCGCTTGCACATGTAAATCTCGGCAAGATTCAGCACTATTTTCGTGAGAACGCCACGGCAGCGCTAGAGCATTACGAGAAGAATATGCGTGGTGAAAGCCTCTACCAAGGATATCAGCTGTACAAGTCAGGTTTGCTGCCACCAACTGTGAAAACCTCCGAATTCTCACTTAGAGGTGCTTCAAATGTGGGACAGCAGCAAGCGATCTATGAGTTGGCAGTCGAAATGGAAGGACTTTCTGTCGGTGATATAGCCTTAGTTGTGCTACAGTTCAGAAGATTTGTTGAATCACAAGAAACACGGGTCGCTCCTCATATGAGAGACGCGTTCTTAGCGCTACTCAGAGGCGAGACGGAAGCGGCCTTGTGGCTATATGCACAGGCAGCTGAACAGGGAATTGAGATAGCTCAAACAAATGCTGCCTTCATACTTCACCAACCTGCTTATAATCTGGACGAGCCACCTTTTTCTCCCGTGGAGCGGAAGCGCTGGGCAGCACGTTACTATGCGCTGGCGTCGTTGGGAGCTGCAAAAGACGCACTTATTGTTGCAGGCGACATTTACTACCAGTTAGGTGACTACGAGCGGTCAGCAGCATTTTATGAAAGCGATTCCTATTCTCCTTTGGGGAGTTGGAATCTGGGGTACATGTACGAGTACGGGTTGGGTGTCGAACAAAACTTTGCGCTAGCGAGAAAGTGCTATAGCATGGCATTGGAAGTGAATCCAGCGATATTCCTGGGTGTCAAGCTTTCCCTTTTGAAGCTACAATTTAAATCCTGGCTTCTGTGGCTTACAAGATCAGCAGAAAGGTTTGGTTGGCTAGTTAGTGCGGAATCAGTCCAAACAAGAACAGGTGGTGAGCCGCTGCATTCTAAATTACTCAAGAAGCTTTGCAAGACCCGTTACGAGAAACCGGAGCGGACAGTGCTTTCTTCCAACTATTACGGCCTACCTACTTTAAAAGACGCATTCTTGATCCTAGGCTTATTTGCGATCTTTTTAATGATACAGTTCGCAAGGCTAATCCGGGGTTTGTTGGCGCGTCGCAGAAACAATTTTGGAGGTATCAATTTTCCTATTTGAAAGGTGTGTTTTACAGTGACAATTCTTCACATACAAATAAACATTTTTTGCACTTCAACTAGCAATACCTCGCTCTGGGGGACGTCTTCAAGGAACTGGTTGCATTGGTTTTGGTGTAGTTCTACTGACCTCTTATTCCGTCGCTGTCGCCGACAACTATCCCAAGGGCAACGACAGAAATGTACAAAGTGACATTTATTTTCTCGCATTGAAAGAGGGCTGGATGGAGGCCGGATCTCTTTGATTTAGCGAATCCATAATAAATGAGCTCTTCATCGATGTGCAAAGGCTCATTCAAATTTACAAGCTTTTTTTTCGCACAGATACCTTCTACATAGGGCAAATTGACAACAATATGTTCTCAAAGTTTTAACTGGTATTTTTCCCAAACATTAAGCGACTAATTGCGAATTAGACTCTTCTCTCGTCCACTATAATCCGGCTCCATGCGCAAACGCTCAGGACTATTTGAATCAGTTAAGCTTTTCAGTGAAAAAAAAATTGTGGGAAGAAAGCCGAAACTTAATATCAAACCAACGTTCTAACCAATTCAACAAGTAGTAATCCATCAAGAGGCTTAATCTAAGGTATATCTCGAACCTGCCAGAGCTTTAACTGGCCATAGTTTCAGAGGATGCTGTGGCACGTGATTACCAAAAAGACATACATCATTATCCACGAATATACGAATCTTGATATCTGACATCTACATCGCTTTAAAAGCTCAACATACCTCAAGAGTATTTGTGACAGACGCCTGAAAGAGAAGCTACCATGTAGTAAATCCCCTAATCAAGCTTCGGTCAATAAGGCTGTCTATAAGAATGAAAGCACTTTACGTGTGTAGTGATCCTAATGTATATCACTACGTACGCATGTACTCGTGAGCTGGGTTTTGTACTCGTCCTCATTCCTGGTCTAAATATCAAATAGCATGTTAACTAACTACTAACAATGTTCAAATTCCATCACCAAGAACTGATCCCAAAACAGCTCAATCTGGGACCATTGACCACCCATTCTTTGTGGTATTTGTAGATTTGGCAAGTTAAAATATGGCCACGATTTCCAATGCTCACTCGGAGCTAATTCACGACGCGGTTTTGGACTATTATGGCAAACGTCTAGCAACATGTTCATCCGACAAAACAATTAAAATCTTCGAAGTGGAAAACGACACTCATAAGCTGGTAGAAACTCTTCATGGGCATGAGGGACCGGTGTGGCAAGTGGACTGGGCCCACCCCAAATTTGGTGTGATTTTGGCATCGTGTTCTTATGATGGAAAAGTATTGATCTGGAAGGAAGAAAACGGACGTTGGGTGCAAACTGCGGTCCATGCTGTGCATTCTGCATCTGTGAACTCTGTGAAATGGGCTCCTCATGAATACGGACCTTTTCTGCTTGCAGCTTCGTCCGATGGGAAAGTGTCAGTTGTTGAATTCAAGGAAAACGGTACTACCGCACCTGTCGTTCTAGATGCTCACGCAATTGGCGTCAATACTGCTTCTTGGGCATCTGCTGCTCTGCAAGATGGCTCCTCATCTCTTCAGGAACGCCGTTTCGTCACAGGTGGAGCCGACAATCTTGTCAAAGTCTGGAAATACAGCCCAGAAGCAAACACGTATTTGGTACAAGACACACTTGAAGGTCACACAGACTGGGTAAGAGACGTTGCATGGTCCCCTTCGATGCTCCTGCGTTCATACTTGGCGTCTGTGTCTCAGGATCGTACCTGCATAATCTGGACACAAGAAAATAACCAGGGTCCTTGGAAGAAGACCCTATTGAAGGACGACAAGTTCCCAGACGTTTTGTGGAGGGCTAGCTGGTCGCTTTCAGGAAACATCCTGGCCATCTCAGGAGGCGATAACAAAGTGACCTTGTGGAAAGAAAATCTGGAAGGTAAATGGGAATCCGCTGGCGAGGTGGAACAGTGAAAGTGGGCTATGCAAGAGTAGGCCTCAAAAAAGCCAAAAGAAGGAGGATATAATCGATTGTGATCACAATTGAAGTCTAACAAAATGTACGTATAAATATCTGCATTTCTATCAGAAGAATATAGAGAGATTACGCTATTCAAAGCTCGGCAACGACTGCCTCCACTAGACGTTCAACATCCACAGAGGCTAAGAACCCTGTTTCTAAGACCTCCTCGTGGGTGGCTTTACCTTGATCAATCGGTACCGGATTTTCGTCTAAGGCGCTGGCTGGTGGATCAACAACAACCCGGTTCGTGATAAGACTCAAGGCCAAGACCCTTAGTCCACAATGTCTTGCCACGATCACTTCAGGTACCGTACTCATACCAACAACATCTCCTCCGAATCCACGTATCATTCTGGCCTCGGCTCTGGTCTCAAAAGTAGGTCCTGACACGAACGAATAGACACCTTCGTGAAGAGGTCTTTCCAAACCTAACTCAGCTCTTTTATTGTACAGCAATTTGCGAAGCTTCAAATCGTATCCATCGCTGAGAGCTTGGAATCTTGGACCGTATTCGTCAAAGTTAGGTCCTCTCAATGGGTGTTGGCCTGCCAAACCAGGAAAATTGATATGGTCGTTCAAACACATGAGATCTCCGACCTCATAGTCAGGGTTGATAGCTCCGCATGCATTGGTAACAATCAGGTTTTTGATAAACCCCCATTCGTTCATCACTCTGATGGGGAAAACGGTCTCGTGGAGTTCGTGGCCTTCGTAGTAGTGCAATCTTCCACACATCAATACCACTGGACTTCCTTGCATATATCCAAAAACCAATTTCCCTTGATGTCCAGCAACGGTGCTGGACTTGAAACCTGGAATGTTACCGTATGGGATTGCCAATGGCTCTGGTTTCAACGATACTTTGTCGACGATTCCCCCTAATCCAGAACCACATATGATCAACGTTCTTGGTTCGAATCGAGTGAAATGTTCGAATATAGCATGCTTGATGTATTCCACGGCGTAGCCGATTGCAAGACGTTGTTCGTCGAGGTCAAAAACACCCATTTGTACTGTTTTCAACTGCTTCTAAACTTTTGATCTAAGTTGAAAAGTTGAAAACAACTTAGAAGTCTGCTAGAGATATAATGTTGTGCAGATCTCACCTCGACGGTCGAGATCCAATTTGGCAGACGCGGAAAGCAGAGATAGATACGGAATAGTTCGAAGTGATATGGGTATGCAGTTATCTCCCTCGAGACACTGATGCTAAAAGACCTACATGGATATTATCAAGGTTGAACATTTCGTTGACAATGTAAACCACGATGCAACTATACGTTTTACATGGATGAAGCATGATGACAGTACCCTGCCGGATTTTAATAATGCTTGAGAATGCGTTACGATTGACGCTTTTTCTCTGTTCGAAAGATGTGATACACACAACTTTTGTTCAATAGTACAGAGACAAATTCAATGACAATTGCTGGGTGCTGAGAACTTTCGAGATTGAAAAGATCCATTCGATAGAGTCACGAAAGCTTCTCTGCCATATGAAGAATGAATAGTTTGGCTCTGACGATGGCAAACACTGAAAAACAAAATAGTCACAATACTTCGAAAATCGAGTGCCATACAATGCATGATAATGATACAAACGATCTGTGATGCTTGATCGGCCTTGGAAGATGTAGTGAAATGGGCCTTGGTGGTGAATATGGGAGAAAAAAAAAAAAAAAAAAAATTGGAACTAGTCCAAAATGCATTACCTGGAGACGCCCAAACTCAGTAGCCATGTGGGGATGCTTGGCCTTGCAAGGAGGCCGAGGCATTCATTGGGGACATGCCCTGCATGTATTGCTGAGGAGCATATTGTTGGGGAGGGTATTGTTGAGGCATATATTGCTGAGGATGGTACGCTTGAGGATGGTGCGGCTGTTGTTGTTGTTGCTGCTGATGCTGCTGCTGCTGAATTTGTTGCTGGAGTTGCTGCTGTTGTTGGTATTGCTGTTGAGACCCTTGTGGCGGCTGGTTTTGTTGTTGTGGAACGGGGTATTGTGTCGATGGTGCTGCATGGAATTGCGGTTGAGTCTGTTGAGGAGGCAATTGTTGACCTGCAACATTAGCCATCGTATTAGGTAGAGACGACAATGGGAATGGCACTGGGACCGCAGAGTTGTCCTCTGCGACGTAAAGCGACTTGTCGATCTGAGCAGGAATAGCAGCAATTTCTGTACCCAATTCTTGCTCGATCTTGTAAAGATTGAACCGGTCGTTCCAGTTGATGAGGTTGATGGCAAGACCCAAATGTCCAAATCTACCTGACCTACCGATACGATGTAGATAGGTCTCTGCTGTCTTAGGGAAGTCAAAATTGATGACAACGTTTACGGCTTGAATGTCAATACCACGGGTGAGTAAATCTGAGCAAACCAAAGTACGCACTTTTCCTTGACGAAATTCGTGGAACACTTTGTTTCTTTCTTGCTGCTTCATCCGGGCATGCGAATAATAACATGAAAATCCAAGGTCCGTAATTTTCTTGGCCAGCAATTCCACACGGTTGGTGGAATTACAGAATATGATGGCCTGATTAATTTGCAATTTTGAAAACAAAGTGTTGAGACAGTGTAATTTTTGTTTTTCTTCCACAAATGCGTAATATTGAGTAATACCTTTCAATGTCAATTCGTCCATGAGATTGATCTCATATGGTTTGTGTAAATGTTTCACCATAAACTCTTTCACTGTGAGTGGGAAAGTGGCACTGAAAAGAAGAGACTGGTGCTGCGAAGGAAGAAATGTCAAAATTTGCTCAATGATGGTTTTGAAATCCCGCGACAGCATCTTGTCTGCCTCGTCCATGACAAAAAGAGGACATTCGCTGAGATCTGCCACTTTACGCGATGCCAAATCGAGCACACGGCCAGGAGTACCTACAAGCACATGGACGTTGTCATTGAGACGCATAATGTCGTCACGCAGATTGGTTCCGCCAGTGGTCACCATGCACGAGATCCCGCAATGTTTACCCAAAGTTCTCACCACTTGAGAAGTCTGCAATGCCAGTTCACGAGTAGGGACCATGATAAGCGCTTGAATCTTGTTGAGTTTTGGCTTGACACGTTCGAGCGTGGGAATCACAAACGCTGCAGTTTTTCCAGTTCCGTTTTTGGCACGCGCCAAGACGTCTCTTCCGGCCACTGCGATTGGGATGGCTTCTTCCTGAATTGGCGAAGGTTTTTCGAACCCGGCCTCGAAGATGCCCATCAACAGCTCACGCTTCAAGAAGAAATCCTCAAAAGTGTTGCCCTTGGTTCCCAGTACATCGTCTGTTTGCGGCCGTGTATCTTTTTTCGGGATGTTCAAAGCGGTTTTCCACTCAGAATCCATGGTTCCGGTAGTCTAGCGTATTCAGAAGTGAACGTGAGCCTTAAGTACGGTTTTTTGATCGATTATCTCTATCGTCCCGGGTACAGCAAAAATTCCAAATATGAAGCGATTTTTCAGCGGAAAAAATTTTGTCCAGTAAAAGGAGCCGTCTGTTTCCAGTGTTCTATGTTTAAAGGGTCAAAAACAGCTGTATTGATTCGTTTATGCGCTCTTGAGACTCGTCCAAAAAGTGGTTGGTACAAGTCCAAGTTTGTTTTCGATCTTTCACCCCTGTAAAAAAAATTTTTGAGATACGGAGTCAATCTCAAACCACGTGTATATCACGGGTCGTGCTGGTCGCTTTGAACGAGTTTTTTTTCCATCAAAAATTAAAATCTGAAATGTCCTAACTTAAAGGACAGTTCAAGCAAGATTCAAAGGATTCGACTATAAATATCGCTGAGATTCAAGCCAATTCACTCCAATTTCGAGGGTTTTAAGTGGTGGATGAGAGCGATTTCCAGTGGAAACGAAGGGATCGGCGGTAATTGACGCGCTGCAACGAGCCGGTGACCCTTTTTCGCGGTCGAAAACGATCACGCATATATATATTCACGGATAGATCAAGTGCATTTTCTGTGAAGAGATGGAGTTCGGAAAGCAAAGTATTCGACTGCAGCAGGTAAGCGAGCAGGTCGACTCGCGGCTTTTCCAGCCGTCGTCGCTGAAACGCAAAAATCTCAAACATCTGAGGCTCGGTGGGCCTAAAGCCGGAGGAACAGCAGATTTGTTCAGTGGGCCGGTCTTAAACCGGGTGGTGAGCTCTGCAACGTCGCCTGGAGCATTTTTGGAACAACAGCCCAGTCCAACCACTTCGGATTTGTCTTCTGCGGGCATCACACCCACGGATGAAACGGTCAAAGAGTTGGGAGCAGATTTCGAAAACCTGTCGTTGTTTAAAGATAGCACCATAGAGCTCCAAGATTTGGTGCAGCTGGGAAAAATCGGGTCCGGAAACTCGGGCACCGTACTGAAAACATTGCATGTTCCAGACTCGCGCATTATTGCAAAAAAATCCATTCCGGTAGAAAATAAGCCTCTCATCAAAAACCAACTCATACGAGAACTAACTATCATGCAGAATGTAAAGACTCATGAGAATATAGTTGGGTTCTTCGGGGCGTTCTACACGGCGTCTACTACCAATGAAATCGTCATCCTTATGGAATATATGGATTGCGGCTCCCTTGACAAAATTATGTCGACTTACAAATCGTTTGTGAAACGGGGATCCCCAGATGCTTCCGAAAACTGGTTCAACGAGCTGGTTTTAGCCAAAATCTCATTTGCAGTATTGAACGGGCTCTCGTACCTCTACCGGGACTACAAAATCATTCATCGAGACATTAAACCATCCAATGTTCTTATCAACAGTAAAGGATATGTCAAGATATGCGATTTCGGAGTCTCCAAAAAACTCATCAACTCCATTGCCGACACATTTGTTGGAACTTCGACCTACATGTCACCAGAGCGTATCCAGGGCAGTGTCTACTCGACGAAGGGTGACGTATGGTCTCTGGGACTCATGATCGTGGAGCTTGTCACAGGCGAGTTTCCATTGGGTGGCCATTCTGATACGCCAGAGGGGATTTTAGACCTTCTGCAGCGTATTGTCAATGAACCGCCTCCTAGGCTGCGGCAGAGCCCGCAGCATTCACGCGAAATGGTCGATTTTGTCAACAGATGTTGTGTCAAAGATGAGCAAGAAAGATCTTCGCTGCAAGAATTACTATGCCACGATTTCGTAGAGAAAGGGCGGTCGCAGGGTGACCGGGAGTTCCGGCATTGGTGCAAACGCATCAAAAAGAGACTAAAGGAGGATAAGATGTTACAACGGGAGGAAAACGAAAGAGCTAAGCTGGTCAAACGCCAGCTGGAAAGTGCTGCAAATGCAGCCACGGCGGCCAGGAGTCGTTGAGAAAGAAGCGGGAAAAAAGATGAATGTCTTTTTGAGCCCTACAAGAAAAACTGTAACAGTATAAACACAAGTGGATAATTATTATTTTGTTAATATATTTTGTCGTCATTCACTGGCTACTTCTTTAAAAAGGAGCTTACTTGTAGTCTATTTTCTTCTTATTTTTTGCCCGTATTCGAGTTCCACAGCCATTTTTCTGTCCCCCTTACCACTCCAAATACCATCAGAGCACCGCCCAAACCTCTGAGACTGGCACGCCACCATCTTGGGTTGAGCTCTTGAAATTTCTCTAATGAGATGCCTCTTTTCTTCTCTTTATCTGAGTACTCAAAGGGTTTACCCAGAGCTAGATATCCACCAAATCCTAAACTAAACATCGTGCTCATGATCTGGCAAGGAATACAGTCTTTCGTTTCCTCATCTGTCAATTCTCTTTGTGGCGGTGGATTGAACACAGACAAGATATTACTGGCCATTTCTTGAGGAAGTGACGGATGAATTTGAATTGAGTTGAGTTCTTGAGATGAGATGAGTTAATGATGTAATTTACATATATAGACGACTTCTTAGTCAAAACTATAGAAGATACCACTAAAACCAACGGATCATACGTCCTACAGCTTCAAATATGGCTGAATTGAGTGCATTTCAGAAGCGTCGGTTGGACAACATCAAACGAAACAATGATTTGCTAAAAAAACTCAATTTGAATGGAGTTTCCGGACAATTGAAGAGTGAAGCTGGTGTGAAAGATCAAGTCAAGGTCAAAAAGGCCAATGGGAAGAGGAAGCCGCCTCAAAAAAGTGCCAAAGTGGCTAAGGTACCAACCAGGAGATCCAGAAGGCTGATGGGAGAGACGTCAGACGGAAAAGAAGTCCCACATGTAAGCGATTACGAGCTTTTGAAAAGGTCCGAGTCTCCGAACCTTGAAGAATTGAAAAATACGGCTGTTGTAGGAGATGTTAAACTAAGTGATTTGATCAAATCTGAAGACGAGAGTGAGCTTTTGACGCGATTCCAAAGCTACAGTAACAAGAATTTTTCTTCTGGGGATTTTTTCAAAGAGATCCAAAAACACAAGAAAGTTTCTAAAGATATGGCAGCGTTACAGCAGGATTTCGACCTCCAAATGTACCAGGTTTTTGAACCCAATGAGATAAAGATTGTTCAAGACCGTATCAGTGCTATGTTTTTCCATCCTGCAGTGGACCGAAAATTGGTAGTGGCTGGCGATACTACTGGCCATATTGGGCTCTGGAATGTTCATCTTGAACCCCCCAAAGATGAGATAGAGGCACCAGATATTACGACAGTAAAGCTTTTCAACAAAAACGTGGCTAAGATCGATGTTTTTCCGCAGGACTCCAGCAAATTGATGACAGCGTCGTACGACGGACTATTACGCTCAATTGATTTGAGCAGTCTTCAGAGTGATGAAGTTTTAACGCTTAAAGACCAATACGACGATCCCATGGGCGTTAGTGAGTTTCAATTCAGCTACGAAGACCCGAACCAGGTCTTTATGACCACTTTGGGTGGAGAGTTTACTAGTTTCGATATCAGAACCAAAGCTACAGCGCCAAATATCTTACGGTTGGCAGACAAAAAAATAGGATCTTTCAGCATCAATCCGCAAAGGCCTCATGAGATTGCTACAGGCTCATTAGATCGGACGCTCAAAATCTGGGATGTGCGCAAGATCGTAAAATCTGCAGAATGGCTACAAAACGACGATTACTCCAGTCTTGACCAAGTCGCAAGCTACGATTCTAGACTGAGTGTTTCTGCCGTTTCATACGCACCTGTGGATGCATCATTGGTTTGCAATGGATACGATGACACCATTCGTATCTTTGATTTGAAAAGTGTACCAAAATCAGATTTGCAACCGAAAATCACTCTCAAACACAATTGCCAAAGCGGGAGGTGGACCAGCATTTTGAAAGCCCGTTTCAAGCCCAACATAGACGTTTTCGCCATCGCCAACATGAGTCGAGCCATAGATATATACCATAGCTCTGGGGAGCAGCTGGCCCATCTGAAAACCGCGACTGTTCCAGCGGTGGTAAGTTGGCATCCCCTTCAAAACTGGATTGTGGGTGGTAACTCCAGTGGAAAGGTATTTCTATTCGAAGACGCAGGCGGTCATAGTGAGTAGAACAATAAAGTTTTTTTGTTATTAAAGTTGGGATCAAATAGGTAGAGAAAATTTGGTCTCATGCGCACTTATGGTGGAACTTGTGAAAGCTCCAACAAAGCGTCCAGCACTCAAGAGGAGCAGGAGAACCAGTGGTAAAAAAAGAAACTATCAAAGAAAAAACTTCGAAATGTTGGTATGATTTCCCTTCAATTCTATCAAAAAAAATGCAAACACCTTTTTTTGGAACAAGTAGACGAAATATGATCACATTTTGTGACCAATATTACGGGAACGCGTGAAAGAGCAAATCAGCTCTTTTTGGCGAACTCTAAACGTCTTTTGCACCCGGCAAGTCGCCGTTGTAATATAACATCAAATAACCCGTGAAACCTTCACCGTTGGGATCTGGATTACCCTCGGAATCCACTTCACCCACACCATACGTGAAAGTGTAATAATTTTTAAAGCCGAAATACTCGTAAACGGATTTGGCATGCTCGTTAATGGCCTCAAGGACCAGAGCGACGCCCTCTGCGTCAGCTCTTTGCTTGTAATGCTCGAAAATGGCTCTGACCGAGCCACGAACCTCTGGTTGCGACAGATCCTTGCCGATAATAAACAGATAATAGCAATCAACGTCCTGTAGAAGCTGTTCGCGCTTGTCGTGCAAATCGTCGAAAAAGATCTTGTTGAAAACCGGGTCGTTAGTAAGATCCTGGTCGAAGTGGTAGCCAGGGCCGGTCCAGACAGCCACGGCGTCGAAATCGTTGGCCTCAACAATCTCCCCGCCCTTATCTGAAAACTCGGTGTTGAAGTAATGAAGAACTGCGTTGATACGCATTTTCGACACTTTTTCATGCACCGAAATATTAGCAAATTTTTTCATGAGGTAGTCGTTGGCACGAGACTCGTGGAAAGCCTTGGCCAGCGTCAAAGTCGCCCGTTCGATGTCTTTGGTTAAATTTACAGGCACCACAGCTCTGGTGTGGCCTTTATTCAGTTTGACCTCAGGCTTGGATTTTGTGATGTCTGCAGGAGAAGCAGGTGGAGAAATAGGAACAGATATCATGATGTCTGTAGAAATGCTTGTTGGAGGTTGTTTTTTAATTTTCGTGAGTGATGTAGATGTCTGAAAGAAATAACAACAGCTTCTCTTTCGGACTCCTTTCTCTCTGTTCCCACCACCCCTCTTTATACCTTTCATTCCTGCTTCTTGCGCCTTGACCCGTATTTTCAGTGCATGCCCCCGTCGTCGCTTCAGGCTCCGTTCACCCCTTGACATTCGCTTCTCAAGCGACCAAACCGTAATCGTCCACCGATTGATTATGATACGAATTTTCGTTAATCTATCGTATCAGTCGTTGTCCTGGTAATGGCGCCTCGAGCATGCACGCTTATGTAAACAGTTGGCTCGAGCCCATGTATTACGTCAGCACATTTCTGGTCCCTTAAGGCCGTACCTTACGTAAACATTCTCTTTTTGTGTGTGTGTGCGTGTTATCGCCAGTCTGGCCATTTGCTTACGTCATCGCGGATTTTGAGCTCCATTCCCAGATTCAGATAACATGAAGTGGTTATCGCTCGAGCGTCCAGCTGTTGAAGGAACAATGGCCTGTGAGTTTAGCGAACGCGTGGAAAGAATAGCAGGCAACGTGGGCTCGATAAGCAAGGAAAAGCCGTGTGGGTATGGGTGTGGGTATGGGTGTGTGTGTGAGAGTGAGTGCCAGTGTGAGTGTAAGTGTCGGCAAGCAAGGCCTTTCCCCCCCCTGCTCGGTCGGTTATCCCCGAGATTGTGGTTTTAAGAGCTTGAGCGAAATGGCGCGGGTGTAGTAATGTGTGTAGTAGTGTGCTGATGGTGATGGGTGTGCCGAACGGGCTATCTAAGCGAAATTTGGGACAGAAAAAGATCATCACGTGATCCCGCATTCATATGATAACTTGACCAATGTTTTCTCTCACAAACAACAGATTTATGTCATCACGATCCCACACCAACTGCAACAACAAATTGATCTTCAAAGCACCATACGAATGTATGGTTTCCGACGTGCTCTTCAGATACTCTTTGATCACCAGACGGTCTTCAGCATCCACGGTAAATGCCCCGATCACTAGCAACGACCACAACAGAATGCACAGTAGCGGGGTTCCCTTCTCAATGTCCTTCAAACTCTTGATGGTGTACTTGACCAAGTCCTGGATCTGCTGGTCGCGCACGTCAAAGTCCTCGAACCGCACAATCTTGTTCAGTAGTAAGTAGCACGCCTTGCTGATGATCGACCCACACAGCAGTCCCGGCCGGTAAATCTCATATTTCAACTCGTCATTGCGCACTTGTTCCGGCAACGGTGGCGGCTTGTAGTACAAGCACTCCTCCATCAGAGTATCTGCCACCGTTTGCCACTGGCCGTCCTGCAGAGGCAACGGCATCCGACTCAAAAACGACACTTTAGCTAGCATGCAGAACGCATCCAGCGAAGGGCCCAAAACTGGGTTGTTCATCCATGCAACGTCACAGTCGTTGAAAATTGGTGATTTCAACAGTGCTGCCAGTCTTTGAAACCCTTTGCCAAACGGATTAGGTAGCTTCGATAAGTCCTTCGCTACCAGCAGCGAAACCGTGTAGTTGTACATGAAACTCTCGATCAGCATACGATCAGCAGGAGTAGAGCCGTGTTTCTCGATGTCATAATATTTGCGTTTGATGATGTCAAAGGAATGCGACAGGTTATCCACACAACGATCCACCATCGACTCTCCCTGTCCATTGTGTAGCTTATTTGTCAAAACCAGAAGCTGGAAACAGGCGAAAATCCAGGTCTCATCACCACGAACTCTGCCTGAGGATAACTCAGCGTGTAGGTGGCTTTTGCATGTTTGGTACAGTACTTCGGCCGTGCCAGAGTATTTCTGCGGCTGGCACCACGCTAAAAAGGTGGCCCCACAGCACAGGAAAACATCCTTGACAATGGAGTGCTGTGCTAGCAAAGGCACAAACGTTTCTGTAGTCGTCAATTGAGGTAATGTGTGCTGTGGACCTACAGCCGGTAAAAAATAGTAAATGCAGGTGTAGTATAGCAATAGATCTTGCTGCGTGAACTGGTATTGAGACATAAGATTGGCCACCGAAATCGTCGTCTGATGTTCATTTTGAGAGCTGGTCCAATTCACGAACTTCCGCATTACTTTATCATACAATTTCTCCGATAACTCTTCGTCCAAACCATAAGCGTTATACTCATCGTCTGCATTGGTAGTAGTTACCTGTCGCTGAGAAGCATTTGTGCTTGTCAGATCTATTGATTCAAACGCAGACAACGGGGGAGAAACTAGAAAACTCGGAGAAAGCAAAGGGTCCTGATGATCAGAGCTCAAAAGCTTCCCCAAACTTGGTGTTACTGAGAGACCATCACGCGTTATATTCAAACCGTAGTTCTTGCTGTGATCTTCACTAAAATTTAAAACCATCTGATTTTCGGTTTCTTTGTCTGTTCCGGGTTGCGCGTCATTTGAGAGCACGAATTCGTTTTGTTGTATGATGTGAGCATCAAGTTCACAGTCATCTTGCGCACATTCCGTCTCGCGTTCGTGATCATGGTCTAATTCGCACTCATTGAACTCGTAGTCCTCTTCGTCCTCGTCGCCTGCCTCGTCGGTAAGGAGCTCAGGTATCGACCCTAATCCTGGGATGTCACTATTGAGCAGAACAAAGCCACTTTTCTGGGATCCCAAAGTATAATTGACGAAGCACTGTTTTGACTTTTTATCCTTGTTTGAAGCATGTGCATCTGTTGATCCATCGTCGTAGAAATCGATTTTCTTCTTCATTTTTTCACGCATTTCTCCAGTCAAAGGACCTTGGCCCTTGCGAGGCCAAATGCACTTGAACATATGCTTTGAGCACGGTCCACATCTAGGCTTAGTTTCATCGCATTTTTTGCGTCGTAGCCTGCAGGTATAGCATCCAGCTCGAGATCGACTGCGTTTGGCCCTGGTTTTACGCTCAACTCGAACCTTGGGCTCTTTTTGGTATTCTAAGTCAGCATACATTGCGTCTGTTGAGATAAATCCCGCATTGGTGCTCAGATCTTGTGCGAGGTCTGACTTAAGGACTATCTTGTTGCGATTTGGAATTTGAGTTCGAGATGGAGTTGGAGCGCCCATGTTTATGCGAAAAGATCATCAATTGAGTTTCTTTAGAAGTTGAAAATACTAAGTTGACAAAGCAGTCTAGTTGAGTAACAGATAGGTTACTGCTGGTGAGTTGTATTACAGTTTAGTTCAAGTCATTGTGCAGTTTTCCTATCTCCAGATGGAATTCTGATTAAATTACTCTGATACTGACAGTATCACGTGAGAATGACGGCGGGTTTTGATAAGGGCAGTGAACCTACAAAAACTCGAATTATGGGCATATTGAGAATAGCTATTGTTTCCTTCAGCCTTGTATGTCTCTCCTAGTCAGGTTCATTCAATCTGGAAGCGAAACTGATTTTAGAACGAGAAATCGCTGAGCTAAATAGAAATCGTAGCACCTCATTGGCAGCAGAGAAAAAATGAAGGTGTAGATTTACTTCAAAGCTCTAGAAAAGAAGCTTTCAAATTGCCTTTGAGTGTATGGAGATGATTTGAAAATGCTCAAAGCTATCATACAGTATGGTACCTGGAAGGCTGCGCAATGTAGTTTTGCATGACAAAAAATTTAAATGTTGTGAGGGAGCCAAGTGGAAAGGCAAAATCGCCGAACAAAGGGTTCTCTCTCCAAACGTACACAATTGACAAGGTTCAGTTTGGCCTTGAACACTAGCCTTGACAATTATCACTTGGTATTCACCCGTCATCTGTCATCTGTAATCTGATCACGCGATGACTCTCAAACTACCCATGCTAGCAGTTATTCTGACTGGCAAAATAGACTACTAGCATGTCTGTTAAACAACTTCCACTCTTGTAGTAGGGCGAATAGATCTATGGCTTATGGTGTTTGCATCGAATATGGAATGCCCATCATAGAACGTCGAACTGTTGGATATAGTCCCGATGCTACTATTTTCTCGCTGTCCTTGAATCTCAATTATTTAGCGTGCTATTCGAGATTCGTTTGTTATCATTTCCCTTGTAACCGGAAATACCATAGTATAAAGCTTTTTGACAGTCACTCTTTCCATTTCCATTGGCATCGTGTCGTATTTTGAGAATTCATAGACATTTAAGTCTTCCCTCAGCAATCAGTTTGAAACAGTCTTTTGATTCATAATCAATTTTATCTTTATTTCCCTTGGTACGAGTTCTGTTGTTACTTGAACTTTTAACGGAGCTGAAGCAGTAGTGCACCTTGATCCCTGTGCCGATTTCACAGAGGACGATGAAATGAACATGCGTCGCTGTGGCGAGCCAATCCGTGGCGTCCAGATAGGGTGCTTCCTTCCGTGGGGAGAATGTAGGTCTAGCCCTAACGATAGGTTTGCAAACAAATATGGAATTCAATCCGTCAATTCTAGCCTATTTCTGGATGGTTACGTTGAAATTGAGGCCGTTATACCTTCGTTTTTAGTGGATTTAACGAAGTCAACGAAAATGACGTAGGAAGACTACCTTGGGTTGTAGATACGAGACGTCTTGGTATGCTTCATTCTCGATTCAGGTAACAACTCGATGTCATCATGTTGCATTACGAAACTCGTATGCTTTTCTCCGCTAAGCTGTCCCATTCAAGTCTGAGCAAATCACACCCATTAGATGATAGGAAAAGAAGGTGTTTTCCCAAGGGCAAGATATAGTCGTTTTAGGTTAAAGACCATATCTATAAGAACTCAGGCCTAGAGAACTCCTACACATACAATTGAAAATTTTCTGAATAGTGCAACAGGTCTTAATGGTCTTCATGACCCTCATGGTATCTCCTACGATCTAGCAGACAACCGTTATTCGGTTGTTTCTTTCCCAGCACTGTCGCTGTCACCGAATCACGTGACCCGAGATCACCTAACAACTAATCTGACGTTTGTCTCCATAAGAAAAGAAGTACAAGTTGTGTCGACCCACTGATGTCTAACAACCGAACAAGGTGGTTTGGAACTGTATAGCACATGATGGAGTTCCACGCACACTTTTGTTCTTTCTTATTTTTATTATTATTATTACTTTATTCTTACCAGCACGTGACTTCTCAAAAGGTTCAGATGTCTAATGATATTTTGTTTACATTATAAGCGTCTCTGCTACCTGTTAAACACAAACATCGAAGAACAACTTCGAGCAGAAGGGCATTGAGTGACAACTTTTCACTCGCAACTGTTTGATTAGTTCAATCTGAGGACAGGACAATCACATACCTTGGTTTTTGCGCGCAATCTACTTCTTGCTGCTCTTCCAAGATCAATTTTCCGCTGATTTTCTGAACCATAGCATCTGTCAAAGTTTAGCAGTAAAGCTGGTCACTTTGGTTTGGTTTCTCAATTTGCCACCGACACATCACTGAAGCGAGCATGTCCACTCTCCCGCACACGGATGAGAATGCGGTGTCCTCAAATTTTGCGTATTCTAATGATGCTCCAATGGGTGTGAAAACCTCGGCTACGCAGAGAACCGCCTTAGGAGATGTCACAGCGCGTGCAAACATGCCGTCGGCCGTCTCTAAGGCTGCACAAAACTCCAAAAACCGAACAGGACTTTATTCTCGCCCACTAAACACCCGGGATACACCAGAACTTATAGTCATCCCAGATGAAGAGGCACAAAAACAGCCAGATTGGGAGCCTGAAGATGTTAGTGGGTTAATGGAGACCGAAAATGGTGCTGGTGTTCTTGACGATAACGAGTCATCATCGTCAGTGTCGTCAGACAACGAACCTTTGCTACTAGTCACTACCAACGTTGCGGCGTACTTAGTTGAGCGAGCGCGCTTACAGCTCCACAAAGACAAGCCAGATCCGCTCGACGAGGATACATACGATCTGGTTATGGTTGTGGAGTACACGAATGAAATTTTCTCTTATCTCCACGAATTAGAAAACAAATGGCGTCCTCATCCTCGGTATATGCTTTTTCAGCCGGAACTGAAATGGTCTTATCGATCTACTTTGATCGACTGGATAGTACAGGTTCATGCTAGGTTTCAGCTTCTTCCTGAGACACTATTTCTGACTGTCAACATCATCGATAGGTTTTTGTCACGTAAAACCGTCACTTTAAACAGATTTCAACTTGTAGGTGCAGCTGCACTCTTTCTGGCTGCCAAGTTTGAAGAAATCAACTGTCCGACTATCAAAGAAATCCTATACATGCTGGATAATGCTTACTCCAAAGATGAGCTTTTGAAAGCCGAACGATATATGCTGAACACTTTGGAATTTGAACTGGGTTGGCCCGGTCCCATGTCGTTTTTACGGCGTGTAAGCAAAGCAGATGACTACGAATACGACATACGAACGTTGGCCAAGTATCTACTGGAAACGACCATAATGGACTCGCGCTTGATATCTGCACAACCAAGTTGGCTGGCCGCAGGTGCTTATTACCTAAGCCGAGTTATACTCGGCTTCAATGACTGGACTCAGCACCATATTTTCTACTCCAATTACACCACAGAACAGCTTTTACCGCTGGCCACGGTAATGTTAGAGAACTGTAGGCACGCAAGTCAGAGGCATCACGCGATATTCGAAAAGTACGGTGAACGCCGTCATCGTCGGTCTTCTTATATTGTGGCCCGGTGGATCGCCATGGCCGAGGAACGCGCTACTTGAAGATTAGAATGCAGATATTGTGTTACGAAATACTCGAAACTTAACGACATTTGATAATAATAGGCATGATCTTTACAGGTTTATGGATCAGTAGTAATTTAATGTTACATGAAAACATCAAGGGATGAAGAATTTTTGTACTGAAACTTTTCTTCGTCACACCGTTGCCATTGTATGCTATATTGTACTTAATCTCTAAATCTAACGGATCTTGTGAGATTTTTCTTGATACCTGTCTTTTCACCCTCATAAGAGCCGGTTTGTCCGCCAGAGTAGACTGCACGAACAGACTTGAGCTTCTTCTGTGCTTTGTCATACTTCTTTCTCTTCTTGATACGCGAGTTACGGTTATCCTTTTTACGATGAGGTGTGAGACCCTTGTTTTTCATTATTTGGTACCCAACTGCACGCTTCGTGTTGTCATCCATGTCGCTAGATAGCTCAGCAAGTTTGCCACTTCTGCTTGCCAACACAGCATCCTTGTGTGCCTGTTGACGTGCATGTTTTTTCTGGGCACCAGCCTGCTGAGTAGCGGTGTAATAATCGGTTGAAGCGTCTCTATTAATCGTGTTGGCAACTTTCTCATCTTCCGAGTTATACTCCTGAGCATCCAGTTGGGTATCCTCAGAAACAGATTGACCCCTCTTGCGTGCTTCTTCCAATAGTCTCTGCTGTCTCTCAAATAGCCTCTCCTTGTATGGAATGTCGTCATCACCTTTATACCGGTCGACTTTCTTGTTTTCCTGTTGATCAATCTTAGAAGTGTAGAATCGCAGTGTTTTCTTACGTGCTTTCTTTTCTTGTGCATCGACATCCGCAGTCTCTGTTTCTGCGAAATCGTCTAATTCAGCGCCGGCAAAAGCTGTGTCATTCTTTTTGGCAACACGAGATTCAGTGACATCAAAATCAAATGCGTCGTCCTCATCTTCTTCTGATGCTGCCTCTTGTTCGCTAGGGTCTGTAGATTGCTCATTACCGTGACTTTGGAGAAGATCCTCGTCCAAAGTTTCGAGATCCGAGGTCTCCTCATTGTCGGATTCTTGTTCCTCACCTTGATTTTCTAATATATTCTCCGGCAGTTCCTGTGCTTGTCTCCATACTTCCTTGGATGTGAGGATAGATTCCATGATTGGGTGGTCCTTCATTCCTGCAAAGTCATCATTCGTTTGAACCTCATGCAGTAATATCGCAAAGTAGGACGAAATAGTACCCAAATAAGACGAAAGAGCAGCGATCTTCAAACTTGAGACTTCGTCCACTTGCTGCTGGCTTTTCAAGTGGTCCAGCTCGGAAGACCAGCGGGCCAGCTCTTTTGACAGAGGAAAAAATTCGGGACACCAAGTTCGCAGAAGACGCTCTTTCGCCTCGGGTTCCATTGAAAGAATGTCTTTGGCCTTGGCTGTGGTGTCGCTGGCGCCTTGGGCGTTGGTAGCTTCTTGAAACTGTCCCAGTGTAAACTTCTTCGCGCTCTGGGCCCAGTCCTGCTCTACTTCTTCGTCGAGATAGTCATTCATGTCCAGATCAGCAAGGTGCTTGCGTTGCTGGCGCAGAGCTTCTTTTTCGATCTCCTTAGCAGTCTCATCGTCATCAAGATCGTCGGCACCGTAGTATTCACCTTTTGTCGATCCCCACGCCGTGTCGTTGTCCAGCATTGCATCGCCATCATCCTCAGCTTCTCCGGCACCGCCAGCATCCATTTTCCGGCCAAAAACTTGTCTGAAGGCTGCCTCGCCGTCCAATTCCTCTGCGGCTTCACTTTCTTCACTTTCGTCCTCATCGCTTTCGACCCCAAGCACCTCTTCCTCGTCTTCATCTTCCAACAAACGCTCGTCGTCCTCCTCACTGGCTTCTGCTACGATATTGGCCTGATCTAGCAACACTTTCTCACGTTTAGCTGCAAAATCGTCAACTTCATTGCGTCCATATGGGTCTTCCACATTTTCGGTTCTAGACCTCGCTTTTCTGACCGGTTTACGAGCCATCTTTAAACACTATACACCTTTCCCACTCGATAAACCCAACCAGAGTAGTTACAAGCGTTCAAATCGATGCTTTTATATGTTATTCGCCTTTCAAAGCTTTGTAAAATTGGCGATGAGCTGTGCGATGAGCTACTACTTAAATTTAATCACTATTCCCACTTACTATTCTGATGTGCTATGTAAAATTTTCAGAAATCTCAGGTCACGCCATAAACACATGACATACTCGTGGACAGTGCTAAATATCAAAGCGTGATTATCATGTGATAATAATAAAATATCGTCAATAATGATTTCAATATTTTCAGCAGATTAATGCGAAAGTGATCAGCATCAAAGAGCCTGCGATGAGCTCAGCTAGACGAAGTTAAAAGAGCGTTGTAGAGTCATCGAACCCCTTCCAATCGAATCTCTTAGCGTGGAAAATGGGTGGAACGGGACGACTGCCGGGCCTTACGCAAGGTTCTGCGAAACCCGGGCTGAAATTTAAGCCTAAGGCGCTAGCAAGACGGTCGAAAGAAGAACGAGACAAGACGGTGCCGAAACCCACAAACGAGGAGTTGAGTGATGGACACAACTCCAAAAAGAAGTACAGCAAAAAGGATCAAGGAAACAGGCAGAAAAGGGTGCCCAAGTATTTGTTGAATACCAGAGTGGTGGGCGCTGGATTTGGAGCAGAGAACTTTGCAGGAGGAGGAGGAATCAATGCGAGAGCAGGTTTCATTAAAAGCGAGGATGGTGGCTCAGGTCATTCACAGCTCATGCAGCTTGGTCTGCAAGGTGTAAATGGGAATGTAAAGGATGCCAACGAAGACGGAGACTCGGATGGTGGAGATGGACGCACTAAAATTAATATGGGCCGTGAGTACCGGTCCACTGAGCTGGAAGCATCCGATGATGAGGAAGGTGAAGCCTTAGGGCTACCGATCGGTCCGAACGGTGAAGTAGACGAAGAATCTTTGCGGTCCAAGCGACTTGCCCATTTTTTCCCAGTCAGAGCTGTCAGAGTGCGTCATGAAGACATTGATTCTGCTCAGAAGGAACTGAAGGATTCGCTTTCAGACCAAACCACAAGGGAGCCCACTCCTGGCACTGCACTGAAAGAAGAAGAAGGTGACCTGCCTGCCGTATTGCAACAACGCGACGTAGAGTTGCAAGACAAACTCAACGCCTTGCAGTTGCAGAACGAATTTGCATCCGTCGACTATCAAGAAGGGCTCGACGAGGTCAGACGTCTCAATCAGGACCATGCTCACATTCACAAGAAACTATCCAAGATCAACGATCAGCCAGGTAAATTCATGTTTTTCCAATTACCAGCTGTGCTCCCTGATTTTGAACTGCCGCAGCCTACTGAAAAGACTGAAGGAACAGAGGATAGCGAAGCTACGAAAGCGAAAGAATCACAGGGCGAAATCTCAAAAACAGAAGAAAGTTCTTCAAATGACCCACAAGAACCGCGCACCGAAGTATCAAAGGACGAAAAGTCGAATGGCAAGAAAGAGGTCACAGAACAGGTTGATAAGCCGCTGTCTGGGAACATTGGCTCGCTCAGAGTCCACAAATCCGGTAAACTCTCTATCAAAATTGGAAACGTGGTGATGGATATCAACAGAGGCGCTGAAAGTACGTTTTTACAAGAGGTTGTGGCTCTTGATGAGCGAGCTGAGGAGCGTACAGTCGAATTACTGGGTCAAATAGTAGGCAAGGCCGTGGTGACACCAAGGTTTTGAAAGACAAATACAAAAGCGTGAGAGAGAAGACTAGACTTTATGTTACGACACAAAGAACCCGCATATACAGCCCATTTATGTACATTAACAATATAAAGGATTTGAGCTGTGCCACTAACCATAGTGTAGAAATGTTCTATTTCATTAGGTCACTTTTCAGCCAAGTACGCTAGTGCATACCACTTTCAGCGGCCAAGAGATTTGCTTCAAGTTCCAAGGTGTAATGCCGATCAAGATGGAGTTCACATTTTTTAGGGGGTAATGACACGCAACTAACGCTGCTCTCAAAGTGTCAGGATATGTTTCTTATTTATAATGTCGAATTGGTTCGAATCAAAGAGATAGTGAGAACCGGAAACGGAATTCAAAGGTTTCATGTCACTTGAAAACTTAAGCCATGAGTACGCACAAAGAGCTGAAATGTCACAATACACAACCTTTAAAAACTCACAGCATTACAACTGCCGGAATAGTATTTCTGACATGAACCGATCATATCATGTTATACCGGCCCTGTCGCTGACACGAGGTGAGATGACTTAGGGACGTCCATAACGTCTCACTTCTGGAAGATCCAGAACTTTTCACTCGATAACTCATTAGCGATATGTATTTGTGCCCTCATTAGTTCTCTTTGCGACTAGTTTAAGCTCACATACGATCGTTACAGCTATTTCATGACTTGAAAGTTCAATTTAGTTTTCCTTTATGGTGAAGAGGCGGTTGTATATCTCAAAACAGGGAATAAACTCACAGCAAGTAGATCCGAATTGACAATACAAGGCTTGACAAGCATGCAGAAGACAACATTCAACGCAACAACTTCGTCGCTTTTGTTGTTAGAAAATACGGATCACTTTACACTTTAGTGACGCCAATAATTTAAGGATTCTCACAATTACGTAGAAGTCACTGGTGAGAACACAGCACACTTGTCATCAAAAACTCCGGTCCTAGCACTCCGAAAAACTGGTGTGCTAGCTTGAAAGTAGGACCAATGGATAGTCCGGATTCCAAATATAATGGTGCTGAAAGAAATACTTTTTTATCTAGAGTTTTTGGTCCCCATTCCACAGTAGGAAACTCATTGGGCAACACCGAGATAACACAAATTACTCCCTCAAGTGAGCGGTCCACCATAGCTCGCAATGATTTGGGGATCATAGAATCAGATCAAGACAGTTCTTCCTCTGAGGATACTGATGCTTTTGATCGCGATCAGGATCGTGTGCGACCTTTTGAAGGCATTCAAAGTGTCGTTTTGGACCCTGATTCTGGAGCAGAAAGCTCTAGTGAAAATCCCAGCATATCTAGTTCAATACCTAAGGCAGGCCAAGGTGATGCTAGCGATGAGAGCGATTTCCGCGAAACGTCATACGCTGGTCCGTATGACGAGGATAATGATCGCGAGGCTAAAGAAAATTCACCACACAACGGCCTCTTGGAGTCAATGGATTTCAGAAGCCAGTCTCCTGTGCCGGCTGGTCCGTCAACAGGGCGTGCAAATAACAACCCGTCTAAGAATGCGTGGAAAAATACATTCGTCGGGAACAGAAAAAGCTTCCTGCAGTTTAAAGAAAATAAGCCAGCAGATCAAGAAGAAAGTTTCTTGTTCCGAAAACCTTCAGTCTGGGACGAAGAAAATCAAGCTCGTGTCAAACCTCAAACCACCGTGCCACGCGTTCTTAACAACTTCTCGAATATTGCGCGTACACCAACGAACAGATTAAACACCTTGAGCCCTCGCGAAAGGGCTTTGTGGAAATGGGCCAATGTCGAAAATCTCGATCTGTTTCTGCAAGAAGTTTACGACTATTACTTAGGGAACGGCTTTTTTTGCATTTGCATTGAGAAGGTTCTTAATATCGCGACACTACTTTTTGTGGTATTAGTATCAACCTATCTTGGTTGCTGCATCGACTACTCCAAACTATCAACCAGCCACAAAATTTCTGATATTCAAATTCCGCAATGCTACAATACTCAAATAACTGGTGCTTCCAAAGTCCTTTTATGGGGGTTCTACATTTTTGTAGGACTGAAGACACTACAGTTCTATTCCGACCTCAAGGCCCTGCGAGACATCCGCAATTTCTACACATATTTGCTCGACATTCCTGACAAGGAACTACAGACCATTGCTTGGCAGAATGTCATAAAACAAATAATGCTCCTGAAGGACCAAAATGCCGTCACTGCGAATGTTGTGGAGGTAAAGGCCAAGAACCGTATTGACGCTCACGATGTTGCAAACCGCATAATGCGAAAAGAAAATTATTTGATTGCTCTGTTTAATAACGACGTCTTAGACTTGTCTCTCCCAATTCCTTTATACAGAACAAGCACACTAACCAAGACACTGGAATGGAATCTGAATCTGTGCATAATGGGATTTGCATTCAACGAAGGAGGTTATTTAAAGCAGAGCTTTCTAAAGTCATCGCAAAGGGGGTATTTGGAAGAAGAATTGCGCAAAAGGTTCATGTTAGCGGGCTTTTTAAACATTATACTTTCTCCTTTCTTAGTCGCGTACTTTGTTCTGTTGTATTTCTTCCGTTACTTCAATGAGTATAAGACCAGTCCCAGTGCCTTGAGTTCGCGGCAGTATACGCCCATTGCGGAATGGAAATTTAGAGAGTACAATGAGCTCTATCATTTATTTCAGAAACGACTGGGTCTTAGCGTTGAGCTTGCTAATGAATATATCGATCAATTCCCCAAGGAGAAAACTAATTTGATTATGAAGTTCGTGGCTTTTGTTTCTGGATCCTTTGTTGCAGTGCTCGGTATTATGACTGTTTTCGACCCCGAGAACTTTTTGAACTTTGAACTTACGCATGACAGATCCGTTTTGTTTTACATAAGTGTTTTCGGTACTATTTGGGCGGTTTGTCGAAGTTCGGTATCCAACGATTACAAGGTGTTTGATCCTGAAGTCACACTGAGAGAGGTTGTTAGTTACCTTCATTTTAATCCGAAGGATTGGGAAGGAAGATACCACACAGAAGAAGTCAAACAAGAATTTTGTAAACTTTTCAACCTGCGAATTATTTTACTATTTCGAGAGCTGGCCAGCTTAATCATGACGCCTTTCATTCTGTGGTTCTCTTTGCCAAAATCTTCTGGCAAAATAGTAGACTTCATACGGGATGTTTCGGTATACGTTGACGGGCTAGGATATGTCTGCAAATACGCCACGTTTGAAGTTCAAAAGCATCACCATGGGTTGGCAAAGAAATCAGTATTCCATGCAACGGAAACTAATAAAAAGGCAGGGACGGCCCTTGGAGCTCCGAAAGATGACGAATCCTCTGATTCAGAAAGTGAGGATGACAATAGTGTGGGTAAGATGATGCGGTCGTACATGTACTTCCTGGACAGCTATCAAAACAACGACAATGCCGTCGGGAAACACCAGTTGCCCAAGAGCCACACTCCTATTAGTCAAGCGACGCTGCCTACCAATCACTATTCCTGGAAAAGACAGTTTCAGCCGGGCCAACGCCCTGAGAACTTTCGATTAGGGCTTGAGAACAAAGCAAACTACAGCTCAAACCATAGACCTCGAACATCTCGACTAAATGCGAAGCTACGTAACGAAGATGCTGGCGTCGGGAGACCCCGCGGTAAGTTTGACAGCGATTTGGGCGAGTCATTTATTAATTCCATCCCGTTAGGTGAGTACAGCAACATTGATGGGACTGAAGATAAGGCTGGTAGGAATGGCGTCCTTGGTCTATTAAATCAATATTACAAAAGTTCAGACGTCGGTAGATAGAAAATAATTTGTAGTTTGAAGTGAAATGCTATTTGTTACTTTTGAACACTATATGCGGCAAGCTGTTCGCATCCTACTTGCTGTTTCTGAGTCGTTTCTCTCTTTCGTACTTGCTCTTTTCAGCGCCTTCCTCGGTACTTATTTGATTGACAATGCGGGCCATTCTGGCATGATAATCTGAATGCTCCTTCTTTTTCTGATCAATCTGTTGTCTTGCTTCAAACTTGGTGTCCTTCCTGATCTCTTTCATTGTGAATTTGCGATCCTTCTTTAATTGAGCCTTCATTTTGTTGAGCTCGCTTCTTGTTCTGTCAGGATCATAAGACTTCTTCTCAGGATTGAAGCTCTCCTCGAATTTGGGCGTATGCATCGGTATGCTTAGAGGGCGATGGTTTTGTAAAGCCAGAGGATAGTGCTCGTTGAGTGTTTCGAGCCTCTTGAACTTATCAGCAAGCGTACTCAACGGCTTCAGGTCGGGATAGTGCTGGCGGTAAGCTGTCATGATAGGTTCGAAAGTAGCAACAAGTTCGGGCAAACAAGACAGGTTTTTCCATATTTTTGATACCGCGTCATCCACAGATGCCAAAATATTACAAACAAGTGCAATTTTGTCTTTCTCGGTGACTTGAGCGTCTTCGGCACTTACAAGACGAAGGCTTAAAGTACATTCATCTGATTCTTTGAAAGAAATAGATGAGGGTGCTTTGAGATCATTTGAATCACATTTTATCACAGAAAGACCTTTAGAGAGTCTGTCCTTTTTGCTTATAGGCAGCAAAGTTAGCAATGCTTTTTCAAAGAAATAGACGAGTTCTGGTACGAATCGTTCGGCTAGCCGTTGGTATGTTAGGGATATTCTTGCTAAGATTGCACCAAATGCGACGTTTCGAAACGAGTTCAGTTTTGTTTGCTCTAATAGCTCTCCCATGAGAACGTTGCATGGAGTCACGACCAAATGGTAATGGTCGGAGGTTGAGAAGATGTAGCCAACTAAAGTGAAAAAAACCAAATCCGAAACGAGTAAACCATGAGATCGCTGGCTCTTGAACCTCAAATGGATATCGTTCACAATTTCTTGACATGTAAGTGACAAAGAATCATTGTATTTCTGTGCCATAGACTTTAAAATGGTTATAAGTTCATTCTGCGTTTCTCCAAGTTCTTTTGCGTCTCCATCGCTGTAGGAGTCAGAGAGAGATAGAATATATCTCAGTAGTACACCTGTAAAAGTGCTTAATAATTCCTTGTTACCAGCCGCTAGCCTGGGCTGATAGGCTCTTATAATGCCCTTCACTAAAGAAGGATACTCTTGCAAATTGTGATTTTCGAGATAGTCCATGAGGTCGTCGTGAGTTTGTGGACAGGGGACGATTGACGAAACGGCAGTTTGCGAATTTTCCAAATGTTTGCCTCTGTCATCACCTGGCAGTTGAACGTCATCCATATCAAATCCATTATCCACATGCTCGCCTTCATCTTCGGAATTTTCGCCTACCCAGAAGTCGTCGCCTAGATCTTCTACTCCTTGATCGTCATCTTCGCCGATCCCATCCATGCCACTCATCCTGTGAATTCGTGCTTGTTCCAGTTTCTGGCGCTTTTCTAAATTCTCTTGATCGATCTCCTCTTGGGTCTTGGTACGGTCTGCGGGGACAGCTCTTTTCTCTAGGCCCAGTTCCCGAACTTGAACATCGTACTGTTTGTCGGAAGAATCCTCTTTAGTGATACTCTGAGTTTTTTGCTTTGGAATGGCAGCTAGTTCCGACATAATATCGTCAAATTCCTCGTCAACATCCTCAATCTCCTCTGCAAGCTTCTCTTTCGCCTTTTGACGTTCTTGTTTATAAAACTTAGACTTTGCAATGACTTCCTTCATTACTTCAGCCTTAGTTTTCTTCCTGGCCGGCCCCTCATCTTCAAAACCAGATGCTGATCTCTTGGTTTGGTCCAGGCCCAAATCTCCGTCTTCGAAATCATCCTCCACCGCTAGCGACTTGCCGTAATGTGTTAATGTACCACCGTAAAGGTCCTCGCTGCCAGCGGTCGGAAAATCTTCGTTTTCGTCATCATCCAGGTTGAAGATCGATTTTTTTTTGGACGACGATTGTGCTTGTCTTTCACGAGTGAAACGCTCTAACATTTTTTCCTCCTCGGTCAAATCCTTATTTTTCTCTCCGAATCTGCGGTCCATAACGCCTCCAAGCTTATTTTTGCGCCGCTCACGAGCCTCATGGGCCGCTAACCGTTGTTCTTCACCGATTTGTTTCGAAATACCAGGTTTGCCTGCCGCTTTGTGGGCAGTATTTTTACCAGTTTGAGAGGGCCTTTTATCACGGTTCATCTTCAATTCGAATGGGCTGAACTGTTCACGAATCTTCGAAATCTGCTGTGCTCTTTCGTCGCGATCATATTCCCGGGCCTGTCGTTTGTTTCCCTTCTTGGAGCCCTTCTTGACATTTGTCTGGCCCGTAAATCCTTGCTCCTTTAGCGATTTTTTCAGCTCTTTCAACTGAGACCCAGCCATGTTTGGAGGTGGTTGGTGAAGGTCTATAAAGATAGTGAAATGGTTGGTAAGTGGTGTTGTTGAGGTCTTGTTTATGAAATACAATCACCTCATCTCATCTCATCTCATCTCATCGCATTGACATTGCTGCGTTTCTTGAAATTTTTCAGCGGTGAATCACATGATCTACCAGTCACGTGTAAACGTAATCTCGTGGATTTAAGATACGTTGATTTAAACCTCACCGTGCTGGGATATGATACTTATCCGCTTCTGTGAGTTTTCTTGAAACGAAATTGAAGTATTATCAGCCTTATCGTTATTTATTTCTCTTATTTCTTATATTTTGGATAGGTTTTCATTTTTATCTACCACTGATGTTTAGTTTTCTTTTCTTGAATTGGGATCAGAGTTTAATAGAAAGACTGTTAGTGATTCTGCGTAGAAACTGTGAATCTCATCGTACCGATTCAACATTCAAATTCGTCTTTCTTGCTAGTTACAATGGCACTCAATCGTCGCTGTCACAGCAGTCACGTGCCGTTTCCAGAGCGTCAGTTTAGGAAAGTTAGTTTTCTCGAGACTCAGTTTCATTTTTAGATACTTGAGACGTTTATGGGTGTCGTGAATAAGTCTCGACTAACTTATTGCTGCTCAAACGTGCCAACAATCATAAATTTTGGTACCAGCTTCAAATTCATTAACGTAGCTATACAAACAAAAACGCAACAGATTACCGAGACTCATAAACGCACTAGATAGTGAACAGCATTTTGAAGGATCTCGAAGTAGTATCTTCATGGATCTGGGAACTCATGGGATGAACAAAAAACGATATCGTATCAAGTGATCTGCTGATCTTACAACTTCGATTCCTAGCCAACTCAAGTGCGTAAATACCACTGCAAACTCAGGTTTAGAGCTTGTTTTACCAAACTGCAAACCCTAAACCACTAAGTTCATAGTATTCATAATCGCTTTGTTATACCTTATTTAATACTCGTACTCGAGTACTTTTGATGACTGGATTACTACAAATTAGAATTTAAAGGTGGCAAAGAACAACATCTAGATAAACCAACTTCGCAACGTTTGTACACCAATTGAGAGCATTTTTGATAGCCAAAGGACCTTTTTCTCATCAATACAACATGTCCAGAGATGCTCCTTTGAAAGCGGAAAAGGACTATACCGAAATTTTGGGTGAAGAGCTGCCCAAAATTAGCGTTTTGGCACAAAATGATGTGGAAGGTGCTGTGAATCAATTGCTGGTCTTGGAAAAAAAGACTCGCCAGGCGTCAGATCTGGCTTCCTCCAAGAGAGTCGTTGGTGAGCTAGTGGATTTGCTGGCTTCGAAAAACCAATGGGAAAGTTTGAATGAGCAATTAGCTTTGCTAGCTAAGAAGCATGGGCAGCTGAAATTATCGGTGCAGTTTATGATTCAGCGTATCATGGAAAAACTGGATGATATCACCGACCGTGATACCAAGGTGAGCGTTATTGAAGCTATTCGTACCGTCACAGAGAACAAAATATTCGTTGAAGTGGAAAGAGCCCGTATAACGCGCATATATTCTCGCATATGCAGAGAGGAGGGAAAGACAGATGAGGCCACAGACTTGTTATGTTCTTTACAAGTGGAAACTTTTGGATCAATGGAAATGTACGAGAAAATAGGCTTTATTCTTGAGCAGATGGAACTGAGCATCCTGAAAGGCGACTTTCCACAGGCAACAGTGCTTTCGAGAAAGATTTTAAAGAGGACTTTCAAAAATGAAAAATATGAGTCTTTGAAACTTGAATATTTCAACCTTTTGATCAAAATCGGTTTACACAAATCAGACTATCTGCAAGTGGCGCAGTACTACCAAGAAATTTACAACACAGAGTCGATCCGGGCAGACGATGCCAGCTGGAAGTACGCCTTAACCCATGTTGTCATGTTCCTTGTGCTGACCCCATACGACAATCTTCAAAGTGATTTGATTCATAAGATTCAGCTCGACAACAATCTGAAAAAATTGGAAAAACCAGAATCACTGGTCAAACTGTTTACTACCGCTGAATTAATGAGATGGCCTATCGTTAAAGAGAGCTACGAAAAGTTTTTGGACGCAGATGACGTAGCTTTCGGCTCTCACACCAACCATTGGGATGACCTCCGCAAGAGAGTCATTGAACACAATTTAAGGGTCGTTTCCAAATATTACACGCGCATCAATCTGTCCAGGTTAAATGAGCTTTTGGATCTCACGGAGGCAGAGACTGAAAGATTCATCAGTGATTTGGTCAATCACGGTGTAATTTACGCCAAAATTAATAGACCGGCCAAAATAGTAAATTTCGGGAAACCCAAGAACTCGAGCTCTTTGCTTAATGAATGGTCCTCAAACGTCGACCAGTTACTGGAACAGATAGAAACTATTGGCCATCTCATTACGAAAGAAGAGATCATGCATGGAATGAAAGCGACTTGAAGGAAACTCTACGTACGGCATTTTTGCAATACAAGATTGAAAAATAAAGTAATAATGAAAAGCAGAAGGTAGGCAAAAAGGCAGCCAAATGGGCCAGTTGTTATAAGTCGTGTTGTTGGTTCCGTTTTTGACGTGCACTTTCCACCAGGCTCTCCCAGCGTTCTTTCAGTTTATGAATTTGAGTTGTCAACTGCTTGTTTTCGGCGCACATCTGTTCGATTTTTGCTTCGTACTCCTTGGATCTCTGCTGACCAACCCATGATAGGCCTTGCAATAATTGTGCTGCCTCCCTTGCAATTCCGGACTCCAGGTCGTAGATGGAAACTCCGGGCTTCAGCTCTGTTTTTGACCGCACCAAAGTCAGTATTTTCTCCACGAACGTCTGGGGACTGTCAGAACTAGCCTTGGGTAACTCCACAGCTGCCACATAATCAGGCTTCGCAGTTGGCGTCGCTGCTCGCAGCTTCAACTGTTGTAGCTCGGAAATCTTACCTTCGATATCGATCTTGAGTAGATCAATTGCGGTTTTCACATCTTCAATTTGCTTGAATCCCTCGTTTTTAGACTCTAACTCCTCTATAAGCTTCACCGTTTCTTGATATACATTTATCGACTCCTCGAAGTTGTGTTCCCGTACTTTAAGTTCAGCATTGGCGATGAGCTCATAGATCTAGACGTATTTGACGGTTAGTTGTCAATGTTTAAATTACATCGAAAAACGTCCCAAAAATTCAAAATTTGTTCACATACATCCTTCAATTCTGACATCTCAAGGTAACTTGTCGACTTTCGCTTAAATAACTGCTGCTCTGGCGATTAGTTCAAGTCTTTTACTTGTTCAAATCTGAACTTCTAACGTTAAGTTGTGTTGTCTTTAAAGTATCCAAGTATTTCAGGACATATTTTAGGTTCGAGGACCAGTTGGAAAAAGATAACCTTGAGAAGTTGCTTACTGGTTTAAGTAGTGGGTTTAACCGTATCTTGATGGTACCAAGGGCGGAAGCACGCAATGCTGCTCATAAAAGTGAGATCGACAAAGATGCTACGCTAAAGGCTAACAACACTACTAGCTCTGACACTACTACCGCTAGATTTTGGGACTACATGGAAAGCATCTTGGAATTACCCGAAGGTCAGTGCAATCAATCCACGGTGAACTCTGCTCTGGTAAAATACATCAAACATGCTGCAGATAATTACCAATCCTGTGTGCAAACGGAACAAGGTTTATATCGGTTAGGACTGACATTCACAGAATCGTTGATATTCCAAAAAAATCAGGACTTTTCCATCAGCAAGTTGCTGTCGTTATTGAGCGTAGATTTATTGGAATGCAATTTGAAATTCATCATCAGCTATATCATTCTTTGCGCTGCGAAAGGTGACTCCTCAGTCCTTGAACTGCTTCTGGAGTTCCAAGGATTCACAGTAATATACAACAACCTGTACAACATTTTTGCATATCTGAATCGGTACGGTGAAGACCAAGTAATGAGCTCAAAAAGTGACACCATTTCGGGCGGTACGGATATCGAATGGGACATCATCCACAATTTGCAACAAGTATCAACGATTTTAATGGATATCCTATTCCAAGTGTTCAAATACTGCAAATGTGAGGTTTCCAACATTACAATAGTCGACGATTTCTTCGTATACTACATGATGAACACCATACAGCCCGGGGTCACTGATGATCAATTCAATAATGCCAAATTCAAGCTTCTGTTGGCACTGAACGAACAGTACATGATATTTTCCTACAAATACGAGCTCGAAAACCGCGTTTACAAGTATCTTGCCGATCACTCCGTCTCCAAAAACTTTGTGGAATTCTTACTGCTCAAGTTCAATCGAGCGACCAACCGCTCGCTGCAAATAATGCTTTGCAAGATAATATACCTGATATTGACGGTGGATAAAAACTCTGCGGAGGAGTTTTTCTACCAGAACGACCTTAACGTTATCGTCGACGTTCTAATACGCGAACTAACGAATATACCTGAAGATGAAGAGCTTATTCGAAATACTTTTTTAAGAGTACTCTTACCTTTGTTGAGCAACACCGAGTTGGCGAAAACCAAATACCGTAGATCGGATTTGGCTGGTGTACTAGAGTACTTATCGTCACTTGATAACATATGCTCATCCGAGGCTCAACCGGTTCAGAAAACGACCGTGCGGTTGGCGCAAAAATGCTTGCAGCAGGTAGAATGGCTCAGACTAGAAGATACGAACGATTCTAATAAACTGGCAAGAATCTACAGCGAAGATTCCAGACAGTCGAGCGTGAGTATAAATTCTGCGTCTCCAGCGCGTGTTTGGCCGCCTCGTTTTTATGAAAACGGTAATGGATCTTTGTCGGCGGAGTCCATAACCAATCGTCTACAACCGCCTCCACCTCCGCCAGCCCGAAAGCTACCATCTCGCCAGGGAAGCGGGCAGAAGGTGGCACAGTTCCAGCTCAGATAAAAAAACATCAAAATAATAGAGGCATCGAGCCATGTTGAACTTTATTAAACCCCCGTATGCAATTGTAGAAACTCAAATAATATTATCACCATCAGCGTCCAGTCCGTCAACATCACCAACCATGTTTTCATCTTCAATAAGAACATCATCTAGAAAGCTTTCTTGTTCAGCTGCAAAATACTGATCAATGCACGACTGAACAACTTCACGAGACTCTACAAACTCATCAACCCCGTTTTGAAACATTCTCCCATTCTGGTACATGTGAACAAACGCACCTCTTTGAAATAGAACGTCAAAGCTTGAACAAGCATTTTGCAATAAAGTAGTGACAGAACTTGTGTTGGCCAGCATCATACCACTTACTCTGTCACTATCTGGTGTCACATTATAAATGGATTTCCTTCCTAAGTTGACGTGTAAGGCAGTAGGCGACCAAGGCGGAAACTTAATGCGTTGCTGTGCCTTTAAAATGGCCCTAGTTACATCTGTTTGATCTGCAGGGCCAATGATAGAGTCAAAAATACTCAGGTACACGGGTGTGTCATTACTTCGTAGAGCCATGCCGTTGTTTTTATCGAATAAATCCAGCACAACGTCATACGCTGAACTTTTCTTGAAGTCTCGGACCTCTGGAATAAAGTCCGCAGTAAAAGGCGTAAAGCTGGGTACCAGAAAGTGCAAGTCTGCCGTCGGTACTAAAGTGGAAAAAATACTAGGCAGCGAATTGTACATGTAGCTGGGAAATCTTAGACTGTTGGTGACAGAAGACAAAACGCTAGCAATCAGCTGATTGGTCTGTTCATAGCTAGTATTTCTATCTCGAAAAACTCTTGTGGCTAGATTTAAAAGGGCATTGTTGTCAAACACCACACTTGCATCGCTATTTTCAATTAGCCTTCGCAAAGTCAAAATTGTATTGTACGGCTGAATGACTACTTCAGACTCGCTACTGGGGAAAACTGAGTATGTTGTCACGATTTTTTTGTGATATCTGTCCGAAAGGGCTTCCAAGAGATTGGATCCAAGACCAGAGCCAGTACCCCCTGCAACGGAATGTAAGAGCTGGAATCCTTCAAAGTTCTCTGTTGCGTCTATTTCTTTGTCGATCATGTTAATGAACTCTTCTTGGTTTTCAAGGCCGTAATCGTAGCCCTTCGACCACGTATTTCCCGCGCCCAGCTCTTCTTTTGAAACCCACAGGTTTCTGTCATTGAATAATCCAGGAAAGGTGTTTTGTACACCTGCAATTGCACTTGGTTCTAGATCAAACATCAATGCTCGCGGCGTAAACCGATCGCTATCGTTTTGACGAAAGAACGTGGTGGGATCATCCTCTCTAACTGTTCCATCGTTATCAGGATCTGCCACTACGCTTTTTCCATCTCTCCCGATGCCATGTTCTTTTATCAATTGTGACCAAAACTGCTTCCCAACTTGGTTTCCGCATTGACCAATTTGAAGTGTGATAATTTCCCCAGTCATTGAGACTAAGTAGCAGTGAAAATAGTAACAATCAGATGTAGTGGAGTACGCAATTGGTCGCTTCAAATGGAGAACTTAACTGCTGTTGAAGTGTGCATTGTAGATTTATGTTTGTATATATGTTTACATTTAAAGGTTGTCATTTGGTACGTCTGTGTCGTCGGCTAGAACTTGACATTCATCTACAAGATCTTTATATCGAATTCTATGATCATCACTCTACATATAGTTGCCGTCTTAGCTTTTTGGTATATACATCATCTAGCTCTGTTATTTTTGAAGAACGAGCTGAATCACCGTCGATAGTTTTCACTTTCGCCCAGTGTGTCGCTGTTTTTTTAATTCATTTCCCGTCGTGCGACCTATGTAAGTAGTATTCTGAGACCAGAGGCTGGATTGCCAATCTTGGATACGGAGGCTATAACATCCAACTTACCCTTTTCAGAGGAATGGTATTTGGCACCAGTCAAAGGATCAGTCACAACTGGGGTGTCTTTGTAGATGGGCGTGAAAGTGGAAGCACAAATGCTAAAGTCGGCGTAAGGATCGAAATTAACCTCGATAGCATCATTCGCCATTAGGTCCGCCCTGTCCTTCACCTTCTGCGCTTGGTCGGCACGGGGACCCGTTGACACAATGTTGAGGAATTCGCCCGCGAAGTAGGAAGCCTGGATGAAGTTTTTGTGCTTAAAAGACTGCGACATTGCAACTTGCAGAGCGGTACTTTTATGTTGCGGTAGCAGCTTGGCCTTTGTGAAGTAAGACGCTAGCTCAAGATTGCGTTTGATGTCGTCAGCTGGCAGCGAACGTCTTGCCAGTTCTATAGATATGCCGAGAATGTATTCACGCGCCTTGTTCAAAGTCTTGAACGCAAGAGTTTCATCTTCTTGGTTGTCCACGGCTAGCAATGTGATGGTATAAATAACATCGCGGAACGCCTCCTTAGCCAGCTCCAGTTTGTTGGTTTTGAAAAGCTTGAAGCCTTCATTCATCTTGCTCGTTACCACCTCACTTCCGGCAATATACGGCAGCAGGCTCTGGGCCGCATTCACCTCACTGTTCGAGCGAATCAGACCCGTGATGCTTGGAAGATCAGTGGGTGTCGCAGACATGTACGTTCTGCAACTCTCGTAAATCTCATGGAAGCGAGGTCTTAGCGGCTCAAAATTGACCAAGCCTGCCTGTTTGTTCAACGCCTGCGCTGCAGCTTCAAATGCACCGGCAGCGATTAACACGTATGGCAGTTTGGAGTTCTTTGTCCATTGCGTGATCTCGTTTTCGTCACTTGGGGCAACAATAGCTTGCTGCTCCTTAGTCTCGTTTTCTGGCTCCTCAATCTCAAGCTCGAGCTCTTCTCCATCTATATCCCAACCTCCATCATCTTCTGCAACCACTTCCTCGTCCGAGAAAGCACCTTGTTCGGCTGCAAATGCATTGCCGTTGGACTGAATGTCTTCGACCAAAGCTTCGTCCTGTACAGTCAGGTCTTCCATTCCACCGGCAAGAGCTTTTTCGAAAAACGAAGGTTCGGCTTTCTCCAAAGGCCATTCCTTTATTGGTTCTGATATCACTGGGGATTTGTAGTGAGTTGTCGAAGTGAATTGGTCTGGAAGAGTCACGTCCTCTTCGCTGACACCTGCGGTCTCCAGGATTTGAGCAGCTTTATCGTCCTGGTTGTTTGCCTTGGCTATAGCGTAGGCTAGCGGTAATGAACCGGCTTCGGCAAAAACCTGCCCTCTCTTTTCATTGAATTTGTTGTAGACGGTGTTGAGGATGACACTTGAAATATCTCCTCTGTGTTCAGCAATGCTTTCCATCTTAGATAGCTTGGTTAGGTCACCCGATATCAAGTATAGAAACGAGAGCTTGTCAAAGCTCTTCTGATTTTGATAAACTTGTTCTACGAGTTCAAGTTTACCTTGATTCAAGGCAGCTTGACCAAGCTGCTCCCAGGTAATACTGGTGTTGAGTTTTTGAGCCTCTTCTTGAGCAATGTTCAAATCGCCAGATTCAAGGGCGAGGTCGAATCTTGTTTGTGGGTCCTGTACGAATTGAAGTGCAATATCAGGGAAGCCAGCTTTCTGTAAGTAAGAAATGATATTCTGGCCAACCAAGTTGGAATTTTGAATTATGCGCAACACTTCCGGGAAGTTTTTATTGACAAGAGCCTTTTTGAACCGGTATTCGGTAGGATCAATCGTGATAATCTCCACTTCGCCTTCACGGTTCAAAGCATACACGAGCTTTCCCTGAACTTTATTGATGTAGAGGGTATTGTCGAGAGTTTTGATAATCCCGTTGTCTCCATTGAGGAGAGTGTATTTGATGTGGTTTAATGTCGAATAGATCAAAACGCCACTTTCATCCCACGCTGCACTCTTGATGCGAATGGTTTCATGCATTGATGTGATAACCTCGAGGTTTTTTGTCACAATTGTTATTGTGTGCTTGCTCATAAGGGCAATATATTGACCGTCGAGAGACCAGCTCACATACTTCACATTCTTAAGAGTAACCTCAGCCACCTTTCTAGTCTGCTGAACATCAAACACCACTACTGATTTTGACTTCAATATAAGCACAGAGCCAGGACCCGCATAAACAAGATCTTTCACGGTACTGTCATTATCAATTTTGATGGTTTTTGTAATCTTGTTATCCAAGCCGCGGACTTCCAAAGATGAACTAGAACTGTTGTAAACGACAAATCTATTGCGAGCAACGAAGGTTGGGAAAGATCCAGTATCTTCTAGAACAGAAGTTGGCTCCACAGCACCCGTGGCCTTCTTAGGCAAAACGCAAAGAGCAAACTTTTCGCTTTGATTGTCCGAACAGTTGACCAAGACCGAGTGCTGGGATGGGCTGTAGGATATGCTTTTGAACGCATTCCAAGTGTGGCCAATCTTCTTCAAAGATGCGTATGGCAAAGAGGAAATTTTTTTCTGGTAGTCGAAGGTTTGAACCTGCTTTTCTTTGTTAACAAAGATCAATTGATTCTGGTTAATCACACTACAAGGTCTTTCCCGGTCCAGTTTGAAAACCATGATCCCTGAGTCGTGCGCAGCACCGAAGAGGTTAATGTTAGGATGAGCCCTAGCAAGCCAGAACCGGTCGTGCTCTCTTTTGAACTGTTTGACAGGTGTTCTTTTGTCAAGATCCCAAACGCGAATAGTTTTGTCCTCACCAACCGAGATGATGAGATTTTGATGTGGGTGAAAGATTACACTATCGACGTTGTTGGTATGACCTCTGCAAGTGTCAACCTCCCAGGCTTTGGTAGAGCTCATTCTCCAGAGCTTGACCTGACGATCATCGCCACCAGACACGATCAATGGCAACGTTGGGTGAAAACTTGCCCAGTTGACACCACGAGAGTGACCTTCGAGAATGAACTTCACCACACAGTCCCCAAAGCCGCCCTCGAGCAGATTCTGTTGCGAAATCATTTGTTCTTCTAGAGAGAACGAGCTAGGTGCCGAATGTCTTTTACGCAAGCCGGAAATGTCCCAAACTCTTACCGTTTCGTCAAGCGATGCAGAAACAACCAAATCTTCTTTAGGATGGAAATCGGCGCACATCACGAAATGACTGTGGCCGGCTAAACACGCAATTTCTTTACGGTTTTGCCAGTTCCAGATACGGATGGTATTATCGTCCGAGGCAGAAATTATCCATGGCAGCTCGCGATGGAAAAAGACGGTCCTGACGTAGTCCAAGTGGCCATTCAAGGTAAACAGGCATTTCTTGGTGTCCAGTGACCATACTTTGATTGTGTAGTCGTCACCAGCAGACACGAAAAGCGGCTGCGTGGGATGGAAATCAATTCCTCTGACAGGACCTTCGTGGTCCTCGAACTTGTGCAACAGAGTCCCCATCCGGTAGTCCCACAGTTGAATGGATGACGAGAAAAGCGCCACCAGAACCCATGGTCTCGATGGGTGGAATGCCAACCCCTTTGCCCTGGTGGACTTCGATTCGAATTTCGTAAGCATCTTCATCTTTCCAAACTGTTTGTATCTTTATGAAAACTGCACCAAAAACAACCGCAATTGGATGTTTGAACACGCCAGAAAGAGCTGAAAAAGGCTGTTCACCACGTTATATTCGCAAAAAACACCAATCTAGTCCAGCAATGCCCCACAAAACGCGAATTGTACCCAGTTTGAAGCCAGTTTCGAGTTTGTTGATCAGTTGGTAAAGGGGAATCGTGTTAAATTTATAGGCCTCTATATAAAAACTTTTTATAGCTCACATCGAACGACGGAATCGAAATTAGAGTGAAGTACTCGAGTCCGGTCTATCAATGACAGATGAAAGGCAGAGTAAAATCCACGACACATAAGAGCTGCAACGATAAACTGATGAAAGAAGGTGTATAAGTGATGGATATAGTCGTGGAGAGTTGTGGTCGCCCTTGGGGATTTTTCCAGGTGTTCTGAGCTCTTTCAAGCTTTCTTCTACGACAAATTGTAAAAAAAGTTGTTGAGAACAGGCCGACCCCAGAGCACCATTCGTTTTGGTTTATCATATCACTGTCCAAGCCAGCCGCGCAATCTGAAGATCAAGTTGAGTCGTTGGAACGGGGGTGCAACGTTTTCAAGACGGGTGACATTTGAATTTGTCGTTGTCAAAGTATTTTTCTGTGTACTGACGACGCTGCCGGCCATGGTTGTGTGGTAGCCTTCATGTAAGGTCCCCTCGTTGGTGGTTGTCCTTTCTTTACGGTTCTGGTCCCCCTGTGATCTTTCTCCTCGGACATAAGTGTCACAGGCGGGATCGTAAACGTAATAGAAGTCATCACTACTAGATCCCATGCTACCCACGCTATCCAATTCTAATGGCAATAGCGCATTCACGTAGGGCGTTACCTGAATATTTTTAACGAGTAGCTCGAATTGGCCATTTTGAACGATGTCGATGGCATTAGTCCAGTCGATAAGTCCACCAGCCCACATGACAGTCCCTGGATGATTCGATTCCACACCACCAGGCCATACGGCGATTTCAAGTCGCATAGGCGTCGAGGGGTACTTGTAGACACCTGTGACGGGATCGTAAGTATCCATTCGGTGAAGAGTCCGCACAACTGATCCGTCGATCAACCAGTTTATCCGATCTTCGTTCCAATCAAATTCATATCGGTGATATTGATCGTGGCCGTCGGGCCAAATCCGTGACTTTTGCATACGAGTATGGATGAGCTCACCGCGGTGGTAAAAATTGGATTGTGCACTATCAAGTTCTCCGCCCAAAAATTCGAAATCAACCTCATCTTTTACCGCAGACATCAGAACCATGGCTGAAACAACACCTTTTCCCCTAGCGACCTTCATTTCCACTGAGACCTTTCCATATAGAAAGGACTTGGATGAGGATACTAGACTACCCGTGGTATCAGGAGGCATGCCTAGCACAAGAGCGGAGTCTTCGTGAGAACTGTTTACCTTCACGAACCCGCTGTACAAAAAATCGAAAAGATTTGAATCCACATCCATATCAGAAGACCTAGAGTAGTGTAAAAAACCTCGCTCGCTCAGTTTATCCTCCAGCTTATCAAGTTTGTCTTCCAGAACAGCATACTCCGGTAGGTCGAATACTGCATCAATAGTGGGTAAAAAGTTCAGGCTATCCTCATGTGGTTCCACCAAGGCACCTCCCAGTGCTATGTACGATGGAATTGCTTGTGGATACATCGCAGGAATAGCGGCGCAGCTTTCATAGCTATGTGAAAAGCGTGGGTCGCAACCTCCCATGCAAAGAGGACCGTATCCACATTGTCCATATTGCGAGCAGCAGGGCCATTCTTCAGGACAGTGTTCATGTGAAGAACATGCAACATAAGGCTCTGACTTGAAGACATCAGATACCGCCCTTACAAGCCGAGAAACCAAAATTGGGAAAAGCAAGATATCCACTTTCATCGTCGAGGTTTTTGTAGTTCCAAGCCTGAGGATATCTCTATCAGACTAAATCTTGATGGTGATCGTATTCTTGGGTTGTTGTGCAATGCATTTTCTGATGACATCTGTCAGCGTCACAAAAATATTATCAAGATATTACTGCCAAGTCAAAAAGTGAGGTGCTTTCAATCATTGGGAAACCTTTAGCGGAGTTGAAGAGTTTTTATGAGCCGAACTTGACGATTATTCGACAACAGTTTCGACTTCTTTAGTTGTCTCGTTGAAGCGAATCAGACCCCGACGTTCTTTGGTCTTTCCCTGTAATATTGTCATTAATTGGTAGATAACAAACAAAGTGGGAGCGGGAACCCCGTTCTTCTCGGCTATCTTCAAAGGATTACCAAGAATGACTTCGAGTTCCATAAGCTGACCTTTTTCATAATCGACACACATAGACGGTTTATAGATGTAAGTCTTCGTGAAATTGAGAAAGAAATCCATTTCTCTGGGTTCGACGACAACTCCCTCACTAGCGGCAATGGCTATGATCTCCATCATTCCAGGTACCCACAGGTTTTGCTCTGTACTTGTGCCATTTTTCGAAAGCTTCAAACATCTAGTAGCATCAAGTTGAGCAAGTGCCGTAGTTGTGTTGACAACAGCATTGTATAGCAGTTTCTTCCAACGCGTATGACGTGCGTTGTTCTCAAACTTGACTTCATTTTGGCCTTCGTTGGAGTAGATGGAAGCAAACAATTTTGCTTGTTCAAGGGCAGCTTCATCTTTTGAATCGAACGGCGACACGCTTAATCTATCCTGACCGATCTGAACCACTTTCCCGGTACTCACTTTTGTAGAACCAATCAGTTGCACACCCGAAAGGAGGGCGAGTTTGTAGTGGTTTGGGTCAAAATGCTCGAAGAGCTCTTTTTCGATGTCCAGTCCATTTTGAATTAGCACGACGCTGGTGGTACGTGCTGCGTTTATTTGGTGGTTAGACAATATTACGGGACGCACGATTTCGTGAACTGTCCCGCTTTTAGGGCCATCTGGGATATTTTTCACAGTGACGACAATGTAATCGAAGAAATATCCAGATTTGGCAGCGTCAGTTGCCGTACGGAACAAATGGTGAGGTTTCCAGTTTTCAACGATTCCGTAGTCACAGGAATCAATTGAGTAGCCATGTTCCACAACATGATCATAATCAGAGCGGACTACCAGTGACACTTCACTCAGTCCAGCGTTAAATAAAGAGTAGGTTGTGATGACACCTACTCCTCCAGCACCAATGACCAGACAGGAAGGCTTTTCAGATTGGGAAGACATAATGAGCGTGGGAAGAGAGTTCGAATTGGGGGTGTGCGGTAGCGAATTCCTGAGTGTTTGGAGATATTCTGAGTTGCATCATCGAGCATTTTATAGGCGGTTTAGGCGTGTGATGATGATAAGATATATTAATGGAAGGAAGAGTCACACAGATCTTGGCCAAAACGTGATACGAAGTTGAGCCTACAGAAACGTTTGAATATTTTGTCTGGTTTAGGGTGCGAGAATATCAAGATGGGTACGCGGTTGTTCATACTTGCGACGATACCGTGTCTTCTGAAGTGCATTTGCACTAGAAACGACCCAAACTTTTGATGTTGTAAAGCGCAAGGTAACGATATGGATTTGTTTCGCGGAAGCGAGGCTATGTGAGAAGGTTTCGCTATCCCATTGAAGATGTGAGTGCAAAGCTTTGGCTATCTAACGTCCTGGCGAGTTTTTCGTGGTCCTGCTGTTAACGGCCTCTCTATTCAGACGCTGTCATTTCAAACTTACCTTTTATGTCATTTTATATTAATTCTGTCACGTCTTTTGGTCACCTGGTTCAAAACATGGTACACACATATCGTCATCTCTGGAGTGCAAACCTTACCTGGTGTATGTCAGAACAGTTGGGCCGACACTTCTGAACATTTAGAAGCGCAAAATAGCTTAATCAAACAACAGTTGATTGCGAAAACAAAAACTGAGAAACTCGATAGTGACTGCTGCAAGTCCGGCACCACGAGAAACCACCAGCCTCTCGCCATTTCTCAAATCTAATCTGCGTACATCACAGATGTTCTCTCGAATAGTCCTAACGTCGTTTCTACATCTGGTCACGTGACCCAATCCAAGATATCACTTTATCCACCTGCTGACACTGGTGTCAGAAATTAATTCTCATCACAACCACCATTATCATTGAGAAACTCGTCCAATAAACCACCCAACCAAAGATGTTCACACACACAATCCTTTGATTCGGCAATTCTCCCCCACAACCGGTACTTTCGGCCTGACCCCACAATATTCACAATCCAGCTCCAAAACTTCTCCCACTCAAGGTTAACCTTCAACAAACCATTTTACACCCATATTAATTATTACCGGTATTTCCTTTTCCAATTCTCGCACTATTCGCTAGCGTTGATTTAACAACCTCGCGAGCATTGTAGTCCGCCCGCTTGCTCGATTACTTGTCAGAACGGTAGGCAGGCATAGCTCTGCCAAAAAAAAAAAAAAAAGTCTTGAAAAATCTTGAAAAATGCTCTTCGAGCCGTATCTGCTGGAAAGTCATAGCGATAGTGTAGGATGCGGAAGGGACCCTGAGAAGAAATAAAGACGTCGAACAGAGCATTAATGTGGTAAACTGCTCACGGTGACAGATTGTAGTGAAACTGGACTAAAATGGAAGACAGCAAATAGAATTATATAAGTGTGTGTATACATTTACTTGGACTAAGGTGGCCGATGATGAAGGAGGTGAGTCGTTGAACAGCGATCTTACAACAAAGACATTTGCTGCACTTAGAAGTTCTGCAATACACAGATGAGAATCGGTGGCCTCCCATTTTTGTTGGTGGCCGTTTTCGCCTGTGTCTCTTCTGGCTTGGTCTTGGTAGATTCGTCTCTGGCCTCTGCCTGTCTATATTATGAAAAAATGTTCGACTGGGGATGCAATACGCATGGACAGAGCAAGAAAGCATACAAATGCCGGTGTTCCAACGTCAATTGGCTAGGTACGATCACCAACTGCATAGCCAACAATACTGACAGCAAACGGCTCAGGGACCATGGTTTTAGACACATTATCGGAAGGTGTCAGTCTAAGGCCAATCTTGACTACACTATGGACGAGATGTACGGTTACTGGAAAAACGGCACACAGTTTTTGAGAGACCCGACCATGGCAGACATGAACCACTCCGTGAACACCACAATTAGGGTGGACCAGCCGGAATTCGACTGGTACTACCGGAAATTCAAAGACTACACTTTTTCCGTCCAGAGAAGTCAATGGTTTGGATGGGGTCTGGTGTTCTACTGGAGCGCCATTATCGTGGTGTGCACAGCGTTCAACTTGAACCAGAAATTCCTGGGCCTCAAATTGACCAACAAGTGGCTGTCCAGATCCCTGGTGGTCCCGTCATTTTTTCAAAATACGCTTTTGAAGTATCCTAAACTGCAGAAATTGTTCCCTGGGCCGTATGCAACCCGGCTGCAAGCCCTCGCGGTAATCGTGTTCATCGTTCAAGTTTTCATCACCACAGGAGTCGGTTACGAGATGAAGTTGCCGCATCCATATCTCTCGTCCCGGTGGTTCATGAATCTCACCCTGGTGAGCTATAGAACCGATCTGATGAGCATGTCGTTGTTCCCACTGATTTTTTTCTTTGGTATTCGGAATAATCCATTTATCCCACTGACTGGAATGTCCTATGCGTCGTTCTCGTATTTCCACAAGTGGTGTGCATACGTTGCTACTGGTCTCGCTTTCATTCATTCCATTATTTGGACAGTGTGGTCCATGCACGACGGCGGGTATAAGATGTGGGCAATGGACTTGTACTGGCAGTACGGAGTGGCTGCGATGACTCTAATGGCCCTCCTCATTTTCCACAGCACCAAACTCATCAGAGACATGGCCTACGAAATATTCCTTTTCTTCCACCAGTTCTTTAACATTTTCTTTATCATTGCCATGTACTACCACTGCATCGACCTGGGTTGGATGGGCTGGATTTGGTCAATGGCAGGTATTTTGTGTTTTGACAGAGTGCTGAGGATTGCCCGTATAATCTTGAGCGGTGGTTTACAGAAATCTACTCTGACGGACTGTGGTAATGGGATTATGAAACTGACACTCAAAAAGCCCAAGTTTTTGAAGTATAAACCTGGCACGTTCGCCTTTATTTATTTTCTGAGCTGGAACGACCCTTGGTACTACCAATGGCAGTCACACCCTTTCACCTTGTTAAGCACTTCGGTCAACAACAGCGACGAAATTACAGTCATATTCAAAGCTCACAAGGGAATTACTCAACAGCTGCTTTACAGACTGCTAAAATCTGGAGAAGACTCCATTCAAGTCAGAGTCATGGTAGAGGGACCCTATGGTGATGTCCTTCCTCAAAAGGCCAAGGTTGAGAAGAAACTGGTTGGTATCGCAGCGGGACTCGGTGTCACCGCTGTGTATGCACAGTTGGCTCATCTTTTAGAAGCTCAAGTGCCTGAACTGGGATCCAAGATGTATTGGGCTGTAAATGATATAGCCCATGTCGCTTGGTTTCAAGACGAGATAAATTGGCTCCTGTCGAAAAACTGTGAGGTTACAATCTTATGTACGACGCGAAAGGACATGGACGAGTCAAAACCAACGTCCCTATGCTGCTCCGCTCGTGCTCTACTTCAAAAACTCAAAGTCCAATCTTTGTACGGCAGACCTGACTTGGCAGTTCTGGTTGCAAGTGAAATCCGTGAGTCATCGGAGCAGTCGAGAGATTTAGCATTCATCAGTTGTGGACCTACTGCCTTCAACGTTGACTTCCGTGCCTCGGTTTCTGCATGCCTCGATAAGAAGCAAAGCATAGATGTGACATATTTGGAAGAGAGTTTCGCATGGTGAAGCTATCTACCACCACAACGCATATATTCAGTGCATTTACTTTAGTTATTAATCAAAACTTGTCAAATATTACTCTCGTCATCACTTGAATCTTCAGCTTGCTGCATTTTCAGAAGTTCGGACCACTTAGATGCCAGCTCTTTAATCGCATCTGGATTTATAGCGGCATCTGCAACGTCTTGAGGTACCTGATTCTCGGAATGCTCTTTGCCAGCAAAGCGCGCAACGTTATTTTCTGTGACCAAGCGTAGTTCGTAATCTTCATCTGAGGCGGTACTGCTCTGGGTGATGAGTTCATTCCAGGAAAACATGAGTGAATCAGTCTTTCTGCAAAAAGGATTGAAATCGATGAGCCATACTTTCTTGAAGGGTCGGGGAATGTAAACGTCGCACACATATGAAGAATCTGGGAATTTGATGTTGGCCTGTTCGCCCACAAACTCGTCGATGAGATCTTTGAAAGTGTCTGTTAACGGCAGCAGATAGTCGTAAAAGTTCAAATCTCTTTGGGAAACACCGATGACTTTTGAGTTCTTGACAAAGACTCGAAATTCCAGAGCCGGATTTATATCGAACCATTTCCGCAAGATGAGTTCGTGACCAAACGTCTCAGCGCTTTCTTCCACTAGCGAATCGCGGTCGAAACAAACATCAAATGCTCTGTCTAGATCATGCGTTATATGGTTCGAAGCCTTGAGCAGCAGATAAACGTCGTTCATTTCGTGACATTTCAAGCTGTTGTTGGTGAGGATCCAAGTTGCATCCTTGGGGCTCGACCACGTCAGTTTTGGAGTCAGAGGACCCATCTCTCGAAACGTTTTTTTCAACTTTTCGTGCAATTCTAAAAACGCCGATGTCACATGCGTTACATCCACCGCCCCGGCACTTTGTGCTGCCTCATCCTCTTGTTGTTGTTCTTCTTCTTCCCAATCACTATATTCGTTTTCGTCATTTTCCTCAATATCCTGGTAGTACGAGGACTTGGTGAAGTTGCTATCGTTGGGCAATCTGATGCCGTCTTCCTCTAGGTAACGAATGAACCCCTCTGGGAGCGGTTTGATGATCTCAGCCTTCGGTGTGTGCCCTTGGAAATCATGGTACCATCTCGAAAGCGCACAGTTTTTCACCTGTTGTACGCTCACAGGAAGTTCGCTAAGTTCCGCATAACCTGCCATTTTACAAAGCAAGTAAGATAGTAATAATGTACAATTGGAATCTATCTATGAATCAAAGGGTTTATCACTCTCGATCTTGTTCTTGGTGTTGATCTCTTCTAGCTCAGCTCATCTCATCTCATCCCATCTATTTGAATAGTATAGTATATTATGAATTACTCTAGTTTTTCAAATATATTCTCTACCCTGTTATCTTGTCGCTTCTCTATCCATTTATCTTACCGTGACGCGACAATCAAGTCAAAGAAAATAATAAATATCACGTGTTTGATGATAATATTTCGCAATTACTATATCACCATGAACGAAGCTCGAATTTGAATCAAAATCTGAAAAATTTGCCACTTTTAAGAGAGAAGAACAACTACAAAACCAAGACCAGATACGTCCGATTACGCTCCAATTGGTTCTTCGTGTGACGTTTCATATCTGCAGTGAGTTTTAGAGATGGCACCCAAAAGTTCGCCCAACTCGACGTTCCAAAATCGTGAAAAACCGCAAGAAGTTCGCAAGGCCAACATCATTGCCGCACGCGCGGTAGCAGACGCAATTCGCACGTCTTTGGGACCCAAAGGCATGGATAAAATGATTAAGACATCCCGCGGAGAGGTGATTATCTCCAACGATGGCCACACCATCCTGAAACAAATGGCCATCTTGCATCCTGTGGCGAAAATGCTGGTGGAAGTTTCGGCTGCTCAGGACACAGAGGCAGGCGACGGTACGACTTCGGTGGTGATTCTGACCGGTGCATTGCTGGGGGCCGCCGAAAAACTGCTCAGCAAGGGTGTTCACCCAACAATCATTGCAGAATCGTTCCAGACAGCCGCCAAAAGATGCGTGGAGATTTTGCTGGAGATGTCCCAAAAGATCTCGCTTTCGGACAAACAAGCATTGGTTCGTGCAGCAGCGACATCCCTAAGCTCGAAGATCGTGTCACAGCATTCGTCTTTCCTGGCACCACTTGCAGTGGACTGTGTGTTGAGTATCACCAATGATGCAAGCACTAACGTCGATTTATCCGATATACGTTTGATCAAAAAGGTTGGAGGCACCATAGACGACACAGAGATGGTCGACGGTGTGGTGCTCACTCAAAACGTGGTGAAAACTGCCGGCGGTCCCACCAGAATCGAGAAAGCCCGCATAGGTCTTGTGCAATTCCAAATCTCTCCTCCTAAACCAGACACCGAAAACAACATCGTGGTCAACGACTATAGACAGATGGATAAGATCCTAAAAGAAGAACGTGCATACCTGTTAAACATTTGCAAAAAGATTAAAAAGGCCAAGTGTAACGTCTTACTGATTCAGAAATCCATTTTGAGAGATGCCGTCAACGATCTCGCCCTTCATTTCCTATCCAAATTGGGAATTTTGGTCATCAAAGATGTGGAAAGAGACGAAATAGAATTTTTGTCAAAGAGTCTAAACTGCAAGCCTATTTCGGACCCAGAATTTTTCAGCGAGGACCGTCTTGGCTCAGCTGACCTTGTGGAGGAAATCGACAGCGATGGGTCGAAGATCGTAAAAATCACGGGCGTCAAATCTACTACTACTAGTCCAACAGTGTCCGTAGTTATTCGTGGTGCTAACAATGTTATATTGGATGAAACCGAGAGATCTCTGCACGATGCATTGTGCGTGATTCGCTGTTTGGTCAAGGAAAGAGCATTGATTGCAGGTGGTGGTGCGCCCGAAATTGAGGCATCGCGTACTTTAACAAGAGAGGCAAGAGCTCTCCAAGGCGTGGAAGCCTTCGTGTGGCAAGAATTTGCCTCTGCACTTGAAGTCATTCCCACAACGCTGGCTGAAAATGCCGGTCTCCACAGCATCAAAGTTGTTACTGAACTCCGCACGCTGCATGAAAACGGTGAAAAAAATGCCGGCATTTCCATTCGCAGATCGGGCACTACGAACACTTTTGACGAGCATGTCTTACAACCGGTTCTGGTAAGCACAAGTGCAATCACTTTGGCATCGGAATGTGTCAAATCTATACTAAGAATCGACGACATTACCTTCAGCCGTTGATGACTTTAAATTTAAATTGTACATATAATAACATCCCAATCAGATGCATTCCTTTTCCCGATAAAAAGTTTTGTAAATACGTGTCTATGTGCAATGCTATAAGATGCTAGTGCGGCAGTCGTTGAAAACACCACGAATGGCATTCTCGTTGTGTTTTTGGCGTCTTTCCAAATCCAGTTTTGTCATTTCAATTTGTTGAGGTACTTTACAGCGTTTTTACTGAATATGTAGGAGCCGCCACTAAGAATAGTTGTGACCCCGACCACATAACCCATATATGCGAAAGCCTTTGCGACCAAACCAGCAACTCCTTTCGCTTCTTCTTCTTCTTCAGAAGATGAAGAAGACGGCTGGACGAACATCATCATGGTGACAGCCCAACCAAGATATATCATTTGTAAAAAGGTGTTCCATTTGGAGATTTGTGTTGGTCTCACTTCAGCGCTGGGATATTTGAAAACGTCCCAAAACGAATTCCAACTGACTTTACCATACGTGTGTCTCAGGGATGCTATTCGAAAGTATATGGCACTAAATCCGAGCGTGAGATCACGGCCAATTATGAGGCCTGCAACCGGACCTGGTATAATTTGAGGCCCACCAGGAAAAGCCAGCGATGCAGTTGTGACGAGCATCAGTATTTTGTCAGCCATTGGGTCCAACACCGTTCCTGCAACCGACTTCATGTTATATCGTCTTGCCAGATGACCGTCTAAAAAGTCTGTTATGCATGAATACGTGAAGAGCCCCAAAGCAGGTACCAGATTGTTGGATATTATGCATTGACCTATCAACGGCGCTGCAGCAATCCTACTGATTGTAAGCATATTTGGTAATGTCCAAATGGATGATATGATCGGAGAGATCTTCTTCTTCAACTTAGAGTTTTCCGTCGAAATCGAGCGTAGAGTTGTTGTCCATGGTTTCGGCCTCAATAGCGTTATGGGACTCGCTGGAAAGCCCAGATTTAGCATACGCGGCACAGATCTCTGCATCCCAATTATGCCACCAGAAAATCAACTGAAATACCGTGAATTATAGACTTACTGGTCGAGGTCTTGAAGTTCAAAGCTTCTTGTACGTCATTATTTTTCAGATATTGGATTAAGATTAGGTCAATTACCATTTAAAGATCAGTGATGAGAAGAGCATCAACTACTAACTTTAGACTGTTTACCTACCCACAAAGGGTCAATTTCATTTACTTTTATTTTGGTTAGCTTACTGCCAGTTTTCCGAACATATTGAAGTTTCAAGCTCGCCGAAACTCGCATTTTAGCCTTAGTTAGCAACCACTTCTAGATATACCTCTTGAATTGTACATATACTGTGCAAACCGCGAGTTCGAAGTGCGCCAAAGATGAACGTTCTTGTATATAATGGGCCAGGGGCATCTCCAGATTCTGTGAAGCATACCCTTGTGACCTTGAGACGTTTACTAGAACCCCTGTACGCTGTAAGTACTGTTAACGCCAGAATACTGAAGACCGAACCATGGGCAGGTAAAACTTCGGCAGTGGTTTTTCCAGGTGGAGCTGATTTGCCATACACGAAAGAATGCGCTTCCGTCATGCCACAAATCAAGAAGTTTGTGTCAAAGCAAGGCGGTTCATTTATCGGATTCTGTGCTGGAGGGTATTTCGCAACTGACCGGGTCGAATTTGCGGTACACGACCCATTGCTCGAAGTCACTGGTGCTAGAGATCTGAAATTTTTCCCTGGTGTTGGTAGAGGGCCAGCATTCCATGGTTTTAAGTACAACAGCGAGGCAGGAGCCCGTGCGGCGCAATTAAGACTTCCCAACGGAGAAGAATTCAAAACGTATTACAACGGTGGCTGTGTCTTTGCAGACGCTGAAAAATACGACAATGTGGAGGTACTGGCAAGCTACACTGAGCCTTTGGACGTTCCGTTTTCTCAAGACCCTGCAACTCTTGGAGCAGCGGCAGTTTTATGTCATTATGGCAAAGGGAAAGCTCTATTAACGGGACCTCACCCCGAATACGTTCCCAAACTTTTGCAAAGAGCTCATGATGGCGATTATAATTCATCCGTGGTGAACGTCTTGATGGAATACGAAGACAGCAGATTAAAGTTCATGAAAGACGCCCTTACCAAAGTAGGATTGCATTGCAACAATGAGTTTGCAAACGGGACAGCTCCAAGTTTAACACCGCTGCTTGTGGTTTCACCCAACAAACCGGAACTTCTGGCTGCATTTGAGGACAATTTGAAGGAAGCAAGTGATGTTTCGTTGGTAAACGGCGTCACAGTACTTGAAGGAGAAACTGACATTTTTCGCGTTTACAAAGGATTCGACAAATATGACCTTGCGAGCAGCGAACTTATAGATCAAGAACCGGACGAGGTTTCTAAAACTATTGTGCTTGCGACTACGGCGGAGCCCTGCGCTCCTGCAAACTTGACTCCAAATTTCGACATTAAGAAGTATTTCCAATATTTGAGGCCAACCACCGATGTAGGATCCTTGTTGATGTATGGCGAGATCATTACCTCTTCGAGTGCTCTGCTCAATAATAACAAAAAGCTACTAAGCCTTTTCCCAGCTACTTCTACCCTTCATGTCGGAACCATTCAAGTCTCTGGTCGGGGGCGCGGAGGAAATGTATGGATTAATCCAAAAGGCGTATCTGCTTCAACAGCCTGTGTGAATCTTCCTTTGAAGTCTCCGGTGACTGGTGCACCGGTCTCGGTTGTTTTCGTTCAATATCTCGCCATGCTGGCATATTGTAAAGCAATTTTGGCATATGCACCGGGATACGAGGACATGCCTGTCAGAATAAAGTGGCCGAACGATTTGTATGCAATGAAGCCAGATTACTACAGTTCGAAAAATCTTCGCTTGACTAGCAAGGGTCTTGAGGGGGGTAAAGTGCCATTAAGTGAGCTGGAACCGGCATACGTCAAAATTTCCGGTCTTTTAGTGAACACCAATTTTATCAACAACCAATACTCTTTGCTACTTGGATGTGGTCTCAATGTCTCTCACGATGGACCAACCACTTCGCTAAACTCGTGGATCGGAATTTTGAATAAAGAGCGAGAACACTTGCAAATGCCTCTACTACCTGAAGTCGAGGTCGAAAAACTACAGGCCCTTTACATGAACAATTTGGATCAGATAATCAAGAAATTCATCAATTATGGAGCAGATAGCATGTTATCAGAATATTACAAGCTTTGGCTACATACAGACCAAATCGTAACGCTCACTGACCATCACAACGTTCGTGCCAAACTAGTTGGGATAACAAAGGATTACGGTCTCCTCATCGCTAAGGAACTAACCCCTGGGACGAATACCCAGTTCACCGGAAATCTATATCATTTACAACCAGATGGAAATACGTTCGACATTTTCAAGGGCCTCATATCCAAGAAAGTCATTTAAGGGACCGAGATGATTTCATTTCAAAAACATTACAATATTTACATTTCGATATCGTTGATCTGCTTTCTGTAGACCTGAGAACGTCCAAAAGGATAGGGTTCTGAAGGCTTTCGGTATATAACAGGGTTTGAGAAAACAAGTCTTTTTGCCAAATAAAGCACCATGAGCATGTGCCGAATAACCTGTTATCAGTAGCTCATTGAGAATTATTATTAGTATTATCGCCATTGCTGTCATCGTCCTTAGGAGAGTTAGGTGAATATGAAGGTGAACCTGGGCTGTAGCTTGGTGAAGTAGGAGAGTAGGAAGGTGAAGTAGGAGAGTAAGATGGTGAAGTAGGACTGTAGCTTGGTGATGTTGGGCTGTAGCTTGGCGACGTTGGTGAGTATGATGGCGATGTTGGGGAGTAAGATGGGGAGGTTGGGCTGTAGCTGGGAGAAGTTGGGCTGTAGCTGGGAGAAGTTGGGCTGTAGCTGGGAGAAGTTGGGCTGTAGATTGGCGAAGTTGGGGAGTAGGATGGTGAAGTAGGCGAGTAGGATGGTGACGTCGGACTGTAACTTGGCGACGTTGGTGAGTATGATGGCGATGTTGGGGAGTAAGATGGTGAGGTTGGGCTATAGCTTGGGGACGTTGGTGAGTAGGATGGTGAAGTAGGCGAGTAGGATGGTGACGTCGGACTGTAACTTGGCGACGTTGGTGAGTATGATGGCGATGTTGGGGAGTAAGATGGTGAGGTTGGGCTGTAGCTGGGAGAAGTTGGGCTGTAGCTTGGCGAAGTTGGGGAATAGGCTGGGGAAGAAGGAGAAAATCCGGGAGAGGCAACTCCTCCAAATCCAGGTGATGAGGGGCCATCGCCGTATCCGCTGAACGGAGATGACGCACCGCCGTAATCTGCTCCCCCGTACGCTGTAAAGCCTCCGGACATAGCATCTGTAGAGCCTGAATCGACCATAGGCGAGAACATGAGCTCATCTTTGACATCAACGTCGGCATTGACCAAACCACTTTCATTGTTATAAGGAGTTCTAGAACCATCTTGACCATCGGCAATCTCGCTGGTTTTCTGTTCGGGCATGAATTTGACCAAAGAGTCTTCATCGATCATGACATCGAAAGCGCCTGTACCAATAGGGGCGACTTGACCCAGTAGAACATTCTCAGATACACCTCGGCAGTCGTCGAGTTCTGCAGCAGCACCAGCTTCAAATAAAATCTCAACCGTCTCTTCAAAAGAACATCTCATGAGGGCACCAGTGTCAGACCTATTGAACCCATGACGAGTAACAGACATTAAGAAACCTTGAGACGTCATAACATCAACCAGTAATGCCATGTGACGGTAGTTAACGTAAGAACCATCGGATGCAATAACGTTGTAGACCTCCTTGTACAGTGCAGCACGACCTGCCTCAATTCCCAATACGTTCATAATATCGATGAAGGAGTTTGTGTAGATACGAGATGAATCAACACCAGGCACACTCATGACTTCGGCAAGATTTACACCATCTGTCTCCAAAACCCACTCGGGGACCTTGTGGTATTCACCTGTTGGACTGGGCGTTTTACGATCGTATTTCATCATGACGACACGAGTGATGTCTTCAACACCTCGCAACGTGATACTTTCCAGCATGGTATTTTCAATTCTCTTCAACATATGATCTTCCTCAGCTTCCGCCTCGGAATCAAGAGTCTTAGGATCACGAACAACACGACAACGAATGACTAATTTTTCGGCGTTATCTTCAGACCAGATGACGAAGAGATCGTTCTTAAAAGTTTCCTTTATTTTTTCTCCGACTTGACCCATAGTCAAGTCTTTGTCGTTCATGGCTGCACGGTCTAATTCAAGACGTAGTAACCATGGCGACTGATGGTCTAAAGACTGCTCTGTTTCCTCGTCCATCAGCGAGAAATGAAGCTGGATAATTTCTTCATCGTCCTCAATCACAGTGGAGCGTGGATCAGGATCGTAGTAAATTTCAGACGCAACTGTAACACTTTTCAACGTCGTGTGCTCAATTGCGGATCTGATCAGCTTGGCCTTCTCCTGGTCAGCGGCGTAGTCCCCCTCGAGATAGACTGTGAGAGAAGGAGTTTTCATAGTTTTTGCCACATTCAAAATTTCCTTCAAACGGGGAACACCTGAGGTAACCTTCTTCGAAGCGACACCTGCAAAATGGAAAGTGTTCAATGTCATCTGAGTCGCGGGTTCACCAATGGACTGCGCTGCAAGCACACCCACCATTTCACCAGGGTGAACAATCGACCTCAAAAACTGAGCTTCAATATTATTCATCACCCAATCAAAAGTTTGTTTGGTTAGTCTGTACTCTTGAATGACTCTGCGGGAAGCCAATCGAGACCGCAAGAGACAACAGAATAAGGTTACGGCATTCTTTTGAGCTTCTTGTAGAAGCTGGCTTTTACCACGCAATACGAGCAGCCTTTCTTGTAGATCTCTGACCCCAAAGATAACATCAAGGATGGTTAGATCGGTGGCCTTTGAGTGTTCGATACGGAAGGTCTGCTGGGCATTTTGGATGATACGTCTAATGTTTACCGGGAGCGGCCAATTCTGTTCACCATCCACGAAAATCTTTCTCAAGAACGCCCTGTCTTCTAGTAATTGTCTGTATTCTTCATCCAAAAGAGCCTGAAGCTTCAAATCACCAATAATTTCTGATCCTGACTCCAATAATGAAGGGTCTAGAGCGTGCTTGGGGTTCAGCAGATCGATCCTGTATCTCCGGTCGAAGGCAGCATCGGACGCAGCGATACTATCAATTGATTGCTTCTCAATGTGTGCAGCGTCCATTCCATCTTCTCCGTAGACAAACTGGATTACGTTACCCAAAGAGTTTCTAGTCGTACCATCATAATGCACCATGATGTCTTCTAGAGCTTTAACCAAACGACGTTGAATATAACCAGTTTCTGCAGTCTTCACAGCTGTGTCAATCAGACCTTCACGTCCACCCATGGCGTGAAAGAAAAATTCTTGAGGAGTGAGCCCTCTTAGGTACGAATTTTCAACAAAACCTTTAGATTCAGGAGAATAGTCGTCCTTAGAAAAGTGAGGTAGCGTCCGATCGGCAAATCCAAACGCAATACGTTTACCCTCGACGGACTGTTGGCCAACGCAAGCAGACATCTGAGCGATATTAATAAATGAACCTTTTGAGCCTGCACTTACCATCTGCTTGACGTTATTCAAATCCTTTAAATTCACTTCCGCTGATCGACCTGCTTTGTCTCTTGCCTCGTTTAAATAACGCACCACATTATCTTCGAACGATTCACGTAGCGTCATCCCGTGCTTCGCAGTCAGCAAATTTGCCTGCGCCTCCTTTGTCACCTCTTCTACCTTTCTCTTTGCAACCATGATGGCATCCGTGATCTCTCTCATGGACTTTTCATCTGCAATAGTATCACCTATACCGATTGAGAACCCGTTGTGAAGCAACCAGAAGTTGACCACTTTTTGGAGGTTACTGAAAAGTCTGGCACAAATTTTGGGACCCTTCTCTCTCGTTACAACGTGGATTAAACCGCCGCTTGAAGACCCAACCGTCTTTTTGTCTACAACCCCAAAAATAATTTGACCGTCAATGATCAACATCCCGTTGTCTTTAGGTGACAAAAGTGTTGTACCTTCGTCGAATCTCTGTAAGTGGATACCACTGGGGATAGCGATAGATAAGATTTGCTTACCAGACCATAGAGGCTTAGGTTTTAGAATTGTTGGAGTGGGTATAACTCCGTCCCAATCTGGGATCCAATATAGCATATTGAGAACTTGGTCAAGTTCAATGAAAGTATCTCTCAGTGTCATTTTCCGGACACCACAAAGGGTATCTTGAACAATGCCCATACAAGGTTTGTTTGATTGAGCGGACACAATTTGCTGCGGCACTGCGCAAAGCTGTGACAGTTCAGCCCTAGTCTCCTCCGATTGTGGAACGTGCAAATTCATTTCGTCACCGTCGAAATCGGCATTGTATGGTGAGGTGACCGATAAGTTCAATCTAAAAGTAGAATAAGGCATAACCTTAACTCTGTGGGCCATCATAGACATTTTGTGTAGGGAGGGTTGACGATTGAAAAGAACGGGATCGTCGTCTATAATATGCCGTTCAACCTTCCATCCATATTGCAGTTGAATGTCACCAGCCCTTTTGCTGTATCTTAGATCTATACGATCACCATTGTCACGAATGACATATTTTGCACCCGGGTGCTCATTAGGTCCATTCCGCACCAATTGTGTTAGGCGGTCGATATTGTATGGTGTCACAACCTCTGGATAGGTCAAAGTTCTGGCAATTGACTTTGGTACACCCACCTGGTCCAGATCCAAGTTTGGATCACCAGAAATGACGGTACGTGCAGAAAAATCAACACGCTTACCCATTAAATTACCTCTAATACGCCCTTCTTTACCCTTCAAACGGGCACGAATAGATTTGATAGGACGGCCGGATTTCTGCAGCGCTTGAGGCTGTCCCGCTATATCATTGTCCATATACGTAGCAACATGGAACTGCAGAAGCGATTCCGATTCTTGAATAACATGCTGCGGGGACCCATTAATTTCAAGTCGTTGCACATTGATATTTGCTTTCAAAATATCACCGAGCTTGTAAGTCAAATCGTCTTCACCTCTTTGAGTCTCGTTGAAAGAAATAGATGGACGCACAGGAGGAGGAGGAACCGGTAACACCGTCAAGATCATCCATTCAGGACGAGCGAAATCTTCATTAAATCCCAACCGTGTGGAGTCTTCTGGTGATATATGCTTGAAAACATTGAGAACTTCGTCAGCGGAGATGATACGTCTTTCGGGCTGATCGGCATCGTCGGCACCTTTATCCTTTTTCCACGTACCGACCAACGAAAGACCATCTTTCCTTATGCTAGGCTGAGTGTTACCGCAACCACCTCTGGAGACATATTGAGTAGGATCATCGTCAGATGGAACTTCGGTATCACACACCATCTTGGCCTTACATAGAGACCAGACAGCATTGAACCTCCGCTTGGGGTCCTTGATTTTGATTGCTTGCCTCATCAACTCACTATGTTCATCGAGTAGAAGTTTACCGCAGTGCATGCATACACACTCGCAGACCTTTTTAATCTTAGAGATATAACCGATATGGAAAACGGGCTTTGCCAGTTCGATGTGGCCAAAATGACCTGGGCAATCGTTCATGCCCTCACCACACGTTTGACATTTGAAACTACGGTCGATAGAACCAAGACGTGGGTCATTCAAACCACCGATTTTGGCCCGCATTTGGGTTTCATCCATAGTTTCTGGAAATTCCACTTTGGCGACACTGATAGCCCGCACTTCTTCTGGTGAAAAAATACCGAACTGTACTTCTTTAACCGTCCGTAGCGGAGCGCTGGAATATGGAAATTCGACCATTATCAGTATGCAGTAGTAATGATAGTAGTAGTAATAGTAGGCAAATTAAGCAAAAAATGTCTCTAGATTGAGTGTCCAGCTGGAATGTATTATTTTTTTGGGTCTTTTTCAAGCGGTGAAGCCTTTTTGTCTTTGTTTCTTTAGTTCTTTTTTTTTATACTGGTACTGTGAAGCTCGATAAGTTAATATCTGAGCCTATTAGATGCTGGGATGTGTGGTAAGAAGTGCAAACCTGTTTCGTTGATGAAAATGAAATGTGCTAGCTCCTTGTAATAATGGATGTCTCTTTTCTTGTTGTGACAATTGGTACCTGGCCCTTGTCTTTCGCACAATAAGATGGATTTATGACAGGAAAAAAGCTGGACGCTGTTTGACGATACCAACAAATTCCAAAGATTGCACTTTTCGTACTAATAGGATAGTCGTTTTTCCAACACAGAACTCTGGATATGAACTGCTGCTAAAAGCTCACTCACTGGAGGTTTGTCTTACTCGAAACCTGTCGATTCTAGAAACCTCAAATATGATCCCTTTAAAACGAGGGAACAAAGGCCGCGACGAGCTCTTCAAATGCAAATATGGTGAAAGAAGACCGGCGCACAATAAACAATAGTGTATGGCGCTCCTATCGTAGGCGTGAAGTGTGCAATGCTTCGAATTTTAGCTATGTTCAAGTGTATTTACGAGACTTGTCTCTGTTTTTCAGCTAATTTGCCACCATTAAAATTTTTCGATATTGAAATAAGGGCGGGTAACGTTAGAGATCAGCAAGAACTAGATAGAAATCAAGAAGACACCAGTAACTGAATACAACGACAGTCAGTTTTATGACGCGATTGAGAACTCGTAGGGTCGATAAAACACATCAGTATGGAGCTTGAAAGGTGCTCGATTTTTTGAATTTGCCACTTTGTGTATTTTTCTTTCCATTCTTCTGCTTTCGCTTTATCTAAGAGAACATTTTTGAGAAAGCCTTTTTCTGTTTGGCAACCTGTTCTTTTTTTAGCTTTCTGGCGTCTGTGATGGCCTTGAGAATCGCAGCGTCGTTCTGCTGGTAGGTGGTAGCGAATTCAAGATCCGTAAGGGCCATTTCGGCATCCTTCAAGTGGTAGTAGGCCAAACCACGGCGATACAATGCTTTGGCTTTACTCTTGTCGTCTGCAGCGGAGTCGTGGACGACTTCGGTAGCAGCTGTAAGAGCGTTTTGAGAGTCTCCGCTCTTCAATGCGCAAAGTGCAATATTCAAAAACAGTGAAACGCGCAACTGGTCGACAGCGCGCGTTTTTTCCGCACTCAAGTCATTAGGGAAAAATTGCTTGAGCATGGAGGAGGCCTTTTCGTATTTCAAAAGGGCAACCTTATACTCTTGGGCTTTGAATAATGTAGTGCCAATCTCCTTCACAGCGTTCACAGCTTTTAGAACAGAGTCCACGTCCGCGACGTCGACCTTCGAGTCGTCGGCCAGCGTTTCCTCGTAGTTGTCGCCGTACTGGTCCGTAGGGGTCTGTTCTGCGTCTGCTGGAACGACGTAGTCCGTAGGAAGGACACCGCAATCGTCGATCCTGACGTCCTTTTCGGGCTTGTCTCCAGAGTCCGTGGCAATGTTCTCGATTGTGCGCGCAAGCCTTTTTCCCTGGATCAGTTCACCAAAAACCACATGTTTGCCGTCCAAATGAGGGGTAGGAACACAGGTCAAAAATGCCTGCGATCCATTGGTATTGGGACCTGCATTGGCCATGGACAAAAAGAATGGTTTGTCATGTTTGAGGGAGAAGTTCTCGTCTTCAAATTTTTCGCCATAGATCGACTCTCCTCCGGTTCCGTTAAAATTTGTAAAGTCCCCAAATTGCAACATGAAACCCTTGATGACACGATGGAATATTGAGCCCTTGTAGCTCAATGGCACATCAGGTCTGCTCTTAGCGAATCCAGACTGGCCCTCACACAGTTTGTAGAAGTTTTCAGCAGTCTTGGGTACCACATCGTTAAATAATTCGAACACCAGACGTCCCTTGGGAACGCCACCGATTGAGACGTCGAGAAAAACCTTTGAGTTTGTCATTTCTGGAATTTGTGAATGATCCGTTGTTGTCGAAGAATTCCTTCCCAACCTGAAATCGGGTTCTTCCTCTGGAGCACCAGCACGCTTTAAATATTTTTCAATCACCCAGGTGCTGTCATTTTTTAGAAAATGCTGGAAAGTTCAAATAAAAGTGTGAGACATGAGTATAGACATCAATCTGGTTCAGGAATTGGACTTGTGTCACTATCGCATTCACTTTCGCCATTGTAATTGTTGTATATGTCGTCATTCTCGTCCTCGTGCTCGTTCTCGTTCTCATTCCATATGTTCGTAGCAGTATTGTCGATCTCGATGAGGTCACTCAGTACGCTTACATAGTTGGAATCGGTACCATTACTTGCAGTAGAGCCATGCTGAGCACTGAGTCCTCTGACATGTCCGTTATCTTCTATGATCTCGCCAGTCGTGAGATCCACAACATCGCCTTGGTCTTCAATAGACTCGTATTTCTCGATCAAGTGCAACCAGGCGCGCTTCATGTTTTCGTCTGCTCGCTTGTGTCGTTCCAGAACTTGTTCGTCTGTTAGTTTCGGTATCAATTGGGCCTCTTTGGACATCACGTACACGATTTCGTTCGAGGGCACAGAATCCCGCGCATCGTTACGCTGTTCTTCGTGAAAGACGGGAGCAGTCTGTTCGCGTGATGCAACTGATTGTCGTTGAGAAGGTGGATCAGAAACGACTTTTGATCGGTTTTTGGGACTCTGTAAAAGCCCTTGTAATGCACCTTTGAGATTCTGCAGCGTTTTCTGTCTGGCCTTCTTCTTTTTGACCCCGCTCATGAAGTTTTAAGAAACGTTCACGTCCCTGGGTCAGTGATTAGCTTACCAAATTTCCAAAAGTCATCTTTGGCTTCTTAAATTTAAACAATATGAACAAACAATATCGCGAGTTAAAAAAAAGGTCTATAGTAGGGCACTATGAGTTGTCACTTTCTGTCTACGGTGGAAACGCGGTCGCTGTTCCCTTTATTCTGCCAGCATTCACGGAAAAGGGCCATTTCAGCCATACATTGTCGCCAATCGTTGGTTTCCGCGTGACACAACTGTAGTGCCATATTTTCCACGTAACACCCGGTTTTATCTATTCTGGAGTCCCATTCATCTTCGTCCTCTTTGGAGAGTTCCTGGTACTCCTCCAGGGCTTGCTTGTAGTATTGGGAGTCTTTATTTTGCGACATTGGCTTGGTTTTGTGAGTAATTGTTATAATAAGGTCAGTGAGAGAGCGTAAATTGATTTTTAGCAGCGGAGGAGGTAACTTTGATGGTGTTGGAAGGGAAATTGAGAAGTGAGAATCATAGGAACTGAAGCACTCAGGAGACCTTTTGGGGACCGGAAAGACTTGATGTAGAGGGAAGTGGTGGATAAAGAAGGAAATAAAATCCATAGAAGAGTCACGTGACTGGAAATCACACTTAGATTTATGGAAGTATGGGGAGAAGAAAGAGGGAGAACTACGCAGATGTTTAGCGGTTATTCAAAATGTGGATTTGATCCATTATGCGAATGATCGACACTACCGTATCGTTGCCAATTTTGGCACGAACATAGTGATAGTGTCAATTTTTTGGGGTAGCTAACGTAGACGTGGGACATCAGGGTAGATGGAATTGTAACCGGGAATAGCATGAACAGAGAACGGAAATTTTTGAACCAGTACGAATGCGTGTTAATGATTTTGAGGAGAATTAAGGCTTGATCACGTGCCCACCAGCGAATGCTTCCCCGGGTCTAACAGTGTCTGAAAATACGAAAAGCTATCAAGAGATAATCTAGCGTGTTGGTTCTCGAATTCAGAGCAAGAACCACTAGCTCAATTCGAAGGAAGGTTTTGGCTTTACTTCTTTCTTCAAAAACGCGGTGAGTAGAGCCGAGTTTTCTGTCACTGAGGTGACGCATGGTAAGTGTCCCATACCTTTGGTGATAGTGATACAGACTACTGTTGGGGTAGTTGTAACGCTTATAAGTGTACCGCTCAAATATCAAACGGATGTACAGCAGTAAGAGAACGTGCCTAGATACTGACTTGACTGTATTCACAGCAAAAGATTTTAACAAAGTCAACAAAATGAGGAGATTTAGAATACTAGTTGTAGGGTTGGCAAGTGGGTCAAGAGCTGGTTCACATAACTGAAATGATCTTGTGGCTTGATAAAACATGTCCATTCATAAACTTCCAAATATCTGCCGGACATTCTGTCTTCAATTACATACACGTGACAAGATGACAGCGACAGAACTGACAAGATAGTCAAAGAATTTAGAACACTACTTATCTAAGTGGAATGACAATGATTACATCAAGTGGTTACCTAGATCAGCCCATTTCCGCCATTTGCACTCGATACGCTTGAAATTCTTTACATCCGTCAGGGACGGAACATTTCCAAGAATTTGGATAAGAAGGCGTCATAAAATGACCCAAGACGAATGACAAAAGGGTCGGCTGAATTTGAAGGAACCACAATATAAAGTTAATGAGAATATGGAGAGATTGGGATGAGGATCCAACAGTCTACGTGAGGAGCGGAATCCAACATAAAATCAATAGCAGAGGTTCATAATGAGGTTCACAAGGAACAGGCAAAGTAGTATAGCATAGACCGACGAAGAGGAGGCGAGATATAGGAATAAGAACAACGTATCAAAGAAGAATGGAGATCTTATATAGATTTTTGTAGTTCGTGATAATTAGACACGACAGAAGCGGACATTTTATCGACCCTACAAGCTTACTCCGATTATGCTAAATAAACCACGGAAAGATGATTTTACACTCAAGGAAACAATGGTTTCCTGCACCTTACAGTAATGGATAGAATCACCCAGGATATGGGACGTTTATCGTGCAACGACACTTCAAAGACAAAGTCTCAACACGAGAATAGACAAATTCTACTTGTAGCTATCTTGTTCACAACTGATCGCTGACGCTCTCAGTTGTTCGACTATACGATGAATTCTGACGCTGTCATCAAGGCACGTGATGTACGACTCTCCGTACATGAAATTTGACATCGGACAGACAAGCTGTGGTGAGAACGATTTGGGATGCAGTTGGATGTTTTTCGAGAAGGGTCTTGATCAAAATGGCTATCTGAATGCATTGTGGTGGTGGTCGAAGCGAACCAATGGGAGCATCCGTTTATAGTGATCTATACATCCAAAACGTCAGTTGTCCTTTCCTAAAGAACAAGAAGTACAGATGATGGGACAATGTTGTGAGAAGTTCTAGTAAGAGCCATTGGTATCCTTTCAATGTACAGAACTCGACATCCCTCCTCCAGTCCCTGGTTCTGTTCACCATACATATACCACGTGATCCACATTTCCCTCTTCACATCACGTGCTCCATATTTCCCCTTTTAAAAATTCTTTCCATCATTATGGCACACACACAAATCTTAACTTCACCAATAAGATACTCGTCTCACTATTAAAGGTTTATATAAACTCAAAAAGTTAAAAGGTAACTTGTCAAAATACGCACACGAAAATCGACCAAAAAACACACATAGTCGAGTATAAATCCGTATGGTGAAGGTAGCGGAATACCCAAGAACAGCGACGTTTGCTTGGTCGCAGGATCGGTCGCCTTTACTGGCCACAGGGACGGCATCTGGGACAATTGATGCGGACTTTTCCAGCGAATCAAAATTAGAAATATGGTCATTGTTGGGGGCAGAGGCAGACCACGAGGGCAATGGCGGGAGCCCGCAGGCATCGGTGGTGGCAGACGCCAAATTCAACGATTTGGACTGGTCTTACGACAACCAGGTGGTGGCAGGAGCGCTGGAAAATGGAACAGTTGAGTTTTTCTCGCCGCAGGACTTGAAATCGATTGCCAAGGTTTCGGCGCACTCTACACCGGTGAAAACGGTGCGTTTCAACGGGAAACAGCACAATGTGATGTGCTCGGGCGGTGCGAACCGGGAAATCTTCATCTGGGACGTTACGAAGGCCACACAATCGGGTTATGCTCCGGCAACTCCAGGCACTGCAATGACGCCCATGGACGAAATTAGCTCTTTGGCGTGGAACCAGAGCCAGGCCCATGTGTTTGCGTCTGCGGGATCGTCTGGATTTGCGTCGATTTGGGATCTCAAGGCCAAAAAAGAGGTTTTGCATTTGAGTTACACTTCGCAACTCACAGGCCAGAAAAACCTACTTTCCGTGGTTGAATGGCACCCTACAAACTCGACTCGCATAGCCACTGCAAGCGGCAACGATTCAGACCCATCCATTTTGGTGTGGGACCTCAGAAATGCCAACGTACCACTGAATATATTGTCAGGTACGCACACCAGTGGACTTTTGTCGCTAGACTGGTGCAAACAAGACGAAAACTTACTCTTTTCCAGTGGACGCGACAACACGTGTGTGCTGTGGAATCCTAATGAATCGCAAGCGTTAAGTCAATTCCCCACCCGCGGAAATTGGTGTTTCAAGACAAAGTTTGCACCTCAGGCTCCTGACCTTTTTGCGTCTGCATCTTTCGACAACAAGATCGAGGTTCAAACATTACAAAACTTGAACTGCGATTTGGATACTACCGCATCTGTCAGCAAACAGCAAGAAACCGAAACCGAGTTCTGGAATAACGTTTCCGAGCATGATAGTAACGAGAAACCTGTGGTGAACAAACTACAGGCACCAGCTTGGTACGGAAACAAGTCTTCTGCGGCACAGTGGGCATTTGGTGGTAAGCTCGTTTATATCACCAGTGATAGAAATGGCGTCAAAATAGTTAAGCAAAACATTCCAGGTGTCGAAAAGAACTTGATGCTCGACGAGGCTCTGCAATCGAAAGATTTCAAGCCAATAATCAACAAGAGACTTGTACAAAGCATCGATGAGACCAACGAAGAAGATTGGAACATGCTAGAAAGGGTGTCTTTGGATGGCAAGGAAGTTTTCTTGAAAGAGGCGCTTGCTTTCGACGACGAAGACCTGAGCGGCTCAGAGGACAAATTAGCGTCTGCTGACGATGGGGATGATTTTTTCTCCAATTTAAACCAAGCGTATGCTCCCGAGGGGTCATTCAAACTCGACACAAGTGGTGCTTCTGATGAACTAATCAAAAGTTTAATCCAAAATGATAAGAAAAAGGCTATCGCGCAAGCTTTAGATCAAGGATTATTGCTGGAATCATTTTTGATTGCTCTACACAGTAATGATCAAAGCTTAAAACAGAAAGTAGAAAATTCTTACTTCTCGAAATACGGAAAAACTTCTTCACTTGCGAGAGTCCTGCACAGCATTTCTCAAAACAGCGTCGAAGATTTGGTGGAAAATCTTGATGTTTCCCAATGGAAGTACGCTCTTAAGGCCATCAATGCTTATTCCTCGAATGACGCAAAGAAAAACGAGTTACTAGTTAAGCTCGGTGATAGAGTTTCCGAATCGAATAACAGACAAGACGCACTACTTCTATACCTAAGCGCTCAATCGCTGGACAAGGTTGCTGAAATTTGGCTCAAAGAATTCGTGGGGCTAGAAAGTAAACTAAAATCCAAGAAGGAGACCATCTACGAAGCTCATCTAGAGTGCCTCACCGAGTTCGTCGAAAGATTCACAGTTTTCATTAGTCTCATTAGTGACAAACAGCATCAAAAAATTACCAACGAGGGTCTAATCTCCAAGTTTTTGGAATTCGTTAACTTGACATCTGCTAATGGTGATTTTGATTTGGCTCTCAAGTTTTTAGATATCTTGCCAAGTGATAATGAAGAAGTTATCACCGAGAAGCAACGCGTGTTGATTGCATCGAATAAAACTCCTTCTGTCGCGAAGACTGTTACAAACGCTACATCTAAAGCACCAAAGTCAAGATATGCTGCGGCTAGCACAATTCCGGCAGTAAACCCAATTGGTCTTGGGGTTTCTCAGAAGCAGACTACTCAAGGTAGCTCGGTACCACCTGCTCAGCAACTGCCTGACAACTTCGCTTCAGGATCTTCATTCTCCCAGACGGCGCCATTGACACCACGTACAGCCTCTATCACTGCTCCAATTTCCACCGCATTGAAATCAAGTGCATATGTGCCTGCAACAAATGTAAATGTGCCAGCTGCAAACAAGTATGGCCCTGCAGCTATTTCGCCGGGTGCCATTACTCGCGTTCCAACCGCCTTCGTTCCGCCTGCACCTCTGGCGAATAACGTAGCAGCAAACAACCCTTACACACCTGCTGGGCTACAAACAATGCCAGCGAATCCTCCAGCAAATCCATATGCTAATCGCTATGGTAGTACCGGCGCTCAGCCTGCTTATGGTCAGCCTTTCAAACCAGTCGCCAACGTCATTGGGGCTGGGTCACCGGGTTATGGCAATGGGTCGCAACAGATGCCTCCACCACCAATAACTGGTGTGAGTTCGGGCCAGACCCCGCATCTCAACAAAAAGGCGAATGACGGCTGGAACGATTTGCCTTTGAAAAACGTTTCAGATAAGCCCACTCGTGCAAAGGCTGTTTCCGTAGCTCCGGCTAGCGTTGTTACTTCCCCAGGTCCAGTTGGACCTCAATCCAGTTTTGGGTCAATTCCTCCACCACCCTTGTCTAGGGTGACTTCCTCGGCGACGATCCAAACCCCTGTTCCTCAAAGAGGCCCCTCAAAGGCATACACTCCATCTAACAGCAGTGCTTCTCCCACAACGGCACCAGCACCTGTTCCAGCATTTGCTCCTCCCTCGAATCCATATGCTCCACCACCAGCGTCTAACTTCCCACCAAACCCATATGCATCTTCGCCCAAGGTAGGCTCCGTACCTAGCCAGACTGCTTATGCACCCTCAGCTAATATCCCACTGGGCGGTGGGCCAGTTCTCAATGGGCAACAAGGTCCTCCTCCGATTTCACAAAAGGCGCCTGTCGGACCTCCTCCAACAAACATGCGGAGAAGGGCCCACGCTACTCAGGACGTGAGCTCGGCCAATGCCATCTTGCAGTCTGTTCAAGGCAAGCCGGAGACATTAGCCCCATTAGCAACTGCACCCGCAGCTAATGGAGTTAGTATTCCAGCACCCAGTCATGAGTATGCTGATACCCCATCTCCCGCCATTCCCACGGAAACACAGGGGATCCCGGCAGAACAGCAACCGATTGTTGATTTCTTAACTAGCGAGTTGGCCCGTGTAACACCCTTGATTCCTCAGGAGTACACCAAGCAGTTGAAGGACTGCAGCAAAAGACTGAAAATATTGTTTGGACATTTGGAAAGACAAGATCTACTCACTCAGCCCACAATTGACAGACTACATCAGATAGTAGCATTAATGCAAGAGCACCGCTACGCTGAGGCAATGCAAGTTCACGTGGACATTGCAACCAACTATGCTCACGATGCAGGGAACTGGTTGACCGGTGTGAAGAGACTAATAGGGATCGCCGAAGTCACTTCATCCTGATTGAACACAGTTTGGTGCACCTAATGTCACACTCGCTATAATCGAAGCTAACCTCTCGGTATTTTCGGGTCTGTGATCCAGGTGCATAACTGAAGGAACGAGTGTATAAATGAGTAGCTGACATTTACTGTAATTGATCTACAACTTTGATGAAAGAACATTGTAATTTTGCACCGCAGCTACTGCTGTTAGTGAGACTCACACAGATTTTAAAACATTACACAACGTCGATTCGTGATGATCAAAAGATGTCGGATACTCTTCTTATGTTTAGCGTGAGATTCATTACAGAGAGATCGGAGCACGTGATCAGATCATAGCGACAGAATAAAATGAATAAACGTGTACCTGAACTACAACAGTCCCGGGTTTATAGCGTGATGGTTTCACGAGGGCTGTGGTATTATATGGCTAAGCAAAATCTCAATGCAAGTGGGGACTTTCCACTTCTTTTGATGAGAAGATGATTCCCAGAAATGTTTGAAAGGGAACAGTCTGCCCAACCTACAGAAACATCTTCGGTACACACACTGCAATGCGGGAAGATGGTACCAAGCTATATAACCAAATAAAAGCAAAACATTCTTGAAATCATTGCTAGGCTTGTCTAAGTATGAGCCATAGTGCAGAGGGTAGATGGCGTCTTCTAGTTGATTATCTAGTCAAAACCCTAGTCCCTGCTATAATAATATCTCCCGTCACGTGATAAAATTGGGCTTCCAGCTAGTCACGTGCTACTGATTTCAAGACAACTATCTAGAGCTGTCCCATAAACCGAAATATCACCAAGTTAATCCATTAGCCATCACAACTAGAGCATTTGCAACTGCGTCAAGCTGCTTTGGGTCGGCTGGATACTCTTACTTCAAGCGAAATACAACGTTTGTTCTTTCGCAAAGATCTCTTTTTGGTGGAGTTGGCTGTTCATGAATGACTCAGGGCAAGGAACCATAACGAAACAAGATGAGGTGGTTTCGAAGACTGATAGTGGGAGCTTTTTGAACCATGCGGTGCGTGGGATTAATGATAAATTGGCATTTAGATGGCGTCGCAGAATCGCACAAGTGAGTCCTACACCTCCCACAGCAACTGAAGATATCGGTGACATAGACGAAGTGTTTGAAGGCGATGACAGAAGTCGAGACATCTATTATGAGAATGCCGAGACACACTTGAATCTCACGAATCTGAATTCCAGAGCGTTTTTGCAACCGGCGCGTCAACAATCGCAACTCATGTCTGTCTTAGTTGGCGTATTCGTAGCCGTGGGAGGCTTTTTATATGGCTACGACACAGGCCTCATCAATAACATATCTGGCATGCAGTACGTGAAGACTCATTTTGCTAGTAACGGTGAACAGTTTACGGCTAAAGAAATGTCTATTTTGGTGTCTTTTCTGTCTTTAGGAACTTTTTTCGGCGCGCTGGCCGCGCCCTTCATCTCAGACTCATATGGAAGGAAAACCACCATCATCATCAGCACTTTTTTTGTGTTTATGGTAGGGAACTCACTGCAAGTGGCTGCTTCAGGAATGGGTCTTCTCGTTGCTGGTAGGGTGTTTTCTGGAATTGGGGTTGGCTTTATATCTGCAGTGGTACCATTATACCAAAGTGAGGCAGCTCAGAAACAGGTGAGGGGAGCTATCATTTGCACGTATCAGTGGGCCATAACCTGGGGCCTTTTGGTATCTAGTGCTGTTGCACAAGGAACACATCACCGCAACGACGCGTCTTCTTATAGAATTCCCATTGGGCTTCAATATCTTTGGTCATGCATTCTAGGATTCGGTATGCTTTTTTTGCCAGAGAGCCCTCGCTATTATGTTCTCAAAGACGAGCTTGATCAAGCAGCAAAGGCGCTGTCCTTTCTAAGAGGTGTGCCTGAAGACGATTCTGGCCTGCTAGAAGAATTGGTGGAGATCAAGGCAAATTACGATTACGAAATGTCGTTCGGGAAATTCTCGTACTTGGACTGCTTTAAATCCAGTAAAGGAAGAACTAAGCAAACACTCCGAATGTTCACAGGTATCTCAATTCAGGCATTTCAACAATTTTCGGGCATCAACTTCATCTTTTATTATGGCGTTAATTTCTTCAGCAAAACGGGCATTGGTAAAAGCTATTTGATTTCTTTCATCACATATGCTGTAAATGTCAGCTGCAATATCCCCGGATTATTTTTGGTAGAATACTTGGGAAGAAGAAAAATTCTATTGATCGGAGGGGTACTGATGACAGTGTCAAACTTCGTTATAGCCATTGTTGGATGCGTCGCAAAATCCGTGGTAGTTAATAAAGTTCTTATTGCCTTTGTTTGTCTCTTTATTGCTTCTTTTTCTGCTACGTGGGGCGGTTGTGTTTGGGCCATCTCAGCGGAATTATACCCACTGGGAGTGCGATCTAAGAGTACTGCTATCTGTGCAGCCTCCAATTGGCTGATAAATTTTGTATGTGCGCTTATCACACCCTACTTGGTCGATACAGGAGACCACACCTCATCATTGGGGACTAAAATTTTTTTTATATGGGGCAGCTTAAATGCACTTGGTGTTGGTGTGGTATACTTGACCGTTTATGAGACTGGAGGCTTGACACTTGAGGAAATTGATCTGTTGTATCGACTATCTCCCAACAGTGTTGCGTCAACAGCGTGGAACAAACAGATCAGACACTCTCCAGGCTCAGTTCGAGAAATTAGAGTGGAAAATCAAAACAAAGAAAAGGTGGGCGAACCTTCAGGCTTGAACTTGGGTGCATCGAACTCCAGTTATGAGGATCAACCTTCACTGAAGCCTGCTGAAAGTCCCTCTCACAACTATGTTGATCTCGGAAATGGGTTAGGCTTAAATACTTATAACAGAGGCCCACCTTCGCTGCTAATGAGCTCATCTGAGGAAGAGGAAGCAGGCGATGATAATGATAGTCGAATGAGTATCCGCACAGATCAAACAGCGAGTAACTTTCAGACCAGCAATACAAATGGATATGGTGATGTGCGACGCCGCGACCAAAGCCATATTTCTCATGATGAAGAAGACAGCACCGAAGGCAGGTCCTTCAATACTGAGAATTCTAATAATTTCAGTGAGTACGTGGTACGCTGGATGAACAGCTATGGCGAACAGGGTTCGAATACTGGGGTAGAGTAAGTACAATATTTGATAATGATTTTATGAACACTTTGATCAAAGACGCGCGTTGAAGCTATAAGGTCAAACATAAGACTCAAATACTAGGACCAGGTGTTGTATTTAGAGTTTACACTTCGGGGTCGTTAGCAGCACGGGCTACAGTTATTCCTAGGTAGCTCAGACTTTGTGCAGCGTCTTTCATCGATGAGGCATGCATTGTAATAAGTCCAAATTATGAGTAAACTTGATGCTTCTTAAGGTGCTGTTCCAGAACAACTGGATCATTGAATGATCATCGTAAATTCATTGGACTCGTTGGTGATGTGCTCTACCGAATTTGGAAAAGGCATTTGTTTACAGAGTTAGAGATTGTGAATGACGTTACCAAAAGTCTCTACTAACTGCGGGATTGACCATGGAGCACTCTGAGCTTCCATTGCGGCGAACATTGGCCAAATATAACTCGATTTGAACGATGAAAGCCATTTTTCACCATTCTAAGAGTCGTGATGGAGACGAAAACATTTCAATCTAAAGCTGAATGGCCTGATAGCAGATAATATCGGTGCAGGGTTATGAACACTCAGTGCCATCGACTTCATTGCCATTGCATGACTAGTAACTCGTAGTAGACCAAGTTGTGCGTGAGTATTCTGTCACTTGTGTCACTATCGTCAAGTCACGTGTGGCTGGTCACTGGATCATGAAGCTGGCGCCACGACTAAAGAAACCTCAAGAGTCTAACAAAGACACGTATGTGTTTCTTTCAGAGGGTTAGAAGCCACTGGTTGTTCTAGTCCACTGTTGAAGCCTGTGTAGCTTTAGTAAACCGATCAGAGCGAGAGGACACTACAATTGTGAAGATTTGAAGGCGGTACACTACAATTGTGAATGCTTCAAAATAGTAAAATCCAATTGTCCATGTTAATACCATCGGAATGCTTCCAAACCTGACTCGGAGTTTTGGACTTAAAAACTGTTATCACTTGTTTATATCCCGTCGCTGTAAATTGTTTCCAGTCACGTGATTCACGATGTCCTTTAACATTTTCCTGCAGTTTGAAATGGCATAGTAGAGATCAGTCTTCAACGCACTGAATACCACGTCCTTGGGAAGGATACGTGCAAACATACACTAAACTTTAACCTCACATAGCTGACGTGAGGGTACACGTGCCAGCAAAGAGTACAAAGTACCTATTATCGGATCACGCGATAAGCACGTGACCCAATAATAAATAATTACTTGGGACGAATTCAAGTACCGACCTCAAGCGAAAGTTGGAAAAGTGTTCCCAAAAGCTAGGAAACTCCGTTGTCAAGACGCCAACTATAAGATCAGGAGGCAATTACTATTAGCTGACATTGAATAGGGCGACGCTTCTTCAAAACAATGTCGAAAATACAAGACACCGTCTTGAAAAGACAAGACGAGAATTGGAGGGAAGATGAGCGCGATCATAGACGTGTTCGAGCGATTACCAATGGTGTCAAGAACCCTGGGAGACCTAGCGTGGGAAACGTGAAAAAGGTGCTTGAAACGGCCGTTCTGGTGGGTTCAGATAGTGAAGAAGTGAGACGGAAACTGGCGCAGCATCGTGAAACAGGGTCGTGGGCCCAGGGTCGTGTGGAATACGCGTTTTACAAAATATTGTTGAGTATGCTGCTAGTGGCCTATGCATGTGTGCGATATGCACAGTACGAATACAACCGTGTTAAGATTTTGGTGCTAAATTTGGCGTACAACCCTTCGAATACGCCGCAACTAATCCGCCAAGACGTGCTAAAATTGCCAAAGTTGCCCAAACGACTGGCGGCGATTTTGGAGACAAAACCTGATGGCGACGTTGGTGGCGGTGTTGGAGGGGTACTGAATGATGGTAGTGAGCTTGTTGCGTGGTCTGTTTCGGCTGGTATAAAGCATCTCATACTGTACGACCACGACGGTCATCTAAAGCGTAACGTTGACGATTTCCGCAGTAATGTGTTCCATAAACTTTCCAAATTCTACGATCCCAGCAACGTGCCCAAATTTGCCGTTCGGGTTCCGCAATGGAATAAAGTGTATTTTAACACACCGGGCACAGAGACTGGCGAGGCCAGAAAAGTGGCCATTGAAATCTCGCTACTTTCGAACCGCGACGGTCGCGAAACCATCATCGATCTGACCAAGACCATGGCCGAACTATGCGCTCATAACGAGATGAAGCTTTCCGATATTACGATGAAACTTATCGATTCCGAGCTTACGCAGCTTGTGGGCCATGAGCCCGATTTGCTATTGTATTTCGGACCCAGTCTTGATCTACAAGGCTTCCCGCCCTGGCACATCCGTCTTACCGAATTTTACTGGGAGCAGGACAATGACCAGGTCACTTACGCCGTGTTCATTCGTGGGTTGAAAAAGTACGCTTCCTGCAAAGTAAATGTGGGCAAGTGACGAGAGGAATACGGAAGAAGAAAAGAAAAAAATAAAATTAAAAAACAAATCCCCGGTTAAACTTGTTTTGGCCTTTGCATATTATCATTATCAGTGTTCGCGATTTCGACTCGAATTGATGGTAGTTCCATGTTTCCCATCCATCGCGAACATATAGCTTTGACTATCCTTTTTGCATATTTAATCATTTTCTCAATTGAGAAAACTATTTAGGATCTAGCATAACTAATTACTTCATGTTCTGTCTTGCTGACTACTCGTGTACCACAGAGAGGGATGAACTTGGGACAGTTAGATCCGGAGCTCAAACTCAGTCGGTTGAATCAGTTTTATACTGTATCGTTCTGTACTTGTCTGTCATCTGTCGCTGATGGTTATTTTAAGTAATGGAAGTTGTGGGCAACAAAAAGAAGCAAAAGTACAGATTTGAACATCAATGCTGATAGAAAAAGCGGATTTCAGATCCCATCAGCAAGCTGAATAAACCATCGGGTTAAAACTGGAGAAAAATGTGTTACTTATAGCTACGTGTGATATATCACGTGACCAAAACTCACGTTAGTGTCAGTTAATCGTCCCAACGAGAAATTTCAAAACTCAACTAGTTCTCACCTCTGAATTAGCCATGCTTGGCTCGAAGCATAGGTATCATAACCCTACTTTGCTGTTTGTTTCATAAAAAATGCTTTCTTTATTTATTCACGCACGTGACATTAAATCCCACCCGTCTCAAAACATCACCCTCCACGAAGAAGGCTTACACCTTTCGAGTTTTTTTTGAATATTAGGAGATAATCCGATATGCTTACTTACGTGTTCAGCACGGTGCAACTTCTTCGTCAACGTAACAAAACACCTTTTGACGTGATTGCTACACTTGTACCAAGTCTTACAGTGTTAAACAATACCGAGTACGTATAAAGACTTATTTGTACCTTTTTTTTGGGTCGCATTTGGCTTACTGACGAGCCAACTGGTGATTGGTCAAAAAGAGCTGACTTTTGCCAAGGTTACTAACTGATTTGCGTGGAAATAGAATAAATCTCTGTACACAATGGGTCTCTATATCTCTAAGCTTTTCAACAGTCTGGTCGGCTCCAAAGAGATGCGTATTTTGATGGTGGGTCTTGATGGTGCCGGTAAGACCACCGTGTTGTATAAGCTAAAATTGGGTGAGGTTGTCACCACAATTCCTACCATCGGTTTCAACGTCGAGACCGTCGAATACAAGAACATTTCGTTCACCGTGTGGGACGTGGGTGGACAAGACAAGATCAGACCTTTGTGGAGACACTACTTCAGAAACACCGAGGGTATCATTTTCGTGGTGGACTCCAATGACAGATCGCGTATTTCTGAGGCCAGAGAGGTGCTTCAAAGAATGTTGAACGAGGACGAAATCAGAAACGCTGTTCTTTTGGTCTTCGCCAACAAGCAGGATTTGCCAGAGGCCATGTCTGCTGCCGAAATTACCGAGAAATTGGGTCTCCACTCCATCAGACAACGTCCATGGTTCATCCAGGCCACATGTGCCACTTCCGGTGAAGGTTTGTACGAGGGTCTAGAATGGTTGAGCAACAGTTTAAAAAATCAATCATAATTTGTAGAAGGGAGGGTCATCGAGTTCCTGTGGGAACCGATTCAGAACTACGCTACACGAAAAGAGAAACTCACCCAAAGGTACTGGTGCCAGGTGGTTTCGCGAACTCGAATTTTTGGCAAATGTACGTACTTAGCAATTGAATGAAAACAGCGAATTTTTACTTTGTCGGTTGTAGAGGAGGATGGTCCACGAATAGTAGACCCTAATCTGTTGCAAAGGCGGTAGGATGGGTGTGAGAAGTTCTCTTCTCATCACGTGCTTCGATCTCCCATCCAAATATGTCAATAATTTTGCTACAGTCGTTCCTCTACCCGTTCATGCCGGCAGATCGAATAGCTGACGCCTGCGACACGAAAAACAAACCCTAAAAAAACAAACCCAAAACAGTTTACATCAGACTGTGTGTTTCCTGCAGCAGTTAAAATTGCCCTAGCAGCACTTAACTCAGGGCCACAACGCGATGGTCTTTCCTGAACTACGTTTTGACTTTTCAAAATATACGCTGGTCTAATGTCTCTCACGCTCCATTCCCAATTCTCTTTACTACATAACGCCAAGACTTGAATCATCATAACACACACTTACCACGTCTCTCTTTCTGTTTCTCTGTACCACGAGTAGCAACATGATTCTCAGTTCCTTTTCCTACCATGTAGATTTCCCTCTTTCCAATATTTCACAGTTTTAGTTGTGACTGTCATCCGTACACCCAGAGAAAACCATAAAACATTTTTTGGAGACCGAAAAAAACATCGGTTTCTGAAATTTTTCAGATGACGCAACTTTTCGAATCCGAAACTAATTGTGTTGATGTCACTACGAACGTAAATAGTGTAATTTTTTGGAACTTTGGCCGCATCTGTCATCGTGAACGAGGTCCTAAGGTTTTTTTCCACCTTACTGAAAAACTTGATGCTTTGAAGAACTCTAAGTTCTCAGGTTCACTACAGGTGTGTTAGCAAGATCAAAGACAAAATGGTATGTGATATGATGTGATAAGTACTGCACAATGATAGATTTGGTATACGGGGAAATGTGGGTGAAGTTGTAGCCGCTCGAAGCGTGATTCCAACGCATGTGGAAGCAGCAGAAACGGATGGGTTTTGGGCGAGCTATGTAGATTGAAAAAAATCCAAAATGTGGTATTCGTGGAAACTCATGGTTAGAAAGCTGAACCGTTTTGGCTCATCGTCCAGTCCTTTGCACCATGAATTGGGGGGTGTACGGGAAATGTCCAACTGCATACGCCTAGAGCTGTTTGCCCCACCATCACACCGCTGCAGTTCGCTTTATTTCTGCCCTTCGTTTGTTACTAACTTTTTCCCTCCACAGGCCGGTATTAAAGCTTACGAACTTAGAACCAAGTCCAAGGAGCAATTGGAATCCCAGTTGGTCGACTTGAAGAAGGAATTGGCCACTTTGAAGGTCCAGAAGTTGTCTAGACCTTCTTTGCCAAAGATCCACACTGTCAGAAAGGACATTGCCCGTGTCTTGACCATCATCAACGAAAACCAGAGACAAGCCGTCAGAGAGCTTTACAAGGGTTCCAAGTTCCAGCCAAAGGACCAGAGAGCCAAGAAGACCAGAGCTTTGAGAAGAGCTTTGACCAAGTTCGAGGCCACCAGAATCACCCCAAAGCAGAGAAAGAGACAGATCGCTTTCCCACAAAGAAAGTTCGCCATCAAGGCTTAAAGCGAACGCGGAATTCTCATTCAGAAAGGGTCTTTCACTTGCCGTCTTTTGTCTCGATCTCTATATAATTTGTCGGGTTTTTATTTTGCATATATAAAGACTTCAACAAGGAACTTGTGTTAAATTTGATCTTAGGTATCTGGATTTTAAATCGTTCAGCTTTAAAGTACATAACGGGCCTTAGGATGGGCCCACTCATTTCTTTACGTTAGACCTTTTGCTCGGCAAGTCTTTCACTCATCTTACTGTTGCGATGTTCTATTATGTGCTGCCTTCCTCTTGAAAGCCTCGATCTCATGCCGTAAATCATCGTTCGGTATAACATCCTCCAGTTTTAATGGCATTCTATTGAAGGGGTCTGTCGAATCACTCAACAAATGACTCTTGATCGTGCTACGGTCAATTGTAACCCTAGAAGCAGGCAAGATAACCGGATCCTTCATTATTGTAAACATTAGTGGGTCAAGATATTCATCAGGTGCGTCGCCCATCTCCAAGTCTTCTTCTTCCTCAGCCACTTTCTGATCCTCAGCGTCGCGAGCAAATTGCAACAGTCTAGTGCAGAAATCATCACTAGCCAATCCAGTCTTGGTGCCTAGAATATGAACAGCGCGGTCAAACATAGCTCTACTAAACGATCTGCCATCCCGGGCAACGGCACAGATGAACTCTGGCTGCTCTGACAAATTTGTGAAAACAGTGCAAAGCGATTTAAGCAGAGACTTGGCATCAAAGCTGTATTTCTCAGGATTATTGACCTTGAGCTCCCGGCATTTTGGCCCGACCAAAGATGCCAAATTGTAGTCTAACATTCCCGCTAGTCTATCAACAATTTCTGGGGTACAGAAAGCGGCAGGGATATCTGTGGAGAAAATATTGAACAAAGTGATTGACTTTTCAGCCAATCCACAACTTGATTTCGCCTGTCTCTCTGATGACGCAAGCTTGGATTGTAATTCTTCATCATTTTCTTCCCTCGTAGGTGCGACACCCCGCGATCTCTTTTCGAGCTCTAGCTGAATGTTGTGTACTTCAGTAAGACTGCTCAACCCTTCATCTAACAAGAATGTCAAGTCATTGAGCATTCTCGCCACAAAGCGAACGAAGAAATCAGCGTTGTTTTGAGATTGCCAAATAATCTTCCGGCGATAATCGGATATCTTGTAAAGCTCTTCCAAAAGAACAGAAATGCTGTATCTGCTATTGAACTTATCGTAGAACTGTGAGGATGAACCAGTTTTTTCCACTATGACATAGAAGTCCAGCAGAGCATAGAGCAAATGTCCGTTGACTAGATCGTTGTGTTCGAAAACATCCATCATGAATCCCGGTGTATTCTCACGCATTGGCATGGCGCCTAAACTTAAGACCTGGACTAGTTTTCCTTTCAAATGAGGGTTAGAAACAAGTTCAGGACATCTCAAGACAACGGTTGCCAGCTCGATGAAGGAATGCAGACGTGGGTTGCCGAATAGTGGAGACATTGCGAACTTAGAAATGTGCTGCGTGTAATTTATTAGTCCTTCAATTACAAATTCGGGATAATATTTGAAGGGAATTGGGGCGTTGCGCCGTAAATAATCTGCATTATCAACATTTTCAACACCAACCTGATCAGGTATCAAAGGAAGGGCGATGTTTTTGAAGGGGAAGTTGTGGTTTGGGTCGATGACCCTGATGAGAAATGTAGACGCACCGCTAACGAAATCAAAGATCTCAAGCTGTAGGTTTTTGTTAGAAAAAAATCCTTGTAAAGAATGCTTGATAGACTGCATCGTTTGTAAAGACTTTTCCAATGCTGGGAGCTGCATTGAAGCGAATCTGGCAAACATATCTTGAGATTGTGCAGCTCTCTTAATTCTGGTCACTTCTTCCCTCATACGCCTAACTTGCGGAGTAACTTTTTCCTCGTAAAGTATCGCTCCGCCAATACCGTAATGCAAGTATGCTAATGTAAGAAAGAAACAATCCGAAATGAAATTTGGCTTGTTTTCCTCGCTTTTTTTATTTTGATCGTAAAATTCGTCAGCCTCCTTAAAATCAGAGTTCATGCGTGTTTCATTCGAAAGGTCCAGATAGAGGTTGAGATTGTTGAAGTAATTGACGTCAATTTTATCAATCTTCTTGAAGGAAACATCCAAAAATGGCTGTGAGAAGCGCACTAGTAACAGTGCAATATTTGTGACGAAAGCATTGGACGCTAACTTATTAGCATTCGCGTGGTCACCTCTCCGCAGGTGATTTTTGTTGATTATTTGGGCGAAATACGTCAACAAATCTGAACGGGACTCATCTGAACCCCTTACAATCTTGTCTATAATGTAAAAGAGACGGTCCAGAATCATCTTATGCTCGGTTTGCAATGACTCGTGAATGACATTTGTTTGCTGTCGAGATCGTTCCAGGTTATCGCCGTAATTTTGTAGCGCAACACTGGCATTAAGCGGAGACAGCGTTAATATGGGTCCCAACAACGTAACTTTCTCATATTGATTTGGCTTCACGTCATAATCGGCGAAAAATCCGCTCACTTTGGTGAAAATGGCGGCGACGGATTTGAACGAAACCAGGAGCTCGAATAGCGTGAGCACGGCCGAAACAATGTGCGAGTCGTTCAAGTTGAACAGTTTGAGTGAGTCGATGTATAGCTTCAAGGATATTAAAAAGCTTTCGGTAAACTCCAAAACCGACTCTTCTTGCATAGCGCGCTGGATTAGCTGCGATATGAAATCGATGTATTGGTCCACCTGGTTGACAATCTGGGTCGTATAGCTCAGAAAGTTTTCTTCGCCCGGTGAGAACTCCTCGATCTGAAACAACACCAGACCGTATCCAAGCACCAAACGCTCAATTTCCAGTAACGTTTGACTCACCTGCTGCTGTGATTTTTTGGCAACGCGCTTCTGCTGTTGCACCCGTTGAAAACAATCTTTAAGATATGCGAACTGTTGGCCCTCTAGTTCCATATTTTCAGTCAACTGATACAACAAAATAGCATCGCCTTGGTCCACGTCCAGGGGGGCTTCAAATTCGTCTGGCAAGACGTAAACCCCATTTTTTTGGTAAGCCAAGGGATCTTTCGACACAAGCAATACTTCTTCCAGCACAGACATTACTCAAAATAAGCTTCTCTAGTTTAACAACTTTGAAGTATATGCGATTAGCCTGCCACAAGTCAGAAAACGGCTTAAAAAGATGCAAAAAAAAACCCCTTAAAAGCCCTTATCAAAACCCAACACAAGTTTAAACGTCCAAAACTGCTTTCAAGTAACCTTACTCCGGTCTTTTCAACCCCGTTTGGTATCCCAATCGTCTGTTTTGTACCGTCTAAAGTTCATCAAGTTAAATTCATTTTGATGATCAATCTACTTGACTATTTATATACAGCTGACATCTGACCTTAATTAAGATTTGAAGATTATCAATGTTAAGAATTTCGGAAGTATTTAAAGGAACTATCCTTCGCAGATCTGGATCATCTCTGATTGAACTATCAGGAGGTTCATTAGCTTGGCAGCGGTGATTTTGAGTATGGGGGGTGTGCATTTGACGAAAGCGATGTCGGTGGCATTGTTCGAGCGATCTCACGATCGACAATTTGTAGTTGATCTGGAAAACACGTTGGTGACGTTTATGAGTGATCCTGGCCACTCTTCGTACCAGTTAGGTCCGATGAACTCGTATTATCGGTTGTTGGCTCACCAATTGGCCGACTATCACGGTCTCAAACACGCATTGGCGAAAAACAACGACACATGTGTGGTTTTTTCAAAGGGAGAAGAGTCGTTTGCTCGCGATCTTGATAGAATATTGCTGCAAAACGTTGATCCCAAAGACGTAACGTGTCTAGATCCGGTGCGGGAACCAAATGGGTCGAGGAATTCGAGATCCGGGTGGATACAGGGGAGTGGGACCCACAACACCGGAAATGTGGTGAGAGTAGTTCCGGGTCACGTGCCTCCGTCGGATTCTGGTCCTGCAACACCGCAAAAGTCTCGGTTTCCAGCAATTGACGACGACGACGACTCGCCTCAACCTCATCGCTTCGAAACATCCAGATACAGTTTCGAACAACAGGCGGAAAAACCGCGTCAGAAACAGCGGCGTTTTCATAAAAGATCACACTCGCTCGCAACACCACTACCACCACCTCCACCAGCGCCGGTATATTACCAGCCCCCATTCACTTTGCCGGTCCCGTACATGATGTACAATCCCTACCCCATGATGTACATCCCGCCGGAGCAACAGTTCCCGCCTTATTACCAGAACCCTAACGCATTTCATATGAACCACTACGCAACTTTCGGTCCTGGAATAGAACCACCACAGACGCTGGAGTCGTCCAGAAGTGATAGCAGTGTTTTCTCTGGCAGAAAATCTGAATCCACTACCGATAATGGCGGGCAGGTGGAGAAGACGAGGTAAAAAACAAGAAACATTGTGCCTGACAACCAAAAGGAAAGAAAAAGAAGCTTGGCCAGTTGTTTTTTAACATAGCATTTAAAATAAAAGCGTGAGTCGCACGGAATCCAGTAGAAATCTTGAAGCTTTAATAGATCAAAAACTCAAGGTGAGGGAAAGTCAAGCGTTCAACAACTTGGTAATAAGAGAGACTCAGCAAAGAATTCACTCGACAGCACTGCCGGTGCGAATGAAATCACGTCCTTCGCTGTTGATGTACGGGAATCAGTAATAAAAATGTCCATTGTTTCGTTTGTTTGCGTTTGTGAATATATCCGTACAGCTATTTTTTCACGATTTCCACACCCCAGTGTAGGGTCAGATGGTTCGTCTTGTCGTCGTCGATGAACTTGGAGACAGCAGTGTAGTTTCCTCTGACTAGAAACCCACTGGGCGCTTCGCTTTCGGGCAATTCAACCTCATAGAATGGCTTCGAGGTTGTGTTAGGCGCGTACGACCCCAAATGATCGTCGATGCTATCTACCGGGATACCGGCTTTCCGGATGTTTTGCACGTACCTGAGTCCTGTGATGATTTCGTGCTGCACTTTGAATGTGATTCTGAGATGGTACACGGATTTTTCCTTGATTTTGTGGCGCAGGGACTTGAGTTTCTGGATCGTTTCCTCGTTGGTCAGATCGAACGTGATGGGGGCTTTTTCCGAGTCTACCACAAGCTCAATCTTCAAAATCACCACTTTGCGCTTGTCCCCGGCAAACTCCAGCGGCAGTACGTCGGCTCCCAACCCGAGACTGGCCTTCCATTTGGCCAATGATTCGTCTTCCGCATCCAATTTTTGGTACTCTGCCAGCGTTTTTTTCGCAGAAACTTTGTAGGAATCCTGGTTTTCTTGTTCGAGTTCCGTAAAGTCCTTGTCGTCGCTCATCTTAGTCGTAGTAACAGTCTCAATTGACCTGAGTGCTTGTCAATAAGTGTGTCTGAAGCGTTAACGTTCTGTTTTTATCATATATTATGGTTAGAACAGTTCATTCGAGATGACCTTACAATAAAAAGATCAATTTCACATATCACTGTCCACGATCTCGAAATCAATTTAGATTTTCTGGTCATGTGACTAGTTTTTAATAATTTTATACGAATTGGATTTTCGGGCTAGTCCGACAAGATTACGATAAGTGTCACTTAATTGAATAAGAATTAAGCTCATTGGTATCGAGATGTGCGATAAAAGTGTGAAATAATAGAGTTAAGCTGGATGATTAAACGTTCAGTGATTCTTGGTGGATATTAATAGCTTACGCGGATATAATTGTATAGCATCTTTTGGTGGGCGCGGTTTGTTCTTGTGTATTTTAGCGTTGTTTAGAGATCTATTGCCTTGAAGTTGAGAGACTATGCCATTGATGGATTTCCAAAAGTTTAGAAACGCCGACTTCGAAGTTCAATCACAGACGTTAGAGACGCTTTTCGAACGAAGCAAGTCGCTGGAGAAAATGACAATCGCAAATCCGTCGTTTGCTCGAGATCGGAGCTCGAACTATGTGGAATTGGTGGAAAAAATAAGGGCAAAACTTTTGGAACTTTGTAGCCAGGCAGAAGCGTCGCGTGAGGCCAAAGCGGATGTAAGTGACGTTATAGCAGCGCACCCTAGACTGGGACAGCCACGAGTTGTTTTATCAGCGCATTCGGCAATCGAACAGCGCAATTTGGGCAACTCAGACTCCCCGGAAATAAAAGAGACTCTGCAACGGCTAAACAAGCAATACGAAGCACAGTACCCAGGACTGCGATTCGTGGTTTTCGTCAATGGCCGCACAAGACCACAAATAATTAAAGTCATGCAAAGCAGGATAAATTCGGACAACTCGTGGGTCCAGGAAGCGCAGCTCGCATGCAACGAAATGTGCGACATTGCCCTGGACAGAATCAAAAAAAGCGTGGCACCACTGGCAATGGAAACTAAATTGTGAGCTTATTTTCTCCCTCTCATAAAAACTAGAAGTAGTGCAAAGGACAGGTAGAAAGAATACAACAAGGTTATTTTTTATATGCTGTTGCGGAAACAAAACCAAAAGCTAGCGTATCTGCAGCAGCGGGCTTAATCACGCTTCTCTTGCAGCCTTCATGTAGGAAATCCCTTTTGGTTTTTCACTTCCTGGGCTCTTCATGATTCTTTTCTTGCAAAAACATGGCCCCGAAACGATGACGATCTCCGAAACCACTTAAATGGATCCCATATCAAAAGCGCATGTTGTGTGTACTTGTGTATGTGTGTGTACCTGAGCCATTGCCGGTTTGCTGTTGTGGCGTCGCATTGCCCATGCACGCATCTGCATTTGCATCTTATTACTCCCTAAATCTACATTAGGAACACGTCTCATAAAAAGTAGTCTGGCGTCTTCCTACTTACCGTGGGTTCTCCAGGCCTCATCGACGGATCATACTGTAGGAATTGGCGGTTATGGTTTTCGTCGAATTCCATGATTGCAGCTTGGTTGCCGCATCTGTAACAGTAATTGGGTGCGCTGAAAATGGTGACAACGCTTTGCTGATGAGACCACGCATACCCTTCCATCACCAGTTGATGTGCTCTTGCGATGAGCGACAGATCGTTTGTGTGGTTGAACTGTTCGCTGATGTCTTGGCCAAAAGTGAAACCTGCTCCTCTTGGACTGATGCCCCACCCGCCTCTGTCGTCAGGATCAGACCATAACAGATCGCACATGGGTCCCTCGTGTGGTACTTCCTGTATTCTGTTTAGCTCACGCACCTGATCCACGGTCTCGATCATCGGTGACAGACCGCCGTGTAAGCAAAACACTTTGTTGTCCACTAATGCAGTTATGGGGAAATAATCGAACAGATCCGTGAACATCTTCCACACGCTGGCGCTACCATATTTGCGCAAGCATTCGTCGTAGAACCCGTACACCTGTGTGATCTGTCTCGATTCGTGGTTTCCTCTCAGAATCGTGATCCTCTTGGGATACCGCACTTTCATCGCAACCAGATACGAGACAGTTTCGACCGAATAGTAGCCTCTATCGACGTAATCACCCATGAACAGATAATTGGTATCTGGACACGGTCCTCCGATCTTGAAAAGTTCCATCAGGTCGTGGAATTGGCCATGCACATCACCACAGATCGTTACAGGCACGTTGACCGGCTGTACATTCTCCTCGAACTGTAGAACGTCTACGGCCATTTTGCACAGTCTTCCCACGTCTTCTTCTGACAGAACCTGGCATGAACTCAGATGCTCGATCCATTTGTCCAATTGGCCTATGTTACCAGAATCCAGTTGCAGGGGCTTTGACGATCGATGGTCCGCTGTATTCGAGCCTTCAAGCCCCACTTCGTTCCTGGACCCGCCTCCATCTCTCGTGGAAGCATCTTCGTCGAGCGTAGGATCCAGAGGCTCTTCTGTTGCGTCCTGCATTGCCACGTCGTTATCTATCTCCATTTTCAAAACCCGTAGTTTGTGTGTAACCGTTCAGAGATTCCTTCAAGCCCACTGTGTTTCTACGCACCGCTCTTGTATACGTCTTTTATAGCGTGTTCAGTGCCTTAAATACGCTTGTCGAACCCAAAGTCTCGGTGTAAAATGGCTAAAAAAGTCGCCAAATAAGGCTTTCAAGTCCGTGAAAAAGGGTTTCCAGCTCAATTAACACGATCTAAACCGTTGACGCAAACAATTGGCCTGTTAAGTGTGTTATTTGAATGTGTCTTTTTCGTCAAAGGGGTGGTTCACCGTACTTCGCTGTTGTTATATATGTTATATATGTTATATATATGCTTTCTTGAAATATGGGAAACTCCTAACTTTATTGAAATTCTGAAATTTTTCTCCCCTGGTGTTACCCGGAGTGTGAGAGTTTTTGGCACGTGATCTTGGGTCTCGTGATCAGATTTTGAAATGTCAGCGTCAGTATTTGTAGAAGATAGTTTGAACTCGGGCTGAGAGCTGATCGGCTGAGTGCAGTTTTGGTTATGTTGTGTTTGTTTTTTTTTTTCGTTTGTGTGTGTCTTTCTGATTCTGGGTATACTTTTGTTTGAAGGCTTTACACTGGGAGTCGAAAAAAATTGGTGAATTTACTGCCGTTTTGTTTCGAGTGACAGCAAAATGGTGAGCGGGACCAGTCCTTACAAACTCAGAGTTCCAAACAGTCAAACACCGAAAACCATGTATGTGGAATCACGTGACCCGCGTATCATTCACCCTGCAAGTTACGGTGTGATGTAGTGAAGCACACGCACACACCCACACACAATCTGCTCGTTTTGGCTTGGTTTAACGAGATTCATTTGGGCTCAACACGTTTGTCTTTGGCTTGCTCTTCATGCTGTGCTAACCTGAGTCTTTCGCTTTCCACGACACAATAGTACATAGTGATAAATTGTGAAAAAAAAGTGACGCTGGGCGGACAAAGAAGAGGCATCGCTTGCTGTGATTCCATTTGCTTCTCATACATTGCTGTGTTCTCAAGATCCTTTTCTATAGCCTTTTCAACACTGTCAGGGGTATGATTTTCTGTTTAATCGAATATTCAAATACCGTTGCAGCACCTTCGACGTTTCAGCGACCACCACACTTTCAAAATCGCACAGTTTAATCTAACACTTTGATTTGAATGTCAAGCTCTACTTGCACCATGTGTACGCCGAATTTTCTTCATCACAAGCTCAAAGTTATTGAGTAAAACGTCTGACACCCACTGACATTTGCGCAAGGTAAACTGTCGAAACAACCTATAACAAACGACTAGCATGTCCACTAGCCCTCTTCTCTTTTCTTCTCACAATTTCCACCCAACTGCGAAGAAAGATGGAAAGTCCTGTCGAAAGACCTCTTACCCATGGATTTCTAAGTTTGGATCCTGACTCCCCCGATTATGCTTTAAGATCACACACACTGCCAGCAAATGCCACTAGCATACGACAATTGGTCATAAATAAACAGAACGGGCGTGTGATTGCGGCAAAAAGTCAACTGGTGGGCCGTATGGAAGACGCTTTGATACGCTGGCGTCCACCCGTTTCATGTCACGCAGGGTCTACTGCTGCAGTCAAAGGTAAGCACCCGTACCAATTGGAAATGGAGGAAAATACACCAGCACATACTTCGCTAGAATCAATACGTCAGTGCATCGAAACTTTGGGAAATGCGGTCATCAAACCTAAGAAAAAAAGCGATACACACCGTCACGCGGAAGAAAGTAGTCTTTTACATTCAGTCCATTTGGGAGACTCCACTGACCCATTTCATTCCTTATCTTCGGCAAGCGGAATGCTTCAGGAAATTCGACAAAGTTTGCAAAGCACTGACACGCACGGAATTACTCCGCAAGCTATAGAATGCGAGCAAGAGCCGGAAACCTGTACTTTCGAACCTATCACATACAGCTTTCCAATTCCGGCCTACTATTTACCGCAAGAAACTACACACCCGGTGGGAGAATCGACCAGAGACAACGTGAATGTAGATTCTAACGACGGCCAAGCGGGAACCCGTTGGAATAATTTTTGGGATCAAGTGTGTCGCGAATTCAAAATCCTGTGTGCATGTGTATAATGACATGAAATATGTGTTTGTAGGAGCTTTGTTGCACGTTGAACGTCTCATACCATTGATCATGTTTTCCTTTGTTATAAACTATTATTTGATGAGGTTTAGAGTTATCTTTCAGTGATCTTGTAGCTAGGCCGAATTGGGCATTATTTGGTATTCCGAGAAGCTATGTCATATCACCTTAATTAATAGCATGGTTCTGAGAAGTCAGGAATGTGGCATCTCAAGTCGTCATTTCATTAATTCTGACGCTGTCATTTGGGCACCTGATGTTGGGTCATCTGATATGAATCGGACTTTAGACAGACTGAGGTTTTAGGCAGAACTATGGACTTTCTTGAGCAGATTACGGGCTTTGATGGCAAGCAGGTATATACCTTATGTATTACAGGTACGTTCGGTGTTTTCGCAATAATGGTATCACCGGAATTATGACGTTGACGTCATCCTGACAGTCACCGTAGCTAAGAGCAGCTGGTTCAACTCGTACTGCTGGATCCACTGTGCTCAAACATGTGGGCTGAAGAAGAGACATAGCTTTGGTTTTTAGTGCGTCACTGGTAGTTTAAGCTGTAACGCCATTATAGTACAAAGTGATTCAAAAAGTACACTCTCGCTTTCGAATGGAATCACGCGTACTAATGTTCAATGCATCTATCGGAGAAGTTTGTGACATTGACCTTTGGCGAGCATCACCGTTTCTTGACGGCGGAAAGCGTCTGTTCCTGTACTTCACACATCAACTTCGGAGACTAATAAATATACTATCAAAATTTTTCTCGATCAAATCTGTTGACACCAAAATTTAGAAATTAAGTCGTAGCCGCACATACAGCATTTCATATCATTCCAAGTTGCCAGGACCGAGAATAGTGGTCTACAATGATCAGTGAAGCTTTTGTTCAAGTTATTTCTCACTTTTCACGAAACGTTTTTTTCATGAACAATTAGCATCATTTTTTCCGCTACAAAACATCGCTATCAATTCCTATTCGTATCAGTGATTTCAAGTACTTCGTTCCTTTGATCAGACCCTCCTCTTTCTCTCAAGTAGTCTTGCTCAAGCGTAAGATCTCTCACGCTGCCGTCCTAGATGACCAATCTCCTATATAAATGTCATGCCCAGGGGCCCGAATATATTTCAAATTTAACTCTCGACCCTATTAGAATAAAAGAGATAACTCCAAATACCATATAATTTTGGGACGATAAGCCCTGATAACTGTTCCTAAAGCATCTTACTTATCACGTCTAATTGGTGCAATAAGACTTGTCCATTTTTCTGTGTAAAAATCGGTCAAAAATAAGCATTTTTGGGCCATTTTTCTGTCAATCTAGAAGAACGGTTTAAACGCAAAGAAGGTAACGTACTCGCAAGTGTACTTGTTAATTGTTCAAACATGGCAGGTGCTATGGAAAATGCTCGCAAGGAGATCAAGCGTATCTCCTTGGAGGATCACGAAGAATCGGAATATGGGTCGATTTACTCTGTTTCTGGGCCTGTTGTGGTGGCCGAAAACATGATAGGTTGTGCCATGTACGAATTGGTCAAAGTGGGACACGATAACTTGGTGGGAGAAGTCATTCGTATCGAGGCCGACAAGGCCACGATCCAAGTTTATGAAGAAACGGCCGGTGTCACCGTTGGTGACCCTGTTCTTCGTACCGGTAAACCATTGTCTGTGGAATTAGGTCCCGGTTTGATGGAAACTATCTACGACGGTATTCAGAGACCCTTAAAGGCCATTAAGGAAAAAGCGCAATCCATCTACATTCCCAGAGGTATCAACGCACCAGCATTGTCGCGTGAAATCAAATGGCAGTTCAAGCCTGCCCAGGACAAAAAAGTTGGTGACCACATCGCAGGCGGTGACATTTTCGGTTCGATCTTTGAAAACTCGTTGCTTGAAGACCATAAAATCTTGCTACCTCCAAGAGCCAGAGGTACTATCACTTGGATTGCCTCAGCAGGTGACTACACTGTGGACGAAAAAGTGCTAGAAGTCGAGTACGACGGCGTGAAATACGACTACACCATGTATCACACGTGGCCCGTTCGTGTACCACGTCCTGTCACAGAAAAGTTGTCTGCCGACTACCCTCTTTTGACCGGTCAAAGAGTCTTGGATTCCCTTTTCCCATGTGTTCAAGGTGGTACCACTTGTATTCCTGGTGCTTTCGGATGTGGTAAGACTGTTATTTCACAATCGCTATCCAAGTACTCCAACTCTGATGCCATTGTTTATGTCGGATGTGGTGAACGTGGTAACGAAATGGCGGAAGTCCTGATGGAATTCCCTGAGTTGTTCACCGAAAGGAATGGTAAGAAGGAACCAATCATGAAACGTACTACTTTGGTCGCTAATACCTCCAACATGCCTGTCGCCGCAAGAGAAGCTTCTATCTACACCGGTATCACTTTGGCTGAGTACTTCAGAGATCAAGGTAAAGACATTGCTATGATCGCTGACTCATCGTCCAGATGGGCCGAGGCTTTGAGAGAAATTTCCGGTCGTTTGGGTGAAATGCCTGCTGATCAAGGTTTCCCTGCCTATTTGGGTGCCAAGCTTGCCTCCTTTTACGAAAGAGCCGGTAAGGCCGTGGCACTGGGCTCTCCAAACCGTGTGGGATCGGTCTCTATTGTGGCGGCTGTTTCCCCTGCAGGTGGTGATTTCTCCGATCCCGTCACAACTTCTACATTGGGTATCACCCAAGTTTTCTGGGGTCTGGACAAGAAACTAGCTCAGAGAAAGCATTTCCCCTCTATTAATACATCCGTGTCCTACTCCAAGTACACTAACGTGCTTAACAAGTACTACGATGGTAACTACCCTGAGTTCCCAGGTTTGAGGGACCGTATCCGTGAAATTTTGTCGAACGCAGAAGAATTGGAACAAGTGGTACAGTTAGTCGGTAAGTCCGCTCTGTCGGATAGCGACAAGATCACTTTGGATGTGGCCTCTTTGATCAAGGAGGATTTCTTGCAGCAGAACGGTTACTCGTCCTACGATGCGTTCTGTCCAATTTGGAAGACATTCGACATGATGAAGGCATTTGTTTCCTACCACGATGAGGCTCAAAAGAGCATCTCCAATGGCAGCAACTGGTCCAAGTTGGCTGAGGCCACCAGTGACGTGAAGCACGCCGTTTCGTCGTCCAAGTTTTTCGAACCCAGCAGAGGCGAGGAAGAGGTGCACGGAGAGTTCGAACAGCTTTTCACCAAGATCCAAGACAGATTCGCCGAATCGTCCGACTAATTTGGAGCATCAAGACAAGACAAGACACTCGTATACAAGTTTCTAACGAGAGATCCACACTTCTAGATAGAAAAGAAAAAATACCTTTATAATTTTACGACAATTCAATGTTGTTTGAGTCTCTAAACGATTGCCATCCTTGCAGGTGTAGAAGGAGGGTTCCTGGAGCGAAAACTATTTGTTTGTCACGGGGAAGAGGCCTTTTCTCAAGGATCCATCAACAAACGAACCCACTATGGCAAGACCACGAGAGTCTGGTTAACAAGACCCTCTTGGTCCTAGTTCTGTCAACAATTATTTTAGCTGAAATCATGCATTGGCTATATAGTGAAAAACACCTAAATACATAAAAATGCATTGGGACTTGACCCAACACAGCCAATGAAAAGAGATCGCTAAGGTGAGATAATAGAGCGCTTCAGAGCCAAGACAAAGAGCAGACTACAAGCATTGAAGAACGAATAAATCTTTCCACTTCACTTGGCCTGCCAATGGCTGACTGGCCCCTATACAGCAACTATTCGATCCGATTATTTGGATCTAGCTCTCACCTTCCGTCTCTTTCTCTTAAGTCTTCTAACTCTCTTCTTTCTCCACTTAGCACGCATTTCGAGTTAGTGAAATATGTGTTATAGAGCTGGGGAAAGGAAATAAAGAACAAAAGAGATAGAAGGTATAACTGATCGACAACTTACTTGTTATATTCCAACTCTTTTCAACCTTTCCCTGGGCAGTAGACGAAGCCAAAGTTTGAGTCGGTGGAAACTCGGCACCATTGAGAGGGTAACACCAGGCTGGCTGGCGAATCAGCCAGGGTTAGGGTTTGGCCGCGGGTGTGAGCAATTAGTGCACCTTTTCGCGATTGTTCTGGGGCGCCATTATACGTGATAGATGAGAAGCTTGAATTAGGCCTCAGATACGATTTTCCACCAAAAAACGTCACAAATGGAGCCTGGGAAACAAGAAAACTGGCAGCAACTACGGGCTCATTTGATAGGCTGTTCAGAAACTTTGATTTAGGTCGAAAGAGCGTCTTTTCCCTGTGTTTCTACACTGTGACAGCGCTTTCCCCGGTTTACAAGTCGCCAATTTTCGATCACCATGTACTAATCTGACACCTTGTAATCACTCGGCGACAGCATCGTTCGAATAGGAAAGAGGTGGAAATTTTTTAGAAAAGTGAAAGAAACTGTGTGAAGATGTCGCGTCGATCACCGTATGTATGGGTGAACAGTCCAAAGCAGTCATAGCCGAATAACGTTAGCTTAATCACACAACTTGCCAACCTAGTACTTGATCTGGACACATTACAAGCTGACTGAGCTTGAATTGAATTTGGTAAATGTAGATAGTTGAAAATATACAGAAATATAGACCAAAACTGCTAAACTTATTTACAGACATCTACTACAAACATATATATTGTGCGCAATTGGGTTTTGCAACATCATTTTGATTTTTGTTTGTTATTTATCGTTGTTCACCATTAGCTTGTTGTTGTAATTATTGTTTCGGTCCTTGAACCAGACATTGGACAAAATAATCTTAACTAGAAATGAACAATATGTGTGTCTACGCGGACGTCTTCGGCGCCACAAACAGTGAAAGGTTTCTCACGTTGAAAGTTTGTTTTCGTTAAGTCTCTGTACATGCTATTTTTCAAGAGTCCTTCTGTAGTCGCAAGGTCTCCTGCTGTAGGGCCTTTCGTACAGAGCTCCTGATCTCGTGGATTTCCAGCGTATCCAAAATTCTGTCTAGATCCTTTTCGTTCAACAGAACACGTTCAGGTGTCTCGCTACTCTTAGACTGTGTGTTGTCACCACTACCACCGGCAGGCCCGGCCCGCAGGATATCCGAGTACTGTGGCAGATTTGTGAACACCAAGGTGTCGCCCTCATGCTTGACCAGAGACTCCAGGCGCTTCGCGCCATTGCAGGCCTTGAAATTGCGATAGGCACGGTAAAGAAGGTAAAAACCTGGCACGTTGGGCAGCACAGGAATCAGGACCAGCGGTAATGTCAATGGGATACCCAGAAGACTTAGCCATGCGAATTTTTTATGATACTGCAACCCCTGTTCGCACAGCGTTTGCAATTGCTGTCGTATCTGTGTCTCAGAGCATACGCTTTCAGGGTAGTACAGATGGATGGGTCTCAGTTTCAGTTTATCGGCGTTTTTGAACCATTCTTCAAATGTCAGCAATCGCTCCTTTTCGTTTTCCCACACCCGTTTCATCAGGTAATTTTCAGACGGCACAGTGTTGAGCGAGTCCTCAGTCCACGCAGTTTTGTCCAGCAGCACATTGACCTTCTCTACAATTTTTCGATTTAGTTTGCGGGGCGATTTTTCCAGTTTGGCCCATGTCTGTGATACTTTGCCGATCAACTTCGTCTCATACTTGACCACTTTTGACGTTGCATTCAAGATATTTGATGCATGCTTGTGATATACGAACGCTTTATGGGTAGTAATTGGAATGGCTATAAGTTTGACGGGATCTTTCAGGTACTGTTGAACACTGGGTCCATTTGGCAACGATGAAAAGCCACGACTCGACAGTCGAGAACTTAGTTGCCACATATGCTTGCAGTTCAAGTCAGCTTTGAGAACTAGGGTTAGAGCCTCCTTTCTGAGCTAATGTTATTGAGCCAAGTCTTTACAAATAGAACAGTTGTAAAAGCCTTATTCACAACGAACAAATGTCCAAAAATCGTCCAAAAGAGTTCTCAAATATATCTTTGAAAAGCTTGATCAACGCTGCTTTGATCTATGACAGTCAGACTGTTCTCGCAAGGCTTGGGAAGCTGGATAATCGTGCATCTTCAAATGTGTCAAGATTATTCATGTCAATTCACCCTATATAGACTACATGAAATTATGACGAAATTAGGACAATCTATGAAATACGACACCTTTACGTTCAGAAACCAAGACATTTTGAGACCCTTTGAGCTCCATCTTTAGTCTTTTGAAATCCTCTTAAGCAAACCATAATGAGTAAAAATGCGCTTTCGGATGATGAGGAAGAAGAGCGGCAGGAAAGGGCCGAAAAAGAGCTTCAATTGCACGATTTTGGGCAACGAACGTCGCACCGATCTGGATCGCGCGATAGATCAAATAGTCAAACCAAGACTAGTCGTGGAGTCGGAGAGGAGACCAAGACCAGACTTTTGAACCCATATGGTCTCAGTGCATCAACCGTTCCCCCTTTCGCCTTGGATGAGCAGCTTAAAGCGCACAGACGTCAGAGCACACAAAATCAAGATGGCTCATCTCAAAATAAACAGAATGAACCAAAGCGACCACAAGACCTCTCGTCATCGAAAGACCCATTTTTAGTCTCTCACAATGAGAAGTGGGACCAGTTTGTGGAAAACATAGGCTCCAACGTTGCATACTTGCATAAGGCTGCGGAAGATATCGATACCGGTTCTGCTGCAGCTGAAGGAGCGTCTAGTGACTTCTCGAAAATGGAAACGACGTCTTCTTCTAGTGAGGAGCAACCAAAGCATTCCGAAAAGAACTTTAAGAAAACAGCATATCGGACTACTACTTCGAATTCAAAAGACATTCTCGCAAACCTCGATGACTCCTGGGGTGGCAGCGAAAGACTCAACGCGATTTTCAACGGCCCACTATTGGACAGCAACAAGTTTACCAACAACCAGGACCGTCAGGACTGGTCTGAGTATCTGGAGTCGGTCAAGGCTTTCTACTATCGTGACGGGGCATTAGACAACCCTGATCTCGAGGCTGGACTCCAAACGGAGGAAACCACGCCGAACGGCGACAACAACAAGCTGCATGCGTTTTTGGAAAAACAAAAGCTGGACTTCAAGCAAAAACGCAAGCATTGGAGACAGCTCGAGCGCCAAAAGAAACAGAAATGGTTGCCCACGCTCCGCAAGTTAATGTTGGACAATCAATATTTGCCTCTTGGGTTCCGTATGTCCATCGTGATCCTGAGCATCATAGCATTGGGACTTGCCATCCGAATTTTCCAAAACTCAAACTCGCGGGTTGAAGTGATCGGGAATTCAATCCCACAGCAGGCTAGTACGGTCATGGCGATATGTGTTAACTCTATCGCTGTGCTATATCTGTTCTACATTTCGTACGATGAGTTTTCAGGCAAACCGCTTGGTTTGAGGAACCCGTTTGGCAAACTACGACTGATCCTGCTGGATCTGCTTTTCATCATTTTTTCCAGTGCTAACCTTGCACTGACGTTCAACACGCTTTACGACAAACAATGGGTGTGCACCACGGGCGAATACACCAAAGAGCAACTACCTAAGATCGACTACATCTGCAGAAAACAAAGAGCGCTGGCATCGTTTCTATTCGTCATGTTGTTTTTATGGGTAACGACGTTTTCCCTAAGCATTCTCAGAGTGGTCGAAAAAATGAACTCGAGCTCGCCCAGATAATAAAAGCTTGGATGGCGAGCTCTGCATACAAAGACAAAGGCGCTTCTCAAGCGTTCATCAAACTATCACAACACTCACCACAAGACGATAAACTGGTGTTTAACTCTTCGTAACTCTTTAAACTTACTAGTTAGGCGATGAGCCGTGTGTAATGATATTCCATAAGGCATTTCAAATATATGGTTACCAATGTCACAGAGTTAGATCGGAACCAACATCGAAACAACGCGTATAGACAAGGAGACTGGCTTGATCAGACCGTGTTAACCCTGTCTTAAGAACATAGAATACTATGTCTGAGACCTTGCCAAGACCTGACGATCTGGAAGCGACCTGGAACTTCGTAGAGCCCGGAATCCATCAGATCCTGGGAAGAGATGGAACGCCGTCCTCTGCGTTAAAAAGGGTCGATAAGGTGCTTTCTCCAGCTATGTACATGGAAGTATACACTGCGATCTATAACTACTGCGTCAATAAGTCGAGCTCTGCGGGTCAATTCAACACAGACAACAACAGACAGAGTCAATCGTCGTTACTAGTGGGAGGAGAAATTTACCAGAAATTGCAAAGATGTCTTAAGGATTACTTGTGTAAGCTGGAGAGGGACACCAATGAGAGTTTTTTGCATTTTTATGTAAGACGTTGGAAAAGGTTTACGGTAGGGGCTATTTTCTTGAACCACGCGTTTGACTACATGAATCGTTATTGGGTGCAGAAAGAGCGTAGTGATGGTAAAAGACACATCTTCGATATCAATACGCTGTGCCTGATGACGTGGAAAGAAGTGATGTTCGACAACAACGTGGACCAGCTGGTGCAAGAAGTTATGCAGGTCATCACTCTGCAGCGCGACGGGTGTGCGATCTCGCACACTGACGCCAATGTGGCCATAAGGTCATTTGTGGCTTTGGGAATTGATCCCCAGGACTTGAAGAAACTCAACCTGAATGTCTACATTCAGTATTTCGAGAAATCCTTCTTAGATTACACACGGGCTTACTACAAACGGTTTTCGGAGCAGTTTTTGGAAAACCGTACTGTTGCGGAGTATATTTTCGCCGCCCAAGAAAAGATCAATGATGAAGAAAGCAGGATTGTGCTTCACTTAGACGAGCATACCAAGAAACTTTTGTCTGAGGCTTTGAACACCGTTTTGATCACCGATCATTCGCAGGCCCTGGAAGGTGAATTTGTTGCCTTATTGGACTCTAGAGACGAGCACAAGATTTCCACACTTTACGGGCTCATGCAGCGCGACATTTTACTTCTCCCTAAACTAGCACAAGCGTACGAGAGTTACGTGAGGAAAGCAGGTGAAGTAGAAATTTCTCGTCTGATTCTTAACACTAAGACCAAGTTGAACGAGGTAACGGACGAAAATGCGCCCCAGAGGAAGGCAAGTGCTAATTTTATTGTTCCTCCCAACGAGTACGTTAAGAAGCTCATTGAAGTCTACGAAACGTTTACGAAGATAACGAAGGACTGTTTTCAAAATGGTCCACTGTTCACCAAAGCACTTGACAATGCGTGCCGTGCCTATATTAACGTCAATGAGCTTTCGATTCCGCCAGGGTCACCCAAGTCGGCCACTTCAAAGACTCCCGAGATGCTTGCCAAGTACAGCGATCTTTTGCTCAAAAGATCCAACAAAACTACTGTCGACGCATCCTCTGCTCTATCTGCTGATGATATCATGACTATATTCAAGTTTCTCACAGACAAGGATGCTTTCGAGAACCACTACAGACGCTTGTTTGCCAAGAGATTGATACACGGGACGTCAACCTCCGAGGAGGATGAGGAAATGGTTATTCAGCGTCTACAGAGCGAAAATAGCATGGAGTACACGGGGAAGATCACCAAGATGCTGCAAGACATTCGTTTGTCTAAGCAGCTCGAAGTAGAGTTTGAAAGTGCTATTAAGATCGCACCAGATTACACAAGAGAAAGATATCCAGCATTTCAGCCGTTTGTGTTGGCAGAAACCATGTGGCCATTTTCTTACCAAGACGTGGAATTCAATCTGCCTCAAGAGCTCACGCCCACACACGGTGGGCTTGAGAAACTTTACTCCAACAAGCATAGCGGGAGGGTACTCAAGTGGCTGTGGCCACTGTGCCGAGGTGAGATGGTTGCCGACATTGGGAAACCGGGCAGACCTCCTTTCGTATTCACGGTGACGCTGTTCCAGATGTCGATTTTACTGTTGTTCAACGAGCGCTCGACCGTGACGTTGGAGGACATTCAAGAGCACACCAATTTGAGCACCACCAACATTGCGTCGTCTTTGATTCCGTTTATTAGGTGGAAACTGTTGCAGCAGACTCCGGTGGGGCTGGATGCGTTGTCTAAGCCAGACACTGTGTTCAAAATTGCTTCTCCTTACAAGGCGCTCAAGACCAAGATCAATTTTGCTGCAGGTGTGAAGAGCGAAGTGCCCGGATTGGGCGGTGCAGGTAACGGAGTAGGTACCGGCGGTGCCACTGCTGCAGAGATGTCTGAAGCGCAGAAAATCGAGAGAGAGCTCAACACCGAGCGCCAGATTTTCTTGGAGGCCTGTATTGTGCGGATTATGAAGGCCAGACGCAGATTGCCACATGCCACACTGGTGAACGAGTGTATTGCACAATCGCACCAGCGGTTCAACGCCAAGGTCTCGCTTATCAAGAGGGCCATCGACAACCTGATTGCCAAGGAGTATCTACAGAGATGCAGTGACGGTGAAAGCTACGAATATTTGGCGTAACTGAATTGAAGAGACGAGACAATATACACAGATGTCGTCGGTAGCTGTCAGCATTTGGACTCGAACTATTTGCAAGTCTCTCAAATCTTTCAAAAACTCACCCACTATCATCACCACCACCTGCTAACCGCTTGCCAACTCCGTCAAAAGTCCAACACTACACCACACCGTATCCCAAGGTTATCTCAAAGTGCTTGCTCATCACGCTTCCATCACGCTTGCTCATCACGCTTTTCAAGAGGTTTTTTCCCTTTCTATCTGTCGTCGGTCGCTCTGTCACCACAGTGACACCGTTACCACCAAGCTTGAAAAATTTTTAGAAAATCCCACCGGAATTCGAATAGTCATAGGACCATGACCAAAGGGATATTAGCGGTGCAACTTTGATAGTTGTATGAGTAACAATCAGTACGGGTCTGGAGCACTTCTTCTACAGCTTATTTGCTTGTCTTAGTTGTCATCATTATTCGAAAATCAAGCTATAAAGAGAGAGTGTGAAAAATTTGGAATTCAGTGAAAAACTTGAAATATTTCAAAGATATCTTGCTCATCGAACTCTTTCCACTGGCACGAGCATCACGGGCTAGATTATCAATTGACTTTGAATCTCAATAAGAGGGCTCTTCGGACAAAAAATGAGTGATTCTGATTTTCAACAGGTTACTGAGTCGGCTACCAGAACGACAGAAAACACCCACAACCCATATGGACCCAATCCTGCGGATTTTCTGTCGAATGTTAACAGTTTCCAGCTGATAGATTCGACGCTGAGAGAAGGTGAACAGTTTGCCAACTCGTTTTTCAGCACTGAGAAAAAAATCGAAATCGCCAAGGCATTGGACGACTTTGGTGTGGACTACATCGAGCTCACGTCTCCGGTAGCTAGTGAACAGAGTCGCAGCGATTGCGAAGCCATCTGCAAATTGGGCTTGAAAGCCAAAATTCTAACACACATCAGATGCCACATGGACGATGCCAAGGTGGCCGTAGAGACCGGTGTGGACGGTGTGGACGTGGTTATCGGGACATCCAAGTTCTTGAGACAGTATTCGCACGGTAAGGACATGAACTATATCGCCAAGAGTGCCATCGAAGTGATCGAGTTTGTCAAGTCCAAGGGCATCGAGATCAGATTCTCGTCTGAGGACTCGTTCAGATCCGACCTCGTGGATCTGCTTAACATCTACAAAACGGTCGACAAAGTCGGTGTCAACAGAGTTGGTATTGCCGACACTGTGGGCTGTGCAAACCCAAGACAAGTGTACGAGCTGATGAGAACGTTGAAAACGGTTGTGTCGTGCGACGTGGAGTGCCATTTCCACAACGACACTGGCTGTGCCATCGCCAACGCCTACACCGCTCTTGAAGGTGGTGCCAAACTAATCGACGTTGCCGTTCTCGGTATCGGTGAGAGAAATGGTATCACTCCGCTAGGTGGGTTAATGGCCAGAATGATTGTTGCCGCCCCAGAGTACGTCAAGTCCAAATACAAGCTGCATAAGATCAGAGACATCGAAAACTTGGTCGCCGAAGCTGTGGAAGTCAACATTCCATTCAACAACCCAATCACTGGGTTCTGTGCATTCACTCACAAGGCTGGTATCCACGCCAAGGCTATCCTTGCTAATCCTTCCACTTACGAAATTCTAAATCCTCAAGACTTTGGTTTGAAAAGATACATCCATTTCGCAAACAAGCTGACCGGATGGAACGCCATCAAATCGAGAGTCGACCAATTGAATCTGTCCATGTCTGACAACCAAGTTAAGGAAGTAACCAGCAAGATTAAGAGACTTGGGGACATCAGACCGCTCAACATTGACGATGTAGATTCCATCATCAAGGATTTCCACAGCGAAATTACTACTCCCCAATTGCAGAGTTTGAGAAACTCCGAAATTGAAGACGTTGACGTTGATGCTATCGACATTGTTCAACCTCCTGTCAAAAAGGCTAAAACCGATCAGTAAAGGACGACGGGCGCCGGCGTCAAGCATTTTATTCACATCATATACTTATTTCAAATGAAAATTCTTAGTAGAAAGAGCATTCGTTTCAATTAGATTACATTTGGTATACATAAAGGCTCCCATTATCAGCACTCATTATAACTTTTTTGGAGTCTCTGTCGTAGTTATTGTCTATGACGCTCACTTGTTTGTCCAGTTCAGCAGTAAAATCGACAACACGTTGTTTTGAAGTGACGTCGAACAAGCTGTTTCCACAAATAATGTGTTGGTCATCATTGATAAACTGATTTCTGATTAAAAACTTGTTTGCATTGTCATCGAAACTAGCGTCAATGATACCCAAATTTCTTGATTCTCGAGTCGGACTTTGCTTGGCATCTTGGATATGTATCTCATTATCGAAGCCGAAGCTGCACATCTTGAGCCCGAGTGTTATGTCAATAGATGTGACAGAGTCCACATGCTGGCTTTCAAGATTAAACAGTTCGTGGTTTGGGGACTGCCTGATATCATAGGCTGTGATTGTAGGGTCAAGTCCAGATGTGTACATTGTATGATTATGAGCGGGTGCGACAGCCGTAAATAACGGGAATTCTGTAGCCACTTCCCATACAGGCTTTTTTTGATGTGTGTCCCACAGTTTTGCACTGCCATCGTCGCCGACCGATACGAATTTGTCCTTCGAGATGGAATATATCTGGTTCACAGCTCTGGTGTGGCCGGTGTAATTTCGCAGTTTCTGTCCCGTTTCCAAGTCTACCAAGGCGATTTGTGAGTTAGATGCTCCGGCCACGAGTAATGGACCATCAAGCGTCGTCAATGCTGTTATCGCCGGGTTTTGACGAAATAAGTGTTCTATCTCGTAATGTCTTAAGTTTTGCAAGTCCCAGACACTTAGATGAGCGTCGAGACCTGAAGAAACTGCAGTATTGCCCGAATTCAAGAATTTACAAGCCAGTACCGCACTTTGATGGCCTCGAGAAAGCTCGAGTAGCGGCGAAGACCCTGCCGGTATCAATGACATTCAAAAGCTTTACCTTCTTTAACACCTGTGAGTTTTTTCAGTCAGCGAAGATGGGATGAGATGAGATGAGATGAGATGATCATAGTGACAGGGCTCGTGAAAATGTATAAACACGGACCTTGACGAAGACCAAGAAGCGGAAAAGTGAATCCAAGGGTTTCGAGAAGCTGTCAAACGATTGGAGAGTATCAGATGAGAAAACTAGGGTGAAAGAGCGCACTTCTGAGTTTTTTCATAGGAAATCTACGTGATATTGGTGTAATACTGGAATGACGGGTCTGTAGGAAAGTTTTTGAGATCTGAATAAACCCTGGATGTATGTAGAATAATAGGACTGGGAAATAACATCCATCAGTGCTACCTTCGCACCATGAACTGATTGACACATTCAAGGTCTGGACGTATTTCATTCTATACAGATGACTGTAGTGGACCCTTTCGAAAGCGACAGAGATGTACAAAGTGATCTTGATCAATCCGGAAAACTGTACGGAAGAAAAGAAGAGAAAAATGGCAGTGACCTTGTAGATTTTACTATTTTCTGAGATGCGAAAACACGAGCTATAGAACCTGATACGCTACTGGAAGACTCGTTCCTTTAAAAGATGTTCAAAAGAGAATATCACTATAAACGAAAATATTTTCAGCTTTTTTCTTCTATATCAAACAAAGCATACACTTAACACCAAGGATGAAACTTCCAAACTTACTCCCCAATGCTACCTCCGAAACATCCTAAATGTTGATAATCTCGAATCTACGTTTTATCTTTATTTCCCAAAAAGGTCACGTGATCTAGTTTTTTCGGCATTATTTAATTGGTCAAATGCTTCAAAGGGACGGATAATGGAAAATAAAGGTTCTGCTACTGAAACTCACTACAGACACACTTCAAGATCAAGAAGTAACTACTTGTTTAGCCTTTATTTGAAGCTTGACAGTACTGTATATCCTCGACTCTTTTCCACATCCATAATGCTAGCCGCTACAACTCGCAATACCCTCAGACAATCACTAAGAATCCAATGCGGAACAGCTGTAAGATCCTACACGGATGGCTCCACCGGGTCTCCAAGAGGTGAAAGCGCTGACGATGCTTTCTCTAAGAGAGAGCGTGCCCAAGAGGACTACTACGTTAGAAAGCACGAAAAGGAACTGCTAGCACAACTAAAACAAAAAGTTACAGAGCAGCAGAAGAAAATTGACAACTTGGAGGGAAAATTGAATGGGAAAAAGTAAATGAGTTACCAGAAAAACGCGGAGAATCTTGTTGTTTGAGGTTCCTACGATGACCTAAAAAATACGTTCGATTGCAACCAGTATATATTCTTCTAACATGTTTGTTTTTTTTTTTTTGATTTTGGGTCTTATGTGTGAGTATGGACGCTGCAAAACCCTAGGATTGCAATGAGGTACTACTGTCGGTATTACTGTCACAAATACACCAGAAGTCTTTGGTGACATTGAGTTCTTGTTGTTAGTGCAAACTTGACTACATCGCATCATCTAATACGTGGTTCTGAACCATGTCTGTCAGCCTCAGCTATATATATATCAACATCAGTACAGTAGATTGCCAGCAAGATATTCGACCTTCATTCTCCTTCTGGCAGCTTCAACCCCAATGAGTACTCCATGCAAGCCTCAAGCCTGTGCCATTCAAGGTACGTACTAAATCTTATGGTTTTTTCGACCATCCAAATGCTTCTATACTCACTCACGTTTACACGACGCAGCCTGTTTGACAAAAACTGGATTTGACGAAAGTAAGTGCACTCAAGTCATCGACCAGCTGTACGAATGCTGTGGCAAATTCTACCAAGATAAAGGTACTGATGCACGCACACCTTGCTGCCCCATCCCAAGTTTATTGAAACTAAAGCTGGAACAACGCAATAAAGAGCCCTTGGACGCAAGACTGGTTTAGAGACATGGTTCTTCATTTTTCTTTACCAAGAATCAAATATACATTTAGGACCGCGTAGCCTGTTCACGTAGGGGCAAGCCCCAGACCAGGCACGACATTGAAAGGTCGGTCAAAACGCGATGGGTCCATTTAATCCCATCATTTTTATTACTATAAGACTACCGCGAGCACGAAGATACAGGCCTTGGGGCATCCTGTATGCGCAACATTCATGGAAGAGATAGAACGTGCCGTGACTCTGGGTGTCTAAAAAGACATTGTATGGTTTCTTTAAAACAGAACCAGAGAAGGATTGTGAAAGGTGAAGAAGTGGGCTCATGTGAAGGCTTTTATAGTTTGAGATCAAGGACGGGTAACCCTCATGGATTTTTAGAAGAATTAATACTAGGGCCGAAGAGCAGTGTTTCTAATGCAAGGATACCAGTCCACTTTATCAATGTTAGCTACCCGTTCATGTGTCGGAAACACATATTTGATTCATACACTAGATTTAAAATGATTCTATGGATATGGGTATAAAGAACGGCTAGAGCTTAGGTGCCAGCGACACAATCGTATACAATTACTTGAGAGATAAATCTCCGGTATTCTACTGCTCTGCTGACTCTGTTGCTACGATAATGGGTTCAAACTACGTCCGTTTCCATCTTTTAATCTAGTGTGATGTTCTAAAATATTATCTGATCAAGTACGTACGTCTACAGTCAATCGTATTCCCGAACGTCTGAAATGTAGCCTTTACAGGGACTATTTTCCGTGATCCAGAGTCGGGTCCCGCTTACGTTGCTCGTGCTATTTTCCATCTTCGCATTTTTCTCGAATTCTTGCAATGCCTGGTTTACAGATGCTGGCTGTACACCCAGGTCTTCGAGCTGCTTGCGCAGCAATGCCACGTGCAATGCGACCTTCAGCTCGCGGGTCTGTACACGCTTGCGCTCGTTCAAGATTTGCAGCTCGCGTTTCTTGCGGTTTGCATTAAATTCCTTGGTCACTAGATCTTGTGTCTTTTTAAAATGCTCGGTGTCCTGCTCGAGCTTTGCTTCCAATTTTACTCTCACACGATAGCTATCAAACGCTAACAATGACAATGCTAGTACCGAGATGACTGTCACCAAATCTTGTAAATATTTGCGCGAAGTAGCATCTTGATTTTGAACTCGTGCGCTTGCTGGCGATAAAGGTATTGAAGTGGAAACTGAGGAAACTACGGGTCGAGGTGGAGCACCTGCAAAATATGTAGGTGGAGTACTATACCGTTGGCGTCTCAATGGCACATGGGCACGAATTGACAGCCTTTTCAGCATTCCAAGTACATCTACTGAATCTTATGTATGGACGTTTGTTGAAGTCATGATAGCTCTTGATGATATTACTTACGTAGAGAGATCATTGAGTATTGATATCACTATAGGAAAATCCTGACACTTGGTGTTCAAAAGTTCCTTGACATACCCATTTCTCGTTAGCACATCAATTCGCACTACTCCACACCTTATTCGCGCTGTTGTTTAACGTTTAAACGGAGGCTAAGTTACAAAAATGTATTCTACTTAATACTGAATACGTCTTATGGACCCAGATGAGATTATTGGTTGTGGAAGGTGATTCGCTTAATGACGACGAGAAGCGGTGATGATGTCGTTCATCTCCTCGACCTTGGCCTTGGCTCTGCCGAAGGTACCCAATCTCTTCTTGGCCACCTTTCTGGCTCTCTTTTCACCAGCGTTTCTGATCAAATCGATCAATCTTCTTTCGTATGGGGCCAAACCGGCAACTTCCTTGACCAAAGATCTGACGAACTTGGTTCTGTTGGAAGAAGCACCCTTTCTGTAGGAGATCTTTGGGGTTGGGGTCATGGCGTTGACCTTCTTACCCTTGTTCAAACCAGTAGCGATACCTGGAAAGAGAAAATTGTTAGTAACTTTGTTGAAGAACCCGAGGGCGTTTTTTAGTGGTGTTTTGGCAGTGCAAAGAGCTCTAGAAATATCTAGGCAAAGAAGTGCTTTTTTTCATGTTCGATGTCATTAATTTGGAGAAGCCGAAGCCTTCAAAATGCTTGATAGTAATCGCTTGTTATCCTCGTGTCGTAATTCAATTTGCAATCCTTTGCTAATGCAATACTATAATAAACTCAAAAGTCTTTCCGATACAATCTGGTTTTCAATCATCATTAAGCATGCTAAGAGCTGCAAAGGGCATTTATTATCCACATAGTTTCTCGATGATTAATCTTTCATCCATTTCTGTCAGCTCTAACGCGGCCCGCTGTACCAAATGTCATCAATTTCGTCAACCTTTCGTCAGCTTTCCCATAATTCGCCGATTTCCCAATACTTCCACACCGCTTTTAGCACACACGCATTCTCCCCTCAATATAATGCCATTCTCGTTGTTCACATACCAGATTTAACGGCCATTGTTACTCTATTGTCAGTGCTTGAGGTCTAGTTTCAGTCTTTACAGGAAAGGCCACTTCAAATCTACAAGTAGTTTTATTCAACCGATGCTACGCCTGCAGCGCTTCCCACCCACACTGCGTAAGAAAATTTTCCAGGCTGGCACTGGTACTGGGGTATGAGCCTGTGCGAGGGAGGCCCACCACGCGGGTGCCGGGTATTGGCGGTGGCAGGTAGGCGTCGGGCTAGACAGACACCCTTGCCCAGAGAGTGCTTCCTGGCTGGATCAGAATTGCCACGCACGAAATTGATGCCCCTGCCTAAAAACCGACTCCTCTAGGCTGAAAGACCTGTCTAGACAGAAGTCACATACTACGAGCGACGAAGTTGTAATGTCTTGGTAAAAATTGTAATTTTTGAACGTAGAAATATGGTGTATGGGTGTAAGAACAGTCACAGGGGAGATGAGACGGGCTAAAAGCCTCTCAGACAAGAAATGGGCTATAACCCAACAACTAGGGAGTGTAATAGCAGCGCAATGTCGAAAGAAAATGATGCGTATCATAGCCGAGATCCACAAAGTTGGTCGAGGTAGGGAAAGTAGATCCGATATAGAATCATGTATTTTCCAGGAAGCATATGTGAGCTGCCATCAGAATTGAAATACCACTGTTTTTGAAAATCACGTGATCCCAAATGCTTTTCAATAATCTGACCAGCTATGGGTACGCTACGCTCTGCTATATGCCGCTAGAGAGACGATTCCTTCGCATACGATCAACGACCTCGATTTCTGGCCCATAAAGCTGCCTTTGTTTCGCTTTCTATATACATGCAATTATTCGTTTAGACACTCACGGTCTTCAAATCAAATCCGTGGCGCTGCAACGCTTCCAAGACCTGCACTGCATCAGAGTCCTTATACTGGTCTAGGAATTGGCGGTAGCTCAATTCCAACCCATCGGCTCGACGCTCCAGCTTTTCCAATGGGTATAGATGCTGCATGAGCTTACGACGGCCGCACGTAACGCGAATTGTGGTTCCCCCAACAGGTGCCTCGAAGTAAACTCGGTATTTGACACCATCGGCGCCTTCCACGTCGTATGCGTCCTTGTGGGGTGGGTTTTCACTTAGTTCCTGTTTCTGTAACACACGGTAGCGGAGTTTCCATCCAGTAGGGCCTAATTCCTTAATCCGTGCTGATTTGTCTTTTGTGAGATAATTGTCGATTCCACCCTCCTTGGTGATAGTTCTTAGCACTTTAGCGGTCATCCGTATACTGATTTTGCGATCCAAACTTTCACTCCACAGTCCCTTTCTAACCACGTTTGGTAGCCATCTTCTACGGGTCTTGGTTTTGGATTCCGCAATGTTGTTACCGTACTGAACAAAAGATCCACCGTAAAGACCCTTGTTACTTTGCTTGAAGATCTTGGACTCGCCAAATTTGTATTCTGGGAACACCTTGCGCTGTTTAGGCACATACACAGGCCGGGCGTCACCGATTTTGAACTCAGGCTGTTTGGCAACACTTCTGCTTTCGACAAGCCTCCACTCTCTCAGCAGCGTAGGGGCAGTGGATATTCCCCTTTTTAAGCTCGGTATTTGAAACAACATGCTGCCCGATAATCGATGCTTTGGCTGAATGGAGTCTTAGCTTTTATCAAGTTTAGGTCTATCTTGGATCTTTCAAATTTCAATTATAAATTTTGAAATTTCCTGCCCAGTACATTAAATTAGACCTACGATAATTCAAGAGCGCGGTAAACGTTACAACCTCTTGAACAGTGGGGAGTTTCCCGTTTGTTCGCAATAGCGTTGATCATTTCCAAACCTTTCGTAATGACTTCCAGTTACCACTATTTGTAGCGGTTCCAGGCTGAAATCTTCCACGTTTCGCGCTCGAAAGTTGATGCTCTAACTCAACAATTCTTTCTTGTAATTCTTGATTGGTATTCATGACTTCCAGGTTGCGAGCCATAGTTTCTTTCAGATCGACGCGCAAGTCTGTTGGTAATTGAGAATCTGGATTGGGCAATGTCTGTTTCCGTACCTCCTCGCGGAGTTGAAGCTTGAGCAGCTTGACCTCCGATTGAAGGTCTTGGTTTTGATCCTGGAGGGTTTCTAGTTGTAGCCTATTTTCGATCAGCTCATTGGCAATGTTTATGTGTTCCCGGTTTAGTACGGTGTGATCGCGCTCAAGCTTGCGGACCTCATTGTGCAATTGCCTGTTCTTGATACGCAGTGTGTCCATTTGCGCTTCTTTCTGAGATTCTAATAGATGTATCTCTTCATATTCCGCGATGTATCTTCTAAGAGATATGGGAGTGATGATTATCTCATGCATGGCGTCTTTCACAAACGTATTTATAGCGTAGTCTTGTTCTGTAAGCGATTCTTTTTCTTCTTGAGAATTCAGCTTGCGAAGCACGGTACCATTTTTGGAAGCTTCGGGCGTTTTGAGGTAGTATTCAAAGAGACCGTTTTTCAAAAACTCCAGTAGCTGCTCGAACTGCAAGGTCATCAGAACTTTCTCATTTTTGAGAAGCAGTACTGACGCGAACTTCAGTACTGCTTCAAGCCCCTCGACGAAGACAACGTCTAGTATTCTGAGGACAAAGCACAGCGGAAACCGATAAGCAAAGCAAGTCAAGAACCATTGCGAAGCATACATTGATGATCTGACTCCTTGTCTTGCTAGGTGGTTATAAAGCAGTGGCGAGTTTTCCTCTATCAGTCTGTCGAACTGATACAGTTTCAGATGTAAACCCGGCATGTTTGGCAGAAACAATTCTCTTAAACCGTAACCCATCATGAGGCTAATCAAAAGTCCAAAAGCTTCTGATTCAGTATCCACGTTAAGTAGCAAGGCAGTGGCCACAAACGCCATCCCTTGAGTATATCCAATTTCTGGGTCATGCAAAGAGTACGCTTTCAGGACTTCGAATAATGACCGTAATCTGTCTTGGGGGATGAATGACGTTCTTGAAAGATCTCTTTCTATAGCCTTTTCGTGCGTAGACTCAAGTTTTTGGAGCCTTGCGTATTCGGCGTCAACCTCTTTGGACTTTGATGAAGACAAAAGTTGCCAGATTATGCCACGAATCTGTGGCGGTATCCCACCCGCAATTTCTTGTTCAAGTTTGACAGAATCTTTCTTGGCCACTTCTGCGTAATTACTAACAAGTCGAGTCCAAAATGGCCAGTCAACAGTTGTTAGCTCATGAACCTCTTCATCAAAACTGTCTTTCTGAGGTGAGAGTCCCTGAGAAGGTTCCACGGTCTCTAAGAAGGCAGTGTAGCTTGATTTTAAAACTCGAGCACCTTCTTGCAGATTTTCTTGCGTGGTATCGTCCTTCGACATATACTCGTCCTCATTTTCTTGGAACCTACTCAAAACCAGGTCGAAATCCGCGCTTACAGATCGCTTGTGGCTTGTTCTTGGCGGCACAGGTGGTGGTCCTGAATATGCACTCAACGCAGCGACCGAATTACGAAATGTTTCAGATTTCAATTCCTCCGCCAGTGGGGGAGGAACTGCATGAATAGGCTGTGGGTTGTCCTTTGGGGCGTTGCTGTGCTTACGAGAGGGTAAGGGTGGTGGCCGGTCCTGAAGTGCATGGTGTTCCGTACTGTGAGCCAAAACTGACGTTTCGTTGTCTCCCAGAATTGGAAGCTCTTCTTGGATGGTGTTGCCTGTTAGATCGTCAACGTGGAGTTTCTCGATAGTTTCAGCAGCCGGACTTTCTTCAAGTTCCGTTTCTTCCTTAATGTTGGCTCCCGCATCAGTATGTGAATCTTCTGCATACGCAGACCAGCTCACTTCAGATTCTGAGTTGTCTTCAGCTTCGATTTCAAGGTTAGTCTGTTTGGCTTCTTCGGTTTCGACATTTTTGTTCAAATTCTTGGTAGGGGTATCTGATACCAATGAAGTTACGTTAATATCTTCTCCAGTAGCTATCACATCGTCAATTTCAACTTTATCAACATCAAATTTTGTATCCTTATTTGCTGGATCCTTTTCACCAGCTTGTGACTCCCTTGGACCGCTGGTGGCACTTAGTTTCTTTAAGTTTTCATCCAGCTTGTCTAAATCAGTCTCTGGCTTTCTATCTTGGGCTTCTGTGTAGTTGGTGTTCCCCGTATCAACGCTAGCTGTACTCGTAGGCATCATTCTAACAATCGAAATGGTGTATAAGTGGTCCTGACCCGACGTCTGTGCAAATCTATTCTCCGCTTTTGAACTGTTTGTCTTGAGATCGTATTTCAATTTGAGTATCGAATCCTTAATTGACAGGGAAGAGCATAAAAACGTAGGTTGAAGAATGTAGACGTTATGAGACTTTAAAGCTTGAATTGGACTTCTAAAGGCCCAACATGCTACCTTTTCACTCGGGTATGACTTGGTATGCCAACTTATAGGGTCTTGTTCTTCCACGGTTGTACACAGGGTTATTGTTGAAACAAAGAAAGCTTCCCTTAGCAAAAAGTAGGTTTATCGTTTCACGGTCTTATTTTTGTCTAACAATTCAACCAGACGTAGCTCTCATTCTATTAAAATAAGACTAGACATCGGTGTTGATGTTTTTGTCGCTCTTACGATTCGATTGCGTTTAAATGGATAACTCATTATAGTATTTAAAATTCTTCGCAGCATACCGATGGTGAAGCTAACGTGTTGGAGCCCATAGGAAGTTACTCTTATTTTGAACTCGACTTCTATAATTCTTGCTTCTGAAAGACCCCGGGCAATGCGCCACAGACCGAACTCCAGTGTTTTACACGAGAGTTTTCGTGTGGTGTGGGGGATACCCTGATCCTTTATAACATCTTAGCTTGTTTCGTCCCAATTGCGGAGTACTCAGTCAAATTTAACATTCCTGTTTCACATACAAAGAAGACTAAAAAAGCTGGGCGGCTATTACGTTGTTGAAAACCAGCTATGGCTTACATAAGATAAGATGATCGAAAATTACATCACGTGCATAAAGCTCAATGTCGGTGACATTATCTGAAATCGAATATTTAATAGACCTTACAGTGTAGAGCTAGCCATCAACCATTTGTAGACTGCAGTTCCTGACATACAGAACAATACCAGAGCTCTCTAGGTATTTGGAAAAAAACAAACCGATCGTAATCCAAATATGTACCGGCCCTTAACAGCTCTCTGGGCGTTTCTCGCCATTGTTTAGTTTCAAGCCTGAGACGATAATACTGAAAACCCGGAAAAACCTGATTCTGATGGCGAAGACGACGACAGAATAGAATCAAAATCTGAAGTTGAACGACAGCCATGGACACTCAACTCATCCAAGGGGTCGGGCCATGCTTGTTGCTGGCGTGTGCTGTGCGTAGCGTACGAGTGTTCCGGAAGCACGAGCCCCAAAGTCAGCCCCAGATCTCGCATCAGAAGCTCCGCCTCTTTCGTCGTAAGGTTCGGGAACCGGACTCGAACGTAGGATTCACCAAACTCCAAAGGTAAAGCCCCGTAGTTCTCGTAAATGGTACGCACACTTTCCTCGATTTTTCGCATCTGCGTGGTGCATGCAGTAAGCTCTTGGCGCCATTTGTCGAGCGCTTCGTCACTTGCAAACACAACAGTGGGCATCTTGGAGACCTCGAGACGTGGAAGTTGGAAGTCGATGACGCAACCCAAAGATTCAGTTTCGTTTTCTCCGTCAAATACCAGCTCATTTCTGTGGGCTTGGATCATACGACACACCTCCATAGCACGAATCATCGATATTTCTTGGCCACCCAAGGGCTTCTTACCAACACTAGATTCACGCAAAGCCAGTTTGTTGGTTTCATTTTGCATATTGACGGGCGAAAAGCCCTCCCAAAGATTGAAAAAACACCGCAGGGAGATGGACAGGTTTTGGGCCGCATCGTGAGTAATTTTGATGGCTGAAGTCGAATACGAGCGTCCTGGAGCAAACCTCATTGTGCTCATATTCCAGTTGGTATACAGACCACGAGGGGCTCCTCTGGGGGCCCTGTAGGTGCCATTGAAGTTTGCGAAGACGCCCCTTTTGCCATGGGAGCCAAACCTGGGTGTTGAATCGACACACGCCTTTTGACCCACTCGGCCACCTTGTGCATTGCTAGGTACACTTGTATGCAAGAAGCGGGAACCTTTACCAAACGGAACGCTAGGCTTGACTGGAACGGGGACTCTCACAAGAGCCTTTTGAGGTCTGGGTATGTTTCTCTCCAGTACATTTTGCAGCTCCTCATCCAGCGTTTGGCGCAGTTGTTTGACTTGCTTTCTAGCGACTTTCAGCCACTGTCGTAAAGCGTTGCTTGACATCTGAAGAAGCGCTACTATCTGAGATATTTCCTCTGTTTCTGGAGCAAGATGAGTACCTTAGCCAGGTAGCTGTCATATATCAATCACAACTCTTATTTAAAGGATATTGATATATCACTTTTTACTTTAGTGACATCATGGTGTGATCTGATACAGGATTAGCACCGAAGTACCGGACTTCAAAAGCGAGTTTCGACGTCACTATGACGCTTTCATGATTAGTATTTTGTTATTCGTAGCTGTGAGGATTATTCTGGTTTTTTTTGGCGTGAAAGATTCACACTTTGCACCGCGCAAGTGTTGTCAATGGCCTCTCTAATCGCCGTCGTTAAAAATATATTTTACAATATCATCCAATGTCGTGGTATTGAAGGCACTCGTCACACTTGTGTTAGTATTGAAAAGAGTTTGTACACTCTGATCGTTCCAATCCGGAAAGACGTTACCATGTCGCGTGTTGTCCAGGTACGGCGGTGTGTATGAGGCGGAATTCTCGCCTTGAAACATGTTGATATCCGGAGACACATTTGAGCGTGTAGGATCCGGCGCAGAAAGCTCTTTGACTAGCTCTAGAATGTTAGCGGACGGAGTTGTGGTCAAGCTCTGTTGCTCTTGTCCAGCATTTTGCACGATGTTTGATATAGTCAGAGAACGTGGAGACCGGTGGTCGATATCATTTAGCAGGTAGCCGCACATACTGTTGATTACTTTAATGAACTTTTCAGCGGTAGCGTTCTTACCGGATAATTTCTCGAAGCAATTTCTAGCGTGTATCACGTTCTGTCTCCACTGTCCACCATCTGGTGCATTTGGATCAACTATGAGACCCACTGCCGGTACAACCGTAGCATTCATTAAGAAATATGTGGCATGCCAGGCAGAAAGAGTCGTAACCTCATAGTGTTCAATGAAATCCGCAACGGAGTGAATTGTCTGAGTAGCAGCTTTATGGCAAACGGCTGAGCATTTGATCGAGTCACCGTGATCTATTCCCAGGCGTTGACCACTTAGTAATTTTAGAAAAAATGGTCGGAACAAGGTGGTAATAAGGTTCTGATACATCCAGAAAACACGATACCGACATAAAGGAAACCATGTGTTTTGAAGGTCGATGCTTGCTTGCCGTTCATCAAACTGAGATCCCAGAAATTTTGGCAGTGTCGCGATGTTGGTCTCAATTCTTTTTTCTAGCTCGAGCATGGTTGACAGTAAGAGTGGCTTTTCCTCTTCGTTGGTGTATACCGCTTTATCGGAAAGCTCTAGGTAAAGTCTGACAACTTTCGCGTTTTCAATCACACACGAAGATATCACAGCGGACCTGTCCGCCACCGTGTCGCTTGAATCTGAAACAGATGGCAATAACGTATCAACGTCTTTCAAGCCTGGTAGCTGGCGTGGCCTTCCAAATGCTATTGCAACATCAAAATCGTAGGCGTATAAGGTCCAGAACATACGCCTTCGTAGTTCTAATGCCCTTTTGTCGGCTTTGTTGGCCTCGTTTACTTCCCGGTGGAGACCTAAAGAAATAGCCATGCTGGCAGCAAACCCCAGATAATTCCAACTAGCATTCGGCTTATTACGTTTTCTGGCATATATGGACAACAGGGCAAGGGCTGCTAGAAGTGGATGGGAACCACTCTCGAAGATGGTACTGTTTAAATGTGATTTCGCTTTCTTGTAAAAATGTATATCAGCATCGGAGTTCTCACCGTCGACGCACAAAGCTCCAAGAGCTAGGGCGGCGTTTAGTAGAAGTTGCCACACGTCCGTTGAGTCCGGCATTACTTGATCTGCGTACCACATACGAAACGATGGCTCATCGACTATTGGGAAATTAGGGTGGAAAAGCGTGAAATACGCATCCACGTATACTGCCGTTACGTCGCTGGAATGGAGAATACTGGGATCGTGAGTCGAGAGTGGGCCCCGAAGTACGTCTAAAAACGCATCAGTCACATATAATGCTCGCAAAATCGTGGAGTTTGAGCCAGCTCCGAAAAACCCCTTGTTATTAATGCTTACATTCATTGTACCCATTCCGTCATCTTTAAATACGTCCACATCATTCTCTTCACTCCATTCAAATCCGTTCAAAGGGTCGCGGGGCAGTTGATTGACGGGTGGTTGCTGTGAAAGAGAAGAGGTGAGCGTTGAGCTTGAAGTTGAGCTTCTCTTCTCAATCTCGGGACTGGGAAACTCACCTTTGGCACCTCTGGCACTTCTGGCAAACTGTCGCAGCTTCACAGATTTGGGATCGTCCAGGACTGTTTCCACACTGGTATCGGGAAATATTTCTTCAAATAGCATTTCCAGTCGGGCGAGCTTAGTTTCCACATTTGTCAGGTGTGCCCGTGTGAGAGGTGATCTCGACTGACGGGGTGAATAGTGGCATCCCCACTTATTTTCAGTGCATTTGGAGCATGTAGGAAATTCTCGCGAACATCTCAGCTTTTTCCTCCTACAGGAATCACAGGCCCGCTCCATGACCTGAGGTAACCTTCTATTACAATTGAGTGCACTCTATTCTACAATGGTAGAAACACTGTACTCACTGTTTCCAGCAATGTTTCAGCATCTAAGGTTCGCGATACAAGAGCAAATTCAGCTCAAAAAAATCCACAAAACCTTGAAAATAAAGCCCAGAACCTAGACTTGATGCAGAAGTCAAAATTATAAGCAGCAAAGATGCTTCCAGTGCTAAGTTATTCCACCTCTGTCCAGTCCATCCCTCTTGTTCCATGTTCAACTTTCGACGGCCTTACCTTTAATATATATAGGTAAATAAAATGCGTAAACATAGTACTCGAGACGCGTCTAATGAGATGAGCAAACAGAAGCGAGTTGTTTCACCACATGGAGCAGGCTTTGTCGCGATGCAAGACAATCTGAAAGCTCAGATTGGATGGCTAAAAAAAAGCAGGGCTTTTGAGCCAAAACAGGAGCTTTTAAACCGAGTTTTAAGCCTTGAAACAACCGACAAAAGACAAAAAGTGGCAACTCAATCACAAGGTAAAGCTTGGGCTCCAAACCCTGTAATTGACTTGACTAGCGAGACCAGGGTCAGCATGGTGGTGCCTGTCGTAGCTCAGCCGCCAAATCGATCCACTTTTAGTGCGGTGGGAAGCACCGAAGAAGAAAGCGTCACACCACGATCTGGAATCTCATTTTCGCATCCAACGGCTGTAAGGCCCTCAAAAGGACTCACAGAGTCCACTCAATTATCGCAGAAACCGACCTCACTCCCTGCCACTTCGTATGTGGAATCTGGGAGCACAACTAGCCATCCCAGCCATGAGTTCCAGTCAAGACTGCGAAAGGACTATCCTAATTTGCCGTCTTCAAGCTCTATAGAGGTTATATCATTGCAAGAAAAGGTTATTGGACTGCTGGAGGAGAAAGCTGCGACATTTGGACGGAGATGCTCGATTATAGAGTCCACTTCTCTTTCAAAAGATGCTCAGAGAGTCCAGATTCAACAACTTGAACCTAGGCTAATGGCACTGGAAGAAGAGTTGAAATTACTCAAAAACACACTAATTCTAATGAAACCTGCGCAACGTGTTCTTGAAAGCTGTGCAAATGAAAGTCGGCATGAGCCTGCAAGCCATCCTTTTATTAGCGTGCCCGCTCCTAGTGTTTGTGCGCCGAAGCAGCAAGATTCTCGGGTGGCACACCGCCAAACTACCATAGAAAAAGATCTCATAACAGTTCTGGATGACGAAGACGATGATGTCGACGATGATGATGATGATGATGATGATTTAGACAAAGATAAAGACACCGGTCATGATAAAATGGGCGGCAAAGGTCAACCTCCATTTTTGGCCCCAGTAACAAAGTCTCGCGTGGTACCGACGATACAAAATGATACAGAAGTGGTACGTGCGAGACCATTGCGCAAGCATAAGGCAATCAATTATAAACTTCCTGAGATGGAGGATAGCTTGAACTACAACATGAGGCCGTCGTTTTTGGCAACACAGCAGTCAGGAAGGGACGAGGAGGACACCACCATGGATGCAGAGCAAGAAGACTCGCATTTTTTGCTCACTGCGGAGGAAGAACATGATGAAGCGCGAACTAGCGATCGGGAGTTCGTTGAGGATGGTCTGGATAATTTGCTAGATGGAAGCGTCGATGGAGAATATCAGGCAACTCAGGATTCAAGTGCTGGTAATTTATCTCCGAGAGACCCCGAACTGATTTCAGAGATGGATCAAAGTATAAATGTCCAGATTATAGGCTCGTCACCAATTCAAGATTCGCGCAAAGATGCTGATTCTCGTTCTGGGACGCCTGAGCTTGATCTGACAGGGCCCAATAACGCTCCCGAATTCGATACGATAAGCGAAAGTATACAGCAGACCTTTCCAACTCATACTCAGACCACTTGGCAGCCTTCTACATTGAACGCTGAGGTACTTGCGCTACGCGATGATGATGTTGTACACGATGACACATTCACTCACAGCGACTCAGAGGATTTCGATGACTTTGATGCTGAGAGGGAAAATTTGACTCAAGGGGCCAATGTTAGGGAAGTAGATGACGACCTAAGGATTCTTTCAGAGCAAAGAATAGAGAATTCAAACAGGTTGAGTCCCAACGTCAAGCGCGAAATTATCGACGTAGACTCAGTTTTCAATGTTGACGATCAAACATATCAGCTATCAAAGAGGCAAGGAGACGTCACCAAAGAATCACCCGTTCAAGACGTGGAAGAACCCAAATATCCCTGGACACATGAGGTTTTGTATCGCCTCCATCATTCTTTTAAGCTGCCAGGATTTCGCTTCAACCAGCTCGCTGCGGTTAATGCTACTTTGGCCGGTAAAGACGTTTTCGTTCTCATGCCGACAGGTGGTGGTAAATCCCTGTGCTATCAACTTCCAGCTATCGTAAACTCGGGCACAACAAGTGGCACCACCGTTGTCATATCACCACTTATCTCTCTTATGCAGGATCAGGTTGCTCACCTGCTGGCCAAAAATATCAAAGCGTGTATGTTCAGTTCGAAAGGCACAGCTGACCAGAGGCGGCAAACGTTTAACCTATTTATCAATGGCTTACTTGATCTCATTTACATCTCTCCAGAAATGATAAGTGCTTCTGAGCAATGTAAGAAAGCAATTGGAAGATTGTATAGAGATGGAAAGTTGGCGCGGATTGTTGTCGATGAAGCTCACTGCGTATCGAATTGGGGACACGATTTCAGGCCGGATTACAAAGAACTGAAGTATTTCAAGAAACAATATCCTGATATTCCTATGATTGCACTCACAGCTACGGCAAGCGAGCAGGTAAGACTTGACGTTGTTCATAATTTATGCTTGAAGGATCCCGTTTTTTTGAAGCAAAGCTTCAATAGAACTAACCTATACTATGAGGTGCTTAAGAAGGGCAGAGATACAGTCTCTTCTATATGTGCCGATGTTAAAACACGGTTCAAAAATCAAACAGGTATCATATACTGCCACTCTAAAAACGCTTGCGAGCAAACAGCATCTCTAATGCAAAAAAAGGGTATCAATTCAGCTTATTACCATGCTGGCATGGAACCGGATGAGAGAAATCAAGTTCAACAAGCTTGGCAAGCCGACAAAATTCGAGTTATCTGTGCGACGGTTGCATTTGGAATGGGTATAGACAAACCGGACGTTCGCTTCGTTTATCATTTAACAGTGCCAAGAACTTTGGAAGGTTATTATCAGGAAACAGGGCGTGCAGGGAGGGACGGAAAATACTCGTTTTGCATAATGTACTATACCTTTCGTGATGTGCGTACCATGCAGACTATGATTCAGAAAGACAAGAATTTAGATAGAGATAATAAGGAAAAGCATCTCACAAAGCTCCAACAAGTCATGCAGTATTGCGAAAATGTTACCGACTGCAGAAGAAAACTGGTTTTATCATATTTCAATGAAAAGTTCGAATCCTCACTCTGTAAAAGGAATTGTGACAATTGCAAGAATAGCCTTAATACTACCACTGAAGAACGAGACATTACCGCTGAGACCAAGCACATATTGAAATTGATTTCACAAATACAAGATGAGAAGGTAACGTTAATACATTGTCAGGACATTTACAAAGGGTCGCGCAATTCAAAAATTGTTCAAGCGGGCCACGACAAGCTGAGCTACCATGGTCAGGGGAAAAACATGTCGAAGTCAGAAATAGAAAGAATCTTTTTCCATCTGATAACTAATCAGGTTCTGCAAGAGTACCCTGTGATGACCGGACGAGGATTTGCTTCAAACTATGTGAAAGTAGGAATCAAGGCACAGCAGGTTTTAACTGGAAGAATGAAGGTGTCGATGCATTTTGTCACTTCTAATGTTGATTCCTCTAGGGCGGGGTCTGCTCCTCCTGGTCAGATGACAGAATTGAATGGGAAAACGTCTCACGATGGCACCAATGGCAATGCTGGTGCCATGGCAAGGACAGCGGGGCTGTCTAGCTATAGCCGTCCAATCTTGAATCACTATGCATATGATGATGACAACGGCCCGTCGGAAGCAAAATCCCACAATCGCTCAGCGTCGCCCATAATGATGGAAGATACTACAAGCCATTTAACAGCTGAGGAACAGCTGAGCGTTACGGTAGCATATCAAGAGTTAAGGCAAAGGGCGATGCAAGTTGCCAGCAAAGCTGGTTATAATTCTTTTATGGGCATAATCTCCGAGCAAGCATTGAAAAAAGCTGCAGTTACGTTGCCGAGTTCTCTGGAGCAATTTCGGCTGTTACCCAATTTGACAGCTTCTCAACAGCAAAACTATACGCACTTTCAGGAGCTTCTTACAGTTTTACGGTCCAAACGCCGCTCTTTGACTAGTCAAAAAGCGTCTCAATCAGATCCACATCAGGTCCCGGGTGTTTCGCCTTTTTTCCAAAATTCTCAATTCATGGAGGATGCAGAAATGCAGCGACGCAATGAAGAAATTTTACAGCAGATACGTCAATCTGCTTCCATCGAGATAAATCCTAACGTTCTAAGTCAGAAAGTTAGAAGTAGCCAGTCTAAGACAAAACGAGGTAAGAAAACCAAATGGCCTGCAAAAAATTGGGCAAGAAGGCCATGAAATATTTAATCCGGTATCCTTGATAGGTTCGATAACACTAGCATTTTGATTTAGAGCGTTATTTTTTGGAGGAGAGCACATTTAAGTTCAAGTTTTATCACATTAGAGCACCATTCTTATACATGCATTATAAAATCAACGCCTAGGCTGTTGGGGATTCAACAGGAGGGACTCCCTCCTTCTTAGAATTATAAAGAACAATACCGTTCGATCTTGCGTTTTGTTTTTCCTCACGCTTGTACAGCCATAGAACAACTAGAGTCCATAATGACAGACAGAATGCAGAAACCGCGGTCCAAGTATAACCCTTTAAGAATCTTGGCGCTTCCACAGTCTTGAAAACAAGCACGGACATGAAAGCGGTCGTAGTTTGGGCCAACATGTTCATGATAACCAAAATAATAGATCTGGCTTCCGCGTCACGACGACAGATATCGTTTTGCCAAGAATATAAGACAGGGGCCATAGCCCACCCAAAGTATTGAAGCATGAATGCAAACCATTTGGCACCCTGAGGAACATTCCAGGCAGCGAGGATGACGTTACCAATAAAGTTAAAAACCTGAGTAAAAACGATGGCACCCCATCTGCTGTGTAGTTTATCGGCAAAAAGACCTGCACTGGCCAAATAGATCATACCTAGAGCGGGAGTAATCATACTGAGTCTGTTAAGTTCTGGAATGGAGTATTTCTTGAGGGACTTCAGCCATAGCAAGTAAGCACCTGAAGAACCGTTGTTGTTGTTCCAGCAAAAGATATTCCACAAGGTAAGAACGTAAATCTTCCAGTCGGTCAGGATGCGGAGCCACACCTTCTTGTTGAAGAATTTGGACGAGAAGTCTGCCTTCTGGGTATTGTTTTGTTGCACCCTCTTACGGGCCAATCTGATCTCATCGTCGGTAAGGAAGATGGAGTAGCAGTTGAAAGGGTCGCCTGGCAAAGCGTAGAATCCGATGATACCGACAGCTAGGGATATGCAACCGTCGATGATGAAATTCCATCTCCAGCCGGAAAGACCGCCCCTGCCGTCTAGAACTGCGTAAACGGAAGCTTGAATACCACCAGCAGACATGATACCTGCGTATTGACCGAAATAATAGAACGCAGAACGGCGCACCATTTCGTCGTGCTTGTAAAAGGAGCCAAACAGATACTGGTAGGCCAGATAAGCGGGGGCTTCAAAGACACCGATGAAAAACCGGATGGCCTTCAAATGAGAGATGGAGTTAACTTTGGAGCTGCCGATGGTGAGCACGGACCAGCAGATATCGAGAGCGGGCAGCAGATAATTGAGCGGCACTTTGTTGAGAATGAAGATGAAGGGCAGTTGGAACACGATGTTACCGACCGTGAACATCACCTGGGTGTTAACAAGATCGTTACCCTTGAAGCCGAGTTCTTCACGCATCCCGGAGACGAAGGCGTTGTTGAGGTTAGAAAAATCCAGGTATTTGACCCAGTAGGCCATACACGAGTAGAAGGCCAGCAAAATGTCCAGTTTAAGCAGCAGTTTTCGCTCCTGCGGCGAAACGCCGCTTCCGAACCACTGCCACCATTTGGTGCCACTGGCCTGTTTGTCGTTGACACGGTACTCGCCTTCGTTGAAGAAAGCCCACCATTTGCGGTTGGCTTCGTCTCTGTATTCCAAGTGTGTTTCCTGTTCAGTTTCTTCTTCTTCTTCTTCCTCGTCGTTCGAATGCTGTTCTGTCTTGACATCGGACGCTTTATCGGATCCAGACCCATTTAGCACCTTTTCGGGATGCTCCGTGTGTGTTTCTTGTTCCAGCTCCGATTCTGAGTTTCCCGTGTGCACCGCGATGTCCGATTCGTCCACTATTCTTCTGGTAGGAATAAACCCCCATTTCAGTCTATGGAAAGGGTCTACCACCCATTCCTGTGCGATACTTTTGGCCAATGACATGAATTACGGTGAGTCGGTGTTTACAGGTCCAATAGCAGGTCTAATAGCAGTCTAATAGCAGTCTAATAGCAGTCCAATATCAAGTCCAGTCTCAGTATCAAAATGGCTGCCATTACCACAGTATTTCCACAGTATTTCCACAGCATTCCTGCTGTCTTTAAGTACTCCAAATCAGCTCATCACAAGGCACTCTCATCCCACTCCCATTGTCTTCTTTCTGCAGCGAATGACTGTACCAGTACTAGAACCACCACTACTATTACTACTACCACTATCATTACCACCACTACTTCTACTACTTCTACTACTTCTACCCTGCATGAGCCACAGTACTAGTCACCGATTAAGATTTTACGCCATTGTTCACACAAGCTAGACTCGGATTTCTAGGCAACACAAGAGCCACACACCACCACCACCCACCACACACACACACACACACACACCAAATTAGATAACTAAAGACAATGGCTATTGGTACAGGAAGGTTGGTTAGGCCAAGGCCAACGATAGTGATTACCAAGAGAATAATACCAAGAACCCAGTATTACCGTAACGATCGCCGCTCGAGACCGATAACTGGCAAAAAAGCTTTGAATAGCGCAGTTGCACGAAATGAGTCAGAGACAAAGGAAGAAAGGTTACGGGAGAGATTGAGGCAGACTGGGAGAGATGGAGACAAACTGGGAGAGATGGAGAACATGCTACACAGGTTGAGTATACACAGGGCGACGATATACATAGGATGAAGGTGGTAATGGTGATGATGGTGACGATACAGAAGGCGAGAGATGAGATTAAGATCACTTTATCCCAATCGTGACGCTGGAATCCAAAAAAAAAAAAAAAGAAATAAAAAAGCCATTGTGTTTTTTTATTAGAATGTAGTCACTTTGTACTTATCGCGACGTCGGGTGAGAGGAAATGGCACGTGGTAGTGAGGAGCGCCTTTGGGTTACGTAATCTTGTGCCACACAACTCAAGAGAGAGCTATAGAGGGAGAACGATAAACGTTTGAGGTGAACAAGACTCGAGTACCTTGTGGGTTGCTTGTAGATTAGAGGAAGTACTGGTAGTCTTGAGGGTGGTGACGATAGCAGGGATGCGGATTATGTTTATACTCGTGTTGAGACTCTGTCTCTGGAGTGTCGTTGCACGATAAACGTTCGGTGTCTTGGGTGATCTTGTCCATTATCTCTCCGTAATCTATTTAGCATGAAAAACAAAAGATACTCTCCCTTTATTCCACGTTAGCGAGTCAGGCGGCGATTTGGAATGAGCTTGCAGGGTAGACAAAACGTCTCTTCTTACACAAATTCTCTGAGATGTTCCGTTGCTGACGAATATGAGAGCTTTCAAGCTTTCCGGGTGCAAATAGTATAAATGGGCTGATCTGGATGCACTTGATTAACTGCAAGTGTTATCACTTGGTTTAATCGACGTCCTTTCCGTTACATCAGTACTTGTTCTAGATTCTTTGCGCATCTTGTTAATTCTGACGCTGTCATCTGTCACGTGGACGTGATCACTTCGTCATGGACCTGACGCCAGACAGACAGAGGCTCCGACAGGACTGGGGAAGATTGGACTTGAGTAGGTATTTTGGACCGCGAGTAGGCTTACTCGTGAAAAATACGACTAACTATGTGCTGAATGCTTGTATGAGTAGTCTACTGCGGTGGGTGTCACACGATGCTCACCGACAAAACCAGCATCATAGCTCAGAGTAGGCTCCACATTTCAAATGACTAGTATGTAGAAGTGATCTTAGTAGTTTAACTATACGCAGGGTCAGTGACTCCAGTGCTCACTTCGTTGAGGTGTTTCATTTTTAAGCTGATGTTTAATTTATTACAGAACCGGAGTACCTAACCTAACCACTATGTTTGTACACAAGAATGAAGGTCGTAAGTCGTCTTTTTATAGGAAATAACTTAATGTCACCGCTGAAGACGAATGATTCTACTCGCGAGGGTGAGAACCCGAGTAGAGTGTTACAATGTCTGCTGAGATGTTCATTTGAGCTTCAACGCACACTAGCGGATCGCCTACAAGCAGTAAAGTCGAGAGCGTCTCGAATGTCAGCGTCTTGTGTGGGTGTCTGGGTGGTCGAATGCTAGCTCAACGTATACGAATGAAGTTATGGCTTCTCGGCCGAGAAAGTTTCTGGACGAGTACGAGTACAATCGAGAGTAGCCGTGTGGAATGATGAGTATCATTCAGCGGTGAACATGTGGACAACTTCTTACCTTGTTTCTACGGTACATAGGTAGTTACTGGGTGTTCCGGTTCTACAATCTATTACCACCCGCAGAAACTTACCAACGAAGTGTTTAAGCCGAACTATTCATACATGGTCCGGCTTGGAACACTAACACCACTGGAAACGCGAGGCCTACATCTGAGGCTGTGTGACAGATATTGTCCGTGATCATTAAGCTTCGCGCAGCGCACTAAACCAACCATCACATACGGGTGTCTACTCGAGTCCACTCTTTTCAAGTCCTGGAAGAGTCATTTCCTACGGGTCAAGGAAAGTGGATCCCAAACGGGTTGTAGCTCTTTACGTAACGGGTTGGATTTCGGGTCTTGAGAATTTCAAACGGATCACAAATGGATCACAAATTATTGAAAACAAGGTGTTTTCGGATACCTCCGCGGGTATCAAGATCTCTTCACTTTGAATACGTATGCCAACTAGTGTCAGCCAGCAGACGTAAATGAAATGTTTGATTGTACTTACCAACAGAATTCTATGATGCCCAACCTTCTTTTACTAAGCTGCCAAGTGAGCTATACACCGACCAGCAGGAAATGGAATTTAAAAGACAATGCTTCGAGAAAACTAGTTCCTCAAAGTACGTTGGATCAAAAAACTCGATCAGCGATGATTTTGGAGGTTTGCACATCAAACAAAACCTACCGTGACACCATCGTGTCGAAGGGAAATCAAATGGTGTTTGACCGGTATTATTATACCAGCAGCTCAACATACCATCTTCACAAGGCCTGAGACGTGACCGTGCAGGTCACAACTGAAAAAAGACAAAGAGCCCCCAGATATGTTGCAGCGAAAATTGAAACCACCGTATTCTATAATCACAACCCGTTATTCCATTGATCTCAACAAATTCCTTACAAAACACTAAAACGAGACAGTTTCCGGCAAACTAGCTGCCAAGAACTTGAAACTTGATTGTCAACGTCCCTTTTCAGAATCTGGCAACCTTCCTCCCAAGAAATATGGAAATCAAGTGTCAACGTCTCTTTTCAACATCTGGCTCACAACCTTTTGGTAACGAACCTTACGCACAGTGCATGTATGATCACTACCGTAAAGTGTTTAGTTTTGGCAGAACTCTCGCTTTCTCTAAAATGTTAAAACACTTCGTTTGTAATTCCAGCACTAAGAACACTCTTTCTGAAGCACAAGCCTCACAATATTGCACAAGCTTTATTTGCCTTTGGCAAGTCCTAGTTCCGTTAATGTTCTACAAGTGCGGCTCTTAGCTGCGCGGGAAATCAAAAAGCGCTAATTGAAAACACTACACCTCAGGACTAGACAACCCTCTTCGGCTTCGCCTCGTCTGCTCATGTAATTCCAAACTCAAGCCCAAATGAATAGACCAAAGACAAAAGGAACCTGGAATGAACTCACTCAATTGCACCAGGTGTGTTAGTGACCACGATTTTCTAAAGTTTGGATGTTTTTCGGTGGCAACCGCGATAGTTTCTATCAACAAATACATTCATACGCCTCGTTGGTCCAAGCTGAGCCCTATCAAATTAGACTAGTTTTGCCATCGCCATTATTCTCAAGGTTCGCACGACGAATGGGCCTCAGGAACACCGTGTTGTCCCGCGTCTTGATCAAACCTTAATACTTTGTCAAACTTTTCGAGCAACGAAACCTATCGACTGGAAACCTACGCACTCCCACTCACAAACTTTTTCCGGAGGAGCATCTTGAAACCTTTGCTGATATGAAAAATGTTCGAAAAGATGCAATTATACAACTCTGTGGATTCCTTGCATACGCTTTGAATAACGACCAAGACAACCGGTTTGTAAGCCTTTTTTCATCAGAAAGCATTCAAAATCCAAGTATATCCTATCCTCTGGGCCTCGATAAGGTCGCATAATGTAACGCTTGAATGTGCTTACCCTCCGACGGCTATCAATCGGAGAAAACTGGCATTTTTTACTCACAGTCGTATGATTCTCCAATGGCATCCCAGATGGCATGAGTTGGTTCCAATGACTCTCAACTCATAGCTTTCAGAGATGTTTCTTTCCCCAGGGCTATTGTATAGTTTTGGTATAGATGGATCGCTCGAGCTCCCGGAGTTAACACGTGATTATTTCCTTTTTAGGGGTGCAATTTTAAAAAACAGGTTACCCGCATACACGTGATCGATTACCCGCTCTCAACTGTTTAGTTCACGTGCTATATTTCTGGGTTATCCGCTTCGTACAATAGTATATATTAACCGAGGTGAGTCCCAACGTTCTCTCTCAAATCCTAAAAACGTCTCAAAGGTCTTTACGGTATAATGCTCAAAATTATGCTGATTACTCTAATTACTCCGGTCTATACAATTAGTATCATCTTTCTGACCCTCAGTCCTGCTTTGCAACAGTCTCTTCCACGGACGGGCATGTGCACATCAGGTTCAAGTCTCCATACGTGTCGTCTAAACGAGCCACCGGAGGCCAGAACTTGTTGTATCTTAAGTAAGGCAAGGGGTATGCGGCCAGCTCGCGACTGTAGCCTCGAGTGTCCCAGTCGGTACTCGAAATGATGTCCTCCAAGGAATGTGGAGCGTTTTTCAATACATTTCCTTGTGGATCGCCAGTCACGTGGAGATCGATCTCATGCTTGATGGAGATCATGGCATCCACAAACCGGTCGAGTTCCTCGAGGTTCTCGGACTCCGTGGGCTCCACCATTAGCGTTCCCGGTACCGGGAACGCCAAGGTGGGGGCGTGGAAGCCGTAGTCTTGCAGACGTTTGGCCACGTCGATGGCCTCAACGCCCTGAGCCTTATAATTTCTAAGATCAATGATGAATTCGTGGCCACAGTGCTTCGTCTTAGACTTGTTGTTCACGAACATGATGTCGTAATGGGCGCTGAGTCGGGTCATCATGTAGTTGGCGTTGACCATGGCAACAACGGACGCAAAGGGCAGACCTTGCGACCCCATCATCTTGATGTAGGCATACGAAATAGGCAAAATTGATGCGCTCCCATATGGTGCACTGGAAACAGAGCTGATGCGGTGTTCCTTGGAAGCACCGGTCATCATTTCCATAAGATTATGGCCTGGCAGATATGGTGCCAAATGCGATTTCACGCAAATTGGACCCACACCAGGACCACCACCACCGTGAGGAATCGCAAATGTCTTGTGCAAATTCAAATGACACACGTCGGCGCCCAGATCACCAGGTGACGTCAAACCCACCTGAGCGTTCATGTTGGCACCGTCCAGATAAACTTGTCCGCCATTACTGTGAACTAGTTCAATAGCATCTCTGATGCCCGGACCAAACAACCCATAAGTTGAAGGGTATGTGATCATAATAGCTGCGAGGTCATCAGCATGCTTGGTTGCCTTCGCCTCTAAGTCTTGCAAATCTAGTGATCCATCCGGCAAACAATTGACAGGTACCACTCTCATTCCGCACATCACTGCAGACGCAGGGTTGGTACCGTGAGCTGACACTGGTATCAAACAGATGTTACGATGCGATTGACCCTTAGACGCCAAAAAGGCCTTAATAACTCTAAGACCCGTGTATTCACCTTGAGCACCTGAGTTAGGTTGCAAGGAAACCGCGTCGAAACCCGTAATATCAGCCAAATCAGACTCCAATGATGTGATTAACTCACGGTAGCCTTCAGCCTGCTCAGTAGGCTGGAAAGGATGCATGTTGGCGAATTGGGGCCACGTCACGGGCATCATTTCGACTGTCGAGTTCAGTTTCATTGTGCACGAACCTAATGGGATCATTGAGTTGGCGAGCGACAAATCGCGGCTCTGCAGGCGGTGCAAGTATCTGAGCATAGCGGTTTCGCTATGATGCTGGTTGAAAACCTCGTTAGACAAGATGGAGTCGGTACGCAAAAGTTCGCCTGGAAATTCTGGTAAAGAGTCGGGAAGATTATCAGAAACACCAAACAATTCACACAGGTTCAGCAAATCTTGCTTGCTCACCAATTCATCCAGAGAAAGTGAAACTGTGGTGTCGTTGACAGCAAATAGGTTGATGGCGTGTTTGTCGAGGGCCTCTTGCAAAAATTGTTGTGACGTTGTCCCTTGACCCAGTTTCACGGTCAAGGTATCGAACCAAGAATCGTTCATCAAAGTGTGGGAGGACTCCGCTGAGATTTTGTCTGCCAAAACGGTAGTGAACCCATAAATTCTACGGGCAATGTCCTTGAGACCTTCGGGACCGTGGTAAACGCAGTAGTTAGCTGCGATGTTGGCCAAGAGGGCCTGAGCAGTACAGATATTGGAAGTGGCCTTGTCACGCTTGATGTGTTGTTCTCTGGTCTGAAGGGCCAACCGAAGGGCAGGTTTGCCCAAACGGTCTTTTGATACACCAACAATACGGCCCGGAATTTTACGGTTGAGTTTCTCTGGAACTGCAAGGAAAGCAGCGTGCGGTCCACCGAACCCTAGCGGAACACCAAATCTCTGAGAGGATCCGAACACCACGTCAGCGCCAAATTCGGAAGGTGGCTTCAGAAGCGTTAGAGCCATAAGGTCAGATGCGACCACCAGCAGAGATTTGTTGGCGTGTAGCACGTCCGCGAAAGATTTCAAGACGGGGCCAGGTATGATGGATCCGTCGGTAGCGGGGTACTGAACGAGACCTCCAAAAACGTTTTTATCGTTCAAAGCGGTCTTGGAGCCCGCAACGTCAGTGACGTCGATTTCGACCAGCTGAATTCCAAAGGGCGTAGCACGAGACTGCAAGACGGCTTTGGTTTGTGGATGCACACGTGAATCCACGATGAAAATAGACCTTTTACGTTTTGCGACGGTGAATGCTAGCAACATGGACTCACCTGCGGCGGTACCTTCGTCCAACAACGAGGCGTTGGCTACGGGCAGCCCGGTGAGGTCTGAAACGGCAGTTTGAAAGTTAAGTAACGATTCCAGACGACCTTGGGAAATTTCTGGCTGGTAAGGCGTGTACGAAGTGTACCATTCTGGACACTCTAGCAGGTTACGCTGAATCACAGGCGGCAGTACTGTGCCGTAGTATCCCTTCCCTATGAGGTTTCTAATATGGTGTTGGTTTTTGTCTGCGATTTTTTGCAGATGTTGGAGCATCTGCTGTTCTGTGAATCCGCTAGCTGGGGCCTCCAGTTGCAGAGCCCGTTTTTCCAGCACTTTTGGCGGGATCAGCTGCGACACAAAAGTGTCGAGATCGTTATAGCCCATGGTTTTGAGCATGTCCTGCAAGTTTTGTGGGCTGGGTCCCAAATGGCGTCTTTGGAAAGTATCCAAAGGTTCATACGAACCTTGGGAACGCTTGTAGATGCTAGCATACTGCTGGGATGAGACGTTGGCCACTTTGGGAGCCTGGGATGAGACCAGTCTCGTGGCAAACGACCATCTTGAACTTGCCAAGCCAATTCTTGATCTGAGCATTATCGGTGGTTGTGAGATTGTGAACTGAAAGCCCTGAAATAACCAGTAACGTAGTTCAATTTACGGTTTTTACGACGCTGATTCTGATCGCACTGCGTGCAACACAATGATCTGCTAAATGACCAGCACAACGACAAGATTAGTCACACAACGTCGTTGTTGTTTTGTGAACTTCCAAATTTCAATTTCTTAACGTAACGACGCTATTTGTCTGTGATCCCAGTCTTCTTATACTGTCTCTCTTATAGTCCCGTCACCGTCTTGTTTTTAATCCATCGGGTTTATTTTCACAGGCTCAAGTGAAACACTCACACACGTAGTTAACTGTCGATGTCTAGTAATGAGAAGGAAGCCCGGTCATGGAGTAGTGTGTGTATCTGTGTGTGTATGTCATTAGGTGATGGTTGGTTTTGAGTAGTGATAAAAGGCAGATTAGGGAAGGAGTCAGGGGAGCTGGCCAAAAAGGAGTCAAAGGAGCTGGATTACGGGGGGGAGTCAGATGTGGAGAGGTCAACAAAGCAGGACGAGTCAAAACGTCACATGATCGGATTACGTCAGCTTTCTTCGGTGTGTGTTTTCGTGGTTTCTATTCGTACCATATGCGCGCTGCTACCATTACTACTAGGTCCTCACCGCCTGGAAATGACGTCCCATATTAGCGCCAAACCAATCACCCTCGGGCCTCCACACTACATTGTTGATCTCGTAGTTCGTGTCGTCGTACGCCTGTTGCGGCGTATCCATCGATTGCACTCCCATCTTGCCACTGCTCCATTTTGCCGTACCACCGCTCCCACCGCTTCCAGCGCTCCCACCAGCGCTGGTCTGTGTGTTCAGATCCCACACAAGCGCCTGACAATCGTCTCCGCCAGATAGCAGCACGTTGTGGCGCGTAGGGTGCCACTGGATCTGGTTCACCGCTCCAGAGTGGCCGTCCAGCGTCCAAACTGGGGTTCCCGGGTATCGCATGTCCAAGATCAATACACTTGTAGAGTCCTGCGCAAAAGTAGCCACCACGTTCGGATCGAAAGGCGAAGATTCCAGCTTCAAAAGCGCATTTTGTCCATTATCCGCACTCGACCCGATAGAGCCACCACCATTACCGTCATTACCACTGTTTAAATGGTCGCATGACTGCGACGATGAAGAAGAATGGCCACTAGTAGGCTCATAAATGATAGTGCTATGCGCCAAAGACCGTAAATCAAACACCCTCACGCTACCGTCACCGCCGCAACTTGCAAAAAGCTGCGTCGATTGCGTCAAAAACTTGACGTCAAACACTTCGCTATCGTGTGCAATCAGCTGAGTCTTGGCGTAATTGCTCGATTGTAGATCCCAAACGGTGCAAGTGGTGTCGATGGAGCTTGAAATCAGCAAGTTGGGATCTGTGGGGTTCCAATGGAAAGACGAGACCGGTGGTAGTTGTCCCAAAGTCGCTGTAGAGCCTGCGTTACCATTGCCACCGTTGCCGGCTCCACTAGAATTGCCGTTACTCTTGTTGTACCGTTGCATGGATAAATTGAGTTGTTCTTCTAGCGCGAAATCGGTAAACGTCCACAACCGCAACGAGTCTGAGCACGTTGCCAGCTGCTGGGAACCCCCATTGGGACACCACTGGATTTTAGAGATGGGAAAAACGCTGTTGGCTTCTCCCACTTTTTCCCACGAAATCACGTCTGAAGAATGTAAAATTTGCAGTTTGTTGTAGCTGTCCTCCCGGTACGAGCCCACGGCCACGTAGTCCTCGGAGCTCCAATCCAACGCATACAGTGGGAAATTGGCCTCGTAGCGGCACGGATAAAAGCCCATTGGTGTTTGCTGTGTTGGCGGTTGCTGCGCTGCATACATTTGCCGTGGCGAGTAGTATGACAGATCATTTTGGTTAAAATTCACCATGGGTCTTTGGAAACTGCCAAAAGAGATAGAACTGCGCTTGCCTGCTCTGTAATTGTCCATTTCAAAACGGGGTTGACGTTGAATACAGCGGAAGCGAGCTTCCTGAGGTGAAAGAGAGACGTTTGGGGGAAACAAAAACTGCAAGATGGGTATCCAAGCCTGCTGAACAATCCAATCTACGTCTCAACCCAGTTTTAGTTGTAATGAAGATGCTATGTGACCGTTTGAAGAACGTTTTAACACTTTGAACAGGTTGCTTGAATCTCATTTCAATATGTCATTGACGCTGGGGGAATTAACAGTGACGTACAAGACGATTTCACATACAAGATCAACAAAAGACACGTAGACTGCCCAGCATTTCAATTGAATATCTTGATGTATGATGTAGAATCTCTGACTAGGCTTTCGACGAAAAATTCACTTCTTATCGACCTCGCACACAAATTCTTTACTTGAGTTGACGGCATCTATATATTGCCAAAAAGCTGTGGCACATTTTTTGGCACTGTTGTGAATGACCATAGAAATGCTCTAATCCTTGGCTGATGTTCTCTACTTGGTTTGCTGTTTTCCATATTTTCATATTTTGGTGCCATAAGAACGTATCAACACTGTCATCATAATTAATTGGCTGTCATCTCTATCTCTGGTCAAAATAATGCGAAAAAAGGTAAATACAGAAAGCATCAAGGATCCTGGTCTTTATCACAAAAGACAGCAGATAAGACCATGATTTGGGGGTAATTTTAGACTCTCATAAACCTATGGTCCAAAATTTCGGGTTTTTCGTTTTTCTCAACCATACTAAGAACTACTAAATTAGAAAAAAGACGGCATAATGAGTAGTAGACAGAAGAACAGCTATTGATGATCAAAAAACAAGAGATCATGAACCTGGCAGTATGTAAACCCACTTTCAACGGCTAAGGCGTCAATATCTTGGAAGAGTGTCTTACTATCACACGAAACTTTCCAGGATACCGGCTCTTCTCAACTCTCTCGTACAAAATGATATCAAATTATGAACGTTGACTAGGTAATGATGCTCTTCTCATCTAAATTATTCAAGATTTTGTCAAAAAGCTGGAAAACTGTCAGGTTCGCTCCAAAAAGACGGTTTTGGCTCGACTTCTGTGTGTTTACAAGACTGTGTTCGGTCTTCTTTTTCTTTGAATAACCCCAACACACCACATCCAAGCCCGTTTATCCATCATGGCCCGTCAAAATTTTGTAGGACTGGTAGTCTCGCAAGGCAAGATGCTCAAGACGGTAAAGGTACGTGTGGAGACCAAAGTGTTCAATAAACGCATCAACAAGGAGCTTTTCAGCAGGAAAGACTACCTGGTGCATGACGAAGAAGGAATCTCGCGTGAGGGCGATCTGGTGCGTATAGAGGCTACTAGACCATTGTCGAAACGCAAGTTTTTCAGTATCGCCGAAATCCTCAAGAATAAAGGTCAACAGTTTGCCCTGTACGAATCCGAAGCGAAAATCCAGGTGTCACAACAGGAAGCCGAGAAAACTCGCGAATTTTTGAGCAGACGTAAGGCCCAGGAGTCAGACGACAGTGTTCTGCTTAAAGACATTCATACGATACAAAATGCGTTGTCTCAGGGCAAAGATGCAGAGGAGCTCGTTGAAATCAAGGCTCGGTATGGAATTGAGCATTTCACGCCCGAATCGTTGCGTCAACTCCTACAATTGGATATTTTGGCACTCGAAAGCCAGGTTGATGCCCAGAGAACTAAAATCGAAACCGCCCAGCAGCGTGTTCGTGAACTGCTGGATAACAGCCAGGAATGTGAGTCGTGGCTGGCACAGCGCGGTGTTGAGAACCCAGCAAGTTTGAAGCCCAATATTAAGCGGAATTTGCTGCGCAAGCATGTCCTGCAAGAACTTTGAAAAAGCACAACATTTTGTAGCCAAGTCGTCATTTAATCTCTTCTGTATATATATAAAAAAAGGTAACATTAAGAAAATTCTCAAGCACCCAAAGGACGACCTTCGCCTTGGAAACTTGGGTGTTGTGGTGCTGAATGAAGCGGCAAAACACTTTCCTCGCCCAAGAGCGAAGTGTACGATTCGGATCTGTTTGCATCCACCTCTCTGTAGAACTTTACTCCCAAGGGAATCGCTGCAATTGCGCGGTCGAGCTTGGACTCGATTTTCTGGATTAATGAACTTGGTGGGACCAATTTTGCAGCATAAACCTCCTTTGAGCCCAATGCGTAACCCCACAGCAGCGCGATTGAATGACCCCAAAAACTTGAAGCCGGGAAGAAAATGGTGACAATCAATAATACCACCAGAGGAATGTAGCGTGTCGGTAGCGAATAGTCGTTGAAAATCCGCTGCTGAGGACGAATAATGGATTCTTTGAAACTGAAATACGCCAATAGTGAGAAACACCATCCGCTGCTTCCGATAACCTCAGTTTTTGAAAAGAACAACGATCCTAATAGACAGTAAGGAATTGCTGTGAAAACCGCCAAAAGATTGAGTATCACACCGGTATGAACGGTACCGTGGCTTCTTTCGAATATAGTCAATGGCCCGTAAAGTGATATCGAGTTCATAAGAAGATGCACGAACGAAACATGACCCAATGGATACATCGAAATGCTGTTCACTTCAAAAGCATTCGCCTAGTTAGTATTTAGTTGTGATACTGTGTGTTCCCCGAAGGACCAGCAAAATCTGACATACAGTTCAATTGAAACAAAGCGTTCGGCTTGAGGGCTATGTGTGCGTTGATGTTAAAAATGAAGTTGAGAATGAATAGAAGAAACATGAAGATCATTAAACCAGTGCTTAGCGCTGCAGCTGGTTTCCCATCTGGCATTTTCAGCTGGGGTAAGTTACCGCCACTCATTGGGAATAGCAAGGATATAAAGTCGATCAGTTAGTTCGAGCTTTTAGGTGATGTCCTTTGATGAGGAGATGCAAGTACGGCATTCATTATTGATATTGACTGCAACTCGAGGACTTCGTTCCAAGTGATATAAATAAATATCATTCTGGAGATAAATAATGAAATGTGTGGGGAAGGGGCCGAGTTTACAGCTGTTTAAGAACAGAAACTGGTCAACCAGCTTTTAAATCATGCGTAGAATTTCTTGTGATTGTCTACCGCTAAAATTATGCCATCAATAACAGTTTCAATTTTTGTCACGTGTCATTTAGTGACAGAGAATATGGAAGCTACTTTTACTCTTTCGCTCCTTCAAGAGTCTTTCATACGCTTGACTGTCGATCTCATTTGATCTGAGAAGACTGACGAGCTCAAGGAGATTTTACTCTCTTCTAAAACTGGGAAAATAGGATTTGGTTTTCTAAGTTTTGAAAAAACAACTGACATCTGTCACTTCCTTCACACTGTCATAATGATGATCAGCGCTGACGCTTTTCTTCCAGCTTCCCACGAGCCTGAGCATTCTCTGATTTTTGGAATTGTTCTATATGCAAGTGCTATATGCAAGTCTATATCCGAGGTTTTTGCCCTTGCAATAATTGAACAATTCAGTGGAAACCATTACTCAGATTTTTCGGCCTCAACCTTGGCCTTAGCGGACGTTCGGCTCTTGATCAGTGCTTCGCTCGAGATTCCCGCAAAAACGATGCTGATTCCGAACCATTGTAGTGTGCTGACATGGTGTCCATACACTATAATACTCAAAATCATCGATGTCATTTTCCTGGTTACCGTCACCATAACCAATACCAATGATCCATAGTTTTGCAAGGTGTAGAAGATGCATATCTGGCCCAGAGCTCCGCAAACTGCGTAAGTCAGGAGATACAGCGCAATAATTGGATCTAAAGAGATCATCGCTCTGGTCCGGATGGCTTGCTGTGGGTCTATAATTGCCAGGTAAAGTAGGTTCCATATAACGATGCCAAAATTGAGTCCCAGCATCAAATGGCCCCCAGTAATCAATTTTTGCTTCTTCTGAGCGCGATTCCGCTTCAAAAGCGTATCCTGAGTTGCGTTTGTGAATCCATCCAGCAAGAGACTAACCAAAAGTGGCAAAAACCCATGTATAAGACTAACATCTTTTGTGCTAGTCTTATTACTTGATTTTTGGGATCCCAAATTGAAAAGAACCACCCCGAAAGTTACTGCAATCGCGACCAGTTTCTTGTCGTTAGCAATCCGCGTGTGGTAAAGCAACAGATGAACTACAAGGATAGGGATCAGTTTGCAGCTTTTGGCCAACATGTAAGTCAGGAAATCCACATATTGCAATGAATATGCGGCCAGCGGAGTCGACAAACTCTGAGTCAGAGAAATCGCCAGCAAGTCCCGGATATAATTGCGTAAAAATTCCCGGGCTCTGTGTTCCGTGCGTTGCTGCTTCAAATACAAGGTACCCGTCATTGCAGCGACCGATGCCTGCACCAGGGCCACCACGCATGGTGCTTGAAATTTAGCCTGCGAATGTGGCCAGATCTGCGTCGTAAGAGGTTCGTACACCAAAGACCACGTCAGAAACGCTATATAAATACCAGAAACGCATGCCACAAGCCTCAATTGAGAGCACATGATGATTCAAGCTAAGTCTATTCCGTTAACTGAGAGAGACAAGTCCTAAACCTCAATTCACTTGAAAATGAGGCTTTTGGCTCGCTGGAAAAAAATTTCTAGGACCTGTGAGTTAGTAAAAACTAATGGATAGCACCTAGCAGACCAAAACACTCTCTAACTGGAACTTTCTCGTCATTTTTCTCGAGTGAACTTCAAATCGGATCAGATTTATACCTATAATATAGTTGAAAAATTTTGAAGATATTCATCGACTTCAACCTTTAAACTCACCTGAACAACACAATCAAACAGACCGAAACCGCCATGTCTAGCTCGCCCAAGAGCCATTACTCACCGCTGGGTGCTACCTATGGAGTCAGAGTTGATCAATTCCTCGAAACAGCTGAAGATTACGACAAATATCATGCGAAATTGAACCGAAAACTGCAAAAATTGAGGCACCATTGCCAATTGACGGTGAAAGATACCAAGCGGTATTCCCTGAAGGAAAAATACTCGAAAGTTACGCAGGCGGACTATGACACGAAAAATAAGCTTTTGGGCACTCTCAATTTGCTGCACGCAGAGAGGGATCTTGCCCTTGGCGAGACGTTACGCTTGAGATCTCGTCAAAGAGGCTCTTTGAAGAAATCTGAAGGCAAAGTGGTCGGTACGAGACTCAAAAAGGCATTTCAGACCTGTACTCGGCTTGTGGAACTCACAGCCAATGAACAGAACCCATACACGCGCGCTGAATATCTCATCTACTACAAACTGGCAATCGTAAGCCATCTCAGTTTTGGGAAGCACTCTAGAACGAAACGTGCTGCCTCTGCAGGGCAAGTCGCGAGGGAGCTCAGCTTAGCATTTTCTGCTCTCCAATTTTTGCAGAAATCTGAAATTCTGAGCGCCGTGATCGTGGACTCCATCACATCTCGTTTCGATTACCTTTTGAGACAGAACGCCAGTAACGGAGCATCGTCCTCAAAAGCTCTACGCCGTTTTGTCGCCAAACAGGTTAATGATAATGCCGAAGATCCGCTTATCGCTTTAATCTCGCAAAACGGTTTTGAGATGCCTTCTTTATCACAAGAAAGTGATTCAGCGGCATCAGCAGCAGCGGTAACTACAGTTCAATGGCGCAGATTCACTGCTGAAGTAGGAGACTCCAAAGTGGCAGAGCTGATTGCTGAAGCTAAGGCAATTCAAACTTCAGATTTATCTCAGTTTAGCGAAAAACTCGCAAAATGGCAGCAAGCGCTTGACCTGCAACAGCAAGTGCTGGAGCAGAAGCGAGACGACGACACTGCTGATGCCACTGGTGAAGATGACGAGATTCTTTTGACTTACATCCAGTACAACTCACATTTTACCACAATTGAGCGTGACGATATTTTGTTCCGCAAATTGTGGTCGCAGTGGAAACTCTCATCTAACAAGACCAAAAATGTTAGAGTAACCAAGGTGAAAGAAATCGAGCGTATTGTGCATAACCTCACCACTTACTTGCAGCAGGTGATGGAACTACCGGGTGTGTATTCTGATGACACTTTGACGGCCAATCTAAAGTTGGCCACGGTTTATTACCAAGTACATCTTTCCGTGGGATGTTTAGCATCTTTCTACCAAAGTCAGCATAAGTACTTGGAGGCGCTTGCACTTTACGTCGATGGTTTGAAACAACTAGTTAGTGCTACGGAGGACACTTCTTTTGAGGATCCGCTTCCCGGAGACATTGTGAATGCTACAAGGCTTCGTGAACTTGAAGATCTCACCAAAACTGCCCTAAAAAGTGTTATCTCACTGGCCGAATACGAGAAAGTTGCTACTCCTGGTGAGCAGGCGTCGTTCGAGCCCTCCTTAGTGGAGAAACTAGGCAAACCAATCGGTCCCAGCGATGTCAATTTGTCGAATCTATTCCCATTGAGACCCGTTATCAGACCAGTCGCTGCAAAGCCTGCCCTTTTCGATCTAGCGTTTAACTATATCAGCTACGATGGTCAACCTGTAGAGCAAGATTTTGACACGGAATCAGAAACAGCTTCCGCTCAACCTGGCGAACAAGGTCAGACTGAAGGTCCAAAGAAGAAAGGTATCTTTGGTCTTTTTGGACTCTGATCAGACCCGCTTCAGAGTTCATTGCAATGTATATATAAATAATGAAGATAATACGGCAAATGAGCTGGCAAGAAGAGTTATTGTTTGCCATGATCGTCATTTGGTTGTTCCTAGCGCGGGAGCATGAGCCAGGTTTGTCACTTTCTTCTCTATCTGACACTTTTGAACTAAGGAACTCAATCCCAAGGCTAGTTGTACAAGTCATCGGGATACACATCATACTGCATTTCACGCAGTAGATGTACTGGATCTCTGACCACTGGTTTTTAAACTTCTGAAACTTGAACTTCGACGTCTATAAGAGGCGCTTTGGTAGAGAATGGTCGAACAAGATACCAGATGCTGGATATGTCTGTGTTCTGGCGACGAACGCCCACCTATGGGCAGTTTAAGTGATTCCCATGACTGGGTACACCCCTGCAAGTGCTCATTGGTAGCTCATCGCAAATGTCTGTTGGAATGGGTGTCCCGAAACTATCTGGATTATAAGAATGAGATGTTAAGCGAGTTCAACAATGACGGACAGAATATTTGGTTCAGTTCTATAAACTTTTCTGATGCATATTCGTGGCTTCATTCAGCTGCTGGTATGTTCCCGCCTTTGAACTGGATAAGAGTACAAAGTTTTGGAACTGGCACCTTTGTTGAGGAACCCAGATCTTTCAATCCAATGGAGGTAGGCCGGGTCTTTGCAGCTGAAGGAATTGACGAATCTATTATCAACAATGTTGCTGAAGCTATGGAAGCGGGTACTCGAGATTTTCCTTTTGCTGAGAATTGGTCGCTGCGAAAGTCCCGTAGGTTGGTGATCAACACCGTGTGCCCACAATGCAATACTTCTATAATACTGAAGACTAATAACGGACTTGTTGTCCCTGTATCTGTTGCAGTCTCTAAGAGTCTAAACTGGATAGCTAAAACGGTTACACAAACCACAATTCTGGGAACAGTGGGAGGTTCACTTCTTTTCAGTTTTGGTGGTCTTCTAACGTCATGGGGACTACGGATACTTGCCACATTGGCACCAGAAAGCACGATACTGAAGCTTTTGGATCTTTCACACGCTTCGAGCTTGTATCAGGCCTTCCAAAATAACCAGATCGGATTCCGACAAGTTGTTTTAATGGGTTTGACGCCTATATACTTGCTGAGCTTCATGTTTGATAATAGATTCATGAGCTGGCCGAAACGGCTGTACCCTTTACTTTTTCTCAAACCTGGAGAAAGTTTGGAACTAAACGTCAAGAGGTTTTTGCTGTTACAATATCCACTTCAGGTACTGAATGGTACTTTCAAAGGTATTGTCTACAACCCGATTTACTTTAGCTGGGTCCACCGTGTGAGGCCTTATTTCGTGAGCGACAGGATGTCCTTGCAACAGTTAAGACTTTACGAGGCAGAGCAACAATACCTCGAATCCAGACGTGAACTTCAGAATGGACATCACGACTCGGGTAACATACTATCGAGATTACTGAACCCTTTTGGGTTGGCAGATGGAGGACCTATAGAGCAAGGCATCAACGCGCGCCGGCTAACTATGCTGACGAGGTTCGATTATTCCCAGGCGCTCGTAGAAACGTCGTTCTGGGAGAAGATAGGGACGGCTATGTTATGGCCAATGGCTGGCAAACTGATCCATGGCGCGGCTCTTTCGAAGTCATCGTGGTTCAAGCACTTTTTATCTCAATCGACTTCGACACCAAATGACGGTCTTTACCTGGGAAACCTTGTAGGATGCTGTGTCGCGGTTATTTTGAAGGATTTGGCACATTTCCTGGTAACTTGGCGCAGGGTCAAGCAACTGCAAAGCATGGAAGTCATGGAATACATGTCACCAGAATGGGAGTACGTTTTGAATAGAAAAACAGGTCAGATTCTCAATCAATTGGGCGCTTTAGGTGAGGATGAGGAATCACACGCTATACTCGATGAACACGTAAACAATATGCTCTCTGGTAAATACCGGGAGCAGTGGGACGAGCTGTCGGTGAGCATACATACCTTGGCAGGCAAAGTCAACTTTTTTAGACACCTAGCGATGAAAATGGGTATCGAGCGCTCTTCCGCTCTAAAAAAAGGGACAAAATCAGGAATTGTTGGCTAATAGAACTACCGATGACATCAAAACCTTCGCCCATGACGAAGAGACGGCCAGGTTCCTCTGATTGACGAGGCTGAGGAGAGGGTATACAAGGGCATTCAGGAAGCAAATTTCTCTGATAAACTTTCAACATGAGGCGTCGAAATATTGCGGGGAAGAATGGTTCCAGGACTACAATTGCCGTGAATGTAACGAGCTTGACCTTGTCGTTCCTGTACCAGCTCTTTCGATAGTACAAAATGAGAACAGTCCATAGACAATTAATTAAGAGTTTACTGAATTCGCTTGATAAATGATCCCGCCATTAGCTCTAGTAGCGGAGCCAAGTTGAACTCCGCCTTGTTTGAGAATAGTTTGCATTCAGCGCCTTCGCTTTTCGCTAGTTCGTCCAGCAGTTTTGAAAATTGGAAGTTGTCCATTGTGGAAGAGCCTGATCTCTTTTCGGTCTTTCGTTCATCTAATAGCTCTACTGCAAAGTATTCTCCATCCGAAGTAGAAAACCTGAAATTTACATCAGGAAACTTTGGACCACTTGAGCCGAAAAAACTCACTGCGGCTTTACCCAGGTTTTCTCCGGCAAGACTTTTTAAGGCCCGAAGCTCGAAGAGATGGCGTGAGCTCCATTCCAAGCTCAAACAGTCTTTAGAATTCGTCCCTTTATGATTAACTTTATGATAAACGTCTTTGAGTTTCCGGCCAATTCCATGCTTCTTTATTGGCGCATAATTACCGGACGCTTGTGCCTTGTTAAGAGACCTCTTCTGAGAGAGTTCAAGTGCACGCGACCTGTCCTTCAAACGTACATTGGTCTTTTGAATGGATTTGAGTGCGTGCTCCGCAGTTTTGGTTTCCTTAGATGTTGATTCTACAACGTATTCGCGAGATTTGATCGTGTTGGCAATGTCATTAAGAACACTTTGAAGTTTATCGTCAACACTCAGGCTCCCCATTTGTCTTAGTTCGTAGGCCCTCTCTAAAACATGTTGCTTCAAATTGAAGTAAGTAACTTCTTCGAAGTTTTTAAACAACGGATCAGTTTTAATAGCTGCTGTTTCAAGAAGTAGTCGCTGGAACTTGGGCTCGTCTGAATCAATGATACAACCCATCATCAAATCATACAAATCGGTACCTACGTCTTCGACCTGCATCATGTAGACGAGACCTCTTTTGATCTCGTTGTAGATGACGGTCAGTCTATCGTCGCTAGACGACAAATGGTAAGCACTCGGGTTCAATTGGAGCTTGACAATGCTATTGTTACTTTCTTCAAGCGTTTTAATCTCGCCCATCTGTATGTTTGCTACGAGTGGATTGATAGCGTCATCATGGGGAAATGCATCCGTGTTAGTATGCAGCATCCTACCAATGTCAAGCAGATACTGCTTGGGGATGCTAAGGGTTGCTCTCTCATTCAGGCACATGTCACTGTAATGAAGTTCATCACAGTATACATCGAAAGAAGGAAATATCAACATGTTCTCGAGAGAAACTGCGAGATCATCATGTATTTCTTCTGCATATTGATTGAGTGGCGCTAAGTAGTTCTCAAATTCAGAAAAAGAGAACACTGTGTCGAGCGCTTCTGACAAAAGACGCACCTTTTGCGCCGTACTGTCGGCGAACTTAGCCAAGCCAAACTTGGAAGGGTACCTCAAAACTGGGAAGACTATTGCCTCCATTAATATCTTCGAAATGGCAATTAAGGAGTTCTTTTGATGTGGACTATGATCTGCAACAATTCTGTACGCCGCAGTACACAGAAACTTTATCTCTTCAGGGATTACATGTGCGTTTTTCAACAAGGCTTCGCTGACAATTTCGACACCTTTCCATAAACTTGTCAGATTAGTGACAAAAGTGCTTCTGATTACTTCGTCTTCGATAGACTCACTTGACGAAAGCTCTGGCTCGCTAGGATGCAGTTTTCTACGAATTGCGGCCGGGACGGCTTCGAAATCCACAGAATCTTGCGACAGGAATTCCACCAGAGGTGAGACCAGTTCGATAAGAAGCTGTGGAATCTGGCGGTGAACATAGAAAGAGAGTAATTCCTTCCAGAAACTAGAGCCCGTAAAAGCCAAAAATTGCTGTGGATCATGGAAACTCTCGACATCTGCAGCAAGGAATTCTGAGACTAGTCTCATAAAAAAGATGCTCTCTCTGCGTCCCATAACACTGTTTGTCGAGACAAATGTCTTGGTAAGGTGCTTTGTAACAAAGTCCGGCTCAACACGGTGTAGCGTTACCCAGTAAAATGGGTCTGTCTGAAGCAAATAGAGAATCTTTTCATATTCAGGATAGCGTGTATCTCCAATGCCTTCGAAGCCATCAGTGAAGTTATGGGGAACAAAAATGTTACAGTTACCTAGTATGGCGTTTTTCCTTTTCAGAAGTTCGAAATGGTTCTCTATGACATCCCTGTCTTTGTTGGACTGGTCGATTTGCGACTTGAGGAACTCAAGCCTACTTTGAGACTCATGGCTAGCATGCATTTTATTGAGTAGATGAACAAATCTCTTTACAGCAGCGATGCTGGGATTCGCGGACGACATAAACGCCAAATATGCATTTCGCAATTGATGCATCCGAATAGCACTTTGCGCCCTAATAACCTGAAATTCGCGAGTTTTGTAGTAGAGAGACATCTGGTTGTTTGCTCTTCTAATTAGACTGCCTTTCGCGCGTGCCTGAACTGAGGGCAAATCGTTCCCCTCTACGATATCGGAGATCAGCTCCAAAGTGAAACGCACCAACACGCCTCTCGACAATGCTTGCATAGAAACGACTGGATTCTTACTATCACGAACTGCCATTGCCAAGGATTTGATGCCGGCTCTTTGAAACGAGCCTTTGAGGTTCGCGGCAAAGCTTTCAATGATACCATTTTGAAGTTTCAAATTTCTGTTCGTAGCCCTAATTGAATCCCGCCTTAGTGAGCCCTTTGCAAACGACTGAAGGGTGTTGACAACATCATACCTTTCATTGAGCGAGAAATAAATGGATTTTCTATGGATTCTCAGATGATGTGCTCGAAGCAAGCCTTGCAGGTTCACGATCAATGGAAGACACGCATCAATTTCTTTTAGGAACTCGGCGTGTTTGGCTCTTTGCAATTGTGCTTTGATGTACGCTTGTAGTCCTGGTAAAGGCTTTTTAATGATGGCATGACCTGCAAGAGCCTTTCTGCTGTTTAATCTAACAACTTTCGCGAGGCACAAGCTCTGCAAGAAACTTATATCATCCTCGACAGACATCAAACGCACCCGAAGTCTGAAAATTTTCTCTCGGATCAAACGGGCTTTGACAAATGACTGCAAAGCACGAAGTGGGCGTTCGTCAACCTGTGAAGACATGAAAAATGTCCTAGCTTCTGGTTTCCCTCTGGCCATACGCCCCCTTGCTTGTGCTTGTAATAGCCTTACTTTTTCGATGACAATATCTACTTTCCTTTGCATTAACGCTATCCCGAATCTTGTGTTCACACCTCTGCACATGGCCTGTAAACCAGAAACGGAATCCAAAAATTGGACTTCTGTCATCCGCTGTCTTCTTACAGGTGAGTATTCTTGTGCGCTGTACCGATGGGTACCATAACGGTCAAGATCGTAGGGGTCTTCTGCAAGCCTGAAAGAGGGAGATCTGTTGACGGGTGAACGGTACGATAAATGACGGTAGATTCGAGGTGAGTAATATGATAGTGACTCAGATGGGCTGATGTCTGAATCGAAGCTCAAAAGAGGAGTGTTTCCCGTCATAATGTTTGTGGAGGAGAATTTATTAGTTTCGTGGAAGCTCTCGGCATTTTTCACACACTGCGAAGTTTTGGGAGGCGGAGTATGTGCGACAGGGGACTGTGGGGTAGGCTCAATGAATTCTTGAGTATCCTTGAAGGACGTTTGACGCTTTTTTGGACTGCCTACTGCAGATCCCTGCAGCAAGTCCTTCTCACCATCGTCACGTTGGGTGTTGCCCGAGCTTGAAACTTTGAATGAACGGAAATTATGAATGGCAGGTATTTTGCGTTGGCAAGCTTTGATGTCGCTTTCTGAAAAAGTGGTTCTGCCGCTCAAATTTTGAATTTCGGGGACTTTTTCTGGCCACTTGCTGTTAATGATGTTTATGAGCGCATGTAGTGTCTCGAATACCTTTGGTAGATTCTTCTTTTCGTAAAGATCTGTGAGTTCGAATCTGAAAAGATCGGGAACGCCTATTTCTTCAACCAGCTGAAAGAACACACTGATATTTTGTGTATGCGTATATCTAAGAGACGGTCCCGTAGGCACAATTTTTTTTACCAATCTGGGCTCTATCTTTTGTGTAACTTTGGCCAAATACACCCCATCTCGCAAACTGTTTCCAGTTATCAACTCCAGTTCGGACGGAAGCTTTTCTCCTATAACTTCTGACATCCATTCTTTAGCCTCTCTGACCCGGCACAGAAGCTCATAGTATTTACTGTCCTTCGTGGAAAGTTTCGAGACGTCAAACGTCTCGCTATCACCAGTTGGAAATTTTGTCATTGAATTAGTTCCCTTTTCAGCCCATTTCAATGGGGAACGATTGTTTCGCACCGATCCTGTTACGTCTTTCAGCGGAGTTGGCGAGGACGTTACATCAGCATGTCCTGTGATTTTTGGTGCGTGGTGAAACAGATTCTCTTTGTTGGAATTGGTTTGGGGAAAGCTAGACTCTTGACCTGAACTTTCTCCCAGAGTCGCCATGTATCGTTGGATAAACGGGTTGCTGCTCTTGCCGGGAGAGCCCGTAAGTGATGTCATGAACGGTAATAAAAATGCTGGGTTGATTCCAACTTAGAAATTTCGGTTGTTAAATGTGCTCCTGGTCACAAAACTAAACTGTCTTGAGTCTTCAACCTCCTCTTCCGCTGAACTTAATTCCCAATGCTTCTTTACTGAATGTTAGATGGAACTCTTCGAGCCAGGACCAATATTAAGCCTAAGCAAAGTGCTATTATTTGTTCTTTCCCGATACGGAAGGACCATCAACAAGACCTAAAACGGAACGATCTGAACGTGCAAAGGGATACATTATTGGTCACATGACTTCGGCGGCTAAAGGTGCTTAGATCGAGCTCTCTGAGCCCGAAACTAGTTCTACAAGAGCCGGAGTATCAAAGTTGCACAGGTCGAAACTTTCGTACTGATAATTAGGATGTTCACTTGAGTTGGTCTTTCCAACGCTGCTAAAATCGTGAATCTTCGTACACTTTCGCATGTCACCGTGAAAACGAAGACCTGTGCAATTTTCTAGTACAATGGACTGGTGTGGTAATCCTACTCGAACCATGTAAATGTCGCAGTTCTCAAGCTCATGAAGTCGAATCTGAATTTGCGAAGATTCAGGTAATCGAAACAGGATGATGCAATGTTGAGCATTTTCGATGTAAACGCTGCCGTGCACAAATGGCATAGCCTTGAAATTTATGACGCTTTTGTGACAGGATCTGATGAGTATAGCAGCTGAGTCCAGCTTTTCATTGGATTCCTCGCTTCCAAACGTGAGTGAACACTTCTCGAGATTCTCGTAGACTCCTCCGATCCTGTATTCCAGAGTCTTTCCGATGCACTTCGGAGAGCCAATAGACTTGTCAGAAAGGTTGGGCGTATCTTGGACGTAAGTTTCGTCTCTTTTCTGGTCTTTTTGTGGCCTGGTCTTAAACTGAAATTTCCTTGTCGTGGCAGAGGTATCGGCAGCTGTAATCTGTTTGAGCAGCCTTGTCAACCTGGAATTGTACTTTTCTCGATCATAAGCCGAAATGGAATCAGACACAGACCTCAGCAGCGCAAAAAGCTCCATAACGTCTCTTTTTAGAAGTGATGCACTGGTTTTTTGCCCAGTTTTCTGTTCGATGACTTTGAGCGAGTTAGTCTCCATGACGTTTCCAACGTCTGTCGTTGACTGAAGAATTCATTACACATACCATTACAAGCATTACCAAACACTTTTGAAAACTCGGCTGGGGTTAAATCAGAGGTATTATCTCTCATTTTATCAGGTTTTGGTGGATAAGGTCGATGATGCCGTTATTTGAAGTAGAGACCCTAACTTTCAATTATCTCCCAGTAATAGTATTTCAAGGCACGGGATCAACATTTAATCCATGGGAATCATAACATATTGTTAAGATTCATAATAGACAACCCTAATCATAAGCTAATACTTGCTTTACTTTATACAATATTTCTAAATGATTTGAGATATCGAGACGATACCATATCATGCCGTTTAATCCACTTCCTCCATTTCGGTTTCAGCGGTGTTCTCAGCAGCTGGAGCATCGGTGGCAGCTTCTGGAGCAACTTCCTCTTCTTCGTCTTCATCGATGTTCAAACCCAAAGAGATCAATCTGTTGATTCTGGTGGCGAAAGAGGCTGGCTCTTCCAGAGTGAAACCGGAAGTCAATAGAGCGGTCTCGTACAATAGATTGGTCAAGTCCTTGACAGTCTTGTCTTGAGCACCGTTCTCTTCAACTCTCTTTTTCAATTCCTTGATGATCGAGGATTTTGGAGAGATTTCGAAGATCTTCTTGGAGGACATGTAAGAAGACATGGAAGAGTCTCTCAAGGCTTGGGCCTTCATAATTCTCTCCATGTTAGCGGACCAGCCGAATTGACCAGTTCTGATAGCAGCTGGCGAATCGATGAGCTTGTGGGAGACGACAACCTTCTCGACTTGGTCACCCAAGACTTCCTTTAGAGCGGTAGCCAACTGTTCGTATTGCTTGGCTTCCTCTTCTCTTTGAGCCTTTTCTTCTTCGGTTTCTTCTAGTTCGAAGTCCTTGGTGATGTCCACTAGGGTCTTACCTTCGAACTCCTTCAACTGAGTGAAGGCGTATTCGTCAATTGGGTCAATCAAGAATAGAACTTCAAAGTTCTTGGCCTTCAAAGCGTCCAAGAATGGAGATTTCTCAACAGCCTTCATGGACTCACCAGTGATAAAGTAGATGTTTTTCTGGTGTTCTGGCATTCTGGTGATGTAGTCCGTTAGAGAGGTTAGCTCATCTAGAGACTTGGTGGAGTTGTAACGCAAGAGCTTGGCCAATGCAGTTCTGTTTTGTGTGTCTTCGTGAATACCAAGCTTCAAGTTCTTGGCGAAAGCAGAGTAGAACTTGTCGAATTGCTCTCTGTCTTCAGCGATTTCGTTGAAGGTTTCGATCAACTTCTTGACGATGTTCTTTCTGATGACCTTCATGATCTTGTTTTGTTGCAACATCTCTCTGGACAAGTTCAATGGCAAGTCCTCGGAGTCGACAACACCTCTCACGAAGCTCAACCATTCAGGGATCAATTCTTCGGCTTCGTCAGTGATGAAAACACGACGGACGTATAGCTTGATGTTGTTCTTCTTCTTCTTAGACTCGAACATTTCCATTGGGGCCCTCTTTGGAACGAACAAGATAGCTCTGAACTCTAGCTGACCTTCAACGGAGAAGTGCTTGACGGCCAATGGGTCTTCCCAGTCATTGGAGATGGACTTGTAGAAAGCGTTGTATTCCTCCTGGGAAACATCGGATGGGTTTCTAGTCCACAATGGCTTGGTCTTGTTAAGTTCTTCCAACTCTTCGACGTTTTCCTTAATCTTTTTGGTCTCAGATTTCTTCTCAGAGTCCTCATCCTCGTCGACTTCTTCCAACTTTGGCTTCTTGTCATCGGATTCTTCTTCATCCTTCTTTTCTTCTTCGGCAACAGGGACCTCCTTCTCGACTTCCTTGGTAACCAAAAGTTGGATAGGGTAAGCAACAAACTCAGAGTGTCTCTTGACGACTTCCTTGATTCTCTTTTCCTCCAAGTATTCAAGTTGGTCTTCCTTCAAGAACAGTCTCAAGACGGAACCTCTGCCAATTCTTTCGTTTTGCTCATCCAAAGTGACGGTGAAAGAGCCACCAGCGTTAGATTCCCAGATGTACTGTTCGTCATCGTTGTGCTTAGAGATGACCTGGACCTTGTCGGCGACCAAGAACAGTGAGTAGAAACCAACACCGAACTGACCAATCATGGACACGTCTGCACCGGCAGAAAGAGCTTCCATGAAAGCTTTGGTACCAGACTTGGCGATCGTACCCAAGTTGTTGATCAAATCGGCCTTAGTCATACCGATACCAGAGTCTCTGATCTCAAGAACCTTCTCCTCAGGTCTTGGGGTCAATCTAATGAAAAGCTCTGGCTCAGTTTCTAGTAGCTTAGGGTCGGACAAAGCTTGGTATCTGATTTTGTCCAATGCATCCGAAGCGTTAGAGATCAACTCTCTCAAGAAAATTTCCTTGTTTGAGTACACGGTGTTGATGATCAAACTCATCAACTGAGTGATTTCAGCCTGAAATTCATAAGTTTCCTGAGACATGATGAACAACAGTAGTTAGACGTTGATTTGATGCTCAATAAGAACTTGTTCTAGCGGTAGCTTAAGACTGGTTTCGATTTTCTGGAGGTCCTGCATCGTGAAACACACGTCCTTTAAATACTCAAATTCTAGGGAAATTTTGTCGAATGGCGAACCTTCTGGAAAAAATATAATTTGCCGTCACATTAGTACAAAGTGATAAATGTGTAGAACGACCTTCTGGTAAGTTCTGGGGACTTGAGAGACTTTCTCAAGGAAAATCCAGAACTGAACACTGCTCCAAGAACTTCGAAAAAAGTGTATTGGTCGGGACTGGGCCGCTATGGCTTGCAGCCCAATTTTTCTTGTTGGACAGTGTCTTTTGTTCGTCGCTAGAGATTCAGATCGGCAATTGACGCTGGTGACAGTGCCAATTGATGACGATTTTGGATGGAATCGTGCAGGGAACTGGCCTGGTTGTATACGAGATAGTCTGGATCCGTAGATTTCACGTAGTTCAGTAGGTTCAGGAGTTGCGCCATTGGGTGACTTTCGGGCCCTGCGAAAAAGTTTGGGGCCGCACAAATCACCAAAGAATGAAGAAGGTGCAAAGCACCGCGTCTAAGCAGTTTGGATGGGTTTTCGGGATCTTCGGATCTTTCTAGTCTCAACACCCCCATTGCACAGTCCACAATGTCTGTCAATTCGTTTTGGATCGCTAAACAATTAGTTTCCACACAAACGCCCAAAAGCGAGAGAGCAGACATCCTCGCACGTGCATCAAGCGCTTCGTGTTGTTGTATATTCTCCAAGCATGTTGCGACAATTCTGCGTGATATTTGGCCGCCAAACAATTCATTTTGAGTCTCAACGTAGTTCACCAGTACCTCCCCAACCTTCAGTACATCATCTAATGTTTTTCCCAATTTTGATTGTGCGCCGGCGCCTGAATACACCTCTAGCAAGTAGTCGAGAGTTTGAGTTGGCTCAAACTCGCAAAGTACAGAAAGGCCCTTGATTGCATTTAGGTACACAAATGGCTCTTTGTCGTGAAGCAGACGTGCGTGCAACTCCAAAACTTGTTTCAAATCAATAATTGGCGATTTTCGTTCAATGAGTTGCCGCAGTTCGTGAAGGCCATGTGCACGTATTGGTGGCAGGGTGTCTTCAATGTTGAGCATAGCCTGCTGCAGTTTCTGCTCTGCATCAAACTGATCGTCACTCTCTGTTAAGTCCTTTCCAAGACCTTTATCGTCTTCACTATGTAAAAGCTCTTTTAGCTTTGAAACCAGAGAGCGGGAGTCTTGATTATTTGGCCGCTTCTCTAGCGACTGCTTTATCGATCCCAATATCTCGCGAAACTGCAAGAGATCTCTCTTTGGTGTAGTGGCCAGTATTGTTGAAAGCAGCTTTAGCAGTGTCAAGTAAACACTCGTGGCTCTTGGGTTCTGCAAAAGGTCATCATCTTCATAGGGGTTTTTGTCAGCATCACTGCTATTATCATTGTCGTCATCTTGGTCGTCAGAATCGCCATTTTCATCATCGGAATCTTCAGCGGAATTGATCGTTTCGTCTTGATCTTCTCGTAACTCGAGAAGTTCATCGATCATTGCCAGAACATCTCTTGGTTTTTTGATTATGTCGTTTTTGAATGCATTGTCTAGTTTTTCCATCAACTTGAGATCGACTAACACCAGTAGGCTACCTTGAACGTCCTCAGCGGCAAGCGATTTCGAAGTGTCTTGGACTTTTGTGGTGCTGACCCAGCGGCTCATCACTGAGAGGAAAATACTTTTCACAACCTCGGGTTCGTTGAGTGACTTTAAAAGCTCTGCGAAAAGCTCCACAGCAAGATCGATATCCAGAAAAACTTGCTGCACCTTCTTAAGATCTTCTGTAGTATCCGTACGCGACGTTCTCAGGTCCTTGCTTACGTCCGTCCTACCAAGCAGTAGTTTGACATGCGGAAGCTGAGTTTCAGCATCAATACTGTAGCCCCAACTAGTATGGTTAAAGTTTACCAGATTAGACACAATAAAATCTAAAGCATCATAAGCGCGGTTAATTACAAGATAACCTTTTAGCAAAGATAACACCACCTTATAGTACGGCGTATCAATTTCTTTCGTTCCGCTACGCGGTTGTATTTGTTGATTTTTCCGCAAAAACATGCAGTAGATCCACAGTGTGAGATAGAAGTTTCCCGAGCCGAAATTTGCTAAGCCATTTGTTACTTCCACACTAGGATTTTTGGAAAGGGATAAGAGAACATTAATCGTGTCATTCAGCGCTTTGGATGTGAACTCTCGAAGGGTCTCATTATAAAGCACAGCGGAAATCCTTCGAAATAGAAAATCATTAATTATCCGTTTGTTTTTAAAATAAAGCTCGCTTAAAAGGTTGTTCAAGCAGCTAACGAGAATCGGCTTGTTGACGAAAGTAAGACCTTCGTATATCTGGTCGAAAAGTTTTGAGAAATATTGTACGCTGGTCATGGATTTTGGCTTCGTAACAAGAAGTTGAGTCACTCGGTTGTATTTGCTGATATCGATCTCTTCATTTTCGCGGACCCCTACAACGAAATCAACTAAACTGATGACGCCATTGCTTCGTCTGACCGGGAGGGTCACCAATTTGGATAGCACTAATTCCTTATACTGTAGGTTAGTAGTGGTATTAACAAGTATTGTGTAGAGAGCAAAAAGTTGGTATGTTTCTTGGAGGTCTTCCGTCTTTTCGAACATATCACAATACCGGTGTTGATGAGCTGCGTTGCCATGAAGCTGGAGAACAACAAGAGCAGTCATCAGATCTGTGAATCCAGCTCCTTTGAGCAAAAGACTCCCAATAGTATTGGATCTTAGAGGTGCGGCAGTAAATATGGTGAAGAGGACATTTGAGACGCGTTCCAAAGTGGACAAGTCAGAGGTGTGGCCGGTGGGGACTTCATACTTTTTGTCTCTGGTTCGAAAATGTTCGATTCTTCGTTGTTCCAGAGGAATCCCAATGCCACGGGGCAAATTAGCGTATACACCATGAACCACTATCAAGTTGATCAGCAAATCAAAGTATTTCATGTCGTGAAGCGAAATTGGTACCAGCCTGGCTTTCGAAACATCATTATCAGTTGTTGCTAGTGTTAAAGAGCTGAGATCAACGAGTTTATTCAAAAGATACGCCACAAATTCTTTGTTGCTCGAAAAATCAACTTCTTTATACAGCGAGATGCGAGAATCATCTGAGATTTTTGAGCTGAGCTGCGATTGTAAAGAATCAAAAAATTGGTCTAATGGACTATTATTAGTGAAGTCCGGTTGGCGGTCCAAGACTTGTTGCAAATTCTTTTGAGAAGGTGGAGCCTCTGTCATCACTTGAAAGTTCCTGGAGAACGTGTGTCTCTCTTCTCGAGATACTTAATTGTGGAATAGTTGTTTAACCGCTCTTATAGAGAGATCAGTGAATTGATATTGAAGATGAATTCGAGGCACGTGACACGAAACTATATCTCAAAATCGGATGGCAACGGCATAGAAAGATCAATCGCGGGGCCGGAAGCATATTAGAACGTAGGACAGGGCGTTATGGAGCTGGAGCTGAAACAAAATTATAACGAAGCTGTATTTTGGCGATGATTTAGAGTATGAAAATTCCACAAAGTTGGGTTGCAGATCGCTTGCTGCGTTAGCCGTCTACTGCACCGGTATAAATAAGGAATCAAAGTTTATGTATCGACCAATTGCCATGGCAGGCTATCAATGGTGTGAGTATACCCGACGTCCACGAAATGCCGATGACAGCGCCTTAAAAATCAAGATAAGTATCATTCACAGAAGATAGATTAAGCTACGCGACTCACAAACCAAATCAACAGGACAAGCTTTCCATGCCTACGTCGCATATTTGAATTGTTTATCTCGTTGGTATGTGGTTAAATCATCTATTCGGGTCTTCGTAATAAAATCAATGACAGTTATTAGAATGAAAAAAAATGGCAAAGAATGATAGAAAGTGACAGGATGGCGCTAAAGAAGTACCACTTAGAGCGAAAGGGGTTGGGTTTTGGTCTTTCGTGAACGAATGCGGTCAGTTTTCGTAAGCGAATGGGATCAATCTCCAATTTCGGGGGTCTCGAGGCACGAATGAACTTTTTCTCTAGTCAAATCCGTCTCGAGAGGATCGAATAAAAGAGTAATTCCAAGAAATTGTACAGTGACAACTACAAGATGGTCCTGAGGTTACTCATGGTCAATTTCGATGATGCGCTGTAATGTGACACTACCGTATAAAATGATCATAAATATTTTCAGCTTACTTGTCACTCGAAAATTCGGAAAGACACACGCTTTTTTGCTAAATATATTCATACCATATTCGTCTCTTACTTTCGCCTGTTCGAAACGAGAGAATCCCATGGTTTCAAATCGATCTGAAACACAGTGACAGAACATCACGATCCACGATCATGTACCATCAAATTTTAAATTACCTAGTAATAGAAAGACGCACAGATCGAAAAAAGCTAGCTCATCGCCTATAAAGTTGAGAAACCGTTTTTATTCTGTTCAGCAAAATATACAACATACGTTTGCTATGGGCCTCCACAGTGATCCATTGGACCAGGAAGACCAGGATGCTATTATTCTAGATGCTAGAAGCGGGGATCTCGAGTCCTTACAGGACATTTTCTCAAATTTGGTAGATCGCAAGCTGGCGGTGACATGCAGCGATGCCGATACAAAAAGCACACCGCTTCATATGGCTGCTGCCAATGGCCATGCAGAGGTCATCGCGTATCTGGCATCGCTGGTAGAAGACGCCCAGGAGCGTACCAAATGGGTCAACACACGCAATGCCACGGGCAATACCGCGTTGCATTGGGCATCTTTGAATGGGAAGCTGGATTGTGTGAAGCTGCTGTGCGACAAGCTTGGAGCCGACCCGTTTGTGCGGAACGATTTCGACCACGACGCGATCTTCGAAGCCGAACGAAGCGGCCATGAGGACGTCGAAACGTACTATCTCCAGAAATACGACGTGGAGCCCGATTCCGAGCCCCAGGAGGGCGCCACGGCAGATACCGTGCAGTACAAACAGGGTACGGAAATCGAGCAGGTCACTAAGGACGCTGCTGAGCTTCTGAGGGGTAAAACTGAGGCGTTGAGCCTAAGCGAGAAACAGAATAAGTCCGAGACGGAGACACAATAATTTCAATTGAGCCCCACCCGACCAACCGATCACACAGAATTCATTTGTACACTACTAATATACACCACCAAGAATGACAAAGAGCCCTAGCTCTCTACCCAGTACTAGTTCATAACTAACTACCAATCGTCATCATCATCATCATCATCATCATCATCATCATCCATGAGTCCAATTGTCTTCAACCTTCTCAACGTACTCGAGTACACATCAAACGTTACCCGGTCTCTACAAAATATATCATTTGCAACGGAACATATTTATGTCACCTGGGACGAAAGATTCTACTCAGGTCAGAAAATTTTCTATATTGATAATATGCATTGAAAAAAAATCCATAATGATCAAGAAACACCATACTCGTTTTGAAGACTTGAAGGTTTAGACTTGGCAACTTGATATCAAAAGAGCCACATCTTTTGAAAGCCAGTGGGGTTCTAGTTCGACAAAGTTATATTCAGACTAATAGATGTCCGATCTAGCAAACGAGTTGGGGTTCGACCCATCGTTGAAGAAGAAGAAGAAGTCCAAGAAGGTTTCAGAAGTTCCAGAGACAAATGGAGCGGACACAGCAGCAGAAGGCTCTGGGGCTGCAGAAGAAGATCTTTTTAGCGGGCTGAAAAAGAAGAAGAAGAAGCCTAAACAGGCGGTTGGTGACGCCGGGGACATACAGGACGCTGTGGACGAAGTGGACGCAGCTCTGGGCGAATTGAAGCTCAAGAAAAAGAAGAAGAAGGCAAGCAAGGAAAGCACTGTGGACGACTTCGAAAAGGAACTGGCAAAAGCAGGCGTCTCAACGCCGACCGAGCGTGAAAACAGCAACGGGGCTGCTGCCAGTCGCGAGGGCTCACTGGCACCAGCAGGCGGCGAAGATTCCGCTTCGCAGCAGGACGAAGGATTGCCCTACCCGGACCTGCTTTCGAGGTTCTTCGAAGTGCTCAGAACCAACAACCCGGAGCTTGCAGGCGACAGGAGCGGACCCAAGTTCAGAATCCCACCACCCGTGTGTCAAAGGGACGGTAAAAAGACCATTTTCTGCAACATTCAGGAGATTTCCGAAAAACTGCAAAGAAACCCAGAACATCTTATCCAATATTTGTTTGCAGAATTGGGTACTTCCGGGTCTGTGGACGGTCAAAAAAGACTGGTTATGAAGGGTAAATTCATGCCTAAACAGATGGAAAATGTGCTGAGAAGATACATTTTGGAATACGTCACGTGCAAGACCTGCAAGAGCATTAATACGGATCTACGCAAAGAACAGTCCAACAGATTGTTCTTCCTGGTTTGCAAGAGCTGTGGCTCCACCAGATCCGTGTCTTCTATCAAGACCGGTTTCCAAGCCATTGTTGGTAAAAGAAGAAGAATGTGAGTGTAGAACGCTCTTCTTACGCCGCCCTCCGTTTTTTGGCCACAAGAACTGTAGACGCTGCATCGCCCAAATCCATGTACAGATTATCCAGACAAGGGTTTCTTTAGTCTATTTTTCACGCATAGGTTCACAATTACCGTTTTGCACACCTCATTTTTAATCAAATATCAAGAACAAGACAGCAACATCATATCACATTTCTACAAAACTACTAACCTTCTTGTATGTATTGAAGACACTAGGCCGTTCCAGTGTCTCGTGCGTTTGCAAAGTTTGACTGGAATCTATTGCCTTAAATAGCAGCCTATTTGTCTATGGTTCTATATCCCGTCTGGTTGCAGATTGCACATGATTTTTCGAAGCGACGGGCACCATTTGTTAATGGTGGAGTCAGACATCATCCATTGCGTCAGAATTTTATGAACTTTCGAGTCGTCTTCCAAAGATGCCAGCACCTCGTTCATGAGCTGTTTTCCATGTTCATGCTCCAGAGTCTGCCCAAAATTGGCACGGAACTTTTTTTGATGATATTCCAATTCAACAGGCGACAGCTTCGATTTCCTGGCGAATATACTATCGATTTCTTGCAGAATTTCGTCTTTGTTCTTGTGCAATGCTTGCGGGACCTTGATGGCACTCGAGCTCCGACTACTCGAGCGCTTTCCAATGGGTGGAGGTGGCACAGACGCTACCTGAGTACTTCCAAATGTGTCTATTTGCCCATTTACCATCGTCTGCTTCGTACCTGCGCCGCGATTCACAGGGTATACGAGGCTCGGGCAGTCATTGTAACCGGGAACATCCGTTTCCCTGCAGTTCTGGAAACTTCTAGTGCGATCTAGCATGGAATTGATCTGATAGGAGTCCTTTTAAAGCTTTAGGTTGTTGACATCTGGTATACTACCACTATGAGGCCAGGTCATCATCAGCATCGAACCGTAATTACATCAACCACTAGGTCACACGACTATCACGAGACCAGCTCACCTTGCAAATCCATCAACAGTGTCAAAAGATCACTGCTTGAGGGCCTTTCAGCTGGATCGACTTTCAAGCACTTGTGTATTATATCAATGAGTTTAGGATTGCGATGTGTGCCACGCGGTATCGTGTATTTCCCCGTCGTGATGGCGTAAGTGGTGGACGCACCGCTGATTTGTTCTTCTCGCTCAAAGGGTGAGATTCCAAAGCACATAGCATAGATAGTACATCCCAAGGACCATATGTCGCACTTTTCGGTTATCACAGACTTGAGTTGTGCATCGACTATTTCAGGAGCCGTGAAAGCCGGAGTGCAATGTTCAGAGCTCCATTCCTGGAATTGCAAAAGCCCCTGTCGAGAACTGATTTCGAGCACAGCCCGTGAACACGAGCCCAGATCACTTATTACAGGCATGCCTTCCGGCGATATCATAACGTTTGCAGGCTTCAAATCGCGGTGTGCATACGACTGCTGGGATTCGCCAAATGTGTCAAGTTCCAGGTCGTTCAGTAGCGATGTGTCGTCGTGATAGGATCCAGATACAATGCTATACGTGACTTCTGCGTCGTCATTCACGTTAGATTCATGAATACACAGCAGACCCCTCGCAATTCCTACTGAAAAACGGACAATGTCCAATTCTGAAATTTCTGTGCAGTTCAAAAGGTGTCTGTCAATTTCGTCTTGTAATGAACCCCTAGAAAAATATGGCAGCAGGATGTAGACGGTCTTGGAACCATCTTTTTCTTGCGAAACTTGTGAGTCCACAAGTTGTACGATGTAAGGGCTTTGAAATCGCTTGTAGTTGATGACCTCTTTCATGGCTGGCGATATCGTCCCGATGCTACCAAAGGGACATCTCGTTTTCTTTAGTGCTAGATGCTCACCGGAAGGGGCTTTAATTAGATATACAAACGAGAATCCTCCCTCACCCAGTAGTTTTTGAATTTCGTATTTTTGACCATTGACGACGACTATTGATGGCTTGAAACCGGCACAGCAACACAGTGCTGCAAGCACCGACATGTTATAAGAACCAATTGGTAGTATTTCAGCGGCAAGGCGGCCCTCAAATGCTGTTGTCCGATTAGGATTGCCAGTTTGATGCGATTCAATAGAGTTATGATGGGGACCCAATCTAGACTTAGAACTGGAACTATAGGGTAAGCACGTGACCAAAAAGTTTCTACTTTAAAAAACCCTTCAAGTTAGACAGGAGATAGATCAAATGAAGTAAAGACTTACGAATGGGACTATAAGTTTAAGATGAGCCAATGTGTTACGCTTCAAAGTACTCATTCGATCGCGATTCGAATGAACAAGATCATGTCACTACAAACGAAATTATAATTTTCATTCCAAAACTCAAGTTGAAAGTTCCATAGGTGTCAAACAGCTTATCGTCAAATCTTAAAGAATATACTTTCCTTAAAATCCAGTGGTTTATATATCATGGTTGTCATTCTAGAGTGTTAAGTATTTATCTTATAGATTAATCACTATTCACGAGGTGTTGGATCAGTAGTAATGAAAAAATGCTAGTGCTTCCCCAGTCATCGAGATAAAAAGCAGCTTAGCCAACTAGAAACGATTTCAACAGTCTTCAGTCTTGAACTCACCTTAAAGACATCGAAACTATGTCTATTCAAACTAGCAACCCTAGTTCCAATGACTACAGCAAAGCCTTGTCGCTGATCGCTGCGCATTCCCATATTTCAGGACTCGGTCTCGATGAGCATCTCCAGCCAAAGGCAACTTCACAAGGTATGGTCGGACAATTACAGGCCAGAAGAGCTGCTGGAATTATTTTGAAAATGGTCCAAAATGGCACGATTGCTGGCCGTGCGGTTCTTCTGGCTGGTCCTCCATCTACTGGTAAAACGGCGCTTGCAATGGGACTCTCGCAATCGCTTGGTGAGGACGTACCTTTCACAGCGATTGCCGGATCTGAGATCTTTTCTCTTGAACTAAGCAAAACGGAGGCTCTTACCCAGGCATTTCGTAAATCCATTGGGGTCAAAATCAAGGAGGAAACGGAAATGATAGAGGGTGAAGTGGTGGAAATTCAAATCGACAAATCCATCACAGGTGGTCACAAACAGGGTAAACTAACCATCAAAACAACCGATATGGAGACGATATACGAGCTGGGAAGCAAAATGATAGAAGGATTGACCAAGGAAAAAGTTCTGGCAGGAGACGTCATTTCTATTGACAAAGCCAGTGTCAAAATTACCAAGCTAGGCCGGTCTTTTGCAAGATCGAGAGACTACGATGCTATGGGTGCAGAAACTAGATTTGTGCAATGTCCAGAGGGTGAATTGCAGAAAAGAAAATCTGTTGTCCATACCGTATCGCTTCATGAAATCGACGTTATTAACTCCAGAACGCAAGGGTTTTTGGCCCTTTTCACTGGTGACACGGGGGAGATCAGATCTGAAGTAAGAGACCAGATCAACACAAAAGTCGCCGAATGGAAGGAAGAGGGCAAAGCAGATATTGTTCCTGGTGTGCTTTTCATCGACGAAGTGCATATGTTGGATATTGAGTGCTTCTCTTTCATCAACCGTGCATTGGAGGACGAATTTGCTCCTATAGTAGTGATGGCGACCAATAGGGGTATTTCCAAGACTAGAGGAACAAATTACAAATCCCCTCATGGTCTACCACTCGATTTGCTTGATAGATCGATTATCATAACGACTCACAATTACAACGAGCAGGAAATCAAGACTATTTTATCTATCAGGGCACAAGAGGAAGAAGTAGACGTCGCTGCAGATGCTTTAGACCTGTTGACCAAAATCGGCACGGAAACTAGCTTGCGGTACGCCAGTAATTTGATTGCTGTATCACAGCAAATTGCCCAGAAACGTAAGAGTAACAACATTGAAGTCGCAGACATAAAGAGAGCTTATTTGCTGTTTTTGGACAGCTCCAGGTCTGTTAAATTCTTGCAAGAGTTCGAGCCCCAGTACATTGACGACCATGGAAATGTGCAAATTGCCAGCGGAGCAAACAATTCCGACGCCATGGATACCGCAGCCTGAGAAGGGAATGTCAAATAGAATCGGTGTAGAAGAGAACAGAACCAAAAACAATTTTTTTTATTTTTTTTAACAGTCGTTTGAGTTTTAGGCTTTAGTTGTTTAAATTCTATACTTGTAGATAATGTTGATGTATGTCCGCAGAAAGCGACTTATCTTTTGTGGGTGGTTCAGGCAGGAGACTAGCTTAACCCGAGCTTCTCGTGTTGAGAATAAGTGCAATAATCATGCCGTACAGACCGAGCACTTCGGCGAAAATCAAAACGAGCACGATGCCCACAAAAAGCCTTGGCTGGTGCATGTACTTGCGGACACCGATATCACCCACGATTCCAATGGCATAGCCACTGCTCAAACACGCAAAACCAACGCACAAACCGCAGCTCATGTGCATGAAACCGTTGAAAAGCGTGTAGTCCTCAGATGGAGACAAACCTCCGGCGATCAAAACGGCCACCACCAGTCCATAAACGGCCAAAATACCACTCATTACCACTGGAATCAAAGACTTCATGATCAACTCGGGCTTGAAAGTACCAATACCGGCAATACCAATTCCTGACTTGGCTGTCCCTATCGCTGCTCCCAAGCACGACAAAGTCATGGCGAAAGCACACCCTGCAAACCCGAAGAAGGGCGCAAAGAAGGGAGCATATTCATCAGTGGGAACAAGCTGAGACATATTCAAAAGCTGCAAAGGGCGTAGAAACCTGTCTATGGGGCCCTATAGAAACTATTACCTTTAGGTTGACCGGTTTAAAAATGGGTAGTAGGTATACATCCATCATATAATATATATAATATATAGCTTGATTTTAAAGGTAACAGAGTGTCACGTGTCATCCGAAAAAGAGTTTTTAGTGATATTTCAACACCGATCGATTCCTCCTCACCCAAAGGAATCAACACACAGCTAGTTTCTCGATACACATACGGTATTTCAAAAGTGTTCGAGAAAATTGTGGCTTTAAAGTCCCTGGTTAAAATCGTTTTATATGGTTTGTAACTTTCACATCGCTTGGAACGAAAGGACATAATCTACTAATTCACCATCTATAAGATCAACCCATCATCTAAACGCTTTGATGATGGTGTTGCAAACAACCCAGGAAGATGCTGTTGGTACACTTATAGAGTCTCTAATAGCACTACATTGATTTTGAATCTCATTGCCAAATTGCTTTTACGGCGAAAAGAATGTCAACCCAACCATCGAAATTGGACACAACTGCGGAACAGCTACGATCCATATACACACAATTTCAAAGCATATTTGATGAAAAAGTGTCCTTGCATCTGCCACAAGAACACGACTCTACAAAAGGAGAGGTGCTGCTAGAACTGCAGAAATTTCTGATAGAGGGAATGGATGCAGCTTCCAGCTCACTCAGTGTTGTCAATGCATCCGACAACGCATCGATCGCAGACATTTTAGCGCAATCTCGCGAACAGTTCGTGGAGTCGTTTGATTTGAGTCTCAATGAACAAGTACGGCAGAAATACCAGGAATGGGAAGACCAAACCGTGAAAGTCGCGCAATTGCGGCGCGAAGCGCCGCGAAAGCTTCGTGACGTTTACGAATCTGAGGCCCAAGAGCTGTTGCAAGAGGCGGACGCTTTGATAGAGAGTTTTTCACGCGAGGACAATTCCTCGTTGCCCGCTGTCGAAAATGCACATGGGGACTTGGAAATGGATTGGTCCAGCCTTCACGAGGACTACTCAGAAGCGCTCGTCCGTCTAGCCCACGTGAAAGACGAGCTGCCGAAAAATCATGCCAGGGTGAAAAAGCTCGAACAACTAGTACTATTTTTGAAATCAGAGCTGGACTCTGGACGCTAATGGATCTTTTACAACTACGATCACTATGAACGAACCATTTGCAACTTGTTTTTGCAGATCAAAAGCCAAAAGGTGCGTGCGTGCGTGCAGGCCATTCACACTTACATGAGCTGCCTTTGCACAGCGCTTATTTTGTCGCTTTTCTTAAGGAGATCGCGTCCCACATTTGGAGCGTGTGTCGAAAACCATTTTTTTCTGCTGCACACGGAAATCAAGACATGCTTGCGGACTCAAGCTCTTGCGCACCAATGAACAACTGCACAAAAGGTCTTTTTCGCAGTTGACACCTACTAGACAGACATCAACCAAAGCTTGACACATCGCGCTGACGTCGCTGTCATTGTGAGAGATGCCGTTCAACGTATAAAGTGCTTAGTATAACATTTCTAAAAATGAAGTGGCTCAATTACCTCGTTCAAACCTACCGTAACGTTTGAGACAGACACAAGTCAAACAAACACTTGAAGAAGACGAGGTTTTTGTAATCATAAGTCATCTAATCGTCGTCGTCGTCGTCTTCAGCAAATTAGATCTAATATGAGCTATAACAATCCGTACCAACAAAGTAATCCTTACGCTGAAACGTACGACCTGCAGGAAAACGTTGGTTCAACGCCTCATCACAATGGCGGCGATTTTTTGGAGTTTATGAATGGTATCAACCAAATCAACGTGGATATAGACCATTACTCGGAACTCGTAGACCAGATCGACTCGAACCAGAAGAGATTGCTTACTGAGGTGAACGAGGACCAAGAATTGACTCTGAGACAGCATTTGGATGGGCTTGTTTCCAGGGCTTCGGATCTACAATATAAGCTCAGAAACAGTATAAAAGCGGCCCAGCAGCAAGGAGTGTCGGACTCGAGTAAGCAGGCGCAGGCTGAGAACTCGAGACAGCGGTTTTTGAAGCTTATTCAGGACTATAGAATCATTGAGGCCAACTACAAGGACCAAAACAAACAGCAAGCGAAAAGACAGTACCAGATCATCCAGCCCGAGGCAACCGAAGATGAAGTGGAAGCTGCAATCAGTGACGTGGGAGGACAACAGATTTTTTCTCAGGCATTGTTGAACGCCAACAGACGTGGTGAGGCTAAAACCGCGTTGGCTGAGGTTCAAGCTAGACACCAAGAACTGTTGAAGCTTGAGAAGACTATGGCAGAGTTGACACAGCTCTTCAACGACATGGAACAGCTGGTTATCGAACAACAGGAAAACATCGAAGTTATTGACAAAAACGTCGAAGAGGCGCAACAAGACGTCGAACAAGGTGTTGGTCACACCAACAAGGCGGTCAAGAGCGCGAGAAGGGCTCGCAGAAACAAAATCAGATGTCTCTTGATTCTTGCGGCTATCATTATCGTCATCGTGGTGGTTTGTGTGGCCGTTCCTTTGGCAACCAAACACTGATTACAAGCAGTTCTTATTTCTTTGGAGAATACAGTCTCAGGGTCCTTTTTTTCTTTCTACTTCCTATTCCATCCTTCCTCCCTCAACCGTTCTCCTCTTTAAAATAGACCATCAAGATGCCATTTTTGGGCAAGCTTTTGATAACTTGTCATGTAGTATAAAAATTATCGATCTTACGAAATATAGAGGGCAAAAACGAAAATACGGCAATCGTTGCGACATCAAGAATGATTTTTCAAGACCAAGGAATATCACCCTAACATGTTAGTCCCGACTTGCAATTTTTTCGAACAATTTTTCTTGCGAAACATTGATCCTGCAGTTCAGGGTGGAGAAAGGGTCTATTTATTTCCCAGATAAACCAGTTTTTCATGCACCGTGGGGTTGCAGATCTGCTGGTATAGTCGCAACTAAGGTAGCAAATCTCAAAGAAGCCTCGAAAGGCTCCCAGCACATGAAAAGGCTTTTGATAGTTTCTGGAGGCACTACGAACGCCGATTGCGAAAAGAATACCCGTGAACACGCAGATCTACCACTGTAGAGCTAGAGCACATCGAGAATATCGTCGCACAGAGACGGGTTAGGATTTTGAATCCTGCACATTGCTGTTAGTAAGTAGATGTACCCGAATTGCGCATGGAAGATGCAGAAAACACTACGCTCTCAGTTCTCATTTATATAGTTTTCAAATATCATGATATACGGAACTCACCTATCGAATATATTAGGGCATTAGAAACAACGTTCTCTTGCCGCCCAAGCCAACTTTACATTTCAAGATCACAATACATGCAAATACGACAGGTTATAAGACACTAGCCTACTATAATAGCAGGAGATCACGGAGACGTGTTTTGAACAGTTTTAAGTGTTTCGAAAGTCGCGTTCTAGATGGATCTACAACAAATTAGGTAACTTGGATAGCGTAAAGTGCAGAGATTGAACAAGAAGCTAGTAAGTTCAAGCTTGAAGAAACAGGACTTGTGGGCCATGTTCAAGCCGCAAGCGTATTAAAACGATAATTATGGGCTGCACCGGCACGTTTCACAGATTCTTCCCAGGCGTTCGAGCGCGTTCCCTACCGATCACAAAAATCAAGACCTCAAAGTTCAAATCTGATGAAGAAGGGGAAACACATCAAAATTTCACCATTGCTACAAAGCTTCCATGTCTGTCAGTTATCTCACTCTTTGGACCGCTCTCTGAGCTTCGAAGTGTCTTGTAGAAAAACCCACATTTCACTTCAACCCCGATAAAACCCAGCTCATGGAATGACAAAGATCCAATCGTTACTCCCCCATGCTAATTCGCAGCAGCCCATCACATTCTTCAAACCCAAAGCCGAAAAATCAGAGCCGGTCCCATCGCACACCGTTCTCAACATTATGCCCGGAATCACCTCAGACGACTTCCAACACACGAGTACCCCCGGTATCCAACAAACCAACAAAAACATGTTTTTCCCTGCGCTTGTAAATATATAATAAGGGCTGGTAATGTGATGAGTGTCGAGGCGAGTTTTAATCCGTAAATTTTGGATATCAACGAGGAGCTCGCTGATAGATTGGCAAGTTCTTGGTGGTTTGAAATTCTAATTCAGTAACTGAATTGACCTTTAAACATGGTTATGAAACCTGAAGTTGAGCAGGAATTGGCTCACATTTTGTTGACTGAACTGTTGGCTTACCAGTTTGCGTCGCCTGTGAGATGGATTGAAACGCAAGATGTGTTTTTGAAAGACTTCAACACTGAGAGAGTGGTTGAGATTGGTCCTTCGCCTACCCTTGCTGGTATGGCGCAGAGAACCATCAAAAACAAGTATGAGTCATACGACGCAGCCTTGTCTCTACAAAGAGACGTTTTGTGCTACTCCAAGGACGCCAGAGAAATCTACTACACTCCAGACCCAGCTGACCTCGCTGCCAAAGAAGAGGCCACCGGCTCTGCTGGAGATGCCAGTGCCTCTGGTGGTGCGCCAGCAGCCGCTGCATCCGCTACTCCTGCAGCTGCTCCTGCCGCAGCAGCAGCACCAGTTGCAGCACCAAGTGGCCCCGTTGCCGAAATTCCCGATGAGCCCGTCAAGGCTGGCCTACTGTTGCACGTTCTCGTCGCCCACAAGTTGAAGAAGGGTACCGATCAAATCCCGCTTGCTAAGACAATCAAAGACTTGGTCGGAGGTAAATCCACTGTCCAAAACGAAATTTTGGGTGACTTGGGTAAGGAATTCGGTACTACACCAGAAAAACCAGAAGAAACTCCCTTGGAGGAATTGGCTGAGTCTTTCCAAGACACCTTCAATGGTCAGTTGGGTAAGCAATCGACTTCATTAATTGGCAGACTTATGTCTTCCAAAATGCCAGGTGGTTTCACTATCACCACGGCAAGAAAGTACTTGCAAACTCGCTGGGGTCTGGCTGCCGGTAGACAAGACTCCGTCTTGTTGGTAGCTTTGTCTCAAGAACCAGCTGCACGTTTGGGTTCAGAAGGTGATGCCAAGCAGTTTTTGGATACTGCTGCTCAGAAATACGCCGCGATGAGCGGTCTAGACTTGTCTGCTGCCACGGCGTCTGCCGCAGGCGGTGCTTCCGGCGGAGCCGGTGGAGCTACCATCGATGCCGCAGCATTCGAGGAATTGACCAAGGACCAAAAGGTGTTGGCTCGTCAACAGTTGGAAGTGTTGGCTCGTTACTTGAAGATGGACTTGAACAATGGTGAAAAGAAGTACCTACAAGAAAAGACCACTACGGAGCAATTGCAAGCACAATTGGATTTCTTGACCAACGAACTAGGCGACTACTTTGTTCAAGGTATTTCTACTTCTTTCTCTAGAAAGAAGGCAAGAACTTTCGATTCCTCCTGGAACTGGGCCAAACAGTCTCTTCTTTCGTTGTACTTTGAGATTATTCATGGAGTTTTGAAGAATGTGGACCGTGAGTTGGTGGCCGAAGCCATTAACATTATGAACAGATCCAACGAAACATTGATTAAATTCATGGAATATCACATTTCTCAAACTAAAGTTGAAGAAGGTGATAACTACAAACTCGCTAAAACATTAGGCGAGCAGTTGATCGAAAACTGTAAGCAAGTACTTGACTTGGATCCTGTTTACAAGGATGTCACCAAGCCAACCGCACCTCAAACTGTGGTTGACAAGAATGGTAACATCAATTATGACGAGGTTCCAAGACCTGCTGTAAGAAAGCTGTCCCAATACGTTGAAGAAATGGCTCTTGGCGGCGCATTGACTAAGGTTAAGCAACCAACACTACAAGAAGATTTGACTCGTGTTTACCAGACCATTAACGCCCAGGCGGCCGAACACAACATCTCTGACTCCACCAAGATCCAGTTCGAGAAATTGTATGGCGAACTGTTGAAGTTTTTGGAGACTTCGAGCGAAATCGACGCATCTGCCTCTACCAGACTTGCTGGTGTCGTCGACGACGCTTTGGATAAGGATGCCACCAAAGAAGTTGCCTCCTTACCAAACAAATCGGAATTGGCGAAACATGTATCTTCGACGATTCCAAGAGAAACTGTGCCTTTCTTGCATTTGAAAAAGAAGTTAGCCAGTGGCGACTGGGTTTACGACCGTCAATTGTCCTCTTTGTTCTTGAATGGTTTGGAGAGTGCTGCAATCAACGGTGTGACTTTCAAGGGGAAGTACGTTCTGATCACTGGGGCTGGTGAAGGTTCTATTGGTGCTGAAGTGCTACAAGGCTTAATTCAAGGTGGTGCTAAGGTCATTGTCACCACCTCTCGTTTCTCCAAGAAGGTCACCGACTACTATCAAAGCCTCTACGCCAAATACGGTGCTAAGGGATCTACTTTGGTGGTTGTGCCTTTCAACCAAGGTTCGAAGCAGGACGTTGAAGAGTTGATTAGCTTCATATACGATGAAGAAAAGAACGGCGGCCTTGGATGGGACCTAGACGCCATCATTCCATTTGCTGCCATCCCAGAAAATGGTATTGAGCTTGAGAATATCGACTCCAAGTCCGAATTCGCTCATAGAATCATGCTCACCAACATCTTGAGAATGTTGGGTAATGTTAAGAAACAGAAGTCTGCTCAAGGTATTGAGACCAGACCAGCCCAAGTTATCCTACCAATGTCTCCAAACCACGGTACTTTTGGTGGTGACGGTATGTACGCCGAATCCAAATTGTCTTTGGAGACTCTATTCAACAGATGGCACTCCGAGTCTTGGTCCAACCAGTTGACCATCTGTGGTGCAATTATTGGATGGACCAGAGGTACCGGTTTGATGTCTGCGAACAACATCATCGCGGAAGGTATTGAAAAGTTGGGTGTCCGCACTTTTTCCCAGAGAGAAATGGCTTTCAATTTGCTAGGTTTATTAACCCCAGAAGTTGTCCAACTATGTCAAACCTCCCCGGTCATGGCGGACTTGAACGGTGGTTTCCAATTTTTGCCTGATTTGAAGGAGTTCACTGCTAAGTTGCGTAAGGAGTTGACTGAAACCTCTGAGGTCAGAAAGGCTGTTTCCATTGAAACTGCCCTTGACCACAAGATCGTGAACGGCAGCAATGCTGATGCCGCCTATGCTAAAGCGGAAGTTCAACCCAGAGCAAACATTCAGCTAGACTTCCCTACCCTAAAACCTTACGAGCAAGTTCAAAAACTCGCACCTAAGGAACTCGAGGGAATGTTGGATTTGGAAAAAGTCATCGTTGTTACCGGTTTCTCTGAAGTTGGTCCATGGGGTTCAGCCAGAACAAGATGGGAAATGGAAGCTACCGGCGAATTTTCCTTGGAAGGTTGCGTTGAAATGGCTTGGATTATGGGTCTTATCAAATACCATAATGGTAACTTGAAGGGTCGCCCATACACCGGCTGGGTCGATGCCAAGACGAACGAACCCGTTGAGGATAAGGACATTAAGGCCAAGTACGAAGGTCACATCTTAGACCATTCTGGTATTAGATTCATCGAACCTGAGCTTTTCAATGGATACGACCCTAAGAAAAAACAGATGATTCAAGAAGTTGTCATTGGTGAGGATCTCGAGCCTTTTGAAGCCTCCAAGGAAACTGCCTTGCAATTCAAACATGAGCATGGTGACAAGGCCGACATTTTTGAAATCCCAGAAACCGGTGAATACACCGTTAAGTTGTTGAAGGGTGCAACACTTTACATTCCAAAAGCCCTTAGATTCGATCGTTTGGTTGCGGGTCAAGTTCCTACTGGTTGGAATGCCAAGACCTACGGTATCTCAGACGATACCATTTCTCAAGTGGATCCTATCACTCTGTTTGTGCTTGTTTCGGTCATTGAATGTTTCATTTCCTCTGGTATCACTGATCCTTATGAAATGTACCAATACGTTCACGTTTCCGAAGTCGGAAACTGCTCTGGTTCAGGTATGGGTGGTGTTTCTGCTTTACGTGGTATGTTTAAGGACCGTTACAAGGATCAACCAGTCCAGAATGATATTTTGCAAGAGTCGTTCATTAACACCATGTCTGCCTGGGTTAATATGTTGTTGATTTCTTCTTCCGGACCCATCAAGACTCCTGTTGGTGCTTGCGCTACCGCTGTCGAATCCTTGGATGTTGGTGCGGAAACTATTCTCTCTGGTAAAGCGAAGATCTGTATTGTCGGTGGTTACGATGACTTCCAAGAAGAAGGATCCTACGAATTCGGTAACATGGGAGCGACTTCCAACTCTTTGGACGAATTTGACCATGGCCGTACACCAGCTGAGATGTCGAGACCTACTACCACGAGCCGTAACGGTTTCATGGAATCTCAAGGTTCTGGTATCCAGGTTATTATGGGTGCGGACCTTGCTTTGAAGATGGGTGTTCCAATTTACGGTGTCTTGGCTTTGACCGCGACTGCTACCGATAAGATTGGTAGATCCGTCCCTGCTCCAGGTAAGGGTATCTTGACTGCTGCCAGAGAGCACCAAGGTAGTTTGAAGTTCCCATCTCCATTGTTGAACATCAAGTACAGAAGACGCCAACTGGACAACCGCATTGCTCAGATCAAGAACTGGGTTGAAAATGAGCTTGAACTGTTGAAATACGAGGCTGAAGAGGTACCACAGCAAGACCAAACTTCGTTCTTTGCTGAACGTACTGAAGAGTTGCAGCGCGAGGCTGAGAGACAGCTCAAGGCTGCTCAAGCTCAATGGGGTAACGAATTCTACAAGAGCGACCCACGTATTGCTCCTTTGAGAGGAGCTTTGGCTACTTTCGGTCTAACAATTGACGATTTGGGCGTTGCTTCATTCCACGGTACATCGACTAAGGCCAACGATAAGAATGAATCTGCAACGATCAATAAGATGATGGAGCACTTGGGCAGATCTGAAGGTAACCCTGTTCTAGGTGTTTTCCAGAAGTACTTGACAGGTCATCCAAAGGGTGCCGCTGGTGCTTGGATGATGAACGGTGCTTTGCAGATGTTGAACTCTGGTATTGTTCCTGGTAACCGTAATGCGGACAATGTTGACAAGGTTCTAGAGCAATTTGAGTACATCTTGTACCCATCCAGAAGCATCAAGACAGATGGTATCAAGGCCGTGTCTGTGACCTCGTTCGGTTTTGGTCAAAAGGGTGGTCTGGCGATCGCAGTGCACCCAGATTATTTGTATGCCTCTGTGGACAAGTCAACCTACAATGCTTACGTTGCCAAGGTCTCTGCCAGAGAACAAGCTGCTCACCAATACTTCCACAACGGTATGATCAACAACTCGTTGTTTGTGGCTAAGGAGCATCCTCCTTACGTGGACGAGCTCGAGCAGCCAGTATACTTGGATCCATTGGCCCGTGTCAGTGCCAACAAGAAGACCGGTCTCTTGGCTTTTGATGAGAAAAGCTTGAATGGTCCTTCCACTTACGTTTCCGACGCCAACTTGAAAACTTCGGAAGTTGTGAGTCAGCTTGCCAAAGCTGCGTCTGCTGAGGGCAATGTTGGTGTGGGTGTCGACGTGGAGTTGATCAAGTCTGTCAATGTGGAGAACGACACCTTCATTGAGCGTAATTTCACCGCTGATGAGATCGCCTACTGCCAGAAACAGCCATGTGTTCAGAGTTCGTTCGCGGGCACGTGGTCCGCGAAAGAAGCGGTTTTCAAGTCGCTTGGTGTTAAGTCCCAAGGTGGCGGTGCTGCTTTGAAGGACATTGAGATTACTCGTGCCAATGGCAGCGGTCCCCAGGTGACCCTCCACGGCGCTGCATCGTCAGCCGCTGCCGCTGCCGGTGTGAAAAACGTGTCTGTGTCGATCTCTCACGACGACTTCCAAGCCGTTGCCGTTGCCTACTCGCAGAAATGATTCTACATTGGTGATAACTATTCATATGTAGATCTATAGACATAGATTTTGAAACAAGTGCTACTTGATGAGTTAAAATTGTGAAGTTTCCTGGAGAGAAAGGGTAGATCAAAAAGACGCCACGATCGGCAGATCAAAAGGATAGACACCTCAAATACTCAAACGTATACGCTCCAGATACACATCGTTGATGGTCATATAGCTCTCAAACGTTGTAGAAGGCTTTGTTGGCGGTTTGTTCAACACCACATCACCAAGTCACGTGGTACAGTATCATACTATACGAGAGACTATAGCACGTGTGGTGATAAGATACGATCGAGAGATAATCAATACAGAAGGGATGGATTTCATCACATATCAATAACTACTACTTATTACACTAACCAACAAACAACAAGAACAAGAACATTTACAGCCAAATATAACCAAAGGTGCCACATTTGATACTGAAACAACTGCTTCAACAAACTCTGAAATCAAAAATTCCGAATTCTGGTTTCAAATTGCAAAAAAAACGGTCAAAATTGGTGGAAATTCGAGATATATAACATAAACTGGAACAAAACGAAAAGACGAAATAGAGCTTTATGTCGTTTCTTACCCCTCCAAACTCGGTAGCAGGCCTCAGTAAAGGCTCTGCAACCCAAAGCTTTGTACTGGATACGCCTGTGTCGCAGCTTTTACCCCCTGACGGCCCGGAAATGTCTTTGAAGAAGAAAAATAACATCTGCAAGTCGTTTGAAGACGACCTATTTTTCTGTCCGAGAGGCCTATTGTCAACACAGGAACAATCAACTCGGCAGCAAATGGACTTGATTCTACTGGACCAGATGCGTGAATCGGGAGTTTCCCGGCCACATGGGTCGCAGTACCTCGAAAACATGCAGCCACAGCCTAAGAAATTCAACCCTTATACCTCGCAAAGTTTTAGTCCTGCTCCTCCACCCTTCGAGCCCCATGCAACTCTGCAAGACACCAATGGCTTTTGACCAGCGGCGGGTTTCGATGGAAAATGGATGAGTGTGCGGCGGAGTTTTTATACTAAAATAGGACTTCTCCTCAGTAGGTTCTGGGGAAAGTTTGGGGATACTCACGCGGGGAACTTTGTCATTTGACACACGGTTAGGGAAAGATTGGGCTTAAGGTAAAAGAGCTGTCCTACTACGGTTGGTAATTTGCATCAACTTCACATTGGTGGTGTCAATATTGACGCACACTTTGATGTGGCGCTGACCATTACCATTTCATGAAAGAAACACATTTTGGGGAAGAAAGAAGAGCAACGTGTGTCGGGTGGAAGCCGGACTGGAAACCCGACATCGTAGGGCTTGTGTAGTGTGTATATACGTTAAACGTTTTCAAGTATTATAGATAGGCATTTCGTGCTGGTGGAGTGTTCATGCAAAGAGCAGCTCCGGCCAAGTTTCGAAACCGACTGCATATAAAATCGCTTAAGCGATCCCGCTACAAGACGGAAACAGCTACGTGGAGTTCGTTTACGAAGAGGCCAAAAGTGTAAGAGAAAAGAGAAAGTCAAATGGTATTGTGACTACTATTTAAAAGTCTTCACTTGGCAGATGAATGATCCTTGATATTCATTGTTCAATTATATTTCATGACATTGGTGTTGATGTCTTTAAGCCTGTACGGGAGACCTTGCTTGTTGAGCATAAACCGCGGTGCAACGAGTACATTCGTTAAGAGTGATACTCTTTTCGTGACGTTCCGTCCATAGTACTCTTTTCCATTCACTCGAGGTTAGCCAGTACTTCTAAAACGGTTTTCGTTTATCTTTGATGTATGTGCGCATACAGATTTTGAGAATTCTCACCATCTTCTTCGGCTTACTTCCAATCTCGTTTTCAAATAAATTTGCCGACACGATTCTACACTGCCAGTCCAGCGAAAACACCAAGCTCACAATCCAATCATAGCAGGTATTATCTTGTAAGAACGCACTCTATATACGGAAAATACTGAATAATGCCCAAAAAGTTTTGGTGAAATGCTAGAAAAGGGGGAGGAAAACGAAGGTGATTTTTAGAACAGTTTCAAGTTATCGGACGTCTTTAGCTTCCTTGCTGGCCGTATTGGCGCTTCAAATATGCGAGAGCTTTACCTCTCAGGTATCACGTTGCTCAAAATGTCAGTTTCGGAAGAAGTGATATCATTTAAATTGGATTTTCAATAGTACTGGAAACTAGACAGATACATCTAGTTAATCTGAATCCAAAAAGTTGACATCCAAGACCTCTACTACAAGGCAGCAGGTGTTCTTAGTGTACTATCTGTCTCTCAATTGAGTTCTTGATCTGTGCATTCCATGAGTACTCCAAAACCAGAAGTCAGTCGCGGTCTTTCGCTAGTAGACTTGGTCAATCATGATGAAAGTCCCAATGCGAAGCCAGAGGCCAGGAGGAGGAGCTCTCAGACTTTAAATCCGATTCCAGCTGAAGAAATCAAGAAGAGACTTAGTGTAGATGGCCTTGGAAGTGACAATAGCACAAATACTAAGGGCTCAAAAGCTTTGGGCAAAAAAGAATCTGGAAACGATGAAGAAACTGATACGGACGATGATGTGGGTGGATCTGGGGACATTGTTTTCGAAACGGGCGATTTCAAATTCGACTACGATAAGCAAGAGAGCAATCCCGGCTCAACCGCTGCCGAAAGTGCCAACAAGCCGTCCAGACCTGACACGACTGAAAATCCTGCTAAAGCAGAAAGTCGAGCGAAACAAAATAAAGAAGATGCAGCAGCAGCAGCAACAGAACCCGTTCCAAACAATATTGAACCTGCCAATGGAACAAAGAAAAGTAAAGCACGGAATGACTCTGATATGAAAGACATTTTTGAAGAAAAGTCATCGCTTCAATCCAAGCGGAATGCACTAAAAAAGGACTTGAAAGTCCTTAATGAAATAGCTTCAACTGCCAAGCCTAGCAGGTACAACATAGCACCTGTTTGGGCTCAGAAATGGAAACCCACTGTAAAAGCACTCGAAAGCATTGACACCAATAATTTAAACATCGATGCTTCTTTCACAAATATTATCCCGGACGATGACTTAACAAAGTCGGTGCAGGATTGGGTCTATGCCACCGTAGTGTCAATACCGCCGGACCAAAGACAATTTATCGAAATGGAAATGAAATTTGGCATAATTGTGGAAGGGAGTGACACCAATAGAGTAAGTCCGCCTGTTTCCTCCCAGACTGTTTACACGGAAATGGATGCACATTTGACCCCCGACGTAGATGAGAGGGTCTTTTTCGAGCTGAATAAATACATGAAGGGCATATCGGAGCTGAGCGAGTATACGGGTAAGTTCAATATCATCGAGTCACACACCACCGATTCGCTGTACCGTGTAGGAATGTCCACTCAAAGACCACGTTTCCTCAGAATGAGCCGAGACATCAAAACCGGACGTGTCGGGCAATTCATCGAAAAACGACACGTTAGTCAATTACTGCTTCTTTCACCGAAGGACAGCTATGATGTTAAGATTTCGATAAATCTCGAATTGCCCGTACCTGAGAACGATCCTCCTGAGAAATACAAGGACAATACTCCAGTGAGTGTGCGTACCAAACAGCGGATAAGTTATATCCATAATGACTCTTGTACTCGTATGGATATAACAAAGGTATCGACCCATAACCAAGGAGTAAAACAAAGACACACAGAAGGTACTCATGAAATCGAACTGGAAGTCAATACCTCTGCTTTATTGAGCGCATTCGAAAATATCACACAAAACAGCAAGGAGTATGCTGCCATTTTGCGAACATTCTTGAACAACGGCACAATCGTAAGAAGAAAACTAACAGGTTTGTCCTTGGAAATTTTTGAGGGCCAGAAAAAGGGTTAGTAATGAATGAAGATGATCTATCTAGACTTTACATGAAAGTGACGAATTATGTATATGCTCTTACATTAGCCTTCTGTCTACAAAAAAGAGACGGGATTCGGCTCTGCTGCGACAACGGCCGTTCAACACTCGGACTTACCACTGTAGATGCCCATAATATAGGCCAACCTAATAGTAACCAAGTCTTTCGCCATATTTATGCTGTCTCTGGCGAGCTCCATTTTGGATCCACCAACCTCATGCCAAGAGATAGCGACCTCCTTGATCGGTATTTGTTTCTTGAGCGCTAGGATCAAAATCTCCACGTCGAAGATCCAGCCCTCGGTGTGCAAGTAAGGGAATATCTGGAGGATTGCGGGTCTGTTGAAGAGCTTGAACCCGCATTGCGTGTCTTTAATCGATCGGATACCAAACACGAACACGAGCGTATGCAATCCGTACATAAGAAAGTTTCTGACAAACGAGCGTTTGACTACAGCATCGGTATTCACCATATGAGCTCGAGACCCAATGGCTATAGCGCCTTTGCCATTTTCATCGGATTTCTTGATAGCGCCCAGCAGTTTCTCGCAGTCTGAGAACTTGCTAGCACCGTCTGCATCTGCAAAAAGCCCAAAATTTCCTCTTATGTGAAGCATTCCGTGTCTTACGGCACCGCCTTTCCCACGGTTTTTGCCTAATTTGATAACTCTCAATTGACCAGGCTGAAGTTTGAAAGTGCTGTGAGCCAGCTTCAAACAGTATTCTGAAGTTCCGTCCCGGGAACCATCATCGACTATCAAGATCTCCCACTTGTTTTCCAGCTTTTTTTGTAAAAACTCAATTGCATCTGTTAACATCACTAGAATACGTCCCACCTCATTATAACTTGGAACCACCACAGAAAGCTCAATTCCATCTACATTTTCTTCCGAATCCTTAACAGAAACCAATTGACCACTTATTTCATCTCCTTGGAAGCCATTGCTCCTGTATAACAGCTCTTCGGCAAAAGGTTTTCTTGGCCAGTGCGATAAAATCAACACTACAACGTACAGAGAGCTCAAAACCACGACCAAAAAAGTACCGAGCATCACAGTAGCATTAGTTTCACGTACCTGAGACCATAGTGCATCCCACATCGCTCTTGGGTGCTTCTTTGAGCTCGAGACGACACCGTGTTGAAGTTTAGATATGTACAGAATATATATCCATATGTACATAATAAATCATGACGAAATTTCACCGTCCACGTGACATAGTTTTTCAAGTACCCGAATGCAACCCGATTGGGATCCGATTAATGACCCGGTTGGAACCCGATTAATTTCAAGGTAGCTACCTGTAAAGACCCGATTTGCCGCCAAAATCGTAAGTTCTTTCATTCGAGTTATCGCGCCAGGGTCGTAATTCAACTAGCCCGTTGATATAGATGGTCTAACTGATACGTTAAATCTTGATGTTTAATCCGTCCCATTTTTGTCTTTTATACCCTATTTAGAACCTTTATATATGCGAAAACTGATGACCGGTAACTGTTGAATGGCGCTCCTCTCTGTGTTTAGAAGGTTCCGCGTCGCTTGAGCGATATTGAGTCGCCGGCGTGGAATCTAAACCGGCTTCTTGGGGACCCCCATTCATCGGAAAATCATCGTTCAAAAGTGTGCTGTCATGAGTACCATCAATATCCGCATCGTTATCCGCCCCGGAGTAAGGAAACATTGAAGTTGGCGACGAGGGCATGGTTCCACGCTTTCTGCGCTTTTCCTGCATATACTCGTCCATATAATCCTCATCTCCGACTATCGAGGATGTTGTGGAAGCTGGTCTTTTTCTGGCAGAAATTGGTTTGTCGTTACAAATCGGCGACGTATGTGAAGCGGCCAAATTTTCATCTTCCAGATCCTGCATAAACGCGCCATTGGAAGGCCTTGAAAGTAGCGGCAATCTTCGCAGTTGGTCTTTGCATGAGGTAGCTGTCTTAGTAGCCAATTGCTGTTTTTTCTGTTCAAGTTCATACAGTGGCATCGACAAAGTGTCCATGGGCGAAGTCCTGTCAAGATCACTGACAGGTATTTTGACAGAATCTGGCTCCTCGTCTTCAATGGGAAGAGTGTTGCAGGTTAAAGGATCCTTGACTGGTGTGGCGCCTTTTTGGCTTAGAATCGGAGAGCCGAAAAGATCGTTAAACCACTCCATAGGATCGTCACTTCTGGGGTTAGTCAGCGCTTTCTCGGCGTCATTGGGCGTTTTGGAGGATGCTAATTCCATGCCTAAAAGGTCTTCAAAACGAGAACTAGCCGGGGTCATGCGCGGAGGTATATTTTCCTTGTTTGATTCATCACTTTTGTCAGGTTGATCGGTATCAAAATAGTCCATCGATTTCAGTTTCTGTTTGCCTAGTAGTTCCTGAACCAAATCTTCGTCTCCGAGCAGTTTGAACTCGTCGAGCTCATCACTTTTGTCTGCGGCCAATGTTTCATTTGAACCCGCTGCGCCAGAGTTCGGGACGCTATCTCTTCTATTTTTCTTGACCACGGTCGATTTAGCTTTGGATGCAGGTTTTTTGACAGTGGGTTTACCCATTTTGCCCTTCTTCTTTGTGATAAAATCAAATCTTTTACTGACTGAATCATCAACTTTTGTTCTCTGGACGGTATTGTCATTTTGTAAGCTGCTAATCTGGAAAACCGGTTTCTTGTAATCTTGATTTAGCTTGAGCGCTGGATCTGTGTCTTTGGCAGCTCTATCGGCAAGGTAAATCTTGTGCGCGATGGAATTGGTAGGTAATGCGAATTGGTTATTTTTACTTTGGTCCCATATAGGTAAGGACTGAGTTCGTACGGCTTTTGGTGCGGGCTTGGGATTTGTTTGTCTCCTCACCGTTATGCGCGCCGCTGCTTCGTCTGGTTTCCCCAGCTCTGTTATTTTGGATATGCGCTTCGGTGCGGTGTGACCGGTTGTGCCGTTTGCAGATGATGATGACGTTCTGGCCAAATTTACTGGCGCAGTTTTATTGGATATGCTTGATCTGCGAGATGAATTTGCAGTGGCTACTTTGGAGAAACGCAGTCTTATCTCTAGAGTGAGCTGGGGTGCCGCATCTGCATTTTGATTTTGGAAACGCAGCATTGCGGAAAAATTGGAGCACACACGGCCGATGACCAAGGGCAATTTGGAACGTTGTTGAAGGGCGGTAGATGAGTCTCTTCGCAGTTTTGACAAAAGACCCAAGCTGACCAAAGGTTCGTCCATCTCGCAGATGTCCTTGCAGTAGACGTTGTAATCAACGTTAGCACCAATTCCGAAACTGAAAAGCTCAGGCGAAGATGCACATATTTCATTCAAAACATCATTCAGCTGGACTATCCCAATCTTTATTTGTGAACCGTCTTCGTTGGGACTAGTGATGTTTTCTACACGTACGCCAACCGCTGTTTCGCTGCGGGTCAAGTACGAGTTTGTTTCGTTGTCCACGGTGTAAAGCACCTTCAGCGACATACTCGTCGTCATTGTATTATGAGATGGGGCACTCGCGGTGTGTGCTGGAGAAAATACAAAGTGGTGGGGGGCTAGTCGGTAGGTTCAAGTGATATGTTCAAAGGTAATAAAGGTTAGAACTCCAACTTAGCTGGATTATTTCTCAAAGAAAAAAAATCTGGCCCATCGTTGTGGGCAGCCTAATCATCGCTAACTCACCAACGGCCACTTTCCCGCGTAAAGACGCTCAGGATTGCACACGAACGTGTTACGACCGCTGCCCAGCACGCGTATTTTTTTTTTCGCGTCGCATGAGACGCGTAAAGTTTACGCGTTCGAGACTTCGACGCGTCTTTTTACGCGTCTTTTTGACGATACTTTCATCAATTTGGCAAACGGCCGAACATAGGCACGATGAGCAATGGCCCAAAACGTCACAATATGCACTATGGAGAGAACCGTTGGTTTCTGGCTTTTTCGCGACGTGCTTTCTTGACACTCACTAAAGTCATCGTAAAATAGCTAAAGCGACCACATTTTACGGCCAAAAAAAGCCCGTAGGAAAACTAAATAAACATGAACAGCTGCATACTATAAACAGACGTACCAGTACGATCTTAGCCGTCTCCCGTTCTTTTCGGACTCACACGTCCTCCCGATAATGCTTCACAGTTCTTGTACCTGAGTCTATTCAATTGTAGATATCAATTTATCAAAATTAGATCACGTGCTGATAAAAAGAAAATGTCCGAGACGAGTGTTCGTATATAACGATTCTGGAAAATTTTTAAGCACAGTAAGATCTCATCTCATCTCATCTCATCTGTAACTGTCTCATACACTTCTGCTATTGAAACAACAAGCATTCGCAGGTGTTAGAACGTCGAAGACCTTTCTGTAATAATCGAAGAACGAGTCAGCTAACTTCCAGCTTTTTTCACCGACTTCTAGCATATCTTTAGACCTCATAATGCCTCCCAAAAAGTTCGTTGCCCTTGACGACTTCATGGGCGAGGAAAAACCCAAGAAGAACCAAGTTGCTTCGCCCTTTGGTGGCTTCTACACGAAGCAAGCCGCCGGTAATAGTCCCTCCAACGGAGGTCAAGCACAGAAAAAGACTCTGAACCAACAATCTTCGTACCAGGCTCAACGTAACTGGAATGACGGCAGTCAATACCAAAACTATCAAAATAACCAAACTTCTCAGAACTATCAAAACTACCAAAACTACCAATCACAGACATCAACACCAGCAACAAGCAACACCCCTACTCCTAGCACTTCTACCGCATCTCTTACGTCTTTGACCACGTCCTTGGCTAACCTTGGTTTCACTCCAATCTCCGGAATCCTTTCAAGCCTCCCACAATGCGCATCGCTGACGGACTGCAAACAACAAATCCAACTGGCCGTGGCAGAATTCAATAAAGATGGCCATTCGGCTGAAGATATCAAAAACTGGGACGTTCCTAGTATCATCGGCAAACTCATGAAGCCCAAAAACGCTTCGCTGGTGCAAGAGTCTGGAATGGTCTTGATATCTCAACTAGCCAATAATTTCGCTGGCAACTCGCCACAAGAAGTATTTTTACTCCCATTACTGCCCTCTGCCTTGGACGCAATCATCAGCAAAGAAAGCTCAGTGAGACGTTCTGCCCAACACGCCATTGATTCGGTATTTGGTCTTTTCCCAATTGAGGCGCAGACTTGTGTTGTGCTACCTAAGCTCCTCGAGTATTTGAGTTCAGGTGTCAAGTGGCAATGCAAACTTGCAGCATTAAAACTTGTCGACCGTATTAGAGAAGAGTCTCCCAACGATCTGCTTGAGCTAACTTTCAAAGATGCTGTTCCGGTACTTACTGATGTCGCGACCGATTTCAAGCCCGAACTAGCGAAGCAAGGTCACAAAACCCTACTGGACTTTGTTTCTATTTTGGACAACTTAGACCTTTCTCCCCGCTTTGAATTAATCGTCGATACTTTGCAGGATCCTGCCAAGGTTCCAAGTTCGGTCAAGTCGCTGTCCAGTGTTACTTTCGTTGCAGAAGTCACCGAGCCAGCATTGAGTATATTGGTACCAATCCTCAACAGATCATTGAACCTTTCATCCTCCTCCCAAGAACAACTCAGACAAACGGTTATTGTTGTTGAAAATTTGACCAGATTGGTCAACAACAGGTCTGAAATTCAGCATTTCATTCCTCAATTAATGCCTGGCGTTCAAAAAGTTTTGAACACTGCCTCCTTACCAGAAGTGCGTGAACTAGCAGAAAAAGCGCTGCAGGTTTTGGTAGACGATTCTGAAGATGATGGAAAATTTGCTGGCAAAATCTCACCTCAAGAAGGTTTGACTTTTTTGAAGAAAAGACTTCACTATCTTACCGAGAAAACACTGAGCGACGACGTGGTCTCTTATCTGTCGAAAATTTTAAGTGTCGATGCAAATGTTAACGACTGGAAGAGACTAAGGGAATATTTGGTTCTCGTTTTCGGTGAAGATAAAGCCGAAAGCATCGACAGTCACTTCATTCATGAACTGAGACTTGTTTTCCACCAAGAAAAAGTGCAATACGACGACGACGGAATTGAAATTGTCAACGCTGATTTTTCTCTTGCTTACGGTTCCAGAATGCTGCTAAACAAAACTACCCTCCGTCTCTTGAAAGGTCATCGTTACGGTTTGTGCGGCAGAAATGGTGCTGGTAAATCCACATTGATGAGGTCTATTGACAATGGTCAATTGGAAGGATTTCCTGACAAGGATACTTTAAGAACGTGCTTTGTGGAGCACAAGCTCCAAGGAGAAGAAGGTGAACTTGATTTGGCGTCTTTCATAGCTTTAGACCCTATCTTGAAAGACGTTTCTCGTGAAGAGATTTCGAAAGCTTTGGAAACTGTGGGCTTCGACGAAGAAAGAAGAGCGCAAACCGTGGGGTCATTGTCAGGTGGTTGGAAGATGAAGCTAGAATTGGCAAGAGCCATGTTACAAAAGGCCGATGTTTTGTTGTTGGACGAACCAACCAATCATTTGGATGTGGCGAATGTGAAATGGTTACAAGATTACCTGTTGGAGCATACCGAGATTACATCTTTGATTGTGTCACACGACACTGGTTTTTTGGATGCGGTGTGTACCGACATTATTCACTACGAGAACAAGAAACTTGCCTACTACAAGGGTAACTTAGCTGCGTTCGTGGAACAGAAACCAGAGGCGAAGTCCTATTACACCTTAACTGATACCAATGCGCAAATGAAATTCCCACCGCCTGGTATTTTGACTGGTGTGAAATCTAATACTAGGGCTGTCGCAAAGGTGACTGGTGTCACCTTTGCCTATCCAGGTGCAAGTAAGCCTTCTTTGAGTGGCGCATCATGTGCGCTGTCGTTAAGTTCAAGAGTCGCTGTACTTGGACCAAATGGTGCAGGTAAATCGACTCTCATTAAGATTCTCACAGGAGAACTTGTTCCTCAAGAAGGAAAGGTCGAAAAGCACCCCAACCTTCGTATTGGGTATATTGCACAGCACGCTTTGCAACATGTCAATCTGCATAAAGAAAAGACGGCTAACCAATACTTACAATGGCGTTACCAGTTCGGTGATGACAGAGAAGTGCTATTAAAGGAGTCGAGAAAAATTTCTGAGCAAGAGAAAGAGATGATGTCGAAGCAAATTGATATTGACGATGGTAGAGGTAGCCGTGAAATTGAAGCCATCGTGGGACGTTCGAAGTTGAGAAAATCTTTTCAATATGAAGTTAAGTGGAAGTTTTGGCTACCAAAATACAACTCCTGGGTTCCAAAGGAGGCGCTTATCGAGAATGGGTTTGATAAGCTAGTGCAGAAATTCGATGACCATGAAGCGTCCAGAGAGGGTCTCGGATATCGTGAATTGACCCCAGCAGTGATCACAAAGCATTTCGATGACGTTGGATTAGATGCTGAAATTGCCAACCACACGCCACTGGGATCTTTGTCTGGTGGTCAATTGGTGAAGGTTGTGATTGCTGGTGCTATGTGGAATAACCCTCATTTACTGGTATTGGATGAACCTACTAATTATTTGGACAGAGACTCGCTTGGTGCCCTGGCCGTTGCCATCAGAGACTGGTCTGGTGGTGTTGTAATGATCTCGCACAACAACGAATTTGTGGGTGCTTTATGTCCTGAACAGTGGATTGTTGAAAATGGTAAGATGGTTCAAAAAGGTGTCAATGCAATTGATCAGAGTAGATTTGAAGATGGTGGAAATGCCAGTGCCACAGACTCGACTATCAACGCTTCACCATCGGTTGTGGACGACGACTCACCAGCTAACATCAAGGTAAAACAAAGAAAGAAGAGACTAACCAGAAATGAAAAGAAGCTGCAGGTCGAAAGACGCCGTCTACGTTACATTGAATGGTTGAATTCTCCCAAGGGCACTCCAAAGCCTGTCGACACTGACGACGAGGAAGAATAATTCGGGACCTCGCATTTGTAAAGTATAGAAATTAAAGGATAGAAATCGTTTCTTGGAGCATGAGAGAACGATAGAGCAAGCAGGTCTTGTAAGTGGTTTAAAATCGCTATTCTGACGGTGTCTGTGTTGCTTAATTTTTTATCGCCCGGAAGTAACTTGAAAAATTTCCCTTATTACCCAGTTTATCTTGCATCGGAATACCGTTGTTCCTCCTCGGCCGTTATTGGCGTACCATCAAGCTTTTGTAACGATTCCTTTACCAACTCTTTGAGGAAAATGTTATGCTCTTTGAGACCCAGGATACTCACAGTATTAAACCCCATTCCATAGTGTGGATACGAACCAATTTTGATTTCCTTGGAGACCGTCAGGCACCGCGATTGCAGTTCACGTAGAAACGCTGAGATTTCAGATTCCGATTTTTTGGTTTTAATAAAATACCGTTCGTAAAGATGAGGGTTTCTTTCGTTGACATCGTACAATTGTTTAAGTGTGGGTTCAAACGCATTTAGCAGTTTTTCGAAAAGCTGTGGGATCCCAGGCAAAATGTAAACTTTTTTGCTGATTCCCACTATGGGTACCCATAATTCGTCCAAAACGTAATAGTTGTGCACATCTGGACCGGTTGGTAACGTGGCCATCCGGTAAAAATCTTTGAGTGCGTCAGAATCGTATCGTTGTTCCGGCTTGGAGATTTTTCGCATACGATCTTGGCATTGATTGTCGAGTTTGCAATGCAGATTGAAAGCGCTGGCAATGGATTCGTATGTGATATCGTCGTGGGTTGGGCCAATGCCACCTGAAGTGATCACAAAATCATTCTCTGCGCTGAGACGCGTGATCGAGCTTGAAATCTGATCCTTTTGGTCCCCAATGGTTGCTATTTCTCGAAGATTAACGCCTAACCGGTAACAATATTGAGCAAAGAATCGGGAATTGGTGTCAGTGATTTTACCATTTAGGACCTCATCGCCGATAATCAAACATGCTGCATTGACGAGTGGCATTTTTTGAGAGGAATACCAAGACAAAACAGGGCTAGAGGTGGTTGTTAAAAGTCTTTTGAACATGAATTTGATCCGGCACTAGTAGTCGTTATTTCGCTACCCTAGAAGTCCTTGATTTATAGAGAGGTGGGTCAATTTAATAAATGTCACGTTTTTATCGCGTGACATTGTTGAATCACTCGTTACGACATTTTGAATTTTATCACGTGTATTTAGCGTGACCTCAAATTATCATGTTCTACGGATGTGTTGATTTTCAACTCAATATATTCGCTTTTTTTCTCTTCATTTATTCCATAGTATTCTCATCGATTCTAGAAGAAACTGACATTTAAACGTTGTTGAACTATAAAACGTTGTTGGTCAAGCCACTAGGCGTAATCGTGAGCATAATTGCAAGTTGATTATATTTGCATCATACTGTGCTTCGCAAGCTTTGTACGAACCTTTTTTCCACAGCTTTTCAATCCTATTTTTGACCATTTTACACCTTTTCTTCAACCACTAAATAGAAGCCAGAATGTCGAGTTTTAACGCAGAAACCGCTGAAAACTTGGAAGACCTCGAGAAACAATTTGCTGTAGTTGCGGTAGAACAGGCAGAAACTTACTGGAACTTGATCACGAAAGTGGCCGGTTCCAAGCTTCGTCTGACCAAACATGACGATGAAATTTACGAAAAATTCCAAGAGCATTTCCCAGAGTACAAGGATCTAAACAGACTCAGTAAATTCACAGAAGACGAGCTGAAAACCAAGGAAGCCAAGGAAAGATGGAGAGCGTTCATCAAGCTCTTCGAAGAAAAAATTGACGATTTCAACTTCGGGACTTTACTCAGAACGGACTCTACCCAAGAGTACGGCCAATTTTCCACTTGCTTTGTGGTGAGATTGCAATTCTATGCATTTGAAATTGCCAGAAACAAGAACAAACTGAACGACTGGGCAGTGGGCCATCAGTAAGCTTATGGTTTTTTTTTGGACCGTACGTACATGCACACACCGCCCAATTTATCCCTCATGTAACGCTATCATATAATGTATCATATACCATTTTGCCTCAATGTTTGTGGGTGTGTCCCTCTCCCAGCTTTCCGAAATGTGAATGTGTGTGAGAGCCTGCTAAAAGCGTGGGATCTTCACTCGCTTTAGTGTGTGGCAAGGGTGGCTTGCCCATTTGCGCTTGTCTTTGTAGTTCTTGTATCTGCTCGGGACTCAATGGCGGTCTTTCCTCCACAAAGTCTATATCCGCATTTAGAAAACTAGGCACATTAGCGCTCAACGCACTGCGAACATGATCTGCGACGTTTTCGAGCTCTTTGACACTAAGTATATTTTCCCATCTCTGCGTGGGAACCTCAAGAATCAGTTTGGCATGGACATTTGGTCCAGATGCCAAAACAGTCAGATCTTTCACTTTATAAGGTTTGCCAGCATTGTTGTTAGACACCATGGTGTTCAAGATCTCATATAGATTCTTCTCGACTCCTTTGTATCGCACATCCGTCTTGGACAAAGACTTGTCCATCAGCTCGGCCATAGCAATTGCCAATCCGTCTGTGCCAGCTTTCACTACGAGCCCTGACACCAGCAGTCCACCTAGAGCGTCCAATGACTGGATATTGAAGAAATATCCTGAAGAAATCGTTACCAGGGCCACCAAGGACGTCAAAGAATCGACCCTATGGTGCCACGCATTTGCCAAAAGCACGTTCGAGTTCGTTTCTTTTGCAACTTTCTTCGTAGCATTGAAAATCCACTCTTTCACCGCAATCGAACCTGCTGCTATCCACGCGGCGTTTATGTCGGCAACATCGCCTGCCACGCCATGACTATGCGAGTGCGAATGCGACGACAAATAATGCATTATCGTGTCCGGAAGGAAAGGTGCTGCAATTGCACATAAAGATCCCCAACCAATGGATAAACCTGCCACGGCAAGAATTGCAGAGACTGACAAAGATCCTAGCGTCTGTATCTTACCATGTCCCATAGGGTATTCTTTTGAAGGGCTTTTGGAAGATAAGCCGATGGAAAACAATGTCAAAAAGTCAGACACCAGATCTGACAATGCATGCACGGCATCCGCAGTCAGAGCTTGAGAGTGGAAAGCAATACCACCTGCGAACTTACCTCCTGCTATTCCGACATTGATCAGCAGACCGATCCAAGTTATTCTGACGCCCGGGTTATTCTGGATTTGGGTCTTGCTGAGAGCCAGCAGTGGATTGCTTTGCAGATTCGGAGATTTTCGATCCAAACGAAAAGTATTTTGGGATTTTTCTCGACTCAGAGCCGATCCCAATTGGTACGAATCGTTTTCCATCGTTTCTGATTCCTGCATGTGTATATGTTGATGGTTTGAATCCTTAAAAACTTCAGACAAGTTTTGGAACTCTGCATTCTTTTCTAACCTCTTTTCAGCTTCGCCAAGATCTTTCAGATGGGACAATGGCTTATGCTGGTTGTCGTTTGCATGTAGTCTGCTGAAGCTATAAATTGTGCGCTTTTCAGCCAAAAGTTGTCTGTCAAACCTGGCGCGGCCGATTGATCGAAAACAGGTTCTCAGCGTAGACATGGCAGGGAACGTCTGGACCTTTGAGCCTCAATTGACTTTTCTGCTTCCTCTTTGCTTGTTTTATGGTTTTTATTCTAAGAGTTGATCGTACCTACGGGTTCTTCGAAAAATGACCGAATTACACCCAACTTTGACTTATCCGAAAAAAGTCGTACCATAGGCATTAGATGAGTGAATAAAGATATTTGGAATGATTGTAGTACATCTATAGAGGCTCTTGTTTTTAGCAGATCAAAGCCGGTGAGAGAAATAGCCCCATTGTTGCGGTGACTTTATGTAGAAATTTGTTTGTATTGCGAACAGATCAGCGATTATTGCGAAGTATTCTTCTTTCTGTGACATCTACACGTCGACCTTAGTCTCTTCAGAAGCCTTTATTTGTTCTGTAGGCTTTTCGGAAGGTATTGCAATGTTGTTGCTAGGCTTGTCCTTTGAGATTTCCAATCCCGTAACAACATTTATGCCTTTTTCCGCAAACGATCTCAATCTTGCAACATCGTGCTCACGACATGCGTTTCTAAGCACTTGCTCCTCACTTTCCAGTTTTACTCCACTTCCCATTAGCTTTCGGAGATAAAATTTTAACTGCAACAGTGGGACATCGGATCTCAAAGTGCCGTTAACATTAAAAACCGATATTCTGAGATTTCGCTTGAACTGGGTAGCGAGCTTGAAGATCTCGAAAACCTCCAAAAGGACGTGGCGATCAGGTATAATCTTCAGGCGGCACGACTCCATAACAATTTTTTGTAGATCGTCGTAGTGTATTACGTTCAGGCCTGGAACGTCGTGAGCACAACATATGGGACAAGCAAACACGCTACTTTCAGTATCTCCCAATGACCACTTCCCTTTGTTAATGCATGTCATATGATACCATTCCCCGCATATCTCACAGGCAACCATAGTACTGCCAAAGTCCCCCCTGCGACAAAAGCAATAGGACTCATCTTTATCGGAAGTCCCTATTGTTGGGCCCTGCCGGGTTTCAGCTTCAGTTCCAAAGCACTGCTCAGTGGCCTGTACAACTTTAGTCCACGATTGCCTTTTCGGGACAGTGCTAAAAAGTGCATGTAACCAAGCCTTACAGTCTTTTATGTGCTTAGAAAAGATTGATCTGTTTGGAACTTCCTGCTGGGTCAAACGTTTGTCACCAGCGGAACCGTCGAAGTTTTCCATGATACCCGAATCAAACAACGCTTCGACAGTAGCGCCGGTTGTCAGTTGACTTAAAAACCGGTCGTTTGTGTTCAATCTTGCGAACGCCATCGCGCAGCTTTGCTTACTTCCCTCGAAAGCGTCAAGAACGGCTTTGATCACTTCTGACAGACGTGGGTTGACTAAGTTTTGATTTTCTGTCATTTCAGAGAACAATTCTTGAAGTCTCTCAACCGGTATCTTGCTATTCTTTTTCTTGAAAAGAGACTTCACATTATGTAGCACTTTCTGTGCAGAGATGATGGCTCTCTTAACCTCACGAAACTTTTCGAGATGTTCGTCTTTCCTTACATATCGCAAGCCGAACTCCAAGAAAAGCGGCAGGTCCTCGAGTCCACCTGTCATAGTGCCATGAGTATGGAATCTGTTTCTCTTCGAGAAGATCGTTTCGTATTCTTCTAGCCACAGAGTTTCGCCTATCTTCTTCGCCACCAGCTTTTGAAACCGAGAACTGACACCGAGTGAGAACCCACTCTGGTATGCATCGTGTACCAACTTCATATCATTCTTTTGTATGGCAGTTTCGCAAAGCGTTTGATATTTTTTCACTTTTCGGCACAGATTGAAGATATCATGCATTTCCGGAAACTCTACCGGGAGCACCTGTATCTCTCTTTGTAATCTGAAAAGCTCCGTGGCAGAATGCCAGAATTCTGGCACGCGAATCTCTGGAAGACTGAATCTTAGGTGTGAACTTGAAGGACCTGGTTTATGCGACTCGGTTTCAACACCCTTTAGAAATCGCACGCACTTGGATCTCGCGATATTTATTTCACATATGGTTTTCTTCAAGTTGCTTGAAACCAAATCGTCATACTGGGAAAGCGCTTCATTGTACATGTTGATCTCTTCGAAACCTATCCGTTTCCCATTTGTGATGATTTGGGCAACGTAGGCATTCAGAATTTGTGTCTTTTCTTCTTTTGAGCCACCATTTTCATGTCCCGGAAAAGACTGAACAGCCTTCTTCCGAGCGCGATCCTGCTGAAGTAAAGAATCGAGATCCTCATTAAGGAAAAGCAAATGCAAAGACACACATGTCAAGTTATTTTCAACATTTTGACCCAAATAATGTAATTTTCCGTCTCTCACCGATGAATTCAGTAGAAACTGTTTCAATGAAAGAGTAACACAATCGTCCGCATTCGCCAGAAGAACTTTCGAAGCTCCCGTTGACGAGAAATCAAGATCGGAGATAAAATCAAAAGTGTTTGGACAGACGATGAGGTTCTTTGACATCCTGCTTAGCCTATCTCTTGCATTCAGTTCATCTATGATGAGAGGCAAAAGAATATTGCGTGCTTTCAAAACTAAGTTTTTGTCTCTTGACTCAGAGACGATGTTATGCAGAAGCTGGAAGGGATTGACAGTTGACAAAATACCGTGCTTTGCAAGCCACAATTCGCTATCCATAACATAATCCAACCAAGAAACGGGAGCAAAACGTACATTTTCCGAGACACTAAAGCCAGAGTGTATGTTCATTGAATAAGTCTTAGGAAATTTGAAAATATATGATCCTGGGTTTTGGATGACTTTACGAACCTTGATGTGATTCGCTTCGAGGACTTCCGGATGAAGTAGTATATCATCAGAAAGCTGGTTAAATGCTGATTCGGAATTATTACCGGGCGGTAGAGAAAACGAATGAGTTTTGATCCTTGGAAGTATGCTGGAAAAGCTTTCCGCTTGCGTAGTTCCATCGAAGCATTGGTAAAAGGCTGATTCTCGGAAATTTGTATCTTTTATGGCGTCTGTGGTGATGCTTGATGAAGCTACTTTTTGTTTTGACACAAATGTCAGTTGCTCAAATTTTTCCAAATCCTGGGGCGAAACGATGTACCATAGCTTCGACGATCCGACATGATTATAGTCTACGGCAGGGAGGAAGTTGTCCTCAACGGCCCAGCCTTTCACTGAGAACAACATCCCTATGTCCATACGGGAAGAAACATGATCGCCGTAGTCAGCATTCAAGAAGCAGAGCGCGGACTTACTTGACAAGGGTAAGCTATTCAGTGACCACGAATTGCTCGCGAATGTATCGTTCTTCTCCCCGGAAAATTTGGGAAAAGCAGACCCGTAGATACGAGACGGAAGATCTACTGCACAGTCTACGTCACACGGGACGTCTATATCTGACAAAACCTGATAAAAAAGCCTTTCAAACTTGTCAACGTCCATTTTTTGATAATTTGATAAGGCATGCGGTAATCTCTGCTCACATCTATCGAAAACCTGTTTCGAGTGCAAATGCGATTTCTCAGAGAATTGTGTCAGACTGTAAAGCGGAGAGTCTAGGGCTTCATAAGTGGATCTATCATAAATTCCAGTAGTGTTCTTCCAAAAAGAATAATCGTAATTCGGTAAGGTGGAGACAGAAGGTTTGGTGATGTGTTTCTTACGATCAGTCAAAGACTCAAACTTCGTAACAAATCCTTTATGTTGTAGAACGTCTCGCAGCCTTGAGTATTCGGTGCCAATGCCTATAACTTGATAAACTTTTGGTTTTGTGATCTTCTGTCTTTTCGAGCTATTGTCAGCAATTATTGTGCTGGGTACTGCCCTCTTCTTTTTGCGTTTTTCATCTGTTGCTTCACATGTTATGGAGGATGGGAGCACTATTTGGAGTTTAGAATAGATTTTTTGCTGAATGACATTTTCTGTGGTCTCGGCCCGTAAAGTATGTTCATCAAAATCGGCTAGTATCTTTGTATAAGTCGATCGCAGAGTTGCCAGCAAAGAAGTTGATGCTGTTTTTGAATACCCAAGCTCTCTTCCGATTTGCGCCCAGCCTTTTTTACTGCAAACCGCTTGATAACCTCCTCTAAGAAGAACGCATTGGCGTAATCTATACAGGTCCAGCGGCCTCCTGTCGATACTCGGTATTTTTTGTGAATTGGAGTCCATGATGTTATCTCCCCGCATGCTGTGATATTGATATAGTTTCCGGTAAAAGTCTAGCTTCCTCTGCCTCTCGACATGTATGGGTCTCAGAGACTGCTTTCGGGCTTTAAATTGCAAGCGATTGGGATCTAGAGCAGTGACAGATCGTTCCTGAGATCTGTGCGGCCCTTCAATGACTTGAAGCACAACAGCTCCAAAATGGCGCCCGATGGGTTCCACTTCTTCGTAGAAGACCAATGGGTCTGGAAGCTCAGATCGCAGCATTTCAAAGCATGGAACCGATCCCTCTTTCAGAATATACTGCCATCCAGACTTTGTTGTATAAGTTTCGCTGATTGTTGCAGACTTTCCAATCCACTCGATTTTCCGTGTTTCCACATGAGGTATTTCGTAAAGCTTTTCCAATCCCTTTTCAACGCTTAAAGATGGACATGAGCGATGTTCACGTAGTTTTTGAAAACGACTAGTTTTCGGTATTGTTGGTATGTTCTGGGAGTTACTCATGGACGTCGTCTTGGATGGAATGTTCCACTTGCCTAGAGGCGGTAATTTAGACGCATCTGGATCACCATTGGACGGAAGCTTTTGATTTTGGGATTGCTCCGGAAGCTTCGGTAGTGTCATAATCAGGCCAGACTGCTTCTGCCCATTTAGAAGGTATGTCTGATCGATGACAGTGCCGGTCTTTTGTCAACTGAGAAGATCATTATTATCCTATGATATAGAAGTTGATGATATTGTCGCTCTGTACGAGCATGTTTTGGGAAAACTCTTGAACCTTAAATAAAGCTCGTTTTGATTGATGTTTGAAGCAGCTTTTTGCTATTCTTGAATTTGTGACACAAATGAGATCTTGTCAAAAAGAAGTGCAAGCGCGCTTTGGTTTCAGAAACTATAAAACCGGTTTATGTATCACGTGACTTGATTTTTGAGTATTAATATAATTTAAGTCGAGTAGATGGTGCTTTGTATCGTGTCTGTAGTGTTACGCTTATGAAGAAGGGAAGTAGGTATCTTTACATTGTAAGAAAGGTCGACGGCAAACTATAATATTTGCTATTATTCTAGGGATTTGGTAGGCTTTCTCTGCGTACAAAGCATTCTTCGTACGCAACGATAAATTGGTTTCTGTGCGTATTTTCACCTTTACTAACAACTTGAGCTGCCTGTTCGAAAGCTAGAGTTTTAGATGCATTTCAGTTTTGTAACTAGTCAACTTCAAGAAAATTTGAACGACAAAAAGAAATTTTTCCAGACAGATCTTTCCGGGACCTGTTTGACTACGTGTGGGATTGTATTTGGTCTTCTTGCTAATAGTACAACTTTGCATAAAGCTCATCGAGCCGAGCAAGTAACGCAGATGTAGGAATACTTGAGAAAACTAAGGTAAATGTGTCAAGTCTTTGTGGTCACGTGGATCCGGCATTTGTCCACTGAGAGGTGTCAAATGACAAGCTGGGATGCAATGATATTAACACTACTTAAGGATTCTTCAGAGCCAAGTTTTATACACCAGCAAAAGTGAAGGCTAAGTTGCAGATCGCCGGTCATGCTGTTGGAAACTTATTACGATATTTACCACCCCGTACATCGGGCGACCACTCTAGTTTGCAAATCACAAGAAGTATTGACATGTAGCCACAATCTTAATTTGCGATACCACTACAAACTACTTCATTGCCTCCATGAACTGGTTGGCACAAAACCACATTGAAAACTATTTCTAGCTGTCTTTTTAAAGTAAACTGGCATAATTCATACACACAATCATCATCATCGTATAATTTCGTTAACTAAAAACGCAAACCTACACCAGGCTTGCGCCTCAAGGTCGCTCACCAGTAGCGTTTTTGAAACTCATCAGCGTAGTCGTCCTTTCTGCGCGTGCCTCCAGCTCTGCGCTGGTCGTTGTCTACATCCTCGTCTTCGTCCCAAGTGTCATCTCCAACGTCTTTTCCGCCCATCACGGGCCCTGGCATCTGCTGCCCCTGCATGGGGTTAGACCGGTTTGAGGCAAACTCAGAGGTGTTGCCTTGCAAGTCGTGCTCCTGCTGACGGTAACCACCATGCTTGCTTTGCATTTGGTGGCCCGAGGTCGTGTCAGAGCCACCCATATGCTGCGAGGGTAGCGGCATCCTATCGTCGTCGCGCTGCTGCTGCTGCTGCTCGCTCAAACGATTTCCCTGCGAGTCCCGCTCGTCATTATGGTCGTCATGACCCATAAGCTTGTCTGATACTTTGTGAATGATGTTGGACATTTTCGGCTGTTCTTACTATATGGTTATATGGTCAGTATGGAAACTTTGGGCTCTTCACGGCAACTGTTTTCTGATCGTGCTGGCGTTTATATACAGAATTAGGGCAACGGATAGCAATATATGCCGTAGGAAGGCTTTGTAGAGGTTGCGCAAGACTGCGGTTTAGGGTACAAAAGGGTACCACCACCTACTGGTGATGGGGCAATTAAGACAAATGTGCACGGCAAAAAGAATGGGAGGACAAGAATAGCCGGAAGGAAGGAAGCCAGAGCCAACACTGAGGGAGCATCCCTAAAAGCTTGAATGGGGAACCGATCCTCTGATGCAAGCAGTGCCGGTTTTGCATTCAATCATTGTTCCCAGCCATGTTCTAGATTAGACGATCTTTTGCCATTATTGCACCACATATATGTGTCCGTGTCCTCTGTCCATTTCTCTACTTGCGACTCGCGGAACGGTTGTACAATCGGCCGAAGGACGCATGGAACTGAGCTATGACGTTTCGTCTCCCCCCGTGACATCCCTACAGACGAAATGCCAAGCTTTTTTGCCGTTTCTCGTTTCTTTTCCTCTCCGCGTCAACCCCGTGATCTTCTTCTTCCTTTTTCCGAGGGCGTTGTTTCTTTTTTTTCTAGAACCCTTTTCTTTTCCTTGACGTTTCTTTTCTCGACCAGGCGACCGTTTCGTACGAGAGCACCCAGCTCTCACTGTAAGGCTTCCTTGCGTCATATATCATGCTCCAGATACATCATGTTTCAGAAGCAAACGACTTAACCGGGGATCGGTGGAGTTTCTTTCGGTTTCTACCATACGAGTCATTCGAACGTTTCTTAGTATGCCTCAGTACCTACTATCGACCCAACTGGACGCATCGGTGGTCTAACCGTTAACAATTGGCAAAAGGGTATATAAAGAGCGGAGTTTTTATTTGGTGAGTCGCCATTCGAGTTTTTGTTTTCTTACCTCAGCTACCGTGCTTCGTCCAAGTTTTGTCATTGTTAGCAGCATTCACTGGGGCGTACACGTCTGATAAAGTCTGGCTGGGTTTTCTCTTAGATTTCATTCTGTGACTAGAAGAACACCTGCAGGATCAATTGGAAACTCGGCTCGATATTCAACTAGATCATCAGCTGGAGAATCAACTAAAGGATCAACCAGATAATTAAATATTTCATCATCAAGAGCCTGAGTACTCGGGTACTGAATCAGTGGCTCTCACTCACTCTCGATCCAAGATGTCCAACCTGTTTGAGCAGGCCCGCGAACGTCTCAACGGGTCCACTGCACTTGTCCCGGAGCGGTTGCGGTTCATCACGGGCGAGGCCCCCACTCTCGGTGGTGGAGGAGGTAACAGCAGCGGTGACAGCAGCGACAGTAGTCGTGGCATGAGCCGTACCGGCAGCTACTCGACCAGCGAGACTGACCCTTCAGAGTCGTCGGGCCAGGGTTCCTCTGGTCCCGGAAGCGGATCCGATGACTCCGAAAGCTTGCTGACAACAGGGTCCAAGTCCGGCCACGGTCATCAACACCGCCATCCTCTCCATCACCATTATACCAAGCGTGGCCAAGCCGACAGTGCTGCAACCACAAACTCCTCCGCTTTCGTTTTCGGTACCAACGGTAGCTCTGGCGAGAAAATTGCTGCTCCCCCTACCGTCAACTCGAATGCTGTGTCTAATGGTGCCAGCATGGGTTCGGAAGCGGCTGAAAAAGCTGTTTCTAATTTCAAAACGGATCAGGACACTTCCAACTGAATGAGCAGCGGTTGAGAGTTGTCTTCAAGGAGACGCATAAATCTGGTGTACTTTCTTCCATTGCGTCTCGCTTTCTTTCACTCTCATCCTTAACTTTCAATTCAACTCTGCTTATACTGTGGTGTGAACATCATAACAGCCAACGTCTTTTGGGATCTCCAACTATGTCTGTGCAAGGTTGCGCGGAGATACGGAGGCCGAGAAACCGCTGCAACGTGACAATTCAATTGAACTTCGGTAACTTCGAGTTTACTTTAATTGTTTGTTAAATTTATGTAGCTTCGCTTGGTAAAGGACACACCATGAGTGTTTTGAAAGTTCCACAGGTGCCAGTATCTTCACCTTTCTATGGGCCAAAGAAACCAGTAACACAATCACTTAAACGGCAGCTCTTAAGAGTTGAAAACCTTCTCCGATGAGTGGAATAAGGCATTAACTTTACAGGGCCATATCAAACATAAAATCGACATATCTTGTTCATACAATGCATAGAAACTTACATATGGGCATGTAGCTCAATTGTAGGAGTTGTTTCCCCCGTAAGAATTGCTGGAATTCTGATTACCATAGGAACTCTGGCCGTAAGAATCATTGTTGTTGCTCCCATACGAGTTGTCGTTGTAGGAGTTTTGGCCGTAAGATTGCTGGTTGGAAGAATCTTGGCCATAAGAGCTCTGTCCGTAAGATTGCTGATTGGACGAATCTTGACCGTAAGAGCTTTGTCCGTAAGACTGCTTGTTGGTTGAATCGCGTCCATACGACCCGCTGCTGTTGTTTCCGTAGGAATCGTCATTGTAAGAGCCTTGGCCATAGGAGTCACTCTTCTTACTACTGCTGTTGCCGTAGGAGTCGTTCTTCTTGCTGCTACTGTTGCCGTAGGAATTGTCATCGTAAGAGCTCTGACCATACGAATCGTTCTTCTTACTGTTACTGTTTCCGTAGGAGTCATCGTTGTAAGAGCTCCGACCATATGAGTCATTCTTCTTACTGCTGCTGTTCCCGTAGGAATCGTTGGTAGAGCCTTGACCGTAGGAGTCGTCCTTCTTGCTGCTGCTCTTACCGTAAGAATCGTCATCGTAAGAGCTCTGGCCGTAAGAGTCGTCCTTCTTGCTGCTGCTCTTACCGTAAGAATCGTCATCGTAAGAGCTCTGGCCGTAAGAATCGTTCTTCTTGCTGCTGCTCTTACCGTAAGAATCGTCATCGTAAGAGCTCTGGCCGTAAGAATCGTTCTTCTTGCTGCTGCTCTTACCTCCATAGGAATCGTCATCATAAGAACTTTGACCATACGAGTCGTTCTTCTTACTGCTGCTGTTTCCGTAGGAGTCGTCATCATAAGAACTTTGACCATACGAGTCGTTCTTCTTACTGCTGCTGTTTCCGTAGGAGTCGTTCTTCTTGCTGCTACTGTTGTCGTAGGAGTCGTTCTTCTTGCTACTGCTGTTACCGTAGGAATCGTCATCATAAGAACTTTGACCATACGAGTCGTTCTTCTTACCGCTGCTGTTTCCGTAGGAATCGTTGGTAGACCCTTGGCCGTAGGAGTCGTTCTTCTTGCTACTGCTGTTACCGTAGGAATCGTCATCATAAGAACTTTGACCATACGAGTCGTTCTTCTTACCGCTGCTGTTTCCGTAGGAATCGTTGGTAGACCCTTGGCCGTAGGAGTCGTTCTTCTTGCTGCTACTGTTACCATAGGAATCGTCACCGTAAGAGCTTTGGCCGTAAGAATCGCTCTTCTTGCCGCTACTGTTACCGTAGGAATCGTCACCGTAAGAGCTCTGGCCGTAAGAATCGTTCTTCTTGCTGCTGCTCTTACCGTAAGAATCGTCATCGTAAGAGCTCTGGCCGTAAGAATCGTTCTTCTTGCTGCTGCTCTTACCTCCATAGGAATCGTCATCATAAGAACTTTGACCATACGAGTCGTTCTTCTTACTGCTGCTGTTTCCGTAGGAGTCGTCATCATAAGAACTTTGACCATACGAGTCGTTCTTCTTACTGCTGCTGTTTCCGTAGGAGTCGTTCTTCTTGCTGCTACTGTTGTCGTAGGAGTCGTTCTTCTTGCTACTGCTGTTACCGTAGGAATCGTCATCATAAGAACTTTGACCATACGAGTCGTTCTTCTTACCGCTGCTGTTTCCGTAGGAATCGTTGGTAGACCCTTGGCCGTAGGAGTCGTTCTTCTTGCTGCTACTGTTACCATAGGAATCGTCACCGTAAGAGCTTTGGCCGTAAGAATCGCTCTTCTTGCCGCTACTGTTACCGTAGGAATCGTCACCGTAAGAGCTTTGGCCGTAAGAATCGTTCTTCTTGCTGCTGCTCTTACCTCCATAAGAATCGTTATCATAAGAACTCTGTCCGTATGAATCATTCTTCTTACTGCTACTGTTGCCGTAAAAATCGTTGTTAGAGCCTTGGCCATAAGAACCAGCATTGTTGTCGTTGTTGCTTCCATAGGAATCGTCATCGTAAGAACTCTGGCCGTAAGAATTGTTCTTACCACTGTTGGTGCCGTATGAATCAGCGTTGTTGTTGCTACTGCCCCCATAGGAATCATCATTGCTGGAGCCTTGGCCGTACGCACTACTGTTCTTGTTGCTGCCGTAGGAGTCGTCACTCGAAGTCTTTTTCTTGTCGTTGATGGACGTGCCGGCAAATTGTTTTCTCACTTCCGTCTCGAACTTGTTGAAGTTGTTCTCGCCAACCTTATTTCTGATCTGATCCATACGATCTTGGCCCAAGGCCCCTTCAGCCTTGGAAAGAAAGTCACTCTTCTCGCCGGAAGCATCCCTACTACCATTATCACTACCACTGCTACCACTGCCACTGGCAATGTCCTTAACCTTGTCTAAAAATCCCATATTGTTCTCAATTGATGCTTTGAAAGTCAATCTGGAGTCTAATTGTTGATCAGGAATGAGTTCTCTGGGGAACAATTTCAAACCACGCTACCCCCTTTTATACTTCTCGTCTCAATTCACCAACGTGGATCCATTCTCGATTCGGTTTCGATTCTGTGACCACACTCTGATTTCGTCATCTTGCTTCACTCATCTCAGTAGTTCGCTCACACCGTCGTCGAGTTTTACCTGTAGAAGACCCAGATGCTACTGGCAACCATCCAATTCCCACCTTAACGAAAAATAAAGTCCGCAAACCAATCAGCCACATATGCCAGTTCCTGAGCAAACATTGGTTTCATGGCACCCAACAATACGCACTTGACCGAGTTGAGTGGCTTCGTTCCAGGGGTGCCTTTAGCAGCGCCCCTACTAAATGCGTAGAACGACGCATAGCGTTGGCAAGACAGCCATGACTTGGCAGACAGCCAGGAATGTAATTCTTGCCCGTGACGTAGTGAAGAAAATCTCGTCATGCGAGGTTTGGCACGAGGACGGTTAGTAACTTCTAAATACTGAACAGTAGAGAACAAAAAGTAGGTGAACGACAAGGTCGATATTATTGAATTGACCGCAGCGAATGTACGCTCCAGAATGTTCAGCTTTCGCGGACTGCTGGGGAAGCCACAGAATTATTGTTGTTGACAGTAGCAACGTGCTGGATCTCATCACAAAATTAGACAACAACCAATGGTGGCAACTTTAATGTATGTAATAACTGGTATGTGCATCGGGGAGGTGAAAGATAATGCTGTTCATGAATGAGTAAAATGCTGCATTTTTTAGAATACGTTCTTACTCGTGGCCTCTTTTTAACTACTACGGGCTAAAGACGTTTGTGATTGGGGCATTGGCAGTTTCAAAGATCAAAATAGACCTCTGATGTGTCTACCCTAGACCATCCAATGCTTTGACTTGTCGTCTATTTTTTAGGTCTATATTGTCTCAAATTTATTTTTTAGATACATCATCATGAATATTAGTAGTAGTAGTAGTAATAATTTAGGCTATGGTCAAGTTCAACAGAGAAAGCCTTCAAATACCACTCAAGCTTTGTTGTAGCCATCCAATGGTTCGTTTCTTCACCTCTCCATGCTCGTTTTTGTAGATTCTTCGGTTTTCCAGAAGATCAATCATCTCATCAGCGCTGTGGCCCCGCTTCAAACCGTTCAAGATGAACTTGTAGAGCCTTTTCCTTCTTGCAAACGTCTTGACGTTCTTCTTCAGTCTCCATTTATTCCCGTAAGCGTCTTCTAGAAACTTCACAGATGGACATCCGTTTATACCTTCGATATACTCCTGCCATATGGCTCTGACGTTTGCAGGCGCCTTCAGTAACGTATAGTTCATGTCGCGCTCGTGACTCTTGAAGTTCGCCCTCCGTGAATTTCTTGCCAGCGGTTGATGTGCAGCCGTTTCGTGCTGTAATCGGCTGCTATTGGACCGCGACATATTTTGAGCGGACAGCTCAAAAAAATCAGCGTAAGCTGACTCGTAGTTCATTTCCTGAGGCCTGCCCAGGGCACTGCGTGAATTCGTGGTCATCCGTGTGTCCAGCTGGGCTCCAAAACTGTCGCTATTATGATCCTCGTCTTCTTCTTGATACCCGTCTTCTTCATCTGACGAATCCGTGCCCAACGCGCTATCTGAACCCACCTGTATATCAATGGGCCGACTTCGGTTTCTTACATTGGCATCAGTAGCAGCTATCATTGAAGGATAAAAGCTGTTGTTTGTATGCGAGCCAGACTTTCGGGACATGTTTTCCAGAGTAATATTGGGTAGACTTGTCGATCCCAAACCATTCGAAGAAGCACCAAAATCGGGATGTCCCGGTATGGATGTCAGCGTGTTGTTGTTTGCCACTGTATTAGCTCTCCTACGTTTGATGCCGTTTGGATTCAAGGTAAATGACTGTTGGGTGAGATATGTCGGCAGTGCCAAGGTGGAAGAAGCGGGGGTATTGGTGGTTTGAGTACCTGAAAGCACCTGTCTTTCAGTAGCCTGGGAGCGTTGTCGTGTCATAGTGTTATTATTGGTATTCCTCTCAGTTCCATGTAAAGAGGTCTGTGCCGGGGGAGAAGCTATGTGCTGTTTTGATGAAGGACCCTCCGGCTCACTCAAGGAAGAGCGCTGCCGCTTGTATTTTTGTGTGTGTTTTGAATTGACTCTCTTCAGATAGTTGGAGCTCACATTCGTGATGGAATTCAGCAGATCCGTGACAAAGCCATCTTTTTCGTTGTCGTCTGGGTTATCCAGAACCGGCATGCTGTGATTGATCTGGCGAATCTCGGATAAAATAGTGTTTGAAAATTGTTCGCTCTGTTGCCGCAGCCGCTGAATTGTCGTTTCCTGGTCTGTGATCTTGCAGCAAAGCTTGGTGACCATTTCCTCCATCGCTATCATGCGTGCACTGACTTCGTCCATCCGTTGACAGATTTGCACGCTGCTTGTCGTTGAATTGGTAGATCCGGAGGCCAATTCGGGACCACTTGATACATGCGGGAGAACTGCAAAATGTGTAGGAGACTGTGAACTGACCTTGTTACCACTGTGTACTGGTACAGAGCTATGCCGAGTTTCCGCCGTACCAGATGAGCGTTCGTTATTTAACGGTGTTGCGTTACTGGCCACAGTTGGATGGCTACTAATACCCGAGCTCACAGGCGGAGACGTTTCACTCGCACCTAATATATCTACCAAGCTTGGTCTGCCCCTGGACGAGTAATTTCCCGTCCCTTTATTATTCGCATTGTTCAAAGCCGTTGGGTGACGAGCGGACGTCGTAGGTATCGCCAATCCATCTAAACCCACGTGTATCGCCTGGACAGGCTTTCCCATCACTGGTGTTGAGTTTGGCATGGCCATCAAGCGGTATTCGCTCACTTAGACGAGTTTTCAATTGCATAGTTCAGTTCTTTGATGGTTAGCGTTAATTTGGCACATTTTGAATTCCAATAATTCCGTATGTAGTGATTAGTCTTCCTCGCCCGGTTGAAGATCGTTGTGGCTCGGAGGATACGCTGGAGTATGCGTGCCGAGCATCTATACTAGGTTATGTACCACTTTTGAGGCGGAACAGTAATAAGCGTCCCGTCTTACACTGTCAGAATCTCAATATGTCTGACTATCGTCATTTTCATGTCAAGTGATCATAAGTCACGTGCCTTGATGACAGCGTCAGAATTATTGTAGTGACATTTTGAAATGCCCCATTGCTGACTTCTCAGCACTGTGGCTTAATTTACAGTCTAATCATCTCAATATAGGTGATTCCTTTTTGCTGGCATCGATAGCAAAGTGATTCTCGGAAATGTATAAAAGGGCACACTTTGGATAAGCTACCAGATCGGCTTCTGTAAATTTGAAAGAGCACGGATAAATAACCCCGAAGCCAAATCAGTTTATAATCTCTAGTGATGGTATCTGACGTTCATCGTGCTACGACTCCCCAGAGGCAGACTCTCAATACGAGTACAAACAAATTTAGGGAACGCTCGCGTTGTCTTAATCTTTCTGTAAAAATTCAAAACCCACCTGTAAAAGTCCCGTAAAAGTTTCACCACGGCTTTCACACAAACTATCAAGCACTGTTGTGCTAGTCTTAAGCTCAAGGCACAGCTCGGCAACATTGTTTCCACAGCGGGCTGATGTCACTCTTGACGTATGTGACACTTTAGCCTGCAGAGGAAAACAAGATGCCTCTACAGGATAAGCACGGCTTATTTGCCGTATATTCAACGATGTACACACTTGGTGTGTAAAAGTCTTGTCTCCTTTAAACTGCTGTAGCACTGTGTCTAAATACGATTTGTCTTCGTTCCCGCGTCACGTTCGAAAATAGTGATAACGCATAAATGCAATTTCTGTAATACCTATAAACTCTATCATAAAGACACTGTCTTTAACTTAAGGAAAACCAAAACCCCTGCCATTTCGTAACGAACTTTTATTGTACAGTACTTCATAAGCTACTATCGCATTTTTGCTATTGCATGAGGTACCTATTCTGCTAAACTCTATGGCATTGTTGGCCTTCTTCAAAACATAAAACACAAGTCTTTTTAATTAGCAGGTATGAGCGAGGCCAGAACGGTTTTGGTCGCTCTCAAAGAATCCGGAGCAGCGGTATTTGCCCAATCACTCAAGCCTGATAGCTTGATACCCAGTGTTGCAAGGGCTATCGAGGTGAACGAGTCTGAAGATGAAAATGAGCGCAAAAAACGCTTTCACACACCACGACTGGTCTCAAAAGGCGCACATTTTGCATACACAGTACCTGAACGTCGTCCTCATTACAAGCCCATTCTTACATCACAAAAAGCACTTGACGAGCTTAATTTAAAAATGGACAAGGAGCTCATGGATTTGGTGAACGGCGCCAAAGCATTCATTGATGATCAAAAAGGTATCTTTCCCTATAGTATGGCGTACGCAGGTTTCCAATTCGGACAATTTGCGGGTCAACTCGGTGATGGTCGCGTAGTGAATATCTTTGACCTTCCTGACAAAAACGGGGTCACACAAACATTGCAACTAAAAGGAGCGGGATTGACACCTTTTTCTCGTTTTGCCGACGGTAAAGCAGTTATCAGATCTAGTATTCGAGAATTTATTGTATCAGAAGCTCTTCATCACATCGGAATTCCCTCAACTAGAGCACTTCAGCTCACAAGTCTGCCTGAAACTCAAGCTGTGCGGTCTATTAATGAGCCCTGTGCTATCTATTGTAGGTTTGCTCCATCTTGGATTCGCCTTGGAAACTTTGATTTGTGTCGCTATCGGCAAGACCATCAAAGTCTGGTTGAGTTATCAGACTTTTGTATCCGTGAAGTTTTCAAAAATGGGCAAGACTTCCCTAAAAGTGTTAGTCCAGAGGCCTTCAAACATGACTTTTTCCCAGACAAAGACGAGGAAGACTCATCCACGAACAAATCAGCGCTCCCAAATATCGAAGATGCTACCAAATATGAGTTATTCTTCCGGCATGTTGTAAATCTAAACGCCGAATCAGTAGCTTACTGGCAATCTTACGGGTTTCTGAACGGGGTTTTGAACACCGACAACACCTCGATTCTGGGTCTGGCAATGGACTTTGGGCCCTTCAGTTTTTTGGACAAATTTCAACCCCAATACACACCTAATCATGATGATGTTGAACGGCGCTACTCTTTCGCAAATCAACCAACAGCAGTGTGGTGGAATTTGACCAAATTTGCGCAGGCATTGACCACTTTGATTGGTGCCGGACCAAAACATATTGACAATATCGTTGACAAAGGAATCGATGCTCTCACTGATGAAGTTCAGGAGGACATAGTCGGCAGAGCCAATTCGGTGATATTGTCAGCAGGTAATGAGTACAAGTTCAGATTTACCGTCAATTACGCGCGGATCATGTCTGAAAGATTGGGAATTGACTTGGGGATACCTCGTCACATTACAGATGAGAATTTGTCCAAGGTCGCTGATAAAGCTAGTGAATTTAATAAGATCATCCTGGAACCCCTTCTACAATTGTTGTACGTTTCGCAGGTTGATTACAATAATTTTTTTGTCAAATTGCAGGGTTATCAGGGTTCTTTAAAGATCAAAGATGGTGAGGGGTTCGAAACTATCGATCCAGAGCTTCTGGGCATTTTTTTCAATGAAAGACAGGTCTCTAAATTGAGGAAGCACGCAGCTGGCGCTCCGGATGCCGACTCTGGTGAAACGAGAATACTGGTTGAGTCAATCGAGACGTTACAAACTTGGATCCATGATTTCACAGCTTTGGCGTCGCCTGATTCAAATTCCAGATACCTTGTCGCTAAAAAAGTTAATCCACTTTTCACCCCAAGAGCATTTATTTTCGAGCAAGTGATTGAAAGTCTTGCGGTCAAGCAGAAGGACAAGTTAGACGATCCGGTTTCTTCCATCGACGTTTCTTATCTTCAGAAACTCTACAACATGAGCGTGAATCCTTACGACTCTGAAAAATGGGATGACACACTAAGGCCAGAAGTCGTTTCTAGCTGGACAACGCACGGTGACGACGACGCAAAATTCATGAAGCAGTTGTCATGTTCAAGCTGATTTTAAATTTGGGTTGAAAACATTTTTATCTACGTGCTGACATCGAAGGTAACATTTGTCCAAATATGTATATGTCTAAATATTCCTTTAAGCAACTTTGACTGAAAGATCGATTTCCCATGCTATCAATGTTGTGAATAGACTCTTCAACTGTTCAAGCTTCGCCACTACGACGTGGTGATATTATCTCTCCTCGGTTGTCTTTAACTTTCCAACTCTCTTTAAATGTCATTGATGAGGACAAAATCTTTAAATTAAGACTGCAAACCTACCTTAAACCCTTTAACCAATCTTTATTTAGATTAAAGTTACCTCAAATCTCAACCTTATTCTGGTAACAAGACGGGATAAAAGACCAACAGGCTCGAGATAATGCCCTTTAGCACCTCTTTCCCGTGTTTACGGCCAAGTGCAGACATTGACGTTGTCCCATTGCCAGGCGTATCGTACCAATTCAACATTTCCAGGCCAGATGGTGACGCTGTTCTGCAGGCATTGAACAAGCCAGTAGCGATCAATGAAGTAGCTGACAGCAGAAAGAAAAACCGTGCCAACGAAATTGATATTTCGGCTTCATTCTCCACGTTTGAAACAGAGCTTTCAGCAGCAGGCGGCAGGAAAAATACCTATACGTGCCTAGTTCCCACTAGCAGCCCCGAATATTCGTACGGATGCGTTGCAGTATTGCAAAGCTTTACAGTTGGAGAGGAGGACGTTTCATTCACTTTCAAAGGTTTAATAAGAGCGAGTATTTTGAATCCAGAACTCAACCTTCACGATCAGCTATGGATAAGCACCATTGTGATTCAGAACGAAGCCGAGCTTTTACAGGCTTTGCACAAAGAAGATCTGACGAAGCATTTGAAAGATGTGCTTCAGAGTTTCAAAAATCTGACTAAAGCCTTTAAGGTGTTCACGTCATTTTACAAAGAAGCTATACGCGACAGAGATGGGGGTTCGGGTCATTTACTACTGCTGTCGCCACTGACCAATATGATTTTCCTTCGACTAAGTAGGGGGTCGTTCATCAAATCGTGGGACTCTTTAAATCGGTCATTAGAGCTTGTGCGGCCCAAAAGCACAGAGCAAAAGGACCTGGGACTACTTTTGCAGATACTTGACATGTCCGTTGCTATTTTGCCTCTAGCCCACCCTGAAAAGCTACAATTTTTGTCTCTGGAGAAACCCCAAGAAAGATTACCGGCCTTTGTCAATGCAGAGCTAAAATTAACAGCTCTTTTTGACGAAATCTACGAATCTGTCAAGTCATGTCAAGGCCAATGGCGAGAATTGACAGCCTCAGAGAAGGCTAACTTCGTGGCCTTGCACCTCAACGCGTTGCGAAATTTTTTGGATACTACACGTAAATCTCGTGCTAGGCTGCGCGGATCCGAGATCAGCAGTCCCCCACCAAGAGCGACCACACAGTCAGTAACCGATTCACAAGGTGTTGAAGGAGATGATGCTTCGGCAATGGAAAAGTTTTTGGAGAGCTTGGAAGAGAAAGACATTCACCAAGATGGACGCAAAATGCTACTCAAAGACCTCCGGAGGTTGAAGCAGATGCAGCCACAAAACTCAGAATATCAGGTCCTCAAGAATTATTTTGATGTGATTATGGACATACCCTTCAAAACTCGTAATTCCAAAAATCTTCCCGTGGATCTTCAACAATCTAAGGAGAAGTTAGACGCGGAACATTTTGGATTGCACGATGTGAAAAAGCGACTTATCGAATATCTCTCCGTCATGAAACTGAACGAAATCGTCACAGACGCGTCATTACAAGCGAGACCACCAATTTTGTTGTTGTCAGGACCACCTGGTGTTGGTAAGACATCTATAGCAAAATCAATTGCGGATGTACTGGGTCGGAAGTTCCACAGGATCTCCTTGGGTGGTATTTACAACGAAGCGGAGATCAGAGGTCATCGAAGGACCTACGTTGGTGCAATGTGTGGGTTAATAATAAACGCATTGCGCAAAAGTGGCTCAATGAAACCGCTGATTTTGCTGGACGAAATCGATAAGGTTCTGAGCCTAACCGGAGCTGGAAAAGGTGGTCGTGGCGCAAGCATCAATGGAGATCCAGGAGCTGCCTTGTTGGAAGTATTGGATCCGGAACAAAATTCGACATTCACTGATCACTACGTCGGATTCCCCGTGGACTTGTCCAATGTGCTATTTTTCTGTACGGCCAACGATTCAACTGAGATTTCAGCCCCTTTACTAAATCGAATGGAAGTGATAGAGATACCAGGATACACTCTTGAGGAGAAAATCGAAATAGGGGCTACTTTCTTACTACCAAAGCAAGTAAGACTTAATGGCCTGCACGGTGTTGGAGCAACTGTGGAACTTACGAACGACGCATGGAATGAGCTTGTTGCCGAGTACACGAGAGAGCCTGGTGTTCGAGGCTTGGAACGTAACTTGGCATCATTAGTGCGAGGCAAAGTAGTTGAATATGTGAATAAAGCGAGGGTTGATCAACATAAAGTAGTGGAATCTACCGATCTTGTCAAATACCTAGGCTTCCCACCACATCCAGTTTCCAAAGACTTGGTCAAAGACGTGAGGCTTGCCGAAAAGAGCGGTGTGGTGAACGGTCTGGCTTACAATTCGATTGGTTCTGGCGGGGTGCTCGTTTTCGAAATTGTTCGAACGGGAACTTTGGATGAGGGTCATAGCGGACCCAAGGTGCACACAACTGGCAATTTGGGTGCTTTATTGAACGAGTCGATCGAAGTTGCGATCGCTCTAGTGAAGTCGCTCAGGGAAAGGAACGTCGTGCAAGGACTTATCGAGGATCCTTTTGAAGAGTTTAAGCGTTCAGAATTGCACTTACATGTGCCCATGGGAGCAGTATCTAAAGATGGGCCTAGTGCTGGCCTTGCCATAACACTGGCTCTTCTTTCGATTGCGTTTGACATGCCTGCTCCGAAGGATCTGTGTATGACGGGAGAGATCACATCAAGAGGAAAAGTGCTTCCAATCGGCGGTGTTAAAGAAAAGCTTCTGGGGGCCCGGCTTTTTGGCATGAACAAGGTGATGGTTCCGCTTTCTAATCGATCGGACGTGATAGAATCCGTAATGGAATCTGAATCTTTTCAGGAGTGTTCGAAGTCTCCAGAGTTTCCCGAACTCTCTGCAGTCCGAAAGAAATGGCATTTAGAGCTGCACTACGTTAATGACTTGTCAGATGCTATGAAGGTTTGCTGGCCGCACAAATTCCAGATCAGAGGTACCAAGGTATACATGTTATCCACGATGGGATCCACGAGACCGCTACTGTAATCAGAGTCTAGGTGTTCATAAAGGTGCTGAATGCCCTCACTGTCGCTGTCATTCGACTGCTGATCCTAAACAATCACAATTTACTGACGCTAACTTTCGTCACATGATACAACACTGTAAACTTTTTCGTGGATCTTCGACGTGCATGATGATGTCTAATAATGGAAAAATATTGAAAAAGAGAAAGGTGTGTGGTATAAATCAATCATCGGAAATACAATGACCGGTAGAACCAACTCTCAAAAGACTCGACTAGCTTACCAGAGGTTCCAGAAAGACGATACGAGGCGAGTTTAATCTGCTACCTAAGTCTTATAGCTATCCGCTTACCTTTCGCTAAAAATAAACCGCTGTCGAAAACACCGACCAAGGGAAGTGAAATTTCACATTGAAACGTTAGGTCTGTTGTGGAACGACAGCTTCGCAACTAAATATATCTCGTTTTTGGGGAATAGAAAAGAGTTTCAAAAGGGTTACTATTGGTTGTATCTTTGGCTTAAAAAGACGATTTAAAAAACGACCCCCAATTTGTTTTGAGCCTATAGCTGTGTCTATTTTTCAATCCAGAAATGCATCTACTCGCTACCTTACTGTTTGTTTTGAACTTCGTTCATCAGGTATGTGCCAAACGGAAGCTGGTGGCTTCGTCGCTGGTAAGCTGTATGGAAAACTCCGAACTGGTAGCCAATTCTTTTTCGGTGACTTTTGATGCTGATAGCAGAGCTCTCCATTACTCCCTAGACATGACTACAGAGATCGACGGCTACATCACCGCAGATGTTGAGGTATGGGCATACGGTTTCAAAATCATTTCCAAATCGTTGGATCTGTGCTCGCTGAACTGGAAGCAGTTCTGCCCCCTACATCCAGGTAACGTCCAAGTCGAGTCGATCGAGTACATCTCGAAGAGTCTGGTGAAACAGATCCCTGGTATTGCCTATCAGGTTCCGGATATTGACGCCTTTGTGCGTGTGAAGATTTATCCACGTGGAAGCACAACGACGACCTTGGCATGCATCCAAGCCTTTTTCTCTAACGGTAAAACCGTATCACAGACAGGTGTTAAGTGGGCAACTGCTGTGATTGCAGGAATAGGGTTGTTATGCTCCGCTATTCTGTCAACTTTCGGAAACTCTAATGCTGCCTCCCATATCTCAGCCAATACAATGTCTCTTTTCCTGTATTTCCAGTCCGTCGTCGTGGTGTCCATGCAGCACGTTCACAGAGTACCACCAATTGCTGCCGCTTGGTCGGAAAACCTGATTTGGTCGATGGGTCTCATTCACGTTGATTTTATGCAAAAGATTTTCAGGTGGTTTGTGCAATCGACAGGTGGCACTCCATCGTTGTATTTGACATCTAAAACCATTTCCGTGCTTGTACAGAGAGGTTACGACTTACTAGACAACGTTCCTTTACTGAAACGGGCTGCAGATGTACTATATGGTAATTCGACCGTGCTGATTGAAAGAGGTATCAAAAGACTTGCCCATCGAGCCGATATTGAGAACACGTCAATTGTTTGCACTGGTTTCACCTTCTTTTTCCTCTGCGGTTATTTCCTGGCTGGCTCCATCATAGCTTCCAAGTATGCGATCGACCTCTGCATCAAAGCTGGGTGGTTGAACAATAGCAGATTTACGGACTTTAGAAGCAATTGGCGAGTTGTTTTGAAGGGCACTTTGTTACGCTATACTTACATCGGGTTTACGCAGCTGACGTTGCTGAGTTTTTGGGAGTTTACCCAGAACGACTCTCCTGCTGTCATTGTAATTGCAGTGCTTTTGCTGATCCAAGCCTTGGGCCTGATGTTATGGGCTGCATTTAGAACGATTTCTTTTGCCAGACTTTCAGTTCAGCAGAAAAGGAATCCCGCGGCGCTACTTTACGGTGACCAACGTATTCTGGACAAGTATGGTTTTTTCTATACGATGTTCAGCGCCAAACATTATTGGTGGAACTGTGTCATATTGGCATACATTCTTTTGAAGTCTATTTTTATTGCTTTCTGTCAAGCTTCGGGAAAGACTCAGGCGTTAGCAATTTTCATCTTTGACTTGGCTTACATGGTCGTTCTCATTATTTTCCAGCCGTACTTCGATCGTCCTACTAATATTGTCAACATTCTGATCACGACTGTAACCACGGTCAATTCATTTTTGTTTCTGTTCTTCTCTGACTTATTTGGCCAGCCTTATAACGTTTCGTCAATTATGGGATGGGTATTCTTTATCATGAATGCTGCTTTTTCCTTGATCCTATTAGTGCTAATCCTCATCTTTGTCATTCTGGTAGTATGCTCTAAAAACCCAGATTTGAGATTCAAGCCTGCCAAGGACGACAGAACCTCATTCCAAAGGTCTTCTGGTAGTCACGGGAAAATCAATAAGTCTGTTGCCGCTGAATTGTTGGCATTGGGGAACACTGCCAAGAATCATGACGACAACTGGGAGGAGGGGCTCTACGCTCAACAGAAGTTACAGAAAGACCGCAGTTTGTCAGGTTTGGACTACTCTGACGAAAAACTAGCAAGCACTCAATCAACATCGGAGGACAATGAAGGCGTCCAGCCTTCACTAGCCGAAAGACTGAAACGCAAGCTGTCTTTCAAGAGAACGAAGTCGACTTCTTCGAGAAATCGGCTCGAAAAAGATAATGAAGTGGTTGACCCGGAAAATGCCATAACATCTCTTTCTCGTGAGCCTTCAGCCTCATCTAATGCGGCCGTTGCGGTCAAGAGAGACTACCCTGGTATCCACAGCAGGCAGGAATCAGACTCAAACAACGGCCTAATGCAATCCTATAATGTCGTCGAGAATAAACGATTAGCAACTCAGGAAGAAGACGACCATCCCCTGGTGGGGGCCAATGTACATCAGGCGACGGGTGTGGACAGAAGTAACGAACTGGCAAGAGATGAAAGCATGGACTCTGTGAATGCTGCCACTCAGCCGAACGCTACGTCTTCTACGGATCTTTTTACACACAACAACGGTTCTTACTATGGAAGGTTATAAATATAAAAATTAACAAGGTTATCCAACGTCTTTAAATGATTTATGGTCATCTTTCCACTCCAGATTTACTTTCTGACAACAAGCTAATGCCTCCGTTCTTGTGCATTGTATTGGTTTTCTTGAACTATGAAGGAAAGTCGCAAAACTTTCGCTATTCAAGTGAAGGGTGGTTGGATTTAGTTCCTGACCTATTTAGAGGAAGGTGCAGGTCCTGGGCAGAATACTAAGGTAACTGAAGTCCACCCTGCCAAACTTTCGAACCTTCCATAACAAAAAGCGACTACACGCAAGCTAGGAACATGGCTTTCGCGCTTCCACATCTTAATTACTGACCACTCACCTGTAAGGGCTCTTGGATAGCGTCGAGTTCTCCACCCCAAAGCCAAATAGCACCAATTCTGCCTCAAATAGGTATGTTATGTCAAACCGGCCTCAGAGAAATCATGTGGTGCGCCGACGAATGGCAAGTAACACCAATCCTTCTGCTTTCAACAACTTCCTGAAAAGACAGCGAGCTCCAAGCGTCCACGAAATTAGTGAGATAAACGAGTCAAGTTTCAAGAGCCCGTATAGTTACGCAAGCCAGCCCGTACCAGAAACTTTTCGAATCGCCTAATTGTATCTTCTACCCGCGAAATTCCCTTGTTCGCGTTTAGAATATCGTCATAACTTTCTTCCGGCTCGATATCTGTAAACCACTGTTCATTCGTATCTTTGGAGAGCGGAAGCCAGCTCAAGTGGTTTGCAAGACTGAATGTCTGTCCGTTGAGAGCAGAAGTATTGGAAGCAACTCGATTTTGAATGCTGAAATTTCCGCTAAAGGGTGCAGCCAATGGTGTATGCAAAAACGGCACTGTCTTTTTCATGTGGGTTCTTGATATCCTTCTCAAAAAGGGCAATTTCGATTTAGGATTCACTTCTGTCCAATGTTTAAGATAGCTGTCAGAAATCAGTGGTTCCAACGGTATGGTATTATCTGTTTTGCAAACGACGGCATTCTCCAAATTTTGAGATTCGAGACTGTCACTCATACCGCCCAGGATGGTTCTCTTGGCGTCATTATCAAGATCACAGTAAAAAATTCCACCGACCCATTTGTTTGGCAGGTGTATCGACATGTTACGATGGAAGTATTTCTCTCTGCGCGCTAATTTGAAACAGTGAAAGTTATCCAAATCTTCGGTTGCACGCTGTTTGTGGCTTGATAGAATTTCCGCTTCCGAAGTACGCCTAGGCGCGAACTTCCGCCAAAATCTGTTACTTTTTGCTACGGAAGGTGCACTTGCCGGCGTGTATACGCAGATAGGAGAGTTCCACTCCGATCCTGGGAAGTTGTTCTGTTCTGTCTGCCATTGGACTTTACCCAGGCTGCAGTACGTCATTTTTATCTTGGGCTGTACTTTGTCGAAAAGGCCCTTGAAGCTGAAAACTTGATGGAATTTGAACCCAGTGTAAATCTTTTTGCTGTGGCCCAAGGCTCCTACATCCAGCCCCGCTAGCGTGCCGACTAATTGTCGGTAACTGCCCTGTCCGTCGATGTGACCGACGGAGCAGATTTTATCCTGAGTTCGAAAAGCATCATTTAAGGTACCGATGGGTCCACCCAAAGGTTTTGCGGCCACCAAAGAGGGCAACAGGGTCGCGAAAATAATGGACAATGCACAGAAGTACAATAAAGGTCGGAGGAAACCCACGGCAGACTCAAAAGGCTGCTCGATACGCTTGATTTTACCATTATCCGACCGCCAATTTAGGACACTGTTAATCATATTGTCACAACAGAGAGATACTTTCTCGACAAATGAGATCAGACTGTAAAACTATACTCACAAAGGCTGCAACTCATTAAGGCTGGTGTCAACCGACCGGGTTGGATCGATAAACGGAAGTGTGAAAAGTGTCTGTCGTTTTCATGAACACTGACATCTAGATGATCACTAAAGTGAATTAATGACATCTGACGTATAACACGATGCATAATTTTGAAAGCTAGTTTAAATATGATCATTTAAAAGGACACACACACGTACGAAACATCTGCGCACCAATCGGGTCTAATACCAGCGTCAATTTGTTCCTCTTAACATGAAGCTGGACATTAAAGTATGTTTTCAACGATTCTTTCGTTCAAGAATCGTCAATTGCGGATTAGAGCTCGAGAATTGATGCGAATTTGATGTCCTTGTTGTTTAGCAATCTGAGCACTTTCTCGTGCTGGAAAACAAGTATCAGACTTGTTTACGCCTATCAATTCTCGAAAATGATGCATAGAGATGTGCCAAGAGTTTTTACTAACGTTTGCATTTTATAGAAAGCGTTCGCGAACCGTTCCGACCGTGTCAAGGGCATTGATTTCCATCCAACGGAACCATGGGTTTTGACGACACTTTATTCCGGTAGAGTTGAGATTTGGAACTTTGAAACTCAGACCGAAGTTAAATCGATTGCAGTTACCGACACTCCTGTTAGAGCTGGTCGGTTTATTGCGAGGAAGAACTGGATCGTGGTGGGCTCTGATGATTTCAAGATTAGAGTGTTCAATTACAACACAGGTGAAAAAGTAGCCGATTTTGAGGCGCATCCTGATTACATTCGCTCGATAGCAGTACATCCAACGAGACCTTATGTCCTGTCTGGTTCTGACGACACCACGATCAGATTCTGGAACTGGGAGAAAAATTGGTCATTAGAACAAACTTTCGAAGGTCACCAACACTTCGTGATGAGTGTGGCTTTCAATCCCAAAGATCCTAGCACATTTGCATCGGCAAGTCAGGATCTCACCATAAAGGTGTGGTCTCTAGGACAAGCAACTGCAAATTTCACCCTCAATGCTCACGAAACCCGAGGTGTCAACTATGTTGACTATTATCCATTGCAAGACAAACCTTACTTGATTACAAGTTCGGATGATCGCACAGCAAAAATTTGGGATTACCAGACCAAATCATGCGTCGCAACGTTGGAGGGACACATGGCGAACGTTTCTTTCGCAGTTTTTCATCCTTCACTTCCAATCATCGTCACTGGTTCTGAGGACAGTACTTTGAAAGTGTGGAATGCAAACACGTACAAGTTAGAAAAGACTTTGAATCTGGGATTGGAAAGAAGTTGGTGCATTGCCACGCATCCGACCGGAAAACGCAACCTCATTGCTTCTGGTTTTGATAGCGGATTTACTATTTTGTCACTAGGTAACGACGATCCAAAACTTTCCTTAGATCCGGTGGGGAAGCTCGTATGGTGTGGTGGCAAAAACGCCTCAGCAACTGACGTCTTTACTGCTGCTATCAGAGGTGTAGAAGTGGCGGCAAATGGGGAACCCTTACCATTACAGACTAAGGAGCTAGGCACGATCGATGTTTTCCCTCAGTCTCTACAGCACTCTCCAAACGGTAGATTTGTGACAGTTGTCGGCGATGGTGAATATATTGTCTACACAGCGTTGGCGTGGAGAAACAAGGCTTTTGGAAAATGTCACGACTTTGTGTGGGGTCCAGATTCCAACACCTACGCATTGATAGATGAAACGGGACGTGTCAAATTCTACAAGAATTTCAAAGAAACTACCTCTTGGTCGGTTCCCTTGGACTTTGGTATCGAAAAGTTGTTCCCCGGGGCTTTTCTTGGAGTAAAAGCAGATGGCTTTGTCTACTTCTTCGATTGGGAATCAGGTTCTCTTGTCAGACGAATCGATGTTGACGCGCGGGACATCGTTTGGTCGGACAATGGTGAACTTGTGATGGTCATCAACAACACAGACGAGAATAACACGGAAGAAAGTTCTGCGTATGTTTTAGACTTCAACAGAGAGGTCTACGAAAACTTCCTTTCTAGTGAGGAAGAGATTCCCGAGGATGGCGTGGAAGGGGCGTTTGAAGTTTTATATGAAGTGAGTGACACAATCAGCACTGGAAAATGGGTTGGTGATGTTTTCATTTACACCACGTCCACAAACAGACTCAATTACTTTGTAGGTGGCAAATCCTACAATCTTGCGCATTTCGACAAGGAGATGTACATGCTAGGTTACCTTCCAAGAGACAACAAGGTTTACTTGGCTGATCACGATATCCATGTCTATAGCTATGAGATATCCATCGAAGTCCTGGAATTTCAGACTTTGGTTTTGAGAGGTGACTTAGAGGAAGCTAAGGCCAACGTGCTCCCTAACATTCAGGGCAAAGAAAACCTGCTCAAGATAGCTAGGTTTTTGGAAGGTCAAGAGTATCACGAAGAAGCTTTGGAGGTAAGTCCTGACAGCGATCAGAAGTTTGATTTGGCATTAAAACTGGGAAAGCTTTCACTAGCTCAAAATATAGTGAAAGAAAATGAAAATGAATTCAAATGGAGACAATTAGGTGACAAAGCCCTGGAGTGCTTTGAATTTAAGTTAGCCTTAGAGTCTTACGACAAGGCATCTGATCTAGAGTCTCTTTTCCTAATTCATTCGTCTTTCAACAATAAGGACGCATTGGTAGAGCTAGGCAAGAAAGCGCAGAAGGTTGGCAAGTATAGCTTGGCGTTTAATTCCTTCTGGGTTGCTGGGGATGTGGATGGAGCAAGGGAGCTGCTGGCAATCAATGGAAGATATTCCGAAGCTGCCATTTTATCCAAAACTTATAGCGGCGATGCCGACGGCACTAATGAGTTGGTTGCTAAATGGAAAGATGCCCTTTCTGCTGCTGGAAAATCCACGATAGCTTCTAGGATCCTGGAGATGAACGGCGACAAGGTTTCAAAGAATGAAGCACTCGTTGACATTGACACGAAAGAGATAACTCCCGAAGCTTCAGTAGAAGATTCATCGTCCATCAAAGAAGTTGAGCTGCCTAAGGATGTGGAAACTGCCGAGGAAGGTGGTGAAGAGCTACAGGACGAATCATAAGGTCCAAGAAAAAGAAGTATAAAGGAAACAAAACCGCGTATGTGCGGGTTCCAAATTAAGTCTGGCTTGACTGGAAGTCTGTATATCATTAAAAGTCCGCATACGCATCAGAAAGGATTAGTTGAGAAATACGTCGAGCTTATTTACGTTTTTTTTTTTCCCTAAACCAATGAAGTAAAGTTCTTTTGACTCGTTCCGTGAGGCAGAAGGCTTGAATCTTTGCACATCCCTAAAAACCTGCTTCAGTCTGTTTTCTAGTAATTGATCCTCTTTCCCAGTGTATAATTTGCAGACGAATGAACCACCCGGCTTGAGCAAATCAATGGCTGCGACCAGCGCAGCGTCACATAAATCCATCGACATAGAGTGATCTTTTATGGCAATTCCAGTAGTATTGGCCATCCTGTCGTAAGCTGAATTAGTAAAATTGTTCCAGAATCCTTCTGTTTGAGGCCAGGGTTCATACATGTCACTTATAATCACGTCAATGGGCGTGTCTTCTATGACAGATCCATCGGAGTTTATCGCGTTTTGTTGCTTGAGAAACATCAGTTCCTCCTCAAGCATATGCTGGAAATAGCCATGGTCTTTATGCAGTTGATCTTCCTGATACAGTTGAAAATGTTTAGAGAAAAAGAGCCTTATGAGCTCATGTGTCTTTCTGGCTAATACATTTGCCTGTATCGAACTCACTCCCCGAGGTGGTGAACATGGTAAAATGTCTACCCCGAGTATAACACCTGTAGAACCTGTTCTTTCCAATGCTACTTGAGACCATGCTCCAGGTGCGTATCCTAGGTCCAGCACCCTTTGACTAGCGTTTTTTTTGAACAGTTGAACTTTGTCATCGATTTGCTGGAGCTTAAAAGCTGCTCTTGATCTCAATCCAAGTACTTTAGCTTCCCTTGTGAAGGAATCCGATCGTTGTCTGCCCAACCATCGAGCCTTTGAAGAAGAATTCCAACGCACATAGCGTATACTTTGAGACCTCCAAAATTTCGATAATGGCTGTGAGAGTAAGAGCAGGCTGTTCATGCTATGCGTCGAGAGGTGAAAGGCAAATCAGGTCAAATCAGGTCTACTTCGTTGACTTCTCCATTATGATGACAGCGGTGCGATGAGCTAGCTTAACGTCAATTAATTTTCAAATAATGTGTGCACGAATTTACTATGACATGAAAGAAACTGAAAAGTAGTTAAGACAAAAGAAGGTGTCGAATGTACTTATTAAAATGGAGTTGAGAATAAACATGAGAATGGAATGGGTAGCAGACCCTTTCCTCGTTTGACAACGTATTGAAGACAGACAGACAAAGCGGTCACGTGACCAACGTGCGATCTTCAAAAGCGTCTCAGTTTTCACTTAAAAAATACTACAACTCCATGTTAGCATTGTGTAGCTTAAAATATCATCTTCTGTCTAACGAGTTATCATTGTTCTGGTACATATAGGGTTTCAGTTCTAACGTCTTATCATTTTTCTACCTGATGTCGCATGTCACAAGCGTATATAGTGACACGATTTACTAATAATCACTAATTCCATAATAACGTCACAATTTGCATTCGGGAACTGTTAATCTTATACCAAGATTTGCCATGTCGTATATTTCCGTTTGTGAGTTCCTCACTTTTGCTTATTCTGGTGCCGGGAAAAGAACACCCAGACACCACATACCATTATTCATATTCAAATATATTTGAAAAAATCACAAACCCATACATCTTCAACAGCAGTCAAATCAAAGCTACCCACGCAAAAAAATTTCAAAGCATGAGCTGGAAATCTTTCAATACCTCATCCTATAAGACAAATCTCGACGTCAACCTGAGCGCGAGTGTAATTCCAACCTTCTTAAAAAACCATTAGTCGCAAGCCTATCCCAGGACCACCAATTACTATTGGAAGACTAATAATAGACAAACCACAAGAATGTCTAAGATCAGCTCTACCCAGATTAGAGACAACGTCAAGGAAGTCTTGAAGTTCTCTAACGAGACCAAGAAGAGAAACTTCTTGGAAACCGTTGAGTTGCAAGTCGGTCTAAAGAACTACGACCCTCAAAGAGACAAGCGTTTCTCTGGTACTTTGAAGCTTCCTCAATGTCCAAGACCAAACTTGTCGATCTGTATCTTCGGTGATGCCTTCGACGTTGACAGAGCCAAGTCTGTTGGTGTTGACGCCATGTCGGTCGACGACTTGAAGAAGTTGAACAAGAACAAGAAGCTTATCAAGAAGCTTGCCAAGAAATACAGTGCCTTCGTTGCCTCTGAAGTCTTGATCAAGCAGGTTCCTAGACTATTGGGTCCTCAGTTGTCCAAGGCCGGTAAGTTCCCAACCCCAGTGTCCCACAACGAAGACTTGTACGCCAAGGTCACCGACGTCAAGTCCACCATCAGATTCCAATTGAAGAAGGTGTTGTGTTTGGCCGTCGCTGTTGGTAACATCGAGATGGACGAAGACACTTTGGTCAACCAGATCTTGATGTCCGTCAACTTCTTGGTCTCCTTGTTGAAGAAGAACTGGCAAAACGTTGGTTCTTTGGTCATCAAGTCCACCATGGGTCCTCCATTCAGACTCTACTAAGCCTAGAGCTCACTGATGATGATCCTGTAGCGTCTGTATAATGCACGTACATAAATACTAAGCTTTGATCAGACACTATTTCGAGATCCGTATAGAGCGATATCTTTGATTATTAGATTATTTGGCATATCTCTTCAAGGTGACAAAATAGAGGGTTCTTAAGAAGTGACATATATTCCGAAGGTCATCGCGGCTTTCTTGTGGCCATCAAAAGCTCTTCATAGCTCTCTTTTCGTGATTGCGAAGCTTTCAAGCGTAATCAACTACCGGTGTGTCATTTTGGACTCTTTCTCAGCTTGAATTTAGCTTCCAAGATGACCGAAACACCTACCAACATCGCTGAGAAGTCGCTAGGAAAAACCGACCCCACGGAAGAACGAAATTTTATGTCTGTGGGTCCTGATGGTAGCGATAGTATTGACCTTGAATACGACCTGGAGGACGAAACTTTCGAGCTACCACTGAAGGCTAGATTCAGGTCTGAGCAATCTGGCAATTTTCCAGATCTCGCGCCAGTGGGAAGTCTCGATAAGAAAGTAAGGTTTCAAAGCCAAACGGTGTCACCATGGGATCCATTGACGGGTGAGTCGATTGGCGTTTTGAATACACACGATTTTGAATCTCCAACAATGTCCAGAACTCTAAGTGGTGCAAGTGGTCGAAAACCGCACATTGAAGACGTCTTACAGCACGCACAAATGTTGAACGGTTATTTGGACCAAACTTTCGGTAAAATCCAATCTTTTCAATCGGAATTTTACGACCAAGACCACGAAAGCTCCTTGCCTATGAGTAACAATTTTGCCAGTAACGTTGCAACCGCGCCTACTACCCCGTCCGGTTCAGTTTCGAATTTTCAGCTCAGCGAAAGTGAAACTAGCGAAGCTAGCGACGTCCCAGATGAATCACATTCCGATTTCGATGGTGTTTCAGCAGCTGTTCTGCAAAGCAATAACGAGAAGGAGGACCACAAAATCAAACAGATCTTGTCTAAGCATCAAACTGCAACATATCCTCGATCCGAGAACCCGTCCAATGTGAGTCTGGTAAGAAGTGAGTCAAACACTCGCATGGGAAGTGTACGACAAGATTCACCTGGCACCCCTCTTGGGTCCCCTGCTAATGGAGCTCAAACTATCCAAAATTCACCTGTAATACGAGATCAAAATTTCTTGCGGCCCAAGGAATTGGTACCGCGACCTTCAGAATCAGATGCAGAGCCAGACGTGGAGGCCCCAGACATGAGTTCCGATGTAGCGCTGGCGCTATACACCGAGACCATCGAACGTTTACTAGAGCTCAGTAAAGACATTGATATTATTCCAGAACAGATCTTACCGCCTTTTGCCACATTCCACATGAAATCGGCGCCTACACTTGGCTACGAAGATTATTTGCAGCGATTCCACGGGAAGTTTTCATTTTCTTCCATTGTATACCTAACGGCGGCGTATCTTCTACAGACTTTAGTGCTACGGAAAGATACCGATGACGGTAAACTCGCATTTAAATTCAAAGTCGAATCTAGGCAAGTACACAGACTGATCATCGCAACCCTAAGACTCGCAACAAAGTTGCTGGAGGACTGCGTCCATTCACACCTATATTTCAGTCGCATATGTGGCATTTCCAAAAAGCTACTTACCAGGCTAGAAGTGGCATTGCTGGAGTGCTTGAATTTCCAGGCTCTCAAGATTACGAACAAAACTTTACTCAAGACCGTACAGATCCACCAAGAGCTGTGTGCTATCCGAGAATAGCATCATGACTCCTTAAAAAGAAGCATGGCCATATTACAAGAGAATCTAAGAAGGACAGATTTTCAATTCCAACCATCAGGATCCCAGGACAACAATTAAAATATCATTATTTAACCAATACTTCTAGTCATTCGTGCGCAGATTATTTGGCTCAATACACCCCACTTCTTGTACTTGTTCCCATGAGGCTGGATTTACAAGCTCAAAACCCTGTGGTTCCTCTCCAGCGTGATTACTATGATTTTTACCTTTTATTGTCATCACTTTATTTTCGCTGCCAAAATCCTAAATTTTAGGGCAAATTTAGCGTTTGAACCAGGAAATAGGTCACTTCAAATTAAGCTACAATTTGAACTGTTACGTGGATCCAAGATCGCTCCCCCAGCGTTCTACATTTGTGATGTCAGTGAATTGTCTATTCCTAGCAAGTAGAATAGAATAGAACCGGTACTGGACTACCAAATCTAAATTGAGCAGAATCGCTGTATACGAAAACCAAAAATATATATCATTCAGGTATAACTAACAGAGAACCTGGCAACTCGACGGATCATGATAATTTGAATTTTAAATCAAGGTAAAGCAGCTATCAGTTCAGTTTAATCGACTTTACGGTATTCAGTCAGATCTTTACTTTAAAATCTTAGCATTCAAAAAAAATGTGGGATTTGTTTGGATGGTGTACGTATATGAGTGACAAAACTTTTTTGTAGTAGAAGGCTTATGTTCCTTCGGCTACAAAGCAAATGACGAGTGTGTGGCACATTTACTAACGTCAATGTTTAAATTTCGTCCAAACAGTCAGAGATATTTTGTCGTCTCTCGGTCTATGGAATAAACATGGTAAACTGTTGTTTTTAGGTTTAGACAATGCGGGCAAAACCACATTGCTTCACATGTTGAAAAATGACAGACTAGCCACTTTGCAACCTACTTGGCATCCAACCTCTGAGGAATTGGCCATTGGAAACATCAAATTCACCACTTTCGATCTTGGTGGCCATATTCAAGCCCGTCGTTTGTGGAAGGACTACTTCCCAGAAGTCAACGGCATCGTGTTCTTAGTGGACGCTGCAGACCCAGAAAGACTTAACGAAGCGCGCGTGGAGTTGGACGCTTTGTTCAACATTGCAGAGCTAAAGGACGTTCCTTTCGTCGTTTTGGGTAACAAGATCGATTCGCCAAACGCCGTTTCAGAGACCGAGTTAAGATCTGCTCTAGGTCTCTTGAACACCACTGGTGGTGCCAGGATCGAAGGCCAAAGACCTGTGGAAGTATTTATGTGCTCTGTGGTCATGAAGAACGGATATCTAGAAGCCTTTCAATGGCTCTCGCAGTACATTTAGAAACCGCCTGTTTGAGTTTGTAGGATATATACATGTACGTGTATAAACATATCACCTGTATTCAGGGCTTGAGCAGACCATGAATCGGCCAAATCAGGCGGTGCGACCAAGAAAGTTGCATGTTCCACTTCTTATCTACGTTTGTTGGAACCTCTGTCCGTACTCGAATCGGTGTGTTGTCTTTTCTTACCTTCGCCCTGGAAATATCTCTTCTTGCGCTCTTTGTCCTTTTCAGTTTTGATCTCCTCCAATTTGGCCAACTTCTTGAGCCTCTCCTTGCGTGCGTCTTGGTTCTTGACCTTTTTCTTCTCTTCTTTGGCACTCGAAACCGTGAGCACTTTTTGCATGAATGACCGTGCCTTCTTTTCCTCACCACCCAAAACGACAGCTCTTTTAGCCATGTAAGTCTTCTTCTTCTGGGGCTTCATTTGATGCACTTGGGACTTGAATGGAAGTGATTTTTGAATGGAGGAAGGAATTTTCAAACCATTGAAACGTCTCTCAGCACGCTCCACCTTCTTGTACGCGCTATCTGGATTCATTGGTGTTTCAAGATTCATGGCAGCTCTGATCTGGCCAGTGAGCCTCAAACCTTTCCATTCAGTCTTATTTTGTAGCAATAAAGATGTGACTGGGTTGTAAAACTTCTTGATATGGACGGGGTACCAACTTCTTAGCACGATGACATCGCTTAAAAGAATCTTGTCCTCAAAAGTAGCTCTGAAATGACCTTCAGGCTTTGATAATGCTCTCTTTATTTCACCTCGAATACCTGAAACAGTCTTAATCTGAGCACCCTCAAATCTTGCAACCTCCATAGCACTAGAAAACATATCCTTGATGAATGCAGTGTTTCTAAAAATTTTGTAAGGATATCCAACAAGCTTCAATTTTTTGACGATCTCGACACTAGCATCAATTTCCTCTACAATACCAGTCGCTGCTATTCTGAAGCTTCCAGTAGTGTCACTATTTGCAACGACCTGAATACCACAAAACGTTGTGTTCGGGGAGCATAGAGGCCCGTAAAAGCTGGCAAAACAGTAAGAATGCTCTGGAGTATATTTGAGCATCCTATTTCTTGTCCGCGAATCACTGGTTGTGTAAATAGGTAGAGTTTGAAATCTTCTCCAGCCCAAGGACAACACAAGCGGATCATTGGTTTTCAGAATCTTTTTGTGCCATCTATGTCTTCTAATTCTTGCTTTGATGATACCAAATTTCATTTCGGCAGGAAGCAGACCCCCCATGATAATGGGGTACTTAGGGTTGAAGTTTTCAACAAACTCCATGGGCAAATTGTCAAAAACGATCCGCACATAGGAACCTGCTCTGTAACCCTCAATTTTTTGACGTTGTTCAGGTGTCATATCCTCAAGCTCAGCATTATTAATCTCCATCTGCTTAGCCATCTTGGCCTTCTGAAGCTCATACCATGTATCGTATTCATTGTTAGGGTCTTCCTCCTTAAAATTGTCACCTTCTTCCATTTCGAATTGCAAACGTAGATTCTCCTTCTTTGCTGCATTCTCTTCTCTTTCTTGCTCTGTACTGAGTGACTTCTTTTCCTCCTTGTCGAAATCAGCAAATGATCCGTCGCTTTCATTACCATCGCTATCGTCATGCGACGTGTTGTCTTCATTGACGCCACTCTCAGCTCCTTCACCGTTCGTCTCTTCTAGATCTTCGAAGTCGCCATATGCCTCTTCATCTTCATCAGCATCGGCCACGCCTGTGGAGGGCGGTTTTGAAGATCCTATCAGTCTGTTTTTGATTCGATCCATATTAGGCCATTTCGCAATGAGCTTTTTAAACGTCTCAAAATGTGGTTTGAACTTTTCTAAATCGTCATCGGCACAAGATGCCGTAGTTCTCGTGGTATCCTTCTTCTGGAAAAAATCTTCATCTTCTTGCGATTCATCATCGTCTTCTGTGCCTTGATCAATTTCACCTTTCCATCTTTTGAGACAGTCTGATGGTGCGATATTGTCCATGTAGATGAGTTTGCCAATATCCCATTTCCTGCGTCTGTTATTCGAACCTTCGAGCTTTGAAGCTGTACTGTGTGTCCAAATATCTTGTTCGTGATCCGAAAGCTCAAACTCAGAGTCGGTATGAGCGTCAACGAAGTCGCCGTTTCCGGAAGGAAAATCTATGTTAACCATTTTCCTTTGACGAGATTCATCATCATCATCATCACCAAAATCACCATTCTCATCCTCGTCATCAGATGCTAGTTCGTCAACATCAGCATCTGCTTCTTGCACAGATTTGCCGTAAATCCTAGGTTTTCTCAGATTTTGTCTTCCAACATCAATGCCGTTATCGCTGTTCTCCTCTTCACTAGCCGAACTGTTCAATTGTTGATCATCAGCATGCAACTCCTGTCCATTGCTGAAAAGTTGCAACCCGACGCCATCGAAGCCCTCCGCAATACCTCTCTCAGCTGACTGAAGGCTGGTCACAAGCTTTTCACCTTCACCTTTCTCCTGACCAGGTACGAAACTAGCACCTTCTCCATTCTTCGAGCCGACGTCTATGAAAACGGCATCTTTGTCCATGAGAACGCCACCAACGTCGGACATTGGTGCATAGATAAGTTTTTGTTTATCGTCTAGCCTTTTCCGTCTGCGGGGCGCACCGGAACCGGCACCACCATCCTCTTTCATCTTTTCTCGTTCGTACTCATCCTGTTTTTGCTGAAAATATGGAGTTGGGCAGGGATCGGGCAATTTCTCAACATGCGAAATGGAATAGTCACCTACACCGGCCAGATGAACGCGGGCCCCAGCCATAGCAGGTAGAGCAGATCCATGTAAGTAACCGTATAGTGCCACTTTTCTATCAACGTGTTTGCCCTTGCTCTCCAATAATTGCGGATGTGTGATGTCTGTCAGACGGTCTGCTAATAGATATGGATGTTCATTTCTCCATTTCAGTGGTCTGAACTTCATGACAGAAATGAATCTGGACAAGTTCAAGATTTCACGATCTGGATAACGACCATTTACAACACCTGAAAGGTAAAATAGTTTGGCACCTTGGTATACTTCGGTCCAAAATCTGTGTTTTAGTCGCTTCTTGGAAGCTCTCAAGGTAGATTGCGATTTAAACAGATCTAAATGCGTGGCAACTCCTAACACACGAGGCATACCGTGGTGCTGTGCAAGATTCAAAAATTCCATGGTTTCCATTTCAAAGCCGAAATTACCGTCCATCATAAGTAAAACCAGGTCTGCGACCTTGGCCACATCGACCATTGAGTTGAGATCGTCGGCAGGACACTCAAGAAAAGTTAATCTTCTTCTCTTACCGGAAACCACAGTGATGGGCCCGTTAACTTCTGTGAGTGAGGATTTGGTCATCCTTCTTACAAGAGACTTTATTAGAGTGGTCTTACCAGTTCCTGGGGGTCCCACCACGGCAACGATCACTGGTGGGGGATCATCTTCTGGGGTCCGATCGACCATCGGAACGTGAAGCTTTCTCTCATTTACGTCGCTTGTCCTCTGCATGGCCTTGGCCATTTTGCCCGGAGCTGACACGGCGAACGCTTTGGCATTGTGGCCTTGCGTATGCAATTTTTTCTTGGCTGTTGCCTTATCCCTCCCCTTCCTGTGCTCTTTATTGGATTGCTCCATCGTAAAGTGAGGTATGGAAAGCGCTTATTGACCAAGACTTCTGATGCGATGCAATGCGATGAGATGAGATGAGGTGGAGATGTACATTGATGTAATTTTTTCCCATTCAAAATTTTCTGTCAACAGCCAGAGCAGGTGATGAAACCCATCGAAGGTAAAACAAAATCTCACGCGATAATCACATGCCACAACCAGTAGCGTGACTATCACGTTTTAGCCGCGAAGCCAGAAATCCTTTTCCGTGAATAGTGACAGACCGACCACAAAAGCGAAAATAGAACCTCCACCCCTTGAACGCGCTTTTTCAAGATCTATACAAAAAGGCGGAAGAAAGTGGAAAAAGGAGCGATTTTCAGGGTCTCCAGAATCCAAGTTCAACGCACCTAGTCTGTCATTCAGAGTTCGCACTTTTCGGGATCTTTTCTCAACTTTATTTTCGTGTATTCTGACGCGATGTCAATAAGGGTTGTGACCATCGCTTGAAGCGCGGCAAATAAGACCAAATGCATAGTTCAAGATACTATCCGTCAAAAAACATCGATCTGGTTCTATCCTGACTCTCTCGGAGCCTACCTTTGGTTTAGAGTCGCGGCTTTTATACCTTGGCGTCAATCAAAAAGTGGTGTATATTAGAGATGGGTCTGATATTAATTGTAGCTTTTATACACGTCTGCGTTTGTAAATACAAATTTAAAAGAGACTGATTTTTTAATCCATAAAAGCCGACTGTTGATAAAAGTTCGAAGAAAGGCATTCACCATAGCTGTTGCATTCTAAAATAAGGCAGCGTTACTGACTCCTAGAGCGTGGATACAAAGTTGGCAGTAACTTACGATAGCTATCATGGTTCTATACAAACGTAAACCACTGGTGTTGCCAATCCCTGGACCTTTACCTGCAAACATCAACGTTAAAGTTTGGCACATCAACGAGACGGGAGAATGGTTCCCGCGATACACAGACTACTTGGAACGAATGGATTTCTACATGAGACGTCAGTTTACGTGTGAGATCACCGGATCTTCGTTTTTAACGTTTTTCGAGGCCCTTAACAGCGAGGAAGCCGAGTTTCGGCTGGTTGAGGAAAAATTCCCTCTCAAGCTACGGGAGCCCGTGGCGAAATTCATGCACTTCAATGAAATCGGGCGAGTGGATTTGCTCGTGGAACGCACGCATTCTCGATTTAGAAATGACTTCTACCCAGGCGAAAGAGTGTTTTTAAGACGCAAGAACGACAGAACAGCAGAAGAACCAGCCACAAATGGCCATAAACCCTACGTTATCAAGGAAAAAGCCAGTTTCAATGCAATTTTCGACGTAACGGGCTCGAAAGTCGTCAAACCGGCTTTTTCGAAATACATGATAACCGAAGAGTTTGGGATCAATTCACTCATGGTGGACCAGAACGACATCTACAGAGATCGCACAACTTTCACAAAACACTTAATTAAATGTTTCTGCAAAATTACTCTGAGAAGGACTTCAGCCAAAAGTGGAGCACCATTGTGCGTCAAGGACGAATATCTCGCCATGTATGGATTAACCATGGACTGGCCGGCTTCCATGTTAAAATACAAAGACGAGGTTCCAGATCCTCGCTCTTCGCGACCCAACAGCCAGCGGACCCAAAATGGCGCCAAGTCATCGCAGCATCCACAACCTTTTCCAGACACTAAGAGACCCACTGACAGCATAATTACTGGACAAGATAATAAAAAGCCAAAGTTCGCGCTTGAAAAAGAACTAAGTCCCTCACCGGCACCCTTCATAGGCGATGACAGGCCCAAGCCTTATAACGGACCCAATCCAGCTATTGCCAATGCATTTTACTATAATAAGGACCTGGACTATATTCCGGTAAAGCATCCGGGCAAACGATTTGCCTACACGTATAAACTGTTGGAAGTTTTTCAGTTTTGTCAAACGTTCAGTAAAGTGTTATTACTGTCACCGTTCAGCTTGGACAGCTTTGTTAAAAGCTTACAGGCTACGGACATCAAGACTGCAGCTACTTTTGTTGTCAAAGGCAATATCAATCCATCGCTACTTGATAAACCCTCCAGTCATGAATCACCGGCGAAGAATGGAAACAATACCCAGAATACCGCTGTAGAGCATGCAGAGAAGCGAAAACCGGGCCTCTGCCACTTTATCGAGGATCATAGCTCATCATATGCCCGTTTCGAAATATCTACATCTAACGAACATGACAGCATTGCAGTTGATGATATCGATTGTCGTGGGCCATCATTGCTCTTAGAGTGCTTTGTTGCACTTGAGCGTCTTTTCATCAGCGAAAACGGAGATTGGAAGTGCATGGTAATGGACAAATGGTACGACGAAGATGAACTAGTTGGAAAATCAGCAATGACCGATTCAGTCAAATCCGATCCTGAAGACAATCGGGAAGAAGATGTTGTTGCTCACGCAAAAAAGGAAGATGATGCCTTGAATGATCCTGAAATAGACGAACTACTGGAAAGGTGTCTGAATTTTCGTAAGATCTCTTGGACAGAACGCTTATCCAAAAGGCAGTTCAAAAATGGATTATGGATCATAATCTTGCTAGGAATTTTCCAAGATTGTATGCACATACCGACGTACACAAAGTTTGCACACAAGTTTATCAGAGCTATCGTTCCATCTGAAGGCTCTGCAACAAACTTAAACAAAGTTCTCTGGCTGAATTTTTGCGAAAAGTTGAGTTTGGAGGATAAGGTTTTCGCTTTATGGATATTGGTGGATATAACATCCAACTTTTCGCAGGAGATCAGGAGCTACGTCGAGGATACATTAGACGTATGCACTCAAATTCGAAGCGAAAAGCTCAAGTTGTCGAGGCGACTAAAATCCGAACTTCAGGATTTGTCGCAATTGTCAGTACCGCCCGAAGGATCGATTGAAGTACAGGAAGAAATCGATCAGCATCAAGCCACGATCGATAAAATAAATCGAGACAGAAGGTATTTAACCGAGAAATTAATTGAAAATGATGTCCGAAGATTGAGGGCTTTGGGCGCAGACAGAAATGGAAACAGGTACTACTGGCAAGAATTAAGTGGTGTTCAGAGGTTTCGAGAAGATGATCTTCCAGATATCGGATCTGGTAGGCTGTGGGTTCGGGGAACTAGCGTTAGAGATTCAGAACGGCTTTTCAACATTCCTCAGGACCGATTATCCGCCTGGAAAAAACTGGCCACCGAAAACTCGATATCTGTGGCAAATGCCAAAATATTTCGAATAAGAAGAACAGATGAAGGAGCTGTCATTGATGAGAGCGCTGATGAAAACTCAACAATAATTTTTGCCGATGGGAAGGTTAACTATGCTGTTATCGATACTTGCGCACTTTACAAAAAAATCATAGATGAGACACCGGAGCAAGCATTGTTAAGTGACTCTCAATGGGTGGCTATCGAGAGGCCTGATGATATCAATGAGCTAATTTCATGGTCTTCAGAATATGGGAACAGCGATCAGGCTCTACCTAAACAACTAAGGGCAATCAAGGAATCTTTATTGAAAAGTTTGGGGCGGCGAAAAGAACAACTTTTCACCGTGGTAGAAGTTGCAGCTTTCAAGCGTTTAGAAGAAGCAATGAATCAAAATGTGGTCAGCGAAAGCGAACTTGAGCAATGCCAGGTAAGTGGACAAGAAAAACAAGTTGTAGATGACGATGATGCGCTTGAAGAGATTGTTACAGAGATAATGGAACTTGACGATGGGTCTCAAACCGAAACCTCACTCAAGAGAATCAGAGAACTCGAAGAGCGTCGCGATTATATCCTCAATGCACGCACATTCAAAGACCACGCAGATAGGCAGCAATCGAAAGCTCTTCGGAAAGCGACATTCAATACCATTACGGAAAAAGTCAAAAACCAGGAAGCTGCTCTGGCATCCTACATGAATGATGTGGTTCAAAATGCAAACCCGGCAGAAAAACTGTGGAGTAACGAACTGGCCAGAAGTTTATGGAACACCTCCCTGTATCTTGGGGCCAGTGGAAAGCCCATCGTCCGTAATAAACTTTCGGTGAAAGAAAGAATGACTGAGATATTTGATGGAATGACAAGCTCGCCCCAAAAAAAATCCTGAGCAAGGGAAAAATAACAACATTTCTCGAATGCTCATTGTTCCTTCTTCCATGCGAATTTGGATTGCCGGCATTCTTTTCAGACTAGAGTATATCTTTGAGGGCTCACTGACGTTCGTCTCACCAATCACATGATCTCACAAATTTTTCAAGGTTGTTACTGTAGTTAACCAAATTAGGCGTGTGTGGATGAGAGAGATGGACGAATATCAACTTCAGAAAGACGATGAGACATTGCTGAGATCGAAATGCTCAGTTATAATGCGTCAAACGGTGCCAAAAATCTGTTGCATTCTTTTAGAAGTGTAAAGTTTCCTAATACGTTTCGCTCTTTCAATTACAGCACCAATACGAATAAAATTAACAAGGCTAGCGATCTGGAGTCCCCAGAAGAGCTGACTTTGAAATCACACTTGAAGTCAAAGCCTATTGATTACACCAACAACGCACCCGTAAACCCCAAGAAGCAGCGTCCTTTGCTTTCAGACTCCAAATACGAATCGAAGCTGTATCAGCTGCCAAAATGGAAAGAGGCACTGGGTGAAATTGTGATCAAAGGATTCAATCTCGACATGGACAAAGTCAGAGCTGGGCCTGTGGCTGGATCTTACTACTACGCCATGTGTAAAGAGCAGGGACTTCAGTTCGAAAATGAGCCATTGTCTCCTACGGCCAAGTTCTTTTACGAGGATCTAAAGCTGCCACGTACCTTTTCTCAATGGTTTCAGGTTACGATATTGCATGAATGGATTTTATTTGTCAGAATGCGTGCTATGCCGTTTAAATATGGCAAAAATTATCAGCAGAAGCTCGTGGACAGAACTTTCACGGATATAGAATTAAGGCTTTTTGACGAAATGAACGTCAACTCTAGTCGGATCGCGGACCAATATCTTAAGGACTTTAATTCACAACTTCGCGGTGCTGTTTTTGCCTACGACGAAGGGTTTTTTACGGACGACTCAACTCTAGCAGCTGCAATCTGGAGAAATTTGTTTGGAGGAAGGAAGAACGTTGATATGGTTCACCTCGAAGCAATGGTGAGATATGTTCGCGCGCAGTTGTACGTGCTCAGTAAAATGTCAGACCGAGAATTTGCAATGGGTGGGTTCAAATTCGTGCCACCAGACGAGACTGTCCACCAATTGTCAGCTCAACAAGAAGAGGACATGAAAAAAGCGGTTGTTGAGAAATATGAAGCAATGGACAAAAGAACTGATTTGTTACCAAGTGAGCGTAGCAAATTATCATACGAAAACTAACCTCTGAGGACAATTTATGAAGCATATTTAACGTTGTAAATAGAACAAAAGCTTGGTATCAAATCGAAGAGGTTTTTGCAAACCAAGTAGAAGGATCATTCTCCGTTAACATATTGTCCAAAGCGTCTATCAGGTGAGCTTGAAAACTGCCGCTGCCTTTGCATTTTAACGAGGCAGTATATCCAGCTGACTTGTACATAAGAACCGCCAATAGAACGCCGCCGAAAATGTCTTCTTCAACAGTAATACCTCCTATCAAGCACGCAATTGTTGTTCCGAGAGAGCAACCACTGGCGGTGATTTTGCCCATAACTGGGATATTACCGGCTTCCACAATACGAGCAGGAAGCTGAGATGGATTAGAATCGGACCCGGTGGACAAATTGAACTGTCCAAAATTCAGGCCGTTGGCCACAACGTCGACTTGACCGGTACAGACAGCGACACAACGGTACCTGAAAGCAACGATTTTGGTGGCAGCCACAAGAATGGAAATATCAGATCCGGTATGTCCAGAGTCTACCCCCCTCATCTTGCCCACATTCATGTCCGCTAGAGATAAAATCTCACCAGCGTTTCCTTTTATGCACGCGAACTGCCCCTCTTCAAGTAAATGTCTGTTCAGTTGCAAACGGACCGAAGTGGCACTGAATCCAACAGGATCGAACACTATAGGCCTTTTGGCTTCATTGTATGCCCTCACTGCACTTACCAAAGTCTCCAAAGGAGCAACTGAGCCAGTATTCAAGAGCAGGGTGGCATGTGGCATATTGGATAGCTCTGTAAATTCAGGTTCAACTTCAGACATTATAGGTGAGCACCCCAGTGCTAATGCTACGTTGGCACCAAAATTTTGATGTACTTTGTTGGTGATATGATGGATTAGGGGCGAGTTTTGCTTAGTGGACTTGATGCGTTCCTGTAACCACCAGGAGAAAAGGCAGATTTCAGAATCCATACCATCTACAAAATAGTAGCTGCGGGCATCGATGATACTGCGAAGCCGCTTTGCTGCTTCTCCGGCTTCCGTTGAAGCCATTATGTCACTGACTACCGCAATACCGTCCAGACTTCTTTTCCCATCTTCAGAGCATACTTGGTAAAGAACTCTGGAAATGTTGTTGGGATGCAGACCACCTATACCCACCGTTCTGCACCAGGTAGCATTCGATGCTTGCATAGCATCCAACAATTTGGAGACTCCTCTTGGGCCCATTGGAGATTTTTTGGCATTTTTTTTGGTCTCCGTGGGGAAAATCATTCCTAACCCCACATAGTCGACGTATTGTGGTCCCATGGCTGCCAATTCTTGAACTTCGTGCTCGTAACCCACGCTCCATCCTATGATTTTGTCAGGACCAAGCAATTTACGAACCATAGCAATTGGCATATCGTCCTGACCCACATGAACACCATCAGCATCAATTGCAAGGGCAACGTCCACACGGTCATTGATGATCAAGGGAACATTGTGCTGACGACAAAGTTCTTGAACTTTCAGAGCTTCCTCGATAAAGGTTTTCGTATCTGTTTCTTTCTCACGCAGCTGCACCAAAGTGACCCCATTTTCCAGCGCTGAATTCACCTGCGAAACCAAAGTGGCCCCTGGAGGCAACATAGTCGAGTCAGTCACCAAATACAGCGAATAGTCCACTTTCGACTTGTCCATCATCTTTCTATATCGATTAAAATGCCAAGAAACGGTTTAAGTTGACAAAGAGAATTTCAAGACAATAAGGTATTGTTTCTGTTGATAGCTAGTCCTGATCCTTTAATCATCATCGATGGGTCTTGAGAGTGGAGACTCTTCCAGTGGTCTTTATATGATCAGAAGTTGGGTGGATCGATGCTAACGGTTTCCTTCTGGATACCAATTCGACATATAGGATACTTCATTAATTCACTGACAGTGAAATAAGTGGGTTGATTCGGATCACGAATTTAAAATCCGGATACCTAAACGAATCACAAACGGATCACAAACGGATCACAAACGGATCGTAGTTCTGTACGGAGCGGGTTGCTATTCGGATCTTGTGAATTATTGTTCGGACTTCAAAAAATCACAACGGGTTCCAAAACGGATCACAAATAGCGAAACACAGAAACTTTCGGGAATTCGAAACATTAAAGGGAAATGTAGTCATTTTGTTTACATAATTGCTTGCCCTGACATCTCAATGATTCACCCTGATACGTGTTTGAGATGTAAAACGGATATCTCTATTTACGCCTTCCTCTGGCAAGAGTCGTGCTATGTCAAACTAGCACTAGCTGTTCTAACACATGGAGAGGTTTCTGATTCATTGTAGAATCCAGCCATTTGGTCCTTTCGTGTTACTTCTTACACTCACCGTTCGAAATTTTTTTAGTAGGTTTCACTTCATGATGATGCCGAGTGTGACGCTACACTCTAAGCCATAAGACGTCAAATAGTGGGACGGTAAACTGGACGTCATGGAAAACAAAAATGCCAGGCATAATCAACCTGTGCGTACTTATCAGACCCACAACCAAAACAGGCATCTGACATGTGATGCAGCGCATAGTTCATTTACGTTCTCTCAATACAACGAACACGGCACTTGAAAGACATTTCTGTCAGCTCAAAATTTTCAGACACGTTCGATTGAGGATTTAGCACAGCATTCCCGGATAAGAAGCTCACAACGAGTATACGCCCTTCAATTTTTGGCTCAAATGTGTCATGGTTGTATGTTTGGTTCTAAGCTGGAGGTCACGTGATGAAGCTTTTAACGGGTTGATAATGTGATACAAGGCGGACAGTGACAAATTTTCGTCTCAAAAATAACACTCATTGGTCGTTCGCCCCGTCGTTCGCCCCATAACCGTGTTTCTTGACACCTATTCAAGGGTTTGGTGTACCCTCAAGTGGTAAGCTACTTCAATTGGCGTCATTTTTTACGCATCCGTCGTTGTCATCATTGATTCCCATAAAAGATAGCGGACTCAAGAAACATGTTCAAGTGTACTAGAAGACCACATCTTGACTAAACAAGCCGTGAGAAACCTCACCTTTGGGTAAAGATAAATTTCCCGCATCAGACATCACTTTGAACGCGTGTGTCATTAAATTTCACCATAGGTCAAGCTTGAAGTGAAGACCTCAGAATGCCATAGCTGACCATTACTTAAAGCCAGCGACAAGATCTCACCGCTCAAGCAAAAGCTCAGATAAAGGCATCTTGCGGCCTCAACGATCAAAGTAATCAGTGTCAAGAAGAACTCACCTCGTCTAACGTTATCTAATTAACTTTCTGTCATGTTCCACGAAGAACGTCTTGATCGCTCCTCTAATAAGTTCATGTGTGGATGCTCTTTCCACATTAATCTGCTACGTGGACTGTGGTCTCAGCGACGATGAAGTTGACTCCAGGAGCTCTTATAGACGCTCCTCAATACTACAATAACATTGGAAATGGAAAGTACGATACAGAATTGACTGTGGTTCTGCGAGACCTTCACTTAGAAAATGATAACGAAGCGATGCCTGCAGTGTTTGGAAAATATCTGCCGAGTGCAACGCAGATTCTAGATCTAACCAATAACGATCTAACGTTCATCCCAGATCTGCGAGGTAAAACAAGCATAAAAACGCTACTTTTATCTAGAAACCGAATTCATGATATTAATGGCAGTTTCCTACCGCGTCATCTGCGCAGTCTGGCTCTGGCTAATAACGGTATTTCGAAACTTGAGGACCTCAAAGGACTGCGAAAAAGTCCAAAAACGCTTCAAAATTTGATTTTGAAAGGAAATCAGGTCTGTTACCTCGAAAACTATCGAATTTACACACTTTCCCTGATTCCACAATTGCAGACGCTAGATTTTACCAAGATTAGCGACGAGGAGCGTCGAAAGGCTAGTCTTCTGAAGTTATCTGCGTCAAGCAATGAGAACAAGGCCGAACAGCGAATAGATCAGGCGATTGAAACGCCTCGCGATAAAGAAGGTGAGATTATGGGCATCGTTCTCGATAAAATGGACACAGACGTTCGCGAAAATTTAAAACAGCAGCTGGCCAACGCAGCAACGCTGGAAGAAATGGAGAGAATCGAAAAAATTCTTACCGGAGGCATATAAAATATTAGAAACAAATGCATATCTAAAAAAACTAATGTTACAACGAAGGAAAATGAAAACTCATGCTAGCTTGATTCTGCGATTCGAGTATTTTTGTCTAGTGGGCTCTGTACCACAACAGAGGTGATTTCTGGCCGTAGTTCCGAGCCCTCAACTTTTACGGTTTTCGCCTTCTTAAGCCCCTTCACAGACCCTGGTGTTCGAGATCTCTTGCCTCGAGGTGTCGGGATATTCGAAGGACCTGATCTATCAATGTAAATATCCTTGAAAAGTTCCTCTCTCAATTCCAGTACAGAAAGTCTCTCCAAGTGGTCGTTCTCGTTCTCACTCTCTTCCTCGTCGGAAAGCAAGCCCCTCTCTATATCTGCAATTTTGTTGTGGCACGAATAACATACATTCCCATACCAATATATCGAGCTTTGGCAGTTACATTGCTCACACCGCTTCATTTCACTTACCAACGATTCCTTACTTTCCGAATCGATACCGTCATTTGATGCACTAATCAATTGTCCCAAAGTTTTAGCCGCCGTTTCAGCAACTGTCATTTTTATAGGTTGGGTCTCGAAGATCACCGCATTCTTGTAGTTTTTGCAATAAACTTCTAGCAGTGATACTCCGAGTTTAGTTCTATAACCCAAAGGTAAATGATTGGCAAACGATATCTGATCATGATTAGGACAAACCAGGACCGGCCTGATCTTCCAGAGTTCACCATAAATTTCTACCACCCTTGCTTTATCACCAAGGAGACTCGGCCGCACTTTATCAAACATGAACTTGTAGCCTGGTGCATCTTGTGCACAAGTAACATGAGACCACAAAGGACAGCCAGTACACTTGACAAGCCCGCCACCATTGCCACCACAAATAGAGCAAATATGGCAATCACCTCTTAACAAGGTGTCGTTAATATTGCTTGCGCATTGCAGCTTAGCCAAAGCATTGTAGGCAATCTCATCATTGAAAAGCGAACAGCTAACGTGGGACCATTCTCCCGTGGCGGTAATCTTCAATGCATCTGGCACTGACTTTTTAGTAAGCATCCGACCACCTTCATTATCTAGTTCTCGAGCATTGCAGAGACAGCACTGATAATTGTCCACGACAATGGGATTTAGTTCATTGGTACAAGGATCACATAACCAATGGTAGTCTCTAAGTGGGATTTCCTGCTCAATTTCCTTACTTCGCTCAGGTACCTCAACTCCGTAACAAAAGTAATGGACATTGAGGCCACAATTTCGGCACAAAATTTCTTCGTCTCGATCTCCAACGAATTTCAATTGACAAACGCAACAAAAATCGCGTTTTTCAGCGGCGTTATCACTTTCCGTTTTACTGCTGACAGAAAATGGCGATTTCGCACGTCGACCCAAATGGTTCGAAACCAAACGATTTGAGTTCGTTGTCATTTTTTGAAAGTTTTCATAATTGAGCTTCGGAAGCTTTCCTTGAGACCATTCATGGTAGAACGGATTGTGCGTATGGTACGCCTCTAATATTTTTGGAAGGCTTCCATCAGGAATGATAGGTACATTAGAAGCGTTAGTAATCTGAAATGCAGAGAAATCTGAAGGTTTTACCTTATCCTTCGCATGTGTGCTTCCATATTTCTCGTTCCCAACAGCAGTTCTGGGTTGCGATTGGCTAACAGGGCTTTGCGAGGGATGTTCAAATTTGACAATGTACAAGAAAAGATCATCAGAGAGTCGTAAATTTTCGAAACAATCGTCAACCTTAATTTCACCCATTTTTCTGCTATCTTTACCCACAAATACATCCACTAACTTGTCACCACTCGGAACGGTAATTTCGTGCTTGATACTTGGATCCTCCGTCGTCTCTTTCAGTAACTTTTTCGTGCCATTTTTGATATATGCTTCAGCGGATGCTATTTGAGCAGTATCGCGAGGCCGAACAACATTCTTCACAGGTGTTTGAATTATAGCTTTAGGTCGGTTCTTTTCAATTTTTGCCCGTTCTTGTTTTGTTTTTTCCTGTCTTTCCTTTTTACGGGCTTCTACAACAAATCCGCTGACAAGCTTTTCTAAGAGTTGTATCATTGTATCGTCTGAGTGGCTGTCTTTCTCAACTAGACGTCTCACCACTTTATTAAGCTGCGCATGTACTGAGAGGCAATTGCGTTTCATTTTCGCGAGTCTTTCGGGATCACCTATTATATGCAAGCGCTGTTTGATTATCAGCTCTGAATCTTGCACCAACTCCCATTCCACACATTTTTCAGCCAGCAAATTTGGCAGCACCTTCACACTTGTGTCATCAGAGTCGGTGAGTAGTAGGTCTAAAGCGGCCCGCACGCTTGAGGAATATTTCCCGTTCAACTTCTTGACAACATCCATAGGACTATTCCACTTGACGGCGTATCTTCTCCATAAGCGGGCACATCTGATGCAAAGAGCCTCTAAATGAGTATTAGAGTTGCTATGGTGTGTCTTTCTCGGTAGTTTGTCTGATGTGGACGTTTTCTCATTCACGCCTGTAATCATTCTAGTCTTGATATGGTCGTCGTCACAGCCACCGGTTACACGAAACCATAGCGGAGAATAGTCCACTTCGCAAAACATACATTTGAAGTAAGTTTTGAGCGTTGAGATCTTCTCAGAGTCAAAGGAGGAATCATCAATATGTTTCCACTCTTTACTTGCGGCAGTTTCGTTTTCTCGTGAGATCTTCGAGGGTTTTCGAACACGTTGCGTTTTATTTGTGTCTTCTGTTTTCTTCTTAGTTCCCAAAAGGCCCTTGTTTTTATTCTTCTTCCTTCCTTCAAAGTTGCCCCAAATTCTTCTCCCATTGGGTGTCTTCTTCCAGTAGTAATAATATCGCACAATCATGGCCATTGGTTGGGTACTGACGTCCTTAAAAACATAATGTAATTCACTTCCATGCTTAGCAACTCCCTCTTCGAACTTAGTTATCTCGGCCTCAGTGAAAGTTGGCTCTCGAAGGGTGTCTCTACTAATCTTTTCCCTGCATGCTTTTAGCGCGACTGCCGATTTATAATCGTTCATCATCAAAATGTTGAGTATCATGTCCCAGAAGTTACATGTTTGCGGTACGATATCGAGTATCGGTGGGAACCTTGTCTGACACTCTTCGACATAGTTATTCAGCTCAATTTCGGTTAATTTATTATCGTCATTTTTCCATAGAATAATGCTCTCATCATCTGCTCCTCGCTCACCCGCTTTGTCCTCGTACGGCTTCGGCTCCCAACTATCGTCTTCACATCCATTCCACTGATATTTAGAACCCGCTCGGAGCTTTTTGATGGGAAATGGTAGTAAAAGTTCTGGTGATAATACATCCATTAGATTATGGACAACCTTGGAACCCAAGTAGTGAAACCATAGATTCTCTTGTAGTCTCGCTAAGCAGGCAGATTGATCAAAGTCTTCTAATTGCCAATCAATGGGCTTCCAATGATCGTTCTCGGACCGAATGTCAGCTTTATTGATGCACCTCGAACAAACCCAAATGACACCTTTTGCCGGTCTTCTTTCTAGCGGTGGATCCAGACAGTACAAATGCACTGTAATGTGACACTCGTCGCATCTTACGCATTGAGATTTCTCGCACCAATCCCCACATTCCACGCATTTTAGATCCCAATTTCGTTCATCTGGTAGCCTTTTGCCAAGTACATACTTTTGAATCACTTGTTTCAGAGGGTATTGTTCTTCGACAAAGACAAAAGGGTAGAGTTCGGCAACGGTGGAAAGATACATTGAAGAAGGCGATAGAGGCAGAAGTTGCCTTTTAGTATCCCAAACGTCGTAGTACTGTAGTGTGTACCTATCAAATAGCTGCTCGTAATAAAATGTGTTCGGTTTCATGAGAGCGTCAAGTGCCGCTTCTTTTGATTCTTCTAAGTTAGGTCTATGCAACACAGTGCATTTCCCGCGGAATGAATGTAATGGGCACGTATCCATGTGAAGTGAAGCGTAAAGTAATCTGGGACTGACGTTTAACGCTTTTTCTTGAACGTCTCGCGGTCTATAGTACCAATTCATTTTTGCCACGAAATATCTAGCCGGAAAGACACTTGTATACTTCTTGCCCTGTTCGATGAGGTGACTGAACTCTGCCTTGGGCACAAATTGTACAACTCGGCCGATATAGTAAGGTTCCCCGGGTGGTTCCGAAACCATATAAATATGATCATTACGCTTGAAAAGCACTGAACCTCCATTGCTTAGAATATCGCTCTTTACATCGATCACGGCATTTTCCAATTCTAATATGTTTGAAAAACGGCTGTGCTTTCTAAAAGTAGCTGGAAGTGACGGTATAAAATTCCAGGCTGTGGTTTTATCATTCAAATACTCCTGGTACTTCGTTTTCGGTACTTTTATTTTGTTCGCAGCAGACGTAGAGCTGGCTTCTCTATTCTTTTCCATCAGTTGAATGCGTCGAACGACGTCCTCATCGGCGTCCTTTTCATTATAATTAACCTTTCGAATGGCTCTTCTTCGATTGGGAACCCCAGGCTCTTTCGTCATCGTGAATTTCGAGCTCAGTGATGTGTCTGTTGGAAATGCTCTAATCTGAGATGACCTTAGGTCATTAAAGTAGGTCAATTTCTTATATAAACTCTTCAAATATGTAGATATCTTTGTCACGCAAAAATGGTTGCCGAAAATGGTTGAAATAGTCCTGGATTCTTAGGATGAAATCGATAACTTTGAGAGTTTTTTTGCAGCTTCGAAATTGTTGGCCAAATGAATTTTGAGTGCGAGATCGATCAGCATTGTAATACACAAGAGGTCTTAAAATGAGAATATGAAGTGGAAACCGAACTACTGAATTCAAGATGATATTTTGAGACAATGAACGTTTACAACGGGTTGTAAGATGTGTTCGAAATGAATAATTGTGTTTTTTTTACACTGGCAGCATGACTCTTGTAGTAAGCGTTTGCTGACGACAAGAAGCCATTCGAATGCCAAATCGTGTTAAGGAGTAAATTCTACTAACACTGTTTTTTTGGTCGAAAAGGTGGATAGCATAATACCTGAGAGATGGTTGAGACCTTTTTTTCACGTTCGAAAAGATACAAATTGTTGTTTTGACAAGGCTATTAGTAACCTGGCAAAACCTTGTTGACGACCTTTAACTTCCATGCAGTATCTATTCTTATGAGGTTCCACATTGCGCAAGATATCTGACAATTGTTGAAATAAAATTTGATTTTACAGAAGAATGGCAATTGATACGGTGCCGTCACCGTGAAATCGTGAGCCGTCTTTCTACGTTTTCTTTTTGTAGCGAACGAAAAGAATAGTACCGGTGTTCAATTCGCGAGACGTATCAAAATGCGTGTTTTGGTCTTCAAATCAGGCATAGTTTTTTCGAGTACAATTTTTGAATAGTACCGTCGTGCTAACACCATGTAGGAAAAGTCTTGGGTTGTATGGTTTTTTTCTATGGAAACACTGTCGTTGAGCAAGCAAACAAATAACACAGCTGAGACCCAGAGTTTATATTGGCATGTAACCAAAAAAAGTAGAAGCATGTGGATCGGCCGACGCATCGAAATAAGAGAAAGCTTGAACTTTGAAGTCATGAAAACAACACAGTTGCACCAGTGACTGACCAAAGATAATGTACAACCACACTACAATTACCAAATGGTTGAAGAATAATAAAAACTGGAAACTATCACTATTATCCGTTGCGTCGCCGACACTTGGTAGGAAAGAGTGGTGTACGTTCAAATTGTTACAACCAAAACCAGGACTTAAAAAAGTCTAAAGCCTCGAATAGCCAATCTTATACTGTTCCCCAATTCTTTTGTATGTTGCTGTCTTTTCGTCCTTGCTACGTTGTCATCCTCTTAGATATCCGATTCATCCAGCGACACCAGCGTGTAAAGTGATGTGACCAATGATGCAACAAATAAAAAGCTGTCGTCATTCCAAAAAATCTATTTCTCTACTCTAAAGTATGGGAGATAGCGCTAGATTTCTTGTCTGTCTCGAATTTCCCCCCATACTCTCTCAATCCGTCCATCTTTCAGCAACTTTGTTCTATAATGACATCTGTCCAAGCGTAATTTACAGCAAGATTTCCTCAAGCCCACGAATAAACCCGTGAATCGTTTAATAGCTTCCATGAATGCTAAAATTCAAACAAGTATATGGAAAATCTTTAACTGGAGTACACTCCTCAGAAATATTTGTTAAACATAGTGGTAAAGTTAGTTGCACGTGACCGTCACAACGTCCAATTTACTCTAGCCACTGGTGATAATATCACCTATCACCAACAAAAGTTACGATACCGTCTTCAAACTCAGGACTGTGAAGCTGATCTAGGCTCTCACGACTCTTCAATTAGCTCTATCAGCGGTAAAAAGTATAGCCATGGACAGCAGAGTGTCTCCCGAAATTCCCGGGATCAGGCTCCCGGCTAGTGTAATGCAAGATATTCGAATGTTGGTATGCAAACTGTTGAACAGTCCCAAACCTACCAAGACATTTCCCGGCTCACAACCGATCAGTTTCCACCACTCAGATATAGAGGAGAAACTCTTGGCTCAGGACTACTACGTATGTGAAAAAACTGATGGATTGAGAGGACTGATGTTAATGGTAATCAATCCGGTAACTAAAGAGCAGGGCTGCTTTATCATTGATAGAGAAAATAACTATTTCCAAGTCTCCGGGTTTCGGTTTCCAAGACTGCCTAAACAATCCCGCAAAGAACTTTTAGAGACGTTTCAGGACGGCACACTTATCGATGGTGAACTGGTGATCCAGACAAACCCTGTGACGAAATTGAAAGAGCTGCGATATCTGATGTTCGACTGTCTTGCTATCAATGGCCGCTGCATAGCTCAATCCCCAACAAGTTCTCGACTGGCTCATCTTGGCAAAGAATTTTTCAAGCCCTACTACGATTTGCGCTCGTTGTACCCTGCACAATGTAGCACGTTCCCATTCAAAATCTCTATGAAAGTTATGAACTTTAGTACAGATCTTTCGAAGGTTGCACATTCTCTTGATAAGCTTCCTCACGTATCAGATGGACTTATTTTCACTCCCGTCAACACGCCCTATACTATCGGTGGGAAAGATTCATTACTGTTGAAATGGAAGCCCGAGGAAGAGAATTCTGTTGATTTCAAGATGATCCTTGAAATTCCTTTGGCTGAAGATACCTCCTTACCCAAAAACGATGCAAATCGTTTTTATCATAACTATGAAGTCAAACCATCATTCCACCTTTACACATGGCAAGGCGGTGCAGACGTCAATGCAAGATTACAAGCTTTTGACCAGCCATTTTCTAAGAAAGAGCTTGATCTTCTCGATAGAACGTACAAGAAGTTTGCAGAGCTAGAAATCAGCAATGAAAAGTGGCAGGAACTGAAATCACTTGACGAGCCACTCAATGGAAGGGTTGTGGAATGCACGAAAGACCAAGAGACTGGTGTTTGGCACATGCTTCGATTTAGAGATGATAAGCTGAACGGAAATCACGTCTCGGTAGTAAAGAAGGTTTTAGAAAGTATCAGCGATTCTGTTAAAATAGAGGATCTCGAGGAGGCAACCACAAAAATGAAAGAAAACTGGCAATTGCGACATTCAGACCGGAAGCGTAGCTTTCAAGAAGCTCATCGACCTTCGGCTTCAGAAGACGTGGATCTGAATACTACCAACGGCGGTCAAAGCTTTAAACAACCTGACTACGTCGATGACGACGACGAGGACGACGACGATATGTGGCCTGATAATGATGAAGATCTTGAAACAGAGCCAAAAAAGCCCAAGCTGTGAAGTCTAAAACGGTGGTAACGTAAATTAAGATGCGAATATTCACATAGGAGTGTTATAATATATACAGTTTAATGCTCATGAAAAATGTAGAACTAAGCTTCTCAATAGTTCTTTGGGATTACCATTACCGCTCAAAATGTATTTTTCGTCCACGAGTTTTTCAACGTCCTGCGAATCGGTATCCTTCGATAGAACAATTTCCGATTTGGAGTAAAAGTCAATCAATTTTCTTACTTCCTCTTTAGTCAGTTTTTCTACTGGAAACTCCTTTAGTTCTCCTTTAATCAACAAACTGGAGAGGGCGTGGTCATAATGCTTTTTACCAATGTATGGATCATGTGGTAGCTTTTGCAGCCCCACTGGAAGGGTCCTGTTAGTTCTATCAGATCCAGATGTAGCAAGTATCACGCTACTAGACTTGTTGGCAAAATTGATGTCGCCGCTAACAATGTCCATTATAGTCTTTCCCAATTGTAATTCTAGAACATGAATGTTTTTGTTTTCTGTGCTCTTGTAGGCCGTGTAAGGCTCGCTCAATATACGAGAGAAATTGTCGACGCAAAAAAAGACAGGAACGCTTTCCTGTCTGGATAGTTCAGAAATAAAAGTGCGAAAAACCTCTCCACGACTACGTGGAGTAGTTTTCATTGATAAAAGGTCAAGTAATGTGTTTTCGTTGGCGTTCAATTGAATGAATTTCCGATTGGCGGCATCTCTGGGGTCGGCATTAACAAACTTGTAGCTACTTGCTAGAAAAATAGAAGAAAGTAGCTTCTTGTCGTTCGCTTTGAGTATCTTGGTCAGCAAATTCTTCAAGTACATGGGTTGCACGTAAGTAGACCCATCGTGGAAAAAGTCACTTGTACCATTCATAAACAGCTGTGGATGAGAAACGTTGATAACCACTGCGTCAAGATCGCAGGCAAGAGCATTCACCTGTGCCAAAAGAGCACTCTTACCCACACCAGACTCGCCAGTTAGGATGTATTTTGCTGTGGACTTGGAGTTGTTTGTCAATTTCTCGAAAAGATTCAGTGTAGTACTACGTCTAACCAAACTGATGGGATGTGGGAAAAGCTCATTAAACTGATTTTGTTTAAATGATCCATTGATGAAAAGGCTTTTGTATTGTGAGTTGGAAAAGCTGACGATTTGGTCGACATTTTTGGACACCTCCAGTGGCTTAAAAATCGCAGTTTCCGCAGAAACTGCATTTTTGTTGAAATTAGCAGTCGCAACAGTTTCTTGCCATGGTTTATACAGTGATCCTGCGCCCACCTTCTTGGTAGATGTTTTTCCAGAAGTTGTTTTTTTGGCAAATCCCTGAACCTTTCCCCGAGAAGGCGCTGCGAGCCTCGCACAGCTACTACTCAGGCTTCTAACTCCAGTGCGTAACATGGCCGAGGATTGATTGAGCGCCAATTAGGATCAGTGAGACTCCAAGCTAAGATTTAGATCTGATTCTATGTCAGTTACGCACCATCATTATAATATAAAATTTTGATTAATTGTGTATCACTTTGTACTATAGTGACATTTAGGGTTCACAGTAACGTTGTGCTCTCTATGATAGTTAGACACCACTCTGACAATCAGCTTTAAGAGATTGACAGCTCTATTGGAACTTTTTGGAGGTCAATGCGAGTTTTATGACAATATTTCTTATCTGATCGATTTTCTCGGCGAGGTATAAAAGGTTGTTGAAACTTATCAACTTCGAAAATTACACAAAATTTAGACCTTCTGGCCGCATGGTGGCTACTGTATCTGGCTCTTTCAAGGCGAATGGCTTTCGAATGGAAAACCCGAGTAGCTGTTCTGTTTGATGAAATGACCAGATCGTGGATTTGTTTCGACGACAGTGGCACATAAAGTGATCAATCAATAGTAAGGGCAGGTTTAACCCGCAGATAAAAATGCTACGCTATCAATCCAGTTCAAGTTGGTACCATTCGCTGCAGTCAAACTGTCGCCGGAAATTCGAGCCACGGTGTTTGAATTCTATAAAAATATGTACATAGTATTGTATTCTACTCCACTATGGGTGTGCTTTCAGGAAGTTCAGAAAGTGGACCGGTAACGGGCAGCACTGGAGGTTCGACCTCAGCATTTTGCTTTTGGTTTTGTTCAGTAGTTCCAGTAATGCCCCGAGCGGTAAGAAAGTCAAAAACGCTTCTGCGTCCATTTTCAGCAGTTTTGTTCTCGGCTACCGGCTGGTCTCCGTTCTGCTGCTCAGTGACACTCTGGGCTCCTGTAACTTGGTTAAAGTTGTCAATGTAACTGAAGAATGCATTGAAAACATTCTCAGCGACTTCTTCTCCGTAAATTTTATCGTAAATGTACTTCATTTTGAAGGCGTCCATCTTTTCTTGGTACTTGCTGAAATCAATCCCATTGTAACCGAATTCTTCGAGCTTTTTGTTGTAGCCATCGTAAACGGGACACTCTAGTAACAATCCCAAAGCGGGTGCTTTGGGGATGTTAATTCTCTGAGGCTTATAGGCGTCTAATATGCGATCGGTAGGACAAGAACAGCGGGTGACAAGTGTGGCCATCGAGATCATTTTACGAATCTGATGCAGCATGAAGGACTGACCGTGAATCTTAATCGATACCCATTCCGTGTTCTTCTCTCCAATCACAAAAGGCTCTGAAACTTTCAATTCTTTCATGAACCTCACAGCGCTGGCGTCTTTGAAGTCTTTACCCAGAGTGAAATTGAAAAAGTTGTGTGGTCCCACATACTGTTTCATTGCGTCCCTAAAATAGTCCAGCTTGGTAGCAGAGATACGATAGGCTCTTCTGTGAGTGTTTTCCAGCTGTTTGTAGCGTTTAACCAACTTATACGTTTCATCCGCATCGTCGAACTCATCTCTTGGTGGAGCAACATAGTTCTCAATAGATTCTAGTTCCTCAGGGGTAAATTGGGCTTTTGCTTGCTTGAAAAACTCGGCCCAGAATTTTTCACTCTCAGCATCCTCGCCTATGACACCTGGAAACTCAGTTTTGCTGTCTTCGATATCGTTGAATAGAGCACTTCCTGGTTTAGGAGCAATTAGAGAGTAAGTCGGTAGTAGATACTCATACCAGCGAGAACTACACATTTTTCTGCAATCGAAGGCTTTGTTAACACGACTGATATCCCATACGCGGATCCCATCGGGCAGTTTAGAGTTGATTTTTGACACAATGTCGGGATCCTCAATGATAAGCTTCAACGAAATGACGTTTCCTCCGGCGTGAACACCTTTGTCAGTTCTGGCGGCTCTCATGAACCCACTTTTTTTTAGATCTGTGGAATTGTCCTGGGAAATAGCGCCTGCTTCCACGAACGCTCTGAACAGTTCCGCCTCAATTGTTGGCGATGGGGGATTATACTGCATTCCATGATATCCCGTTCCACAATATCCAAGCATGACGGCGACCTTTCTTTTTGGGAGTCTTTTCTCCTTTGTCTCCTGCTCTCCAGCCTCAGCTGTGTCTGTTGAAGCTAATGACCGCTCATCTATTTTACTGTCCAGTGAGGTTAGTATCTAAGTTGTTGTCGTTGAAACCCGAAGTGTCGTATTCTGAACACTCCAGAGACATACATACGCTCTTTTATTTGCAGATTCTTCACCGGTTTTGGCATCGTCATGGTCGGATTTACGAGCTTTAGTCCATTTATACTGATTACCTCTTTTATAAGTGTCTTCACCCGGTTGATCATCTTCATAAGCAGGTCTTAAGTTCTCGTTTTCTGCCATAGCGACGTTTGTTCTGCTGAATACCCTCTCGGCTATTGATCGGACTCTAGTGGTTGAGGCTAGAGGTTATGTTTTCGCCTAACAGTGAGAGATGAGCTGAGAGAGATGCCAATTTTTTCATAGCGTACAACGTCAGCTATAATGAGAAAATGTCGTCAAATCTGAAAGTACGGATAAAGATGTGAAGAAATATACGTAAGGAGACGGTTTCACGACATTGAAACAAACATTTCAAGAAGCGTTCAACACCATTTTTTAATTTTGTTACAGCGATATTGTTGAGTTGTCATAGTTTCCGGTTTTTTCTAATTCGAGACTACATGGTCATTACATGATCAAAAAAATTGAATTGTAACACTACCAGAGGCTGGAGCCCAGGTCGATATTAAGTAAACAAATGTGCCTTGTCTATAATGGTTCGGAGGGCCTTGATCTGAGGTACTCTTTCAGCACAGTAAATAAATGCCTAAATTAACAAATTGCAAGTGACAGATGACAATGTGGTAGGAAGTGATCACTTGCAGATCGAAACTGACATCACGATTTTTCTGCTGCAAGATCGCTCTATGAACAAGCACATACATCCAAGGTCATCAGTACCTCCAAATTATTATATTCCTATCAAGAAAGAGTAGTAATCTTGCTGTTTAGTGTACGGTGACCGGAGTTTCCTCGCAAGAGATACCAAATTTTTTAGAGAAAGTTTCACATATGTATCCCAAAATACTACAAAGTCACAATTCAAATTTTCTAATCCAGCGCGAAACTTCGTTGGGCGCCTAGTCCAATATTCGAATTGCAGGCTGTTCTTTTAAACTCACAAATCTGTCTTGAAAATATATCACCCAGAACGATGTGTAAAATTTTTTCCAGTTCCTTTAGGCATTATAATGCGACGAGCTATCGATGCTGGCATGTAGCGATGCGATGAGCTAAAACTTTCATCTTGTTCAGATAGTCTCAAAGTCTTGTATTTCAGGCTCAACGGCATTAGAATCACTGTCAAGATGCGTCAGTTAACAGAAGAAGAAACTCGCGTTGTTTTTGAGAAACTGGCTGGCTACATTGGAAGGAATATCAAACTGCTAGTGGATAACAAAACTCAGCCGTTTGTTTTCAGGCTCCAGAAAGATCGAGTATATTATGTTCCTGAACACATTGCCAAACTGGCAACCTCGGTTGCTAGACCAAATTTAATGTCGGTCGGTCTATGTTTAGGTAAGTTCACCAAAACCGGTAAATTTAGAATCCATATCACGGCTCTTACTGTGCTGGCTGAACATGCTAAATACAAGATATGGATCAAACCTAACGGAGAAATGCCATTTTTGTATGGAAACCATGTTCTCAAAGCACATGTGGGTAAAATGTCAGAGGATATCCCAGAACATGCAGGTGTGATAGTTTTCTCTATGCATGACGTTCCACTAGGATTTGGTGTAAGTGCCAAGAGCACTTCCGAGTCGAGGAATGTACAGCCTACTGGTATTGTTGCATACAGACAAGCAGACATCGGCGAATATTTGAGAGACGAAGACACGCTTTTCACGTAAACCAAAACCTACTACACTCAAGCGGTTGGTAAAAAGATAGCTTTCCCGCCTGTTTATGTATCATAGAGAGTAAAAAAATTATTAGAGATACGTTTAGCTCTACGACAGAATTTCCTCAGCGTGAGACATGTTGTACATTCATCTGGCTGGCAAAAAAAGAATCCCCAAAGCCACACGAGGCTTTTATTTGCGTTTCTTCGTCTTGGAACTTTTGGACATGTCCAAATTCTGGGTGCCTTTACGGGTTGCGGAGCCACCTTGTGTCAATTTCGCCGCCACCTTCTTGTTAGGCTTGTAGTCAGAGCGGTCTTTGAGTGGCAGCCATCTCTCTGGGTTTGGCAGTGATGCAAGGTCGCAGTTCTTAGGCAGCTTCCTATTCTTGTGAACTCTTCTTCTCTTGATCGTTTTTGTCAGAGCTGATTCACCTCTACGCCTGGTCCGACTGTCAAATGGTGAGATTCCTTGTATTTTTAACGCCTCTACATCAACAGTTTCGATCAGGGAGTCTAAATCCTCCCCGATCTGTTCGCGCCTATCACCATTGAGTTCCGTGAGCGACAAAGACGGACAGAGAGTTTGAAGCTTTGCGAAGACCTCTTCCGCATGTTCATAGGATTGTTTGGCCTGCATTTTAAATGCTATGAATCTCCAGAATTGTGGGTCTTCAATAACATACTCATCACGCATATTGTCGTATATTCTTTGGGCGAGAATATGTGAAGGTCTTGATCTTGCAGCCTTTTGGTAAAGCTCGAATAAAACGTAACAAATGGTACGGTAGGATGTACTGAAACAATCAGAACTGTTATTCACGAATTTCTCACACAAAATGATCGCTCTATCGTATTGTTTTTCAACAACCTGTAGTTGAACTGCCAACAAAACAAGACCAACAACACTTCCTTCAAGACTGCACGACATGACAGACTCAGCATGGTGGAACAATTTTTTGGCTTGCGATTGATATGGTTCCAGAATCGGATCGTCTACAACCTTTTGGTAATGGGCAAGCGTCTTGGAAAGCGTAGATCTTTTTGCCTGGATGCTAGATTTGCCGAAAAGGTTTAAAAACAGTAAGTTACTCAACACTCGTTTCTGCTGTTCCAATCCCAAGGTTCCGACTATACCGCTAAGTTTGGGGGCGTTCAGTTCGCGAAGCAAAAGTGGGATGTTCGTGGTGTATTTCGATATGTCTTGCAGTGATTTGAGATTGCTAAAAGCAAGCAAGTAATTTGTAGATCCGGTCTGGCTGTTTTCCAGCAAGGATTGAAGTAGAGCTCTTGAAGCTTTAACATTGCCTGAAAGTTGTAGCACGTATGCGCGTTGGAGACCAATGGCAAATTTATCGTCATCCAAACCATCTTGTGCTGCCAATGCCGCTGCTTTTTCAAGATGTTCGAGACTCAATTGGGTGCGACCCTGGGCGAGAGCTATCAAAGATTCATTCAAAAGAAAATCGTAAGAATCATCGTGGAAGGCCGTGTGTGGTTCGCTTTCCTTTGCGAGACTCGAAAATGATAATGCAGCGCGTTCGTTACACGCAATTTCCGTTTCATTATCAGGCTGGTTTTCATTGTTCTGCCCCAATACCCTGTATATTTCGGTTGCTTCGTCATATTTACCGTTTTTGAAACAAAATTGGGCACGAACATGTAGCACACCCCTGCTCTGCGAATTGTCCTGGTGCACAGCTTTTTTGACCTCTTCGTATAATTTTTCGAATTCTTTGGCATAACCTAGCTTGTAAAGGACGTATAGTCTTTCCAGATAAAACCCATCATTCAATTCCGAGCCAAATTGTGTCAACAAATCCCACGACTTTTTGTACTGGTCACTTTTCACCAATGCAATGAGCCATTGTTTCAAAACAGGCTTCCTGTCCTCAACCCCTCCTTCTATCAGCCTTTGACATGTCTTAGCAACTTCGGAATGTTTATTGCTGTTATAAAGAACATTCAGATCCGCAAAAAGCGAAGTAAGGTCTTTCATAGTCGTTAGGGCTCAAATTCTCAACCACGAAAGGGCCTTATGGTCGTCTTTGGCCTTAACTTTTTTGCCGATTTGTTCGATCTTGACATTGAAAAATTTTGGAGATCTCTCAATTCAAGTTTATTATATTGGACCTTCAAAAGACACAGCTTAAGATAGCGATGAGATACGATTATGAAAGGCATCTTCAACAACATGGATGGCTTACGGTATCGACTGAATGCTGTGGCTATCAACAGAATTTTGAGACAAGGTTTTAGATATTATTCTCGAAAACCTGCCAGCAAACGAGTAAGTAATGGACCTGCCAGATTTAAGTTGCAAAATGACATACGAAACGTCCAAAAACCTGCCAAAACTGGCAATGCAAAGGCACAAGACCGTGGCGTTTTCCATTACGGTAGCTTTGGAGGGCTCAAAGAAATAGGTGAAGCAGAAACTCAGAAAACTGCAGAAGTTTTGAAAAAGATATCTGACTTCGAGCAGCTGAAAATCTTGCCAAAAGTACGAACAGCATTGCAACAGGTCATATCTGAGGAGTCGATTGCATTGGACAGCAGTAAAGATGTGTCGTCGATTAAGCCTTCGCCGATCCAGGTCGCAGTTACCCAGAAAATTGCACGAACGCTTATGGATAAGCAGCTTCAAATCAACACTATTGCAGCAGAAACAGGCTCGGGGAAGACCATTGCATATTTAGTGCCTCTTCTCGACTACCTTAAGCGTGTGGAGGACGAAACGCCCGAAAGCTGGGATCTCATCAAGGACAAGGCCATAGTCAGATCCGTCATCTTGGTTCCGACGCACGAGCTCGTTGAGCAGGTTTACAGAACTGTTAGTCAGAGCGCTGCGTTATTGGGTCTCAATGCATTCCGATGGAATATGAACACCTCATACACTGACTTCATAGATGCTGTGAAAAACAGGATTGATGTTATGGTCACAACTCCGGGAAAAATCCTGAATACTTTCAAAGTTAGGATCATCAACAGGCCTGACCGGCTATTTTCTGGCGTGAAATTTGTGGTTTTGGATGAGGCCGATACGCTAATGGATAAATCTTGGTTGGAGGAGACTCACAGCGCTATACAAACATTTCCAAATGTTAATCATCTAATTTTCTGTTCCGCGACCATTCCTAATGAGTTCAGTAAAACAATGGACAGATTATTTCCAACCAGAAAGTCAATTACAACCCCCAAGCTGCACAAAATATCACGGAAAATTGATTTTAAACTAATCGACGCTAGCCTCAACCCATACAAAGGTTCAAAAATGAAGGTTTTGTCTCAAATCCTTTATGCAGTCTTGAAGGACGGCACGGAGGCAGGGTTCGAAAAGAGATGCGTCGTGTTTGTTAATGAAAAGAAAGATGCCAAGAAAGTCGAAGAACAATTGAGATCCAAATATGGCCATGACTGCATCAGCTTGACCGGAGAAGATACGGTGGAGGAGCGGCTTCAAAAAATTGATTTGTTTGTCAAGCCTGCCAGACCTCTCGAGTCTCTTGAATCTAATGCGACCGTTTCGGAACTAATTGAGGACACCGCAGAATTTCTACCCAATTCGAATATCAGAATGAATAGAACAAAACCGGTCACTGCCAGCCAAAAGAAGGTTTCTCTGAAGGTCTTGGTGACCACCGATCTGATGGCAAGAGGGTTGAACTTTCACGGGATCAGGAACGTTATACTTTACGACGTACCTAAGACGGCCATTGATCTGGTCCACAGAGCTGGAAGAACAGGAAGGATGATGCAAGGTGGCAGGGTGTTCATGATAACTGATAAAAAAACGAAATCCTGGGCCAAAGCAATACCAAAAATAGTGAGGAGTAACAAGACTCTTTCTTAGTATCTTGTAAATAGAAGGGTGTTTTGGTTCTAAAGGCCAGCTTCACCAAAATGGACGATTTTTTTCTATCCAGGGATGATTTTTGACATCTCTTAGTGGCATTCTTGCATTTGGCTCGTATGCCAGAAGGCGGCTGACGAGATCTCGAGCTTGCGTTGATACGTGATTTGGAAAACGAAGATCTCGTTTTAGAATGCGTCTGTAGGTAAGTTCCTTGGAGCTTTCTTCGAAAGGGGGGTTTCCGACTAAAAGTTCAAATGCCAACACGCCCAGCGCCCAAACATCTGCTCTGTTGTCATATTCACGCCACTTTATCAGCTCCGGAGACAAGTAATCCATTGTTCCGCATAATGTCTTCCTTTTAGCGCTACCAACATTGGTAACACTCCAACCGAAATCTGTAAGCTTCAAGGTATTTTGGAATCCGAGTAAGATATTCTCTGGCTTAATATCTCTGTGTAAGATGTGCCTGCTGTGCATGTAATCGAGGGCATCTGCCATCTGGTATACAAAATGTGAGGCCACAATATCGTTGAAAGGGCCGTGCGACCTTAGATGTTTGTAAAGCTCTCCATTGACAAGATACTCCATTAAGAGGTATACGCGCTTGTCATCGTGGAAGTAACCGTACAGTTTGGTGAGATTTGGATGTTTGAGTGCCGCCTGGATCTCAACCTCGCGCCTGAATTGCTTCTCAACGTTATACTGCACAATTTCACTTTTTTTCATGGCTTTCAGTGCACAGATGAAGCCCGTTGGCTTGTGTTTGACACAGTATACTTTACCAAATTTTCCCTTGCCGAGTTTTTTCCCAACCTCGAAGTCGTCCAGCGACAATTCTCGATAGTTCAATGCAAATGTTTCCGCGGGTTTATTGGCTGCAGCGATGGGTTCGATTTCTGATGAGGCGTTGATAATGCTTTTTCTGACAGCCGTAGGAGAAGCCGGTTTCGAGCTGGTCGTCGCATCTTTCGGTCGATGACTAGAGACAAGACCTCCAGATCCCGATGGTTTTGGTTCATGAGTAAGTGACATGCGCCAAGGTTTTCGTATAGTGTTCGAGCTCAATGCCGTCCGGGCTGAGTTTCCAAAGCTTTTGCGGCCTCGACCATTGTTCAATCGCATACTCAGCAGTAAGTTCCGCTGATGAAGAGAATTGCGCCGTAGATTGGGGCCCGTAGACGCAGGTTCGCTCATTATTTCTAACTACGTAACAAGCTTTAGAAAATCTGGCCTCTACCCTCAGCCAGTGGTGACAGAAACGCCTTTGTGATGTTCTGTTTGTCTTTTAAGTTGTTTCGATCTCATAGCGGATCTCAATACAATATTGATCTGGTTTATTAGACTATCATCACAGTATACAGAAATGGTCAAAACAGAACGTCTACTTGGCCTAAAACGCTTCCAGCTTCAAGAGAGCGGAGGAAGCTGCTTTTGCAGGTAGAATTCCTGACTTCAGTACTATTCCGAAATCCTATCTTAGTAGTTAAAGTCTATTCTAGTCTAGGTGCTCAGCGAACGACACCAATCGTAGTAAATTGAATCTTCTCGAGATGAAAAGCACACTTGACGTATCGATGCCGCGTATTTGACGTTTCATTCAACCATCGAAGTGATAGAGTTGGGATTGGCTTCTATCTTGGGTAATTTACTTTTAGGTGATGATAGCTTTTAGTTGGCGACAACCACTACTGAGAGTTGTGGACATGCCTATGATGACAAAAATGTGATGTAGATAGAGGCAGAATTAGCATGCTACCGAAACGTCTATTTGGTGTGTTTCAAACCATTTCACATACAACTTCAAACTACAATTCGAGATTATGGGGACGCTAGCATCAGATACAATAACGGCGACACACACCAGATTGGTGCAAAATTCTGAGAAAGAGTTTGAGTAAGCGGACCTTCTAGAACCTGTCTGGTCGATACAAACAGACCATGAAAAGGCTTTCAAGAAGTGTGTGTTGCTTGTTGTTATGGCATGGTTGAACTCTGGCGATATTTATATCAACCAAGTTATAGTGGACTTTTATCTCAAATTGAAAATGTGCTTGCTCCATCGAATCTCGAAAAACATCAGCCTTCAAGAATGCTATCCCGGGAGTTATCTGAATTACTGGCTTGGGGATCTGATAATGGTATAACATGGCCCACCGGTTTGGTGTTCGTCGAAACCCCGGAAAAAGGCGTTTCTGCGATTGCATCTACCAAAATCTCGCGTGCAACACTTCAAGTACCGAAACATGCTTTGTTTGGTGGTCAATTAGCGGAAAATTACTTCAATTGCAATCAAAACACCAACTCCTTACTTAAGCTGCTACTTGCCAAGTTGAAATTCGATCCTAATCCGACCATGATGAATACAGAAGATCTGAAATTGAAGTTTGGTCCGTATATTCGAGCCCTACCAAAAGAAGTTGCTTCTCCCTTGATTTGGAATCCCAGAGAACTCGATCTTCTGGGAAACACAAATCTGCGCACTTCGATTGCCCAAAAGCTAGAATCGATGTTTGCGGAGTGGAAAGTTGCATTGGTTCAAGTCCTGGGTACCGAGCATGACGTTAAAATGGGAATCGCACAGGTAGAAAGCATCTTAAGCCAGGGAGAAGACGAAATATATGCCCAATTAACTTCTAAGGTCTTTGAAAATACAGCTCAGCTACCGTGGTGGTCTTTCGCCGCGTTTCTATGGTCGAGCATTATGTTTCTGTCGCGGGCCTTTCCAGAAAAAGTCGTGAATAGCTCAGCAAATCCTACAAGAATTATCCTTCTGCCAGTCATTGACCTATTGAACCATAATTACCACTCCAAAGTTGAGTGGATGCACAGCGATGATTCGTTCTGTTTAAAAGTGCTCGAGACTGTTGACGAGGGTGGTGAATTCTTCAACAATTACGGCGGCAAGGGTAACGAAGAGCTCCTATGGGGCTACGGGTTTGTTCTGCAAGATAACATATGCGACACTGTCGCACTAAAAATAAAGTTGCCGCCCGATACGCTGCTTCGAATTTCTAAAGAAAGCTCTATAAGATTACCTACCATCGCAGACTATACGCGGTCCGCATTTGACCTTTCTCCCGAAATCACGGAGGAGTCCGAAAAGCTAATTTTGGAGGAAAAGCTCAATGATGGAATACTCTACATGCTAAGTGCAACCAACAATACGTGCCTGATGTGGTTGCTTGATCTATTCACTTCTTTGGAGAGATCCGAAACCGAGTCGTTACTCAATCTCAGGCCCCGTTTACAAGGTCTCCAGAATCTCAGGGCAGCTCTAGAGGCAAAGCACAACTCTTACAGCACCGAAATTGTTCATTTGAGCACTGAAGAGTACCCTTTGCATGGTTATAGGGCGCATGCTGCTCAGATTTACAAATCAGGACAGATTAAGATTATCAAAAGTTCTATTTCCGAGCTCAAACGACTGGAGAAGGAATACATCTATACTCACAAGCATGATCTATTAAGCGTCAACAAGCTGATGCGATTGGATCCAGATTTTTTCGAAACCGGGCTTTCTGACTTATTGCAATTGGAACCAGGTTCAGATGTCGCTTTGGACTCTTATGAAACGCTGCTCTATCTATGGATAGTACACAATCGGAACACCCAGCCTGCTTCTGAGGCGCTACAATGGGTTATCTCGCAATTCAACGACTATCTCAGAGCACAACAAGCAGATGTTGTCCCAATCTGTGAAAGTATTGAAATTCTTCATCACACACTTTTCGCGAAAGACACACAAAAAGAATATCTCGAGAAACTTCAGAGAGCAAAGGCATTCGTGGCGGCTAACTCCTACATCAGACATTCTAAAGACGAACTAATCCTGGTCAGAAACATCGATGTGTAATGACACCGATTCTGATTGGCTTGCTAGACGCCTCTGTCACATGACTAGTCATTAGAGGTTCATTCTTGAAAATTGGATATAAGTGATCTACATCTCATCGCATCGCATCGCATCGCATCGCAGCGCCCAGATTGTGAGCTATAAAAGCAAGTGCATAAACACCACTTACAATCTTTGACTTTAATATTTGCAGTCAACAGTTGGTGAACATTTGGAAAGCTATTTTTTGGTGTTGAATCTATGGATTTTCTGAAAGATCTTGACGACCACCTACTCATACTGTCTGTGGCAGCCACTTATGTGTTGTCCGGAGGACGATTCACTTTTGGGCTTGCGGCCCTTGTGATATACGGGTTGGTCAAATATGACGCTGCGAGAAATGAGAAGCAGGCCGAAATTCCCGATTCAGAGAGAATAGAAAACTCTGAGGATGAAACGAAAAAGAAGACTTGTTGCGGTGGAAAGGGTGGTGGTTGTTGCTCTTCTAAATCAGGAGGAAAGAAAGGAGGCTGTTGTGGTGGTAACTGCTCTTCCAAAAACAAGACTAGTGAAAAAATCGAGGACAACATCAAAGATACACCCCAGAACGATACACAAGTAGAAGAGCTAGCAATCGATTTCACCGAAGCCTTCAAACCAGCGAAAAAAAGCAAAAAAGTGCGCAAAATTGTCAAAGCATCAAAACCAGGTAGCAAATCCCAGTCTGAGTTTTTCAAGAAGGCCCTTACGGTGTCAAATGAGACACTGATAAGCTCGCAAGTTTACGTTTTCTATTCTTCGCTTCAAGGTGCCGCCGAAAGATCAGCTAAGATCGTGACTAGTGTCCTGTCGGATATCAAGGGCTTGAAGCATGTGCCAAAGCTAATGAACCTAGACGAACTTAGCGATTTTGATGACTATTTTGTCAATGTTCCATGTAGTAACGCATTGTACGTCATGGTACTTCCTTCTTATGAGACAGATTCACCTCTGGACTTTTTCCTTCAGTCCATGGAAGAAAATGTTAATGATTTCCGAATTGACAGATTATCTCTGAGAAAATTGGTGGGCTATTGCGTCCTGGGTATCGGTGACTCCGAATCTTGGCCCGAGAAGTTCTGCTATCAGGCGCGGCAGGCTGATCTTCTACTTGCCAAGCAGGGTGGTAGAAGAGTTTTCCCAGTGGGAGAAGTCTGTATGAAGTTTGGTGGTGATCCTAGTGTTATGGAATGGGCAAAACTTCTGGCAAATACGCTGCAGGATGATGAACCTATTCTTTACGAATATGATGAAAGCTTGGAGACGGAGAATGCCGAGGAGCCCAACGACGAACTCACTAAAGAATCCTTAATAGACCTAGAGGATGTCGGGGCTTCATCCGAGTTACAAGACGTCAATGAAATCAAGCAAATGGTCGCCAAAAATAGTCCCACTTTTAAAAACTTGACGAAGCAAGGGTACACTGTGGTAGGCTCTCACTCCGGTGTCAAGATATGCCGGTGGACTAAAAATGATTTGCGTGGTAGAGGATCATGCTACAAACACTCACTTTTTAATATCGTGTCAAGTAGGTGCATGGAGCTCACTCCATCTCTTGCATGTTCCTCCAAATGCGTTTTCTGTTGGCGCCATGGTACAAATCCAGTCTCCAAGAATTGGCGCTGGGAAGTCGACGATCCAGAGTATATTCTAGAGGACGCTCTCAAGGGACATTACTCTAAAATCAAACAAATGAGAGGTGTTCCGGGAGTAATAGCGGAAAGATTCGCAAAAGCATTTGAAGTGCGCCATTGTGCGCTTTCTTTGGTGGGAGAACCTATCATGTACCCGTTTATCAGCAAATTTGTCAAACTACTACATCAAAAAAGAATTTCGAGTTTCCTGGTTTGCAACGCTCAACATCCACAACCTTTGAGAGATTTGGGAAAGGTCACACAGCTGTATGTATCCATCGATGCTCCATCGAAGAGTGAGCTCAAGAAGATTGACAGACCATTGTATCGGGACTTTTGGGAAAGGATGCTGGAATGTCTTGAAATCTTGAAAACTTCTCAATCGCATCAGCGCACTGTCTTCAGAATGACGTTGGTGAAAGGTTTCAATATGAATGAGATCAGTGCATATGCTGACCTTGTCGAGAGAGGTTTGCCAAGCTTTATTGAAGTCAAAGGTGCTACATTTTGTGGATCATCTGACGGCAATGGCAATCCACTGACAATGCAGAATATACCATTTTATGAGGAGTGTGTGAATTTTGTCAAGGCACTTTCAGCTGAGCTTCAGAAAAGAGGCTTGGGATATGATGTCGCAGCTGAGCATGCTCATTCAAACTGTATTCTGATCGCTGACACCAAATTCAAAATTGATGGTGAATGGTGGACTCATATTGATTTCGAAAAGTTCTTCGAGCTTTTGGAATCTGGAAAGCCGTTCAATCATCTGGAATACATCGCGAAAACCCCAGAATGGGCACTCTTTGGTAATGGAGGTTTCGCACCGGGAAATACAAGATTTTACAAAAAGAAAAAGGCCGCAGAGACAAATATCGATGCTTTGCAAGAAGACGTCAAGGTAACGCATCCAATCGTAGCTTAGGTCTTTTTTTGAAATGCGCCTTTACCCTATTTAAAATATATGTACCACACTACTACTGTTAAATTATCGTTTTTCATCGTTTTCAGCCTGGGTTACCAGAACTTGAGAAGCTTGGGCCACGCCAATCCCAAGGTCTTCGGCGAATTCAAGCTCTCTGTCATCCGTGAGAGCCGCAATTTTTGTTCTTTTTCGAATACTTCTGACACATCTGTGTCACTGAGGGCTCGGGCAAGCTCTTTATCAACCAATAAGTAAAACTTCTGCGTTGACAACGGAGCTTGTAGGTTGTACGATCTCAAAGAGTTATTAAGTTCGTTGACCTTTGATTGGGCAATAGTATTGAAGGATTTCGCCCATTTGCTAAAGGCAGAGAGTTTAATCTCATCCAAGTAAAATATATTTGGAGGTTTACTTCCGCGCTCAAATATTCTTTTGGCATCCATTTGGAAAATAAGCTCCCTATGGTAACTGTCCGCAAAGGTCGATCTCAATCGGGATATTTCTATGTTAACTGAACTTTGCTTGTCGATCCAAGGTGGCGATATCTTTTGTCTTGCCAAGATGTCATTGAGATGATGCTCAGTACGATCTACGTATGGCCTTGGTGACTCCATAGCCAACTTTTTACCTCGATACTGGCCTGTAGACTTAAATTCACCTTTTTTCATGCTTTCCTCGATCCGGACATCTGCAAGAGTTCGGAGTTTTTCGAACGACCCTATCGGTGTGAATTTTTCGGCGTAAAGCGTATGGAACTCAGACGCTTCTTTTTTCTCGCCTTTTAGGTCCTCTTTTTCATTCCGGTAACTGATTATACTGTCTTGAGCTGCTTCCAAACGGTCTCTAATCCTTAAATTCTTGTTATCCACGCCCTTAAGGTTTTTTGCGGTATCTGTGGTCGATTTAAATGCCAAATTTTCCAAACTCTTGCCAGGAATGCTTTTTGCGCCTTTAACTGAGTCCATCAGCATTCTGAGTGAAGTGTCAGTGAAGTGTTCATCACCTGTCCAAGGCTTGGACATCGCTATCTCTCGTACTTCTTTACCAATATGGCTCCCAAGTTTAGCAGCTTCTATCTCAGTCCTAAATCTATGCTCAAACTCTTTTTGAGGTATATTCTGGGCAACTTCGTCAAGTTCCTCATTTCTGATGAGTTTATACAACGGATCTTTCTCATCTAGCGAGTTGTTGTCTTTTAGCAGCGTAAGACGTCTCTTTAGATAGCCCTCATCATCTTTGATGCTTTGAAAAGCCTGGCAGGCTCTTGAGAATCCTCTTTTGATGACAAAAGGGCGAAACATTGCTTAACTTCTTTGATTATTAGTCTTGGTCCTCTATTAGAGTGGAAAATATTGATGATCCATCTAGTTTAAAGATCAACACTTCTTTCAAGAGACTAAGCTTTAAGAGCACCTTGTGATCCCACCAAGATGGCTTCAAAAGCTCAAGAAGGTCAGTCTACAATCAAGAAACTACGCATTGCGTTTGTGCACCCTGATTTAGGCATTGGAGGAGCTGAAAGATTGGTTGTTGATGCAGCCCTGGGTTTACAGGAAAAGGGCCATGAAGTTGTCATATACACGAGTCATTGTGACAAGACCCATTGTTTTGAAGAGGTGAAGAATGATGTGCTGAAAGTTGAGGTGATGGGCGATTTTCTACCCACAAATGTCTCTGGGAAACTGTTTATTCTGTTTGCTAACCTGCGTCAGCTATATTTGATCGGGAAGCTTGTTGTTAGCGGGAAAATTGCAGAAAACGATCTGTATATTGTTGATCAGCTCTCTACGTGTGTCCCTTTTCTTGCATTGTTAAGCCAGTCAAGTAGAGTTTTGTTCTATTGCCATTTCCCTGATCAGTTGCTGGCTCGACGGACCAGTTTGGTGAAAAAGGCCTACAGAATTCCATTCGATTTACTCGAACAGCTTACCATGAATGCGGCAGATTGCATTGTTGTGAACTCTAAATTTACCAGATCAGTGTTTGCCAAAACGTTCAGATTCGCATCGAGAAAGCCTAATGTCATATACCCATGTGTGGGACTGGAAAACGAAAAAATCCCAGACGCAGATACCAGACGCTTCAACATTATACTGCCTGATGATGCGAAGTTCTACTTGAGTGTGAACCGCTATGAACGGAAAAAGAACATAGAACTCGCTATCCAATCGTTCGCTCTCACCTTACAGAGCAAAAAGACAAACACCAAGCTAGTTATCGCCGGTGGTTACGATGCAAGAGTACAAGAAAATAGAGATTATCTTTTGGAACTTCAGCAATTGTCAGAAAAATCAGGGCTCTCTCATATGACTTTGCATTATCCACAATGGGAGCAAAGCCAAGAGGCAATCGGCGAGAAATCTTCTCAAGTAAAGATCATCTTCTTAACATCCATTTCCTCTTCCTTGAAGGACTTGCTGCTTCAAAAAAGTGAAATGCTGCTTTACACACCTTCTTTTGAACATTTTGGAATCGTACCTTTGGAAGCAATGAAATTAGGAAAACCTGTTCTCGCAGTGGACAATGGTGGGCCCTTGGAAACGGTAGTGACCCTTTGTCCTGGATCGAACGAAAGCAAATCAACTGGTTGGCTAAGACGAGGTGTTCCCAGTGAGTGGGCTACCGCTTTAGAAGAATCAGTGCCCTATCTGGAAGAAAAGCCTACAATTTTCCAGCAAAATGGGCCGGTCAGGGTCCGCGAAATGTTTTCCAGAGACGCAATGACGGATGAATTTGTGAAGAGCATATCGGGACTTTCTTGGAGCGATAATAAACGGACTTACGCTTACCATTTAACGTTCATCCTGTTATGTCTAATTTCGATTGCCCCTAGTGTATATTTAGGAGGTGTAAAAAGTACGCCTTTTGCAATGACTGCCGCGGGTCTTCTCTATTTCTTTAGAGGAGTTGAGTCACTTGCATGTATCACGGCCGTCATTATGGTAAGCATGGTTGCTGCGCGTTGATAGACTTGAATGTGCTTTATTTCATTAATATTACATACTTATTGAGCAGGCTCCAGCGTTATGATCATCAACGTTGATCACCACCAGGAGTCAAGTTTAAAGGATTGCTGTTACTTCGACTATTGGCCATGTTGACCGGGGACCCAATAGCAGAGTTGACGCCAGCGTTCTGACTCGCAGCTTGGTTTTTAGGTCCATTCTGCATCAATTTTGTCGCCGTAGCAAGGTGATACGCTGCAGCCTCAAACCGCTGCTGTTGAACCTGTTGTTGCCTGAGTCTTTGTTGTTGCTTCTGTATGCCCTGAGGCGTGAGGCCCGATTCGAGCTCGTTTTGGGACAAAGATTCTTGATTTTTGTGTTGCAAACGCCCGTTCTGGAGCTGCTGTTGTTGTTGAAGGAAACTTGGGGATGAGTGTGGTTGATGTTGCTGAATGGCTCCCGATGTATGCTGCTGTTGATGCTGCAAATGTGGCTGTTGTTGCTGTTGTTGTTGCTGCCGCTGTTGCATCTGTTGCACTTGGTGCTGCGGTTGTTGTTGCTGTTGTTGCTGTTGTTGCTGTTGCTCCGCTAACATTTGAGCCTGTAGCATTCTCTGTTGCTGAATCTTTTGCCTCTGCTGTGCAGTAAGATTGTTTGGATTCATGTTATTGATCAACTGAGGTGTGCGGATTCGGAAAGTGTAATCTGTCGTTCTATCTAGATCGATACAGCCCACACGAGAATGGATGGCTCCGTATCCAGGTGCACTAAAACCAGGACGAACAGAAAATGAGGATGCGAACATCTCGCGCATTCTGAAATACTTGGTTCTTAGTCTAGAAGAGCCGAGCACGTTTGATTCTAGTGGTAGCGGGAGCGACCGTGACACACCGTTTAGAACTTGTGTCGTTTCTTCCTCTGGCGAAACTTCAACCGGAAAACCATCGTTGATATCGGAATTTTGACCTTGTTGTGATTGTGGTTGCTGAGCAGCCGTTTTAGTTTTTTGCTTTGAGTTTGTATTGGTCTTGAGCTGATTCTTCTTCTGATATTGACTCAGCAGAACGTCAAAAGGCTGAGACCTGCCTTCGACTGCTCTCTTGGTTCCTACGGAGTGCGATTTGCATGTCAAAGACCGACCGCAGTAACCGCCCTCTGCTAACTCAACCCCACACTGTTTGTCAAAATCTATGAGATGTTTCTCAGTTGGATTTCTCTGTTTGATGCGTCTTTTTGCTTTGGAAGGAACTGGTGTTGATCCTGCTTTACGTTGTTTCTTCACGGCAGGACTGCTCTCAGGCTTGAGTTCCATTTCAAAAGGCGTAGAGCGTTTGGAACTCGATGGGTTACCCTTTTTTTTGTCACCAAAACCAGATATATCATCCATGACTTCAGTGTCTTCCGTCTTGACGCTATGGTCTAAATCACCTTCCGCTCTATCTTGCGTGAGTCCTTTGCAATGGATTTGAAGATGGTCTACAAGTGCTGAAAGACTCACTGGTTTCCCACACTTTTCACAAACACGATATTCTAAAGCAGAACCCAATGGGTCTTCCAGAATTGATGATGGATCGTTGAAAAACTCACCACGAGCGTCTTTCAAGTGGCTTTTGGCGCGATCGTCTTTCACTGTCGCTATAAGACCTCTCCAATTGGGCGTAGCGTTATTGTTGTCAGCAACTTGGTTGTCCTTAATATATTTTCGTAATCCTTTGATCTTTGAATGGACATCTGTCATACTAAGTCCACTCCAGTCTTTCTTCTGGCGACAGCAGCTCTCGATGTCCTAAGTCAATGACAGCTTCCGCTAATTCTGGTTTTAAGAAGCGACAAAAGTGGGAATTTTTCGACAAATATCGATCTTAGCTGTTTAAATACTGAAATCAGTACTCTACAGGTCAAAATACCGCCAGGGTTCCTGCTATTTCGCCGGTTTTTTTCAAATGTTTCTTCGACATCTAGTTTTTCGAATTAAGATGGACTACTGAAGGTAATAGTAATTCATATTAAACGTTAGGTATAACTCCAGTATACAAGATGTAAGAATATAGCCGTTAAAAAGTGCTTTAGGATTTTTAGTACAAATCGATACTCAGAAGGGGGTTGGAAGGGCTATCTGGACGCTTTCTTTTGTTGAAAATGCCCGAGGAACGCTTCGCAAAAAGGGTAAAGAAGTTCAGTCACGTGACGTGATGGGAAAGCGGTTGGTGGTTTCCTTCTGGCGGTTCGAGGTTTCACAAGGTAGAAGTGTGAGAATGGGAATCAGCGTCTCTTTGAGCGTTGCAACTTTTTTCAGTTCTCATATATTGTCATTTTCATGCTTTTCTGTTTAAAAACTGATCAAAAACTCGGCCAGAGAAACAAATTAGAAAGGACAGCTTGACCACAGTGCAGCATAATCGATGTTTCAGCACTGAATTTGTTAACCAGAATGAAGTATATCTTGTCAGTCCCCAGTGCAATTCATGATGACAACCTTAACAATAGCCATACCATGAGCTTTCCATTTTCGTTGCGAGGTGAGCTACTTCTTCAAATACGAGATATCCTGTTAGGGCCGTTCCGCTTTTCAGCCGCCTTCATATGAGATGTGCAGTTTTCAACACTTTAACAACCAGCATGGAGAACGAGATTCCTGCAAATTTGTGTTGAGCCCAAGAAGAGAAAAAGAATCTGTCTATGAAGTCATAAATGAGCAGAAATGCATAGAACCTGGCACCTTCCCTGGAGAGAAGAAAAGGGCGTTTAAACGTGGCTTCTTCTTCGGCTTGTAGTTTTGAGACCGTTTCCAACGCTTCGTCTGGGTGATCAGTGACAAACCCTGTAATCGGGAGCGCAGTACACTGTTTAAAGTCTTCGGCTCTGTTCACGGTCCATACGTAGGTCTGTACCTTGTTTTCACGAAGATACGGTATCATGTCGTTTTGGAATGCTGAAGTCCAGGTGGAAACGAAATGCACGTTTACAGCGCTGAGACGAAAATGCGGGTTGTTGATATTCCTGGAGAACTCCACGAACCGCTTGGCCATCTCCAGCGATAACGTGGTGCAGACTACCTCAAAATCCTTGACAACACCGGTTTCCATACCGTATTGGAACCAATCCACTCCCCACAACCCCCATATTATATGTTTTCGCCAAAACGGCAGACTCTCTAAAACGCTCAGCATTGCAGCAACACTTTTGAGCATAATTTCTTGATCGTTGGTGTACTTGATGTCCAGCATCAGTTTTACCTCTGGATGGTCTACCACCCACTTCAATACGTCTATGAGCGTCAGCATTCTCAAATCTGGGAAGTCAAGCTTTTTGCTGCGCAGCGTCTTCAGCATACTCCATTCAGTCTCCCCAATATTGTAGTCCCCATCCCAACATCGTTGTGTTGTCTGGTCATGATTGATAACGACCACTCCGTCTTTGGACATTTGAAGGTCTGTCAAAATGACATCTACCCCGGCTTCCAAAGCTTGTTCAAACGCAACCAAGGTATTCTCTGGGTACTGGCCTCGATAACCTCGATTCCCGATAATTGTAGGTCTAGTCATTGGAATCTTTCGAGCTTCTCTTATAGAGGTGTCAACAGAAAAGGTCTACCCTTAAGTTGCCAAAGTTGAAGATAAAGTTATACAAAGGAACTCGTCGAAAGTGTCCCGGCGGCCAAGTCAAGTGACCAGGACTAACGATCATCTCGACTTGGATGCTGTGAATCAATTCCACAGGACTTTTTTAACTCTGGAACCTCGTTTCCTGTCTTCAGATGAACGAACTCTTGGTACATATGTGACATGCTTGGATCAGTTCGACCCAGCGGCACCACTTCGGCTTTGACCAACAATGTAGTTCATCAGCATGTAAGCGACAGACTTGTTGTTAGGCAGGTTCAATCCTGTAGTCTCGTCCTCGATGAATCCTGTAGAGGATTCTTCTTGTTTGAGGATGGATTCCAAAACGGAACATGGAACCCAGCGCACTTCGTCCAACTCACGGTCGTGAGTAAGATCTGGAATCTGGTTATCGTCAGCGATGGCCACACAACCAATCATGAGATTATTAGGGAAAGGCCACGGCTGGCTCATCAGAATTTGCACTTTATCGGTGTTGAGACCGGTCTCCTCCCAGATTTCCCGAGCAACAGCGACCTCAAGAGTCTCGCTAGGGTCCACAAACCCGCTCACGCAACTGTAGAGCTTCCGCTCTTTGTTTCGAGGCGCCCCAGACCTGCAAAGCAACACCTTGGTGTTGTCTCTGTTCGTGATTGCGCTGATAACCACAGGATCGGTTCTGGGGAAACACACATTAGACACACGGTGGTTGGAGACACAAGTGGCGTTCAAACATCGCAATCTGGTTCCAGCGTCCACGGCTAGAGTTTTGGACCCACAAATAGAGCAGAATTTGTGGGTGTCGAGCCATTGCAGGTACATTCTGGCCTGAGAAACGATGCTCGATTCTTCCAAAGTGAGACGATTCAAGTCTTTGAAAGACTCTAGTCTGCGATACGACTCGAGCAATTCCCGCAATGGTGAGGAATTGGAGTTGATATCAGACACATTTACGGCAAAAGTAGGAGTTCCACGGTATCTGGCGCTGTAGACAAAGTTGGATTTAGCAGACAATGATAAGCCCAAAAACACCAGATTGCGAGTGGATTTTTTCTCGGTAACCACCTCATCGATTTCCTTGCGATTCAAACGTACCATAATGCCATCCCGTTCGTTGATGAACGGCATATACTCGTCAAATGGAATAAATACAGTTTCGGCATGAGCTAAGGCTTCTTCGATAAATTTCGGGTCTTTTCTCAAGAATGAAACACGATTCAAAACCTCTTGGCTATAGTGTAGCGAGTGGGTGATTGGACGGGTAGCCAAAGTACTCATTGTCGGTTCAAAACGCTATCAAATTGGAGCTTTTAAAGGTAAGTGTTAGAGAGAGATCTTGATCCAAGATATTAACTACTATTAACTTAATAAACATGCTTAATAGTGCGGTGAAAGTTAGAAATTGAACGTTACAGTGAGAAGGGCTACTGGACAGGTGAAATTAGTGGTTGAAGCTGAGCAAAGCGCAGGTCAGATAATTCGGAATATAATCGGGCAGTCTTTTGGGGCGTAATGGGATGCGTATATTATTTGACATTATAGGTTCAAATTTGAATGAGGGAGAAACATCGTGAAATGTATTGGAGAGCGTGGATTTGTTAGAGTTTTTCTTGCCTAAGAGTGATGGGAATGGGAACAGTTATTCAATGGGATTGTTAAGACCTTTTTCTACGCTCTCAAGTTGCTTTCTCGATCATATCATTTTGTATTAATCTGTCGCTGTGCCAGCTAAGGTTCTATGCATGTTCTATAGTCTGCAAGAGAAGATGCCAAGAGCTGAAAAGCAGAGATTGTTTGTCTGTTGGTGTGTCTCTTGAGAGAATGAGACAATTTGTGAACTGGTGTAATGAAGCGACAATGGGCGCTCTTTCTATGATGGGAGAGCTTTATATATGAATTTTTGATGGTTGGTGTGTCAAACAATGTATAAATGTTGGGCAGGAAATTTTAATCATGTCAAAGGGAAAGAGAGGATTATAATTTATGAGCCGACGATACCCACTGTGGTTCTTGCTATTGACGCAAAATTCATTTGCAGACTTGTTGTCCTTGTAAAATGCAGTAGGTGAAGTTGTACATTCGAAAACGGTTTTTTGAAACAATCTCGCATGTCAAAGAAAATTGTTCGTTCCTATGCCGATGGACGCTTGATTTCATTTCATTGAGTTGCTAGGTTCCAGTGCTTCCAGAGGTTATGAATGCGTAGCTTTGAAATCTGAGCTTACGGCCAACAACGAACATGGTGCTCACAATTAATTTAGACTCAGTCTTGACTTTTGAGGTGTTTTTGGTAATATTTTGCACTGAGAGTGAGAGGATTTAAGAGTTTATGTACGCGAAAAGTGAACGTTTCTGTACTGCGTTGAATGAACAGAGGATGCTTTCTGAGAATGATTTTCCCGGTAGTAACAAAATTTTGTATCAATATGGATACAATAACAACAGTTTAGAGTACTGTGGCGGTAGCATCACTAGTCTTGATGGAACGTCCCGGTGCTTTCGATATCATGGTTGTTAGATTAGCTACTCTGTCGCTGTCACGATATCACGTGTACGAGACCAGTTTGTCATGGATCTGACGCTGGAGGGACAGAGGTTCCGGCAAAATGAACGCCTCAACGCCAGCGCTTGGTATACATAGCTGATAATTTCAAGTTTTATCAAACAAGCGACAGCGATTTATGGAGTACAATTTTTGTGCTGAAATAAGCTGCGTCGCGCGATTGAGGGCCAAATTGGGATTCGAATCGACGCTGTTTGTCTCGAGGTGCGAGCAAGTATTCGTTATAACTGACAGGTGAACATGTATTTGTTATAACTGACAGATTCACCAATCGACTGTTGACGATGATGATACCGGTGTATAATGGGTGAGAGGATCAAATAGTGAGGCCATGGAATATCAACACCCTCGCTTGATTCTATGATGAAGTAACCTGACGGCTCGTAGTGGTTATGTACGATCTTGTAAGCGTCTTCTGTTATCTTGATGATTCTTTCCTTCACTGTGAATTTTGAGCTAAGAGCTAACTCTCCGTGGTTTGTTTAGTATAAACGAGATGAGGTTGTAGAATGGATAAAAACATCCCTCTTATGCGATTCTTGAATGTTTTACTGAGGCTCGACTACGTCGGCGGTGTTCGAGTGGTTAATCTGCTTCGTTTATTCAGTCATGATTTGCTCTAGGTGAATGTTTATGTTGGAATTGGTGAACTATATGGTATAGTGTCAATTGCGTAATCAAAAAATTGACATATAGTTCACCAATCCCAACATGTTTCTGGTTATACCGGTGGTAAGACTCTGTCTTTTAGGTTTGGTTGTGCGAAAAGCGAGAGATTACTGAATCTCTCCAAGAGGTGAACTATTGTTTTTGTTTATACTCGTGTTGAGACTCTGTCTCTGGAGTGTCGTTGCACGATAAACGTTCGATATCTTGGGTGATCTTGTTCATTATCTCTCCGTGATCTATTTAGCATGAATGGAATGAGCTTGCAGGGTAGACAAAACGTCTCTTCTTATACAAATTCTCTGAGATGTTCCGTCGCTGACGAATATGAGAACTTTCAAGCTTTCCGGGTGCGAACAGTGGAAATGGGCTGATCTGGGTGCACTCGTTTAACTGCAAGGGGTATCACTTGGTTTAATCGACGCCCTTTCCGTTACATCAGTACTTGTTCTAGATTCATTGGGCATCTTGTTGATTCTGACGCTGTCATCTGTCACGTGGATGTGATCACTTCGTCATGGACCTGCCGCTAGACAGACAGAGGTTCCGACAGGGTTTAGAGTTATTTTTCCGTGATGTATTTAGCATAAACGAGATGAGCTTGTAGGGTGGATCACACATCCCTGGCGGATGTAGAAATGCCTGGGCATTCCGGGTGCCAATGGCGGGAATGAACTGATCTGGGAGCTGTACGAAAAATTACAAGCCGTACACCACTCGGTTCAATCGATGTCATTCCTGTCATATCAGTAGTAGTTCTAGATTCTCAATTCTGTCGCTGTCGCTGTCGTCGTGTCACGTGCACACGGTCGCTTTGTCACGGATCTGACGCTGGACACACACAGGTTCCGACAAAAACAACCCAAGCGCGTTGTGAAAAGATCCTGGGAGCTATTGAAGTTTCAAATTCTTCCATTTCTCCACACTAACCGTGCGCGTTTGCCATTTTTTTGTGAATTTATCTTGTCCCGAGTCAGAAGTCACGTGCCACAACTGATGATTTTCCAAATCCCTACGTTTATAGCATCGTGAATGGCTAATTCAAACTCTGCGATGGATACAACGTGTTTCCTTGACTTTGTTATGCCTTTAACATTTTCATACCTTAGAGTCTTCTTGTTGGGATTCAACGACGTGCTTTTCACGTGTTTTTCACATGCCTTTCACATGCATCTCACATGCCCTCCTCACTCTCCACGGCCGTCCCTTTCACAAGCAAAAAATTTTTTAAGGAGACCAAGAAAAAAAAATGCTTAGAAAAGAAATCGATCATCATTTCTCTATAGAGCCATCATCAAGATTTTTTATCTATCCAACCTATATGGAATAAATATATACAGTTGATACAAAAACTAAAGTAATTTGTTAAAGTTAACACAAGTTAACACAACTTTAAGTACTTTAGGTAGGCTAAAACACGCTAAAACACAGTGAAATAAGGTGTTCTGAGCACCTTTTAAAGAGGATTGTGAGGTTTTAAGTAGCGAGCAATCGTGGCGAGCGAAAAGAGTGATTTTAGAGGAGTATTTTGAGCCCTTTTGCGTGAAATTTGGGTACTTTACAAGCGAACTACAAGAGAATTACAAGAAAATTGCAATTCAGCCAACATTCAACAATACAAGAACTCAAAAACACAAGACTCACAGGGCTTTCAGAGATGGATCTAAGAGTGGGACGTAAGTACAGAATCGGCAGAAAGATCGGAAGTGGGTCCTTTGGCGACATTTACCATGGCACAAACCTAATAAGCGGAGAAGAAGTGGCCATCAAACTGGAATCCATCCGGTCCCGGCATCCACAGCTGGACTACGAGTCCAGGGTGTACAAGTACCTGAGCGGCGGGATCGGGATCCCGTTCATCCGGTGGTTCGGACGAGAAGGCGAGTACAACGCCATGGTGATCGATCTGCTGGGCCCATCGCTGGAAGATTTGTTCAACTACTGTCATCGCAAATTCTCGTTCAAAACCGTGATGATGCTGGCGTTGCAGATGATCTGTCGCATCCAGTACATCCACGGCCGGTCTTTTATCCATCGCGACATCAAACCGGACAATTTTCTCATGGGTGTGGGTCGTCGTGGATCCACCGTGCACGTTATCGATTTTGGACTTTCCAAAAAATATCGGGATTTTTCCACCCATCATCACATCCCATACCGTGAAAACAAAAATTTGACAGGTACCGCCAGATACGCTTCTGTCAACACACATTTGGGTATCGAACAATCCCGCAGAGACGACCTGGAAAGTTTGGGGTACGTGCTAATCTACTTCTGCAAGGGATCTCTACCCTGGCAAGGTTTGAAAGCCACCACCAAACGTCAAAAATACGATCGCATTATGGAAAAAAAATTGTGCATTAGTGTTGAACAATTGTGTGCCGGTCTCCCGGTAGAGTTTGTGGAATACATGCGGTACTGTCGTAACTTGAGATTTGATGAAAGACCAGATTATTTGTATTTGGCTCGTCTTTTCAAAGATCTCAGTATCAAATTGGACTACCACAACGACCATTTATTCGATTGGACCATGTTGCGATACACAAAGGCAATGATCGAAAAGCAACGTGCGTTGGGAGAATTGCCAATGCCCGAAGAGCCCAAGGACGATGAATCGAAACAAGACTCCTTCAACCGCGTAAAACAACTTGCAATGCGCAAGTTTTCTACACATTTCCATTATTGCCGGTCCGAGGACAAACATCATCCCTCTGCCGACGAGATCAAGCAGCAAACGGCTCAAAACAACCAGGCAATCCTATCCATCCCTCAAGATTTGTTGAGCGCCATTGACAAAGACATGGACAATCTTAAGCAGAATGTTGCTCAGGCTCCGGAAGCCTCTTTGCAACAACAGCAACAGCACCAGCAACAGCAACAGCAACAAGCACTCCAACAGCAGCAAGAACAACTTCAGCAGCAACCGCTACAGTCTCGACAGTTTCAAAACGAAGTGGCTTATCAAAACCGTGTTCCCGTTGCAGAGCCTCTGCTGCAAACTCAAAAGGATGCAGATTACGACGATCTCAAGCGCACGTTGGATATGCTAAACAGCAACGGTACTCCACAGCCCACGTCGTCCCGTAAACCTACCCAGAGCACCACACAGTATCCGCCTGCTGGCGCCAACAACAACAATAACACCAAACCTTCAGGTGGTGACATTTGGCTATAGCGATCGATCGACACATTAAAAAATGAAAGAAAACGTTTAAAAAAAAAAGAAGACCCCTCTCCTTGGGGAGAAAGAAGTATTACCTCCACCATTCAACTGCTCCACGATAGACCCTCAGTCTCGCTCACACATCGGGTGATCTGTCAAAGGCCAGTTACTGTCATTCCCTCACCACCATAATTTGCATTTACAGGCATCATTTTATAATATCTACTTACAACTGAGTAACAGTATGATAATTTTAAGATAGAGCATGGAACAAGAATAAATCAAGACTACTCAATTTCATGGATTCAATAGTAAAGGAACACTGGGTTGAGGTTCGCCTGCTTGATCCTCAAGTTTCCTTAGTTCTTATATAGTCGATTATAGTCAGCGACACATACGTATAATGTTATCAGTATTAGGGGTCATTTAAAGATTCATATATAATGTTAAATTGACCTTAAGGCAGCCCTTTCTTGATGAAATATGGCTGAAGTCCTGGGTTTAAGATCAAAAAGTGCAACTCAACGGTAGTTTAACCTTCGAAGAAGGTTATAATTGTATTCAATTGGGTACTGGAGGTGTGTGGGAATTTTTTTCCGACTCTGGGGACTTTCAAAACCCAATTTTTCAAGATATAGAAGCGGTGAGAGATGGAGCACCAGAATGAGCAATACATGTCGACACTAGAGTCTAGACCTGGTTTGGGAGAACGTCAACGGTCACTTTTGCCGCAGAGATCTGCGATTTCAAAGGGGAAATACACGTTGCACGACTTTCAAATTTTAAGAACGCTTGGAACCGGATCCTTTGGGAGAGTGCATTTGGTGCGTTCGGTGCATAACGGACGGTACTATGCGATCAAAGTGTTGAAAAAACAGCAAGTGATAAAAATGAAACAAATTGAGCACACGAACGATGAGCGTCGGATGCTGAAACTGGTAGACCATCCGTTTCTGATCCGCATGTGGGGGACATTCCAGGATTCTCGAAATTTGTTCATGGTGATGGACTACATTGAAGGTGGTGAGCTTTTTTCCCTGCTTAGAAAATCGCAGCGATTCCCCAATCCCGTGGCGAAATTTTTCGCTGCAGAGGTGATTCTCGCTTTGGAATATCTCCACGCACACGACATCATTTACCGGGACTTGAAGCCTGAAAATATATTGCTGGATCGCAATGGACATATCAAAATCACGGATTTCGGGTTTGCCAAAGAGGTTGACACAGTGACGTGGACTTTGTGCGGTACTCCGGACTATATCGCACCTGAGGTTATTGCAACCAAGCCATACAACAAGTCTGTAGATTGGTGGTCGCTGGGAATTTTGATTTTTGAAATGTTGGCGGGTTTCACGCCATTTTACGATACCACACCTATGAAAACATACGAAAAGATTCTACAGGGCAAAGTTACGTATCCACCATTCTTCCACGCAGATGTGGTAGATCTATTGGTAAAATTGATCACCTCAGATTTGACTCGTAGATTGGGTAATCTGCAAAGTGGTGCAAAGGACGTAAAATCGCATCCTTGGTTCAGCGAAGTTATATGGGAAAAGCTTTTAGCAAAAGACATCGAAACCCCCTATGAACCTCCAATTACAGCTGGAGTGGGTGATTCGTCACTTTTCGATCAGTATCCAGAAGAACACTTGGATTACGGTTGCCAAGGTGAAGATCCATATGCTCAATATTTCATTGAATTTTGAAGCAGGCATATATACTCTTCACCTTCCCGTTCCTTCCTTGACCCAGTTTTTTTTGTCGGGAAGTAAACTTAACGCCCAATAAAGAACTTTATATGGATAGCGACTACAAATATCTTGATTTATTATAGGTCACTACTACACTTAATGAATATCGTGCGTATTTTGTCTTTTCTTATGTACATGAGATAACAGAGGAAACATATCTGCAGTATGTACCCCAGCTTAGGATTTTACTCCAATGCGACTTTGGCACCAAGGCCTTCCAAAGCGGCCTTGATCTTATCGGCATCCTCCTTGGCCACGTTGTCCTTCAATATCTTGGGGGCCGCTTCTACAAACTTTTTAGCCTCCACCAATGACAGTCCCAAAAGATTTTTCACTTCTTTGATGACCTTTGGCTTAGACTTGGCATCGAAAGACTCGAGCTTTATAGAGAAAATTGTCTTTTCTTCTTTCACTTCTTCTTCCTTGGCTTCTTCAGCAGCTACTGGAGCAGCTCCGCCGGCTGGTACAGCACCCGCAACGGGCATAGCGATGTCAGGAATGTTGAGTTGAGTTTTCAGCTCACTAATTAGCGAACTTGTCTCCAGGAGGGTCAATTTTGAAATATCTTCCACAATTTTAGCGATTTTGGGGTCCACAGGAGCAGGCGAAGACGCAGTGCTGTTCAAGCGCACGTACGATGCTCTTACCACGGGCAATTGGGCGAGTCTGACAACGTTTCTTCTGGCTCCACGTACCAACATTATAATAATTTTCCAAGTGACCTATAACGGATCTAAAAGTTGTGAATATAAGCGGGAAACGGCCAAAAAAACTTCAATGGGATGAGAAAATTTTAGCTAGCGTTCTAACAGTAATTAAACTCGATAGAAGTGTAAGAATGGATCCTACGGCTGTCGCAGATGTGCGTGTTAAATGGATGATTTTGACGTCGATTTCTTTAGATGGTAAAATTTTACCCATGTTAATAGCTTCTCGTCGTTTCTAGCGATCTTCAATAGTGTTTGTGGTTTTCGAGTCAGTTGTCTAGTCGCATCGACAAGCAGTTTGGATAGATAAGTGACTAGATGGCGTCATGTTAATGCGGCGTATATAGTTTTGAGGGCAAGTAGGAGAGTTTAAGCAAGAAACTAGAAGAAACAATCAAACTTAAGGACTTTGAGCTCGATGATTGACACTTGAGACCGTAGGTATTGAGTATGATCTTTTTTGGAAGCGTAAAAGGCACCTGATCCCAACGCCCGCGACAAGTGAGAGACATATTAGACCGCTTATTTCTGGGAATAGCTCGAGACGCGGCGTCGTAGTTTTAGACATGCACGAAGCGTTGAAATACAAAGACTTTTCTACCAGCTTGGTTATATATTTGGCAAAAGCTATGCACATGTCGCCACGAACACTGTTCGACGTAATCTGAAATTGATGTACAATGGTAACACTTGAGATTGAAGCTTATCGGATTTCTTCCTGTAATCAAATCTGGGCTCGTCAGTGCTCCAGAATAGTCACTTTTTGTCAAGTGTCGCTACCATCTTGATTGTGCGTCAATATCATATCTCCCGATGTCAGTATAGTACAAAGTGATGATGTTTATTTACGCAACTACATTGAACCAATTTCTGTGCATATAGCTCCAAAGAGTCAGTAAATGGTCTATATGGATTTGGGCTTGGTTTCCAACTTACGGTGTCCTCGTTTCTTACACATTTTTATATTTTCTTCACCTTGATCAGTTTTCAATGATGACCACTTTTATGGAATTTCATAATAGCATTTCAATGAAAACGAAAAACAACAGAAGGTGGCCAGCTCCGATACAAGTATTAAACAATCTATAGAGCGTCTCAAATGAACTCCAATACTATCAACAAGTTCTATACATATCACACCGAGTCAAAAATGTTGGCACGTGATACAATAATGATCCCGTGACCCGTCTCATCACATGACTTCGACTTAATTAAGTACTGGCCATATAATTTGCAGGACCGTATCGATAACTGAACTGGCCTACACATCAAGAACGTTTACTTTCGGCGAGATTATAGATATATAATTTCCAATCCACGTCTTTAAAAGTAGCCTGTATTTTTGATTTCATTCCTCTGGACTCTCACACGCTCCTTCCCTCTTCAACAGAAAGAAAAGGTGCTTAAATCGTATCAAAATGACGACTTTCAGATTTTGCCGAGACTGCAACAATATGTTGTACCCAAGAGAAGATAAAGACAACCAGAGGCTTCTGTTCGAATGCCGTACATGTGCTTATGCAGAAGAAGCGGGAACGCCCATGGTCTACCGCCATGAATTGATCACAAACATCGGAGAAACCGCAGGTGTGGTTCAAGATATCGGGTCAGATCCAACGCTTCCGCGTTCAGATAAAGAATGCCCGCGGTGCCACTCGCATGAAAACGTATTTTTTCAATCACAACAGCGACGTAGCGATACTTCCATGGTACTTTTCTTCGTCTGTTTAGGCTGCTCACACATCTTCACCAGTGACCAGAAAAATAAGCGTACAGGGTTCAGTTAAAACAATTTGAATTTGGCCTGAAAACTACCATATGATTTAAGTGAAAGGGCACTATCATAGAAACTTGTACGCTAATATGAGAACATTGCCATAAGTACTTGTGTAGATCATGCACTTACGTACATACATCGAAAACCTGTAAAATATTAAACGCGTTACATATCATTATACTTGTTCATGAGACTGATTGCCGTTCCCCATATCCCACGCTATATCTTGATTGGGAGCTGGTGAATGCATATGCAAGTTGGAAAGGTGCATATTTCGCATATCATTCGTAAGGACCGCACCGGCCTCAGATGGCGGTCGTTGAAGTAATAATGGGGACCTAATCCCGTTTCCGCGTATGCCAGCATTATCTCCAGCTTGAGATGCATTATACGGAGTAGCCGTTGATGATGAAGGAATGCAGTCGCAGTGGTTTGAGTGATTCAGTTCACATAGGACCTCGGCAGGAGCGAAACGGAGTTCGTCCAAAAAGGGCTTCTGATCAACAACTGTCCATGGATTTGGGTCTATAAGATCCGCTGTTAGTTGATGATTCGTGGTTTCATGCATAGGTTCTTGTTTTACACGAGGTAGTGGTTTGAGAAACAGTTCTGTGAAATCGATCTCCTCGGTTGCTGCAATAAAATTGTCCGGATCCCAACTCGTTCCGGAAGGATCAACGAGTTGTGAAGCGGGCAAGCCGGTTTCCATCGCCACGTTAGATTTACCACGTTGATCGCAACCGCTATCTGGTGACACAACTGATACGGAATCCCATCCATGAGGCATGGTATTGCGGCTGAGCAGATGAGCAAAATTTTTGTTCTTGCGTGGCTGTTGCGATTTGTGGGCCGGTTTGCTGACAGTTTTGTCGACATTTTTGTTTACGCCCTCTGAGGTAGGGAGAACAATGTCGAAACTTTTAATTTCTTGTGTGAGTCCACAGTCGCACGGTATTGCCTCCGGTTCGATAGGTAAGTTGAAGCGGGCTCGCGTTTCAAGCTCATCAAACTTTCTTACCGCATCCCAGTCCTGTTCTTCTCGTAAAACGTTTTTGAAGTTTTTGTAGTCTTCACTGTCGGCGTTGAACTTCAGAGGATGCGAGTGTCCGTTGTTCATTACCACAATGTTCCATTTCTTGCGTTTAAGTGAGTACGTTGCCCGTACACGGAAGGGACACGTATTGTACGGCGAAACTGATCTTTTCTTGAGTTTTGACTGCTGAAGTATTCGCTTGGCTGCTTGTGGACTCTCCGGAAGCTCATCGGGAGTACTGTCATCATGGGCGCCTGAGGTACGAGACGTACGGCCGCGTTTCGAAGCCTTGCACTTAAACACTACTTTGATTTTGTCAGATCGTTCTATGACGATCTCGATGCCCTGCGGGTAAAAAATCTTTTGAAGCCATGTCTTGATCTCTTTACGGTCTTTGAACTCTGGTATGGGGTCCAAATGTATCAGTTTATTCTGTGCTCGCTGTCTCTTGATCGATTCCAGTGCGTTTTCGCTCAGTAGGTTGTTCAGACTCGCTGTGTCGCTCCAGGTTGAGGTTTCTGCACTTCCTGCGTTGCCCGTATCCTGTCCACTGCTTCCGGTCAGCGTCGTCGTCACGGTGTTCACCGTGTCTGCCGTTGAAAGCGGTGAAGCATCCGCCACGATAGACTCCCACGACGGCGATGTATCAGCAGAAACGCCCAGAAACCTATCCAGCGGTGAGAACTCCATTTTTCACCAGTCTTACGCTGTCACTGTCGCTGTCGCTACCTCCACGTACAGGCCGTATTTCTCACTTCTGAAAATCCGCGTGTATCTGTAAATTTCAACAGTGAATCAAAGTTCTAAGTCTAAAGTCGACAAACTCGAGTTTAGACGCTGTTCTTGACCCAACTGTTGTAACATCAATGAGCTTTAGCCGGTGCACTTTTGATAGTTTCCTGGTAGTTAACGAATTTCTGCACCCATTTTTCATCATTTAGAAAAGTGAATATAGCGAATATGTCGAAAAATCGAGACGGGCGTTCGAAACCCACGGGAGACATGTTTCGCATGAATAACGGTAATGGATAAGAATGAACACTTAACCAAGCGATTGGCATGCCATGAGCGCGTAAAAACATTTGAGCAGAGCCCAAGGTCTCACATTTTGCTCGATTTCGTAGTTTTTGCACTTTTTTTCATCTGTTTTGGTCATATCCTTGACAACCATCAAGATGTCGCTGGAGTAGCTAGTTGGTAGCATGCGTCAGAGCCTGAGATAACTAGAAGTCGGGACCGTAGCGCGAAGAAGGAGCGGATGTCGCGAATGCCAAACTGAGCCCTAATATCGGAGTAGCCAAGTGGAACCCAGCGTGCGGTGGTCTGGTCAACGCTGAAACACGCAATGTGCGTGCCGTACAAATGCTCCTGCTCAACCACTATTTTGCTGTCGTTGTCGAAGAAATCGTAAAAAGCTTCCTCGCGGATGCCGCACACAAGGTCCGCGCAGGACACAAAGTCGTATACAAACAGCCTGCGCGACGTGGCAATAGCTAGCGCATTTTGACGTGTGGCAAACTTCAAAGACACTATTCTCTCGTCTTCTTCGAGATACAAACCCCTGATGCCACTAGGTCGATCCCGCTGCCGTAAGTTCCACACGTATACTTGTCTTCCGTCGTGCATCGCCACGGTTTGCACGTTATAGTTCACGTCTGCGCCCAAACATCCGATTACAGGCGAAGAATGTCCTAAATCGACCATTCGCGTGGAACGTGTGGCCAGTGTCGTGATGGAAAGACAGCAGCTGTTTTTGCTGAAGGCCACTATTCTCCAGGACTGGCCTACTAGTCGCGTCCACACGTCAGTCACGGGGGCAGCCAAAGAGGGACTTGACATTTGTACCAAACCACTTTCGAGGTTGAAAACACCACTGAATCCCAAAGTCGAGCCAAATGCAACCGTATCACCCTCCACCACGCCCATAGCCGTGATTCCCCCCGCCAAATTCGCAGTCAAATCGGCCGTTTTCAAAATGGCTCCTGAATCGTCCACAATGCTGATTCCGGTCCCATTTTCACGCCAACAACACCAAAACGCGCCATCAAACCGTTTGTTCGTTTTTTTGTCGGCGAAACCCGCGTTTTCAGCGGTTTCCTGGAGCTTCTCGAGTCTCCAATCTCGTGGTCGTGAGAAAGCGTTGACATTTAAATTCGCAACGTCAAGAAGCGGAGATTGAGGAGGAACCAGTTGCAATCTCTCCTGCCCAATCCTCGCAGTAGCAGCATCATATAAATCACGAATCAGAAGTCCCATCGTGTGTAAAAATATAGCTTTTTTGGAACTTTCTGTCCAAAACTCAACTCTTACGCTAAAAGTGTCAAATCTGGGTCTTTAAAAAGACTTCTTCTGGCTGGAGCTTAGCTGATATGAACTCGTGTGGCTTGAATAACTCTTAATTGCTCAAAAAAACACTTTTGATGTCGTTCTAGCAGAAGTTAAGTACCAAAAACTTTAGCTCATCGCGTATTTCCCATAGTCTTTTATGATTCTGATACATCAATAATTATTATGCGCATCAAAGTGACATCAAAAGGGCCCTGTCAAAAAATCCGGAGTAGGGAAAAATAAGCACGTGAGACGCTTATATAATCATCATGTGAATATCACGCGAATATGGTGTGACAAGCTTAGATCATCGCAGGGCTCTTTAGATCTGTAGATGAAAGTGTCTAGTCTATCCTTAGGCAGTGAGTAGAGTTAGCGTTTTAATCTACTGTCTTTTTTTGATACTATGTGTTTAGTTTTCCCCACCATTACGTGCCCTTTGCTTTTTTTCCGACGTCTGTAGACGCTTTTGTTGTTGGCCCTCGTTGTGTTCTTCTCCTTCTTCTTCCTCTTGTAATGTGTGATTGCGTTTGCCGGGTCGTTCTGACGGTATCTCCTGCATGAGTGGACTGAGATTGCTAGGATCTGCAGTGGATAGATAATCTTGGAGATCGAAATTGGAAGGCGTGGGCTGCTCATTATGGTTGGAACTGACTGCAGGATTATCAAGTGCTGTCTCACTTACCGAGGCCGGCGTACTGTCAGTCCCGTTGTGATGCGACGGAGACATCTTGGTGATCCAGTCTTCAAGCTCTTGGATCGATTCACCCTGTCTTTTGATGTTAGACTCGAGATCATCGAAAAAATTGGGTCCCACAGATGAGCCTGAATCGAACGCTGCCGGCTCCGATTGACCGGTTTGTGAGTTGCGGCTTGCACTCTGACCCGCGTCACTTGCAGACATGTGTGTCGGTATGGTTGAAGCGTTGTCAATGTACTGGCGGCCTATTTCCTGTATGGGAGAGGACGCACGTCCCAGATCAACGCTACTATGCGTGTTGGTGCGGTTCTTGGAGAGATCGTGGGCTTGACTATCCTTCAAAAGCAGTCTTGGACGCGCCATTGCATTATTCAGGTTACCCAGGTCCCAATAGTTGTTGTTTCCCGTCGGTATATCGTTGAAGCTGGAGTTCGTTTGGGCAAGCTGGTTGGCAAGGTCATGTCCCAATAGTTTTTGGGCGTTGGAACCCATGAGAGATGTCAGAAGATGCAAAATCTTATTGAGAGCCTGTTGTTGCGCCTGATGTCTTTCACGAGCCATCATATTTTCCTTCCACAGCAATTCGTTATCTTTGGACATTCGCTTGATATCTTCTGCAATTGCCATTTGATTGAACTTGACAGATTCTAGTTCATTCAGCAATATACCTAAATCCATCTCCTCACCATTTTGTCCTACGAGTAGATCTTTGGAATTGTTGGAACTCGATTTTTGTCTCACAATGTTATCCAGTAACTCTTCAGAGTCTCGAATGAAGTTTTCGTTTTCAAATTGCGATCTTTCGTCGGAATTCTCCTGAATCGATCCAGATCGTACGTCTTGTACTTTGTGCCAGCCATACATGTTCAATTGGCGCACGAACGATGCGAAATTGGAGTGCTTGAAGTATCTGGGCAAAACGTTATGCACAAAGCCCTCCCGGTTGGTGATTATGAAAGATTTCCCGTCTGGAGCCCAGTGCATCAAATCGGCAATTGCACTATCGTTAACCATTGACCATAGTTTGTTTACAAAGGCGGGCCTGGTTTTTGCACTTGTCAGTTTCCGCTTGGGTAATTGTTTGGGTGACACAGAGGGTTGTGGTTTTTGGACCGGCTTCAGTAGCCTATTTCTGTAGGGCATGAGAATTGAGTCCGACAGAAGCGAGTCGTGAACACCAGGTGGGCGGTCGGTATCGGTATTGAGAGTTGCAGGGTAAAAGCTGGAAGGTGTACTGCGTCTGACGATGTCTCCGGAGTGTTCCTGGCCCGTAGGTAGCAATGACGCATGGGTAGCCAGTGGTGAGAAAATGCCTTGTATCGAGCCCTCTGTTGACTGGACTGGATCGAGATGGGACGGTGACATAGCACTTGAAGGATCCCATGCGGGATTTACAATATCTTCTGCCACTGGCTGTGGGTTTCGGTGATTGCTGTCAGCCGCCGTCTGACTGGGATTGATTATACTTTGGATTTCCTCGTCATTCAGAATGTGACTGTTGTTATTGTTTTGGTTTGTCGTGCGATCACTCATCCTAGGTACGCTTACAATTGTCGTGTGATTTAATGGCTCTGGATGGGCTTCTTATTTGACAATTTGAATAAGATCCGTTGAAGACAGACAAGCAGCAACAGCACGAGTTTGTATATAGATTCTATTTGTTAGCACCAAAGGGTACTACGTTCGCGTTTGAACTGGTTCAAAAGGCACTGCGCTCAGGGTCTTCTGTGTTGTTCGCGATTAAAGGTTTTCTACCAGCTCATCGATTAATTTTCACTAATGGTAAATTAGACAACTATATAGGCTTCTGACATCGACAAAAGCTCGAAATAGATGAAGTTCGTACAAACACAACGATCATGCGTTGGTCAATGATGGCCCAGTCGTGTTTGCGTTTCGGTTTTCGAGCTCGAGGCGCTAAAAAAATCATCCGCTTGACCATTATCTTGTAGGTTGCAGTTTAGTTGTGCGAGATTATTATAAATTGCCTTCTTTCAAAGACGAAATTCAACCAATTTTGTGCAGTTCTACTGATGTCATTGTAGTTCAGTGTCTTGAGACAGTGGCGAAGTTGTGAAAAAGATCTACGCTTTCGCCAGACTCTAGTGAAGATGTACAAAGGTTTGGTTTGTCTACCGAGAGTATACTCTATTTAACTAGCGGTGTCATCTCAACAGCCCCATTTGTAGTCTCATACTCTTTCTGGATCAATCCGAATGATGGAACGATGGATAGTTTATGGGAATTTCCAAACGTAGTTCAATTTTCTGACGGCCCTTATAGTGTCGGGTTAGTTTCAATATTTCAATATTGAAGACACTGTCATCTCTTATAAACCGAGACAAAAACACATCCAGGACATCAGGAACAAGCACAATGGAAGCAAGCAGGACGTATTTCTTTCTCGATCCGTGATCTTGTTGATCAAAACGCGGTGAGATTCGAAAGCCACAGACGTGAGATGTCCCGAAATCCAGCCTATCGCATGATTGATCAAACAAAACAAAAACGACAAGAGTTTTCCATCTCAAACTACACTACCACCTTTGAAGAAGTGAACTAGCCAGACTAGGGGCGATGACAGAAATTGTCAACTTCTCATCGTCGCATTTATCACGTCGCACGTAGTGAGGATCCTACTCAAGTACGCGACACTATATAAATATCATACCCTATCTTACCAGACGCGCTACACGGGAAAGGGCAGAGAACAGCCGCTGAATACCGAAATGAGTGATATTGACAGAGCACCCACGCTCCTTTTAGACGCAGTATGGCCACTGGTTGACGTCAAAGGTACCGGCTTCATCTACGGCCGCGACTTCCCACTTGCAGTGTCGAAAATGGAGGAACTACTTAATAAGGGCCACTATGACAACTCCAAAAGTACACTGGTGTCTAAAACAGGTCAAGAAATTCTGAAAAAATTTAGCAGTGACCAGGAGTTCTTTAAGGTTTACAAGGACGACTTTGCGGAGCTTTTCCATGGCCTTATTGGTACTGCTTTTAGGACTGCGGTCCAATCGTGCTCGAGAGAAGGATGGCTTGATTTCATCAAAACAGCGTCAGAAACGGTCAGTTTCAATGATAACGAAGATACTCCAGTGGAGCCTGAAACGCTGCGGGGAGAAATTGCTGCGTTGAAGAGCCAGATCGGAGAACTGCGGCGGCAAAACGCAGGGAAGGACAAGACTATAGCTACCAACGAAGTATTGCTAACGGAACTTCGAAACTCAGGTGGATCTCCATCGGCTAGTCCAACAAAAAACGCTGGAACGCGAAGTCTACGAGCGCGGATTTCGGAGCTGTTGCGAGAGGTTCAAGCCAGAGATGAAGCGATACGATATAAGGATCGTGAACTATTGTCTATGACCAAAAAAGTCGGGGAATACCGGGATAAATACCAGTTCTTGGAACGCGAGTTTCAGTTCTACAAAGACCATGGGGAGCTGCAGAAACCAGAGGCAACGAAGGAAGCCACCAAGCACGAGTTTATTATTTCAGAGCTCAGAAGAAAAATCACCGACCAAAGCGATATGATAAACGCTATGCGTTCCCAAGTAGAGTCTAAAAACCCCTTGGTTTCTCATCCGAAGCCGGCTGGTGTAGAATCGAGTATAATTGACTTGGTACCGGTACAGAAAATATTAAAGTGCGCGATGGCGATTATTGGAATATTTATCGTGGCAAATGTTCTCCTGTACTTTGTTGCGGCCCTAAAATCGGTATTTGGATCCTCTTCTGCTCAAGGCATTAATCCCCAGATCCAATTGAATTGGTGGGAGCGAAGCTCAATGTTGAGTAAAATCGTTTGGTATTTCTCTGAATACTTTGAACAGGATTGGTCCATTGCTGCTGACGAAAATATCAATTCTAGTTACAACAAGATTTTTGGGGTTTGATTCGCTCAGTTTTGTAAGCTTTCAAAAGCCTTGCTAAAGGGAAAATAAGTTGTAAAAAGGTGTTCGACGTTACATATTCTTTTTGATGCACATGCACACGAATTTCAACAGCGTAGAAACAAGATCTCCATTCTTGTTGTTTCCCTGGTTGCCATTGTGCTGCTGTTGAGGCTGCTGCTGGTATTGAGGCTGTTGCTGCTGGACATAATTGTGTTGGGGGCGGGTCTGCGAGGGCTTTGCATTTTGGTTGGGGCGGCTGACCGTGTTGTTGTGGGCATATGTCGAATAATCCATCGACTGCCAAGAATTTGGTACCTGTGCGTTTTGGAGCTCGATGATCAAAACACCCGAGTTTTTGGGATCCACATAGTTTGGCAAATTGGCTTGCTGGCAAAGTTCTTCGACTGCAGGCTTTATCTTAGCGATACCGTTTTGGGAGTGGATACCCTTACCAACAATTACCTCAAGTTTTTGTTCCTGGTTAGCCACGCCTGCAGCTATCCTTCTCTGCAAGATCCACTGTGCTTCCTTCGTGTACAATCCGTGCAAGTCTATCTCGTTCGAGTCGCTATCGGCGTTGTTTTGAGTGAAGACGTATTCTGCAGCCTGCATGTTATACTTCTCGGCAACCTGGAGCTGTTCTTTCGCTTGTTCGCTGAGGGTGTGGGCCTCACCTTTATCACCGTTTTTGAATGCATGCTGGGATTGCTGGGAGAGTGTCTGCCGTTTCTTGTAGGCATCGTCAGCCAGCCCCCTGAGACGTTTGTACTCCGTGTCTGTGGCATGGTTATAGTCCTTCTGTTGAGACAGGTAAGCGCCTCTGTCGGCGACGGCAGCGTTGCTCATTGGCTATTCGACTCACGACAGTTTTGATGTCTTCATGTGAACAGTGCATTACAGTGGGTTATCTTTATTTTTTTCCATGCGTGGAAGCCTTCGTTCGTCGAACAGTATGATATAAAGGGTCCGTTTGCCAAGTCGAGGAGAACCACGTCACCTAACGGAAAACATACGTGGATTTCACGGGAGGGCAGTGTCATGACCATTTTACATGCTTCACTGGACAAACTGCGCAAAACTTGCAAAGGTTGGTAATGAAACTGTCCTTCGAGGTCCCTGGTCACGTGAACAATACCAAAGTGTCAAAATGACAAACTCTTGCGGCTTCTTGGCCCATTTGCAACACCCGCGACGAGCGCTCTCTCTGTTTCCTTCTTTCCCTCTCCCCTCAGCTTTCTCTCCCTATCTCCCTCCCTCTCTCCTTCTCTCGATCCACAAGCGTTGGCTAGGATACCGGGCGCCATGTGACAAAATAGGCCGGGCCGGCTTTCTCGTCTGTTGTCGCCCAGAACCGTTTTGTCTCGCCAACATGCATTTGTCATGATGCCGGCGGCCAGACCATTAAGCCCCACGACGCGCAAACACAACAGGGTAAAAAAAAAGCGAAAAACTGGAAACGAGGAATCCCGCAATACGCGCTATCTGAACTGGGACTGGGACTGGGACTGGGATTGGGACTGGGACCGTTAAACGCGGGTCATGTGACTGCGGCGATTTTTCAACGATTCGTCATTTTTCGGCCTTAGGCGCGGGTGTAAGGTGAGAGAGATCATTGTAATCCCAAGTACGGTTTTCGAAGAGCAAAGGCGTTAAGAGGAAGAGAAACACGAACACATTCTTTGTTCTGCACCAGCCGTTGCAGGGTTCCGTTTTAATTTCCGGCAGCCGTGTTTTTTCGCTACTTTTTTTTTTTTATAATATGGTTTTGTCTGTCGTTGTGACGACCGCTGCGATAAGGTTTCGCTCAACGGCGCGGGAAGCTCAATTTTTCTGGTGATGTCAATATTGCATGCAGTATCGCACGGAACCTAAAAACCGAGCGTTAGCATCTCGTTGTGCGGGGTGCGTGCGTTACTTTTAGGGTGGCCGCACTAGAGCTTCGCCGTGTACAGCTATTGGCGCACTCTTGGTCTGGATATGCACTGCCGATCCTCTCGGTGCCTGCATTGTTTCACAAAGACATGGAAGGGCGAACGCAAGGCGTTAATTGTTGTTGTTCTTGTTGTTGTTCTTGTTGTTGTAGTTCTTCTTCTTCTGGTTCTTTTGCCAAGCCTCTAGCGAGTATACCGAACACTGCTGGGATACGAGATGGACGAAAAACAACCAAAAACGGAAAAACGATATTAAGGGCCACGATCATCAAGGACGAGGAGCGGCCAAACCCGGCGCTTACGGCATGCGGTAAACATCTTTCCCGATGCGGAAGACTCCTGCATGCGCGTCGAGAACAATGGCATACGGATTAATAAGCGTGCATGATGCATGAGTTGGCATGGCAACGATTGGCCCGCGCGAGCACGCTGGTGATAGTTTCGCTTGTTTCTTTTTTGGGTTTCCGTTTCGGTAAAAGTACCGATCCTTTCCCATCTGTCTTGTCCGGTTTATGGACATCAGTCGCGCCACGCTCCGCTCACACAGACTACATTCTTGCCATGCATCACAGGGCCACCCGCCGTAGCTGCCAGGCTCTCTCTCTGCGCCCCAACCGTGGCCGCAGAGACACCGCTGCAAGCACACACAATAACGTTCGGCACGAACAATTAGAGGCGGCCCTATCCTGTGACGACAACAGCGCTGCTGTGCTCTCACAAAGGCTTGCTCCGGCATGCTCCCTCCATAGGCCAATCTCTCGGAAGTTATGTGTAGCCGAGTTTAGCCCATGTCTACGCTGTGCTGCTACGTAGTGTTACGTCTGGATTTTTTTCTTTTTTGCGCTGCGTTTCGGGATTCTGCCCGTGCTTTTGCGCTCGTGCCAGGCCTATGATCTGTATTGTCCTCCTCCGGCAAAAACCGCTCCTATTAAAGAGCACATCGATTATGTCCTAGGCACCCTTCGAAGCTTTGCTTGTCTTTCTCTACAGTGTGTGTTTGCCGATCGCTGTAGCCTTCAACTCATTGTGTGTGCAGTTCAGAAAAAAATAAAGAAAACTCGATTTTCGCTGCCGTGAAAAGTACGACCCGCGAGCTGGGCGTGCAGACGCCAATAAGAAAGGGCTACAATACACTATCAACAATCAACAGCACAACCACAGTACCGAATACTATTCGTAGCGCTGCTGTCAAATTCGAATCGGAAGTTTTGATCGTGCGAGCAGATTGCCTGCGGTTTGTTTGATCCAGAAAAGCGGAAAAGGAGAAGCGAGATTGAGACACAGGTATTTGTTGACGTCTTTGGCCGTTTTTGATCTGAGAGCTGGGAGTCCTGAATTTTTCGGGCTCACTCGTTCGCTACAGCCAGCACTAATACGAACCCACTTGCACGCACGCACGCACGCACACACGCTCACATACCGAAGCGGCGTTTGGTATCAAAATCGGGAGATCATCCGGAGCTGTGAAGAAAGCAACACTGGTTGGAAAAATTCAAGATAAAAAAGCCTTTGTCCTCGCCCCCACTCTCATTATTAAGACAAGAGGATAAGCAGAAAGCAGCATTGTAAGCATTGGAAAACGCAATAGCACATAACGCTTCCGAAATCGTTGCAACGACAGTTTTAAGGCCACAAAATACCAAGGGTTTCGTACACCACACTGCACCCACACATCCCATACAACAACAACAACACTTGCAACCATGCGCGAATCGCGACACCAAAAATTCGTGTGGACCATCCGTCACGACTGCGCACTCGTGGACTCAGTGCTGGCACTGGGAGACATGCTAGCAGACCCAATTCGTTCGTATCCACGAACCAAGTTTTGGGCCAGCGTGAGTGACGAGTTGCACGCTGCGCACAATTTGGCACGTAATAGTCGTCAATGTCGCGACCGATTCAATCTATTGTTTTCTCGCGCATTATTGGTTCCTGTGGAGCTGCGTCGATCGCCACCATTGTCATCGTCTATCCCATTGTCTTCCACTTCGCAAACTACTACTACTACTACAGGCCCGATGTCACGTGTACCGGTATACGACGAGTCATCTGAAGCTGACTCGCCAATACCGTCAGAAGTGGTTTTAGAATCGCGGCTGCAGATGTGTGTGCGACGTTTCCGGTTTGGCAATGGACGAAGTTTGGAACTGAATAACAATAGTAACAACAGCAGCAACAGCAGCATCAACACGGCAAATGCAATAGACCGCATCAGCACGGTTCCTGGACTCGCTACCACTGCTACTTCCAATGCTCCGTTATTAGATAGCCCACCACCGCCGCCACGAACGGGAGCGCTTCACGAACTAATACACCCACCGGATTCGCCCACGCAGACACCCGTAACACGGCCTGAAGCACGGTTTGCAGATTTGGCGCTCATACATTCACAGCTGCATCACGTTCACGCCGTGTTGGGTACACTTACAACAGATGTAGCACAACTAAAGGCCCAAGTTGCGCAATTGCAACAATGTCTCCCATCACGCGATAGTGGTGGTAGTGTTGAAAACAAGAGCCGCGGTGGAGCGAAGCAGGAATAAGATGGGTCTGTCAGCCACCGTTCGAATAAGGTTTTTTTTTTGACATATGCATGCATTCACTCACACTCACGTCAGTTTTTTGTAACAATAGGCACCTCAGCATGGGCAAAACAAAAGAAAAAGAAGACACACACAGACACGGCCAAACCACAATGGTAACCTTACGGAAGGCAAAATGTCAAACCAAGCTGCTTTGCCACAGCATTACCGTAAACTTTTGGGCTTTTTTGAAACCACTTTGATCAAAACACGGTCCGGATCCGTACCTAGGCACACCAAAACACCTTGATCAATACCGTCATCGAGGCCAATGCAGGTTTGCCGCGTCACCATGCCCAACGGCATTCCCGTCGCGGTTCATGCATTTGAACAATGAGATCTACTTTTGATTTTCCGCATTTGTCTCGAACCAGTTCAATAGCATATGAACCGTTCAAAAACGCATGTAAACGTCTACATACATAAATAATGCCAGTAGATAGGCCAGCACCAACGTCTCTAAGCGTTCACACAATACATGCATTACGGGATCGATCGCCAGCCCTAATGATGATTACAGACCATACCATCTGCGGAAAATGTAACCCGGTGCTTTAGGGCCTATTTTCAGCGTAATATATGAAAAAAGCTGAGGTCGAATTCAGACTTAACCTTACGGACACCACTTTTCAGGAAAGACATAGTGAAAACATCAAAAAAGACGTGAAGGCATTCGTGTGGAAAGGCCATGAGGACATGGAAAACTCACGATTAGTGTCTGCTTCCGCCTCTTTCGTTTCTTCTTCTTTTATCAGGTTTAGTTTAGTGTTTATAGTGCTTGTGCTGGTACTTTTACCTGTGTATCAAGGTTTGGGTGATGAAAAGTGTATCAACATTTTACAGTGGCTAGCTACGGCGATGTTGTCTACTACGTTAACCATCTTTCGGGACTGACAGCCTTAACACAGAAAAGTATCAGAGAGTAGGCCGTCCAGTAGGCGGAGTGATCCAGTAACGGAACGTACGAGAGGGAAAAGAACCCAGTAGAATGAATTGAGTGATGCACCGGTAAAAGAGCGTAAAAATTCATCGGTTAGTAGGCATAATCAAGGATCGAAAAGTAGCTTTCTCAAGCAGTACAACAACGGCGACACTGACTGCGTGTGTGTGACGAAGTTGTTTGTAGCTGAGACTGAGGAGCTGGTTAGTTTTTCACATTTAATCTCCGAGCTGTGACTGCTAACATCCGTACATCTTTCAAGTCACATTTTTGATTTTTTTTACAAAATTTCAAAAGTTTCTTGAAATTCAAGAAAATGCGTGGTTTTTGTCTCGACCCACGCAAAAATGTTCCTATCCCTTCGCTCAGCGGCTGCTGATTTTTCCACAACTATAAAAGGCGAGGCCTTCCCACGTAGCAGAACATTCAGGTTCTCTTGCTTCTCCCCAACATCAACAATTCAATCGAAAATGGCTGCTGAGTATGTTTTCACCCGTTGCTAAAATGAAGCAATGAATTTAAGATTGCTATATATTCTCATAATGAACTACAAGTTGCATCGGACCTGAATTGAACGTCCATGTGACTGTCAACAGGCCTTTGTGCATTATTTCGATGCTGTATCAGTCTTTTCTGGGAAAGCTCGAAACTCTGTGGCAATTCTCCTAGACCGAGAATGCCGTTCGTAGGGGACTTTTCACCAGGTGTTTGCTACAACTACCCTGGTGGAACAAAGACATGGATAGCTGGACGTTGAGAATATTTTTTTTTTCCTTCTTGGAAAAAGAATCCCCACCCACCATCGTATCTCTCAACGTTCCTTCTACCTGTCTCTGCCATTTCCCCACCATCGAATGAGACGTGGTGTGTTTCAGTTCGATGTGACTTTGTATTCGACGAGTGTTTGGTCCCCATATAGTCCATCATGCTAACCAGAAACTTTTCTTGTGTAGAAAGATCCAAGTCCCAGAATCCCAGTTGAAGAAGTCTAAGGCTCAACAAAAATCGGCCGAGCAAGTTGCCGCCGAGAGAGTCGCCCGCAAGGCTGTATGTTAAAACCCTCTTCCACTTGACAAAAAAAAGCACGCATCCCGCACATACGCGCTCCGTGAGTTCACGGAAACTGCGTGCCAAATAGCAGTCGTTTGTTCGTCTTCCTTCCCGTCTGTTTTCTTGCAAATGATGAACTTTTCCCAAATATCATTTTGATCGACTAGCTACGGCAATGTTGTCGAAACTTACACCATCTTTCGCCTGATTTGTGCTTGAAACAGAAGGGATAAAGGCAAAAACTACGGTTGTCTTTTGGTGAATGGATGCGTAGCAAATGTCTTTTGCTCGCTACTTGCAACTTTTACTAACAAAACATTCTCTTTTAGGCTAACAAGGAAAAAAGAGCTGCTATCTTGGAGAGAAACGCTGCTTACCAGCAGGAGTACGTTGACGCTCAAAGAGCCATCATCGACGCCAAGCGTGAAGCCAAGGCCAACGGTTCTTTCTACATCGACGCCCAGCCAAAGTTGGTGTTCGTTGTCAGAATCAAGGGTATCAACAAGATTGCTCCAAAGCCAAGAAAGATCATGCAGTTGTTGAGATTGAACCAGATCAACACCGGTGTTTTCGTCAAGATCACCAAGGCCACTTCCGAGCTTTTGAAGTTGATCGAGCCATACGTCGCCTACGGCTACCCATCTTTCGCCACTGTCAGAAAGTTGGTGTACAAGAGAGGTTACGGTAAGATCAACAAGCAGAGAATCGCCTTGTCTGACAACTCTATTGTCGAGGCCAACTTGGGCCAATTCGGCATTGTCTCCATCGATGACTTGATCCACGAGATTGTCAGCGTTGGTCCACACTTCAAGCAGGCCAGCAACTTCTTGTGGCCATTCAAGTTGTCCAACCCATCTGGTGGCTGGGGTGTTCCAAGAAAGTTCAAGCACTTTATCCAAGGTGGTTCTTTCGGTAACCGTGAGGAGTTCATCAACAAGTTGGTCAAGTCCATGAACTAAGCGGAATACCTGAAGAAGCGGACAAAAAGACAAAAGACAAAAACTCAAACGCTATACAAGATTCTTATATAGCTGTTTTTTTTTCTTCAAAATCAAAATCAAAGTTTAAGTTATTGTTGTTCAGCTTGTCAAGGTTTTTCCAAAATATATTAATTTTATGTATACTAGTGCTAGTCTCTTCGGTGAAGAACTAAAGAAAGGTTGAGAAAACAAGAGGAAACAAGTCCCAATGGTGCTAGTTGAGCTTGGAAATGTGTATTGTGAGTTAGTTGCCACGGCGAAGAGCGTGTTCCACCTTTGAAGTTCGCTTTTCCCACGCTTTTTTATCATACTTTTTCACATGCCAGCGTCGTATCACGGAAATTGTCAAAATCACAGTCAAGATCACGGTAAAAAGTCCATTTTTAACGGTGGAAAAGAGATTATAAGGACGTTTGACTTCTTTAAACGGGGTACTGCATCGAATTTGGACCCTTTCAGACTCTAGAACGGGTCGTTTTTGTGAGATTTCCCTACCGGGTTGGATCGTTTTCGTTTGTTCAATCGAAGCCAAGAGAGATCCCGCCAGATAATATTGGATTGGAAAAAAAAAATTCCAAAATTTATAAAACCTGAGCTCATCTCATCGCATCTCATCTCATCTCATTGTTCTTTAGTTTCCAAGATCTCTCTCACGAAGATCTGCTCTACTGTTTTGCTAAACTAGACAGCCATTTGAGGCCTCCGCTTCAATATTAAGACAGCTCTCTTAACTACGAGAGACCACTGCGTAATATCCAGCAAGGTAGACGGAAAAACTAGTTCCCAAATCAAAGTATAAAAATGGTAGAAGGAAGTACCTCTTTTAGAGGTAATGTTTCTTCATCTGACAGCTCCTCACTAGCGGATAGACAGGCTGTGCATGAATTGCATAAAGGCGACGAAGTGGCTATTTCCGAAAATTTCGCCAAGAGCTCCGAGGGCCAACCGGAAGGCCAATTGAGAAGACAATTTTCAATCTGGTCGATCTTGGGGGTCGGTTTTGGACTCACCAACTCGTGGTTCGGGATTTCGGCGTCCATGGTGACGGGTATCTCGTCCGGTGGACCCATGATGATCGTTTACGGTATCATAATCATCGCACTGATCTCCGTTTGCATCGCCGTGTCTCTCGGGGAACTGTCGTCGGCGTATCCACACGCTGGCGGGCAATTCTGGTGGTCCTTGAAGCTGGCTCCGCCCAAATACAAAAGATTTGCTGCCTACATGTGCGGATCTCTGGCTTATGCAGGCTCCGTCTTCACCAGTGCGTCAACAACGCTTTCCGTGGCCACCGAAGTGGTGGGTATGTATGCACTTGCACATCCAGACTTCACTGTTAAAAGATGGCACGTTTTTGTGTGTTTCGAATGTCTGCACCTGTTTTTGATGATGTTCAACTGCTACGGAAGATCGCTACCCTTCATCTCCTCCAGTGCTCTGTACATCTCTCTTTTTTCCTTCGCAACAATCACAATCACTGTGCTGGCATGCTCGCACGGTAACTACAATGATGCTAAATTTGTTTTTGCTACATTTTTCAATGAGACCGGATGGAAAAACAGTGGAATCGCCTTCATTGTGGGGCTGATCAACCCGGCTTGGTCCTTTTCTTGTCTCGACTGTGCCACTCACATGGCGTTCGAAGTTGAAAAACCCGAGCGTGTTATCCCCATCGCCATCTTGGGAACGGTGGCGATTGGATTTGGTACCTCATTCTGCTATGTTATTGCCATGTTTTTCTCTCTGCATAAACTCGACGATATAACCAGTTCCAACACAGGAGCTCCGATTTTGGACATCTACTTCCAAGCTCTGGGGAACAAAGCCGGCGCTCTGGTGCTAGGTTCGTTAGTTCTGCTCACTTCGTTTGGTTGCGTTATTGCATGCCACACATGGCAAGCAAGATTGTGCTGGTCTTTTGCCAGAGACGAGGGTCTACCTTTCTCGAACTTCATGGCCAAAATTAACCCTCAGCTAGGAATTCCGCTGAACGCTCACTTAGTGTCTTCTTTCTTCATCGTACTGTTGGGTGTGCTATACTTGGCATCAACGACAGCGTTCAACTCGCTCATCACTGGCTGCATCATGTTTTTACTGCTCTCTTACATTGTTCCTGTGATTTGCCTGCTTATCAAGAAGCGTGATATCAAGCACGGTCCATTCTGGCTGGGCAAGTTTGGTTTATTCTGCAACATTGTACTTCTGGGTTGGACGCTCTTCTCTCTAATATTTTTCTGTTTCCCCTTCGTGATGCCTGTTGAAAAGGACAACATGAACTACGCTTCCGTGGTTATTGTGGGGTACTTACTATTTTCTTTGTTGTACTGGGTTTTCAAAGGACGGAAGGTTTTCCACATCGTTGAAGAGGAAGACTTTGGTTCTGAGGATCCCTATCTAATGGAATAAGCTAATCGGCATGGGGTATATAATATTTAAAACAAGGTACTTGTAAATTATCAGCAGTTAGTTGTATTGTGAGTGAGGGTATGTGAGTGGGCCTGATGCCAAGACCAATTCCCAACTTTTTAGGAAGACCAAAGAACAAAACTCGGGATGGGAGAGGCATCTCAAGTACGGGCGAAAAAGTTCCTTATCAAGACTATTCGCCGCTATTCTAGTATAAAGTCCGTATCACCTCCATTAACGACAGTAACGAGAGGTGTCTGCATAGTACAAAGTGATATGAACCTCCGCACCCTGTCATCATCGCTTATCCGTCATCCAATCCTCAATATGAGCACTGTGACAGGCTCAGGGTACAGTACCTGATTCATAGTTACTCATTGCGACCTAGAAAAATTCATTTATTCCAATTTTTGGTGGCTTGCTTACTTACAGTTTTACGACAACTTTTAGGTACCTAGACATCAAATAACTCAAAAGTATGAAGAGATTACTTACTACAATTTATACAAATTTGATCCAGTCTAAACTTGGCTACAAGTCTTCTTTCTGTACGATAATTGTAGTGTCACTGTCAACACAGCTTTAAGCTGGAAATTTTTCAATATTCTTTATATACATACATGTAGTGAAAAAAAATCAGATGCGATGAGATGAGATGAGATGAGCTCACCAACTGTACAAAACTCCAGGATCATCAAAGAAGAACCATTCTTTTAAATCGAGCGATGTCCACCGATGAGATAAAACAGCGTAAGCGCAAGCAGGATGACTCTGAAGTCACTGCTCAAAAAAAGGTGAAGAAAGACAAGAAAGACAAGAAAGACAAGAAAGACAAGAAGGATAAGAAAGACAAGAAGGATAAGAAAGAGAAGAAGGACAGGAAAGAGAAGAAGGCTAAGACGGTAGATGAAGTAAAAGACCAGGAAGAAAAAGTCGTGGAAAACCAAGCGGCTGTGGAAGAATCCAGTGTCACAGAGAGTCCTACAGACGATAGTTCAGTTCAAGACTTTGGCTACGTCCAAAGCAAGTTGTTGACCAAACTACCACAAAGTGACGTGGATGAGTTCTACACTGAAAACGAAGTGAGTGTGGATGACCCAAAAAAACTAAATTTACGCCCGCTTTTGTCGTTCAACCACCTTGAACTCTCGTCAGAAATCCAGACGGAAATTTCTAAATTTCCCAAACCCACACCAATTCAAGCCGTTTCATGGCCATATCTGCTATCAGGACGCGACGTAATTGGTGTTGCGGAAACTGGTTCGGGAAAAACGTTTGCTTTCGGTGTTCCTGCTATCAACAACTTGATGAAGGTCAAGAATTCGAGAAATGTTGGCGTTCAGGTATTGGTGATTTCTCCCACTCGTGAGCTTGCCTCTCAGATATACGATAATCTCATTCTGCTTGCCAAGAAGGCCGGCGTTCATTGCTGCTGTCTGTACGGTGGTGTGCCCAAAGACGAGCAGAGAGCTCAGCTGAAAAAGGCTCAGGTGGTAGTTGCTACGCCAGGTAGATTACTTGACTTGATCGAGGAGGGCTCTGCCAGGCTATCGAATGTGGACTACTTGGTGCTCGATGAAGCCGATCGGATGCTTGAGAAGGGGTTTGAAGAGGATATCAAAAGAATTATTGGATCTACAAAGAGCGCCGGAAGACAAACCTTGATGTTCACTGCTACTTGGCCCAAAGAGGTGCGCGAATTGGCTAATACATTCATGAGAGACCCAGTCAAGGTGTCGATTGGTAACAGGGACGAACTTTCCGCCAACAAACGTATTACCCAAATTGTGGAAGTGGTTGATAATTTTAAGAAGGAACGCAAGCTTCTTGAGCTTTTAAAAAAATACCAATCTGGCGCCCGCTCTAACGACAAGGTTCTGATTTTCGCTTTGTACAAGAAAGAAGCTGCCCGCGTGGAGAGAAACCTCCAATACAACGGCTACAAAGTGGCTGCCATCCATGGAGATTTGTCGCAACAACAAAGAACTCAAGCTTTAGGTGAATTCAAGTCCGGCGAATCAAACTTGCTGCTGGCCACGGATGTTGCTGCGAGAGGTCTGGACATTCCCAACGTGAAGACCGTGATAAACCTGACCTTCCCATTGACGGTGGAGGACTACGTTCACAGAATCGGGAGAACCGGACGTGCAGGCCAGACCGGTACTGCACACACGCTTTTCACAGAGCAAGAGAAACATCTTGCCGGTGCTTTGGTCAATGTCTTGAACGGTGCAGGCCAGCCAGTTCCCGAGGATCTCAAAAAATTCGGCACTCACACCAAGAAGAAAGAACACAGTGCTTACGGTGCTTTCTACAAAGATGTAGACACCACCAAAAAGCCCAAAAAAATTACTTTCGATTAAAACCTTCGAAAGAGCATTGTGCTTTGCGTGTGAATGATATACTAAAATATGTAAACTAGGATAAACGAGGTTGTGAAGAATCGTTCAAATCTGACATACACTGAAGAAGGAAAATATGTCTTTTCAGCAGGGCTTGGTTCAAGAAAAACAGACTGAATCGGTAGGATTTTACTACTATGATGAGCACATGCAGATTTTCGCCAGTCCAATTGATTACGTCCTACTTTCCCGCTGTTCAACTCTTTACAAGTTCTGGAATCGGTTTCTTTGGCATCACAGCAACTTCCAGTGGATCGAAAATCGAGCTTGTTGGACCGCTACGATTATCAAAAATTCTAGTTCCCAGTTCAAATCTGGTAAAGGCATTGATTCCTTCGCGTCGACGGAGTTTTATCGGTTTTATGTCAATGAAATTTCGTGTCGTTCAATTCTTACAACATATTAACATCGAGATGAGATCATAAGCCTAGATCTTGTATAAAAGATCAACAAAAGCTCGAGCGTTAGGTCTCCCACAACCTTGATACTTCCTCAAAAGTCCATGCAAAAACTTTGCATACCATGAATAAGACTATAGAACGTTGTGAGATCGAAGAACGCATCTCAAATGGTCAGGCTATCGTTATATACAGCGGGAATGTACTGAGACTTGATAAATGGATCAAATTCCATCCTGGCGGCGACAAGGTCATTCATCATATGATAGGAAGGGATGCCACTGATGAGATGAATGCGTATCATTGTGATGAGACGGTGAGTCAGTTTTTGAGATGGAAAATAGGTAAAATTGAAGGAAATTGGGTCAATTGCTTACCTCCGATTCAAGGCGGTGTGTTTGATTTGAAGCATACCGTAAACGAAGCCAAAAAAACTGAAAATGATACTAAGATGTGCGGTGAACCCGCTGTCAAGATTGTTCCCAAAATGCCCCAAGGTATGGTACCTTCTTTGGATATGACTGAAGCTTTCGAGCAGCACATTGTGGTGGATCGGGCTGTGCAGCCCGCAGATCGCTACGATGATGCACTTGTGAGAAAAGACTTGGAATCGCTGCCTAGTCTCGACGCTGCAACGCAGCAGTGGCTTTCCCGTGAGTATAATGACATGCATCAAAAAATTATTGCAGCAGATCTTTATCAATGCGATTATTATCGGTACGCTAAAGAAGTGACACGAATCGGGATTCTGTTCGGCTTATCATTCTATTTATTGTTTGCATGTCACCGCAATTTTTGGAGTGCGGTCTTCATGGGCGCTGCGTGGCAGCAGCTTGTATTTATTGCACACGATGCAGGCCACATTAGTATTACTCACAACTACCAGATCGACAACATTATTGGTATGGTAGTTGCTTCGTGGATTGGAGGGCTCTCGCTTGGATGGTGGAAACGAAACCATAACGTTCATCATTTAGTCACCAACGACCCAATCCACGATCCAGACATTCAACACTTACCATTTTTCGCCGTGAGTACACGACTATTCACTAATGTGTATTCCACGTACTACGACCGATTTTTGTGGTTTGACGCATTGGCACGCAAGACCATCCCAATACAGCGGTTTTTGTACTATCCTATCCTGAGCTTTGGTCGCTTTAATCTGTATCGATTAAGTTGGATGCATGTACTACTCGGACTTGGTCCTCGTAAAGGCAAAGCTATGTGGTTTCGATACTTCGAGCTTGCCGGTTTGATCTTTTTCAATTACTGGTTTTTCTACCTGGTATGCGGTTGTGGACTCTCTACAACCTGGGATCGTATACAGTACGTGTTAATTTCACACATTACGACAATGATCGTACACGTCCAAATCACACTATCGCACTTTGCGATGTCTACTTCGGATTTAGGAGTTGCCGAGGGTTTCCCAATGCGCCAACTGCGCACATCCATGGACGTGGATTGTCCAAGGTGGCTTGATTTCTTCCACGGTGGCTTGCAGTTTCAAGTGGTTCATCATTTGTTCCCACGGTTGCCGCGGCACAACCTGCGAGCAGCACAGCCATTTGTGATTGAGTTTTGCCGCAGAGTCGGATTGAAATACTCCATCTATGGTTTTAGCAAGGGCAACGAAGTGGTTCTCAGTAAGCTAGAAGAGATCGCTTTACAGGCAAAGACTATGATAGATTGTGCAAAAACGATGAACGCACGGAACTCAGCCGAGTAGAATGTTTTCCCAATTATATCGAGTCTGATAGAACAGTGGAATGCATTCACAGCGAGTGCAGCGAAAGAATCAGCAGCTTATGATAGCTGAGTTGACAAAACGAAAATACCTCCTTACTCCAGGGCCGTTTTTCCCTTCCGTCAAAGGAATGTTCTAAGGTGCTATGAATGATCATACGGATAAAGCGAGGAGTAAGTTGAAAGACACCACGGCGCGATGGAGTTATAGTTTGGATTGAGACCTTAAGTTTAGGGATTGATTAGCGTCTACACCCCACGCCCAAAGCTATTCAAGACTGCAGAAGTGATCATTAACAGCTCATTGTACATTTTCTGCAGCTATAAGATTGTCGTATGGCGTTTATGGATTGCATAGCTGGCTTAAAAATATTTCATTCACTTAAGACTTGGTTGTGGTGGGAAGGATGCGTCGACAACTTGCAACTGAAAGAAAGCCAGTGTTATGTGCCTGAGAAAACTAATGTTCTACTCAGCTGTCGAGAAGATTGCCAAATTCAAGCGTACCTCACTGACAAGACCTTCCAAATCAACATCTCAGATGCAGTCCTGCAGACCGCTGGATTGTTCAGCATCAAACCAATGTTTTCCGAAGAACTCAAGAACCTGTTCCACAAGTGTCAGCGTCAGTGATCCATTTCTCTCGCAGCAAAATTGCAGAAACGAGAACAGAAGGCACGATTTCTCGAGATCTCTACATCCATTTATGACGGCCATCGCGTTCCCAAACAGGAAGCACCACTGGCGAAAACAATCTTGAAGCACTTGCTTCCTGTATTGCACGTAGTTGGCATGCTCCTCATCAAACCAACCCCCAAAATGACAAGATGCCAATGAGAAACCGGTTTAAACACCAGTAAACGTCCACAACTAGACAGCAGTTTATATAGCACCATTATAGAACGCCAAAGGTCAAAGCACTGTTCATTGTCTGATTACACCTTCTGATTACAAGCTCGAGTACTGACACCGTCGCCAAGTACTTCAGCTTTAAGGTTCCGTATACAAGGCATCATCGTCAAGTCATCGCGAACAAGACTTCAGCATACACCTCAAGCACTCAAGGATTGTCTTCATCTAAAACCCATGAAGGCATTTAAAAGACGGCTTTCCACAATGAAACAAGCCCAGGATGCTTCAATTGATTTGAACCATGCCGATACGACTATTCAAGCGTTTGAAGACGAATCACTACCTCCAGTGACGCTTCATGGATACATTAACACCACCAGAAACCGGTTGTTATCACCAGATATTTGTGATGAGCTACGCAACCTGATGCCCACCCGAATCCAGCTGTATTCGGATTGGCACTTGCTCTACAGTCTGCAACAACATGGGGCATCTCTGCAGTCGTTGTTCGGTCGAACAGCTTCTGATAAAGCGATCCCAGCACGTATTGGCTACGTGATACTGATAGAAGATCGGAAAGGAGGGCTTTTTGGAGGTTATTGCAATGAACCACCGCGTCCATCGGACAGTAAACGGTACTATGGGAACGGAGAGTGTTTTCTGTGGCGATTGGAAAGGGTAGCAAGCGTAGACTTGGGAGACGGGAAGCCTAGGACCGGAGAAAATGATGGCTGGAGATTCCGGGGATATCCTTTCACCGGACTGAATCATTTTGTCATGCACAGCACAGCCCACTATTTTTCAATGGGTGCTGGGGATGGCCATTATGGACTGTGGTGCGACCAGGCGTTGGAAACGGGGGTTACAAACCCCAGCTTGACGTTTGGCAACGAATGTTTGAGTCGAGAAGGTGCGAAATTCCATATCGTGAACCTAGAGGTTTGGAGAGTGGGCTAACCACCATCAAACGACTACTGCTCTCATCGCGTGTGATCACTCAAAATATTGTTTCAATGACATGTTTATTTAAAAGCCTATGCTCACGTCTGTTACGCTACACTTGATCCCCCTTTTTTTTCCATTCCAGTCTTGATGCTCACCGCTCTATGACCCGCTCAACCTCTTCTTTTGCTTGCTGATACTCAATTGGATACCCTTTCTCGAACACTTTTTCCACCTGCTTCACCCGTCCACTGCACCTTTCCAGACGACGATGGATTTGTCGAGCTACTTGGGACCCCCGGGCAAACCGGGCCTCTAGGTGCGGCAGTCGTTGTTGCAATGTGTCTACCAACTGTGCGAGTTCTCTACTTCGAGAATTGATGATGCCTGCGGTTCTAGTTTGTATAGCTATGGCTTGAGCGAAGTCCGCACTGTTCAACGCATGTGCCAACGATTGGAAAATATACCGCGAAACATCGAAAACAGGGGCATCCAGCGGTCGTGCTAGCCAATCACGTCCGACTTGCTCGTTTTCCAAGTCTTCAACGCTTTCCAACTCGTCTTGTTCTACTTCTTCTTCACCATCACTGCTACTTCCTGTGGACACAGGAGACTCGGGAGCCGGAATTGCATACATCTGAGAATCTATACTAGTTGTACGGGATCTAGACCCGATATCACTACTACTAACGTCGCTCATGGGGCTCTAAACTGGTCCTTTTTGTGATCTTGGACCCGTTGACGTCTTAAGTGTATAAAATACCTAACGATTTGATCTTAACCTTCAACTTTGAACACCACTTGTCAAACCTAAAAACAAGGTCAAATCGCCCGTAAAGCGCTGTTTGCTTGTCAGAAGACAATCCTGCGTCGTGTGGAGTGGATAATACGATATGGCATCAGTTTATGCACCTTCTGCGGAGGATGTGGTGCGAAGATTGCGTCCATTTGGCATGTTTTTCGAGACATCGTTGAAGGACCTGATCAAAAGCATTCGTGGAGCAAGTGATGACCCTGAACAGTTGCAACAGGTGCTGGGACGTGCATTAGCCGAGTGTAGGGAAGAGGTGCGGTCGCCAGACGTGGAATTGAAGGCAAACGCAGTGGTCAAACTCGCATATTTGGAAATGTATGGTTTCGACATGGCATGGGCCAATTTCCATATTTTGGAAGTAATGAGCAGCAGCAAGCTCCAACACAAACGGATTGGGTATCTGGCTGCTTCGCAGTCGTTTTACAAAGATGCAGACGTGCTGATGTTGGCAACAAACCTACTGAAAAAGGATCTACGATATGAAGGTCGGAACGACGGTCGTAATGATGTCTTGACCATGGGCGTTACTTTGAGTGGACTATCAACTATGGTCACAGCTCCGTTGGCACGCGACATTTGTGAAGATTTGTTTGGAATGTTGAGCAGCTCAAGACCTTATATTCGCAAGAAAGCTGTTGCAGCACTTTTTAAAGTTTTCCTACAATTTCCAGAAGCACTGCGAGACCACTTCGATCGTTTCACAGCCAAGCTACGTGACGATGACCAATCGGTCGTCTCAGCCACTGTAAGCGTGATATGCGAGCTTTCGAAGAAAAATCCACGTCCATTTGTCGTGTTATCACCTCTGCTCTACGAAATGCTCTTAACCATCGATAACAACTGGATCATCATTCGGTTGCTAAAGCTTTTCACAAACTTGGCTCAGGTAGAGCCCAAATTGAGAATCAAGATCCTGCCCAAAGTTTTGGACCTGATGGAAATGACTTCGGCTACATCAGTGATTTATGAATCAATCAATTGCATCGTGCGTGGCCACATGCTGGATAAGGATGACGACGAAGCGGCTGCAATTTGTTTACAGGAACTCAACAAGTTTTGCAACTCAAATGATCCAAACTTGCGCTACATTAGCGTTATTCTCTTCTACAAGGTTGGGAAAATCAACCCACACTTCATTGCTAAATTTGATACTCTGGTGATTCGGCTGCTTAAAGATGTGGACGTCTCTATTCGGAGCCGGGCTCTGGAGCTTCTGGAAGGTGCTACAGATGAGGATAATCTCGCTTCAGTTGTGCAAATCTTAATACAACAATTTGCGGACAAAGACGTGGTATCTGCAAGCAACCTTTTCCAACAAGCTGGAAAGGCTGGTGTCGAAATCGAGATTCCTGTTTCCTACAAGGTCAAAATGGTGAGCGTGATCTTGAAAATCTGCTCTTCCAACAACTACGCCAAGATCCCTGACTTTGACTGGTTTATAGCCGTTTTGTCAGATTTGTGCGTTGTTTCCCAGGATTTGAATAACAGCACCATTGGTAATCAGCTAGCAGACGAAATTAGAAATGTTATGGTCAAGGTGCCTGATTTACGTTCCAAGTTCATCGATACCATAGTGAATTTAGTGCTTAATCCAGATTTGACGCAACAAATGCCTATGATCTTGCGAGAAGGATATTGGTGTATTGGTGAGTACTCAAGTGTTTTGAGAAATGGCGACGAATTCATTAAGAAATCGGTCAAACAGCACCGGGTCCAACCGCAAGTTTCACAAATAATGACGCAAGCCCTAATCAAGGTCTTTAGCAGCTGGTGTAACGACGGCACCGATAAGCCCATTCCTTACGTTAAAGAAATTTTGGGTGAGCTGATAGGATTTTATGAATCACTCAGTACCTCGCACTGGTTCGAGGTGCAGGAACGGAGTGTGGAGTTTTTAGAGTTTTGCAAACTTTGCGACGAATCCCTGGAGAGCGAAGATCACGAACTACCACTTTTAATCACCGAGGTTCTACCCGGGTTTTTCAATGCCTACGATCTTAACCCTATCATGGCCGGCACCCAAAGTAAGATTCAAAAGAGTCTGGCGATTGATTTGGAGACGCCCTTTCTCAGCAGTGAAGAGCTAGAAAATCTTCTCCGGGAAGACGCGAGTAGACAAGACGAAGCAGACTCTGGACTAGAATCGGACCTGGAACTGGATTCCGTTTCCGATTCCGATTCCGATGACGACGGCGGTGCTGTGCCTTTATCTGAGCAGTCTATGCCCATCTCGATTTCGGGAGGCACCGAAAACAGCGAGATGAGCCCAGAAGATCGTCATTCTTTGCAGGCAAAACGCAGGCAGGATCGCATGGACAATCCTTTCTATCTGGACGCTGGCGATGAATCTCCAAAGACCAAAGACGGCATGTTGATTAACTTCGATGGTGAAGAAACGCATGTAGAGCCCAAGAGCATTGGTAAACTTGATCTCTCGACCGTTTCTAGTGGCTCATTGTCAAGGAAAAAGAACAAGAAAAAGAAAAAGGCACAAGTTCTGATTGAAGAAGGCCTTCCGGATTTGATACAAGACACACAAGACAATCGCGGTAGTCTCGATAAAGAGTTAGGTAACCCCTCCAGTGTTAATTCAAGTGCTATCAATCTCAAAACGCAATCCAAACTCGATGATTTTGATTTCAGTTCATCCCAGGTGTCCCCTGGCGTGACAAACTTTGGCGAGACAGATGATTCTGCTGATATCGAAAAGTTGCGAGCCAAATTTGCTTCTCCGTCTTTTGGCCACGATCAAAGTCCCGATGACGAAGTCATTGTTGTTAAAAAGAAGTCCAAATCGAAATCAAAGTCCAAGTCTAAGACCAAGGCCAAATCCAAGTCTAAAAATTCCAAAATAATTTCAGAGGAGACTCAAAATTCACAAGTTTAATTCCCTAATCTCAACTCCATCAAGATCATCAAAGGTTAACTCGCCATTAGATCCTCGTCATCGTCATCGTCATCGTCATCGTCATCATCCTATGTAAAGTGTCAAGAACTTGTATCATTTATAACGAGTCTACCAATTCATCATTTGACAGTTGATCGGGTATTGAATCTGTCTTATCACAGCGGCTAACGGGGCTCCAATCTAGCCTCCAAAGCTTTTCTAAAATATGATATTCAACTCCTGCATTTCCAATGCTCACAACCATACTATCTGGAGAAAAGTGCTTCAAAATCTGAGCACTTTACATGAAGATATCAAATGCTCCATAACCCAACGGGAGTTCATAGTATCATCCATGAATAGCACTGACACCGCAATGAGTCAGGCTCGTTTCAAGCGCAGTTTTTTCGAAAGTTACGACTTTAGGCCGCAGGAAACCGTTTTCGGGGAAGATGGGCTTCAACAAGTCCAGGATCAACAGCTTGAAGTACATCAACTATATTCGTTCAAAATCAATGGCAAAGTCCTGGGTGTACTCTTTCGAAAACCTGAAAATGACAACATCAAGACACTAGAGCTAGCTATTCATAACGGTGCAACTTGTCCGGAATCTCTGGCAAATCGATTTCAGATTACTATACACACCGAGAGCTTGATGGTCAAAGAATATGTGCCTAACATAGTTCCGATAAAATACGACCCAATTGTGATTAATTTGAGGTATAAATGGCGCTTTCTGGATGTTTACGGGGGATCTTGTGAAGACCAGGAAGAACAGCTGGATCCGCGGCTATTAGACATGTTTAAAGTCTTCAATCGCGAACTGACAGAATCCTATTTTAACAACGACATATTATCCAACACCAAAAAATCCAGCGGAACACTCACACCGGAAGATGAAATCAATTATCTATGCTGTAACCTCCAGCTTTTGAAGAATTTTATTGATAGCTGTCACACCAGCGCGACGGAAGAGGTCAAAGTTGACGTCTCGATCTCCAAGCTGGGTCTCACGGCCTTCACCAAGGCAATATACAGTAAAAATAACGACGTGCTGCGTAATGCAATCCGCGCTACCAACATCGTCAGTACCAACGATCTGGAGCATTATTGTCTGTTCACAACGACAGGCGACGAAAGCAGTAAGAGTCGACCGCTGGCCAAAACAATTTCTTTTGGCATGAAAGACTTCAGAAACTTTGTCAATATGGCAGCTTTTTGGAAGGGAAATCAAAACGTTAACATTTGGTTTTGTCGTCCAGGAGATCCGATTTTCATGGAATTAGTCAAAGACGATCTGGAACTTGATCTCGTTCAAGTCACAGAAAGCAGTGACAGTGTGCCAAATGCTGGTACTAAAGTCAATGTCACACGTACAAGTCCACTCCGAGAATCGGCCGTGAAAGCTACGAGCCCTCGAAAATCGCCTTTGCAAAACAAAAGTCCCTTCAAGTTCAACTCTACCGAGAGCACGCACAGTCCACTGAAACCTAAGTCTCTGTTTACCAACGATGATGATGAAAATCAAGGGCAGCGAATGTGGAATAACCCCATTCGCGGGAAACGACGGTTAGAAGATGACAATCTAGAGGATCACTCGAGAAAGCAATTCGACCAAGAGCAGAACAGCGGCACGGTGGCGCATCGCACTCGAACAACAATCGAATGGGGCACCGGCGACTCGGAATCTGCAGCTAATACAACTTCTACGCCACTTCTTGATCAGAGAGATTTGTTGAAGGAAGAGAAAAGAAAGTTTTTACGGGATCTGAAAGCCCAGCGGCAAAAAGATCAGAGAAACGCTCAGGACGAAGCAGAAGAGAATCAGTTGGGTCCCACACAGATAGATAGGCCCAAGGGTCTTTTCGACTAGCCTATACTGCCTCTCAGATCGCAATACAACACCCATTTTGTGGAATATTAATTGAGTATACATGCTAAAATTGGGGATACGGGTGTGCGTTCATTTCACTCTTCCTTCACAGCAGGAGCGGGAGCAGAATCTGCCACAGCATCATTTTTGGCTTTCGACTCCGCACCGCCAAGATAATGGTAGTTTACAAACCGCATTGCCTGGCCCGTCTGAGCCAAAGAGTTGACGACGTGACAGCCGAATAGTAAGAAGTTCTTGGGCTGCACCGTGAGTGCAAATTTCATGAAAACACCGGAATACATGATCAAGGCTGTAGTCATTGGTCCAGAGATCATTTCGGGGTCCTTTTTCAAGTCATAAATCGCAGCTAGTGGAATACCAAAGTTCGACACCGGGCCCCAGAAGTGCGTGGTGAAAACGTATTTTAGCGTTTCCTTGTTCAAATAACGACGAATCACACTTTGGGTAACGGCTTTTTGAGCAGATTGAGACATGTTTGACCAGTTTTTTTAGTTGAAGATGGGCTACGATGCTTGGTTGTAAATGGTTTCACCGTTTGGAAAAAAAACTCACAAGAACAGAAAACCTTGCAAAGTGGAATATACTCGCTGTAAACACTAGGATCGATGAACGAGGTGCCTTATGGTGGTAATCGTTGTGTTCAATCAGGTTGTTGTTGAAGGAAAGGGTTTCGTCGATTTCGAAGAAATTTGGGCCCATTGTTAATGCTCGCCGTACCGAATGAAATAAAAAAAAAGTGATACCAAATACGATCATCTAGGGCGTCAATTGTGGGTAAATGAGTGCGGATGCTCGCTCAATGCTCGCTCAATATCAAGTTACATTCGACTGTCCTGCACGCATCATGCGACTGAACGACGATTTATGTTACATGTGCCCTCTTTCTAAAATTATCTTCAAGGAAAATGCCTCGAAGAATGGCCTGAAAAGCTCACAAAGGCATTTCAAACAGTGCGCTCACTGCCTAATAATTACGACTATACCATTGCTGTTTTGCAGGATGTCGGTGGCAGTTTTAATGGAGGCGATGATGTGAAGTGACACACCCGTCGATAGTGATAGAGTTTGGAAAAGCTTCACTCATTATAGCAGAGCGATGAGGTATGTGACTATAGCTCATCGCATAATGACATCGATATCGATCCAGCAGAGCCCATTAGAAAGCCTGGAGATTTCTACACTTTTGACACACACAGTTCCATGAATTACAACGGTCAAAATTCCGATTCATCGATTCCGAGACCGACATCGTCGGGCCGTATTATGCTGGATCATAATGCAGGTTCAAATGGAATTAATGAATCCTCTGCCGGACCTTCCAACTCTCATTATCGCAACAATCATCATCTGGCACAACATAGTGCTTACTATCCACAATATACAAGCTACGGGTATCACCATGGTCAACCCCCGGTCTCGTACCACGGATATTACCAGCATCAGCCACAGCAGTATGCTCCCCAGTCATTATACGTACCACCATATTACAACCAGCTGGCGCCGGCGCCAACTCCAGCTAGTTTCACACCTGGATTTCAAAATGGCAAGCAGCATGAGCCCACTGCATGTTCTAGTCCTCACAAACCACAGAATCATAAGGAAAACTACCAGGAAAACAGCGATGAAGAGATAAAGAATCTGGAGACGAATACTGTTGAAGAAATGGATAATGGTGCCGTGAAGACGAGAGCTAATGACTCACTTTCGGATGTTGTCAAAACGGAAGAAAGTCCAGTTCAAATTCAAGGCACATCTATCACATTGACTTCAGATGGGGATATCGAAAAGTGGAGAGAAGAACGTCGCAAGATGTGGCTTTTGAAAATCTCAAACCAACGGGAAAAGCACAAACTGGAGCTTGGAGTACAAGAAGAGCAGACACCCAAGCAATTATCTTTTCAAAATGTCAGGAAAGATCAACAATTTATTCAAAATATTCAGAACCAGATTGGAAGATACAATTCCAGCCCCAATCTGAGTCTCAACTTGGTACAAAGAACCATGGCAGAAGAAAATGCGAAGCTACTCAATTTCATCAAAGAGCTGGGCGATGCCCAGCTGCTCGAGTATGAACTTAACGACGAAGAGAAAGAGAAGTTGTTTGGAAACGCTAAGAGAGGAAAACCCAGGGGTGACTATAACAAACGGCCTGCAAATGCTCGAAATGGTCCTTCTCGGTACGAAGGAAATGCTAAGAGGCAACGCTTTCAACAAAGTAGCTAAGGAGAGGTTTAAACTCATGCTGTCATGGCATTAATTTCTTGATCAGCAGCTTTATGGCCAAAGAACTGAAGGCAGAACCAAGAAAAGATCCGCAAACGACACCACGAAAAAAAGCCCTGTTACGTTCGGTCTGTACAACTTTCAGTCTGTCTTGTTTGGTCAACAATTGAGATTCTAGCCTCAGAGTGGAGCGTTTTCCTTCTCTCGGACGTTTTCTGGAATATTTCTTTCCCTTGTGGCGATGTTTCGAAACTCGGTAACGCTTCTGAGAGTGTTCGGGTATTTTTATTTCAGATACCGGCGGAGGCAACATCACCATAGGAAGGTTGTCTTTACTTGCCTCATCAATAGACGGAACCATGACGAGAAAATGCCTTCTTGATGAATCGAGCTTAGAGCATTGACCGATGTTCAGAGACAATTATTCGGCAGCTTATACGTTTCTCGCCCTGGAAGCATTTTTTCGTCAGCTTGTTTCACATTCGTTTGAAAAATGTTACAGCTCACACGTCGCAAGTCTAAACTGTCTTTACATCTTCACCGTCCGAATTCACTCATAATTCTATTTCAAATTGCATTAGCTTACAACAGCTGAAGTCAAGTAAGTGTACGTTAAAAAAGTGCCATATATAAAGAAAACCCGTGGAAAGAAATCATTAACCCATGTTAGCGATCCCGACTAACAAACCCAATGTACCAACTGATCCTGCCAGAAAGCCAATCATACCACCAATAAAAACCTGTCTTGTATCAGCCTTGATGACGCCTGGGGCCGTATCTGGAATCGGTGTCGTCTTTGAACGCTTGACTTCATTGATACTAACGATTTCATCTTCATCTTCTTGTTCCTCATAACCTCTCTTACGAATTTGCTTATCGAAAACATCATCATTGATAGATGAAAGTTCACACTCGTCTTCTTCCTGCACTTCAACGGCCGTAGCACAATCGTAGCACTGAGGTGTCACGTCACGAGAGATACTTACTTCTGCCGTAGGTACACGTTTTGCGGGCGATTGATCGGTGATGGTGATAACAAGGTCCGAAGAGCTTGTGGGACCCTCGTTCTCTTCAACTAACTCAACAATATCTTCATCGATCTCATCTTGGACAGAGCCACAACTACTCACACCGTCATCATCGTCTTCTAACAGAACCTGTACATCTAATGGACGTTCGAAAGTAGTTCCATCTTCACCAGTGCTAGTTTTCAAAGAACTTTCTTGTTTTTCGAAGGTGTCGTCTTTGGGCGTGAAACTTCCCCGTTCGTATGTGTCTAAATGCAAATCAAGGTCTTCACTAAAATTCAAATCAGAAGACGAACAAGAACTTGACAAATCTTCGTCTTCGGTACGTCTCGTCGTAGAAGGTCTACTGGTAAATGGGCTGTCCTCGTACGTCACGTTATTCAACACCAAATCCAAGCTCTCAGCATCTGGACGAAATTCATTACTTTTAAGGCTTATCTGAAACTTCAATTTGGCACCACGCGATTGTCCGGCTGCTACCGGTTGGTAAAGTTTGATAAGACCAAATCTTTCACCATTTTTCAAGTCGATGACTTTAGCGTCAGCGTCCTGTGACTGCAAGTCCACCAAACCGTGAGTAGAGCCCAAGTCTTGCACAGAAATGCGGAATTGGTCTAGTAAAGGAACGTATGGGTCTTGATCAGCTGGGAAAAGCCGTTTAATGCACAACATAGCGTGCTTCTTGCTGAGACTCTTTTCATGAAACAAAAAATTGTTTTCCCGATCGAATCGTTCCGGATCTTTCAAGCTCGCCCTCCCGATCAGGAATTGCACTCCATCGCCTTCGGCATCTTCGATTTTGAAAGAAACCTTACGGAAAGTTTCGTAATCGGAGCTTGTCATCGAATCGTTCCAAAATTTCCAAAAGAACGGTGTAAATTAACGGTAAAAAACACTGAGGAGCGCTTAAAATAAACAGAAACCACTAAATCTCTCTTGGACTTGCTACCAGGCTTCCAATCAAGCTTAAGACTTGGGTTCTTGAAGCTCTTACGTTTGTAAATGTAACAGGTTGTTTCTTTGCCCCCCCTGGAAATATGAATGTGGATGGAATTACTGTCATAGTATACGGGTGTGACACTTGGAAACAACACTGACGTTTGACATTTTGACTCCATTTTGTTGGTGATTCAGCTGTTTCTTGAAATACATTGAAAATGTGAGTGATTTTATACAGGATCTCTGCTTTGTCCTGAGCTTGCTTTTGCTTTTTTATTTTTTGTTCATTTGCTTTGGTCTGTCATTCTGCTCTTTTCTGGCGACTCAGGGAATTCTTTTGTCCCGATCGAAAGCTTTCCAGGACCAAAATATCGTCCCATGTCTTTCAACACTTTTCCACCCCGCCTCTGGCTTCTTGTTTACATTAAAACACAGCTCTTTTTAAGTTTATCGCGTTTTCGAGTTTTGGGACCCTTTTTCTTCGACTCTTTGCCCTTTTTCGCGGTCCCCGAATTCTCGTTTCTCGAGGCTCTGGTATCTTCATAGTTACGTTGCATACTTCTGGCCACCCGAGCATCTTCCTGCTCCTGTAGTTGGCGGGCATACTGCTCATCCGTCATGAAATTTGGGTCATTTTCTGGACCACTCGCATGTTGCGAAGCTGCAGGATCTGCAAAAGGATTATTGGAAGAACCTCTGGCTCCTGGTACCAAAGAACTACCCTGTGTAGACGTGCGATTGAACATTGCAGGGAGGAAATTGCCAGTGAAAAAAGTGTCTTGGGAACCATTTACGGATTTTAACGATTGCCACACGACCTGAGTATCATTCTTGAAACCCAAATCTGTCACTAAGGTGAATAGCTGGTTATTACTTTTGCAAATGGTTGCGAAATGATCATTGCGGAACATGACGGCGTACGAATTCTCCAAAAGTACTTCCTTCATATGATCCAGGCCGCATTCCGTTAGCTGCGTAGCAGATCTTGCCAAAAAAGACTTTATAAAATTCGAATCTTGAACTGCTGCTGCGTTTTCCTGTGTTTCGGCGATGTTTCCGTGCTGGATATCATAGGCCGCGATCAAGGCGTTTTGAGCTCCCTCATACGAGTAGTTAGAAACATGTTGGTATTGCAATGGATCACCGGCATAATCTGCAAGCCATCCATGCACAATGCTCACGTTGAAAAGTCGAAAAAGAGCCATTTCGTCTCCGTCTTGAAATGATCCATTAAAAATCGGATTGATTGACAGACCTGTGTGCAATTGTGGCAGCAGTTGTAGCAGTCTATCTACGTCTGAACTCACACCGCGTGGCACTTGAACCCCGATGTTGGCTAATGTGGTAATAATCTCATGGAGTCCTACTTCGTTGCTTCTCGAGACCAAGTCCAGTAGGGGACCTGCCTGCTGCATTAACTGAGGCGAAAGTAGAAGCACGTTGCAGAGTGCTAACAAAGCACAGGGACCGTTCTCGTTCTGCAAAAGTATTCGATGCGAACTTCCATTAATGTTAACCGTTTTTACATCAAACGTTAAGCTCATCTTACCTTAAACTCACCGTTAAAAAAACCGAGTCTTACGGGATTTTCTCGGTTCAAAGTAGCCAATTTGATCTGGGAACAGTACGGTCAATGAATTCTCACAGAGGAACACACTTATAGGCCTTGAAAACTACGTTTTGGATGTGTTCAACCTCCGTGCTTTTCGAGACTTCGGGTATCTGCAAGTTAACACTTACTTTTTTTACTAGTATATATAGTCTTAAGCGAAAGAAAAATAGGGGTTGAAATCACGTGATCACAATTTTCTGTAATTTCACGAGTACTTTAATTGAGTAATATCATAGGTACTCGCGGCTTCAAATGTGATTATGTCAGCGAGACCTCGGCGGCTAAATCTTACAAGCAGTCTATTGGTAGCTGAATGGAATGTAAGAATCAGGTATGGGAAAGCAATGGTACAAATCTTCCCCCCATTTCGAGTTGTAGAAGAAATGGACAAAAACATGGGCTTTTCAGAGAGCCCGCTGGCAGCCCATTTACTTACTGAGATACTGAGTACGTCACAGCGATAGAAGTACAAAGTGAATATGGTTGTAGATGGCCGAGAGATGGCACTAGAAAGGCCAGAAGGCGAATGATACCGACAAAAGAGATGAAAAGAGCACTTCAAGAGTTCAGAGTTGACAAGAAATGAGTGCGAAAGCCACACATACATACCGCTGTTTCGCGGGAGAATTGTAAGAACAGCAACACACCTTTGGTGTGAAAACATCGGTGTTTCCCAGGTCCTGGATTTTTAAAATACCCTCAAAACAAAGGACGTTTCACTTCTGTAGAGCTACAGTAGATGCAGCAATTACTTTTGCTGCAGTTGCGCCAAACTGTCAAGAAGACTTTGGACATTATTGTTACCAGACATTGAAGGAGACTGTTGTTGAGGAACAGGGTTCTGAGAAGGAGGATTTTTCGGCCCAGAACCGTAAGGATCTTGTGGCTGAGTGTGATGTGGAGGAGGAGGCGGGGCTTGGTGCTGCGGTTGATGATGCACGGGTGTATTCACCATGGGCATTTGCTGAAATCCACCGTACGAAATAGGAGCGGGTGGAGATCCCTGAGCCTGGCCCTGAGGCTGCATCGACTGGATTATTCCAAGAAGCTGTTGTTGCTGCTGAGGTTGTTGTTGCGCCATGGATAATAGATTTGATACAACGTTGGGTGGCAGATTTTGAATTGCCGACAATAGCTGTTGTTGATCCATTTGAGGAATGGGGCCCATTGGGGGAGCCATTCCCGGCTGCTGAGATATATGTGGGGCAGGTCCAGTAACTGGGTGTCCTTGGTATGGGTAGTTTTGTGCCATAGCAGGAGGAGGAGGTACAGTTGCACCATACGCCTGAGGTGTTGGTGCCATTGCTCCGTAAGCCTGTTGCATATAGGCCTGTCCCTGGTGCGGAGGAACCGGTGCAGGGGCTGCATGGTAGCCACCATAGTATTGTTGCTGAGGAACTGGTTGTTGGGGAGCAATGTTGAGAGAGCTGTTTCTGGAACCTTTCAAGTTGTTAAAAATTGCAATCGCATCTTCACACGATACACTAGCATATTCATCAAATTTGGTCTCTCCCTGAGCACCTTTGTAAAACGTTTGAATGTCGACGTTCCTAGTTTTGTTTACCAGTACCACACCCCAAACGCCTTCGTAAGCCGCATCGTTAATCATTTTACGCAACTCCATACGAGGCTTCAAGAAGATCATGTCGGTTTCTAAACCAGTGCGTTGCCTAAATCTTGCAAAAACATCATTGGCGTAAGACCTATCAGCAGTTCTTTTGACGTAAATCTGACATTCCGGAACCCGCCTTTTACCTCTTTTTTGGCTCTCGTTGTAAAGATCTTCCTCGTCTTCTTCTTCTTCTTCTTCGAACGGACGTTTGGAAGAGGAGATAAAAGTAGAACTGCTGTTGGTGCCATGATCACCGTGATCATACTGAGGCCTGCTGTTGGAAGATGAAATCTCGAGGATCAACTTCTTGCCAAAATTGATTTCATTTGACTCGCCTGCTATGGCAGCTCTCACGGATTGTGGGTTGTCATACTGGATGAAGCCAAATGCATTTTTTATGTTGATTTGGTAGATATGTCCGTATGGCGAGAAAATGCGGAATAGGTCATCTTTAGCAACGTTTTTCAACGGCAAATTTCCAATGAACAAACGCGATTTAGGTGGAATATTTTGAATTTCGGTGATTCTGTTTTCACCTTTCAGATAGTCATTGTAGCGTTTGCGCTCAACAACAGACATTGGTTGAAATAGATTGGGTCTATTTTCTCCATCCTCCGCTGTAGAATCGTGAGAAACTGGGGCTGTGCGGCGTGGGAGACCAGTCTCCACATCAGAACTGAGCAATGCGACTATAGCGCTAATCTTCTCTGGGTCTGAAAGACGCTGGAATTGTGGTCTATCCAGAATTTGGCTATCCAAGATTAAAGTTGCTTGTCTTTGGAGCAAGTCGTAGTCCACGTTCTCTGCATCTCTATCATAATTGTTGACGTTGAATTTTTGAGAATCAGAAGAGGGGGCTTCTGCATCGGGTGATGACGATGATGATGATGATGACGATGATGATTTATTTTCGTCGGAATCTTCGTTTCCGTTAGACTCAGATGCATCTGGTTCCAAAGCCGCATTTTCAATTGCTGCTTCTTCATCCACCACTGGTTGTTCCGGTTTAGTCACCTCTGTAAGTTGTTCGGTAGTTTCAGCATCTTTAAAAGTCTGGAGTTGCCCTTCTTCTGCTTGCTGTTGTACATCCGTGATTTGTTCGTTTGAAGGTTGAATGTCGGGTGTCAAATCACTCACTTCAGTAACGGCTTCCGTCTCTGGTACCACATCCACAACCGTATTAGATAAAGTCCTGGATAGAGTGGCATCTCCAATTTCACCAGTGTCGTTACTTATTTCGTCAATCGCAGCCGAATCTACGTCTTGCGTTTCTGCTCCGATTTGACCCTCATTTGCATCTTCGACAGTGGCCGTTTGAATCTCGGGAGTAGCACTATCTTCTTTCTCCGCAGCATCACGTTCTTCTTCATGTGAATACAGACTTTCTTCGCGGTCATCTTCTTCTTCCTCTTCATCATCAAGGGCATCTGTCTCGGCTGCCGCAAGTTTCGTCTCTTCTGTGGGTGCGCCTTCTAAGGCTGGAGGCACCAAAGGAGCGTCTCCTCCGGTCTCCAGCGGTTCGGGGTCATCATAAGACATTGGTTGGGGCTCAAAGTACTAGTAAAAGACCGACTATGGTCTGATTTCAGGCTGGTTTCAACGTTGAAGGAAAGGTCAAGAAAACTTGGACGTCATGTAACTTTTGATATTCCAGTTATAACGTGGGAGGGTAACAGTCAGTGCGACACACTAAGAAAAGGTGATATTGGGAAATCACATGACTGATGCCTCGAAATCAAGCCTTCACTCGAGATCGTTCAGATCCCATTAGTGAGTTCTCTTAAGCGGTTCATATGCTCGACTGGCTTGACGACTTACATTTTGATACATTCTCAAAGTTGGTTCGAGAGGTGCTGGTAAACACAGAACGTAACGTAACGAAATTCCCACTGGCCAGGTATCCCTTGATTAGAACAGATTATGTGATGAATATAATAAATTACTATTGTTTCTATTTACAGCTTCGAGTGGTCCTAAGTATGCTAAGTAATGTGAACAATTGAATATTGTTCTGTGAGCTTGCCCATCCTCGAAAAAAAAAAAATGTTTCCCATGTATCATCTCGAGCGAGCACCTGCACGCATGAGGATTGGAACTCGTGGATCGATCCCAAATCCAATGTTTAAATAATAGTATTTTGCCAGTTTGACATCACCTATGATTGTATTTTCCTTTAAGGTCCTTTTAATGAACCGGTCCTCCCTTAAGCCGGTCTCGACATTCTCTCGAGCTTCTCCTTTTCTAGCTTCTCTTTCTGCTCCACAGCTGCTAGTGGAGAGTCAGAGTCCAAAGTGTGTGCCGGACACGGTATCGCTGAACTCAACGCTACAGACGAAAAGGCCACCAGAAAAGTAGTCATAAATAGCCTATTCGTCACGTTCACTCTGGTCGAGGCTCTCATTCTGTCAATAAATATAGCTGATTATCTGATTTCGAGTTGAAATGACCTGTCAACAGAAATTCTTCGGAAAAGATGGGTTTATTTGCACGAAGAAAGGGCCTCCGCAATACCTTGAAATAGCCCAGAAGTTCCCACAAGTGAAAAGAAGAACAAATAAATATATTAAAGGAGAAAGTTTCCTACCAGAAGACGACCCTTGTGGTTTGATGCGATGTATTTAAATATGTGCTTGAATGGTTCGATTCGATATTTCCGTTGTATCTCATATTCAAGATGGGTTTTCACCAATAAATTTAAATTTCCGTATAGGACACTATATACGGCTCACGTGATAAAGATCACGTGTGGTATTTTACGATGACAGGTAACTATAATGTGATCTTTAAACGTCAAGTGTTCACAGGACAGGTTCGAACGATGCTGACGGGCCTCTGCATCGACGCTCTTGCAGATCACTTGAAAGTTAGTTCTCGAGTTTGTCGGCGTATTTGTTGCTCCTAAATTTTCCATCCAAACCTCGGTTCTTTCCAGCACTCTATATGAGAGAAGTATTCTCGCCAGGAATTACCGGACTTTTCTGGCGTGCAGCTGAGTTCTTAAGCGGTTGCATGGTCATCGAAAACCCGGGTGGAAAAGCACTAGTGGTATTTGCTGACGTGTTAGCCGATGGAAGGCTACTTGTTGATTGAGTAGACGATACAAAGTCATCAAAATCGTCAACATCTTCAGTTGTATTTTTGATATTATTGGATTTGAGAGGTGGGGCAGTGTGTCGAGAAGCAGCTGAAGCGGGTGCTGAGCCTTTAGTCAATATTAATGGTCTCGAAGGCGGCTTGGCTTTTGGTCTTGGGGTAGCCGTCAAGGGTGCTGGGCTCAATGTTGCCTTGTTGGTGGAGATTGTGGGTTTTGGCAGAGGTTGGGGAAGCGGTTTGGACATCGCTTTTTGGTGTAATGCATGCTGAGTCTTTGGCTGGATCGCGGGAACACCTATTTTGTGCGATGCCTCCAAATCTGGATCCTGTAGCTTTAGAACCGGCTTCTCAATGACATTGTCAAAATTGGCCTCTCTTCCATTAGAAGCTTCAAGTTTTACTAAGTGAGCGCGCTGTATGTCAGCACTTATCTTGTTGATAACATTTGTGAACTGCGTGTACTGTGCAGTTTTCAACGTCGTGGCCATGGAGAACTCCCAAAGTAATGGAAGAAGCTGCTCTATCAATGCTTGCTCATTCTCTATCAGACCCGGTAGCAAGGAGAGTAATTGGAGGGACTTCATAAGGATACGAGGGTCCCTGGTCTTCATGGACTTAAATAAGGGTAATAAATCGTCAATGCAAGTAAATTTATCAATTGCCTTGCGTTCAATCATGGTTCGAAAGCTATCGACACATGAAGTTTTTACCGTGAGACTGGTGGTCTTGACAAAAAGCTTCGATAATAGACTGAATAGGAAATTCTTCACGGTTGCGAAATCGAACGCTTTCAGTAGAACATCGAGTTTTCCCATAAGGGATTCCTGTAACACCACAGCACTTTCTCCACTGATGGTGGAGAAAACATGCGTACATAAGGGCTTCAAAAGCTCACTCATGAAAGCATCAGATTTGATCTTGTTGTGCAGAATAGCTATGTTTTCAATCAAGCTTGCTGTTGCATGCTCTAGCAAACGGCTAAAGCTGTCTTTTGACACAAGATGGGGATAAACCTTTTCTTGAAACGACAGCTGTGACAAAGTTGAACCAATTTTCGAGATCAACGTCACAAGCGTGTTGAGATCCTGAGTTACTATTGCATCTGATGAACACACTTGATCGAGCAAATGTAGCAATACAGGCAGAAACTTCCGCTGCAATAGTTGAGATGGGAATTGAGGTAAAATTTCCAGTAGCCCGTTCAAGTATATTCCCCTCTCTTGGGAATCTTTGGTGGGTAGGTCGTCTAAAAAGGTCAGGGTCTTCACCAAAGGATCATGGAAGAAGTCGGTTTCCAGAAACTCCTGTATATTATCAAACCTCGAAAAAACGTCTCTATTCATCAATTTAGACATGCTGAATCTCAGTTTTTCTGGCACCTTGCTAAAGAATCTGTCTGGAGTTTGCCGTAGCAAATCTCTTTCGTATTTGCTGTATTCTTCCTTGTAGTCTCTGATATAATCTCTGCAAGAAAACAGATGCGTTTTGTAGTACAGGAAGTATATCAACAAACCCAGCGAAAAGTAGTCGTTTCTTGGGGACAGCATGTTCTCTAGTATCAGTTCTGGAGCGCTGTAATCAAGAGGAATATGCATGAAAGGAGCGTATCTTGGATCGAAATCCGGACTGTACTGGCCCGTATTAGACCCTGATGGCAGTTTTGCAAGATGTCCGAATCCGGACAGCTTCCAGTCGGAGTTTTCGTTGACCAGCACAGAGGCGGGTCTGAGATCCAGAAGAACCGAGCCTGCACGGTTGTGGATGAAATCAAGACCCTGTGATATTTGTTGGATGCCGCGTTGCGTAATTACGTCTCCTGAGCTCGACATGGTCAAACCCTCATAATTTTCCTCGGGCTTAACATCCAGGACAGAGGATTCTACGCTGCCGGTCACATACTCTGAAACAAACATAAAGTTTTTGGAATGCTCCTCTAAGGGCTCGATAAGCGCCAAAACGTTTGGGTGTTTGAGTTTGGCCAGATGGCTCACCTGCGCTCGTAGCACATCGTACGCGCTTCTGATAAATTGTTTATCTCGACTTGAAGACCGTGATTTAATAGCTCCCGCGGTTAACAGGTTGTTTTCAAACTGGTTCTTGTCAAAGATGAATATGGAAACTTTAGAGCTGGCGGAGCTGGCGGAAGACGAACTCGAACTTTTTGGTCTACCTGTGTGGACGTTCCAGGGCTCTGCTGTAAAGGTAGGCGAGGAAGAGTAGGAATAATTAGAACTGATTCCCGATTTAGATGACCAAAACATTGTGTCAAGATTATTGATAAACTCCTTATGGCTTTGGTGCAATCAGAATGCTCTCTCTTTCAATGAAACCTTCTGACATCTATTCAAATGTTTTCTAGAATTGTAGGATTTATATCGTAGATGGAATGGAACCCATTTTTGAAGTGAATCGTAAAAAGATTGCGCAAGCCCGGAATCGAACCGGGGGCCCAACGATGGCAACGTTGGATTTTACCACTAAACCACTTGCGCTCGTATTAGGTAAAATGTAATTTTTGTTTTCTATAGTCTAGAAAAAAGGTCACGCTTAAGTGCTAAATGACAGTCTTAAAGTAACTAGAGAACGACACCGACAGGACATGCCGAACCCTCGTCAAGAGACTTGATATCTGTGATTGTTCAGGCGAGGGTAAAAGCCCGTATTTAAGATGGTTCCAAATTTCGTATGTAGCTTCATAATGAATGATGATTGCTGTATAAAAAAAAACACAGGATCTTACCGGTACGTGCTGCCTTAGACCTGCGACGTGAAACGAAGGTATCTCAAAGCCCACCCATGAAATTTCAATGGCTTTCACAAAATCCTATCGAGTGATATTTCCTAACTTATTGGAAGCACACTGACGTAGTCTCGAAAATACTCTCGGAGTTAATGTCGCCTTCTATTGGCCGTTTGTCGAGCATTTAGTTCAAAGCAGTGTAAATGATTCACTCAAAATATGTTCATTCCGGGACCACAGCCCAGCAAACATGATTTCGTGTGTGAAATGTCGACTATACGCGTAGTTCGCTAGATTCTTCAGCCTTCCTTACCTTAGAGCGGTAACATACAACAGCCATGTTGCTAGAGGATATTCGACGAACATGCACTATTCCACTGTCGGATTTGTAAAGTCATGAAAGCTGTAGGTTTCAGTATTATTTATGCATATTTTGCAAGCTTTTAAGCTAAATCTGAGGTTCGATTACCATGGAATTTCAGATCCATTGTAGGAGATGAACTTGCCTGCAACTTCTGGCAATTTCTCTAAGATGTTCTTGCTGATAGCTTCTGCCGACTCTTCGGGCGTGATAGGTGGGAAATTCTTGAGTGCATCCCCAAGTGTTTCCATAAGCTCTTTATCGTTCAAGGCCGTGTTACCCATATCGGTGCTTACAAAACCTGGGTGCACAACCACGATCTTGTATCCCTCTGGGCCCAGTTCTTTGTTCAGATTGATCATTGCAATGTTAATTCCAGCTTTCGAAACACCGTAGCCGGAGGTCGAAAACGGTAAAGTGAGGTTACTGGTCAAAGAACCTCCCACAGAAGAAATAACAGCAAATTGTTTGGTCGCCTTTCTGTCCAGCAAAGATTTGAAAGCGCGAAGGAGCCTGATAGGCCCCAAAGTGTTAACTGTGAACTGTTCCAGGAATGATTCGTCACTGTTGCCCAAAAGAGGTCCAGAAGACTTCATGATACCTGCATTGGCGACCAGTACGTCAAGCCCGTCTGGCAAAATACGAGCGGTTTCTTTGGCAGCCTCTTCGTTGCTTTCTGCAGTGGAAACGTCCAACGACACAATCTTTACGTTTTTATGCAAATCGGCCCATTTTTTCAATTCGGTGGCGCCTCCCACATTACGGGCACCGGCAACTACGATGTTTGACGATTCGGAGCTAAGCAACTTGACAAGAGCGAATCCGATACCACGGTTACCACCTGAGATGAAGTACGATTTGGACATTTTTTAAATGAAAAACTGTAGGATTAATGCTTTTCTGATTTTGTCCCTAGAAATTCAAAGACAGTGTCTACTATGTCTGCATCTTGGCACTTTTATAGGTTTCGTTTGTCCTTGATCGCTTCAGTGTGCTAAAAACTCGTTCCGCGGAAATAAGACGAACGTTTCGCTAAATGTGGCAAACTGCTAGTATGATAAACTTCCGACTCGGAACGCAATCCGCGATCTTATACCAAATGTCTTAATTCCGTCTGAAAGTGGCTTGGCAAAAAATAACGTCGTATACCATTGGTACTGCCTCCCGTTGTTCTCAAGTGTAAACTGGTAACTTATTCAGATCAAAGTGATTACATCGAAACTTCTCGATAGCTAGAATAAAGAGTTCTTGCGTGGAGAATGCCATTTCTTTCATGTTTGACGACAAAATTGAGGTATAGTATGCTTCGACGAACCTAGCTTAATCCCCGTCGTCATGAAGCTAGCTAGACTGGTCAAAGCTTCACGGCCGTGTCCTGCAATCGTCTCTGCAACTTTGGCCAAGACTGCGGAAGAGTTGATAATTCAAGTAGCCACGTAAAAAATGACTATTGACCCATGAGATGACCATTCCACCGCGGTAGACGTCGAGCGATGCTCAGCGAGATTACCACTGACCTAGCCTCAAAGATATGCTTTACTGCCATCAAAAACTAGGAACTCGAAGTTTTCGAGGTTAGCAGGGTCAGCGCTCACTTCGTTGAAGTGAATCATTTTGATATAGACATTTTGACAACTTAAGCACCTGAAGATCTGCTTATTATCTTCGAACACAAGAAAGGAGGTGCATAGTTGTCACCATGTTACCGCTGGAGCTCAACAACTCAACTCGCGGTTCTACTCGTCATTCACGGCTACTCGTGCCGATTCGTGGTTTAGTTTCGTGCTACATTGGCTAATTTATATCGAAACTGACGCAGGAAATTCGCTGATGCCACCACACACACACACACACACACAGAATTTGTTATCGTTGTATCACTTTAAATATGCATATATTTGTCCAGATTCAACCACCGCATCTCTGCTTTCTTAATCGCACTCGACGTATTCAATACGTGCCGTGAAAGTGTTTCAGTGCATGGAGAAACTATTTTCCGGAAATCTCTAGGCTTAGAACTCTCGAGAAGTCGAAACATGCATGTCATGAGATCTGGATCTAATGTCAATCGCACTAGTGACTCTCCAGACTCGTAGATTTGTCAATCCCTTTACCCTTTTCCGTATATGGGTATCTTTCAGGACATCTCTTCCTGCATAACCTATAAATGTAACATTTAAATCCAGGGTATAAAGCCACGTTCAATGGTCAACTGAAATTCTTAAAGAGAACATCTTTGAAGAGGATTCCATCGACTATTTGTCGAGTATCTTGTGGTCTTCACGGTGTAACGTTTGATTCAGCTCCTTTTCGAGCGTTCTCCATCCTTACAATCTCGAGGTAGAATGTCTTTGAAACATGTCGCTAGAGACATCGGATCTTTCTTCTCATTGAAAACGCTGGATTCCAGGCTGAATCCAAGTTTGGACCAGAAACGCAAACAAAAGGCGAGTTCGGGGCCGAGTAAAAGTCGGTGGAACTCACTCGAGTTCAAGATTTATTATGCAGCCTTTGCCATTGCAGTACCAATGATGGTGAAAACTGCAATGTCAGCAACCAACGAACAAAACCCGAATTTCAATCGAATCGAACCGCTTCTTAGCAAAGGTTGGATCGGTGGACGAAAAGTGGACAATAGTGATTCGCAGTATCGATTTTTCCGTGACAATCTGCCACTACTTATCGGTTTAGCGGCGTTACACACGATCACGAAGAAGCTAGTACTTCGCACTGTCAAATGCCCGAAAGTCGCATTTGACCTCATTTTTGGACTCATTTTTTTATTTGCCGCTCATGGCGTCAGCGCCCTTCGTGTCTTGACGCATTTGATGATCAATTTCACGATCGCCAGAAGTCTTCGCAGAAAACCAAGGGTTGCCAAAGTTTTGACGTGGGCATATGGTATCGGCTCTCTGTTCATAAACGACAATTACCGCAAATATCCCTTCGGAAACATCCTGTCCATTTTATCGCCATTGGATTCCTCCTTCACCGGAATCATCGAACGTTGGGACGTATTCTATAATTTCACTCTCTTAAGAATGCTCAGTTTCGACATGGATTTCCTTGAAAAGTGGGAGGAAATTACGCAGGGCCAAAACAACGCTACACAGACGCAACCTAAGAGCATCAAGCCGGAGCTCAAAAGATCTACATCTTCGGCCACTACTTTGGAAACCATTTGTGAGGATGGTCACAAGAATCTGCTTCTAGAAGAACGCGCAAGACAGAATGCTCCTCACCATATCCAAGAGTACTCGCTGGCTCATTACCTTGCCTACATTACCTACACCCCGCTGTTTATTGCTGGTCCCATCATAACCTTCAATGACTATCTATATCAATCTCAGCACACATTGCCTTCCATCAACCGAAAGGCAATTTTGAAATATGCGCTGCGCTTTGCTTTTTGTGTGTTGACCATGGAAGTTGTCTTGCATTACATCTATGCCGTTGCTGTGTCCAAAATGAGGGCCTGGGAAGGCATCACGCCATTCCAGATCTCTATGATCGGGCTGTTCAATCTCAACATCGTTTGGCTGAAGTTGTTAATTCCCTGGAGACTATTCAGACTGTGGTCATTGATGGACGGAATCGATCCACCTGAAAACATGATTCGTTGCATGAATAATAATTTCAGTGCTTTGGCATTTTGGAGAGCATGGCATAGATCATTCAACAAGTGGGTTGTTCGCTATATTTATATACCACTGGGGGGTTCGGGGAATAGAATTCTCACCTCTTTAGCGGTTTTTTCTTTTGTCGCGATCTGGCACGACATCGAGCTAAAACTTTTGTTGTGGGGTTGGCTTATAGTGCTATTCCTGTTACCAGAAATATTCGCACAGCAACTCTTCTCAGGGTCTTACAAAAAGTCATGGTACCGATACCTTCGCTCAGTGGGCGCCATTTTCAATATCTGGATGATGATCATTGCCAACTTGTTCGGCTTTTGTTTGGGTTATGATGGTACTATCTACCTCATTAAAGGCATTTTCTTGACATCATCCGGTTTACAATTCCTGTTATGTGCGAACGGGGCCCTGTTTATTGCAACCCAAGTTATGTTCGAACAAAGAGAACACGAAAAACGTAATGGAGTGAATGTGAAATGCTAGTCATAGTATTAAAAATAAAAATCAAACAGCATCGTTTTACCCTACTCTTTTCTTGTAGGCAGCTGGAGTTTCCATTTTTTTTAAACTCCAGATTCCCTTCTTATTTGCTCTAGCCACATTTTGGTGGAAAAGATAAATATCTTCTTCTGAATCAAATTCTGCTCCAGTTTTCCCCTCGTAAACTGTTGCAAGTCCATTTTTCACCATTTCCAGACTCAGATTTTTATAGCCGGTCCACGTAAGATATTCCACCTTCGCAACACAACGATTGTATTGATCAATGGACAACGGCTTGACCCAAACATTGCGCCCTATGATTGTGTGGCGTAACCAAATGAGGGCTTCCTCACTGAATGGTTGAGCTTTATTACCGAAATGGGCCCTTTCTGGGGCATCTACACCACACAGCCGGATCGGAACAGTAGGCAAATTCCGTTTTCCCTTTCGAGAGACATGCAATGCCAAAAATTTGTCTTTCTCAGTGATTTTTTGGCTACGGAAGGGAGTCAAAAGCCAGTTTCTAGCCTTTTCTTTCTTGTCATCGTCTAGCTTTTCGAGTTTCGGTATACTCCGGAGCCAGCCCCATCCGCCACGAATCCCGCCTGGAGTATGGAAAAAATGGAAATTGTCACCGTCTCCCACTGCTGTAACCTTCCCGTATATCCATTTCTTTCGAAACACTTTCTGTGGGATCTCTGTAGCTTTTTTATACTGAGCTAGATGCTTGTTGAACAATGCGTAACTGGTCAGAAGTGATCCTGTCAGCACGAGTGAAAGTAGAACATCACGGACATATGGTAAATGCTGTACTTTCAGCTCTTCACGTTGTGCCCCTGGCATCCACAGTCCTGGATACTGTGCTGATGTTGGCTAGTTGTTAACGCATCGCTTGTCGCGCACTATTTGATGCACATGCTCTCTGTATATGACCAGCCGACGACACATGCGTTCGAAGTGATAGTCTTACATGATACGTCGGGAAACAGCTGAAGAATTCGATGAAGATGCTGGTACTAATCTTTGAAGCTTCCTGTGACGTTGAGATTATAATTTTGGTGCTTTTTTCAATCCCATGATCATAAAATTAGTCTTCACTCGCTGTGGATTTCTAAAGTGAGTCCTTGGAGTGCCATTGCCTTAGTAATGTACCATTGTAGATGAGTCGTAATTCTCAACTATGTTGCTGATGACTGTGTTTTTTCGTCCTTTTTTCAGGGTACAAGAGATGGATCTAATAGACTAGGCAGACCAAGACCCACTTATACATTTCTTGGAACAATTTCATCATCATAGGGAGTTAAAAAGCTTTCACTTGAATTGGAGTGATTTAATGGCAAATCAAACCTTTCTTGATTGCCCTATAGAGCCTGGCTGCATCATCTGGGGCTCATAAGTTCTTGGTGCTGAGAATCCGGGAAAGTTTGTAGTTCAGGTTCACTATTCAATTAACTCTGTCACTGTCATCAAATCACTTGCACGAGATCACTTTGTGATAAATCTGGCACCATATATCAAAAGAGTATCTGAGAAAAATAACTATACAGGAGAATTATCGCATTTGAAGATTGACTGGTGCTCTGACAGAACGATAGAAGCAGATTTTCATTGCGAAGCAATGCACATCGCCTTGGTGGTATGCCCAAATTCGATACTGGTCGCTTCGTACGTCTGTGACACAACTCTCTGACGTAATGACACTTTCCATAAAGTATAAATGGTAATGTAATCATCATATCCATCGGTCTTTCGACGCGGTAACAACCTTTCCCTGTTTTGATTTGAAAGGCCAAACGGCTCTAAACAAGATATCCTTATTCATTTATTTTTCCCTATGTGTATCTATCATTTCTATGAGTCTTCCAGTGTCCACTTTATTATATGGGTGACTATCCACAGTCCATGAGAAACGTTTCCAAAAGACACATATCATGAAACGGTGACTCACCTTCACAGTCCAGAACTCTCAATCCAATAGCAACAGACTTTATAGAGACGTTTCCTCTTCACTTCTTCGAACGACGCCCACGCTATCCTCTTGATGTCTAATTTCCCCGCAATTATAGTCGCATTTCCATCCTCGTCGCCAGTCGGGGACTCCAGGCTTGAGATGGACAATAATCCTCGAGGAGACTAACTGCTATTCGAAATGACACAGCGTCCCCAAAGCTACTTCAGGCTTTTAAGTCCACAATTTCAAGTATTCGTCTAATTAGGTTGTCCCGAATACGAATCCAGCTATTATAAATTGATCAGAGAACTTGGACCCTTTGCTTGTTCTGACAAACTACCGGTATTTACAGCAAAGAACGATCCAGAAGCGAGGATTAAGCACGCCAGTGGTTTTTACATCTAGTGGAACCTTTGAATCTGTGAAGAAGACCCAATTCAAGATGCCTCGCAACAAACAAGATGACTCAATTGAGCTTGAAATGCTCATGGGTAATGAGGACTCCAGCAGTCTTACAGTCACCGGGTCAAATCAAGCTCCAGAATATGGCGGTGAGACAATCAATATTTACCCCTTGGATTATCAAAAGGTTCATATTGTGAGATGGCAGATGGCAGCAAATTTGGTACTGTTCCTTGTCCTGGGCCTCAACGATGAATGCAACGGTGCTCTTTTGCCAGCTTTGACGCAGTACTACAACGTTTCGAAAGTTGAGGTTGCAAATCTGTTTGTAGTGCAATTTTTAGGCTATTGCACGGCTTCTTTGCTAACCCAAAAAATTCACACCAGAGTTGGAGCCAGAGGAGCGATGTTGACCGCAGCTGGATTGTGCGTTTTGTTTTACAGTGTTCTACTATCAAGGCCACGCTGGTTTGTGGTCTATGTTGCATGTTTTATGCCCCTAGGACTAGCTATAGGAATCATGGACTCGGTCTCCAACGTGTTATTCGGAAACCTCGAGAACCATAAAAACGAATGGATGGGAGTCCTTCATGGTCTGTATGGAGCAGCAGCCATGGTAACTGCACCTGTGGTATCCTACTTCGTCAAATATAGTCAGTGGAACTACTTCTTCATGTTGCCCTTGTCGGTTTCTTTAGTGGGGCTCACGCTGGTGCCCTACGCGTTCAAAGACGAGACCGCCAACAAATACAACTACTTATGTGAGATAAGTCGAGAGCAAGGCGATGACGTTCATCCCAGCTTCTGGTCATTGGTCCGCAGACCAGCAATTTTCATGTATGCAATCTACATGTTCATTTACCTTGGATCAGAGGTGTCAACTGGAGCATGGATCTTCACGTACCTTTTGGAAGTGAAAAAAGGACAGGTAATACCGATGTCCTACGTTACTGCTGCCTTTTGGATGGGTCTGACGACAGGCAGACTAGTTTTAGGTTTTGTCACAAAGCGGTGGTTCAAAAACGAATACAGAGCTTCCGCTTTCTACACAAAGCTTTGCGTTGTATTCTACACATGTTTCCTAGCCGTCACCTACTTTTCGGGATCTTCTGCGCTCTATTTTGTAGCAGTGTCAGTAATGATTTTTCTTGGCGGAGTATTCATCGGGCCGCTTTTCCCTAATGCCAGCGTTGTCGCTCTACAGGTCTTGCCTAAAAACATGCACGTAAGTGGTGTTGGTATTGCTGTGGCATTGGGAGGTTGTGGTTCTGCAATTTTGCCCTATTCTGTGGGTCTGATTACACATTTGGTCGGATTTGAATGGTTTCCGTTTTTGTGCTGGATAATGGTTGCTACGGTGGCCTTTGTTTGGTACTTGTACCCCAAAGTCATAAAGGGACATGAAGAATACTTATAGAGGCGTTGTCCTCATTGCTACGTCGGAAACAGATCTTCGCATACACCGTGCAATTGCTATTTCAATGGAAGTGAGAATTTGAGGAAACTCACATCCCAACCACTTCACACCGTTTTTACAACGACGATTCCCAACAGCTGTTTAGAAGAAAATGCATTGGCTCATTGAGTCTACTCTCCAAAGGCAGTGTCAAAGCTGCCTGTCTTCGCACAATGAACAAACAATATCCTCCAAGCTCGAAAAACGGCATAAACATAAGGTTTAAAAGACAGTCATGGTTTGAAAGACTGTTACACCAAATAAACGGAGATGGAAAGATATCGAGACTATCTTGGTGTCTAGGCTGGAGATCTCATGAGGGTAGTGTCTCTGCCTAAATGTGTGCCGTACGTGGTGATCTATGATATTGGAAAGGTATGGATGTATTTCAGTTATCCATCTCATCGAACTTCATCCAAGTTTAATCGAAGTGACTATCGCTCACTGTATCAGTCTTTCAAGGCAATTGTTCACGCTGATAGTGGCTGCTAGTTGAACGTTTCTTTACCTCCCATGAATGGAACCAATAGCTATGATACCCCACAAAATGACAAGAGATACGTTACGCAGCGACGTACGGTTGATATGAGCTCACCTTACGACAGACTGTACCATTTGAAAAGGCATGGACTTCCTATTCCCTTCATTGAGCCAGAGACAAGCTATACGACCAACATATTACCTGCAGATGCTTATTTGCACAACAGACGAGTCATCAATACACCGACCAAGTTTACACATTTGAGCTCGAACAAAGTTAAGCATGTCATTCCGGCTCTGGAATGGACACCAGAGGGTCGTAGGTTGGTTGTTGCGACTTATAGTGGTGAATTCTCTCTTTGGAATGGCTCTACTTTCAATTTTGAGAGTATTATGCAGGCCCACGACAGTGCTGTGGCAGTCATGAAATACTCACATGCAGGGGACTGGCTTATAAGCGGTGATTCTAATGGTACGATCAAGATCTGGCAGCCTAATTTCAATATGGTCAAAGTGCTGGACGACGCTCACACACAATGCATCAGAGGTATTTCGTTCAGTGGCACGGATTCCAAGTTTGTAACTTGTTCTGACGACAACATCTTGAAAATTTGGAATTTTAGCAATGGGCAGCAGGAAAGCACCCTTTCCGGTCATCATTGGGATGTTCGCAGTTGTGACTGGCATCCGACCATGGGTCTCATAGCATCTGGATCCAAAGATAATTTAATCAAATTATGGGACCCCAGAGCGGGCCAATGTATCAGCACAATTCTGGGGTGCAAGCATACAATTATCAGTACTAAATTCCAGCCTACCAAGGGTAACATGCTGGCCGTGATTTCCAAGGACAAAAGTTGTAGGGTATTCGATATTCGCCAGAACATGAAAGAATTAGCGGTTTACCGAGACGAATCCGATTACATGTCTCTGACGTGGCATCCCATCAATGAATCTATTTTCACAGTAGGTTGTTACGATGGTTCTATGAAGCACTTTGATTTACTTCAAGAACCACAGGATTCGTCTTCGGGTTACTACCATAACATCCCATATGCTCATGACAAGTGCATCACGTCTTTGTCCTACAATCCCGTTGGCCACATCCTTGCAAGTGCTTCAAAGGATAGAACGATACGATTCTGGACCAGGGCAAGGCCGATGGATCCCAATGCCTTTGATGATCCTACTTACAACAACAGGAAAGTCAATGCTTGGTATTTTGGCATCAACAATAATATTAATGCTATCAGACCTAAGACCGAAGATGGTATAGCCTTGCCTCCAGCAGGAAACGAGTTCATGAACTCCATGAACAATAACAATGCTATCTTGGGGCCGAGAGTCCAATCTCCGGCGACCTCAGGCCTGCCAGGGCTGAACTTTTAAATGGTAGCGTTCCTGAAATAATCTGTATTGGGCAATCTATAAAAGTGTATAAAAAAATAACAGCACGTATCTTTCGCGTACTGTTGTTGATGTCAAATCGAAGTGAACTTTATCCTTGGTCGTTATTACATTAATCGTTGAGTTTGTCCGAGCGCTACGCGAACGGTCCTTTGAGAATTTTGCAGAAGTAATCGTCATTGACAATCCCATTCAAAATTGAGGCGTACGGTACATCGGTAGTGGAACGTGAGCTTGAAGAGTCTGCGGGAACCTGGAGAGTAGGAGCAGATGTTCTGTTGGATGGAGTCTTTCCCTTGGCGAAATCCTGAACGTCTTGAATATACTGCCGGGCATAAATGTTAGAATAGCATTCGATGAAAAGCTCGATAGAATTTATCAATTGTGTCAAATATTGGGTTGCTCCTGGTGGGTGATGTTTTTTGGTTTCAATTGAGGCATCTGAATACCCTGCATTGATTACGCTATACCAAAACAACCCGTAATCTTCATTGACCAATCTGCCTTCAGCCATATGACTACAAAATTCCGCTTTTGTGAAGGGAATGTACTGGGAATGGTAGTGAGCTAGTCGTTTGGCAAAATCGCGTACTGCAAATTCATAAGGTTTATCGAAATAGTCCTGATTGAAAGTTTTGTTATGGATGTTGAAACGAACAAACGCGCGTTCAGTACATGACACTTGGAGTACCACGGGAGTGATGTGGTAATAGCGGTTCGCATCGGCGTTATAGACGCGCAACTGTTGGAAAATATAGGCACGTCTCTGTTCGGTAGAATTTGTGGCATCGAAAATGGCTACATCGCAAGAATCCTGGTCCAGATCCGAAAACATGTGTTGGAGCGTAAGTCTTGCGTATTGTTCCTTCTTTTGGGAATTTTTCGGGTTGAACAAGTCTTCAGATGAGTTGTTGGCGAGCATCATGGGTCTACCACGACAGCTAAGTTTCCGTCTTACTTGGCCGGCATTGTAAATTTTGCAGCGCAAATGAGTTGTGCGTGGGTCTTGGCCGAGATACTGGATCAGATGGTTCGAAACCGTTGATTTACCGCTTGCAGGGAGTCCCACCAGCACTATAACGAGTTTGTCGTCTGCAGCGGGCAATTGTGGTGGGGGTGCTGCCGAAACCGACGAAAAACGCCGGCCACGACTCGTATAGTTGAGCGTGAGAGCCGTGGGCTCTTCGCTGGTGTATTGTCGCAGGGGAGAGGACCGATGATGTGAATTTTCCGCTTTTTGTGCGTCATCATCGTTTTCTTTTTCACCTTCTTCTTCTTCTTCTGTGAGATACTGGTCCACGATACTGGAATAACTGTCGCGATGGCCGCGCAGCGAAAATAACGAGTTTGTCGAGTTAGACTTCGATTCACTGTCCAGATCGCCCGATAAAAGTGGCACCACCATTTTTTCAGGCTGAAAGAACAGATCCAAAAGGGTTTCTTTCGATTGGGATGGTTTGGGGACAACCGTGAGTTGACGAGACAAGCTGAGGAGTCCAAGTTCTATTTCTTTTCCCAGCGCTTCTCAACAGAGGTTCTCTTCGATATTCTATATCCTCGAGCACTCGAGAGTTTATCCGGCCTTGCAGTAGGTTTTTCCGAGATTGAGCTCGAAATTAAAGAAAATGAGATGGAGTTTTTCCGCGTTTTTAAATTGTAAATTCGTCTGTCGATCGACTCACCTCTTGAAATGTCAAAAATCTTCAACTGCTGGAGAGGAGAGGAGAGAAGAAGACGATCGGAGGAGAGATTGGAGCGGATCGGGTTGGAGATCGATTAGATGCGTGTACGTCTATTTTTTTTATTTTCTTTTTTCGATCTCGGTCGTTTTGTACGGATTCTCGGAAAATTTCAAAGTTTTTCCGAATTAGTGACCGTTCAGAGCGATCTTCTGTGAGTAATAGATCTATAATGTTAACGGTCCACTAGGAAATGCCACTCAACGCGAATAACTTGAATAGACGAGCCGGTGGTAGAGAACACAACTTGTAATTTTCTTTGGTTTCCCTTGGTTCTTCTGTTTTTCCTAGTTCTTCTGTTCTCTCTCCCGCGTTCGGAGCCTCGAGCCTTTACTTTTTTTTTCCTTCTTTATTGGATCCATTTCTCTATATGGATATGGTATATTTACTGTAGCCACTTTATCATCGAGAGTAATGACGTATTTGGACCATCTGACGTGTGTGACGAAGAAGGTCTATGACGGGACTGATGCAAACAAGGCTGTGTTGTTTGATTTGTAGTGATTTCGCGATTGTGTGCACGTTGTTTGATTTGTAGTGTAGTGCTTTCGCGATTGTCGTGTCGTTCCGCTCGATCACCACGACTCACGGGTCCCTCCCATCCTCATCTTCTTGTGTTTCCCCGACCATTTGAATCAGTTTCTCCTTGACCTGCGCACACACCTTCTCAATATTCTGTATCTCTTGTCTCTTGCCCTCTAGTTGTTCTTCTAGAAGCATTATGAGGGACTCACGTGACTGGTGCGGGCGGTATTCGTTAAGTAGATGATGGATATTGACCAAGATGGTTTGAATGTGTTCGACTTTTGCCGCAAACTGCTCGGGATTGACACTCAGGATGCCTGTAAGTTCTAGGAAATTCAGTAGCAGCGATCGCAGAAGTTTGTGTAGCTCCTGTATCTTGTCTTGGTAGCTCGAACTTGCGCCTTCTGGGGTTTCACGAGACTGGTACAATTGCGTCATTCCCATGCTTGCGAGGTCCGGGAGCTCGTCTTTTACCTGCCACACGCTCCCGAAAGCCCGATAATGACCTTCTGCCGGAATTTCCGGAGACACAAGGTGCTCTAGATCATCGTCCAGATGATCGAAACTGGCACCGGATTTTTTGAGTTCTTCAATTTTGGCCACATTTTCAGCCGTAAAATGCTTGATGTAAGGTGGTGGTGGCGGATAAAGCGCTGCTATTTCATTGGTACCGTTGGTTGACATTTTTTTTCTTTTTTGGTTCTCAAGCTCTTGACCGACCACGACAGGACGGTAGCTATTACTTCGTTTTTATCACTACTAGACCCAACTTCATGAACGCTGGCTCTATCAAAGGCTTGGACAACCCCAATTGTCGTTAGCGAAGTAGGTGGGTTGAGCTGTACTCAAGAGTTCGGTCAAGTTTCCCTAGAGAACATTCAAAACGTCTAGAGATGGACGAGATGATGGGCTGTTTAATGAATTAGGTGTATGTTTCGTGTATCGTGATGTAGAAACTTAGTGCCGAGCACTGACGTTAGCAAGGAAATGTAATAATGGTAGAATGAGATTCCAGTAAGTCAGTTGTATTATTGTCATTTATTCATGGCAGACTGATCAATTCTGTTCACTTGGTTCTCTTAGGTATCTTGATCACGTGACTGCTTTTTTATCATCGTCCACTGTTCAACTTTGTGAGACGGTTTTGATGGTACGCCATCGTTGAAGCGTAACGAGTCCCAGTTATTTACCTTTACAGTGGACTGGGAATGTTGTTGTCGTTTCTGTTGGCTAGAAGAAAAATTGTCTGCTCAAGGTATCACACAGTCACCAAATCTCACCACTCCTGCATCTATGTCTCTCGGAAGGATGAACAAAACGACATAGAATATGACTCGCCACTGCTGCTGAATGTTTCGATACTGACGCCCACCAGATGCCACCATAGTACAAAATGATCTAATTTCAACATAGACTAAGATTGCATGAACTACATATAACGATAAGCTCTTAGTCGCTCATAGTTTAGAGTCCGATTCTTGACGTTTCCACACCTGAGACCCAAGATAATGTACAACTGATTGTCAATGACTCATTTGGCTTTAAAGGATTCGGAATCTTTTGGTCACGTGGCCCGCCCCATCTTGCTGTTCATCCTCAAATTCAAGTTAAACATCCAACAAACAATATGGTTCTTACGAAACCGTTCACGAGGGTTCACCTTTCTAATCATCTATGACCGCAATTCACTCCATGCCACGCAAGTTGCTTACTTACCATAACCTCTAACATCCATCAGAACTGCCATATATAAGCACATACCTACACACGATAGCGCATAATACAATTCAGATCCAATCCACTCTTCATATTCAAGAACGTACAGAACTCGTCAGGGTTCTCCCACCACAATCACTCGCACTTGAATTTGTTACAGTAGCCTTCACTTCTACCAAGCATGTCAGAAGATCGGATGGACCTCGACGAACAACGAGTCGGCCAGGACGAAGTGCACGACACCGAGATGAGCACAGTCAATGAAACGGTAGAACCAGAAACGCGGCCTAAGAAACGGTTTGAAATCAAGAAATGGACTGCGGTAGCATTTTGGTCGTGGGATATAGCTGTTGAGAATTGTGCCATTTGCAGAAATCATATTATGGAACCATGTATTCAATGCCAGCCTACAGCGATGACGGACAGCGAAACCGAATGTGTAGCGGCATGGGGTGTGTGTAATCATGCATTCCATCTACATTGCATTAACAAATGGCTTCAAACTAGAAATGCCTGTCCGCTTGATAATCAGCCCTGGCAATTTGCCAAATACGGGAGATGAAATGGCTCTGGTAAAGAAAATCGGATTCACCAAAAAGATACGATTTCAGTCCCCAATAGGAGTGGGAAAAAGTCTGAGTCTGGATAGGGACTCCAGGTTCAGGTTTCGAGAGAAACGATGTTTGGGTTTCAACTACTGTCAAAAAGAGCAAGACTAGCATTTTCGCTGTCAGGGTTTTTGCAGTCTTATGTGTGTCAATTAGCACAAGCGGCATGTATATACATGTAAAAGTCCCGGTAAGTAAGATTCTCGAATCTCGGTTTATGCTATCTCATAGTAGCGAGCATTACGATTGAAAGTACCCCAAAGGCAGAACTTCAACGACTTTGAGCTGAGTCCCGTAAATATCGGGTCCCAGTCAACAGTGCTTTCGTGATTAAGCTCGATAAAAAAAATGTACTGCCATTTACGTCTTTTTGACTCTTCGTCTTCTTTCTGTGAGTGACTTTCGTTATCCCCAGGATAGTGATACGGTCTTGAACTGATCGAGCACATGTTGATCTGATTTTCCTTCAAGACATTCAGCACGTCCACAAGACTTCCGGGCATGTCTTGAGCAACAACAAATGTCAACAAAGTTACTTGCTGAACGCTGATGGATGTTGCAGACGGACGTGCAACCAAAGCACCTTTATTCGAGTCGCGTCTCTGCAATACTAAAAATCTAGTTGTGTTGCCCTTGCGGTCATTGATTGGCCGCTCTAAAATCGTAGCACCATGCAACGTAGCAGCTGTGCTACTGGCTATAGCAAGCGTTACTTCATGCGGGGTTTCGTAATCCCGTTTTTCGCAACAATATCGCACAGCATCCGATGTCGAAGTAGTATCGATCATTTGTAGTGACTTCACTCTTTGGCGTAGTTTGCTCAGATAGCTTGTAGCTTGGCCCCAAACCTGAGGATGTGAGTAGATCTTCAGAACGGTGGTAGTCTTGTCGAAAGCTTCGATATCAACGGTCCCAGAAGCTATTAGACACAGATCAATCGAGACGTACTGCTCGGCCACCACTTCCAGATCTGGCAGGGCCTGGTTTTGTCTATGATTCACAGCACCGTTCATGAGATCTCGCAGAAGATCGTACGTGAAAACGACTTGTCCATTGGTAGAGTTTTCAAGAGGCACCACAGCGTAGTCCAGTTTAGTATCGTGAGTTAACTCTTCGAAGCATTGTGGAATTGTCTTTAGGGCAGTATATTCGGTATTACCATCATTAGGAAACTGCTGAAGCACTGCCTGATGGGTGTAGGTTCCAAGTGGACCCAAGAAGGCTACATTGATCATTGTTGGCTGGTCAAAGTTGATATCTCAAGACGTCTTTCCAGACATATTTCACGATTGGATATAACTCCACCAACGATCTGGTAATTTAAAAGCTGAACCATTACTACGATAGTAAAACTAGAGGTTCAAAAGACAACTTGACGGAAGCCGTAAGAGCTTTGATTCTTGCTAGAATACTAACGTATATTTATATACATAACTACTGACATGAACTTGTAGCCTTACCTCGAACGCTTAAATGTCCATAGATTGAGCCAAACTGATTAGCTTTTCTACACTGAAATTGGTCGAACCACTGCCGAAATCGTGTAGAAGCTGGAGTCTTTGCTTGGAAGGAATGGTTTCCTCGCCCATGGCTCCGTAGAAACGTTGAATGTTCAAAAGCAACAGCTGGGCATCTTGGAGAGACACATTGACATCTTTTTCGACATGCCCGTTCATGAGCACTATGCGTTTATCTTGAGCAAGATCTGTGTGGAACTGGAAAGTAGTATGTGGTTTGGCATACTCTTTGTGCAGTTTGTACTCGGCCAAGGACGTTATGATGCAGTGGACGGTGGTGGGTCCAGCTACTTGCCATTGAATGTAGTGAAGCTCAACGCCCTGACTGTCACTGTCATTTGCGTTGTTGCCTTGCAGATCGGAAGCTTCGGCTTTGATTTCGCGAGGCAACGGCAGCACGAATGTGGGAACAGCTTTGAAGTGTTTGGACATCTGGTCAAACACCGTGGCGGGTACCACTGCGTTCAGAGCCTGGTTGTTGTTGGCCCAACGGGCACGCCATAAAAACTCGATTTCTTGCTTGGAAAGGTCCTTGATTTTCTCGAGCTTCAAAAACGAGTCTAGGGTCTTGAATGGTGCCGGGCTTGCCGCAGCGTCCACGGGGCCTCTGGGTTGTGTCATCTTGGCGTTGTTACTAGCCATTTTCATCCGTTGTTCGTAATCAGCCAGTTCTTGCAGAGGATCGATTCTGTTGAGTGTACGTTTTTTGTCTTCGATTTCAGATTTTAGATTCTCTTTGAGAAGGTCTATACTTTCAAATCCTTGCGCTTTGGCCTTTTGCACTAATTTTTCGTGGTATTTGTGTTCTAGAGCCTCTGTCGAATAGTTTTTTATCCGTAAAGACTGTTCCTGTTGCCGTTGCTGTTGCTGTTGCTGGACAAAACTTGACACTGAGATTGCAGACGCCTTTCGAGTTTGGTTGCGAAGGATTCGGGCCACGTTACGGTTCACAAGGCTCATCACCATCAAGTTTATCTCGCTGAGCTTGCGTGAAGTAGACTAGACACTTGGAATCTGCTATATTGGAAAAACTTTCGTAGTTGAGATGAGTTTGCTCTAATAGCACACATTGACCATTGAAAGGTAACCTATATGTCATAGGATGGAGCGTATAGATTGTGTATAAAATAGCCAAGGAAGCTCAAAATTGCGTGAGAGTCGCAAAGCTTTGGAATTGCAAGTATTACAAGCTAGTGACAGACACTACTACAAACGGCATTACAGCTGACTATTGTGAGCCACAACAACTCGCAGAATAGCAGTTTCAGAAGGCTGTTTTGGCAAATTAATCCACGTTACAAGAGAAGACCCTTCAGTCACCGCACTTCGATGTGTGTTGAATGCTCATCGGTGGATGTCAAATGATTATGCTGTCGTCGACTTCATTGTATTTCATCTCATTTTATCTTCAGCTCATATCTTACGGAAACATCAACGGTCACGTTACTAGTCGGTCACATGCAATTTATGCACCCAGACATTTATCATGTGATTCGTTTTGGTCACGCTCTTCTCACGTGCTGTTAATTTTGATCATTATATACGTTCATTTGGATTTTAAGCACCAAAATACATACCACTGCCATACTAAGACTCATTCGAGAACCAACACCTTTCGAAGAGTGTGTCTCGCAGTTCCCCCTCCACTAGATCTTCCCCTCGAGTGCTCGTCCCAATTTTCCTACCAGCGCAACTTCCAACACCGGAATGACCTTTGCGCCTCGAGGAAGGGACATTACAACGGGCACGCACATTGAAAACAGACTAAGATGAGCAACCCCGATGATATGTTGCTGGAGCTCATGTATGAGTACAAACCGCACTTGCAGTCTTACCGGCACCGCTTGAACACCTGGAACGAGCTGCTGCAGGCCTTTAACAAAGCCACGGGCGCTAACTATCGCCAGAGCAGGACTCTCAAGACTCGATTCGAGAAAGTGAAAGAGCTTTTCGTCAACGGAGAACAGTTACCATTCAAAAACGTCGCTCTATTGCAGAAATTATTAGACGAGTGCGGCCAGGATACCCGACTCCCTGAGGACAGAAGTCTGTCAGAGCAGTATCAATCTTCAGAACAGTCCAACACTCCATTTACCCTTGGAAATCCAGATAGCCACGAAAACTCTCAAAAACAGCAACCACTACAGTCACTATCACAACGAGACACTGAGTTTCTGTCTGAGGGTGAAGATCAAGATGCTTCAAGGCTGCCACCACTAGATTCTATCACGATTTTCCCTCACACTCAAATGCAACGGTTTCAAGAACAGCGATTTGCGAAAGATGGCGGTTACGTGGCTTCTGAAGAGGCTTCTAGGTATCGTCACGGTCAACCTTTCCATCCTGATACCTCTGGGTCACATTATATAGGCACCAAAGAACACATCGCTGCTGTTTTGGAATCTCTAAAGTCGGATTTTCAAAATAACAACTCGTTAGACCATTCCTCAGAAGATATAAATTCTTTGGCCGCGCTTCGGAACGAAGTCGCTATCCTGAAGCATAATCAAGAAATATTCCAGACTAGCGTCCTGGCGAAATTAGACAATATTGCCAAGCTTTTGCATTCATCATCTGATTTTCCAAAGTACAACTCTCAATTTCCTCAAGGTCAAGGTCATGACCGCTAATTCTCTTACTGTTGCTTGCACCACTCTCGCCTTTTCCTCTAATATTACCAAATGTGCTCTTTCAACGTCAATTGTGTAAAGTGCTGTACATCGTGTTTTTCTATCACAAAACATAGTCTATAGATTATTTCTTAATTCTAATAGTTTTTCCCAGCCTTCAGAATCTTCCCAGCTGGATCTGCCCCTACTCATCAATGACTTTATGACGGACCGCGCCTTGTACTTCCAATCCCCACAAACAGCACTGCCTGGCCCATGTTTCCCTTCCATTTCACCTAGAGACTCATATGCTGATACTAAATCGTCACAAGTTTCAACTGTTGCGTTCCACACTTTTTCGTCAAATTCGAGGTCCGGATTGTGTGACATTGCTCGGTATTCTTTTTCATAGCATTCTAACGATGCCCATGGTCTCTTTCTCCACATTTCAACCTTTGCCACCTGCTTCCAGCATTCTGAACTCGTTGTTACCACGGTGGGAAGCGTGTCACATATGAATTCCATACAAGAAGTTTGAAAGTGTGTCAATCTTTGAGAAGTATTGGCGGGGAAATCTGAAGTCACCAGTAATTCCACGAGCTTTTCAACAACTGGCATGTCTATTGAAAACTCTCCAACTTTATCCTTTCGTATATCTACAAGCTTGCGGCATGCTAGTAAGACGTCAGGCCACATGTTTAGCTTTATCGAAACAAGCATAAAATTTTCCCAGATCCTCCAGTTGTTAGGTGAGTCGGAGCTTACCGCTTTGCTGAGGCAGCTATGAGCCTCCTTGAGTTTACCTTGCTCGATGAAAGCAGCACTCAAGTTGGACCAAGATATGGAATGCGTTGCATCTAGTGACACGCATCTTGTAAAGGCTTCAGCAGCAAGATCCATCTTACCACATTCCAAACCAACACAGCCGTAAAAATACCAAGTCTCGAACGAGAGTGGGTATAAGCGCAAGGAGTCGTTCAGGTGTTTGATACATGCAATGGGATCTTTTGTTAAACCAGATGACGATGGGGGGTTGTAGTAGTGTTTCGCCAAAGAGTTCTTGGCGTTAACATGTTTACCGATCTCCCAACTCTTCGTCCACAAGTCTGGATCTTGTCTGATATCTCCCAAGATAGATAAGGCTCTTGCATCATTTGGATTTTCTTCGATATTCTTGATGAGGATCTTTTCTGCCGTTTTTTCGTCACCTACAGCTGCATAACACAGCGCAGCTTCACACACCATGGATAATCTCTCGTAAATTTCGACTGCAGATTTCATAACGCCAAGGCTCATATACTTTTCCGCCAGCGTTACATCCATCGCCCAGCGAGGAAGGAAAGGTAATTTATGGACATACCTCAATCTCTCCACGGCTTGTGTTGAATCTCCACCACTGCTTTGAGGAAGCATCCGGGTTGAAATGCTCAAATCCAATTCTTCAACCAGCGATTGCATTTGTAGTAGACCTCTTTCAATTGTCTTGGCCTTGGTCGTCTCGATGAGCGATCTTTCCCACAATCCTCTGGAAAACAGCGTCCAATTTTTCTTACCAGACTGGTATAAGACGCGGTTCACAATGGCGCTCAACTCCTGCTCCACCATCGAGTTCTGCGCCGGCGTGGTTTGGCGAATGACTTGTAGCCGAAGGAGTAATTGAGCATTGTCATCGTCAGATAGAGTCGGCTGGTCGTTAGGATCGAGCTCGCGCAACACAAGCGGAATGTCCTCCTGTCGGATGGCAATTGGAAGTAACCTTTCTTCATCAAGTGAATAATCTTGGTCTATCTTTGGTCTTTTTACGATCTGCTCGTCCAACGGCTCATTTCCAATGGACTCATACACAGGTTTTTCGAGTAAATGGTCTGACTCTAACGCAAGCGTCTCGGGTGCCTCTTTCACACTGTCATCACTAGAGTCTGTGTTGTTTGAGGCTTGCTGAGAGTGAGCCAAAATTATTAGCCCGGAACGGAATTCACTCTGGTATTTGGTTCTCTTGGCCCTTGCACCGGTCAAAACAAACTGGAACTGTGTCAACTTCTGAACCTTCGCCAAAGTGGGCAAACACATGTGTTCCGTGTTGGTGGCCAAAGAGCATTTAACGTTTTCCAGATAAAAGCTTACGCCCAATTGATTTTCAACACTGGATTTCAAATGGGATGGAAGTTCTTTGGATATGGCGTACACTAGGTCTATGCTGTTGAAAATCGAAGAAGCGACCATAGGATGAGGTCCTGTGGGCTCAGATAAAAGCGACAGCTGCGCAAGAAGAGCCCTTGCACGCCACCAGTGAGCAGACGCCACTACGGCTGAGGTTTGGGCTGGTACGATCTCAACGAGAGCAGTTTCCTGAAAGTCTTGGCCGAATAACGATGGTTGCTGCGTGACTTGCTCTAGCAGAATCAAGGCCATCACTAAGTAGACGGCATTGTCGCACAACCGGTACGCGGGTTGGCCCAGAACGCTGAGAAGCGTAATAGAAAACCGGTGTAACTTTTCGTTCTGATCATTGGTACATCCCAAAATCTCAGACGACGATTTCAATGCGCCTGGTCCTGTGAAGTTACTCTGGATAAAAGACTGTAGCAAGGCGATAGCGAGCACCAGAGCCAAATTTGGATGATTTTTGTAAGCGACCGAAAAACGATTTTGGAAACCCGAATAAGTCTCTTGTGGGTCGTCAAAATCGTACTTTCCGGTCACGTCTGCAGCTCTCAGTAGCTCCTGTATCACGGTATCGTGCTTACCACTCAGAATCAGCTTGGCGTTTACCAAACAGGTAGCATCGATTTCACCGGAGAATTCATCAAGTGGTACGTTTTTAGATCCCAGTAAAAGCGCTGTTTGCAAGATAGCCTCCATTTTATACCAAACCGATCTCGAAAAACAAGAAAAAAGTGTTATCAAGGCCTAAAACCGAAGCAAAAATGCAGTCTTGGGTGAATTTTGCTTGAATTTGTATTTTTCAACAGAGCGATAATACGCTGCTTAGCTTATATTTCATTTCAAATAGCCGATGAGCAAGCATTGTCCAAAATTTTAAGCAGTGTGTGTGCACTTTGAACGAGCGTGTCCGTCAAAAGGATTCGAGTTTCTAACATCACGAGGCCAATGGTGAACTTCAAGTTGGCATTTCCGACTGGTTTGAGTTGAAGAGGTAGCAACAAACCGCACTTATGGTCTTTTTGATCTCGATTTGAGTAGCGAAATTCCCTTATTCTTGTCCATTGCCGTTTAAATTATTTGTTCCTGTTCATTGCAGCATAAGCACTTTGTTCATGTCTCTTGGAGGCTTCTGTTCATCCAGCACGATTGCTCAGCACTCGTGGAGATTTAAAATGCTTGGTCCCCAAGACTTGTGTCGTTGTAGTACTCTAAAATGTCACACTCGTACAGTCATTAAAGATGGCATAAAAATGCGGTCGAAAACTAACTTCGGGTCTCCAAAAAAAGCCTGAACCTAGCAGACTTCCAACAGCACCATTTCACAGTATATACAGCGCATCTTAGCTTGTCAATTCTTGTACTTTGTCTTGGTAAATGTTACTGGAAACGCCAAACGCGTCAACTATTTAATTAATATTATTAAATATTGAGTCTTCTTCACCTGTTCAAGTCAGTACATCTTTCAAAAGAGGTTCCTAAAACACCCAAACCAAGCCGAATAGCGCCATTTATAACCTCAATAAGCTAGCACAACATGTCAGGTACGTTAGCATCTAGTCTTCACCTTTTCCCAGCTCTTTTAAGACCTTTTTTTACTAACTTAAGGTCTTCTTTTGAACACAGGTTACCAACCTTACAATGAATTTTCGTCAGTTTCTAACAATAGCGGTGGTGGCGGGTTTGAAAACAGCCAGGGCAATGGCAGCAGACCTGCCACCGGTGGTGGTGGGTCGCAATCGACGTTGATGCCCGTGACGATCAAGCAGGTCTTAGAATCGAAGCAAATGGTTCAAGATGGGCCTTTCGTTATCCAGAATCTGGAGCTACACCATGTGGTGTTCGTTGGAGTAGTCAGAAACGTGGTGGATAAGACGTCGAATATTACACTGACCATCGAAGACGGTACAGGCCAGATCGACGTTCGTCAATGGACAGCAGATCCAACCGATATCGCAAACGCCAACGAGCAGGGCGAGAAACAAGAGGGCTCATATAGCTCACAGATCTCACAAATGTACCAAGTGGGCAAGTACGTCAAGGTTTTTGGAGCGCTACGTGAATTCAGTGGTAAAAAAAACGTACAGTATGCAGTTGTAAAGCCCATCGACAGTTTCAACGACGTGATAGCACACCATCTGTCCGCTATGAAGTGCCATGCCATTGCCAACGGGTCTTTGCAGAGCCCGGCTTACCCAAATACTGACTCTACTGCATTGTCCGGCAGCAACCAGCAACCAGCTCAGGAACAGAGTTTGTTCGTCCAAGACAATTCCGCAAGCGATCCCAAACCAGCTCTACATAAGATCCTGGAATTCTGTGCCGCTCAATGCGAGGGCAAGGACGCTAGTAACTTTGCTGTTCACACGAAACTGATCGAACAAAGCCTGAGCATTTCAGAAGCAGATGTGAAAACGTACTGTCAGACCTTGGTCGATCAAGGTTTCATATACCCAACCTTCGACGACAGCAGCTTTTTCGTTTTATAAATAATGCACATAAGGATTTATACATGAATTGATGGAATGTTAAATTTAGGTTAAAACTGTCTAGTGTCAATCGTCGCTGACATTGACATTTTTTATGCTTTTGGCGTCAAAGTTAACAAACAGAAGAAATGAAAACACACAATGTCACTAAAACGAGTTGGTCCGTAACTTGATAATGATATCAATACTCGAGACCTTTATCTTCTTCCAGATCATATCAGCACAGGCAAAATGCTATCATCCATTCTAAAACTATATCTAGCGTTTTTATTCTTCTGGAAAGTAAAGCTAGTCGCAGCTTCCATAAACCCAATTGAAATTCATGAACAACATTTCTACGACTCTGTCACAGGAGAACCCTTTTTTATCAAGGGTGTCGACTATCAGCCAGGTGGATCCTCTGATGTAACTAGTAATCGAGATCCACTTTCCAATGCCAAGATATGTGCCCGTGATGTTTTCCTATTCCAAAAGCTGGGCATCAACACCATACGAGTGTACTCGATAAGTCCAGATTTAGATCATGACGAATGTATGACCATGATGGCAGCGGCCGGGATTTACTTGATTCTGGACGTCAACTCCCCATTAGAAAACCAGCATCTCAATAGGTATGAACCTTGGACAACCTACAATGAGGGCTATCTGGAGCACGTCTTCAAAGTGGTCGAGCAATTTAGCCATTACAACAACACCTTGGGATTTTTTGCCGGTAACGAGATTATCAACGATGGTCAGTCCGCCAGGCGTTGTCCTCCTTACATAAGGGCAGTTGTCAACGACATCAAGCAATACATTCAAGCCTACTCTCCGCGAACCATCCCAGTAGGATACTCGGCAGCTGATGATTTGAAGTACCGGATTCCATTGTCTCAGTACCTGGAGTGTCATGATGAAAATCATCCAGATTCGAGTATCGACTTCTATGGCGTTAACTCATATCAGTGGTGTGGACCACAAACCATCCAGTCATCAGGATACGATCAGCTTGTTGACGCGTACAAGCAATTCTCTAAGCCCGTATTCTTTTCAGAATTTGGGTGCAACACTTTTAGGCCACGCTCCTTCGAAGAGGTCGAAGCGTTGTACTCGGAAAGTATGATCAATACATTCAGTGGAGGCCTCGTTTACGAGTTTACAGAAGAGCCCAACGAATACGGGCTGGTGAAGATGAGTGATGACAATAGTGCTCAGATTCTTCAAGACTTTGTCAACTTGCAAGGTCGCTTTGCTAATATCGAAAGTAAAGAGTTTCAAATGATCCGTAAAAACGCAGTGAGTTTGATGGCCTCTGCTCCTTTACCAACTTGCGAAGACAAATATGAAAATCTTCAGGTTGACGCAACTGTGGCAGGAGGTATCGCTAAAAATCTTCTCAAAACGGGAGTTGACCAAAAAAAGGGTAGGTATTTGAACCTGGAAGAATCAGTTTATTCCTCAGATTACGAAATTCACGACGTGAATGGGAAATCCTTCGAAAGCCCTCGCAGAATATCAATAGTCCATAAAATCGAAGGCTCAGAACCCGAGGTTCGGCACCGAAACCAGTCGCAGGAAACGGAGTCGTCTTCTACAGTGTCCCCAAGGCCGAATGATGATAAAAAAGACACTGTAAAGCAAAATGAAGCTATCTCACTCAAGTATTCCCTGACATCCGTTATTTCCTGGTGCCTAGGTTCGATTTGTTTGATTGTGAGCCTGATGCTATTCTAAGCGGTGCCCAGGTTTCATTTTGGTTTGACGAAAGCCAAGCAACGTATTTCACTTAGTGCCATATTTGTACAACACGAAACCATCGTTGTCTCTTACTGTTAACATCATTTCTGAATTTAGTAGCGGTCTCAGCAAGATTTCCCAATCATACCGCGTCCTCGGAGTACACCATAACCACTTTCTTAGCATTCGTATATCAACAGATTGAAATCTCGATAACGATTTCAAGAACATCCATAAGTTAACATTAGCGATGTCCTTATAAAGGTGGAAATTTTGATAACTGTTCCACAGCTGCTTTTGATCGAGAACGTCATTACTGCTGATAGGATCATTGACACTATTGCTGAGACAACTAGAAATATCGTTGTCCCACCAGTGAGTGCTGGAATCCCCGTCCTCTGCCTGAGTAGAGCCGCATAAAGTTTGGAGGTCATCTCCAGTGTAATCGTCCAATTGCCGCCAAAAATGGAGGGGCTGCAGCGGGTAGACATTGGTGAAAGGAATATTAACGATGGAAATTTTGATTCCTTTGGTAGGAAGACGGTCCCAGAGATTTTTGTAATAATGGTAGAAGTAATGGAAAGGATGTATCTTCATGTTTTTAAAGTACTGTTCTTGAGTTTCAGATATTGTCCCTGGCTTTCTACCTTCGTTATCACCCAAACGTTTTATATAGCCTTCGTTCATGGCAATCACAACCGGAGTTGTTGCAGGCGGGACGGTCAACTTTCGCGAAATAGGAGTTTCAACTAATGTTTCGGCAAGCGACGCATTGTCAGATGAAGCTTGAGAGCTCTCCGTGAAATAAAACGAACTATCAACGACCTTTTGATTATTGAAACAGTCGCTATTACAGTCGATCGTGAGGTGATTCAGTCTGGGAAAGCAATTGGTGAGGATTAGGTCATACTTGCTGCGAATGTTCAGTAGTTTGAGGTTTTTCACGCGATGGTAATAAGAATGCAGTAGCTTCACCAGACCATTTCCGGGAACGATTTCGCAACCGTTGAGTGAGAGCGATGTGATTGGCAGATGAAGATCTAGGGAATCTTCATCACATCTACAAATGTACAGCGGCATATACTCGAAGGGGGCATCGAGTGATTCAGCGTCTATTACCATGTTTTCCAGTATCAGTTCATCGAATATACCAAAACAGCTTAGCATATTGGATCTTAACGGTACTGGGGATTTATCGCTGGCTGCACGAAGCTCCAATTTTTTAAATCGAGGTAAGTTGTGGTATTTTTCCTCGTATGCAGCAAGCCATGAAGAGGAGAACTCAAAGTTCTTGAGATCGTCCCTGTTTAATGATTGTTGACCTTTGATAATTCTTTTGTAAAAATCCTTGGACCCGTCATTCAAAACCGAATACCATAGCGGGATCTTGAAGCCCTGTCGAATACCACTGAGCACAACATGTGTGAGATTGGGGCAGAAATCGATAATATCCAATAGTAATTCTATGTAGGTGTGGTCTTCGTATTTGGCCATGAGTTTAGACCGAGATGTGGACGATAGATCGAAAAACGACCTGCGTGGCGAAGCAGTGCGTTTGTGCAACGGGTTGGACAGGTTCAAACCTCTACCATCGGAAGAGGTGCTTCTGCGTTCACCTAAGGGTGTACTATCAGGCGTTTTCTCGCGTACGAAGTTCTGTGTTCTCTGAGGATCACTGGACAGACGGTAGGAGCCACCAATAGTAGATGGTTGGTCTCTGCTGCAATATTTGCCGTATTTCAACAGCGAGTCCTGGTATAGTGGGTTCACGAATTCAATAGAACGAACCAAAAATCTAAGGTTTTGAGACGAAACGCCAACTCTGGGATGAATTAGAGCATTTGACGTGTGTGTTTCGCTGTGGATGAGTGCTGTAAATTGCAACAAGGCCAGCTTGTCCCTCAAAACAACGTTTTGATACAGAAAATTGTTGCTTATAATGTCATATAGCTTGGAATTGACCAGACACAGTGACAGAAGCGTGGGAACGTCCAAAAGCCGCAGAATTTGGTCCAAAATCTTTGGAGGCAGCGAGAACAAGCCGCATGATGTTTCGTTGCAGGTAGCTCGGCTTTTGCTGTGACCTCTAGTCCTTGCAGTTCTCAGATCTGACGTAGTATCCGCTTCTTCTCTGGATCTTCCAAACAGCTGAAGACGACGCATATGGAATCTGAAAATTGGAAACCAACGGTGCCAATGGTGCCGAGGGCCAAGAGCGAATTGAAAAGGCTCACGAGTGTGGAAATGGTAAGTTCTGCTTCGTCAAAAGAATATATTTCACAACTTGAAATGGCTTTCTTTAAGATGTAATTAAAGACTTCCTTCTACACAGTGGCTCGTGAGCCACGAACCCACTGTTAGCCACAGCATTAAGCGCATGTGTTCATCGGGTTGGAAACCTGTGAGTGAGTTCCAACACGGGCTATGGAATCTCAAAGTTCAGTAATCCTTCAGGTGTTTGCTGTATCGCCGCGCTGGAAAAAAAAGGCGGTTTTCAGAAGAAAATGGAAAGAAGTGTGCTAATGTTCTTTGACATAACGTTATTTCGGGGTGTGGTCGCTACTGTTTGGAAGAATGTGTGGGGAGCTCGCTTCTGATGCTTTTTGCACCGTTTCAGGTGCATCTTTGGCATGGTGGCCTATCGTTGAGCGTAATTTTTCCGGGATGTCCTCGAAGGCCAAATCGTCTGTTGTCAGAGCCACAGACTCGCCCTTGGCGCTCAAAATGTCTTGTATGGTGATGTGGTCATCAGAAAAGATCTTTAGATGGTCTGCAATGAGATGTCTGCTCTTACAGCCGGGACACTGGATCAAGACCGTTCCACCTGTGTAGGCCTGTTTTGACATGGTATGCGACGAACGCGTGTTGCATTTCTTGCAAGTGAACGCTATCATCATAGCGGGCTTGTCGGTTTTGACTGCGGCCGCCTTGGCGGCCGCTGCCAAGCCCTGGGGGGCTTCATTGCGCTGGATTGTGGAATTGGAAAAAGCTCTTGTAAAAACTGGTAGAATGGTCGTATTAAGACGCGAAAAGTGGGTAACTCTTGAAACTGAGCATCGCGCAACTGTTTTAAGGCTTTGCAAACGGAGCATCGTAGGCCTAATAGCTCAAAATGGCCAAGATTTCGTTATGTTTCTCGATTTTTTTGGCAAGTATAGCAAGCATCTCGCTTCCTGCCATATATAGTGATAAAAAACTTGGAAATATACAGGGAACACACACATTCCCATATCACCCAAAAATCAACCAAAACGCGTCGTAAACGCACTCCAAAACCATGGAACCAGGCCAATTGTCACCTCAAAAGGAGCAGGAAATTGCGCTGAAGATCCTGGAGAGAGCAGAGCTTGCTCAGATGACTCGCCAGCTCAAGATGGGTCTTGGAAAAGTGACGACGCCAAAGAAGAGTTTACGCGCGTCACCGGTGAAACTGGGGGTTTCAAAAGCTACAATGGACGGTGCTCGAGTGTCACCATTGAAACGTAGACGCTCGTTTGGAAATACACTCCGTGGAGCAGTGGGAGACCTGGGAGACGGGATAACGGAGCGTGCAAAGAGTCCCACAAAACGCGTCGCTGCTACACCTCCTGGAAGTCCCGTGGGCAACGCAAGACGGCCCAGCATCGAACTGACGGCGCCACAAACTCCACGAGCACGCTCGTCGGGATCAGCAAACGGTGCAGGCACCGGAACGGGTTCTGAGGACCACGAATTGGGCGCAGACTTGCTGATGTATCTGGCGACCAGTCCCTATACGTCTTCTTCGTCTAAACCGGGCTCGAATACACATCTGCAGGCTCCACAAACACCTTCTGCACGAATCCCCACGACGCCATCAGCGTCCCAGACGCATTTAAGAACTCAAGGAGCAGCTGCTTCGCCGCATTCCACGTTTAAAGTGCCGGGTCTGGCTGCCGCACACCACACCACCCCGTCCCATTCAGCGTCCAACTCGCAGTTTTCAGATATCATGGAGTCGCCCCAAATATCGCTCTATATGCCTTCGTCAACGCCGCGTAAACGTCGTGGTTCTACGGTCAAGACAGGCATGGGTTCCAGTGCCCAAAACCTTGCTGTTCCTGGAACACCGAACTTCAACATGGGTGACTACGTCCACAATCTATTTAGTCCATCACCGCGTGTTACGAGCGGGTCTCTCAGAGACTCCAAGAAGGAATAGGAGGGAGAACATTTTCCAGGGAAGAGAGAACCTTTAAGGTGGTGACGATGTACAATGGCGCCACTCCGTATGGAGGCTGGTGTACTCTTTCTCTTTCTCTTTCTTCTTCTTCTTCATCATCATCTTCTTGGTTCTTTTGCCGCCGAGCCAACCCTCCGGGCCACTTTTTCAGGGCCGTTGGATGTTAGCCGCCGAGCTGACGTCATTACCGGACCGGATAAACTTTCACGTGCCTGCATGCTCGAGGTTTTTCCGGACCAACACACGTGACGCCCACGATGCCCAGAAAAAAAAATACAATTCAAATTAAATTGAATTGGACCACTATTATGGAGAGTTGAAAAAAAGCTTCATTAATACTTCATGAAGCTATACCTAAAGACACTCTAAGAAGACTCCTTTCTCTCACCAGACAGGCCCAAAAGCGACTGGAAACTTGTAAAGCTCGCAACAGCACTCAGACTGGTAGAAATTTGATACTAGCTGTAAAAAAAGCGTCATTTTCCGGCTTTAAACGAAAAAGACCGTTTTTTTGACAGTACTTTCACTTATAGCCTTCACTGTGCGGGTCACAACGTTTATCTCGGCAAGTTGAGCTCTGTGTACTTCACACTGTGGAGCCAGGTCTTGGTGTGCTCAAAACGCCCGGAACCGCCTTAAAAACGACAAGAAACGGTGGGAAATTTTGAGGTTATTTTGGGCCAAACAATACGTTTTCTTTTATCGCGTTTAGTGAGAGCCCCAATCCTCACAGTTGATCACCACTTTGATTTGAAACTTTTTGATTTTCATTCCGCAAACAATCAGTACTCATGAGATCAGACACGGAATCTGAAAGCTCTTGCGAGCACGCTTCGCCAGCGGCATCCGTGGCCGTATCGCTAGCGTCCATGGACACCGAAGAGCATAACGAATTGTACGACCACAGACACTTGCCGGACTCGTTACCTGTGCGTCAAAACTCGAGTGTCACGCGTGTGGGTGGTGGAACTCGATCCCCCTCCTCTGAAGCCCGACGTGGGATAAAGGTCTCGTCACCCAGCCCAGTGCACCCAGACATCAAATTCGACAATGACTCTGATGACGAACCTCGCATCGAGAACCCTCACATGAAGCTCTCGGCCACAAATACGGGAAATGCTCGTCCTTCTCGTATTGCGCACTCCATGACACACCAAAGACAATTGTACTCAGGACCCGGGTCTGCTCAACACTTGAACGCTCCTCCACCTTTGCTACCAAGGAAATCTTCGAAGACTTCTGGCCCAGAAGAAGCCGGCAATATGAAGAAGAGCAAAACGAGAACTAATTCGGATTCTTCATCTGTAAGGCCCTTGCATTTTCTCACCAAAACCATGTCAGGACGTTCTAATCAAAGTGATAACATCAGGGAACATGCCATGAGACGTAGACTCTCTAGGGTATCTATCGAAAGTGACAACTCTCATGCGTCTAGAGAATCTCAAGAAACCGAGGAAGATGTGTGTTTCCCAATGGAAAGGCTGGAGCACTTGAGAATTAATGGTATTGATTTCGATGAGCTCGAAGAATTTGCCATTCAATCTCGGGAAGAGAGCTTTCGCGGTGGTGTAAATGATATGCGCGTTGAGCCGATTAATATCAATCAGCACACACTTAATAAGGAAGGGTCATCCTCCTCAACGGCAACCACTACCTCTACAGCTGCTTTGAAGTATACTCCAAAGGCCCCATCTCCGATAGTACAAAAGGTCCCTACTCAAAACGTCTCTGCTCAAAACCAAGAGTCAGTGGCCCCTACCCATGAAGGGATATTTTTTGGTGACAACAAGGTCGAAAATGACGATTCAGAGAACCTCCCAGCCTCTCCACCATACAACGTTGAAAATTACGTGGTTCCAGACAGGTTCTCTTTTTTCCGGTCCGATTCTGATGAAACAATTCATGCTCCAGATATCGCATCGCTTGTCACACGTGGAGGAACGTTCCGAGATCTGTTCAAGGATGGTTCACCCACTTGGTGGCTAGATTGTATTTGTCCCACTGACGAAGAGATGCGTTGCATCTCAAAGGCTTTCGGCCTGCATCCTTTAACGGCAGAAGATATTAGGATGCAAGAAACCCGCGAAAAAGTAGAACTTTTCAAAACTTATTATTTCGTGTGCTTCCACACCTTTGAAGGCGATCCGGAATCCGAGGATTTTCTCGAACCTATCAACGTTTACATCGTGATTTTCAAAGAGGGTGTTTTAACATTTCATTTTGGACCTGTGTACCATTGTTCCAATGTTAGAAGACGTGTTAGACAACTTCGGGACTATGTGGATGTGAGCTCTGATTGGTTATGCTATGCTCTTATTGATGATATTACTGATAGCTTTGCACCTGTCATTCAAGCAATCGAATACGAAGCCGATGTTATCGAGGACTCTGTCTTCATGGCTCGTGATATGGATTTTTCAGCAATGCTACAAAGAATCGGAGAAAGCAGAAGGAAGACGATGACACTCATGAGATTATTAAGTGGGAAGGCTGATGTGATCAAAATGTTTGCCAAAAGATGCCAAGATGAGTTAAATGGGATAGGTCCTGCTTTGACATCTCAAGTAAACATCGCCAACTTACAGCAGTCGCAGCCAGAGAAGTTCTTTCAGAGGCAAAATGTGCAGAATGCTTGTCCTCCCACTGCCCAACCAAGAGCTGATATTGCTCTTTATTTGGGCGATATCCAGGACCACGTCGTTACTATGTTCCAGAATTTACTTTCCTACGAGAAGATCTTTTCGCGATCGCATGCTAATTACTTGGCCCAATTACAGGTGGAATCGTTCAATTCCAACAATAAAGTCACTGAGATGTTAGGTAAAGTAACGCTCATCGGAACCATATTGATTCCACTCAATATCATCACGGGTTTATTCGGAATGAACGTTCCAGTACCTGGTCAGCCAGATGGAGGTGGACTGGGATGGTGGTTTGGTATCATGGGTGTGATGGCTTTTGTTGCCTTGAGTTTTGCTTTGATCGCCCATTTCTGGCTCAGCAGAATTTCCGCGCCTGCGACCTTGAACGAAGCTTCTGAAAGTGGTACGCGGTCAATAATGAACACTTTGCGGTCCGGTAGGACTAGAGCAGCAAAGCCAGATTCCTACAGAAAAGGAGGCACCAATCGATCCATGTCTAGCTTCCAGAGATAGACGAATGTGTTATCAGAGCTAGAAACAAATGCTTTCAGATGTAGTAGTTAATTGTTGTACATTAAGAATAAGATGAATAAAACCATTTAGACACGAGTCTTTAATCAAAAGCTAGGCCAAAACGGTATAATTTCCTTAAAATGCTATAAATCTATTCAACGTGACTTCTGTTTGACTTCTTGGAGTGCTTTTTCTTCTTGTTTAAGACTGGTTGGCCTTCAACATCCTCCAGCGGCTCTTCGTTGCCAAACGTCTTTTTCCTCCATTCTCTTACGCGTCGGCTTTTGGTGACCTTACGGCGATCTTTAGCCCGTAGCTCTTTGGCTCTGTAAGGCGCGAACTTTTTGAGACCAATGAACTCATTGAGATCTGTATCATCGGCAGCGAAAATCTCTCTGTGAGAAAGTCCAAACGACTCTGGCGATACCTCTCTGTATCGGAATTTCAGTCCATCGTCATCTTTTGTTCGTGAACGAGATTTTCTCTCTTCCTCTACCTGATCCACGATTGCAAGCTTTTCGTTATCGACAGCTTTTTCAACCATCTCTGATATCTTTTTCTTTTCCTTCTTCTGCGATGACTTATCTTGCTTCTTTTCCTTTCTTGACCTTTTCTTACTTGGAGGCTCTTCATCGTTATCCAACTCTTCCTCGTCCCTTTCGTCTTCGTTCTGATAATAGTCCCCCATTATTTCATCATTCTCGTCCCACGTAGGCTTGCTTTCTTGGTTGTAGTATTCATCGTTAAAAAGTTCACTAACGACCGCATCCCATTGATTGTCTTCAAAGTCTCCGTTTATCAGAGAGCTAGTAAGTTTCTTAACCATTGCTTCGTCTATATCAGCCCCATATTCTTTTTTAACCTGTTCCAAAACATCAGTGAGCTTGTTGACCTTTTCGGTCTTCTTTTTCTGAACCTGAGTATCCTTCTCCTTCTTTTCAGCTTGCACCAACTTCTTTTCTTCATCCCTCTTACGTCTACGCGTATTGTCGGTACCTCTTCTCAAAGTCGCTTGATTACGGGCATAAGATACAATTTCTGCCGCATTAGGATCCTCGTAACGGAAGTTGTATGCATTTTCGAATTCCTCAGCTGCGTCCTCGAACTCCTCATCATCTTGCATACCTGGATCATCTAGATTTATCTCTTTATCGCCTTGTTGTGGCACCCAGGCATGTTTGCTCACAAAGGCCTGTAAAAACTCTTCGTCGTTTTCTTCTGGGTTTGGAAGAGAGGTTTCTATACGACTTTTACGTTGCGCGGGTTCTTTTTTAACCAAGAAGTCGTCATCATCATCACCGTCCTGTTGGAACTGGTCATTGATTTCATTCAAAAGTTTAGATTTCCCTTCTTTCTGCTCAGACACAAACGACTGCTTGCCGTCCACGGTTTCCATTTCTTTGGTGTGGTCGTCATCGTCCTTGAACGTCTCTCCCGCTAAAATATTCATCCTGTGATAATCTTTCAAGAAAACAGGTTTCTCCTTGCGTTGTTTAGCCAGTTCAGCTGTAGCCTTTTCCGGGTCTTCGAAAAAACGAACTGACGGGTCAAACAGTGTTTGATCATTATTTTTAATGGCGGCCAACACTTGTTTAAACCCATCTTCGACTTCTTCTGTCACGAGTTCACCGAAATCATCTTCTTCCTCCGAGCTTGACTCTTCCGTATCACTATCGTCAGCTTGGGCTGGCTGTTTTTCAATCTGTTGAGTTTTTGACGAGGTCTGCTTCTTCAAATCTGAACTCACGTCCGCTGTGCGAGTCTCAGAACCAGCTTTCGCAGCATTTTCTTTGGCTTTTTTAGCGGCAGACTTCTTTCTAGGCATATTTCCAGCTTAACTGAGTAACAGGTGCTTCAAGTGAAACAACAGAAGACAGACTGTCTATGAGTTTATGTTCTTTGAAGATGCGCTGGTGAGATGCGATGAGCTTAAAATTTTTGATATATTGGTTAACCGCTTGATCATATGACCGGCGTCAGCGTGTTAAATATCGAATCAAGTTGGTGACTTTTGGTTTTAGCCTGGCGAAGACATCTGTAATTGTCCTTCTGCTCAGAAAATTGCAACATTTGGAGCCTCTCGAATCGGGGGCATTCAATGATACCATATACGTTGTGCTTAAAGGTGCTGTTAACTTTGTTCGAGATAATTTTAAGTTAAAAAAAAAAAGTATCTCAAACGCCAATGGCGGACGGTTTGATTTGTGGTCAAAACAATAGCTGCTGCGTGAACTTAATAATCCACTAACGGTTTTGATTTGAGTCGTTTCTTCCCGACGATAGACGCGTATTTTTGACGACAGTTGCGTCACTTGATATGGATATTACATCTCGCAATCATTTCTGCAAATGCCATTCGAGCCTCCTATCAAGTCAGAAGAGCTCAAGACATCTTCAACCGACGCCAAATTCTCTCAAAAGTTGTTCTCTTTAGAGTTTTCTTGGCGGTGACAAGTCGAATTTCATGGAGCATTGGGTATGCTGATTGAGGAACACAGTCTGCATGAGTATATTCGCATGATTTTCAATTCTGACTTTTGCATTTTCCACGCGTTCGGTGCCAGGCACGAACAACTCGATTCAGGTTAACGACTCTCAAATTTATATTGATACGTTCTTATTGCTGTTACATGCACTTTGAGACTAAGATTTTAGTCTCTTGAGTATACAGGAATGATAATTACTGATAGACGTTTAGTTGGGTAGCTCATTTGACCTTGAGTAGATATTACTAGTTAAAATGGTTGGTATGCATGTCTCTTCGTACTGTATCTAGTGTACAAATAAATTGGTAAGTAGGGCAAACCATAAAAAAAATTGAGATAAGGCCAGAAATCTTTTACAACCAATGGGAATGAAACATTTAAACGTTAAGGCGGTTCTCACTGGCCGCGCATGATCGCTAGGTTGAGGAGTCCATTTTGGTTTTGACCTTAATTCTTCAATTTGTCACTGTTGTCTGCCCACGTAATTACAAGATACCTGGATCAGTGCTTAACAGATACTTTCAATTTTGATGAGCACAGAATATATACACCACGTTGTAATGCTGCACTGTCTCAAAGCCTGCTCTCAACTGCATCTTACTCTGAAATCATCTTTTGTCAAAGTTCGTCGTTGGGTCACGTGATCAGATAGAAAGCAGTTTTGCGACAAGATTGCAATACATTTTTTCAAAGTCCATTTTAATACACTTCAACAACCATTTAAATATGGACCAGCTAATCCATCAAGTTCATTCTCCTCAGTTTCTGCTTCTTTTGGTGTCAAAATTAGCTCAATTCTATCAAATCGATTCATCTCATATCATATCACACGAAATTAACCCATTCAATGTCATATTAGATGCTCCTCTCTTCAACCCTACCCTTTCAAGTTTATTCCAGGTATTTCGAACAGGAATCGCTAGTAATCGTCACCCTCATCGCTAGCATATCCATCCAATACAATGGAAACTGACAGACAAGGACTATTCAGACTTCCTTTCAAACTTCCCAGCTCCGCCAAAGCTCGGTCCGTAGGCGTATATATCGCAGGTGCACTTTACGCGATCGGAGCATGGTCTTTTTTTGATGCTGCGATATATTCCAGAAAGGCCAATGCTTCATCAGTGCACGTAACTTTTGTGGATTGGATTCCCTTCATTTGCAGCACTTTGGGTATGATAGTGGTCAACTCAATTGAGAAAAATAGACTCATACAGGATGCAATGGGATCCGGTTCTTTCAGTGGTTCGTCGTCTATGGCGTGGCAGGCGCGTGTGATCCTTTTCCTTGGATTCGCATTGCTAGCCGGTGGAATTTCTGGATCCATCGTGGTGCTGATACTCAAGTTTTTGGTCAAAGACTTCACATCCTATCCAACGCTTGGAATGGGAGTGAACAACGTTGTGGGCAATTTCTGTATAGCATTGAGCTGTGTTGTTTTGTGGATCGCACAAAACGTGGAGGACGAATATTCGTACTCTCTCACCCTTTGAAACTAAATATCCATACTTCTGAAATATTGGCCAAGATTTGGATTTTTAGCATACAATTCACCCCTTCACGGATTATCTGGACTCGCTGAGCAAGGCGTTTTGCCCCGTCCAAGTGACGTGGAGCTACATAAGAAGGGGTGCGAAAGGAAACAAAGTGACCAGGCATCTTTAGCGGGCATCCCGCAGCACTGCCAACTGAATTTTTCCTTTCTTCGGTTCACTGTCCATAACATGCCTCATTTAGACCTATCAAGTAGCACAAAATCGCAATTAGTATTACACAGGACTCCACGGGAAAGGGACGAGGCCATGGAAGTGCCTTCCGAAACAATCTATTCTAACGTGGCACTATCCATATTGTCGAAGTTCGTAAAGTAATTTCTACTCCATCTAACCAAAACAACGAAGAGCCAAATCTAAGAGCTCTGATCGCAATAAGTGGGCTCACTTATTGATCAAAACTGAAAATTTGGGTGGAAAGTGAACTGATTCTCTATTCTGGATTGCACTATCCTCTACACTTGTTCCGAGCAGCTTACTCTTGTGGTTGAACCTCTGGAGCCAATTCACCGATGACTTGCATCTCGAAGGGTGTAAAATCAAACAGCTCCGGTAAACACTTTGGCTGTGTGTGTCCCCGAGGAAAGAAGTAACGTTCTTTTTTCAAATCATCAAAAAATGGATGCGCCAAAATACGCCGCGGCGAGAGTCTACGCTCTGGTTCATATGTCAGTATTTTCATCATCAAATCCACTCCATCCGAGCCAGCTTGTCCAAAGTGCTTTTCGAAACGTTCTTTAACGGTTCCTGTGAAGAGAGGCTTCGAGAAAAGTGGCCCATCGTAGGAGGGGTTAGAGAAGAACAAAAATTTCTTATCCGGAGGACCCAGTAATTTGGAAATTTCCCGCAGTTGCAGCAACGGCTCCTGGCCCTGAAAAACTGCTTTGCCTATAAGCATTTCACCCATGACACATCCAAGCCCCCAAATATCTATCTGCGTAGTGTATTGCGTGCATCCTACTATGAGTTCCGGAGCTCTATAAAAGCGAGAGCAGATGTAACTGATAGAAGGCTGGTTTTGCTCGAGCTTTTTGGCGGATCCAAAATCGCAAATCTTGAGCACACCCGTATTTGGGTCCACAAGCACATTTGACGGCTTCACGTCACGATGACAGATTCCTAGTGCGTGCAGATACAGCATACCGCGTGCAACTTGGTATGTATAGAGTTTTGTATGTTTTAAGGGTAGCTCCAGCTTGTTTGAAGCATACCGGTGAATTTCGAATTGCAGAGTTTCCGGGAGACACTCCATTGCGAGATGCTGATAAACCTTGTTATCTTGTGGCGATACGTGGGTGAAGAAATACTCCAGTTTGACCACGTTGGGATGTTCTGCGATCCTCAGGATCTCTAACTCCCTCGATTTGTATTCAGTTTGGGCCGGTACTTTCTTGATAGCGAACGGGCCGTACCATTTATTGTTATCCGGAGTCAAAAATGCTTGCACCACTGTTCCAAAAGCTCCATGTCCAATTTTCTTGTATTCCTTGACAAGCATGGGCCGCGTAGTATTCGAGGAGTTCGACGTGACGTCATTGGCAATGAATTGGTCTTGTCTTGGCGTTTGAGACATTGTTCCGTTCTTGTGTGTGCAGTTTGACTAAATTCTAACGTGAAAAGCCCACGAAAAACGCCCAGCTCAGTGCTATTTGAAAACACTTAGTATACCAACGAGATTGTGCTTCCTTCCGTCGCTTTCAGGGGGCTTGAGGCGCTTTCCAGTGCTTAAGTCGGAAGTGTGGTTAACCCGCTCCTTTGACAAAGTCATGTCTTGTTATTTGTTTTAAGATATCTAAGGCACTATAAGAAAAATTGAATACGGGTAAGAGCATGCGCCGACACCTGAGGCTAAAAGTGTCAAAAGAGAAAAAGAATTGTTGTTCGAATGGGGTTTGTAAATGGCTCAGTTGAAGAGAATTTGAGGCCAAGCTGGCTGCTTTTCAAAGCGTCGAAAAAGGTGAAGTTTTCGATAAGTTATTACGTGTTTTTTATTATATATTGGTTGCGCAATTTTCTTGACAACAATGAAAGGAACTCAAACAAACGGGTGGACTTCAACTGCTGCAGATTGAAGAGGTAAATTTTCAAAAGTAGCAGAGATGGATATAGAATCAGATTAGAGGCAAAGAAGTGGGTAAAGATATTTTTCGTCGATAGTGATGAATATTTTGTACTCCTGGCATCATGGTCTTTAGTCTTGACTATGACATTTATTGACTAATGGTAGGGGTCTTACAGAATGGAAGATGATTCCGGGGCAATTTTAAGTTGATTAAGCTGAATGGTGATAGTCTTTTCCATTCTGACGCGAACAATCACAATCCGGGTGTAGCTTTCAATCAAGTGATGAATGAGAGCTTTCTCAGAGCTGCTCCATTTACAAATATTCTCTCGAAAGAGAAATTCACAAGCTTTCTCAGAGCTGCTCCATTTACAAATATTCTCTCGAAAGAGAAATTCACAAGCTTTCCCTTGCGTTTCTGATGTTTTCGAGTCCAGATCACTTTGTACATATCAGACATAGCCCTACAATTACACATTTCAGTTAGTGCAAAACACTGCTGAGAAGGCATTGCCAATCGTTTCATGGCAACAGGAGCGTTTTTTTAGGCGTTTGCTTAGCTTTGAACCTAAAAGTCACGCATACGGCGAGATGATCTGTCGAGCGTGACATACCTAGCACACGACCGCACTACTGGGGATTGCGTGAATGCAAAATACACAGCGTTAAAAAACGAGTATTTCGATTAGAAGATTAACATGCCCATTAATCTCCCTAATGTGGACTCAGATACTCGAAATATTCTCTAACGACATATGTAAACTATATAAAAAAGGCCATTTGTAAAAGCCCCCTTTCGACAAATTCAAACTTCTTTCAGTCATTTTATTACTACAGCTTCGATTTAACGTGGGTCAGAGCTCAACGCCAAGTGGCCTTCTGTTCTTAAACATCCATTATCTATTCTGGTTGCCACTGTCATCTCAGCTCTTAGCGAAATTAGCTATACTTATAATCTAAAAAATTATAATATGTTAAACCTCAGCTCAAAAAGTCGAATCCCAAAATCCATCAACTGACACGCCATACCGGGATCAAGTATCGACCACAACAATGCTTAGGAGCACACTTGGTCTGGTTAGACCTTTCTCTATGGGCAGGTCGCTTCTGAACTCAAAACCGCCCTTGTCGTTTGCATCAATAGCGAAAGCGGTGGATCCTGCCACGAATCCGATGACGAATCCAATGTCAAATGTCATATCGCCCCAAGACGGCAACAAAGAGATCAGTTCCCGAATTTCCAAGAAACGTGGTGAACACACCGTCAAATACGTACTGAATTGTCTGTTTGGCAAGAACAACACTCATTTTACGTATTCTGCGGTGGTAGAGGACTTGAACTTCTTAAAAAACAACTCAGAGGCAACCTACAATGAGAAATTCCTATACTACTTGAAGCTGCCCCAAAAGGTGAAATTCAGCCTTTCAACGGGTAATTTGGGATTCCGCAAAGCTGCTCGTGGTGAATATGAAGCTACTTTCCAGACCAGTGCGCGTCTATTTCAAATGATGCAACAGAAAAAGCTGCTGGACCGCAACGTTGAGATTGTCATAAAGGACTTTGGGAAGGGCCGAGAAGCGTTCATTGCTGCCCTCAACGGTAAGGAAGGCACTGCTGTGCGCAGGAACGTTGTGCGTGTATCTGATGCCACTCCTATCAAATTCGGTGGTGTGAGATCGCCAAAAATGAGACGTTTGTGAGCTACTGAAAAACGGTCCCATTTCCCAGGCGCTTTGCAAATAGTGCATTCGTCAAGCGTAAGGGGAGCGCGATGGCCGCAAGTTTGTAAATAGATAAATGTGCATCAATATCGCATGTGAATGAAAAGACCTACTGGCTACAGGGCTGTGGTGACAGAGCTACGCTGGAGAAACATCGGCTGAGCCGTAAAGATATTGTTCCCACCATATTTTGTAGATTGAACAAGGTTCGTACAAGAGATTGCAAGCCTACCGTAAACCTCGATCTAATGATGAGTATAGTAATATCTTCAATGTTTCCTTTTATGCTTCATTGTTCACAACGAAGTCTACCTTCTTGTCTATCCCATCGCCATGGATAGGCAGTTTTCTAAAATTCCAATTCCATCTTTCTCTTGAGACTGCTTTTCAACACCCAAACACCCATTCGTTTCAAAATCTTTATGATTTCTTTAGAACTTAAAAAAATAGTAAACCACTATTCGAGTGTGATGCGTATCATCAGCATTTGTGTTGTAGTTGTAGTTGTACCAGACCCACGCACACGCTTCTCCCCCTGGCGCCTGCCCAGGAGTAGTCTCACGGTACCATCAATTCCGTCTAGCTTCGAACTTCCCTCCGTCTAGCTCGTACCATTCGGCGCTACCTCCAGACTTGATTCTGCCTAGCTCCTCCTGAACCTCTGCCTAGCTTGTGCCTCGACTCTCGACACCACACCTACCGTCTCTCCTGGCACGTAGGATCCAATTTACAGAAAACTTCCAAATTTCACAGCACACCGCCCATCTTACAGGCTTGAAAGAACCGCATAACACATCAATCAATAATGGCTCCATCTAGTATGTTTAGAACCTAGCACACCGAGAGAACGATCAAGCAAGTCGAGTTATAGGCTCCAGAAAGCTGTTGAAAAATTACGAGGCTCAGTGGGATTTTAGGCCATATATGCCAGCTACCGAAATGTTGAATTGTACCGTTACGAAAATTGAGATCCATCACGCAGGATACTGAAAGGTTCACGGAGCGTTGCTTTAACGTTTATGTACCGAATTCTAAAGTGATTAGAATCTGTGGAATCAAATTCAAATCCCGGATGAGTTATCGTGATAAAATTTACCACTATTGCTAAAACTGCCCTTTGGGACAATTCCGTGGAAGTACAACAAGACTTTGACAACATGCCACTTCAATAGTTTCAACTCTTCTGCTTGAAGAAGTCCATCCAGCGACATTTCAACTTTACTAACTTCCCCTTTAACAGCTAAGGCTACTGCTGCCAAGAAGGCTGTTGTGAAAGGTACCAACGGAAAGAAGGCCACCAAGGTGAGAACCTCGGCCTCTTTCCGTCTACCTAAGACTTTGAAGTTGGCCAGACGTCCAGCTTACGCTTCTAAGTCTGTCCCTCACTACAACAGAATGGACTCCTACAAGGTCATTGAACAACCAATCACTTCCGAAACCGCCATGAAGAAGGTCGAAGACGGTAACACTTTGGTTTTCCAGGTCTCTTTGAAGTCCAACAAGCACCAAATCAAGAGAGCCGTCAAGGAATTGTACGAGGTCGACATCAGATCCGTCAACACCTTGGTCAGACCAAACGGTACCAAGAAGGCTTACGTTAGATTGACTGCCGACTACGATGCTTTGGACATTGCCAACAGAATCGGTTACATCTAAATCATTTAGCGTTCGATGTATATGTAGTAAAAAGATTTTAATACAACCAGCGTTCATCCATTATTGAGAAAAAGAGAGACAAACCATAAAATTGCAGTAGGCCAAAGTTCTTTAACTAGTCTTCGCGGTTGCGGCCCAGGATTCGCAAAATGTACAGGAACAAATTGATTATGTCCAGGTATAGCATCATCGCACAGCGAATTTCTTCATCGGGATACACTTTGCGGAAAATCAATTGCGTGTCAATGAACAAATAGACAGAGAATACTGCGGCACCCAGCCAGCTGTATAGCAAGTCCACTTTGGAGTTCATACCGAAGAATATTGAAGACAAGCCGATACCAATCAGCAGCCACAGGGCCAGATTCAGCCAGTAATAAATCGTATTGGAAGCAGTGACAGAGGTCTCGAATCTATCCGAAACAGCCATAGCTGTGATGCCCACCACAACGGTGCCGGTAACGAAAAGTGCACTCAAGATAGTGCGCGAATCATACACGAGGGTGACCATAGACAGCGTGTAAGCCTGGCAAAGCGTGAAGAAGGCAAGTAGCAGTAACTGGCCGCGATATGACAGGTAATACCATGGTTTTTTGGTCTCAAGATTGGCGTCCGCATCAGCCGGCACATCTTGAGTCTCGTGGGTCAAGCCTGTGTATTCCTCAGCATAATCATTAGCTCTAGGAGCTACAGAGAGCCACACACAGCTGAGTATACCGGCAATTGCAGCCAAAAAGAAAAACCACTGGTGGTTAATGATGAAGTCTTGAATTTTTGGGGACCGACTGACCCAGAAGCAAAACGCAAATGACGACAAAAGTTGACACGACAAAAGCGTGTAAACTTTACGCATAAACCAACGACGTACGCGTGAGTCACACGATGTCACGGTTACTGAATATTTGAAATCATCCGGGATAAAATCTCTGGTTTCTTCGCTTTGATAGTAAGAGGTGGGATTTGGGTTTGCAGCAGCCGAAGTTGCAGGTATTTGAGACTCATTATAAGCTGGAGGAGGTGGCAAAGATGAACCTGTGGGGTCTTTCATAAGGAAAGTGAGAGTGGAAACTTGCTTGGTGTTGAGTTGAAGAAGTTGGGTTTCGTAGGAGCATTGGTTAAGGTTACATTAGTTCCGGGATGAGCCTGGTATAATATATGAGATTGACCCGTACAAACGTATATAGAAAGGTCCCGTCCCGGAGTTGTCCGGAGGCACGTGATACCGAGGATTTTTGAATGGTAAAATACGTCAAGGTGTTTGGATGAGCAGTATTGAGTGTGTTATTTGATGTTTCGTGGTAGTACGCAAGCTGTGGTGATCGGTGGGAAAGGGTCTGGGATCGGGATCGAGACCGGTGACGAAGGACACATCTGTTCGTTTGAAATGCTCAATGATTCCTCTCTCAGTCTTGTCGTCATATTGTAGGATACTGAAAGACTGAATACCAGTGAAAATCCATGAAGTTGGGTCCTGAAAACTGGCTGATGTGGGGCTCCCTCTCTCTAAGACATGTCAAATCTGTCTATCTGGCTGCAGCGTAAGCAAATCCAGAGCGCACGTGATACGACGACTGCGCCAGAAATTGATGAGTAGTGTCACTCACTAATCAAAGCATACAGTTAATTCCCTGCCCTGTACCACCATCATTCCATCAGAAAGACAAGCCAAGCCAGAAACAAACAAAACCTAATGCAGAAGAAATGAAATAATTAGCAGTGAAATAAATTTAAAGAAAAACAAACCAACGAACCCTGTTTGAACCCGCGCCCCGTTTGCGGGCTCAATTTTAATGCTTGATGGCGCCCTCCAGCTCCCTGACACACGTTGTCCACAGCTTGGACTCCTCCGCTGACAAATTGTGTGCCCATTGAAGGTCGATGGCCTGGATCCCATCTTTTGTAATTGTCAGGGGCAAAGACACATACGCCAAACCGTTAGTGATCTTGGTCACTTGTTTCGCCACATCTGTGTTAGAAAACGCTCCAATGTTGGCGTACAACGTATCTTGCAAATCGGGACGCAGATCGAGTAAAAGCTCTGCAAAGGCCTGAGCTACCTGAGCGGCAGCGTATGCCATCGACAGAGTGGCGCTCCCGGTGCCGTTTTTGGCCTTGACCACTTCGTCTCCGCCAAATTGCACGCGATGCACCAGCTGTTCGAGCACTTCTGGGCTGAGTGCGAGTACTTTGGCGCGCAGCTTGTGGTCCTGCGCGCCGCTCTGCGACGCCTGTGTGAACAATGGCACAATGGTGTGGCCGGAGTGGCCGCCGACCACAGGAACGCGGACCCGGTCGCTGGGACCGCACCCTAGAGCCGCGTGCAGAAACGTCGACGCACGCACTGCATCCAGCTGCGTGAGTCCGAAAACGCGTCTCGCGATCGTCTTAGCGATGTCTGGGTCAGTACTGCTGCTGCTATCGGCAACCAGCGTTTCTACCAGCACGGGTACTAAGGAGTTGACCGGGTTGGAGATCAGCAGCACGAACGTGCGTGACAGGTCGCAATGCGCGGCTATTCCGTGCGCGAGCTGGGTCACGATCCGCGCATTAATGGAGAAAAGGTCGTCCCGCGTCATCCCGGGTTTCCGCGGAACACCGGCCGGGATTACCACAAGCGTAGCGTCACGCAAACACGTTGCTAGTGGGTCTTCGTCGGCGGCGGCGGCGGCGGCGGCGGCATGCCACGTGACTGTCACGGGCGTGTTGATATGCGACAAATCCGTTCCGGCTCCGGCCACGGCGTCGCGATTCACGTCGTACAGCGCGACGTGGATGGCGGCGTCCGCCGCCAGGCACGTGCTGCGCAACTCCGTTTTGAGCAACAACGACAAGGACTGGCCGATGCCGCCTCCGGCGCCCAAAACGGCAATTTTAAGCGGCATTTTGTGTCTAGCGTGTGTTGTAGTAGTCGTAGTAGGGTGTGGCATCTGGAGAAGTATCTAAACCTCTTCTAATACTATAGCTTCTTGGTGAGTCTCTCAATGGTAATTGAGTAGCTTGTGCACTGTCTGTACACTGCAATGGGTCGTAGATACTGGTACCAGGTGTTACTCATCAGTCCTACCATCTCTTATATAGAAGGATAGATGGAATTGCTTGTGGGCGTGGTTGCGTCACGGCTTCTAATTACGCGTGGAGGGGAAGGGGCAGATGGAGAGAATAGAGTGGAGCATTAGTGACGAAGATAAGAGAGAAATTACTGTTGAAAGTGGTAGTGGATGAGGACAGTGAACGTGGTGTAAGGAGTGTAAACGAGTGGGTGTTTAGAATGTCTCTTTATGTATGGAATGCTTCGAGATTTGCTTGAGAGAACTGGAAACAGATAATATAATGGGAGTATGAGTTCGAGATGTGGTCATTTGGTACGAGACGAAGACGGAGACGGGACTCCCGGACAGAAGCAAACTTGGAATGATGGAGAGCGTCAACGCTAAAGACAGGGTAGACTCGAGTAGACACGGTTTTAATGACTACGGTACTCGGAAAGCCGTAAGATATGGGCAGTTTACTGCAGTCCGCGAAGCGCGAAGCGTTACAATCACCTACAATACCTACTAACTAACTGCCTTTGTAAACGAGAACGAAGGTCGTAAGTTGTCCATATGTTCACCACTGGAGATGATTAGCTCATCATTCTACACGGGTACTCGCCACTCTATACGTACTCGTGCGCCAGCAGTGTGTGCTGGTACAACCGCCGTTTGAGGATGGATCAAACTTTATCTTTCTGTTGTGTTGCAAATGTACAGACAATGGTTTTGCGGGTTCGTTTTCGTACTCTTGCAGGTTCGTTTTGGTACTTTTGCAGGTTCGTATTCCTACTCTTGCAGGTTCGTATTCCTACTCTTGCAGGTTCGTTTTCGTTTTCCTACTCTTGCAGATTGGTTTGATCCCACTCTTGCAGCTCTTGGCTACCCTCTCGTATGTCTATGACCATAGAAGACCTAGCATTCCACGCTGAAAATACACAGATCTCACACACTCAGTCCTCGAATCTGGTACAATCTTCGGTGTGTTTGCCCTGTAGCCTATTTCCGTAGACGCGATTAACACTCCAAAGTCAATTTTGGCGACCAATACAGTAATTAATGGCCATTTCAACCGGACCCTGAAAAACGAACGGAACTTCTCAAGACAATCCATATAAAGCTGTAATTCGTCATATGGAGAAGGCCACCAATGATTTACCACGTTTTGGACCACGTCGATCCGTTCTGGACTACACTTCAACGTTGACTACTTTTCATACACCTCTAACAGCACCACTTCTACAACAAGATGAGGTAGTATTTACACAGAAGAAACACTTTGCATCAAGTTTCTCAGAGTCCACAAAAAGCCTCGAGTCTCCTCCGCTTCCAATGCCCATCCATTCCTATCAACTTTGCACTGCTGAACAACCATTCATTTTCGCGACTTTTTCTTGATTCATCCAACAAACCGTCCTGAATCACCCCCAAAATAACACCACATACCATCACCACTACCCTAACTGCTCATACCTTTCATTGCCCCGTTGAAACCAGACCAAGCCTACGATGTGAGTTATAACTATCACCACTCACGTGCTGCTCATCGCTCTCATCCCATATCCTAATACAACCTACTGCATAAAAATTTGGAACTTTACCAGAAATCAGTCAAAACCTCAAGCATCGCTCGCTCAAAACATGTCACAGTCTTCAGCGGTTTTGCTAGATGCGACTTCTGTTGGTACAGCTTCGCATCCGTTGTCTCCACAGAGTAAAAACAATGCAGCACCTCGTTTGCAATGCAAGTTCTTCTTAACCCAGAAAAAAAGACGCTGCGGCATGACACGCAAGGCTGATTTGGAATACTGTTCAGAACACTTGAATCTTGTGAACCATGAAGCTGGGTCAGGGAAAGGTCGCCGGATTGCATGTCCCATCGATCCACGTCACTCTGTTTGGGAAAAGGACGTAACACGACACATTCGTAAATGCAACACTGCGAAAAAAAACGTTGAGCCCGTGGATTGCCCCTGGTACAAACTGAATTACAATTGGAAATCTCCAAGTCCGGACGTTTCTCCCGATGCCGTTGAAAATGCGACCGTTTTGCAAGCAATTAGTGTCCTGAACCAATGTCACGACGATCGTTTCATTGATACACCACTGCCGTTGGTGGTCAAACGCAACGAGTCCGTCGAATCCCAAAGATTCCCGCAGCTATCAGGATTTAAAAAACACGCACTGCAGCAGTCTTCATTGATTCAGCATTTGATCGAGAATTTAATGGCTTCCACTACACACGGCACTAATTTCATAGAGTTTGGATGTGGACGTGCCGAGTTTTCCCGCTACGTCAACCGCGGATTGTATGACAATCATTCCCAGACCAAAAACCTCCCGCAATCCAAATTCATACTCATCGACCGGGCATCAAACCGCATGAAATTCGACTCTAAATTCAAAGACGATTATGACGAGCTGTATTCGAGCGACAACGTCACAGAATCGCGTGTCTACCCAGTGATAGAACGCAAAAAAATTGACATCAAGGATTTTTACATCGACAACTTGCTACACGGTGACGATCGACCCGCGGTAGCGATTTCGAAACATCTGTGCGGAGTGGCTACGGACTTGACCATTGCCTGTTGTCTCAACAGCGAAGTTCTGCATCTCAAGCAGAACAAACTTCGCGGCATGGTCATCGCGATGTGCTGCAGACACGTTTGCGATGCCCAGCAGTATGTCAACCGGCCGTTTATCGAAGACATGCTACTAGACAAGGCTCCCATTTCTTACTCGGATTTTTTCAATTCCTTGAAGAAGATTGCATCATGGGCCGTGTGTGGTCGTAAACCTGGCACTTCGGACAATGACGTTGGCAACCATTTCACCGATCTTCCTGTTTGTGAGCGTGAAAAGCTGGGTGAAAAGGCTAGAAGAATCATAGACGAAGGCCGTGCAGAATACCTACGACAGAACGGTTATGAAGCAACACTGGTCAAATACATTGATCCCGAAGTATCTCTCGAAAACGTTGCCATGATAGTTAACCGACTTTAGCGTCTTGATCGTGAGACTATTCGACCAATTCCACAAGATACTTGAGAAGAACCTACACACCAGACTACAAAATCCTAAACTGTGGGCTCAAACTTCAAAAAAGACCGGGAACTGTCCCACCTCGGCGGCTATTTCAAATTACTGTACTCTTCACGAGAACTGTCACTACACACGAAGTCGGTGTCTTTTCCACAGTCCCAAACTAAAGTTAATTATCAAATCAAAGCCAAAATGCCAACGTTCGAACAGTTGACAAGAGATTCGTTACAAACACGACACAAGAATCCGACTTTAAGGCGCCTATATGTGTATTTGAAACTAGTGGTGAAAATTCAGGATGTCAAAAACACGTCAGAAGCGGTATTCCATCAATTTTTCGGCTCCGGCATCACCTATTTCACCATCAGTGTCGAGATTTCCATCGGACACCAGCTTAGGTGGTGGATTATCGCACAGTACTAGGCCTTCTTCGTCTAGAGCACAATCTGCTCGTCCGTCTTCCGCTTACGGATTCGAACTGGGACGTTCTGAACCGCAGAGAAGTGGTTCTACCAAGTCATTCTATCGGATGCGTGCCGATGAGCAGAATATTTCATTAGATTCACTAACGGACTCGTCTTCGATCAAATTGCTACTGATTGGAGACGCAGCCGTGGGCAAAACCGCCATGATTTTAAGTTATTGCAATGAACTTCCGACTCGGTCACAAGCCAGCATGATTAAGAAGGGAAGCAGTCCCAGGATTTCGGCGCAGGTACCGCAACGAAACAAACGGCTCCAAAACTTGAAGACAATCGATAAGCGAAAGCGGTACAGCTTGAACGATTATGAGGAGTTGTTCAACAACCCTGTTCCACATATAAGGGCTCCTTCAATATCGGAGGACACACAACTGGATCCGATAAAAGGTGGGAAGACCGACCCCAATGAAATTATAATAGACACAAGAAGCACAATCGGAGTGGATATCCGTACAAACGTCGTCAACATTGACAACCGCTATTTCAAAGTCACTATGTGGGATACTGCTGGCCAGGAACGCTACAGAAATGCTATGATTCCATCGTTGTACAAGGGCTCCCACGGCGTGCTTTTAAGCTACGACATTTGCAATAAGAAAAGCTTCGAACACTGTTTGGATTATTGGCTTGAGGAAGTTCTGAATTGCTGCTCCAGGGATCAATCCATGCGGATTTACTTGGTAGGCAACAAAATCGACTTGTACAAGGTCAGACAAGTAGCTCATGAGGATGTGTTGCAACTGATTGATCGGGCCGAGCAAAAATTCGGTATAAAAATTGCAGGCAATTTCGAAGTGAGTTGCAAATGGCATCAAGTGGTTGAGCGTACTTTCAACATCATAATAAAAGACCTGGTCGAACAGGGTTGTTACGAAAATGATAATACTATTCGAGAGGACTCGTCTGAGCCTGAGCAGGATCTTTTACATGGCTCAACCCTCAGGGGAAACAGCGCACCATGGACGGAAATCGAGAGAAGAGGATCTACAATCATTCGGAGAAAAGTTAAGGAAAAATCTAAAACCGTGGACCTTACGAAACCTCAAGATACGGAAAGTAAGGCAGGCGGCACAAGTTGTTGCTGACTTTTATAAAGGCAAGCGGGGTGGCGCGTCGTCGATCATGTCTGCGCGCAAAGAACTCTCGTTGTATACACTAGATGATTTTTATAAAGATAGAATGTGCATTAGTTAAACCCGTTAAAGTAGCGATCACGGAACTTTTCTTTCGATCGCCCCAAACCTACATTGGCAGGCCCATTAAAATTGGGGCCTCTGTTGATGTAAACCAAGAGACGTCTTGACCACTTGTTAAATTCCTGAACACAATTATACTTGAGTTCCAAATTGGAATGTAACGGTATGATGGTTTCAATATCTTCATCGTTGGCTACCGGCATCCAAAATGCAAGTCTACCATTCAAAGGCAATCTTGCAGCAGCAAAATGCAACAAATCGTCCAACAACGCATCAAGAGAGTAAGGTTTTTTCGTGGGGATGTAATCGCGCATGAGATAGGCCTTTTGCCCATCTATTTCGACGTTTTCCTTGCCCGCAAAACGCTCTGGATCCTTGGCTCCCAGAACTTTGATACTTTCGCGAATACCGTACGGTGGATCGCATAATATTGTGTCTATCAGTAAATCGCTTCTGAGCGCATTGTGAGTGAAATCCATAGTCAGCACGTCCAAAAACTGCAACGAATCCTTATATTTTTTGAAATTGGCTTTGATTGTTTGGTTGCCCTTCCCCCTTATCATGCGTCCATCAATGTCAGAGCCAATCACCATTGCCTGGTAGTGTCCACCTGCGGTCAAAAACGAACCAGTACCGGCAAATGGGTCGTACATTATAGTGCCCGGTTTGACTTGCGCAATATTGGCGCTAACGAGTGAGAGTTCGGCCTCAAAGCTCGTGGTGCCTTTGTAAGGTCTTTTTTTCAGGTCGTATTTTTCTAATGCGCCGCAGAAACGGTCACTGCGCTGCACTTCACGACCGAAAAACACACGTAACGGCGTTTCACCGGCCTCGTTGTCGTTGAGCGGCTCGTACTCCTCTATAACCGTGAAAATTTGCTGTGGGTTTTTCATGCGAATTGGGCCCTTGAAGTCCAGGTATTGAAAGGACTCGATGCACGCAACGCGGTCTAGCTTACCGGATGAGCTGCCACCAAAACTCTCGAACTCGAACTTGAAGGACGCGTTACAATGCTCCTGTTTGCGATGCTGAAATTCTGAATCATTTTGCATGCTGGCATGCAACTGAGGGTAGTCTTTGCCCTGGCCCCAATACTCATAGATAGCGCGGGTCAAAATCGACCTGGAGATCCATTTCTTGGCCTGTTCGTCATTTTCCAGTTCCACAATGAAAAACGGCGAGTCTCTATCATACTGTGCGAAGTCCACGGTCTTGATCCCATGCAAATCCGCGAGAGACTCCAGTTCTGCAAGTCTGAAATTGAGGTGCACTTGCACCATGAAAACTAGGTATTTTTTAACCATTTTTCAAGCCTGTTTTTCAACAATCTAGCTCCTACAGCTGTTCGCCCGTTTCAGCTTGCTATACCGGCTTTTCAAGACTTCCAGGTACCTCTACTCTTCCTGTTTTTACTGCTTGGATTCAATATATATCTATACGGATTTGCTCATCGCCCAAATTTTTTCCACTAACGGCGGCATCGAATACAGCTACAAACGCCAAAAACCATCAAAAAGATCCTAGAAAAAAGCTCAATTTGACAATAGCCACTACGAAACTACGAATAAAAGCTCTGAGTACCGAAATCCTGCTTTAGAGTTATCATTTGACATCACTTTTCTTGTTTTTTCTGCTATTGTCTTGAATTTATATTCGATATAGCTAATATTAGGTCAGTTAAATTGAAGAATTTCAGCTTCAAAAGTTACCCGGCCCTGAAATCTTAAAATCAATTGAAACACAAAAAAAAAATTTAGTATATAAAGAGCCAAATTCAGGGTGGAGAACCTAATTTCTTAAGAACTTTGCGGCAACTTTGAATCCAACAACAGCCACAACAGCGTAAACGGGCGGTGAAGAAAAGGATAGCACTATTTGGAATTTATCAGCATAATCTGTAAAGAGAATTTTCTTAGGTTTCACTTTTGTCACAAAAATCGTCAATTTTTTTTGGTTCTAAAATTGCCGTTTTCCTTGTTTTAAGATCTCAAAAACCTGCAGTGAAACTTTGCTGTTTTTGTTAACTGCGAAGACTAGTTTTGTGTGTTGTTTTTTGTTTAGACAGAGTTATCTTGTGTGCAGCAGCCCACTATACACGCGTCAATCAATAATAGGAATCTCGTATTTGAGTTACAGTACACATAGAATACGATAAAGGGCCAAGAAATAAAAAAGTTTATTTACTGTTGGATCCATCTTTGACCTCCAATTCTTCCCTTACTTTAGCATCTCTGTTTTTGCCTCGTCAAGGGCAGTAAAAGCTAGCGATCAGCACTTGTATCTACTTTCTAGGTTTCTTCACGAACCAGCTTACGACACCATGAGTTTCTCAGACGACGAAGACTTTAACGACATCTACGGTGACGACTCCAATGACGCCTCCAACACCACATCGACAACAACTGCCACTACGGCAGCTGCTGAACCCGCAAAGTCCGAATTAACAAACGATTCAGCTCCGGCTTCTAACTCTGCAGAAACGGCCACCAATGAAGGTTCGGCTGCAGCGGCTCCAGTTTCGTCCGGAACCTCGTCTTTGGACCAATTGGCGGCACTTCAAGCTCTGTCTTCCAACTTGAATCAACTCCAACAAGCCGCCAACGGTGGAGCTGCTTCAACCGAGACCCCACAGCAGCAGCAGCAGCAACCAACGCAAGGTCAGACGTCAACTCAAATTCAAGGCCAATCTAATGACACAGCATCTTTGACTCCAACTGGCTCTTCTGCGCCAGCCCTTCCAAGCATACCTAGTATGCCTGGTATGCCAGGGATGCCAGGGATGCCAGCAATGCCCGGGATGCCAAATATGCAACAATGGCAACAGCTTCAACAGCTTCAGCAAAACATGCCTCAGTTTCAACAGGCTGCTTCTCAAGCTGCTATTCAAGAGAAGACCAACAAGGCAGACCTTTCGCGTGACATTTGCAAAATGTTCATTGGTGGTCTGAATTGGGAGACTACAGAAGACAACTTGAAAGACTATTTCACCAAATACGGTGTAGTCACCGATCTCAAGATTATGAGAGACAATGCAACGGGCAGATCCAGAGGTTTTGGATTTTTGACCTTTGCAGAAGCTTCTAGTGTAGATGAAGTTGTAAAGACCCAGCACATTCTTGACGGTAAGGTCATCGATCCCAAGAGGGCCATTCCCCGCGAAGAGCAAGACAAGACGGGTAAGATTTTTGTAGGTGGAATCGGTCCGGACGTTAGACCAAAAGAATTTGAAGAGTTTTTCTCTCAATGGGGGACTATCATAGATGCGCAGTTAATGTTGGATAAAGATACTGGTAGATCTAGAGGTTTTGGATTTATTACTTATGACACTCCAGACGCCGTCGATCGCGTTTGTGAGAATAAGTTTATCGAATTTAAAGGTAAGAGAATAGAAATTAAAAGAGCAGAGCCAAGGCATTTGCAGAAGCAGATGCAGCAACAAAAGACGCAGACTTTTGGTGGCTCATCTCAGTTTAATATGTTTCAAAACCCAATGATGGGGAGCTTCAATCCTATGTTCAATCCTCAAGCTATGGCAGAATATTATAATAAAATGCAAGAATACTACGCTCAAATGCAGCAGCAAACTGGCGTCGATTATAGTCAAATGTATCAACAGCAAATGCAGCAAATGCAACAGATGATGGGTGGCATGATGCCTGGAATGGGTGCCATGCCTGGTATGCCATCTGGTCAATCAGAAACGCCAACCCAAGAATCTTCTGACGTTCCTACAATTGGATCTGAAGAACGATTTGAGGAAGGAGATGATAATGGAGAGAGAGATGTGGACAGAAGAGCAGCTTCTCCTCCAATCAATGCTCCAAGAGGTCCTCGCATGGGTGGCTCTCGTGGAGACAACCGTGACGGTGGTCGCGAGTTCAATCGCGATAGTAATCGTGACTATAATCGGGACAATAGCCGGGACAACGGTCGCGATGGAAGCCGTGATGGAAACCGTGGAAACTATCGATCGGGATTCCGTAACCGTGGTGGTCGCAGTGGATACCGTGGCGGACGCAGTGGTTACTCAAGGAGAAACAACAACGGATATCACCCATATTCTACTTAAAGCCCATTCACGTCTTGACACCTGTGACGAATCATTATATTCTGAGACTCTTTTTGCATTGTAGCAAGACAAAAGCTGCATAATCTATCTTGTCTCGTTGCTCAATTCAGATCAGCAACATCTGTATACTATGTATAGCGAATTATCTACATTTTAGTTCAAAATTTTGGTAAACTAGAGGCAGGTCCTACGTTCAGATAATGTTCAATTGATGTCACCTTTAGAAAGACCGAGCTGAACAATAGCATAAACATTGAGAACCGAGATGAATAGCCAAACAGCAAAGGCTATCACCGATGTCACCCAATTGTTTGACATGTCAATCACGGATTTTTCTCCGTTTTCGATGTCTGATCGGCGTTCTGCATTGGAAGCGGGCTCTTCTACTCGCATGATAGACTTCTTACACGTAAAGTAAATCAAAGGCGCTGTCAAAAACGGTAGCAGCAACGATAGTACAACCTGCGATGCATTTAGGGTGCGAGATAAGGCAGGCCGACCGACGCTTAGAGATATGGCGAGACAGGGAACAATTGAGATCATTCTAGTAGCTATCCGACGCTTCCATGGCTTGAGCTTCCAATTGATATGTCCCTCGCTGACAATCTGTCCCGCGATTGTACATACAATTCCTGCTGACTGGCCGCTGAGTAGTAGAGCAAGCATAAAGATCGTACCAACGACGGGCGCTAAGGTTCTGGACAAAAGAGCGTGAATTGTGTACAAGTCTGCTCCGGCGGCTTCTGGAGATCCATACAAGGTTGCTCCCGATATTATCAAAATGGCGCTGTTCACGAACAGCGCAAAGGTGAATAAAGTGATGGTCAGCTCCGAAATAGAATATTTTAGCGCATAACGTATTGCTGACATGCTTGGCTTGTAATTGAGATAGCCTTGATCCAATTTCTCGTCTTTGCTCAGATTTACGGCTGAGGAGACATCGGATGCAACCTCTACCGAAGCCAACTTGGAGTAGTTTCCGTTTTGCTCATCGTATTCCAAAAGTCTGGGTTGGACCAAACCGGATCCCAAAAACAAAGAATGTGGCATGACCGTAGCACCAAGGACAGAGGCTGCAATATAGATCCCGTTGTTTTGAAACATCTCTTTCGAGGGTGCAAAGCCGCGGAATATTTCACGTACAGGAATGCGTGGCAGAAATGCGAGCTGGATACAGAAACAAACACAAACTCCCAATACCAAAGCTGCCACGGCCAATTCGAAGAATCTCACAAATCTCATGGATGAGCTACCAGGTTTATAGGCAATCATGACAAAGAGAACATCTACCACAGTGATTGCTACACCGGCAGGAAGAGGAACTTTGATCAGAATATTCAACGCCACAGCAGAACCAATCACCTCAGCTACATCAGTAGCTATGATTGCAGCTTCTGCACATACATAAAGCGTCCAATTAAGCCACCTTGGCAAGTATTTACGACACGCTCTCGACAAATCCAAGCCGGTTACGGTGCCCAATTTGATACACAGCGATTGCAGGAAGATGGCGATGATATTTGAAAGCAGTATGACGAACAGAAGTGCAAACCTGTTAGTAGCACCAGCATCGACTGCTGTAGAGTAATTTCCCGGATCCATGTATGCGACACTGACCATCAATCCAGGTCCCACAAATTTCAAATATTTCATCAAGACCGATTTAGTCGATCTGGAAACATTTTGGACCATCCGAATACACGGCGATGGACTGCTGGCATCTTCTGTCGCCGACATTGGTTTCTCAGCTAGTCGTTGATCGAATTTTCACTTGTTTCCGGTGAGCACGGTCAGTTTTGGTGACGTTGTTCGATTGAAGTCTCTCAAGCTTTCGATGATAAGAAAGAAGTATCTACAAACTGAAACAACTGTTCACTTTCGACTGCTTAAAACACCGTGGTTTGTTTGTTGGTACTTTGAACAGTTGGTGATTGAACCCTGACTTCGGAGTAAGTTCTGTTCGATGAGAGGCATGCGTGTAAAAATCGTGTGAGCCAGTGGTAGGTGATAGTGAAACTCAAAATCGAGTTAAGAAAAATAATAGGTCTCTTGGCCCAGTTGGTTAAGGCACCGTGCTAATAACGCGGGGATCAGCGGTTCGATCCCGCTAGAGACCATTTTTTAATTTTTTGGTTTTACTACTCCCAACCAGAGAGAACGAACCTGATTACGCTGAACTACGAAACAGCCGCGATGATAGACAACCTTAAATGCTTATCATTTATAGTCCTTTGATATTGATACTTACTACTTGCTTTGAGACACATGCGATTTACAACCCAGAAAATTTCTTTATGCCGTGCTCGTGCTTCTGTAGGTTTCGAAGCTGCTTGGATGTTAAGGGTTTCTGTTCTAGTTTCCTTTTTTTGGACGAGGGCTTGACATCGCCACGAATCTCGGAAGTCTTTTGTTTAGTCCCAGCATTTTCATCTTCATCGGTGCTACCATTGAGATCTTTGTCCAGTTCTTTCAGCAGTTCTTCCTTGCTCAGACCTACAAGCTCATCATCTCCTTCACTTGAACTCTCGTTTTCAGCGTCAGGATCAGCGTCGAAATCAGTGTCAGGATCAGAGCCAGAATCGGCATCGGAATTTGACTCGTCTTCGGAACTGGAATTGCCACTCGAAACGGAATCGCCGTCGTCGCCGTCACTTTCAACCGCAGATAACTCGTCCTCCACTCCTGTTTCGTCCTTTACAAGCTCCCAGAGCTTGATCTTGTCCATGCCACCGGAAACTAGACGGTATTCACAGTCCAGATCCAAGAAAGCAACTTCATCCATCCCACTGTGTCTGCGTATCTCCGTTATTTTTCCTGTCTTGACGTTGATTTTGTAAACTTGACCATCGGAGCATCCCGTCCACACTGAATTGTCGTCTTGCAAAGTAGGAATCACGCAGTCCAAGCTTTCGTTTTTCTTGACCTTGATACGACTGATCTGATCGACCAAATCGTTTTTCTTGGGCTTCCACACGGTGAGAATACCTTCACCCATGCCACAAACCAATGTATCGCCGTTTTGAGGATCCACAAAAGCTCCACACAGAATTTCGTCCTCTTGATCATCACTCAGCCGCACTTTGCGCTTTGCATCCAGGTCGTCGGCTGGTATCTTGAAATCAGAATCGTTGGATTCACGGGAATCCCAATACGCCAGGGTGGTTTGACCCACAGAGATAAATTTGTATAAGGACTGTCCAGTGAATTGGAAAATGTCATTGATCGCATCGCCAGAGTGAATTTTCCTTATGGTAGTTTTCAATGCCAGACTTTCACTATCAAGAACTAATACATTCCCGTTTTCGTCTCCAACCAATAAAAACGGGTGCGTGTTTGACTTGAAAAGCTTGGTCATTTTGACACCAATGTCTTCCGTGATCTGTCTTTTCTTCACCACTTTACCAGTTTCCGCGTTTGCCTTTTTGAGCACGCAGTCCACTCCAATGGTGTAAATGTGAGTACCATCTGCATCCAGACACATGGCTCGTACGCTTCCCTTGTGTCTTTTTGTCTTCCATTGCAATTTTAGACCCTCAGTGTCAGTGCTGCCGTCGTCTTTAGCTTCAACAAAGACCCAAAACTTTTTTTTAGCTTCTTGCTCCTCTTTCTCTTTGGTTTTGGAATCAGATTTAGCAGCAGTTTCCTCGCTCCGTTTCATACGCTCTTGCAAGATTTTGGCATCGTATCTATGGCACATAACATGGCCTGAAGCCTGTCCCGAGAATATTAGTGGTTTTTCAGGATGACAACACAATGCAAATAGAGGTTCCGGGAAACTAAGCTCCAGGATGGGGCTGCTAGTAGAGGCAACACTGCTTAGGTCCTGACTATTCTTGACCTTTTTCTTACCCATGTTCCCGCTGATTTTGGTAAGGCGATGAGCAGTGCTACTGGTGCGTGCGTGGATATTATAGAAACGACGCCGGTGTCTGTATTATTGATGGCATTGAAAAATTTCTGGACCTCGCACGTGACACACAAGATAGGATTTTAGTAAAGATGAAGTTGACATAGACGACGATTTGGACGCAGCTTCTGTATGCCAGTCCATTTTATTCGGGTATCTGGTTATCGAATCCTGCTGTCTCGTTCTTACTCTTTCCTTCTCGGTTCAATTGGGCAACCCTGAAGGCTCCCGGAGTGCTCTCTGAAGGTTCCCCAAAAGCTCGCTAAAAGGCCCCCCCCCCCATTGCCTCCACCGAATCACCGGTCTGTTCGCTGCAAAATATCCTTAACGCTGTCCTGCATGTCTGGGAACTCTGCAACGATTTTTTCCGCCAGTTTGTCTCTCAGTTGCTTCACCCCGTTCATCTTGGCCCGTTGGTACTGGTTCGAGCGACGGATAGCCTCCACAAAGTCTCTGGTGTAAACGTCCGGGTTTCGTCCGTCTTCTATATACTGTAGCACCTCCATGGGCACTTGGAAACCGGCCAATTGCGAGTCTGGGTCATTACTTTTGCGGTTCAGATTACGCAGACGGTCCACATTCCGCTGCAAATTGGTCATCATGCCCTGGGCTGCCTCTGATGTTCCTGGGAAGTCATAGATCGACACACCCAGCTCGATGAAAGATTCGATGATCGACCCCACTTCCTGCTCTGTGGTGGCCAAATCGTCGTGCAGTTTGCTCAAATCCAGCGAAGGCATTTCTACCAAGAGTTTGCAGTTAAAGCAAATGAAAAGGAGCCGCTGATCAAGGCTGTTAGATCGTTTTGCAACAGTTGTTCTTGTAGTTTTCTCGTCATATGGTCAATTTTCACATATTTAAAGGTCAATTTAAATATGTGAATACTGTCAAAAATCACAGCTTAAAAGCCCGGTATCTAATGGAAATAGGCATACAATTTTGGTCAGCTACAACTACATATCAGTGTGCTCAAAGAACGTGTGGAATGGTTCATGGCGGCTAGAAACTTGACCAAATGACGCATTTAGTGTCGTAATTTGATCATATTCCGTATGAGAAGCACACATAATTCAACAACTTTCCACGAATACTGCACACAATGTCACGTGTTCTCGATGATTTGTTCAAAATGACGTTAAATAATAGTGCATAATACACACCACCATCGCTACCAAGAGAAAGTGGAAGAAACAGAACGAGAAACGATGAGCGATAGAACGAGCTTAGTAACCTAGATTCGTATTCTCAATCTCCATTCTGTTGGAAATCCAGATATAAATTCTTGCTGACTATCGTTGTGTACTTCTCGATTCACACACACCTGTTGAGTTCTTGCTGGCGTCAGTAATAAGAATACACTACTACTTATTAGATTCAACTCTGGAAAAGTTCATCGGTGGCAGGCATACCACCCTACTCACATTTTAAAACTCGATTGTGTGTGACACTGGACAACATAATGACATCGTTCAGTCTGAATAATAATATCATGGTATCGCAGGAGCAAATCGACCATTGGAATGCGGCTCTGGCCAAAATGGGATCGCCGCAGGAAATCCTGGCATGGTCGATTGCTACTTTCCCACATCTGTTCCAAACCACAGCTTTTGGGCTGACGGGGCTCGCTACCATAGACATGCTGTCAAAACTGCAAACTGACAGCAGCAGCAGCATCACACCGCTCATTTTCATCGATACCCTGCACCATTTCCCACAAACGCTGTCTTTGCTTGAAAAAGTGGAAGACCGCTACTACAGGCCTCACGGCCAACAAATCAACGTTTTCAAGCCCTTGGGACTCGATTCAGAAACCGAGTTCGCCGCCAAACACGGCGATTTCTTGTGGGAGCGTGAAGACACCCAGTACGACTACTTGGTCAAGGCTGAACCGGCTCATCGTGCTTACAAAGAGTTGCAGGTCACCGCGATTCTCACGGGACGCCGCAAATCGCAAGGTGGCAGCCGGTCGACGCTGCGATTCGTCGAGCTTGACGAACTCAACGGCGTCCTCAAGATCAACCCGCTTGCCAACTGGGATTTTCCACAGGTTAAGGCCTACATCGATGCCAATCACGTGCCCTACAATGAACTTTTGGATTTGGGCTACAAGTCTGTTGGGGACTACCATTCTACCGTGCCCGTTGCGGACGGAGAAGACGAACGCGCTGGAAGATGGAAGGGTCAAGCCAAGACTGAATGCGGGATTCATGAAACCAGCCGTTTTGCCCAATTTATGCACCAGAAATCTGAGCCTCAGAACTGAAGAGAAGTAAGATCAGAAAAAGAAGTTAAACGAAGAATAAAGGAAAGCAATTACCACCTTTAATCCGCTCTAAGACCAAGCTCATCTACTCACTTCGACGCTTCCTTTCACCATCCATATTTATGTATGCCATCTACCCATCACCACATACGACAAACTTTTTAACCACTATACTATTAAACCTCCAGAAAGTTTCAACCAGGCTAGTAGTTAGAGATCCCGAAGTTCCAAGAAAGACACGATCCAACTACTAGGTATATCACTTGAACTACAATTACCATACGATGGGTAATTTCCGCTTCCCCGTCAAGGTCAAACTCCCCTCGACTTTTCTCAATGCCAGAGTGATCAGAGACAATTTCAAGAGACAGCAGGTTGCAGAACATGAAGTCACGACTAAGGCATTGAAATACATAGCCAGAAACACAACATTACCACCAAGAGCAAGACTAGAGGCCCAGTTACGTCTGAGCACCATGCCTAATTACACAAGAATGACCCAAGTCAGAAACAGATGTGTGGAAACGGGCCATGCCAGAGCGGTTTTGAGCGACTTTAGACTTTGTAGAACGCAGTTCAGAGAATTGGCCAGAAACGGTAGTTTGCCAGGTGTCAAAAAGGGTGTGTGGTAACGGCAATTCACCGGGCATCGTAGAATCGAAGCTGCACACAGAATTACAACAAGCATCAAATAAGAGAAAAATCCTGTACATAGGCATCAAATAATAATATAACGGTTTAAAAATTGTAAAATGAAGCAAAAGATTAGAAAGAAAAAGCGATTAGACAATTGGTTGCGTTTGAGCCATACGGCCTATGCAATAGATGGACTGGATGCATCATTCTTGTTTGGCATTATGTTTTGTTTTTTTTTCCTTTGGCTTCTTCTTCAAGTTCTACACTTTTCAGTTCTTTGGAGGTTGACGAAAAGGCTCCGTAAGGTTTTCAGCTCAAGTTTTTCTTGTTAAGCAACAGCCATATGAGAAATGCACTTCTCAACCTGGGATGTTGGCCGTAGTCGATGCGGGACGGCGAAAAAAAGGACGGTGCGAACGGATAGTTTTACAACAACACACACTTCTTCTTCTTTTTACCGGAAGACTTGGTCTTCTTGGTCTTGTTTTGCTTGCCCATGAGCGAAGCTCTAGTGGCAGCTTCGAAAACCTCGCGAACGCCGTAGCCGGTCTTGGCTGAGCATTCGATGTACTCAACGGCACCGATCTGCTCGGCAACTTCCTGGGCAGAACCTTGCGAAACAGGTTCCTGACCGTTAGCTCTCAAGTTCTCAATCACCTGGCCGTCGTTTCTGAGATCCACTTTGCACCCAACCAAGATGATAGGCACACCTTGACAGAAATGCAGCACCTCGGAGATCCACTTTTCCATCACGTTTTCGAGCGAGTCGGGAAGATCGATCGAGAAACAGATCAACACCACGTTCGAGTCTGGGTACGACAACGGTCTTAGACGGTCGTAGTCTTCCTGACCAGCAGTATCCCACAATGCCAGCTCCACACGGCGGCCGTCCACTTCCACGTCCGCCACGTAGTTGTCAAACACCGTAGGGACGTAAACTTGTGGAAATTTGCCCTTGGCAAACACAATCAGCAGACATGTTTTACCACAAGCACCGTCACCGACGATGACCAGTTTTCTTCTGATGCTCGCGTTGTTGTTCACGGCAGCCTGAGACATCTTGTATTGGTTCTGATTGAACGTAATTCAAATCGAAAAATGCTCTTTTTGCACAGTTTAAACTCTATTTTCCGTCAGATCAACGAAAATTCGTGCAAAAATCTTGGTTTTTTTCGGGGGCTTGAAATATCCAAACTATCAGCTTCAATCTGGATCTCTACTATTAACAAATGAGAATCAACACACGTTCAAAACTCCAGTCTTTCCAGCACCTTGTGGTGAAATGTGTTCGATCTAACCAGTGTTTAGTTCTTGACTACTTTCCCCCTCGACACTGTTATTTAGTCTATTGTTTATATAGGTAGAAAAAATATTGAAGTTAGTGGGATATTTTTAAAATCTGGTTAGACATATCAGAATGTAATAGTGTACGGGACGGTGATAAGCCATGTGATCGAAGAGACAGGAAATAATTGGGCGTGCTGGGAATCCTCAAATCGGTGGCGGAATGTGCTGGAAATCTGATGACGGGCTGAGACAAGTGGACTTCTTTTCATGCAACGTTTCGTTAAGATTGAATCCACAAAAAAAAGGGCATCACTATCCACGAAACTGTCATCAGCACTACCCATTTCAGCTGTTCCATGACTAGCGGTGCTAGCTGTTGCTAGCTAGTCCACAACAGCGGGCCTCTTCTAGTTCTTTAAAGGAGGGAATCATCAGTTGGTATTAATACATATTGGGAAAATAGAACAAACAAAAAAAAAACACCCCCCACACACGCACACACAGACGGGCCAATTGGCTGGTCTTATCCCTAGATGCGGGGATATCATAGCGCGTATGTTAGACGAGGGCGAAATGCTGTGTCAAGACGGATAAAATGCATATTGGAAGAAAGAATGACAGTCTTGCAGTTTGTTAGTTTGTTTTTTTTTGGGTTTTTCTTTTGTTGTTTCGCAGAAAGAGAGGAGAGCCAAACAGCAACAGGAGCATTACAGAATCACACATTTTTTCTTGCGCTTCGTAGCACCGTTCTTGGCCTTCCCCACAGTGCTCGTTTTTTTGCCCGAAATTGCAGCCCGCGTTGCGGCTTCAAAAACCTCTGGGACGCCGTAGCCGGTCTTGGCAGAACATTCGTAGTATGCGCATGCACCGATCTGATCTGCCACCGCTTGAGCTTCGGCCCCGGTCACTGGATGCTGGCCAGTGGCCGTCAACGCCTCCAGTGTGGCCACATCGTCTCTCAGATCTACTTTACACCCAACCAACACCACAGGCACGCCTTGACAGAAATGTGATACCTCTGCTATCCATTTTTCCTGCACGTTGTCAAGCGAATCGGGCAGGTCAATTGAAAAACAGATCAACACGACGCTGGAATCGGGGTACGACAACGGTCTGAGCCGGTCGTAGTCTTCCTGGCCAGCAGTATCCCACAACGCCAGCTCCACACGGCGACCATCCACTTCTACGTCGGCCACGTAGTTCTCAAAAACCGTAGGAACGTAAACTTCGGGGAATTGACCCTTCGAAAACACAATCAGTAAACACGTTTTTCCACACGCTCCATCACCCACAATCACCAATTTTTTGCGCATGGAGCCTGGTCCAGACCCATTTTGGTACGAAGACGACATGCTGTGGTTTTCAAGTCTATAATGCTAGTGGTTTCCCGTTTTGTATGTTATATCCTGATGGAAATAGAACCGGTAAAAGGACCACACAAAAAACTGCTAATGCGATCTACTTTTCGATCTTGCTTTGTGCAACTCACAAAAGCCGCCAAAAAGAGAGCTTCGAATGGTCGGCAACCCTAGTGGATATCCAAGTGTTGATATCTTATTCGCTTTTGAAACTTGAAGCTTTTCGGGATTGAGATTTTATGTTCTGTTTCCGGGTTTGATTGAATATTTCCTAGTAAATTGTATCATTTAGTACAGTATTGTAAACATCGGTGGTAAGAAAATAACACCATAACACCGAAATACGAGATTTCGCGCATTAGATGAGCAAGCGAGTGTCGTCGCGGGGCGTACTTCTAGAATTTCGAAGCAGCTACAACGTTTGGTATTAATGAATAATATTTGGTAGCTTATAACAATTTTTCCGAGTTTCAGAACCTATTCAAGGAAAACCAGGATTCAAATGGTAGATTACGGGTTATTTATTCCGATTTGAGATTGTTCTTGCGATTTGGAAAGCAATTGAAAGACAAATCTTTGTCCATGAACTACTTCGTCTGCGTCGTCGTCTCGAGGCTGGGTTTTCCAGTTCCTCGAGCGTCAGATTTGATTTATTAGCTTATCATTTTGTACCGCGCTGTCATTGCAACAAAAAATGCAACAACAGGCGCTGCTAAATGATGATTTGAATACCTAACGTGTTGCAGCTTCAATGGACTAGATCGTGGATGATATATCCATTAAGACCATCTTGCGTGGTCAATTGATGTTAAAATAGTTTCATATGTCAAAATTGTCTATCTCGCTAGCGTCGCACTCGTGTCAAAGTGATTATTGATTCCTAATACGTTGCGACAGCGACGGGAAAATACTAATAAAATAGAATAACCACAGGATACCGAGCGCGATGTAGAGCAGCGGGGATGGCGTTATGTGCACAGCAATTAGAATGATTGCTTCACCCAAACCTACTTGAACATACTCTCAACCAGCCATGAAGAGTGTTTTTTCATAGTTTTTTGTGTAACAGTCAGTGTTTCATTAGACCGATGAGAACAATGCTTCGTATAGCACGGAGAGGCACTTTCATCCCCGTCAGAACCGATAGTTTATACTTAACGGAAATTTTGTGGTCGCTAATCTAGCAATACGTATTTTTTCATAGGCACCATACTGGCATCGAAGCGTGGATCGTGCAGAGACACTTCAGAGCCAGGGTCTTATTTCAGGTATAAAAAAACATTCGCCATAGCATGGAAGACGAGCCGTGGGGTGGTCCGCATCTCTCCGTCGACAGATTGCGATGTGAGAGATGTTTTCCATCTCATTTCACTCGACAATTGTTTAGGCAGCACATCACTTCGCACGTGGGAGTCGCAGAGTACCATACAAGCTCAAAAACTGTCGCAACCTTTACATTGCACTGCTTGTATCTGTAAGCACTCACATGCACCATTTAAATCAATACGGTTTGATACAACAACTGAACGTTTCGTTCGAAACTAAAATCGAAGAGGACCATTTTCGTGACAGATATGTACACAATGATTTTAGAAAAATTTGTCTTTTCAATAGAAATGCTGGAAGTTGTATTCAATCAGACATATTCACACATGCCATGAACACACTACACAACATATGACTTGCATTATCAGGCTCAAATACAAGAAAGTCTATTTGCTTAGCCGTCCGTATTAAAAGGTCTCTCTTCGAAAATTGATTAACACACGTGACCATAAATTCTAGGCTGCGAAAAATGAATGTGAAAGTAGTTCTCAACCTTTCCTGGGGGATACCCAAGTTTGATAGAAAACCAAGGTCTTCTAACTCCTATTTGTAGCCCTGGGTGTCTTTTCCGGTTGTGTTCATTCCCTTCACACACCAGTTGACCTCAATTGATACGCCGCTATAATGTCGGCTCGTCTTATCTCGGGCCGTGGTTTTCCCAGGCCACCAAACTTTTTCCTAAGGAACACTGGTCTACCTCTAAAATCCGGTTTCAACCCTGCAAAATTCATTCTATACACAGCAGGTCTTGTTGGTGGCGGTTTTGCCGGACTGTATTTGATCAATTCCAGATCTGCCATTCATGAATATCTCTTTTGTCCAGTCTTGAGATTGCTTACTCCAGATCCAGAAAAAGGACACCAGGTAGGAATATTTCTATTGAAATGGGGTCTTACTCCGAAGCTGTTGTTTGACTACGACGATCCTGTTTTGCGAGTCAATGTTTTCAACAAAAATCTGTCGAATCCTGTGGGCTGCGCTGCAGGACTTGACAAAAACGGTGATGCTATCGATGGCATCTTGCAAAGTGGTTTCGCGTACCACGAAATTGGCTCAATCACCCCGCTTCCTCAACCAGGTAATGCCAGACCAAGATTTTTCCGTTTGCCTCAAGATGATGCTGTAATCAACCGTTACGGTTTCAATTCCGACGGTCATGACAGTGTCTTTTCTACCGTCACTGAGCGCGTCAACAAGTACCTGTATTCTTATTTTTCCAAAGACAGCAAGATCGAAAATTTGTCGTTGCATCAGGGCAAACTGTTAGGAATTAATCTGGGCAAAAACAAAACTGGCGATGAAGTAACGGATTATCTCAAGGGTGTTGAAAAATTTCATTCTCTTGCCGATATTCTTGTCATCAACGTATCATCACCAAATACTCCAGGGTTGAGGGACTTGCAAAGTGAGTCAAAACTTGCTGATCTGTTGAGTCAGGTCGTGAACAAGAGAAACTCGCTTGTGAATTCGGGAAATTCTCTGGGTGCCAACGTACATAAACCACCAATCTTGGTCAAGATTGCTCCCGATTTGACAGAACCTGAGCTCCAGTCTATTTCCGAGGCCGCTAGAAAGTCTAAAGTAGATGGCATAATTGTGTCCAACACGACCATCCAGAGACCAAGCTCTCTTATCACCAAGGATGAGGATTTGAAGTCACAAGTCGGTGGTTTATCTGGAAAGCCGCTAAAGGAGCTCTCCTTGAAAGCTTTGAGAACAATTTACAAATACACTAAGGACTCCGACCTTGTTCTGATAGGTTGTGGCGGTATTTCCTCTGCACAAGATGCCCTCGAGTTTGGTAGAGCCGGCGCGACGTTCGTACAGCTTTACACTTCCTTTGCGTACAAGGGACCTGGTGTTGTCGCCAAGATTAAGGATGGTCTGACAGAAGAGTTAAAGAAGGAAGGTAAAACCTGGATGCAAATCATCGGGGAGGACAGTAAATAAAAGAGAAACGTATCTGTAAGATAAACAATATTCACATTCTTCTGCTAATTAATAACCATTACTAGGCTATCAAGAGGACCATTTGTACTGGAAAATGCCAATGAGCAAGATAGTAAAGGCCAAATCGGTTAGGTACATCGAAATCACATCCCAATACTGCAAAGTTTGTGAAATCTTACCGTGCAAGTTTTTAACAGGTACTAAGCCTGGAGGAATCATAGAGACCAAGCTCATTATCTTGCTGTTGCTGTTCAAGGTGTTGATATGGTGAGATTTTTCAGCAGATAGTAAAAGCTGGTAGTAAACAGACATCGTTAAAATCTCAAAAGTTGTGAAGATGGTGAAGAAACTGAACTTGTCAGTAACAGCGTTCAAAGTACTAGATTGGAACGTTTCGCGGGATGAACGAGCTGTGTAGTAGACGTAAGGCAAAATGAAAAATACCCATTTCACGATAATGGTGTAAGCCTTGAGTTTGTTGACAGAGGCGTTATGTGCTGCTAGCACAGCAGCATCAATGGGTGGCTGACCGTTTCCAAACGGAAAATCTCCGGGATTTTGTTCGCCTTGTTGCGAGCCTGTTTGCATCGATTTCATCAACTGAGCGAAAATATCAGGTGTTTCAGGAGTTGCACCGGGGCTATTAGACTCTCCTGACTGCAATTTGGCAAGTTGCGCAAACAAGTCCAACTCTGGATTTTTCTGCCCCGACGTCTGGTTTTGGTCTACGGATCTACCATTTTTAGGTTCACTGTGAGCTACACGAGCAAGCAGTTCATCCATTTCCTGCGTTGAATCTTTGTTTCCAGTCTCTTTCCCTGGTGTTGGTGTTGTACTGTTCGAATCCAACGGTGAATCTGTCGACAAGAAACTGTTGTCTGCTTGGCCTGTAATTTTCGCTAATCTTGACGATCCTCCGCCATTTCCAAACTTTTGTTGGCGTTTTTCGCGCAAAAGTCGTCTTTTCTCAGTTTGTGCATCTTCTGACATGATCTTAAGGAGGGTTCAAGATGAACTGGACTCGTTCCTTTTGGTTTGAAGAAGTTGTCAAGATTTAAAGATGGATTATTTCAGCTGTCGATTTTTCTAAGCTCATCACAGCCATAATAAAGGCGAGATTACACCTTGTCAGTACTCGTCAATACATCAGTAAAAAGACATCTATTTAACGGGAGGAGAACTATAATATTTGCGTGTAGTTTTAAACCTCAAAGACCAGAATCCAAGTTCCAATTTTCACTTGAACGCACCAGAATTTTATGCGTATTTGGCAACGATTTCATCAAATTTAGCATCATTGGCCCTGTAATCCTGAGATAGAGGATGGTTTGGGCTGATTTCTAGAAGCTTTTCTCTCAATTCGTCGACATGTTCACCTTGCATTGCAGCGAGCGTGATCTTGTTGGCGATCAGCTCAGTTGTATAGAGTTTGGCAGATTCAGCCTGAGTTTGGTAGAATTCGGATTCCAATAAGTCTACAATGGCCTGAGCTTCAGGCAGATTACTCTGCTGCAAATGCGAACTCAACAGTGCCAGCTGCGTTTTCCAAGATGGTAGCGTTTGAGATAGTTCTTCGAAAAAATAGAAATTCGAGCCGGAAACTTCGCGTCCCAGCGCAAAGTTCACGTAGGACTCCGCCAAATTGATTATGATCTCGTCTTCATTGGCATATGTGTCTTCAGTAGCTGCTAGGTAGTTTTGCAAGATCTGAGCACCCTTGGATGCTTTGCGAGGGTCCAAAACGGAGATTTGTACGGCCAACAATGCCAGCTCAGTGGCACCGGGCCCCAATTCCCCGGTAAGACCTTCGTTGCATGTTTGGATAGCGGATTCAAACTCTCCTTGAGCGGCCAAAGCCGATGCTAGGAAATTTAAAGAGAATAACGATTTATGCTTTGAAACCGCGTTTTCCAGATCAACCAGATTTCTGGTTTCCAAACCGGCCACGTATGTTTCCAAGACTGGACCTAGTGAGCTTTGGCTTTTGAAGGACTTCAATTGACCAATAGCTCGTAGACTTTGGGCTTTATAAAACTCTGCCACTTCAGAATTGTCATCTGCTGATTTTTGCAGGTATGAAAGTGCCTCTTTGAAATTTCCAGTATAGTACTGTTGCTTCACATTGAAGAAATCCATTCTGCCAAGGTAAATTCAGACGGTAAAGGGCGAATCAAGCTGAAAGCTGTGTTTGAGCGTTGTTAAGTTTAACCTTGTTTTCAACCATATAATGATCAATAATAGTGTTCGAGACAGGTAATTGTAGATGAAATTACGATCGTGATGTACGAAACCCGACAATTCGTGTTTGTTTAAACTTTACGACGACATTTAAACGCGTAAATATACTCACTGTATGTCTTGAAATATGGTCAGAGGGTTGAAGTGGATGATTTCGGGCTTTTTCAGACTACGCTTAGGGTGAATTACGAACTTGGAGTTTTTACTAACGAAGTAGATCTTTTGCTGTGGAAGTTGGATAATTGACAGTTGTCAAGCACAATTTTTGAAATCTTACAAGGACCCCATGCAGAAATTCATGATCGCGAACACACTCTCGGATATATAAAACCCTTTTTGATGATAAACTGATGAGGTCACTTGGAACGGCTGAGTCGTCGTAAGCATTTTTCGGAAAAGTTGACATTGAGCTTCAAGCAAGAAGAAAATACGGTAAGAGCCTAGGGGAATGGATACGTCTGTGCGACTTAGGTTGAATGCGGTATAGATGTGAACTTAGAGACAAGATTTTGTATTCAAATATCACAATTCGTTTTAAGGTCACTTAGAACGAGTGCGTCGTCTGGATATCTCGCGGTTTAGTTCAAGGTATCGTGACTATAGTACCGCTACCCATAGCCTGTGTCTGGCTCTCTCTAACTCTTGGTGACACTTTACCTGGGGAAAAAGTATCCTACGACTCTATCCGACTTCCTCAACAACTTTTTCACCAGTCCGGCAGCAAGAGATAAAACGACTTCGTTTTGTATTACTCAACACGATGTAAGTTAGCGATGCGGCTTCACCGAGAGTAACGCTCAGACGACAAAAAATAAGTTCCAACGGCTTTGAATGGAGACTAGTCGTTCGAGAGATATTTACATGTCAATAGCGTTCAAGATTATACATCTGTAATCGAACAAAATTATTGCTAGAGGAATGTTGCTACAAGGATTGCACATATTTCGAGCCCTCAATCCGACTCTTATATCTTTTTGAGTCAAATAGAACTCATACACCTATCCGACTGACATTGTTACATAGATACGCATTCTTGGCGTTGGGACATCGAGTCACGTGATTAAAATCCTGTGTCCTGGCATAACAGAATGTAGCCATAAGTACACATACCATACTGAGGGACCCACAAGGTATGCTGTTCACTAAAACGTCATACGCCATTACGTGAATCAGTTGTACCACTTCCTTGATATAATTCATTATCACTTTGACATTTCGTGGCATCAACACATTTCGGTCACCAATACGACTGTACCAAAAACTCCAGTTGCAAACTCCACCATTCACCAGTATACCACTCCTGTTAATTGAGACTACCTTACACATTCACACATAAGCTCTCTGCGTCTTCTAGAAAACACATCGAAATATTCCAAAAACTCTACATTTCAAGCAACCGATCCCGAACCATTTTCCTTTTCAACAAACGTTCAAACTCACTATTCCACAAGCTCGAGAGTAATTGCTCAAATCCTATCCAAAGATCGTTGTCGCTAAACTCTCTCTGTCGTCTTTATTCTGTCAGTTCTTACAGTCCTACACCCTATAGCTTAAGTTAAATTACATCGTTATCAGGAAACCCTCTGTCATCCTCAATATTTGACGTCAAAAGAGGTCAGAAGTTACTCGAATAGCGCCTTTAACACACTCCATTGAACCTTATCCTGTTTAGGTTATGACACAGGCCGGTTCCGCAGCAGAAAATGTACCTGAAGATAGGAAACAGGCTGTAAAAGCTCTCATTGACAAACCATGGTTCCAAGAGGCCTACAAATCAGCACTTGATTTTCACTCCAAAGATGATGCTTTAGACACCAGGGACAGACTAGAGCTCTCAAAAATATACGTCTCGATCTCCAAAGCTCAGATTTGGGGTGGTTGGGCTACTTTTGCTGCCGTTTTCGGAACTCCGTTTGGTTACCAGTATTACAAGACAAATGCCATAAGAGGCGTCAAAGTTCCCAGAAATTTCGTTTTTGGGCTTGTGGCCATGGCTTTATCGGCACGTCTTTGTGGTAAAGCGGTGTACAACTCACAGATCTCAAAATTGGATCCCAATGGCACTTTTGAACAGACTGGAAAGAAATGGAACGAACCTGCAGAAATGGACTACGGGCAAGCAGAGCAAATTCCATCGTCAACATTAATTTCCCGTCAACAGCGTCAGTACGAAATGATGCATCTGTTGGGGTACTCAATGGCTCCAAAATGGGCCAGATATTTTGATTATACTTACACGAATCCAGAAAGACGGTTTCCGGACCCTAAGACTTTGATGCAAAATGTGCAGGATGGAGAAATTCCCAGAATTTCTCCTTTTTTAAACCAGAGGGATCCTTTGTCACTGTATTCAGGGCCTCGTCATGATGAGAAAAAGGGCATTCCTCGTGTAGGGTCTGCTGCTTCCAGCGGTTCATCTTCAAGAGAGGAGAAATTCACAACCACCAACGACCATTCAGACACCGATCCATTCGGATACGAAGAAAAATCGTCTCGGCCAAGTCAGCTTTCATCTTGGGACAGAGTTCGTGGCGAGAATGGTGTCTCTAATGCACGCAGAGATGAGAGATGGTCTCAAATTAGGTCTGCACCGGGGCCTTTTCCGCTAAAGAGAGAGCAGGACAGTACCTCCTCTCAAGGTCATAACGAAAATGAAGATGTTGACGACTTTGAAGCTCTTTTGGAAAAGGAAAGACGCGGCGATGATACATTATAAATACATTGGCAGCCCGTGCATTGTTTATTCTATACTTGAGGCTAATGATTTATGATATTGTATATGACTGACTACCACTCGCACATTATTCGTCGCCCAAGACGTTCTCTATGTTCTTGCTCTGTTTCAGCTCCTTCAATTGCTTGATAACAACGTCTAGCTCGATTGTGGGGTTCTTACCCTGTAGATCTTTAACATCTCTGTTTCTGATGTTGACAGACTTCTCATTCATTTCTTGCTCACCAACAATAAAGATGAAGTTGTATTTTAGCATTTGACCGTTTCTAACCTTCTTTTGTAAAGTGTTACCGGTCAAATCCACGTCAGCATAGAATTCTTCAGCTACCAATTTGTCACGCACTTCTTGCGCATATTGCTGATATTTAACTCCGACAGGTACGACCAGGACTTGACGAGGCGAGATCCAGAATGGCCATTTCCCTGCAAAATGCTCGGTCAAGATTGCGGTCATTCTTTCCACGGAGCCTAGGACAGCACGGTGAATCATGACTGGCCTGTCGTAACCATCACCTTCTTGCGATTTGTATTCAAGCTCAAACCTGTTGGGTAGTTGAAAATCAAGCTGGACGGTAGCACATTGATGCCATCTGCGCAAAGCATCCGAAATCATGATGTCGATCTTTGGACCGTAGAAAGCACCATCGCCTGGGTTTAGTTCCCAATTTCCACCCCACTTTTTCAAGGCGGCTTCTAATTTAGACTCGGCATTGTTCCAGGTTTCTAGTTCACCCAAATATTTCTCAGGACGGGTCGAAAGTTCCATCTTGAACTCAAAACCGAAGATTCCATAAGCGTACTTCAAGAAATCGAAAATGTTTTCAATTTCTTGTTCGATTTGGCTTTGAGTACAGAAAATGTGTGCATCATCCTGCTGGAATCTTCTCACACGCGTCAACCCAGAAAGGGCTCCAGAAAATTCGTTTCTATGAATGACACCGAAATCCGCAACTCTCCATGGCAACTCTCTGTAGGATCTTTCTCTAGATTTGAAGAGGAGGCAGTGACCGGGACAGTTCATAGGTTTCAAACCAAAACTTTCTTTTTCAACATCGAAAGTGAACATATTCTCTTTGTAGTTATTCCAATGACCGGACGTCTCCCACAACTTCGAGTTATACATATTTGGAGTAATCACTTCGTCGTATCCTCTCTTGCGATATTCACTTCTCAACATAGCAACCAAGTTGTTGTAAATTCTTGTGCCGTGTGGGAGCCAGAAACAGGAACCTGGAGACATTTCGTTGAAGTAGAAGAGCTCCTGTTCCCTACCAATTCTTCTGTGGTCACGCAAGGAGGCCTCGGCCAAAAACTTCAAATGAGCGTCCATAAGCTTCTTATCCGGGAAAGAAATACCGTAAACTCTTTGCAAAGAGTCGTTGGTGGACTCACCGAGGAAGTAACAAGAGGAGTTTTTCAACAGTTTGAAAGACTTGATACGACCGGTGTGTGGAATATGAGGACCGGTACACAAGTCAATCAGCTTACCACAGCGGTACACGGTGGTGGATGTACCGTCTGGAATTTTGGTCGAAATCAAATATTTCTTGTATTTCGAGTAATGGAACATGTTCAATAAGTCTTCCTTAGTCATTTCCAGTCTTTCAAACTTCTGTTTCTCCTTGATAACATTTTTGGCAACACTTTCCAAGTTAGGGAAGTCAGCTTGAGACACTGTTCTCTCTGGGGTGTCCGCTGGAGTGCCTGGAGGGTTTTTGATAGCGAATTCGTAGAAAAATCCATCGTCAGTTGGAGGACCCAAACAAATATGGGCTCCCATGTTACATTCACAGGCTTCACCAAGAACGTGGGCTGAAGAATGCCAGAAAACTTTTTTACCTTCTTCGGACTCAAAGTCGAAAAACTCCAATTTGATTTCGTCTCCTTCCTGGCCTTCCAATGGTCTTTCTAAGTCCCACAGGGCCCCGTTGACTTTGGAAATGACTTGCTTATCAGGGAACGATTTGGCAATTTGCTTAGCGATGTCCATTGGACTCGTTTCCCATGCAACGGCTTCTTTCTCAGATCCATCTTTCAAGATCACTTTCAAAGCAGCGCGAGGTTTCTCTGCCACTTTCTTAGCATATTCCTCTTGCAATTTGTCGAAGAGGGCATTTCTTTCCTCGATAAACTCTGGCTCAGGTTGTAAGTACAGCGACGACTGTTTCCCGTTGGGGTTGCCTTTTTTCTTTGGCTTTTCTTCGTTGTTAACAACCAGGTTTTTGACCTTTTCTCCAACTTTTTCGACAGCTTCCTTGGCACTCATTGTCGCAGATGATTGTAGTGCTAACGACAGCGAGAGAGGGAAGACAATTGACGATCGTTACTGGGAGAAAAGTTGTAGTTCGAGGGTTTACCTGTCTTGTGATTTAGATAGATATTCGAAAATTTTCAAAAATCGCTATAAACGAAATGAGTAATATAGTCACATGATTAGAAATCTTAGTTCGATACCTGTCAATTTGTCCAGTAAAGAGATTAGAATCACACATTTGACTAGCTTCATGAGGAGTAAATAGATTTTAGGTGTAGATGGTCGTAAGGTTTTTGATTATATGGAAAAATCGGTGCCAGCGTCACAGACGTATAGAGTGACTGATTATTGACAGTTCTATGTTCTAAACAAAATCTTACATCATGACGACGGTAGTAGTTCACAAACTAAATTCTCTAGTGTTCGGGACAGTAATCAGAGCATGCTGGTCTCTTCCTTGTTTTCCTTTTCTTGTTCTGGTGATTCCTCCGGTGGTGATAAAAAAGTTGATCATTGAATACTCCCCGGACGCAAGATGAGGAAGTACGGACGATATCACTGAAACGTGTCAGCGCTTTCTGGATTTTTTTCCATCCACGAAGACCTCAATCATCTTTAATTCATCTCCATCCGTTGCTTGTCACTTTGCAACAATTCTGTCAAGGTCATGAAAAAGCTGTTTCTTGGGACCCACCAAACCAGCCGTCAGAAACACCAATTACACCTTTGAATAGATAAAAATCTGCAGAGCAACTTCATCAAGGACCGGCATCGAATAATGACCTTCTCTGCTTCATCGGTACTGTTTTCTCTTACATGTCAGTTTTTACATCAGGTTGTATAATGAAAAATTATATGTATTGAACTCATCGCTCATCGAAGAGCGCACTGAATAGTGCAACAAAAATCTACGTAAGAGCATGGATACGCGCCTCTAATCAATATTAATATGACATCCTTATTATCCGAATCTGAACCACAGGATTCGCTTCCTTTTGTGAAGAATGAAACGCCCTCTTTCGATTCTAATGAGCGTATTTTAGCTCCATCGATTGACGAAGTGGATTCGAATCCGGAAGAGTTGCGTACACTGCGAGGTAAAGGTCGTTATTTTGGTGAGTCAGACCCATCGGAGTACATTTCTGAAGCAGAACCAAAATGCAACAACTGTTCACAACGCGGCCATTTCAAGAGAAACTGTCCGCATGTAATATGTTCTTATTGTGGGTTGATGGACGACCATTATTCACAGCACTGTCCAAAAGCCATCAAATGCGCAAACTGTAATGGAGAGGGACACTACCGTAGCCAGTGTCCGCACAAAAAAAGACGTGTCTACTGCACGCTTTGCAATAGTAAGAATCATGCCCGCGATCGTTGTCCCAGTATCTGGAGAAGTTACTACTTGTTAGACGGTCAGAAACGGCGAACTTTGGCAATCCACACGGTTTTTTGCTACAATTGCGGGGGCAAAGGCCATTTCGGAGACGACTGTTTCATTGAAAGGTCTTCACGAGTTCCCAACGACGACGGAAGCGCATTCTCTGGTAATAACCTGCCGCAGCAGGTCCAACAAGATTACTTCACGCACCTGGATAGGTGCCAGGATGACTATTCATATGATCCCTCGCCAAATAATAGAAGCTTGTACTCCTCAAATGGCCTTGATGACACCGCTTACAGTGATGATTCAACTTCCAAGTCACATTCTAAAAAATACAAGAAAAGAAGCCGAAGAAATGAAGATTTCAATTCCGGTACAGCTTCGAGGTTCAAGCCGAGTTCCGTGAATTCAAATTTTTACCCACCTCCATACCAAAAGTCAAAGTCAGCTCCAAAGCCATCATCAAAGGGAACAGTTCTACCACCCAAAAAACAGCGCAAACATCCCCTTGACTTTCCTCGTTCTTCAAAATCTCAACATCAAAGGTTTGATTATTGAAGTTTGCATCTCGAGCGCAATCCTCCCAGCCGGAGGCAAGCAATGAATATTTCGATGATCTACTGAAAACTCGTATTTAGCAGGAGCTATAGCCTCCCGAGCAGTTGATAAAAATGAAGCACCTGCACCGGGATGACATAATTGACCACCCTTTCGTCTTGCGCAGCAATTTCTGTTATTTGATTGTGACTTCAAGAGGTACTATGAATTCTCAAAGTTGTACTTACTGTGCGTTGTTCCTCCGAGGTTTTGACCCTTTTAGTGCTGGTTGAAGTTTTCGATAAACTCTTGTATTTTCTCTTTTGGTTGCGAATCTCAGGGAATTCCATCACTGTCAGTCTCCCCAGCTCTTTTGTGGGTTCTGGAAGTCTTGCCACATCCAAGATCTGCCAGTTACCAACCTTAGAATGAAGCGGAAAATTGACTTCTAGAACCATAATAAGCTTGTCGACGCATGTCACAACAATATCGAGACTGAGCGCTATGTCCCCTTGGCAGTCGCTGCAACCATGGCAGATCTGGACATTTTTTACAAGCACTACTGCATCTAAAACGAGCCCTAGTGAGAAGTCGACGTTCTTCCTGTTTGATAAAGAAGAATTTGGCAGTTTCTCGGTAATGCGCGAACTATTGAACAGCATTACTCCCTCAGCACTGATTGCGAGATGATAATTCTCATTTATCAGGAACAACCACTGCGAAAACCAGCGGTCTCTGGGTATACGTCTCAGCGCTGTGATCCAACTCTCTGTGGCATTGTTTGAGTCGGAAATCAAGTAAGGTCGGCTAGTAACAGAAGGGTACAAAACTTTAAGTTTCAAATCTCCGCCCATTGATAAAATCTTCAAATTGCGGTAAAAATTTGGAAGGAACGATTCTCTTGTTGCTCTTTCACCTTCGAGTTCGTTTGCTAGACTGATAGCTTCCGTTCGATGGTCAATAGCGCCGCTACTTTTTTCTATGAATCCAAAGTCAAAGGTCGCTCGACCCATAATGCTCTCTGTGCTGTCGTCACCGCAATTTATATCATGCGCATCCTTCGCCGCATCCTGCACTTTAAGCGGCGATTTCCTTTTTTTTCGAGCGACAGAAGGCTTGACTTTCAGGCCTCTCAGGCTACTTTTAGCACTGTCAACACAGCTGCTCTCTATCTTGTTTAGAATCGCTTCACGCCAGCAGGAATAGTATTGAAGTTCTGGAACACCGGAATTCATTCTCAGTTTGGAACTGCACGTTTCTCGTCGACTGGAATGATCAGCGCACAATTCCAGTTGTTCTTTCTCGATGGCAGCTAAAGGATCCGCAGCGGGGTAATATCCATTCAGTACTGTGCGGGGAGAGTTGGTGCTGATCCCAGTTTCGTCGGTCGTAATGCACAACGTCCAGCAATTCCGTATCATTTCCTTGCTTGCCTGCTTGATGAATGACTTCAGTCGTTTGAAGTATAAAAGGTAATTGGGGGTAATACGGATCTTTTGCAACGTTAAGCGACCCGATACAGCATTTGTGAAGAAGCTGTACTTATTGTACGGGTTGATACGGACAAGGCTCACGTCCGGACCGAGATTCAGCGTGAAAGAAGGCTGGAAACATGGCGCTGTACTTTGTGACATCCCATAGATATGCTTTTTTCGAGTTCGAAACGTTTCATGAGCCGGAGCTAGGTAATTGTAAGGGTTGTGAATGGATCCGGTGTATGGCGACTGCTTCAAAAGCTTAAGATCCTCCGAAGATAGACCTTCGAGCTTGAGTCGGTGGAATTCCAAGTTTAAATCAGTACCGTTGGCTTCTTTTGCCCTTTGTGTAAACACTGGAGAACGGGATTTGACATAGGTGTTGGGCAAGTCCAAAATAAAGACGCAGAGCTGCCCGTTTGCACATAAGCAGTAAAGCATACCGTCCAGATAGTCGAGAGAAATGATCGGCAGCTTGATGTCGCAGCGGGCAATTTCTACATTGCATGTTAAGAACCCTAGAGGCCGCAATGCTCTGTTCCTGAATAACGCATCTTGGACGTCTGAGAAAACTTGAATAAAGCCATCGTTGGAACACACGAAAAGGTAGTCACAATTCTCACCATAGGTTGATCTCTGCCGTACACTGCTTTGTATGTAACAAATCTCAGTAATATCAGAGCATTTATTGGGTGTTTCGTAGATTTTCGCTTCTTTCATGGTCAGGTTTCCTTGATGCCAGTCTATGAACCTGAATGATGATGATGAAGTCGTGGGTTCAAGTTTACATGCATTTTTAACCTCAACGACAAGTCTGAGCATTGTTGTCGATATATAGGCGTGCTTGCACGATGGTAAGTATCCGGTTGCAACTATTTAAGAACTTTTGGAAGTTCAACTGTGCGAATAACGTAGTGCGATGATGATCTTGGTACTAAAATTGACTTTAGAAGCTGAAATACGAGCCTGATGTTACTGATAGGGCCCTCGAGGATGGTGATATACAGATCTACTAGAACGATGGGTACATGGAGCGTTTCCGATGTTATAGTTGACAAAAAATCTAAGTTTCAAGGCAGATGTTGCAGTTTAAAAGGTCAAGATGAGATACCCGGTATATTGGAAGAATTGGTGAATACCAACAAATCAGTCAGCAAAGCGTCTCACCCATGCATGTATGCTTGGAGAACTGGTACGCCCGCCGCAGTAGAAGTTCCAGGCTTCAAAAGAGGTAAGAAAGTGTTGAAGACGGAGAATAGGGTTCAAAACTTGGAGCAGGGTTGTGACGATTGTGGAGAGGCCGGAGCTGGTCAAAGATTACTCACCCTTCTGGAACATAGTGGGGTAACTAACGTTCTAGTAGTGGTTTCACGATGGTATGGTGGAACTCCTTTAGGTAGTGCACGATTTCGTCATATAACGACAGCAGCGGTGGAAAGTTTGAAACAAGGTAGTTTCGTACCTTGAACCATCTATCATCGACGTTAATATCATTTATACAGTTCATATCGAATATATATATGTGTGTGTGTGTGGACCCAAGGTTCTACAGCCTGCGTGTCCCTTTCATACGTACTTGTAGGGATTCAAAATGGCATTTGGATCGTAGAGATTCTTGAGCTCTTTGATCATAGCGATCTCCTGCTCATTCTTGGAGTACCCAATGTAATTCTTCTTCTGAAATCCAAGTCCGTGCTCAGCACTGATTGAACCGTGCTTCGATGAGACGAATTCGTACACGAACGGTTCCAAAACTTTTTCAACTTCTTTGGAATAGGCTCTCACAGCAACGTTCAGATGAAGATTGCCGTCACCGACGTGGCCATATCCGATAGCGCTGATGACAGGTTTGGTAGGATCGGAAGTACTCGAAAGTCCCTTTTCATTCAATCTCTCATTGGCAGCATCCACAAGAGAGTACAGCTCTTTGAGTGGCAAAGAAACATCATACTTGTAAACACCTCCACCGGCTTGGCTCGATTCAGGAATGGACTCTCTCCATTCCCATAAGTTTCGCAGTTCCGTTTCGTCCTGTGCCACTACACCGTCCAGAACGGATCCATTTTCCATAGCTTTTTCCAGAAATGCTTCTAGCTTGGCGTCATCGTGCTCTTTGTTAGATCCCGACGTTTCAATCAAGACGTAGAATGGATACTCGTCCTCGAGAGGGTGGCTCACACCCTTCAAGTGCTCTTTGGCCAATGTCTGAGATTTGAGGTCCATGAATTCGAATGCTGACAAGATTTCAGAAAGCTCCTGTTTGGCCTGAACAAAAACTTCTTGAACCGCTTCGTAACTACCAACACCGAGAAACCCGACATTGACTGCTTTTGGACGTGGTGGTGCCAGAATCGACACACCCGTGATAACACCGATGGTACCTTCTGACCCGATAAATAGTTGCTTCAAGTCGTAACCGGTGTTGTCCTTTCGTAGAGCGTCCATGGAGTTTAAAATCTTACCATCTGGCAAAACAACCTCAAGACCCAAAACAGTGCCGTGCAACGATCCGTAACGCAACAGTCTCAAGCCACCAGCATTGGTGGCGACGATACCGCCAACATGACACGAACCCTTTGCTCCCAGATCCATTGGGAAAATATAACCGTTTTCTGCCAAGAAAGAGTCGGCATTTTCCAAAATCACACCGGCGTCGCACTTCAAAATACCACTCACAGAATCAAAACTGCGGATCTTGTTGAGTTGGGTGAGACTCAGAACTATTTCGTCAAAAACTGGTATCGATCCGCCCACCAGACCCGTGTTACCACCTTGAGGGACAACGGCGAGTCTGTTATCGTTACAGTACTTCAAAATCTGCGAAATTTGATTGACAGTCTTTGGTCTTAGCACCAGCTTCGACTGACCCTTGTATTTACGCATCCAATCCTCATTGAACACCGCCAAATCTTCATCTGCAGTAGCCTGCAAGATTTCGCTGTCTGACAGGATGGACTTAAAAAACGTCAAATCATCAGAAGATAGTTTTTTAAACTCAGACAGCCGCTGCAAGTTAGGGTAAGACTCAGCAGTAAGTCTTGGTGGGATCTTGGTTGAGTAATTGAGTACATTTGACCTGTTCATCGTACTGATGCGCACAGCAGCAGACACTCCGTTATGAGCGCATAGAAACGCTTCCCGGACGGGTTTTGCTCTGGAAAAAAGATTGAATTGTCTCTTGACCGTGTGTCTCAACATTGGGACGGTGACAGAGCTTCTGAATGGCTTGGATATGTGGATAACAAGGGAAATTTAGGCTCAAATACGACTTTTGAATCGGTCCAAATTTTTCAGATGAGCAGGTAAATTGGATGTGCTGCCGTTATGCTGGCAGCGACACATTAATAACAAGTGACGTATGAGCTGAAACATTTTTATAGAAACAAATCAAAGCCTGAACAGTTACGAGACATTAAGATTTTCAATAGAGTGTCAACAGGAGACAGACCAGTTTATTGTCGCTGCGTTTGGGTCTCCCTCATTTCAAAAATATATGTTCGTATAAGGTTATAAACGTTTTCTTCAACCTTTTTTTGGTTTCTTTGACGTCTATTCTTTTCAATGGTTACCAATCCCCCACTCTAGTAATTAGTCCATACTCTAGTGACGTCGCGCCCTGTTATTAGTCATTGTTCCCTTCAAATCTGACACTTTTACTGTCTTTACGAATGCGTCTCTTTCATCCATAATTATTAAATGTTCGTGTTGAACATAAAATTTAAGGTCTATCTACTGTGAACAATCAACTGCTTCAGAACATCTACCTCTGCAATCCGACTATGTCTGTTACTGCTGCTGTCGATGCGGCCTGCATCTTCTGCAAAATCATCAAAGGTATGTGCATGATCTATGGGACATGAAAAGTCCAACAACAGAGAATACTAACCTTCTGCAATGATAGGCGAAATTCCATCTTTCAAACTGATCGAAACGAAGTACTCGTACTCTTTCTTGGACATCCAACCTACCACCGAGGCCCACGTTTTGATTATCCCCAAGTACCACGGTGCCAAACTGCACAACATTCCAGATGAGCATTTGGCCGACATCTTGCCTGTTGCCAAGAGACTGGCCATCGCGCTGGACTTAAATGTGGAATCGCCTGAGGGTGTGGGTTACAATCTGCTGCAAAATAACGGCCGGATCGCCCACCAGATTGTCGACCACGTACATTTCCATTTGATCCCCAAAAGAGATGCCGAAACAGGTCTGGTCGTAGGATGGCCATCCATCGACACGAATTTTGAAGATCTGGGCCAATTGCATAAGAAGTTGCTCAAGAAACTCGAAAACTAAGAGCAGAATTTACACAGAAGACGTTTTTTTAGCCCATAACCCAGTATTTATCAGTTCTATACCGTTTCAATGAGCCTATGTCGACACTCAAATCGGCACAAGTCGATTTTACAAGTCAAAACTCGAAAACCAAGAGCCAAGTTTACGCAGACGTTGGTCAGGCCATGACCCACCATTTATCCGTTCTATATCGTTTCACTGAACCTATGCCGACACTAGAATCAGCACAGATCAATTCTACAAGTCAAAGCCTTAAAGCCATCAGTTTTGATCCAAATCAAAAGCTGGAAGTCCGACATTAACAGTTAAAAGTAGTTCAATCATTCAAAACAATCACACCTACACCCACAAACAACGCTATCCAATCCATTCTTCTATTACCTTCCTCAACAATCCATTGATGTAAATGTCCACACCTTGATATCATCGAGAATTGTGACGTTATAAGAAGATCCAGACGTATAGAATGACCGCCTATATAAAGGGAAAGATGCGGTGGCAAAAGTGAACTTTACCTCTTGAACAACCCTTTTCTGACAACTTCAAGACTAGAAACCAAGGGGAAGCCGGTTTACAATTAGTCTAGACAATACAGGACTCAATCGCACAATGGTTGATGAAAAAAAGCCTCTTTTGGATGCCTCTGGCGCTGACAAACGCGACGATGACGCTACTGCAACGGCAATCCTAAGACGTAAGAAGAAGGATAACATGTTGATGGTGGACGACGCTGTAAACGACGATAACTCTGTGATCGCAATCAACTCAAACACAATGGACTTGTTACAGCTATTTCGCGGTGACACAGTGTTGGTGAAGGGTAAAAAACGTAAGGACACGGTGCTTATCGTTTTGATCGACGATGAGCTCGAAAACGGTATTTGCAGAGTGAACCGTGTGGTTAGAAACAATCTTCGTATCCGTTTGGGTGACCTCGTCACGATCCACCCATGTCCTGACATCAAGTACGCCTCCAGAATCTCCGTTTTGCCCATTGCTGACACAGTTGAGGGCCTAACGGGCAGTCTGTTCGACGTGTACCTCAAGCCATATTTTGTGGAAGCGTACCGTCCAGTGCGTAAGGGCGACCACTTCGTCGTCAGAGGTGGTATGAGACAAGTGGAGTTCAAAGTGGTGGACGTGGAACCTGAAGAATATGCTGTTGTGGCCCAGGACACCGTGATCCATTCGGAAGGTGAGCCCATCAACCGTGAAGATGAGGAAAATAACATGAATGAAGTTGGATACGATGACATTGGTGGCTGTCGTAAACAGATGGCTCAGATTCGTGAATTGGTCGAGCTGCCGCTTAGACACCCTCAGCTCTTCAAGGCTATTGGTATCAAGCCTCCCAGAGGTATCCTCATGTACGGTCCTCCTGGTACCGGTAAGACTTTGATGGCCAGAGCTGTTGCAAATGAAACTGGTGCATTTTTCTTCTTGATCAACGGTCCAGAAGTCATGTCCAAGATGGCCGGTGAGTCTGAGTCAAATTTGAGGAAAGCTTTCGAGGAGGCCGAGAAAAACGCCCCTGCCATCATTTTCATCGATGAGATAGACTCGATCGCCCCTAAGCGTGACAAGACCAACGGTGAAGTTGAGAGAAGAGTGGTTTCCCAACTCCTGACTTTGATGGACGGTATGAAAGCCAGATCTAATGTTGTGGTTATCGCTGCCACCAACAGACCAAACTCCATTGACCCAGCGTTGAGAAGATTCGGTAGATTTGACCGTGAAGTCGACATTGGTATTCCAGATGCCACTGGCAGATTAGAAGTGCTGCGTATCCACACCAAGAACATGAAGTTGGCGGATGATGTAGACCTTGAGACCCTAGCTGCGGAAACTCACGGTTACGTTGGTGCCGATATCGCTTCGCTCTGCTCCGAAGCCGCCATGCAACAAATTCGTGAAAAGATGGACATGATCGACCTGGATGAAGACGAGATTGCTGCCGAAGTGCTAGACTCTTTAGGAGTAACAATGGAGAACTTCAAATTCTCACTTGGCAACTCCAACCCATCTGCCCTACGTGAAACTGTTGTGGAGAGTGTCAATGTTACTTGGGAAGATATTGGTGGTTTGGACGAAATTAAGCAAGAGTTAAAGGAGACTGTTGAATACCCTGTGTTGCACCCAGACCAATATGCCAAGTTTGGTTTGGCTCCTTCTAAAGGTGTCTTGTTTTACGGACCACCTGGTACTGGTAAAACCTTGTTGGCCAAAGCTGTTGCCACGGAGGTGTCTGCTAACTTTATCTCTGTCAAGGGTCCTGAACTCTTGAGTATGTGGTATGGTGAGTCAGAATCCAACATTCGTGATATTTTTGATAAAGCCAGAGCCGCCGCTCCAACAGTGGTATTCTTGGATGAATTGGACTCTATTGCCAAAGCAAGAGGCGGTTCCGTCGGCGATGCCGGTGGTGCTTCCGACAGAGTTGTCAACCAACTGCTAACGGAAATGGATGGTATGAATGCTAAGAAAAACGTTTTCGTTATCGGTGCTACAAATAGACCAGACCAAATCGACCCTGCTATTTTGAGACCTGGCAGACTTGATCAGCTAATATACGTCCCACTACCTGACGAAATGGCCAGACTATCGATTCTAAATGCTCAGCTCAGAAAGACTCCACTCGAACCAGGTTTGGAGTTGAGCACGATTGCGAAGGCTACACAAGGATTTTCCGGTGCCGATTTGTCGTACATCGTTCAAAGGGCTGCCAAGTTCGCCATTAAGGATTCCATTGAGGCTCAGAGAAGCGCAGCAGCTGAACAGCAAAGCAAGGTCAAGATAGAGGACGTGGAAATGGGCGACGAAGCAAGCGCTCCAGTCGCTGAAGAAGAAATTGAAGACACAGTACCATACATTACAAGAGAGCACTTTTCTGAGGCCATGAAGACTGCCAAGCGGTCCGTGTCTGATGCCGAATTACGCCGTTACGAAGCCTATTCCCAACAAATGAAATCGTCAAGAGGTCAATACACTAACTTCAACTTCGGCGATGCTCCAAGCACAACCCAACCTGCCGGAACTTCCGAAAACGCTGGCGCTGCTTTTGGTGAAGGTGCGGAAGAAGATGACGACTTGTATAATTGAAGATGAGGGAGAGGGTCCATGTAAACTTGGATTGTTCGATTGTTAACGAAATAAATAGCCGATTCAGAACCATTAGTATGAATACGAGGTAAGACTAAAAGAATGATACTTACGTATGTAGATAACGTGTAAAAGGAATTTTACTCCCAAGCGGCAAAGACGGTGCGAAAAAATTGTTCCTGAAATTTCGAGCTATGTGCAGTCTACGCGCTGTTTCGATTAATGTTGAACTCTTCCAGCGAGATCAATGAAGAATCGACCAATGCAAATTTGTTATTATCTCATGACTGAAGCCCATCGCGACCTCTTTCCAAACTGTGTAGAATCGGTGCTATGCTCAGTAGGTGTGGGCAAGCCAGTTTTTATAATGATAGGCCTAGCAAGACGACTTTTTTCATATTGTGCAGTAGATTGTTTCGAAGGGCTCTTGGAGGTGATCGGGCTGCCATTATCTGGTCGGCGTAATTGTGTAGACCTGGAAGTAGGAATCATGGGCGTTTTTCGCGATTCTCTCGAATCCTTTGTCGAAATTGTCGACATTGTTGCACTCGAGATCAACGAAGGAAGCGACATGCTGCTGAGAGAGCGAGTATCCATTTCAGCGTTGTAATGGCCTATCTTCGACTGCGGTAGGGAAGGTAAATTGAAATATAGCATTTCTTGACGTTGTGAGGAGATCTGAGCTTTTATCGGTGCTAGCAACGGCGCAAGACAAGTGATAAGCTCGGGGGTCGTAAAATTGAGGTTCCAATCGAAGTATTCCAGAAGTTCACGCTCCAGAGTGTTGACTTCGCGAGTGTTTAAAAGTCCATTAGTATAAGAAGCCCAGTGACGATTCAGCGGACTAGAGTCGTTCAAAGTTTTAGCTGCCACTATCAGGCAACCTAGGAAAATGCGATGCTTTGTTGTTTCTATCCCATGCACATTGAAAGGCATTATGGCTCTGAGTTTGCTCAGATAAATGGTTGTTGACATTAAGGTCGGCACTTGCACATTAGACTGCGTCACTAGACCTTGGATAAATTCCGCCAATGATACTACCGGTTTGGCTTGTCTGTTTGAATCTTGAACGCTGACACTGACGACAGATTGGGTGGTGGCTTCTAAAAATTCAACCATATCCCGCGATACTCTTTTCCGATTGAATTGTAAAAGCGCTTCAAAATCTGACATCGTGGACGATCGAATGTTGCTTATTATCTAGGATATAATGGTTTAGTCGTCCGATTCACTGTCGTCAAGTTTCTAGTGTAAAAGCACCACAGGTGAAATATAAATTCCAAAGGGCAAGACGGAAAAGCTAGACTTCTCAAATAGCGTCCACATTTTATTCGATCTAAATGCATAGCACCATCCCAAATAATGTGCCCAATGATCCAGATCAACTAGCAATGGTCCATTTTTCTTTCCAATTTTCGCGGAACCAGCCAAGAAGATGTCAACTCAAATTCTAGCGTATTATGGGTCAATATTTTCGTGGTCTGGACATCGTTCAGCGCAGCGATCTCTCGCAAACAGCCAACGTCTTTCGCCAAAAAATGGACGACTGGGCTTTTTCTGCATTTCTGCTAAATTTCGCGGTCGTGGAAGAGCCAGCCATTCCTAAATGGTAAAAGCGAAGCGAAAATTAAAAGGTATGCTGGAAGGTGGGTGAACAGCTGTGATTTAACCAGCAACGCACGCAAATGAACCTCAAGGACCGTAGAATGCTGGCCTATTGCGATGGTAACGAATGCTTCGAAGACCAAGAATTTGGCTTTTGTCGACTAGAGTTTTTCAGAGTTCTGAGTAGAGGATCGAGTAGATGGCAGAAAAGATAGACAGACCGACAGAAGTGATTGTGATAGCCGCAGTCGAAGAACTCTAGTGGTCTTTGATTCGGTGGAATAAAGTTTCAATTGACTATTACGTTCAGTTATACACTCGTACTTTGTTCTCAATCAATCTGAGTCCAAGTTGATTTTTTCGGGTTGAAATAATCCGTTGACAACATTTGAGTTCGATTGGCGAGATAAAGCCCTCACTTCAAATCGAAGTTGCAGCCATTGCACGCTCATCGGGATAGTAGTAGAAGGCAAGTGCGATCAAGACGTACATTGCAATGGACATAATACCCTCGAGGTAGTTGGACAAGCCATCCAAGATCAAGTAGTTTGACAGGAACACAGCAATAAATAACGTGGCAGTTTCGAAAGTCGAGAAGTTGAGCGTCATTGGAACGCCAATGACCCATCCAACCAGAACCATGAAAGGAGTCACGAAGAGCGCAATCTGCAGCGAAGACCCAATAGCAACACTCAAGGCAAGGTCCATTTTGTTCTTGGTGGCAACAATCACGGATGTGACATGCTCCGCAGCATTGCCCACAATGGGGATGACAATCAAACCAATAAAAGTCTTGGATAAGCCAGATGTCTCCACAACATGGTCAATACTGCCAACAAGGAAATCCGCACAGACAGATACGAGCACAGTGGTGATGAGCAAGAAGATTATAGAGGACTTGACAGAAAGCGTCGAACGCTTTGGGTGCTGCTCCAAAACCTCCTCTGTTTCATCTACTTGCTGCTCGAAAAGGTTGTGGTGGGTACCAAGTTGGAACACCAAGAAACACACATATACGATAAGCAAGACAATAGAAGTCGATCTAGAAAGGCTCAGAATCTTGCTGTTAATCAACAGGTCTTGTTTCTTATTGTCATCTGGCAACGAGGCACGAAAGGCGGCTGGAATCAGCAGCGAGGCACATGAGATGGCCAAGAGCGAAGACATGGTTTGAGCTGCTGTCTGATTGAAATTTTGCTCCACTCTGTTGTAACCACCTGCCAAAAAGCAGAATCCAAGCACCAATAGTAAGTTGGACAAAATACTACCCAACATAGATGCTTGAACGATGGTGATTTGGTTATTGTAGAGCGCAATGATGGAGACAATAAGCTCAACGGCATTTCCTAGCGTAGCGTTCAAAAGGCCACCCAATGTGGATCCCGCTTTGTCCGCCAGTTCTTCCGTGGCAAAAGCCAAGATAGCAGCCAACGGAATGATCGCCACGAAATTGAGGATAAACGTCCAAGTCACTGATAAGTTAGCAAACCCAAACACCAAGCCCAAGGGTACGAAAACAATCAAATAATTGACAGGAGACGATTTCAAGATGATTGCAGTATCGCGCGAAATCGATCGAACCAGTGAAAATCCCTTGGACCTAGCGTTTTGGGGTAATAAGGGTGAGTTGGAGTTCATGGTGATGGTATTTTCTTGTTTTTAACTTATTTGTGGAAAAAAAGAACCCTCAGAGGTTGGAGAGAAGCTTCAAAAGTTTCTTCAGATTATTCTTGAACAATTAACAAAGTTCTAATAGATCTGAGGTCTCTCGAATAACAACAGAGTGGTCGTGAGGTTTGAGCGTTTTATTATCGCTTCTGGAACGGCTTATTTCATAACCGATGCCAATTCGATGGTCTAATATAAAAGAGGGTCCCGCGCTGAAAAAGGGGCACGTGATCCGGCGGTGGTGGTTGAACAAGATCATTGAGCCACGATCAATCGTCTTCGAGCAGTATCGGTCTGGATCTGGGTTCCAATCTCGATACTTTAGAGGTCTGGAAATAGTGGTATATTTGCAGCTTTTTATTGAGAGCTTCAAGCCTGCTGACTGAGACTTTTTGAATTTTTAACATTGGACATCTGCGATAATCGGGACATCAAAAACGATGTCAAGAAGAGCACAAATGTTTTAGCGTAAACTGGAAATCGATTCAGACCTCACGGTGTTTGAAATAAAGATCGCCACTTTTGTCCAGCCGCACGAATAAGCTATCTCGGTGTGTAATTATGAGATATGGGGTTGCTTACTGCTTAATTGTAGCCACACAGCCCAGGGAGAACGCCAGAAGTGACCACACGGTGAAACCAAGGATAGGAAAGCTGTGATGGCTGGAAATCGTACGCCACAACGACATTCCTCTGCGGAAAACGCGCATAATCAAAGGCTCGTTATCTTCATCAGAGGTCAGCAAATCCTGTGTATATATAGAGTTCACGACAAAAAGCTGATCTGAAGAGATATACTGCAAGCTCTCGGGCCGTGAAGTGTGAATATGCAAGCTAGAGGAACTGTTCGTCTTGTGCAGAGGGTTCAATATTTCAATGCCTGCATCTTTCCAGACAAAAAGGAAAATGCTGATTAGGAAGCTCCACATCGAGAGAGGCCATACAACACTTAGTATGAAAAAGCCAAATGTGCGAGAGCCAAAGAATTTTACCGCCGGAGCGAAGAGGCGATTGTGATCCGGCACGTAGATGAAGTAGATGGATATGATAAAGGAGTGTCCCACTATCAGCAGTATGCTATCGATGACCAGCAAATTGATGAGCAAGAGCTCTTTGAAGAACCTTCTCTTCGACGCTATTTCCGGAAAGTATGTGATGGTGCCGTCAAACAGTGAAGGGCGTCTTGATCTGGGTATGGCGTGGGATCCAGCGCTTTGTTCTGGATCTCTAAGTAATGACATGGAACTGTCGTTGAAGTCCACAAAAAAAGTACCCGAGGAGGCATCGCCTGCGGTATTGGAAGCCAAGGTCGGGCGTTCGTGGGAATATACATTTTCAGATATTAGCGAGGAAGTTCGTTTCACGTCTATGCATTTTGACAAAGTAATATTTTTACGGGCCAAATCGCCCTCTTCTTGCAAAATCTGAGGTTCGTTTAGGCGTCGTGCCGAGCCAGGCGGTGGTACTTCTTCATATTTCTGGGCGTTTTGAATGAGACATAGCAGAAATTCGCATAATGACCACGATAGTCCAAAAATCGCCGATTGTTTTGGTATGATGTGCCATAAGGTGTCGTCAAGCGTACCATTTATTCTAGCATCTTGTAGTTGTGGGTAAGAGAGGGAAAAGACGATCAGTAGGCCAAACCAGTCATTTAGTGGGAAATCCAAACACAGATTTACCAGAATTGCTCGGGTGTTCAAGCCGAGTACAAAATCCCGGAGAAAGCATAACGCCAAAGGAGAAAAAAAACCCAACAATGATGTTCTAAAGTAATCTTGGCCGTTGGGCTTGAACATTGTGTCCTCATCATATTCAGATAAAAGCAGTTGTGTGGAGCTAAACGCCAGCGTAAAAAGCCCCAATAAATTAAAAAAAAGTATGATTCTGATCCACAGCTTGCTGGAGCATACTATAGGCATGAAATAGGGAGCCACATAGCTTATGCGGGACATGCTATTGGCTTTTGACTCTTGAACAACCGGGGTTTTGATCTTTATGTCAAGCACCGTTTGTATATGAAAGTAGTAGTTAGAATTCGAGAAACTATGCATCACTAAATACGTTGTGACGTTTTGTTGTCCTCTATATACTTGTTCGATTGAGTGCGACACACGACCAAAATGCCAGGCTTTAAAATTTCCAGATTCAAGCATATCTCCAGTTTTATGACTGTGAATTAGGTGAGTTTATAACCAGCTCTGTTTGTTTGGAGGACAATTACTGATGGTTTTGGGGGTATTAGTTCATGAAAACATTAATTCAGTAAATAGCCTCAATGAAGTTACAATTAATTCTGAGATTAAAAGTTAGCTAGGTATTGTCGTCATCGGTTTAGCGACAGGCCTTATAGCTTCTAATCGAATACGTTCGTTTTTTTTACGGAAGTTTTGTTAATCACTTTGTACATATATGACACTTCGGAGTTTTGAGAGGTCCAAGTATAGATAGCGGTATATTGAGAACAGTTTACCTATTTACGATGCGATGTGGGGCGCGCTTTACGGCAAATTGGGGCACTTTCTTGTGTTCGTGTGTAGTTCTTTTTTTGTCAACGGTTATGTCTATTACGAAATTTACACTTATGACGCTGTCAATTGCATATCAACCACCCAGAAAATTGTTGAACAATTCTACTGTATTGGGTTTGTTCTGCTAAAAGCTCTGCAAGAGCGTCTTACATTGTTTCTGAATAGTCCACATGTCCAGATTGTCAACCAGTTATATTCAAACTGCAAAAATAACGAACCTAGAACTGTAGCTAAAATACGATCCCAAGGCAATGCCAAGGCGATGAAAAGATCCCACCTCCTGCTCTCCTCTCTCTTGTGCTAAAAGCACCTCATCTGCCCTCCTTTTGTGTACTAAAACCTAAAAAATCCATCCGATTACCTAAATACAAGTTAGCGCCAAAACCATGGCCCAACAGAGTCTAATGTATCCCAAAAATCCGTAGAAAACAAGCCCAGTAGTGTTACAAATATGCTAGTCCCAAATAAGTGGGCTTTTTCCGCCGAAAAACCACACTGATCTTCTATTATGACCTTTCCAAATGAAATACCCTAACGAAATTACTAGCAGAAGGGTTATCACTAGTCCTTCGCATTCGCGGGTGAGATTTCTTGTTCTCAACAAGCCTCAAACGAGACGGACTTGAATTGCTTTGGGATTTGTGTCTCTTGTGAAGCGAAGCCTTTGTTGATTTGGAAACTTTTGCCGACTCTACCGGAACGGATGGCGAACCAGGCCCTGACAATATATTGACTGATTCGCGTGCTTCATTCCGACACCTATTGCGAAAAAACTCCATTTCTTTCTTGATGATGCTATTTTCCACCGCTAGTCGGGAATTCCACGCCGATCGGTTTTCCAACTGCGACAGTTGTGCCTGCAATGACCAGTGCGAGATAGCAGTGAGTGATTGGTTGAGAACCGATACCAGTTTAGCCACGTCGGCAGAGGTTTTATTATTCTGGTCCTTTAATTCGTTCATCGTGGCCAAAATGGTTATTTCCAGTTGTCTGGTCTGCTGAATTGATGGTGCTGTGTCCAGAGGTGCCAATTCTGACCAAGGGGGACTGTTCACCACTTTCGGTGGTTCTAGCCGCTGCTTACCAGAATGCGGCTCCTGTGGTGTGATGTTCTGAGTGCCAGACTTCATTCTGGCCACTCTTGGTTTTCAAGTTGTGATGACAGACTAATGATGACAGTAGTAATGAATGAACAGAACAGAGCAGGACAGCTACTGAGAAGGAATAATGAAAGATGTGTTTTCCACCGAAGGAGTGGAACAATAGCTTATACAAGCCAGTGATGTTAATAATCGACGTCGATTTGGTGGAAAATGGGTAAGATCGGGATCCAGAAATAAGACACCTTATTAATATGTCAGTAATAATTGCCAAGGTTATAGAAGGCGTAACGGTAGTGCTAACAAAAGCGTTCAAATCGTGTTCAAAATACTTCTTTGCTACCCAGAAAATGCAGATCAGTTGCGACCTCGGTTGACGAGTCGGTATAGGTGAATAGAAAAGGTTTGGTTTTATATCTCTTAACACAGTATTTTTGCAAAGATCTATCCATGCAAGAACGTTAGGTAGCGGGAGTGAGGATAGGAAGAACGGAAAAAAAGTTAACGGTTATGCTAACTCTTGTGAAGTTTTGATGCTATTGATTCCTGGAGAATGAGGATACTCGATTCAAGGTCGACCGTGAGAATTCGTGGGCGGACAACTACGTATCTCGCTTGTATGATCGGCCAAGCAATGACACTATAGTACAAGGTGATCTGGATCTTCCTTACACCTGGAGCCTGCGTTGAGGTTCCAGCAGCCAGAAAACAGCACAGAGATGCACAAATAGGGCATTGGCTAAGCCTATACGTGGTGCTAGCGATACTTGATATTATACTTATACAGATTTAAGTAATCCAGTTTAGTCGAACAAACCGAAACCCATGTCGTCGTCGGATTCTTCGGCAGCTTCCTCTGGAGCATCTTCTTCGGCAGCGGCCTCACCACCAGCGGCGGCGGAGGCGGCACCACCAGTGGCAGCAGGACCGGAACCAGCAGCGTGGAAACCAGATAGGATTTCCTTGATGTTCTTGCCCTCCAAAGCCTTGGCGAAAGTTTCAGCCCACACCTGTTGAAAAAATTGTTAGTAATTGATCCTTGTGAGAAAGTTTGAGCTTAGCTAGAACAGTAGCAGTGGATTCGACAGATATAATTGGGGTGGAGAAACTGAGCATCAGGCGATTCAAATTAAGACAAACAAGTCCAATGCCATCGCACAGAATTTTCCATCCTTACCAGTGCGTGATCTCCGCTTCCACCTCTCCTTGAGCTCTCAACTTCATCATCAATGGGGACATACGTTGTCAACAGAGGCACCGGCAGCCTTGGTCAAAGTGGTCAAGCTGTCGGCGGTGATGTCCAAACCGGCATCGGCCAAGATCAAAGTAGCGTAAGAGATAACAGCGTCAGACATTGCAGCAATATTGGTGAATGAACTCTAAGAATTATCACCAAAAAGATCAAGCATGTAGTGATTAAAAGACTAGTTTTCTTGATGGTGAAAAATTATCGACCAAGACAATAATTCGTCGCTGGTGATATCCCATTTCCAAACCCGTAGAGTGTGATAAAGAGTAATATCCGGGTAACATTCAAAAGGACAATACAGTATAACGTCACGTGACAGAGAGGTTTTCTATTAAAAAGTTTGACAAGAAGGTTTGTTAGAGCAGTTTATGAGAGAATGTTCTCTAGACACCTGTTGAAGAATAGATCCCACATCCAGGTGCTAAGCAAAAGTACGTGAAACTAAGTTTGGGTGTGTGGATGAAATACATATCACTATGAACGAGTGTCGATATACTTACTCATAAAGGTGACATTCGCGAGAGGTGTACCGGGGAAGCGCAGAAATTTTATTATAATAAGGAATCACAGTGCCCTCGTTTTCAACCATTTGTGCCTCCTTCTTCTCGTCGCTTTTCCATCAATCTGTCATGCACAATATCATATTTCACGATGTAATGAACAAGGACGACGGGAAAAGCTTTTGTTCCGTCACTCACACTTGAACAATGTTTTTGAACCATGTTTTTAAATACCAATATTCTTCGTATGTCACCAAAAGTTGAAATGGATGTAGTTGATGCTCGTGCGTATTTATTCTACATTTACAAAATTGTCACCTTCCTACACACCACCGAAGCGACGAAATCAGACCCTACATTCCACCAGCTAGTAGTGTCCGCTTCCTTGTTAATCACTAGTGCAAATCTCAAGCACTTACTATCTTCGCATTACATCTCTTACTAGCAGATCACGTGACGTATTTTTTAAGTTGTAAAATCTCAGTCTTGACCCTATTGTTTCAACTCTTTGCAAGCTCCAATTCAGTGCTTCTTACTGAACACCACGTCATGTCCTTTCCAGCTTCTTTGGATTACCATACCCATCCCTTCTTTCACTAAACTGTCGAATCCATTTTCAAGATCTGTCCATCATTAATTTAAAACACGAATAACCTACAGAACATCCACTTCTGCTACATCAAAGAATCTACGCCTTCTCACCGCGACAAGCACGGCTACGAATCCCCCAATGACCGAGGAAGCTCAGAATGAGGTCCCCAGAGATGTAAGACTACTTCATCTGCTGCTGGCATCTCAGGCGATACAGCAATACGAGGATCAGGTGCCGTTGCAACTGATGGACTTCGCCCATCGTTACACCCGCGGTGTACTAAAGGACGCCATGGTTTATGGAGACTATGCTTCAAACGACACCAATACTGAACTTTCCGTTGAAGACGTAAGACTGGCTATTGCAGCAAGAACTCACTATCAATTCAAGCCTACAGCTCCGAAGGAGCTGCTTTTGCAGCTAGCCGCAGAACGTAATAAGAAACCACTGCCGCAAGTGGTCAATATGTGGGGCACTCGATTGCCCCCGGAGAAGTACTGTTTGACAAGCAAAGAATGGCGTTTGGACGAAGAGGTTGATGAAAATGGGAACAAAATAGGCTCCTAAGGAACTAGAAAGAGCAGAAATTGTTATGAAATTGTTACCAAAATTGAGATGACCGCCCCTTTACTCACCAGACTCCTCTACCATTGCGTTTACGCAATTTTACAACGTCAGTTTGACTGGTTTTGTTTCTTTTCGAGAATGGCGAAAAGTACCCAGTTTCCGACCATTAGTGACATCAGTAGATTCAGGCCACCATACTGGGTACAGTTTAGCAGACCAAACAGAGTGGTAGCGGTAGGTTGAGCCTCACACCGAGGCTCAAAAAACACTCGATCCGTATATGAGTATATTCCACCCATATATATGAGGCGTCTCCTAATCAAAGGTGAAAAGCACAATTGTTTCTGGACAAAGATACCCAACACAACGTTCTAAGGCGCCTTGGCATTCGATCGTTAGTCAATTCGAGCCAAATATGCTGTCTCAGGCCTCAATCCCAGAGTATGTTGTTAATTGCGATCTTTTTCGCCAAGTTTCCGTCAAAATTTCCGCTTTTTAGCATACTAACTTACTGTTCGAAGGATTCAGGAAGACACAATTGGTAATGCCATTGAAGAGCGTAAGGCCAAGTTTCTGCAGTTTCAAACCTTAGGTCCTCCAGATTTGATATCGTTGGTGAAATATGCGCCTTCCTCGAATTCCAATTCGCAAAATGCCAAGAATCGGTCTATGCAGCTGGAACCTAGCTCTTCAAATATAAATACTCAAGATTTGCATTCCCATGACAAACTAAAGGGCGAAATTGGCACATTTCTGTACAGTGTTGGTGTCGATACGTCTGACCCCACTTCTATCGCCGTTTCTCTCAAGAATTTGGCAGACCTGATCTCGGAAAAACCTCAGAACTGGTTCGGAAAGCAGAAGCACTACAAAGTAGCGAGAGTCACTTATGCCACCTGGAACGCATTCAGAAAATGCGATGTGCAGGTTGTAGTGCGCATTCCAGGAGCAGTTCAGTCTTACATTTTGGACTCGCGTGGTGAAGTTTTACAGATTCCGCACAATGAGCGTGAAACTTTGTGGACGGAAACATTCGTTTGCGGCGTTGTTCGCGCAATTACTGTCATGACCGATAATGTGGATGAAGGGGAGGTCAACAATGTCGTTGAAACGCGGATTTTGAATCCACTGACTTCGGGTGAGCTTGGTGAAGTCTCGGATCGTTTCATCGATGTATTTCCACTCGTCTATTCGCAAGGTCAAAACTTAGGCGCTCCCTGTAATGTGGCCGCCCCATCACGCACCAACAATTACTTGTGCGAGACTTTACTGCATGTCACCAGACTTACACAGAACTTTGAGAGATGTCGAAAGATGCTTACTAGTTTGATCGAAAAGCACCCAGAATGTGTGGTTCTATTAGCAAAGCTCTTAATCGAGGCTGATCTCAAGATCGATGCCATAACACTTTTGCACGAAGAGTTTTCGAAACAAGGGTCTTCGCTGACAAGCTACCGTTCAGAACTTCTTTGTATTCAAGCGCAATTCCTATTAGAACAGAAGAAGGACTTCAAAGCTGCTCAACTGCTGGCACAAGCTGCTGTGGACTGTGCTCCTAGTGAGTTCAAACCTTGGCACCTTTTGGTTAGGGCATACATCGGCTTGAATGATATCGAAAATGCGCTTCTGTCATTGAATGGATGTCCAGTCACACCGCACAAAGAAAAATACAGCTTCAAGCGAGTCGTGAGTTTGGGGCAGGATTCGCCTAACTTGCATTTACCTCTTCCGATAGATGTAATCCTCGAAGACGTAACTAGCCTCAGCTCCGCAGATGTAGCCAACGAACACAAGGCTTTGAGTTCGTCACTACTCAACCTTCCTGCTGCAACACTCAAAGCCAATGCCAAGACAAGATACAAATATCTCACTGAGATTGCTCTAAAAACAGGGTGGGAGGCCCTGTTGAAGTACAGATCAAAGTTGTTTGTGATGGAAGAGGAATACCAGGTGACATCGACGCCTCCTCCCGATGCGGAGACGAACGGTTCTTGCGATCTCATTCGTGGCAAAAGATTGTGCGAAAGGTGGCTGGACAGTTTGTTCATGGTGCTTTACGAAGATCTCAAGACCTACACTTTATGGCAGGCAGAGCAGCTTCATTTCGAGGCTCAAAATTCGCGGTATCAAAAATCCACTGCGGAATGGGAACTGCTGGGTCTATGTGCTTGGCGTCTGGGCCACGTTGAGGAAGCTACCCAAGCGTTCCAAAATGGACTTTCGCAGCGTTTTTCTGCAGAGTCTTCCAGACGGTTGTTGCAGGCATACCTTTTTGACCGCGAAAAAGTGAAACAGAACAGAGATGCATCTTCTTCACAGACAATGAGCACTATTCTAGATATAGACAACAATCTAGTCGACCTGTGCGTTAGACTGTGCTGCTGGAACCACCGCTGGTATTGTGAGTTTTCTGTGCTGCAGCTAGACGTTCTCTCCCACGTTGTACACGACATCGGTCTAACCAAGCTATCTAACGAGATTCGGGCCCGTTTTCCGGAGACTGTTGTACAGCTTGTTGAGGACAATCTGCTCGATTTTATCGCGAATTACACTCATGGCAGTTATGATAAGTGACTGTTTCACGGGCCGGTAAAGAACTGTATAGGATCGTGATCTATAAATCATTCTCACTGGATTCATCATCAAATTGAATTCTACAATTTAAAATGATTCTTACATACCATTCATGACATCGATAGTCCTCCTTTGAATAGGTGGGACTTCTTGTTCATAAACATCTCTCGTGTTATCTTGTTGATCCTCTTCTCTGTCATCCCTTTGATTCTCTACTCAATCCTCTGGTCGACCTCATCATCGAAATGTAAAAGCCTACTTTAATTATAGTAATCTTAACTGCTCGAGTTAACACTTTGACTTCAAGCCGTCTGTTGTTTTGACCATTAACCTTCTTCAGCTTCCTCAAACCTTGTTTGAAGCTAGCTTTTACCCTTAGTATCACTTATGGGGATTGAAATTGCCCTTGGTTGGCCTTCTCAGGTCATTTTTTGGCTTTTGGTAGCGTTTCCAGTAAGAGCTTTAGACCTGGATACATCGTCTAAAGATTCGATATGTGCAGCCACTTCGCTTATTCAAGGCGGAATCATGGATTACTATGCTGGATCCCAATATGGCGGGACTGTCGGGATGTTCCAAGCACCATACTATTGGTGGGAAGCTGGTGAGGTCTTTGGAGGCATGCTAGAAAATTGGTATTTATGCCAGAATGATTCATATTCACAGGTGCTCTATGACTCCATGCTAGCCCAGGCTGGACCTGAGTACGACTATATGCCATCCAACCAGTCCATGGTTGAAGGTAACGATGACCAAGGTGTATGGGGTTTAACAGTGATGGGTGCTGTAGAGAGAAATTTTACCAATCCGCACGATAAAAACGCCCCTGGCTGGCTAGCAATGGTACAAGGTGTTTTCAACACCATGTACTCGCGTTGGGACGACCAACACTGCGGAGGAGGTGTCAGATGGCAGATTTTCACGTGGAATTCCGGTTACAACTACAAAAACACCGTTTCCAATGCGTGTCTGTTCCAATTGGCCGCAAGATTGGGCCGCTACACTGGTAACGAGACTTATATCGCTGTTGCCGAGAAGATTTTTGATTGGCTGGTCGATGTGGGCTATGTGGTTTTACAGGAAAATGCAAATGTTTACGATGGCGCAAATATTGACGATAACTGCACGGACATCACCAAGTTGGAGTGGAGTTATAACCAAGGGATAGTTCTGGGAGGTTTGGCATACCTGTATAATGCAACAAACGGCTCATCCACCTGGGAAACCAAGCTAAGCCAAGTATTGGGCGGATCTACAACATTCTTCTTCAAGGACAAGATCATGTACGAAGTGACATGCCAGGATTCCAATAGTTGTAACAATGACCAGCGGTCTTTTAAAAGTATTTTTTCGAGAATGCTGTCGCTGACAAGTATTTTGGCCCCATACACGGCCGATACAATCAATCCGTTGATGGAAGCGTCTGCTGCAGCAGCTGCAAAATCTTGTTCTGGGGGTTCAGATGGGCACACGTGTGGATTGAACTGGCAAAATGGCTCATGGGATGGATGGTATGGTCTTGGAGAGCAAGCAAGTGCTTTGGAGGTAATTCAAAGTTCGTTGTATAATCAGCGTCCAGCACCTTTCACCAGCGACAATGGAGGAAGCTCTGTAGGTGATGCGAACGCTGGCCTAAACAAGTCAACGACCAACGTTTTGCATAGCAACTTGAAGATCACTCATAAAGACAAGGTTGGTGCAGCGATTCTTACTGCAGTGGTAATCGCCATACTGGTAGGCGGTTCTATTTGGATGATGTTCTGATTAAGGACATGGAACAATGTATGGTTCAGATTTTGAGAGTTTATCTTATAACGTGAGCAGAATTTTTTTGTCTGAGGAAAGATCAAAAATATGTCGGGCGTAGTATCATTGGGCATCTCAGCAGATTAAGATCATCACGCATCTGTTTATCGGAACATCTAAACGGTCTGTAAAGAAGTTCAACCTGAATTATCGATCTAGTTCGGTTTTTAGAACCTACTGGGTACGTAAAGTGTAATTATTCGACACTTTCCGTAAGTTTCGAACTTAAATGAAATTGGTCTTTTCGAGGTGTGCTATCAAATCATTGACAGGTGTTCAACTACGCAGAGAGTCTGTTTACTGGCTGATACGATGTATTCTGCTGGGTCTGGAGACATGAACAAAAGGTAACAGATCTCGATGGGACTTGATCCACGCAAACATTTGCTGGACACTGCGAAGGATTTAGCCTTTGGGTTCAGGTTATGAAGCTAAGGGAATCACTGGTTATAATATTCTGCCCTACTATTTTAGCCAAGTGTCTTGACATAGCTTTCTGGGGGAACTGTATTGATGTGGAATATTCTTTATAAAGAAGGCCCTATGTTATCGACGCTCGCCATTCGAGACAGAAACACGATATGAACTCTTTCGGCAGAGGAGCTAAACTTCTGTAGATCATTGTGCTTTTACGGTCAAGTATTAAAATGCAACTGTCTTTCGCAACTTAAATATACAGATGGCTTCTCACTGTCATGAGTAATAAGTATGAGAGCAGTTAAAAATTTGAAGTTTTGTGGTGGACAGATTACCGTACATTTTAACGCTCTGGATAGTATCGTATTGATGCTAAAAGCCCCTCATCAATTTGCCGGTATTTTTTATCAAGCCTTTTAAGCTTTCCATTTAAAATCTAGCGATCCTGACATTGTACATTGCTCATGAATGTGTTGGTCTAAAAAACGAGTTTCGGGATCAGCAAACATAATGGAGAAGAACTTAAGTGTCGTCTTTTCAACATAGAAGCAGTGGATATCAACATTCAAACGACACTCGGGACGAAAATCATAGAAAACTGTAAGATCAATGTTCAAGATCAATGTTCAAGATCAATGTTGGAAGCAATTTATCATACCACTCATAGAGACGTCAGGGCAGCATCACACTGAACCAGTAATGCCGGTTTCTCAAGGTTTGGTGGCCATGGAGCTTGATCACAATTTCCAAACCTGTCGCTGACACCGGTCACGTGATGAATGTTTTTGGGCTCATTTTCTTACTTAGGCGTATACATATGTATAGAGTCGATTTTGTTTAACGAATGGCTTCAGAGGCCTGATCCTTCTACCAGCTCAATATCTTGTCCATCCCCGCTTCATTTCTTCGAATTCTTTATATCTCTTATTTTCGAGATTCAGGTCACATGACTGGTGATAATTAGTTAAATCACACCTGTAGCTAACAACGCTGTAAATTTTTGAATAGTGGAACTTGACCTATCGAAGCTCATCGACAAGAACTCTTGCACCACTCAAAGGCTTTTGGATTCTACAAACCTTCGCAAAATGCTCCGCAGATCCTTCCATAGCTCTGTGGCTAAAAAAAACGGTGCAAAAATCTGGTCAGACTTTTCTAACAGAAAACCTTCGCTTTCCATTGCAAATTCCAAAGTGAAATCGTACATATTGGAAGGAAGCTCACAGCAGGGACCGCCATCGATTAGAAGAAGATCTAATAGGATAAAATATCAATCCCCAGAAAATATCGACGAAACTTTCAAAACCTGCTACGAATTTTTGGAAACCAGAGCTGCTTCGAAATATGCCGCTTTAGAGCAGGAAAAAGACGCTTCTAAGCGTCTGGAATTGGCCGTGGATGCCGAACGTTATAACCCAGAAGTCCTGTACAATTTCCAGTACAATGATAAACTAGAAAACAACCCCAGCGTAATCGATTACAATGTGCCTGTGTATAGACGTTTGGGCCGTGAACATTGGGAATCATATGGCCAAATGTTATTGATGCAAAGATTGGAGACGCTTGCAGCAATCCCTGACACGCTGCCAACGCTAGTTCCCAAAGTGGAGGTAAGTTTGAAATTTCCATTTTCAACCGGTGTGAACAAATGGGTGGAACCAGGTGAAATTCTCTCCTCCAACGCGACAAGCTTCCCGCCACAGATCAAAATACAAGAGTATGACGATGTCGATCCGGCCACACAGCTATACACGGTGCTTTTGGTCAATCCTGATGAGCCTAACATGGACAACAATTCTTTCAAGACTACTCTTCAGTATGGGCTGGTGAACCTAAAAGTGGACTTTAACAACAATACTGTCGATGCTCGTATTTTCACCAAGGACAATGTCCTTGCGCCCTACTTACCACCAGTCCCAGAGAAAAATGCTGGGACACAAAGATTCGTTTTGTGGCTGTTCAGACAGCAGAATTCCGCACAAGTGCCATTGGACAACAACTCCAACCGGGACAACTTCGACATACGCCGATTTGTGCATGATCATAAGCTGCAAGCGGTTGGTGCACATCTGTGGAGAAGTCAATGGGACAACAATGTGAGCAACGTAAGGAACAAGTACGGTTTGCCAGAGGGTCGGGTTTTCCACCGCGTGAGGAGAGCTTAGAGGGCCGAAACGAAACGTCTTGTAAATAAAAATAGTTCATAGGACCTTCTTGCGTATAGAATCTGCATGTACATGAATGTTTATGTATGCTAGAGAACCCGTCGTCCGTTTTTGGAATATAAAAAAGGTGTGGTGATGCGGAGAAAGAGAGAGAGCGAAAGACACATATTCATTAGATCTTGATTTCCCTTGTCTGTTTACTGTTTCAAGGACTCAACGGCACCGAGTATGACCTTGGCGTAGTCCAAATTGGGGTCTTCGAGATCCACTTTCTGGTTCGAGGTCTTGGTCTCGCTCTTTGGAGCGTGCAGCTTTGCATATTCTGCCTTGGCCTGTTCAATTAGCTGCAGCTTCTCAGCATAAGCTTTTTCCTCCTGCTGTTTCGAAGCCTGCGATTTCAAACTGAGGTCTGTTTGCAAGCCCACGGCCACGCCCAATAGCACAGCAGAGTATCTAAACACGTTCAAAGCTGACATCTTTATAAATTTATCTGTAAAAATTCGTCTAATTCACGCTAAACTGGTTCAAAAAGGACGCTTGAAAAGAGTTCAGTCTATATCTCAAAAAGAAGAATTCCAAAACACCTATTACTGATCGTTGTTCTGAGCCAAAAGTACCAGGTCTTCAATTTCCAAAAGTTTATGTCAAATGGCTTGTCAAAAGTCGAGATTTGAAAAATTTCACGATTTTAGTGAGTTAATATTTGACATGTAGTTGGCTAATATTTAAAGGTCGACAAATCAGTAAATATAAAAGTCAAGGAACAAAGCTCTAAAGCAGCGTTTTAAAGTTCACTTTCGAGCTGAGAGTCTGTTCTCAAAGTTTATAGTTTTGTATTCTGTGTTTAAATATGTTTTTAGGTGGAAGTAGAGCAGCATTTCGCGGTTTAAGCCGCAGTAGAAGTATGTTGACGATTTTGACAATTCTGGTGGGATTTCTGGCCTTGATGCTAGCAGGTGTACTAACAGAGTCCACAACAGTACACGAATGGCATTCGTTCTCTTTGGGAGCTCGGAGCTTCTTCTCCGGCCTTGGAGGAGGCGGTGCGTCGTCTTCGCAACACAGCAGTGATGGCGGATCATCATCATCATCTGGGTTTAGCTACAATTATGCCATTGCGTTTCAGGCGAAAGACCGTGTGGACGGAGTCTACGCTGGTCTGAGCCAACTGGATTCACCCACCGGTGAGGATAATTATTTTGTAAGTGTCAGAAATAGCCATGACGTTTTTGCAGGCGTTGCAGACGGTGTCGGCGGATGGGTCGAACACGGGTTTGACTCCAGTGCAATTAGTCGCGAGCTGTGTAGTTCCATGCTGGACCTCTCGACAAATCTCACAAAGAAGCCTTTGTCGCCCAAGCAGTTGTTGGATCTGGCATACACCAAGATCAAAAATGACGGTAAAGTTCAGGTTGGAGGGACAACTGCAATCGTGGCACATTTTACCCCCAATGGCACGCTTAAATTGGCCAATCTTGGTGATTCATGGTGCGGTGTGTTCCGGAACGCGAAACTGGTATTCCAAACCAAGTTTCAAACGGTGGGCTTCAACGCTCCATACCAGCTGGCCATCATTCCGCAAGATATAGTTAGAAAAGCGGCCCAAAAGGGTGGTTCTTACATCCAAAATCAACCCAAAGACGCCGACGAATACAATTTTAAATTGCAGAAAGACGATATTATAGTTTTGGCTACTGACGGCGTCACCGATAATATAGCTACTGGAGATATGGAGTTATTTCTGAGCAACAACGCCGAAAGCGGGGGCCTGCAAGAACTAACACAGAAGTTTGTTACTCAAGTGGTGAAGCTAAGCAAGGACCCCACATTTCCAAGCGTTTTCTCTCAGGAAATGTCCAAATTATACGGTCGTCCTTACCTCGGAGGAAAAGAAGACGATATCACCGTAGTTGTTATAAAAGCAACCTAAAAAGAGACTTTCGAATAGTCAATGCATGAACGATTAGCATGGTTTTATAAAGTGGCATGCATTTTCGCCACTTAAAATCTGATTTTCCAACCTCCTACTTACTCAAATTTCTGGCTTAAAACTATGTTTTTAATCTTTTCTCTCTCTTCTTTGAGCTTTCTCTCCTCTTCCAACACTCCTGAAACAAACGTAACGTTTCGAGGGAGTTCTAATTTTCTTGCTTGAGTTTTCTTTCCAGACTTGCTTAAGAATGTAAATGCCACCTTTTTGGATTTTAGTTCATGACTTTCATGAGGAGTCGGAGGGGCAGAAATTCTGCCAGTTTCGGAACTTGTGCTATAGCCCGAGGGTATCATTGAAATATTGCTCGAGGACGTCTTCTCATTTCTACGACTTTCCAGAGATTCTTGAACCAATTGTTGAAACTGTCTTTCTAGGTCCTCCTCCGCCTTTATTTCTTCTGCAGACCTCAACTTCGATATATGAGCTTCTTGCATACGCCTTCGCTCTAACTCGTCATCAGAGTCATCATCTTCTTCTTCTGCGTAATTGCTATCATCAGAGTCGCTACTACTGCTATCCGTTTCGTCGCTGGAATTTTTGACAGCGCTCTCGATATTGTCGGCGATTTCGTACTCGCTCTCCATTTCTTTTTCGCCGTCTTTACTTAAAGCGTCGTCATCCTCATACATCTCATCATCATCTTCTTCTTCGTCGTCGTCATCATCCAGATCCACTTCAACAGGTCTCCCGTTTAGTTCACTGCCTTGCTGTGTTGAGAAACACTCCAATAGCTTTTTGCCACTGTCCACCACGTCTTTGCATCTTTCGAATTGCTGATTCTCTGTAAATCTGTTGAAAGTTCTTGAAATCTTTACTTCAACCTCCATTGGTAACGGTTGATCCTTGCTAAGAGTGTAAAATTCAAGCAGGCGTAAAAAGACAAGAAGCTTCTTCAGCTTATTCGGGGACAAGTCGGGTATGCTGAGCAATGTAGTGACGACTAAATGGATGCGGAAGTAGCTGCTCGGGGAGTCAAAGTCGTTGTCAAATACCGGAAAATGACCTTCTTGTGTACTTCCAGATAGAAGAACCTTAAACAGAATGTCAAGCACGACTTCTATCTTTAGTAAGTTGTTATTGTACAACGAAGATAGGTATCTCATCTGGGCAATCCTCACCATGTTTAAAGAAAAGTCATTTATCTCTAGTCCCCTTTCTATACCCTCCAGAACACCATCTATGACCTGGACGACAAAATTTCGATAGTAAGGAAATAAACCTTTAAGTACGGTCGCAAGCAGATCCAGCGACTGGTAGCTTATTTTCTCAGGTTTGGAAAATAGAGATACCATCGTCTTGTGAATGGACTCTTCCTTCCAGTGAGCACGCCGTACAAGCTTCACCAATCTCTCGGGTGGTAGCGAATGAAGTTCTTTGCGTAGAAGGATGCGATAGTACTTTTGTTCCGCTGATAGTTCTCTGGATGCCGAGTTGAGACTTTTCAAAGACGGTGGGTAAATCAAGACTAAAAGATTGTCCAAAGCACATTTATTGCTTACTGTCAAATCGTGCTCCTTTCTCTTTTGCTGAATCAAGTCAATCATCTTTTCCATCTGCGCCTTGTATTGAGGACTGTTTATGAGAAATTTACCAAAATTTTCGAAAAGAACTGTGAGAATTTCGATGTTGTTCGGTATTTGAATATTCATTGTCAAAGTTCTGATCTTGTGGAAGATGAGATAGGATGGAACAAGCCCGAACTTCACCATTTCGCTGAAAAATAAGATATTTTTGACGTTGATTTTGTTGGACCATAGCTGGCTCCTGAAACCGTTATCCAAATATTGAATGAGTTCATCTGTCACGTCTGACAAATTTTCCGAATTAGACGCAACAAAACGAGCGTATATTTTCAGTTTACTCCAATCCACAGTCTCAACGAAAAACTTCAAAAGTCTTTTTCTCGTGGCCTTTTTATTCAGTGAGTCGGCCCAGAACCTTGAAGATAACTCATCGATTGCTTCTTTCGTATCTGCCATTTCCAAGCCGAGGAAAAATTCATTGAGCTTTTGAGAATCGGCCGAGACTTTTTCGTCTGAGAGCTCCATAACGTCTGACAGATCTGGAAGTACCTCGTAAAAACGTCTCATCTCTTCGTTTTCCCAAATTTTATCCGATGCTGACTTTTGCTGGTTTACGATTACGGGGCTCGAGTTCACGGCAACATCCTCTGGTGCTTTTTCGAGTGTAGGCGCATCTATGCCAAATACGTCCGTGAGGATCTCTACAGCGGTTCGAAATCTTTCAAACGATGGAATGATTCTATCGTGCTCTTCAATATACTCATCGGTGCTTTTTCCAGTTCTAATTTGTGCTTTTTGGTGTTCCTTCAACAACTTGCTGAGCGTCTTGCTGAGTTCGACGAGTTGAGAGATGGAAGCTTCGCTAAACGCTTTGAAAAGTGAAATAAGAAGCTTTCTCGTATCTGAATCAATGAGTGATGAATCCTGATCGGCGTCATCTGAAAAGAATTGTGGAAACTTTGTGACGAAAGATGAAGCTACCGTTGTTGGTAAACCTGTTTTGAATCGGTAGTTTAGAGTTTCCTTCAAAACTGTGAAAATTATGGGTTCCTTCTTGGCCAATCTTTTCGCAATAAATGAGGGCAGGTTATCCTTGGATATAAATTCCACGTTATTGAAAAGTCCGGCAAGGTAAAGCTCAGTAAAGATTCTGATATTTGAGCGTAGTTTCGCCACCTTGGCGGTTTCTTCCTTTTCGTTTTCACTTTCAACCTGACAGACAGTGAAGTTCTGTAGGAATAGTTCCATCAAAGCTGGTGTGAACTGATGATTAAACCGCTGGTGCAATGAGCTAATGACTTCGACACATGCATGAATGTCCTCCGTTTTGTTTGAAGCTTTACTCAAACCCTCATTGGCCGTAACCACTAGTTCTGATAGGTATTTTGTCAATGAAAGCTCGGCAATATCTTTGAGCAGATTTGCCTTTGTATCTTTCGTGATGCCTTGCCTTAGTTTCCTTATAAAGCCGGTATTTCTCTTCATACTAGAGTCGGGTTTCTTATTCGTAAGCGGAAAAACATCTTCGCCGTTCCAAGCTTCGAGGTTCAGCTGCAGCAGTTCTGATCTTCTGTCATCCTAATTTCAGTTATGCCACATTAGTATTGTTGTTCTTTCATGAGTGAGTTGCACTCAAGACCGAGAAAGCACTGTTTTTTAAAACTTACATTCATTCCAGACAAGTAAAACCAGGGCAAGAAAAGCTAAAGCTTTGGGTTTAACTTGCTCGTGGCTCTAATATTTGGTCTTACCCATCGGTGTGTGGTGATGTGAATTTTAACAGGTTCAGTTAATGAGCTGGGACACTGTCGTTGAAAATGCTCGATTCAGAAGAGCATCAGATGCTGTACTAAGCGAACCCTTCTCCACCTAGCAGGTTGGTCAGCCCATTCAGTTGTAGGTCCAACTCCTCTAAATTTTTGTTCAGAACCGATGCCTCGTCGAATTTGCGATGTTTCGTGGCCGTAGCGATCATGTCCTCGACCAAAAATCTCTGCTCTTTTATAACCATGAGTTGAGTCCTGTAGTCTTTGATTTCTTTTATGCTCAAGTTCTTATTATCACTGTCTGGGAAGCTTTCTTGCGATGGCCTCGATGACGGCGATTGGGATGTTAATTTTGCTGTCAGATGGCCTAAAGGAAGCATGTTCTCTTGGATGAAGGATGATGCACGGGTGATGATTGCGGTTTGAATTCTACTTTCTGATGCGTTTCTTGGGTTCAGTTTTAGTAGCTGTTTCGTAAGGCGGTCGTAAGTAGAGAAGGAGTCCACCATCTTCCGTCGTTTCTTCGTTAATTCAACCACTTCCGAGACATCTGGGGCGTTTGAACGGGCTCCATTTACCGGTGCTTCTCCTAGGTTCGCAACTGCGGAGATAATTACAGAAGATATGGAACTCATACGTTCATAAAGTTGAAAAAGCATGGATAATGGCATCGCCATCTCTTTTTCGAATTTCCCTTTCTTGAATAGGGACTGAACGCACGAGGAACAGACTCGAATGCTAGTCTCAATGTCAGAAGCATCCGCTAATTTAGTAATTGGGAGATTGAATGCAGCATTTACCAGATTCGTGACCGGAATGTTGTTGGAGCATCCCGTTTCTGCACTATCGCAAACTATTTTACCGCAAAGCCTGCAGTGATGTTTGCGCAAAGTCAAACCAAAGTGCTTCTTGCACAGGTTGCATGCGGTGGCGAAATTATCTGGAGTCCATGGAACGACAGTTCTTTCTAATTGGGCTACTTCCATGGGGATTCTGAACGACGCCAGCATCAAACCTTGGTGCCTTGCATTGATGCGTAAGATACCGTTCATGAGCCTCACAAACCGATTTTCCAGCTGCAATAACTGCAGCTGGCGATCTTCAGTCCGGCTGTTTCGAAGCCTATGAAATTCGGTAGTTCTATTTCGAAAGCTTCCAAAATCTCTACATCCTGGTTTATCGTGTGCACATTGTTGGCAACAACGACACCACTTCCCCGTAATGGGGTCGTATTTCGCGTTCGCATTTAGCTTGATAACGTTTTGGCAATGCCGTATACAAAACAGCTCCCCACATTTTCTGCAGTTTATGTGACCGGTAGAACGATTCAATCTGGTGTAGCATTTGTGGCACCGGCTATAATCCGGATCTGGTTCTACCCAATGACTTCGGTTTAACGCGAATTTGGATGATTTCGCAGCCAAACTGGTATTTTTGCGCTTGGTGTTTTCCTGTGGCATCTCGTTGCTAGCTGGCTCCTCTGCGAAACCATGGGCGCGATCTAAATGACTGTTTAGCTGCAAAAGATCGATCGTTTTTTCATTGCACACAGGACATGCGAGTTCCTTGCTTCTTGTCAGACCGGGAGCACCACTAGAATTGTTTGAAGCTGGATTTTGATGTGCTACATCCATGGCAAGCCAGGAAAGGCCTTTTTGATTAGGCTTAAGGGCTAGTCGACTCTAGTCGACTCAAGTCGTCACCCTGTATCCTTTCTTCCTTTACGTACACGGTTTGACGCTATTATAACATTGACCGCTTTAAAAGATCATGTGACTTAAAGTCTATGTAACGCCTCAAGACTTAGGTAGAGGAACACGTAGATGATATCACGTTATTTATTAAACATATGGACCTCGTGACTTCATCTTATAACCCAAATTAGCTTTAAAGCTTTAGATCTCAACTCATCTCTCCATTCCTTTCTTCATTGCTCAACTTACAAGCCAGACCGTTCCATGTGTTACTGAGATATGCTCTCAAGTGATATCTACTTGCTGGTGATTCTAGTGGTATCTTTTGTGTTTTCTTTCCACGTCAGTCGCGAGATATTTTGGTTCAAAGCACAGCTTCTATTCGAGCTTGGAGATGGTGTAATGAGTGACCAAATTGTGGGGCTAGATGTGCTGAAAGAGCACGAAAAGACGTTCTTGCACAAGTTTTCTAATCCTTTTTCATTGTCATCAAAACGTATCACGCAATATATTCGTGTGCTGTTTGCAACGACCTGTGCATTATGCGTTGTTTCTGTTGAACTTACGCTGTGGGAGATAGTGAAAGCTGAAAACGAGGGTAATGTGGAACCAAGTGATCTCGTTTCAGCTGTGTGGCTATTTGCCTCCACGGTGTTGGCCTTTATCCTTATCTTGATACAGCCTTATTTGATTCTGTCGTCAATACTTAATAAGTTTTATGGCGACAGATTGAATCATAGCTCTCTGACGCTTGTGTGTTGTGGGGTCATTTTAACATGGGTTCTCACACTAAATGGACTGAATGCCGGCCCATTTCGTTCCTCGATCAGTCTTCTCACTAAAATCTCCATCATGGGCGTTAGTGTCATGGCATTGTTGTCTGGAATTGCATGCCTTTCCACACTGTATTACAGTGTTGTGTTTTTTTGGCGCAGACGCAATGGCAGTGGTGACACTGCTGCCGGTAGTGCTCCCCTTCAATTCTCACGCAATACACCTGTTCTCTTTTTGGATGAAGCGTCATTAGACGCAAAAAAGCATGAATGTGAAATTCAGATTCAAGATAGCTTGGCTGTACTACACAAACTCGAAAAAGAACCTGTTCCACCCCCTTTTGCGTTACGACAACAGCTTTTTGATAGAATCAGTCATTACCAATTAGAGCTATCAAGATTGCAAAAATTGGCTAGCTATTCAAAGACCAGACATCTAATGAAACGATTGTTTCATCTTGGCTTTCTGGCTTACTGCATTTACAGATTGTCCTCCATTTTCTTGCGCAGAATTCCTGCTTTATGCATCCATGGTATAAGGCATCCTAATGACTTTGAGTATGAAAAATTGATGAAACATTCTAGCGGAGAGACCATTGCTGGGGATCCCCTTGCTGTCTCTTTGGCCAAGATATGTGACTTCTTTGTCTTCCGATTGAAAGAGAAATCTCAGCAAGATTCTCTCGTGAAACAGATCTCTCTGATTTTGTCATTATCTTTGTTCGGCTGCTCACTTACAACAGTAATAGCGACAATATCTTATTTGGCAACGCTTCTACCTCTTCGAGTACGAATCCTGGCACTGAAAACCATGAGGCAAAGTCAAAGTAATGAGCTTCTTCCGACGACCAACGCAAAAAGCTCCCAGAGGAAAAAATCGGAGCCATCGATCATAAAAAATCTACTCATTTCCGAACTCACCGGAATCTATGTTCTCGCTACGATACTCATGGTGCGCTCGAACTTATCCAAAGGAGCAGCTCAGCGCTTAAATCGAATGTTGGGAGAGAAAAGCGTCGTTCCTTATATCGTTCTTGATGTGTGGTTTGACAAAATATTCGCACTGGGCGCTATGATATCGCTGGTAGGCATCAAATTGGCAGAAAGGACAACAGTGTATCCAAAAACTAATACTGTATAATATGCATTGAAATTCACTATATTACTAATTTAGGAAGATTGAAAGCCGGTAGCGATGCCGATCTAGACGTGTTTGGGTTTTCAATCAGTACGATTTCCTTGTTAGATAAAACGTCGGCGAGTAAAATCGATTTGTATTTTTCTGTTAGGAAAAATGGATGACTGTCTTTGCTGATACGTTTCGTTAGTTGCTCAGGAGAAGGCCTTTCCTTCATTAGTGGCGCTATGCGCTCTAGCTCGTCATCGTCTTCGTCATCATCTTCCCCTCCGTTAACATTATCACTTCTGTCAGTGATAGAATTACCGTCGATCTTATGCTTTTTTGGTCTTTTCCGTGTGCTTATTGGAAGGTCTTGTGACATGTCGAAGCTAGCTAAGCAGTTAACACCCCATACCCAAATTCTTTCCTGGGATTGTCCGCCACTAAAAATCCCAACAAACTTGTTTCTTGAACTCTCAAACTCCTTTGGCAGGTAGTCTTTGTTTTTCTTGCACCATACTGACATGGCTCCAATGGGAGATTCGTCAGTTTCTTTAAGGAACAGCTCTAATAGTTTGTTATCTGCGGTTGTAAGCAAAGCAGTGCCCTTTGAACTTATGTGAACGGCAGCGATGAAATTAGAAACACGAGCAACAGGTGATGCACTGTTATCCCTGATATTTATAACGTCCAGGGCCCCGCAAGTCCGTGTTACAACGGCAACGGAATCCCGACAGTCGATTTGATTGATTGATGCAATGTGAGGGCATTTAGAAGACTCTAGCTCTTCGGATAGAGCAGGCAGCTCGATTTCTGTTGCTTCTTCGTCAGCTTCTTCATCTTCAAGATCGAGCTTCAAAACCTCATCCTTTGACGAAACCAGGAGTATATTAGAGTTGTCAATGAATTTAATGTGTTTGGCACCTGTTCTCAGTAGGAACTCGTTGTCCAGTTTGGTTACTTTTAATTTGCCATTAGAAGGATGTAAATGAAAAAGCTTTGTGGTACTGGGTCTACCAACAATAAGAACTTGACCATCGTTTGAAAGTGCGCACGTAGAGATGTTTTGTTCATCGTTCAGCGTCAGCTTGCAGCAGAGCTTGTAGTTTTCTCCATCACCGGCGTCCATGCCCACGGCCCATATTCTTATTGTTGATTGTTGCCAAACCACACACAACCGCTGCTCAGCGTTGAAGAGAGCATTTTTGTGGAAGGGAACGAAGTATGGAATTTTCGTGTATGTGCCGTCTGTGAAATTGGAGATTGAGCTTATGAAAAGGTTTTTCTCAAGTCCACCGGAAACGAGAAAGTCAGCACCCTTGGACTGATAGGAAGCCATGGTTCTAACGTCATTTGAATGCAATAGTCTGTTTGAAGCGACAACCCATTTCAGGTTGTTTTTCGCGGTATTAGCAGATGCAAGGTTATATTGATAGATCTTACGGTCTACGCCAGCGCTGAAAACCTTTGAGTTTGTTTCGTCCGTCGCCAAGCACAATACATCTGCCTCGTGGCTTTTAAAAGTTTGTGTGAGCGTTGCGTATTGAAGGTCCCAGAACTTGACTGCGCCTGTGGAGTCACCAGACACAATCTGGTCCTTCTTTGGAAGGTATATGACGCTCCAAACCAAAGTGGATTCCTTTTTAGACTTGTCCACCTTCATAGTATGCAGAATGCGTCCCCTCAATTCTTCGGTGCTGGTGGCGCTCCAGACCCGTATTCTTCCATCAGCACAGCCTCCAATTACAGACTCGGTTCCTTTCCACGCAACAGATAAAACTCTAGAGTCTTGTCTCTGTAACACGGCTTCATGTTCCATGACGCCTGGTCCACCTGAAATGTCAACGATCACGACACATCCGTTATCGCATCCCACAGCTAATTTTGTTCCAGTCGAATCCAAAGCCATTGACCAAATAACACCAGCGTTGCAATCGTAATTTTTCAATGCAAGACCAGATGCCAAATCCCACTCTGTCACCACTGTAGATGCACCAATCGAGAAAAGTCGCAGCGGTTCTCCAGGCAAGTTGCTCCAAAGCAAGCCTTCCACTGTGCGGTCTTTACCACCTTGAATTATGAGTTCTTGGTACCAGCCATTGCGTGGATTCCAAATCTCGATGTCACCATTAGATCTTCCTAGTGCCAATCTCAAATCTGAAGGTGTTCTTTTGTCCGCTCTGGAAGCGTGGGAAAACGCAAGTGCGGTGATATTGGCACCTTTGAGTTCCGCAAAACGAGCCCTATGTACCAAGACATCTTTGGAACTTTGAGTCATCTTTGCAAGGGCTTAAAGCTATGGAAAACTGTAAAGTTCGCGCATGCGATGAGATCCATGCGATGAGATGAGATGAGCTCTTTAGGCCTTATTACATTGAAAAATTTTTAAAAGAAGACGACGCCAGTTTGGAGAAAAATGATCTGAGATTTTACTACTTTCACAACGTCACACTGAACAGATGAGAGTATCGACCGACAAAAGCGGGATGTTATTAACAAGAATTCTCTTGAATAGCTGGGTGAATTTGTGGATACTACGATGAGTTTCAGAGTTTTCAAAATTTTGAAAATTATTAGCACGGTCAAAATTGGAATAATGGGATTACCAAGTCATGGTGGATCACGCTGGGCCCGCATATGGGCATGTAGAGGAGCTGTAGTGAGGTGCTAGATGCGAAATTTATGGAAGAAATGTTTCTCCGCTAGGTGGCCAGGTTGACAATGTCGTATTAGTTGCGCCTAAGTTTGCAGGAATGATGTGTAGCTGAACGGTTGAAAATGTACTCACATCTACAGTCCAACATTTACATTCGTGCCTGTTTCTATTGGTCCTCATCCCTCGATCTCACCTGCGATTTCATCGTTGAGGGCGGAAAAGTGTTCAGTGACACGCTTTTAATAAGTGTATCGTTTCTTACCAATCTGTCGCTGACATTTTGGTATTATAGCGAACAGAGGCTATATGGATTTTTAAAAAACAGTAACACACATACAAAAAGTCGGCGTTCAACGTTCCGTTGTTGTCCTCCTATCAGTTGAGCTCAGTATTTTCCACATCTGACATCTGGCTAAATTTTCAAACATTCCCGGTTGCAACGCATTTATCTTTCACTGACATTAAATGCATGTCACGATAATTCGTTCTCGACATTTCGAACTATTGTCACTTAACAGCAGAAGATCTCCGGTCTATGAAATAAATTTTCTGATGCATGCATCAAGACTTCTTATTTTTCACAAGTGTCTCCGGATCCTTCTTCTGGTATATACAGCCTTGAACATGATTTTGTTCAATTTCAAAATACACAACATCATCAGAAAGCTCGATAAAAAAAAATTAAAAAGGCTGTGATAGCGTATTATCTGCGTCCATCTCGACGAATTCAGACCCATCAATTAGTGTCTCTCTACATCATAGGAATTTGAAGCCTTTCTATATGTACGAACTCTATCACTCTGTACTAATATCATCAATATCAGTGTTATTTACCTAGGTTTCTGAGATGAGCATCATGTTGATCTTACCAGATCCACTTCTTTAAACTCAGATTCAGAGCCTGTTCGATCCGTCTCGATGTCTGAGAACGTGTCAATAGATTCAGATAATTCAGATTCCACGAATTCCAAAATTTTTAGGGCCATTGCAGATGTATTTCAAAACGCACAATCGACCTACGCAGGTCATCGCAGACATATCGCGGTCTTGAAAAGAATTCAATCAAAGGCTACAGAAACGGGATATGAAGAAGTATTCAACTACTGGTTTAACAAAATGGTTACATTGATTTTACCTTTGAAAAGAACCGAAATCGTAGGTGACAGAATTGTAAGACTAGTTGCAGGACTGGTGGCCAGTCTCGACCATGAAGTGGAGTCCCTAAAGGAAAAACAAGAAGATTTTGATGGAAAAGAAAAGATTTTCTCGAGATTTGTTAACCAATTCATTCGGCACATTCTGCGTGGAGTAGAATCGCGCGAGAAAAATGTTCGGTATAGGGTCGCACAGCTTTTGGCTGTCATCATGGATAACATAGGTGAAATTGATGAAGATTTGTACAAGTTGATTATGTGGTCGTTTGAAAAACGATTGTTTGATAAAGAAGCGCCGGTACGAGTTCAGGCCATTTTCTGTCTCACCAAATTTCAAGACGAGGACAACACTTCAGAAACAATCGACGAAGCGTCCACGAAGCTTATCCACGCCATTCAAAATGATCCAAGTGCCGAAGTTCGTAGAGCGGCCATGCTCAATCTCGTCAGTTTAGATAAGACAAGGAATATAATTATGGAGCGGGCTCGAGACGTCAATACCGTCAACCGGCGCATTGTGTACACACGAGTCTTGAAGAATATGGGTGCCTCTGTGTTTCAGGAATTGGATGGAGACTTGATTGGCAAACTTATCACTTGGGGGCTCGAAGATCGTGAAGAGTCAGTACGAAACGCCTGCGTGCGTTTGGTTGCCTTTGAGTGGTTGAATTTAATGGATGGGGATATTATAAGACTTTTGTCGAAGTTGAATGTGACCTCGAATAACGTTTGTGAGAAGGTACTAGACGCTATTTTCAACTATAGAGAGGATACTGTTGCTAAAATCAAACTACCCGTTAATGTGTGGGATTCTCTAACCGCAGAAATTTCCTTCCTCATAAAAGCTTTTCATACACACTGCACGCAAAACAAGTTGGAAGACATACTTGACGGGAATTTTCCCGAAGCTTCAAGATTATCGGAGATTTTGCAAAAGTATTTGGACCTCAGATTTTCCAACAACAACCTTTCGAATACAGATGTTTCTTGTTTGGAGTTTATCATCGAGCAGTTGTTGTCGGTAGCCTTCAAATATGATTACAGTGATGAAGTCGGAAGGCGGGCTATGTTGATGATAATTCGTAACGCATTGGCAAACTATAGCTTGACGGCGCCTATTGTTAGAATAGCTCTTCAAGTGCTGAAGGTACTGTCAATCAATGAGCGTGATTTCATAGCCATGACAGTTGAAATCATAACGGATATACGGGATGAAGATATCGAAAAGCAAGAAGCCGAAGAAGCAAACCAAGACTCAAGGTTCAAGCAGGACGAGGACGAGGATGACGAAGCTGCAGTGCAGTCGTTCCACTCAGCAGTCGACGACCTTGTTAACAACAAGAATACCACTGCACCTAGTGCTGCACCAGCGGTTCAGGAAAAGGAGGTCAGTCCTCATACTCTTCTTGGGTGTCTCACAATGTCACAGTTTATGCTGGAACTCATAAATTTGCCCATCGATGAGAATGTTATGATATCCTCTTTGATTGACACGCTGATTACCCCAGCTGTCAGAAATACCCAGTCTGAAGTCAGAGAACTTGGCGTTCGTAATTTGGGGCTTTGCAGTCTCTTGGATGTTAATATAGCCACTGAGAGCCTTTATCTTTTTGGTATGTGCGTTTCCAAGGGCGATGCAAGTCTAAAAACCATAGCACTCAAGGTCATAGCCGACATTTTTTCAGTTCATGGGACAAAAGTGGTGGACGGCGAAGGCAAGGTTGACTCCATTTCTTTGCATAAGATTTTTTACAAAACGCTAAAAAATTGCGAGCTACCGGAGTGTCAAGCAACGGTCGCGGAGGGTTTATGCAAACTGTTTTTGGGAGATGTTTTTGTTGACGATGATCTATTTGAAACACTTGTTCTTTCTTACTTCTCACCTGCAAACTCTCAAAATGAAGCTTTGGTTCAGGCATTTGCATTTTGCCTCCCCGTTTACTGCTTCTCTCACATTAGACATCAAAAGAGAATGGTCCGCGTTGCAGGCGACGTGCTACTGAGGCTCTCTGTCTTGTGGGACGAGTTGCAGACAAATGACGATAGCTCAATATCTCCCGACTCTATGCTAAAGCCGAACGTCATATTTCAAGAGCTTATAGAGTGGACAGATTCAGGCAAGGTAGTCAACCAGACAGAGGAGCATTTCGAGGATGAGGAAGATACTCAATTACATTTTCTATTGGGCGTCCTCAGAATATATTACAAATTTGAGCGCAAAGAGGTCAAAAAGATGATCTTGACTAACATCAATAGGTTCAGTTTTCAAGATCGGAGTATTCGGAAATGGAAAGAAGTTCGCGACATTCTTGAAGATATTTCAGAAAACGATGACATCGATTCCGCAAGCCGGAGTTCGATCGCTAAATTCTTAAGATCGTTGGAAGAGGATATTTTGAGTGGAGATGCGGACGTTGATACTACGAAGGATGGAACCAGCGATATGGGAGAGCGGCTATCCGCATCTTCAAGTGAAGAAAGGATGTCAGAGGACGAAAAACCTGAAGTGACACTGGCTGTGTCAAATGAAGAAAATTCCAACGTACCTATTGCGGGAATTGACAAGCCTTCTGGTTCTTCTGATGCCCTTTCGAGTGTGTTGCTGCCGCCTGAACCGGACAGAATGTTGCCAGGTGATGTCAGTCGCCTGCGAAGCAAAAAGAGGAAGAGAGCAGATATCTCGGGGTCTGAGAGTAATTCTGATCAAGAGAAAAGTAGCAGATTGGTTAGCTTCGTCTTGCCGGAACCGCAACGTGGTCCATCAAGCGACTCGTCATTTGGCAACCCAGTCGATGACAGTAGTTTCGAAGACGAAAACGACAATTAAAATGACGAAAGCCATCCGGGGATAGGTTCAATTCAAATTGGTGAAATTGCAGACATTCTGTCCGTCTTCATTATTACTGATGCCAATGCTGATTGTTTATACATGCGTAGAATTCATTACAAATAGCTTCCCAAAATCTGATCATCTTTCAGGTACTCCCGAACAACAAAGTATATTTCAATCAAAAGACGAGGAAATCTTCTCGCGAAGAAAAGATAAAAGCCGTCAGGGATTGGACCCATCACCTCTGCAAGTTCTTGCGGCAAATCCATGAAATGATGGTATTTGTTACGAAGAGCCCTCAAAAGATCCATCAACTTTTCGCCGCTGTATTTTCGGTACTTACCCAAGTTATCCATAAAGATAGTATCGAACTTAACAGTCCAGTCGCGATTCGGTATAACCATTTCTGATACCGCCTCGAGTCTCAGTAAGAGGTCACTAGGAGGTACTCGTCTCTCTATCTCAAACCGATCACTTACTTTGAGTAGAAACTCAAGCTTCTTTGGAAGTGACCAGAAAAGTGGATGCTTGATTACATCGTCTGCTGTCGGCCTTTCAGAGGGTTCATGTGAAAGCATCCTCGTTATCAAATCGGTTGCTTCAACGACTGCATATCTGTCTCGCAGAGACTTTTTGATACCTTCCAAAGAGTATTCAGCCCTCAAAATGCTTGCGTCCCGTGAATATTTGTCACCAAAAGGGTGGCCACCTTTGGAAAGCACGTAGTGGAACAAACATCCCATGGAGAAGACGTCTATAGCTCTTGTCAGACGTTTATGGTAGAACGGATCGTAAGTGGATGGTTCCAAACTTTCCAGACCTGATTCTTCATCCCTGGTATCGCTATCGCTGCAGTTTTGATCTATCTCCAAAAGCTCGGGAGCTCTCCAACCACTTGTGCCAGAAGCATTACCTTGGCGTGTGTGGAAAGATGATTGATCTGGTCCTAATCTTTTACAAAGGCCAAAATCGGAAATGAGTACCCTCATTGGAGCAAGATTATTGTTGACTCGTTGCATGTACTTCCGGGTAGGGGCCACCAGAATGTTCTGGGGCTTTAGATCTCGGTGAACGATTTTTATAGCGTGCAAATGTGCTACTCCTTGGGCGATTTGAAGCAGTACATTGAGCGGATCAAGAGTGCTCTGTGCCTCTAATACAGCTGAGCTCGACCCTTTACCTGTTATCACATCCTCTAACGTCGCAGTGCATAATTCTAGAGCAATGTAAAAAAAGCGGCCTGATGTTTCCGAGCAATAGTATCTTACGACATTGGGATGATGATCACTTTCGGTTAAAAGCTTTATTTCTTGAGTCCCAACGTCATAAAAATCGATAAGCATGCGCTTGACGGCAACAGGTCTGTGCTGAAATGTTCCCTGAAATACGACGGTCCCCGCCGATCCATACCCAAGAACTTTTTTAGAAACCACCAAGTTCTGAAGGCCTCTTTCAACTTCAACATCATGGCCCCGTAATTCAATTTCTGCCATAGCAGGGCTAGATTCTTTCTTGTTTTTCTTTCCGCCCCTGGAGCCTCTCTTGCGTTTTTTGCGATCGACCGAGGAGCTACCATCAGGTATATTATCAATGTTGAATTCAGGTTCCTCGATCCTGACATGCTTTTTGCCCGACTCTTCGGCTGTTGATTCAGACGCAGGTTTGTTATCATTCTCTATTTCCACAGAACCGGTCTTCATAGTCTCTCTTTTAAATAAGCCAGCGCGTTCTAACCATGCGTGCAAGGGCGCCAAAACTTTGAATTTCGACAGTAGGCCTAAAATGAAAAATGAAAACACAAGCATAAGCCCACCTTCCACGATCCGATAAACAAAATCTGCAAACCTGAACACGTAGGATTTCCGATCTTTCAATAGCAGCTCCCGCGCAAATCTTTCTTCTGCCTCCAAACGCAGCACTTGAAGTTCCCTTTCGGAAACGTATCTATCAAGCGCCTTTGGTGAGGCTGCTTCAAGAGCGAGAGCATCCGGATTCCTACTCAACCTACTTGGTGCATCGAGAAGTGGTTTGGAATCGCTTGGTAAAGACGGTTGTAGAGTATTTGACCTATTGTAGCGAACTTGCTCGAATTGAAGGTTTTGCAATTCATGAACACCCAGTATGGCCTCTTCTACGGTTCCATTCCCAGCCGCACACATGCTCCAATCCTTTTTCTGCTTCATACTTCCTGAATTCGAAGCAGAGCCCACTAGAGAGGGGTAGTGAACATCGGACATCGCAAATAAACTATTTTCAGAAGTAAGGCCAATTAAAACACTGTTTTCGCCGCGAGCTTCAGACCTTGGATTCAAAGGATGTGGCAGAAGAATTTTTTCATTTGTATCTCTATCAATGAAAACATCGAAAACGCTGTTGATGGTACTTTGAAATTGTGAGGAGATCCATTTTGCATGCCTCAGCTCGGAGTCCACTGCTAATAGAGAATTGCCATCGAATGGCTCAATCGAAACGCCATCAGACGGTTGTGTGTAATCCAATGCTAAATGTGCGTCCGCAGCATTTTGTTTCCAAACCGCATAAGTCACGTTGTACACAATACCGCTTTTGTTGTATATGCCCAACTGGTAAGTTGTTTTCCCCAGCACGAAGATGTCATCACACGAAGCCAAATCAGATTCCGTATCACTGCAATCGACCTCTGTGTCTTGAATAAAAAATTTATCCGTTCCTTGTCCGTATGCCGATACTATTTGACCACTTTTGATGTCGATATTGAAAACAACAGACTGTCGAGCGCCAGCATATATTTTTTCATCTTCGATTGTTGTTCCATCTTCGTCAATGACAATTTTCGTCTTCAAATCAAGTGGCGATAGATCCACGAGATGCTTGATGGAAATAGGCAATTTCTGCAAACCTTGGAAAATGTTATAGTAATAAATGTTACCATCATCATATGGTTCAATAATTAGGGTTTCATTTTGTAGTTGTGTTGTCTCGGAGACCGAGATGAGAGGTGGACTGGCGTGGTCGATGGACCACTGGATCTCGCCTGTAGATCGACTTAGTGCGTGTATATTACCCTCTAGATCTGTTGCTAGTATGATATCCAGCAAATCGAAGTTTTCAGTACTTCTTCCGCTCGAAGCTAAAGATAATATCGTTTTTGATACGTCCTGATCGACAACCGTACCTGTCTTAGGAAAAGAGTTTTGTGACGTTTCCAAACTCTCCATTTCATGCTTTAAACCCCTGTAGGGCGGATCTGTCGCTGCTGGGTTGGATGCTTCAAAATTGGATGTGTCGGTTTTTCTGAAAAGCGTAGGTTTGGCTGTGTATACTTCGGCATGCAATGTGTCTACAGTAAGTGTTCTTGTTTGACTTGAGACGGTGCTTCTTTTCCGAATCCACTGTGGCCAGCCACATCTTCCCTCTGCCAAAAACAAGCACAGTACTGCTAGGTGTATTATAAGTAGCCTCGGACTTCGCCGATGCATCATGCTCAGACGAATCGATGTTCAGTATCAACGCAACGAAATGCAATTACCTCACCACACCGCTCCGTTATAACTTATGCAAAGACCCAAAAAGACAGCTCAAGACCGATGTGATAGTGGTATGCATCAACCTGGGCGGAGCTGGGAGATGTGGATGTTTCAACGTATGATTTTATTTGATTTTCTTCTACCAGAAAGCATATCAGCCAGCGTTTTGTATAGTAGTACACCGCTGTATTTTTGACACCATAGCCAAAAAATAGTTCCCGTGAAACGTGATCTTTAATTGGTCAATTTGAAGTGGTTAACTAAGAGGCCCTCAATGAGAATAGAATTCCACCCCATGAACACAGTACCCTCACAGCACGTTGAGTCTATGGATGTCCAGTACGAATTCATAGCTTGTCACTCATTTCGTAGTTCATTTCCTCGAAAACTTCCTTTATTTTGCAATTTTTTTCGTCTGCAATCATCTGGGCAAGAGCCAGGCCTGTGTCGCGTAGTTCATTGTATTTCTTCAATAAGGAAATATGTTCCTTGATCACTCTGTCTGGCGATTGGTTGCTGAGTTTAAGTCAAGTTAGTTTAGGGTTTTAGAGCTCCAGAAACATTAAGCAAATTGTCACTTTTCACCATACATGTTGTTGAGTTCTTCTAGTGTTCGAAATTGTTCCAATAATGACACATTTGAGCGCTCCAATTGTTCTAAATCTACTATATGTTTTGCTGAACGTGATTCTTGATCAAACGAGCTCATATTGATGCTGTTTAAGCTCGACATTTACCACTTTTTTTGAGTGATAACGCTCGGTAAAAGTTGTATGAAATGGGGAAAGAAGCTTAGCCGCCGACATCATTCTTTTATTTAAATATTGTACACAAAATGGGATTTTTCGTACAAAAGTATGTGTTTGTCCCAAGAACGGATTTTGTATACGAACAGCACAAATGTTGACGAAAGAATGAACACTATTAATAGTGTTTTTTGCTTGGTTCTTATGGTATTTGTTGCTGTGTTCGCACATTGTTTAGCTTTTTTCTCACAAGTAGGTAGTAGTGTTTAAAAGAGATTTCAATTCGTCAAGTTTGACCTCGGCCAGCCGTATGGTCTCCTCGAGATCCTGGCGTGTATGACGTGACATCCGTCGCCTAGCATAGTCCGGCGAGTGGTTTTCTTGTAAGATAGTGCTTCGATCTTTTATCCACTCCCATATGTCGCTCTCGGATGTCGTAACAACATTCCACACTTTTGAGCTCTTTCGTGGAGCGCGACTCTCGCGACCAAAAGCTCCATACAGCGTATCAAGCGTCGGGGCATAGTTGTATGTTTCTCCACCTATCACGATGCGACCTGGCCCAACAATTGTGGAGGCACTCGAGCTGCTGGACGCGGATCTGGCTATTATGGTGATTATGCTGACAAGTGTAAAGAGAAACACCAACGCCTGATAGAGCATTGGTAGACCCATGAAAGTTTTAAAGGCAGCATTAAAAAGCTGCGTTGTCTTTGAATGAGGAGCCTCGACTTTCTTCGAAGGGCTAGGAGGCGCTTTTGTTTTCTTTGCTTTGGTTTTAGTGGCCCTTCTTGCGTGCCCTTTCTTTGTTGTCCCGGCTTCGGCAACAATGTCTTTGAGCTCCTGGCCCATAACATTAATGGAACTTTTCTGGCCATCTAGCGAGCCTTTTTCAATGGCGCCTTTGATCCAGCTCTTGGCAATCCAGACGACGTTGGAGACTACAAGCACGTCAGTTTGGTTATTCAATCCCCAATGCAGATAGATTTTGGTGTTTACTGAAAACGATGAACCTGATGGAACGTCCGGCGTTTTGGTTATTTGGCGTACAATGACTTGATTTTCCAGATCATTGCGTTCAATCTTTTCTTCAATATAGCATTTAGTCTTTTTCGGACCGACAGGTCCACTCAAAGGCTTAGTATATTGATATTCTCTTGAGCCATCTTTGAATTGAGGTAAAGTCGAAATTTCATAGTTTCCTTGCTTGTCAATGATCCTTTGCAAATACGAAGTGTCGTTGCCAAACAAAAGCTGATACACTGTACCTACTGGAGCAGGTATTGTTAGACTGTCTGTAATTACAACATCACCATCCTCCTTCGTGTAATCGGCACTAGTCTTTGCATGTTCACTAGGTCCAGCTGTTGGTAAATTAATTGTGTCCTCGCTGCTTGGTGTTTCGTTCGATTCCTTAGCTCCTTTGACATCTTTGTTGTGAATTATTTTATTGATCTCTTCGATCATCGTCTTTGTCGTTGCCGTGACACCATCAAACGTGTGTTTTTCGATCGCAGCTTTCAGCCAACTTTTACCCGTCCATTTAACATTGACTGCAACCATCAGCTTGGTACAGTTCCGTGGTGCCCATGAGTAATAGAACGATGTCACTACCTCGAAAGAGTTACCAGAAGGAACATCAGGAGTTCTCGATATCTGAACAGCTTTAACGTAATCTTCTAAGTTATAGTGTTCAATGGTTTCAGTAATTTCGCAGTTCGTCTTGCTCGGGCCGATAGAGCCGTTTAAAGGCTTCACGTAACTATAAGTTCGCTCATTTGTGGCCATAATGGGTGGAATCTTTGATATATCATAGTTTTTTTGAGCTTCCAAGATCCTCTTTGTGTAAGATACCTTATCTCCATAAAGCAAGTTGACAATCTTACCCAACGGAGCCTCGAAGACTGTTTCGGCTACCACCCTATCATCTACCGCGGCAGGGTGGTCGCCAGATGTTGGTGGGTGCTCTACTGGGCCCAGAGTTGTAAGTTCCTGTTTTCTGCTAAGTCTGAATTCACCATTGGCGATTTCTGACATGTCGGGCCGATTTTCGTAATCGCCGTCTTCTCCATGGCCATCATCCGTTGAACTTTCGTCAGTGGTTTCCTCCCCGCTGGAATAGCCGTCTGAAGACGACTCCGGAGACATTTGGGCTTCCCCGTCCGAGCTAGAGTTCAAAGTACTGTTACTAGATTTTGGAGACGAGCTGCTTCTACCAACGATCTTGATCCGCTCATCAGAGTCTTCGATGGTCTGATTCCATATCGAAGTGATAAAGTCAAAAGCAGCATCGCGAGACATGATTGATGCAAAAGTATATCTCGAATGTAAGGTTTGAAACACCATTCCGTTGGGGAAAATGCCAGCGGTAGACTTTTTTTCAATTTGTACAATTTCTTCGAAAGGTATGACAACGTTCGTCACCCACCCGAGAATACTCGAATTGAAACACACATGCTCCCAGGAAATATACAAGCGACCTTGTAACAGTATATCTCGTGATAGGGCGCAACTGTAATCCGCTAGTAACGATTCCGATGACGAGACACCCGATTCCTTGAACAAAGAATGAAACTCATTTTGTTTTCTTTCAGAAATGTGAATTGATCCGCGAGGACTTCTCGCTCCGTGTTTACTAGTCCCCTCGGTGTATGCCGATGCGTTGTCGTTCGAATTGAAGCTGGCTTCACCACCTCTTGCGTTCTCATCGTGGCTTAAAGATCTATCCCTCTGCAACGAGTTCCTCAAACCTCTGGAGGATACTCCTCGGAGAGACAGCTGTTGAAAAGATTGGGGCCTCATGGTGCTGGCCCTTTTGCGCGACTTCTTTTCTTCGGTCATCTTCTGCTGCACCTTCGAGCTAGGCACTGCTTCTTTTCGATCTAGAGTGGTGCTAGAATTGGCTCCAGGGTCACTTCTAGCTGGCGATGGTGTTTTGACCATGACATCTCCAAGGCTTGTTTCGATATTGTAAGCAGGTACCTTTACCTGGTTTCCAGATGCAGTTGCAGAACGTCCACGTTGCGGAAAAGAAGATCGTTTTTCGTCGCCATTGTTCATACCATCTTTTTCCAGCGATGAACTGCTTCGGTTGGTACTAGCAAGAGCATCTAAAGTTAAATTTCCTCTGCCCAAAGTAGCTATGGGTGCTTCCCCTCTTAGAGATCGAAAGTGGATTCTTTCGGTTACCGATCCCAGATCTGTTTCAGCCCCTGAAGCACTCCCATCGGGCTCATGGACAGTTATACTAGGAGTACCTGAATACTCAGATTCCGCCCTTCCTACGGAGGAGTTCACCGATGACTTGTTAGTTGGCCTTGAATTAAAAGTTGGTGAAAGCAAATTATTGGTGTCATCAAAGTTTTGAGCCATTGGACCACTAGCTAGTAAGAAATCCAAATGCTTTAAAAACGACGAATTTGGTGCTTGTTCTTGAGACTCAAGCTTATGAGAGGCAGCAACATCGGGTAAGGTTTCAACAGCATCCTGCGACGACGACCCTAAAGGTAACGTCTTTTCACTGTTAGATTTCGGTAGAAGATGGTTTGCAGCATTATGTGCGGCTGAAAGAATGGAGGAGAAAACACCACTAGTGGCCTTTTGATCAGATTCATCATCTTTGCTGTCTGTGTGAAGATGCATGCTGCTGCCCTTTGTGCTTACTTTTGCCGTACCCAGATTAGAGTCAGCTGCTTTTGTAGACTTGTGAGACCCATCGGCTGGCTGATCTGATTGGTTGTTATTATCGCTGGTTTTGCTTGTAGCTGTCGAGGCTTTAGTGCCCTCACTGTGATTATTGAAGGAATTTAGTTTCGATTTGACTATGTCAGAGGTCTTGCGCTTTGCCCTACTAGGAGACGCTGAGCGCCTCCTTTTTCTCATCGCAGTATCGTTTTCGTCGACTCCTGCAATCAAATCTGGACTCGTTCGTGACGGTTCAGTTTGGAGGTTCGAAACCGATCGATCTCTCACGCTGCGGCGCACGATGGCATGTCTCCCTGCATTTTCAAGGCTTGATACCTTTTTTTTACCTGAATCCTCCTTTTTTTTATCGCTCTTGCCCTTCTTCTTCTTGTGGAGAAATCCCATCCCTGGGTTTTCTGTAATCGGACGGTAAGTTCTAGCAGCAATTGATTCGTTTTCGGTGCTCATAAGTCTGCATTCACAATAGGAATGTGGCAGCACTATAATGAAGCTGTTCTCAACTGTGGAAAGACTTGAATTTTGTTATACTTTGTGAAAATGAGCCCAGAATCTGTCTTCAGCGACACTAATGGTCAGAGCAACAAAAGTCCACCGTTAGTGAATCAATTTCCACTCTGGAAAAACGAAAAGATTCAGAAAACTAAGCCACCGCTGACTACAAAAATAGAGAGCGCCAGTGACCTCAATTTAAACAGTTTCTGCTCGCAAATCAGTTGCGATGCCCATTGTTGGAAGTTTCTATTCACATTCATTTATTGGACCTTTTACATACTTAATTCTCCCTTTGACATTTTTAACGGTTTACTATAGCAGCGTCAGTGGTCTAAAATGTAAACAAAGACAAATAGTTACATTCTACAAGCCTGACGCTGTCATCGAGGAATTGACAAGTGTGAACTGATCCATTTGTTCTTGGGTCTTAAAACGGACTTTGATTGTAAAGGTTTACGTGATTACGCATATTGTAGCATCACCTGGACGCTCTTCAAGAGAAAACACAGTTTGCCGTAGATAGTAAAGGTAAAGATTTGCAAGCAAACTTGAAGTGATTTAATGTTTCTGAGATGGTTCTTGGGAACTCATATTGAGTGTAACATAGCTGGAGGATTCAAAGAGCTTTTTTCTTCCCTTTGAAATGATCTGCTTCCCGACAACCATGTACCTTAAATCAATTTCGGACGCGCGATAGCGTTTTTTGAGTAAATTGCGCCTGTGCGGATAGCGTAATACAGTTCCTGTTCTCATTTTGAAGGTCTGTTACTATACTGGACGCCAATCATTGCTAATTCGTATCACTTTACACTAATCTGACATTTACCTAGTACACTATGAGCAAGACGATGGACCAACCTTTCACCAATCAAAAGAAGAAGAAAGACGACAGCCATTGAGCAAGCAAGCAGGAAATTGTGGTGCGAAATAGCAATCACCGGCACTGTTGAAAGCCATAATGGCGTATTCTAAGTGGATATCCCTCATCAATGCCGACAACCAGAAAGATTGCGAAATTCTTGCTACCCAAGGACGGCACTTTAGCCACAAAAATCTTCGAGAAAGGCCGTTCAGTCCCTTTATTTGTAAGCGCTTCAACGATCCTCGGCCCATTCGTTCTCGCGTCGGATGGCAGCCTCTTCCTCTGGGGTGAAGTCGTTCACGATGTTAAAGGTTCGTCTGATCTCCTCAGGAGTCCTGCCACGTATCATCTCTGCAACCACTTTGCAACCTGCGTCCAGTAGAGGCTTGATATTCAGATAATTAGCGGCTTGCATGATCTCATAGAGCATTTCCTGGTCCACTTTCAGAAACTCACGGTCCCAGGGGTCTGCTGGCGCCGTTTTGCGTGCGTCATCGTCGTTTTCATCTGGAAAATTCGAGTCTCTGTGGTGTTCTGCCCATTCAATCACCTTCTGCAAAACAGAAGATCTAACATTTGGAACAGGCATCACAATCTCGTCTTCAGAGTCCGCACCTTCCTCATCAGATTCGGAATCACTGCCACTTTGAAGCCCGTTGTCTTGCATGTCATTCAAATAATTTTTAAGCAGAAGAGACCTTTCTGCAATCTTACGTTCCACAGTGAACCTCTCTCCTTCTACGGAGACAAGAACAACACTCTGCTTACTATCTTTTGCCATATTTCCCCTAGTACGCTACTACTCACTAATAACCAACGATAGACGACACCTGATCTGATTTCACGCCGTTTAGCTCTGATCTTACGTTTCTCTAATTCTACCTTTAACTTGATCGCCTTCCTTTACCAATTTCGAAATTCGAGGTTAATGATATCACTTTGTACTAACCCATCTGTAAGAGTCCTCCCAGGTTGACAGCGCTCTCTATTTCAACTGGAAAGGAAGCGAGCGACATCCTAAACAACGACTGATCAATCATTGCGCCCAATTTTGTCTTGGTTTCTAAGGATTAAGGAAAATGTGTCATTGACCGCTGATGTTAGCTTTGAATTGAATCAGCAGCTGTCATTCAAGTGAAATTTCGAAGGATCGCCTGCTAAATAGAAAGTGCAGTTATGATGGCGCCCTTCTATATAAACAGTCAGACTGTTCATGCATTCCTGAGCTTTTGGTGCTACCTGAATAGTCAAGAAGTAGTTCTGGTTAACCTTTTTGTCTGTGCTATTCGCATGAGAGATGAAAAACGGTATATTAGACTAGGTACAGCTAGTGTAGCGAGGTCCTCAGAAACTTGCAACAGAAGCTGACACAATTCCACAAGGCCTTGATTTTCTTCAATTTGACGTACATCAATTAAAATTTCGAGCAGGTGCTGTGGACAACGCTCTGTAAGCTAAAATCCAAAATTACTATAAACACTGGCACTGAGGTCATCCAGTTCTGGTATGGAATCCAGCCTTTGCAGGAAAATGTTGTTCATCGACACCACTCCGCTCTTGAGCATTTCGTCACAGCACCCCTTGCAACTGACGGCGAATAGGGCCATTTGGTATTTCTCGTCATCGTCAGTAATGGACGTCGTCACTGAGGGGTTGCGCTTACTTTTCTTGGCAACATTATCCTCGACATGTTGCATCGTAAACTGAAATGCGTCATTGACAAGACTCTCCAGGACGACCAAAGAAGCCGTGGATTGGACGCACTTGCTTGTCTCATTCAAAAGCTGGCGTAATACAGTGTTGTCGTCATAAAGCAACTTCAAGGCGTCGGAGTCTAACGTTTGCTGGAGCACAAATTGCTCGAGATTTGGCTCCGGAAGTAAAGTCTGCTTCAATGGTTGTTTTCCATCCTTTGCTTCAACGTCACATTGTACCAGAAGCTCCGTATTAATGGAATGCAAAACACGCGTCAATTTGTCCCCAAATTCCTGTACTGACAAAACATCGCGCGGGTTCAATTCTGAAAACTCACGCTCAACCAGCTTTTCAGCGAGTGACTTGAACTGTAGCCATCCACGATTCAACAGCCACCATGAAAATGATAAAAATGCCTGTTCATTAATGTAACTTGACTTCCGTGTAAGCTGGGCTTCTTCAGAAAGCACTGGACCCGCCGAATCTTCCTTGCTGCTAGCTTGAGTATCAGTTGCCGGCGTTTTTTGCCAAAAGCTGCTTATCCAAGACGCCAAGAATCCTTTGTTAGAGGATTCTTTTTCAACTGCCATTTTCACGGCGCTCTCGAGGTATTCCCGTCTGGCCAGGATGTTGAGTTGCAATCTGGTTAATAGTAGCAGTGAGGAGACGCTGTATATGACGGTGCAAAGCTTAACCAAGGATTTGAACTTGAGGTCATTCCAAAGTTCTGCTTTGGTTCTCGCGTCAGCTGGAGTCGCACTGGATCCAGATATGTGTGCTTCAGTGACGCTTGTGCTCATGCCGGAAGAGATGCCATCGCGTTCAGCATCTGTAGAACCCCGGGAGAGCTTTCTGGAAAGTTTCTTGCCTTTCAGAGACCCCACAATCTCGTCCACGTCCAGGTCTTTGACCAGCACAAGCGAAAGCACGGGGACCAGCTCGTACATGGTATAAAGCGCATCCTGCTGTGTCTGCATGAACCGACGCTTGATTTGCTCTTTGACGAACTGTTGTTCGGTTATTTTCAGCTGTTGTCTCCAGAGCCACTTTTTGATAAGGTACAGCGAAACAGCTCCTGTGCTAAAGAGAAAGGCGACCGTGGCGGAAGAAACCAGGACTTTATTCCGGTGTCGCTGCCAGAGGGATCTATTAATCATTTTTGAGGCCACCAGTGGTTTGAAAGAAAATCTAAGGTGGTTTGTTCCCAAAGATGTTGTAATTGGACTAACTGGATACTTCAAGGTCCTTATTAACAACAATTAGTTAAGGGAGGAAAGACAGTAAATAGAGATCTGTCAGCTCGAATATTATGGCCGTAATGTAGATATACACTATACTTCCAACGAAATCAAATCGTAGAGCTTGAACCAAGCGCAACTCGTTTGATATTCTCTTTTTCTACAGTCAAGTTCTTGTCATGTAATTGATATTTTCTGAAGGAGATGAGATGTCACTATATTTGATATTAACTACTGTTTCGAAGAACACTGACATGGAAGAATGGGAAACAAGCCAATGATTCAATTAATGATCAGGGAGGGATTGAAATATGGATTACTTTGTGTGACTTCTTTTGTTCAAGAATCACTTCTTTTCTTGTTCAGAGGAGCGATTCTAAAGTCGTTCTTTCGAGCTTTTTAAGAGGACAAAAAGCGGGATAAAATTACCGAACGATGAATCTTGGACCATGAGCAGAGCTACAAGTTGCTTATGTCCTTGTCTAATGATTTTTTGGTACACTTTGAGAGTATCATTGACTGATGACAGTAAAATGCAATTCTAGATAATTTCAAATTTAAACTTTGCTTAAAAAACGGCAGGATAGGTTGCAAAATCCTCGTAAAGAAATCGTATATACTAGCTTTCTATCTTCATTGACTATCCTGTTACCAGCTGTTGATGTTTCTGTTCTGACAGTTAGCTTTTTATATGTGAAAAATGAAAATTATAATGCGATGCCCAAAAGTTGGATAACGTTCACGTTTACAATTTAAGCCTCGTCAAAGCTGAGGTTGTAACATCGATCATGGAGGATATCAGTAAAGTCAAGCCGTATATTTCGCATCTGAATGCGCAACTGGCCAAACTGGGCCCAAAAATCACCAAGTTTACGGAAAAATCGCTCGAGGAACAACTCCTGCTGTTGAAAGATGAGAGGTCAAAACTGGACCTATCGAACCGCTATGCCTACGTGCTCTCTTCCTTGCTCTTTGCATACATGAAACTGCACAATGTCAAGGACTTGGCTCCTGTAAAACAAGAGTTGGCTCGAGTTAAGCGATACATGGATTTGGCCCGCCAGTTGGACGAAAAAGAGGAGAAACAAACCAGAAAGGAGCAGGAACATCAAGAACGTGCCAAGAAACTAATACATTCCGCTCTGGATGGTCGCAGTGTAGGTCCTGCCATCAGCAAAGTCAACTTTCAAGGTAAACACACCAAGTTCACCCAGAATGGCACCGAAGATGTCGAAAAAACGGATTTAAAAGAACCAAGTGAAACACCCAAGCACAGTACGATACCGAGCAAATCTCGGTCAGTGGGGAAAGTAACCAAGAAAAGCAAGCGTTGAGCTTCAGAGAAAGGACCGAAAAAAAAGACCTCAATCAGTCTCCTCCAGCACCCAGACTGATCTCAAATATCCGCCCTTTCCCCCCTCATATTCAGCATTTCACATTGTACACTACTCTTTTCACGGAAAGTTCACAAGGTTTGTCCCCATCTGTTCCATATTAAGGTTCGTGGATGCCATTTAGTAAAGTATAGCTTTGTAACCACCAAACCGCTCATAATGATTATCAGGACATGGCCCAAACAATTCTTCAAGCGATGAATATCTCAGCAATTAAAATGATTCCGTGAATGGAGTATCAGTAGCGACCATTATTGTCAGTGACAGTTTGAACGTTGGAACTCAATGTCCGTTCTTGATGACTATGTAAATCATATAATAACCTTTGATCTTAAATACGCTCTTTAAGAACACCTGTTGCCATTCTTCCCGGAGTTCCAAGAAGCTCTTATTGCCAACGTTTTGTATTGGATACCTCCAGCTTTTGTGATAGTCAAAATTTAAACAGGTTTGGCTTTTCAAAACTATTCTTTGACGCAACAACTCACAATATCAGCATGTCGCAGGAAACTGTGGATACCTTTATGGCAATCACCAGCGCCGAAAATAGTGAACTAGCACAGCACTTCCTGGAGATGGCTGGTGGAAACCTAGAAACAGCAATTTCACTTTTTTTCGAGCATGGTGGCAATGCTCAATTGACCAATAGAAGTTCTGCCGTCGCTAATCCGGAGCTTTCTGAACAATCCCATTTCTCACCGGAACCGATTCAAGAAAGCTATAGGGCACCAGATGAAGCCCGACATGAAACTCTGGTCGATACACACGTTTTTCCCTCGATTTACGGTGGCATCGGAGGCCAATATGGCCCATTACGTCAAGCTCGAGGCATGTTTGATGAAACCCGTTCACGAGGTGTATTCAACCAGCAACTAGAATCGGATACTGAAGGGAGTTCAGAGTTTTCGGAAGAAGAGGATTTCAGAGCTTCGTATGAATATGTGGAAGAAACCGTGATGGAATTGGACGACGATGGGAACATACATGAAGTTACAAAATTGGTTCGTAAACCTAGAGAAATGACCAAAGAGCAAAAACTGGCAATGCTGTTCAGGCCGCCCTTCGACATGATGGCGAAAATTGACTTGAACGGCGCCAAACTTCGAGGACGTGAAAAACAAAAATGGATAATGATCAACATTCAAACGGTAGATGTTTTTCAATGCCAAGCTTTGAATCGTGACGTTTGGTCGCACAAAGATGTCAAAAAACTTGTGAAGCAAAACTTCGTTTTTTTGCAGTATCAATACGACTCTGCAAACGCAAGACCATATGTTCAGTTTTATGGCCCCCACACCAAAGACGACCTGCCTCATATTGCGATTTTGGATCCAATTACCGGCGAGCGGGTCAAACAATGGAGCAGAGACGTGCCTAATCCTTTGGATTTTGTGAAAGATGTACAGGAATTTTTGTCTCAATTTTCGTTGCATCCTGGCTCCACTAACCCCGCTGTTCGAGAGCCCACTCCAGAACTGGACCCAACTTTGCTCTCCGAAGAGCAGCAGATGAAATTGGCCATCCAAGAGTCCCTCGGCCGCGATCAGTCTGAACCAACACAAGGCGGGCAAGCAGTACCCATCAAAACAGATACAGATGTTAATGATAATGACGTAGAAGCGCAAAGTTCTGAGGACCCTTACATGGCACTTTTCGATTCTATAACACCCCATAAGGACCATCCTGAGCCGGCCAACGAGCCTGGTGTCACCACTAGAGTTCAAATACGGACTGGTGACGGACGGAGAGTTGTGAGACGTTTTAAATCCAAGCAAGACACAGTGCGTGTAATTTTTGAAGTCGTCAAAAGCAATATCGAAGGTTTCCAAAACGAATACTTTACCTTAAGTGATCATGCCAGAGAGAATTTGCTCAACAAGCTCGATCAAACCATTGAAGAAGCGGGACTAAACAATAGCTCTCTACTTCTTGAATTAGTTCAAGATTAAGATGTTTGCTCACTTTGTCGTGTGTACACGATACCTTGAGTTAGAAACTCAAAGTCAGAAAATAATGACGGGACCACATCGATAACAATGCCAACGCTAAAGCTAAGCTCCTCACGACCAAGTTCTGGAGTGTAACCCACCTCGATAAAGAATTCAAGATCACGTGGCTCGACGATTTCCGTTCACGATGATATTGTGCATATCATTATTAACAGTGGTGGAAGAACATCGTCACAGGTCTAGGTTGTCAACACAAGACTCAGACCAAACGTCCCCTGACAAAGCTCATGAGACTCGTAAGCTTTCTTTCACTTTTCCTGGCGTTTTTTACGCTACAGTTTGCTACTGCAGACCCCTCGCATACCAATAATTGGGCCGTTTTGGTATGCACATCTCGATTTTGGTTCAATTATCGACACATGGCTAATGTCCTCAGCATGTACAGGACGGTTAAACGACTGGGAATACCAGATTCACAGATTATTTTGATGTTGAGTGACGACGTAGCATGTAATTCCAGGAACCTGTTTCCTGGAAGCGTGTTCAACAACCAAGATCGAGCTCTTGATCTTTACGGAGAATCGGTTGAGGTAGATTACAAAGGCTACGAAGTGACAGTGGAAAACTTCATTCGACTGTTGACAGATCGTTGGGGTGAAGAACAGCCCAAATCCAAACGTCTACTGACTGATGAGAATTCCAACATTTTTATTTACATGACAGGACATGGTGGAGCCGACTTTTTGAAATTCCAAGACGCGGAGGAGATTGCATCGCAAGATATTGCAGATGCGTTTGCGCAGATGCACGAAAAGAAGCGGTACAATGAGATTTTCTTCATGATTGACACATGCCAGGCCAATACCATGTATTCGAAATTTTACTCACCGAACGTACTAGCAGTGGGATCCAGCAAACTAGACGAAAGCTCGTACTCGCATCATTCCGACGTTGAGGTTGGCGTTGCTGTCATCGATAGATTCACTTATTACACACTTGACTTTATGGAGAACATTGCGAAGAATTCTTCGTTGTCTTTACAGGATCTGTTTGATTCTTATACTTTCGAGAAAGTACACTCCCACGTTGGTGTTAGAACCGATCTTTACAAAAGAGATCCATCCGAAGTGCTGGTCACTGATTTTTTCGGAAGCGTCAAGCACATCGTCAAAGATACACACAACCAAGAAAACGACTTCCGTGCTTTTTACGGGAGCACTGACGGACAAGACAATTATGCCGAGCATATTGTCAATCTAGCGATAGACAAATCGAAGAATAGCCCGTCGGAAAGTCCAAAAGTAGCATCCGTCGGCAAAGCGAATTTGATGAAATCAGAGAAAAGTGTTGTGACATTTGACAAATCCAAAGGAAATAACATGTGGACAGCAGCTGTACCGTTCAGTCTCCTTATTGCCGCTTTTGCACTAGCAATGGGCACAAAGGGTCAGAAAAATGTGTAACCTACGATAATTACGATGTACAACTCACGAAAGTTAATCTCAGTGTCTACAACCATCCTTCTTAACCCGTAACATATGTGGCAATGGAAGATAGGGAGGGTATATGCGGGCGCCGAGCAAATGTATATGCGGGCGCCGAGCAAAGAAAGACCGGTCACAGTTTTACGAAAGCGATGCAATGAAATGACGTAAAATGCAATTATGTGAGTATTTAACTCGACTATAATGTATGTGTATGTTGAATACGACATTGAAGACAATGAAGTAAAAAAAATGAATCGATACCAATTTTCATTACTTGGTGAATGCAAGCATCTTGAGTGCGGAATTTCAATCTTGTTGTTGAAGCATTAGCCAGTTATTCTTGTATTGTTCTAAGGATCCGATTAACTCGTCTTGTATCGAACTGGACTTTCTCTCAGTCTTCACATTCTTAAAAGAATTATAACTGGCTGGCTGGAAAGTGTTGTTAGATGCAAACGGGGAAGACGAGACCTCGTCATCTTCGAAAACAATGGCATTTGAGTCCGCAAAAATATCGCTACTTTGGACCTCGGTGGTAGCACGTCCGTGATTCTGGGCCATGAACGATTTGCCATGTAACGTGGGTTGCCCATCCTGTAAAGCTTGAGAACTTCTGCGCTTAGGATTCATTTTGCCGTAGCTCACTAAGTTGCTTCCTACAGAAATCGTGGTTTCCCCTCCGTGGGGTGAGAACTGCTGATGACCAGCCATTCCGCCACTCGAACTCTTCCTATGGTGAGGAGGAACATAAAGCCCAGGCTTTTGTTTCAAAGATGGAGAAGTAGAAGCAGACGCGTGCTGGCGAACATCCTTGAAAAAAGTATTGGTCTGGCTTTCGTTCAAACCTGCTTCGCTCAAAACAGGTGATTTTAGCAAATCAGGAAAGTCAGCCGCACCGCTGCTTGTGGAAGGCTCGGCAGATCCGATTGTGCCAAGAGGTTTCTTCAAGTTATCGTTGGTGATTAGCAGCCCATCCAAATCGTTCGTGAAGCTGTCCATATCATTTTCTTCCAACGTGAAGAGAACATCATCAAGATCATTTTCATTATTCTCGATGGGATGTGCATGCTGTTCATGATATGTCGTCGTCTTTGTAAGTACAGTTGGACTGTCGTGAACACCACCTAACACACCTGTTATGTTTGGAATATTTGGAGACCCATTGTGGAAAGAGTTGGGCCGCGAGTGAGGCGGAATGTATTTCCCCGATGGTGAGTTCTGGGATAAAGCAGATCCCCTCCGATTGTGGAATGCCGATAACTGGCCAACATTGCCCTTTGGAGTATTTTTTTGGTGACCATTGGAATTGGGTCTATGATTCTTATGTCCCCGACTCTTAGTTCCATTAGTGTTGAATATTCCCTCCATGTACCTGTTGTGCACACTTGGTGGGGTGAAAAAGTCGCGAGTATTGAACTCTTCCTGCTCTTTTTCATGGTATTCCTGGAAGAAATTGTTAATGTGGGTATTTGGAGTGGGGATTCCCAGAGGTTTACGACCATTCTTGACCACATTTGATGCATCGATCTTGATTGGATTAGCTTTCTTATGGCCGCTGTCTCTTTGAGGATGACTGCGCTTTCTAAAAGTGAACTTGGGAATTGGATCTTTGTCCCGAGGTTTCTCCGTGATAGAAGCAGCAGGTGTGATCTCTTCTACAGAGATTTGAGGAATCTGAGGAACCTTGGTCTCCGACACAGAATCCACAATAACAGGAGTAGTAGAGGTAGAAGTTGGGGTCGCGCTATACTCGCTCACCTTTGGAGGTGAATAGCCGTCGTCTGTCAAAGAATTGTAGTAATCGTCATCTATGGTGTATTCACCGAGCTGTGCGAGTTCTCTTTTCATGCTGGACAGATTCCTGTTCGAAGGATCTATCGTTAAGCTATGTCTTAAGACTTGAAAGAAATCGAATGACATTGTGGAGAAAATGTCGAAAAGAGCTTCTCTGTTTGCCGCAAAATAGCAAAATGCCTTGTCGGTTTGATTGGCAACACTGAAAGGATTTTTATGGAACACGATGTTGAGCATTACTATTCCAATCGCCCATATGTCAACTTTGCTGCAAACGTATGGCTCGGATCCCTCATCACGATCCAGATTATCTTCGAAAAGCTCTGGCGACATGTACCGTTCGCTACCAACACTTCTATCGGATGACGTTTTCTCGGTCGTGGCCAGCCCCCAATCTGTTAATTTGATGTTCCAATCGGACCCCTGGATCAGAATGTTTTCAGGCTTGACATCTCTATGGTAAATACCTTTTTGATGTACGAATTCAATAGCCTCCATAAGTTGAGATGCAATGTGAGTAATCAATTTAGTTTTCTTTGGAACCAAATCCGCTCTGATAGCTTCGTAAAGGTCGCCTCCGGAGCAGTACTCCATTATAATGAAGGAGTCGAAATAGTCGAACAGCTCGGTGATGTTTTCGTGTTTGCCTACTTTAGTGTGAATGTCCACCTCGTATAAAGCCTCAAAGCAGAGGTTTTTAGAGAGACGAGAACGCACTTTTTCCGAGATCAACGATTTCTGATGCTTGTGTAACTGATTGTGCTGATCGTTATTTTCAGAGCGTATAGAGCCCTTCTTAGAGCTATTTTGGGAATCACCGCTGTCGCTCTTGAAAATGTACTTCACTGCGACTAGTTTCTTGGTCTGGGTATCGTTCGCAAGCGAGACATAGCCGTAAGAGCCCTCACTGATGTCGTCAAGCTTCTTGTATCGCCTGCGGAGTAGTCCACCTTCCTTGTAGATATCATAGTCCTCCGTCATTTTCTTGTGACAACGAGTTCACTTTTCGCCAACGGAACCCAAAAAAAAAACACACACACACAATGGTCAAAAGGCGAGATTCTTATGGAGAGCAGCAAAAATGCAGCCGATGATTTTTCGTGCTGCCAGCTCTATGTTATTCTTCTCCAAATAACAAGGAGTTTTATACGCTGCTGAGCAAGTCTTCTCAGCTACTTTTTTTCCCCGCGAAAACAATAATAATCCAAGTGTGGTGTCTTGAATATATGGACTGGCTGTTGTTACTGTTTTCCGAGTTTTTGGTCTCCACAGTAAGATATTTATAGGTTATAATTTCACACAACAGATTGCAGGCCTATTTCACCTTCCTTGGACGATTTTGTTATCGTTGGAAAGGGCAGATCCACGATTAACAAAAAATCGTAACAGTTTGTTAAAGTATTACGCTCAAAAAGTATTCTTATGATATGCTTTGTAGTTTGCAAGCCGAACACTTCAGTGCTATCGATTTAACTGTGGTGTTCAAAATACTCATCGACAATCTTTAACAGTTTCGTGTGATGTGACAATCTTGCTAGTTGAGTTTACTACTGTCAAATCGTTTGAGAGATACGTTATATAAAGGAATGAGATGATGGTACAGGCTTTCACGAGAAGGTTTGGTAGTAGTTCTTTCAATTTACTTAGTTTAAAGCAGATCTTTTTGAGCTACGAAATTCTCTGAAAGCGACAGTGCAACTGCATCAAGTATATAGGGTCAATGCGAGATGATTGGGACTGCGACTGATTTGGATTGCGACTGGTTGGGATTAAACATTATAGACTAATAACTGGTGTCGATATGCTGATTTTTTGTTGTAGAAGATCGACCTTATCGAGTTCTCTTTTTCATGAGGGTAATACTGCACTCACTTCATTTGTTGAACGAGAGGTTGGGAAAACGCACGAGAAAACCGAGGTGGCGTCTACGAGTGATGGTCGAATTTTTGGCAATGTCGATAGAGATGGAGACGGTGTGGTTCCGTTCGAGAGTAACATTTGTTGTAATAATGGCACAGTGTAAGTAGTAGCCCTGGACAAATAATCGTTATCTCATATCATTTTATACTTACTTGACATCTGTCATTGTGTCACGTGACTTTGTATAGCCGGTGACGTTAGTATGGTATAAGAAATAGGTTGGTACTTTCGGGTAGTCCGAAATCGTCCTATACTCTATGCTAGTAATGTTTTGGTGTTTTACGGTGTCTATTGTCCTTACAAGTTTCTTCCTTTCATCAGGCCAAAAAGAAGCACATTCACGCCAGGTCTTCTCACTCAGGATTGACCAGCAATGAGTTCTAGAACTTGCCATTATCACTAACTCAGTCAATTGGTCACGAAATGGCGGTCTCAGTGTACTCTCTTGTCAATCGCTTCGAGATATTTACGACTCATGTGACCAAATATTTCACGGTCTACCAACCATTTTCCACTGACTAACCACAGACCACCTTCAAAGCGCACTTTACATGGTCTTGATCGCAAAGATACGAGCTGTGAATGCCTCTCCACTTCGTATTCCATTTCTCGTAACAGCTGGCGCCAAAAGGCTCATTTCCCTGCGTCCATACCAAGAGGAATGCATCGAAAAATGTGTTCAATCCATAAACCAGGGCCAAAAACGTATCGGTGTGTCACTAGCCACCGGAGGCGGAAAAACGGTCGTATTTGCTAATCTGGTCGATCGCCTACGCCTTCTGTCTGGTCGTGGTCAACATCGGACTCTCATCCTGGTTCATAGACGAGAATTGGCCCTTCAAGCATGTAAAGTGCTCAAGACTTTCTTTCCACAGTATAATGTCCAAGTTGAGATGGGACGCTTACATTGTGACATTGAATCGGCCAATGTTATCGTGGCCTCTCTTCAATCGCTGGTACGAAGACTAGACAACTATAGCCCCAATGATATCGATCTTTTGGTCATCGATGAAGCGCATCATGCGGCTGCGAATTCTTACATCAAAGTACTCAAACATTTTGGAGCAGATACCAGTAAAACCCGAATTCCAGTCATTGGCTTCAGTGCAACGTTCGAAAGAGCGGATAGTAAAGCTCTATCCAGTGTTATCGACGAGATTGTATACCATCGTGGTATTATAGAAATGATTGACGACAAGTGGTTATGCGAAGGTCGTTTCACAACAGTCGACGTGAGACTCGACCTCGCGGGTGTGTCTAGTACCGCTGGTGACTTCAATATCGATGGATTATCCCGCGTCGTAAACACTCGCGAGATCAACAACGTCGTGCTCCACACTTACCTGCAGAAAAAGGAAGAGCACAATCTGAGATCCACGCTTCTTTTCGGTTGCGATATCAAGCATATAAGAGATTTGCAGGCGCTTTTCCAGAATCATAACATTAATGCGCAATTCGTCACAGGCAAGACACGGCAGTCAGAACGGGATGCAATTGTCGAAGAGTTTAAGCTGGGCAAGATAGAAGTTCTTATGAATTGTGGGATTTTCACGGAGGGTACAGACTTGCCTAATGCTGACAGCATTTTTCTATGTCGGCCTACGAGGTCGCGATCACTTTTGGTGCAAATGATTGGACGTGGACTGCGTTTGCACCACTCTAAAGATTTCTGTCACATTGTTGATTTTGTTGATGCTTCGAATGTCGGTGTTGTGTCTTTTCCAACTCTTGCTGGAATAGACACAACTGATGTTCGCCTCGATGAGGTAACAATTCAAGAGCTGAAGCAAATGAAGGAAGATATGGTTTTGCGCGAGGAAGAAGTCAAAGTTCAGCAGCAAAAGGACCGTGATAACGAACAGCTGGCCCACCAGAAGTTTAAAGAACTGCTAGAGCGCTGTAGCGCATTTGATCTTACACTCACCACATTCGAAGATTTTCAGTCTTTCCACAAGCAGACGATCCTTGCATCGAATGGAGTTGCGTCAGCCTACAGTTCAGAAGTTGGGAAAGAAATGAAATATTTGAAGGATTCACCGTACCCTTGGGTTCGCTTTGCGCGCGATGGATGGGCCATGCCACTTGATCAGGGACATCACATTCGCATTTATAAGGAAACGGGCAAGAATGACGCTCCTTCAACCTATGCAATGAAATTGTACACGGAGCTTCCGTACACCGTTCGACAAGAACTGGGTATGCGCTTTAAGTCGCATAATGTGAAGAAATCCGACGACCTGGGTGTCATCACTGCTGTGGTTGATAATGTCATAAAAGATCTGAAGAGTGGTCCTGCAGCCTCTGTCAAAAGTTTCCGAAAATACGCGCCCTGGAGACTGACATCAGCCACCTCAAAGCAACGAGCGCTAGTTGATGCTAAAATACGCAAGGTATTATCGAAGACGGAATCCAAGTCTGCTTCCTCCCTTTCACCAGCCCAAGTTGATAAATATCTTGCTGGCTTGACTAAGGGAGAGGCATCTAATCTTTTGTTTGCATGCAGCATAGCTCCAATCTACCCTTTGAAAGCTCTATGCAAAGCGCTCGTATATAAGTTTACCTGATGGATGACTTTCTTTAGTAGACGTAAACACACATTAGCATGTACAATACAGGGCCAAGTCTGTCGCAAGAGTTGAAAAACAAGCGAGCAAATGGTGAAGAGACATTTAAGCAAACTCACACATATAGCATTGAGTCAGTTTTTTCGTTCGTAACATTTAAGCTACTATTCTGATTGATGTGGATATTGATGTAAGGCTGTCACCTAAAGAAGTTGGATGGCTGGATACGTCGAAATTAACTGACATTCAACTTTTAGAGCAGAATTCCATCTTAGAGGCGCGAAATAACACGACAATTTCACACATTATACATCCAAGTATACTAGAAATAGCGTCGGATTTCATTGATGACTTCCGGTGCTTCCAACGTTCGCATCATTTGCTCAATGTTAGCTGTGTTTTACTGCGACAGCGTTCATTTTCGTAAAATGGTTTATTATGAAAAATTAGACCTCTAGCGAACAATGCGAAGAGCATCGCAGGGAAACAAGTTCAATTGAGCAGCTATATTCGCTAAGGGTTAGACTTAGACAGCTTCATATGTACGATATTTTCCAGGTACCAGCTCCTGTCAAGACTTTTTTCAATAAACTGCCACTTCAAACTTACGGGCCTGTTGAAAAACGGGACGACGCCTTGAGATATGAATATGACGCTAGAAACTATGCATTTGAAGGCTCTGAGGCCGTAAAGAAATCCGTCAATGACACTTTCAAACTAGGCGTCTATAAAGTTGTGCAAGATCCGTCTACGGGCTGTTTTCTGGCTACAGACCCGTGGTGTTTGTTTACCCAACTGTCGCTGTGCAAGAAGAATAGACTAAAGTTGCCCCGCAGTGGCAAATCACAAGAAACTGTTGGATCAAAACCTGTTCCTACTCATTCAGTGCTTGAAGTTTCGCCATTGGCTTCACCAGAACGTTTTCTGCCCATTTTGGTGGAGGGCTATACCAAAAGACATGTGCGATCCTCAGCAGGAATAAATGAGATTCTGATGTCTCGTTTCGGCAGTGCAGATGAGCTCATGTATGCCCTGCTGCTTGACTCTGTTGTTTATGACTGCTATATGTCGAAGGTGTTGTATAAGCTGTCCAAAAAGGACTTTTTGGATGCCTACGGTGGCCAGACGACGTCGTCCGTCGCTAATACGTTGATTTCACAAGGTCAACGCAGTGATCTGAGCAGGAGAAACGATTTTTCGCTACGCCATCGTGAATTGGCGTCACAATGGCGCTTTTCGGCGACCTCTGACACCCTTGAACAACTACTCAACACGATTGACGAAACTTGTTTGAGGACATTGACGCAATTCCAGGACCTGCTGAAAATTTCTACAACGCCCTATTTCTTGGAAAACCCAGAAGCCTCGTTTCTGGATCTCAAGCTTGCCAGCTACGTCTACTGTCTATTGAATTTACCGTCGCACCAAACTTCCATTACCGGTTCTCTACGGCAAGAGCTTCCTGTGTTGATCGACCACACGCAAAGAGTCATTGCCCAGTATTTGTAAAACAAATTCGGCACACATAGTTGCAATCTACCACCAAGTCGAGCCATCAAAAGTCCATCCGGAGTTAATTGTCTCCAGTTTGTTTTATTTCGGTTTTTGAGCTGCACGAAACCCTTTCAAGAAAACTAAAGGGCAAAACAAGACACTGAGTAAAATCCGAACAGAGTATTTCCATTGCCCAAACCAGATGTCCCGACTATGTCTCCTGAGCTGTCCTATTTGGGTTCGGTTTCACCACTGACACCTTTATCCATAACTGCGTTCGTCCAAAGTGCGCTGGACCTCTAATTGCAGAATTCTGATAGAACCTCAAACTTTCTAAACCCTTTGCAGCACTCAATTCGAAGAGGTTTGATCATTGACGGCCACTTAAGACCCCACTGTTTCAGGTTTAAACGGTTAGAGATTGTGAAACACTTGTGGAAGTTTTATAAAAGTCTGGAAGTGTCTTAAAGAAGTGGAAAATCTGTTAGTGAACAAGACAGCTTTAAACGGCCTTGGAACAGACTCTACATCATAATTAGGGATCATTGCTGGAAAAGCCAGAAATCGAATCACCAGAGGGAACCCAAAGACTTGTGATCATCCAGTTGTAATTGATTTTTTGGCCCTTTCTTTATTTCTTAAGTCGATTTTACTTCTGGTCAGATCTAAAATAGTGGTGATCGATCTCGAGCCTGGACCGTCAAAAAAAAAAAAAAAGCAAGTGACGGAAAGAGCTTTAGCTTGGTTGTAATTGTTTGTGGGACACTTCAGAAGCGGGAGGTCTTTGCCTCGAAATTTCATTTCTTTCGTTGCCTTCCTGCTCGACATCTGGTGCATTCTCTGTCTTTATCTAGAAATTGATCGATGAGATGCCGGGAAGCATAAAACATGAAAAAGAGGAAGTCATCACGACCGACAGAGATGGACAAAGAAGCCAATTTGATTCAGAAGAAGTGGAAGAGTCTCTTCGACTGATCGAAGATGTCAAGTTTTTCCTAGCAACAGCCCCTGCCAATTGGCAAGAAAATCAAATTATTCGTAGATACTATCTGAACAACGACCAGGGTTTTGTGTCGTGCGTTTTCTGGAATAACCTGTACTATATTACCGGCACCGATATCGTCAAGTGCTGTGTGTACCGCATGCAAAAATTTGGGAGAGAGGTTTTGGACCGCAAGAAATTCGAAGAAGGCATTTTTTCAGACCTGCGACATCTTAAATGTGGAGTGGATGCTACTCTAGAGACTCCAAAATCGGAGTTTCTGTCGTTTCTGTTCAAAAATATGTGTCTTAAGACCCAAAAAAAGCAGAAGGTTTTCTTCTGGTTCAGCGTACCGCACGATAAACTATTTGCTGATGCTTTGGAAAGGGATATGAAGAGACAAAGTGCAAGCCAAACCTCGACCACTCGTGCTATTAGCGAGCCTGCTCTTTCCTTCACCTACGACGATCGTTTGGGTCTCTCATTGTACGACCAATTGGTACAGCATATGCAGGTAAAGCGCACTAGAAATTCCAAAGCATCCACGGTAGATTCTACCTTGCCCTCTACGCATACAACGGGCACTTACAACCTAACAGATACCAAAACCACGGAACCTCTCGAGGAAAGTCCTGCTAACGTCAAAGATGAGAATGTCGGTTTGGATGTTGAGCTTGCATCGGACACCATGGAATCGAAATTCGCAGCCCAACACCCAACATTGAGCGTTCCACAAGCCTCGCCTGATGAGCTGGATTTGAACCCCATTTCGCAACCCATCCGCTTCACCAAGGAAAATGGTGAACAGGATGATTTTCCTCTAGACTATTTCCCAGTCGAGGTCGAATATCCAGATGAAACTCTGAAATCTGGCGCCGCGAACTTTTATTACGAAAACGATTTTGACGCAGGGCACATACCTTTGTCTGCTATTCCGCCGGTTTCTGCAGGCTTCTATGAAAACTCACATTTTCCAGAGGAAGTCACATTTGCACCGCCGCCGGTTACTTCAGCGGCAAGACTCGTATTCCAGGTGCCACCTCCGCCATTATCCGCCACACGTTCCCAATTTATTACGAATGGCGAATACTATGCATCATATGTTAAGGAGCATGAAGAGCGCGGTAATGAGAGGCTCTCGCCCGAATTCGAGCAAGACAAAGATGCTCAGGAATTCGTAGGTTACCCCCGCGACTCGGAACGAAATTCGAAACAGTTTTCTTCTAGTCATAGACAAGGAACAGATGGCCGGACCTATCATAATAGCTTTCACATGGGATCTGTTTATCCAAACAGATATGCATACCCTCCCATCGAATTCCAACAGCAAGGTACTCTTGATCCTGTAATGAGTAGAAGTTACGCCATGGAGGACTATCTATCGGACAACGCTGCTCTTTACGATTCATATCCCGCTGGTGCTTATTGTCCGCCCGCCAAGCCGTACACTCCAGCGTATCGACTGACACCTGTAGCCCCTACGACTCCTTTTGTGGGCGCTGCGGCATATGGTAACAAACAAGTTCCCATTGGTCAACCAAAGAGCCACCCCATCAATCCATACTATCAATCCTCTCCGAATTTTCAACGTTGGAACAACGTGCATGGGTACTTGAGAGGATTTCCATCCATTCAGGCAACCTCGGCACCTCAGGTCCCACCACATGCAATGCAGCATCCGCATTCTGCGTCCAAAGCATATTTCAATCGGCCTAATATGGTCCATAAGGGTTCCGCAAGAACGCCGATACAAAGGACACGCGTCAAAAAGCCGACCCCAGTATCACGCTCTGCTATGGTCTACAACCACAATCATGGCAAGAGTGACGCCGTTCAAGACGTAACTAATATACGCATTTCATCTCCTGCACCCAGTATCAAAGACGATTATCCTGCTAACGATTTGAAGGATACACTTTCGAGAAAAGTTGAGGATCGCAAGACAATTTACAAATGACGTATGGCATGGGTTGAAATTATACAATTGGGAGTTTATGACATTAGCATCTGTGTGAAAACACGGCCGTGGGCATTTTGTTAGTGTTTGTATGTATCATAATATCTATTCGTTTTATTCATCAGCGCCGGCATTGGGATTCTCCTGAAGAAATTGTTCAAGTGACATTTGGGTCATTTGATTCAGCAAACTTTCGTCTTGCATCATTTCCAGCCTCGTCATAGCTAGATCGTCATCACTGACAAAACTGTTGATAGTTTCTATAACATCTTCTGTCTTTCTATCATGTGGCTGTGGAGGCAGGACATCAAACTCGTACACATCTCTTTCTGACCATATATCTTCGGGAATACATGCCATGAGCGATGATTCTTGAGATAAGACGGCAAAGCGCAATAAATTTACCGGTATCGACTGTATGAAAAAGGGTGGCTGCGGACTCCAAAGGCTCTCAGGAACCAAGGACAAAATACCAGATTTATGGTCTCCAAAAATAGTTAATAATTCATCTCGCAAGAAATTGAGCTCTGCCCCGCCCCAAACTGCTTTCATCCTGATTAAATAAGCTTTCAGCTCGATCGTTAATCCTGGTCTTGGCAATGGAATTTCTAATCCCATTGGGGTCGACTCGCTTCCTAAACCTTCCGTTTCGAAGATACTGTGTAAAGCCCATGGATGATGGGCATATACTTTCCTTAATTCTGACCTTGCGGCATCTTTGAGTCCAAGTTTCAAATAGGAAAGTACAAATCCGAGACCCATCCCGAGTGTGTACCAATCGTTGTAATTATTAATCAAAGGTGACTTTGAGAGTTTTACCATGAACTCGTAGTCTTTGTTCATCAGCAAATAATGATCCATGAAGTACCTGCAACCAAGAGGATCTTCTACCGGGGAAAGAGACCAAAGTACTTTGCACCATTCTGCAGCAGTGCCACTTGCCCCTCTCTGGGAAAGGATCTGTATGTACCGGAAAATAGCAAAGTAGAATTGCCGGTTGAAAAAGTAAATGTACGGTAATTGACATGAAGTCCCATTAAAGACAATATGTGACCTCAGAGCGCGATCAAAAACGAATAGGGCCCTCTCAACAAGCCCATTACCGTTTGTCTTATCGCCCTGTCTTACCAAAATAAGGGCTACTTGTAGAAGAGCTGGGACATGGTACGGAAATTTGGATGATATGAGTCCTATCAGCGCTTCGTGGTCCGGATGCAATACAACGCTCATGTAAAACTCGGTCATGGCCTTCCGAGTGGCTTCCACGTTGACAGGGTCAAACTTATAAAAGCACACGCCTGCTTTCAACAGCTTGTTTACCGAGCTATCAATTTCCTCAGCCCAGTCCTGAGGCCGTTGCCATAAAAACCACTCTTTCACCTCGTGAAGAGCTAGTTGTGTAACTGCAAAATCTCCGCGAGTGGTGGGGATCCAATCATCTCTTATTTTGGTGAAAGCAAGACGTCTGGTTGTGGAACCGTTGGGAACGGTTTTGCGATCTCTTCCGCCCCAATTTTTCACCATGCGCCGTAGTTTGTCGATTTGTTTCATCACTTGTGGAGAAACATGAGTAGACGTCATAGAATCGACATCAGCCAACGAATCGGGTGATAGGTCACCAAATAGCAACCTGTATTCGTTGTCTGGATTCAGTTTTTTCATTTCTATTAGCCCGAAAATACTTTCCAACTCTGAGAATGCAGTAAATTTGGTAAAGCCAGGATCCATGGTAGTATTTATATTCTGGCAACTTTCATTGTCGTCGTCTTCGTTTTCGTTAGCGGTATCATAACCCTCAGAATCATCAGAATGCTCAACCTTTAGGCCGCTCAAGTTTTTCTCACGTTCAGAATCCTTTTTTCGATATTGCTCTAGAATGCGGTCTAAGTCTTCGTCACTATCACCAGGAGAAGTAATGCTATCGTTCTCCGGTGTACCGGATCTGGTCTTTTCGACCTTCTTGTTTTTCTGCTTCTTGTTCTTCTTCTTTTGCGACTTTGTTGCAATTTTTAAAGTAGCCGGTTTATTCATCACAACAGGCTCAGATTCTTGCTGCTCTTCATTTGAGCTTGCATGCTCAATCTCTGATTCTTCATCCTCATCATTGTCGTCTCCCATCAGGGCAAACATGTTGACCGATTTGACATTTTGCTGCTGGTCATCATCGCGAGCTTGGTTTTCAGGTTCGTTTGGGCCTAAATTCGCCAAACTTTGCTCTAAGCTGTTTTTTTGAAGCCTTCTTAATGCTCGGGTACTCATAACGGGGTATAGTAAGAGCTAAAAGTGGGCTATGTCGGCAAAGTCGAACGTCAAACTCAAGATGACTGTGCTGAACAGCCAGGTTCTAACCATATATTTCAAAATCTAATTTTGTCACTGTGTACTATTCTGACGCGCTCCAACGACAGATTGAGTATCAACACCCGCATTCGATAAGTGTGGTTATATGAAGTTCATTGAGGCTGAATTAAGGATGGTTTAACTCTAAGCCATTTTTCAAATCGGAATAGTGCTCGGCTGTGTGACTTAGTTTCAACAACGGTGCCAATCAACTTCGAAAATCTCAAAAAGAAGCGAAATACCTTTTGAGAGCTATCTTCTACTCTCACAAAAAAGCGCACTAAAAATCACAAACCGTTGTGGTCAAAGCAGTCCGGTTGTGCCGCATAATTTTTTATCGTTATTAAAGGACTCTAATAAGAAATACTGAGTTGCTAATAAAATGGTCCACCATCACTTCAATGACTACGGCTAATTGGTGATTTTTTTTCCTACACTGGAAGTCTTTGGCGTTCAGCTTCTCTCCGTGTTCAAGCATGAAAATGTGAGCTTTTTGATGCCAGGTTCGATGCGTCCTAATATTTTAAATTATGGCTTCAACGCATTGGAGAATTTTGAGAACCGAAACTTCAAATTTCAGTCGGTTCTTGAACCTAATAATTATATTCCGGCATCAACTCATCTCCATCGTGAAGGTGCTCTTCTTCACTTTAGACCTTCATCCCACGATTAACGTGACGTTGGCGTCTTGAGAGCTACTGGCTCATTCACTAATTAATGAAAAATTTCAGCTCATCGCAGATCGAAATCTTCAAGAAATGTGAATGCAACGGCGTTGAAAAACACATTTGAAGCGCCCAGTACGTAGTTGAATAGCTCCTGCGAAGCATCGATCGCTGATTTTACTCCAAAATCTAAAAAATGGCAAAAAAAAAGACACTCAAACAACAAGATTTCCAAAAGAAGAAACTAAAGGTTGGCAAGCCCAGACAGCAGGCCAGCAATGTGACAGACACATCGTTTTCTGCACGTATGATATCACTGCCGAACCAGACGAGACTGAAAACTGCAGGAGGTAACGAGAATGGTGCAGCAGCCGCTGGAAAACTCGAGAATGACGTTATCAAACGTTTGTCGCTGTGCAAACATCACAGTGCAATTACCAGGAAAGAAACGTTGGTACATTTCAAGACTTTAATTCCCAAAGTTATTCGCACCAAATGTATTACTCCAATGCTAAACAGTTGCCTTCCGATGATATGCGATGAGGATGCCCAGGTTAGAGCTGCATTGCTAGAACTTTTCGAGGAGTTGGGCCAGCATGACCAAAATGTACTTCGTTTACACAGCAGAGCGCTTGTGTTATTCATAAACAGCAGCATGACGCATATAGTACCGGCAATCCAACGAGACTCGGGCAAATTTTTGAGATGCGTTTTGCGCTACTGTGGAGATGAGCTGGTCCGAAATTCATGGGCCAAATTACTAAAGGGACTGTTTGGCGTTCTTGGATGGTCTGTAGAGACTTCCAAAAACGCCAAAAAAAGTGTAAGCATAGGTGTCAAAACGTCAAGCGTGGTCAGCATGAACAGCGCAAAGGCCAAAAAAGCGCAGCAATCCAACATCGAGACTTTGCTCGAGTTCGTCAAGTGCGGGTGCATAGAACAAACTTCCGATGATGGTCACGAGGGTGTTGCTGCCCATTCTGCATACGGCAAGTACCTCATACCCGCTGCCCCTCAACCTTTTCAACATTTGAAGCTGTTTGTGCGGGAGCTTAAGAAGAACCAAACGGGCAGCGGTTCGAAATTAGAGGAGGTTTTGAACGTCACTCTTCAAGATTTCGCTGCTCGACGCGAGGTGCTTCTGGCATATTTCTACGATCCCATGGTGCTTAACGCATCTGGCATTATCGTCGGCGGAGGCGAATGCGGTAGGGCTGCTAGCGTTCTGAAGGACACTCTTGAGGGCATAAAGCAGCTGCAAGAAGCTCAGCAAGGAGCATGAAAGGACCGTTTTATCGTAATATAAAGTGTCATTAAAATTTAAAGATGTCGCCCTAGACCGGAAGAAGCGACGTCAGGGGTGGGAATTATTAATGCGTGTTGGAAATTATGATAGCGGATAACGCACAGGCGGAGATCCACCTATTACAAGACGAACCTGGGAGTACAGGTGCAAATAGAGGAAAGTACACTGAAGCGTTGAATCTGATCACTTTGTACTATTATGTCGCGACGACATTGCCCGTGGTGAAACAAAATCATCTCTGAAAAATCCGCAATGAAACCAAAAGATCGTTCGCGGTTAAATCCATATATTTGACGATAAATAGCGCTGTATAAACACGCATCCTTTTGTTCTTTCAATTCAGTAACTAAACCGCTATATATGGGTCATGTGACCTTAATCTTTTCAAAAATTATAATTAAACATCTATTCCGTTCAAAGGGATTCGTTAAAGAGCCCCTGATAAACAAATAAACAACATGCACGCACACACACACACATTTAATTCTTGAACTTAACTCAATTCAACCTACTTCTCAAGAGTTCTGGACACAGCGAGGACTAGAAGGCTTGGATTGTCTCATAACAGGCTTCTAAAGGATCTCACTTAGTATTGGCAAGGTTGTTTTTCGAGCAATTGTACCCACGGCACGTTCTGCTAAAATACCAGCCATATATACTCTGGGATTAATCGCTTGTCCAAAAAGAAAAACAACAGTTTTGACAATTGGGTGTGTTTCAAATACCAAGATCAAGGTTGAGTTGGGTCTACTACTGTTGTGAACTTTTAAATAGAGTACTGGAAGAAACGTTGAGTCGCTCGTTTTGTTGGTACCTTTTTCCCCCGTTTTCCTCTCTTTTTTTGGTGTTTTCATCCGTTTCTTAGAGTTTTCTTGATTTCTGATTGGGCTTGGCTTTGCATCACTGGTGCTACTATACTAAGAGATCGTTTCTCACTTTTAAAGTGAAGTCTGCCCTTTATTTTTTCCTGCTTTACACGTTTGGTCTTTGTACTGCCCTTTTTGACTAGGTTCATTTCTCTTTTTTGTTCTTTACCAACATTTGCAGGCTCAAATGTCATTCAATTCTTCTTCAGGGTCCCTGAACTATAATAATAATTTCAAAAAGGATTACCCAAGGCGAGTTCCTGCTCAACACACGCAGCATCCGCAAGAGCAGATGTCCTCTTCTTCTTCTTCATCCAGGCCCAATTCGTTGTATATGGGCGACTTGGATCCCAGTTGGGACGAAAACGCAATCCGCAAAATTTGGGCCTCCTTGGGGGAGCCCAATGTTCAGGTTAAAATGATCAGAAACTTTGGGTCCTTTGGCAATAGTTCGGGTTACTGTTTTGTAGAATTCGCGTCTCATTCCAACGCATCCCATGCGCTGCAGAAGGATGGTTTACTCATCCCAAACACGGGAAACAAGGTACTCAAACTGAACTGGGCTACTTTCGCAACAACTCCTGGCGCTGAACACTCCATATTTGTCGGAGATCTCGCCCCCAACGTGGCAGAAGCACAGCTTTTTGAACTTTTCATTTCCAGGTATGCGTCGACGCTCAATGCGAAAATTGTATTTGATCAGATGACAGGCGTGTCCAAGGGCTACGGTTTCGTAAAATTTGGCCAGGAGTCTGAGCAGCAAAGAGCGCTTATGGAAATGCAAGGCACTTTCTTAAACGGAAGAGCAATTCGTGTCAGCACTACCTCCAAGAACAAAAACAAATTTTTACAACCTCAGATTCAGCAAACCCAGCACGTACCACCGCAACAGCAGGTGCAACAAAGCTACTCACATCAATTTCAGTCGGCGTCCTCAGGGAACCAGCAATCAGCAACTGCTCAGTCTCAATTCATTTACCCCGTTCAGCAACAACCTGCAGTTACCCAGTACACCGACCCACACAATACAACGGTTTTCATTGGTGGGCTGTCTGCTTTGGTGACGGAGGAGGAGCTGCGCGCTTATTTCCAACCGTTTGGTTCGATCGTATACGTTAAGATTCCCGTTGGTAAAGGATGCGGTTTCGTGCAATACGTAGACCGGCTTTCTGCCGAAACCGCAATTTCCAGAATGCAAGGTTTCCCCATTAGTAATTCGAGAATTCGGCTTTCTTGGGGGCGCAGTGCTAAACAAGCTGTGCTGATGCAACAGGCCTTTTCTTCGTCTCAACCCAGTCAGCAGTTGCCTTCGGTATCCTCTAATTACCCATATGAGGGCCAACCGGCAATGCCTACTGCCTACGGTTATTCAAGTACGTGGGACTCTCTCAACGGCAGCTATATGCCGTTCTCTTTGTCTTCAGTTAATTCTGTCGCTGAGGCAAATGCACCTTCCTCGACATCGCTTCTCGGCGGTTTGAGCAGTCTAAGTTATTATGGCGAACCAACCGAGTCACCCGCGGCTAGCAGCGCTTTCAGTTACTCCCCAGCTCACTTCAACCCTCAATCAGTGAATTCAGCAAATTCCCAAGATGTTCGTCCGTCAAATGATTTATTGCCTTATGAAATTTCCTCGAACCCACAGTTTTTGGTCCAAGGAAATGACATTTACGTCAAGGGTAAATCTGAGACCATTAGCAGACTGGAAAAGGGAAGTAACGGCTACATTTTTGCCTGAATTGCGCGCGAGACGTTTTGGGCTATCAATTGGCCATGGCATAATCGCATTTATTTTTCTTTTACCAGATTATCGTGGATCAAAATTGAACACCCCTTAATAGACTGAACGAGTCCGCAATCTCACTTTCACACACTAAGCGATTTATTGTCGGACATTTGCCGGAAATTCGCAACCGACAGTACAGAAACATGATGTTACCCATCTTTTTGACTTTTAAACCATTGATTGGTATTGTATTGAATGTTTGTTCTTTTTTTTAAGTAATTATAATAAAATTCCGTTCTATGTTCGCGTTAGTTCAGAGTTCTCAGTCTTGGAGAGTGTTGGATCGACGATTTCTCTGAATTTCTCTTGAGGTGATGGATGAACAACTGCCAAAAAATCTCCGCGACGGGGAATTGAACCCCGGTCCCGGGCGCGACAAGCCCGAATTCTAGCCACTAAACTATCGCGGATGTAATTTAGAAGAAGTGTTACACCTAAAATTCAAGTACCAATGCATAACTCAGCTGACTTCACTAACATTGTAACTCCGATCTTCAGACCTGTCAGACGGTATTTTCAAGCGAATGTGTCGAATACGCAAGCAAGAGCTTTTTTCTACAGCCGTGACTATGTACTTTCGATTATTGGATTGCTTGTTTCAAACGGCGAGCAAGGTGACAGATCTTCCCATGTGTTGAATAAATTTTGCCATATACACTACGCTTGTCTTTGCAACTAACGAATGATGCATTTTTGGACCAGATTTTGAGCCACTTCCCCGCTAAGTTTTTCTTTCCTTTATGTTTTCATCATCCCTGCTTAATTCTGACGCTTTCCCTATCCAAATGTTTTAGTCACTCATTAACAATATAAAATCATCATGATCACCATTATGGACAGAGCAAGCAAAACTGAACTAATGTTTCCTTGATTTCGTTCATAGACCTCACCGACAATTAAACCATTCTGGAAACACTAGTTAATCATACAATTACCAAAATGCCAATGTTATCCTACACTATAGTGAAAGATCAATCTATAGCAGCACCAAAAGACCAAAATTCAGACCCATCTAATGACGACAACGCATTGAAACTTGGCACATCTACACACTAGTGTCTTTCTTCTCTCACCCATACACTGGTTCTTTCTTGTCTTTGTTTAGTTCGATTATAGTGTCACATCCTCGCATACCTTTGTACGACCTCTATATCATTCGCACTGGGATAAAATTTTCTGAGCCCCAGAGAAGTCGCCACCTTTAATTTCGATCCCTCACAGACTAAATACAACAAGCAAATCGACACAAAAGTGGCATAGAACTTACTGATACGGACGTGGAAACTTCAGAATCCAATTGTACTAAAGTTAAGGAACATTTTGATATAAGTTTAATTGAATTTGGGCGGTCGTAAATGCCAAAAAATCACCAATTTTTGTTTTGTTTTCAACTCTAAAAAATCAACGGGAAACTAAGTAGCCACCACCACAACTACCATGTCTAAAATTGAAGGGAATGAGGAAGTAGTTGCAGAGCTGAAGTTCAACTATGACTTACTGATTAATGAGCTCTATCATCTGAAGGAGTACACTTCGCTGGTCGAATTTGATCCTTGCTTCAGAAACTCGTCAGATAGCTTTGACCACTTCGTCAAATCCAGCGGCATGACTTTTCCAAGGGCAGAAACCAAAAACATAGAAGATGCCAAGGACTCAAGAAGGATACGAAGAAGACACACTAGAAGTGAGCCACAGGTGGCAGCTGAAAAAAGCAGTTCGGGTTCAAATGTGGAGTTTTTGGTTGAAGAAAGATACAAAGAGTTAGAATGCAAACTGGACAACAAACCGTATAAACGAAAGACTATAGTCAAGAAGGAAGCTGCTCCTGCTGCTAAAAGAACAAAACTGGAACCTAAGCCGGAACGCACAACGGAATCATCCAGCATTGTACCCGTCAAGCAGGAAGAAAACGTGGCTTTCGTCACTGTACCTCAATTATCGCACGATAGGCCTTCTTCCACAGCCATTCATGATCTAGCTTACAATAGCTCCTATTACACAACCTCGTCCTCCGAAGACGAGCGAGAAACGAAGAAAAAGTATAAGAAACGCCTACACGTTCGGATTGACGTCCATCCGCCAAAACAGACGGTAACAAACCCATTGCATGTTTTTAAGCCCGAATATAAAAGTTTACGTGCGTTTCTGAACTCTTATCGATCTCTTGACGAGGATATGTCGGTAGAAGACTACAACAAGTTTATCGATGATCAGAAAACCTTGTTCGCCAAGATTCGGAAGGGTCTTGAAAGTGGAGTTCTTCAGTATGATTATGAGACAGACTCTTTACAGGCTATTACTCTCAAGGATGCATCCGGTGTACAAGCTCATCGACCGGAGGCCATCACCTTTCTCTACAAAGAACAACAGCAGTATACCTTCTCAGACCATTTGATCAATCACGGAATCTTTATGACCAGACGTTTTCAGGAAATCAAGAAAGCTCGCGCTGCAAATATCAGAAAAATCACGCTCATGGTCGAACAGCATTTCAGACATGTTGCCGGTGCTGAGGAGCGTCAGCAAAGAGAAGAAGAAAAAAGGCTGAAAACCCTTGCACGTACAGCAGTGCAGGCGGTGAAGAAAAGATGGCTTGTCGCTGAAAAGGCATATAGAGTCTTGAAAAAGGATGAAGAGGATCAGCTTAGAAAGATACAGGGTAAAGAGCATCTCAGCAAAATGCTTGAACAAAGCACACAACTTTTAGGGGCCCAGTTGAAACAATTCAGTAACGACGAGAACGATAAGGAGCTCAAAACCTCAGCAAGCAATAGCGACGTGGAACACAGTAACAGCGATAATGGCAGTGACTCATTCAGTTCTTCTTCTGAAGATAACTTATCCGTTGACGATGAAGATGACGCCGGACTTTCTGTTGAGCAGCTTCAAAGCAAGTACGCTGATCTTGATGGTCACCACGAAAAGTCAGATGCAGATTCCGAACCCAATAATGAGCTTTCAACAACTGAAACTACTCCAGATTTGCAGACGACGCCACAACTAACAGAGATGGAGAAGCTGAAGTTGAGAGAAGACGATGAGGATCAAAATAACGAAGTGCTTGATGATAGCACGAGTAGCAGCTCGGAATTAGATTCTGATTCGGCTTCATCGGCTGAAGGTAATGAAAGTAATGAAGCCAGCGACGAAGAAATGAACGGCCATGAACAAAAGCCCGATGGTTTATCGTCTCTCTTCCAGGATATCGAAGAGGGCCAGTCTGAAGGTGAGTCTGACTACGAATCGCCAAGTGCTAGCGAGACTGAGCATAGTAGCGATGAGGAGATTGATACTGCACCTCAAGAAAAAACGGACGTTGCATCCGAGCCAAAGGTAGATGCCAGTAACGGCGTGCAGACTGGACCAGCGAAGGAAATCCAAGAAGACCCTATAACAGTGGTTGATGTTCCGCTTCCGTCTTTACTCCGGGGAGAATTGCGAATTTATCAAAAGCAAGGTCTCAACTGGCTTGCCAGTCTTTATAATAACAATACAAATGGAATTCTTGCAGACGAAATGGGCCTGGGCAAGACCATTCAAACTATCTCGCTGTTGGCTTATTTAGCATGTGAGAAGCAAAACTGGGGCCCCCATTTGATTGTTGTACCAACTTCCGTGTTACTCAATTGGGAGATGGAACTTAAGAGATTTGCACCGGGTTTCAAGGTGCTTACTTACTATGGCTCGCCTCAACAACGTAAAGAAAAGAGGAAAGGGTGGAATAGACCAGACGCATTTCATATCTGCATCACTTCATATCAGCTTGTGGTTCATGACCAGCATTCTTTCAAACGTAAGAAGTGGCAATATATGATATTGGATGAAGCCCACAACATCAAGAACTTCAGATCAACACGTTGGCAAGCGCTTTTGAATTTCAACACCGAAAGAAGATTGCTGCTGACTGGTACGCCGCTTCAAAACAACTTAGCAGAGCTATGGTCTTTACTTTATTTTTTGATGCCACAAACAGCAGTAGGGAAAAATGGAGGTATTCAAGGGTTTGCTGATTTAGAAGCCTTCCAACAGTGGTTCGGACGACCTGTCGATAAAATTATTCAGACAGGTGACGGTTATCAACAGGACACCGAAACAAGGAAAACGGTGGACAAGTTGCATCAAGTGCTGCGCCCTTACCTTTTAAGGAGATTAAAGGCAGATGTCGAGAAACAAATGCCTGCTAAACATGAGCATGTCGTGTATTGTCGTTTGTCTAAGAGACAGAGATATCTATACGATGATTTTATGTCGAGGGCCCAGACGAAGGAAACGCTTGCAAGTGGAAATTTCATGTCAATCATTAATTGTTTAATGCAATTGAGAAAGGTTTGCAATCATCCTGATCTTTTCGAAGTAAGACCTATTTTAACCTCACTTTGCATTGATAAGAGCGTTTCCCATGATTTTACGGGCGTAAACGACTTTATGATAAAAAGGCTAAGAGCCAATAACTCAGAACTTATAGACTTCAACACACTGAACCTGGATTTCTCCTCCAACGAGTATTTATCGACTCACCATGCCGAAAGTATCGAGCGGAGCCAATGCATCGAGCAATTCTCAGAAGAGGTGACCAAGCTCAGAGCGAAGTGGGAGGAGCAGTCCAAAATTGATGCAGAAGAATCTGCCTTCAATTTTCAAGATATCAATCTGTTCTACCAAAGTTTTGCTGCGAAGAAAAATGGGGACATGATTAGCAGGTTGCACTACCTGCAGTACATCAATAAATTGAGATGTGCACGGAAACCGGTTTACGGCAGCAACTTGGTAAAGTTGCTAAATATATCCAAGGCACATACCGAAGATGCCACGGCGGAGTTGTTCATGCCCTTGCAGACCAGAATCACCATGAACAAGGCTACTATCGACAAGTTTGCAGTGATAACTCCCAACGCTGTGACTCTTGACACTAGAAACTTGGCATTGGGCCTCAATGAGGAAAGTATAATTCCGTCAAGTGAAAGGCAGCTTTTGAGGTATAATTTGAGACATACCGGTAACCCGTTACATCATTTGCAGACCAAGCTGGCTATTGCCTTCCCCGACAAATCATTGCTTCAGTATGACTGTGGTAAACTACAAAAGTTAGCCACGTTATTACGCGACCTGAAGGATAATGGCCACCGAGCGCTTATTTTTACGCAGATGACTAAAGTTTTGGATATTCTCGAGCAGTTTTTAAACTACCATGGCTACCTCTACATGCGATTGGATGGTGCCACCAAAATTGAAGATCGACAGCTGTTGACTGAGCGATTCAACAATGACAATAGGGTTACTGCCTTCATTTTATCCAGTAGATCTGGTGGTCTTGGTATCAATCTTACGGGTGCGGACACAGTGATCTTTTACGATTCTGACTGGAATCCAGCAATGGACAAGCAATGCCAGGACAGGTGCCATCGGATAGGACAAACGCGAGATGTTCACATTTACCGATTTGTGAGTGAACACACGATTGAGAGTAACATTTTGAAAAAGGCTAATCAAAAGAGACATCTGGACAACGTTGTGATTCAACGTGGTGACTTCACCACGGACTATTTTACAAAGTTGTCAGTAAAAGACCTCGTTGGTGCCGAGGGTAATGAAATTCCAGTCAGCGATAAGCCATTGCTGATCGATGACGCAGCCTCAAAAGATCCTCGGAAGCTGGAGAAGCTGTTGGCGCAAGCAGAAGATGCAGATGATGTCAAAGCAGCAAATTCTGCGTTAAAGGAAGTTGAAATGGACAATGAAGACTTTCAAGAGAAAAATCCTGGTATGGAGGAAAATGGTGATGGCCCATTAGAGGACGAATTTGAAGGCACTGGCCATGTGGAGGAGTATATGATCAGATTTATTGCAAATGGGTGTTATTTCGAATGATGACGGTGTACGAGAAGGCTAAGAACTGAAACCTTTGGGAGGTTGAAGTTGAATACAAGTCATTTGACGACTTCACGGTATGCGTAAAAGGGGGACGATGATATTTTAGCATTGTATATTCAAGAAATCACTCGGTGAGCCTAGCTGTTCGCTGCGGCGAAATCGCGCGCTTAATAGTGTAGCACTAACACACCGATCAGACAAGGCGTTTATGAGCCCTTGATGTTCGGGTGTCGATGTCACAGACGTGCAATGTGACACATGTACGTCTGAGGGCCTCGAAGCTGTCTGTACTCCCGGTTAAGATTGAGCAAGAGGTTTACACCGGAGACGTCGTGTCTGCTAGTTTTTTGTTTGGAAATCGGGCGTCGCTTTGCATTGGTAAATGAAAGTAGTCTGGGTAGTTTGAGGACCTTCTATTTGCTGAAGTAAGAGCCATGAATTTGAACTCACCACAGTGAGAGCCGTGTCTTTGTCGGAACCTCTGTCTATCTAGCGTCAGATATATGACAAAGTGATCACATACACGTGACACGATGACAGCGTCAGAATCAACAGGATTTTCCAAGAATTTAGATCAACTATTGATCTAGCAGGAATGAAGTCGCTTGCACCAAATGGTACCACTTGCAATTGATCTTATGGATCCCACATCAGCCCATTCTCTCCATTTGCACCCGGAGTGCTTGAAACCTTTTACATCCGTCAGCGACAGAATATTTCCGAGAATTTGTAGAAGGGACAATTTATCTACCCTAAAAAGTCCTTCCATTTACGCTAAGTAGATCACGGAGAGATAACTTTAACTCGATAAAACAATACATCTCACAATAATGAATAGAATCGGCCAAGATATCGGACGTTTATCGTGCAACTACACTCCAGAGACAGAGTCTCAACACGGGTATAAACAGTCTTGTCTTGTCTACATGCACAGCTCCAGCTACAAATGCAGCGATTGATTGTGAGCTCAGGGAATGGAAGGTGTACTTCACGATTGACGTGGAAAGGTGCTCTTCTGTAGCTGATATCTTGTAGGGACATGGCGATAACCACCCAGACACCCAATACGGACGTCTGTGCTCCGTACACCCAGCCATCCGGCCACCCATACACCGGATAAAACACTTACACCCAGTCATCCACACACCCAGACACCCTCTTCCTCGGATTTTGTCATCGCAAACACTCCCTCAGCAATACGTAGTTTTCCATGAAACTATTGGAAACTCGAACCCTACTGGACAGACAATATTACGCAGTACTTAGTGGCTACATCAAGAATCGTTAAGAATCGTTAAGAATCGTTAAGAATCGTTAGAAACTTGTAGAATAAAAAAACGACTTTTAGTGCCTCTTCTTACGTACGAGTCAAAGACAATTTTGCTGTAGTTTGAGTAGTTTTTTTTTTGGTCCCCGTAGCCTGCTTACTCGCACATCGTTTTCTACCATCACGTAAACAGAAACCGGCCGCTATGGTGATCCTGTGACGGCAGGCGGTTTGCTCTTGCAGCGTGGACATTTTGACGAGTATAGGCCAAAGCAATTAGGGATCCTCCCGGCGTTTGGCCTGGCGGGAAAATGACATATAAGAAGGGGAGTAGAGAGGTGAATTTTAGAACGTTTATCTATTCTTTGTCTCTTCCTTCTTTTAAAACCAGTACTACAATACACTCTCTAATAACACTCCTATAGGGCTAATAAATATCCCTGTACTGACATCTATTAGAAACCACTAGCTTTTCATATTACCACTCAAAAAAACATATCACACACAATGGCTCCAGTCAAGTACTTTTACAAAGGTCAAGAAACCGATCTAGTTGTTTTCGCCGAATCCCAGGAAGCCGTCGACAACTATTTGAAGGACCCTACGATTGGCAAGTTGACCGAAGCCGTCGGTGTTTTCAAGGTATTCACCAACCCCCAAGGTGAAGGTGCCGAAGGTGAACTTGGTGAGGCGTCCAAGGCCCAGGTCGAAAACGAGTTTGGCAAGAAAATCAAGATTGAGGAAGCCATCGCCAAGATTTTGCAGAACGGATCTCCAAACGCCAAGAGTAACAACCTAAAGTCTGGCGCCGAACAGTAAGCGATATACCAACCGCTATTCACGACCCTCCAACTAGCATTTTGTAACGTATACTTGCATGAATTAATAGTTTAAACTAAGGATTCTAAAGAGACAACGATAGGATATACCTGACGATGAAAATTGGGATTAAGGTCAAGGAATAGTGCGTATTCCGAGACTTTCATCAGTCTTTCCCACTAGACATGCACAACGCTTCCAGTGGTGGGCTTCTTATTGTTGGTTCGGCGACTCCGTCGCCGTGAAAAAACTCGTCTGATCGACCAACGAGTGGATCGAAACGTTGAAGACCGTAACGGAGTTGTTGGCGATTTTGTGGTGATTAAATTGTCCGACGCTGCCCTGATCAAGGCCCGCTCAAGATCTGATGGGTTCCGTTTTTCCTCGACAGCGCCCAATTTCTGCAACTGCGGGCTCCACACTTCCCACATGCTTCGTTCTATCTGCACTCGTTTCCAGAGTGTGAACACTGCACTAAAAGTGTTGGCATCGCAAAAACTACCAGAACCGGTGTCCACGGCCGTAAGCGCAGTTCTAAGATCCAGCCGGCTCGAAGATCCGCCCCGCGTGAACCAGGTAGACGCTGGTGAAAGATCCATCGACAAGTTTCGAAAATCGATATCCACAGTGGCCATTTCACCTCTGTAACAAAACCCAGCACAATGGCTGTTACCGGTCTTCTTGACGGCTGTCCTTGCCCTGTCAAAACGACCCGAAAACGCTTCATTGTGACTGATAAAGGGAACCATTTGATCTGGGAAAGTGGTTGAATCGCTGAAATGCAATGTGCTTTCAAGTGTGGATTGCGTTACACTTTCCTGTCGCGACAATCGTTGCAATTCCTCACCATTCATGTATGCTTTGTTCATGCACTGATTCAGCTCGTTACGCCAAGTGTCAGACTCCGCTGCGTCCCTGAAGAAAACCAGAATCTCCCAAAGTTTGAAGTCATAGTCAAATTGAATCTTTAAACTGTTGTCGCAGTTCGAAAACAACCCAACATCTTCGCTTTTCGAACCTACTTGACTTGCCATATCGACTAAACGACAATTAGACAACCGCAGTGCGAACTTGATAGGCCATTCGCAAATCGGCGTTCTCTGCAGACTGGGGACTTCTGCAAGCACCAAATACGTGTCGAAGAGGAAAACTCCAAACTGATCGCTTTCAATGCTCAAAGATTTCTTGGCCCTGTAGGATGTGTTGAAATAACGACTGCGGTATGACCCAGTCGTAGAAGCACTATCGTACGTCACGGGCCACACCACTGCAAAACAGCCCCTGGCATTACAGGAACCCATAGCTTCGATTGGGAGTCGGTCGTCTGGTAAATCGAAAGATAAACGGTTTTGAATTAGCGTCAACGTCAAATCTTTGCTAGTTTCCGAGTTGGGCTCATTAATTCTTTTCATTGTGGAGTACATTTGTTCCAGATATGCCTGGATATTGCTTGCGATCGCTGCGCATTTTGTGTCGTCAAGTCTTTTGAGGTCTGTGATGGTCGGGTGCTCCGTCAAATACACCAAAGATTCGAGAAATAACCTATATTTTGTGATGCGATTGATAGGTAGCTGGATCATGGCCCGAAACGAGAAATCCCGCTTGTAGCCCTGTTGTGACGTTTTGGCATAATATTTCGGGAGACACAGCTCGATGCGGAATAGAATGGCAAACAGAAGCCGGTCCTGACTCTCCTGACCCATGCGTGTCAGCAGATGGCTCACCTGGTTGTAATAAAGCACATAATCGCGATACTGGTCCGTTTCAATGGCTTGAGTTCCCAGCAATTGTGCAAAATTTTGGCATAGCTCTAAATGGTCCCACGACCTCATCGATAGGTCTGACCAATTGGGCTCCGTGGACTCGTCAAAGCGCTTGATGCTGGTATTGACGTTTTGCTCGAGCTGCTGGCACAGATTTTCGTGCAAGGGCAGGATGCTGAGGACGACTTTGCTGAGCCGTTGCATTGGAATATAATCGTTGATTGACAAGACATCGAGAAAACAGGTTTGCAGGATTTTGAGCATTTGCACGTATTCGAGTTCAGACTCTATGATTTCTTCAATCAACCGTTGGCGCTTGTAGTGTTCTGCTGCAACACTTACGGGCAGCCCAGGCGGTGTGTTCAAGGTTTTTTCTATGTATTCTTTGATGAACTGGACCGGGCTGGCAGCGTTGGAGCTGGAGGAGTCATTTTCAGGTCCGCGGGGCACCAAAATGGGCGATTCGAGCATACCAGTGTTGATGCGAAGAGAAGATTTCAAAGCATTGTGTTTTATGGAGTAGTGTGGCTACCACAGAGGACGGGAGGATTTATACAAATGTATGTGTCCGTGAGTATGTTTAGTGACACTGGCACTAGACGCGTCACAGGCGTCATTAGTGATCGTATTCTATACGTCGGCCGTTCCCGAAACCTCGTGACATGTCGGGGTTAAGGAAACGGATTGCAGCAAGTCACGTTACGGAGTCAATGCGGTAACATCTCGTGGAACAATTCGCATCTAGGAATGGCGTCAGATCAAGGTATCGGTAGCATGGTGACTCTAAGCGCTGGCCTTGGCTTTGTATAGATTTTGTGAGTCAAAATTCGCATCTCAGCTTAGTGAAATGGTGTCCCATTTTAGAGGTGCTCAAACGGATTCGACAACTGGGCTATAGTAGGGGCTATTTGAAGTCAGACACAGGCAGCTCACAACACGAAACGATCGATTGCTGATGTTGAAAGATGCTTTTCCGCCAGTACGAGATTCCTGCATGATAGATCTTTGCTTTCGAGCTCGAATTTGAGACCGGAGGAAGGGTTTTAACAGTGTGATCCGATAATGACTCAATTCATCGTGTAGTTCAAGCAGTGATATTGAAAATAGCTCGCAATTCGAGGAAATAAGGAAAGACGCTAGAAAGGTACGAATATCAACGTCTAAGGGCTTTCGATTCGGAGTCTCGAGGAAACCATAACGTATATAGTGATGGATCCGGAGTTTAAGTGTGTAAACACAACTGGATTCATAGCCGGCGACGACGTGAGTACGCGATACACTTCGTCTTTCAAAGCTTTATTCGCTGGCGCTATTTAGCTGATTTGTTTGTTCCAGCACTGATGGAGAATAGTGGAGGCTTTGTGCGTAACTTTGAAAGCAAGCCAGCAGAGATAGTCTGACTTTTAGCTGGGATTCGAAACGGTGTCACTTTCACGTGGTATTTGAGTATCCAATTGGGAAGCAGGCACGTGACGTTTAATATAACTTCTTTTTCCCCGCCTAGAGTCTTCCATACTATCTCAATTGATCGCTGAAGCTTTCAATGTTCAGCTACACTCCTAGTCTTCTTTCTTCACCAACACTAATATGCATCTCCTACAATTGTGCTTACAATATTCAATTGTTCAACTATACTTGTAGTCTTCTTTGTTCACAACTGATCGCTGACATTCAATTGCTCAATTATACTTCAAGCCATGACTATCAGTCACAATTGATCGCTGACGCTCTCAACTGTTAAGTTGTGCTTGCAATATTCTTCTTTGTTCACAACTGATCGCTGATGCTCCCAATTGTTCAACTATACTTCAAGCCATGACTATCATTCAAATATAATTGATCGCTGGTGCTCTCAATTGTTCATTTGTGTTTCCAGTATTCGCTATTATTCACAATCGATCGCTTTCGCTCCCGATTGTTCAATTATACTTCAAGCCATCACTGTCATTCACAATTGATCGCTGACGCTCTCAACTGTTCAGTTGTGCTTGCAATATTCTTCTTTGTTCACAACTGATCGCCGATGCTGCCAATTGTTCAATTATACTTCAAGCCATCACTGTCATTCAAATATAATTGATCGCTGATGCTCCCAACTGTTCAGTTGTGCTTGCAGTATTCTTCTTCGTTCACAACTGATCGCTGACATTCAATTGCTCAATTATACTTCAAGCCATGACTATCAGTCACAATTGATCGCTGACGCTCTCAACTGTTAAGTTGTGCTTGCAATATTCTTCTTTGTTCACAACTGATCGCTGGTGCTCTCAATTGTTCAATTATACTTCAAGCCATCACTGTCATTCACAATCGATCGCTTTCGCTCCCGATTGTTCAATTATACTTCAAGCCATGACTATCATTCACAATTGATCGCTGATGCTCTCAACTGTTCAGTTGTGCTTGCAATATTCTTCTTTGTTCACAACTGATCGCTGTCGCTCTCAATTGTTCAACTATACTTCAAGCCATCACTGTACTTCCACTATCTCCGACAAAAGCCGCTACTACTGTCACACCCACCACCCAAACACCCACATTACGTAACCCACGGCCGGGGACCAAACTTTTTTTTTCTGCTCCGCGGAACGCGATGTTTTTACACTACACTACTAGTGCATTTTGCCCACACTTATCGCATCAGAGCGTCCCGGCCGATGCGAGGCTTGCGCCCTGAGGGGCTCCGCGGAACCTTGACGTCCGAGACGGGCAGCATAGCAGAAGGAGAGGCCCTTACACCGATGTTTGAATGTATACATATAAAGTGGACACCATCGTTGTACCCTGTGAATGTTATATTGAAAGATATCTAAAGAACCAGTTTGTATATCGCTACTTCGTTCTACAACCGACAAACCAACGTCTGGTTTTGAGAGCGCAACACGTTCCGAACTACTGCTCAACGGCCACGCCTCGGCTGTTTTCAGTTTAACAGCGTTCAACACTTTTTCGTTAGCGGACGACTGATTGATCGACAATTGCACATTGGTTTTTTGAACCTTGTCGTTTAAACGACGCGTCACGTGACCGCTTAAGAAAAAAAGTTATTATTTTCGTTTATTTTTGCAAACGAAACACAAAAACACAAAAACATACACATGTCACTTGGAACGTCGCATGTTCCGGAGGCGCTAGCCGCCGAGCTCGAGGCCGTCCGCAACCGCGACGAGTCCTCTTCGACGGCCGAGAAGTACGAAGGTCTCGACAGCCACGCGAAGGACTCTGTGCGCGATCTGGCGCGGTCTTTGACGCACGAAGGCGCCGCCGCTGCTGACGGCTCAGAGAGCCCCGTGAACCCGGTGTTCTCCGATCCGAACGCACCGGACTACGACGCCCGGCTGGACCCGAACTCGGACGAATTCTCGTCCGCGTTCTGGGTCCGCAATCTGAGCGAACTGGTCCGGCAAGATCCGGACCACTACAAGCCGTACTCGCTAGGATGTTCGTGGCGCAATCTGCGCGCCTACGGTAACGCCACTGACGTGGCGTACCAGTCTACTGTGGTCAACATTCCCGTACAACTGGTGGAAACCGTGTATCGGATGGCTCGCAAGGCCCGGCCAGAAGACACTTTCAACATTTTGAAACCCATGGACGGTCTGGTCAAGCCCCGGGAACTACTCGTGGTCTTAGGACGTCCCGGTTCTGGCTGTTCTACATTGCTCAAGACCGTTTCGGCCAATACACACGGATTTCACGTTGATCCGGAGTCGCGCATTTCGTACGACGGCCTCTCGCCTAAAGAGGTGGCCAAACACTACCGTGGTGAGGTGGTGTACAATGCCGAGTCCGACGTGCATTTCCCACATTTGACCGTGTTCCAGACTCTAAAGACCGTGGCAAGACTTGCGTGTCCGTCTAACCGTATCCACGGCGTGGACCGTGAGGCGTTCTCCACGCACATCACCGAGGTCGCCATGGCGACCTACGGACTCTCGCATACACGCAACACCAAGGTCGGTAACGAGCTTGTCCGGGGTGTTTCCGGAGGTGAACGTAAGAGAGTATCCATTGCAGAGGTTTCGATTTGTGGATCCAAGTTCCAGTGCTGGGACAATGCCACGCGTGGTCTGGATTCTGCCACCGCTTTGGAGTTTATCCGTGCTTTAAGGACCCAGGCCAAACTCACCGCCAGTGCCGCCGTTATCGCCATCTACCAGTGCTCCCAGGACGCGTATGATCTGTTCGACAAAGTCTCGGTGCTGCACGAAGGTTACCAGATCTATTTCGGCCCTGCGAAAGACGCCAAGGCGTATTTCGAACGCATGGGCTACGTATGTGCGCCACGTCAAACCACTGCGGACTTCGTTACCGCGGTAACCAACCCTGCTGAGCGGCAGGTCCGCGCGGGCGCCCGCCCGCCCGCGTCTGCCGTTGATATGGAAACATACTGGAAACAGTCACCGGAATATGCACAGCTACTGCAGGACATAGACGAGTACGAGGCTTCTGGCGGCAACAGTAAAGAACAACTTGCAGCAAACCACGTGGCCAAGCAGTCGCGCCGTGCACGTGCAGCTTCCCCCTACACGGCCAGCTTCTGGTTGCAGGTCAAGTATCTATTGATTCGGAACATGCAGCGTATTCGCAGTAACATGGGCGTGACCGCGTTCCAGGTGATTGGAAACGGATCCATGGCTTTCATTTTGGGTTCCATGTTTTACAAGATTCTAAAGCACGACAACACGGCCGGCTTTTATTCGCGCGCAGGCGCGCTGTTCTTTGCAGTGCTGTTCAATGCGTTTTCGTGCATGCTGGAAATCCTCGCGTTGTACGAAGCTCGTCCTATCTCTGAAAAGCACAAGCGGTACTCGTTGTACCATCCGGCTGCAGACGCAATGGCATCGGTGATCTCTGAGATCCCAGCCAAGCTTGTCACGTCCGTGGCGTTTAACCTGGCACTGTACTTTTTGTGCAACTTCAAGCGCGAGGCAGGCGCTTTTTTCTTCTACTTTTTGATGACCATGGTGGCCACATTTCTGATGTCACACATTTTCCGGTGTCTGGGTGCCTCGACCAAGACCTATGCAGAGTCCATGGTTCCGGCTTCGGTGCTGTTGTTGGGCTTGGCTATCTACACTGGTTTCGCCATTCCCAAGACCAAGATTCTCGGATGGTCCAAGTGGATCTGGTACATCAACCCGTTGTCGTACGTGTTTGAATCTTTGATGGTGAATGAGTTCCACGGCCGGCGGTTTGCCTGCTATGCGTACATCCCCACGGGTCCAGGGTATCTGGACGTTACGGGCACCGAGCATGTGTGCTCTGCGGTTGGGGCCGTGCCAGGTCAGAACTACGTGGACGGTGAAACCTACATCAACGTCGCATATGGCTATTACCATGCCCACAAATGGCGTGGTCTTGGTATCGGCTTGGCGTACGCCATTTTCTTCTTGGGAGTGTATTTGGCGGTGGTGGAGTTCAATGAAAGTGCCAAGCAGCGCGGTGAGATCCTGGTCTTCCCACACTGGGCCATGGCGCGCATGAAGAAGCAGCGTCGTCTGCGCGCGGCTGGCGCAGACCCTGCAGATGAGGAGCACGGAGGTGCATCTTCAGGCACCACCGAGAAGAAAATGCTAGAGGACTCCGCAGAGGACGATGACGCATCTGCAGGTGCCTCTGCCGACGCGGGCCTGCTTTCGTCGTCGAATGCGATCTTCCACTGGCGTAATGTGTGTTTTGACGTTGCCATCAAAAAGGAGACGAGGCGGATCTTGGACCATGTGGACGGCTGGGTTAAGCCCGGTACGTTGACAGCGCTGATGGGTGCTTCTGGTGCCGGTAAGACCACTTTGTTGGACTGTTTGGCGTCGCGTGTCACCACAGGTGTCATCACAGGAGACATGTTCATCAACGGGTTCTTACGGGACGCTTCGTTTGCACGTTCCATCGGTTACTGTCAACAGCAGGATCTGCATTTAGAAACAGCAACCGTGCGTGAGTCGCTTCGGTTCTCTGCGTATCTCCGTCAGCCAGATCACGTGTCGATACAAGACAAAAACAGTTATGTGGATGACGTTATCCGGATTCTGGAAATGGAAAAGTATGCCGACGCCGTAGTAGGTGTGGCCGGTGAAGGGCTCAACGTTGAACAGCGTAAGCGTCTCACTATCGGTGTGGAGCTGGCTGCTAAGCCCAAGCTGTTGCTGTTCTTGGACGAGCCTACATCCGGATTGGATTCGCAGACCGCATGGTCTATTTGCCAACTGATGCGGAAGCTGGCCAACCATGGCCAGGCCATCTTGTGTACAATTCACCAACCTTCAGCGCTGTTGATGCAAGAGTTTGACCGTCTGTTGTTCTTGCAACGTGGCGGAAGAACCGTGTATTTTGGTGAGCTTGGGGCCGGTTGCCAGACCATGATCGACTATTTCGAAAGCCATGGCTCGCACAAATGTCCCTCAGGAGCTAATCCGGCGGAATGGATGCTGGAAGTGATTGGTGCGGCGCCTGGAACCCATGCAGCGCAGGACTACAATGAAGTGTGGCGTAACTCTGACGAGTACCGTGCCGTGCAGGAAGAGCTGGAGTGGATGGAACGGGAACTGCCCAATCGTCCCGCCGTGGACACCAGCAGCGAGCAATCGGAGTTTTCCACGTCTCTAGTGTATCAGTACTCGCTGGTCACACACCGTTTGCTGCAGCAGTACTGGCGTACACCTTCGTATCTGTGGTCCAAGGTTGGATTAACCATCATCTCGCAACTGTTCATCGGCTTCACGTTCTTCAAATCAGATAGCTCGATGCAGGGCCTCCAGAACCAGATGTTGTCGATATTCATGTTTGCGGTGATCTTCAACCCAACGCTACAACAGTATTTACCTACTTTTGTGTCGCAGAGAGACCTTTACGAGGCCCGTGAACGGCCATCGCGTACGTTCTCGTGGGTAGCGTTTATTTTGTCGCAGATCACTGTGGAGATTCCTTGGAACATTTTTGCCGGGACAATCGGCTTTTTGGTATACTACTACCCAGTGGGCTTCTACAGCAACGCCTCGTACGCGGGCCAACTGCACGAGCGTGGTGCGTTGTTCTGGCTGTACGCAACGGCTTTCTACGTGTTTACTGGGTCTATGGCTCAGCTAGTGGTTGCAGGCCAAGAAGTGGCACAGGCCGCAGGCCAGATCGCTTCCTTGCTTTTCACACTATCGTTGTCGTTCTGCGGTGTGATGGTGCAGCCTTACAACATGCCAGGATTCTGGATTTTCATGTATCGGGTGTCGCCTTTGACGTATTTCATAGATGGTGCGCTGTCGACCGGGATTGCCAATGCCAAAGTACACTGTGCAGACTACGAAATGGTGCGGTTTACGCCACCTCAGGGACAAACCTGCGGTCAATACATGCAGCCTTACATCACAGCGGCGGGAACCGGGTATTTGAAAGATTCCGGGGCTACCGACGAATGCCAATTTTGCTCGGTATCGACGACTAACGACTATTTGAAGGCTGTGAGCTCGAGCTACTCCCACAGGTGGAGAAATTACGGTATTTTCCTAGCCTTCATCATGTTCAATTTTGCCGCAGCCGTGTTTTTCTACTGGCTGGCGCGTGTGCCTAAGAAGAGAAACAGAGTGGCTGACGAACGTAAGTCGGATGCACAAAAGTTGAAGGAGAAATAGGTGCGACACAAGGAAACTGAGTTTATGCACTTGTCATCATTTCAACCCCCTCACACAATACTTTCTTTTAATTATAAATACTTATAGGAGACCATAAACTACTCATTTTAGTACTATTACAGTGAACACGGCAACTTGACTTCCGCCAAGGCAAATCATCTAGTCCCTGCATGATCCCGCATGTGCCTGCATATTCCGCGACGGGGAAGGTAAAAACGATGTGTAAATGAAAATATAGCGCTCAAATTAAATAGATGCGAATGACAATACTTAGTATAGTTTGGCAGCCCGCGGCTCAGTTTCAAATTATGCTGGCGAAGGTTCAAGTTGATAGTTTGCTTCTGTCATGTATGCGTGAAATCTTTATCAGCCCAGCCGCATATTGTACACATGACGTGACTCTAGGACCAGAGTAACAAGATCAAATAAATCACACGAATAGTCAGAAAGCACCCCAGCACAGTCAATGCACATAGGACAGATTTGCTTGAGCATTCATACGGCGTCCAACTCTAGTCAACGCTAAACAGCCTGCTGGAAGTTTTCTTTTATCCCCAATAAAAGGTGGCACAAAAATTCCCTTACGAACTCATCCCTTTCAAGGGCAATAAGCTACAGGAAGATTTAAGGATCTTCTTCTCGAGAACAACGTCCGATCCAGGTACCAGGGATTGAAAAGGTGCAGGCACGTGATAAGTAGAAAAGATGAATAAAGAGCCCTCTTGACGCTAGTTTCAAGTGCCGTCTATGAATAAGACGTTCAGAGACCCCATATACTTTTCAAATTTCTCAGGTGTGACTAGTGTGGTTTCGACTTATCGTTTATGGCGCAAATTTCACTGAAAACTGCAAAACTCACGTCAACTCCACATCAAGGTTTGAAGAGCCACAAGAAACCACGAAAAGCAGTCTTCAAATACACGCCAGGGCTCTTGACCTAATTGAAATTCTTAGACGATTGGTGTCAATAACTAATGTTTATCACGTGACCAGCTCGCATGTTCTATCCAATAGTCCTCGAGTATAACTATGTCTTCCCATCGCCGTTATCCATCTACTATTTGGGTTCATGATTCATAGCTTCAGCAAGCTTCTCAAGCTCCTCTTTCCTGTTACCTATTTTTTTCCCGTCATTGGCTCTATTTTTGAAAATTTTAATTAATGAGATGAGCTAGCTCATCTCATCTCATCTCACTTTATGATCACATTTGAGATCCTTTTCTCGAACTACAAGTCCAAACGACAACACTAGCACGCCCCGCTGAGACTACAATGGCACCAAACGAAATCAGAATACGGAACAAACTAAAGCGACAAGAGCTGTTTGCTGATCTCAAGGATCAGAAGAATAAAGAACGTCATGGAATGCGCAGAACTCGTGCAAAGGAGGAACGGGAAGACCCAGAAATGAAAGCTAAAAGACTTAAAGAAAATGTAACAAACACTATCGACAGTCTTCGTGTTTATGATGAAACCATCAATCAACCCACCGAGGGTGAAGAGACCGATTTTGCTCGGTTTTTCAATAGTGGCACGGAACCTCCTAAAATCTTGCTGACAACCAACGTCAACGCCAAGAAAAAAGCATATGAGTTCGCCAACGTGCTTATTGAAATTTTGCCCAACGTAACCTTCGTGAAAAGAAAATTCGGCTTCAAACTCAAGGAAATAGCTGAGTTCTGTAATAACCGCAACTACACAGACTTGGTGATCATTAATGAAGACAAGAAGAAGGTTACAGGACTCACTTTCATTCACTTGCCCGATGGGCCAACTTTTTACTTCAAAGTGAGCTCCTACGTCGAGGTACAAAAAATCGTAGGTCACGGAAGGCCCACTAGTCACATCCCAGAGCTCATTCTCAACAATTTCAACACTCGACTCGGTAAGACCGTTGGAAAACTATTTCAGTCTATCTTTCCACAAAATCCAGACATCGAAGGTCGCCAGGTAATAACTCTACACAATCAAAGAGACTACATTTTCTTCCGGAGACACAGATACGTTTTCCGCAACGAAGAAAAGGTGGGATTGCAGGAGCTGGGGCCACAGTTCACATTAAAGTTGCAACGCTTGCAGCATGGTATCAAGGAAGAAACAGAATGGGAGCATTCGGCTTCGATGGACAAGGAGAAGAAGAAGTTCTACTTGTGAATAACGAGTGTGAAATTCATGCTGGATGGAACGCATGTGCATCTAAAAGCTCTGTGTACCTTTTGGTTAGCAGCAGTTTTGGCTTCTAACCGTGCTTGGTGACATCGGATCTCTTCAAGTAAGCGGTTGCTGCTGTCAGTGTTCTACTGTGAATTGCACTACAGGGTTTTGAAGGCACGCCGGAAATTCTGGGTCTTTTGTTAGAGAACGCCAGGACCTTTAATTTTTTGAAGGTTGTGTCATAGTTTCTTAATAGCAGATGAAATTTCATGCGCTATGAGTTTACTACGCAAATTCAAATGCAAATACCAGGTTAAGCTCAACACATATGGCACACTTTCGAGCATAAGATTATCTGCTCTGACATCGGTTATGCTGACGAAAGTGATATCAGCCACCTTCCCAAAAAAGGGCGTATAAATATGCTACTAACATCAGCAAATTTGATAAGAATTAAGTGGTCATTACAACGTCGTTTCAGGTCAAACTCTACAATCTCTTGTCACCTTGTAGTGTGTCGGGTGGGTAAATGACGATCTTTGACAATATCAAGATCACTACTCACGAAAATAGACTTCATACCATATTTCTTGATATCGATGCCCGCAGTTGACTCCACAGAGCGTCTCCTTGCGAAATTCATAGCTTTCTGCGGTTGCTTGTACTTGAAATGCCGATATGTGCTTTAGAGAACTGAATTTTTTCCTATTTTCAAGGTATATATCAGAAAACCAGTAACCTATCTTCAAGACTTGTTTGAAGAAAACAGCCAAATCAGTAGCAGGAATAACATCCAAAACACACTACAGCGCTGGTATTTCCATGAACTAAAGCTCAGTTCTATTGCTGTCACTAAATTCTGTTATTTTATCTCTGCTGTCACGACGTGCACTGTGACAAAAATCACAGCAGAATTAGTCCCCCTTTATAAAAAAAGAACTATGGCCAACCTAGAAAGATGAAGTTGACAATCCAAAGTTCAAAAGTAAGCTCAATCGTAGCCATTTTGCCCATCGATAGCCGTTTGTTGGCTTAATTGCAATTACAATCGTTGAATTAGAAGGCGATAGAGGGAAAATTCTGGGTTTTATCAGAAAAAACGGTGCTGCAAGTGTTGTTCAAGCTAAGTCTTTGATTAGTATCATTTGCACTTCCAAAGGATTCTGGTTATACTTAAAATGGATGATAATGGTGCCTCTCAGATTGTAGGAGCTTTGGAAGCTATATACTCGACACAATCTGATAATGCCACGCGTTTGGAAGCTCAAAAGTTTTTGGACGACGTCAAAATGCGTGAACAGTCGCCGCTTTGGGGGTACGAAATTGCTTTGAACAACCCGGAAAACTCCATTTTGAAACATTTTGGCCTTGGATTATTGGCATATGCTATTCAGCGTAATTGGAGCGAACACTCACCGGAAAGAAAGATTGCGCTTCGCAAATGGGTAGTGGAACTCAATGGTCAGGTTCAACATACTGATCCACGTTATATCAAGGAGAAACTTGCATTTTTGTGGGTAGAAGTAGCAAAAAGGGTATGGGGAGAAGCCCTACGAGAGGACGAACCCACCGAAGAGTTGTTGCAAGAATCGTGGGTCGATATGGACAACAACCTCCGAGAACTATGGCATCTCAACGAATCTGCCAGAGAGCTTACTTTGATCATTTTCAGGACGCTGTTCGAAGACGTGTTTCTTCTCGAAGATCTTGCTGTACTGAAGAGAATATCAGTTATACAGCCATTGTGCGTAATGGTCATCAGCCCGATGGACATATTTGCAGCGCGGTACAGATTCACAGATAAGTGGACTCTTTTTAGAAGCACAGGTAATGGCTGGTTTGAACTTTGGGTCACAGAACTACGCGGTGCTTTAACGTCAGGTAACGCTGTCTACGTAACAAGACTGCTGGAGACTCTCAAGACGTGTCTGAATTGGCCACTCAGTGAGATCATGATTAGAAACGATGTTAGCGGCCTGTTGTTGGAGTGTCTGTCCAGCAATATGCCAAAGGCCCAGTCTATGGCGTTGGACTCTTTGCACATCCTTTTGACCCGACCTTATAATGACGACGCACATTACCAGACGGTGATTAACAAGGTTTTCAGTGGTATGGACCTTCTTGACCGAGTCTACGACAGTCTACAGTTTGATCCGAACAACATTGATGAAGTGAAGTACCCCATTGTCAAAAAATTTGTCGACATGGTTAGCTGCCTATACACTTGCGTTTTTAAAATTGACGAGGACGAGGTAGTTATAGAAAAATACCTGAGACTAGTTTTGAAGACTACTTTCAATCCCAGCTTGATCGTTAGTGGGCTGACGCTAGATTTATGGTGCTCATGTCTGCGAAACGACGAATTTTTACCAGCATTAGAGAAAACTATCATACCCGAACTACTCCAGTTTTCAGCCGACGCTTTAATCTATTACGAACAAATTGATGGACATGTTTCCAAACAGTTTGCTGACATTGATTTCCAATCCACTTCCGAGTTTCAATCTTTTTGCTCTACGTATAGAAAGAGGATAAGGGACATTATTCGTCTAATATCTTGCGTTCAGCTAGATTTTGCATACGACTGGCTGAATGCCAGATTGAACTCGTTTTTCAGCTCTTCATTCGGCCAGGAGGTTTTGAACTCTCAATTCCTAGATCACAAAACAGAACCATACTTGAGCGCATTATCTCAATTAATGGTCGTCGAATGCTTCATTAATGGCTGCATACGTTGGAAGATCTGGTATCCTGATAGTCCTGAATACAACGAAAAGCACAACGACATTTTGTTGAAGATCGAAACTTTATCGGACCAGTTGATCGCTCTCACCTTAAGAGAGCCACTCTTGTTGAAAAAGCAGATACAAAATTTTGCTTTGTTTTTAACAATGCTCAAGGATAATGTTCTTTTGAAACTACTTGAGAAAATCATCACCAGCGCTACTATGGAGTACCCCAATGTGGACTTGGATGAGAAAAGCGAGCAGTCCGACGCAATTCGCGACTTACGATATGCTTGTGGTATTGAGCTGAACAGAATGGCGATCTTGATGCCCGATTCTCTCAGTAAGATCTACGAGGAATTGCAAAGCGTTGTCGCAAGTATATTGCCAAAACTCTCATACCACGAGAAGATATCATTCAAGTCATTCTTATTGACTATCATTTTAAAGTCATCTCTCACCGGTAAGGAAGAAAGGTTTTCCGCCATTGTCGACCCCGAGTTAAGCGCCTGGTCTGATAAAGAGACCGTTGTCGGCTTAACGGATCTTCCGTGGTTTATGGAAAGACTGGGCATAGTCCAGATATCTGAGTACTTTCAAAAAAGGGCGATCACTGGAGGTGAAGACTTGTTGTCCATTCCAATCGACGATGAAGGAAAAGCACTTAAGACGCAATTGTCAAAGCGCTGGCAAACCTTATTTCCCGTGAGAGCTACCAGAATGTTTGTGCATTATTCGATGCAAAGCATCAAAAGTGATGCAGAGTTTGATGTACTTCAGCAGCTTTGGAAACCTAGAGTGGTTCCCATACTCCCTTACATTATGAGACTGCTTTACCAGTTGCAATCGTATCACGATCCAGCAAATTGGAAAGAGCTTCCCACAGTGGTGCAGTCATTTGTAAAATGTTCAACGGTAGAACGCTTCTGGGAGGCAGGCGCCTCGAATAAGTCAAAAGACGAGTTCATTGATGAACATATGAAGGCCATGCAGACGCTGCGAGACTTTGCGGATTCGGTTGGCCACATAGTGAGGTACACAAGAGAATATGTCCTACTTGTCATAAGTGCTATGTCTAACCTTGGAAGTATCTTTTACGGCATCGAGGAGCTGCCACAAATACTTATGGACTCGATCGCAATATACACACCATCGAGAGGCGAGATCAGCCCCGGTGTATCTACGCATGGCTGGAAACACATCATCAACGTCGCGATACGCCCACTCCTGAAAAATTGCCCTGCACAAAGTTCTCAGGCCTTCATGACAGCTTTCTTGCCAAAGCTCTTTGATACCCTAGACGTTCTTCTTTGTCAAAAGTGGTCCATCTACATGAATGACATAGATGTCAATCCACCACCAAGAGACGATGATGAAATGACGGAGGATATTCTTGAGGAAAATTTGTTGAGGCAGCTCACCACCGTTGTTGTTAGATTATTGATTGATTGCGTTGGACAAGTGGGCACCAACTCTCAAGCGTCCAAAATGAAACTAAATGCCCACCAGATTGAAATGAGAAAGATCATTTTCGAGAACAATGAGGTGATGAGTTCTTTTCTAAGACTGTTAAACCATCTGATGTCTTTCAGAGACAGCAAATGTTCTTTCAACTCCATCTTGGTCATGAAAAGTTGCTTAGTGGACACATTAATCAAGAATGAGGCTGTCGATCAATTTTACACCATGCAAGTTATGCCCAACCTGCTACTGAACGTTCTCACTCAAAGTGCCTTCAAAGATTCCTTATATGAAGGTCTCTACATCTTTACTGTCATATTCTTGACTCTTTGCAAAGAGTACAAGTCCTCTCGAGACTATTTGCATCAACTATCCAACGGCTACGATATTGAGAGCCTCTACGAAAGTGTCAGAAGTGTGGAAAACTACAAGAATCAGCGTGCCTTGATGATTGAGTTTATTGATTGGATAAAAGTTGTCAATGGTCGTGGTCAAGAGGATGATGTTGACGCAGACGACAAGAAAAGACAGGAAAAGAGAGAGGCCATTTTAGAACGCGCTAACGAAAGACTCATAAAGCAGAATAAGGATCAGAAAGACCTTTTGGACGACCCTAATACGGAAGACGGAGCGTTCGGTTCACTTTTCCAGTCCTAATCCAAGATATAAAGTCAGGTGAAAACAAAACATGCTACCATTTCACTAAACCAGGGGCTCGAGCCCGCTCGCAAGGACTTGATTCAACCTAGTTGTATTTTGTCATTGACACCCGGATTAGTTTTGCATAATATGGCATTCATGCTGTTTAGTATTTAATCAGTCTTCAACATGTAGCTGTATATTTGGTAAGTCAATTACATCTACTTACAACTTGAAGAACTAGACTGTAGTTGAAGATATGAAAAGCAGTCAGAGTAGGAGACTAACGCTAGCTAAGAGACTATATAGTGCCCGGGTATCTTCACAAGAAGTGGCTAATGTTGTCCTGGGTGCTCGAAAGCATAATGTGCAGCAAGAACAGATTTTGAGCGTCAAAAACCTTACAGGTGGTGGAAAAAAGCCAGGAAGCCGAGGCTCTGAAAAGAAAGTTGAGGACATAGCTAAGCAACTGTACAAACGGTACAATCATGGCTACTCAAGTGTTACAGCTTCACGTTTAGGCAACGCAAACTACTTTTTCAATGCAGCTGAGGTCACATATGAATGGAGCGCAGCTTCATTTTGGGACATACCGGGAGAAAAACTGAAAGCGCAACTTGAGCAGCAAACTTTGGATCAGGAACATATTGGGAACTATGGTAATCATCCGAAAGGTGAGGACTTACGAGCAAGGAAATATCCAGGAAAAACAGATGGGATTCCGTTTGAATTATTGAATGGGTTACCGGAGGTAGCCTTTTTGGGACGTTGTAACGCTGGAAAGTCGACTCTTTTAAACAATATGACTACAGAATTTTCGAAAGTACGACTCGATGAGTATGCTAGAACGTCAAAAAAGGCGGGTTTTACGAAAACTATCAACTGCTTTAACGTTGGGAGACGATTCCGTTTAATCGATACGCCAGGATACGGCGTGAAAGGCACATTTGATCAAGGAGAACTGATAATGCGATACCTGAGGGAAAGAAAAGAATTGAAAAGAGTTTACCTGCTTATTTCCGCAGAACAAGGTTTTACGGAAACCGATTCTCAGATAGTCCACTTTTTGACGAAATTCGGAATTCCATACGAGCTCGTATTCACTAAACTGGACAAGATCAGTGATGTGGCTGGACTTCACTCAATTATTGAAGACAGTAGGGTCTCGGAATTGCCCACTATGCCTCGTATGCTGTTTCTCAACTCGATCACCAATTCAAGATATCCTAAAAGATTGGGAATAAGCAGCCTACGAGATTCTATATTAGAAAGCTGTGGTTTGGAGCAGGCTATTAAACCTCTGAAGGTCAAAAGTAAGGGCAAATAGCATTAGAATGGCACAAAATGTTGACGTTAGGTTTTAGGTTCATCCTTCTATTACATATAAGGTGTTGATATTATACAGAGTGACATTTTTTTCGATTCGATTTGAAAAGGAATTGATGCAGAACGGGTTGGTTTGATGTGTGTTTCTTGTGAGAAAGTTCCTAAGACTTTGTAAGAATTAGAATCTTCCCCCACGGCCTCCGCCACGACTGAAGCCACCACGGCCACCTCCACGGCCGCCGCCAAAACCTCCACGACCACCTCCACGGCCACCGCCAAATCCACCACGATCACCACCGCCAAATCCGCCACGACTGCCACCACGACCGCCGCCAAATCCGCCACGACTGCCACCACGACCGCCGCCGAAACCGCCACGACTGCCACCACGGCTACCACCAAATCCACCGCGGCCACCGAAACCACCACGTCCGCCAGGAGCACCTGGAGCTCTCTTCTTCTTGGGTTTTGGTGGACCAGCTACCTTAGGTTTAGGCAAAAATCTTTCGATAGGCAGTAGTTTGTCGGGACCAATGTAAAATTTGTCCCCCTCTTTGAAACTCGACGCTTGCACACCCTCGGAACATTTGATAGTGAAAAAAACCTCATTCAAAGGCCCTAGGATTTCATCAACTTTACCGACTTGGGTCTTATTCTCGAGGTAAATTGGTGCGTTGAAATATGGGATCTTGGTGTTGATGGAACGACACACAATCTCATCCTCGCAAGGATGCATGAATTGACCCATTTCCAAAACCTGGTCTGGAGGACCCTGCGGTATCGATCTGCCAAATCCACCGCGACCACCACCACGGCCGCCTCTGTTACCACCTCTGAAACTCATGCTGTATTTATCGTATCTTGACACCGAAAATTGCGTGAGATAGCCCTTAAATAGGACGAGATCTATGCGACAAAAATGGAGTTCGTGAGCAACAAGAAGTCTGTATTCTCTACACGATTAGAACAAAAAGTTGTAGTTTTTCAAGAGCTCATCGGGTTTCTTACTGGTTGAAGAGAGATGAGCTTGAAAAATTTTTAACTATGGGCCATACAAATTTCAAGGTCCGTACGAAAGGACACTGTCAATCACGTGATTTTGAAAAGAGCGACGACAGGAAACTTGGAAACGAATGGAATTTGATGAGTTTTGAATAGCGAGAGGTGTTTGAGTTGGAGGAGCAGTTAGTAAAAGTGAGCTCCTTGCTGATAACGAAAAGGAGGGAGTGAGCGGGGGACAATATATGTATATATTTAGTGTATAGTGATATTTAACATGTGGTGTTTTGCATGTGGTGTTTTGCAGACAGTATCCTAGCTGTGTGCGCCTTTGATATGTGTACATTTTGAAGTCGGATAAGCGCAATTCATCGAGAAAGCATCCTGTTTGGCTTCCCTGGTGTATCACTTTGTACATATTTGGCATCTGTCATGTGTCACGTGATCAAAATGGTTTACTACAAACTGGCAAAGAAGCTAAGTTCTATCCATGTTCTTTTTCAGTAGATTCACTCAGAGATCTGGAATTGAGATTCGTGTTCATGCCGCTTTTGACTAGTGTCACTTTTCTTTGGTACACCGTTGAACTAATAAGGAAATTGAAAATCACGTTCGCGACTATTGACTAAAACATGACAGACCTTGAATTTTCGGTACTCTTGCTATTCAGATTTGATAAACATATTTATTGGCCTGCTTTCCTGCATTCAAGTCGATCCCCGAAGCAAATATAAGTCACTACCATTTTTTTGGCAAATTCACACACTGAGAAGCAGAAAGTCAAGCCTATTGACCTCTTAAGCTTCTAAATCTCTTCAATAACTTCAAAAACACTCTGACACACTTCCTACCTCGACTTTGAAGCTTTACGACGTTTTTCTGTATTTCAGTACTCGTACTCGTGCTGTTTATTACAAGTCAAAGTATTAGCGAACTCATCGCAGATGCTTTTGAAGGGTCCATGTCGCGGAATCATTGGCTCCATAAACTCTCCATGGATGTCTCTAGCTTGACCAATGGATATAAGGATGAACAGGATGATCCCAATGTCTATGGTGGACTTTGGGAACTTTTGAAAAGCGACCCTTCTTGTACTAGAGCTATTTTAAATGATGGTGTCGTGCTGGCACACTTAGGCAACTTGGTTACATCTGTGAATTCCAATTGCGTTCCTAGGAGGCTGGTTATTATGAGTGTGCTGAATTGTACACCTCTATCAGCTCTTCGAAATGATACTGCCTCCAATGTGTTATCTGCAGCGGTCGATACCGTCACCAAGGTAGAAGCTGAGCCTCACGCTATAAACGTTTGTCTTCGCACAGTGAACGCCATATTAGCAATATGCGAAGGTGAGCAAGATATCAAATGTTTGTTGAATAATTTGGAATTCATGAGCGACATTGTCAAGACTAAGCAAAATGCATCGATTTTGATGGATCTCGTGTACCTGACATCGACTCACCCATGGGTCTCTAAGATAGATGCTGAAAATTGGCTACAGGAATTAGAGACTTTGGGAATTTTATGGTGGCTGCGAAGAAATCTTACGCACGTAAAAAAACTGGACTTTTTGGAGATACTCTTTGCGGATAATATACGGCTCATGAGAAACTCCCGGGTGGTGTCTCTTCAATCTACTGCCCGCTCCTTGGGCATTTGCAAATCCCTGCAATTCTGCAGTTTTTCTGAATTTGCTATTTCTCTTCCCTCTTGTTCCAAAAGTGAACACCAGGAACTTGTTCGATCACTAAACTTGCAGTTGAAAGTAGACACAGAGATGTCTGACTTGAAGATTTTAGAATATTTCACAAGGTCCTCCCTCGTTCCCGAAAATTTCTGGCCTCATCTCTTCTCCCATGACCTTGAAAGTGTCGCTGAAATGTGGATCAGCCCATCGCGGAATATGTACTTCCACGCCCTCAAAGTTTACATGCACGAGTTCACACAATTAAGTCATGACGTTCGAGGGTTTCTGTCATCAGTCGTTTCAAGGTTCACGGAACAGAATGGCCGCCTACAAGGACATAGCAAGTACGCCATTCAAGATTTCCAGTTAATTTTGAACGACGATGCCGCCCAACAAGTCAGTTTAAAGATTAATACCGAAAATCTCTTTGACGGACAGGACTTTCTAAGAGAATGGAATAAATTTAATAGGCGTTCTATCATATTTTTGAAGAATTCGGGTGACAAAGTTTTTGGTCGCATTCAAAGAGTTTCAAGAGATCAAGACGTCATTGATGTGAAATTAAAAGTAAGAGAGAAGCTAGAAATCAAAACTGTTCATCTCGTGTGTATACTCAACGATGAGCTCGAAGCCAGGTCAATTCAGCTGCAAACACTTTTAGACAATGCATTATTTCATGACAGTCTATGGATAGAAGCTAGAATGGACTCTGTTATACGAAAATCGAGCTCACCCGAGTCGCTTCTCGTATCGCATGTATTTGCAACCAGTCATCAACTGGAAAAGCTCTTGGATGTGGATGCGGACAACCAAGAGCAAGACAAAAAAAGGAGACGCACGGTAGATTTCAAATGCGCTTTGGACATAAACTTTCAAGATAAATCCTATTCTCGGGCGGAATCTGCGATAAGCAAGCCCGAGCTTGTCTTCACGGATGAACAGCTCAAATTAATACGGCGTGGCTTACAGCAAAATTTGTCGGTTATTAATGGTGAGGCGGGGACTGGTAAGTCTATTGTTCTTGCTTCTATCTTGGACAATTATTATCTCAATTCCCGTTATGGCAAATTGAAAGGTAAAACTATTGCAATTTGTGATACCGAGGAGATGTGCCATAGAATGGAGAGTCTCTTGAAAATTCTGCCGCCAGAATCCGTTGTCTGCTGGTCGGAAAGTATCAAAACTTTAACTGAAAACAAGAGAAAGCAAATTTCCAAGTTGTTGTCTCGCGTTCAAGAAATAGCAGTGACGCTAGGTATACCCGGAGAATTTGATCACACTATTGAGGCGGCTTTCACCCTTTTTAACTTTCATCTAAAGCCGATGCTGGAAGATTTTGCAAGAGACTACCCTGAAAAGCTCAAGGCTTCCGACTTTCCTCTAGCCGATGCCCAAGACAAAGCTAAGAAAGATTTGTTTTCCCAGATAGCTGCAAACAGTCATGAAGTAGCAAACATTTTTGAAAGTTTGGACAAATGGCGCTGTGTATGCCTTCCCGGTGATTTGAGAAAAGCTCTTTGGAAAAATTCCGACTTAGTTCTAGTCTCCAAAGCTCAACTACCTCATATTTTGGAAATGGAAGATTTCAAAATGGATCATTTCCAAAATCTAGTGTTGTGCAACGCCAACTACTTCCAGCCTTTGGAAATTTGGCAAGCCTTGAGCGGGCGAGTCCAATGGAGCAAGCTCATCATCTCTGGCGATTTTTTTAATGGGCCTATACCTTTCACTCTTCAGCAATTCATTGACGCAGAGGCAACCATTCCTCGTTTGGTCGCGAATTTTGACACAAATCCTGAAATACTCAAGCTTCGCTCGCCTGAAGTTTCAAAAGGTAAACCCATATCTGGGCTCGGTAGCCCCTTCCAACTTATTGGCATACCGGGAGAAATCGCCCGGAATAACGTCTGCTGGGAAGAAGCAGAATACTGCGTATTCTTATATGCTTACCTTCGATTAATAGGCTATCCCGCGCACTCCATCAGTATAATCACCCTTTCACCTTACCAGAAGAGTGCTGTTGAGATTGAGCTGCAGAACCTTCTACAGAGCTCGGGCATCAAGAAACTTTCCAGACCCAAGTGCGTCAACGTGATGTACCAAACTTACTCTCACCGGAATAAAGTAGTAATCGTGGCCACAAGCGGGCTTCCCTTCGATGTTAGCGGCATATCGCGGATGGCTAAAGACGGTCTTCTAGTCCTCACGTCCGGCAAGAGCATCAAAGGACGTCTTAAAATCGTTGTTGGTGAAAAATATCCCAATGTGAAGTCCATGGACCAGCGTGAAGTTATCGAGATCAGCAATTTGGGAAAACTCCAGTCTCGAATCAAAGGAATACAGAAACATGGGAGTTCAGAAAAATAAAGGCCGTTTGGATTCAAATTTGGAGTGTGACACACCCATGTTAAATTTCAACTCAGATTATCACTTTGACCGAAACTGACACTCATCAAGTGTTTTTCTTCATTAACAGTGAAATTGAAAAATTTTAGAGATGAAGAGCTAAAATATCGAGTGTGAACTGCCTTTAACACAAGTCCAGGGACAGCGATGAGACTGCCGATCGCTGGCATACAGGGCCGTTTAACGGTGCCATTTTTAGGACAATATAGAAACTTTTCCCACACAAATTGGTGCAATGGTCCCAAAGCTGTGAAATTTTTAAAGGCTCAAAGAAAAAGACAGGTGAATCAGGCCAAACAGCTGAAATTAGAGACTTCTTTGGACACTGTTGACCCTGTTTTTGGACGTAGTAATACGCCCTTCATCGTGCGGACATTAGCTGAATTGAAAGAGCCCAAAGTGCTGTCACGAGGATATGGTGCTCCAGAGGTAGAGTCGCTTTTGGCATCTGTAGAAGCAGCCAGAAGGGAACAAATGGAATTGGCGGGTTTCAACAATCAGTCCCTTACTTCTGAGACCGATGAGTCCGTTTCACAAAATCTGGAACTGAAAAGGGAATCCATATTGAGAATTTTAAGCATGAGGAACGCTAACAATAACGAGTCCATGAAACTGGCCGTGCGTCAGGCTAGAGAAGAATTTCAGAGATTCGAGGGTGACACCGGTTCCAGTGAGGTGCAGGCTGCTATCATGACGGTTCGTATCCACAATTTGGCCAAACACGTCCAAGAAAACAAAAACGATCACAAGAATACCAGAATCCTGCGAATGTTGGTACAACAGAGACAGAACATTTTGAGGTATCTGAAGAGAGACAAACCTGAAAGATACTTTTGGACAATTCAAAAGCTCGGTCTGAGCGATAACTCTGTCGTGGGCGAATTTAACATGGACAGGCGCTACATGCAAGATTACAAGTTCTTTGGTGACCGCATTTTAATAAGAGATTCCAAGAGGGTCGCCGATCAAAAGCGTAGAGACCTTCGTAAGCAGAAGAGATCTGCTAGAAGAGCATAGAAATTAACGACAAAGTAATCGCATCCAAATCATATAAACTTACCTTATCTTGTATATAAATAAGTTCATTACAATCATCATCACCATCACGTATTGACAAGTTTTCTTCTTTCAGAAATCATTCTTCAAAAATCTCCCAATGCTCCCACCTACATGCTCGAGGTCAAGCAGGAATGTATCGTGCCCAAACAAAGATTGGGATTCGTCGAGCTCGACGTGTTCGATGTTTTTGTCGCCGCCTAACAAATCGACAATTTCTCTCTGCTGCCAATAAGGGAAAAGCCCATCGGACTTCACTCCCACGACCAAAAGTTCTTTTCCAATGATGGGTTCCATGCCCTTTCGGAGATCTTCGCGCGCTTCTTCAACAGTGGTGGTCCTTCTTTTCTTCGTCGCTTCATAGGGTTCGTCGCAAAGCCTTGGAGGTTTGTCCTCGACGTCACTTTTCTCAAGAGCGCGTTGGGCCTCCGCTCTTCTCCGGTTGCTTCTATCCTGATGACTTTGAGATAGATCGAAGAGGTCCATAGTCTTCGAAAGATAGAGAAAAGAGTTGGGATCGTATTCGAGCGAAAACTTCTCGCCTTGGTGATCAAGGTAGGTTTCGATTAAAAAGTCGGGACATAGCACTGGAGGGATGTCCTCGTTAAGACGTTCGGTACCAAACCTTGATTCCCACTCTGGCCCTGATCTGTAAGTCACGGTAGCGATCTCACGCGCAAGTTTCATACCCACATGTGGGAGAATTCTATTTGGCTCTTCATCACTTGGGTAGTAAAATCCTCGCTTCCAGTGCTGGTCTGCCATAAGCACTTGTCTTTGTGCGTGCCTCATAGCGATACTGGAAGGGTGCGACCTAGCACAAGCGGATACAGTCACAACTTTTTCAACTGCTTGAGGAAACTGTTGAGCGTATGCCAAAGACTGCATTCCACCCATAGAGCACCCGACAGAGGCATAGAGCTTTTCAATACAAAATTGTTCTTTTACGAGTCTTTGCTGGCCTCTGATTATATCCTGGACACTCAGCATTGGAAATCTGGTCGCGTATGGTAAATTATCAGCTGGATCTGGAGATGAAGGGCCCGTGGATCCATAGCAGCCCCCCAAGACGTTTGTACAGATAACAAAAAATCTGTTTGTATCTAGCATGGCGTTTCCTGGGCCTATGAATTGTTCCCACCAACCTGGTTGTGAATTGTCCGGCGATGACTTGGCATGCGAAGACGCACTAAGTCCCGTGTGAATGAGAACTGCATTGGATGCATCTTTGTTGAGATTCCCCCACGTCTCATATGCTATTTGGAATTTTGGTAAAACTCCGCCGTAGTCCAAAAACAACGGTTGGTTCGATTTGTACAGCTTGAATCCCGATCGTACTTTCCCATAATTGGGTTCGTTGTTTGGCGATGAGGTTGCATCTACACTTGAGCAAGTTCCGTGTTTGTTTCTAAGCTGCTCGGATAACTCCTCCATCTTATCAAGACAAGGGAATTGCATTGCCGGATTTGAAGATTTCGAAGATGCCTGTAATGCCACTGCCTTATGCATGCCATTTTTAAAAATGCGTTTACCCAAAACCGACCTGGAAAAAAGGTTCATGGCAATGCGTTGATTTTAGTAGCTTGGGATAGCGTCTCGGTGACGTTAAAAGAGGTGACCATCCTGGAGAAGAAGTTGGATCTTCTTATTTGTCACCTATCCTGTCTGTCACCTACGGTTAAACTCATCACTTCATTTTCGTACCAAGCTATATTTCACGCAAATAACATTTCACGTGATATATGTTCGAGCCACATTCGTCGATAATTATATTAATCATGTGATTATTAGTCACGTGCTTTATTTGTCTAGAGCGTCAAAGTTCCGGGAGATAAAACCATCCAGAGCTCGCTTGAATCTCAGATGTTCTTGCCGCATTGTACTCAAAGGATGCTTCAGCATTACCTGTGTAGTAATATTGTCGTTTCGCTAGGCAATTCGTCGTCAGAATCGCTCGAAGGATATTCGTCGTCCGAATCTGACTCTTCGGCATCCTCGGCCTCTTTGCGCATCGCAGCAGTCTCGAGAATCTTCTTCCAGTTTGGAAATAATACAAGGTATGCCTCTGTAGTTCCGATCAGAAACATGCCTGTGCCGATTCCGATCCATAATCCGAACAACTTCATATTAAATGTCCAACCAAGTAAAATACCCATTGGAATGGCTAATAGGTAGTAGAATACCAGATTGATGATACCGCCAATCGCCTGCATGCCTTGTCCGCGTAGACACGATCCCGCTATGGCGTTCAAGGAGTCGAAAATCTCGACTATCCCGACTAACGGCAATAACTCTGTAATCAAGCGGACAACCTCTGCGTCTTTGGAGTAGACCTTCGCGACGAGTTGCCTGCAAGTAACCAAAATGAGGCAGTTCGATAGACCAACGAAAAAAGAGCACGACAGCCCCACTTCACAAGCGATCTTGGCGCAATCTGGTCTCCTAGCCCCCACGAAATTCGAAATTCGGGTAGACGATGAGATACCAACGGCAAATGGGATCATGTACATCAATGTCACAGTGGTCGAAACTGCAGATTGGGCAGCTAGATAGCTCGTCCCAAAATATGAGCTAAACAAAGTCAAGATTTCGTAAGAAAGATCTTCGGCTTCGAGCATGATGATACCTGGAATTGCCAGTTCCGATAACGCCTTCCAATGCGTGAAGGCCTTCTTGTTGAAGCCACCCCAACACTTTTTGCCGTCCACATATACAATGTACAGCACCAGCAACACTAGCATGAGCCAGAAGTTGATCACCATCGCAATTGGAGCGCCGATGTATCCTAAGCCTATTCTTGAATTCCACACAAGTGTGTAACTTAGGAGAATGTTCAGAGGTGCACAAATTAACAGGACATAAATCCCGGCGTCAAAGATACCTTGCGCTTGTAGAAACCTTTTCAGATTTTCGAAAGTAATATAGGCCGGCGCACCAAGTATAGCGATTCGCAGAAATTTGGCGGTCAGAGCGACCAGTTCCTTCTCCTTCACAACAAGACCCAAAAAGTACTCTGAGAAGTACCAAAAGATAGCAAAGGGGACGTAAACAACCATAGAAAATGCGATACATCTCTGTAAATGTATTCCCACACCCCTGTAATTCCCAGCTCCATACGCTTGGGGACACAAAGTGTCCAGACTAGTTGAAATGCCCTCAAACACGGCCAAGGTGATGTTTGTGGTCATTGACGCCAAGGAAACTGCTGCGAGCTCATTTTTCCCCAAATGGCCCACGGTGAGTGAGCAAACCAAGGGAAAAAGTTGTTCTAGTAGAAAAGTCAGGACCAGCGGTATCGAATAGCTTGCCAATATCTTAGCCTCACTTTTAAAAGTCACTACTTCCCGCTCGTAATCTTCCTTACGATCAACAGACTCGTATACATTGGGGACCGAGCCTCGAGTGCTCACCGAAACGTACGATGGTCTGGGTTGACGTCTTTCCATATCCTGCTTGAGCTGTTGTCTTACTCTTCTCATGAAATCGCCATATTCGAGACCCTCGTCTTGTTCCTGGTCGTTTGATGACCCATTGTCGTCTTCCGGTCCCAATTCTTCATCACTAGGGTGAGCTGTGGAGTATCTTCTTTCATGTTCTTCCAATATCCAATCCACCTCAGAATGCACATCGGCGCCTTCACTTACTCTGGACGGAAGAGACACTGTTCTACTGAGTTCCCCACCATCGGGAGATTCGGGCTCTCCCAATTCCTCATCGATAACTTGCCCTGTATCTTCCCGAGCTACTGTGCTACCAAAATCGTCCCCCAATGATCGAAAACTTGGTTGGTCTGATCCGTGTCGTCTTCGTGGCTTGTATTTTCTCACTAATGGATTTCGTTTGCTAGGTTGCAGAAAACCAAGAGATATCCTTCTGTGAGTGTTACCGATACCCATACCATTTGTACGCAATTTTGGATGCATTTGAGCCAAACTCTGGGTTAAAAGAGTGGGCATTGTAAATGAAAATAGACTTGCTAGCGTCAATTAACTATGAATATCCTTAATGCCACCGATGGGCTGCAGCCTGTTTATCTCTTGGCCTCTTGAGCCTTGTAACGGTCACTGGAGATGGATGAGCTTAAGTGTTTGTATGTTCAATTTAAACAACACAGTCGTCACCGATAACGTACGTCTGGATCTCTAAATACAATCTGTAGTCGTCAAGTCATTATGAAGATTCTATATAGGCATTTGATTGGCCATCTTAAGAGCTAGAGCTTGCGTTTCTTCAGCCTGCTGTTCGCAAGTTCTTGTCTGCAACCGGGACAATACCAGGAGCCCTTCGGAGGTTCCTTCAAATTTACACAGGTGTAATGGAACCACTCGAATCTGCAGTGCGGTCCATCGCATGCCACCATTTCACCGTAGGACACACTTTGGCAGAAACAATACAGTTGTTTGTCGTCTTCCTCGGCCTGGTTGTAGCCGGAAAATAGATCGTCGTTATAATCTTGAAGATCGAAGTTGGGGTCCGTAGAGCCCGTGGGCGGTGAACTGTCTTTGTGACGACCCACTGGAGTTCCCTCACTTTTGCGTTTGCGTCTTAGAGGTCCTGGAGTAGCGTTTTTCTTACGACGTCCTTCGCCGGTGCTTGATAAAACTGAGCTTTCCCGCGAGTTTTCGCCGCCACTTTCGGCTTCTTTTTCGTCATTTTCCAAAGGAGCCAGTAGTCCCTCCTCTTCTAGTGTCTTTATGACCTCTTGGAGCTTTGTGAGATGCTTAGTGACAGAAAATAATGCAGTGTTGGCCAATACACACTTGTTTTCTTGGAGCTTTCGGGCCTCGACCAAATCATGACCTATCTTTTCACACAGATCAGTTTCGCGCGATTTTTCGGAAGCTCCCGAGCCATGTTGCTTGTAAATTTTCTGTAACTGGGAATCCCACTGCAGACACTGTTTTCGAAGATTATATATCTTTAAGTCGGAAGTTCCTATCTCGTCCAGAATGTATTTGAATTCCGACTGAAGATTGGAAACATCTAGAGTCGTTTGTTCAAGCGCAGAGCTTGGGTCCATGGTGGTCAGCGATGGTTTGAAGGGCTGAAGTGGGTCTTTCTTGATATAAGTTTCTGGTTCCTGCTTGGCTTCTCGGTGCTCGATGGGTGATGACAAAAATTAAAGGTGATAAAGTCCATAATGGGCTAAAAGTGATGAGTTTTTGAAATAAGTTATACGAGTTTACAAGGTAGAAGGTATTTGACTTGATACTGTCATCAAAGCATGGTGGCTCGAGTAAATACTGTAACATCGAAGGGTACACACCCAGTAGTTCTTTCTGCGTTCTTGTTTCGCATACAGCGTTGAAAAAACTTGTCACTCTGTACTTATCCGTCATTACGGAAAATTGGTCGCGTGACTGTAACAAAAGCCTCGGTCATGTAGCAGCAACTTCAGTAACATACATGCGTTACCAGATTCTATACGGTCTGCTACATTTTGGTCGTGAGTTTGAAACGGGGAATATAGAAACTCTATCAAAACTCATTTATAAAGCTCTACAATTTCATACATCGAGCCGTTTGGAGTGAGTTGTTTTGCAGCTAATGTCTTCGACTTCACGAATTATAGTCTCATCAAGCGCCCATATACCTAGAAGTTTCATGTTGTCGGAGTTGGGAATCTTGAAAGCTCAGTTTCTTTCCCTTCGGGCTCAACTTACACGACAATAAGGTGATTATCTTTTTATGCGCAGTGCCATAAACATTTACTGGCCTTGTGTAGAAACTGTATATAATGTACTAGAACGAGTTACTTGGCAGTTTCGACGATGCGGGTCCTGATTATTGTCGTCATAAGTGGTTCTACTGCGGTAACGAATTCATACCCATGATGATGTCTTCTTATGTGTCGCGTCGTATTCACTATAAAGTGATCACACGCACGTGATGCGACGACAGCGACAGATTTGGCAAGTAGCCAAAATACCTGAGGCTGTTGATACCTCCCACACCGACGTCGAAGACTCTGATGGGCTATCGATGCCGCGATACCTAATCTCGACATCCAAAATCACACAAAATAGCATTGCGTTATCCATCTATGAGAAAATCTCCTGTACACTTAAATCAGTACCGAGAAGATGCACACATCAAAGAGCTCTCTCGAGAAAGACTTGAACAGAGACCGTTGATGATCTAAACGCACAACATACTCCTGTTCAAAACCAACTTCACCAGGCGCCCCACCATACATGGACCATCTATACGTAGCTTGTGCCCTGAATAATCTAGGACCCATCGCTTATTCACCAATTTTTTCGCCGGTGAGTAGATTCCGACCTTGGCTACAAACCTACAGTGACCGGCTAGCGCTCGGTTGAGCGACACATGGTGTGTCGTGTGGGTGAAGTTAGATGGGTGTGGCCTGAGGAGAGAAAATTATGGGTAACGGGAGTCAAGACCGAGTGTCGCACGTTCTATTCACTAATTAGATAATGTGATTTATACGGTGCGGTGGCCCATTTGAAGATTAGCTTGCGTCGTTTTTGATACCACAACAGCGAGAAAAGCGATAAAATGCTCAAGGACTTAAAGCTTCGGACTTTGATATTAAGGGTAAGGACTTAGGACTTGGACCCTAACGACAACCCTGACAACCACGATCTTTACAGAATGAGTGATACCATTGGAACCGGGCAATATCGTTTGTACGGTGAGAAACAGTTACCACCGATAAGCTAGCTCACCTTGAAAGTCTTTGTCTGCATCAATGATCATCAATTATGGAACAGTTTCGAGAAGTGTATAAAAGGGCATGGTTTTTTCAACTTACTTGACCATCATCAATTCATCAAGTAGAGCACCGCATAATAAGACTATCAGTCATGGGTGGTAACATTACATGTGGTGGTCAAGGTTTTTCTCACACTAGCTGATGAATACTAAGAATTGGCACACAATTCAGTCATACCTGATGTGTTAATCAGCTTTCCAAATACTGATGCCGTTTTGTTGGAGAAAGCGAAAAAGCGAGTGGAATAGTTACGGCTGCAACAGCCTGGACCCTTGCCAATATTACTGCAAACGATTGACGCAAGAGGTATGACGCTTGTGATTATGATTGACTCCTGCAGTCCTAATGACAGGCTTTGGCTGTGTAAGAATGGTAGCGACGACCCGGAAGCAATACGGACGTGGAAAAAGTAAATATGAGGTCGAACGTCATGACTATGTTACTACGGATCTACCGTTGATAGAAAAAAGCTGACATCATAAATAGTGCGATCCTTCTTCTTCAAATTGACGACTCAGCACCCGCTGACAGTGGAAATGATACCGTTCCTACAGATCTAAGAATACAATACTGAGATGAGCAGTGCCTACATCACTTGGCTTAGCTACTTGATTAGAAGTCTGGATAACCATTTTGGAGCGCTGAGTTGGGAAAAGCTGAGCGACCAGTTCTACATTTTTTGATAGCGGTCAAGGACGATACATGCAATTCTTACCTGTTTCTACCAGTGAACCTTCCCTTGCGAATTTCGCTCCAGCAAATCTTTCGCTGCATCCAACCATCTATTGTGCCTATTTTGAAAACTCTAGAAGTTGTCAAAGCCAAGGCTCAAAAGTGAATTTTCTACAATGTGTTACAAGGCGCACAAAAAGGCGAGTATAAGAAATTCGAGCTTACGCTCTGGGTCATACCATGGCTACCGGAATCAAGAGGTATCGAAATTGTGAGGAATGTCCAGGTCTTGATTTCGATGGGTGAGCTCTGACGTATCACACTCAAGCCATCACCCAACGTGAAAAGTGATATTATCTCATGATAAGCCCTACTTAATCAACCAATAACGCTGGTGAGACTCTTAGCTACTTAGTAGCAGCCTGCTGTCACTGATCGATCAGAACTCGCCACCAAAATTGAAGTGCATCACTGTTTACAGTGTCAGCAACTCGTGGTGATGTAAGTACGTATCATTCTATACGTAATTTGGCAAATCCTACTACATCTGTTTGAGAGTTGGTTCTCCAGTACTTCCAACGAGGATTTGATACCAACTAGCTTTCAAAAGCTACTGCAACTATAGCCCTAAAGGTCTGAGATGAGCCTCAAAGTCCACCATCATTATCGACGAATTTCCTACACATTTTCGCTATCCGTACCACTAGCACAAAGAAATACCGCTTGTAAACCAAGTTTGGAACAGATAAACCAGCGCAAATATACCCGTTTTCTATACTCTAATTCCTACTCTTTTATCATTTGATAGATATGAATAATCATCCTCACGTGACCCGCTTTTAGCAATCAATCTATTATATTGCCCTCGGCCCCACATAGCAAATTCCAGAGGCTTGTATGGACCTAACTAAAGCCATGGTAAGCCTTAACAACCCTGGCATCAATGACTATATAAAGAAACTCTTGGTGGAAAGACCTTAAAATGCAGGGTTCAGCAATCATTAAATAACCAACTTCTGTAGGCCCATTTTGTTCTCGTGAAATTATACAGAATCTACCTCAATCCAAAATACACCATGGGCATTGCTTCATATCCTTTGAAATATCTGGCTAAAAAGGTGTTCGGTGAAGTAGAACTAGGCAGCGCATTTGAAGACCCCTTTTTCGAAGAGGTTGAGTTTGAAAAACGTTCATTTTGGTCTGGGAGTACCAAAATCGTCAAAAAACGCCGTGACAAAAGCATACCTGAATCGATCCCGGACACCGATGGTAAAATCTTGCGTCGTGTGAGAAAGAGAGCTTATCGGCTGGACATGAAGTTCCATCTCTTCGGTATAAGATTCGGATGGTTAGGTGTCATTGGAATCCTCCCCGTCGTTGGTGATCTCATGATCCTCTGGCTGTCACTGCAAGTATATCAGGAAGCGCTAAAGGTGACCGGTGGACTTCCGCCGGGAGTTTCCGCCCAAATGATCACCAACATCGCTTTGGACTTTGGTCTGGGTCTGATACCCATCGTAGGTGATTTCGTTTCGGTGTGCTACAAAGCCAACTCGAGAAACGTGTTGGTGCTGGAAAAACATTTAAAGCGCAAGTATAGCCGGACAATAACACGACCCGTAGCTACACCCAATCCGAGAAACAGGCTAGCAAGCGAGATTTGAGTCGACAAGCAAAAATCAGAAAAAAACGTATGTATGTATGTATGATATTGTGTGTCCACACTTTAAAAGAACCCTAGAAAACGTCCGGTAGCTTTTCAACCACGTATGCATGTCCGCCAACGCTCATGAGCGGTATTCCTGGCACTTTACGTACCCGCTGCTTCAGACCGGCATCGTTAGTGGCCACTATATAACACTTGTGCTGTAAAACACGATTCACGATGCAGTCATCGGCGTAGGTGCCCTTATGACTACAGCTGAGTCTTTGAATGCGCGGGTCGCGTGCCAGTTTCAACGCAATTCTGTATTTGGGACCCAACTTCTCCAGTTCGGCCATCACACAATCTGTGATCAGTGGTACACACTTAGCCAGTAGCGCATCCATCATGCCTCTGACCAGGTCTATTTTCTTCTGAATCGAGAAATTGATGAAATTGGTATCTATCAGCACCTGGTAGGGCGGTTTGATAGCCTGGTTGTATTGGAAAAACAGCGCACTCGACACCTGTGGTACGTGTTTGGTCAGTTCGTTATCCTCCTTCCCCGGTGTCTTGGCACGATTGGCCTGAAGACGTGCATCCTTTTTAGCGTTTAAAGTACGTTTCACGAGCCCAAACTTTCTGGTTTTTTTGGCTTTACCCATCTCTATGTTACAACCTACGCTTCAAAAGAAGTATCAGCTATCCAAATGCTCTGCTCCACTCCAGAAGTGAAGTGTAAAAGCATTTCTAGTTTAAACTCATCTCATCTCATCGCATGCAACTATCACGGTTATTACTGAAAAACTTGTGTGTCGTTTCATACGAATAGATGTCTTCATAAGAAGATCGTCAACTCGATTGATTTCGAGCCAAAAAGATAGCAAGCCGTCAGTTTCAGCAGATATAGATCTCTATCTTCGTTCTCTTTAAGATATTCACAGTGTTACGAGACTTTTCCTCTCTTTGTACAACTTCGACAGGACAAGTCAAAAAATAAAAATAAACGTCACAGACAGGATTCGAACCTGCGCAGGTAAAACCCAATGCCTAACTCGCTTTCGATATGTCGAATAGCAGGGCATCGCCTTAACCACTCGGCCACTGGGACGTAATTGATGGGGGTTAGGAATTTTGCATACATATAGGACTTTAGGTATGGAATTTCATGATGAAGGTTCTCCAGAAGATTTAGACGTGCGGGAGGTAGCATTTCGTGTTGTTAAAGGCCCTTCAAAATAAGGCCCCTCCAAGGTTTTTATCTGCGACAGTTTTAAATCTGATGTTATTTGTTATATACAACTTATGTCGAGAAACCTTCTTTCTCGCAGGTGGGGTTTCAGTCTTGGAGACAATTACATTCTATCAACTGGAGTCAAGCCCAACAAGGTCATACCGTTGAACAACACTTGTCTAGCAGACGAGTACAGCGCCAAACGAGCGGCAGCGAGCTCTGGAGTCTGACCAGCAACCCACAAAACGTCGTAGCAAGACGAAACTTGGTGAGTCAGCTTGAACAAGTAAGTGACAACTGTAGCTGGCTCATTCGTCTTGGCTGCATTTCTCAAAACATCTGGGTATTGAGACAGCAAACGGATTAGAATTACAGCAGCTGGTTCTTTCAAAAGCGAGAAATCGGCGTTCAAACACATCTCGTCCGTGATTTCGGAAGCGTTTCTCTCCACAGATCTCAATCTGGAATGGGCGTACTGCAGGTAAGGACCCGTGTCACCTTCGAAAGAAGTCATTCTTTCCCACTTGAATTCGTAGTTATTGATACGCTTAGCTTGCATATCTTGAATCATGACAGCAGAAATACCAACCAAGTCGGCGACTTCGTTAGGGTTCTCGATTTGTGCGTATTTAGCCTCATTGGTCTTCATGACTTCGTGCATCTTGTCTCTGGTTTCTTCCAAAATGTTGTCCAAGAAAACCACGGTACCCTTTCTGGTAGACATACCTTGAACCATACCGAAATTTATGTGTACCAAGTCCTTAGCCCATTCGTAACCCAGCTGTTTCAGAACCTCGAACAATTGGGCGGTGTATAGATCCTGCTGACACGCAATCACGTAGATCATCTTGTCGAAGTGGTACTTCTTGTAACGATCAATAGCAGTACCGACATCTCTAGTCATGTAAAGAGTGGTACCATCCGATTTTTGAACAATAGTTTTACCTAGTTTCTTGTTGAATTTGGTCAAATCGATCAAAGTAGCACCTCTGTCTTCGTGAGCCAAACCTTTCTCTGCAAACATCTTAAGAGCCAATTCCATAGAATCTCTAGAGGCTTGAGACTCACCGGAATATGAGTCGTAGTGAATGTTCAATCTGGCATATGTTTCGACGTACTTGTCGATGGACAAATCGCGGAAACGCTTCCATATTTTTAAAGCGTCCTCGTCTCCATCCTCCATTCTCTTGAAGTATGCACGAGCGAGACCGTGTGTGGATTCTGTTTCTGGCAAAGTGTCACCTTCAGTTTCGATGTCTTTGTTCACACGCACGTAGACGTCATATAGGTGCTTGATGGGGTCGTTTTCCAACGCCTCTTCAGAGCCGTATCTTTCAAACCCGATAGCCAAAAGACCAAATTGTTTTCCCCAGTCACCTAGGTAGTTTAGTCTCACAACTTCCCAACCCAACTTTTCGTAAAGGTTAGAAAGGAAACCTCCAATAATGGTGGATCTCAAGTGGCCGGCGTGAAATGGTTTGGCGATGTTAGGGGAAGAAAATTCGATAACAGCTTTTTTGTTTTGGACCAAAGGCATGGCACCATACTGTTCTCTTCTGGTAAGAATGTTAGGAAGGACCGTCTTGAACAAGAACTCTGGCTTGAAAAAGAACTGCACAAAAGGACCGTTGGCTTCCACTTTCGACAAAAAGTCTCCCTCAGGAAATTTTTCGGCCCATACTGCAGCCAACTCTTTAGGGTTAGCACCTTTGATACGCAACCGGGGCACTGGAATCAACAAATCACCTCTATCAAGAGTGTTAGTCCACTCCAATGCTGGATAAATCAAATCGGCGCTGACTCCCGAAACTTTCGATAGTTCGGCACTAACGTAATTTCTCATGAGATCAACAACATTTTGCTCAGGAAAAGATCCCTCTAGAGGTTCAGGCTCCTTAACAGACATCTTCTGCAATTGAGATGTGATTGAAAGAACAGACATTTCTCGGGTGTTGAGCGGCGAAAATCTCGGATGAAAAGCGACAGAAACACTACACAAAGAGCTGGGATTAAACTTTAAACTGCTAATTCGTTGCACTCGAGACAATGCTCTTCTTAGCATAAACTAACGAAGAGGCTACTTGATTTTTTCAAGGCGATGACTTGGTTTATCGCTTCATTTTCCTGGGTAAAAATTTTATAATTTTAGGCTTGATATCGAGAACAAGATAAGTCAGACTACTAATGAGTAGTTGACAGATAAAGGCGATGACATTTGATCTGTAAAGAATTAGTTCAATTTTTGGATAGTTCATCAGTCGTGTAGGGAGGTAGTTGAAGAGCTTCAAGAGGAAGCCTTTACAATTGAGACGTCAGATTCGTATACAGTGATTGTGTTTTATGCGGAAAGAAACCGCTATTCTTCACTTTTTTGCTTTGCCCTAGAATGACTTAGCTATTTTATATACTGTTGTTCTTTCACCATATGTTCCTTTCGCGGGTTCGGGTCTTTTTTTGTTTTGGAATTGGGGCGAGCGTTTTCATATAATATTTGACCTGGCGCGCGTCACAATAGAAAAAGATGAGCTGACGCTGGCAAACTGTCACCAGCGTAACAAACAAGTGCTACAGCCAAAGCCTTTCGCACAAATACATGTTTTTGGGAATCTGATTGTTTGCATTCGTAACTTGACAATTTCTGTAGTCTACCATGGAGACTGGCACTGCACGCTTGGCTCCAGGTAGCGCTTTCGACAAAATGATTCTAAATCGAAAGAATACTGGCGAAGGAACGAGAGGCAAAGAGAGTGACAGTGTTGTGAATGCTGCAAAAAATGTGGACACCACTCGGTTGATGGGTAGACGTGGGAAATTTACACGCTCTTTGAAAAAAGCAAAGCGATTTTTGGATGTGGGCTTTGGATCGCCGTCCATCCGTGCCGGCGACGATAATACCAAAGAGTGCCCGCAAGAATTGAATCATACAGGATTTCTGTCGCTGCTGAGTCGAAACCACCTAAATTCAACGCGCGGATGGCTCTCTATCCGGTCTAAACCCGCTTCTGATGAGAAAGAAAATACTGCGTCTGAACCGCATGGCCTTGAAAAGAAAGATGACAGTGGTCCTCGAGACCTGAAATCCAAAAATGTCCCAAGCGTCTTGGCGGAAAAAGAGCTCGATATTTTCAATTACTTATCCCCAGAAGAAGTAGAAAAAGGCGAGTTATTCATGACTCTCGGAAGTCCAGCATGCGGTCCATTCGATAAAAACTTGAAAACGCTATATCTCGTTGCAATGCGTGAATCAATCGAACAAAATGGGAAGTTGATAAACGATCTGAAAAGTCAGCTAGAGGACCGCCAAAAATCGTTTCATTACGGTGACCATATCGCTTTCCTCAAGCATCTACAAAGCCTTCTTCAATACGAGACTGGATTTTTGCAAGAGATTTATTATCGATACGATCTGTTACTCCAGGAGAATGACTCGTTGCGCGAAATTTTGATCAGCAGGAAGAATACAGGCATTTTAAAATTAAATGAACGTTGATAATAGTCAAAAATGCTATTTTATATATAGTGTATTGTGTATCCTTCAAATTATAGACTTAGTCATGACATCGTTAAAATTATGGCCAGTTAGGTTGGCCAACTGAGTCAAAGCACTGATTATAATCCTTTTTTAAAAGGAAAAGAGCGCATTGACCAATTCAATCTCTGATTTATTGGGCTTAGATCATTCTCTTGTACCATGGCTTGTCGTCGTGCATCAATGCTTCATTGTTGTAATCAGCACCTCTTCTAGATGGTGGCAACCAATCAGCAGACTTCCACGGCAAAACACCTTCTTCCCATAGTTCTTGGACTTCTTCCAAAGTCAAACCCTTAGTCTCTGGGACAAAGAAGAAAACGTAGAAGAAGGCAAACACCAAGCAGCCCATGAAGACGTAACCGTAGTAGAAGTGGATAGCGGTGGTGATGAATGGAGTGAAAAAGGCAATCAAGAAACCCCATAGCCAGTTGGAAGCGGTGGCAATAGCCATACACTTGGATTTAACTCTCAATGGGTAAGATTCGGCAACAACAACGTAAGCCATTGGGGCCCAGGTGGTGGCAAAGCAGAAAATGTAGAAACAGGTGAAAACAATCATACAGTTACCGGCGCCCTTGTTTGAAAACTCAGGGTGGTCAGCGCCCTGAGGATATAGTCTGGTAACACCGACGGAAGCGTAAACGACAAAACAAGCAACCATGGAAGCGGCACCCCATAGTAAACACTTACGACGACCGAATTTCTCAACGGTGTAGATACCGACAAAAGTGGAGGCAAAGTTTACAATACCAATGACAATGGCGGTTTGGAAAGAATCGGTCAAACCAACAGCCTTGAAAATAGTAGTACCGTAGTAGAAAAAGTAGTTGTCACCGGTCAATTGTTGCAAAGATTGAATCATGATACCCATAATCAAACGTTGAAACACTTTGGTCTTGGTGGAGAAAAGTTCTTTCCAAGAAGCAGATCCGGCCATTCTCTCGGCTTCAACACCGGCCAAAATTAAGTCAAGCTCAACTTGAACAGCTGGGTCCTCCATGCTGACTTTGTTGGATCTAGCGATAGAACGCTTGGCTTCTTCGAGCTTGCTCTTTTCAACCAAGTAACGAGGAGACTCTGGAACAAAAGACATACCGCCAATCATGAATAGGGCCCAGGCGAAACATAGACCAAGAGGAACTCTCCATTGGACAGAGTTGGAGTAGGTCTTGACACCGTAGTTGGTGCAGTAACCCAAGAAAATACCGAAGGTGATCATCAATTGGAAACAGGCAATCAAAGTACCTCTCAAATGCTTTGGGGCGACTTCAGAAATCAACATTGGCGAAAGAACAGCGATACCACCGATACCAAGACCGGAGATGATTCTGCCAATGAAGTACTGGTACCATTTGTCGATGGACGCGATTTGAATGATGATTCCGATAACGTAGACAACCACAACGACCATTAGACCGATACGACGACCGTACATGTCACCGACTTTGGACAAGATGATACCTCCAAAGGCACAACCAATGTTCAAAATAGCCACAATCAAACCAGTTCTCACGTTAGACAAGTAAGGCACACCTTCCTTGTTGACCTGACCAAATCTACGCTTAAAGTCCGTTTGCTGGACGAAACCGGAAATGGTACCGGTATCCCAGCCGAAAACGAAACCACCGAAGGCGACACACAAACATAGCAGCACCACGGTGAGGTAGGCGGAAGCAGGTTTTTTTGGGATGTCCACTTCTTTTTCAAGGGCGTCCTCTGGGAAGCGAGTGTCTTTGAGGTCGTCGCGGGACGCCTTGTTGGAGGGCGTAGACAATTGGGAGCCGTGACTCACGGTGGAGTGCAAGTCCACGGGCGTAGCCGTAGCTGCTGTACCGTTTTGGTAAGCACCAGAGGCTGACATTTTTGTTTTTTCAAAATGTAGTTAGAATGAATATTCTTTTTTCTTAGTCGAGGGACTCGAAGAGAGAATGCTGAATGGTTTCTGGGGATATAAGAAAAGAATTTGGAATAATCAAAACCCAATCCAATGGTCCATACAGGTCTCAAACGTTCTTCTTATATACACATTTTTCCTTGACAAGACAGACAAAAGACTCAAGCTCTTGGATGAGTACCACCACACCCACCACACACCACTGTAATACCAACCGTCGACTCATTTCTCTATGATGCGCCAAGTTCTAAGATAATCCCACTCGTTAGCCGCTCGTTCCGGGGTTGCCGAGCAGACTTGGAAAAACTATTTTGGTGGGGAGCAGTTCTTTTTTTTTCTTCCTGGTTTCTCGCGCCTGTTTCTGAGCCATGCACCTCCGGATTAATTATTTTTTCGCTTCCCCCCTCCCGGTCGACCGGAAAAACCTGGAGATAAAATTCTTCCGAGCCGTGGCGTGGTCCCTACCGCTTCCGCAGCCGTACCTGTGTCTCTCGCCCCAGATATCCCCGTCGCCACGCATCTGCGTTTTCACGGAGAAATGTTTATCCTCTGCGTGAGGTTCTGAGAACAAGCACCCAGAAAATTTTTCCGGGGGGCAGACACGCCATCTTGGAAAAAAAAAACACACCACGTTCGTTTTCAGCTTCGTTTTCCTCTATGGCCAAACAGCCAAGCAAGCTGCCAAGCTAAACTAAGCTAAACTAAGCTAAACAGCCAGGAATTGATCGATTCCGTGTTGTTCCGAAGTCGCTCGCGGATTGTATGAGTTAGTAGTAGCTTAGGAGGGGAGTTTACCAGTAGTGTGGTCTTATTTTGCGGTGTTACACCTGGAGAGAGAACTTGAATAATACTATGCGGGGAAAGTAAACGAGTAAACGACACTAAAGGAAAGCTAAAAACAACCCCAGAACCGTACATTCTTTTTTTTGTTGGTGGGGCCTCGAGGAAGTGGGGCTAGACCATGTTGAGAGATGCGCGATATATTGGCAGCTAGACGTTACAGATGGAATGACATCGGTCAGAAGTGGTTGATAGAACACAACCTAACACCGCTATTACAGATAGTGAATTGGGAAAAAATGGGAAAAATGAGTCGCTTGGTACGTTGTGTATAGGTAGTGGTTTTAGCTATCGAGAAACGGCTGTTTTTTTGGCGCGGAACGGGCTGAAGAGTTGTGTTTGTGGGGTAAAATACGGAGTGTTGTGAGACCGTTGGATTGTACAGGGTTTGGTGAGGAAGTATGGATGTTAGAGTTTGAATCGGGAGGGGAGGGGGGTGGTAAGATGTGATGATGTCTCTTTGTACGGAAACCGTTAGTGCAGAGTGCATGTAAGATAAATTACACGACGTTTGGACGACGATCCTGGAGGAGATACAGTTCCAACCATTAAACCTATTCCATCGGGTTTTTTTTTGTATCCGGCAAATCCGTGGATTCTCAACTAAGCAAAAGTAGACTCAAGTGGGCATATCCGTATGTGATGACTATGCTACTCATAGACCTCTGGCACTGGGTTCGAATCCACGGATTCGCGAATTCTGTCTGCTCTACGGTTACCACGAATCCGTCGTGGTATACCCGCCCGCCTTCTCAAGCCTCCCTCCAAGTTCCTCTACCGCGAAAGCTGTTGGACGATGATGTTCAGATCTCTAAAACGTGGTTGATAGATGTACCGACTTGCGTAATCTGGGCTGTCGTCATCCCCACCTTCTCGCCGGACGTATGTCCTAGCATTGGTGTGTAATATCATTGTCTGTTGATGTCTCGCTAGTGCACGATGAACTCATTATCTGAGAAGATGTTGAAGCACTTTGAGAACCTGATATCCAATCCTCTCTTGCTGAAGGAAAAGCATCATTCCACCGTGCTTTACGAATTCGGGCTCGAAAGGGAGAATCTAGTATCTAATACTCTCTTGCTGATGAAAAAGCATCCTTCTTCATCAGCAGTTCGTAGTTTCGGACTGTAAAGCACTAGTGAGCAGAGTGCTTTTCTCAGATGGCTTTTTCGGGTATATTTCCCATTTTCCCCATGGTTCCAGCTCTTATTTGTTGCTCGTAGTGGTCAGAAATCAATGATCTAACCTTCAATCTTTTTTGTCCAAGAATGTACACCTTGAATTAAATTCCATCTCCAATGCTGGATTCGCCTTCGAGACTATCCCGAAATTGCTTGCCATAACTCGTCACATAGTGCTCGGTCAGCTCCAAAAATTCGTTTCTGCAGTATTTCTCGAAAGCTCCGTTAAGCCGGTCCGGCTTGCGACCAGCCTGCAGAAACCTAATAGCCGGTCTCCCTGTAGGCAATAGCCAAGTATTTCTTACCACTGCACCAAGTATCTCGCTCAATGTTTCCTCAGAGAACAAGTCAGTGTGTCCAATACCAATTCCCTAATGTGCTTCGATGTCCATTACGCCGCATTCCACACCCTCAACGAATTCACAGTAACGACCCGTGTAGTAGTCGATTCCGTAAATAAAGGAATTTGTTGAATCATTTTGGGGAAGCATCGTAAGTTCTTCAAACATGCGCGTTATGTGGATGAAAAAAGCTAAGGGTTTCATTTCTTTAGTGAAGATATTCCCGCTGGTATAGTAGGAGAGCTTGTCGATTCTCGAAGGATCGGAACAAACCAATGAACACTCGATTCAAAACATGGTCCATACATCTGATTTCGATACTGCTTCTGGATCTAGTTACATGAAAGCCCAATTCAAGAGCATTGTCTAGATTTTCCAGCATTGCAATATTGTTCGACCCAAGTGATAATACTGATTTTGTGACTGATAGAATATTTGCTGAGGCTTGCCAGCAAAGCAGTCTTAAGATTCTCGCGTGTGTGTAGCAAATCACTCATATACGTGCGTATTTTGATCTTCTTGAGCAACCGCCATTCACCTCCATTTTCAAGTTAAGGCAGAATGATATCATGACGGCTGAAAAGTTCTTTTGGCCTGAAGATGTCCTCATGTCGGCCAAAAGAACTAGCCTTTTGATCTAAGGAATGGGTTTGGAGGTAGTTGAACGAACCGTGGAGAAAAACTGTAGCGTCCACTCAAGACTTTGCTAAATAACGTAAAGTCATGGTTGTTCTTACGCTTGAGATGCCCAAAGACATCGGACGACGTCGGATTGCCCTGTAGAAGTAGTTCTCGCCAACGCACATGGGGGCTCTCGCCCTTGACTTTCGTAATCCAAATTACGTATGGAGAGGAAGAAAGCCACGAATCAAACTTTCTTTCCATATCCTTTCCCATTCTTCCTTCAGTCGATGCCCTCTGCAAAGAACGATTATTCATTACTTGAAAAATTATAAGCCCATCTGCGCAAATTCGGTAAAATTGCATCTCTTAGCTCGCTTAAGCTTCTGTCAATTGTTTGATGAACACCGGCGGACCACCATCTATCAATTGTGAGCCTTTATTCTGAGATTACCGTTCAACTCATTGTAATCTCTTTCCTCTCCTCTTCTAAGATATTTCATTACGGTGTCTGGCGTGTTGCTGCTCAAAACATCTCAAGCTGCGGCGTAAAAGACATCAGAAGGAGGAAAGAACTATGGGCGCGTGAATCTTTATAGTTTTAGAGTTTCCACTTTTCCAATGACTAGTAACTTGAAATGATCTAAGTAGTATAAATATAAGCAGCGTCATGTGTGAATGACAAGACACGCAGCGCCCACTTCGTTGGAGTGATTCGTTGTGATCTAGACATTTTGATAAACTTACGCATCTGAAGATCTGCTAATTACCTGGATACACATGAAAAGATTTAGGAGGGTCGTCTTCATGTTACCGCTGGAGTTGAATGGTTCTACTCGCCGCCTTACTCGCACTAGTCCTTAGTCCTGTGACTTTAACATGAAATCATCATTTTATACGTAGAGGTCGCCCAAGCATTCCGGTCTTCATCGTAACGTAAACCGTTAAACACAAGAATTCATCTCTCTTCAACGTATTTTCTTATTTGTTGTAATTACGAGATGATTTCAACTTCACTGGTTGTATTGCAGGATGCGCTTAAGTCGCTATCTGGCAGATGTTTAACCAACCCTGGTGCTTTTCAAACGATTTGAACGAATCAGTAAACACCCGATTCGTAGCATAGTTAATACAACAAATCTTGACAGTGCTCCTAGATCAAATCATAATTCATGAGCTTTGTCGAGATTCTCAGGCCGGTGTGTGGGACTCGCGCCAGGATACGGGTGTCCGAGCATTTCAAACGAACGGAATCGTAATTCGTCCTCAGTTCTGTACCACATACCTATCATTTCATTTTAAGTGACAACTTCAGCTTCCAGCTCGTTGGATTGAGATTTGAATATCATCGCTCTCTGAACCTTTTTCGGCTGCATCATTGATCCTTCATCCTTAGTCCACTGTCCACCAAATAGCAAATTGGAACCTTCAATCCTCCGGTGTATCACGCGTCGGATTGAGTGACAACGAAATGTGTATCCACTACAGTCATACCCGCCTCAAGAAAGGTGTACGTCGCCTGACATACACCCATTTCTCTTTTGTTCGTTTATTTAATCCTCAGTCACGTGGTAACGAAATATCCTTCCTAAAGTCACAACCAAATACCCTTCTCACACTTGGTTAGCTGCCCATTATCTTGCTGGCCCGATTCATGATTTTCACCGTAATATTGCGTTGATTAGGCGGCTCCTTTCCTGATTCTTCTTTTGCCTTGGCCACTGATCTGATATCCTGTTACATGGTCTCATGAAAGTTTGCAAAACCCTCGACTGTATTATACGAACTTTCAGAAATGCACTTTCAGAGAGCAGTCCTGACCCTGCTGGGCCTCCTCTAATTTTTCTATTGTCGCTTTCAGTAGCAGCGGCGATGGCTGTGCATTTTTTCAAGAGCGTCGTATACGGAGAGCTTTGCTCGAATGACCATTCGTCAGGCAACATTCCGTATTTAGCAGTTGCTTTTTCAACAGCATTAATCGCATGATTACGGACGCTCGCTACACACCGCATAAACTTCACACTTCCCAAACCCAAGTATAATCTTTGCGCTTTCGAATCAACAACACACTGTACGTTGGGTTTCATCCAATACCCAGCAATGGCCCTCTAATGTGTTCCGTAATACCCCCGTAGCGCACTTCCGCATTTCACTCACGGCATACCTGCGTACCTTGCACCTATTCTCTTCTTGAAGCTACAGTTCAATCTCTGGACAGAAAAGGAAGAGATGACAATTGGGCCCGGTCACCTACCCAATCCTCTAGTCGTTTCCGTCTGCGCGATTCCACTATCGACTGGAGGTGTGACAATACGTAAAACGCGATTTACAGAAAATAAGGTCTCATCACGTGGCCCAGAGACCGGTCACCTTCAAGTATACCCTCAATGACAGATCTGCGCAAGTTAAGTAACGATGTCAGATCACCTAAGTCTTTGACGAGGTCAAGAGATAGTCTTATCTTAGATGTCTTTCAACATGCATGTCCCGGAACCCTAGAAATGAGTTTGTATCTTTTCCAAGCGAATGAATGGCAAAACAGAATCAAACGCTCACACAATTAACAGCCATCTCTGCTTCAACAACAGTTGTCTCGATGGTACACTTGCCAAAACTTATTTCCACCGGTTTCCAAAATATTGTTACCACCAGTGTGTTTGTTTCCCACATATTCCTTAGAGCTTGTACCTGACGTAGAACACATATTTAAATCCTCAATGATCATCACCTTTTCCTAAACATGAAAAATACACCTCTGCACGGTATAAGGTTTGCACGGTTAGCTCTTTGCAACCGCTATTAACGCCAACAGTTGGGCAACAGCGGGGGTCCGCAAGAGCAGTAGTTCGTCTCCATACGCTACGCTACGTTAAACAAAACCTTGATTCTAATAGTCTATGATAATTAAATGATGTTTATATACATCAGGATATACAGATAAAACGGCTTTATACCGATCAAAAAATGCCAAAATATAGTCGTTGAATAGTTCTAGTCATAAATTTCACTTCATTTCAACACAATGCGTTTGATTTTCCAGCTCAGTTAGAAACTGAGTTGAAGCTTTTCATTACCTCAAATTAGAAGTATCTCTTGTACCATGGCAAGTTCATGTCATCGTTTTGCAAATCCTCAGCATGGTAGTCAGCACCTCTTCTAGAGGCAGGAACCCAGTTGGCGGATCTCCATGGCAAAACACCTTCTTGGTACATTTCGTTAACTTCTTCTAGAGTCAAACCCTTGGTCTCAGGAATGAAGAAGAACACATAGAAAACCGAGAACAACATACATCCCATGAAAACGTAACCATAGTAGAAGTTGATGGCAGTGGTGATGAATGGAGTGAAGAAAGAGATCAAAAATCCCCAGATCCAGTTAGAGGCGGAGGCAATAGACATGGCCTTACCCTTGACTCTCAATGGGTATGTTTCGGAGATCAAGACGTAGGCAATTGGAGCCCAGGTGGTGGCGAAACAGAAAATGTAGAAACACGCGAAGACAATCAAACAGTTACCAGCACCCTTGGAAGTGACACTCTTGTTGTTGGCACCGTCAGGGTATAACCTTGTAACACCGACAGAAGCGTAGACAACGTAACATGCCACCATACCAATAGCACCGTAAATCAAACAGTTACGACGACCGAATCTGTCAACAGTGTACAACGATAGAGAGGTACAGAAGAAGTTGACAACACCAAAGACAATAGCAGTTTCAAACGAGTCAGTCATACCAACAGCTTGGAAAATAGTAGTACCGTAGTAAAAGAAGTAGTTGTCACCAGTCAATTGTTGTAGAGACATGATGACGATACCGTTGAGAGTACGTTTCAACATTTGAGGCTTACCGGTGATCAATTCCATCCAGTGAGCTTCACCGGCCATTTTTTCGGCTTCAACACTGGCTTCGATTTGTTCCAATTCAAGAGTGACAACAGCGTCTTCCATCTGGGCCTTGTTAACACGAGCCAAAGAGCGTCTGGCTTCTTCGAGTCTACCGTATTCCACCAAGTAACGAGGAGATTCTGGAACAAAAGACATACCACCAATCATGAATAGAGCCCAGGCGAAACATAGACCTAGAGGGACTCTCCATTGGACAGAGTTGGAGTAGTTTTTAGTACCAAAGTTGGTGCAGTAACCCAAGAAGATACCACCCGTGACCATAAACTGGTAGCACGACACCAGGGTACCTCTCAAATGCTTAGGAGCAACCTCGGAAATCAACATGGGCGACAAGATGGTGATGGCACCAACACCGAGACCGGAGATGATTCTACCAATGAAGTACTGGTACCATTTGTCGATGGAAGCGATCTGGATGATGATACCTACAGCGTAGATAACGACCACAGCCGATAGACCAAGACGACGCCCGTACACCTCACCAAGCTTACCCAAGGCGATACCACCAATGGCACAACCAATGTTGAAGATAGAAACGATCAAACCGGTTCTAACGTTGGACAAGTAGTGATCACCATTGCTTTTCTTCTGGCCAAATCTGCGGATGAAGTCCTTTTGCTGGACGAAACCGGAAATGGTACCGGTATCCCAGCCGAAAACGAAACCACCAAAGGCAACCATGATGCAGCAGATGGAAACAAAGGCAAAGTCACCTTTGCCTTTGTTGGCCAGCTGTTCTTCGGCGTCCTTTTTCAGTTCGTCGATTTCGTCGTGAGAATCCACTCTGTTCGCCTTAGGCTCTGGAGCGTTCATCACGTTCGAGTTGTGCGATCCCTGGTCTTCAGACACACTTTTGGAAGTGAAAATGTCCTGGGAAGGACCCACTTCTGGCGATGCACTGCTCATCGGATATAATAGATTTTAATATAGATAGGAAATACACTAGATGTCAAGAAAAAGAGTAACTGCTTGATTTAAAAGAAGAAACCTATTCCAAGTCGAACGTCACCTGTAAATCCTTGCTTGTGCGATGTCGAATAATAAAATCGTTTCAAAAGGCACCAACTAAATTCACAAATACAGCGGGGTGGACCCAACTGAGATTCTTCTCCACTTATATACAAAAATTCTGGAGCTATTTTGATTTTGTTTTTGACCCAGTTAATTGATTGATAATGACGATGTGAATGAATGTGTGTGCCTCCCGCAGTTTTTTTTCTCGCTCAGCAACCTCTAAGACGGCCCGTCTGTGTCGTCGTTTCTCATCGTGGTCCGTCCTGTGTATTCTTTCTTTACCCCGGTGCTTTTTTCCAAAAATCGTTCGACGTTTTTGGAGCTTTTGCTGACCGCACTGTCTAGGTGTTGCAACGCTTAGTGTTGAGAGTGAACTGAACGCCTTGCTCTTTCCCTTTACATTCCTTTTTGGCACACTCTAGTGTTTTTTTGTCAGACCACTGGGGCTTACACTACCAATACCAACGCTGGTGTTGCTTCCAGTGCTGCTGGATGGTCTTTGCGTTGCGTTCGTGTTACTACAGTCAGTACTGTTTTGGCCAGTAGGAATTTGTGAGTGTGTGGTTGTAGTGGGTCTCTTGCTGGGATTGCTTGCTTGCTTGCTGACTGGCTTCGGGCTAATCATAATAACACCCACGTCATAGCATCCGGAACTTCCTCTCTCACGGCGGTTTCTGAGAGGGTTCGAAAAGTTTTTCCGGATCCGCCAGAGAAGACGCCGCAGGCGGCCTCTGGGCCAGGTACGCACCGGAAAAACTTTTTTCCGAAACGTCACATAGTGGCAAGACCCAACAGCAAAGAAAGAGGGAAAACGACAACATAGGCAGGATGAAGTTGGGTGAGCTGGTAGGAGGGGGAGTGAGTGGGAGTAAGAAGTAGAGAAGGAGAGAGTGTGGGAGTGAATGAATGACACGATATCCCAGTGCTTAATACTTTGGATACGCCGTCAATATGTGCTTTTTTGGTTATTCTGTCGTCCAGCAAGCTCTCTCTGTCGCTGCTTGGCACTACGATGCGAATTAGGTCACTATAGACGATGCCGATGTGTTGTTATTGCTGCTTCACGGTGATTTCTAAGCACACCTTTATCGTCTGCAGGGCCCAAAAAAGGAAAGCGAAGCGGTCTCGGAAGAACATGCGGGAGCGGAAAAACCTCAACCACGGAAGATCCGTTTCGCAGAAACCTCCGCGGACGCCGGATAAACTCAACCAAAAGAAGTGAAGAAGTAAAAATACCAGATAATTAATATCTCCGAGAGCCGGTCACGTGGCACTCGCGGTGTGTGGGTGAAAAGCATACCTATCACAGGTAGCTAGCTATCTTTTTCTTTTCATTGTGTCGCTCGATGGTGATTGCTTGCGAGCCCCCAGTAAGTCCGGCGTCATTGACGATGGAGGAAGGAAGGAAATTTGTTTCTCCGCAGCACCCGAGCAGTGGTAGCTGCTGCTCCAGCAAAAACTTCCTAGCCAGTCTAAAAAAATGTCACGTTCGATTCAGCACGACCCGGATGTCGTCAATCTATTGCTTTGGGGGGATCTGTCCATAATTGCTACCCCAACGCCCGGGGTTCAAGACTAACTAGCTTGATTTCTAAATTACCATTGACGACGACAAGTGGGCCTAGTAGTTATTGCTGAAAAATTGTAGCATTTATGGAATTTCCCGTCGCGTACGCGCGACACAAGCGTTCAAAGTGACAGAATCAATATATTACAAATATTGTAGGCTCTACCTGACACAAGTGCCCTTCAGTGTATACATCTCGAGCACCCAGCCACCTACCGACCTCAATGCTACTCATATCATTACTATTTATTGCATTTCCTATTATTATTAAAAAACAGTAGCCAATTGGTGAACCGCGAGTGTGACTTTATGCTACCCGTCACAGCTATTACTTTTCACTATAAGATTCCTCAGTCACCTCTTCAGCCTCAGAAATAAAAGTGATTTCGCTCCATCCCAAACCCTTCACTGCAGGTTCGTCTCCAACAGTGAGGTCAAAATCGTTAGCATACTGGTAGATGTATGGCTTGGTACCAGCAACACCCGAGACGATATTCTTGACAAAAGTAGGAATTTCTTTCATAACGTCCACTCTTTCAACTAGTTGTTTGAGCGGACCTGAGGCCACACCGGTTACAGGCTTAGCCTTTTCAATATCTGCGTCACTCACATGGGCAGAGACACCGTCAAATTCAACTTCGAGGCCTTGGGGCACGGGCCAGCCAACAGAGTCAACTTTTGGATCCATGTGAGTAATCTTGTTGTCGATACTAACACTGATGACATCGTCTTTACTGCAGAGTATGCCAATCGAGACTGCGGTGTTGGCGTAAGATTTGGGTGTAGTGAACTCCATAAGAACTGCGCTGTGAGATTCAGATTGGAAGTTTAGAAAATTCCAAGATTTGGCTGCATGATGCGGTTTCAAACCTTGTATAGCCATCACAAACATAGAATAAACTGGTTGTTCTTGGGAGAAAACTATGTCTTTGTAACTGGGCTTTTCAGACCCTATGCTTACGTCAACTTTTAGAGATCCATGACACTTGTTTCTGGGCCAGAAAATATGTCTCATGGTACCCCAAGGTTGCTCCAAATTGTCACCGTAGTAAGTGGTACCGTTTTCACCGACTTTAACACCAGGGACTAACCGATCGAAAGTTAAGTCAATGGTGGTGTCTGGCGACACTGAAGCTTTGAACGTAACTTGGGATCCAGCGGCATCCATTTCGATAGCAAGATTGTCAGCATAGAAATTTGGTCCATCAATTCTGAAATTTTCGAGTTTAGTCGAGGTCCATATGTTGAACTCTGGTGTTTGGACATTGTATACTCTGAAGGTTAACTGTGCCGTGGTATGCAACCCGACGATATTGGAGTGAATGACTTGTGCAAATCCGATGTAACCTTGCTTGAGATCTGAAAAATAGAACGTGGCAGTTTCCACGTTGGTGTGACTAGGACTTAGCCAGTTGAAATCTTCTCTTGTCGTTTGATGGAACGGTTGCTTTCCCTTTACCGTTTCGGTCACTGGATGGATAAAATCTTTGCCGTATTCAGGCTCAGCAATACCGGTGACGGCAGAAATACCACCTTGAATCCACTTTAGCATTGAAAAGGCGATTCCAAAGGGGTTTACTTACAAATCGATGAAATTCGAGATCGATGAACTTTAGAAGACCTGTTTGTGACGCTGAGAAACGCTAGAAGGGTCAAAAAAACTGAAGGAAATCGACTAACAGTTCAGTAATATTATCTGTGCTATGATCACACTTTAATAACAACCTAAACTAATCTTTGATGAGAAGTTCTGTGTTTTCAACAAGGAGTGGGATGAGCTTCCCAAATCTGTGTTGTATATTTTTCATTGTGTAGAGGACGCTTCGTTTAGGGTTATATAGCCTTCTGATGTCAGTGCCAAGGAGTACGAGTACGAGTACAACAACGAGTACGTAGGTTGTTGTTGATTTTCCGAATACTGTTTAACGAGGCGAAGACAAGGGCTTGGCCTGTTCGTGATGAGTCGGACTACCAAGACGGTGGCTTTGAACAATGCGTTTTTCAAAGTTAGAAAATTTGATTCTGCTAGCATCCACATCTAAATTAGATCGTTTTTTTAAGCTCAGCTCGAGGCTGATGGTGTGATAGTAGCCATGATCAAAAGTCTTTTGGTGGCTTGGTCTTAAGCGACGCGGCTCATGGTCCTCGCTTCTGGCTCTCTGATCTGCCCATCCCTCAACTGGCACTGAATATATCACTTTTTCACAGTATGTCGTTGGTCTTCGACACGTGACAGAATGATTTCTTGAATAAAACCATCTAAGTTACGGAACCTGAAGAAGCAGTAAACTAGAACATAGTGCCTCGAAGATTTGTAGCAAATACGTGAGTCAGATTGATGCTTTTGAAGTGCGGCTGCTGACTTTCTTAGCTCTCTAAATACTGGCCTAGCACTATACTGTCATCTGTCATCCGCGATAGTTTAGTGGCTAGAATTCGGGCTTGTCGCGCCCGGGACCGGGGTTCAATTCCCCGTCGCGGAGTATTTTTTGGTATTATCTCGGATGCTTAAGATGAACTAGTGTCTGGAATTCACTTTTTGGTAAGCGGGCTCAAAGGGAAGATTCCCAATGTAGTTGAATCACGGTCTTAGTCTCTGGCGATCTAACTTGTTATGCTTGGGCAGCTAATTGAAAATCTACTTCTGATGTAGGTGTTATTCCTATACGCACACAAAAATTATCCCATCATCGAGTTCGCCGTGATTCGATCGAATGTGTGTTATTGAACAGGCTCCCCCTTTTATTTAGAACTTTACCACCAATATCGGATTTCGTTTCTGATCACTCCGTGCCATCGAGTCACTGCCAATGTCGGTGTATATTCCTGCTTTACCACAGCCTGTGCGAATCATAGAGGTCCCACCAAAAATGCAGTAAGACAAGTGTTCTAGAGCGATTGAAACGTACCATGCACTGAAACATGAAAATCTCCCACCTGTGTCCTAAAATTAGGTTCCAATATGTTCAACCACCTACTAAGCAGCACAGACGATTTTTTCTCGCAAGACGTCCTGTTTACGCTCGAAAGCCGCTTACCCCAAACAACTCAAATTACAAACAAGACATCCTCGAGCTTATCGCTTTGCCAATGTTTCGTTAAACATCCCATCCAAATGATGCGAGCACCAAAACTTCATCGAAATGTGTCAGTTTCATACAAAGTGATCTGTTAATAGTCAAAATTTTATATTAAAAGCCTGTCAGTGAATTTCAAGGCGATGATCTGGAGAGACAAAGTAGTTCTTTGAGAGACATCTGCGTCATGTTCGGGACCAAATTGACCCCCAGAACTCTTTCCAGGTCTTACATTACACCCTCACTGGAACATCTCAAAAAGGGTGCTGGTCTCAGTGGTATTTTTTCCGAGAAAGGTCTACAAACAGCATGGTTCGATAGAGCAGAACTGCATACGGAAAAGCTTAATCAATATCTCAGTCATAGCGAAGAAAAGCCTTTGGAAAGTATCGTTCATGGATATGCCAAATCTGCATCGAAACGCGAAGTTTTCAATCAAGCATCACAGCTTTATAATCTAAGATTCGCAATGAGCAGTTTGCATGGCAATGATCTACCATCCATACAAAAACCGGGACCAAAAGTACTTCTAGAGACCCCAAAACTGGAACTCGATTTTAAAAATGATCCCAGGGAAACTGGAAACGCAAGATTGAGCTCTGCACTTGCTTCATCGTTTGGATCTCTGATCGAATTTAGATCTCTACTGCTTAATTCTAACAAAGCTATTGCTGGAGACGGTTTCACTTGGCTTGTAGCCAGAAAGGTCAATACATCTCAAAGAGAATCCTTGGCGTCTGGAAATGTGGAGTTTGACTGGCTTTACGTGTTGAATACTTATAATGCAGGGTCTCCATTCAATTTCAATAAAGTTGGCCATATCAGCGATCTCCAAAGGCAGTTCGAAAAACTAAAACCTGTCGAAGAGGAGGTCGAAGAAGAGAACTCTAACCCGCTGCAAATAAAGTCGGTCCAGGAAGCAAGAGAGTCAGAATCCTATAAATCCGCAACTTACGTCCCGCTCTTGGCTATAGACGCTTCTCCCAAAGCTTGGCTAACGGACTATGGTGTATTTGGTAAAGATTTGTACCTTGAGAGGGTATGGGAATCGATCGAATGGAATATAGTGGAGCAAAGACTTCCCGCTAGAGCTCCAAACTATCAACTGACATAAACGGTGAGTTTTTTCCGAAAGAAAAAAAACCTGAATTTCCTGTATATATAAAATAGACATAGCATGAACTGGATGCTTTTTTTGTAGAGCGCCGCGAGTCCGATATCCAAGGCCGCTCAAATCGTCCTTTTGCTCTTCCATCAACGCAGTAAACGTAGCCCTTTAGCTATGTTGCTGGAAAGATAAAGCATCTCTATGATACACATCACGGTTCCGGAACAGTTGCTTGCAACTATCGCACGATTTTCTTGTCACAGTCACCCGTATACTTGAGTGCCTCCCTGGTGTGTTTATTCATCGCCAAGCTTATGACTTCCTCCCCACTTTCAAACTTTTCACTCTTCTCATGAACTTGTTACCTGAACCAGATTTTTTCGCCGCAGGGTCTACGCGTCCCCCCAAATAGACATCCTCTTCGTCTTGATCGTACTCCAAGTGACCGGAGTGTGTCTTGGTGAGTTGTAGAGGTTCTTTGCCGTTGGTGTATGCTTGGTGAGGATGTAGACGGTTATAGCCGTTTTGAACACCAGTGGCTGGTGCGCCATCTAGAAAGGTTGTGGAGCCGAGACCATCAGTTGTTGGTCCGTGAACGAGTTGCGTTTTGGCCTTGGCATCAAACTGAGTAATTACTCGGCTGTTGGGTTTGATGGCGTCTAAAGTGGCTGTTGAAGAAGTATTCGCTGCTCGATAAGGCCTGGTACCACCGTATAGATAGGTGTCGTCGTCGTCAACAGACTCTTGACCAAAAACCTCTTTCATAGGTGATTTGGCATTGGCAGCCCCCGCAATAGACGAATTAGGACCGTTTGCTGGAAAAGCCATCACAGGAGCGACCTTCTGGTTGCGATTACGATGTGGCGTACACGCATCGAAGGGTCCGTCATGATGAAATGCGCCCCCGAAAAGTCCGGTGACGTCGAGCTTATCGATAGTATCAACATTTTTGGCGAGAGGCTTAGATGAAGACGACGAAGACTTTTTCTTGTCCTTGGAGGATTTGCGTTGGCTTGACGACACTCGAGTGCCACCAGATGACGAAGCTTCACGGCTGCTGCGATGATGTTGATGGTTGCCGTTTGAACGCTCTGAATGGTGGCGATGCGACCGTGACGACGACGAGCTATTATAGTGCGATGAACTTGATTTTTCACGCGGACGAGGGGCGTCTTTCTTTGGGCCCGCAACTTCGTCGTACGAAGGGGGCAAGTCGTCGGAGGGACGAGTTGGTGAGTCGTCCACCGTAGTCTGTTCCAAATACCGGCGTCTCAAACGGTCTTTCTCCTCCTGGGCAGTAGGATACGACGACGACGCAGATGACGAGTCATCTCCACCAGACTGAGGTGTTAGGTCCTCGAGGAATGGATTTTTCGATGATGGTCGTTGGGGCGGTGTCATGCTGTGATATCAAAAAACAAGTTAGTAAAGGGGACTGTCGCGTGCAACAAGTTCGAGCCTGTTTAAAATAGAAGGGGCCTTTGTCGCAATCAAGGGCGAAAAGGGCAGAAACAGATGAGTTTGGAAGGGGGGGATAAGACCTGCTTTCAAAATGTGAATTTCGAGTCTATGTGTCTCTGGGGATTCGCGGGATTGGATCTGTAACGGTCTTGCACGAAAACTGTCAAATAGCAGCTTTATGGTGTACGGTTACATTCCTTCATACCACTGTTTCGAAATTAGATTACGAGGATCCATGTGATAAGGGCGTGATTCTCACATGTGTAAAGACCACGTGACAATCACGCTACAAACACGTGATCTCTCAATTTTTCGTATGCAGTTTCTTGTTCTCATACGTTCTCGTTCTCGTTCTCGTTCTCGTTCTCGTTCTCGTTCTCTCTCTTTCTAACTGAAGAAGACACATCAAATACCGGTATACTTTTCCTGTTCCATCTGTGTCCCTATCTCTCCTAACTCAGTTTCTTCGTCTTGTGCTTCTCTTCTTGCTCCTCCTGTGTATTCTGTGTTGCATTCCATAAAAAAACATACCTTGAACGCACATCAGTCAGACTGCGCGGTGAATCTATGCGTGGTGCAATCATTGGCGGTTCTTCCTCGATGCTGTCTGTAAAACTCAACAATGAAGAGCTTTTGTTGTTGTAAGGCCGCGATCCAGACGCCGTGGACGCATAGGGACTGTGCATCTTATTGGCCGATACCCATTTCTGGAACTCCTCATCACTTTGGTAAATTTGTCTTTCTTGTGTCACAGCCTCCGTGCGAAAAGGATTATTTGTCGATAATCGGCGATTACCCACGGCCACAGAACGGTCTGAGCTGCCAGAACGTAACATTGGTGGGGCAGGCATGTGTGTATATGAGTGTGTATCGAGAGTTTACCGTCAAATGGGTCAATGTCTTGGTGTTTTCTCTTGAAAGCTGTGGGCGCTTAACGCGTTGCCAAATTTGATCCGGGGAAAAAGGGGTATATATAAGCCAAAGCGCTGGGACAACGATATACAGCAATTCTCGCCGAAATGTACTCGAAGCGCTGCTAGTAAAACGCCAAACCACAGCAGTTTAACAACCGTGAATAAGTCAGTTGTAACTGGAGTGTTGTGAGCTGTTGGTTTGCGTTCGAAGCTTAAAAATTGGTAAGCTGAGAAAAATTGATAATTTCGAAAACATGATATCGCAGTATACGAAGAGTCAAAGATGATAATAACATCAAGTCATTTTACACGTAAAAATCTAAAAATAAAAATCAATATCACGTGACGTAACAACGTTCGTTATAAATGATAAATAGTAAACTGTGCATTACTACACTCTGAGTAACACTTATAGGTAGGACCTGACAATAAGTTGAAAACTTGTACTTTGATAGTCATTCTGAGCTTCTTCTCTTGCCTGAGGTATGGTTCGCCTCTGTTACAACATCACTTATCTATTTCTTGAACTTTTGACCCACTTGTTAACCAAGTTTCACTTATTTACAGCAAGTATATCATTCAATGCGTCCCTTCATTTCTTGCAGTGGCCTCCAAACCTCAGAATTGTATAAACTTTTGACCGATGTGTTCGTGTTCGCGAGCATGCGGAATCTTTGTGTAATTGTCGTTGTCCACTCGCGTCTGAATGCGTTTATGCTGCGATACCAAATACTCATCGTAGTTCTCCACCATCTCAATTGACTTGTCTTCACATAACAGCGCTGCCATGGCATGCGCATAGTACACATCCACATGTGGGCGCAACGTGATCAGCGGCAGATATGCGCGTCCCACTATTTGGCGCCAGTACCGCAGGACATTACGAGCCTTCACGTTAATAATGCTATCCACCGCAGGCAATGTGTTGCCCACAAGCACGATATCGGACATTTTTGCATTGGAATCCTGTACGTCCAGAAGGTCACGCAATAAAAGGGTGTTGGTGTTTTCGTTGAACCACAGATACGCCGTTGATCCGTCGAAGATCAAATAGCATCCCCCATCCACTAGCTCCCGGCGAGCAGCACGTACGCTTAAGGATTCTGAGGGTGCCACCTGAAGTAGTAGATCTTGCGCATCTGCAAAAGTAAAATCTGTTTCCTGTAGCAGCTCATGCAACGGCAAAATCTGAGGATACAATTTGTACATCATTTGAGGCAAAGTGCAGGACATCCATTGAAACAAATCAAGCACGCGTGCATTGCCATTTGCGGATCTACTGTTGCTTTTCATCAGCTCAGATTTTTCAAAAGACAGCAAGTAAGCCGCCAGGGTCTTGAGGGAGTCTGGCAAAACCAGCTGGCTCGAAGGCGACCCGGACACTAGACAGCGGTATTGCGTCAAAATGTCACTGACTTTTTCATCGATTGTTTTCCGCATTTGAACGAAATTACAGTCACCCAAAGTCGTGAGCAAGTCATGCACGATTATGCTCACTACAGCGTCTTGATCAACAAATTTGAAAACCTCATTGATGTTCTCGCTGACCGCCCCAGATGTGTTCAAAGTGCGTACTTTCCTTACCCCGTTCAAATCCGTGTAAAGAATCGCACACTGGAAATGAACATCTTCGGAGTTCGCTAGTTGACCCTCATACTTGAAAAGCACGCTCAAGCTGGTGTCTTGGTGAACGACAGGTATTATTGGCTCTCGATTGGTGTTTTCCACCGATTCTGAATAATAGTTGTAGATGGATAACCCAGCGGAACACCGAACCTTCAATTGAGCATTGTAACCAATTGTATGCACAATGCTATGCAGCACATCATTCACAAACGTAAACTCATCTTTATCCAGATTGAAATTAGGATAGTGCTTCAAAAACCCAGAAGTGCTTCTCACGGGTTGTCCCACAGATACCAGGTCAACGAATGCAGAAGCTGCGCAATATAAGTCAACTGAGATGTTAGACTTCAATAAGTCTTTGCCTAGCTTCAAGTAGAAATCATTTTCACAGTTTAAGGTCTTTTTCAAAGCATCCTCTTTTCTCAACCTCAAGTTACCAATGCCATGAGACGGTTTACTTCCCAAGCTGACCAGAATTTTACCACCTTGTCCTTCGGTCACCGTGTCTATCGCTAATTTGGCTGCCTGCAGAGCAGATCCGTAACACGCCTCGAAACGATGCAGAAATTTGTTGTCCTCGATGTGTGCAGTGATCTTACAGAGCGTGTCCTGAATAACGTGCATGGATTCCTCTGGTCTCACAAAAAGTCCAGTGAAGATGGGTAGGAATACGTCCTGAAGATCGCTAACAATATATTCTTGAGCCTGATGGAGCTCTTTCCGCAAATTAAAGAACCGAATCTCATTGTCATACGCCATAATTGCAATTTTGCAATTGGGCTGCTCAGTTGCAATGTGCTCTATGGAAGTTCTGACACCTTCCAGCATCGCTAGAGAGCTTCTGTTCTCATTCGATATTGTGGAAATATCGATCAAAAAAACATAGTGCAGCGGAACGTTGACTTTGGCATGATTGAAGTTGTAAGCTTCAGGAACTAAAAAATCCACACTTCCCTTCAAGAGCTCAGGCCGCTCGTACAGATCTGATCTCGTTCCATTAGAGTTCAATGGCGCAGTATACTCGTCACTCAACTGTGTGCTTACTTTACAGAAATTGCAAATGGCCTTAGAGTCGAAAGTAAAAGAGTAAGCGGGATTGACATACGATCTGCATCTTCTACATCTCAATGGGCCACCTACTTGTGTCACATCAACCTGGGGTACTTCCTCATCAAGACTGGTGCTCGCAAACGGTTGTAAGACTGCTCCCATCGGTAGTTTTGCCGCTGACCGGATCTGCTCATTTTTTGGAATATTATGCATCGTAAGACTCATTTTGCGAGGGTCACTGGAAGCCTGGTCAACACAATAATACTGCGTTGATGCACAGGGCGGAACCGAATCCCTCGAAGTGACAAAAGATTGCTCAAGGTACATCGTTTGATCATCAAGTCTTTGCTTCGGAACGTAATGCGATGTAATTAAACCTGTAGCTTGTCCTGCGAGAACGGGGCTATTTGCGGAAACATCTGCGTTTGCAAAACTTGAAGTGCTCCGTTGACCAGCTAAGGATGGAGACATCGGCCCAGCATTGGCCAAAGACTGTCCTGGACTACCTGCATCGAAATTATGAAAGGCGCGATTTGGTCTTCGTCCGCTCTTTTTCAAACCGCCGGAAACCTGACCTTGATCCAGTTCGAAGCTCGATAGGCTCCTGTTGATGTTCTCCATCAATCAGAAAACGTTTGTTGGCACAGCAGACCGCAGATTGGGCAACAAGCTTGTTGTTGTTCAACTGTTTGTCCAAATCAGATGAGATGAACGAACTGGTACGTTTTATTCCAATATACCTAGAAAACCGTCGCTCTGTACGATTGAGACGCGGGCATCATGAACAAAACCTGGATGCGCCATAGATCTTCTAGTTGATTAGGACCATCAACTCCAAGAACTACTAGAAATAGCCTTGATTTCGATCATGATCCAGAGGCTGAATCTCCTGCGTATATTCTGTCGTTTTCTGTCATTTTCTCTGTTCTATCAATATTTTTACAACGACTAGCCTAGTCAGTACAATATGGGAAACATTCTGCCTAGACTATGCCAGCAGCGCGAAAATCGCAATTGTTATCAGCGGGATCAGTGTGGTATACGTCTGTATTGGAGTCGGTATTTGAACGTTCAAAATTTGCTTCTTGGCAGCATTATTGCGATGTTTTGGACCACCACTTGTAGAGAGCGAGGGGACTGTTGTGTAGCTTGTATTGTAAAAAGACCTCCCTGTGAAAATGACACCGTCCGACGATATGGTAGCGGTGAACTGGTTTATTAAAGTGTTATCGTCAACGGGTTGCGCTGTCGATGCATACAGGACCAACGTGTCATATGAAGAATAGTTGTTTGTGGTTGCGAACGGAATTGTGCCTGATTTAATTGCTGATGGGTTATCCGTGGAGAGGGCAGCCCGGTGTTCGAATGGAGACTGGCCGCTGCCGTTGGCGCTCTGCGCGCTGGAGGTAGCATGCGATGAGGTAGAAGACTTTACTGTCGTGGTTGAAGTTGTCGTTCTTAGTAAAGTGGACGCTTGAGCCAATGCAATTTGATAACTATCCAGCTCAGCTGCCATATAGACGTTTTTCAAGAAGGGTCCACCAAGGATGCTTAGACCAATGTCAGTCTTGGGCAGGAGTCGCAACTCGCAAGCAGGCTGTGAATTTGAGAAATGTAGAGACCCGTTAGTAGCAAAATCATAGGTAGGACCCATCAAGTCTCGTAGCGGGACATTAATGATCAAATTACCAAATTGGAAAAGAATGGAGGCATTCAAAGAAGCCACGTCGCAAGCCAGCAACCACCTATCTAGGGACTCGACGTAGTAAGCATTGGATTGCATCGCTATTTGAACGATGAGACTGAGTGGCAGGTAGTTGTAGCGGTAGCGGGAGTCAAGCAGCACTGGCTCGAGAAAGTGATCTGAAGTCATATTCAAGACTTGGCCTGATTCTGAGCGGACACTCACTTTATTAAGTGGAATGATAGGGTATCCACGCGAAGACGCTCCTGAATCTTTTTCGAGATACGGCACGGTATCGAACTTGACGAAATCGCCTGTATACAGAGAACGATCAACACCGCCTAAAATGATTTTGCCGCAGTTGTTAAGACTGTCCGTTAAAGACCCTAAGGGATCGGCGGTATCTGCTCCAAGCCAGAGTGAGTAAGACGCCGCGCTGATCAAATCATTATTGAGCATCTGATCTAGGAAGAAAAACGACTCGTTGTATTGAGAGGAATCGAGGGGACTGCCGGGATGGTTGATCTTTCCTCCCAAACCCAAGGCTCCCTGTGTCAGATTGTAAGTTACCTCTGTGGCATCGAAAAACGCATAGTTTTGGAACCACAACGAGCTGGAGTTGGAGCGCCAAGCGACAGAACTGTTACTGGACGTTTCAGAACTGGAGGCCGGCAGGGAATTCATAGCCAGCAGCTGCACGGTGTCCATATAGGCAGTTGCATTGAAAGAAATGCGATCTATCAGGTCGTAGCTGCGGATCTGGCTGCCGAACAATGGGTGGGCAGTGGAACTGTTATCAGAACTGTAGAAAGTTGAAGCCTGTGTGTCCGTTTCGTCGTCTGCTAGACGACTGTTTTTGAGCTGCTGAGATAGAAACCACGTATAGGGTTGCGCTACGTCCAGCCGGAGCATCTGGAATTGTTCTGGAGTGCCCACGGACGCATTCACATAGTACAACCCAGTGGTGTCTTTATTGACCATCAGCGACGCCAGCGAGCTCCCGTTATCGTCCGCTAGACAGAAACGCCACGATCGCAGAGCGAGCAGGCTTAAAAGCACGGTATGAAATGGGCCCATCGAGGAGATAGCGTCTTGTTCTGGGTTGAATTTTTGTTTGTCAGTTCGACGATGCCCTCTAGTCAATTTTCCAATTTGAATGAAAGAAGCTTGTATAGTTGGAGTGATAATGGGTGTAGAGACAAGTGCGACAATAGCGACAAGAGAGCCGCGACAACTGTACGGGTGGTTTCAGAGCTGGTGAGACGGAGAAGCTAAGAACGAGGGAGACCATCAAGCCATAAGAAAGCCATTTTGTAGACTTAAACTTGCGTATCTATACACATGTGAGCTGAAAGGTGGGTATATCCCCATGGTACACGTCCAAACCCCAAGAGTAGCTTCAGTAGCTCAGTCGGAAGAGCGTCAGTCTCATAATCTGAAGGTCGAGAGTTCGAACCTCCCCTGGAGCACATAATTTTTTTGGAAAAACGCTAGTGGAAGAAAGAAAGAAAATAGCCACTACATTCACCCATACACGAATGTAACGTTCCTACCCGATACGCTGGTAGAAGACAAAAGACATTAATACATACATTCACCCACAGACAGCAATACTACATTCACCCACAGACTGGAAGGCAGATGCAGATTAATTATATTACTACAATCGTTTACACACGTAAGGGTAGCTTATTAGCCCGTTCGCTTATACACGCTTGTAGTTTACTCACCCGACACGCTATTGAAAGAAGTAAAGATATTGATACTACATTCTTCTACACACGATTGTAACTTTTCTAACACGACTGTAGCTCTTCTAACACGACTGTAGCTTTTCTAACACGACTGTAGCTTTTCTATCCCATACACACCACCACTCCTAATTATTTCGTTTCTTTCTCTTGTAAGTGCTCGAGGCACGACTCTCATCGTGCCTCTCGTACCAACACGTGTGGGTTCTAAGTACTAGTGTTCTACACTGCTTCAAGAACCCCTAAGAACTACAACTAATAACCTCTGTATAAACCCCCATAACCTCTCGATAACGTTTCCGTATTGGTCGAACGTGAGGCACACGAATACATCTAATATAGAGATATGTGTCTAACGCATTCTAACGAAAGGTAAGACGACGTCGCACAGGTTTACGACATCGCACTGGACTCATGTCTTAATTATTGCGTCGTGGGTACCTCATGGTGTGTATATTATTACTACATGCCAAGAATTTAGGTTAATTAAGGCCTGTGTGTGTGGATACGGCCTTGGCACAATATCGTGGTGTAACAACAGCAGTAATCGCAGCGTCAGTAGATCAGTAAATTAAAGTAAAGATGGCCATAAGGACAGCAGGACAGAAAGCAAGGTTTTGAAAGCAGTATATAAATTCCAGATAAATTATGTGAGTCTCGAAAGCTGGTCACGAAGAAAGTGAAACTTCAACTTCTGAATTGGCACAGAATATCGGAAAGTGTGGCCTGAACTAATAAAGGTGTCGTTAGGGCATTGTACAAGTATAGATAGATAGTCAAAACGTAAGATTAAGCGTAAGCTTAAGGTTAAATTTCAAACTACATAGTGTCAAAAATTCTGCAACCTGCAATGGAAGGCTCAAGAATTTTGACGTACGATGCGGATGCACGCAAACAGCGTGTAATAGCATCGCGCGAACAACGAATGCTAAACATTTTTATGATCATGGCAGCCGGATTTGCCTTGATATCAGATGGATACCAGAATAATGTGATGTCGATGCTCAACAAAGTTTTCCCCATACAGTACGGCAAACACGTTTACAGCGGGACTGTGGCTACCCGTGTTTCCAACGCTTCGCTTATCGGGACCATTTTGGGCCAGGTCGTCATCGGCGTGGCCTGTGATTACATGGGTCGTAAATGGGCCATTCTGGTGGCCACCACATTGCTGGTGGTCGGTTCAGCACTGTGTGCTGCGTCCCACGGAACCACGCTGAACGGCATGTTTTGGATGTTGACCGTGATGCGTGGAGTGACGGGGTTCGGTCTCGGTGCGGAGTACCCCTGCTGTTCTGTGAGCGCCAACGAGGCCGCCAACGAATACAGCGAAAAAAGAAGAGGCGGAATAATGGTCTTGGTCACCAATCTACCGCTCTCGCTTGGCGGGCCCTTTGCTAACATCGTTTTCCTCATCGTGTACTCGATCTGCGGGCCTCGCCATCTGCCAGCGCTGTGGAGAACAATGTTTGCCCTCGGGTGTGCTTGGCCGCTCAGTGTGTTTTATTTCCGCTGGAAAACCAGCACTAGCACGCTGTACAAGAAGGGTCAGTTCAAATCTCGCGTACCCCTATGGCTTGCGGCCAAATATAGCTGGAGACCATTATTGGGAACCTGTTTTGTGTGGTTCTGCTACGATTTTGTCGCTTTCAGCAACGGACTGTTCAGTGCCACCATCATCGGCTCTGTTATCAAGGACAGCAGCAACATCAAGACAATTGCAGAATGGAATTTACTGCTCGGAATCATCGCTGTCCCCGGTGTGTTTGTCGGTGCTTATTTATGCGACCGTATTGGACGTAAGTACACTTTGATGTTCGGATTTGGTGGGTACTTGGTATTTGGACTAGTCATTGGGTGTGCTTGGGAAAAAATTCACAAGATCACTGCTCTTTTCGTGGTTTTCTACGGCCTCATGAACGGTCTGGCCAATGCCGGACCAGGAGATATGTTGGGACTAACGTCAAGCGAAAGTTTCCCTACCGCCATCAGAGGAACATGCTACGGGCTTTCTGCCGCCGTGGGTAAAGTCGGTGCCGTTGTGGGTGTGTACTGCTTCAACCCAATTGAGAAAAATCTTGGGATCCGCTGGGTGTTCATTATTGCTGCCATTTGCGGTCTTGCAGGTATCTTGGCCACTTGGGTTTTGATTCCACATTTGAGGGAGAACGACTTGATGGAAAGAGACATCAAATTCCACAATTATTTGGTCCGCAACGGCTGGACCGGAACTATGGGCATGGACGTGGATTCCGATCTCGAAGCCAAAGCTACTTCTTCCCTCAGCGGCGGCGATTCGTATGTCAAAGATACGCTAGAGGTGGTCACCCGTGAGCTTACTACATAACGCGCATGGCAAAAAATTACAAGCTGCGGTGGCCGTTACATACTTCGATTGTATGTAAATTAATTGTGAATTGTCCTGTAACGGATGACCACAAAAGCTCCTGGTTCATACATGATTGTAGTCGTCAAACCCTTTACTGTCGTTAAGCTTGTCGCTTATGGACGAACGTTTTGAACTGCAGGAGAGTTTTGGGATGATCAAAACCGAGAAGGACTTAAAGTACCTAGTGAAAACAACGACTAACCATCTCAAAAACCAGCACTGACACAATCGAACCCATTCACCGCGATGGTGTCGTTATTTTACCTTTCGATATTTAAATACTGACGCTGACACTACCTTCCTAATTAGGAAAAGAAGCATGTGACCAGAGATGGATTCAGGTCCATGGAGTATTTTACGCATATTGGGAAAAAGTTTAGATTTGAACATATAGTGTTGAGCCTTTCAACGCATCATCAACAATACCACAAACGCCGTTACTCTGACCACACAGAAAGGGTCAAAAGCCATTGATTTTGACGCTGGCGTATTAGAAAGCCTGATTTTTCTACTGGGATCTCGCATTGTCCCAAGAAAAGCGAATTTTTAGAGGCTTCTACGACCGAAAACGGGCGGGAATTGATACCAAAAAAAAAATGTCACATTTGGAACGCTTCGATGGTCTGGCCTTGAAATTGAAAAATGAGGACGCAAGCTCTGTGCATCTAGCTGCGGTCTCGGAATTGTGCGACGTTATCGATCCCATAGGCTCTTCAGCGGATTATGAACAATTTTTGAAGACAGTGATGGGCGTACTTTTGGAGCGCTTGCAGCAAACGCCAATTTCATTAGACAGCACATCTTCCCAGCATAAACTGAGAAACTCGATTCTGGAGGTTGTTAGTCGATGCAACATGAACGAAACTTTCGAACCTTATGCATTGGCTAATCTGGAAATAATGCTAACAATCCTGCAGGAAGATAACGAGGAAAATGGTGTTCTGGCAATGAAAATCATAACCAGCTTTTTCAAAGCGTACAAAGCAGCGCTTCAGGACCGGGTCACAAGCTTCATTGACGTTATCATGAATATTTATAAGCACATGCCTGAGCTTGTCCGACAGACGTTCAACAGCGATGATGTGAGCGACGAACTAGGGTCCCCAGCAAGGTCTGCCCCCGATAGTTTGGATATCAGAGATGCAGATGCAGACTTGGCCGAAGAAGATGGTCACAACTTTGCATCGTCGAGAAGTTTGAAGCAATCGATGTTTTCCTTTAAGGTCTTGTCAGAATGTCCGATCACTATGGTGACATTGTATTCTTCATACAAGCAACTCACAACCACATCATTACCTGATTTTATGCCTTTGGTGATAGACCTACTCACCATGGAGGCCAATGCCCAGAAAAGAACCCGTGAAGAAGCCGAGTCTCGTGGCGAGAGATGGATAAGTGTCAGCCCAGACATCAGGAATCGGCCTGCGTACTGCGATCTCATCCTTTCACAGATCAAGGCTACATCTTTCCTAGCATACGTATTCATCCGTGGCTATGCCGCAGAATATCTACAAAAATACGTGGGGTTTGTTCCGGATCTCATACTGAGGCTCTTGCAAGATTGTCCCGCTGAGCTATCTGCCGCAAGAAAAGAGCTTTTACATGCAACGAGGCACATTCTGTCCACAAATTATAAAAAATTGTTTTTGCCGAAGATCAATCTTTTGTTTGACGAGGAGGTTCTGATAGGGAATGGCTTTACATCGCACGAAACTCTTCGTCCATTAGCTTATAGTACCGTTGCAGATTTCGTGCATAATGTGAGAGGTGACCTGCAACTGGATGACATCGAGAGGACCATAAAAATGTACACGAGTTTTCTTTTGGACGAGAGCTTGGCGTTGACCGTGCAAATAATGAGTGCTAAATTACTGCTGAACCTCGTGGAAAGGATTCTTAAGCTGGGGAAAGACAATCCCAATGACTCCGTGCGATCTAAGAAACTTCTGATTGTAATAATAGATGCTTATACAGCGCGATTCAGAAACCTGAACCGCCAGTACGACAACTTAATGAAACATCACGAAGAATATGAAAAACAAAAACTGATTAAAGCAGAGACTTTCAGAGGAGAGATCGGAAAGAATAATAGGGAAACAGAAGACTTTCTCAGCACCATGCTGAAAATAAAAGAGCCTACGCCGGCGGTTAAGGATCACGAGGGCGACATCAAAATGGAAGACACGCCTATACATGGGTCAATAGCAGATCCGGATAATGAGGTCGCGACTAAAGCTTTAGACAAAGAAACTGTTGATGTTTTTGACATCAAAAACAAGAGCCCCATTTTACTTTCACTGCCACCTACTGGAGATCCATTGAAGGATGCATTTTATCTTTATCGGACATTGATGTCCTTTTTGAAAACGATCATACACGATTTGAAGGTTTTCAATCCGCCCTCAACTGAATACACAACAATCAACCCTAAAGTTTGGACCTCTCTTTCACGGGTTTTCTCTCACGAGGAGGTTGTCGTGTTCAAAAACTTGTTTCACGAGTGCATACTGGGATTGCAATTTTTCTCCAGTCCTGAACGCAAAGCTACTGGCACTGAGAAAAAGCACTTTGACATTGCTGCTCCGAGTCTCCCGGTGTCTGCGACCAAAGATGGAAGAGAGCTCATGGATTATTTTGCAATCATGTTCATGCAAATAGACAGTCCTACTTTCAATGATATCGTTGAATCCAAGATAGAATTTCTTTACGAAGCGATGTTGCGGGATTCGGCTCTTCTTCATGTCGCACAGTCTTTCTTAACAAGTGAGATAACATCTCCAAAATTTACCGGAATATTATTGCGATTTCTCAAGCAAAAGCTCAAGTCGCTCGGGAATGTTGACGGCAATAAATCCAATATTTTGATTCGACTTTTCAAGCTTTCTTTCATGTCTGTGAATCTTTTTCCCATTACCAACGAGGTTGTCTTACTGCCTCATTTAAACAACCTGATCCTAGATTCCTTGAAGTATTCCACGACTGCTGAAGAACCTTTAGTGTATCTCTACCTGATCAGGACCCTCTTCAGAAGCATAGGCGGTGGACGTTTCGAAAATCTTTATCGCTCGATCAAGCCCATCTTGCAGGTACTTCTCCAGTCTCTCAACAGGATGATTTTGACCGCACGGCGGCCACATGAGAGAGATCTATATGTTGAACTATGCCTTACCGTACCTGTTCGGCTAAGCGTACTTGCACCCTACTTGACCTATCTAATGAAACCTTTGGTCTATGCTCTTCAAGGATTCCCTGAACTTGTAACACAAGGCTTGAGGACTCTGGAGCTGTGCATTGATAATCTGACCGCAGAGTATTTTGACCCCATCATTGAGCCTGTGGTAGAGGATGTCATTTGTTCTCTTTTTAAATTGTTGAAACCACAACCGTTCAACCATCAAATTAGCCACACCGCTGTCAGAATACTTGGGAAATTAGGTGGGAGAAACAGAAGATTTCTCAAGCAGCACACTGATCTAAGAATCGCAGGAGAACTGGACACGCCTGTCAATGCGCTATTCAAAATTCATGGAATGAGCGAGGAAGTTCCACTCTCAATCACAACAGGAGTGCGCTCCGCTCTTAATATTCTCGAAGATTACCGTTCCGATATTTTCTACAAAAAGAGGGCTTTCGATTACCTCAAGTCGATCTTACAATTGTTTCTCAAGTCATCGTTGGTGTTCCCGGACAATTACGAAAAGTGGGTTAGAAGTGCTTTAAAGCTTCTATCGACAGAAAGTTTCGAGCCTGTTGAGTCTAACAACATCAATGAGGGCAAAGTCAAAGACAGACGACTCCTAGAAAGTCAAGAGCTGCTCTTGATGAAACTGTTGGAGTCACTGATTTTTTCTACCTCGACCGTAGAGCTGAAGGAGGACGCAAAGGATCTTCTCCAAAATGTGATTCGCCACTTCTGCTTTTTGCAGCTGAACAATTCGGTCAAAGCTAAACGTAGCGAGAACACTACTTTTAATGTTAACGTGAAGCTATTCGATGTCACCATTGATGTAAACATCGTGCTTGACGCGATACTAACAGGATTGGGATCCTATCTGGAAGAGGCGCGCGAAACCGCTGTGTCAGCCGTTAAAATGATTTTTGACACGAGCAATACTATTTACGGCCAAGAACTTGCCTTGAAATACTCGTTCATACCTGTCCTGACTAAGAAGCTAATTCACAAATGCTACGATGAAGCTTACTTCGAAAAAAGTAGTGGGATTTGGGGTATCAAAACCCTCCTAGAAGAGCCAAGCATACCCGTCGAATATTTGAAAAGATATCAATTTCATATGATTGCTAGTCTACTGTTCGTTTTGATTGATACCCCAATGGAAGCTCCAGGAATCATACGTGAACGTGCCGCCAGTATGATCATGGAAATTTTGTCTAGAACGTGCCAAAACATTAGTGAAGACGACTTAAAAGACAAAGATTTGCAGAATACTCTTATCGACATTGTATGCGAGTTGAGTAACGCCAAGGAAATCGTCAGAGATACATGTCAAAAGGCTCTTCTCACTATATCGGAAGTTTCTGGCCTTTCAATCGGGAAATTGATGGAGCATTCGAAAAATTTCTTACTTTCTCCAATTTTTGCAAAACCGCTGAGAGCTCTACCGTTCCCCATGCAGATTGGCAATGTGGATGCTATAATCTACTGTTTACAACTTCCCCATACTTTCTTGGAGTTCAACGAAGAGCTTTATAGACTTTTGCATGAGGCAATAGCTTTGGTGGATGCTGAAGATGAGTCTCTTGCGAGTGCTCAACGGGTGACAGAGTACCAGACAGCGGAGCAGTTAGTACAACTTCGAGTAGTGTGCATAAGATTACTTTCTCTCGCTTTGAAGAATAATGACTTCGCCTCAGCTCAACAAGGTGCTACGCGGATCAGAGTTCTTGCCGTCTTTTTCAAGACTATGTTGAAAACTTCACCGGAAATCATCGAAGCAACATACCAAGGTTTGAAAAGTGTTTTAGCCGAGAACTCGAAGTTACCAAAAGAGCTCTTACAGAATGGACTGAAACCGATGCTTATGAACCTTTCGGATCATCAAAAACTGACGGTTTCTGGCCTTGAAGCGTTGGCAAAGCTACTAGAGCTATTAATAGCATACTTTAAAGTTGAGATAGGGAAAAAGCTGCTTGACCATCTGGATGCCTGGTGTAGAGTGGAAGTGTTAGATATGCTTTTTGGAAAGGATCTTAAAGAGCAAACTCCGACGAAAATCATTTATGGAATCATCAATATCTTCCATCTCTTACCACCGCAGGCCGACATTTTCCTCAACGATCTTCTTTTGAAGGTGATGATGGTGGAAAAGAAGTTGAGGCTTCAACTTGATTCTCCTTTTCGTGTGCCGATGGCAAAATATCTTAACAGGTTCCATGTTTCTGTTGTATCCTATTTCAAGAATAACTTGGGCTCAAGAGATTTGGTACTCCTCATGTGTTCGATAATAAGAAAACCAGAAGCAATTGATCTAAAAAATGACTTCAAAAGCGAATTCGAGAATTTTTATGAATATTACATGACAGGAATTGCATCGAACAAGGTGAGAGTGGTCACCTTTTTTGCTAATGTGGTAGAAATATTTGACGCTCTGCTCGAAGTAGAGGGTGAAGCCTGGCTTGCAGAAAGTGGACCAACATTGGCGAAAATTAGATCGATGTTCAAACTTGCCGTTGATACGGTTGAAGAGGGTGCATTTCACTATGACTTGTTGCAGCTCTCACAGGCCGCTGAAAAAGTTCAGAATTCATACGCTCAGTATTTGACGTTGAACGTGAAAAATGCATCGTTACTTTTCGAATACCTGGATTTTGCGTTCAATGCAAAAATCGCCCTTTCTCAATCTATATTTGAGTTTATTGAAAGCTGCGTGATAACCACATCGGAAACTGAGTTGAAAAGGGTCTACCTTCAGCAGGCCATGGTGTTTGTAACCAGTGATAGACCCCTGGCTGCGAGTGTTTTCGTGCTCAAGAATGTGATCAATAGCGCACTCGTTTACGAGGGCGCATCGAGAAAATCTCTGACGCATCTTACCGGTGAGCAAGGAGAACCATTTCCTGAATGGCTAAATTTGATGTACTCAAAAGTCTGGAAAGGGTCGAATGAGGCTCTAGAAAATTACGCCGCTGGAGACTATGATACATTCAGATTTGAGCTTCTGCAACTATCCTCAATTTTGACCGAGTACGCTCCAGACTTGAACTCTGATATCAGAAAAGATATTATCAGATTCTGTTGGAATTTTATCAAGCTGGAGGATCCACTTCTTAAACAAGCCGCTTACATGGTTACAGCTCGTTTTATTGCAAAATATGATTTCCCTGTCAAAATCGTGACACAAGTTTTCGTCGCTCTGTTACGAACAACCCAGCTCGAATCTCGGTTCATGGTGAAACATTCTTTGGACCTTTTGGCACCAGTCATGCATGATCGGATGTCGCATGCTGATTCTCCGAATTCTTGGGTCAACTGGGTCAGGCGTGTACTGTCTGAGAACAATGCAAGTCAGAACAGCACACTGTACCAACTTTTGATCAGTCATCCCAACGAGTTTTTTGAATCGCGCGACCTATTCATACCTAGCATCATAAATTACATTGGTAAGCTGACTATGCTGGCTAATCCCAATTTAGAAAATCAAGCTTTGGCTGTAGACTTGGCTGAGCTTATTTTGCTTTGGGAGCAGAGAAATAACGAACTTCAAAGCGCTGCCTTAGCTTCTAACGAAAAAGAAGAAACTGTAGGAGAAGAAGCAAGACAGAATATAACTACTGGCCAAAAGGAGGCTTTCGTTTCATGCATAATAAGATACGTGTGCGCTAGCGCACACAGGGCTTCGGAAACTGAGTTGGGTTATAGATCTTTGAGGGTTCTTTCCGAGATTTTAAGCGAAAATTTATGGCCAAGTGTCAACATCAAATTGAACTACTTCGAGAAGTTTCTTGTCCAGCAGGATCTCGCAACATCAAACGTTTCCTTTTATTGCATGAATGCTTTAGATGTCCTTGCTATTATTTTACGGAACAAAAGTTCAACATGGATTTTGAGTAATCTCACTTATCTTCAAACTCTACTTGAAAAATGCATGAAGACCGATCATCATGACATACAGGAAGTTCTTCAAAAGGTGCTTACCACCATTCTGACCGCTATAAAATCTGAAGAAGATATTCAAGTGGAAAGCGATATCGAATCTCCAGGCAGAGCAATGGTGAACACGTTGGTTTCGATAATCACAGAAGATCTACAAGGTACTTCGTCTGTGGCGGCAGGCGTGATGATTACTTGGACACTGTTCATTTCCTTCCCACAACAGATAGATCCCCTTCTACCATCTATTATGAAGACTTTCAGCAAGTTATGCAAGGATCATCTGGCGACCTCACAGCCTAAAGACCCTGCTACTCTAGAGGAAGCGAGAATTACCACGAGGTTACTGGAAAAGATCTTGTACTTGCTTTCCATAAAGGTAGCTTCTTTGGGTGACGCTAGACGGCCGTTTTTATCCACCGTTGCGCTGCTCATTGATCGTTCCATGAATCAGCAGTTTTTGAAAAATGTCATCACTATTGCCCGTACGTGGGTTTTCACGAATGAGATTTTTCCAACGGTGAAAGAGAAAGCGGCAATTTTAACAAAGATGCTGGCCTTCGAGGTCAGAGGAGAGCCAAAGCTTTCTAGACAGTTCTACGAAATAATACTTGAACTGTTTGAAAATAAAAACTTCAATAACAGTGAAATTACTGTAAGAATGGAGCAGCCGTTCTTGGTGGGAACCCGCGTTGATGATATTTACATCAGAAAGAGATTGATGTCAATTCTTGACGAAAGTCTTGAAAAAGAAATCAGAGAACGGCTCTACTATGTCATCAGAGACCAAAACTGGGAATTCATTGCGGATTATCCCTGGTTAAATCAGGCTTTGCAGCTTCTTTATGGGGCTTTTGATAAGGAGTATGCTCTTTGTCTAAGTGACTCTTATCAGCTGGACACTTTAGAGGCACTGGCTACAGATTTCTCTGTTGAAAAGATTACCGACGACTTTGACACTAGCCCACTGACTAGCCTCGTCGAAGAACACAAGCAGTTTGCTGAGAAGTTTGAGCAAGTTACGACGAATGATTTGCTAGACCCTTTAGTCGACATATTTTATCAAAGTCCGCAAGCTATACATGCGACATGGATAAACGTGTTTGGAGCAGCATACAAATCGATTCCCAAAAACGAGAAGTTTGGCTTTGTGCGTTCTTTGGTGACCTTACTCTCAAAAGATTATCATGCTCGCCAGTTGAATGTACGGTCAAATGTTGTGAGCACATTGTTGGACTCAATAGGTGAAATTGATTCGCTAGAGCTTCCTCCCCACCTCATTAAATATGTCGCCGGATCGTACAACTCGTGGTATCAGTCGATCAGAATTCTCGAGTCAATGGAAGAGAAAGCGAGCCTCGAGAACGCGAAAATCATCGAGACTAATGAGGATGCTTTGCTTGAACTTTACATCAACCTACAGGAGGAAGATATGTTTTATGGTCTCTGGAGACGTAGAGCGAAATATACAGAAACTAGCATAGGGCTTTCATTCGAACAGATTGGGCTCTGGGACAAGGCGCAACAACTGTATGAAGCTGCACAGGTCAAGGCCAGAAGTGGGGCTTTACCATACTCTGATTCTGAATACGCTACCTGGGAAGATAATTGGATTATGTGCGCTGCGAAACTTCAGCATTGGGATGTCCTTACCGAGCTAGCTAAGCATGAAGGTTTCACAGATTTACTATTAGAATGCGGCTGGAGAGTTGCAGACTGGAGTGCAGATAGAGAAGCCCTCGAACAGTCGGTGAAAAGCGTCATGGATGTCCCCACACCTAGGAGGCAGATATTTGAGACATTCCTAGCCTTGCAAAACTTTGCCGAAACCAAGAAAGGAGAGCAAGATGTCAGAAGACTATGTGACGAGGGCATTCAGTTGTCCCTTCACAACTGGGCATCTATGCCGGAGCGTTTCACTCCCGCTCATAAATTCCTTTTGCATGGATTCCAGCAGTATATGGAGTTCCTGGAAGCTACGCAAGTTTATTCTAATCTGGCATCGACTACCGTTCAGAACCTGGATTCCAAGGCGCAAGAAGTTAAGCGAGTGTTACAAACATGGCGGGATCGCTTACCCAACATATGGGATGATATCAATATGTGGAATGATTTGATTACATGGCGTCAACACGCATTCCAAGTAATCAATAATGCCTATCTACCGCTGGTACCAGCTTTGCAGCAAGCGAGCGGAAATAGTAATGTCAATACGCATGCTTACCGAGGCTATCACGAAATTGCTTGGGTAATCAATAGATTTGCTCATGTCGCCCGTAAGCATAACATGCCCGATGTCTGCATCAGTCAATTAGCGCGAATCTACACCTTGCCCAACATTGAAATCCAAGAAGCCTTTTTGAAGCTTCGGGAGCAGGCGAAGTGCCATTATCAGAACATGAATGAATTAACCACTGGACTGGATGTGATCAGCAACACAAATCTAGTATACTTTGGGACCGTTCAGAAGGCTGAGTTTTTCACTTTGAAGGGTATGTTCCTTTCGAAATTAAGAGCACACGACGAAGCTAATCAGGCGTTTGCCACCGCCGTCCAAATAGATTTGAACCTAGCCAAAGCTTGGGCCCAGTGGGGCTTTTTCAACGATCGCAGACTTTCTGAAGAACCACAAAATATCAGCTTTGCAAATAACGCCATCAGTTGTTACCTCCAAGCTGCCGGGCTCTACAACAACTCAAAGACAAGAAAACTACTATGCAGGATATTGTGGCTCATAGGAATTGACGATAGTACTGGAACGCTTGCGGGTGCATTCGAGTCATTCCGGGGCGAGATCCCAGTTTGGTATTGGATAACATTTATACCGCAGCTACTGACATCGCTTTCTCACAAGGAAGCCGGTATGGTCCGCCAGATATTGATAAGGATTGCTAAAAGCTATCCTCAGGCATTGCACTTCCAGCTCAGAACCACTAAAGAAGACTTCTCTGTTATTCAGCGGCAGACGATGGTCGCAATGGGAAACTCGCGTCCACCTAACAACAAAAGCCCTAACTCCGTTAATGGGACACGACAACCTTGGGAGTATTTGGATGAACTCAATGGTATTTTGAAAACAGCATACCCTCTCTTGGCTTTGTCCTTGGAGTCTTTGGTCGATCAAATCAATCAAAAATTTAAGACAACATCCGACGAGGACCTTTTCAGATTGATCAATGTATTGCTGATTGACGCAACCTATAATTACAACCGTCTTCCGTTGCCAAGAGTGGATTTGTTACTTCCGGCAAGCACTGAAACAAACTTGGTCAGATTCTCTGAAAATTTACTTCCACCACATATAAGAGTCAAATTCAACGCTGACTTCATTGACAGTAAGCCAAATTTCGAAGAATACATCAAAAGATTGCGTTACTGGCGGAACCGTTTGGAGACTAAACTCGACAGAGCTCCAAAGGTTGAGAACATGGAAAAATGGTGCCCCCATTTGAGCAATTTCCATCATCAGAAGTTTGAAGACATCGAGATTCCTGGACAATATCTTCTAAACAAGGATAGCAATGCTCACTTCGTGAAGATCGCTCGCTTTCTACCTCATGTTGAATTTGTTCGCGGTACTCATTCTTCGTATAGGCGACTGACGATTCGTGGCCACGATGGTAGTCTACACTCCTTCGCTGTCCAGTACCCAGCTGTAAGGCACTCACGCCGAGAGGAAAGAATGTTTCAGTTGTTCCGCCTCTTCAATGAGACTCTTTCAAAAAATGTGCAAACACGTCGGAGGAACATACAATTCACCCTCCCAATTGCAGTTCCATTGTCACCTCAAGTCCGCATAATGAATGATAGCAATACTATCACAACGATGCATAGCATTTACGATGACTATTGCGATAAAAATGACATGGATAGAAACGCAATTCAAGACTTTGTCTGTCAACAACTAGATGCTGCCTACGATAAAATTTTACCCCCTCCAGATATAACAGCCGTGAAAGTCGAAATTTTCAGTTCCGTGCAATCGATGTACCTCCCTTCAGTGGTCATGAAAGACTACTTTATGAAATTATTCACTCAGTTCGAGGATTTCTGGCTTTTCCGCAAACAATTTTCATCGCAGTATGCCCTGTTCGTTTTCATGACCTATATGCTCGCCATCAACAATCGCTCGCCTCACAAAATTTCGATCGATCAGGTATCTGGCGACGTCTTTACAACGGAGATGCTTCCAGCAAGATATCCATATGAGAGGGTTAAGCAGACAGTGAAAAATTTCGAGGCCAAGATACCAGCGGACTCTCCAGTATTTCACAACAACGAGGCCGTGCCATTCCGATTGACACCAAACGTGCAAAAATTGATTGGTGACTCTGGTCTTGAAGGTATCTTATCTGTCAACGTTTTCGTCGTGGCGCGTGCGTTGCTAGAACCGGAGAATGAACTCAACACTTACCTGTCACTATTTATCCGTGATGAAGTCATTTCATGGTACAGCAATCTGCATCGTTCGATAGTGGAGGATCCCCAATTGCGGGAAATTGTTCGCACCAATGTTGACTTAATTACCAGGAAGACTGCGCAACTGGGACATTTGAGCTCGAAGCCCTCTGTTGCGACCCAATACGTTTTAGATGCCATCAGTGCGGCTGTGAGTCCAAGAAACCTGGCCAAAATGGATCAAAGCTTCATGCCGTACTTCTGAATGTTCAAATAATTAACTTTAATTGACGCACTAATAGCTTGCCTTTACTCACGGCGTGATGCGTATATAAACATTTCGTTCAGCGTTGAAAAGTTGTCCTATATTATTCTACTGTCTTGTAATGATTGCAATGAAGGGAAAAATGACGGTTTGTATTTCTTCCTCCATACTAAGTGTTGTTAACAGGTAGGTAGACGTCGTCAAGAATCAACTAACTTATAATACTATCGACCAATTTCAATTTAAAGCTCCTAGGCCGGAAGAGACAGACTCAATCACGACCGTTGGCAGGAAGCCAGCTACGTGATATCAAGGTATCAATTGAAGGGAATCAGGTAGCTAAATCCCGATCAGAGCACCAAACATTGCCTGTCGCCATGGATTAGAGAAACGATGTCAGTTCATAATGGCACCGTCATTGAAGAACGCTAAAGACGCATAAGAATGCTTTCCAAGGCCAAAAAAAAACCTCAGCAATTTTTTCATGCTTCCTGTAGAGCTTACTAACATACACGATATGCAGTAATAAGAGCGCATTTTCGAGGAGAACAAGTCGAAAATTCACATTTGATTGATAACGGATAAAATGCGCTGCTCAAGAGTGATACCCAACTCTCACAGCTTATCCATCCACACAGTTTGCGCTTTGAAGGCGCTTTTTTTTAGTAACAGGATGCAAATTCACGTTCCAATTGATTCCAATGAAAATGCAGTTCAAAAGTGACACCCAGTTTCTTTAACTCATCCATTCATACAATTTGCGCTCTAGAAAAGTCAGTGGTCCCGAAGGAGGTTTGACACCTTCGCGAACCCACACACCGTGACTTCCCATCAAATTGGCCATGATAATATCGGTGAAAAGCCGATCTCCAACCACAGCGATTTCCTTTGGATCATCAGTTATACTGTGTTGTGAGAAATGCTGTAAAATTTCGTCGCGACACCCGGGTTTCTTGACTGCATGACGCAGGACAGGTATTCCCAAAGTTTTTTCCAAAATGGCAGCCTCTTTCCCGCCTGCGTCGTCATTGCTTCCGGCACTATTGCTCACGATCAATAAAGACGCACCAGGATACTGTTTCCTCAGTTCACCCCACGTTTTCTGCACATCATTTTCGCGTTAGTAAACCCAAATTCGCTGCCAAGTGAGCAAGCCCAGAGGCTAAAGTCCGGAGATTCCATTTCATACCTCATAGTCCGACCACACCGTATTCGTGTGCGGATACGCGAAACAGTTGTCCTTGTCGAGTACCACGGCTTTTATAGAGGGTCCGACCGGTATCGGGAGTTGACCGAAGTTCTCAATTGTGGTTTGCGGGATACACAATTTTGGGTTAACCAAGAGTCGCAGAACATTAATCGTGCCACTGAGATTCATGGTATATGCTAAATAGAGTTATACACACCAAATGAAACGCCAAAATCACTTCAATCAGCTATACACAGTTTGAGAGACAACAAATGGTGGTCTATTCAGATACAATCGATTGAAATTGTTGATGGATCCCGATGAGATGAGATGAGATTGAAAAACTCAGTCACGTTACCAAGATATTGATACGTATACAGTGATTAAAGATTATTGGGCTAATAAAGATTATTATATAGTCTATAAAATGATGTCAAAATGACATTGAACTTCAAGAACAGTCAGATGGGCCCTCTAATCCATAGCCTGAACGCTCTTTAAGTACCACTTGGAATTCTGTTCTGGACTTTAAACGCTATGGTAATGTCTCAGCAAATTAAGTCCACTCAGAAACGCAATTTCCGGAGGACACAAGGTGCTCAAACGCGGATTGAAAAAACGGTTGAAAAAGAGCCCGGATCGGCCAGAAAACCTCCAGTTTTGGGCATTTCAGGGACCGATGAGAGCTCAGACGATGAGGATTTGTGTGTGGTGTGTGCCGAAAAGATTGTGTATGCTGCAATAGCGCTTTGCAACCATGTGGTGTGTCATGTGTGTGCATTCAGACAACGAGCTTTGTACGAGAAAAACTCGTGTTTGGTATGTCGAACTGAGGCAGACGATGTGATCATTTGCCAAGACAAAGATGCGAACTACGGGTCGTTAAAGGAGGGGGGAAAGTTTGAGGAGGTCAACGAAAAATACGCATTATTGTTCGTGGAAGAAAGTGCTGCCCGTAGTACTTTGAATCTGCTCAAGTTCACATGTCCGTTTGGCGACACAGACGTGGATTTTGGCAGCTACAAAAAGTACAATCAGCACTTGAAAGATGAGCACGGCAAAACGCTGTGTATGATTTGTGCATCCCACAAAAGGGCATTTCCTCGAGAATTGAAAGTCTACACGACGAACCAATTGCGCGTTCATCAGTCTAAGGGAGACTCCAAGGGGTTCACGGGCCATCCAATGTGCACTTTTTGCTCCGGACAGCGATTTTACTCCGAGGATGAGCTCAATGTTCACATGCGAGACAAACATGAAAGGTGCCATATCTGTGATCGCGTTGATTCTTCAAAACCACAGTATTTCAAAGACTACGATCAGCTTTTCGAGCATTTTAAAGCTGCACATTATGTGTGCACTGTTCAATCCTGTTTAGATAACAAGTTTGTCGTCTTCGAAGACGATTTAGATCTACAGGCCCACATTTTGAAAGAACACGGCAGTATTTTGGGAAGTGGCAGTAGCTCTGCATTGACAAATGGTGGTCGTCGTTATCAGTCGCGACTTTCGACATTTCAACAGCCCCCAAGGGATTCGGGATCTCAGCAGCGCTCAACTCGAAAGAAACCCACTAATGAGGATGATTCCGATTCACTTGTGTTGAAGAGCAAAAGAATGCACGAAAGAGCAAGAAACTACCTCAAATATTCTCATAGCGACTACGAACAATTCCTCGCCATCAATGAGGGATACAAGAATGGGATGATTACAGCCGAAGACTTGTTCTCAGCTTATCAAACACTTTTCCAGTCCGCAGAGGCAAATACAACTCTACTCTTATATGACTTCTCTGAGCTGTTCTTCAAAAACTCCAAGAACTACAAGGACCTGCGCGCGGTGTATGACAGAGAGCAAGAAAAACAAGACAGACGCACTAATTTCCCTTCTTTGAGCTCGTCTAGTCCGAACTTACTTGCCAGAAATGTGGTGAGCGGGAAATGGGGGGCCACTGGTGGATCGGCTAAACCAGCTGCTCGTCAATATAACTTTCCCTCGTTGAAGAAGCCTTCGGAACCGGCTTTCCCTGTCCTGAAACCTACACCTGTTTCTCATAAAAAAATCAACACTATATCGAGACCTAGTAGTGCAACTGGCACACCGAAACCTCCTTCAACAGCTGCCAGCGATTATAAACCGACCTATCTGCAAGATAAAAAATCCACATCCAGCTCCACAACGTCACTTGACCGAAAAATGTTCCCACCGTTGCCAAAACCGCAGAAACCTACTTTCCGTGCGCCTCCAGTGAACAAACCAAACATTGCAAATCCGTCACAATGGGGCAAAGTTCATGAGGATGCATCCACCACACTACAAACGTTTGATGCAGACGCAGCATCATCTTCGCATGGCAAAAAGAAGGGCAAGCAAAAGCAGCTTCTATTCCACATTGGCATTTAGTAGTTAGATAAAAAGGATAGACCTCGCGTTTTTGATTTTCTTTTAACGTTATCTTATCGGTAGGATGCTTTCCATGCGACACGTTTGTCGACATAGAGGACACTCGGGCCTTTTTTCAGACCAATCCAGAAGGCAACTCCAACAAAAGACATGCCCACATGGTCCGCAACTGGGATCTGTCATCCACTCTAAACATAAAACGCATTTTCGGGAGCTTTCTTTGATGAAGGTTAATTCTTCAGTATTTTCAAGGTGTATGTGATCAATTTGATCATTAGAGGGAATTCCAGACAGTACAAGCGATTGCTGATCAAGAGCAGTTTTGTCTTTTTTCTCATCTGCGTCGAAAAAAGATTTCGTACACCAATTCCAAAACTGCGGCAGATCCTTTGAGATTATTTTCAAAAGCAAGATACTGCCCAGAATTCTATAAGTCTTATCGCTCGACTGTCTAAACTTCTCTTCCGACTCATCGATAGCATGTGCACCGTAGTATCGCAGGCCGAAAATACGCTTTGAAATGTGATAAAAGGATCCCTTGAAATAGAAGATAATCAAATGGATGTCCGTAATTGCATTGAGAATTACTTGCAAATCGTGACTTTCAATAAGTTGTATCAGCCATGAAAATCTGGACGGTACGACAGTAAGCTGCTCGTTTGCGTCTTGCTCTTCCTTATCCAAATTTTTGGCTTTGTTGTAAATCCTGAGGAAATGTTTGAGAGTTCTCGAGAGGACATATGGCAAAAGCGTGTAGGATAGTATAAACAGTAGACGCTGTTTAGAAGTAGTGGCTCTTTGGCCCTTTCTGTCAAGATGCACCAAACTGACATACTCTTCGCCCAAAGTTCTTTTCCCGCGAAGGGTCGTTAACCCAAGATACACGATTTTCGCGGCAATACCTAACTCTGTGCCGTATACATTAGCAAAGTACTGACCTTTTAATTTTTTGGCCAAGGTTTGAAGCTTCGTCGTCAGCAGAGTCTCAATCTGTTCATCTTTTTGATGAGATTGAACTATGAACAGGTTATATACAGTTAGCAAGACAGAACCGGCTTAACCGGTGTATTTTGTACCGGGTATTTGATTAGTTTCTTAACAACATACCGATCGACGCAGTATTAGCGACCTGAAGCCTACGGGCTGCGGTCATGGCAGAGCGTTTTGACAACTTCATGAACAATTGACATCAAGCTTTCTGGAGCTTTAACGCCTATTTAAATTAGTTAATCACTTTTTACAATAATGTCGCGCAAATGCGACAGAAGAAGAAGTACTCCTCACAGGTTTTACTCTATAAATCTCAAAATATTTGCTGCCTAATGGTCTTAGAATGAAGGTTTTTCCAATCAGAGAACATTAAGTCAAGTTGGTCAGCGTTGAATGGCTTTTTTGATATTGACTTTTGACGCATTCTGAATGAGAATAAATGCAGACCGATTGCACGGTTGGATGAGAATTGTAAATAAGTTTAGTAATGTAAACCGATCTTGTTTAGGTGACGATTGTAAGGGAACAATCGTAATTATAAAGACATTTCACACCGCCCAAAAATCTATCTAATTCGAGATATAAGTACTAAAAAAAAAGCTCTTTTGAAAACCCAGCAGTACAGTTTCAGTGATACTAATTCTCGAAGATTACTAGCTCCCCCTTTATACCTTCGAATATGAAATGACAGCGAGAACACCTTTCTCATCACTTTCTACCCCGGTGTCGCTGTCGCCCTAAAATTATGTGTGGCTTATATCACATTCGTGATCACCAAAATTCGTTTTCTCATATTCTTTTGGAGCGATTGAAAGTCAGAAATCAGAAACCTTGAGGCGCAATGTCACACCATAGTCTCATTCATCTTACCCGTTGTTTCAATTACAAATTGAAGGCCCGAAGGACCCAACCACGATATTACGGAACGCTTATAATGAAAGCATCCTAACCATTCTGGTCAGCTCAAAAATTTTACAAACAAGAGATAAGACTGTTCTCGGAATATCAGAATGGTCTGGACGCTTTTGGTGGAGTAGGGCCTTTCTAAGTCACGTGGACGTTAAATTGCAAGTATCTACCTAATATAGGTATAAGTTGAACACTCATCGCAGAGCTGCCAAAGGAGTAAGAAGCTAGCAACTGGTTGATCCTCTCCATTCTAAGGATGGGAGATGTTGATATCCCAAATTTGGAAGCCCTGCAACTAGTCGGTTCAAAAAAACAAGATCAGGAAAACGAGAAAAACAGGCAATTTGAAAATTGGACAGGTAACGACTTTATAAATGGCGTTAATCAACTATTTCAAGAGAATCAAGATGCAGCGGATAAAACTTGGAACGAACTTCTTTTGAAACGAGCATTGGATGATTATGCTGAATCTCGGGATTTTACAATTACCAAATTTCGTGAAAACATAGATACTGGGCTCACTATTCTCTCTTCATGCGGACTGTGCACTACAGACATCGTTTATCGCTGTTTCGAGGGACGGGAGGCCGTGGATTTGCTCGTGCTCGAAATAATCAAGATTTTAGAGCTCCAGAACGACAAGTGGGTTGATATAGACCATACAGACGGATCTGGATCGGACAATAATCCCTTCAATGGACCTGCGGGATTCACCTCATTTTTACTCACGTTGGCTGTAGAGCTCGTATCTAAAAAAAATTTGGAGTTCGAAAAGGTCAAGTCGTTTGTTAAGATTGCTGTTTTGAGAGCCCATGGCCAGATAGAACCTATAAAATTGTTGTATGCAATGGCTGAAAAATACGAACAACAATTTCGAGCTGAATTGCTTGAGGTCTTCACATCATTACTCGAAGAAGGTAACCAACAAAAGGGTCTCATAGAGGCTTACCTTCTGGCTGTCGTTTCCGTTCTGAAAGCCCTTTACTTGAAAACGACTACTTTTTGCACAGAGCTTTTCACAAGCGAGCAATTTCAGGCTGTGGCTCAACCGAACTTGTTCAAAAGCAGTGAAATAACCGGCTCACTACTAGATTTAATGTCAATCGCTTGTATTGATAGCGTGGCAAGAAACTACATTGCAGAGAATTATTTTATTCTGCTAAGCGAATGTCTTAGTATCGAAGCGTACAAGTTTGCAGCGACTTTAGTCTTACTGAAAACTTGGAATTTTACCAAGTTGAAGGGTGACGCGATTGACGATATGGCCTCAACGCTCATACACCAGCTCAACGTACCCCAGAAGCAGAATTCAGCGGAAAGTCTGAAGCAGGATGAATTGGCTATAGAGGGTTTGGCTTATCTTTCATTGAAACTATCCGTCAAGACGCTGCTACTTTCAAGTTTGAGCCTGCATGCTGCTCTCGTTGATTACCTTCGCGTAAAGACCACTCCCAACTCGATGTACTACGGTATTCTGGTGATTCTCGGTAACTTAACAGAATCTCAGGACCCCAATGCATCCATTGACAAGTCTATACAAGGACTAAAGGATCGCGCCGAGCCGAGTAACATTAAAGCACACAAAGAGACCGAACCGATCAAAGAAGCGACAATCTTGAAATTTATTTCAGACTGCATATTAAGTCGCGACGTGGTCGGCCATGTGAGAAGCCATATAAAAATAAGGAAAATGCAGGGGACCGGCTCACATCATCAGCTTCTGAGATTGATTTACAATGCTGCCAAAAACAAAGCTTTTATCACAACCTTGGTATCACAGGGCAGCGTTACTATCTTACTTGAATCTTTGGTGCTGCCTAGCATTCCTTCGGAAGTGAGGATCTTAGCTCTGCGGGCCTTAGCAAGGATTCTGACGGCAGTCGATCCTAAACTTATTTTCAAAGAGTACTCTTCTCTAAATGCTCTTCCGTTTCTGTTCGAAATTCTCCCTGATCCAGCTCTGTCCTCCGAAAACTCTTCACAGGTTCAAGATATCTACGAATCTTTGTTGGCATTGACAAATCTCGCTACTTTATCGGAAAGCTCTGCGCTTTGTGACAAAATAGTGTCAACTCCCGCGTATTGGATCAAACTAGAGAACTTGATGCTCGATAGTGTGGTGGAAATCCAAAGATCTGCACTCGAACTCTTTTCAAACATGATGGCTTCCTCGCTTCGTGTTGCCGTCAAGTTTTTTAACTTCCAAAACCCTTTGAGTGTGCGTAATTTCAAGATTCTTGTAAAGCTTCTGAATTTGGATGACAGAAAATCTAGATTAGCTGTTGCAGCTATATTTGCGAACATAACCACCTCCGTTCCTTTCATTGCTGAAGAGCTTAGTCAACAGGCGGATTTGATGAAAAATGCCATCGAGATTCTACATGATCAAAAAGACGATACCGAAATGCGACATCGTCTCCTTGTCCTTCTCGATGCATTGATGGACTCTGGGATTCACTCTGAGGTATTGTCATCTCAAAGATCAGAACTTAAAAAGGCTTTGCTGGAAGCTCAAAAAGCGGAGCCATCCTCTTCTCAATACAGCGCTTCCATCAGCAATATGATAAGCAAGCTATAAGCTCAACCCGCATATTATTGTGGCAATGATTTGAGTGTCTCGTACCTCTTATTCTCTCGACTTCGACTGTTTAAGATCAAGACAACGCAATGACATCTGACGACTTCGGTCTGAATCGGGTCGCACATCACAAACGCCGTAATTGGTGAAAAAGCATCTGTTTGAATGTTGAACGAAATAAGTCAACGCAATTAACTTCATGCTACATGTAATACATTGAGACCCCGTTATGATTCATTTTCATGCAAACAAGTTAGAATTTGTATTGAAAATTGGGCCGCAAGTGTTGATTTAGGTTTCGTTACGATAAGAATTTTGACGTCAAAGGTTCAGAAACTACTAATCACTCGTTTTCATACACAGGGGTCAATAATGACTGCTGAAGTCCAGACATCTGTCCATTTCTGTTTGATATTACAGGCACAACTTTACTAAGGTGACTTTTTTGATCACAGCTAAACTATATACTTCACATTTACTGATAGAATAATGCACCAAAACCGACAGAATAATGTACAAAAACTGACCGAATGGCTTCAATAGGCCCTGAACAGTTCGGGATCTCTCTTGACTTCAATACATCCTTTTACTGACGCGGAGCTTTTGACTACAGTGACACATACGTATGATATGATCTTTAGATCAATAAAGGTGAATGATTTTGTTGAACAACGAACGCCTCGCTACAGGTCGTTCACACAGTAGTAGTTAGCATCTCCCCAGATCCTTTGGGCATCTTACTAGCCAGGTTTACAATTGAAAATGAACACTCCAGAATCCCAGGATGAAATCGAGGTTGATAGCGCCGCTGGAAGTGTAAGTGCTTCCATCTCATCGATTGAACCAATAGCGCCAACGAACGATGATGAAGGCCTAGTGGAGAGCATATCAATAAACGATGGTGAAGAACAGCTTGAAACAGAAGATCCTACTTTGGCCAAGTACCGCAATGCATGCCAGACTGGAGATCTTGTGACGATCCGAACGTTGGTCGAATCCGGTGTAATTGATCCAAGACATGATTATAGCGATGAGGAAAGAGTTACCGGTCTACATTGGGCCTGTATCAATAACAGACTGGGGGTGGTGCAATATCTTCTCGATAATGGAGCTGATATCAACTTTGCGGGCGGTAAATTAGATGCAACGCCCCTACATTGGGCCGCCAGGTACGGCTATGTTTACATCGTGCATTACCTACTGGAAAAAGGAGCTGATTCAAGGCTTCTGGACAAACAAGGTTTCAATCTTTTGCATCTATCAATAAATTCTTCGAATGTGATGCTCGTACTTTATTGCCTCCTTTTCATTGTCGGCGATGACATCAGCATCGATTCTCTAGATCCAAGTCATAGGACACCGCTTTTGTGGGCCGCATATCAAGGCGACTCTCTATCGGTCAAAGCATTGCTTGAGTTCAAGGCGGACTCTTCAATTGTCGACTCTGGTGGCTTTTCACCTTTACATTGGGCTACAGTGAAGGGACAACCTCAAGTGATCAAAGCCTTGATCGCTGATGGCGCTGACTGCTTACAAAAGACGAATGATGAAAAGGATTGCTTCATAATATCCAAGGAGTTGAACACAGCAGAAAATTTGTCCCTTGCTCTATTAGAAAATGGACTCAAACCAGACGGTACCCCAATTGTAAAGTATCTAAGAAGCCCACAACATGCGAAGCTCGTTACTTTTATTGTACCATTCTTTTTATTGGGTATTATTTTCCAGCTTTTTACGTCACTGCACTACCTGCCGGCAGCTCTACTGTCAATACTCACAGGACTGGGGATGATTCTGGGGTTAAAAAAGCTGGTTTTCCCGTCATACGCTACCCAAATAGGCGGCAACAGTTTTTTGAAGACGCCATTTTGGTCTGGAATTTTACTAGGAAGCATAGTATGGGTCCTCTATGTTTGGCTATCCAGGGTTGCGGCTATTACTTTTGAAGAAGAACCCTTTTTCAACCTTTTTTTCCTTGTCTCTGCAAGCGCATGCGTCGTGTCTTTCTGCAAATTGCTGTTTTCAGACCCCGGCAAAATCTATAAAGAAGAGGATCACGATAAAATCCGCGAGACAGTCCAGGAACTTCTTCAAGCTGGAAAGTTTGACACACGTCATTTATGCCTCGAGACCTATGTGCGGAAACCGTTAAGGTCAAAGTATTCGAGGTTCAGTTCGGCCTTGGTGGCCCGGTTTGATCATTTTTGCCCCTGGGTTTACAATGATATCGGGTTGAAGAACCATAAGCTGTTTTTGTACTTTTTGACTTCTTTGATACTGGGAGCAGTTACCTTCGCCAAGGTTTCTTTCGAATATTTTGACTTCTTCGAGGACCACTCCAAAACGGACTTCAAATGCGGAATTTTCAGCGATGAAGTATGTGCTGGACTACAGCTTGACCGCTTTGCATTTCTTGTCATGGCCTGGGCACTTTTGCAAGTCGTTTGGGTGACCAGCATACTTATCGCCCAGATTTTCCAAACCTTCAAGGGCATAACCAACCACGAGCTTAGTGAAAAGTCGCGGAAGCTACATGGACACAATGATTCTATCGAGTTTTTCATGACTACACCTACTGATCTGATGGATGAAGACGAGTTGAATTCTTTGAACCAAGCCCCGGTAAACGCCAACGACAGCAGACTAATGAAATCGCGCACATGCTTGGGTACTGCATGCAGGTTCGTTGGTCTAGACCAGCTTCCTGTAATTTTTTCCGGTGTGATCAGACGTCAAGCTGGATCCTCTCCAGCGACAGTCAAAAAGTTTGCAACTGATAACGGATGGAAGACCAACCTGAAAGATTTCTGGCTTCTCAGCGACCGCACCGCCCCGCTCTGGCAACGGATTTTGTTTTCTCCGCGCGACTTTAAAGCCTTCTACAATAATACTGAAGTTGACTACAGAACACTCTACACTTTGCCCGAAGCTACACTACCGTTAGAAGAAATGGTCTAGTAAGAGAGGAAAAAAAATGCGTGGACTTACGAGAACCACAGTTGTTTTCTAGATTTGTCAGTTTGTTGAAACAACCCAAGGTCTAAGACTCATCCAAGATGTCATCGAAACTCGCGTTTTTTTTTGATGCGACGCGTAAAGCAGATGCTACGCGCAGACGCGTAAACTCGACTATTCCGTAAATTGCATCGAAAAAACCTCGAATACCGTTGTACGAAGGAGCCTTTCAAATTTGAGCCTGGTCAAGATCAAGAGATGTTGTAAGCCTACGCTCGAAGCGGTTTAACAGCTCGGGAACATCGCTCGTATCAATGGGTATCCAGGGCCTGCTTCCTCAATTAAAGCCTATTCAACAGCCTGTGACTTTATCGCGATACGATGGTCAAACATTGGCAATTGATGGGTACGCATGGCTACACAGAGCTGCACATTCGTGTGCTGAGGAATTAGCTCTAGGTTTGCCCACCACACGGTACCTAGAGTACTTTGCTAAACGTCTGCAAATGCTTCGGGGCCGTTTCCATATCAATCCGTATGTGGTTTTTGATGGCGATGCTCTAATGGTGAAAGGAGACACAGAAGTGAAGAGAAGACAGAAAAGGGAAGAAAATAGGGCCAAAGCGTTGCAGCTTTGGCATTCTGGAGATAAGAGACAAGCGTTTGAGTTTTTTCAGAAATGCGTAGATGTAACACCAGAAATGGCCAAGTGTATTATAGATTACTGCAAGGTGCAATCAATACAGTATGTGGTGGCACCTTTCGAAGCTGATGCCCAAATGGTGTATCTGGAGAAGGAAGGTCTGGTGCAAGGAATCATATCAGAAGATTCAGATCTTCTAATTTTCGGATGTCGCAAGCTGATTACAAAACTTAACGATCATGGTGAAGCGGTTGAGATTTGTCGTGACGACTTTTCTAGTTTACCATCCAAATTCCCGCTTAGTGAATTGACTCCAGAGCAATTGAGGATCTTGGTCTGTCTATCAGGCTGCGACTACACATCCGGAATTCCGAAAATCGGACTTCTGACGGCAATCAAGTTGGTGCTTAAATTCAAGACCATGGATAAAATAATCCAAAGTATCCAGCGGGAGGGTAAACGCATCGTACCCACGGAATTCGCAGATGAATATAAGCGAGCAACGTATGCTTTCCGGTTCCAACGGGTTTTCTGCACCAGGACCAATGTTATTACCACACTTAATGCGGTACCCGAAGAACTTGTAACTCGTGAAGAATTGTTCGGTTGCATAGGGAAAGTCATACATCGAGAGGAATTGATCAAACGAGCAATTGTCAACCCTAGTGAAATCGACCACGAATTGCACGCAAAAGTTGCCAGAGGAGACTTAAGTCCTTATAATTTCGAGAAAGTCCTGGTGAACCGTGAGCGGAAATTGCAAATTACAGCCAAGTCCTTGCCCAATATTTCAAATGCGCCTGTGAGTATAAAGTCGATTGATTCGTTTTTCGCCAAATCTGCTCAAGTGACCGTCTCTGCGGTGCCTGAAAACAGCGACGCTAAGGTTCGACTCGCACTGAAAAAGCTGGAGGAAAAAGCAGAACAGAGCGAAAAGAAAGTAAAATCTACAATTGAACGCCGAAAATTATCTCGCCACGACAATGCATCCTTGCGTGTTGACTCTGGTAGCAAGTTTTTCACTCAATCTCACAAATCTTCAGAAAGTTTGGACGTTACCAGCAGATCTCTTCTAGCCATCAATGATGAGGCTAATGATTTGAAGACGGAAATAGAATCCCCGATTGAAGAAGCAGGCTTCCCCGTAGCACCTGCGATGACACCTGCGACCACTGACGCTGACATTTCACAAGAAGACATACCGACGGAAATCCCGAGTTCGATGGCATCTACAGAGATTCCAAGTTCCATGATCCCTACGCAGACGGATCAAGATTCTACGCCATTCAGCGAAGAGGATTCTGAGATCTTGAGCGAAGTGGAAGACACCACGAAAGCGGACAAAGTGCAGAACAGACAGTCTAAAAGACACTGTGCATCCTTGGCAAGCCTGCGTGATACTTACCAGTACCAAAGAGCGCCACTAACGCCCCGAGATCCCAATGTGGTTTCTACAGGTGCTATGGGCAAGACAATGCGGAAGGCAGCAACCACCGAGAGAAAACGTCCCGCAGTGACCAGGACACACTACATGGCGTCACCATCATCGTCTTCGACCTCTGTCCCGCGTCCAGCGAGACGAGCCTTGAGTTTGTCGGAGTTTATTTATCGAGGACAGTAAAAAAAAACTTTAAGGTCCTGTGAGTTACGTAGTTGTAAGGAAAAGTTAAGCGGGTTTGATACAAGAAAAAAGAAAAGACACGGTATCTCGGTGCTGTGATGCTGGTACGCTGTCAAGTCTCTTTAGCATCTAAACGGAGCCTAGTGTTACCTAACGAGAGATCATTTAGTAATAAAGCGTCACATCAAATCACGTGTCTCTCCTTCTAACGATTATGAACTTTCGCAACCAACAAAGCGAACTGCAAAGCCTGGGGCACTCCGTTCAAACAGTGTTAAATACAGTCAATAATACTTACATTACATTTCTCAGTCTTTTCTTTCCGTCAACTGGAATCCCGCATGTGAGTTTTTCTGCCAAATTGGGGGCGCCAAGTAAAGCTACCATTATACAAAATTCATAACCACGCCACCACACCGTGCCAACAACAAATCAAGAGTATTTCGCATCCAAAAACTAACGTACCTTACTCTTCTTCCACGTACTTCTTTCTTTATCACTTTTATATTTTCGTGTCGTCGTCCCATATATTGTATCATTAGATACGTATATCTTTCTATTTTCCTTTTTTTCTTTCCCGTCCCATAATTATCATGCCATTATTTCCTAGCGATAATATTAATCAACGGGAAATTTAAACAATCGTCGCTCAAACCTTCAACATTATTCGAACAAAACTACCTTATCTTTTGATTGTATCAAATCCTACAAGATAGATTCAAAACTGTACTTGTTAAGTGATTCAAGGCATTGTTAACAGTCTTTTTACGGTTCGAAAAGAGCATCTGGACGCCTTCAAAACTGCATTTTAACGTTTGCGAAAGTTTCCGATATAAAAACGATTGAAGGGAAAGAAACTCGATCAGTTTTTGGCATTTTTTGATACTTCTAGACTAGTTGTAGTGCCCTTTTTTTTTTTGAGCAGAATACCAGTGTGCTAAGACCTCAAGATCAGTACTTGATTCACTTTTCCATTTGGTCTGTTAGTCGCTTTAGTGAGCGACATCCGGACTTTTCCCTACTTTTGATACAAAGAAGGAGTTATATCCATCAGGATTCAGGAACAGAGACTTTCCTAGGTTTCTAAAATGGCATCCAGTACGTCTTTTAGCCCTGGATTAAGTGAAGCCGAAGTTTTTTTGGCTTCGCTTCACTCTTCGGAAAGCGGTGATGAGTACAAGAGCGATCACTGGGACGTCAACTCTAAAAACTCGCCCATGGGTAGCGTGAGTAACAATTACAACAGCAATCGTAACCACCAAGACGGTATTTGGAGCGAAAGTACTGCCGGAACACTGAATTTGACCCCGGAATCATTTCAAGAATTCCCGCTAAAACCGCAGCAACAACAATTTGACCAGCAAGTAGACCAGGACACAAACATAGGTCGTGGCAATGGGGCTTCCTCTTCAAACGGTGCAAACGTTTACATCAAAACTGATGAATCGCCAAGTTTTGCGTTCGAATCTGGTGAGCTCCAGGATTTCTTGAAAACTGAAGATCAGGAGGACCTAGATTCTTTGACATTTGGTTCACTCACAGATTCTGGAAACGGCAAAGTGATGAAACCCAGACGTGAAAGAGTGTCCCACAACGTCATCGAAAAGAAGTATAGAACCAATATTAACGACAAGATCTTGCAACTGAGGGACACAATTCCAACGCTTCGCTGTGCTGTAAAGCGTGCCACTGGAGAATCATTGTCGCAAGAAGACTGTGAGGAGCTGGATGGATTGGAGGTAGCCTGCAAACTCAACAAGGCTTCGGTCCTGATCAAAACTATTGAATACATTCGCCATCTTGAAAACAAATGCACTACTTTGAAGTTTGAAAACACAAAACTTAAATCCGGCCAGGTTTTCACTACTCCCGAAAGTGACAGAAATGTCTCCAGCAGCGCAAATGACTTCATTATGAACATGTCCTCAGGTGTGTCGACTCAGCACGGTACACCCTATGCTGCAGCTTATCCGGAGAAAAAGGAGTCACCTTCCAGCAAGTATTTGATGGCAGGACTTGCTATGACAATGGGTGCATCATGTTTCGGCGATGGTAACGATTTTGACAATGCAAAGAGCTTAATGTCCATGCCTATAATGCATTATTCCCCGGGCAGCGGTCTCACATTTTCTAATGCTAACGGAGTCATTAGCTTGCCGACAGCATTTCTTTCTATTCTTCGAATTACGATGTTGCTTGCAACGGGTGTCTACTTTATCCACCTCCTGACCAACAAGTTAACTGGGGGGAAAGAAAAGACTCATGAATTGCCGCTGGTGCCGTTCACGGATACGGTGAGCTTCACTGACTACTCCCAAATCTTTGAAACATTGAAGAAAACCATGGTCCTCAACCGGCTGAAATATCCTGTCAACTCTATTGAGAGAATTGAGTCCGAAATTGTCAACTGTTTTGCCCTCAAATACTACCGCTTCAAGTTCCCTGTCAAGATATGGAGTGATAAGCATATCCTTTCATCTTGGTCTAAAATTAAGAATCAAGTGGAGTTGGCCAATCAGAGAAGTGGCGGGGCATTAAAAAATGGATTAGAATGGAGTATGATTACAAACGTTGTTACCAGTGCAACATCAGACACCCTGGGATGCGAGCAGCTTGAAGAAGCCATCATTGAGAATGGGCCATTTACGCTGAAGGACTTCATTCAATTCGTCAACGATTCAATGGTGAAATATAGGAGTGATGCTGTAGTTGTGAGCTTGCTTACTGAGCTAAGCGCCGCTGAAAGTCCTGCAAATGAAGTCGTCGAAAAGGTATTTGAATCCAAGGTCTTCAATAATGCAGATCTACAGACGTCAACCGAAAACCTGACAACCTTGAGCTCTTTATTCGAACCAACAGAAAGGAATGTGAACCATCTGCTAGAATTGGTAAAACAGAAAATGAAATTGGGTAAACCAGCGGGCGACCAAATACTAGTCCTGTACTCCAGCATAATAAGGAACTCACTCTCGAGCGGCCATGTCAAACAGGCCTGTCTCTGGGCTTCCAAGATACCACCAAAGCTGATTGCTTCGGAAAATACTTCAATTATAGGTGTTGCTGCCGCCCTCCTAGTTCTTAAAAACCTGTTCGCAACACCAATGCTGGAAGAAGTGCAGGAGAATCGTCTTGAGCTGGATGCCTTGATTGGGAATGTCAGGATATGGCTTGGAAATGATTCAGACTCCAGCTTGAGCATAGATGCACGGGGCAAACTAGTTGATTTTTGTGTGGATTCTGCACTGGCGTGCGGAACTAAGCAGCTTGATGAAGACACAGATGTGGAAACACAGAGTGAGGATTTGAGCGATGATGAAGAAGTTGGTTCAGATCTTTGAATTCGTTGTTATTTAAAAGGGCTTTCAAGAACCCATGGGTACTGGGTTCATATATGTAAAATAGACAATTAGGCCAAGTTTGTAATGGATTAGACGACACGTCTAAGCAAGGTGCATATAATCATAATCAAGGCGTACGTCGAAGTAACGACAGAATTGATACTTCGAACACTATTCCCTTTCCACCATGTCTTCAATATTCATAAGCTATACATAATGCGGTATCCAAACTACTAAAGAAATCCCATCGACCCATAATTTGATTTGTCAAGCCGAAACGAGTGCCTCGGCGATTACAAACACGACACCATTTTGAGCTTCGTCTACCAGCTTCACTTCGATGCTCGCAGCACCACCCCACCTTGCAGAATATAATCTGTATTTTCCGTCCTTTCTTGCCAACAATAAATCTCCCCCGTTTTCGAGGCCACTTGGATCCAACAAGGACTTTAGTACAAAGGAAGTGCAAGTTCGTTCATTCAAGGCGTCTTGAACTATTTTACCGTCGTTGTTGCCGACCATTGTCGCTATGTGGTGTTCCACATAATTTCTGATATTGTTTCTGACTGCTTGTTCAAGAGCCTCTTCGTCAGAGGTCTGTGCCTCCAGCGTTTCCACATCAATAGGAAACTGCCATGGTTTCTTGGGGAGATTTTCGATTGCATCGTTGGACGGAGCGAAAACCACAATATACGTAGTTGGATCGCTGATCATGCTTGACAAAACAACGTCATCTCTCAAATATCTTGAGAAAATACTGATTTCGCTATAAGAGGGTAGCTTCGAGTCCAAACAAACTGGATCCCAATTTTTCTGTGATGTCCTACCATTTTCGTCCTTTTGGTCTGTTAGCTTCTCAGCAGAATAAACTTGCTGTCTTTCGCTATCCCTCTTGTTCAATGACTCATTTTCGATTATACCATTCACATTCAGCGGGAAAACATTTTTAGCATCTCTAGACTCTAAAATATGACCTCCTGCAGGCAGCTGGCGTTTGTATTTACCAGTTTTAGGGTCAAGTATTACATCAAGATGAGCAACGTTTTTAGCTTCCATTAAGCTGGCCAATAGACATGTTACTAAACAAAAAGCTCGTTTGTCGAGGTTCCAAACTTTCATTTCCAGGATTCACTCACAAGCGTTCCAGGAGCTAGCTAAAGGTACTAATCTAGTTACTTTCTGTTACTTTTTTGAGGTAGGATTGGTCAAGGGTCGACTAATCTTCTTGAGAAAGAAGGTTCATCGTCTTGATTATAATGTTTAGGCAAAAAATAATAGAAATGCGCAAGCCCGGAATCGAACCGGGGGCCCAACGATGGCAACGTTGGATTTTACCACTAAACCACTTGCGCAGGTTTTTAAAATGGTGAAATTAGAGGACGTTTATATAGCGTCATTAAACCCATCTGCTCATGCCACAATATCGCTACACAGTTCTTTTGTCCCTTGTAGGACAGTTGTCCATTCTTAGCACCGTCATAACGATTTATCCGTTGATACATTTCTTTCCTTAGTTACGCCATATTATGAATAAAGTAATTACCCTTGACCATGATCGAAAATGTAATTTCTCGTCAGTAACGTCTCCGTAGACTCATTATCATGGGAGCAGGAATGTTGATCGCTGTTATTCGCAGAGTCTTCATTCTTATCGTCCTTTGAACTCGCAACGCTCGACTTATGACCACTTGTAACTTCTTCCCGCTTGGATCCCCGCAGTCGCGACTTGAAAGCGCGCGCAGGCCTGGTTATCATCCTGAAGCCCTTTTTGGGCCGGCTTTTCTCGACATCGACCGCAACGGAAATAGGTTGGGAATGGATCGAGCGGTCGTCAATCATCGTGCTATCGTAATGGTCGTAATTGATCTTGGGATCTACAAAAAACCTGTCCCGGTTATTGATTTTTCTTCCCAAAACCGTTTCCTTGCTATAAGCCCTCTCGCGTTGCTCTAAAACACCGATGAGACCCCAAGTATTAACGGTCACCAAGACATTCAGGAATATCAGTACGCATCTCAACCATTTGCAAACACTTTGCGGCGTGGCGCTCGTGAAAATTCGGACGCCAAATAACAAAGCCATGACTCCCGCATTATAGGCCAGCAATAATACGAGTTGATGGTAGTCGCCGAATATGTATTTCAATTGCGCCCACCACGACAGATCTTTATTCGACTGTTTGGGTCGAAGTGTGAATCCGTAGTTCTGCCACACGAAAGTGGAAACTGCTAATGTGAAAAGAGCATAAATGACAAGGTCGACCACTCTAAGCACTATTTGAAGAGGTTCGCTACTTCGCTGTTTCGCCCAGAGTCTTAAACCCATCAAGAACGCCTGGACGGAGGTCAAAAAAAGTCCCACAGCTATGATTTGTCTGTTTCTATTGCTAAGTATTGTTGGCACCCATCGTCTCTCAGTCTTTTGGTAGTTGTGAAACATGTAGTAAACGATGTGGAGCCAATTCAGGTTGCTGATCAAGGTAGTGAAAAAGAACATAACGTTGAAAAGCGTGGAGTCTATCACTTTTTCGTCGAATTCCACAGAGTTTTGATAGTTTTCATTGTACTGTCCCTCGAATATCGAATGCATGGATTTACTCAAAATAACCGTGTGAAAAATAGCTGAATAGGTAACTCCCAGAAACACCATTTTCTTACGACTATTGTGGTTGTTTGGGGGCAGTAATAATAATACGAGCAGAAGCATCCATGAGCCCGCACATACAGCACACACTGCAAAACATATCAGCAAGTTTGCAGAAGAAAAGCTGTTTTTCCCGATCAGTAACGACGGTACTGTTCCTCCCTGACTTACCGCTTTACTGCTCTCTGCAATTAGCGTCTGCATCAGTGATGTATGAACGCTGGTCATATTCTGATTTTCGTCTCCTGTACAATGCAGGAAAAAAGCCGGTGCGTAACTAGTTTGGAAGTAAGACTGTGATTCAGGAGTGTCTTGGAGTGTAAAGTTACCGCTATTGAGCATTCGAGCTGTACAGTTCGGCCACTTTCCAGCATCAAGTTGCTGTTTTAAAATATCCATGACCAGCTCCAGAGACGTTACATTCTGCCGCAGTAAAGACATATCAGTTCTCCAAGTCCAAGACCAGATTCGCGCTGGTGATAGACCACAGGTTACCAAATATGTTCGGCTTCTTTTTGACTGGAGTAGAATTAGAGAGCTGGCATCCACTTTAGATTTAGCATTGGTATCATCATTGGATACGGAACGGTTAGTGAATTCTCGTGGACTTAGCAGCTGGAACAAGACATTTTGATGCTCTTTGAGGCTCGATGAGCACCTTTTGGTCGTTTATGACATCCAGAAGTTACTTATATAGCCTTTTGTATCTTTTTTGCCCCCCATCCGGGCTTTCTGAGAGCGGCTGGAAAAAGATTAGAGCTGCTTTTGGAGTTGACTTAAAGGAATTAGAATCACCTTGGCTTTAGCTCGTCGAGCGCGAAATCTCGCCACAATCCTAACTCGGTCCTTTTCGATGCAAATAGAGAACCTAGCGCCGTAGGACTCTCTACTAATGGTGGCATTGCTGTCAATTGGCCGCTGCAGTCTACTTGCAAGGGATGAAACTGGTCCCAGTCATCTTCGTCGTGAAAGTAATCCCAAAATGGATTGATAGGTACTGACGTATTTTCAGAACGCAACCCATTTGTGGCAGTGTGATCTGGTGACATGAAAATGTCCTGATTCCAATCCAAGTACAGCGAGTGGTGAGGTTGCAACATATGATGGCTTTGAAAATATGAGTCCCGGTACATTATGGCGAGTTTAGGACGGTTGGAATTGGGACTAAATAGGCGATTTTTCCACTGTCCTGTTTCGAGTAAACGTCTATCTGGTTGATATAACCTGGAGATGATCGGCTACTATATTGAAGTTCGGAATCATCATGCACGTAAAGTATATACTACAGCTGCCACCTCATTGCGATGTCAGCCGGGTAGGCGGTCCATGCTGCTACATCAAGTGTTTGAGAGGTTCTTTGGAAGCTGACGAGCATTTAATGTATCTCTACGAATTTCATTTTAGTATTCTTTGTTTGTTGGTAGACCCAGAGTTCGAAAAGTCGCTGGCTTTTCGTGTCATATCGAAAATTTGTTATGAACGGTGCTGCAAGAGCAACTCGAATTGAAGATATCCAACATTGCGGTCTCTCGTTAGGCTAGTTAACGAGAAGATGTGAGATATTCGTGCGATGAGTATTGTTACATGTGACCTTGATCCTGATCATTTAGGCCTAAGATCCTTCTCATACGAAATATGCAAGTGTCAGCGTCAGCGAGGTTGAAATAGACCAAACGAAAGTCATCCAAGAGCACTGACTTTGAAAATATTTGAAACCAATATGGGTTCCAAGCTGCAAAGTACTTAGTTAAATAGCATAACGAGCGCTGCTTACATGCGAAATTTGTTGCCCGAACCTAAAGTGGGCAACACAATATGCATTGTGCCATGATTCCATGTTCGGATTGAATTTAAGAGTGTTTTTGATTTTGACAGAAACGATCACGACCCTACAGATTGATCACTGTCAAGTATTATCAGAGGATATGGCTACAGAAATGAAAATCATGGTATTCTAAAGCTGCAAGTCAATGCAGCAGCTTCATCGATTGCCCTTAATTCAAATCTCCTCATTGCGGTAAACAAGACAAAGTCAGGGTGGCAATTGTTGAGATTTGGCGATGTTTCAATCTATCATGACGCTTTCCACAGCACTTCGAAAACGACCCAACTTCATATGTAATCCAATCCCGAATTAGCAGCTGTGACTAACGCGCCCAAACGTTCAAGTTTATACAAACAATTGCAAAATCCAGCTCCTTACGCAACTCTCTATCTACGGGCTCTTCAATTCGCTGGGTTTCTCGGCATGTTCCAAAGCATTTAAATACACACTACTGAAGCAAATTACAACAGATATTACAGATTTTAACAACTGGAACTCTGATCTATGCAACCAGTAGCCCTGCTAATTCTTATATGTGGTTTCTCAACTGTCGAGATATTTGTCTCGAATAAGTCGTATATTATAACCTCGATCCACTTAAGTAATTTGGTCTGTATTTTCAACATATCTACCTTCCAGCTACGTTAGCTTCCAAAGGCAGCCACGCTTGATGAATCATGGGCTGGTTTAGCAAGACGAAACCTATGGACGATCAGTCTAAGGCACCTACGCGATCTTCCAGAAAGCAATGCTGGGAAGCCCGTGACGGCTACTTTAGCTGCTTAGATAACATATCGGTTGTGAACGCTCTGGACCCTAAACACCACGAAGCGATCAAAAAGAGTTGCCAGGGTGAAGAAAACAAGTTCGAACAAGACTGTGCAACCAGCTGGATCAAGTATTTCAAGGAAAAGCGGGTCGTTGATTACAAGAGAGAAAAATTCATGCGGGAAATGGAAAGCAAGAACGCTCAACAAATCGATCTTTCTGGCATGGTAAAAAGGTGAAGAATAAGAAACACTGACGTTACAAGGAGCTCAGACTCACGTTGTTAAAAGCCGGAGACGAAATCCGCCTCGCGTACACAGACCTGCATTTATATTTATATTCAGTTCATTCAAATAGATCGATTCATACATAATATGGATAGCGAGAGAGAGAGGAAATGAGGGTTTATCAGCGTCACGTGGTTACTTTTGTTTATATACCAGCACCTTCCACAAGGTAACTGTTGTGATTGTATCTTCTGGCCCCGGCAGGTATGAAACTGATCAAAAGCTCATAACAACAATGATTGGTGTAACTAGACTCTACCTTGACCAAGTTTCACTCAACAGGAAGAGCACAAGAGAAATATATGATTCGTTCATAGTGATATAATTTTATTAGTCGTTTTTGTATGCATTTGATCTCGTATCGCGGGTAGAACGAGTATCTCTGACTTTTACCGAATCTCTTGTAGAGCATTTCAAGCTTTATAGCAAGCGCCATTCTCTTTCCTTAACTACTTGCTACAACTCCCACGTGTAACGATTGTTGAGTTGTGTTTTATCACTATATACGTTAATAACATACCACAAAGCCTCGGTCTAGCACCAGCTTCCGCGGCTATCGTTTTTGTGTTGATGTTTGGAAGAAAAAAAGGGTATTTCCGCTCATCAAAGGCGGAGTATCGGCGCTTATCGGACGAAAGAAGCGTTAAAGGGGGCTTGTTTGTTTACTTTTCAAGAAACGGACACAAAAGACAGCAACTTAAAAAATCAAGTATAAAAGGAGAGCGTTTTCTCCTCAGTTTACGATCAATCCTGTACTTCAATTGACTCCTTTTCTCGTTTCAAAAAGTTCTTCTTTTCAAGCTACAGTCGCGGTTCCTCCATCAAGTTTACGTAACTTAAGTAGCTGTTTATATAACATCCTCTATACCTTTCTAGATCGAACCCTCTCTGCTGAACTACCAAATGTTACAATTGGAGTTGTTGAAAAGAGCCGGAAACGAAGCCATCGACGTGAATCCCGCCTTTGGCGTGGACATCAAACTAACGGAGAACGGATCGGACTGGCTATGGGCGGTATTTTCCGTTTTTGCCCTCAGTGCCGTGATCTATGCTGCCTTGTTCGTGTATTACGAACAGAGAGGCGTCAACTTGCACCGTTTTGCAATTGCCGCCCCGCTCAGTATCTCGTTGGTTTTGGCTTTTTCGTACTTCACCATGGCTTCCAACCTGGGCTGGACTGGTATTCAAGCAGAGTTCAACCATCAAAAGACCGCTGACCAGGCTGTGACTCCAGGTATCAGACAGATCTTCTACGCCAAATACGTTGCTTGGTTTTTGACGTGGCCCATTTTGTTGTACCTCACGGAGCTTACCGGCGTGGTGACTATTGGGTTCGAAGCTTTGGCTGAGCGTTCTTCATTCTTCGAATTGATCCACGGCCTAATACTGCAGATCACCGGCAGTTGGTTTTTCATCGTTGGTCTCTTGGTTGGATCTTTGATAACCTCCAGCTACAAATGGGGATACTGGACGCTAGCTGTGTTTGCTCAATTTTTGGTCACTTTCGTCGTGTTCAGACACCAACTACGCGACTTAGTTGCCACGGGCATCAAATTGGCGATTTTGATTCTCACTTATTTCTGCATCTGGCTCTACTTTGTTGCATGGGGTCTCAGTGATGGTGGTAACGTTATCACTGTAGACTCTGGGCACGTTTTCTTCGGGATCCTTGATCTTTTGGTGTTCCTTGTGGTTCCAGCTCTATTGTTGGCCACTGCCGTCTCTTTGGGCGCGGTGCCTTCATTTGCGATCAGACGCTCTGGACACCATGACCTGGAAAAACAGGTTGAGCCAGTAAGACTTGGAAACGCTACCGCTGCTAACCACAATGATACCACCCAGGTTGTTGCCGTTGACGACACAGCAGCACACGATACTGTGGTTGCTTGAAAGATTTGACTTGACAGTTTTCCTTCAATCTTCCCGACCGCTTAAAAATACCTTTCATATTGGAAGGCACTAAATTGGCATGAAGTCCTGATGGGAGTCCACGGTCATTTTTCTTTTTCATGATAAATCGATATTCGCTTTATCCTATGAGAAACATCAACGAGTGTGGGCGGCTAATACCCTTTTTTTTTTTCTGTTCCTTATCCTATTGTGATGTTATTCTTTTTCTTTCAGTTTCTACGTGGGTCAATCAGACGTTTGATTGATTGATCACAGCTCAATGAGCACCTCAACAACGTCGGTCCGTTCTACCTTTTCTGAATGTTTAATATTTAATTTAATACCCATTTTATTTCGCTAATTGGACGGGAGGAGGAGGAGCTTGAGACTCGTACACACCAGAGTTGGCAATTGAGAACTATAGTATGAGGTGAGTGCGAAGTATTAAAGAATTGAGGTTGAGGTAGACTTGTTTTGGAAGCAACTAACCCATAAAGATTAAAGAGCATTTTCGGAAAACTATTTGATGAAGAACTGTTACTATGTTGACCTTCTAAGAGCAGCAGTATGCTAATGTGCTTCACGCATTTAGAGCCAGGATCTAAAAGTTGGATGACATTGGTTCATCTGGAAAAGATCAAGATTTCGAAATTTCACAATACTTTGAATAAACAGAATTCCGTAGTTCTTGGGCAATGATCGTGCCTGACCATTGCAAGATAAGTAAATAGATGTGTTTTACAAGAATCCCTTAAGTCCACAACACCAGACTTGTTATTTCAAGATGTTTGCCGGTTCATTGATTTTATGCTTTGAAGACATGATGTCACATTAAGACAATTGTTTAACAAACTCAGGCCAAAAGAGGTAAACCTGTGAACTGCAGATGATCTACCGATAAACATGACTCAATAAGATGGTCATTGCATTGACTACCTTAGAATTAGGTGAAAGTGCAGTTTTGGCCTAAATTGTATACTAATTTTGTATAGCCCTTGCCTGTGCTGGAAAAGTATGGGCAACTTCTCAACAACGACAGATCCTCTACGATGACTATCAAACAATCAAAATAACTCAATTTAAACCTATAAAACCTTACGTAGTGTTACAATTCGATGCACATTTTTGTGCTATAGCTGGAAAACATTAAATAGTCATAGTGCTGATGACAGTACGTTGGCCTCTTTTGTTATGAGCGTGGTGTGGAACGTCACGCTTTGTGTTGCCGGAAGAAGTCTCGAAAACCTCAATGTTGGCCTTGGCACCATTACGAGCGGTAACGACACAGAATTGAGCACCGCCAGCACCGCCAGCACCGCCAGATCCCTGGCCCCCAATCTGATTGACGTCCTGTTGAGAAGGATCAATCGAGCATGGCAGACCTACACATTGAGATTCGTCATCGCAAGTGATTTTTACCCCAAATGATGGTCTGGTGTTTTTGAATGGACAAGAATCCTCCAAATAGATTGGATTCCAACCGATCTTCACATATGTGTTTTGAGAATCGTCCATGTTGGCACCCGCCACGTATGGCGACCAGTTTCCTCTTGGGTTCGATAACGAACCCCATTTGCAGCCGTCGGCCACACTTGTTCCTGGTGGGTTGATGTAGTAATGAGCTGCAGTCTGGGCCCAGTATTCGGTACCCGGCACGGCCAAACTTTCCTCAGACCCGCTGTTGACCAAAGTTGGGATCAACATTTCTTCGTTACCTGGAAGGACGGTTTGACAGAAAGGAACGTCCGATCCAGCGTTGTTTTTGGCCGTCACGGTTCCCTTCCCATCGTAACAGTAGTCATTTTGCGAGATTGGCTTTTGCAAATTTCCGTTTTCATCACAGTACAATCCACCGTATTGAGAGCCTGGGTAAGAGTAGCTTGTGACTTGGGGGTCCCACTGACCTGCCAACTGGCCTGGACTACAAGCATATGGACACCAGCTTCCATAACTACACGATTGGTCCCAGCTCATCGCCCATCCAGCATTTTTGCTGTCTGACTGAACCGCTACCATGCCGTCGTAGTTGGGGAACGAACAGGTTCCATCACGGCGGAAAAGATGAGATACCTCCTTACCCTGCACCTCTTTGCCCATCCGTTTGGCATGTTCGTGGTTGTGCAGGTTGTTGTACGAGTCGGCGGCGATTGCCCCGCCAGCTAGCAGAGAAATCAGAGTGCAGTGCAGCATGTTTTTATGAGTTTTCTTCAAAATGCTTCCTTTGCTTGATACAATACTTATGAGCTATGCTGCCATCCAACGCCGGATCGCTTCCCACCACCTATCGACGCAAATACTCGTCTGTTTTTATATGCCAGCAGTTGTCGACCCGACTACGTGCAAGAAATTCGCATTACTTCCACCAATACTACTACAGCTAACTCTGGCCATTAACGACCATCACTGAGAATGAGAGTTGTAACAGTCACTGACTGCCTCGTCCATTTCTGGTGCAAACCTTTTCAGGATTTTTCACTGATCTGATGTAACTTGAAAGGCACTACAAGTTGATGGATTACAGTTGATCTAAAATCCGTCAGAACCATAGGCAGGTGTCCTATTGCCCTGCATGATTAATCAAATACCCGCTTTAGGTTCTGCCACTGCTTCCTCTAGTGTCATCGCTGAATGGTGCCTACGACTTCTACATGAACACCACGTCAACGATCCGTGTTCTCTACTCGAACATCTAGTCGTCGGTGTGAGTTTTCATAATGGTGAAAACAATGGCTTAGTTTTCTTCAGGTTTCTTTTTTCATGCCGACTAGATGATTGACTAGAGAAAAGTGAAAACTGCTGTAGTTGGCATCGTCTTGCAACGGTTGAGGCCTTGGTTTGGGTATTGCCTATTCGAGAGGCGTTTCCTGTGGTTTCTGCAAAACAAGTGCCGTGTCAGCGAATCGGGAAAGAACGCAACAGGGTGTGTTCCAGAAGCTTTGCACAGAGCTTAGATGCAGCTAATGCGTGAAAAAAAAAGAGTGGGCCTACAGACGATGGTGGCTTTTGGATAACCCATTCCTTCAGATGGCGGAAGAGGGACATTCCTAGCGGGTTCAGAGTGATGCCAAAAAGAAAGGCAGAAAGCGGATCAAGTTTCGCGCGTTTTTTGGAACTTGGAGGAGGCACACTTTTGGCAATGGGTGTTTTGGTGAAGAAAGTGTTGCAATTAATTTGATGTCAGAATAGTACATAGTGATATGGGATACCAGGAGGTGGGTAGGTCAGGATTTACACAGCGGCCCCCCGCGCACAGCTCTACCATTCTTTTGCAATGGCTGACAAGGAAATGCAGACAGATTTGGGACGAAATGTCAGGAAAATCGGTTTGGGTAATTTCCTTGAACAGCTCCAGTCACACAGCCCGTTAACGAACTGCAGGCACATTGCAAAGCTTTGCATCAAAACTGTGCACTGGATGGTGTGCTCTGAACGTCATCGTCAGGGCAAAGCGGAGTTACCATGACAGAGTGGATTTTTGATTTGGTGCCTTTTTTTACCTCCGCATAATGAAATCGGGGTTGACAATCGAGGTGGGGAAACCATCTTGGACTGCTACGTGGAACGGATGGCTTAAGAGTGCTGAAAGGAGCGCTGAATGATGGAATAGAGAATATCGACTGAGACAGGAGTCACGTGGTTTTTGAGAAGGAAAGGATCAAAGAGATCGAATGCGAAAGAACATAGCGCGAGTTGCCACAGAAGTTTATCCAGAAGTGCGAGTTGCCACGAAAGATCATCATCAAGCATTCGCTGATCAGAAACTTCATCATAATTTTTGACCACAGTAGCGTCACTATTAACGAGGTGCACTGTTGAGATCCACGAGTTCCCTACACCAAGGTGATGAATAAACTACCCGCCACTATCGCCATCATCTGAACGAGCCTTGTTACGACTACAGTTCGATAGCTAGCTCTTCTTTCACTAAAATACCAACACCGTCACGTGACATTTCTTGGCATACCACTATTCTTTACAAACGACAAACCCCAGAAGATCGAAAGAAGACCACAAACAAATTCCGCATAAGCATACATCACTAACAATGACTCATTTCTCGTGGCTATCAAATCCCACGTCCAGACTTCCTCAACCAAGCTCGTTTAAATGTTTTGTCGTAAGAAATGCCACTTATCTAGCCGTTTTTGCCAAGCTCAAATTATACGTACAAAGTGACCTCATCGTCCAATAATTGTGCATTAGAGAAAATAATCGTCGAGCTCATCTCACAAATACACCTATAAAGTTCTCCCTCAAGTGAGAGAAAGTAACCAGGTTTCCAACCCTTGAAGCGACCTTCTTAGACAATTTGAAATGCTGTCCTCAAAGGAGTTAAGGATCCTTGCCTTGCTGGTTATTGACACCCTTTTTTTCTTCCTGGAAATCATCGTTGGTTATGGAGTACATTCCTTGGCTTTGATAGCAGACTCCTTCCATATGCTGAACGACATTTTCTCTTTGTTGGTGGCACTATGGGCAGTGGGAGTGGCCAAAAATAAGGGAGTGGACTCCACGTACACATACGGGTGGAAAAGAGCCGAAATTTTGGGTGCTTTGATCAATGCAGTGTTTTTGATTGCATTGTGCGTCTCTATCTTGATCGAAGCTATTCAACGGTTTTTTGAGCCCCAGGAGATAAACAATCCTAAATTGGTGCTCACAGTTGGTTTTGCCGGGCTTTTATCCAACATCGTTGGCCTGTTCTTGTTCCATGAACATGGCCATTCTCACGGTCACGGTCACGGCCATGGTCATGGTCATTCTCACGATTCCATCCAGCATGATTACGAAGCAGGCGATGTTGAAAACGATTTCTCACGCGATGACTCGTCCCATGATCTCAATGATATGCTTCCTTCTACCGTGGTCCATACTTACACCCCAGAAACGTCATCTCTGCTCGGTAATAAAACTAAGAAGGACCACACCCATAGCCATGGAAGCAACGTCAACGACGATCTACACTCCAACAGCAAATCCGCTCCTGTCAAAGCCCAGAAGTCCCTAAACATGCAAGGTGTTTTCTTGCATGTGCTGGGAGATGCGTTGGGAAACGTCGGTGTCATGGCCACAGCTCTTTTCATCTGGAAAACGGACTATTCGTGGAGATTCTACACTGATCCTGCAGTTTCGCTACTAATCACCGTGATCATCTTTTCGTCTGCTCTACCGTTGGCCAACAAAGCCTCTCATATTCTCTTACAAGCTACACCGGCTACGGTGTCATCCGACGACATGCAACGTGAGATTCTCGACGTTGACGGTGTTGTGTCTGTTCACGATTTCCACGTTTGGAACTTGACTGAGTCTCTCTCCATTGGATCCACCCATATCGAAGTCGATGCCAACCCTGAGCGTTTCACAGAGATCGCCAAGACAGTTCGAGGAATTTTCCACCGTCACAACGTTCACTCTGCCACTGTACAACCTGAATTCCGCACAGCAAATGTCAGCGATGACACTCAGAATGCTTCCTCGCGTGTAGCAGGTGGTGAAATAAATCAGACGCCTGCCGCTCCGGACTCCCAAGGTCAAAAAAACGCTTCTTATGGTAGCATCAAGAAAAACAATTGCGCTGTTGATGAGGCTGCAAATTGCAACACTGATAATTGTCTCTCGTCAAATTGATGCCATTTCACACAAAAGTCAAAATTCCGCAAATGCTTCGAGCAAATCATTCTTCCAGCACCAGAAAGTGCTTAATGGAAACTGAATAAACATTTTGAATAGACCCCATTATGAGAGCTAGATTAACTGAAGCTTTTTGAACACGATAATTCAATCGTTTACATTCTATAATCAAAAATTCACAAATACACTGTCATTCAAAAATACTATAATACAAGCAAGGACTGAGCTTCTAGCTCTCCGATGAGTCCTTTTTATAAAAAACAGAAAGTGGGTATTGGTTACAATGCTGTGATTCTACAGCTTATGTTACAATTCTTTTTTTTCTTATGTCTCTTTACCCCATCTCAACCTTCTTTCTTTGTTGAGTTTGATGGCAGCATTTTCCTTGGCGATGCGGTTCGAGGTAGGCGTTCCAATGTCAAATTCGTAGCCGCGAATGATTGCAGCATCATTTTTACGCTGGGACCCGCCCATATGATCATTTTCGGTTACTGATTTGGTCTCAGGTTCGTGTCCGAAAAGCTTAGCGCGATTTTGTAATAGCTGATCTCTCATGTCAACATTAACAGGAATGGTAACTCTTTCCCATTTATTGGAAGGTAGGGGCACTTCCCTGCTACTGGCATTAATTTCGGTAGCGAAAATGGTAGCATTAGTTAGAGAACCGTTGGTCGCGGTAACCAAGTAATTGAGTGAATCTGGACTCGAAGGTCTCTTCAAAATTGATTTGATAGCGTCACTTTTTTGTTGGCTATTCCTGCGTGGTAATGGTTTGGCAATTGTGATCCCGGGGTGTAATCTCTTGAGCCCATTGCTAAAAAGAGGGAGAACGTCAGATTTCTTTGGAGCGCATTGAAGCCTCGTTTCGTCGTGTAAAGTCCCATCATTAAGCAGACGAGAATGCAAAAGAGCAGAAGACAAAAACCCGTCTTTAGCAAAAGGTGGACTACCAACAAGGTCATCAACAACACCATTGCCCGTTGGACTGCTCATGCCACTGGCGCACATGTTACTGTCATCGCTCAAAGTATCGTCATCAGACGTTAGCTCGGGAGAATTCTCTAACACGGTGGCATGCATGTCGCCTAGATTGTTGCAGCGAAATGAACACTTTGAAGGCTTGGATGGAGAGTCAAAGACGGCACTATCCACGTCGTGCTGAGGTGGGAAACGGTATCCGCTTTTCGTGCCAAGTTTCAATGGAGGAACATCTGCGCTCCTGCGTAAAACTTGGGCTTTAGGTGTCAAACGTGGTGGAAACGAAAGAGACTCAATTTGGTTTCTGAACAAATCTTGTTGAGATTTGGTAGGTGTAGCCAGGGAACTGTTCATGTTGGTTGTGTAAACGAATGAATTGAAGTTGGTGATATTGTAATAAGCGATGGCTTTTCTTGTAATGAGCGAATGTGGGTGTCACTGAGGACTTTTGGGGATAAAACGAAAGACTAGAGGTGAGGGTTAAGACCGAAAAATTGGTGTGACTTGATGAAGGTGAAGAATAAGATCCGTGAAGTCTTTCGACCTGAAATGGGTTATCTGTTCAACAGAATTGATTGGTTGTGAGGGTTGAGGTGTGAAGTTGGACTTTTAAAAATTTCGAACTTTCTGCACCCTAAGTGAGATTGGGTTTTCCCTTTCTTTAAATACATTGTCCGCCAAGATGGCGCTAAATGGTTCGCTTTCGTTCCGAACCGGATCAGTGTTTACCTTATTGGTAGAACGGTGACTGTTCAAATTGGCCAACCGTTGAAAATTTCTTTCTGTTCTAACGGATAGCCCGTTGAAATTGTTGTTCTCAGTTCCTATTTCGTGCTGCAGGCACGCCTCGAGCCGGGTTGACGTGCATATTTGTTTACATCACGTCCTAATTAGGCAATAGCTTTTCCCGAAAAGTGCTGTGGTGTCTGGTCGAGCAGTAAGAATGTTCTGCTAAAATGAAGCACTGTTCTCAGCGTCTGAAACAAAGTGACTGGGGTTAGTTGGCGCAGAGCTCCGCCCTGTAGGCGATTTATTTCTTTGTTGCCCAATTGATGTCTTAATCTTGATCTACCGTTGCAAGTGGAATTCGTTTACACATCCAACTCAGGAAATCTGGGCCTGGAGAGTGAAAGAATAGGCTTAGCTTATTCAGTAAATAGGTGCCGATCACCCCATTGGGCATTTCACGGTTCAAAATGATGCGTTTATGCGAGCTTGGTAAATGGCTTAGTCGCTGTTCATGGAATTGTGGAGGGTATTAATGTTTTTACGACTTCGGCATGCAAAAACTTCGACGGATGTCCGGAAAACATGCTGCTACCATACCCCATGTGGCAATAAACCAAGGAGTTGTGCATCTTAGTTTATCACCACAGGTGGACTCTGCCGGTTTAGGTGGAAAGTGATTTTTCACAAGATGTCAAATGGGGAAAAAGTGATCTCTTCAGGTGTCAGCGTCAGTACACACAAACGCAGACAAGAAACTATCGATGTGGGTATAAATAGTTACGAGATACCTTCAGTAAACTTGTGAGTTGACGCTACCTTTTTGTATCTTCAAAATTAGATCAACATCTATCTATCTATCTTTCAATCTATCTCCATGTCGGAAACTGAAGTAGTGGTCAAACACCGCTCCAAGTCTATCCAACATATCAAGTCGTTTCCCCTTGTCAAACAAGCCCATGGGTTCGTTGTAAAACTCCCAGCGACACGGGTTATTGTGGCCAACACAAAACCAGTTTACAAGGTTGTTGTAAACTCAAAGCCCGCTCAGTGGGTTGCCCCTGTCACCAGAGCAGTTGACAACCTAGCAGACAAAGGCTTGGAAACTACCGAAAACCTGGTACCATGCTTAAAGACTAAGACGTATGGTGATCTTTACGAAGATGCGGCGGCACCATTTGTGTGTACAAGAAACACGGTTGTGAAGGTTGCAACTGCAGCTATTGATGCGGCTGACAACTACGTCTATGAGCCTACTCATCAACAGGTCATCAAATTTAGAAAATTCTACAATGCCAAGATCTATGACACGCATGGAAAGCCGTTGCTAAGAAGTTCGCTTGACCCACTCGTTGCACCTTACAACAAGAAACTAGAGGAATTGACAAAACACCGTTACCCAGAGGGCGAAGATGTCCCTACCAGCGGATACAGCAGCGAAATATCGCGTACTTTGGCTTTGACTCATAATCTGTTGCATCGGATGTCACCAGTGGCTCAGACAAGACTGGTTAATTTTGTATTGTTGCCATGCAGATATACACAGCATGTAAACGACGTTTTCAACGAAAACCTGGACAAGCAGGAGAGTTTGAGCGTGACCAACTCTTGGACTGCATCCATCGGTGCCATCTCAGTCTTGCACAAGGAAAGTATTGAATACGTGAAAAGGGTTAGAGGGAAAGCTCATAAAACCATTCACGAAAGTGAAGTCACAGTGGCAGCTGTCTGACAACTGAAAATAACCGAAAAATGGGGTGGGTTTTGACAGGATAAAAATCCCGAACCCGAGTCTAATTAAGCGCTTCTATTTTCCGTGCCTTTCCGGAAATGATGAACGATTAGCACGCATCGAACTGGATCGTCGGTGCTACTTTAAACATATGCACAAAAAACTATATATATATAATGACATATTCGTCTGGAGACAGTGTTTGGCGGAGTTAAGCTGACGTTACTGTGACAGCAAACGAAACTTGTGTCGGTAACAGAGTACTTGATTAAGAACTGACGAGAAGGGTCACCTTAAAGAACAAATTCGATTGTTAAAGCCAATGGATCAATTGAAGCCATCTCCAAGTAGATGAGCGGAGCTGCCTCTAATATCAAATTATACATCTCTTGTGACTTCTCCCACCCGTACACCACAGGTAGTCATTTCATTTTGTATAAAATGAAAAATGAAAAATCTGAAAAATATAACTGGAAACATTTTTGCGTGGGTCTAAATGTTGCGTGGACTTCGTTATCCCGTTTTGTATCATAGTAAAGGCCGCCTCACCTTGCCCAGCCCAAACTCTAGCGAGCTAGCCCCTCTGTCTCTGCCTAGCCTAGAGCCCAGACCGGGATGCACCTCAGCATAACGCAGCGGAGACCTCCCAGTAAATTCCTTTCGAGTCTAGCCAGAGCCCTGCCTAGTTTCTGTCTAGACCGGTTGGAATCACCTCGGTACGCGGACACTACCAGAACTTTTAGAAAAGTGATATTTCATTGACCTTCAGGTAAACCGCTGTTCGTCGAAGTGCTAAGGCTAAGGAATCAACCGTGAATCAAAGAGTATGTGGATGAATGAACAAACAAGTGGAACGAGAGATGAATGATGCGAGTGCGGAAAGAATAAATTGAATGCGCCTACCGTGGTCTTTATGCGGTCAAAACTGGGATGTTGCACCAATATGAAAAGTGCGGAACGATTAGGTGACTTAAAAAAGAACGAAACAGGAAGCTTTGCATCTTGCAGGATTGAACAGTTGCAAGCTTTTTAGCCGAGCTGCCATTTCAGGGAGGCCATTCAACATTTTACCAGCTAGGTGTATCGGCCCTCAGTTGGACTAGAAACACGCTCTCATTTGTCATTTCATTTACCAAATTCGTTTATACTAACATGAATTACTGTGCAGTGGCTCGTTTGAATGAATACCAGGTCATTGGCCGTAACTTGCCAACTGAATCCGTTCCTGAACCAAAGTTGTTCAGAATGAGAATTTTCGCTCCAAACGTGGTTGTTGCCAAGTCTCGTTACTGGTACTTTTTGCAGAGACTCCACAAGGTCAAGAAGGCCTCTGGTGAGATTGTCTCTGTCAACTCCATCCACGAGTCCCACCCAACCACCGTCAAGAACTTTGCCGTGTGGGTTAGATACGACTCCAGATCAGGTACTCACAACATGTACAAGGAAATCAGAGACGTTTCCAGAGTTGCCGCTATCCAATCCTTGTACCAGGACATGGCTGCCAGACACAGAGCCAGATTTAGATCGATCCACATCTTGAAGATCGCCGAGATCGAGAAGACCGCTGACGTCAAGAGACAATACGTCAAGCAGTTCTTGACCAAGGACTTGAAATTCCCATTGCCACACAGAGTTGAGAAGTCTACCAAGACTTTCGCTTACAAGAGACCTTCCACCTTTTACTAAGCGTACTTCAAACCCTGAAAAAGAGTGGTTCGGCATAACAATTTAAAGGGCCCCTCCGAGGATGTATAATCTGTAGAATTTTATTTTAAAATTGTTTCAAATAAGATAGCAGCATGCGGAGCAAGAAGACAGGGCTAGAGGTATTCAATGTCAGCATAGTTTCTAGTTGTCAAAAGCTTAAATAGAAGGTATGGGCCACGTACTCATGAATGTACTCGTCAGCACTCTAGCGTCACGACTCCACATGTGGCCAGAGTACTCGCACGAACGCTTAAAAAACATGTAGAAAATAGTCATAAGAGTAATCCCTACTTTTTCAAGGACGAACAAGTAGGAATATTCTTCAAAAGTCGTGAGTGAGCTTCGAACGACATCGTCGTAGCTAGTGATTGTCTCAGCTTTTTCCAAAGTTGAGAGTTTATGACATCAAAAACGCATGAAGTTTCTACAGCATAAATCGCGGCAAAGGGTGTAGTTTTACCATGCTCTATAGTTGTTCTTCACAATCATCTCTTTGCATTCTAATTCATCCTCGAAATCATTTACAATTTCACATGATGCAGCGATATCCATCACGATATACGATACCGTCTAATAATTAAATCGAACATCATCAACTGTCTATCGGTAAACTTGTCAAAATCCATCACTCATCGATCTGGAATCTGGCTAGTTGCATCTCGGTCGCTACATTCCTCTTAGCGGGATCTGTTCTACCTTCAGCATATGGTAGATTTACAAGCCACCAGTGGAGGAGAGACCTCTCACACTTCGGGGCTGACGCACAGATCTGGCAATGTTGCTAGATCAAATTCAAATTCAAATCCAAATCCAAATTCGAAATCTGACGGTAAACTCGGGGCTGTAGCCACTCAGGATGAAGGTTCTAATAGCGACATACACCTTCCGCTCACAACTATACATCTGAAGAGCCACGAGTGGTTTGGAGACTTCATTACGAAGCACGAGGTGCCTAGAAAGACGCTTCATTCTTCGATCGGGTTTATAACGCTGTATCTGTACACGACAGGATTGGATTACCGGAAGGTAAGAAATCCGCTTGTGGTGGCATTTTTGAGCATTTTCACGTTGGATCTGATTCGGTTAAGATGGACAGCTTTCAATAAACTGTATTGCAAATTTGTGGGTGCGCTGATGCGGAAACGAGAGATCCATACCTACAACGGTGTTCTTTGGTACCTTTTGGGTCTGATTTTTGCATTCAGTTTTTTCCCCAAAGACGTGGCTCTTATCTCGCTTTTCTTGCTGAGTTGGTCAGACACGGCAGCGTCCACATTTGGACGCAAATTTGGCCATCTGACGCCCAAGCTCGCTCGTAACAAATCACTGGCAGGGTCCATTGCTGCGTTTGTCGTGGGGGTTTCTGTCTGCTATGGGTTTTACGGCATTGTGGTCCCTCATTACGCGTACGTGGACTCGCCTGGAGAAATAAGCTGGTCCGCCGAGACAAGCAAACTAACGCTCGGACAATTTTCCGTTTTGAGCGGGGTTTTGGCGGCTTTCAGTGAGGGCATTGATCCTTTCAACTGGGACGACAATTTTACTATTCCTGCATTATCTGCTGTATTCATGCACACGGCTATTCGTCTAACCAAAAAGACCACTTAAATAGAGATCTGGCAGAGCAACTAAGTATATAGATTTCAAAGAGAAAATGATAAATTTCTGATTGTGGAGGAGGTGAAGGAGTTGCGAACACGGGGATGTTTACCAAAATCAATGTCACGGTGAGTGTCAAAGACAAAAAAACATGTTGTGACACCTCACATAGGATAAACCTCAAGCACTGTTAAATATCAAAGATTTATATGAATCGAACTAGAAATAACTTGCACTGTGGAGATTGTAATGGGCTTGGTTATGCTGAATATTCGTTGATGACACAACCGTATCAAGCGACCAGAACATAAACTTCGAAAAATGTATGTCCCGACACCTATTCTAACGTTGAGTAAGCCCCTGGTTCACGTCCAGAACAATACCTTGAGCAACAACAAGTTTATATCGAACTTTAGTCCAAACTAAAATAACTCTGCGTACCAAAATGACAGGCGGTTTGTTACGCTAGTGCTGCCAAAAGACACCCTAAAGGAACCAAAATTTGCCACTGCTTTTTATGTCCATGTCCCACCTTATTCTCATGCTTTCAACTCAACTTCTACTTTAAAATTCCAGCACTGTCGTCGCTATTTTACTGACGCTGGATTTTCCTTTTTTCAGTCTTGAAAAATTTTAGCTATGCTGAAATTTGACCAAGGTCATCGGATGGAAAACTTTTCGACAAATTAGTATCCCATCGCATAACTAAATCAGTTGCAAACATAGGGAATCAATCCATTTGATCTGGTCTTGAAGCTTAACGTCCATACTTGTATTATACATAAGCTATAAGGCGAGTTTTGTGGCATTTTCCGGGTTAAAATCGAGTTAGTATAAGAGCTTTTCTGGTTGATTTTTTATAGCATATTCGAGATGGCATACGTTTTGACAGAGACCTCTGCCGGTTATGCCCTTTTGAAGGCTTCAGACAAGAAGATCTACAAGTCTTCGTCGCTGATTCAGGACCTGAATACTTCTGACAAAGTTTTGAAGCAGTTCAAAGTGGCCGCTTTTTCGAAATTCGGTTCTGCTGCTGAGGCTCTACAGGAAGCCAACAGTATCGTGGAAGGCAAAGTATCAAATCAATTGCAGAAACTTTTGGATGAGAGCAAGGCCGACAAAAAGGCGACTTTGGTCGTTTCTGAGACCAAATTGGCCAACGCCATCAACAAATTGGGTCTAAACTTCAACGTTGTGTCCGATGCCGTCACTTTGGACATTTTCAGAGCCGTCAAGGAGTACTTGCCCGAGCTTCTACCAGGCATGAACGATTCAGACATGTCCAAGATGTCTCTAGGTCTTGCCCACTCGATCGGCCGTCACAAGCTCAAGTTTTCTGCCGACAAAGTCGACGTCATGATCATTCAGGCCATTGCGCTTCTTGATGACTTGGACAAAGAGCTCAACACCTACGCCATGAGATGCAAGGAATGGTACGGCTGGCACTTCCCAGAATTGGCCAAGATTGTGACCGATTCTGTTGCGTACGCGCGTTTGATTTTGGCCATGGGTGTCAGATCCAACTGTGCTGAGACTGACCTCACCGAAATTCTTCCAGAAGAAATCGAAGAGCGTGTCAAGGCTGCTGCCGAAATTTCCATGGGTACTGAAATCACGCCTGTCGATTTGGACAACATCAAGTGCCTAGCCACTCAGATCACCGAGTTTGCTGCTTACAGAGAACAACTGTCCAACTACTTGTCTGCTAGAATGAAGGCCATTGCGCCAAATTTGACACAGCTTGTTGGAGAATTGGTTGGAGCTAGATTGATCGCTCACTCCGGTTCTCTTATCTCCCTTGCCAAGTCTCCTGCCTCTACGATCCAAATTCTAGGTGCCGAGAAGGCTTTGTTCAGAGCGCTAAAGACCAAGCACGACACACCTAAATATGGTCTTCTATACCATGCATCCTTGGTTGGACAAGCCACTGGTAAGAACAAGGGTAAGATCGCTAGAGTTCTAGCTGCCAAGGCGGCTGTTTCTCTGCGTTATGACGCTTTGGCCGAGGACAGAGACGATTCTGGTGACGTTGGTTTGGAAGCCAGATCAAAGGTGGAGAGCAGACTATCGCAAATTGAAGGTAGAGACTTGAGAACCACTCCAAAGGTGGTCCGTGAAGCCAAGAAGGTGGAAATCACAGAAGCCAGAGCCTACAACGCCGATGCAGACACTGCCACCGATGCAGCTCAGGCATCTGTTGATTCTGACGAAGAAGACTCCGATGCTGAAGTAGAGACCGAAGTAAAGGAGAAGAAAGAAAAGAAGGACAAGAAGGAGAAGAAGGAGAAGAAGGAAAAGAAGGACAAGAAAGACAAGAAGAGAAAGAGAGATGACGAGGCCGCAACCGACGACAAGGAGTCCAAAAAGTCCAAGAAAGACAAAAAGGACAAAAAAGACAAAAAGTCCAAAAAGGACAAGAAATAAGAAATTTCTTGATTCCTAAAGAATCCCAGCGAAAAACATAAACAAAACAAATAACGGCAGGACAGAGGGTAGACCAGTCATTCCTGAATCATCACAAAAGCCTCTCTTCTCACCACCAGTCATCATTAATTGTGTTTTTCTGTCATACATGTAAATTAGTTATTTAGACCGCGATTGGTGCTACGTACATTAATCCATCGAACCTTAGTTGCGGAGATTCGAGCAAATCCTCTACATATCTTCAGATACTTACGCGGTTTCAATTTGACGCCCTTTAGGTGATGATTGTTCTGATTCAGGTCTATTCAAGTATATTTCATTAACATCATTTACTTTGATGACTTGATGACGGAAAACTATAGTCAAATTGAAAAAAGTTCCATTTCTGAGTGTAAGAAAGAAAGTTAGAAGAATAGATCATTGGTGAGCAACAAGCAATGGGTAACTATGAATCTCTTTCAGTTGAAGAAACTAACAAGTTGCGGATTTCGATTGGGCTCAAACCCATCGAATTACCAGAAAGAAATAAGGCAGAACCAGCTGTTCAGCCAAAGGACGCCGATGAGGTAGAGAATAAGTTAAATCATGACAAAACCGCAAGTATAGACCCGAAAATCTCGAGACTGCGATCGAACTTGCAGAGAGCAAAATCGAAATCCCAGGTAAATACCGTTTTAGACGGTGTTACCGACGATGACAGCGTTGATTGGATTGCTAATGTGAAATTGAAGAAAAGGCCAGGACGTTCAACGACGTTGAATAAAGACTATTTTGAGGAAAAAGAAGAACCGGAAGATCCGGAGACCTCCAGGAAAAATGAAAATGGATCTCGCACACGAGTTACTGGTCAGATTTCAGAGTTAGTGCCTGGAAAAGATGTAATCCTGACACTTAAAGAATCGGAACTGGGCGAGGAGGAGATCGAAGATACACTGGTGAATGAGGGACTGGCACACGACCAAGAACAAGCCAATAATATGCGGCTTAAAAGAATGAACCAGGATCGAAAACGTCGTAAAATCACCATTGGAAAAGGTAGTATGAAGGAAGATGACGATGAGAACCAAGAGGAAGCTGAGATTTACTTGGTGAACGGCAGGATCGTGGGGCAAGCTCCAGATGAACAGCCTCCTACTCAAAGAAGAGATGACAAGAGAGTGGATGTGGCATCGATTTCGGACAACGCAGAGGAAAGTGCTGAAGAAGCATCCGACTTCGCGGCTGTCAAAATAAAGAAACGTAAAAAACTCAACAACAGTGGCGTGTCCAGCAGAAGATCAAGACCTACAGACTTTGTAGCTCCTAAAGTTGCATTGATTGATGAAGACAGTGTGGACCCAGCTGAAGATGAGTTACAGAACCTTTTGAAGGTCCGGAAAAAGACAAATCTCAGGAGCCATAATGAAAGTCTCAAGACACCAGAACAGATTGCCAAGGAAGTGGAGCTAGAGAAGAAAGAGAGAGCATCACGCGTTCAAAACCTCAATTATCTCCGCGGTATCACCATAGATGAGAACAGTGCATTTCTTTCAAGTCTCAAGGGTGATCAGCCCGCTGACCAAACGAGCGTTTCTGAGCACTCGTCGTCGTTCCAGCCCGTAAATTTAAAAGTAACAGCAGTCGAACCTCCTCACCAACTTAAACAGGAAGATCAGGAAAACACGAGTGGTGTTGAAGAAATCCAAGAGCAAGTGTCCGGGGCCAGTTTTGAAGGCGGTCTGGCGGCAACTTTGGGCTTTTTACGAAATCGTAACGTGATTCCAGCACAACCATCGGGTGACGCGGTGGCTAATAGCATTTCTTCACGGACCGCGGACCTCGTTGCATATCAGCAGCAGCAGGAAGCGCAAAACGTTCGCAGCCGGTTTGCAAATGAATTAGCGAAAGGTAGCGTTCGGTACAGCAAGGAGGAGTTGGAGAGTCTTCAGAAGCTGCAAGAACAAGAGATCAACGATCGCAACAAAACTCTACAGAGACAACGACTCGCGGCGTACAATCCGGAAGTGAATTTAACATACAAAGACAATGCTGGCAATGTGCTCACTACGAAAGAGGCGTACAAGAAACTTTCGCAGGCTTTTCATGGCACCCGCTCAAATAGTAAAAAGTTAGCAAAGGCGCGACAAAAGGTCCAAGACAGGAACAGACATTCAGATAGCTATGTATGATAAAGAAGGGCACAGTCGGGAATATGGACGGTGATGGGTCCTTTGAGGTCTATAATGGTGCTATCGCTAATTTCATACATCGAAAAAAAAAACAAATGTGGACGAGACCGGAGTCGAACCGATGACCTCTCCCATGCTAAGGGAGCGCGCTACCAACTACGCCACACGCCCGTATGTTTTTGATGATCTACAAGGAACAATATATGCTTATAAATACTTAACAAGAGCACGCTCAACTTGCCAATCAAATCACCTCCTACTCAAAGTCAGTTAGACTCACACCAAATACTAACAGATCTTAGCCCATAGTTGATTGATTAACTGAAACGAGTTTATTAAGCGATTCTCTTCCAGCTCATACTTAATTATTGAATAGTATATTGTATCACATATGACGAGAATGTTATATAGTAGGGGTCCCATACAATCTCGTGACGAGTGAAAAATTATATAGTTTTTTCGCTATAGAAAACAAACAATGGTTCTAATTTTGTTGTGAAGTCATCAAGCTCATCAAATATCACAATAGCTCACTAATTCCAGTCGTTAGGCTCTCTGACTTGATTTCCAAAGGACAACAGCCTTGTCAGCTTATCCAGCCAAAAAAAAGCGTTCCAAAAGCTCTCTTTTTTAGCAAGTTGGCGTTAGAATTTTGAACAAGAGCTAGCTTTGAGATTTGCAAGGTATCTAGCATTTGATACCGTTGAAATAAAGACTCGGTGTCCGAATCTCCAAGCTTAACTACCACTTCCAACCCGTATTTTCGTGTTGTTCAGGTAAAAGAAAAAAATCATAGAAAACCTCCCCACGTTCGCTTTCAAAGCTGTCTTTTTGTCATTCGCTAACACTTTTATTCTGAGACACACACCGTCGTATTCAAAACTTAACGTACTGATACTTGTTTTAGAAATACCATGATCACTACGCAAAGTACCACTCAAAACACAACTACAAAAAGACGCAACTCTTTGCATACGAATCTATTCGACCCGCAACTTTTCCAGGTCCCTGGGGCCCCTGTACAACTCCAACCTCAAGCTCATTTCCGAACCCCCAGTTCGGTCGAAGCTCACCGTTCTGGTCCCGTGCAGCATGGTGCTTTTGCAAAACTAGCGTCTAGTGTTCCAGAAGACGTGAGGGGATATTTACCAGTCGTAAATGTCAAAATCACGGCGTTGTGCTGCGTCTGGTACGTCACATCTTCCGTTTCCAGCAACCTTTCAAAAGCTATTTTGAGTGATTTTCCCCACCCTGTGGCCCTCACAGAACTTCAATTTTTCATCAGCGCAGTGCTGTGTGTGCTGTTTGTTACAATAGCCAATCAACTCAGCTCTGAGACTCAAAAGGCAGGTCCTTTGTCTCGGGCTGTGCTTTCTTTTCCAGAAGGCATAATACCCAGCTATGTGAACGGCGACTTTAAGCTATGCGTGGTAAACAAGTTTTTAAAGCCATGCAAGTTGGCTCTGGCAGCGACTTTCCCAATGGGTATTTTCCAGCTGGTGGGCCACATCAGCTCCCATGAATCCACCTCACTCATTCCAGTTTCCTTTGTTCATTCAGTAAAGGCTCTTTCGCCAATAATGACTGTCTGCTATTACAGGTTTTTCAAGGGAAAGCAGTACAATATGATGACATATCTCACACTAATACCCTTAATAAGTGGGGTTATCACCACTTGTTGGTCAACGCATGGTAGTCCAAAGAAAAGTGAAGTTATCAACGAGAATCAATTCGTCAAGGGCATCTTGTTCGCTCTTTTGTCGATGATGATATTTGTTTACCAAAACATCTTCGCTAAGGGTATCTTGACTGTTAAGAAACAGCGGGGTATTTTGCCATCAAAATCCGAAAAGCAAGCTTTCCACAACGAAAAAGAGTACTCGCCATTGCAAATTGACAAGCTCACCATCCTCTTTTACTGTTCGTGCATTGGCTTTATTTTGACTTTGCCCATTTTCATTTCGAACGAGCTTTTCAACAAAAGCTCTACGCAAAGTGTTTTCAACGACTTGACGGGCAGAGCATTGCTTTTGGTATGGATCCATGGCTGTACACATTTCCTTCAGGCTATGCTTGCGTTCCAGCTAGTTGGGATGCTAAGTCCTGTCAACTATTCCATCGCCAATATCATGAAGCGTATTGTGATCATCGCGGTTGCACTTACTTGGGAGTCGCGCTTTTCTTTCCAGCAGGTTTTTGGCCTATCACTAACAATCTTGGGCCTTTATGGCTACGACAAGTGGGGCCTCACCATGAAATGATAACATATTTAAAGTTATACTAATGTATTTGTTGCGCTTCTCGACTAGTTCGCGCTTTCGAAACCGTAGTGCAACGAAGAATCAGGTTTTTTCGCACCGGGCTACTCACACATCATTAAGTTAACTATTTCGAAAACACTGTCTATCAACTCGAAATTCTATCTTATCAATGCTTCTGGTTGTGTCCTTTTGATTAGTGCTTGGCAGCTGGTGTTTCGCCCGTTAGTTTGCCGACGAGTTCTCTGGCCATGTCACCGAAGCCGACCATGAAAACGGTTTGCCAGATACCTAGACAAATTCTTGGGGCCACACCACGGTATAGACCCTGAATGCCACTGGTTTTGTAAATGTAAGAGAAAGCAGATCCAACGGTCAGTTTCTTTGGTCTGTTTGGATCATCTTTCTTGGATTGCATTTCCACTCTGATAACTTCAATAGGTTGGTTCCAAGCACTCAAACCACCACCGATAGCCGAAGCCAAGATTTTCTCCATGGCAGTGAGCTTTTCATCCGTATTGGTTTTCCCGGTAACGTTTCTAATACCTTCTTCTACCAATCTCGAAAAACCGAAACGGGAACCCCAGTTGGTCATCTGTCTAATAGCCACTGCATTGACACCCTTGTTGATACCTCTGATACCCTCTTTGTTGTAGATTTGTTTGAAAGCAGACCAAGAAGATTGAGGAACTGCGCCAGCAACAGCCGATTTGGCCTTGGTGATTTCCACAGTTTTCATGCATGTGCAGAAACCCATAGTCAAATAAGCCTGGGCAACACCACCGGACACACCACCCATGATACCAGCACCAAAGTTACCCAAACCTGCTCTTTTGAATTGATATTCGGCCTCAGCAGAAACGAACAGTAAAGCAGCACCTTTAGTAGACGCTTCGATCCAAGCCCATGGAATTAAACCCTGGTAAAAACCAAATACACCACCACGAGACCAGATGTGTTTGACAGACTGTAAGAAATTCAGGTTACGATTAGCAGCCATGGTCGTCTTGATAACTTCAAGAGGTTGACCCAACGTCGTAACCTCGCAAAGGTTCAACGCTGAGCCCAACAAGATGTTGGAAAAAGAAATGGGCTTCTTCTTCAATTCCGCTGGTTGCTGTGGAGTGATAGACATTACTGCTGCCGGGTTGGAAACTGATAGATGCTTGTTTGACTGAATATTTTAGAGATCCAAGATCGCTATCAAGCGATATCTTTTTTATAGTATGGGCAATTTCGTCCAAAATTTTTCAATATTATGAGAACTGAACCAGATCTTTAAACCCGGGAATTTGATTAAAACGAATTGTTTTAAAACTTGAAGAATAGTTTTGGATAGTATGGATAATATCAGTATATAGCGAAGCATTTTCGCTTTCTAATGGTACTTTTTTGTCTTTTTTAGACCAAAATTCGTTGAGTTACGTGAAGTGTCAGTAAAACATCTTATTCGGGATGAATAACATCAATGATAGGATAAAGTCCGGAGCTGACGAGCTCGGTTAAGTAGTGTTGATGATGAAACATGAAGCGGTTCTGTGAACGAGTGGATTTCATTTCTGATAGTTTCGGCTAACGAGTATGACATCATTTTGTATTCGCTCACGTAGCCCGATTGTACTGTCGAAACTTGAGCCAATGAGATACCCCACAGCCTTCCAAGAGACCTGCAGCATATGCGTTTTCATAGTAGTTTTGTAGCTTCCCGGAGTTTTCCACGTCGTACCATCCTTGGTGTGGTTTTAACATTTCGACCCGCGTGTAGATCAACGGGATCGCCAAACCGTTCATGACATTCAGCCCATCTCGTGTTAAAAAATTGGGCGATGCGAGCACCAGCATGTACTGGTTTCTTTTATTGCCAGGCACCGCAGACGAAAATGCACCCATTGTTTCGCGAACCTCTTTCCCCGTAATCTTCGCGCTGCTGAAGGCTTTGCATTGAACTAGTACGTTCAAGGGCTTGAACGGTTTGTTGGGAGTCCCCAGTCTGTGTATAATAGGCTTGAATTGGGCTCCACAAACGCTTACTTTTTTGGCGACTAAAACACTGCTGGATTTGTCTTTGTTCGCATTGTAGATTCTGTCCAACGGCCAAGTCCCACGAATATCAATTCCAGCGTCGTACGACCCTCCGCAAATTTCGAGCTGCTTCATTGACAGTTTTTCAGCCAGTTCTCTGGCTACTGTGTGTTCGTACAAACTTCCTTGGTATACAGTTGAGCCTGCAATGGCTTCATTTTCCTTCAAAAACTTCCGAATCGCGGAATTGTGGTTACTTCTCGTCCATACGCGCTGACTCCAAGTACAGGGTCTAAACATGCTAAATATCGTCATTCTCGACTGATCGGTGCAGGAAGCTGTAAAACTTTCAAGATGCTACGTGAGCATGCAACTATAGATTATATATGCGATTTCTGAAAGACTCCGAAGAATATCTGCGAGAAGAAATCATTATATCAGTCTAAACCCACCAGACTTGGTACCAGTCTTATGTCCACGATGACATGGCTCAATAGAATTAATATATTGAGTCCCGCAGGTTAGAATCAAGAAACGACATACAGACAACGTATGCGAACCAAACAAGAAATGTTATGGAAATCATAATGAGTGTTCAGTAAGACTCGAGCACTTTAGCCTCTCATCCTGAATAGTACGTTTCGCAAACTTTCTCACGTATCGGATAGCGTTGGACATACATCCCCAAAAAAACTAAACTGATTTACACTTCTTTCAAGCCCAATTCGAGGAAATGATAACAGAAAGGCGTTGAACCCCACACTTGAGCTTAAAAGTGCTGTTTGCCACTCCTCTGTACGTTATTCTGCTGTCTGCCAACGCTGTCGCCAGACCAGCTCACTCAACACGAACGTCATCCATTTCTGTCCGGTACTAATATATAACACATCAAATGGAAAGACAACCGACTAAACTGTCAAGAGTCTTGATTCCTCACCACTTTGATGTTCATTCTGGACTAACCTTAACAATTGCGAGGTAAATGCCATCTTTAAACGAGTCTGAAAAGTCCAGGAACACCGCTAGTGAATCAAAAACCGAAAATGGCGAACAAACAGTCACGGTTTTCGATTTGGCAACGGAAATTGAACAATCGTTGCAACAAGTGATAGAAGACGTGAAGGGCAACGATCGTGAGTTTCAAGAACAGTTTGAATCCATACAAAAGCGGTTAAAAAGTTTTGGAAAATAAAACCGTCCCATATTTAACAAAGACTATTTTGACAATTTAAAGTCGTAAGACCTCATAGAACACCTTCAAATGATCACAAATTGAAACGGTGCCCTAGTGGTTACCGAAATAGCGCATTCACGAGCTAATCCTGGCAATCCAATGGCATTTTGAGCCTTACCTTCGGTGAAGCCTTCTAGCAAGGTTCGTCAATAGTTACGGCTTTTTCTAAGTAAATTTGAAATTGACCGATGCGATGCCCTAAGATCTTGAGGAAGTGCTGGATATTCTTCTTCGCTGAACACAACTTTTTGGGTTTCGAGCGCTTGATTTCAACGAATGGCCGCGTCCAACAAGACGAAACGTAAGCAAAAGTCAAAGAAGTCTTCAAACACTGCCAAAAATGGTGATTCTAGACGGGAATTGTTGGAATTTGTTGGTCAATTAAAGGCCAAGAGGAATTTAAATAACACAGTTGCCAACCAACCAGCCATCCTTGAAGCTGTTCACAATGATTCTGCTGCCGATCCTGAGCATTTCAAATCGGTCTTCGCCAAATTTCAGCCACCGAAGGTAATTGAAGATCATGATATTGAGTCTACTACTCCTATTGGCATTCGAACTCTGGAAGTTTTGGAAGCAGATGAACCTGAAGAAAAGAGCCTGGTAGATACAGGCGATACTTCTCAGCCTTCACAACAAGCGCCTCAGCTTTCGAACCGCAAACAACGTCGTCTCGCCAAAATCTCTTTGGCAGAGTTGAAATCTAAGGTATTATATCCGGAGCTCGTTCAGTGGTACGATTGTGACGCCGCTAATCCGGTCCTATTGGCCCAAATAAAATCCTCAAAAAATGTCGTGCAAGTACCGAATCATTGGCAGCTCAAGAGGGAATATCTATCAGGAAGATCGGTAACCGCGAAAAAACCGTTTGAGCTGCCTTCAATCATCCGTCAGACGAACATAGAGGAAATGCGCAACACATTGCCTACCCAGGGCGCCACTGAAGAACAGTCGTTGAAAGAAAACGCTCGGGCTCGGATACGACCAAAGCTAGGCAGTTTAGATCTTGACTATCGAAAACTCCATGACGCTTTTTTTAAGATTGGAAGAACGTGGAAGCCGGATTACATGCTACGTTACGGTGATATGTATTATGAAAATCGTAATCTGCAAGAAGAAAGTGGGTGGAAGCAAATGGAGAAGAATTTACGGCCGGGGAAGCTAAGTAAAGAGCTGAGGATTGCTATGGGACTACCAGAGGGTAAACTCCCGCCTTGGTGTGCCAAATTCAATGAGCTCGGTATGCCCCCTTCCTATCCTGATTATAAAGTTGCTGGTGTTAATTGGGATATCACGAACCTTCATGACAACGTCTACGGAGTGCTAGGTGCGGAGCAAAAAATCCACTCAGACCCTCCATTATTTGGGCAGATGATTCAACTGGATGATGAAATCGAAAGCAGCGAGGAGACTGGAGCTTCTTCGGCGCACAACCCCTCACCCAATGGTAAGAATGACAAAGATGCCACTGAGCTTGAAAGGTCTGCTGAAAAGGACAAGAGAATAGAAGATGAGGTACGCGCTAGAACCATGGGGGAGTTACTCAAGCGCAGAAACCAGGAAAAGCTTTCACAGGAAGGTCAAGAAAAACCAAGAAAACTATATTCTGTCATACATCAGAAAGATACCGCAGCGGAGTCTGAGCTTACTGGAACAAGCATTGCATATGATTTAGACAAATCGAGAGAGGATCAGGCACCATCTCAAGCTGGGGCAGTAGAAAAAATCCCGGTACAGTCTCATAAAAGTGAACAGGGTTCGACCAAGCAGGAAGAATCAAAAACCTTCAAATTTTGAAAATTGTGAAGTAGTATCCACGATCATCGACAATTGTGACGAGACCCAATACATATTTTGATGTTTCAAAACACAGCGCAATCGTAGCTGTACTAAAGAAGACCTAGAATATTGGACCCCTGCCAGATTTACGGCTGACGTCGCGTTTCAACCTAGAGTATCTGTCAGCATGACCGATTAATTTAAAGTGACGACGTGAAAAATTATGCAAAGTATCCAGGACAGGAGCGTACGCCCTACCAATGAATGGTAGCATATGTTCTAGTCCAATTGGAAAGGGCTAAAACGAGGCAGGCTTGAGAGGAACTGGGCAATGCGACAGATTTTCTCAATTTCATGATAAAACGTTCGAAAAGAAAATGATGTAAGCTTTCACAGCTAACGCTGGCGAGGAAAGCCACTGATACTTTCAATACCTCCGATCATACTCTGAAAGAAATAATCAGAGCAAGGACATACACTACTGGCTCCTTTTGGGCCATATCTGACCGATGTCAGATTTTTTGGTTACACTTCTCGTATATAGTGCCTGTCGAGCTAGCGTAATGAAAACCTTCAAATGCACGAGCTCATCGCCTATCCCATCTGTTTTAAAGACAACTAAAGTGAAGCCAGGACACCTCATTAGCACTCCAAAAAATGTCTGAGTTTGACGGCGTCGAACAGACAAGGTTAAAAAACCCTGGTGAGAACTCTGGCGATAATAGGCGGAATGCTTACAGCATTCATAAAGGAGACCAAGAAAAGATGGGACCCACAGCTGTTTATCAGTATTCCCAAGTTTTACAATTAGAGCACGCTGTCACTAACTTTCTGGAGTATTTCAATAAGATCATACAGCTGTCTCCAAACTACAAAGTGTATTTGGAAAATGTTGATACGCTGCAAGACACGAGTGTTGAGATACTGCCCGCGATGTTGAGGCATAAACTCAAGTGCGCAGCAGAATTGGCATCTTTGAATGAGCTAGGCAAACTACCTCTTCTGGATGAACTCAATAGCTACGAAGATAAGTTTTCGAGTGAAGATAGAAAGCCAGTTTTGAAAGAGCTTAGGGAAAAGGATATCAAGAAGCTCTCTGCTTCGGTCAATAACGAAATGGTTCAACATTGGAGTGAAGTTTCCAAAAAATCCCAGGAGGATCAAGAAGAAGAAGACGACGAAGAAGAGGATGGATATGAACCTGATGAGACCAAGAAAAAATGGCCTCCAAAATTACCAGAAATCAAAAACTCCGCCATCAAAGCTCGCGTATTCATCCATAAATCTATTATCAACGACAAACTTTACTTATCCGAACATGACATGATCAAGGCTCACAACGAACGTTTGGAATTTCTTGGTGACTCTATCTTGAATACAACCATAACCATGATCCTTTATAATAAGTTTCCACATCTCAGTGAAGGGCAACTGTCTAAGCTCAGAATGAAGCTTATTAGTAACGAGCGCCTAAAAAGGTGGTCCTTCCTGTACAAATTTAACGAAAAGCTAAGGACGAACATAGACAAGAATTGCGAAACAAGTGAATTCAAGCAGGGCAAACAGAAGCTGTACGCCGATGTGTTTGAAGCCTACATAGGTGGTCTGCTGGAAGATGACCCCAAGCACAACTTGCCCAGAGTACGGAAGTGGTTGAGTAAACTTGCCATGCCTGTTATAGAAGACGAAATCAAAAAGGACGATGACATGGATCTTTTGGAAGTTGACGTCAACGCCAAAAAAACTCTCTACTCTTTAATCGGATATGCCGCTCTGAACCTGCATTACAAGCCCGTCCAAAAACCCTCATTTGAAAACCCGGTAGCGATGGTTGAATGTCGAATCAAAGATGGAACCCTTCTAGGGGTAGGCAAAGGCAGAAACATTAAGATAGCCGGTATGAGGGCGGCTCAGCAAGTCCTGCTCAATAAACCTTTAATAGAAAAATACGCGGGGCTCAGAGCAGCTGTTCCTAGAGCAGACTCAGTGGTGAAAAGACTGGCGGGCAGCAAAAGGTCTGCGGTAGGTGATGATGAAGTATATGAAGATAACTCGGATACGTTTCCAGTTAAGAAAAGTGATTTGCGTCCCAAAGAAGAACAGCTGGGCACATCGGAAAGTCGAATAACGCCAAACGCCGACGGCTCCCTGAGCCTTATATAACAGCTACGTATATACTGGATAAGTTTCATGTTAAGTCAATTTCATCTTGGAGTTTGATCCGTTTCTCTGCATGAACACTTGGCGAATGGCTAGTTTCATCGTCCCCCATTGGCGTACTCTCCCGTCCGCCCCGTTTCTTTTTCTTGAAAGGCTCGGGCCCATCAAACTCTCTAGCAATAATGGCAAGTAAGGTATTGGCCCGCTTTGCAATCTCTTGAACGTTTCTCGACTTAAAAAACCAATCAAACTCGAACAAATCGCTACCCATAATCTCTTGTTTGACTTTGTCGTACAAGTTTTCCGCCGAAAGGCCTATTTTATGGATGGTCGTCAAGATAAAGCGGTCCTCAAAATGATCAAATGTTTTCCTCGAGTTGTTTGGGGGATACTGTACAATCATGTCATATAAGGGATCATCATACTGCTCTATTTTTTTCCGCAGCAATGACTCTTGATTTTTCAACCTATCAGCCTTTTTTTCACCAGACTCTATCGAATTTAAGTATTTCTCGTGCCCTGGGAGCTCCATATACCTTTCCCAAAACACTTTTGCGTACGCTTTGACTTCCTCGACGCTCTTATTGTCGAAAACTTCTGCAATAGATTCGTAGTCATCTCTCCCAAATCTCGCAGAGCCGTTAATGAAAGCAAAAAACTCCTTCCGGTTCCAGTTCATGAAAGCTTGGCTAATCAGTTTTTGTTTCATTTCTTCATCTTCCTGAGTATATTCGACCGCATTATCGATCTTACTTTGTTCCTCAAGCACGCGTTTGTTCTCATCATCATCACCACCATCAGTGTCATCTAATCCGAGATCATACGCAGAAATACGGTAATTGACTCTCTTTTTAAACCAAAGTTGTTCCTTCAGTTGCAGCTCTTTGGCTAGAGGAGGTAAAAATTGGTGATCCTGAAAATTAACAGTTTTTGGTGGTTTGGCTACTCGTGCTTGTGCGCTACTTTTGGTGGTCGAATCTTCTTCCTTTGGATTATCTTCCGTGAAATAAGATTGCTCCCTTCGTCTTTCTCTCCTTGATGGATTGATCCATGTCTTCGTCTTATCATCAGGCCGTTTTTGAAAGTTTTCTCCATTCCATTCGTAAGCAGATTGATCTCCCAGTCCGTTGAATTTCTGAAGATCATCTAGACCTAGTTTCTCATACTTAGCATTCAGTTGTAATGTCTTTTGTTCACCTTTTTTTAATATCTCGTCGATGTCGTCTTCCACAGTTATGTTCTGCGAATCGTTCCCAAATACATCCTTAGCGCCAAACTGGATCATGTCAAGGAGCTCACCTTTCGAATTTCCGATCGAAGAGGTCTTTTTTCCTACACCCTGTTGGATCACCAGCTGATCTAATCTGAGTTTTTGGGCTGCTCTCTCTATGACCTTTTCCTCGATGGCATTTTCGGTCACAAACCGATAAACATGAACCTGCTTTTTCTGACCTATTCTGTGCGCTCTGTCCATTGCTTGTAAGTCTGCTTGAGGATTCCAGTCCGAGTCATAGAGAACTACGGTATCCGCGGTCACTAAGTTGATACCCAAACCACCCGCTCTAGTTGTCAGAAGAAAGATAAATTTCTTTGAGTTTGGTTCGTTGAATTGGTCAATGGCCTCAATTCTTTCCTCGTGCGACGTGGAACCATCGATACGACAATATTCGTATTCTCTAAAAAAACAATAGTCTTCGAGAATGTCGAGCAGCCGGGACATTTGACTGAAGACAAGGACGCGGGATCCAGACTCTTTCTTCTTTTTTAGTAGCTTATCTAAAACGATCATTTTGCCCGCATTATAGACCAAATGCTCATCCGTAGTATATGGGGGCCCAGGTTCAGCACCTTCAAAGAGATATGGATGGTTACAGCATTTTCTCAGCTGCATAACGATATTGAGCAGCCTTGTGCTCCCTTCACGCTTCCCTATTGCACCGTTTACAGCGTCCAGGTCCTTTTCAAGAAGACTTTTATACCACTGAATCTGCATCTTGGTCATCCCCACGTACAAATTTGTTTCAACTTTCGGCAGAAGCGAGGTTTCAACCTCTGACTTCAGTCGTCTCAAAAGAAACGGGCTTAATACTGTGTGGAGTTGCTGAACCACAACGTCTTGGTCCTCCTCTCCGTCATTTTGTTCGAACCACTGGTCAAAAACGTCCGAGTCACCGAATATGTCAGGCAGCAAAAAGTTCAAAAGAGCCCATAGCTCATGCAGATTATTTTGAAGAGGTGTGCCCGTAATGAGAAGCCTTCCTCTTGAATTGAAGAGACGAATTATTTGCGACAGCGTGCTCTGTTCGTTTTTAATCCTGTGCGCTTCGTCAACCACTAGAAATTGCCACATCAGTTTTTTCAAAGTAGTCTTTTCCTTGATGACCATCTCATAGGACGTGATGAGGATGTCGAATTTGGCCTCAAGTATAATATTGTTGAGGGTTTCTTGGCGCGCTTCTTTGTCACCACTTAACACCACGGTTTCGACCCCTGGCGTCCATTTTGCGAATTCGCGCTGCCAATTATTTACCGTTGATTTTGGAACGATGATAATAGATGGCCCATCGATATCTTTCACGTAGCGGAGGTAACCCAGAAACGCAATTGTTTGTAAAGTTTTACCTAGCCCCATTTCGTCTGCCAGGATTCCTGAAAGTTTATTTTCATAAAGAGACAGCAGCCAATTGACACCTTGGACTTGATAGTCTCGAAGTGTACCGGATTCAATGTAGCTGGGAGACTCCGTGAGGAGTCCCGTGGACTCAAGGTCTTCGTTTTCTTCGTCTTCCATCAACTCTGCATCTTCTTCCTTTTCGGTTTTTCTATGATGCCTTGAGTCCTGGGACCTTCCATTAGCACTTTTCTCATGACTTCCGCCGTCCGATTCGATGCTTTTCAGTAGTTTCTGGATGTTTTTATCTTGTTTGGCTCTAACGCTCATGAAATGACGGAAAAGATCTGTCAGTTTTAGCAGATATTTGAACCGCTCGTATGTCTCTTCTTTGATTTTCTGCTTTTGAACAGCTGCACCAGTGTGTTGGAAAAACCGTTTCTTACGGGCCGCCCAGTACGCTGCATCCTTTTTGACTGGAATTTCGGTCATTATTCAACTGTCAAGCGTTTATTCGCTAGTTTATGTCAAGAATTTTGGCTCCTCTGGCGAAACAAGAACCGTATGAAATCGAATGCCTAGATTTTGATGAGAACAAGGGCAAATGACAGTAATAAAGGTAAGATGCGATTAGTGGGGCTGTCCAAAGATGTTGTTGTTCATTGTCGGAAGGCTATTTAAGAGATCGAGAAATATATACAGTATAAATTCAATATTTAGATTGATTTGACCATCACCTAACTAAAGAGCAAATGACTCGCAAATCGACTGGGGAATTGAGTAGGTGGCGCGAGACGTGGTGTGTAGGAAACTGAGCCATAAAGGTTAGAAAGATGCTGGTGGTATCTTTGCCAACCGTTAGTCGATAGAGGTTGTGAAACTTCGATTAAAATTTAAACTTTGGCTTCTGAGTGCCGTCCGTTGAACGCCCTTCGCGAATTATGATGACTTTTTTTATGGCTCTTTTTATTAGCTGACCGCGGAATGTTGCTACAAGAATCTGTCGACGGAGTGGATCCAGCCTCCAATTGTAATTGGACTTTCTCTGACTCTTCAGCCCACCATTTTGCAAACCTCTCCTCTTCAATAGCATCTTTCAAAGATCGAGACGGCAGACGTTCGGTGGTCTTGGTGTTGCTCAAATATAGTGGAATGGTTGAAGCGTCTCCTGTACTGGTCAAGCTAACGGCGGGAACCTTTTTCTTGTTTCCCGTGCCTTTCAGCGACTGAGCAAGTGACGGAAACTTACTCGCGGATGAAACAGAGGACTGCACAGGCTCCAGGTTAGCGTTTGCCGCATTACTACCCCAAACTGGTTTCTTCACTGAGGTGTTAAGCTCCTTTGATATCACTTCTTGAGCAGCCAATTTGAGCCGTTCCTTCTGAGATAGTTTTTTGACACCAGAAAAGCTGGTAGCTACTGTTGATTTGCTCGACAACTCCACACTAGAAGTGCCCTGGAGTGAGTTTCCAAGTGCTGGAAACATACTCTTTCGGTCAGTTTTCAGACGCGGGGCCACTTGTCGCACCGCGATTTCAGGCAGCGTCTCAAACTTAGCCTGTGCTTCAAATCTCGCAATATTTGTGTTGGAATTGTGACTAGTCGGTCTAGAAGGCCCACATTCACGAGTATTTGAAGCGAGGTGGCTCTCATTCTGGCTCCTTGACACCCTCCGCTTACTTTTCCCCACCGTAACGAAACCTTGATGAGTAGCGTCTGGTATATCATCTTCAACAGCCTCCTCGCTGCTGTCTATCAGCTTGAAGTCGGGGATACTTGAATTTGGCTTATTGATATCTGCCGTAGATGTGGAAGGGCGCCGCACATTAACTAGGTCTTCTAGGGTCAGTGAGGGCTTACGATTTCCCGAAGATTTCCTTCGATCGGCTCCTTTTTTTGATCCGGTTGGCTTCTTAGCCGGTTTCCCGATATCAAAGCTAGGCTCGAACGAATGAAGTGAGTCCATGAAATGTTCGTTGTATTTACTGCGATTTTCTTGGAAAAGGCGAAGGAGCGAGCTTGCCTCTACCGTATCGTTATACCAAGCATCAAAGCTGAGGCTGTTCATTTTTCTCGAGTCGATGACGAATTCCTGCAAGATTCTCCACAATTCAGAGTCGAAATACTCTTCAATAAATTGAGAGTTCTTATCTGTGAACAAAAGTTCAATATTATTGTGAAGATACCAGCAGCACTCAGAAACTAGGGCCTTCGAAAATAGTCGGTGTGCATTAACAAGTATTATCAAAACCGTGCTGGCGTCTATGAAGTCGATCAGGACACTCTCGAGATAGCTTCTTAAATCTTTCAACATTAGCTTGCCGGTTAGTTGAACCAAACCTATAACAAAATTGACAAAGCTTTTGTATTCAGTGAAGCTATAATGCGAAAATAGGTCCACAAATGGAAAAGCATAAATGTATTTCAAAACACACATCATTTCATCGGGCGTCACGCTTTTCAGGTCAACTTCTTTGACACTTCCATGCTGGCTGAACCAATCACGAGAAAAAAGGCTTTCAAAATAGGCACACCTTGCGATCAAAATGAAACTGTACGCCTCCAACGTTGCCCCATCTGCAAGTAGAAATCTCACATCGGGTTTGAACAAAAAAAACGGTTTACTCGTAATGGAAGATTCGAAAAGCTTCTCTAGAGAGGACGGTAACCGATCTCCTCTAAAAGTGTTCAGGTGCAGGTCTAGGACCTTCATCAATGCTTTGATCGATGTATCGAGAAATCTTCTCTCTTGGGCATCAGCGATGTGGGAGGTGCTGGAAATGTTGTCAGTGTACATGTAATGTAGAACGTAGGGGAGCGCCTCAGATGTGTGGTGCTCGAACAACGTTTCTATGCGTATCGTACCTTCGAAACTGTATTCATCTAGCAAACGAAAAGAAATGTTACTTCCGTCCTTGGATGTACAGCCTCCCAGTTCAACTAATTTAGACAGAAAGGCCGGCGCCCTTGCTTGTAGCAGACCGCGATGACATCCTCCCAAAATAACGCCCGTCTCTTTCCCCACAAATAGAATGTCGAAGGCTACAGTATCAACTAAGTTGACTCGAGCGTTTGTAAATACGTCATTCGTCAGCCCTACGAGCTGATCAACGTAATCAATGCACTTATACTTCCCCCACCTTTCTCTCAGTGTACTCCAAAGATCATCCGTTCTGACACACGCGGTACTGCTGTCATCATCTTGGTCGTGGGAAAATGTGCCATCTCCTCCTTTTGCGACGCTGAAGCCTTTCACAAAGCTGTCAAACATGAAGAACGTCGTATCATCATCTTGTAGTTCGTATTTTTGAGTTGGCCTTCGATGCCTACGGCTACTCGAGAGCGGAGAGTAGAGTGCCATGTTGTTGTAAACGTTTTGTTTGGTGAAACTTAAGGGTATCATATCCACGTCATCTTTTACCACACCAAAGGAAGAAAACAAAGAGTCACAACTTACATGGATAACTTTTCCTGAAGTTAACTTTTTGCTCTTCAGCACTTCGAAATTAGGGCTGCTTGACGAGCCCGATCTGTAGATGTGACCTCCTACGGTACAGAGAACCAACTGCCCATCTGAACCTACATCGAAGTCGAGACATTTATTCCATCCATAGTAGGGAGTCCAGTAAATATTGATGGGCAACGATTTTGGCAATTTTGACCAGCCATGAGCGGAATTTTTCAAGTGGTTGGAAAAAAGGATTCCCACGGCTCCGCTCTCGTAAAGAACACAGAGATTGTTCCCGTAGGAGTTTGCTGATTTCAATTTGACTATCCTATTTTTTTTGCTCAGTGAATTTGGAGTGAACAATTCGAGTTCATCGGAAGGATTCTGCTTTGAAAGCATCTTCGGCACGCTAAAATTCAGGATCTTGTAATTGTTAAACACACAAAGCTGATTATCTGCCCAAAGAATAAAAGTAGCAAACTCTGTGCAGAATAGTTGCTTTACGTCTTGAACAAAATGCGGGAGTTTAATTTTTGAAGGGAGTTTAACAATACACCCTTTATGACCATTATAGCTGATTGTGTCTTCTTCCGTATAAGTATTGGTGGCACCCATTTGACCCAGGTTGAGTCCCCACACAAAAAGATTGTGGTGGGTGTCTATAAGGCAAGTGTGCACTTTAGAACATGCAACGAACTTCAGATCATATGAGGGGTGTTTTTTCCATGGAGTGTTTGCTAATTTTTTGGGAATGGCGCTGCAAATGTTCTCCAACGCCGATCTGTCACTATTTTTCCCATTGAGGGGAGTAGAGTACCCAAGCTGAGAGTAGCGATTCCATCCCCAAGTGAAAACCTCACCGCTTGTCGTGAGAGCGACGGAATGGTGATCGCTGCAATCTAACTGTAGAACACTGTGATGTTCCAAGTCGATCTTGGTATGACTAACGTTTGACATACTGGTATTTCCGTTTCCAAGTCTGCCTCTAGTGCCCGTTCCTGCTACCAAAATTCGGCCATCCACCGTGAGAATCAAAGAATGGTACCTTTTCATGATCATGGTTTTGAACCTGGGTCTGAGATAAGGATTTTGGAAATCTGTTAGTGAATATTCATCGAATTTGAACAATTCCTTGCGGTCTTCAGAATCACCGGTGCCTAACTGAAGGTTCACATTGGTTCCAGTGGTATAAAGTTCACGTCCCCCACGCAAATGGAAGTAAACATCTCGAAACTCTTTGATACTTGGCGCACAGGGTCTGGGCGACGATTTGGTCTTCTGATTTCTAGGACGCCATTGCACCATAGACATAGGCCCTACTTCTGACTCTTTATGACCACCAGCTGGCTGGATACAAAACGGAATCTTATTGTAGTTCCAAATGTCATTTTCGCACCGGTACAGCTCAAGTGGAGTCAAACCTTCACGATCTTTGAGATCCCATATATTTTCCAGGTTAGGTTTATAGTGCGAATGGTGCTGTTTTCTCCATAGGCGGTATAATTCGAAAGCTTTCTGGAGATATCCGGTCCTCAAACAGACATGCAGAGGTGTGTATCCACTTTCCAAGTCATGGGAGTATAAATCGATACTGTCTAATTGCTCGATTGCCGGATGACAAGCTAGAAGATATGACAGATCCCTGCCGAAAACGTCCCTTTGAGCATTTTTCTTACCACAGCTCATAGTGCTAACTATCGTGCTATCGGAAGTAGTTTAAGCCGTCATGGGAGTGCGCTGTGCTTGGCCGATGTAGAAGTTGGTTCGTGCACGAGTTGAAGCTTTATATTTATCATATAGACTCATTTACTATTGATAGTCGTGGGAAGAGTACAAATGTACTCATCAGATCAATGGAAATGTCATTCAGGCTTAATGGTGCCGTTGGGCGACCCAAACGATGTTACCATGGTATCGGTGGTCTTCCCAAATGAGCAGAGACCGAGAAAGTTGAAAAATAGGTTCCTAGCGCATTTATGTATCAAATTTAGACCAAAAAAATTATGATTCAAGCGGGGAAGCTTTGTTTGGGAAGAACGGACTCTGAACGGTTCTGAATTAGCTAAAAATATGGCCATAGATTAATACAGGTAATAAACTACGGACTGAAGAAATAATTGGATTAGTTGCGAACTTCTGATGTTGTTTTTTTTCGAATGACAGTAAAAAGATTTGAATTATTTATTAGCATCCAAATTATTGCATCACTGTCGTCGAGTTGTGTTGATGGTGACAAAAGGATCAAAGGTTAAATGCGAGCACCTGAAGCCAACTACACGAGGTTGATGCTTCCACATCCTAACGATACAACGTAAACCCTGAAATCAAAAATTGAAATTAAAATGCTAAATTGTTCCTATACCTGTTTTACCTTACATGGCAATCCTTAGTTACCTATGTTATATGAATGTTCTTAAAAATGTTTAGACGCTGGAGTGCTGTGCTCTTGATTTTACAATACTCTCTCAGTGGCCATGGTGTGCACTGGAACCTCGAATCTGACAGCAGCCTTGGCGCTTGACTTTTTGAAGTTCTGGTACGCGGCGATGTTGTCAAAATACTTGTCGAACAAGACAGCGGAGTCCATGGGCCCACCCTTGGCCTCAGGGTGGAACTGAGTGGAGAAAATTGGCCTAGTTTTGTGAATGATCCCTTCGTTCGAGCCATCGTTCAAGTTCACAAAGTAAGGCTTGAAAGTGTTGGCAGGAAGGGTTTCGGCGTCGATGGCGTAACCGTGGTTTTGGGAGGTGATATGGCACTGACCAGAGGTCAAGTCCAGAGCTGGGATGTTGTGGGCTCTGTTACCGTACTTCATCTTCACGGCAGAGGCGCCGGCAGCCAGAGCCAACAATTGGTGGCCCATGCAGATACCAAAGATGGGTAGACGCTCGAATTTGGGGTCTTCCAGCAAATGCTTCAAGACCTCGACAGTAGAGCCGCACAGGGCTGGATCGCCAGGACCGTTCGAGACGAAAACACCGTCGAATTGCTGTGCAACGTCCTGGAGTGGGTAGTCGTGTGGGAAGACAGTGACGTTGGCACCACGAACGGCCAGACAACGCACAATGTTCTCCTTGACACCACAGTCGACCAAAGCGATGTTGGCAGTGGCATTTTGAGCGCTGATATGGTATGGTTGTTTGGTGGACACCTGTGCCACCAAATGCGACTTCATGGTGTCGACGAAAGCGGGAGCGGGCTTGCCGTCGTCCACAACGATACGGCCCAGTGAAGAGCCCTGTTCACGCAAATACTGTACAACGCTACGGGTGTCGACGCCAGTGATGGCAGCAACACCTTCTTTGATACACCACTCAGACAATGACTGCACTGCAGTCCAATGGGAGTATTTCCAAGCGTATTCGGCAACGACGATCCCGATAACGTGCGCGTTGGGACTTTCGAAATATTTGAGTAGGTTGTGTTCGTCACGGGTCTCGCCGGATGGCACACCATAGTTACCGATCAAGGGCTGGGTGAAAACCAAAATTTGGCCCTTGTAACTGGGGTCTGTCATCGACTCTGGATAGCCCACCAGAGACGTGGTGAACACGGTTTCGCCCGCAACGGAGTTTGGAGCCCCGAAAGAGATACCTTCGTGCGAAGGGCCGTTTTCTATCTGGAAAGTGGCTTTAACGAACTTTGGAGCCATTTTGAGTGTGTTTGTTTGTGTGGGTATGTTTTATGCTGCTTCTGTTTCAGTAGCCGCTAGTTTTCCAGATATGGTCCGGTAGATAGTCTTCACAAGTGCAGTTGGTATGGCACAGCCTAAACATGCACAGAAGAAAAGAGGAAAAGTTCTAGAGAAAGATAATCTTCTAATACAATCGTGAACGAGTATTAAAATGAACTTTGTAACTACAACAGACGGGATAATTCAAGAATACTTCCGACTTCGTTAACGGCTTAGTTGTCGATCTTCTTATACTCGGTGAGATGCGATGCGATGAGCAATAGAACCCATCTCAAATTTTTTTCATTTTTTTCAGTGCTTTTTTTTTCCTACAGTGGGATTATGTATGCATGATGTGAAGAGCGATAATAGTCACGATGACATCAGATACGACAGGTAAGAGGCAGTAGTTGTGGGTGGGTGCGGTGAGTGTGTAGAGGTAGCTGGGCGGTAGGATATACAAGCATTTTTGAAGAAACGATGTCGATTGTGACTTGGGTGTAGATAGAGGGGGTCTGAATGTAAAAAACGAGAAAAATACTGATCACTTCACACGGATATTACGTAATGAGCGACTATGTGCATAGTACTACCGAGTTGATTTTCTCGACAGATCTTAAAAGTGGCTTGCGTGGCGTAATGGCAACGCGTCTGACTTCTAATCAGAAGATTGTGGGTTCGACCCCCACCGTGAGTGTATATTTTTTTGGGGATCCGGTGTCGTAAGAGGTTGGCGCTTGTATGTGCTGGAGAAAAAGCGAATTTGGGCCTGCTAGACACGTCACAGTCACCCACTGTACGAGAGCTCCGCGAAAATGGCTTCTACTACGTACCCGATTATACATTGCGTGTTTTGCCGGCAGGGTCCCGGTAAAGGGTCCAGACACTTAGAGGGTAAAATGGGCAATTTTCGTCTTGGGTGATGAGTTTCGAACATACTTCTCTGCCTGTGTGTTGCATCTCTCAATAGATATGGTGGACTAGACATGAAACTATGGAACGCGTAGACGCGTGGACGCATGGAGGTTTGGATTTTATATTCACGGTGAAACCCAAGGAGAAACGATGAAATTTGATATTGTGAGGAATTTGTTGTAACACAATCACTATACACGGGCCCTTTTGGTCGATCTGTCCTGGTAGAGCTACACATGAAAGAACCGATCGCCCACGACCAATCGCCCACGACCAATCGTAACATTTGGAACCTTCCGAGCCAGTAATAAAAAATCCATCCCACTGTCACGCTGCTTGGTTGACGAATTGCCTGCTGGAGCGCGTCAGAAAGTCGGGTCAGGAAACCTCGTCACACTCGAGCAACAAGCAAACGAAAAGCTGGAACGCCAACTTGAAGGCTTAATTGTCGGTCTCAACGCTGTAGCTTGCACTGACAGCCGGTAACCACATCCGATCGATATTGCATTGATTTTGCGGATCCTTCAACTAGTGAGTACATTTCATCTCATGTATAGCGGCTTGTATGATAGGCTCATTATTGTCTTGGATACTGAGAACTGTAAATATAGGGTGTCCGAAGATCCTACAAGGTCAAATGGCGACTCCAAACGAACAAAGTATGTCAACGTCCTGTACCCCGATCTAGTAATCCCTTAGACCGTAAAAAACTCCGGATCTTTCAAGGTGTGAGGGCATGTGGAGTCAGCTCTCCTCTCGCGGGAATTTTGACCGTATTCTAGCATTGTTCGGAGGAATCACAGGCTTCGAAATCTTCCATTCGAGCCCCAAACAATGGAAGAGTACCAAAATGGAGCGAATTTTACCAAATCTCTTGATGTCCTTTTCACTCACCCTACTCGGAGCCGAAACTTCATTTCAAAGCAATGCGGATGCATACAATTGATCCCTAAGATGCGCGCAGAATGTATGCAGCGAATGTCGGTTTTACAATTCAATAAACCGTGCATGACATGGTTTGTATCTGCAAGGCAATGAGCAATTCTTTTAATGACAAAACAATTTGCCTCGTATGGACTTTCTCAGGTGGATGAGTGCCCTCGCGTATCGTAAAACTACGGCTCTTTGAGCCCATGAAACGCCTTGAGTTTGCACTTCTCTAGTGCGACATTTTCCTGCTCACTTCGTTCTTTACTGCGAACAATTGTTCGAAAAGATTCAAACATAGTAGGATTGATCTTGCTGCATGTAGATTGGATGTCAAACCTATGGCTTTCCAATCCCGATGATTTCGACTTTCGTACGACTTTTGGTAAGGCACCATTACTAAAGACATGTCTCAAGTGCTCATTCCTGAACTATCACCGTGTCTCGAGCTCTAGCATCTCTGTTCGACGTCAATCAGGAGCAATTGTTAGTAATGCCAGATTATAGACTTGCTAGTCTTGTGGGGCCTCCTTCCATGCCCAGTAGCAATGGTGAAATTTTGGAACTGGCAAAATGCACCCTAAATTCGAAACTGATCTTCGACTGGAACGAAAATTGTTTCTGAACATGGTTGACACCAACAGGTGTGTACTAAACGCAGGACCACTCGGGATACCTGGATTCTAAATTCAGCATCATTTGTGGTCTCAAAATTTCAACTCCCATGAAAGGACCAATTTCTCAACAACTTTTTCACCAAGCAGTAGGTCGAGGCCTCGTCCCACCTAGATGTAAGCGTTTTCCCATCGTCTGAGGTCTTGAAATGGCTAGTTTGCATCACTTCATCTGCGACTTTGACCAGTATACCACCTGGGAGCCCTGGGTGTTGCAGAGTCCACAAAATATCGGAAGAATAAGAGGAAAGACTTTTTCCTCATACAGTTGATTCCGACCTCTACTCTTTTCCACTTCTTGTGTTTGAAAGGTGCTCTAAACTTTCCGTTGAGTTAGCACTTAAAGCCCATATTATTCAAAAGCCTGAATTGATTTTGCCATCGGTAACGTATCTATTAATGAATCATTCCTCTAGGTAGTGTTAACGATCTCTCTATCGCATCGGCTCGAGTATCACGAAGGGTGTTTTACACTGTAGAATAGTCTAATTGAGACTTAATTTCATTTCGAGCTTAGTTACCTCACGTTTCCTTGACCAGAGTACATCAGGTAAAATAACCAACTGGAGGTGATACAGAACGAAGCAGGTAAATGTTCACCTAGAGAAATCCAATTTGGCATGATCAGGACGTTCTCATCTTTAGACGCATATGGTGCATCAGCGTGAGTTAGTAGAGAAGATCATTGCATCAACTTATGTACGGACTAGGTGGCTGGGTAGACATGCTATGTAGTTTCTATCATCACTTAATATCGCTTGGTGTGTACTCTGTATATCCTCACCTTCACTGCAGTCTATAACCCGGCACGCAGCTGAAAATCACGGTAAAGATCGCCGTGCCGACAATGATTAGGAAAAAACACCACCATGCTCGGCGTTTGATCATACTATCAACAAGCGGGTTTCGTATTTTAACCAGCCTGCTGGCACCGCCAAAAAGACGTAGGAAAATGGGAGCTCTATATCCCATGCGGTGGTTTGCAGAGTTGCGATTGAGCCCTATTTCGAGGTCTTTGTTCGAGACCAGCTCATTCGACACCAACGACTGTGACACCCCACACAAGGCGTACAGAATATCCACCTTATAAATCCCCGTCCATATAAAGTAGAAACCCAGGAAAAACAAAACAATCGTAGTTACTCTAATGCCACGATTGTAATTCAAGAACACAAGCACGTAGCCCAGCCATAGTCCCAGCCATAGAAACACCATGCCCAGAACTATGCGAGAAAGCGACGTATAATGTGCAAAAGGATTTGTGGTTCGTCTTAGTGACCCGTTTGCATCGTGAGATCGTGATGTTTTCGCCTCTTGGGTGAGGTCATCATGCAGGTTATGCAATGCCACAGAGGACAGGAATTGAGGGAAACACTCCATTTCCAAAAATTGATATGCAAGCGACTTCAACGGCTCGAAAACGTCCGGAACGTGTCGCTGTTCGGTGACCACCATGTGTAGAGCTTGCTGACGCATGTGATCGGGCAGATTGATCAGATAACGAGGACTGTTTATCGGAGATCTCAAATAAGTGTCCACAATCGTCTTGGCGTTGCCTTGCAGTTGCTTAGAAGTTATCTGAGCCTTACGCGTATCGTGGGCCTGTGTTTTTAGAAAATCGTCAACAAGGCCAGTGAGAGGGCTTCTGAACGGTGCGTCCTCATGCAAATCTTGGTCAGTATGTTTCTGCCAGTTTTCCAGCAGACGTGTGAGTCTGGGAGAGTCAGTTTGGCCCTGTAGAAACTGGGAAACTCTTTTACTGTCTTCAAAGTCGAGAAGCCCGTCATTCATGAGTGCTTCCAGCAGCATCGAGCTGGACATCGATTCCCTATTTTCGGGTGTCTCAGCTGATCTATTATTGGTATCATTGTTGTTGCTTCCCTCTGAGGTTTTGGACTTTTCCTGCACTTCTTCCCACTCTGCCACACTTTCGCGGATTCCGCGAACGTAGTCCTTGCACAGCCGTAGATGAGCCATTGTGTCTATCCAGAAATCCAAAAAGTTGATAGCGTATGGGTACTGTGAGAGGAAAGTGTAGAACGACCACAGATCAACAGGTGTGGTAGTTTGACGGTTCAGCACTTCATGCAGGGTCGGTAATCGATCAGTTTCTGACGCATTCATGGCGTAGGAGGAGGACACAAACAAGACAGATCGGCAGAATTGAAAAAAGCCAGTATGGAATCCTGACTGCGAATCACGGATCGGAGGTGTCTTGTATTGGTGCTGAAGTGAGTTGTATCAGAACTGCACAGTTCATTCTTTTCGACCTGAGATTCTCTGTATGTTAATTAACGTAATTAATTAAGAGCCAGCACATACGTAGATAGTGACATCGTCAAAAACGTGACTAGTCATGTTTTTGTTTAGCCGATTCAACATTCTATTCTTTAAGCTGTATTTGAATTGCAAGCCGTGTTGCATTTAGTGATTACTGTCACCCACAGATCAGAGCTCGCCTGCTTTCCAGGATACGTCAAGCGTTTTACTTTCGTCAACGTACGTTATGACTATCTCTGTAACAAAGAAGTAGAGAATCAAAACACGGACGGACCGTGCACTCCCTTAACTTAAACCTTTAAAAATATGTTTTTAACCTTAATTATCAATCACTCTCCAAAGCGATTTTATGCTGTGCGAATGGTGCGTGTAGTGTACAATGTGTCGCGATGCACGGGTGGCCCAATTGGCTAATCCTGGGGTTCTTGTTTTACACGGAGCATGCCTTCACAGCTGCGTGTAGCCACATGCTGGTTGAACCACTCTGTATTGTTGTCGAACTCCTGGTAGCACGCGGCACACCGGCCCTTGGATCGATTGCGGTGGGTTTTGGCCACGCCCACAGGGTAGACAAAGTGGATGGCTTTGAGATGCATTTTGTATGAGTCTTTACGGGAAAAGGCCCCAGTAGAATGGCACTGACACTCCGGAGCCCAGTAGGGGCACTGAAAGTCCTTGACCACCTGGTGTTTTCTCAAATGCCGCGACAAATAGCCCTTGACTTTGAAGCTGGCATAACAGTGCTGACACTCAAATACAGGCGGAGCTTGTTGCCCAAACGTCACATCGCCGCCCGACGAGGAGCTAGTACTGGCGACAGAGATGTCTGTCGTATAAGGTGACAGCAGCTCCAAATCTGTGAAAGGTGATCCGGTACTGAACTGTGTTCCTAGAAGCTTTTCGTCCAGCGAAGACTTCCTTCCGGCATGGACGAGGGCGCCGATGTGACTATTATTTTCATTATTGCTGTTGTTATTATGATGCTGAACAGCGGCGTGGGAGGCAGTTTGTAGGGTGGTGGTTCCGTGCAGATTTGCAAAGCCCTCATCGTGATCGTCACCCTGGTGGTCACCCTGGTGGCGGTCCTGGGAGTTCCTGGTGTGCTCGGAATTCACGAGGTCGGCCCATATATCGTCCAACGACTCAGAGGTTGGTGTCAGGCCCGTGAGAAACGATCTGTCGTCGGGACTCACGCTCGAGGGAACGAGTGTTGTTGTAGATGGGTCCTGAAGCTCATCGAGGGAATCGTAGGCATGATGGTGAGATTTTCCCGGAGTCTCTGATGAAACGACGCTCCAGGTTTCCAACAGCCGGTGGCTTTCCTGCTGTTTTTGCAGTTGCCGGTGGAGCAGTCCCAGCGACACCAAGTTGTCGTCCGGGACGGCGATCTTGTCGAACTGGATGTAGCCCATGTTGTAGGTGGTGGTGGTGGTGGTGGTGGTAGTGGTAGGGGTCCTATTATCGTCAAATCAAGAGGTCGATCGACCTGGCTTCAAGACGGAAAAAGCCTGTAAATGTGGAAGAAGCCCCGACGGCTGGCACAGGGCAGCGAGAAGAGCCGTAAACAAGAAAAGAAAACCAACTTTCTTTGTAGGAACCAAACAACTTAGTTTGGTCTGGTGTGCACGCTTGTGAGAGGAGTACGTGCAAGTGTGAGGGTTGATTGCTCGGTGAGTAGCTTTTCTGAAAAATAAACTTGTGTTCGTTTGAGCGTACGGCACACACAAGCATTATAAGACCCTCGTCTTCCACCAACTTCCACACCACTTGTATACATATATATGAATTGAGCGACGCACGATTTTTTTTGGCAATTTTCTACAGCCTACGTACGTTCTTACACCCCCTCCAATACCGACTCGCTGAAAGCACTGACAAAAGCCAAGAAGAGCGGGACGTATGTGGCACGCGATGTTTTCCTCATCCACTGTCAAGTCAAGATAACGGTGAGTGACGCCATGGTTGTTTCTGACTGACGTCTACTTTATCTGCTACGACAGTATTTGGCCTCGAGATACTGGAAAAAAAAATAACGACAACGACAGATGAGAGATAAAGACAAGACAACCGAAGAACGGAAAGACAGAAAGAGCAAGAAAGTGAGTGAGAAACTGGGTTCGATAATATTGGTGACACAATGCTGTGAAAATGTGTGAATTTCTCGAGGTACAGCGATAGATTTCGGTAAACTCGTCTTATTGGGCTGTCGCTACGTAGTAGCTAGTTAGTAGACTGGTAATGGATTTTGCCAAGCTGATCCGGCGTCATTCCGTCCGTTTTTCCCGGTGTTAAGTAAGAACGACTCATGCTTGCGTGCATGGTACTTAGACAGAGCCCGAAGAGTACTGGTGAGAAAATGTTCGGTCGAGAGAGAGAGAGAGAGTGTGTGTGTGTGTGTCGTTGGTCGTGTAAGGTTACTGGGTCTCTTATCCAGATTACAGATGTGTAATGGCTGTGGAAGAGCCGTACAATTTGGACAAACGAGCCAAGAACAGGAGACCGGGAAGCACACAAGGGGAGAGAGTCGGGTGCGTGAGTAGGTGTCTGTTTCTGCAGCGGATGCGTACCCAGACACACCTAAAACTTAAAGATGTAGATGTCGCTTTGTACGTGAGCGTGGTGTGTGGGTGTTTGTTTTTCATGGAGTGGTGAGGTTTGTTGTTGGAATAGTCTAAATTAAGTGAGGAACGGCTTACAATTGTGGTCTGTTTCTGGTGTGCGAAGAGAGGCTCGAGATAAGGCCAGTTGGTGGTTGTTATGTTTTTTTATCTACATCTGTTTCTCTTGCTACAGATTGCAATACAAATGATAAGCAGAGTTGTTCGTACGGAGCGATACTACGGATGTGAGCTCGAAAATCCAAAACGGATCACAAGCGGATCACAATCGGGTTGAAGTCGTATACTGAACGGATCACAAACGGATCCAAGATTTTGTAAACGCTCTCGATCCACTTACCCGAACACAAATGTCTGGAGGTGCACGTGCAAGCTGGGACTATACTCTGTCGACGATGACAGCGTCAGTAAATAGTGATAAACAAAATGGTATAAGCGTTAGGTCCCGTCAAACTTTGACATTCGAACCAAGTCCAGCGTCCAGTTGCTGTTGATTCCCTTTACACTCTATTCCTTCACCGCGATTTCCGCCGTGGACACCAATTTCTGTCCCAACTCATGAAAAACAGCCGCAACGTTGTCAGAAAATTCCTACTAGAGCGTAAAGAGTGGACATATCCTCTCAAGTTGTGACATACTCATTTCTCGGCATTTTGCAGCTAGAAACGTCACTTAAAACCCAGATCTCGAGAAATTATGCACGTACATAGTGACACGGCTCTTCAACAATTTCGTCAAACTCCGGAACCCTACCTTCTTTTCCTCTCCTCTTGCTCAGAAACGTTCCGATTTTTCGACTTCCTGGCCAAAACAGCCAATTAGCCCACATTCATAGCTCCCCAGCACGCTTTCGGCCACTTTTGGTTTGCAAAGTCCCCCCCTTTCTGTGTCTGTTGCAACATGTCCGATGCCCTTCGCAGAGCGTTGTTGGCCAAAATGGAACACGCAGATACAGTCATTCAATCTGGAACAACGTCCGAATCGGCTCCAAAAGTGAACCCCCCAATTGATCTCCCGAGCTGGAAGGACTTTTTTGACCAGAATGAGACATTTTCCATCGAAAATGGTGATTTCACCTTCAATTCCTACTTCACTTTACCCACTTCAGAAAGTCTCCCCAAGAGTCCGGCAAGCCGAAATATCCCAATTTTTGTTTTTCACCATGGTGCAGGCTCATCAGCATTGAGTTTTGCACCTTTAGCACGCAGTCTTCACGAAAAACTCGGAAATCAATGCGGAACTTTTGCCTTTGACGCTCGGGGCCATGGCCAAACCAAAACACCCGATTCTGCTTCCTACCGTTTGGAAGATTTTCAAACCGATTTCTGTCAAATTTTGGAGCTTTTTAGTCAACGTTACCTTGCAAGACTATTCACGAGCTCGAATTTCTGCCTTATCCTTGTGGGCCATAGTTTGGGAGGCAGCATATGTTGTAGCGCCTTCAATCAATTCGACCAATTTTTACGCCAAAAAATTGTCGGTGTCGCAATGCTGGACATTGTAGAAGAAGCAGCCAAGAAGGCTTTGAATACGGTAGACACTTTCCTAGCCAAGACTCCCAACGTTTTCCCAAATTACAAAGCTGCAATCGATTGGCACGTCCAAAGAAGACTTTCCTCTCTAGAATCAAGTGCTCAAATATGCATTCCAAGTCTTTTTACTCCGACCGAATCTGGCCAAGTAGCCCGCATAACTAATCTGACAACATTTCGCCCCTTTTGGAGCACATGGTTCACAGGACTTTCTTCAAGATTTGTGAAATTGCCAACCAGCAAGCTTTTGATCTTAGCCGGTGATGACAACTTGGACCGTGAACTGATAATAGGCCAGATGCAAGGTAAATTCCAACTAGTAGTCTTCCAAGACTCTGGCCATTTCATAGAGGAGGACTGCCCTGCTAAGACGGCTTTAACTCTAATCGATTTCTGGCAGCGAAACGACGTTAAAAACGTACGTATAAAAACTAACTGGTCTAAAAAAGGCTCTCCGACTCCGTAAATTCTAGGCAGTAGACTAATTTACATTTATCATGACTTATAGAGACAACCATTTTAATCAATAGACATGACTTCTATATCACTGATATCTTTGCCCTCGCATTGATCGACAATTCGGTCAATCTTTTTGGAAGCCCAGGCAAACCTAGGGTTGATCAAAAATGGTCTCAGATCAAAGCGATTGTCATCGGGAGAATATTGTTCGGCGTGGTAGCTAGGTGTGATAACCGTTTGCTTATGTCTGTTGATAGCATAAAAGAAAAAGAACCGCTTCACTTTCTCTGCTACTTGTCTTGGGGTCAGCTTGGGACTCCATTCGTGGAGCAATTTCAAAAACATTGAGTATGGTCCGCATTTTTCAACCTTTCTCAAGTATCCAAAAATGCTGAGTTCCTCATAAGTCATTCCCATGTCTATTTCATCAGATTGGACATAGTCTTTAGTTATGGGTTCTAATTCTGCAGTTGGTGTCGCATTCAAAAATTTGTCCAAAATTGGCATCTCATAGGTCTTTGCGGCGTAAGCAATAAACCTTTTTAAGTCTGTTTTCGAAATTCCGCCGATAGGATTGATATCTGCCGAGGAGCAGTCGTACTTTGTCAAATATCCGCGCAAGCATTCGTCGACATTGGCACTTCCCAAAACCAAAAGACTACCCCCGTTTGGAATGCGACGTACCCATGGTAAAAGCTGAGCAAACAGGTAAGCCAGTACCATACGCAAACGAGCTTGAATATTCTGCAAAGCAAGGTTTTCTGTTTGAGATCCGCCGAAAATTTTGAAAATCGGTTTCTTACCGGTCGTCACTTCGAACAAACTTACGACGCTGCTAACCAAGCTGTCCATATTGAAGTCGACGTGGTATGAAGATATCACATTAGCAAGTTCGCGACTTCTTGCTCTGGTTTCTTTAGAAGAGTTCTCGGTGCCCATGAAGCAAGTGTGAAATACAAGCGATGCCAGTTCTTGTGGGGTCGCAGGTGCCCAGTCGCGGTCTTTACGGCAAAGTCTCCTAGCGTCTGCCAAAACTTGTAAGTTACCTTCTTGGCATTCCTTTACCACCAATCGACACATTGAATGAACAATCACCGCTGTAGCGCATGAGTCTATTCCTCCAGATAGCGGCAAAAAAAAGCCGGTACCGTTGCAGCGTCTCAAATAGTCCCACAACCAACAGGCAGGTCCTAGGGCTATTTCTTCTTCGGGGGTATGATAGAAAATGGATCTACTTGATGACGGGGTGATTTGGGGGTTGAATCTGCTGGTTACAGGCGCAAGTTCCTCATCCACGTCAATCCTTTCGTATCTCAAGTCACTGACGGAGGCTTGCAAGCCGCGGGACATCACAGAAGCTCTGTAGCTACGCACTTCTTCCAAATCAACGGTTGCAGTGATGACTTCGACGTCTTTGAGACAAAACTGGCTTCCCTGAGCAACAACGTTTCCGTTTACTGCGATCAAGGCACATCCATCGTAATACAGACGATCACCGTCACAGCCACGCTGGTTGGCGTAAACGTACACACCTCCACAACGTCTAGTGGCACTTGTGATCAGTTCAAGTCTACGGTTAAGCTTTCTTAACTCATGATGGGAACCCGACGAATTCGTGATGATTTCCACACCGTCCAAAGACATGGCAATGTGAGGCGATTGTGGCGTGAAAAGCTCCTCACACGTTTCTGCACCAATACACGTATCTAGCGTTCGGACTACAGCATCACCAAACTCCACAAATTTCTGGCCTGTGATCTTTTGGATCATAGGGGGAAGCAGAAACTGCTCTACACGACAAGTTTTCATCCAAGGTGTGAAAAACCTCATTTCTCGATAGTTTCCGTCGTTGGCCAACCACATCTTAGGTCTAATGAACAAAATGCGTCCGTTCAACGACAAAAGCCGACAATTGTAGCGAACATTTTTGTGCAAAACTGGCATTCCAATATCAAGCAAGATTTCATGAGTTTCCCGCGTTCTGATAATCTGACCATACATTTCCCATGCATGTAAGTACACATCATTTTCCAAAAAGTGGTCCAAGCATCCGTAGCCGGTTATTTCCAATTCTGGACCCACTCTGAGTCTTGCACCCTTCGCTTTGGCCAACTTAATGGATTCCAGAATACGGTCTCTGTTTCCCTCGAAATCAAGAGCCCACTGGTTCAAATTACACGTCGCAACCGTGAGTAAATGAGACATGGTGCACAATTGAGAGATAGATATATATCAGATGGTCAAAAGGCTTCTAAAAGACGGTGTTTAATGCTGGCGATGAGATGATATAGTCAGGTTGAGGTTACGTTATCTCATCATTATTAGAGTACTGCTTATATCTACAAAGTACTCGCGAGTGTATTCGTACAAGGTTTCCAGCTCGAAGATCAAGATTCACCGCTTCAAGACCGCCAAACTTCTGATTTAGCCTCCATTCATTCATCAATTGGATGCGTATGTCGCCCTGAGACGTTCTTGTAAGTGCTCGGCCGCTGTAATTGTAGGAGGGGTCTTGCCCTGCGAATTTTCCGCAACAAGTTTGCTGGGTACTGGAACAAGCTTTGTAGCGTGCTCTGGATGCACGAAAAACACAATAGAATAACGATCACGCTCGCGGGTTTCCCCTGGTGCAAATTTGACACGGTGCAGAGTGCTTTTGAGCACTCCAGCAGTCCAGTACGACAATAAATCACCAAAGTTGACTACTAAAGGTGGAGCGCGGCCCTCGTATTGAGATCTGACGAACGGAACCTCATCCCAGTTTTGCGACTGGGTGTCTCCTGTTTGCAATTGGAGCCCCTGTTGGCCCTCACGTTGGAATAAAAGCGTCAGTGAACCGTAGTCTGTGTGTGCACCGGCTCTGATGGTAGTATCGCAGCCTTCATTGTCGACTTTGTCGTCCCTCGTCAACGGATAGCGCAGCATTCTGAATACACACCCACTGGCTTGGTCAGGACGGTGTCTTTGGGTGAAAAAGTCTGGGTTTTCCACTTCGAGACCCTGGCTCATCACCTGTAGAATACGCATCGCTGTAGCGTGTAGTTTTTTAACAGTCTGAGATATCAGGTCGCGCTGGGCATCAAAAACCTCGGGAACCGGATTTTCGTGATCTTCAGCGGTGTGAGGACGATTATTAAAAGTGGCATCGTCCACATTAAAGTCCCCAGTTTTGAAGTTTAGATTCCCAAAATTGTACGCTTCTTTGAAGTCGCGAGCCTTGAGCGGATCCAGCTGCTCATTGGTGAAATGGGTGTAGCCGATATTGTTGGACTGAATAGCATACCGGCTCTTGACATCTGCAGGTGTCTCGGTGAAAAACTGCTTCGACAGGCCAAACAAAGCGTCCACTTCATTCTGACTGAAATCATGGCCGTCTACAAATAAAAACCCTTGCAATTGTGCCGCTTCAAGCAACGGTCCACTGATATCAGCAATGGGCTTTGAGATATCGACAACTTTTAGCGGATTCGACATGGAAAAGATAGAAAATGGGTTGTGGCCGAAAGCAAAAGTGTGCAAGGAATCACAGTTTGAACTCAACTCTACTAAAACCACCTCTCTTGGATACTTATGCTACATGTAGATATGACGAGCTTATCAGGTTGACAATAAATCTAGCGATGCCCTCAGAGCGTCAGGAAATTGTAACTGTGATCTTGAGATCGGGCAGTTCAAACCTCGACCATCAGTCCTTAGAGTTGTATCGTAGCATTGTGCGTTTAGATCTATCTCACCCTCCGTAAGCGTTGCTGAATACCTCTCTGATTTCGTTCAGGCCAAACCGCTCAAACAGGCATAATTGTAGTAAGATTCTACTCTTTTCTGGATTCAAATGTCCAGACGCAATGACGTTGTTTCTGGTTGCTGTAGATTTATGTTTGGGCATGTTTGCCCTAGGGACCATCCCATCCATCGATCTTTTCGAGTAGATCACCGGGATTGACAATTCTAAAATGGCATCGTTCACAATCGACGGCAGAGATCCCGCACCCATTGTAGCAATGACCAGGCCCTCGCAAGTCTGTGCTACCAGCTTGACCAACTCTGGTGACAAAGATTGGTGGCCATACAAGACATGCACGGTGGGGAAATTAGAGGAAGAGCCGTTTGGCGCGGGCGAAAGTCCGAGCTTGAACTTGTGGCATACCTCGGGCTTGGCTGGAGGCCAGTAGTAATGAACTTCGTTGTTGACAAAGTTTCCCAAGTAGCCCTGTCTCACGTTGAAAGAGTCCAGTGTGTTGGCGTTGGTCTTGGTAATATAGTAGCCTGCAGAAATCTGGTCATTGAGTGAGACCAACACACCCCGGCCGCGCGAGCTTTTATCGGCCGCTATGCAGATTGCCTGGTACAGATTCATGGGTCCATCTGCAGAAACACTTGTGGAGGGTCTCATCGATCCTACAAATACCACTGGAACGTCACCAGAGTCGATTGTGCTTTCGATGAAAAAAGTTGTTTCTGCCAAAGTATCCGTACCGTGGGTGATCACAATACCATCAAAAGTTTGCAACGCTGCAGATACCCCGTTGTAAATACTCACCAGTGAACTTTCGTCGATCTCTTTCGAGTCAACGTTGCACAGTTGCTCATAGTCGATGTCGCATATTTTGGAAATGTCCGGAATCGATTCCAACAACTCTTGTATGGTCAAATCCACATGGTAGCCAGCGGTATGCGACGCTGAAGCACCTTTCGACGCAATCGTTCCACCAGTGCCAAAAATTTTGATTTTTGGCAGTTTTTTTGCAAGACGTTCGGCGTTCAATCGATCTTGCTCGTCAGCATCATGGCCCGAGGAGAGCAGTGTGAATTTAGAGGACTCCAAGTCCGCACATATTGTAGTGATCTCAATATCGTTATTGGGCATTGCTTGATGAGTCTCTTGTGGTACAGTTTTGATGGCGATGAGGTGGTGGAACTGTACTGGCGATGAGCTTGGAATTTGACAATCGTTAACACGAATCTCACACCCATACACCACTGCGTACCGCAGTGTAACAGCGACGATACCGTTGAACGCTAAGATGTTGCAATATATTTATTGTTCTACTCTACAAGCAATCCATCCTTTCATGTAGGGAGCTCTTTGTAAGTAATGGGCCTTGCCCCAGATAATCAGTGAACTTCCTTCAAAAATGTCCAAAAAAAAAAGATCTTCATACATTCGGCATTCTCACCATAAGGGAACAACATTGTCCCAGTCATGACGTCTCCTTCTCTCCCAGTAGCCCTCAGATCCAGTTATGACCTCCCATTGATTTTCCGAGACTTGACGGAAGTATTGAGGTATAGTATCTTTACCTTCTAAACGTCTGGCACGCTGTTGCTGTTCAAGCTCGAGCTTCAAACGCTCTGCTTCGGCTACCTCGCCGTTTTCATATAGACGCAGATCGGGCCTTAGCCTGGAATCTGTGGCTGGAAGGTTTCCCTTTTCTATTTCCGTGATTTCGTTCAAATCGGCAGCAAATTGTGTGAAGCCGTATTTGCGTTCTTGATGTGGAACGAGCTTTCCTGCTTCCCAAATTTTGGCGCCAGTGACTGCGTCCACAATGCTTTTGGTCCATCCTCCCTTCAAAGTGGCCACTTGTTTCGAGCCATGGTGGATAGCAATAGACACTTCCTCAGAACGTCCGCTAAACATTCCCGCCGCCCTAAAGGCCACTCGAGCCTTCATGTTGTGTGAAGAAACAACCTCCATATGGTTGGTGGGCTCCACATACCGCTCTCCGGCAAAAAGATTTTTCAAAATTGTAGCAGGTTGCGACCATTCGTACCGCTCTCCAGTTGACTTGAACGTCAACTTCAGCTCACCTTCGTTGACAAATTCAATAGATTTACCCCAAAACTTTTGGATAGGACACACGGAATAAGATAATTCCCACTCTGCGTGCTCAACGTGGAATGCAAATTTCTGCGGTTTGTGTGAAACTTTCTCCGAGACTAAACGAATGCCTTTATCTTCACGAACAAGCTCAAAAGTTTCTCCCAAGAGCGGGTTGAACGGTTTACGTAAAGCACGCGTTTTACTCCTATGCATTGACAAATAGGAGCAAGTGAAAGCTGCGACTAATGCCATCCGATGGGCCTCATCTGGAGTAGACGCGGCTTGGTTCAGAAGTTCACTGTACTCAAATGTCTCTGATAGCGTTTGCAAAATGGTTATGGGCTCGTTTGATGTTATAGGCATTGAAATGGAGGTGAGGTCTTTGCCAACGTTTTTTCTTAGATGGGAAAGCAGGCTGGGAGGAGATGCTACAGCTTCAGGAATGTCCTGGCGACGTGCAACTTTTCTTACCTGGTCCAATGGGTAAAGGTCTCCTCCCGCTGGCGCCGGTACACTCTTTTGCACAAATTTTGCATCATATTTGGATGAAAAGTCATCGTCATTGTCCTCAGCTTTTCCTGTATGGTCTTCCTGAGATAGCATTAGCGCGTCCACGCCTTCTTCGTCATTCAACATAATAACACCGTCCGTAGACTCATGATCCAGCTCGTTATTGAGGTTATTGTCCTCCGCGTCATAAAATTCGTCACTAAAAATGGATCGGTTATCTGAAGATCCATTTCTGTTAATCATGTTGGTGCTGAGATTCAGCCAATGTCGTAGTAAATCTTCCACTTCGCCTAAATCTTTGTAAAGTTGATGTTCAAAGGGTAATGACGGCTGCTGCTTCTCATTGGTGCCATCCGGGATGGGAGTATTTACAACCTCAGTTGAACTGTTTTTGTGCTTACCGAAAATATGAGAGAGTGAGTGTGTTGAGGGTGTTCGTGACACGGAACTCGTTTGACCGCTTGACGTGATTGCACCCTTCAAATCTTGAGCAGGAGGAAGATAGCTGAGTGACTTTGCGCGACATTTGTCTAATTTTTGCTCGATAACTCGAAGGCCCGCCAGAATGCTGGTAGGATCAGATAGTTCTGTGGGTGGTTTTGTAGCCCCTGGTACTTTTTCTTCCTTTTTGTAGCAGTCTTGTAAAGCACTTATCCATTCGCTCCACGAAGACTCATCTTTGGCCTTAAGCACCCAGATTTCCATTCCTGAGTCGATAATAATCAATCTTGTCATTTTGTTAGCGCTGACTGTTGCTAGTGGAATCACAATTTCACCTCTGCACACGTTGTTGTGTTCGTTCAAGTAATAAGAGAAGGCCTTATACTTGAGATCTAGTTTGAAAAACCTCTTGGTGAAACCTTGAAGCTTCTTTCTTCTCTTTTTCAGCATATATCCTTGCAAGATACGCCCTTGTTTAACACGAAGAAGCTGTGAGCGACTTCTATGAACCGGAATGTTGGGCCCTTGTGTTTTGTTCTCGACGCCGAGCAAAATCTTCTTTTTGGCGGTCTTGGAAGCCGTATTGTCAAGAACAAAAGCGTAGTAGCCATCTTCGTCCGCTTGGATGTTACCCTCGACAAATTCGTTACCTGGGATGGTACCGAGCCATTTGACCTGCGTAAAGCCTTGACTGGTCAGTTTTTTGTCCAATGGGATGTCCTGCGCCAAATGCTGAACGGCAGAAATCGTTTTGGAGCGATTTCTTTGGTTGACGTCTTCTGTTGAAGAATTACTGCGATTCAATGCGTAATCAAGCAGCGATTTCGTGTCTGGGGCAATATGAACGCTACCGGCTGAGGGAGAGCCATCCCCGGTATTTTTGACGACTCCTTCACCAGACCCATTCTTCTCAAATGCGTCATTGTTGATAGTCGTCTGTCGTTTGTAAATCCCAGCTTCTACCGACCTTTTCAAAGGTTTCAATTGGAACGTAATAGTGTCGCTTTTTTGCACTTTGAGCCACCGAACCACGAAAGACCTGTTCTGCACATCGATGGTCTCCATGACCGAGTTGTAATCGCAGCAATTGAGTCCAAACCCGGAGTTTTTCAAAAGTTAAGGTCAGGTTGACATGGTATGTGTCTTTTTGCCTTGAGCCTTTTATTTCTTATAAGGTAAGTTGTAGCTATCTACGGAAAGGTGACACGAAATACAAAAGTGATAAGAGTTTTTAATAAAATGTAAGTAATGATTTGTGAAGCGTATTTCAGAAGCTTTTCGATGTATTCGGGACCATTGGTTTCTCACAAGCGTTTCTATAGAGATTAAAATACGATTTTGATGCTTCGTGGGAGTTATTTGGGACTCTGTTTATTTCTCTTGTCTTGTTTCTCTTCCCAGCTTCTTCTGATGTCAATTTCGATGTCATGACAAGTATATAAATTAGTACTTGTAGTTCTTAATTCGAGTGAACAATTTCAGTCAAAATGGCCATTTGGGATATCAAGCGATTGGTTTTGGCCTCTAAAAAGCTTTCGGTTCAAATCCCCAAGCTCTTCTTGCCAAAATCGCGATTTTGATCGAGATTCTCGGGTAAATTTGAGCCAAAAGAGATGGAAAATCCGTACGAACAAGTTCACCAGAGTATCTTGGCCCGTATAGTTAACAACGTTGAGCGGTTGAATGAAAGTGTTGTGACTCTAAACCAGGAGTTGCAGAATATCAATGCACGCAACAAGAACTTGCAGATTATGGGCCAAATGAGCGAGAACTATCACAAGAGCGTGCAGTTCAATATGACGGCAACGAACCAAAAACGGGAGCCTTTGTGAAAATTGGGAGGGAAGCATGCAGCGGAATCCACGAGCCATCACCAAACCTGTTGAAACTCTTCGGAAACCAGTACCAAAAACCAAAAAAAAAGGTGAAATGTTTGTTGGAAATAAACACACTATGTTATTATTATTACTATACATCCGAACGCCGGTCGCACGCTCATCCTGTTCAGTTTGGAATCATACCAAATCTCTTCTTCAACGTCACTCTCTGTCTTGAGTACTTGTCGTCAGGAGAAAATCTAGCTGGGTGCGCAGATTTGGTAATTTCACCCTCGTCGTTCAGCTTCTTCAACGTGTACACACGTTTGCCATCCGGGCCCAAAGTGTACATCAAATGCATGGCGATTGATAACTGAAACTTAGGATTGTCTAAAGACTTATAGAGTGTGTCTTTCAATTACACTCGCTTCATCAGCTTAAGTGATGAGATGGTAATTTTTCATCATTATTTTTCACATTTTGAAATGAAGCTCGCTATGTACGAATGTACTCGAGTCTCCGGATTATATAATCTGGTGATAGCACTATCCACGAAATATTAATTATTTCAAAAAAATCAAATAATTAAAATTAAAGGCCAGCTTCACGAACTTGACGGGGGCTCTTTGCCCTTGTATCATACTAGCTATCTTGTAGGTATAGTAGTTAATTCTCCATTATCAGTGATTTGCATGGCCGATCCGTTTTCAAACCTCTTCTCGACATTTAAAGGTGTTGAAAAGAATGAAGGGACCGCAAATGAGCAAGTAAACGACAATCCAGTGCCTCATCAATCAACGGGTTCAAGAACTCCGGTTTATTCTGATCTAGATCAAATTTTGGGAACCAGAGTCGTTGAAAATGTTGCTCAACCGGTTTCAGACGACTTAGATGACGCTTTTGACGTATTTAACTCCCCAACCCCGCCACAAATGCCCGAATCATCCTTCGAATCCACATATGGGCAAGTGAACTCTGAACCACCGGTGGTGGACGAAATAAAAGATATGGAAATAGCCAAACTTATGTCGCTCGGGATGAGCTTGGAAAAAGCCACTGACTATCACGACCGAGGGATAGTGTACGAGCGTATCGTGGAAAGAATGTCTCACAAGCGAGAAAATGATCTCAGACCAGCCGATCGCAACACAAGCGAAGAACCGGATCTTTTCTCGCTCGCTTCGGGATGGCTGTCGAAAGGACGTACATTTTTGGATTCCACTTTCAAACAGGCCTCCAGCCCTCAAGCCACCTCGTTCAGTCAGCACATCTCGGCCCGGTCAGAACAAGACAGCGCGCAAGTAGGAAGTCATCGTTCCTTTCGCCCAAACATCGGTACACAAAATCTGTCGGCAAATCGTAAGAATCAGCATCCACCAACGTCTAACTTAGCAAGAAGCGCTCGTGGACATTTCGAGGTGTCTGAGGAAATACCGAAAGCCAGCACTTTTGATTCGGAAGCTTCAGTAACTCAACGAAAGGACAAAGCAGAAAACCTACTCGATTTCGACTTTGATTCGTCCGTTGAACCCCATCAAGACAATTTTACCAATAATGTTCATCTATCACCCATTGAGCTTCATAGTTATCAAGAGTTCAAGGGCAAGGCATCAGAGGCTTTTACAGCTGGCGATTATGACCTTGCGTTACAAAATTATGAGAAAAGTCACAACAGTTTGCCTTCAACTCATCCTTGGCAAACGATTTCACTTTCAAACATGATTGTATGCCAATTGAAGCTAGGTCAGTATCGAAATGCTCTTGAAAATGCAGATGAAGCTTTGAGTAAAGTGCCGCTGAATAATTTAGATCAAGAGATTCCACATGCTGCACCGGTTAAAACCTTCAAAGATATGTGGACGAAAGTTCTGTCAAACAAGGCACAAGCGCTTGAAGCAATCGAAGACTACAAGAACGCTCTACTCACATATCAAGCACTTATAGAAAAGGGAGTCACATCCAAAAAAGTCCTTGATGCCAGGCTCCGCTGCCAAAAGGCTTTGGACCCTGAGAAGTTCAAAGCCACATCGAAACCAAAACCTAAACCTGTTTCAACCACAAACAGAGAAGCAAGCCCTTTTATCTCTCAGCAAGAAAAAAAAAAAACAGCTCAAGGTAAAGCTTCCAATGCTTTAGAGGATCAAAGATTTCTTCTCCACGACAAAGTTGAGCAACGTGTTTTTGCTTGGTCAAAAGGCTATGAAAAAAACCTTCGCGAACTACTAGCTCGCTTGCAGCTTATCCTAGATTGGTGCGATTGGAAAGAGGTACCTTCTTCTACGTTGGTGATGCCCAAGAAAGTCAAAATAACATATCTGAGAGCAGCCTCTAAAACACATCCCGACAAAATACAGGAATCTTGGCCCATGGAAAGAAAAATGGTTGCTGAGTATGTCTTCACCATTTTGAGTAAGGCCTGGGAAATTTTCAAGGAGGAGCATAAAATGTCTTAAAGGTAAATCATACGTCATTTTTTTTCTTGTGGAAAGGTGTCTTTTCAGCTTCAATGGGTCTGAACTCGCAACCTTCAGACGCCTCATTATTCATTTTACTTATCAGGCTACTCTTTTACTTCATACCTTTTGGCATATAACCCCAGCGCCTTTATTGGAAATAAAAATTTATAGCTGGCATATTCGATAGCACATGAATGGTTGAAGACACCTTCTGGGGCCTGGTAAAACCATTCACCAGTTGCAGATTGCTTACCTTTCAGAAATTGAATGCCTCGGTCAATAACTGGCTTGTCCGGAAATTCCGCAAGCAATAAACCTATGATAGCCCATGCTGTTTGAACAACTAATGATGTCTCGGCTTCCACGTAGTAATGCAATTCGCTCGATTTCATAGATTCGCTCCAGCCACCGTCTGCTCGTTGCTTAGAAACTAGAAAGTCGCATGCTTTCTTTGCATGGACAGAGTTGCTGTAAAATTCTCCAACAGTACTGAAAGCCTCTAGTGCAAACATGCCTGCGTACGTGAAGCAGATTCCCCAGCATCCGTACCAGCTCCCATCTTCCCACTGTGCCTTCTTCAAGTATCTTATAGCAATGTCGATGGCTTTTTCTATCTCTTTCTTGCGATAGGTGTAGAACTTCGTGAAGTAGGTCAAACCCAAAATGGAAGAGTCCGTGCACTCCACGTAAGGGAACTCTACCATAATGTTACCGAAGACCTCGGCAGGGTTCAACTTTTCTAGTGCCGTGGTCGCTCTTATCTTTTCGTAGGTTGCGAAGGAGCCATACTCAAATGACCCAGTATTCTGCAGTCCTAAGAGGACGTCAATTGCCTTTGATAGTCGCTCATCTGATATCTCGTTCCTTATACTCTGGAATGCAGGGGAGTTCTTCACCATGATGATGGCTTTGAGCGCTTCAGCGGTGCAATCAGACACTGTGTAACCCTGAGTTTTCGTTGAGAAGGGCCATCCTCCGATCCTTTTGTCTCGGTAGCTTCCTGGGACACATTCTGTGTCAAATTGTGTTCTACAGAGAAATTTGTAGGCATTTTCAATGGTCGAATGAAACTCAGGTCTCTCTGCCAGCCCGGCCATAAAGTAGTATTGAATTGCGAAAGCACAGTCCCACGTTTGTGCTCCATTCGTGCCCATCACTGTGAGACCAGTAGGACCCATGAATAATACTTCATTGAAGCCTTCTAGAAAGCGGCCAAACTCGGGTGAATCGCGTCCTTCTTCTATCAAGGTGACAACAGCACAAAGTGCCATGTTCACTGGTGCGATACACAAGTAATCGGTATTCTGGATTTCCTTCTTAATGAGATCATACGCCCTCCTATTGCTGTATTTAGCAACAAAACCGGGCCTCAGGTGTTTTCCATAAAACGTCAGGACGTTGTTTGCCAGGTCCAGAAATTTTGTGTGGGGGTAGTACAGATCCACATTGCAAACAGTGTTGCGATGTTTGCTAAAATCAATTGAGTCGAATTTCTGGATGTAAATTTCATCTCGTATTTCTTCTAGGAGCGGTGTCACCGCACATGAGTACTCTACCGACGCTAGATATCCGAGCGCCAAGAACACAGCTCTTGTATGAACCCACCATTTACCAGGGTGAATTGGAAGTGCATACGGCAGTAGCCAGAGCTCAGGTGGCACAGGATTGACGCCTTCCCACTTATAAAGATTTAGTATCGAGAGCCATGATTTACCCCAGTGCGGAGCACCAATTGCGCCGCCCAGTGTGTGAAGGGTTTTCCGGGCTCTTTTGCACACTATATGGTCAGCTGGAAGACCCAAAAGTCTCACAACCACATAGTTTATGGCTGTTCCAAAAGCGGTAGATTTGTCAGTTTCGTGAAGTCCCCACCCACCGTCGACGGGATGTGCCGTATTGACCAGGTATCGCAACAATTCGATTCTCACCGGTTCTGGGATCGGAATTGCAGCGCAGTACATAGTTCCCACGTAACCCACCGTCAAAAACATCGGTCCTTTATACTGGCATGGGAATATACCTGATTCTGGGTCTTGCAGTAGAGAAAAAAAGCGAGCACCTTGTAAAGCAGCTTCAAAAGCACTTTTTTCGTCCCCATTTCCCAAGGCTTCGGGCCTCTGAAATCCTGGGCTTCCCAACAAATAACTTGCGTACGATGACTGTGCATCGTGCTTTGCAGCTTCTTCAGTCAAGTATTCCCATTTTTCACTGCCTAATTCATCGACTCGGAGTCTCCAAAGAGTGCGGTCAGTTTTGGGAACTCCCAATTCGTCTGAATAAAGCATTGTCAGTTCACGTAGTACTGGAATTGGAATGCGTTCAGGTCAGTTGGTATGGTTTAATGTTCAAGTTTGGTCCAAATTTTCCAAGATATTTTATAGGTAAACGACCTACTATATTGACCATTCCGAGCTCATCTCATGTCATCTCATCACCGAAAAACCGAAAACATTTGTGGACAAAACGGCATGTACAAGTTCATACAGGACCGAAGATATCTGTTTATCTATCCTTGCGCGTTTTTGCTCGGTCTTGTGGTCAATTTGGTGGTAAATTCGTCTCAATTGGACCATCAGAAGGATACTTTTTACCTTCTTTCGTCTGGCAACTGGATCAACCAGATATTCGCGTATCGCGGGAATCTGATCTGGTCTTTCTTGTTTATAGCTTTAGCGTGTTTTCAAGTGCAACTGCGGGTGTCGAGAGCGTATTCTTTGCCTCTGGACGCTCGCAATGTTAACCAACGGAACAATAAGACACTCTTGCAAGCGGTGAAACCCTATTTTGCCAAGATTGTCGTGAAGAATTTGGCTTTGTTGGGAGTGTTTCTCGTGATAGATGGCATATTTGTTTGGACTGGAGGTTCTTGCACGACTAGCACCACCAAATCTGCGGAAACATGCCGCAAACAGGGCGGAGAATGGGTGAACGGATTCGATGTGAGCGGACATTTCTGCTTTCTCACCACCGTGAGCTTGATCTTGTGGGAGGAGCTGCGTAGTGCTCGTCAATATATGACTGCAAACGAGATAGACGTCAGCAGTTCCAAAATATGGCTTGTACTGCAATCTGTAGTCGTGGGGGTCCTGATAGTGTGGGGATTCGTCCTGTGTGTGACTGCAATCTACTACCACACCGTTTTGGAGAAGGTGCTAGGTCTTGCCATGGGATATATTGGTCCTGGAATAATGTACTGGGCCATTCCCAATAGCCCGAAGCTGAGGACGTTACTCTACTAGTGCGTTCAAGCGTTCACTAAGGGCACTCAAAGGGCCCAGCAGTATCGAGGCCCAATTTTGCTTCACAAGTGGTGTACAGGAGTATGCCACAACGTCGTGGCTGTCGATCTCGAGCTTGAAACGAGTTGGGACACCTGGAATTTGAAAAGATGGCATTGCGCACGCTGGATCCGTTTGTAGATTCGATATTTTGGCCTCCTGCTCCAGCCGGCTGAGAGTTTGTAACTTAATAGACACATACAATAAGGCCATATAGACCTTTTTGCCAAAAGTGGATATTTCGGACAAACTGGAGAGCGGATTGCAGCGGCCAGTTCGTTCGAACAAATCTTCCAGTCCCACATAAGACGGAACCGTATGCTTGAAAAGCTTCCAACGAGACGCACTTGAGTCCTGCTTGAACAGCACGTAGTAAGGCGGTTCGAATTCAGCATTTAGCTCGTTATAAATCTCTAGCCTCAATCCCAGCATTTGTCTGCGAATGCTTACAGTCCCATCTTCTTGACGATCCAGATCACTTGGGTCCACGACAGGAAAGACACTGATACCAAATGCACGATAGAGCCCGTCCATTCCCAATTGATGTTTTTGAAGAGATTGGGCCTCATCTGTGCGCTTTGTTGGTGAATTTAAGATATTTGTGCTGATGAGCTCCTCCAAATCACTGTCGAAAAGCTTATGTTCTGTTGGTTCTCGTGAGTTTGGCAACCATTGCGACCCTAGAGCCGCAGAAAAACCTAGTTCCTGTTTCTTGTGGGGTGTGTCTGAACGCTCCCGCTCAATTGATGTGACATCTTTATGTCTTGTGGCGGCAGGATCCGGCAAGAGATGAGCTCCTTCAAAGGTCGATTTCTCCTCTCTGCTACCAGGTGCCTCGTCGATGGCATCATTCGGTAGCTGAGAAAAGTCTGATGCATGCTGTTCAGCATATAACGTTTGGAAATTTTCGTTATTCTTTAACCTCTCTAGCTTGGCGGTCAAATCAGATACTACAGTGTTGAAAGCGTTAGTTTAGATGCAAGAATTGGCTCTCAATGTTGAGCGATACATACTCTGTGATCTCAATGCCTCGATATCTTGATGATCCAATGCATCGACCATAGGAGGCTGCTGGCTGGTCATTTGAATCAGCTTTTTTACAGTTAAGTGATGCTTCTGATATGTTTGTTCGATTAAAGTGATGAGTGAAGAAGGACCTTACCAGTAGCCAAACAGATGCCTTGGATCGAGTAAATGGTAAATGCCAGCCTCTACAGATAAAGAGATACATATATAATTGGTGCTAGCTAGTTTACTTGGACACACTTGGGCTCAAATTATGTTAGATGATCGATCTTGTCACTTTTAATGACTTCCACAAAACCGTCGCCGTCCGTCAAGTAAAGCGACTTCAAAACCGCGACGTATGCAACTTTGTATGCTGGTACAACGTAACCAATAAGAGGGGAACAAGAGCGATGGTACGCTATTCTGGCCACTATCTCACCCAGTTTCAGCTTCAGACCATATGTGGACAAATCTCTAGCAAACCTGATCTTGCGTCTTAAGCAGCTTCTCTTGACACGATAGATTGCGAAAAGCGTTTCTGGAATGAAAGCCGGTTTTGTCTCTTGAAGACTGGAATCGCCTGTGTTGTTCGAAGAGTGCGAGCCAACTAATGGACCAGGTCTCAAAATAATGAGCTTGTCTAGACCTGGCACTCTGGTCGCCAGGTCCTGTTCCAAGCTCAACTTAGTGTTAAAATATCTTGACACAGAGCTTAGGAGCAAATTGTTGAAACTTGTGATGACAACGGCCTTCTTCGGTGTGGTGACATCTTTACTCTGGCTGAAGACTTGGATCATTTGCATATTCAAATCATAGTCTACAAACGACCGGGAAATGTTGGTCGTCCGCTGCTGATGATCTGACGATCCCAGTGCAGATATTATTGTGCCAACTTGCTTCAACGAAGGGAAATTCCAAAGCATCGTCTGCTCGAGTTTTTTGGTCACAACACTGGCGGTAGTGGGCTCTTCGCCAAACAAAGTCTTGAACAGCTCGGGCCATTTCTCGGAATCCTTTTCTATCAGCGACACCACATTTATCTTGAGTTCCACGGTCAACGTGTGACGACAGGTTTGTCCATGTTCGTCCTGCGAATTTTCATATTTGAGACGATAAGAATATTGTTGAACGTGCATTTCAATGGCTGTTTTCTCTTCTTGCTGCTGTAAAGAGACTGGTAGCTCCACGTACCCCATGCTCACCACTGGTTCATCGCATTCGAAGTTTTCGTATCTGCACAATAACGTGGACCCTCTATAACGAATTGAGTGTTCCCAGCCAGAATCGTGTTCGCTGAGACTACCGACAGTGCCAGGTTCAATTGGTTTCCTCGAAAAGCAGAACACGTTTTTCGTTATTTCCACGGTTTTCTTGCGTGTCAGTACGTTGCAGAGAGGTTGTTTCGGTCTTTTGAAGAAGTGATTGTTTTTGTCAAGTAGTTCGGTGGAAGGACCCAAATTGTCCAGTTTACGCTGAATTTCATTTGTTGAGTTCAAATATATCCATGGCTGTATCAAGTTGGCAATAATTAGTGATCCTGTGAGACCGGTGGCTCCCAAGACCATAATATTATCGACAGTGCGATGCTTGGAAAACCCGAGGATATCACCATCTAAATTTTTGGCAATTTGGGCCAAAGATGTTGGACTTGACGAGATCAAAATCTGCTCATGACTGATGCCTTGCGAGCGTCCCATACCAGATTCGTGACGACTTTTGAAAATACTTCCGGTTCGTTCGCGCAAGCGATTTCTGAGAGCGGACTCTCGCAATTCAGAACTCGCGACCCGTGAAGACATTATAGGCACCCAATATTTGCAAGAATATGCTGAGAGGATATTGAAAGCAGTTGAAGTCCTTTTTAGATTCAAATCTGACGGACACAAACCTTTACCGTCAGTATAGATACTAAACATGAACTCGAGTGACGCTGACGCTGACGCCAGGTATCACGTGTGCTGTGATTTTTGGCCCACTTAGTTGTAACAAACTTGATATATGTGTCACACTAGAAGGTGAACCTAGTCGCTTGAGGACTTCTTTTGGCTGATTGTACCGGTGAAAGCTTTCAGATTAGGGACATCCATATCCGTACTCAGTAGTCAAAGACAGAATAAGATGCACAAGAAAAGCCAAGCTTCTAAAACAACGATAATATCAAAAGTCAGGTTCCGTCACAGTGCCAACACAACAAGCACACCTAGTGACCCAAGCAACTTCATCATGTTCCCAATGGTGATTGTCAACTTTTAAGAAAATTCGAACGACAGGTAGCTGCTATTCCGATGGCTACCTATTAGCCGCAATCATCAATCTCCTCTGTCATGCTACGGTCCTAGATGACCGATCCGAAGTAGAGGTGGGACTTAGCGATAACTTTTATTATACCCAAGCGGATATAATGATGATTCAAACACTTGTTCAATTTTACTTATGATTCCCTTCTCTTAAGCATATAAGATAACCGTAATCCGAGCATGTCATGCTCTTCTTTTATACCTTGTACTTTCAGGCATGAATGGTCGCATTCCTGACATGTTCGCATCGAGGCTTTAAACGTCTAAGTCTTCGGCAGCCTCCACTCTCGGTCTTGTTGTCTTCTCCTAGACTTTTAGGCTTAATGTCTTCATATGTGGTCTTTGGTTATCTTATTGTCATGTGTTATTCACGACATCTTCCCCTCCCTCTTCGGAAGAGTCCCGTTCGAGTAACTGCTCGAAATTTGCAATAAATGAGGTTCTCCTTGCGGCGTCTAAGTGTTTCAGTTCTTCTTCGGAAAAGCTTACTGTTACTCTAGGATCTACGTGCATCATCCGACAGTAATACACTTTTTCTTGTTCATTGTATCCTACAATGGCCACAACTTCGTCTATCCTCTCCATTTTCTCTATTTACCCTCTGGGCCTTTCTTTGACAAACTGATCTCTTCTGTATTCAAACTTCTTTACCCACTGGATATTTATGACACGATGTGCTTTTGTCGTAGAGGGTAGATCTAGTTCAAACGCATTGTCATTTATCTTCTTGACTACGCGGTAAGGACCAACATAGATCGGTTGAAGTTTCTTATACTGTCCTTTCTTGAAGTATGCGTCACGATGAAGCAACACATAGTCTCCTATCTTCAATTCTAACTCCCTCCGCTTCCTATTCGTTGATACTTCCATTCTATCTTGGTTTTCTTTAAGTATCTCTTTAGTCTGAATGTCAAGTGCCTTAAGTTTTTCGACTAATTCTGGCGTGCTCCAGCTTCTAGCTTCGAGTTGTCCGCTTGTATCCAACAATGGCGGGTTAGGTCTATACCCTAAATCGATCTCAAACGGTATACCTTGTATGGCTGTATTGTAAGTTGAGTTGTACACGAATTCAATTTGCGGTGACAATCTATCCCATTCCTGGTGTTGATTAGTTGCATAACTTCGCAACAATCTGTTCAGTACCTGGATACAACGTTCAGTTTGTCCGTCTGTCTGTGGGTGGTTGCTTAATGGCATTGTTTGTTTTATTCACGATCTTTTTGTCATCTCTTGATAGTGGTTTGACGTAAATCTGATGTCCCTATCGCTTGTTATAGTTCTGGGAAATCCGTGGTAAGCGAATATGAATTTAAACATCAGATCAACCACTTGTCCTCCCCCTATTGTTTTTCGACATGCGATGAGATGGCATCGCTTCGAAAATCGATCTACCACCACCAGGATCATGTCGGATCCATTGAAAGTAGGTCGTAATCCGGTGATAAAGTCCGTCGATAAATTGAACCAGCGTCCTTCCGCAATCGGTAGTGGCATTGTCAATTCATTATGTTGTGGTCGGTGGGCTTTCATCAACTGACACTGTATACAAGTTCTCACGTAGCGGTTGACTGTCTTAGCTAAATTTGGCCAGTATAGCTTCTCAGCAATCTTTGCGTGTGTGATGTGTGAACCGTAGTGTCCTCCATGTAATGGGTCATCATGGAACGATTCTAAGACTTCCTTTTGTTTGTTCTTCGTAACAACAATACGGTCTTCATAACGTAGGGTCTCATCCCTATACGTAAATTTCTCACGAAACTTCGGAGACCACGCGAATGTCTTCTTGAATTTCGTATAACCACTGCGATCGGCAGGCGGAACATTCGTGTTCCTTATTACGTTCAGATTTTGCAGAGCTGCAGCTCCCAAAACATCACTCTTCCAGTCCTCTATCCAACTCCGTGGATCTATTCTCGGGACGGAGTCCAGGGCATCCAATTCTATGGCATATTCGGCCCTCGAGATGGCATCGGCCACCACGTTCTTATCTCCTGGTAAATACTCAAAATCAAATTGGTATTCTCCCAGCCTGTCTATCCAAGTAGCAAGTCGGTTACTTGGTTCGCGCTTATTCTTCAGTGCGAGTAGACTTAAATGGTCTGTTCTCAACAGAAACCTTCTTCCTTGTAAAGCATATTTAAAATGCTCGAGTGCTGCGATCACACCTAGTAATTCTAGTTCTTCCTGCAGGGTAGTTCTGTTGTGCTCTTTCCAGCGACTTGGAACAGTATCCTACAACTCCTACCATTCGTTTGCCTTGCACTTCCTCTAAGACAGCTCCTATCCCCTCCTTCGACGCGTCCGTCGTGAGTCTGTAATTGGCCGTTTCTTTGAATGGCACAAGCAACGGCTTGTCCATTAGGTGCTTCTTAAATGCTTTGAACAATTCTTCCTGTGGTTCGGTCCACGATTCTTTATCTCTTATAAACTCAACAATAGGTCGAGCTAGTTTTTAAACGAGGTATAAACTTTCTGTAATAGTTTATCATCCCCAGAAATCTTTGGGCTTCTTTAACAGTCTTAGGTTATGGAAACTTCGATATAGCTTCGCATTTGCCTTGAATTGGTTCAATGGTATTTGGTCCAATAATATACCCAAGGAATTCCACCTTCTTCTGTAAAAACTGGGATTTCTTTAACTTAGCAATAAGTTATTCTTTCTTAAGCCTTCCTAGTACTTCATCTATGTGGTTCTAATGTTCTTCTTTCGAGCGGGAAAATACAAGTATGTCATCCAAATAGACACATACAAAATTTCAAGTCTCGAAATAAGTCAGCCATATATCTTCCAAATGTACTTGGTGCATTTACTAATCCGAAAGGCATGACGGTGTATTCATACTTACCCGTTGGTGTAACAAAAGCTGTCTTTTGTTGGTCTTCCTGTTTCATTGATGGTACCCACTATGTATGTCGAGTGTGGAGAAGATTTGTGCATCATCGATTTTACTCAATAATGTTTCAATATGTGGTAAGGGAGAAGGATCCTTTACAGTCACTTCATTTAATCTTCGGTAATCGACACACATTCGATAAGTGTCGTCCTTTTTCTTGACCAATACTATCGGTGAGCTACACGGCGCTCTTGAAGGTGCGATAAAACCTTTTCTCAGTAGTTCTTCAATCAATTCTTGTACTACACCTTCCATCTTTGGTGTCAATCGGTATGGTTGCATACGCGGTAACCTTTCGTTTGGCTTAATGTCGATTTCGTGCTCAACTAAATTATCTCTTTCTCTCTTCTGTGGTAAATCATTCCTCACAATATCATGGTACTTGATTTTCAACCATCCTAGCAAACGTTGGAATGTATCGTTGACTTTGCCTTCTTTCGTAGCTTCTATTCTAACCACAAATAGTTCTTGGTCTTCACTTATCTTTCCTTCCAGCCGTTCTGTTCTGATGAAGTCTAATTCGACTACTTCATCTGCGTTTGCTTGTTCTGTGACTGCAACTTCGGTTGTTCTTCTAATATTGGATTGTCTATAATGACTTTTTGCGATATGTCCTTAGTGACATAAGCGTCGATCTCATATTGGTTGTCTTCATAATCGAGCTTTACTGCCACGGCTTGATCAGTAAACGACGTTTTCTTCGATACCCCACCCTTGAAACGAAGTGGTGGTGCACAATATGAGTTTAAACCTAGGTTTTTGGCAAAACTAGTCGGTACGAGAGATGCTGGTGATCCCGTATCGATCAATATACGCGATCTGGTCTTATCCGTAAAACCTACCAAGATTTCCTTACGTCTTCCGACTTTCGGTTGTCTCCTGGACGATGGGTTCCTTAGGAATTTCCGAATGTTTTTGGCTTTTCTGTTTTCTGATGTTTTTGGCGTTTTGGTGTTTCCTTTATATGAATAATACCTCGCAAAACTCGCGATGATATTCAATGGGCAGTTCTTTATTTAGAACTCGGAGTGCTCTGACATTCTTTGATAGAGTGTCCGGGTTTCTTGCATCGAAAACACAATTTATGTGAGAGACAGTATTGTCTGTCTCTCTTCTTTGAATTCTGTTTCCGATGGTAACTCTTCTTAGCTCTAAATTCGTCGATTTTTATAGCATCCTCGTCTCTGAGTCCGTAGGTTCTTTTTTCTGGAACAGGGTCTCCTGCATAACCCGAGGCTACAGCGGCATACTTTATGGCTTCAATCAGCGTCGATGGCTCTTTACTTCTTACAGCCATTTTTGTTTTTTCTTTCAGCCCCATTGTATAAGCATGCGCTACGTGTCGAAGTGGTATGCGTCCTGATTCATTCACGGCAGCCAACAATCTGTGAAATTCGCTATTGTACGAATCTAACGAACCCGTTTGTTTCAATGATACCCATTTCTCGAATACTATGGATGGATCTAACGTTGCTCTATATGTTTCCTTGAAAGCACATATCAAAGTCTCAAAGTCCATCTTACCATGATCGTCTGCGACCTCCGCGATGTCTATGTAACTTGCTAACCATTGGGTTGGACCGTCTCGTATGTTCCTCACAGGAGTAGTGACCTTCATTGCTACGGTCCCGGATAATGGATCCGAAGTAGAGGTGGGACTTAGCGATAACTTTTATTATACCCAAGCGGATATAATGATGATTCAAACACTTGTTCAATGTTTACTTATGATTCTCTAATTGCTCTCTTTAGCATATAAGATAACCGTGATCCGAGCATGTCATGCTCGTCTTTATACCTCGTACTTCGAGGCATGAATGGTTGCATTCCTGACATGATCGATGGCTAGAATTTACGCCTCTGGGTCTTCGACAGCCTCCATTCCTAGTCTCGTTATCTTCTCCTATACTTAAGACGTAATCTCTTCATATGAGGTATTTGATTTGTTATTATTATGTGTTATCCACCACAACTTCAATATTAGCGGATTTAGCTCAGTTGGGAGAGCGCCAGACTGAAGATAACTTCGGTCAACTAGAAATCTGGAGGTCCTGTGTTCGATCCACAGAATTCGCATTTTTTTCGTAGTCAAAATTGTCTACTATAGTAGACTCCATACCCATATTTCTTACCATCCACTGAGCTTCAAAAAAGCTGAGACAAACAAAGACTGTAATCTTGATATCTATTTGCTAACTATTTCTATCGATCTACGGGCCCTCTTAATTGGTGAAGGCAACACCGTGACTTGCCCATCTCTCACCCTTTTATTGGTGACCTTTTCTGCATCGACTAATCTATTGTAGATGTGTTTGTCACACCACATTGTGAGTTCAGCATCAGTCGTGAATAGTTCGTAGTCGAGGATAGTCAAGCACCAACGTTCCATGGTAGACAGGTCTTTGCAAGGAAGACCACTGATGCGTTGCCACGAAGCCATGGAAAAGGTCTGGTCGTTCAAAAACTTGTGGGCCAGAACAAGACAGCACAGATACACGCGTTTTGAGCATCTGGAAAATTCGGGCAAGTTGGTGATAGAGTCCAGTTTATAAGCGTAGAGCTTGTGGAAATAGAAAGTGGACAACAAAACAATCTTTTTGGAGCACTTGGCCCGCTTGATTATTTCGGTCAGATACGCAACCAAGTGTTGCTTGGTGTTATTGACACGGTTATTGGAAAACTTCGATGTCAAGCCAGAAAGCAGAGTTGCAGCCTGGTTGACCAGTAGTCCCTGTTTGGAGACAGAGATGCCATTTGCCGGTTCAAAAACAGGAGAAATTGGTCTTGCGACGTTTTCGCCGTTCCCAAGAGGGGTGGACTGGGGTGTGTGGAACGGATGTGGAATGGCGATAGCCCTTTTAGGAGACGCCATGATGAAACCGACCCCACAAAAAAAAAGAGAAGAAAACAGAGTAATATCTTGAATCTTTCCTCTGCGCTTCCACTAGAAAAGCCCCCCGGACCTAAACAATAATGCACATCTTTTTTCTGGATGCAACAGAGAACAAACTCGACAGATATCTTCTTTTAGTAAAATGCAATGGAAATTATTATTTGGGACACTCTATCCCGTTATGTCTTGTTGAAAGCTTAGCCAAGATGTGACTAAACCCAAAAAACCAATGAAAAATCGAAAGATACGGCGAAGAAAAAAAAGACCTCCCGGACCTAGTTCACCTGTGTGATTATATTCGAACTTAAATCTTCAAATCAGATCAAAATTGACTCTGAGAAAATACCAAAAATCTCTGAAAACTCCTTCTTCGAATGTTTTGAGAAAACTGTCAAAATGTTACCAAAAATGCACCAAAAAGATAGAAAAAAAGATAGAAAAAAGATAGAAAAAAAAGTCTAAGTAAACAATGCAACTAAGAACGCTCTGGTAGCTTCGCTTCTGATGTGTTTCGCCACGCAGAGGTTCTATGCGTTTCTATAAAAGAAGTTTTAAAAACCGTTTGTCAAAATTGTAGGTTTCCATCGAATTCATCCTTTTTCTTATATAGTTCAGATATTACATGGAATAACGCTCCTTTCGATGAGTCCGATGGGTGCCGTGCGATAATTTCTGTGCGAGTCCCTGGCAACCTTGAGAAAAATTGAATGATGAGTCAATCACTCCACATCGTCAGAGGTGACATTTAGTCAAATGAATCATCATCACCGTCACCAGTCAATGACCATAGGGACATAGAGACTTGATGTCGAGACAGAGGCAAGGACAGAGGAGATAAGGTTCAGTTGTAAGGTTAGTGGTGATAACAACACGGGTTTCCTGGGGATTTTAGAGAAAAATAAAATACAAACATAGCCAAATTTGAGATGACTAGGTTGAAGCGCGAGTCAGACAGCGATAAACGACTTGAACTGGGAAAAGTGTGTGTATGCGTGATTAAGAAGGGTGGGAGTCTGTAATAACGAAAAGTGAGTCGCAGCCGGTAGCGGTGATGGTGATGTAAGGCCCAGATGGACTTGCATCACTATTCACGACGATGTATACACCACAGGTAGGTACCACTACCATTATCGTCAACTATCAATTCTTGACATTTTGTATCAATGGAATGATTCAGCCAATTGAGCTTGCCGTAGTTTCAGTTGTGTTTTCCACCAATGCAATGTGTAAAACCCGTCTTTCTTGAACCTATAGTAAAACGTGTGGTAGCTGGAAACTGACGCAGAACATGGGTTTCGTAGGAGCGACTTTCCGCACGAGATGAAATTGCAAGCTTTCAAACGGCAGAACCGTGTCGTCGGTATTCATGATCTTCAGGATCCTCGCATGTACTCGGCTGTGCAGTTCGGTCATACTCGGCTCGGGACTTTCAGTTGCATCGTACTTCTCAAAGCAGTGACAATGAATCCATGGCGCTTGGAACTCAGGGAGCGCTTTTATCTGCTCGTAAATTTCCGAATGTCTCGAATAGAGACCCACAAACTCGTCCAAAAACGTCAAAGCGCTATCAGGTAGATTCATAACGTAATGGTGGTAGAATCGAGGGATCGCGACGGATCTGGACTCCGTTCTCTTGGTTTCGCCAGTCTTAGAGTCCTTGTAGCGTTTACCGCCAGGGACCACAACTTGTCCCGCTGTCCTGTGACGCCATTGTTGTACCAAAAGAGGGCTTTGTCTAATAAAGTCTCGACCATCAAGGTTAGAAGGCTGCACAAAAGACCCGGTCTTGTTGTCGGCTATGTTTTCGACCATGTACTTGTAGCTCTCTGGGTTGAGGTCGTTGGCCAGTACCAAAACTTTTTTCTTACCCGCGGGCACAGCAAAGGGCCCTACGCCGGCAAACACGTCACCAACGCACTGGCCGGGCTGGAATTTCTGGATAAGTCTGTCGTGTTCCGTGTGTAGTCGAGAGTTCCAATACACCTTACTAAAATCGAACTTGAAAGAGCAGTTTGACTCGCGTTGTTCGACCACCAGGTCATTCTTTCCTGCCAGGACCTGCATGCAAAATGTTCTGAACTTGGTATCAATAGAGTCTGTTTTGTCGACGACGGTTTCGACTTTACTGTTCTTGTCTAGGATCACCTGCCCGATAAGTTGCCCATACGGCTTGAACTCATTTCTCAGGTTTATATGTGCTACATGCCCTGTAGCCGTGAATCCAGATGGAATTTCGTCCAGAAACTGTTCGGGCAAAATGGAACGGAAGATTTCTTCTGCTTTCCAAAACGAATAGTCCAGTACGCACTCGTACGGCTGGGCAATGGCGAGATTCTCTTTCATAAATTGTTGGGCCTCAGGTGAGAGCTGTTTAGAAAGCTCGTCAACTTGATTGAGTGACTCGCGCAATAGAACACCTTTCCTGATGTGATTGTCATTGGCAAGACTTGATTTTTTCAGCGGTGGTTCTGCGCTTGCGTTTGTGGAATCGTCGGCTGCGAGCCGTACAACTCTGGAAATTCGTGGCAGGCTTAGTACTTCCTGTTTGAACTTGTTCGTGAAGAGACTGATGTTTTTAGGATCGGGGAAGTGAACCACCACCAATGGAACCTTGGTGACGAAGAAAGATCTATCAAGCTCATGCATATTTCGATTGACCGGAGGTTGGTACTTGAACGTGGCGTTCAAGACCGCATCATTAGCAGAGTTTGTCATTCTGAATCTTTTGCACAGTAAAATACAGCTTTTACGCATGCAATTGCGACAAGAGAGCTTTCGAGATGAGTTACAGACAGAAGATGGGCGATGCGATGAGCTAGCTCGATCATCAAATTGGGCTTTTTTTCCACTTTTCCAGATCCCCACGTGATATCTTTGATATGGCTTTCCGGATGTGATCTTAGAAGTGATCTTAAGAGTGAGTTGATGTGAGAGGTCAGATAGTGTTTCGGTTTCTGTAAACAGACTTGCAATAAGTTCAGTCGCTTATCGTTTTCCATTCGATTATTCTTTCAACCTCTTGAGCAAATGCTGCTTAGTTCTCAATATTAAGATTAACCGTCAATGCTAGCAGCGACAGAAATGTATATAGTGATATCACATCTGCCATATCTAATGACAGGAATAAAGTTTAGGTAGGAAAGCGTAGACTAGTCTAGGGTTTTCCGACGCAAATACCTCATTTTTCAATGTCGGTTTCCATGTGTATCATCTGGTATTTAAGAAGTCAACGCTATATCAACGTCGGTCCGTGTTTCTTTGAAGCTTTTATTTCGCAACGTCCAAGCATTTCAGCCGACAAGTTGCTTCAACGCCAAGATAAAAATCTTCCGGTGCCATTTTCGATCTTTTGAGGCCTTCTACTGGCTAACTTAGTCTAGTCACTCAGTCAAAACTAGTTCAAGTCTCGAGAGTACTTTTGTACTCGTGCGCCTATGGTTTATTGGAAAATTCTACCTATACAACACTGGGCGATGAGCTAGAAAGCTCGGCGTTGAACAACCTTGAGACAAAGACAATCGGCATCTATAACATGTCTATCGATGTCTTGAGTGTCAGAAAGAGACAGGAAGGGTTCCAGTTTGTCAATGAACTGGAATCTGATTCTGACAGTGACGTTGAAATGGCTAACGACGAAGATAAAGTAGACTCTGGCGAAGTAGCAAAAGATGGAACCATTGTTACTCCTGGTGAATTGGTCACAGATGACCCAGTTTGGATGCGTGGTCATGGTACATACTTTCTAGAAAATCAAACCTATGCGTCTGTCGCAGGAACTGTTTCTAGAGTCAATAGATTACTTTCGGTTATCCCGTTGCGGGGCCGTTATGCGCCAGAAACCGGTGATCATGTAATTGGAAGAATTGCAGAAGTGGGGAACAGAAGATGGAAAGTCGATATTGGTGCCAAACAGCATGCAGTATTGATGCTAGGTTCCGTTAATCTGCCAGGTGGTGTCTTGAGAAGAAAATCGGAATCCGATGAGCTCCAAATGCGCAATTTTTTGAAAGAAGGAGACCTTCTAAATGCCGAAATTCAGTCACTATTTCAAGATGGCAGTGCATCTCTGCATACCAGATCGCTCAAATATGGTAAATTGAGAAATGGTACGTTTTTGCAAGTTCGCAGCCCTCTTATAGTTCGTTCCAAAAAACATACTCACAATCTACCGGGCAATGTCACCGTTATTTTGGGAGTCAATGGTTTCATTTGGCTGCGAAAGACTTCCAAAGTCGACAATGCGAGTGACGCATCGAATGTGAGTGGCAGAAATGCAGCTACTCTTTCAGGAGCCTCAGGCGATTATAAACCAGGTTCCAACTCTGTCAGTATAACAAGGCTCGAGGAAGAATCCTCGTGGGAAATTTATTCTGACAAAAACGATCCTATCCCAGAAGCTATGAAGAGAACAATAGCTCGATATTCTAACGTCATCAGAGCTTTGGCACACTGTGAAATTGGCATAACAGAAGCTAGGGTGGTGGCAGCGTACGAAGCCAGTATGGCGTATAGTCATGTCGGCTCACTTATAGATAAGGATAACATGGAATCAATAGGACAGGATGTCATAAATGCTGAGAAAATGAGGGGAAACGCTTAAGCTCTAGCGCTAAAGGTAGCAGCCAAAAGTATTTAATTACAGTATACACAAGAATAACTTTTTGACAGCTTCTATTTATCGCTGGTTGTCTCTGCATCATTTAACTTTTTTGAAGATCCTTCAACATTTGCGTAAGCCTCAATTTTGTTTTTGATGCTCGAACTAACATACTTCTCCACAAAGCCGACCTCTTCATTTTTCTTAAGATCTCCTTTTCTTTTGGCGATAACGCACCAGGTCGTTCCAAAATGTGTTCTGTTTTCTTCCACGACTTCTAAACCCGAATCGTCAAGAATTTCGCCTAGATCCAAATTCCACCTGCATCCCCACGTCTCCAAACGTTTCTCTGCTCTATCATCCAAGATCTTATTGATAAAATCATAATTACCTCTTCCGTGTTCGAGTAACACAATTCTTCCACCGGGCTTCAATAGCCTCTCAAAATTCTGCAGTGACTTAACAGGATCTTCTAATGAACATAGCCCAAAAGCCTCGACGATCGTATCGTACTTAACCTTGGTATCGGGGTTAACACCCTGCCCCTCACCACCGGCAGCTAAGTTAACAAGGTTCTCTGCCCTGCCTACAACAAAAGCCGCTTTTTTGAAGTTGGGAAACTCTTTGCGAAATTTATCATGGGTCAACTCCATCATCTTTTCAGATGCATCCAAAAACGTAATAGAGTTTATTTTGGAAAGATCTGCATACTTCAGATTTCTCCCTGTGCCACATGCGGCCTCCAAAACGTCACCTTTACAATATTTCATGAGCCATTTGCGTCTTCTGCCCATGAAGATCGCTTTTTCTTCAAAATTTACCCCCTCGTCATATTCGGAAGCTTTGAAATCGTAAAAATCCGTTGTATCACGGGCAGGCAAGATTTTCTTGTTGGTATTGTTCTCATTGTTGTTCGCCAAGGTTACATGGTCGTATTGGGACGAATCTTGATTTTCATCCCAAGTCATCTCTCGATACTGGGCTAGTTTACGCTCATCTCGAGTTCTTAATTTACCCCTAAGCTCTTTGATCCTTAGAGTTTCAAACTCGTTAGCCTTACCCTCCAATTGTTTTGCCTCCAGTTTCTCTAGTTCTTTTTCCTTGGCATACATTTTCTTCATGAAGTATAGACCATAAATCAAGAAGAACACATATGCTCCGATGAGATATTTGGTCATTCCTTTAGTGAATTTTTCGGTTCTTACAATTGCACCCCATCTTATAAAGCGGTTTTCGGACTTGAGCTGCTCTTCCAGCTTTTCCTTGGCTATTTCTTCCTTGGTCTTGATGCGTTTAACTTTTGAATTCGAATGGGCAATGTACGATGACCTTGCTCGAAGACTTGACTGTCTTGAAACGGCTTGGATTATACCCAATGGTCGCGTAATTGACCTCCGCGATAGTAACCGTCCTAACATAACAAGCTTGTATCACCCTTCGTGAGGTTCCTTTTGATGCAAACCAAGTTTCTGAAATTCATAGTTCAATTATAATAGATGATGATGATGGGCCTACATAGAAATCTCCAATTGAATGACAGAAACAAAGCAGAACTTGCGTTAGCTGGCAAGAACACTTGATGAAATAAATAATCTTGAACTGTGTATAAATAGTGGTACTTTGAAAGCTGCCTGTCATCATCCCTGTGTGAAAATCTTGTGGAAAGGCGATAACAGGTCGTTAAATCATATAAGCTTCTCAAAATTCATGAAAGACTTTAATTAGTGTTGGTGGCATTTTCAGTTGGGCGTCAGCTTGACGCTACTGTCTTATGATCCTATCCATGATTATATTTTTCCCTTCGATCCAAACCTCGGCAATTTTCAGTTTCGGTAAACTATGAAGATCTTGATCCTCTGTGGGATGATCCTCAAGCTGAATGGGGTTTAATTTGAGCTGACATATCAAGCTCAATCACTTTTTCTAAAGAAGTGAAGCGGCACCTTCTGCCTTCTCATTTCACGTCCATACTAAGCTTACAATAAACCCGTCCATTTGTGGAATCTTTCAACTCAATCTCCTGCTGTTTGGGCGATACGTGGCGAACCCCGATGCTCACCGCTGTTCCAGGGTACAAGATATGCATATTCTTGTATTTCACACGTGTAACTGTTAAGCCAAGACCGAACCGGGCATATTTGAGTATAATGTGAACCATGAGGGGACCTTGAACAATAATGTCTTTGTAGCCCTCGACATTTCGGCAATAAAATCTATCCCAGTGTATCCTATGAGAGTTATACGTCAACGCACTGTATCGAAAGATACTGCAATCGTCGAATGTCAGTGGGAGCGAACTGTAATCACTTACTTCTTCTGGTGAGCTGGTTTGCAGCGAGCTCAATGCGCTTTGCGTGTATATTAAAGTGCGCTGCTCGTCCACCGCGGTAAGACCAGTCTCGGCGTCCATTACTGCCCGATTGATCCCAACATAAACATCATTTTTAAGCACTTTCAAATAACGGACAGTCTCCTGACAAATGTATTCCCTATTTTCTTGCAATGGAGACTTGAAGTCCATGCTTCCAAATGCCCACATCCTTCTGTTGTAAACAAGATTCTGATTCCGGAGAAGAGACCTTGGCGTTTGGTATTCAAAATATCCATCAGGACTTAAACCTGCATTTTCCGGACAGTTGAAAAACAAAAGATGATCTCCTTCCGATATTTGATCTTTATTCATGCTAAAATTCTTATTTGGTGCTAATTGTCCAGAAATGAGAGCATTGAATGCTTTGACTGGCGTTGTTGTAACACGATCTTTCAAATACCACTTTACATTCCGAAAACTGGCACTCAAGGCGCTCATATTTCACACTTGATGGAAGTTCAACCGGATAACATATGAATGAAATGGCCCTTGGCCTAAGGACTCCTTAGCCTAAAACAAATACTCGTTTTCTTTGAATTTTAATGCTCGATGACTTGCCAGCAGTCAATATTTGACCGTTTAATTACAGTATATCCAGCGACAGACAAACATGACTTGGCTTGGAAAAAGAAGGTCAGAGATCTGAGGTTTGGGAGACTTCACGAAAGCTCGAGATGATGGGTTCAAAACTAGTCTTTGTGTAAGAGACAGTCTCACGTTTAGGTACGTACTGTATTTTGTTATAAGTCCGGGTGTTGATTCTGTGATGAACTAATATCCTGGTAGTGTGTCGCTCTGCGTTGAAGAGGCGTCTATAACTTTTCAACAGAGGGAAAACAATGACCAGTTTGTTGAGTAAGGCAGCTGCGTGCTAGAAACTGGTGAGAGTGGGAAGAGTAGCTTGACGTTGATTATTGGTGGTGGAAATTGAGAGGTGGCATTTTTATTCTTGGTACGATAACTGAACATTTAGATGCCGAACATTCTGTAGAAGCTCAATAGTGACAAGCTGGTGTCCCATGACCCATAATGACGACCCGAAGCTGATGCATTGTACGTAGACCTGAATTCTCCACGTTGAGCAAACTCTGATGTAGTCTGAAGGGTCTCATTACCTGCCAATTCTATATATCGTTCAATCGGCCAACGTAGAAGTCTTTGGTCTCCGCCGTGGTGTTGTACCATTTCTTGCTTTCGATGATACGCAGTTCCATTTGTTTCATTGTGAGCGGTGAACCGATGGATGCTTTCAAATTCTTAGGCGAATGCTGCAAAGTGACGTCGAGTACGTTATGCACGGTTGCCAGGACACCATTCAAGTCCAAACGGCCAGCATCGCCAGAAGCTTCACGCATGTTATAGATGGAGTCGATCAATAGCGCAGAGAAAAGATCCCCTACCCCGGTGAAATACGAATCTATGACTGGGACTCTATAAACGGCCGCTGGCTGGTTCCGCATGGATGCAACGCAGTACAAGTTTTTCGGGTCCTGGAACAGTTCCACAGAGCACGAGGTGACGACAATTACGGGCACAGTTTGGTGCAAAGAATCCAGTGCCTTTTGGAGCTCTTGAACGGTCTGGATTTTCGCCCCGTATAGGATTTCGAGTTCGAACTGGTTTGGAGTGATGACATCCACCAATGACGATTCCACCAGACGCTTGTATTCCGGTATAACGTTTTCGTTGACGTACAACTCGCCGTCGTCGCCCATAACTGGGTCCAACAGCCACATCAGCCGTGGATCTCTTTTTTTCATTTCGGAGTGGTTTTTCGCCATGCAGACCACCGATTCACGATTGGGCAGGTATCCTGACAGCATGGCATCGTAGTCTTGGAAGGATTTGAGACCTTGGAATACCGATTCTAGCTCCTGAGCAGAAGTGGACGTTCCAAATACTCTTTCCATGCCATATCCGGTGTGGTTCGAAAATTGGACGCTGTTGACGCAGTCAACGTCCCAACCTTTGCATTGCAGCGGGAACGTGGCCGCTTTGTTGCCCACAAATCCGTGCACGACGTGCGACTGTGTTGCTAGAAGTCTTGGCATCGGATTTATCACCTATACAATTCTTGCAGATCGATTTAGGTTTCTTTCTTCAACAAGAAGTGTGTTATTTTACAGATAACAGACAAACTTGTTTTTCTATGATACACACAGCGAACACACTGTCAATGCATCACCAGACAATTTAAATCCGGGATTTTCTTGAGTCACAGTGTATAGTCTCGAACTTTGGCTCGACAACCCTGCCATATCTGTTTCATAACCTGTTTTTAACACTCCTACGACTACTTACCTCTACTTATCAATACCTTCTTTCATTAATTCGTATTTTGTCTAACTTGACCTTGCTCCAACGTTCATTGGCACTTGTTTCAATCGCATCAATAGGTATTCGAATTTCAACAACTTACTTTAATTTCACATTCGATCATGTCCTTTGATTCTCCGTATTGACACTTCCTTTATCGACTTGACCTTCTGTCGTGGTGATTCTTATACCTCAAATACTCATTTCTGAACTTCTCAACAGTGACCAGTGAGACACTTTGTGATGAAAAGCGTTCGCTTAAACAACTTCTCGTTGGTCACCTCGAGGTTCAACAACATCGCTACGGTCCGCTAAGAATAGACACCCTGTTACCCGTGGATCAACAAGGAATGGTAATTCGCTAAACAATGGGATCGGACGGCCGGTTAGGAAAGAGCCATTATATTGCACGGACCCGATTGGTCTCGAGCCGTGCGGGCCTCGAGCTATATAAGAAGCTGGAACTGCTGGAACGTCGAAAGCAGACGAATTTCGAAAGAAACAGTTTTGCACCGACACCCTTCAGATCCTATCTCTGCCTATGCCATTTGAAAACTTCCTGAGAGGACCTAACGAGTTCAAGACTGTGCCGCAACAGCCTCCAACCCAGCAGTATGAGTCTGCCAAGAGTTTTCTGGATTTATTTTCGCAAAAGGGCAAGCTGGTAGTGGTGACAGGAGCGGCAGGAGCCATTGGAGGAGCCATCTGCCATGGTTTTGCCTCTGCAGGAGCAGATTTGTGTATGTTGGACTACAAGTATGACGCTGCCTTGGCAGATTTCTTGTCTGAAAAATACCATATCAAGGCCATTGCGTACCAGGTGGATATAACCAAAGCCGAAGACGTGGAAACGTGTGTGCATGCAATCCAAAAAGATTTCCCAGACCGCAGCATCGATACCTTTATCGCCAACGCCGGAGTCGCATGGACTCATGGCAGTATTTTGAGCGAAAGTGCTACCCCGGACGCTTGGAAACGAGTGATGGACGTTAACGTCCAGGGAACTTTTCATTGTTCTAAATACATTGCAGAAGTTTTCAAGTTGCAGGGCCATGGTTGTCTGATTTTAACGGCGTCGATGTCGTCGCACATTGCCAACGTTCCCAACTACCAAACGTGCTACAACGCCTCCAAAGCAGCTGTCAGACACATGGCTCGTGGATTCGCTGTGGAATTCGCACATCTGACAGAGCCAGCAGGCCGGATTCGCTGCAATTCGGTGTCCCCGGGCTACACAGACACGATTCTAAGCTCCTTTGTCCCAACGGAGCAACGGGCCCAATGGTGGGGACTCACTCCCCAGGGTCGTGAGGCTTTGCCTCAAGAACTGGTAGGCGCATATCTTTACTTAGCGTCAGACGCTGCCTCATTCACCAATGGCTGTGATATTCCTGTAGATGGAGGTTACACCTGTGTGTAGATCACCACTGTGTATAGAACAATACAAAAGCAGAGTAAGAGAAACGCATGAAGATGTGGCAGAAGTGGAATAAACCAAGGATGGAGCGATAATACAAATCTGGAGAAGAAGCCTCTTACGGTTGTAAGATAAACTCCGAACTCCGGTGCTCATAAAACACATGGTATTGCTGGGCATATACCTAGTTTTCCGTTTTTTATTAACTCAACGGTAAGCGCCGTGGCGCAGTGGAAGCGCGCAGGGCTCATAACCCTGATGTCCTCGGATCGAAACCGAGCGGCGCTATATTTTTATTTACTGGATAATTTTAGTGAATAATTATGACCTGGTGGATCGTCAACTGGACTTTGATGAAATGTACAAGCTTCAACCACGCTCCAGTGTGATCAATTGATTTATCTTCTTTTTGAGTCAGCTAGTAAAGTGTTAACAGGTCGAAGCTGTCCTGACCACCATGGACTCTAACATCAGCAAGTATATTCACACCAGAGTGATAGAAGATGTTCAAGTTGTGCTGTTCACTGATGTCATGGCGGAATTTTCAGTCAATAGCAGCAAGGCCAAGACGGCAATGTACGACTTCTACAAAACAACGACTTCGAAAGTTCATTGTGTGATAGTATGTGCTTACAATAGTGGGCTAGTACGAATAGTGAATGATTTAGACAATTTTGAAGACAGCGACTCGATTTTGGACGCTTTTATCTATGCGTTCAACCCAATGGAGCAATTTTCACCTGTTAATTCAATGGTGAAAAGACCAGTGGCCGTCGCCAACTTCTATAAGCCAACAGTTGAAAGTGATATACCTAGCATAGCGAATGAGGACACCGACAAGAGCGTTAAAGTGGAAAAACCGGCTGCAAGCAATCGTTCTACGATCAGGGCCCACACTTTGCCCTCGAAGCTTGGCGGAGCCAAGTCACAACCACAGGATCCACCCAAGAAAAAGAAGACAGGAGAGCTAAGATCTACAGCTCTATTGCAGAAAATGCGTCAAGAACGTGAAGACAAAGAACGCGAAAGATTGGAAGAACTGCGAAAACGCAGGCAATTACAACAAGATCGCGCTAATAATGACCCAAAACGTAAGAAAGAATTGGAAGATTTGTCTGCAATGTTTGACAGCGACGAGGAAAATGCAAACGAGCAGGAACAACAGGCCTCCAGTGTAGATGTAAGTGAGCCTGAGATAAGTGAAACACCAGTACCCACAGAAGCTGAATTGGGGGATATATTAGAGACTACAGCAGAAGAATCGCTAGTGGAGGTCAAGCCTCCAGGACAGGACCAAGAGACAGGTTCTCAACAGCCAGAACAAGACAGCGCTGAGCCTGAAACGTACTTGGATGATGAAGGCTACACCGTAACACGAAGGCCCGCTCAAAGAGCTGCTTCGACACCCGTGAAACGTTCGGCAAGAGTTGTACCTAGCTCTGCTGAAAGCGCGTCGAAAAAGCCTAAGCAACAGTCGTTGATGAATTTTTTTAACAAACGCAAATGAAAATTGATAAGAGAGCAGTGCATCTTGTTGGAGCGAGATATTTAACTTTTAAAAGGCTGAGGAATCCCAAAGAAAGCGTAGAGTTAATTGTGGTTAAGTGCGTAAATATAGTCATTCAATTTTTTTCAAGACCATGTCATTGAGTGTGAAATAAATTCCAGGAGATGGCATGAAACAGATGTGCGTTAGGAAGTTGGATGAAAAGATGTAAGTTTGAGGGCGGGAAGACTTGTTGTGATGTTTCCAGCTACGACAGAATACCTAAAGTAACACAATACTCATTGGCTCAGTATCTGACAACTCTAATACACGTTGTTGACAGATAAATGAGCTCAGGGAACTTCCTTCGTGGTTGGCTTGAAACCACGTTGATTCGATCACTACATATTCGGGAAGGCTTGTCTCCTACAAGAGCGACGTAAGTCAATTTTCGGAATGAAGAAGTTAGAATGTTGGTTTTAAGGTGTTTGTTACTCCTTGAAACAAAGGTGAAAGTGTTTATACTCGTGTTAAAACTTTGTCTCTGGAGAGTCGTTGCCCGATAAACGGTCCCATATCTTGGGTGGTTCCATCCATTATCGTAAGGTGTAAACTATTGTTTTATTGAGTCACATTTTTCTCTCCGTGATGGATTTAGCATAAATGGAAGGAGCTCGTACAGTGAATAACACGTCCCTTCTTATATAAACTCTCGGAAATGTTCCGTCCCTGACGGACGTAGAAGGTTTCAAGCTTTCCGGGTGCAAATGGCGGGAATGGGCTGATCTAGGAGCTATGAGATCAACTGCAAATAGTGCCATTCGGTGCAATCGATATCATTTCTGTTAGATCAGTAGCTGTTCTAGATTCTGACGCTGTCATCGTGTCACGTTTTATGTGATCACATTGCCATTGAAGTGAATCGATAAGACTGGTTAAAAGCAGAAAGACGCGCGGTTAAGCTTGATTTACATAACGAAGAAACCAACTAGATACTTGGCCTCAGAGGCTGTATATCTTCCAGGTTAATGTACCAGATGGCATCGTAGTGAGGATCACGTGATGTACAACGATTCACTGCAAGTCAAAACATGGACCCATAACATTGCGGCGAATTAGCTAGACCAATTTTTATCCTTCTATTTGCTTTTCCACTATTAACACACATCTGCTAGCAAAAGATAAATTTACCGTGTACGCCGTGTGAAAGTGAACGTGTGTCGTCCTCTCGCTCACCAACGTTGAAATGAATTTAAGCTCGATCGACCACCCAGTCACCCAGCCACCCAGTCACCAGAAAACGTAGACCTCTGGCAACCCAGACACCATCCGACGAGATCTCCCATCACCCAGACACCATCCGACATAGATCTCCCGTCACCCAGACACCTCGGACACCCAGTCACCCCTACACCCCGACATCCACTACGAACCCATCCGTACACCCAGCCACCCAACCACCCAGTCATTCACCCACCCACACACCCTCGAGTACATTTGCACTCGTCGCTACCCTCACCCCTATTACCCTACCTCTCGAACTTAACAAATTTAATATCGGTGAAAAACTCGTTTTTCGTTAAGGGGTTAAGTTTTTCTCTCATAATTAAAAAGCCATCACCATACTGTGAATCGTCTTCGTCGTCTAACTGTATATATCTATGACTATATATATAAGTAGTAGAAAAAGCTAGTTATCTAAAGTAACCTTTTTATTCCCACTCAAAAACACACAATTGCAAAGAAGTGAAGAACAAAAAGGCATTGAAAAAAGCCCTGTTATAGACGGTAATACACACTAACCAATTCGTGTGTTCAGTACCTTTCGACAGTTGAATTATCTTTTTTTGTGCGGTCTTAACGCTGGTTTTACAAACGTTTTCTGACCATTTTTATTTTTTCTCATTAGTGGAACATTTCTTAAAAGTTTTGTTACAAACTGTAAAAAGCGCTAAGAACAATGACTGAACTGTGTCCCGTTTACGCTCCCTTTTTCGGTGCCATCGGATGTGCATCTGCCATCATCTTTTCGTCGTTCGGTGCGGCGTACGGAACGGCCAAGTCCGGTGTCGGTGTGTGCGCCACTTGTGTGTTGAGACCCGATTTGCTGTTCAAAAACATCGTGCCTGTGGTCATGGCCGGTATCATTGCCATCTACGGGCTGGTGGTGTCGGTGCTGGTGTGCTACTCGCTAACCCAAAAACAGGCCCTTTACACGGGGTTCATCCAATTGGGTGCAGGTCTGTCAGTGGGTCTCAGCGGTCTCGCTGCCGGTTTTGCCATCGGTATCGTCGGTGACGCCGGTGTCAGAGGTAACGCTCAACAGCCCCGTTTGTTCGTCGGTATGATTTTGATCTTGATTTTCGCCGAAGTGTTGGGTCTGTACGGTCTCATTGTCGCTTTGCTTTTGAACTCCAGAGCTACCCAGGACGTTATCTGTTAGATAATGTTGTTACGTACAGCAAGGAGTGGCCAAATCCAAGTCCCGCAGGCGAAAACAAAACCCTCCCGCAAAAAATCATAACAAGTTTTTCCTTTCCTTCCCAAAACATTCTCGAACCTCACTATTGTGATCTCCTTAATCGCGCTTCTTCGTGAAGCATTTACGTTTGGACATTTGTAGTAGTTATAGATGGTCCCTAAAAATCTAAATATAAAAAGCCTTTAAATGCTAGGAGTCATAACCTTTTCTTGGCACGCAATTGACTTTAGTTGCGTTCGAAACATTCTCTTTCTTATAGAGTTTTTCCATCATTATATCGAATTTTTATGACCATTAATTGTGAAAGCTGTCCAAAAGTATCGTTGCTTCATACCCGAGGCTTTGTTAATTCCGCTTACTTCATGAACTCTTGACAAATCTTGAAATTTAACTTCTTCCTGACCTGTTTGATCAAATTGCTCAATTCCTCAGGAAATCCACGTTCCTCTTTCCGGCTTTTCAAAATGTCGTATAATGCAACGCTTTTGTCGTCTTTTACCTCCAACCTGTTCAAGGCCTGAATTATGCGAATCACATCCGGTTCTGAAATGTGTTGCGTGTCATCCTGTAGAAATACAGGATTTAAAAATTGGGCCACCAGTAATGCCAGATACTGACTTGGTAGATATTGAAATTCTAACAAGCCGATAAGACTTTGTAGTGCCCCCTCAAAGTCTTGTTCTTTAGCTTGTTGATAAAAATGACGCAAGACCGCGTATGGTGACAATGTTTGCCTCATAGAATCTGTAAGGACATTTTCCAAAATCTCTTTAGGGATTTCCACTTCCGCGCGCCTACTGACAATAGCCTCTATTACTTCATCTTCGAGTGGTGTGCCTTGAATAGCAGATGCTTCGAAGATCATCCATGAGTAATGTTTGACCCACTCAAACTCACCTGCTTTACTAAAATTCATCATTGCCTCTATAACATTGTTTTCATAAAGGAATTTGTTACCCAGGATTCGATATATGGTCTTGGCAACTTCCGGCAGCCTCCACTTGGCGCATAGAGTCAACATCCACTCGACGTCATCATTATTTTCGAATGGGAAGTGAGGTAGCAGTTCTGCAATTGCTAGCCTCACGGCGCTGTTACTTCTGCTGGGCGACAACGCTAGGATACCAATTGCTACAGACCATAACAGCTTATCGTCGTAAGAACATAGCTCCATGGCAAAGCCGTGAAGCAAAAAACTAGCCATACTGTTTCTAGAAGAAAATAGATCATCTTCAATGCTAGTGTAATCACCGGAGTCATATGTCTTTGCATGCTTGTGTAGGTTGTTGCTTGACTCTAATAGTCCCTTTGCTTCGCAAATACCAGAGAAAAATGCAGCTACGCAGTTATCCAGTGATTCCAGAATCGGCAGTACGGCGTGGATCTTGCCTCTTATTATGTCTACACAAGCCTGTTCCCAGGCATTGCAAACATCAGCAGGGTGCGCATTTAATGAAAATTGCAGATATTCCTCTGACAATTGTAGTGTGGGGATATAAAATGTTATCAGCCCGCAGAAAGATTCATACCAGGTATTGGCGTACTGTAGAATTTTTGCTTGCGATCCGCTAATCAAGTGAAGCATGTCGCTGATAGAATCGCGCAAATCAAGATCCACATTAGTAGCACTCTCGGAAAAAAATTGAGATAGATGTAGTGCAGTGGCCTTCCATTCTCTAAAACCGGTTCCATCGTTGTATGGATATTCCTTCAACAGAGAGGTGGCATCAGTCAAGACGTCGAGGGTTATCTCACATTGCTCCTTTAAAGCCGGAAAAATTTGAGATCGCTCCAGAACCGCCAGCGCCTGATCGAAAAGACCCCTGAGAAGAAGCTGGCTAACGAGTTTCCAAAATGACGTCCTTTCGTAAACTTTGGTGTTGTTGTTTTCGCCGAAAACTTGTTCGATTACATTTTCCGAAGGCTCTCCATCGGCTCTGTTAATCCAGTGGCCAATGTTTCGGACTAATCCACCATCTTGGAAATCAGAGTCCTGTTCTGATGAGGTGAAATGGATAGCTTTGGCGCAATTGAGAATGGCAACATTTTCCTCCAGTTCTGCACCTCTTATGGAATTCTGTGTTAGCGCGAATGTCTCTAGTTCGTCCACCAACGCGTACATGGCCAAATCGACCGCTTGCGACTGCTCAGCTTGCGCAGACTGGTTGACGAGTCCCAATGTAGGAATCGAGAAAAACCGATCTTCGCCCAAGTTTTTGTAAATCTCAAAACAAGTCAAAACAAATTGCTTGTAGTCCTGTGAGGAGTCCAGTCCATGGAATACGGGTGTGAACAGCCTATTGTCTATCTTCTGATCTTTTCTCGCCATATTCTCGTTTTCGACGTTGTTAAAATAGCCCAAGCTACGGGCTGTTACTGGAGCCATTTGGAACTTCAATGAGCCCTGAAAACTTCCAGAAACGTCTTCTAAGCCGCCTTTTTTTCGTAGACCTTCAAAATACGTCTCGGGAGCTCCAGAAACCGCGTCTATAGACGGTTCTTTCAAAATTTCACTATCATCCATGTCTATATCAAAATCGGGTTTATTCAAGAAATCCAAACTGCCAACGTCCATCAAAGATCCACTGTTGTAATTTGTTGAAATTGAAGCCATGTTTTCTGAGTTTCAATGATTCTAATAAGGCTCAATGCCTTCAAAGCTAGCCTAAAACTGTTCCTGGATCAGTGAGTTCAACCTGTTAATGATCGATTTTAACATTGATATTTGATATTTCTTTCAACTTATTCTTATGTAAGCAATTAAACTGAAAAATTTCGAAATTTAAGCGATGAGCTATAAGAACTGAAATATAGAACTGAAAGATCAAGCTTGACTACGAAGAAAAAGGTGTTTTGACGGTAATCAAAACCACTATTTCTCTTTAGTGACTTGAGAAATGCAAGTTTCACCTTTTGGTGCGTCTCCAACGGCTTCGTCGGTATCGAAAAAACTGCGCTCGAAGGATGTTACCACTACAGAAATCTACGATATTTCAGTTCAGCTTTTGGAAGGCAGTATAGCGGTTCATTTCCCGAAAAAAGAGATCTTCGTGCTGGAACTGGTCGTAGATAGATGGAACAACCAGCGAAATACGCAGTTCAAGCGGGACCCGCATATGTGGCGGCTCTTCAATCAAATGTGGGAAGCGGTGGGCTCTGACCCGCTACGCAAACAGATATTCAGAAATCTACGCTATGTGCCGCATCTGATCCAAACGCTCGAGCTGGAAGACATGGAGTACACTATAGAGCTTGCAGAAGTACTGGCTACGAATTTTGAGCTTTTGAACTCGTGCTTCATCGTAGAAATGGCGCAGGACCAAGCCATGGCAATTATTGCAGGCATTCTCAGACTTGCTTTGCAAGTCCCAGAGTTGAAGCGTGTTTGGAGAGAGAAACTTTTGAGTGAAACATTAAAACTCACACAATTCTTGTCGGATGTCGTAATCAACAGCGCCAGCAAACTAAGTCAGAGCTTCTGTTCCAAACTGCTTTCGTCCATTTTGCAGTACAGTGCAGAATATGAAGACGAATTTGTTCCCGCTTTATGTGGCCTCATGGATACGTACCTTTTCGCTCCCGAGGTTGACAGTGTCAAACTGCTGTCACAGTTTCTAGCAGCGCAAGAGAGCGATCTTCCAGATCAGTGCTATATTATATTATACCGCAGATGTATAAAAGCGGTACCCAAGAACTCATTGGTTGAACTGGAGGAGATATTCGCACTAATAGCCAAGACGCGCCCAACCCTAAATTCCATTTTACTGCAAGAGCTAAGTTCACTGAAGAAAACTCTGTCCCAGGAGTTCTTGGAGTCATTGTTCGAAGAAAATTTCCAGAGATCCGCTGACTCTTCAGGCGAGTCCACCAGATCTTTCTGGGCAATCACAAATCAGATTCTAAAGCTCGATATTGAGGTGGGAATCATAAATACGACAAGGATAATGGATAAAATGACTAAGACACCTGTAACCGACATTATAATTACCGTATGGGATACCCTGATCGAATGTTACGTGAATGCTAGAGAGCTTCCGCAATTCCTAGATCTTTGGAAAAGCTACAGTCAGTCTCCGGACAAGTCCACTATTTTTGTCGATGACGCCAGGTTTCACTCAAAAATCACAGATAGAGTTCCTTTTATGTCGTCCACTCAGATCAAAGCATATCTCAACACAATCGCCGACGAGCTCTCGCAAAGTGACCACGACGTTCAACTAAAGATGAAGCTTTTGAATGTACTTGTCATGGGGATATACAATTTGTCGTATAGCACCCTTCCAGAACTTGAAGAATCGTTGACACGGCTACTCGAAGCCAATGAACACAAATACTCGGAGTATTGGACATTCACGTACCATTTTTTGAATGTCTACGCTGACTTTTTCCCCCACGACCGTCTTTCACAAATCCAAGCGATGCTTTTCTCTTCTTTCAATGGAACAGAATCAACAGCAGCATTTCTTACTGCTCTCATGTTGAGAGAGCTGAAAGATTTTGATCTTGTAGAGATATTGGGCAAATTTATGAAACGTTTTCGTCAATTCGATGGACTTCAAAAGCGCGAACTACTAAAGGATCTCTTCTGCAATTGGAGTACGCTCCTAAATTCATGCTTCAGTGAGGAGCACTTAAAAGAGCTGATTGATCAATTGCTACTCGCGCAAAACATTCACTTACTTGACTTGATCACATCGTCGGACGACTTTTTTGAAGAGTCTAGAATCATGGGCGTACTAACCGATAGATTGTGTGACAATACCTCGAATGATGATGTGGTTGGGAGGCTACTCAAGATACCAATACAATGCATTAGTAAAACTACGAGGGTGAAAGCTATCGATGCAGTGTGCGGGAAGCAGACACTGAGCACATTTGATTTCGAGCTAGTCTCTCGTCTGCTTTCGAACCCTACTTTCAAGTCCAGAATCGAAATGGACGTTACTGTTCTGGAAAAAATCTTGAAGCAGGAAACCTTCTTGTTCCAGGTAGGTAATCAAATCGTGGAAAAGGTCCTGTCTAATCATGTTGCACAAATGAAAGACGCTAGCAGCAAGCTTTTCATCAAAAATTTGACTGCGCATTTGACTATGAGGATGAAAACCGTATTCGACTTTACCGCATGCAAGATGGCATTTTTGTTTTCGAAAGCCGTTGATTTCGAACAAGAGATGACTGGTGCATTACAAGCCGCATTGACGAATAGACTATGTTCGTTTGTTGTTGATTTGAAAACAAACCCAGAAGACAAGCATATGGTCCTTTGGTCACTGCAGGTGCTTTACGATATTTACGAGTCTACTGAAGTTAGCTCACTTAAGGGATCTATTAATTCATTGACAATTAACACTGCTAAAAAGGTATCACACGAAGGCTTCGACGACGAGATGAAAGCTGCCTTTTTCTCTCTATTTTGTGGCACGAATTCAGACGAACCAACCTTCTTGCTGGCTCACTACATGGTTCTGAGGACTCATATAGCGAAAGACCGCATTTATCGTGCCATTGAAAAAGTTGTTATGAGAGCAAGTACCAACTTTGACCTTTTCAACGCCACACTGTTCGCAGCAGTCTCATCCATACAGGAAGATGATCAGAACTATACAGAGAGTATACTGGAATCACTGGACTTGCTCTTCCGAAATATTGCAAAGGACAATGAGAAAGGCAGGATGTTGTTTTCCAGCGCACTTTCGGAAATCAATACCCATCTTGAAACTGTGGTAAGCTCCCATACGAATGCTTTTCTTTGTTTCCTCGAAACATTGAAGAGCTTACTTGTTTGGAAGCCTTGGCTTTTCAGCCAGCACTCTATTGAAACACTTTTCCCATTTTGTCTTCGAGCGAATGCAGCTGTAATGGAAGTTAATGGATTAGAGAATGATGCGGTATTTTCATGCACATCTCAGCTCTTGTCGCATGTTTTGATGTACCATCGTTTCAAGCTCACAGATCGGCACCACTTGGTGATCTCGTATATGAACTCGGCTTTGGAAATGCTCACAGTGGGCTCACGTTACGGACTTTCTCCAGAATCTGCAGAATCCTTTAGCAGGCTTCTCACGATTTTCTGTGAGCCTTCGAATGACGTAAAGAACAATAAAAGTAAATCTCTACAGTCGCAGATCAGTCAGGTCAGAAAATCATTAAGAAGGCATGCCTCGGCTTTGCTTCTGAAGTACATCAGCCTGGCACTGGGCTCGTCCTTCGACAATCGCGTTAAAGAAGCTCTGACTTCTGGATTCTTTTCGGTATTTGACGTTCTCTCACAAGCCGAGTTCACTGCCACGATTGCTTTCTTGGACAGCCCCGGACGAATCTACTTCAAGGCCCTTTACGCGGAGTATAAAAGAAGTGGTAAATGGCACGAAGGATGATGACTTACTATACATTTTGTAAATAAACATAGAGTAGTGTCTTCGATAATGCTAATACATCTATAATTCAGTCTGTGGCAGCCTAAAGAGACTCCTTGCTGCAGACGATAGCCTGCTTTCTATGCTGGAATCGAAAGAGTACAATGGTCCATGCACTTCTTTGTGTTTGAGTCTTTCAAAACCCAAGAGATCTTTTCTTGTCAAAAGTCCTTCAATTGTGCCATTCGCTTCGACAACGATAAATTTACACCCCAGTGTTCGGAAATAGTAATGAGCCAGCTTTAGGGAGGAATGACCTGAAATTGAAACCGGTGAACGGTTCACGAGTTGTTGAAGGTTCAATACTTCTTGCTGGGTATGAACTGGAAACGGTTGCTCTTCATGGAAAATGATGATCGTGGTATGCTCAACATTGGTCTCAACTGCCGCTGCCACTTCAAGGCATAAGGCAGATCGCTTTAAATACCCTAGAAGCAAGCCAGAAGCTTTCTCTACCACAGGGTACTGTTTGTATTTGTCATTTGTATCCAAAAAATGGATTAGACTCGCCAAAGATATTTCTTGAGGAACAGAGGCAAGCACACTGGACATGATGTCGCGAACCGTGTATCCTTCAAGATGTCTAGCCTCGTCTTCTAGGCTTTCAAGAAAGGGAAATCCGTTGACCGTTATCATTTGGTCTGCGATACCCCCTTTCGCGCCAATAGATCTTAAAACAAGGTGCGTCACGGCTACAACAACCATGGATGGTATGATGTACGAAAACGCACCGGTAAGCTCAATCATAATGACCACAACAGTCAATGTCAGGTTCGTTATGCCGCTTAGAGTAGCAGCAGCCCCAAGAAAAGCATACGTCCCGGGGGTAATAACTTTGGGACCGGTGATCCACCGTTCGACTATCAGGCTGATAGCGCGACCAAATGTTGCACCCACCGCCATTGAAGGGACGAAAATACCAGCAGGAACGGAAGCGCCATATGAGATGATGATTAGCAGCGATCTCATTATTGTTGCTATTCCAAGGGAAAAGAATATTTGAATGAAAACTCTCCCATGTGTGTTTGAATCCAGTTGACAGATTCGGTGGGTCCATAAAGATCCGTTGTCGTCTACGGTGCATTCGTGAAAGAGAATCCCCATGCTTTCGGTCATGTCTAACCTTAAAAACTCGTTGAAATACGATATCAAAGCTGTGACTAAGGTCAAAAGAGCAACTTCCTGGAGTTTGTATTTCTGAAGACAATTTTTGCGGAAGTTCACGTATCGAATATTCCAGTCGCTGATCAACAGTCCATATAGCCCACCAAAAACTCCCAAAATAATAAACACGGGAATTTCCTGAATTCTCCAATTATTTTCGTAGGTTACCTCGAACAGAACAATTTTGCCATTTCTGAAGGGATTCATGTATTGCAAAGTGGCAACTGCACCCAATGCGACAAAGTAGGACTTCCAAAGCACAGATAGATTGAAATGGGAGGTTGTAGACATTTCCTCAAGCGCAAACAATACACCTCCTATTGGTGCTCCAAACGCAACGGCAACGCCTCCAGCTGCAGAAGCTATTAGGTATTCTGATTGGTGCGAGAAGCTGAGACTGCGTCTAAGCAGAAGGTTGGTAATAACGAAACCGCAACAGGTAGCATAATGAACGGAGGGACCTTCCTTGCCTACACTTAGACCTGAAGAGATAGCCAATGGAAGGGCCACGCTTTTCACAACCAGTGTTTTGAGATCCAAGAATTCATCTTTGTATTTGAAACCTGAGACCCAAACTTTGATTTCTGATATGCCCGACCCGGTAGCCATAGGAGCAATGTACCTGACCATGAGGCCACTTAGCATAGCAAAACTTAACGAGAGGACTATGAATAACAAAAAATCGGCCAACGGGTTGGTTCTTTCAATCCAGATTGCGTCTTTAATGCAGCTGAGCTCATCTCGTGCAACAAACATACGCTTTGTAGCATGGTCTTCAGTCATACCAGCGCAACAGAAAGATTTATTCAGCAGCCAGTTGCGGCTACAATGTCCAGATTTCCAATTGACCAGTGCTTCTGTCACCACTTGTATAGAACCTGCAATAAACCCAAGTAGTAAAGCAATGCATGTGAGCGTAACGATTTCGCGAAGACGGTTCCATAGCCATTGACGCCAGCGTCGCCACCTGGATTCCAAATACAGCTCTTCTTCCACCTCTTTGAAAGGGCCCTGTGGTTTACTTTGACCAAGACTTTGACTCTCCTCTATCCAATCGACCGTCTGAAAAAGTGTGAAGTTCTTAGTCTCTGGAATTTGCACAGTTCTGTCATTTTCAAACTGCGAAAGCTCTACCTGCTCAAAACCCATTGATCAATATAATATACAGGATAATTGGATGCTAAGAGAGCACCCACACGCTTTCCCTGTCGGTTTTAAGGTTGGTCAACTTCTCGGTGGATAGTCAAGGTCAATTCCATGCATGTAGTATTTCAATATATAGTAGGTGTCACACGCGTGCCAAATGATATGAATATGTTTAAAACACTGCCATTCATTGAAGGTGTGAATGGTATTTGAGTGGCTACGGGGTGCCTAAGAACATCCGAGAATATGATTTGTGAATTTGTTTATTGTTCGCCTTTTTCTTTGGCTTCTAGGGCCAAATTTCGAATTAAGCTCTCTTTTGAAAGATTTAAGATACTCAGGAGCCCGTTAGAAAATTGTGAACAGTTGTGAAATCTGCTGCAGGAAAATTATTACTACATGTGCTTTCTACGGAACAAATCTTAAGCACTCCAATTTTTCTGGGGTTTTTCGAAGCAAAATTCTCCCATCCATGATATTAATTCATCGACACTTTTAGAAAAATAAGTCGATAATGCCTGCAACGCACAGCTTAAGCCCACTGTCATCCAGCCTTGTTTCTAGCCCAATAAACTCCTGGTTTCTCCCTTCCATTCCCTGCAACAGAATCATGAGACATTCTTCAGCAACTGCCAGCGAGTCATTCTTCTACCCAATCCTCTTCTCGCCACCTTCCTCGACTCGCTGACGCTGTCGACTGAAAAATAATTTCCAGCTTTCTCAATATAAAAATTTTTTGCAAGCTCATCGCCTTTCTTTCTACAGCTCATCGCTACCTTCAATATACCTTTACGCACCATTCAGGCGAGCTTCTACTTTTGCAAGGAACTTGAACAGTCATCTCACTTCACCAAATCGATCAAATGTCCACCACTCCTAACCCAAAGGCTTTCCCATTGGCTGACGCCAACCTATCCCAGCAGATCTTGGACGTTGTTCAGCAAGCTTCCAACATGAGACAGCTGAAGAAAGGTGCCAACGAGGCCACCAAGACTTTGAACCGTGGTATTTCCGAGTTCATCATCATGGCTGCCGACTGTGAGCCTATCGAAATCTTGTTGCACTTGCCATTGTTGTGTGAAGACAAGAACGTGCCATACGTTTTCGTTCCATCCAGAACTGCCTTGGGAAGAGCCTGTGGTGTGTCCAGACCAGTCATTGCAGCGTCCATTACCACCAACGATGCCTCTGCCATCAAGTCTCAAATCTACGCTGTCAAGGACAAGATCGAGACTTTGTTGATCTAAGCTGCGTGTGTAGTTTGGGTTGGTCTGAAGTGTCAACGTTTAATTCTAGTTATGTGGAGTGGTCTTTGCATGAAGTTTTCACATAGACCCACGAATATGCCATATCTTAGAATGGGATGGTGCCGCTATAGACCCATTGAACTTTTCAAAATCTGTATAGTAAGAATATATCTCTCATTTTAAGAAAGTCTTATAAAAGCTCTTTTTTCACCTATCCCAAGACTGTCAGCCGAATATGCAGTTCTTGGGCTCATCAGCAAGCTTATGATCTGAGCCAAATAAGTGCATTTCTTCGCAGTTCAAATGCTCCCGCACTGAGGTCTCAGAGGTCCCTGAAGCCTCTATGAACTCCTCCAGCGTTCTCTGGGAAATAATGGTACTGACCAGGTAGCACCCTCCGTTGCTAGTATTGAGTAAGAAAAGTGGCATAAATTTTTCGCGGAGTTGCGTATACGTCCTGTTCAACCCGCCCATGATTTCGGCGCCATTCTGCTCTGCAGAACTGATGTCAGCAAGACTGAGTCCCGTTACCGACGGTAAACCAGCAAATTGTGCTCCCAAAAAGATACCTTCACCATCATCGTGATGCAAATACATGATGGTAACGTCCCCATCCTCATTGACAGCCGCAAAGCTCGAAGCATCAGAGAGTGTCCGATTCTCGTTGAACCCCATCTTGACGTCAGATGAGAAGCGTAGGTCTGAGAGGTAATGTGAAGCCTCACTGTAATCAGAAATGCGCTGGTGCTTTATGAATACTTCTTTCAGTCCCAAAGTCAATCCTCCACTTAATTTGCGTTCTGCAACATCAGCAGTTATTTCAAGCTCTTGAATTCCTTTAACCAAGCTATGGACTCCAATTATCTCATGCTGACTTAAAACTTTCTGTCGTTTACCCCGAGGCTGCTCATCACAAACTACGCTTTGATTGCCTTGTCTCGAGAACGCGAAACAATAGCCGGCAAAGCTATCCAGTGTAAGAGCTTTAGACACAGTTTTGAGACTGAAAGAGCCCTCTTTGGCCGAATAATCCAGCAGCAAAGCTTGGATGGATTCACCGGCAGCAAAAATCATTCGGTTTGAATAGTTGTACAAGGATGTGACACTAAACTCAACGCGAGTTTTCAGTTGCAACTCGATTTCGCCAGTCTCATCATCAAGAGTAAAAAGCAGGAGATTTTCTTGTAAGTCGTCCTCTGCGAAGTCAAAGCTCAGCGAAACTAGAAAACACCTCGAAAAGATAAGCTGTTTCGCAAAAGATGTGTAATTGTCTGAATATTTGCCCCAGAGCACTCTTTTATGAAATTTTAGAGCTGAAAGATCAGAGATTAAAGCTTGAGGGAACAACGAAGAGATTGGGTATTTTTGTGCGACCTGTCCAGCTGTAATATCATGAACATGAATTTCGGATTCATAAGCAATCTTATCTTGGGCTTTATCATAGCGTTGAGTTACTGCACTAGTAATTACGAATCGACGTGAAATTGGAATTGTCAAGTGCTTCGTGTAAATATGAGAATGGTTGCGGTAAGACTTCTTAGTCACCAGAAAAGAGCTGTTCAGGAGTTCTGAAACGTCACATTGATAAAAATTGGAATCATTACCCAAGCCTATCAAGGTAGTGCCAAGAGCCACTTTCATTTTTTTGAGGCGTAATGGCAAGTTCACTTCACCAGCTTCGATTTTTGATTGCTGAAGACTTACCATGAATATGCTATCGACACAACTGATGAGAAATCTATTGGAGGTCTGCAAGTCTTGGAGATAAAATTTGTGACCGCTGATTTTGAATTGGGAACGCAGTGTTCCATCTGTATTGTAGATCTGTGTGTTCCCGAAAATGTCTATGAATATGAGCCAAGTGTTATCTTCCCAAACCTTCACAAGGCAGTCACATACCTGAGACAATCCTAGCAGCTTAACTGATTTGCTTCTGTTGCTGGAAAACCAAATAGATTCTGAGTTCCAACTTACCACAGTCAATTCGCTGGCATCAGGTAACTGTGTTGAAGAAACATGATACGATGTAGAGGTGGCGCTTTCGAAGCCTGGGATGGGCAAATTTAAACCATCTTGACCCCAACTAATTGTCCCGTTTTTCTTAACAAATACTAGCTTCTGAGTGAATTTAATAGGCTCGACCAAAAGAATGTCATCCTGGCATAAGGTGAAGATACCATTCAAGTCAACGTGTAACACGTTGCCATATGTGACCCGACCAGTATCATTGTATAGTATGCCATTAGAATCCAACCAAAATACACCCTTTTTCGTTAGCCAAAAGTCTACGATTCGCAGATTAGTGATGTGAGCTAGAGGGCTCAAATGAATAGAAGCTTCACACGCCAAAAAGGTACATTCCAAAAACCCTTCGTTTCCAGAAGACCCGCCAGATACTAATAAACGCCTAAAATTCCCAAAATCTCCGGATACCGTGGAATATAGAACAGAGTCGATCCTACAGGGAATGACAATGGACTTTTTATCGCTCAAGTCAAAGATAATCAGTCCCATGTGAGTCGTTGGGATCAGAAATTGAGAACCACGCAGATGTATACAGTTATCGACAGAATCTAGTCTGTCTCGACTGAATTCCGGCGAAATTAAGGATGCACACTCTGAGTTCTCCTTTTTCTCAAATAAAGTGCTGAGCTGCAGTCTAAAAAACTCCCCCTCATTCGTACAGCCAATAAACTGTTGCGCCCGACCCGTCGACTGTTCTAATGCAGGGAAAATACGAACATCGGCAGTTTTTAGTCCCAATATTGCATTTAGACTCTTCTTGAGTGTGTCAAAACGTGGTCTCTGCGAAAGAAATGCCTTTTGGGCATCGTAAATAAGCGTAGAAGTGGGTAAAAAGCACACAAAGCCCATATTGGTTCTGGAAATGAGCGATACGTGACCATAAGACGCATCGCGAGGCAAAGCATCTAGGCTCTTACTCTTAATGACCAGTTCCCACTTGTTGCGGATCAAATCGAGCTCTTCCCAGATTTCAACCGTAGGAAAGTTGCTGTTGAGAGGTTGTGACAAGATACACATCTGATAGAAATCTTCGGATTCCACGGTATTCCAGCAAGTTGTGAGGGCCCGTATGGGGTGTGGGGATCTGAACATCACATCTGAAGCATTCTGGGATGTCGAAAGCTTCAAAGTAGTTGGGCCCACTGCATAATTCACTTTTATCACTGACCGGCGGTCCCACGTTACAAAAAACCGGCTAAACTTCGCGTCAACGGCTACAAGAGGCTTTTGGTCGTGCTGTTGAAGCAAAGAGAGCTTTGCAGAGTCCAAAATTTGCAGTCTGTGGTTTCTGACTTCGACTTCACCAGACTCGTAGAAAATAATGGCATAATTCCCGTTGAACTCCGCACCTGGACAAGGCCGGACCTCTAAAACAGTCTTCGAGGTTTCCGATCGATAAATCGGTGATTCCTGGTCCTTCAAATAAGCAAAAACGCTCAACTCTCGATTTTTCACCACCAAAAGTGTCTCGTCATTGAAGAGAAACGAAGTGACAAATATTAGCGGCGACCGTAATGCACTTACCACCAGATTTGGATCCAAATCAAATGAATCACTATCATTGTTCATTTAACACTTTCAAAAACCATTAAGTTCACTACAACTAACCTATTCTTTCCGGTTCTAAAGGGTCCCCTCTTGTATTCCATTTTAGTCAAAGCGGCTTTCATTTTCGTTTATACTATTATGTCAATATAATGAGAGTCGAGATCAAAATCTATAAAAAGACACCATTGAATCAGCTCTGATGAGGTATAAAATAAGGGCTGATTGATCATGGCTTGACCGTGCAATATCTCACTTGATTCTTTCAATGGTTTGTGTTGCTTTGTAGTATTCTATTTAGATCCTGGTATACCGTACTATTCGTAGACGTCTCATAATATAGCCAGTGTCGTTTCTGGTTGCGACGTTTTCAAAAAGATCCTGACGTTGCTGTGGGAAAAGTTAGGGAAGACAAAAGGAAGCTTTGCTACTTTGGAGAACCGATTTTAGTGTCGTTGGTAACAGATCAATACTTGAAAGGCGGATTTGCTGCGTTTCTTTGAATTCTGATGGTCAACTTGGCTGTCTTCAGACGGAAGAGTAGAAAAACCGAGCGGGAAGTAGAATTGACGTTTGAAAGTCATGTCCATCAGTCCAAAAAAAATGCCAGTTCTGGTGGCTCTGAAACGACCAAGGTCTTGACAATGTGCTGTTGTTGCGGGGCGGCCTTGAAGCATCCCGATGGCGAGCATAAGCTGAAATGCATGCGATGTCACACAACGATAGAATTGGCCTCCACAACGGAGACGTCCGCAAAACCGCCGTCTGTCTATTCCTATCGCGATTTCCAAGATGTGGTGTCGGCTTGTAACGAGGAATTGGCCAGGAAAAGAGAGACGTTGGGCGCAGCGTTTGAGAAATGTCATTTGCGCGACGCTTTCGTCCCACTTGAGAATTTCTTGGAAAGACTGTTTTCAAGCGTCAAGAACGTTAACAGTTTCTGCAGCGTAGCTTTGCATTACGACCCAAAACAAGTGTCAAGTTTCTACGCTGCGATTCTTCAACTCCCTACTAAAAAGCCATTCTACAAACTGTTGATATGCAGTAACGAGCGTCTCAAAAAACCACGAATTAAAATGTTAAGAGAAGATTCGGTTTCGAACTTCAAAGACCTTTCATGGATTCTCATGATTTTAGAAAACCCGCTTCTTCGACAGAGTCTCAAATTTGATCAAACTCACAAACCGCTGACGCCGCATATACGTGCAATTCAATATGAAGTTCTGAAACGGGCCATCGGTTATTTGGCACTCGTCAATGACTCTACGGGGAAAGAGCTGATTGGGTACTTGGCGCACCTGGGGTACGAGCGTTTTGATGAACAGGTCGATTTGTTAAACTTATATTTGACATTCCATTTTTCGAGAATTCTTCGCAAAAGAGCCAGGAAGGAGGCATGCTATGGAAGTCCAGACCTGGAAGAATTCTGTTGGGACTCGAAACTCAACGCAAATCATCCTGATAACGACTTTGAAACTATCCCACGAATGGTAACCAGATTTCTCACCAGCAATGGCCATCTGGAACGGAATTTACCGGCCAATTTCAAATTCAATTTAAGCGATTATGGAAACGACTGGCACATCGGTACCGCTTCAAGGTTAATGTACTTTTACTATCTCGTAAGTCAGCGAAAGTATAAGTGTCCGGTATCGCGGTTCTACAATATGCTTTCTGATTATTTGGACTATAAGAAGGATTATGAACAATGGAGGTCAAAACTCAAACCTTATTCAAACAGTGGATCCATATCATTTGTTGACACACTCGATGGTCTGGCTTTGTCAACTGGCAAAAGTTCAGAAACACAGTTTACAATGTGTCAGTTTCCATTTTTGATGACAATGGGAATAAAGCTCTCAATTATGGAGTATGAAATACGAAAGGAGATGGAACATAACGCCGAACAGGCATTCCTCAAAGCCTTGGATAAGAAAAAAGTGATTGACGTCTATTTGAGAATAAGTATACGCCGAGATCACGTGGCTGAGGATTCTTTACGTTGCATTGAGTCTCATCGGTCCGATCTTGGTAAATGTCTCCGGGTCGAGTTCATAGACGAGCCCGGTATCGACGCTGGTGGACTACGCAAAGAATGGTTTTCTTTGTTGACCAAGGAATTATTTAATCCCGATAACGGATTATTCACTGTGGTGGAGGAAAGTAGGTATTCATGGTTCAACATGGCTTACGAGGATTTTGGGAGCAGCCCCGATAATGCGTCCAAACTTTACTACCTATTTGGCATTGTACTGGGTTTAGCTATATACAACGGGACGATCTTGGATGTATACTTCCCGAGGGCACTGTACAAAAAACTATGTGACGAGCCGCTCACCAGAAGTGATTATTTTGAGCTTTACCCTGAGACCGGAAGAAATCTCATGAAAATGGTAGATTATAAGGATGATGACTTTGAAGATGTGTTTGGCTTGAATTTCGAAGTAAGTTATCCAGATGCTTGGAATTCCAAAATTCACAGAAAGGAATTATGCCCCGATGGGTCGAAGAGACAAGTGACGCGAGACAATTGTCGCGAGTATACAAGACTTTGGATGGACTTCAATTTGAATCGAGCAATAGCTAACAGCTTCGAAGTTTTCCTGCGTGGTTTTCGCAGGGTTGTGAAGGGTGATGCATTTCGTTTATTCAATGCAGCAGAGCTTGAGCTGCTGTTATGCGGGAGTCGGGACAAAGAAATTGACGTGAACACATTGCAAAGCGTTACGAAATACGGGAGTGGTTTTACGAAAAGTTCGAGAGTGGTTGTTTGGTTTTGGAATATTTTCAATGAGTTTGACAGTAGTGAAAAACGGAAACTTTTGGAATTTGTGACAGGATCGGATAGAATTCCAGCGACTGGGATTTCGACGATTCCTTTCAAGGTTTCTCGTCTAGGAAATGATTGTAACAGTTTACCACTTGCGCATACATGTTTCAATGAGCTTTGCATCTATGATTATGGCGATTGTAGGAAACTGAGGGACAAGTTGTTGATTGCAATGTATGAATCGGAGGGTTATGGTTTTAAATAGGATATGACGAGGTTATATAAGTGGGTGCATTGCAGGACCGAATGTGTGACATCGGCACCAAAAACATAAAAACAATTGAAGTACTGATACGGCAACAGCACTCCGACAGGTTTGTAGAGTAGCATGATAGTTCGCGATAGAAGATCGCAATCAATCTCTCTATGGTGCGGATTGGAGGTTGATACATTGTAAACCTACATTTGTTTATCTCTTTTTACCCAGCTGTGTCGCTGTCGCAAAAGTCACGTGACAAATGTCACACTTCCGATTGAAGTTGTCTAAGCTTTTTCCCACTGGTAATTTCAAACTGACGAATCGCAATGAATTGAACTGCACTGACCTGATGGCTCTACTGTATTGACATGGTCGTGTCATCAGTAGTCATGTATATGCATCTCATCTCATTCTGATCACATCTCACGACTGTGACGCTTGTGACTGTTCGATAAGCAGTATTAATAAACATTCATTTTTCGCTCCCGTGAAACGCAACTGAGTCGTAAGATAACAGTGCGACAAATGCAATGATCTAATTGAGAAACCTGCCAGAGGAAAACTCAGTACCAAAAAATAATCCCTCGTACAAAGTGACTTAGAGACGACACGAAATAAATTACTTGCCAATTATCCCAAGTACCTCATAACTTGTAGAGAATCCCATTCAAAGCTCAATACCTCCATACACATACCTGCTCTCACTATTAGTTTCTAGCCTTTAATCTGATTCTGTCCCAATATGTAGCTTCATTGTCGTGTAAGACGACCATTGAATCACCATAAACGAACCAATGAAATCTACTAAAAAATTAAACATAGCTCTCTAAGATCGGTTATTTCGGTAAGTCTCTCTAAAGTCAAAATTATTCGAACTCATCTTAAACTAAATTCTAACACATTTCGGTAACAAAAACATCGAAAAACCGTCGCTATCGCTTCAGAAAACACTCTTCCTGTCTGTACAGTCCTAGGTAAGTCGATTTCAGCAATTTGAACGCAACTTGAACGGTGGAAATAGCATTTCTGTGTGAGAAACTAGCATATTTATTAGACCTTTAAAAAAAGATGTTGGGATTGAGATCTTCTTTTAGAAGCTCTTTGCAAACGATAAAGGGTCAGTCGAGACTTCTGTCTTCTTCGGCCGTGTCCGCGAAGTCCACCTACAGAACCCCCGATTTTGGTGACTACATTAAGGAGAAGCAAGATGCGGACAAGAGCCGTTCTTACGCTTATTTCATGGTTGGATCCTTGGGTCTACTATCGTCTGCTGGTGCCAAATCGACCGTGGAGACGTTTATCACGTCGATGTCTGCTTCTGCAGACATTTTGGCTATGGCCAAGGTCGAGGTAAACCTTGCTGCTATTCCAGAGGGTAAAAACGTTGTGGTCAAATGGCAAGGTAAACCTGTTTTCATCAGACACAGAACCGCTGCTGAAATTGATGAGGCCAATAAGGTCCAAATGTCTGCTCTTAAGGACCCACAAACCGACGCCGACAGAGTGAAGAAACCAGAGTGGTTGGTCATGTTGGGTATCTGCACACATTTGGGTTGTGTGCCTATTGGAGAGTCCGGTGATTTCGGCGGCTGGTTCTGTCCTTGCCACGGTTCGCACTACGACATCTCGGGTAGAATCAGAAAGGGTCCAGCTCCTTTGAACTTGGAAATTCCAGAATACGAGTTCGACGACCAAAAGCTAGTTGTCGGTTAAAAACAAATATGAGAAGATTCATTCACATTACTACTGTTGCAATCAGAACAGTCTCTTACGAAAAAAAAAACCCCCTCTCGAACCCAAAAAAACACAACAACAATACTACAACTACTTTCCAAGCATTTCTTCCTATCTATCCCATTTGGTCCCTGGCCAATCGTCAAGTCTCGTGGTCGGTTAGCAGTTCAACGGTTTAAATCTCCTATCTCCTGTTTTCCAATGTCCTTTTAATTTAACGGCGAACGGAGGGGAAAAGTCTACTCGAACAGAATGGACGTTCCAACAACGGTAAAGCCTTGTTCTCGCAATCGTCACTCAAATTTTTCCCCTCTGAGGTCCATCTGTGGTCATAATGTGAAGAACTATTTCTTTACGCCTGAGGAGGGTGTTTTAACATTCATATTCAACCTCCCAAAATTCAATGTACATTGAACGACCCATATAACTTGTTATTTATATATATATAATCTTCATGATGCCATGAATATAAGCGAAATATGAAGTTTCTGAACGTTAATGCCCCTCGTGTTGGTTTCCAAGGTCAAAGGTCGCAACGCGTTCGCAGAAGGTCACTTAAATCGTCAGGAATAGTTGGAGTAGGAGAATGACTCCATTGTCGGAGTATTTCTCGAGCTTCGTGAACAACTTTTTCGTATTTGACGTCATCCCGCTGCGGGCATCTTCCTATCAATGGCTTTCGAAACCTACTTGACATAATCGCCCGTACGATGTCCTTCCTTTCTTGCGATAAATCAGTCGAATTATCAAGCTCTACAAGAAGATCAAAGACATATTGAGGTAGATTGGGTGGTCTATAATCCCGGTAATAAAGCAATCTCCACAATACTGACCAGTGAAGATCAACATCGTCTCGCAATTCTCTGCGCCGACCATAATTGGGAACATAAGCATTTTTCCACCTGCAGTTTTTGCCCAGTATCTTACGTCTGATGGGAACTAATTCCACGATCCACCATACGAATACTTGCCATAACGGCTGATCTCCACATCCTGCTTTGCTAGGAAGAGATGCGTCGCGCTGGGCTTCCCTGTCAACCAAGGACGTCTGAGAACTACCAAAGTCACAAGAGCGATATAGCAGTTCATTACACTTTTCGATGTAACAACGACCTTTCCTGCATATCCATGAGACCTTCATTTTGATGAGTTTAGAAATTTGGCGGAGAATGCGAGAGATCAAAGATCTGTTGAGTAGATTTGATACCTCAGGCATACTCTCTACTGCCCCTCTACTTCTGAAAGTCAGCATATCGTGAGAAAGAGCCGTAAAGCTGCTGAGAGCTGGATACTTATCTGAAAACTCTCTAACAACACCTTTCTCAAAGAGAACCCCGTTTGTGATTGCTTCCGAAAGTATCCACTGCAAGGATACGTTTGATAAATATTGCTTTGTATCAAAATCAGGTATCCAACCACCACCAACATCTGCATGATCTCCAGGAAACCACTTCTCAATGATATCGGAAGACAATGAGTCACTGCTTATGGAACTTCTGCAGAAATCTTGAGTGTATGTCAGAGATTTCGCAGCGCTTGAATCATTTAGCCTGCCCTCGCCTTCGTTACGCACACTTGAAGTTTTGGATTTCAAGAAAGAATTTTGAGGGCTATTACCGTTCGATGTCTGCATTGAGTTTCTTGAAAGTAAATTTGGCGACGGAGGTGCCTTAGAGAAAATTTGAAGACTTTTGAAAGAAGAGTTCGAAAGCCTGTAGCTCAAGTTGCGCCAAAATGGAGAAAAACCCCCATCTTTGGGACTTTGGATGAAATTCTGCTGTTGAAATTTGCCTCTACGCTCATCAAGACTGAGTGCATGTCGAACATGGCGCACAATTGTACTCCTAGCGGTGAATGGAAAGTGCCTATCGCGAAGAAATCCAGCCGAGTTGACAGAGTCAAATAAGCCCTGAAAGCTTATAACAATCTCATAGCTGCGAGAAAACGTTTTCTTGAATTCCTCAGCAAGGGTAGTAGTGTAATCAGGTTCAATTGGTTGTGCAGCATATTCCCATTTCTCATATATTTGCCAAGCGGTTGAGATAATATCTTCTAGTCCCTCATTAAGTAAACCTACTCTCTCGATCATTCCAGCCAAAATTCTTGCCACGAATGCTCCCCTACTGAATCCAAACATGTATATCTCATCTCCTCTTCTGTAAAACTTCATAAGAAAGATGTAGGCCGAGCAGACATGATTTGTCATTGAAAAAGCAAATAGGGAATCCACAAAGTTTCTAGCTTTCGTAAAGGTCACTTTCCGATTGTAGTTGAGGTTCGAATCAAAGGTCATTGCAGTTCCGATGCCCGGTTGATAGTAACAAAGCTGCTTTCTTTCATCACTGCTGTCTAACATCCGATATATCTTGAGGACGTTAGAAAATGGCTTGGGACCAAATGTGCCATCTGTGCCATCAAAGCAAAGAATTATCTTTCGACCCCGAACACCACCCTCATTAGCTTTACTATGCGGACTTTTGCAGGTGCCTTGATTTTGAGCTGTTCTACCATGTATTGTACCGCCTATAGTTTCCGACATTTACAAAATGCGTGGCACCGAAGAGCACCTTTACGTTCAAGGTATCTTTAATGATTCACATCTGCAAACAAGTCGGTTTTCTATTGTTTTGTAAAAGTTATTCAAGAGACAGAGCGCTGGCACTGACATTGACGCTGACGCTGACACTGACGCTGACACTGACGCTGACACCAAATTAGAAAGGTTGCGTACAAAGCGAGGGCTACAGGGATGAGCTAAACTCTTCCTTCAATGCCCACTGGCCTTCTGTTGATTGGAAAGTGGCAATTTGCTTCAACAATGCTCGAATCTTGATTATGTCTTCTTTTTCTGTCATTTTGATACCCATATGCCTGACAATGTCAGCCGACTTTGCAGCGAAGTTGGGTTTCTCCATAAGAAAAGTCCGTATGCTCTCTATGGTTTGAGCTGCTCGATTTTGTCTCTCACTTGTGGAATTTGTCTCACCAGTTGTACTGCCTTTTTTCAGGTTTGATAAGATAGCAGCTGAACCTAGAGATCTTCCAGTCGTTTTTTTCTTTTTTACTCGGCCTGCCGTACCGAATTTCCCGGTCCACGTAGGAGTGCCTACTTCGAACTTCTTGGTAGCCTTCCTGGACTCTCGTAAGGCAGCAACTGCTTCTTCTGCCACTTTCGTAGCCTCCTTGGAAATTATATCTTCTGAGGGCTTCGAATGAAAATCAATCACAGAATCGTGGCTTTTTACCTCCTCTATATTCCCGCCACAAAGTGCGTCCATTAGCCGGTCATCTTCGTTTTTACTATTTTGTATTTTGTCTTTAGCACTGAAGAACCCTTCTAACTTGGAGACACCAGAAATTTGAACAACTTCATCAAAGTCGTCTCCTTCTTCAGTTTTGGATTTTTTCAAATTCTCTGTCTCTTTCTGGACTTCGCTTTCAAGGTCTTCATTAGAAAGTCCCGATTCCCCGCCCAAAACAAACAGGTCCTGAAGTTCGTTCATTTTGAAAAAGCGCTTCTGTTTAGGATCAGTCAAAACCTTATTAGTTAGAAATTGTTTGAAAATCTGCCGATGATAAATTTTCTCCTCGATTGAACCCGCAATCATAAGTCTATAAATCGAAACTTCTCTCTTTTGGCCTATCCTCCAAGCCCTTTCGCGAGCTTGCATATCTGTAGAAGGATTCCAGTCAGGATCAAAAATAATGATTCTGTTTGCACCAGTGAGATTTACACCAAGACCTCCGACTCTCGTGGTCAGCAGGAAGACATCATACGGTCCATTGTTGAACGCATCGACAAGAGCTTGCCTTGATCCTATACTTGAACCCCCGTCCATTCTCAAATAATTCAACTCAGCTAAATCGCTGTCAGTTGACATGAACTTCTCCAATATGTCCAACATCTGACGCGTTTGCGCGAATAATAGTGTCTTGAATTTTTGGGCGTGCCATAACTTAAGTAGCTGCTTGACGACCTGCATCTTTCCTGATCTTTTAGGGTCCCCGTAAGAAAGCTCATGCTGCTTTTCATTCCTAACAAGCATATCTGGATGGTTGCAAATCTTGCGTAGGATGTCGATGCCATACAAAACTTGACGCTTCCCATTTCTGATTTTGACCAAGTCTTCTGAGTTAAGAAACTGAAGGTATTTATCACGCTGATATTTCGTCAATTTGCAAAAGAGGACCATTTCGTTTTTCTGCGGTAGGTCTTTTGCAACATCAGCCTTAACTCTTCTCAGCAAGTAAGGTGAAATTAGATTTCTCAGCGCAACTGCGCATTTATGACCAGTTTGAACCTGAACGTTAGTTGCATTGGCATAACCGCCCATGTTTATAGGAATAGCGAATTGTTGCTGGAACACTGGCAGTGTCCCCAGCCTTCCGGGATAGATGAAGTCAAAAAGACTCCAAAGTTCTGTCAAGTTGTTTTGAATTGGGGTTCCGGATAAAATTATCCTATTTTTGGTTTTAAGCTGTTTGCATGTAAGCGAGATATCAGCGTCAGGGTTTCTGATTTTATGCCCCTCATCCAGAATGGCGTAATCCCACTTAACCTTGAGAAGTTTATCCGCATGAACCCTGAGACCCACATAGGTAGTTATGAGTATATGACCTTTGGTGACGACTTTTTCAATGAGTGCGTCGCGAACCATCCCACTTTCTAGTGTACTCTTGATTTTTTTACCCTCATTGTACGCATCGAATGATATTTCATCAGGATTCGAGTTCATGAAAAGCTCTTCAAGTTCAGCATCGGTGAGATTTTCTTTCTGTGTCATTCCAGAGCCAATGGAATGTAGTATGACAGCCCGAAAAGGCGGCCACCAGGTATGGAGTTCTTTACACCATTGTCGTAGTACTGTTGCCGGACAAATCACAATGATAGGTCCTTTCAGCATCTTCGAATGGTGTAAGGAAGCTAGAAAAGCTATGACTTGAATGGTCTTTCCCAACCCCATTTCATCACCTATTATACCGCCGCACTGTTGCTGATACAGCTCATATAGCCACTGGACGCATGTTTTTTGATAATCAAACAACGAGTTGAAAATCTCGCCGGGGATCTTGAAATCGTTATTGAGCTTTGCATCCGGAAATTCTGGATGTGCTCTAAAATGTTCTTCTGATGCCGTAGCTTGATCATTGATGCGTCTTTGCTTGTTTCTACCCTTGAACCAGCTTTTCAGTCTTCGCTGATAGCTCAGTTCGTCCCCGTCATCTACTATAGTACTGGATGTCTTAGTATTTGTTCCGGTAGAAGTCTCATCGTCTGTCTCAGAGATAGCGTCCGCCCCACTATCGTCTATATAGGCTTCAACATCATCAATGTCATCATCTGCTTTGAGGCTATTCAGATGCTTATCATCATCGATTGTAAATTCCAGCTTGGTCCCAAAAGCTGTTTTTTGACCTATTCGGACCTGAAAGTCTTCCTCAGATTCTCCAGGCTGTCTGGCTGTGGGATCATCTTTGATCGTCCCACGACTTTTCTCTACAGATAATGCGGTAACCCGATTTTTTATGTCTTCCAAATCTTTTCGCAGCGGCTTGATTTCCTCATCATTAAGAGTTTGCAGCTGTGTCTGTAAAGTTTGACGGACACTGATTCTATTAGCGTTATTGATCTTGCGCTTTAAGAGTTCACGTTTTTTCAAAACTTTCACTAGGGCATTCTGGGATCTTTCTAGTCTTTTGAGTTCCTGATTCAACGCTTGCTGGTCTATGGCAGTCTGAGCACTGGTTTCGATCTGATTCTCTAGAGCATTTTGGGAGACAAGCTCGATGCCCAAGTGCTCGAGAGATGTCTGGTTGGGTTCAGGGTCCATTCGAAATGGATAAGATAGGACTTGTCCCTAATGTTCAACGTCTGGTATTAATGAAATCAGAACCACTAGCGTTGGGAAACTTTGTTGTAAAGGTATAAAGTGTAGCGCTTTTCGTTAAAATTGTAGATTGTCATCAGGTAGTTGTTAATTGCAATGCAAATAGACGGATTCATCATCAGCCCAATGCTGGTATTTGGAAAAGAGACAAAGTTAAGACCTTGGTCCATCAGATGTACATCTACAAGAGCCAAGGACTGAGCTCACGACGCTAAGGCATTCCTTCTTCTTTTTGCCCGATGATAATATAATATATTAAAGTAACGTCTACCATTCCTATTTACATGCAACTGATGGACAGAGGTAAAAGATGGGAGCCCAAAAACCCTCTTATGTAATGGTCTTTTCCAAATCCAGTTCCTTTTGCACTAGCTTTTAATTCTTAGAAGCCTTCGAAAGCGTTTCGAGCTTATGTAGCTCTTCTGTCGCACTGAAATTCCCAGTTGAGAGGTTCTCATATTGTTGATCATATTTTCCCGTGGACAACGCACCGTTACCTCGGAAACGCTTGGTCATGTCCACCATTCCTCTCTTACACTCTAGGAATGCTTTCATCTGTGCCATGCATAACTCCGGCAGGTCCTTGCTTAGTTCTGGGTCCTCTAGGCATTTTTTGGGAGTGTTCCGCTCGATCAAGACGCAAGGGGAGCGCTGCAAACATACAGCAACAGCCTTTCTTTGATCGTTACAACTAGCACCCATATTTTGTTTTTAAGAAACTAGTTGGTGTGATGTATTTTTTTTTTTGGGGATTTGACTGAAAAAGGTACCACTAGAGAGCTTTGTTTTCGTAGAGGTGTATTAAGAAGTAGCCAGTGATGTTCAGCAGCTAGTGAATCTTACGTTGGATGTAGCTTGGCCGTGTTGGCAGTAAAACTTTTCTTGCATCCGAACTGGGTCAGATAGAGATCACATTTTGAGCTATTCAAATTCAGATCATAGGCAAACAACATCACGGGTCCCGTGACCAAAGTGCTCTCTGGTCCACCCGATAGAAGAAAGCGGTTGGGATCTAACATCTAAGCTGATTTTTTGAGTCCAGAAGATTGGCTCTTCAAATACTTAGAAATATTAGACCATTTCAGACCCTACGTTCAGGATCATTTCAATAGTTCCTGACAAAAGCTTTTTTGTTCGGAGTGAAGCTTGTCTAACTCTTGTCGTCTTTCACAATTACTATGTGTCAGGAATTGACCTTGGAATTGTGGGACATTTCGCAAGCCCTTCCCTTGGAGCTTCCAATGCCATGATAGTTTCGAGTTTTCCGGATATTTCGGACATCGCATATATCCATCATTCCTTCCGGCATGAGACCCCGCACAAAATGCCACCTATCGCAAAGTGATCTTGGCGTACAAGAACTGATTTTTAATTCACAGCCTGCGTTCCAAACTGTGTTTAACTTTCATTCCGATTTGACGGGTTTGAAGCTGTTTAAAGCCTTGGAAAAGCGCTACTTTCAAGAAGCATGGTGTCCCAACTCAAGCATTAGTTCAGTACTCTTAGTTACCAGCCCAAGTATGACATATGCCCAGCTTCGTAAACCTTCTGGCTTCTTCTTATTGTATCATTGGACTTTGAATATCATCACCTGTATATATGTTCTAATATAAATATCAATCATCAGGATAAAGTTGATCAGAAGATCCATAACCTTGGGACAAGCATTTTGAAGGGTGCTGAATGCCTATAAGTAGTGGCTTGAGAGATACATGACTCTCAATTTCTTGCCAGGACAGCCAAACTCTACAATACAAACGGTATGCCAGAAAGTATGGCAAGATCATACATTACTTGCGTACTGTTCTGGGAATAACCTTATAATTCTATCGAATAATTTCAATCGTTTGCAAACGCTGGGTTTCGATTATGATTGTGTTGCAGTCGATATCAATTCGTACAATGGCCACATTGCGGTGGCTGCAGGATCCAAAGTGCACGTTTTCAAGCCCTTGCATCAAGTAATGAAAAATCCACGGTGGGTTGCTTGCATCGACGTTTTCCACGACGATTCGTTGGTTAACACCATCAGCTGGGGAATCAATGGAGAGCTGGCCGTTGGATCAGACTATCTGTCGTTTTGGAGAATCCAAGACGAATTTGGCGTTTTCAAATCGTCTCTGCTGTGGACGAAAGTACAATTCCGACCAGTTTACCTATGTGCTGTGTCTGAAGATTCTCAGGTAATTGCCACTGTATTCAAATATAGCCGTACGGTCAAATTGTGGAAAAGAATCTCGTTGGGCAATGATCGGGTGTTATTTGATTTGACGCTAATCTCACATCCCAACTTCGTCACAGCCCTTCGATGGAAACGTTCCAACAATGCGTGCGAACGCGAGAAGGACTCGCATGTGTTCTATACGCTGTGCGCAGACGAGAAACTGCGGATCTGGACTTACTACGAAAATAACAGTCAGAAAACAATTCAGAAATGGGGTCATTTAGACTTGGATCCCTTGAAACATCAGAGGTTCTGTGTTTTACTGGATAGCTGGCTTGTCCAAAGACTACTGCAAGAGGGAATTTTTGGAGATTCAAAATACTTCTCTGAAATGCACCCTGATATCGCTATACTAATGAGTACAACAGGTGAGCTTGAGTTTCACGCCCTGGAAAATCTCTCTCACGACCCTCCTAAGTTAATGAGCCATAGGATCGTTGCCACCGCTAAAATTTCACAAGAAGCGTATGTGTATGATCCGTCTTTTCTTTGCTTCGCCGAACCTCAAATTTCAGACCAGAGCTCAAAACTATTTTCTCTAGTTGTTCATGACATGAAGGGAGTACTGCGGCATTCGGTACTCGATCTCCAGAGTGTTTTGTGCGGTCAAAGAACTGAGGTCGGGATTCTCTTACACAAATTCACAGGTCACAACAAGTCAATACAAAAACTTGTAAGAAGTAGCGACGGAAAAGCAATGATAACCTTGTCTCGGTTTTCTGAAAATTCGGTATGGGTTCCACAGACTTTCTCAAGCGGCTTGTATTTGCGCAAGAAGAATATTATCTTGTCAGAGAGTCCTTTGATCGATGCTGTAGTGCTTGAAAGTGGAGCAATCACTTTAACTCTTTCGAAAGACTATAAACTACAAGCTTGGAGTTGTGCAAGCGATCGTGGTAGTAAAAAGTCACTTCTGAAAGCTGAGTTTACATTACAATCTTCCGCTGGAGCCCCTCTTCTAATGATTAATACACCAGAGAAAAAGCATCACCATGATCGTCACTACGTTGCATTAATTTATGAATCAGGTGAAGTCCTCAGCTTTTGCGTCACTTTTCAGAATGGTATCACTCCGGTGGCTACCAATAATCTCGATCTCGATGGCCAAAAGAAGATTTACTTGATATCTGCCATCGATCCCGTTAATTACGGATTTTTTCCGAACAGATCTTTAGTCGCCTTGATCACAAAAGAAGGTTCTATCCTAACGTTTAAATGTATTGTCGAAGATGAAAAGATGACATGGAAATTGAGCTACAAAATTCAAACAAATCTCATCAATAGCTCGTTGATAAGTGGTTCCTCTATTGATAAAATTTGTGTTGTTGACGAGTCAAAAAACGGATTAACTATCTGGGATTTGCGGCGAGCATTTCTAGAGTACGAAACAACTTTCAGCGAGCCTATTCGTGATATCGATTGGACCAGCACCCGATTTGGGCAGAGCATATTTTCAGCTGGTTTTGGAGATCATGTTCTACTTTTTACGCAACAGAGATATGACTACGCCACTAAGATCCCTAGTTATGCGCCCGTGGAATCGATTGACATAAGAGAGCACACAACGCATGAAATTGGTGATTCAATTTGGCTTACAGATGGAACGTTTGTAATTGCTTCCGGAAATCAATTATTTCTCAAAGATAAGAGCCTTAACATTAGTGACAAATTCACTAACCAGTCAATTGGTTCCCGGAAGATTTTGTCAAAAGATATCATGCACCTAAGCAGTGTTCTAAATGGTCCTTTACCCGTATACCATCCGCAGTTTCTAATCCAGGCCCTTTACTCCGACAAGCTTTCACTGGTAAAAGAAATTTTGTTGCGCTTATTTTTGGCTCTTCGAGAACTAGAGTTTAGCTCTGCTGATGCTGCCGAGCTCGGTGCGACGTTAGGTCTTGAATATGAAAAGTTCATACATTCTTCGAACGATAGCTATATTCCTGACGAGTACCATGAACCATACAAGGAGTTTAACAGCTTGGTCTCAAGCGAACTAAAAATGAAACTTGCGAAGCATGCCCTTCCCTTCATCACGCGTCATCAGCAGGTCACCCTAATTACGGTAATAGAGGCTATTGATGACATTGTTAAGAACAGCACAGCTTTGGATTTACCAGGGACTTTATTCATATTAGGAGTGAAGCTGTTTGAGCTTCATAGAAAGACGCAATCTTCAGTTCACGTTCGTGATATTCAATGGGCACAATTTTCGTCTAGTAAGAAGGTCTTGTTTTCGACTGTTCTTCCAAATATTGATTCCTGGGAACGCGCCCGCCAATATAAAATAGGTCTATGGGTAGGTTTGGAAGATTTGAAGGCAACTTTTGATAAAATTGCTAAGCACCAATTCTCTAATGGAAGTGGGCGGGATCCCACGAATTCTGGCTTGTTCTACCTGTCTTTAAAGAAAAAGCAGATTTTGATTAGTCTATGGAGAATTAGTTCCGGCCATCCTGAGCAACAAAAGATGCTGAAATTTTTGAATAACGATTTCAAAGAAGAGAGGTGGAGGAAGGCTGCCCTAAAAAATGCATTCGTTTTGCTGAGCAAACATCGATTCTTGGATGCTGCTTGTTTTTTTTTACTTTCTGACTCGCTTAAGGATGCTTCTAATGTTATAATGAAGCAGATGGACGATATGGCGCTTGCAGTAGCTGTTTGTCGCGTGTATGAAGGAGAGCACGGACCTGTGTTAAGCAAGCTGCTAGTAGATACCGCTCTTCCGCAAGCTATAAAGAATAGCGATAGATGGATGACGAGCTACATTTACAAAACCCTCAAAAAACCTGCACTTGCTTTGAAAGCGCTTGTTATGGCGCCCATCGATCTCGGAGACAACAAGAGTCTTGTTCATCAGGAGGATCTGATTAGCCGGTCATTTCTGGCCGAAGACCCAGCGTTACTTATGCTGTTCGCTCAAATACGAGGAGAGAATGATTTTTATTTGGCGGCATCTATGGAGATCCAAGATAGCTTAGAGTACGCAACAGTACAAAGGGTTGCTGCAATCTATTCACGAATGGGTTGCGATTATTTAGCTTTGTCCTTGCTATTCAATTGGCGCTTTCCTCATCAGCTGAAGAAAGAGCATAAGAAAAAGATTCGCAGGGACACCGAAAATCGAGCGTTCTCGACACTGGGCACACAAAGCCAAAAAATGAGGAGCATTTTTGACAAATTCGACGACTTGTCGCAAGGGAACAAGGAACCAAACACACCAAGCACACTTAACAATGTACCTTACTCGCAGCCCAAGAACTTGCTTGACTACTTTGGTCCAAGTGATTATAAATCTTCACCAAGCACTTCTCAACAGGCCACAGATAACAGCGCTGATTCGAGCGTCAGTTTTTCTGAACCTATGTGGCCGAGCAATGATATGACGTCTGCGACTTCCATCAGTAATGAAAAAAAAGAGGTAAGGAATTCTGCTGATAAAACGAGAAGCGCGCAGTCTAGCAAACCACGTAACCTGCTGGACGACTTTTTTTGAGGTGGGAGAGTTTTGACTATCGCGGCAGCACTTGGATCAACCGAAAAATTTTGCTAAGCTTTTCTTGGTATTTTCCTTGGCTTGGTCCAACCTGGCCTGGGTATCTGCGATCTTTTTATCCACCACTTCGTCCTCGGAGTTTAGTTCCTTACAAGACTTGTAGGCCGCTAAAGCCTTGTCAAATCTTTTCTTGGCAAAATGGCAGTTTCCGCTTCTATAATGAGCCTTCGCTTTATCAAACCGAGAAGACTCCGGCATCTCTAACAGGAAAGTTGTATATGTCAAAGAATCTTCAAACTGCTGAAGCTGGAGATAAACCAGCGAAATGTTGAGGTAGAGTTTAGCTTTTAGATCAGTAAACTTTAAGTTATATTCTTGACTGACATCCGGCTCCGGTATGAACTCGTTGACGTAGCGCAAGGCTTTCTTGTATTTGAAGAGGGCGCCTTGAAAGTTCTTTTGTTTGAATAAAAGAGAGCCAGAATTTTTCATAGTTGCAGACGCTTCAAATGCCTTTTCGGCTGACTCTTGGTCAAAATTCAGATCATCCTCGGGAAACTCCTCATAAACATCACCACCTATTGGATCATTCGAAGCATTGAACACTGGAATTCCCATAGATATCTGCCATTGTCCACACTTTTCAATGAAAACTGGTTCTTTCGGAAACCCATCAGAGTCCACTTCCGAGCGTTCCACAGTACGTACAACAGATTTACCATGTAAAACTTTACCAAATATACTGTGCTTTTCGTTCAAGTGAGGAGCACTCTGCGTTGTGATGAAAAACTGCGAGCTATTGGAATTTTCTGTCCCCATATTGGCCATTGCAACCATGAATGGTTCTGGTAACTCGCCTAGATTTTCATCCGCAAAGTTTCCGTAGCATCTTATACCATCCGGCGATTCTGTCGAAACCAATTCGTCTTCCTTAGCATAAATAGAGCATCCGCCTTTTCCAATCTCAGCGGACTTTGTGCAGTTTTGACCATCCTTCCCATAAACAATATCTCCTGCCTGGATCATAAAAGTTTTAATAATTCGATGGAAACAGTTATCCTGGTAAGTGAAAACTTGGTTTTTGATCTTGATGCCCTCAGAGCATAGGACCTGGAAGTTTTTGCATGTTTTAGGAGCTTTTTCCCAAAGAAGCTCGATGACAATGCGTCCTATGGAATTAGATCCAATTTTGATATCCAAGAAAACAAATTTCTCATCCATGTTGTGATTCAGCGTTATTTTAGAGAAGCTCGCGCAGAGTTCAGAAGAGAGGTTGATCTTGATTCTCATCGGCTATTTTTCGAGCTTTAATCTATGTACTATGGTGTCATTATGGTATACAGTGATGAAGAAGATTTAAACTTGGGAAAGACCGGGTAGGAGGTACCGCTTCAGTAGAGAAAGTCAATCGGTTGGTACATGGATGGCCATTATTTGGATGATGTTTAAAGGCTATTGGGCTAGTGTTCAAACTACTAACGTTTTGAAGAGTCAAACGGTTATAGATTTGTCACGTGATCTATTTGATGTGTGATGACACACTGGAGAAAAGTGACAAAGCTAAGGTTTCTACAGCGTCGTCTACAACTGTCCTTGTTACATCGTTTAGTTCACTTTTAGAGGTTTTCTCAAGTTCACGAAATTCAATTCTAATAGGTTTATCGAGGATCATAGAGCTTGGCAACATTTGTTTTCCCCAATTGTTTTTTCCCCGTACGAAGCCCCAAATGCCGGCCTTTTTTCGAATGAAGTTCGATTCTGCTATCCCGAACAAAACATTCGCTAAATTCACCAGTGAATCTAAGCATCTGTCTTTTTACTGACACTCTTCGTCCCAGTGATGTATTCTTGGCCATGCTTGTAGTGTCGTATATAGTGTTCACTAATCTCACCAAAATAAAAATATTAGACCTAGTGTTTGGAATGTAGCAGAGAGAACAACCTTTGAGAGACCTAAAAGGCCAATTGTTTGAGCCGTTCTCGCTCACGACTGGTAGAATTGAATTGTGCTTAGTATCATATTATACTCGAAGCTTTTCCGTTTCTTCCTGTTGTCAATTCGACCACAAAAATGTCAAAAATTCAGTACGATGTGGCCGTTGATCCAGTAACCATCGTGATCAAAGAGTGCATTACTCTCTCGACTGCAATGCGGAAATACTCCAAGTACACGTCACAGACGGGCGTGGCAGCTTTACTGACCGGTGGAAGCGAGATTTTCAGTAATCAGGACGATTCACTCGCCGATACATTTAATAATTTGTCAACGAGCAAAAATAAAGACCCAGTTTTATCAGGACTGGTGCAACTGAGATTGATGCTCAACAATCTGAGCTCCCTAGAATCAATCGACTCACTAACGCTTCTGCAACCATTTTTAATCGTAATAAGCACACCAACCATTTCCGGATACATCACGTCCCTAGCACTGGACTCCTTGCAGAAATTCATCGCGTTTAACCTCATATCCGAGAACTCTCTCAATCACATTATTGCCTATCGCGAAGCAGTCAATGCTTTAACGCACTGCAGATTTGAAGGTTCTGAACAGACCAGCGACGATTCTGTTCTTTTGAAGGTACTTGTATCACTCGAGGCTCTCATAAAATCCAAGCATTCTGTCATTTTGTCAGATTCAATAGTCTATGAAGTTTTGCAGACGGTCATGTCTCTGGCTTGTAACAAGAAACGTACCGAAGTGCTCAGAAAGGCCGCTGAGATGTCAATGATGTCCATAACAGTGGAAATTTTTGCCAGATTACGTTACGTCGAAGCGACAGATTACCAAAAGTACATTGACGATGAAGATTTCTCCAAAAAAGTGTTGAAGGATGATACTATTGGCCCAGACGTCGGGGAGACACTCCTGGAAAACGAGTCTAAAGATGAACTATCTTCAACGGGCAGTCTTGAACCGCAGGTGCAGTCTCAGCATAAAGGATCACACTCTATTGAGGAAAATTATGGTCTTCCCGTCATCAAAGACTACCTGAGCATTTTGATCTCATTAATTATGCCGGAGAATCAATACAAACACAACAATTCAACCAAAGTGTTCGGTTTGAATCTTTTGAATATGGCCGTTGAAATATCCGGTGATCTTTTCCCGCACCATCCACGTCTTTTCAGCCTTATTTCGGATCCCATTTTCAAGAACGTTCTTTTCATCATTCAAAACACCGATAAACTTTCATTATTACAATCTGCGTTGCATTTGTTCACCACGCTGGTCATAGTCATGGGTGACCATTTGCAAAAACAGATCGAGCTTACTTTTGAAAGCATATTTCAAAGTCTACAAAGCGATAAAGCTACCTCATCTAGGCCACGAACTTCTGCGGCCAAAGAGCTCATTATCGAGCAGATTTCAATCTTGTGGACAAGAACCCCTTCATTTTTTACTAAATTGTTTGTCAACTACGATTGCGACCTAAACAGATCCGACCTATCGACTATGGTGTTGAACTCTCTGACAAGATTGGCGCTACCGGAGGCTGCTTTAATCACAGCAGATAGTGTCCCACCAATATGTCTAGAGGGATTGATTTCTTTCATCGACAACATGTATTCAAATTTGGATGGCTCAGGAACAGATTTTTTGGACGGAGGTGCCCCGATCGATGCTCTTGAAGAGCGCGCTAAAAAGACCGAGTTTATCAGATGTACCGATGCTTTCAACGAAAAGCCCAAGAAGGGAATTGCTCTGTTGATAGAGAATAAATTCATTAGTTCAGACTCCAGTGAGGATATCGCCAAATTTTTGTTTGATGAGAATGGAAGACTCAACAAGAAGGCTATTGGTGAGCATATAGCCAGCCCTGACAACCTTCCCCTTTTGAAAAAGTTTATTGAGCTGTTTGATTTCAAAGGGCTTCGCATTGACGAGGCCATTCGTATCATGCTAACAAAATTCAGACTTCCAGGTGAGTCCCAGCAAATTGAACGTATTGTCGAGACGTTCTCGGCTTCTTACGTCGAAAGTCAAGAGTATGATCACGCGAAAGCTGACCAAGACACTGAAAATGACTATAGCACAGTGCAACCAGACGCCGATTCCGTTTTCATATTGAGCTTTTCAGTAATCATGCTCAACACCGATTTACACAACCCACAGGTTAAGAAGCATATGACCTTTGACGACTACACGTACAATTTGAAGGGATGTAATGACCAAAAAGATTTTCCTATGTGGTATCTGGATAGGATATTCTGCTCCATTAGAGATAAAGAAATCGTAATGCCCGAAGAGCACCACGGAACGGAACGGTGGTTTGACGATGCATGGAACAATCTTGTAGCTTCAACAACAGTCATCACACAAACAGCACACAACACACTTTCAAAGGATCGAAATATCGACAAAAGAGCACTTATACAGTTTGACAAAGCAATTTTTGAGGTGGTCGGAACCTCGATAGTTAAAACACTTTTCAAGATTTTTGAGGTGGCGTCCGATGACCATATCAGTACTCGTATGCTTACCAGCGTCGACAAATGCGCGCACATTGCCTCATTTTTTGGGCAAAGAGAGCTGTTCAACAATATTTTACAAACAATTGCTAAGTCGACGGTACTAACAAAGCAGCCAGTAAAATTACCACACGGTGCTCAAGATCTAAATGAAATACCCGTTGTCGAGATAAATGTCGAAGAATCTAAAGAAGTTGTTACTGTAAGCAGCCTGTCTGCTAGGTTTGGCAGCAGTTTCAAAAGTCAGCTATGCCATGTGGTACTCTTCCGCTTCTTGCAGCAAAACAATCAAACTGATTTGATTGATGAGGGTGTTTGGTCTCTAGTCGTTGAAATCATACTGAACCTATTTGAAAATGCACTTATTACACCAGATGTTTTCCCAGATCTTCAAAATACCTTGAAGGTTGGCAGGTTACCAAGACCCGCTCCTGAATATACAATTAACAAGTCGAAGCTAAACAAAGGACTTCTTTCTACGTTTGCGTCCTATTTGAAAGGTGACGAAGAGCCAACAGATGAGGAGTTGAAGCTTTCGGTAAGCGCCCAAGAATGCGTGAAATCTAGCCGCGTTACCTCCTCTATTTTTGGCAATGAAAATAACGTTAAGGGACCACTTGTGTTGGCTCTGCTAGAGTTTGTGCCAATGAAAATTTCTTCAGACAACAACAGATACTTCGAAGCCGAAATTCTTTTCGTCCTGGAACTTGCCGTTGCCTCTTACCTTTTCTGCAAAGATAAAAAGAATATTGGGAAAGCGGTACTATCAAAGCTAGTTGAAGTTTCTAAGCTGAAAGACAGAAGTAAGGCTTTCAAGCGGCGTATCTCCTCTTACAAACTTCTTCTTGTCTCGGTTTTGGATGAGCCACATGCTATCACAAGCCTGATCAATAATGACGTTCTGGAAGAGAATGCAGTCTATGGCCCTGATTTTTTTGCCAGCAAACAAGGTACAGAAATGTTACGCATGATACTCTCGCTAACAGAAATTGAGAACTATAATACTGTTTTGCTTCAGGATGACGGATTCTGGAAGCTTCTTCGTAGTTTCGCAGCTACCGAGGGTCAAACGTTTACTGTTTTCGAGTATTTGGATAACTCAATTCTAAAGAAAGAGAACACGGTCTCTTCGAAGAACTTTCTTTCCATTCTTGGTCTTCTCGACGAAATTTCTAGCGTTGGCGCAATGAGTGGAGAGTGGGAAGACCGGAACGAAAAAGTTACAGCAAGCGGACAAAAACCAGAAGCGGAAAACCCCTACCAAGAGGCCGTAGAGCTTTCGCTCAAATCTATCAATGCAACCGGTCACCTGTTGGAGATCAAGCGAGCGGAGCCCTTCAGCAAGCGAGAACTTTTGGGCGTTGTTCAAGCTTTCTCTCATCAATGTTACAATCCATGTTTCCAATTGCGAACGTTTGCGCTGAGTGTGCTGGAAGCAACCCTCTCGAAACACTCAAGTAAATATGTGGAAACTACATCTGTCGCCGAGGTATTTGAAAGTGGTCTTCTAAGCATAATGGAAGGCGACAAAAAACGAGCAAGTGTGTCTGACACCATGGCCTTGTTTTCAAAAGTTTACACCAACTTTTTGGTAAATGGGAATGGAGATAACGAAACTTTTTTGAAGTTGCTGAACATTTTTGACAAATTCGTAGACGATTCCTCTGTCGAGAAGACGTTACAAGACCTTATAGCCGAGAAGAAAGCGTTTGATAAGAAACAAAATGCTCTGAAAGAAAACGCCAACGAGATGCAACCGGTCGAAGCTCTCCCTAGCGGGGACGTGATATCTACCTGATGTTTGTAGGTACTTAGCTAATGAATATGGGCGGATCTAATGAATATTATTTGTTGAATGCGGTTATGACTGACTAAAATTGTGGTCGTTGTGATTGACTGCGTTCCCCAGTGACTTCCAATGAGGGATCACCTAACTTATTTCGCATGAGCTCCAAGCACAACAAACCTGCTGTAGTACCGGGAATAATAGCTAAAGTGTTTCTGAAGAACCCTTTATACATCCACTTGCATATGGCCCCTGTGCTTTTCTGAATGAAGTAAACGTGCTGGAAAGTATCCAGGTAGGAGTGATAGTAGATGTGAAATAATCTTTGATTTGTGGGCTTAATTTTAATTCTTGTTGTTGCACCACCGGCGCGAGCTTGGGTTTGTAAGTTGTTTGGAGTGGACAATTTGGAACTTGCCTTGGTGTAAATGTCAAAGGCTTCCAGCCTGGAAAGGTGTATCTTCTGTAATTTGAGAAAAGGATACTGAATGACTTGTAGAAGGAAAGCTGCAGAAATACCACCAACGAACACAAATACTTGATTAAAACGCTTCTGCTCCGTCGCGCTCATAAAATGCATAGGCTGGTGATCAAAGTCCTCATTTGAGTCGTCTTGGAACATCCTGGCGAGTTTGCTTTGCCGAATATGAAATTTAAGCTCACGGTAATTCTTGATCCAATCAATAGTCCACTGGCACACTTGTCCCTTAAGAAACTCGAAGACCGTGAAGTAGGTCGCGAAACTAAAGCACTCTTTAACAAGTGAGAGTCCAAAGCCGCCGAAACAGCCGACCAGTCCGATCTCCTGTAATTTTCGAAAACCATACATCCACAGATTGTCGTAGTTCTTGGCGTTAGTTAATAGTTGCTCCACGGAAGACCTGGTATAAATTGCGTCAATTGGTGCAGATGCAAGAGCCTGAGCCGCGCCAGCGAGGAACCCTGCACGAACTACGTCCCATGGACTGTGGTGAATGGAGCCACTGCTGCTGCTGTTGTGCGGCGTCGATTGGGAAAGCCAGTTCAACGTGCTGAGGTAAGTTGTGTAAAGAAGCACACCAGCTGCTGAATTGGCGATCAGTGGAGGAAGCACTCTTTCTGGGATAACTTTCCAGCCATATTTGTTGAGACCCTTGGTGAGAAGTCCGAGAGAAGTGTTCTCCAAATAATACAGATACCGTGGGCTCCATGTGTGTGGCTTGAAAGCAGATAGTGGTGCTACACGGTTCTGCTGGTTTTGAATCGCGGTTGTCCTGTCATCGCCAACCAACAGCACACGCAGATAATGCAAATAATCAAATCGAGCTGGTCTAAAGAGTTTGAGAGGCGTTCTGAGATAGAAAGAAGTCATTTGATATACTACTGAGCGGCCGCCTGCGGTTGTCGCACCGATCAGCGAAGAGCTCGAACCGGTCGAATTTTTGGTGTCTTCAAAGTCTGAGTCTCAGTATCAAGCATTTCATGAGCAACCAAAAAAAAATAAAGTAGTCAAAGTCTGAAATAAGCCATGCAGAATGCTTGCTCAAAATCCTGGCTATCAATGGTGCGAATTCGAGGATTTTCGATCTTTTCCCCGATATATCTATATCTCCAAATATTTCAATGAAAAGTGGCTCCAAAAAAGCCGATTGAAAAGCCTGAAAAAGCGCTAGCAGGTTTATTCAGTTGCTAGTCCTGGAAAACGCTTTTAATGACCAAAAACACCACGATCTGCCTTGACAGTTGATCAGTTTCTCGAATTCAAGATATTTCATGAAAAATACCAACTAGCTCATCGCCTATATAATAGATACTGAAATTTTTATAATATTCGCATAGCGATGAGCTAAGATATGAGCTCAATCTGGTTTTGATAAGATCAAAAGAGATATTTTGAACGCTCTTATTGACGTTAATTCAAGAACTTGTTGATCACACAAATTTTACGCTTGTTTTGAGATCTTTTGGGCCAAAAACCGTTGAGAATTGAACCTTTTTTTGATAGAACAGGAGATTATGTCGAACTTGACTTACGAAGCCAGAGCTCAGAAACATACAAGCCCCGTTGCTGCCAAGCTGCTCACTCTGATGCACGAAAAGGAGTCGAATCTGTGTGCCTCGGTGGATGTCCAAACAACCAAGGAGTTGCTGCACTTAGTCGACGTGTTGGGCCCTCACATTTGCTTGTTGAAAACCCATATCGACATTGTAGAGGACTTTACGATGGAAGGTACGGTAAAGCCTTTGAAGGAACTAGCCAGAAAACACCGGTTTATGATTTTCGAAGATAGAAAGTTTGCAGACATCGGAAATACAGTCAAATTGCAATATTCTTCTGGCATGTACAAGATCGCTGAATGGGCCGATATTACGAACGCGCATGGAGTCACAGGACCGGGAATCGTGCAAGGGTTAAAACAGGCAGCCCAGGAGACCACCCAGGAGCCTCGCGGGCTGCTAATGCTTGCCGAATTATCTAGCAAGGGCTCTATCGCGCATGGGAAATATACAGAGGAAACGGTAGAGATCGCCAAGAGCGACAAGGACTTTGTCATCGGGTTCATTGCTCAAAACGACATGGGCGGCCGTGAAGAGGGTTTCGACTGGCTAATAATGACGCCAGGCGTTGGCCTCGACGACAAGGGCGATAGTTTGGGCCAGCAGTACCGCACTGTAAACGAAGTGGTCTCTAACGGCTCCGACATCATTATCGTGGGTCGTGGACTATTCGGCAAGGGCCGTGACGCCACAGAACAGAGTGCAAGATACCGCAAAGCTGGCTGGGACGCTTATTTGAGCAGATGTGGGTCAAATGGAAAGCCAGAAACACTGTGATGAAGCTGGGATCAAGTAGAAGACGATGGTGAGGATTCTATGGCGATATAGTGGACCCTCGATTGTTGTTCTGTTTGAGATCAATGCCGATCATCGTTCGACAATCGATTGCGAGACCTTTCGTGATACGCGATCTTGGGGAACTTGATGCAATATGTCCATATATATTGAAAAAATCTTTCTAGCAAATTGCAACTTTCAAATGGTGAACTTTGGAAACCAGACTAAAAAGGATTCATCAGGGTCTTTTCACATCTCGAACACAAGCGAACTCGCATCGGCCGATTTCTAGCTCCAGAACCCTTTTTCCCGCACAACTTTACACCTCAAAATGGACGCACTAAACACCAGAGAACAGCAAGAGTTCCAAAAAGTTGTTGAGCAGAAACAAATGAAAGATTTCATGCGTTTGTACTCTAACTTGGTCGAAAAGTGTTTCACCGACTGTGTGAACGACTTTACATCTGCCAAGCTCACCAACAAGGAACAAAGCTGTATTTTGAAGTGTTCTGAGAAGTTTCTAAAGCATAGTGAACGTGTGGGACAGCGTTTCCAAGAGCAAAACGCAGCGTTGAGTCAAAGCATGGGCCGTTAAACTCTGTAATTTAGACTTTGCAAATCTGTTTAAATCGTGTATATATAAGATAGTAGTGCCAACAAAAAAAGATAATGTGGGGCGAAACATCGACAATAATCGGTATCGGGTTAAACGCACGATAAAGTGCGTTCTCCTACCATTGCACTCAACAGACCTTTGAATCTCAGTTTTGAAGAGACAAAGTCAAACGAAACATCCGCTGCCATTCCCATCACGCCAAGGCGTGTATATTTCTGATAGCAGCGACCAACACTCACTTTCCAGTGAAGTTCTCTCACGAGAAACAAGTCTACAAAAGTAGCCTTTTGGTACTAACCCAGATGTACAAGTACATCGCAAGTTATTTCGCTGTGTTCCACCGAATTTCCCACCTGCTTTGAGCATCATGAAAGATGGTGTGCAAGCAGGTTGTACTGGTAGGAATGCCGATGATTCGCAGAGGGTTCGAACCCAAGCCAGGATCGCAGACTGGAGCCACTGCTCCAGCGAGGAACCGGCCGGGAGAAACCCGGTGATTTCAAAGACAGCCGGTACTAGTACCAAAAGTGGGATCAGATGAACTTCGTAAGAGAAACATGGCGCTAACAACAACTTAGAGTTGTGCTTCGGTTGTAGCGTAGTTGTTTTTGGTCGCTCTGTGTTGGTTACTTAGGCTAAATTTAGTCAATCGCGTTGTTTCCCGTAACTGTAGTTTGTAGTCTTACAACTTTGATCTGTAGTGTGTAGTCTTACAACTTTGATCTGTTCTGCCAGCCAAACTCGAGCTTTCCTTGTCGTCCGGGCTCTATAATGACATTAAGTAGGGCCGGAAGGCCTTCCTCAGCCAGCTTGAAAGCCATTTCCAATGCAGTGTTCAGCTCTGGGAGACTTTTGACGAGGAATCCGCGACATCCTAGTCCGTCCGCTACAAGATCATAACGACAATCAGTGGTCAGACTCGTGGAGACCATGTTGCGAGGTTGATGTGATTTAGTGTCACCAACTTCACTCGCTCCATGGTATATTCCGCTATTGTTCATCACGATCACGACGAGTCCAAGTCGGTAGCGAGCTGCGGTTTCGAGTTCCATGCCCGAAAACCCAAATGCAGAATCGCCTTGGATACAAATCACTTTTTTGGACGGATGAGCCAGTTTTGCAGCAATTGCATAGCCTAGTCCCACACCCATAGTTGCGTTGGTGCCTGCATCAAGTCTTTGCTTCGGATAATCGGTGGGGAACGATATTCTGGCCACATCCATTGTGTTGGCACCTTCGCTCACGATAAAAGTGTTTCTATCCACAATATGCCTCCGAATTAGTGCATAAACCTGATTATAATTCAATTTAGCGGTGACTGCTTCTTCTTTCGCACGTAGTTTGCCCTGATTTGCTACTATGTTCTTGCGTATATCTGCAGTAACACCAGAAGAGCTAAAGGAGCCCAGTGAAAGGGTCAATTTGCGTAACGTGTGGCCAATATCTCCACATAAGGAGTACGTCAAGCCAAGACGGTTGTTGTGACCCAAATCCTCCGCTGTGGTATCGACCTGAATAAAAATGGCCGATTTTTTCCATTTAGGAGCCTCTCCAAAATGTAAAATCCAGTTTAGTCTTGCTCCAAGCACCAGTACGACATCTGCAGAGCGTAGTGCAAGTGACCTGGCTGATGATACGTTCAAATTGCTAGAATCGGGGACTACACCCTTTGCCATCGGTGTGGGCAAGAAGGGAATTTGAAACTTTTGAACAAATGCACGAACCTCGCCCGCGGAGTCCGTAGCGCCCTTTCCGATCACACACAAGATGTTTTTGGAAGAGCGTAGTGTTTTGGCCACAGCTTTCAAATCGGCGTCCGGAGGTTGAAACTTGACTGCACGTAACGGCCTAGGAGACCGAGGTCGGATTTCCAAGCATTTTTGCGCGAACACATTCCCCGGAATATCCAAATACGATACGCCTGGTGTACCCAAACTGGCCTGCCTTAAAGCGTTATACAAGGTTTCGTCCACATTTGAGCTGTCCAATCGAGCCGTGAATTTGATGTACGGGGTGAGCAACGAAACTTGGTCTAATTCCTGGAATCCACCTCGATTTGTATCCTCGCTGCTTCCAGCTATAACCAGCAAGGGCCATTTATTGGATATCGAGTTGTACACGCCAGCCAAAGCGTGGATTACGCCGGGTCCACCCACCGTAAGTAGCACCGCTGGCTTGCCTGTCAAAAACCCGTATGCAGAAGCCGCGTATGATGCTGCTTGTTCGTTTCTAAACCCATAAAACTTGATTTTACCTTTTGAAATTACGGTATCTGCCAATTCCACAACTGGGATCCCAACTATACCAAAAATGACATCTACACCATAGCTAGAAAGGGCATCAGAAAGATACTCGGGAAATGAAGACATCGCGTCAAACAACGGGAGCTTAGAACCGCTTTCCTAAAGCTTAAATGATGGTTTTCAGTGTTGAGTTTGTCACTTTCAAGATGCTAAAGTTGATGAACTTCCCTTTAATTATAAGAAGTCTTGGTAGAGTTAAGATGAAATTAACGAAAAATGGCTAACACTGACCTTGAAGCCTGTTCAGAAGGTCAATGGCTAGTTATATATGATCTTGTAGCCGCGTAGTCTAATCCTTGAAATTTTGAACTTTTCCCCAGTCTATTTACCTTGCTTTTTCGTCACAATTCGATTGAACCTCCAGCACTTCTCGAGAACGGAATGGCATCTCGGATGTTGTGGGCACCGAAAAGCCAGGCAACAAAGCGCTCGAGTCCCAGACCAAATCCACCATGAGGCGCACTGCCGTTCCGTCGCAAATCCGTGTACCAGGCAAGATCCTCGTGGTTCATATTCCTGCGCGACATCTCCTGCAAAAGGGTCTCGTAGTTGTCCTCACGGACGCTTCCACCGATGAGTTCACCCATTTGTGGAACAAGGAGATCGAAGCATGCAACTGTGCGACCGTCGGTGTTCTGCTTCATGTAGAAGGCCTTGCAAGAACGTGGATAATCGGTGATGAAAACGGGCGAGTCCAAATGCGCAGCAAGCCACTTTTCATGCTCCGTCTGCAAATCTTGACCCCACACGGGTTCGAATGAGAACGGTTGGGAAACATGCTGGCCTTGAAGCAGCGTTATTGCTTCGGAATACGTAAGACGTGGCCATTGGCCACGCGCCAATAGTGCTTCCCACCGCTCGACTACAACTTTGACGTCTTCGGCATTGGATCCAATGGGTACCAACGCTGGTAACAGATCTTGTTGTCGATCGATACACCGCTGCGCCACGTATTTGAGCATCGTTTCCGCAAAGACGGTAAGATCGTAAACGTTATCGATAAAACTCAACTCTGTTTCTAGCATCCAAAACTCGGCGAGATGACGATTCGTATCGCTCTCTTCGGCACGAAAACAAGGCGAAAGCGTCCAGCAGCGGCCAAGTGCTGCTGCCAAAACTTCCAAATGCAATTGTGTCGACACAGTAAGGTAGGTTTCTTGTCCAAAATACTGAGCCATTTGACCCCACCGTGCACGAGACTCTACGCGGAAAAGCTCACCTGCACCCTCACAATCGCCAGATGTTAAAATTGGGGGAGCCACTTTGGTGCAGTCGTGCAACTCGAAAAACTGGGTCAAAGCTACCTCTACGTGGGACCGAAATCGCAGTAATGCGCCTAAATAATGGGATCTGTGCTTGAGCGTCGGTTGTGTGCGTAGAAATGATAGCGAATGGCTCTTTTTCTGCAGCGGATAAGATGCAGGCACATCTCCCACTATTCTTACCGCATCTTCAGCGGCTTGCAGCTCGAAGGGCTGCTGCCGCGTGGGCGTAGGCATCCACACAGCACTATTCACCGTGACTGATTGGCCCGTTTTCAATTTTCGAAGATGGTCTTCTGAAGAGCTTTCCGAACCAACCCCAGCACGCTGCACCACCAGTTTCAAGGTGTGCGGCGTAGTACCATCCTGAAGGTCCACGAATGCCATGTTTTTCATCAATCGCACCGACTTGATCCATCCTTGCACGTTTTCGACCGTTTCTGGATCATTAGAGCCGCTACGAGCACGATTGAAAAAGGATTTGAAAGTACGTGGCAGCGTCGACGGCACACCGTTAACCAATCTGCTCATTTCGTCTTGCAATGATCTCTTTCCTTCTGTTTTTGAAACTTTTTTCCAGTTTACACTTCTAGTGCTGAAAAATTTCGATGTCCATGCGATGAGCTAGAAAACCTACCGAACACTCACAGCGTGGGAATTGAAAAAGCTTCATTTTTAGCTTTGTGAGTCTCTTGAACCTTCGACACTCGACATCTCATTTCCATAACTTGATCTGGAACCAGGTCGCGACCTGAGAGTTTTTGATCGCACCCTGGAATCGGACAATCTTTACTTGGCTGGCCTTGTAGATACTGCTGGAAACCTTCGAATTCGAAAACATGGCCGCACTTGCGGGAAACCATGGGTTTCTCAAATGGCTTGCACGTAATCGGGCAAGTCAATTCGATGCGACCTCCAGCAATTTGTAGTTCATCGTCATCATCGTCGTCGTTAGATTTAGGGTCCGGTACTACGCTGTGTGGGTCACGTAAAATGTAAGGTATAGCGTGGAACAAGATCGAAGTCTGGTCTTTCGATACCGTAGGATTGCGACCGGGAGTTTCTGCAAACACCTGGTGCAGCTGGGGTGCTTGCAAAGCACCTTCTCGATACATATCCCAATTTTCCCATGTCACTTCTGGCAATTCGTTGCAACTGGCTACATAGCGAGCCCGGGTATCACTGACGCGCGAAGCAAGTATGCTTTGGCGTTGCTGCAGCGTCTGGAAGTCTTTGTAAGCTTCACTTAAAGCCAGAACCGTCTTGTCCATCATGTTCCCCTCTTCAACAGCCTCCGTCAAGGTTTGACTGAAATGGCCCCGTATATCGTTGAAAAGACCGCTAAGATCGCGAGGTTTCCACTCCTGCAATTCCTGAGCCACTTCTCGATGCAATGGCACCGCTTCGGGTACGCTGTGTGGTCCTGAAGATACCATTTTCTGTGATGGCTTTTCTAGATGAGTTCTTGCAAGATCTGGTTAACTTTCCAAACTTGACCAAACTTGAGCTAACTTGACCGAACTCCACAAAAGATCCCGATCAAAGAGCTTTGTGCAATGGATGAGATTATCGTGTTGCAAACGCTGTATACACTGCTGGTTCAAAACAAGACCAACCGAGTCTCACTGGTGCGATTGCAGACGGAGATCAACGAAAATGCTTTGATGAAAAGACTGGTTCCAGCAACAGGGAAAACAGTCGTGTCAGTACACGAAACGCTTGAGCTGATCAAGAAGCTGTTTCCGAAAAAGACGTCGTTGACAGAGGGACAACTGACTTTTTACAATTTGAACCTTACAGAGATGCGAGAACAGTTGTTGGAACGGTATAGTACCTTGCGAGACGAATGGGCCACCCGAATCGCAGAAACAGAGCCTGCGATTGAAACGCTACTCAAGGATAAGACGACATCTCAAAGAACCCGGCTGCTGGTTCTATGTCGAGACACACTATTGAACAAATTCGAAGAACACAGTAGGGCAAGGATGTATGCGAAGAGCATAGGAGGCGATGGTGTACGAGAGCCCTTGGACTTGGAAGGGATCCGCAAACGAACACCGGCCAGCATTTTGGAATTGCAAGCATGGTTGCAGATGTGTGTGGCTAATGCAACAATGTGGTATACAAGCGGAAGTGAAGAATGGAAGGGTGCAAGGGAGAGTCAAGGTGAGCTGGACGAGACCATCGGTTTTGTGAGAAGTGTTTTGGAGTGACTGGGGGACCTGTAAAGTCTACAATGGAGCTTTGAACATTGTCTTTATGTGAGTGTCACTGGAGCGTCAACTTATGTGCTCAGGAAGAGTTCTACTCTCTCTTGGTTCCGGTTTTCAAGATGAAGAGGCTACTTGGCTGGTCACTGCTACGGTCAAGTGTTCTGACCTTGACTCTCGACTCTTGCAGCTGGATTAATTTTGGCTCGATTGACGTCTTGCTGGTATTTCACGATATCGATAATTGAAACCGTCAAAGATGTCTCGTTTGCCAAGTTTAAACCTACTGCTGCAGCTGTTATTTCGGTATTTTACGAGTTACTGTCGTTCCATCGCTGCGATTTTCAATGACAAGCGGTATGAACTGCGATTGTTGAGCAATATGTGTACTTGTGGTGGTACCACATTGCAATGCGGTCTTACCTGGCTATAGGAGCCATTAGTCTCGTGGAAAGCTGTGTTTCTGGATGTTTTCCCAAGTGACAGGCTGCGAGTTACGTTTTTCTTCTCAAGATAGGATATTGTTCACACAATCTCGGAATTTTACTGGCTCACGATCGTCTCCATTTCCAGAAAATCAGGTTTTTTACTACTGTAAAGCCCAAGCCCTAGTGTCCAGAATGAGCATCTAAGGTGTGGTAACGAACCATCAATAGTTGCAAATGTCGTTGCCTCTTACACGACGACTAACGGACCCAGAAAGACGCGGTGAAAGCTATAAAAAAGGTCAAAGAGCTGAATTGAATACATTGTGCTCGAATGATCTAATCCGTTGTAAAGAGGGAATAGGTTTGGGATGTGTAAAGTGTCCGGTTCGTCGTAACCACCGCCGGGTCACGTGGGGTGTCCCCGAGAGTATATCTACAAAATGATAATTCAACTAGGATCTCGAACTTTTAAGACAGACCCGGTCCTAATCGATGGGGAATTATCATAGATAGCTCCTTCTATCTCTAAAGAAACATTTGTAACTTAAAAAATGGGATTGTATTCTTGTCCTATCCCACATTGGAACATCGCGCTCACGTTCTCTTCCAAAAAGGCGAAACTACTCGACGGTCTCCAGAATGCAATGATCTACGAGCTACGCACAGCTACGCACAGCTACGTCTAAATAAACTTCGGACTATTTTTGATGGCCATGGCAAATTAAACGTACACACATACAAAATAAACACTCGGTTGCCACCATTAACACGCAGTCGAAGCCTGTTCTTGGCAAAAGGAAAAAACACGTCTCTTAACACTCAGTCCCTAGGGAAAGTCCAGCGTCTTGGGTTCAAAAAAAAACAATATGCAAGTCGTCCACACACACACAGAGAACGACCAACACCAAATACGCAGAAGACAGAACCTCTCAAAAAAGAGTGCAGATTTTAGACAAACGAGCTTATCCAAATAAGGTCCAAAAACAGTCTCACAACCCACTTTCATAAAGCAAAAAAAAAGGGTCACAATACACCACGTCAACGTCACACAAAACGTCAAACGCACACGTAACACGTTAACACCAAACACGCACACGCACACACACACACACACACACACACTCTATTCAATTTCTAGTCCATATTGTTCCAGTCACACTCACCAACGGCGCCCAGTCGTTCTTCATCTCCTACAGAATAACACACTTTACTCTGTAGTAGCTTAGAACTTCTGCAAACCCTTCTTTCTGGCTTGTAGCTTGTTGTAAATAACAGTACTGATGATGGCAATGGCGGCCAATCCGACTAGGACAAACACCAAGATAACACCGGCTGGCAACATTTTTGGTTTATGGTTTGAGTGTGTGAAACGTTTAGAGTGTGTGTGTGCTGTGACACCGAGAGAAAATATAAGCGAATCCTATGTAAACCCCAAACATGTAACCATGGGTAAGAGTCTTACGAGGCCAAACCTCGAGCCTTTTATACCCGAAAAATTTAGAAAAAAAAATTAGGGGTCAACAGTTTTGTGTACCGGCTCTCCGAGTGGCACGTGATGATTCTTAAAGGTTTCTGACCAATCAAATTCGCTGTTGCTAGAAAAAGCCGCGGGTTTTTGACCAAACGAGTGAATTTCTAAATGATAACAAACACAAAGAAGAAACAAATCCGGAAACGGAAATACACAGACTTTTTATGGTAACCGGGCCGGAACAGACGGGCCGGGCCGCTGGCGATTGTAGACACACACTGTAAGATTGGAATTGGAACTGACGCTCTCTCTACAGTGGTAAAATGTCTCATGCGAGTCATTGGAAGTATGGAAACAGCGGAAGAGGAGGATAGGAGGAGAGGAGGAGAAGAGGAACTATACTAGGAGGAAATAAGACTGTAACGGACATAAAGAAAGGTGGTTTTGAAGTGGGAGGGTCACCAGGACTAGGTGATTGTCATTTCTTGCGTGAGCGAGAGAGGGTTCTCTCCTAATTCTAGTAGTATAAGCTATCCCTTCTGGTTTATCCGTCGTACTGCTCAATGTGTGAATCAAAACAAAATGCAAAGTGTCGTGGTGTCTGGGTGTTCTGAACTTATACACGGGCGTTCGAACCTCGGGCCGCGCTCTCGCTGCTCATCGTAAAGCTAATCTTACAGTCGTTATACAAAAAAATATAGATTACAGTCTTGTTGTCTGTGCTGGGTGGAAAAGAATATATTTCTTTCTAAGCTCCGCTCACAAAACGTACAAACATAGCGCGGACCCGGCAAATGCCAATATAAACGGCAATAGCCCCAATTGTAGCTTCCATTCCGTCAAAGCGTATCGGAACCAATGAGCCGCGGTTTCGTACTCCGAAACAGATCCAGACACATCTTTCACTGCATATGCGGCTTCGTCCGCAAACGAGGGCTTCCATTGCGTCAACAAAAGCGCCAGGAGCGCTTTTGTGATGTGGAAAACCATAGGGTCAATAGAGACCTCCGGCAGATCGTAGCGAATGAAATTCACATAGTATGACACAAACGTGGGGATCAACACCGACCACACCGCCCAGAACGACGTCAAGGCCCCAACTTCTTGCCATCCGGACGTGATTGCGATAAATGGTCTCTCTGTCGAAAATTCCAGATGGTTGCGAGCCACGTAAACGTAAGCTTCGATCGCCAGGAAAATCGCATCCACCGCAGGAATGGTCGAAAGTGCATCCTGGACGCTTTCATTGGCTTTCAAAGTCTTGTTTGGGACATCCTGGAGGAATTCATTGAATTTGAATGCAAACGAGCCCTCCGCAGGAGTGATCCGTTGGAAATCCAACTTGGAAAACCAATTTTGCAGCGGTGTTCCTTCAGGCAATTCTCCGTTAATAAGGCTATCCTCATCTTCGTTTTCGTCATCGATGTCGCTTTCGACCTTGGTCTCGTTCGAGGTGATCGACGTCACTGCGTTGCTAACTACATCGGCCACTGCTTCTGCGGTGTCTTGGACTTTGGCCTTGAGACGTTCCTTCAAACCTTCGGTGTCTTCGTTCAGATCGCTGATCTCGTCTTCATCGGTGTTGGCCGCGGATTCCTCGTAATAAGCTGCCAGTTCCGGATATTCCACTAGATCCAATGGTTTTTCCAGTTCCTTCAGATACTCATCGATAACATCGGCGATTTTAGCCTTGGTTGACGACTGAGAAACGTGAACGTCGAGTTTATTCGCCAAGTCCAAAAGCTGGGTTTTCTTCCACTTTTTGAGCGACATAACAAGTGTGAGTGAATGATATTTGTATTTGGATAATTTGAGATGAGTCTCGGGCTTTTGAATAAAACAAATTACCTAATAGTTTTGAGTAGGTTGATGCTTAGATCTTCGAATGTCTCGATAAATGGTAAACCTTGTGAAAAGGACAAGAGTTGAAAAAGCGCAGACTTTAAGTGTGTTTTGTGGGTCTCAACGGGTTCAAGTTGATCTTGAGTGAGGGAGGGGTCATCTTTGTTTACACTAATCCTAATTTAATTGATCTGTGTGACGATCACTAAGTACGAGACATGCTGTGCTGGGTCGAAGAATGACTAGAGAACAGGGTAGATGACGTTGGCGAAAGGCGACATTACATTGTACGTATAGGCCGACTAGGAGGCAGTTTGGGGGCAGGTATCTTCGAAACTGAGCTGCTGCAGATGTAGGATCTGATAATTGGATTTACCTCCGCTGACACTCTTTTTTTTTGAACTATAGTGCATCAAATTGGGTTTGCCACCACTCTTTTGTCAAATCGGGTCTTCAACGCACTTCTGGTAAAATGAACTTCGCAGTGAGAAGACCACCTTGAATATCAAGCTACAAAATTTATTTCATAAATACTTTCTGAGCGTCTGATGTTCCTGTTCGAATACGGGGATTTTGTTGTGCTACAACCGTAATTTTCGCTCACAGGGTCGCCATCGCCTCTGACGTTAAAGTCGTCGTGCCCTTTTTTCTGGATTTAACGGACATGCATAAGGATGGATATCGTGATCTTGACGATATTTGTGACATACCGGTAGCCGTCTGTCACTTGAAAAGTATCCCTAACTTCTATGTATAGCATTGTTCCACGGGCAATACTGTTTGTTAAACGCCGGCCGTGCCTCGTCTAATCGCCTAACATTACGTAGGCGTTTGACTTGGGGTATGACGCATCAAGTAGTTGAGCTTATTGACTTGACTTTAGAACTTGCTTATTGGCCCTTTACGTAATGATTAAACGATAACTGTGTAAGTTACGTTTCTCTTCTCTATCGTCAAGCGTGATCCTGGAGAAACGACCTAGTCCGGACTCGAGTACATCTTTTTCATGAGCTGCCTTCGTCATTGAAATGTGTGCAAGAAGATATACATGGTTTGCACAACGCATTTTAAGACCTGGTCTGTAACTGTGAGATACACAAGAAACCGTCGCGATGCGTGATGGACGGAGAAGTGGGTGTTGTGAAAGATAGGCATGTGATCTTTAAGTTCATGAAGTCTAACTCAGGGAAGAGAGAAAAGGAAACTCATTTGGGAAGATCGCGCTCACTTCGACCGCGCTCACTTCGTTCGAGAGCGCGAAAGCACTTGCAAAACGACTTTAGGTTGACCTTGATAAACGACTTGATGATTGACTTCTTCTTTCTTTTAGATCAAGTCCGTCATCATGTTGCTTTTATCGCGTGACTAGATGATCTTTACAATAAGTCGATGTGCGTCAGATTTGCGATATAGTGACATGATCTACAAGACCAATTTAGAAATGGCATCACCATAACGCGTTAAGTAAACAAACCGTAAAGGTTCAATCGACATTCGACTGGTGCTTTAAAGAGGCATGGAATCAGTGGACGGTCAGGATGAAAACGATGTAGCTTCTCCACTTCAAGCGCACGCTTTCTCTATAAATTCGCACTCCGGCGATGACTTGCAAGCCAGCTTATCAGAAGCCGGGCATCATGATGACAACGGACCATTGGATACTTCCGAAACCCTCTGTGGTTCAACGAGTCACATTTGTATGGAACAAAATGAGTTTGCCTTGGGCCACTTCCATACGGCGATCATAAATGAAGACTTAGCTGGAATAAAAAGTCTCCAACTAGCACAAGCTAAAATGGCACAAACCATCCAAGAGCTGATTCATAAGAGATGCTATAAATCATCGGATGACGGGTATGATCATAGATTTAGATGGACGGACGACGCGACATTTTATTTGCTAAAATTCTGCTACGACATTGGTCCATTTTACGGCTTTGAAAGTTTAAAAACCTGTTCATCAAAAAAGCTAGAACAAAGCAATCTTATATCCCTCAAATGGACTTGTATTTGGTATGATATTCTTATGACACTGAAATTTGAAGACGGTCGAGTACCCACAGAATTGCAACCCAAAACAAAATGCAGATATTTACTTGCCAACGCAATTCCTAAACTATCTGTGGTCACTACCGGGGATGAGAGAATCCCCTTTTCATTCACTGGTGTTAATAAAGTGGACAACATGTTAGAGGAGCTTTGTAGGTTGAAACTTGATGCAGAGGCGAGAAAAGTCGAAGTTCAAAAACTTGATGCTGATCAAAGAAATAATAAAAGGACCGCGAGCCAGATGCTATGCCCCAAGGGTATCCCGAGCATCGTGCAGAACAAGACCTTCGCTGAGTCGGAAGTGCAGTCTGGCATTGATGGTGTGAATCAATTTACATCAAAACGGGCACAGATGAGAGGGGTTACGCCAGAGGTAGAAGAATCCGATTTGATGACCTATTCCATCACCAAACATACACTATATTTATGTGAGAAATTGGCAGAGTCGATTGATAGACTATTCGTAGAGAATCGGAATAGGAAAGAGAGGTCTCAGCAGCAGAAGGAACGAGAGTTCGCACTAAAACAAAAAGAATTTGAATTAAGCATTCGGATGTATGAGGTGCGACGTAAGCGTGAGGAGGAGAAGGCCAAGCGTGAGGAGGAGCGGCTCAGCGAGGAAGAGCGATCTAAGAGTGAGCAATTTGATCACTATGCCAAAAGGACTGAGACAATAATGAAATTGGTAGCCACATCCAAAATTTTAGAAAACGATTATCCGGCATCATCTGAGGCTATTCAAAATGTGCTTCAAAAATTTTCGAGCCGTTATTCGTGAAGTGACTAGCACAAATGCGATAATATCAAAAATTACTATTCAGTCCGCCGAGCCGGGTGCAGTCTAATTTTTTGCTTGACCAAAGTTGAGTTGGTTGTACCGTCTCTAATGGAAGGAGTCTGTTCCTCGAAGCATAGCGGAGGAATATGGAAGTACTTAGAGCCTTGCGATTTTCGAAGGTTTTTCAAGAAAACAGAGATGTTAAAATAACCCTCACAAAATCTCACCCAAGGGCGTTGAAAATTTGAAACTTGTTATTTTACAGCATCAAAAAACAACAATTGAAACCCGGGATATCGAAAGAGCTTTGATGTGCGCCGATGTCAGAGCGCTTTCGTTCAATAATTGAGGATTTGCAAAGAAAATAAACATGAATTATGATACTTTCATGCTTTGAATATTAATGTGGGCACGTCAGAACTCCGATATGCAGGATAAGCAGGATATGCAGGATCCCAGGATATTTTGTATTGAGGGCTAGGTTTAGTCTACGGTTGAAGCAACTGTCCGGTAAGGAAACGGAGTCGTGCATGTCGTGCTTAGCATACCCATAATACTATCCTTAAAGGTAAATGTTTGTGCGTTTGTTTGTGCGTTTGTTTGTCCGTACGTACTCGAAGAGGCTCCGATACGCACTCGAAGAGGCTCCGATACGCTCGATTTGAGGTGCCCTTTCACATACTCGAAAACTCCAGAGTTCTCAACAATTAAGGCCAAAATCTTCTTTAGCGCGCTATCCACGCCAAAATCTATGTACGTAAATCAAGACTACTTGCCGATGTCTCAACATCAAACTGATCCTCTACGTAAACCTCGACTTGATATTTTCCAAGCACTCCACTTGAGCAACCCGCTTACTCTCCACTCTCTCCAACCTTCCCTGATGTTCTTATTGTTCTATACATGGCTTTGTATTTGTTATACCCTCGATTAATCGAGTACTCGAGTACTCCCAGCTCTTTTGCTTTTCCTATTGCTTTTGCCACTGTGTTTACGTGTTCGATTGCTAGGCACGCGCGAAGCCATTGTGGCCGATGGGTACTCGAGTCCGCGTTTCTTTTGCGCGTGCGAGTAGCGTTCAAGATCACAGTTGGTCCCAACCACCATTTCAAACAAACAGGTCTAACAACTTCTAACTCGTTTGTTAACATTCACACCTTGAGTAGTTTGTTAGCTCTTGTTCACCTTCTTGTATGTTATTGTGTTTCCACCTGTGTTAGCCGCTCTTTGTGGTCGACGCTCCCCTATTTTCTTTTGTGGCATCAACGTACCATCGTCTTACGTCATCGCAATATAATTAAAAAACAAAAATTAAAAAAAAAAGCAAAAATCCCGGTTTTCGACGTCACGTGACCCAAAAGCAACGCGTCCGCCCCTTTTTTTTTCCCAATTTTGTCAACATCCTTGCCCCACACCCTAAACTCTCACAATAACGTAATTCACAGCACAAAACAACTATTCTTTTCAACATATAAAAGCAAAGCGTTGCAACCGGTTCTACTCGAGACCTTCAACCTCATCGATCTTAACAAACAGGCTATTGTTAGGACGTTGGAATACAAAAGAATTCAACATATAAATACTCGATAAACCAGATTAGACCACCTCAAAACTTCAACGGTCTTTTTTGTTCTGACAACAACATCATCAAAAGCTTCGAAAAGACTTCATTATCCATCCATCCACCTATCCACCACTTTTAACACCTCAAATATGACCAACACATCGAACCAAGTGGAATCTGCGCAACAGGATCATCCCTCTATCCCATCGCTATCGGACGTTCTGCCCTCTTTCAGACTAGACGGCCATGTCACCATCGTTACAGGCGGCTCCGGCGGTCTGGCCCATACCCTGGTACAAGCGCTTTTGGCCCAGGGCTCAGAAGTGGCTTTATTGGATTTGAGTGTCGAGAGACTCGAGTACACGGCACGTGAGCTGCAGGAATTCATCAAAGCTAACAAGTTGCCCAAGCTGAACGTTTCTACCTGGCCGTGCGACATCGGTGACGCCGCCATTGTGGACGAAGTGGTGCGTGCCATCCCTCTCAAACACAACGGCATCGTCCCGGACAAATTGGTGCACACCGCCGGCTACTGTCAAAACACCCCAGCTCTCGACTACGATGCCAGACAGGCTGAACTGCTGGTGCGTGTGAACTTGATGGGTTCTATGTACATTTGTCAGTCGATGTCCCGTCTTCTGATGCAGCGTTCGCAACGTCGTCGCTCGGTGTCGTCAGAAGACGACTCCGCCGCTGAGGCGTGTCCTCAGCTGTCCAACGTCTCGTACGTGCTCATCGGATCCATGTCTGGTTGTATCGTTAACAACCCACAGCCTCAGGTCGCCTATAACATGGCCAAGGCCGGTGTCATCCACATGGTCAAGTCTTTGGCCTGTGAATGGGCCCGCTACGGTATCCGTGTGAACTCCATCTCTCCAGGCTACATCGCCACAGCACTCACCAAGAAGGTCATTTCCGGTTCGCCAGAAGGTGCGGCTTTGCAACAGGAATGGACCTCTCGTGTCCCAATGGGTCGTATGGCCGATCCTCGTGAATTCGTCGGTGCCATGTTGTACCTCTTGAGTTCTTCTGCATCCAGTTACACTACCGGTGAAAACTTGGTCATCGATGGTGGCTACACCTGTTGGTAAATCAAGGGACACTTAGAGAAGTGAGGAGAAGACGACTACAGGGATTTGCAACTACTACAATCACTCCTTCACCCAATTATTATTTTTATTTCTCTTTGTCATCTCTTTCAAACTGCATCAGGAGCCACGATCACTACACCCGCAACAAAACCTCTGAACGAGTCCTTTCTTCGTCTATATCCCTTTTTCCCCCAATCATCCTTCATTTTCAACTGTATACTATTGACGGTCTTCGTCCAGTGAGTGGCAGTTTTTCAAGTATATCTATAGTACAATTATAAACCACTCTGCAATAAACCAGTAAGTATATTTGATCTTCCATTTCCAGATCTCACATCACAGTGCAGGCACCGCCCTCCTCGCCGTTAGATCCTTCCAGATCTTGGCCCTCTAAGCGTTTCAATAATTGCAGAACAGCATCGTTGACACCAACGTTCAATTTCGCACTGCTTTCCACAAATCCTGCACCCAATCTTTTCGCCAATGCAGCACCTTCAGCTTTTGATACAACGGCACTACTGGACGCAGATCCAAGATTTTCGCGCAAATCAATCTTGTTGGCGACCACAACGGTGGGAATGTTTTCTAAACCTAGCTGGTCCAGAATCTTATCCCGTATCAAATTCACGATCTCAAAACTTGCCCGGTTCACACAACTGTAAACTATAGCTACACCTTTGAGTCCAATCAAAGATTTGGTATTAATGAGCGAGAATTCGTCCTGTCCCGCTGTATCGCAAATTTCGAGTGTGTAGTTGGCTTTACCAAACACCAACTGTTTTGTGAACTGGTTTTCGATCGTTGGGTAGTAGGACTCTACAAAATGCGATTCCACATATTGCACAGTTAATGAGCTTTTACCAACGTTTCTGGCTCCTACAACCGCGATTTTACGATGTCTAGAAAGTCCATTAGCTGTATTCATGGCAGCAAAATCATGTACACGTTGAGCGATAGTTTGGCTCAACACAAACTACAGTCAATTTGACTTGGTTTAAGTTGTCATTACTGTTAATTGCCAGTTTTTCAATATTTTTCAGATATTGAATGAATGAAATTGACAAAAATTGTTAAAAGATATCAAAAGTTAACAAGAATTGACCTATCTGCCGATCATTACAAGAAATAACTACCGACAAAAGATCATTGAGGTTCATTGCTATCTGGATTTGAGTTTTTCCCAAAGTTTTGGTGTATTCAGGTTCTCTCAGGTTGTAATTTGGTTCCGTTTAGCGAGAAATAAAGATCAACTTGTTTTCTGAGTTTTGCGGAGCTTTCTGTCAGCTTTCGACCTTGACTGTACTGGTTTTACCTTCAATTCGTTACATTCGTTGAATTCGTTTGGTTCTTTTTCACGCAATGTCCCAGTTTTCTGGCTTTGGCGTAGAAGTCGAACTCAAGGATGGAAAAATCATATCTGGCACCGTGGCGAAGGCCAACGGCAAATCGCTCACACTCTCTGACGTTATTTTCAGCGACGGAGGAACGTCTCAAATTTTCAAAGTGAAAGGCACTCGCTTGAAGGACTTGAAAGTGGTGTCTACACCCAAACAAACTAGCCCCACAGCGAAACCAGCAAATAAACCCAGTCCCAAAATTGAGACTCCTGCTGTAAATGATTGGCAGCACGACGATGCTGCAGTTATAAAAAATCAAGAAGATTTCGATTTCCAAGAAAACCTACGCATGTTTAACAAACAGGACGTATTCGCCAAGCTCAAAGAGCAGGACCAAGTTGGACAAAATGCACGTCTTGTAGCGCACAACATACGGGATAAGAAGATAGAAACGGACGAGCTCGTTATTCCAGACGCCAAACAGGATAATTGGGATAGTTTGGAAGAGGACTCGACGCATACAGAATACCTGCCCATCACAAAATCCATTAATATCACCCATCTTTTGCAAACTGCTGGTGACACGGAAACTAAAAATGACCCAATGTTGACACAGCTACAGCGGGCTTTAAAGTCTCCTCGGTCCTCGTCAGTGTCTAAGGGTGCAGGGTTCGTAGCAGCATCCACGGGTGTGGCAGTGCCCTGCGCATCGCCTGTACAACTGTTAGAGATTGAAAGGGTTTCCAGCGAGTCTTTCGGTTTCACTTCAAAGTTGGCATTAGAGCACTGGGCAATTCATGCGTCGCAATTTGTCAAGCAGAAACTAGGAGGTAGAGTGAGGTTACATGTTCAAAACTCTAACCCACAGCCGTTGGTAATTATTCTTGCAGGTGACAACAGATGTGGGGCACGCGGTTTGGCTTTGGGTAGAGCTCTTTGCCAATCATCTCTAGTTCGTGTCATGGCGCTTTTCACAAATACGCCTGAAGATCCAGAGGTCAACGAGCAATGGCAGCTATTTCAAAAATGCGGCGGTAAGACTGTTGAATCTCTGCAGTCTTTGAAATCAAGTTTGGAGAAACTCAACTCTCCGGTGGAAATAGTGTTTGATGCCATGCAGGGCTTCGATTCGAATCTTCAGGATATCTGTTCAGATGCTAGTGACGAAGGACGTTTAGAAGATATTATAAGGTGGTGCAATTCGCAGAAATCTATTTGGTCGTTGGACATTCCTAGCGGTCTCGATGCAGCGAGCGCAATGCCCAATTTTCTGGGTGTGCACGTCAACGCAACAACTGTGATCTGTTTATGCTGGCCATTGACGGGGACATACAATTTAAAGACTCAACTAGTCGATCGAGGACTTGAGATTCATTTGGTTGATATGGGGGTTCCTCAGGCTGTATATTCCATGCGAACGTCGTTGCGGAAATTTCAGGTTGCTGATCTATTCGTTGCCGAGGGTATGGTACAGTTGAATTAGGACTATGATGTACGAGGTCCAGTTCCATCGCATTTCTCAGGTGTTTTTAGATTGTTGGTTGGGAGGGATGAAAGAAAGCTTTGCAACGGCAAGTCGACCGACGTCATTTGGGACAAACCTCATCAAGACCAGATTGCCATCTTCAGGGTCATCATGACCAATTGCGAAATTGATTCATATAACAGCCCATGACCATTTTAGGCTCAGATTTGCCAATCGAGCATGGACCATACTGACAATTTTTGCAAGAACCAGCTCTTCACGTTGTCGATATTCTTGTAGAGCCATGGATCCCATTCCAAGCACGAACACCCGTTTTGTCGTTTTATTTCGTCAATGGAAGGCATGTTGTCAACTATAATACGGAACTATAATCAAAATACTTGAACGATTCAAATGCTTCCCGTCATCATTGGGTCCACGTAACCACTGTGACATTACCACAGATTCAACTCGTATCTCTAGAGCTTTGAAAGCTCGTCCTAGATGTCGTTTTTTGCTTACCTGTCATCTGTCATCAGACATTAGTCACGTGGTGTTTATATCGCTTGATACGATAAAAGTTAAAAATTTTGAGCATTAATATAATAAACCTAAAAGAGTTTCTCTACTGTTGAGATGATAATTCCCCTTAACATGAGCTCTTCGTTCGCAGAAAAGCATCTTTTTGAAAGCGGAGATCTTGACTGACTTTAGCAGAACGTGTTGTCGATATCGGGTTTGGCTGATTTAGTTTCTTCAAGCGTGAAAATTGGGCCACTGACGGAGTCAAGAGAAGGCCGAAAAAAGTGACATCTTAAGTCGAAGAATAGCTTTAACGAGGCCGTTGGCGCGTGATATAATCTCTCAGTTAGGAGTGCTATATCAATTTGACTGGTTTTGCCTTTCCGGCTGATAGATTGGGAAGTTCACAAGAAATTTTGTTGTTCATCGGACCCTTGATAGTACCACAGCCCAAGCTAATTTTTTTTCGAAAGAAATACATCCGTTTTTGAGCATTTACCAATGGGTCTTTGTTGTAGTTGCTTGGGAGACGCAAGCGATGATGCCAGCGTGCTTCCCATCGCAGACAACGAGCGCGAAGCCGTAACCTCATTACTGGGATATTTGGAGGACAAGGACCGGTTTGATTTTTACAGTGGCGGTCCTCTTAAGGCTCTCACTACGCTGGTGTATTCCGACAATCTTAATTTGCAGCGCAGTGCAGCACTGGCTTTTGCAGAAATTACTGAAAAATATGTGCGCCCCGTTAATCGCGAGGTCTTAGAACCCATATTGATCTTGCTGCAAAGCAGTGACTCGCAAATTCAGGTCGCAGCGTGTGCAGCTTTGGGTAACCTCGCTGTGAACAATGAGAACAAAATTCTAATAGTGGATATGGGCGGACTTGAACCGCTAATAACGCAAATGATGAGCAGTAACGTCGAAGTGCAATGTAACGCGGTGGGATGCATCACTAACTTGGCTACGCAGGACGATAACAAGGCCAAGATCGCCACTTCTGGCGCACTCGTGCCTCTGACGAAACTTGCTAAGTCTAAAAACATTCGAGTCCAAAGGAACGCCACTGGCGCTTTGCTCAACATGACCCATTCCGGCGAAAACAGACGCGAGCTTGTCAATGCTGGTGCCGTTCCGGTTTTGGTCTCTTTGCTATCTTCGGTGGATGCTGACGTACAGTACTACTGTACTACGGCTCTCTCTAATATAGCAGTCGATGAATCAAACCGTAAAAAGCTCTCGCAAACGGAGCCTAGGTTGGTAGCAAAGCTGGTGGCGCTAATGGATTCTCCTTCTGCCAGGGTAAAATGTCAGGCGACTTTGGCGTTGCGTAATTTGGCTTCTGATACCGGGTATCAGTTAGAGATTGTGCGTGCCGGAGGTTTGCCACATTTGGCCAAACTAATCCAGAGCGACTCTATGCCACTCGTGTTGGCCAGTGTTGCATGCATCAGAAATATTTCCATTCATCCTCTAAACGAGGGTTTGATTGTGGATGCCGGATTTTTGAAACCTTTAGTCAAGTTACTTGATTTCAAAAGTTCCGAGGAGATCCAGTGTCATGCAGTCTCTACACTCAGAAATCTGGCAGCTTCTTCCGAAAAAAACAGACGGGAGTTCTTTGAGAGCGGTGCAGTTGAAAAGTGTAAGGAGCTAGCCCTAGACTCGCCAATGAGCGTTCAGAGCGAGATTTCTGCTTGTTTTGCTATTTTGGCTTTGGCAGATAACTCTAAGATCGATCTGCTGGACTCCAATATCTTGGAAGCACTCATCCCTATGACATTTTCCAAGAATCAAGAAGTTTCCGGGAATGCAGCTGCTGCGTTGGCCAACCTGTGCTCGAGAATCAACGATTACACCAGAATTGCAGAATCGTGGGAAAGACCAGGTGATGGCATCCGAGGATTCCTGATAAGATTTTTGCGTAGCGAGTACCCAACTTTCGAACATATCGCGCTTTGGACTATTTTGCAGCTACTGGAAAGCCACGATGAGACTATTCTCAAATATATCAAGAACAACAAGGAGATTGTCAAAAGCATAAGGCATTTGTCGGACGTGAATTTCGAAAGCGCGCAGAAGGCGTCTGTGGCGATGAACTCTCAAAGTGAATCAGGGGCCGCCTCGGACCAGTTCGACAATGCGAGTCTCGAACTCTACAACATCACACAGCAAATTCTTCAATTCATCGATTAAGCCCAGCTCGGTATATGATGGAGCTCATCAAAATAACCCGGTCACTCAAGAGTACCAAGTGCTTAACGCTAAGATCTTGTGGTTTAATCAGCACACATCCACGCACACACACACACCCATTCCAGATCTTCGTGTGCCAAATTTCTTCATTAATAATAATAACTGTTTCTCGCAAAAGGGAAATTATTGACAAGATACAGCGTTTATCGGATGCACTGAAAGTACCGTGTAGCCTCAAGTAAGGCCTGACCGGAGATACTATTGGATAAAAGTTATTTTCCTTTTTTTTAACAAAGTTGTAACGGTAGCTCATACCCTCATTATATTCAGCCTTATACATGAACGTGTAATGCATTTTTAAAACATATTATCAAAACACCTAGTTTGGTTGACCGAAGGGTTGAGCAGTGGCACACACACCGAGTTTCAATGGCTGGATTAAGCGCAGTAAACGTTACTTAAACTTGGAGCTTTTCTTGTAGCAAAAAGGTCTTACCCGGATTCGAACCGGGGTTGTTCGGATCAGAACCGAAAGTGATAACCACTACACTATAAAACCGATTTATGATATGTTACAGTTTTTTGACATACAATACCTTTTCACTTATCGCGTGGACTCACATTTAAGATTTGAACCTTACATACCGTATGATTAGAATCGAAGGATTAGAATCGAAGCAGCGATCGACCAAGGTTTGAGACTGCTCTGTAAGGATTGCTCGAGCAATTGGCAAGCTTTGAGATATTGCTTCGATTAAATCGAAAAACAACATCTTTTCAAGCTTGCGTGTCTCATTTCATTCCTTGTTCTCTGGTTTGCATACTGTAGTCTCCCGTTTAGAGCTTCAGCGATCCTAAATTTCAAAAAAGAGAGCCAGCTTGACCTTATTGAAGTGACAGATTTGAATTTCAGTTGAGCAACACTCTTTCACAGTTTTCTGTCAAAATCTGTTTTACGTTGCCTCCCCCCGTTATCTTACCTTCGACAGTATAAACTACTTTTACTTGTATCGACATTTCACGTCCTGTAGAAAACACCATCAACTCGCGGAAAAATTAAGCGACCACCGATTAGACCATGGCAATCTTCACTACTAATGGCATGTTCATCATCGATGAAATTCATGCGGGCAAAGACAGTTTTTACGACATTGTTGGAGGCGGTGGGATGTTTGCCATGCTAGGAGCATGCATTGTAGGTGTTGAACCAAAGATAGCGAAGCAATTGCGTTGGATTGTTGACCGAGGATCAGACTTCCCTCAGTCAGTCACGAATCAAATTGATAGCTGGGGTACCGGTGTGGTATTTAGGGATGACAAGTCAAGATTGACAACGAGAGCTTGGAATCTTTATGGAGAAAACGATTTCAGAAAGTTCAAGTATCTGTCCAAAAAAAAGCGAATTGACGTAAAAGACTGGATTGACGAGTTTGGGTTGCAGCAGGTCTGTGAAATTCCTGTATTTCATCTAGTGTGTGCCCATGACAGAGCCTCTTCAATGTTGAATGAACTTCAGAATATAGCGAATTTGGAAAAGAAGGTCTTTATTTGGGAACCCATCCCAGAGTTGTGCGATGCAGCACATGCAAGCCAGATACATGAAGTCCTTAGTCGCAATGAGCGCATTATTATTTCTCCCAATGCAGAAGAAGGAGCCCGTCTTTTTGGTCTCGACGAACCGGTGTCACTGCAAGACAGCATTGAAGTGCTGAAAAGATTCGACCATTTTATATCTGACCATGACATGTGTGTCCTGAGGTGTGGGAAACTGGGCTCTCTTGCGTTAGGCACAAGACAGCAAGGTGGGCACAGGGAGATTGTTCATCTGCCAGCATACCACTTCACTTCTCCAGAAAAGGTCGTTGATCCAACCGGCGGTGGAAACAGCTTTCTGGGCGGATTCTCGCTTGGATTTCTGCTTGCCAAGGGTGATCTTGCGATCGCTAGCATTTGCGGTAATGTCGCCGCCGGTGCAATTATTGAACAGCTGGGCGTTCCGCAGCGCGAAGGCTTGAAGTGGAATGGACTCACTTTCGAACAGCGTTTGAACAATTATATCACACTACACAATCTTCCCTATTCGACGGATTCACTGATGGAAATTTTGACCAATCTGGAGACGCCTAGATAAAGCTTTCACTGCTGATAGCAAGCTTCGAAAAACTCATGCTCATTTCTTAAAACAAGCTCGAAAGTTTGAGAAACTTCATCGTAAGAGCATTTGTCGACCTCCGCTTTTAGAAAGTCACACCAGCTTTCAAAGTGATCGCCCGCGTGCAAATCGATCCACGTTTGATATTTCCAGTGAAGGTTTTGTGCAATAGGAAAATGCTTGGGCCATTCTAAGTAAACCAATTCCATGCAATAGACAAACGTAATAAGCTTTGCATAAGACGTTTCTTCTTTGGCGAACTTTTCCAGTAGATCAATGTACGCTTTGACTTCAGGCAACATGGTTTTACGAGAATGCTCGCATTGCGAGGGATTCAGGCAGGGACCCAGCTCCGCAAGGCAATCGTAGAAGTAACTGTTTTCATCATTGGCGAAGAACCCAATTTTTTTCGCAAGTGTAATCAAACTGTCACTTTCTGGTGCTACGGAGGTAGTTTTGGTCAGAAGACGCATTCCACTTTGGAAAAACATCAAATCCTGAGCCAGGTAAATGAACAGCGTCTTGTCTGGAAGTGTGCCCGCGCATAGCTCTTCAGTGAGTCTATGATGAGCCGCTTTTTCGAACAACTCACGGTGATTGTCAACAAGTTTTTGCGAAACAGACATCTTTGGTGCAATCAAGTTATTTTAACCTACGATAGTATTAAGAGATGAGAGATTGTGGATGCAAGAAAAGGCACGCTGGTTTAATTTTGACATGAATTATATAGATATCGCATTGGATTCTTATAGTTTCCTTCCACAACCACAATGACCAGATATGTAAAAAGTGCTAAAGGTAAACGACAAATTCGCCAAAACAAGCCTGTCATGCAAATTGAGATCGGGGCACTTCCAAACACCCAAGCCGGTTTTTTCTTGGTAAACTCTTTTACAGAACCTCTCATTGGAAGATCTATCAGGAAAAGATGAAAATCTTGACATTGGCAAGAACAGGATCGTTGACATCAAAGATTCCTCGCCATTCTCAGAACACACGTCCCGAAATCGCTGCTTGCTCACGAGGCTATATGGCAGACGTTAGCAACCCATCTTATACGATCTCTTGAGAATATATAGACTTCGAGTTTCTCAAATTGGCCAGCTGTGCCGCTTTGATCTGAATCGATTCTATCGTAGTGTGTGGAACACTAATAAGACCCAGTTTTCGAGTCGAACTAGCACTGATTTCTTCGACGTTATCCAGCAGCAGATTAAGCTCCGAATCAGTGGCCACAAATGTGCCCACAAGCATACGAGCTCTGGTCACTGTGACATAGACTTCTGAGCCAATATAGTCGGCCATTTTCAGATTCAACATGGCGTGTAAATTCACAGGTTTGATTTTCACCGCTATAAAGACTGAAGGGATGCGTAGGGAAAGACGATGTTCGTTACTAGCAGATTGATACAGCTATATTCATCGAATCAAAGCTGCCAAACTGTCTATTCGCTTTGAAATATCGATGATGCTTGGATCTACACGCTTGCCAAATCATACATATGATTGTAATGGTCCGTTCATAGTGATCTCCGTTTTTTCTCTGCCAAAATGAATCTTTAGCATCTGTCAGAGATCAAGGATGTAGCTCCGAAATGATGCTAGCTATTAGAATATCAGCTCAATAGGAGCAAGACGTTAGTATATCGACGTTCTGGTCAATATCTCACCAACTGTCCTCTCGAGCATCTTCACGTGACTTGAAGAAAATGCTGTAATTAATATATATTTTAACAATGAAAAATTCAGTTTATACAACTCAAGATGTTCTCCATATAATCGAGCGTCTTTTATAGCGGGATTGCACCACTTAGAGGCTCTATCAGTACGCCCACAACTGTTGCTTTGATAATAATTTTTTGGCTGTTTTTCAATTTTTCTACGCCTTTACACAGACGAATTTCGTTGCGCCAACAACAATGACGCAGAACACAACAATTACACTCAAAACTTTGACCGCACATGAACTTTTATGCGCGCGAGAGAGCGTTTGCGAGCTGTTTGGTGTGCTGGATGACTCAGAGCGCAGTTCTTTGCTGGTTGGAGATGATCGCGAAGGTCAGCTTGACTCGCTCAAAGCCAAATTAGAGGATCTAAAAAGACAAGTTAAGGAAGCGAAATCGAATAACGAGGGAAATTAGTTTAGACCTGAATGAAAAGTCCAGTTCATCAAGCGTGCATTGTTGCCTACACGAAACGATTAAAGCTTAATTGTGAAACTCAGTTTCAAACGCACGTACGAAGGGACCGGTCTCATTTTCGTAAGGAGTATTAATGTGGGAATTTCATTCAAATAAGGAAGAAACCTTACGCATCGCTCACACAACTCAATCAAAGCACTGAAATAGCGCTGTTTTGGCTTTATTAGCCACACCAACTAACTTGCGCACACACACACAAACACACAAGGCGATAAATGAGGTATGTGTTTAAATTTCTGATTTTCGAGGTTCTCGAAAATGGGTTTTTCTACAGAGACGAATCGACGATGCTAACAAGTGAGATGCAGCAACTCGAAAAGGAGGATCGAAACGGACGTAATGAAGCTGCTAATGAGCGACCACGACGTGGAACTGATCAACGACAACATGCAGGAGTTCCACATCAAATTTCACGGGCCCAAAGACACACCTTACGAAGGAGGAGTGTGGCGACTGCATGTTGAGCTCCCGGATAATTACCCTTACAAGTCGCCCAGTATAGGGTTTGTAAACAAAATATACCACCCGAACATCGATTCGGCGTCTGGGTCGATCTGTTTGGACGTGATAAACTCCACTTGGAGTCCGCTGTACGATTTGATCAATATCGTTGAATGGATGATTCCGGGACTGTTGAAAGAACCCAATGGGTCGGATCCACTCAATAACGAGGCTGCAACGCTGCAATTGAAGAACAAGGAGCTGTACGATCAGAAAATCCATGAATTCATCGAAAAATATGCAACAGAAGACAGATACCGGAGCTCGTTTGGAACGGGCAGCGACGAAGACGACGAAGACGAGGACGAAATGGACGGGGACGACAACAACAGTCAGGACGAAGACATGGAGGCGTCTGTCAAGCTGACTGGTGGCAACGGCGGCGACGACGACGAATACAGTGACTCTGACAATTTGAGCGAAGAACTTACCAACATCCAGGTCAGCGACGACGACGACGACGACGACGGCGAAGGCGAAGCAGACGGTGACAACGACGAAATCGACATGTACCAGGACGACGACGACGACGACGACGATGATGATGATGATGACGAAATGTAAACGGTGGTTCAATCACCCATACACCCTAGCACCCAAGTCACACCATATCCACGTGCCTGTTTATATCCGCTTCCCGTCAAGATTACGTAATAACAAATTTATTAGTTTAAGATCTCACGTGTTATTCTCGTGATCTCCGGTGCTCCCCTTCTTCATCATTTTATACTAAATTTACCCCATATACTCGAAAACAAGGGGCGGGAAGCTCTCTTTACACGCTAGACAGACACAACAAAATAAAAAAACTATAAAAGCGCCCATCTCCAGACGGGGAAGACCCTTAGATTTATATCTCATATATCTAAAACTATAAGAACATTAGTGTTTTCTGGTGTTTTTTAGCATTTTTGGCATTTTAAAGCGCTGTTTTCGAGCATTTAACCTCTAGTGTTTCTGTCTTTTCGTTTTAGTCGCTGAAGTTTGACGTTACCAGACGAAAAAAGGACCATCTTAGCATCAATACTGGTGTCGTTGTTGGTTTTTGTGAATTGTTCGCATTTGTGGACTTAATACGTGATTTCCATCCTATAACGTAAAGTTGGAGTTTGTTACGTGGTGCTACTATGGGAAATATACCTGAAAATGTTAAGGGAGCGGTAGACGTGGATCCCTGGTTAGAACCGTTTGCAGAGGTGCTTTCTGAAAGAAGATATCTGGCCGATCGTTGGTCGCATGATATCAGACACAGTACAAACGATAACACGCCGCAATCGCTGGCCGATTTTGCAAGAACATCGTACAAAAATTACGGATTGCACGCAGACCCGGTGACCAAAAAAATTACATATCGGGAATGGGCGCCCAACGCCGTTCAAGCGTTTCTGGTGGGTGATTTCAACAACTGGTCGACCCACTCGCACGAGTTGCAAAAGGACCAGTATGGGGTTTTTTCCACAACGATTCCCGCGTCCAATTCTGGCGATTATGCCATACCTCATGATTCCAAGTTAAAGGTACTGTTTGTGCTTCCAGATGGCTCCCACGCATACCGTCTTCCCGCTTATATCACCAGGGCTACTCAACCGGATAAAGAAACCGCTAGGCAGTTTGGTCCCAGCTATGAGGCCCGTTTTTGGAACCCATCAGTCCAATACGAATTCAAGAATAAAAGACCCTCTTTTGAAAGAAAAACAGGTTCGTTAAGGATTTACGAAGCCCATGTCGGTATTTCATCCCCAGAACCCAAAGTCGCCTCCTACAAAGAATTCACACATAACGTTTTACCGAGAATTCGCGACCTTGGTTATGATGCCATTCAATTGATGGCAATCATGGAACACGCTTATTACGCTTCGTTTGGCTATCAAGTGACCAATTTCTTCGCCATCAGTTCTCGGTACGGTACGCCAGAAGATTTGAAAGAGCTCATTGATACGGCTCACGGGATGGGCTTGTTGGTGCTCTTGGACGTGGTCCACAGTCATGCATCCAAAAACGTGGACGATGGTCTAAACAAGTTTGATGGTAGTGACCATCAATATTTCCATTCACTACAATCCGGGCGTGGTGAGCATCCATTATGGGATTCTCGTTTGTTCAACTATGGTTCCTTTGAAGTACTAAGGTTTTTGCTAAGCAATCTAGCCTTCTACATCGACGTTTATCAGTTTGACGGTTTCAGGTTTGATGGCGTCACTTCGATGCTGTACAATCACCATGGAGTCGGTGCAGGCGGCGCCTTCAGTGGTGATTACAGCGAGTACGTGTCCCGTGAAAGATCCGACGTTGACCATGAAGCTCTTGCTTATCTAATGCTGGCCAATGATTTGGTCCATGAAATTTTGCCTGACAGTGGGATTACAATAGCCGAAGATGTTTCTGGGTACCCCACTCTCTGCTTGGGTCGTCATCTTGGCGGCACAGGTTTTGACTACAGACTCGCCATGGCATTACCTGACATGTGGATCAAACTACTAAAAGAGAAAAGCGACGACGCTTGGAACATGGGCAATATTGTGCACAATTTAACCAACAGACGTTATGGTGAAAAGGTGGTTGCTTACGCGGAGTCTCATGATCAAGCCCTAGTTGGTGACAAAACTCTAGCCTTCTGGCTCATGGACGCAGCTATGTATACGGACATGACTGTTACGAAGCCTCTCACTCCTATTGTCGATCGCGGTATAGCATTGCACAAACTGATCCGGCTCGTTACCCACTCCCTCGGTGGGGAAGCATACTTAAACTTTGAAGGCAACGAATTTGGCCATCCGGAATGGCTAGACTTTCCTAACAAGAACAATAATGATAGTTACCACTACGCTCGTCGTCAATTCAATCTTATCGAAGACAACTTGTTGCGGTACCAGCACTTGTACAACTTTGATAAAGCCCTTCAGCATACCGAGCGTCACTACAAATGGCTCAATACTTCTCAAGCCTATGTTTCTTTGAAGCACGAAGTGGATAAGGTCATTGCTTTTGAGCGTAATGGACTTTTGTTTATCTTCAATTTCCACCCAACTGAGAGTTATGCCGATTACAGAATTGGAGTGGAAGCTCCGGGTCGGTACAAGATCATTTTGAACACCGATCGTGGAGAGTTTGGAGGTCACGATCGCATCGACGAAGCGGCTTCGGAGTTTTTCACAACAGATTTGCGTTGGAATGAGCGCAGCAACTACATCCAAGTTTACATTCCTACCAGATCAGCGTTGGTGTTGTCGCTCGCTTCCTGAATGAGTGAGTCTCACCAAACGACCAGACATTTTCATTGTTATATCTTGGCACGCGCAAGATTGCTGCCGTGCCACTTCACCTACCGAACGAAAACCTTAAATAATATCTTGCTAGTCAACATCAATTCTCCAAAGGTGACTCATAGCGGAAAAGCTCGTGCTCCCTTCTTTCTTGTAGAAATTTGGTTCTTGATCGGCCTTTGGACAATTTTTAGATATTAATGTGATGTTATATTAAACTAGATCAAAGAATGTTGATAAGTTATTCAAGCTGACAATCACATCCTACAGGGTCACTGTCTATCATGGTTACTGTCAATGCCAGTATTGTGCCAGTGGTACATACAGTGTGTGCATCTGCGGCTTTCTTGGCTGCTCTTATAGTGGGTTGTAAGCTGCATTACATCAAAATCATCACAAATGCGCATTACACTTATCCCGATGAATGGTTCCCCAGTGTTTCTGCTACCATTGGCGACCGGTATCCCGAACGATCCATTTTCCAGATTTTGATTGCATTAACGTCTTTTCCGCGGTTTCTTTTGCTTCTGGGGCACTACATGATCAACAAATCGACATCTTGCTTTATTGTCGGAGTTCTAAGAACTGTAACTTGCGGAGGATGGGTGTACATCACGTCTACGGACGACCACGATGTTCATGACGTTTTCATGATCTCATACATTCTTTTGACACTCCCTTGGGACTACCTGGTCATCCGTAATTCCAGATTCAAAACTTATAAAAAGGGTGCTATGGCTGCCTTCTTCGGCGTCATAGTACCGTTAATATATTGGTTCCTACAGCACAACGTCTACCATAGAGCTGGGGCTTATTCTATTTACGCTTATTTTGAATGGGCTCTAATCGTTTTGGATATCGCGTTTGATGCTCTGGCGTTCAGCGATTTCAAGGCGCTAAGTTTGAACTTGGAGCTTACGTCAAATGTTGGCACCTGGTTTTTTATGTTTGAAAACAAGGAGTCACTACAACCTGCAGCCTCAGAAGAAATACGGGCTGTGATCGAAGAAGAATTGTCGGAGAATCCAAGCTCTGCTATTGCACACGATACATCCATCGAGTCCGATGATCCTGATTACGCACCACATCTTGACGACTCCAAGGATGAGGGAGACGTATCTGACCTGTTGGACGAAGATATCGCATTACTCCAGTCAAGTGATAACACAGAGCTCAAAATTATGCTGCAAGAGGATGAAGAGATCAGCTATCTCACGAACAATGCGTCAGCTCTGCCAGTGCCTTCTCAGACTTCAATCACTTACATTGTGGTCAACATTCTGAACTCCCTTTTATTCTGGACTATGCTAACGTCGCTGCTATGTATGGTGTGGTATTTCCCATTGTGGTATATGGGCATATCAGGATATGAAGCATCTATCTTATCCGTGACTTCTCCTTTACTGTTATATGTTCCAGCCATTCCAATGATTGCCGATGTGTATGGTACGCTATTCACGGCTGCGATCGGCATTGGTGCCTACTTGATCGACTTGCCCGAAACACGACTTCTTACGGCATCTTTGGCAGCCGGTATTACTTCTCTCAGTTTCAGTAATACACTTAGAAGCATAACAAGCCAAGTGTCAGTCCAGATGTACACTACAACATGGATTCTAGGACTTGTGGGTTCTGTCATACTCAAGATGGCCTTCTTTTCTCGTAACCCATTGTGGCCCATTTTAAACGAAGAAAATGGGGGCTGGAATAAGACTGGACTAGCTATAATGACACTCGTGGCTTTATTCACTCCGCAGATTAATGCTGTTCATTATCAAAAGTTGGAGGCGCCGCCAAGAACGCCCATTAAGTTCTTCTCCAAATTATTGATATCAGCAGGTTTTGGATCCTTGATTTTTTCGATCCATCAGCTCCTCACCGACGCCTCTACTATCATTTATTGGTCTTGGGAAGGATGGGCTACCAATGGCTCTCAGGGACCTTTGACCTGGCCATATAGCTCACTCACCTGCTTAGCTATGTTGTGTGCTGCATTAACTTCTCAAAAGTTTATCACAAAGCCGCTTGTACCTGTTTTGCTTACTTGTGCTTCAACCGGCATCTTAGCTTCCCCATATGTTACAGGATGGCCTTGCTACGCGTTTGGCGGAATCGTTTACATTTTTGGAATCATTTGGATGATTCCTACCTATTTCTCAAAGATGAACGTCGTCAAAAGCCCATGGGCTTACAGCTTTGCCTTTGTGTTCTACTTGATCTTTATTTTGGCGCATGTGTGGACGGTCGCATACGCTTTCGTCCCATTTGGATGGCTGCTGAGGGAAAGAATAGGACTTGTCTTGGGCGCATCAAGTGTCCTGATATCCTTAGGCGCTCTTTGTGGACCGAACCAAGGTGGATCAAGTGGAACAATCAAAAAAGCATTTTGGAATCGCATAAATGTCGTTGGACTTTTGTTCGTCTGCTCAATCGGGTATATCACCTTGAGACTAGCACCTACCGGCGTCCCTATGCCATACCATATTGAGGATAACACAATTACGGCAGGTATATGGACTATTCACTTTGGTCTTGACAACCATATGTGGTCTTCAGAGGACAAAATGACGCAATTGCTGAAAGACATGGAACTTGATGTTATTGGATTACTTGAAACTGATACACAGCGCATAACCATGGGGAATCGTGATTTAACGAGCAAAATGGCTCACGACTTGGAAATGTATGCAGATTTCGGGCCTGGTCCCAATAAACATACCTGGGGATGTGTTTTGCTGTCCAAATTTCCTATCGTCAATTCGACGCATTATCTGATGCCTTCACCCGTCGGTGAGCTGGCACCCGCTATTCATGCAACTATTAAAACGTATGATGATATCCTCGTTGATGTGTTTGTCTTTCATGGTGGTCAGGAAGAAGACGAGGAGGATAGAAGACTACAAAGTGAAGAGCTTGCCAGAATTATGGGTAGCACAGATAGGCCATCTATACTTCTCAGCTATCTCGTCACTGATCCACATGAGGGTAATTACAACAACTACGTCAGCGATGTATCGGGCATGCATGATATTGACCCCAGCGACGATGATAGGTGGTGTCAATATATCTTGTACAAGAAATTGGGGAGAACCGGCTATGCACGGATAAGTCGCGGCAGTGTCACGGACACGGAGTTGCAGGTTGGCAAGTTCAAGGTTTTAAGTGAAGAAGAACTGGAAGAACTTGGCGATTCCATTTATGAAGCTACCATACTCGACGACGACGCTGATATTCCAGACTCTCTGCGGTTTCCTGATGCGTATCAGGGCGATGGACAAAGAGACCATCGGTACCATGTTTTCGACGAACCACGGTACTACCAAACCCCGTGGTAACTTCCCAACAATACCCTGACACAACTTCAGTAGCTCTTTAATGTTCCAAAATCCATCAATTTAATCTATGTAATCTTTGAGGTCTATTTCTTCGATGATCAAGTTCGCCATATGCTGCTGAGAGCTCAAAAATGGCATATCAGACAAGTCTTGTAAGTCAACATGTTCTTGTATTACATTAGTCGGGTTTTTAGATGCCTCAATAGATTGTCGAAGAGAACTGCATCTCGCTACTATTTCAGAATTGTGATGGGAAAGTTCTTGTAGAACAGCATCGCATTTTTTCGAAGCAATAGCAGAAAGTTCAGGATCGCTCGCAATGGCATGGTAGTAACCAGGGAGTGCTGCAGACAATTTCACAGGTATGATATTGATATCAGTAAAGTTTTGTAAGAAGCATAACAGCATTTCCTTGTCATTTGTACTCATATGGACCTATACGTTTGTATTGATGTGATTACTAGCCAACTATACGTGAAAAGGTAAAAAGAAAGTGTCAACCGCCAAACCTTTTAATTCTTGATGTAGAAGGCGCTAAATTTGAACAATGCAACGGTCAAATATCAAGACCCCGATGCTTTTGAGATATCTGTGTCGCTCAAGACCTGAACTAGTCTGCAGGTAGGTCATCATCAATATTGTAAGTCATTTCTTACTATTCTGACGTTGGTACAGTAGGTTGTCGAGAAAGAGCTCAAATCAGGACATTAACCTTTAGATAGTCCTTGAAACGTTTCCAAATCAACCAATGAATATCACGACCCATTATACGCACTTGTTTGAACAAGAAAGGTATTTTAAACATTAACTACTATCATTAAATCATTTTGGTATACAGGTGACCAACGAACCGGCAAGAAAGTGGTAACCGAGGATTTTAAGACTCGACTATGCGCATTTGTTGCCCTTTTTTGGCTTATTCGTAATTTGAAAAAGATTCAGGCTCCTTACCTCGATGTTCGCACCCACTCATTGAGAGTGACTGGTGCTGTTTTCCATAGCGTCATTATGTTGAAAAAGAGGTTTTTCGTTGCTGGCGTTCTCAATGTGTTGTGCTCTGGCCAATAACCCGAGCTTGTTGCCTTCTTCATCTTCGATGATTGGCAATTCTGGTACGTAGGAACCGGTCTTCCAGGCGGGTATGTTGTCTGCCCACATTTGATCAATCTCTTCCAGTGTTTTGCCCTTAGTCTCTGGGAACATGAGAAATGTCTGAATAGTGAGGCATACTGAAAACACTCCAAAAATGATATAGGTCTTCCAGCTGATGTTTGTGAAGGATTTTGGCACAAACATAGCCAAAGCAAAGTTGAAGGCCCAATTTACAGAAGCACAAAGAGCAGAACCCTTTGCTCTCTCCATGTTGTTGAAAATCTCCGAACAGTAGATCCAAATACCAATACCCCATGTTGGTGCGAAGGAACACACAAATAAGTAGCAAGCGGCAATTACACCCCGTGCGGCAGGTTTATGACTTGGAGGTATACTGATCCTGACTGTGTCGTCGCCATCGAATCCATTCGGTTCAGGGACTGAGTAATTGGCTAGTAATCCAGACACAACGAACAACCATATGAACATAAAAACGCCGCCGGTGATCAATACGGGTCTTCTCCCCACTTTATCTACCAGAAACAGGGCAGGAATAGTCATAACAACGTTCAATACGTACTGGATGGAGCCAGACACCAAAACTTGGGAGCCTGTGTAACCGGCCATTTTGAAAACGTACACAATGTAGTACATCATCACATTCATACCACATAGCTGTTGCCACATTTGCGCAGAGACGCCGACTATCGTCTTTCTCAATGACTTCTTGCGGAAGAGATGACGGTAACCGAAATTCATGGCGGCCTGGTCGATCAACACCTGTTCTTTAATTTCTTCCAATTGTAGCTGGACTTGGGGGTCATCTCGATCTCCATGAGCGCTAATCCTAGCAACAACCTCGCTAGCTTCTTCCCATCGATCGTGGTTGGCCAGCCAACGAGGCGATTCTGGTAAGAAAAACGCTGCGACTAACAAAACGAGACCGGGGACGATTTGGATGCCCCACGTGACCCTAAATGCACCAGTCCCGTTGATGAAATGGCAACCGTACCCGATGTAGAACAAGATCATGATACCGACAGTGACACTTAGCTGGAAAAGGCCACAGATGGTTCCTCTAATGCGAGGAGGCGACACTTCAGAACAGTACACCGGGGCCGCAGACGACCCAAACCCAATACCAATGCCGCTCACTACACGGCCTGCCACCAGCATCGCCACGTTTTGCGAAGAAGACTGCAAGATAGCTCCCAGGATCCAGAAAGCCGAACACAAGTGCAGCGACACACGTCTTCCATAAACATCGGTCACACTCGACGAAATGAGCGATCCAAAAAATGATCCTGCAGACATCGAAGCCGTAATACCACCTTGCCGCGTGGATTGAGGATTGTCAAAATAGGCCTTATATTCATCGGTACCGATCATCGACGACATCGATGAAATGTCAAACCCAAACATCAGTCCGGAAATGCATGCCACTACACCTACCACGTAAATGTTGTAAATTTTGGGGAACTTGTCGTAGATACGGCCCCGGTAGTTGACATTGCGCAAGAGAAGCTTATCTGACAAGCTCATCGCACAGATATTGTTCTTATTGTCAATAGACTTTTTTTTTCGGGAGATACGAAATAGTTTTGAAGAATATCAAAGTGGTTTCGGGTTTCGAACACCATGTTGTCCGGGGATCTGTCCTCCTTTTATATGTCAAATCCCGGGCATATAAGCATGGGGAAAACATAACGCCGCCAACGCATCACAATGGGCCAGATCTGTGCTTCGTCTTCTGTGCTGTTGATTTAGCGTGTACCCTTATTTAATTGGTGGGGAAAAGCGGAATGGGGTTAATCCGGGGTTCTGCGAGGTCTTCTCCGCGGGGACTGGATTAAATTTTTGTATCTCCCCACACTTATGCAGTTGTCTGTGGAAGTTGTACTTTGATTTCTGGGCATGTCTGCCAAAATTACAGCCACTGCGGAAAAGCGGAGCAAAATGCTTTGATGGTGTCTGGGTGGTGGAGCCGTTTTGGCGCCGGAACACAGATGTCCGGGCGCAAAGGCGTAGCGTAACGCTGGGGTGAGTGGGTGTATGCCGCGGAGCTCAACGGTCCGGCAGTAATTATGTATACCAAGCTCTTTCGCAAGGCAACCGTCCGGCCGCGGAAGTGGAGAAAAATTGATGTGGGGTTGCTCGGAGTACTAAAGTCCGGGCGTCGGAAGACTTATGGGACGCTCGAAAACATGTCAAGTACCTTGAAAGTGCGGGGTACGCACTCCCAGTGGACTGATTAGTTCAACAGTAAATGGAATGATTTACCGGGTGCATGATTGTCACTGTGACCGAACTATTTCAGGAAGTGGATGTTGCAATCACAAAACGAACGTCATGAGTAGTAGTAGATCGTGCGGAACCTGTTGAGACTTTTCACGAACATTGGCAAGTCCGTAAGGATCAAATGAGTGAAGATCGAACGGTGAATAGATGTGTGAGCTAACAAGTGCTTCTGGTTCGAGTTAGTGGTACCGACTAACGGCAAAGCAGCGAAATAAAGGTAGCCTTTGTCGTTTGGTATATCCTGCTTTGTTTGTCGAAGAACTTCTTAGATTTTCAGTTTCTCTCTAGTGACTTGAAAAACGGCTTATGTTCAATGTGCTGTGACATTTGAATACCCGAAACCACACGCGTCCGTCTGAAAAAGTTTGCCGCCAGTGGTAATTCCCGAATGTTTTCAGCACTTCTTAAGGCATCGAAGTTTCCTCAACAGCATCCAAAAATTCCAATTTCTCAGCACAACGATTGTTGCAAGTGACGGCTAAAGTATCTTTCCAGAAGTATTAGAAAATACGTCATGTTGCCTATGCCATGAATTCCGTAGCCACAACTGCTCGACCACTTGGTCCCGCAAGTTCCGCAACATTGTGTATCTACTTTCCTTACCTTTTTGTAGCACGATGTGCATATCATAGTTCGTCCTTCAATCTGCTTCTGATGAGTTCATATAATTGAACTTGCACTTGAAGATGAGCCGATTTTACTTTAATGTCAATGTATCCATCAAATTTGATGGTTTGATTCCCGAGAACAGGGCTCAAACCCCCCCCCCCCGCACCGAGATCTTCTCCCCATTCATCTACCCAAGCACTTCTGTACGTCTCGACTAATTTCTAACGCCAGTTTCTTCCTTCTCGGCACAACCGAGCAGCTCACACTTCCGAGATCGTACCACTGAAAAACATGTCTTTCGCTGGTATCGAATTTCTGCTGTCAAGTATTAATCATTCCCGCCTAAGTCCAAATCCAACTCTATTGCTTCGTCACCCATGTTCATATACACAACGTCTATCATGTCTGCACACCACCGAGGTGGCTATCAAAGTCTATAAAGCGCACGAAACTTCACTCTTACCTGCCGCTAGCAAAAGTCGCAGCGACAATGAGCGGGAAAACCACAGTCGCATCCGCATAAATCTTGACACTCTTGGCTTCGGCTTTGATCTTGCCCCAAGAGATAGCCTCATCCGGCCTGGCTCCTGCATCAGAACCATCGAATTCTTGACCTGTGTTGATGTAAACGGCATAGTCTGCACCATTACGCATCAGACACGCATTCGCAATGTGGTGCTTAATCAAACCACCTCCCAACAAGAGCATACCTGCCTTGGAGGCTTCCATGGATAAGCTATTGATTTTACGGATGTCTGCGACAATGTCCACACGCAGTTGGCGGGGACTAGACTTGAACGTGTGAAAGAAAAGCATGTCTCCAATCGAACCGTCCGTGATCGCAGGACAAAAAACGGGGATCTGGTTCTTGTAAGCCCAATACAGGACCGACGACTCGTCGTTTATTTCTTTCCCTAGTCGGTTGATCAACTTGGAAGGCGTCCAGATTGGAGATTCGACGTCAGTATTGGCATCCAAGCATTCAGATTTGTGCTCTTTGACGTATTCTTCCTGCTCCTCCAGCATTTTGTCCAAGATGGGCACGATCCATTCTTCGAACTTGCAGTAATTGTCGTTGGGTACCAAAAGGTTACCAATACGGTTCAGACCTTTGTCACGCAAAGACGACCCTTTCAAGGTGAATTCTCCTAAATACGTAGGCGCCAGACATTTGATGATATCTTCTTCGATACCACCGCCAGTTGCGACGATAGCATCGACCTGCTTGTGCTGCACGAGATAGCGAATGGTCTCACGCAATCCGGAACTAATCAGGTTAGAAGTATACCCCAAGAAAATTGTAGTTTTCTGTTTGCCATTTTCATCAAATGAGCCTTTTCTGTCGTGCTCTTCGAGCTCATCACGATGCTTTCCTCTCCAAGATCTCATCTCGTTGATTATTTCGCAGCCTTGTCCTAGCGAACTGGCTTGAAATCCCATTGTACGCATAGATCCAACGAGATCAGATGCCCGCATGTCTTGGGCTTCTGCCTTAGAATAGTCAATACCCTGAACCTTCACATAATCTGCAGATACTGGTTCCGAAGCCTTCAACACTGCTTCGTTCAAGGCACTGGGCAAATTGGCATTTTGTTGAGACATTCTTGCTGACAAGTCCTGAACTATTCAAGGATGGTTAACAATTCACAATAAGTGGCTTCGATCAAGTCAAGTTTTAGTTGATCTTAGGTTTAAGCGTTGTCTAAAATTTTTCAAATTATCTACAAGATGAGCTAGCCATTAGACGATAAAAATGGTTAATATGAAGAAATATAGATAGAAGCTCTCAGTTCTTCAATTGGATCTTCAAGTTGATGAGCAATGGCTTAGTGAGCAATTATAATGATGACGATGCTATCATAGTGAACCGAGGTAATGCAAATATTTTGATCAAATATGGGGATCGTTGCGAAAATCTTGACCGCTGCTGTGTACGGTTTAAAAGCCTTCGACAAAATAACATTTATACGCTACGGAACTTGCGATACATCAGAAATTGCGTTTCTCCACTTCTTGGCGATTATCTGATCGCATGCACAAATTTGGGGCGAAATGTGCGAAATTTGGAGAACATTTTGGGAGAATTCAAAGTCGACATCGACAGCAAAGTCGTCGAAGTCTTGGAAATGGAGAATCTGACATTTGGTATGGACTCGATAGTGACAGTAGATCATTTCACTAAGGTGCATAGGCAAAAGTCTAGCATAGATGGGGAAGCAATTGTGTGGGAATTCAAACCCAAATGGATGATTCGGAAAGGCGAAAACTGCCGCAACTGCGTTTTGAACCGCTTCAAGGGCCGCAATATACCTTTTTGCTATAACATGGTCCTAGAACACCCCGAAATGCTGCGAAAGTGGCTTGCTGCGTTTAGCATGCCCCCTCAATTTTTTCCCGACATGGAAACGTATTTGCGTGATTCCGATAACGTCTTGGCGAGAGTTTATAAAACACAGTGCAATCTTGCTGACTCTCTTCCATCGCTTGGTGAGCTGGCGGGTGAAAACGATGTTTCTGGAAGTTTAGCGCTATTAATGGCTTTGCGTGACGTTACGTGTTTTGTGCGATGGGATCCAGCATCGGGAATACGCGCTAAAATTGTTGACGTAGACATGAAGCCAAAGTCCAAATGGAAGCAGTGGAAAGATCAGCAAGATGTTTTGGACGTCAGTGATATAAGAGTGTGTCATTAGACAGGCATTGAGTCAAAGAGCAGCTATTTCTGATGAACCTTGAATCTATCGGGAAAGCATCGTCGATTGTTTTGACTCGAAATTCTGGTACATTCCACCTAGAGTAAAGTGTCATGTCAAAACACAATAGCTCGCGATTGTCTATCAGTTGTTACTTTGGACGCCCAAAGATGATGCTCGGGACGCAGCGCAATTGGATTGAAAACAGCTTCGTTTACATACTAACACACAAAATGCCTCTCTAACCGACCCTTCACTCTGATCCAGTCTGGCCAAATCATATGAGGAGGTCACAACTACTTAAATAGCAACTTATTCTTAACAACAGACATGAAAGAGGGATATTGTATTAAATCAATGGGTTCCAAAAGCTATGATTTTGATGATACCTTGCTAGCATTGGAACGTGTAACATTGCTCGTTCCACCAACACGATGCAATCAAGAACCCGCATTACACAAGAAAGTGAGGTTCAGTACTGAGCTCGCAAGAGATAGAATGAGTTTTTCATTTCGTTTTTCGTTTTATCGATGAAGTCACCGCTACATGACCAAAACCCAATCCTCGCAACTAAAGGAGCTCCTTCAAGTTTGAGCCGTCCTCTTCCACGTCCCTCCAGTTGGGGAGTTTGTAAATGACGTTTTCAGGAGCAAATTCGGGATACGCTGAACGTATAGTCTTGAGAAGCTCGTTATAAAACACTTTGTAACCCTTGCCAGTATAATGCACTCCATCTAACAAAAGCTCTCGCCATTGATCTCCACCCTGCTCCTGGAATGCATCATACAGGTTGACAAAGGGAATCTTTTCTCTCAATGCTATTTGTTGAAGAGCGTCAGAATATCTCTTATTACAGTCATTAGACCGAAAAGTTCCCTGGCTAATTTGATCTGGTTTTAATTCTGCCCAACGCTCGCTGTCATGAAGACCGGGCCCGATCAAAATGGGTTTAATGTTTTTTACTTTGACCATATGCACGAGACTGGTAATATTCTCGATGAACTCTGTTACTTCCACACGCTGTCTGCCAGCGGAAGCTGCATCGTTACTGCCAAAAAAAATAGTGCACATTACAATCTCACTCGAGGACTCACTTTCCAAGATTTTGGGAAGGATTTGAAGAGCCCATCTAGAGTTATAGCCACTAAAGCCTCTTTGAATGATATCTAGCTTCCTCGTGTAATCTCGGCACAATGCCGCTCCTAAGGCAAATTGGTGTCCTATCTTTTCGTCGGGCTCGGTGTTGAATGCAAACTCTGTAATTGAGTCACCGAACAACAAGAATTTAGGGTATTTGAGCGACATTTCCACTCGCCTTGGTCTCGAAGGTCGTTGATCAAGAGTCGATCATTTTACCATTGAAGGTGAGATCTAATTAAACCACACTGTATGGTATCACGTGACCGAGACATTCGAGATGCGATCCATTTAGATCTGTGTTGTTGGCATTCGCACTTAGCAAGACGGGATATCAGCAGCTATCCCTTGTGTGTAGCTATCGGAAACTCTGGTTGAATTAGCGTATCTGGTGACGCTCGATGAATCCAATTCAATTGCAAGACGAGGACAAACTGCGAGACGTTATGGTAAAGACTGAAAAAGAGATCGAAGGTAGGTTCGTCATCGGAATCCTTCTCGTTGATCGAGATACAAAACATTAGTAGTGCCATAAGAAGAATTTTTATGGTTCAAATTAAAGTGCAAGTTTTTCGACCTATATGGAGAATGTCTGCTTTGTCAGAGACAACTCATGCTTGTTTAAGATACTCCAGTAGTTTCTGAGCGCGTTTGACCTGGTGCTCAGATGGTGGAATCTCGTCATTTCGTGGTTTGGACGCGGAATCAGCCTTCTGGTCTTTCGTTTCAGTTTCTTCGGGTTTTGTTGATGATTCGTCGCCATCAGCGGGAGCTTTCTCATCGCCTTTTTCCCCAAGTTCTACATCCTTACCACGCTTTTCTTCCTCAGAATCTTGCGATTGTGCCTCTAATTGTGCTTTTTCGTGTCGATCCACACAATCCTGGCAGGATTTCTCAAGTCCTGCTTTGGAACCACCTTTGAGATCTTTGAAATACACATACAGCAGCTCGTCATAACATTCAGGAATCTGTGTATCGTCTAGGACGTGCTTCAATAGCCAATTTTGTTTTTGCTTCGAGAATTTCCACACCTCCATCACTTGCGGCTTCGAGCTGCTTGCATCCTTTTCTTCGTCAGAAATAGCAGGATCACCCAGCTGTGCTTGCACTGGCTTGTGTTCCCACACTTCTTGCGGTAGAGTTCCAACTTTCTCGCGGTAGAAGTCTATCAAATATCGCAGCTGGTCCTTCAACACCTGTTCTTTGTTCAAAAGTCTTTCTTCACGAGGCGCCTTGTCCTTCTTCTGTTTCTTGTTAGGGTTGCCGTGTTTTTTCTGGTTCTTGCCGCTTTCCGGTTCTCCTTTGATAATCTTCCTCTTCTCTCTTTTGCTCAGGTTCGCTGTTGCCAGATGCGTAGTCACCTGAAGGGCAGTCGCATCGTTGTCTGTTGTGGAACCCTCTTGATTCCTAATAGCGATTCTTTTCCAGGCTGGAATGTGATCCATTATGTCAAATCAAATGCTTCTTCAACAGGCGGATGGAACAGTGTAAGTTTTGTCTGTTCGGGCCTTTTTATTCCGATGGCTCATCTCATCTCTTTTGAAAGTTTTCCATCTTTTGTCAATCTCATCGATTTTTTTCCTGGAGATTTTTGAAAAAAGTACAATATAAAAGGGCAGAAGAAACGATTCAAGAAGAAACTGAACTTGTGCAAACTTCTTTTCGAAGAAAACCACATTCAAAACATTGCGCAAACTTTGAGGTTACAATTGAAGATTATTCAGGGTCCAACTTTTATCAAAGTCGGGCAGTGGATAATAGACTCTTGTCTCAGCGCATAGATCAAGATATCACCAGTTTGAGTCGATCGGTAAGCCTGATAAATAAAGTTTCTTCAGGCAAACTACCGGTTGATATAGAAGTGTGCTAACAAATTACGCTTAGAAGCTATTCTATCGTGTATACTCTTGACGCCGTAAACTACTGGGAACCTTTACTATTCTGTTAGGTCTGGATTTATCTCAATTCTTAATTTCAACATCTCTCTTTTTGATCTTAAAATACTGAAATATGAACAAGCACAGATATTTTCAAACCATAAACTTACAAAGAAACTAGAAAACATAAAGCACCCATCATTCGTATTCATGACCAGGCATGTTCTTGCTACCGATTTTGATGAGACAATAACCGATAAGGATACCATTTCTGTGCTAGCGGAGCTTCCATATTTGTACAAATCGTATAATGTCCCTTGGACCCATTTCTTGGACACGTACAAACAAGGAAATCAGAAATTCGAGCCTGCACCCCGCAAGCTACCTATTTTAGACCTCTGGGCACGCCATCCTGACCAGCTAATCACTGCTGGCAATTTTGACCGAGTGTTCCGCTCAGAAGTAGAATTTCAAAAGAGCCTAAGGCCTATAGAGCTAAACAGTATCCGAGAACTAGAAGCCATGGGAGCATTTGAAGGCGTCACAATAGAGGAAGTTCAGAAATTTTCGAAAAATCGCACGTTCCTGTTACGCGATGGGTTCTTGGAGGCTTGGAAGGCAGTAGCAGACGTCCATATTATATCCGTCAATTGGTCCAAAATCTTCATTCAATCTCTCCTGGACTCTGCTGCCGAACGACGCAGTTTAGAGGTGTCGTCCATGCCTCCTGTCCAAATAGCTTGCAATGATCTTATAGCTGAAGAAGGCAAACTCAGCGGTAAGTTCGATAAGGTTGTGGTGACAGGATTTGACAAGTTAGAAAAACTACGAATGCTCGTTCAAAACTCCAGTCAGAAGGAAACCATTTGGTATGTTGGTGACAGTGAGACGGATATACTTCCTATCCTTTATCCTGGAGTGAATGGTGTTTTCTTGCTTGATCCAGCAGAAAATGCTAAAAAGCTCACTAAAATAACCTCTGTTATGGGGGTGCCAGCAAATTATCTTGCCAAATTTGCGGCACAAAAACTTGATATAGTTGAAGTCCCTTGCAAGAAGACGGGCATGTTATATTTTGTTAAGAACTGGAGAGCTTTTGCGAGATTGCTACGATAAAGGCTTTAAACCTACGTTGAGCCAAACGTACTTAGTAAAAGTCTAAGGCATTTATAGATTACAAGAACCACTGTTTTGTCTGTGTCAAATATACATGTCCCATGTACGACTGATTGTTTTCACAACCTGCCTAAAGTTAACCATTGTCATAAAAACATGAAAATTGACAACGACTTTTAGGTGAGTATGAGCAAAATATCATGACGTTAAGAAATCAAAATTATCGAAGAAACAGACTGGATTTCCTGCTAACTTTATTCTTGAGTCTTTAGCCTACTTGGCCGCCTATTAATTGGTATGCTTTTCGCTACCCTTGATGCTTCTATCAAATGAAAACTCCGCTATTTGCAGGTTTACGCTTCTTGATATTACCGTCAGTCGAATCGCCTAGAGTCCAGCTTTTGATTAAACTCATCGAGGCCAACGGAGGAACAAATCTGAAGACATATTCCAGTGACGCTGTGATTTTAATTAATGATACTTTTGTTGCAGAGCACGGTCTTATAAGAGGCGAGCTTTTCCATAGTGAATGGGCTTACGATGAGGAACTCTGGTACGAACTTTTGTCTGACGAGAAGCTGAGCTTTTGCAGGCTCAGCTGGGTAAGCGAATGCCTAAAGAACCATAAGTTACTAGATCAAAGATTGTTCAGAACACAGCTGATAATGGATGAGGATAATCAAAGTGGACCTTCATTCAGTGCCAGCACATTGCCAACAGTGACAGAAGAAACAACACAGCAACAGGACTCAGTACGGATTCAAGCTCCCAATTTAAGGTCACCGAAGAAGCACAATATTAAGGATGATGGTGAACCCAAAATGACTCCTACGAAAATTGCCAAAAGCGCACCGTCATCGAACGGCCAAGAGAGGACAAACTCTGTGCTTCTACTTGCCCTCGAACAGCTCTCCAGAAAAAACAGGCTAAGAGGAGACACCTACCGAGCGCGCAGCTACCAGCTGGCCCAGCAGTCAGTTGAGAAGCATGACAAACCTATAACTTCTGAACAGGAAGCCCTGTCTTTACCCAACATTGGTCCAAGCATTGCTAATAAGATTCAGATGATTTTGGAAACTGGGTCGCTTCCAGGGTTACAAGAAGCAGATAAGAACGAGGAGCTAATCGATTACTTTATGGCTTGTCATGGTGTCGGAACACAGACAGCAAAGAAATGGGTTTCCAATGCCGTCGGATCGTTCAAAAAAGCCTTAGAGGTGTACCCATCAGACTTTAATTGGAATGTGCTTTTTGGATGGAGATTCTATGAAGACTGGGCTTTGAGAATACCGAGGGAAGAATGCACAAAGCACCTGGCTCTGATCGAACAAGCGCTAAAAGAAATTGATAGTAATGCACGAATTGTGCTCACTGGTAGCTATAGACGTGGTGCTGCAACGTGCGGTGATATCGACACAGTGCTATACAAACCAGGGTGCGACAACATTGCAGATCTGTCCCGGATCCTAGAAAATCTAATTCTAAACCTCAAGCGTACCGGCTACATCCGCTGTCCACTTAACGTGAATCACAACTTAGGAAAGGAGTTTAAGTCAATGATTGAAGACCTCAGCAGAGCAGCGGGCTTAGAAGAAAGCTACACATTGGGCCCCAAAGAACTGCTGAAGAAATTCTATTTTGGGGGCAAACTTCCATCAAGCTCGACGCCAGACGTTATGCTAGATTCACAGGAACCCCATAGGCTTAAAAGTGAGGATCGTTTTATGTTAGAAACTCCTGAAACTCACAGGTGCAGACGTGTGGATATTCTTTTGAGCCGTTGGACCCAGTTGGGTGCTGTCATGATTTATTTCACAGGAAATGACGATTTCAATAAGAGTCTGAGAATAAGAGCTACTCAGCGTGGTTGGAAGCTCAGTAACAATGGCCTTTATCAGGCCAATGCAAATACGGGAAACGACGGCGTACTTATCGAGTCGTTCGATGAGAAAAGGATAATGAACCTCCTGGGGGTGAAATGGGTACCGCCAGGAGAACGTAATATCGAGGGCTACATTTAGCTGCTCACGCAACGTCAATATTGTATAATAAAGATGCAATGTATTTCCAAATTGCAAATTGGATTACTTAGTAGTTGTTTAGAGGTCATACACACATTACTCAGTCCAGCTATGCGCTTCATGGTCTGCTGGACAAGAAGGTAACACCTGGTAGTTCCTTACCTTCCAACAATTCCAAGGAGGCACCACCACCAGTGGAGACGTGGGAGATCTTGTCAGTGACACCGTACTTCTTAGCAACGGTGGCAGTGTCACCACCACCGATGATAACGGTGTTGCCGTTCTCGGAGGCCTTGACGGCTTCCTTCAACATATCTTGAGTACCTTGGCTAAACTTCTCGAACTCGAAGACACCTGGAGGACCGTTCCAGACGATGGTCTTGGCCTTGGCAATGGCAGTAGCGAAAAGCTTTCTGGATTCTGGACCAGAGTCCAAACCTTCCCAGCCAGCTGGAACACCTTCCTTGTCAGTGACGGTCTTGGTGTTGGCGTCAGGGGAGAAGTTGTCACCGCAGACAAAGTCGATTGGCAAAACAATCTGGACACCTCTTTGCTTGGCCTTCTCGGCCAATTTTGGAACGATTTCAGCACCAGCCTTGTCGTAGATGGAGTTACCGATTTCAGTGTTCTCTAGCACCTTCTTGAAGGTGAAGGCCATACCACCACCGATGATGATGACGTCGACCTTGTCCAACAAGTTGTCGATCAATTGAATCTTGTCGGCAACCTTGGCACCACCTAGGATGGCCAAGAAAGGTCTGGCTGGGTTTTCTAGAGCCTTACCGAAGTATTCCAACTCCTTGGACAATAGGAAACCGGCAGCTCTTTGTGGTAGCTCGAAACCAACGATAGAAGAGTGAGCTCTGTGGGCAGTACCGAAAGCATCGTTGACGTAAACGTCAGCCAAAGAAGTTAGTTCCTTTCTGAACTTCTCAACATCGGCCTTGTCGGCCTTGACCTTTTGGCCGTCGACCTTTCTGGAGCCCTCTTCTTCGATGTGGTAACGCAAGTTTTCCAACAAGATGACGGAGCCTGGAGCAGCAGAGTTCACAGCCTTGGTGACTTCTGGGCCCACACAGTCGTTCAAGAACTCGACGTCCTTGCCCAACAATTTTTGTAGTTCAGCAGCAACTGGCTTCAAAGAGTATTTCTCAACTCTTTCACCATTTGGTCTACCCAAGTGCGAGGCCAAAATGACAGCCTTTGGCTTCTGTTCTAGCACGTACTTGATGGTTGGCAAAGCAGCCACGATTCTCTGGTTGGAGGTGATCTTGGTGCCATCCAATGGGACGTTGAAGTCAACTCTGATGAAGACACGCTTGTCCTTGACGTTTAGATCTTTGACAGTAAGCTTGGAGGATAGAGACATTTTCCAATTATGACGGTATGATGATATCTAAGAGAAATTCGATAACGAGAACTCTTTGACGTGGAGATTTAAGCAAGAATGAAACCGAATTCAAACCTAATACATTACTACACTCCACCGTGTCCCTGTTTATATACTTTTCTACCGGCCACATTATTTTACTGCGGCTTGCGCTCGTACCATAATGACCCGATCTCCTACGTGAACACCATCCGGCGTGTGCCCACTTTTTGCCACGCTACGGGATTTTTTTTGCTGAACCTATGAGCTTTGCAGGCTCGCACCCACCTGCTGCTGCTACCATATTACTCTTGACGGTAACGTTACAACACGCGCAGAGACAGGCTCTTGGGTTGCTTGCTCACGCTACACTGCAGCGTTCGTTGTTTTTTTGAGAAAGAGTAGTAATCACCTGGAGACAAGAAACCGGGGCAACTAGTAAGACCGCGTCTCGTTAGTTGGCTTGATGAGAGCAGGAACAGCCCAGTTAGACCGTGAATGTGTTTCCGTCTTGAACAAATCTTGTTAGTTGTCTCCAGACGTCAAATTAAAGGTTCTTAGCTGATGAGCGGTGCGACGCGCTAGAAAGTACGCGGCTCGAGCACGTATCGGCCCTGTCTGTGCGGCCAGAGCGTCTTGAGCTTCCTGTCTGACGTCCGAGCTGCGACGCACGTCGTCGGAATCCAAAGGAAGCGCAAGGAAGCTGGGATCACGTGCACGCTGAAGAAGGAGTCTTGTTCGAGTAACGCTGAACGCATTGGTAAAACAATTATAGCGCTAAAGACAAAACTAAAACTGACGTTAAGATTGATTACAAGGAGCAGGTAAGATCCATTGGCGAGTTGGTTAGTCCAAAACTGGTCGGCCATTACTTGTTGTTCACACTCGATTGTTAGAATCGAGGATTGCTATATAGGGTCTTCTGGGCACGTGACTATCCAAGTCTTGTGTACAATACTGTCGATCACGTGCAAAAGTCAATCTCATCTTTCCTCTTGGACGACACGAAAACGCGTGCTCATGTAGAGAATAAGGTACCTCTTGCTTCGTAATCGCCATAGTGTCCAATATTTTTTTTCAAATACTAGTCGGCCGTTGAGCTGGTTCGTTTTCGTCTGGCGCGCTGGAGCCTTCGAATAGAACAGTTGTTATCTTCCGCCAGCCCTTCGCACAAGTGTGACAATCGAAGCTTGCTCATTTTCATAAGAAACACAGAAAACGTAATTTATCATGTCAATAGCACGAATAATTCATGAGATGTGCCAATAGGCGGTTAACTACTTTCAGTCCTGAATATCGCTTGTATTCAGCTTTGTCAAGATAGAGCGGTAGTAAATTGGTTTTGGTTCTTGGAAAATTTCTGAACAAGTAATGACACTCCACAGTAAAGCCCCACCTACGTTTTTTACGACCATCAAACCCTGATAGATAGACCATATCGGAAGGTCCGACTGAAGTAAGAATTTGGGTTCGGAATGCAGGTGCACGTGATCACCTTGCGAGCTGCCGTCCTCTAATTTATCTATATGTGAGTCAAATTCCATGCCAAGGGCTTCACTACACATTGCAGGAAAGCGGTTTCTCTCGCCATCAAAAATGTCAGCAAGTATTTTGGAACACTATCAGACCAGCGACGACAATGACCTTAGATATATGGCTCTTAGAGAGCACTTTTTGAGCATAGAGGAACCCTTGGACGATCAGTTGCTGCTCGATGTCGTGTCACGTGTTCTTATACCTGCTCTCGGTGATCCAGATCGAACTATTACAGAACTTGTGTCGACCCAGCTCCTGCCCCACATCTCGGAGGTAAATGCACTGGAAACTGAGGCGTGTGTGATTCTGCCCTTGTGCAAAAAGCTTCTAGAAGCTACTTCCCACGTGCACAGTTTTCCCCCAGTGCTGCAAGCGCTAAAAAACGTCCTTTCGCGTTTGAGAAATCCACTACAAACATCTGAGCCTTTCGAAAAATATTTTGAGACATTGATATTGCTTAACCCGAGACCTTACATGGTTTGGGAAACCTTGTCGTTACTGATTGAGAAAACGCTGGCGACGGTATCATGGCACGTGACTAGTGTCAGGTATCGCACACTGTATAGCCTAGCGCTGAGTGACGGAGGATCAGCGGCCATGGTTGCTCTTCGCACAGCGACCAGTAGGGTATCACCTAAAACAGTTAAAGAGGCTTTTGAAGAAAATCCGGAGATCACAGATGCCCAATTGAAACTTCTGTCCCACATAACAAGCGAGCAAGCTGCATTCCGCTTACTGTACCCCGAGCTCATCGGTAGTTTGCTGCAAGGTGGTCAGCTCACAGAAGATGCATACAAGACCCTGGTCAATCTTTCTGTCTGGCTGCTGCAGCCAGTCATGAGCGAAGTCTCCAACGTAAAAACAGAGCTCCAAAATCGGTTGTTCGCGACATGCTACGAAGTCTTGGCCGATTATGCCGAAAAGATGGAGACTGATTCAGAGCAAGAAGCAGATTCCGAACAGGAGGATTATTATAAAGAGCTTTCGGCCGACGGTTATGGTGGAGGAATCATGTTTGAAAACGAAGAAGAAGGGGAGACAGAACAAGATGCAGATGAATTGTCACCTAACGTTTTTTACTGGCTTAAAGTATTACAACAGATAAAGCTGCAGCTTCCGCAAACAATTGCATCAATTCTCACTTCACCGAAGTTTGCAAAAATCCAAAACTGGATTCCAATCCAAGATGAAAGATCAAATCAGTTGTCATTATTATCGCATGAAGACGAAAATACGAACCGTGATTCTTTACCCCTAAAAGAGAATTCTGCTAAAGTTGCTACTGACCCTTCGAGCTTAACGACAGATTCAAGGCCAAATGAAACAGACAGCATATTGGGTGAGGTTTCTACTATCACTGAAGCTTCCAGAAATGCCGTTGTACGCCGATTGTGCGACATGCTTAGTACTGAAGATACCGATCTCACCAATTTGGAAATGGCGGTAGATGCAGCGTCCACGCTTTCGAGACGCGAAGAGATGCAAAACACGCATGACCTTATCGCTGAGTTATTATGGCCACATTTGAAACCTAATAAACAATTTATTGGAACCATAAAGGTCGGGAACATGAAGCAATCAATTGACGACGGCGTTTCTTTCCGAATAAGCTGTTATGCTTTATTACAACAATTGCAGCTGTCTTACGGATCCCAATGCCGAGTATTGGAGGAGTGCGTAGAAAGAGGCTTCAAGGACGAAGCTACTATAAAAGAAATATCGGCGGCACTTTTCACCTCAACTTTCACTCAGATTTGGCCTCAAATAGAGATTCGTGATACTGTTTGGTTATGCAACAAACTTTGGCCAAGGATCCAAGAGAGACTCGACAAGGCGCTCGCTACGAAGCCTAATGATTCCTCGACATCCCACCAAATTGCGAACTGGACGAGAGGCATAGCAAGTTTGGATACTGTACGGGAATTGGTGGGAACAGCGTTACATACGAGTTTGATGCCAGATAACGACGAAGTCAACCAAACTTTGTGATTTCCATCTACCTCCGAACTAGAAGAATGCACGTTTTCCGAATCAAACTAGAATATATGTATCCTAACGAAAGAAAAAAATAATCGAGACTTTGAGTTTGGTATCTTTGACAATAACCTAAACAACGCCAAATTCGAGTTTTGACGGTTTTTTCTCATCGATATTCGCTTTTTCAGCTTTTAGAAGAAAACTGACATCTCGAAAAAAACTACAATAGTCTTTGCAAATATGAGCTAAAAAAGGTCTCGTTAAAAAGCTGGGATAAGCAGCAATACCGAGGATGGCCTTTATAACGCCTAAAACATGAGTTCTCACAACAGCTTAAGCGCTTTGTTGACTCTCAAGGTTTTGGCTTAAACGACAATTGCCAAGTTGCCATTAACAATGGCGAACTAATTAAGTAAGCGTCATGATCAACGGTCGTCGACGATCTTACCCTAATCTTGGTTTGAGAGGAAAGGTTGCTCAGGCCAAGGGATCGATCAGGTTTAAGTGTTAACAAGTCGTCAACTTGTCACCTTTTTTGACATTTGCGAAGCAAGACGAACTGACGACGACAATGATGGCTAGCAAATCCAGCGAAGACTACTCTGAAATCGATTATCCACCTCAATATCGCGGTACTCCAGACTCAGAGCAACAAGAGCGGTCGAAAAAAAATCCTCCATTGTTGAGACGAAAATCGACAAATTACAGTGATGCCTTGGAATTAGAACAGAATCTACCTGGTGCTATCTCGAAAGGCCTGCATCTGAGAAAAGATCCTGAAGGTGAGTATACGCAGCAGCGTGAAGCGAGCAAACGTGAGATGCAGCGAAGAGCAGTGAACATGGATAATGATGATGACGATGAGACTATTTACGAATACGGACATATAAAATGGAACGATAGGGACGTTCCAGTAATATCTGCATCGCATGGCCACCACACGCCTCATTCTCATCCCAACATTAGCACTCCTCCCAAGTCGCCTTACGGAATCGTGTACTGTGATGGTGATCACCAAACGGAACCGGAATCCGAGTTCCCTTTCGAAAGACCTCCCTTGAAGGAAAGGCGGTCGTCTTTGTTCGAGGATCAAAAAGAGGACACACATGCAGATCGTGCGGTAGCACCGTGAAATTTTTATCTCTCTTTCCGATAGAAATTTTAAGAAAATTGGAGTAAAACCAACATTGTTTCACGATTCAACAGGCGTTTGCTTGAACCTATTCATTATGACTCCCAACACTTTCTTCCCATTATAGTATTGCCGGAAGGTCCACGAAATTTACTTACGAAAATTGCAGTTAGCTTAGCTTTGGTCTTTATTTAATAATAATATTCAGTCGCTATCCGGAAATCAAGGATTGACTTGTTCATCGAAAAAGCCATTAAAGGGTTTTCAAGTTTCAAACAACACCGTTGTAACGTTTTGTAGCGTTTTCAATGCTTACCATCGGAAAAGTAAATGATGCGAATTCTGTTTTCGATGCTACCATCGAACTCAACTTTGGCCCAGGTTTAACGTCTACTTTCCACCTAATATACTTGTTGGACAACTGTACTTCCCCGCAATCTCTGCATCCAGAAACAAAGCAGAGACTAATAGACGTTTTCAGTACGGCTCAGGAACAATCCGGAAGCAGTTTTGAAGAGGCCGACAAGGCGATACAAAGGATTTTCAAGGGAGGTGTCGATTTTGAAGTAATTGACGGAGCTCTTCTGTGCCACTGGTCTAGGTCCCACAGTTCCAAATTCTCGCAAAAATGGCTGCAGACGCATTCTTATAGTCCAAAATTGTACGAAAAGCCTCAATTGTTACCCGCTATCTGTCCGTGGGATGCTGCACAGTTTCTAGACTTAACCCGTCAACACAGATCCTACAAGTTCAACGACCTGCCAGACAAACTTCCCGGACTCCTCGAGGATATCTTTACATATGGTTTTCAATTTATCGAAGATGTCCCTGTCAGCCTGGAAGCCACGAAAAAGGTATCTGAGATGATATCTATCATCAGGCCAACTCATTATGATCTGGGGGTATGGGATTTTTCTTCTGATTTGGCCAAAAAAGATACTGCGTATACGACCCTGAGAATTGACATGCATACAGATGGTAACTATTGGCAAGAAACGCCTGGATTACAACTCTTTCATCTCTTGGAACATTCAGGAGGCAACGGAGGAGAAACGCGCATAGTCGATGTTGAGCACATACTGAAAGTTTTAAAGGATTTAGCAGTGGAGGACGAAAGCTGGCAAAGAACTTACCATGTTCTAACAACTCAACCAATTGCCTTTCATCAGGCTGGTGAGGAAGGAATATGTTTTACACAGGATTTTTTCCCGATACTCAGTGTTACCGGGGGAGGTCAGTTGTTGAAATGCCGCTGGAATAACAGCGATAGATCGCCCCAGTTTCCCGTCCTTAAGTTTTCCGTTGGCCACATCTACGAAGCCTTGTTTAGATTCAATGCCTTGATAAACGATCCAAAGAACTACGTTCAATTCCAACTGACCCCCGGCAAAATATTAGTTTTCGATAACTGGAGAGTTTTGCATGCCAGAAATGCTTTCACAGGATACCGTCGCCTCTGCGGCTCTTACCTGACGAGAGATGATTTCATTGCAAGGCTCAAGGGCTTTTACAACGACAGGGATTCCCTTCTGAACGCTCTCTAAAAAAAAACTAGTCAATCAATGGCGAGCTGCTTATTCCATAATATTTTTTGAGATGCTATGCAGACCAGACTGCTTGTAAGTCAAGCGAGGTATTGGGGTGTTAAGTATAATCCAAGTTAGCTAGAAGGAGTCAAATGTGTCGCTGTAGTTTGTAGGCCCACTCTTACTCAAAACCTTCAGCCACGTGACTAGACTTCCTATGAGATGAGATCAATACAAGCTATAGAACAATCCAACACGAACAAACTTCGCATCTTCGGCAAAGCCTATAGTGAAACCTCAAGAATTGCATGCTGACTCGTTGGGCACTAGTACCGAGACTTTCGGCGCGATTATGTCGGTCAGCGGAGCTTGGATGTTGTGTCAGGAGTTTTACGCACACCTCAAGATTTTATGCGCATAAAGTTTCAAACAAAAGGAAAAGGTTCAATGAAGAAGTGAAGCCTGTCAAATTTGAAATCCCAAACTACATTGCGGTTAGTGATCTTGCGAATCTGATCAACTTGAAAATTGAGAAGTTGACCAAAGATTTGACTAAAATGGGATTTGCCAATGTAACGCACAACTACATTCTGTCAAGAGAGTACGTCGAGCTCGTCCTGATGAATTACAATTACGAGCTTGGTAAGCAAGCGCTTGTCGTCACCCCCGACAATGTTTACGATGAGTTAAGATCTGCTGTTAATCCTAAGAACCTATCTAGAAGGCCACCTATAGTGACTATCATGGGCCATGTTGACCATGGGAAAACCACGATTTTAGACTATCTGCGGAAAACTTCTATCGTCTCTGAGGAGCATGGGGGTATCACACAGCATATTGGTGCCTTTCAGGTTGAGACCCCGGTTTCCAAGAGAAAGATTACGTTCCTCGACACGCCAGGCCATGCTGCTTTTCTTAAAATGCGGGAAAGAGGCGCTAACATAACTGATATTATCGTACTTGTAGTTTCATTGGAGGATTCCATAATGCCACAGACTATAGAGGCCTTGAAGCATGCTGCCAAATCAGGAAGCCAAATGATTGTCGCAATTACCAAAATTGATAGAATTTCGAATACTAAGGAAAGGGATAGGGCCATTGAAAAGGTGACTATCGACTTGATGAATAATGAAGTTCCCATCGAGAAAATGGGTGGAGACGTTCAAGTTGTTCCCATCAGTGCTCGAACTGGAGAGAATATGAATCTTTTGGAAGAAAGCATTATTGCTTTGAGCGACGTAATGGACTTGAAAGCTGAGAGGAGTAATAAAGCTGTGGCCGAAGGATTTGTCATTGAAAGCGAGGTAAAAAAATCAGTGGGCAATGTAAGCACTGTTTTGGTAACTAAAGGGATCTTACTAAAAGGTTCTATTCTGATTTGCGGAAACACATATTGCAAGGTGAGAAGCATGTCAAATGAGCAAGGAGCGAGCGTGCTTTTAGCGGATCCAAGCACCCCAGTGGAAATCACGGGATGGAAACATATGCCTGCTGCAGGTGATGAAGTTCTTCAGGTCAGCAGTGAGTCGATAGCCAAGAAATATGTGGCTAAAAAGCTTGCTGTACTACAAATGGCCAAAGAGGCGAAGAACGTTGATAGGATTAATGAGCAAAGGGCCATGGAAGCGCTTGCCAAGGCCGAAAGAGAGCAGCATAATGAAGAACCTGAAGAACATGAAGAACCTGAACCTAATACAGGTCCGGAGAAGGTGAACTTCATTGTCAAAGCTGACGTATCAGGTTCAGTAGAGGCAATAGTTGAGAGCATTTCATCTCTTGGGAATGAAGAGGTCCAGTGCAATGTTTTGTCGGCCTCTGCTGGTATTCCCAACGAAAGTGATATGAAGCTGGCTCGTTTGACGGATAGTAAACTTCTGTGCTTCAATCTAGGGTCACTTCCCTATGATGTCATTAACAACAAAGATAAGATCGAGGTCGAGCAGTACAACGTCATATACAAACTAATAGAGGGTGTTACAGAAACTCTCAGGAGCAGGTTAAAACCTATCTATGAAACCAAGCAAATCGCTCAAGTCGATATTAGAGATATTTTCGACTTTAGCGTGAAAAAGAAAATAATCAGAATTGCAGGATGCAGAGTAGTTAATGGGTTATTAACCAGAGGCTCGATGGTCAAGGTGTTGAGAGGATCTGATGAGGATGTGGTATTTGACGGCCGCATCGCAAGTTTGAAACAGGGCAAAGAAGATGTGCCCTCAGTGAAGAAAAATAGCGAATGCGGTATCACATTCGAGAATAATTTTGAGGGTTACGAAGCTGGCGACAAACTGGTAGCGTACGAAAAAGTAGAGGTACCAAGATATCTTTAATCTTGGGTTGATAATGTGTATTCACTTGTAAATATTGTATGAAACTAATTCTTATACTCCGTCTCCCACTGTACTCTCACACATTCCTCGACATAGCCGACGTCGTGTTCATCATATTTGGTGATGTAATTCTCAACGTCCGTGAATAACATGATGGTGCCCCATTCCATTCCTCCTCTTTCTACAATGGTTTCCTCCAAATCTATGATCATTTTCGGCATCAGTTGCATTTCGAAAACTCTCTTCGACGAAGGATTATAACTTGGGGGAGGTATTACTTTGACGAGGTCCACCTGTGTAGCTGCATAATATAAGGGTTGCCCACCGAAATGATATCTCAGTACCTGTAGAGGATTGTATCCTGCGACATCTTGGAATTTTTGGAAGACATCGTCATCAAGGAATTTCGAGAGCTTTTCAGTTCTGGGATCCAGCTCAATGTTGTTGATTCCTGCTGACTCATCGCTTTCTGCATTGATATCCAGGGCTGTCTTATCTATTTTCAGATTCTTGGGCAGTTTGAGATGATCAGGGATTTTGTTTTTGAATGATTCTTGCTCAACATACAGAAAAAAACCGGGAAACCCACCATCAAATTTCTTGTCGTCTAGAGCGTCGTGTTCCTTCCGTGCGGTTTTCGGGTTCACCGAACCGGCGGGAACTTCAGAACTTTTTGGTGTGTTCTCCTGCGCGTTTGCGAACGGGTTTGCCGATGCGATTGCAAAGGGATTAGCTGACCCTGATGGTTCAGTGGCAAATGGATTCGAAGGACCTTTGTCAAGCGTACCAGCTTCGATTTTGAAATCTTTTTCCTTCACCGCTAAATTCATTGTATTCTGCAGACTTGCTGAGCCGTTGCATTTTTTCACACCACGAATGCAGCGAACGGAGCTCGCTTTCCTGGGACACTTTGTGCATAGAAAAACGTAAAGAACCCTTTCATCTTCAGGATTAGCATTTATCGACGTCAAACCCAGCTTCGATGCTACATCTCCAGCTAGTTCTGGGTCCAATGGAGCAAAAGCTTGCAAAAGCAGCTTCATATGAGTTTGAGAATGACATGAACCGCATTTCAAGAGTTCCTTGTCGGGAACAGAGTCTGGGTGTAGCCAAACAGGCTCCCCACCAATGAAAGAGTCGTCTGTGCGGACCTCATCGGCATCTTTGATAGCTGCATCGACAAATCCTAAATAGACGTCGCTAGGCTTTGTCGTGAAATTCTCTGCTGTATCCGAAAAAGTGTCTTCGATATCGGACATATAGTCTAGCAAAAATTGAACAGGGTTTGGGATTCGTTACCTACTGTGAACTGCAGTGTAAGCTCAATATTCATCAATATCATCAAAATTATGCATTGTTATAATTCTAATTTTTTTTTACTGTCATCTTGAAAAGAACGAAGCGAATAACTTAGTGCAAGCTCGAAAACATCTTCGCTATGCTGCAGATCTCAACATAATTCCGTATCCTTTTTACTACATAATTTTCGAAGTTATAAGTTCCTCTTTGATTGAGATAGCATGTCATCGATTTTCCGAATATCTTAAAACACTTCATCGTAGCTGAAATCGACGACAGCTGCGCCACCTGATTGCAGGCCGAATATGCCTTGTTCAACGTACTTCACACCACGACGGTTCAAACATTTCCATACATTTGAATATCATTCTACTTAATCCAAAGCTGATGACAATAATAAATTTGCAACAAATCACAGGTCGCGCAAGTGGTTTAGTGGTAAAATCCAACGTTGCCATCGTTGGGCCCCCGGTTCGATTCCGGGCTTGCGCATTTTTAACATTTTATATTTTTATTGACTTTCCAGAATGAAAAAAAAAGTGATAATGTACCTATAATCAAGAACATTAAAAAACTAGTCTCATCCCATCCAGTACTATAGTGGATTATCAGGCAGTATCCAATTGGAATTGGCATTCCAGAACCATTTCGCTTGCTCTGAACCCATTTTTAATGTCTAATATCGCATTCAAGATTCGTCAAGCAGCCCCAGGCATCGATCAAGTAGTGGCCGATTATGCAAGCGGGTACTACAACCACTTGTTGAATGCCACTTACGACGCAGTGCAAAGTAAACAGCTTGTTTTGTCAGAAGAGGTGTCGTTTTTACAAGAGCTGTTGGAAAATGCGGGTGGAAAGGATGACAAAGTTGAAGAGGTGTGTAAGGAAATGTTAGAAAGACTGTCGCTTCAGCTTGAAGAAAACCAAGCCAAGCTAGAGGTTACCGGTGATACTAGCAGAAGGTTACTTGATGTTAACATTTTGCAAAATCACAACAGCAAAGCTAACATCAATACCTCGCTCGCGATGTTAGGTGTCAACGGTGACATAGAACATACAGGTCGTAACATGGATACCAGGGTTGATTTGAAGAAATTGGAAAAAGCTGAAAAGAAGATTGCCAAGAAAGTGGCCAAGAGGAACAACAAGTTCGTGAAGTACGAGGCTTCACGTCTGATAAACCAGAGCAAGGAGGATGACTATGATTCCTTCTTCTTGGAAATCAATCCTTTGGAATTCGGTTCTGCGGCTGGTAAATCCAAGGACATCAAAATTGACACATTCGATCTGTACGTTGGTGACGGGCAAAGAATTCTATCGGATGCGCAGTTGACTTTGAGCTTCGGCCATAGATATGGTCTGGTAGGTCAGAACGGTATCGGTAAATCCACTTTGTTGAGAGCGCTCTCGCATAGAGAACTGAACGTGCCAAAACATATTTCGATTCTACATGTCGAACAAGAGCTTAGAGGTGATGAAACCAAGGCACTTCAAAGTGTACTGGATGCAGACGTCTGGAGAAAACAACTTATGACAGAAGAAACTAAGATCAACGAGAGACTACAGGAAATAGAGAAGCTTCGCACCGAGTTTGACGAAGACAGTTTAGAAATTAAAAAGCTGGATAATGAACGCGAAGATTTAGAGCAGCATTTGGAACAAATCTCGGAAAAACTGGTAGATATGGAATCCGACAAAGCCGAGGCCAGAGCAGCTTCTATACTATACGGGCTGGGCTTCAGTGCAGAAGCACAGCAACAACCCACTAACTCTTTTTCCGGTGGTTGGAGAATGAGACTGTCACTAGCAAGAGCTTTGTTCTGTCAACCCGATCTTCTTTTATTGGATGAGCCTTCCAATATGTTGGACGTTCCATCCATCGCGTACCTCTCTGAGTATCTGAAATCGTACCCTTCCACACTCTTAGTGGTGTCACACGATCGCTCATTCTTGAACGAGGTTGCCACTGATATTATTTATCAGCATAACGAAAGACTGGATTATTACAGGGGGCAAGACTTCGACACATTTTATGCAACGAAAGAAGAGCGTCGCAAAAACGCCCAAAAGGAGTATGAAAATCAATTGGCTTACAGAAAACATTTACAGGAGTTCATTGACAAGTACAGGTACAATGCAGCGAAATCCCAAGAAGCTCAGTCAAGGATTAAAAAACTTGAAAAACTTCCTGTTTTGGAACCTCCTGAGGAACAGAAAAGCATTACATTTCACTTCCCCGAGTGTGAGAAGTTATCTCCGCCAATTATACAGCTGCAAGATGTTTCATTCGGTTTCAGTGCTGACAATTTGCTATTGAAAGATGTAAACCTGGATGTTCAAATGGATTCGAGAGTTGCTTTAGTCGGTGCTAATGGTTGTGGTAAAACGACGTTACTCAAAGTTCTGATGGAACAATTACGCCCACTTGCAGGTCACGTCTCTAGAAACCCTCGTCTGCGTGTAGCTTACTTCACCCAGCATCATGTGGATTCCATGGACTTGACAACGTCTGCCGTCGATTGGATGTCTACGACTTTCCCAGGTAAGACAGATGAAGAATATAGACGTCATCTTGGTGCATTTGGTATTACAGGCTCGTTGGGTTTACAGAAAATGCTGTTGTTATCAGGAGGTCAGAAGTCCAGAGTAGCATTTGCCGCCTTATGTCTGAATAACCCTCATATTTTAATTCTTGATGAGCCTTCCAATCATTTGGATACCTCAGGTCTAGATGCGTTGATGGACGCCTTGAAAAAGTTCACTGGTGGTGTCTTGATGGTTTCTCACGATATTTCAGTTATTGACGGGGTCTGCAATGAGATTTGGGTTTCGGAAAACGGTACTGTGAGACGTTTTGATGGTACCATCCACGACTACAAGAAGTACATCATTTCGTCAGCTGGTAAAGCAGGTGTTGTAAAGAAGCACTAAAGAAACACGAAAGATGAGCAAGAATCAAGCGCGTCACTAAACTATTTGGTAACAGGTGCCGCAATGCTTTCTTGAGACCTGAATATATAATCATAGTATAATTATGTTTGTCTTATCTTAGCAAAAGCTGTGTCTTACGTTTGCTCGTCACAGGATCTAGAACAGATTTGACTTGAACGTTCACTTTATCGAAAACGAAAATATCCTTTGGGCTCTCACTGCCCTTTGGCTTAAAACTCAATTTGAACTCTTCTGCTTTGAATTCGGCAGCTTGCTCATCGTCAGTCAAATTTTCGAGCCTTATCAGGCCCTCGACCCCAAATTTTGGCACCAAGACGACTATACCATTGTGAAATACCCTGATAACGTACCCCGTCTCCACTGATTCATTGTTCCTCATAACCTGGCCCACATAATACTCTATACTTGCCCTTCCGGCAAACTGTGCATTACGATGCTTTTTGTTCATGTTTCGACACAAGAACTCCATCTTGTTCTTGTCTCTGTGAGTCAGGTCAAGTGGTTCGTAGCCGATGGCTCCCGCGAGCTGCCTGTGGGCCACAACGTCACAATAACGTCTGATCGGAGAAGTAAAGTGGGTATATATACCAACTGCAAGACCATAGTGACGGTAGTCTGCGTACGAATATGCTCCTGAATAAAAGTATTGAGCAGCCATCATACAACGAGTGGATATTATACGAACCAATGTGTTGAAGTAAGGGTCGCTGGGATCAACACATCGATCTAGAGATGCGGCAAGTGCTTTGGATGATTCCGTAGAAATAGACATACCCTTTCTCAACTGTAGCATTTCGTTGAGATTTTCAAAATTGGTAGCAGGAGGTGCTGCGTGTCTTCTCAACATGGCCGTTTGAGGGAAAGCATCATATATCTTACGGGCGACGGACTGGTTGGCGAGTAACATGAACTCCTCGACTAGAGAGTTGGTAGCTAGAAGTTTTTTGACTTCAACTTCGCCTGGATCAGAAGTTTCACTATCCATGTGAACCTTTACTTCTGGAGATGCTAGGTTAAGCGCACCAGCATCAAGACGTTGCTGCTTGAGTTTAATAGATAACTGAAGTAGAGCCCTCATGCCCTGTGTTAGCTCGTCTGTCCGACTTTGGTCGTCGATCTGCATTTGCGCTTGTTCATAAGAGAAAGCTTCTCTGGACCTAATTACCGACTTGGTAAAGTCGACGCTAACGATGTTAGCGTTGTCATCCAACTCCCATAGAACAGAGAACGCGTACCTGTCCACGTAGGGCTTCAAAGAGCAGAGATTAGTACCAAGCAACATTGGAAGCATATCTATACGCTTGTCAACAAGATAAACAGAAGTGCTTCTTGAGGCACCCTCTGCATCTAGAGGCGTATTTGCTTTCACGAAGTGGGTAACGTCTGCTATATGAACACCAACTTCCCAGTTTCCGTTCGGAAGTTGTTTGGCATGCAAAGCGTCATCAATATCGACACACCCAGGAGGATCAATGCTACAAATTAGTTTGTCCCTGAGATCACGTCTCTTGGCGAGGAGCGGGTCTTTGGTAATTGCGTCCGGATCGGATATGTTTTCTGGAGCCTTCCAATTTGAGCCTTCACCAGGCAAACATTCCAGCACCCTCTTGGAGAAAGGTTGGTATTCAACATTGTGTTCAAGCAATAAAGCCTCCGTCTCTGCCTCGACAGATTCGACTTCGCCAAGCTCTCTAACGAAATGCCCTAACGGGTATTTGTATGCGTCTGGCCACGAATCAACAGCTATAACAATACGCTTATTCAAAAGCTCTCTAGCCCGCCGAGTGCGAATCCTGATTTTGGGTAAGCACTTGTCCATCAAGATGACAAAAGCATTTTGTGTGCCACCATTTTGAAGATCAACAGAATTGGTGGCCAGCTGTCCCACGTATTGGCGCCATGATCGTCTTGTGATAGAAACAACGCGAGCTGTTGGCTGAATTCTGCCAGATTTTTGTGTCTGTATAGCATCCTGAACAAGTAAGCGGCGCTGCTTATCAGAAATCTCATCTTCCCTATCATTTTGACCTTCATCTGCATCTGGGTTATCATTAACGTCAAAGTGCTCAGAGTCCAACGCTACCGTAGAGGGTGCCTTCCATTCACTTTGTGGCAGTAGCTCCACTACAACTTGATCTCCGTTAAATGCCCTATTGAGGTTCTTTTGACCCAAAATCAACACCGGTTTGGAAAAATTGGGCAATGACACAAGACCTTCCAAGAAGTTGTATTCAGAAATCTGTACTGACCCTTGGTATAAAACTCCGCTTTTTATTCCGCCCATAACTCTGGCTGTTGAATAATAATCGGGGAACTTGAATTCTGATCTAGCTTCGACATCTTTGTCCCTAGAGGCGAAAGTATCCATATTGGGAAGCGCATCCTTAATGTGGTCCGACTGGGGGAGAAGATCAATGTAATCTGCAAGACTTTTGGCCTCTAGTCCTTCCTCAATTGCACGTTCGAGGTTGCCTCGATCATTCGTCACAAGCAAGATGTTTATTTCATCCTCTTTTAGATGATCTGCGTACCAAGAGCAGGTGCGCCTTATAGCCCTGTCATTTCTGTCATTGATGGTCTCATCCGGCTGTCTTTCAACGTACGTGTTTTCATTGAACTCGTTGTGGAAAACTACTACCCTCTTACTATCATTACTATCGCGACAAAGTGCCCGTAACCGTGTGTAAATGGGGTACGATACGTTCCTAATTTCATCTAATGCAATTTGAGGTACGATTACGTCGAAGAAACATTCCGGATTTTCCAAAAGATCGATAGCCTGCAGAACAATATTAGCATCCAATACCACATAGTGCTTACGCCCATCAGTCAATTTTTGCGGCGATTCGGATAGCACAAAATTTGGAAGCTCGTTTTTTGCATCTGGTACAACGATATGAATGCATTTCTTGCACGCTCTTGACAAGCAAGGTATATCGTTTCTCAAATAGTGTTCTCTTACAATCTTAGTAGCGCCTCCATTGCGAGATCTGACGAAAACTTTCTGAGTGACGGTTAAGCCTTCGGAAAGTCTCTTTCTGCGAAGGACCATGGTACACAGTAGAGGAGAAAGCTGAAGGAGGCTATTACAGAATGATACACGGGAACTGTAGATATTGGTAAAAGTGACGAAAGCGATGAGCTTGAATATTTGGATAATCAATGAAAAAAAACAATCTCATACTGTACGAAGATAGCTTAGATTGATAATTGGCGACTCGACTCTGCCAAAGTTTGATTTCGCGCGATGGGATCTTCTTCAACTGAGACTATGAGATAGAAGTCTTGGTGATGGTAGTCAGCAGGCAACAGCTGATATGGCTCTAGAGTTGGGAATTTGGTTTTCAAAGTTTTAACGAGTTCGACAACGCTGGAGTTAGTAAATTTACCGTAGTACAGCACGCGCTCAGGGTCTTCAGCGTTAAAGTTCTTGATATTTTCCGAAGTCTTCGGTAAACTCAAAGAATTTATGTAGCCGTTAGAGTATTTCTCGCGTAGGGACTGTAAATATGCACTTTCCTCGAAGCAAGCTGCAGGGACCAACAAGAAGGCAAGGGCAAATAAAATGGCTTGAAAGTGGATCTGCATAAGTGATTTTGACGCAAGTTTGGTTTTTGAGCTCAAATGTAAGCTGGGGTCTTGAGGAGATAATCAAATCCCTTTTATACTTGATTTTGAAACTTATTGGTAGATGCATTACGGTCACTTATGTCCAGTGTGGTCTTTTCAGGCGAAACTTTATCGTTGACGCGAAACTCTTGAGTTAATGCAAGTGAAACTCACAGGTGTAAATTTGGAGAATTCGATCCTAGGCGAAATTGATACTCTGATTGCTAAATTTTAGAGCCTTTGATCTGCGTGGAAAGTTCCGCTCATGTAGGGAGAATGTGCAACACACAGTCACGAGGAATCGGAAGCTTTGTACCGTGACGTTCGAATAAAGTCGTCTCCTCAATGGCATATCTAAATGAAACCGCGCTGTTAAGTAATTTATGGATAGGTCCGGTAACAGGGTTCGGCATAGTTGGGTAGAGGTTGTATGATCTTCAGCTTGGGCAGCAACGACGCACTCGTTCATCATGATACGATTTTTACATAATCAAATAAGCCGTTGAGAACCAGCAAGTTCATGAAGCTGTGTAAACATGTAAAGAGTTTCTTCATTTGCAGGTCTGCGCTGATAAGCATCCTACTCTGGTGATTTGATTATTTTGATCTCATTTCCTTAGGATGCTCTGCACATGGAAACTTCATCTTATTTTTCTCAGANCATGGAAACTTTATTTTTTTTTTTTTAAATTTTTTTTTTTTTTTGACCATCATCATCGCTGCCACTGACATAAAAAATTGCTGCACTTTTCTTTCTTTCTCGATTGGGAGACCCATGCTCTACTAGCCTCGCTCAGGTTTTTGGTACGACTTAAACTCTAATTTTGACAGTATCAACCATGCGGCTATAATACAATATAAAAAACAAGCAGAAAATTCACGACGGCTCTCATAGTTCCAATATATTGTTGCAATAGCTCCAGTCTCCATTCCCTGAATTATAACTTCATCTTTGATTTCATGGAACCATTCTGTCACCATTCAGTCGTCAAGTCATTTGTATCTTTTCACGTCGCCATATATGGATGTCATCTTTATTTCATTTAAACAACATGATCTGAATGTAACTTAACCATTTGCCACCACGATCAAGCACAATTCTACTAGACCGACAAGACCTCACATCAGCGAGTATGAGTCTTGAAAGTATGGCTCTTAGACTATCACAAGACAATGTTCTCACTCGATATCAATTACTAACTTTTTTGCATAGTCAACGTTAAGCATGCGGGAAAAGTGTACCCTATAACGTTGGGCCAGCAGGCAACAGGATCCGATCTCCTGCTAAAGGTGGAAGAAGTCACACAAGTACCCCAGGACCGCCAGAAGTACATGTTGAAGGGAGGACTGAATAAAGACACAATTCTTACAAACGTTGTCAAGAACGGTCAGTCGATCATGGTTTTAGGGACTCCAGATGCGAATTTGGTTTCCAAGCCCAAAAAAGAACAGAAATTCGTCGAAGACTTGGACGAGAGTGCGCAATATCAACATTTATCGCAACTGCCGCCAGGTCTGAAAAATCTAGGTAATACATGCTACATGAACTCCACTCTCCAGGGATTGTATAACATTGCACCGCTTCGCGAGCAAGTGTTAAATTTCGACACGCCGGCTGCAAATGATGACAACGTTGCCCATGTTCGTCTTGTGGCTGAGTTAAAGCGATGCTTTCAATCGCTCAAGGACAAGAAGGAAGAGTCCGTGACTCCTATGCTTTTGTTAGCGATGTTGAGGAAGTGCTACCCACAGTTCGCCGAGCGCGACGAACAGTCGGGATATTTCAAACAGCAAGATGCGGAAGAACTTTTCACTCAACTATTTCATTCTCTGCAAATTGTTTTTGGAGATCAACTTACCCAAAAGTTCCGCATTAACTTCCAGACCACGATCAAAGACACTGCTAATGAGCAAGACGTCACAGTGAAGAATGACGACAACGACATGAAACTGCAGTGCCATATTTCCGGTACAACAAATTTCATGAAAAGTGGGCTTGCAGAGTCTTTGAACGAAAGCATCGAAAAAAGATCCTCTGTCACTGACGTAAATTCAGTATTTTCTGTGGAAAAAAAGATCACCAAATTGCCTGAGTATCTCACAGTACAGTACGTGAGATTTTTCTGGAAGAGAAACACTAATAAGAAATCGAAGATTTTGAGAAAAGTGGTTTTTCCTTTTCAGTTAGACGTTAGTGACTTGCTAGAGAGCAAGTACGCTCAGGAGAAAATCAAAGTCAGAGAAGCTCTACGTGAGGTAGAGAAAGAAAAAATAGAAGACGATCGTGAAACGAAAAGGCGGAAGATAAACGGCGATGATCAAGACGACGAATCATCGGAAACAATGACTCCAAGAGAATTAGTAGAAACGCAAAACGCGCTTGAGGAGAGTAAAAAGGAAAAATGGAGACAGGAGTACAGGAGTAAATTTCCCACTGATCTAGCACAGGGTGAAAATCCCTCTTGCGTTTACAATTTGATTGGTGTTATTACTCATCAGGGCGCAAATTCGGAAAGTGGCCATTACCAGTCCTTTATTCGTGATGAAGACGAAGACAAGTGGTATCGCTTCAATGACGACAAAGTATCGGTGATTCCCAAGGAAAAGATAGAGGCTTTGGCTGGAGGTGGAGAGAGCGACAGCGCCCTTATTCTAATCTATAAAGGCTTTGGCTTGTAAGGACCCCAAAGCGACACATATTGCACAAAGAAGCGCATCTTTAAAAGGCAAAGCTATGTGTCCATGTTGTTTTGCTTGATAGATCTATTTCGAATATACAGAAAAATATAGTTTTTATGATGGTTCTCTCGCATCATGAATAGTCGATGCTGAAGCTCTTTTGGCTCATTGAGCTAGAGCTAGTTTTTTGAAGTTACGTACTTCCTCGAAACAATTTAGAGGCTGACCTTCGTTGTCTCGTAAACATTTGACAAGGTTCTCTTTGCTTTCCTTGAGGTCCTTGTTAGCCACTTTCTTGGCCTGATTTTCTTTGATCTTGTTCAAGCGCTTGTTGAGGTGAGAGATTTTGTCGCTTAGTGCCTGGGATGAAACCTCTTGGTTGGATTGGTTGTTGTCTGAAAGTAAGGAGGTATTAAGCTTGTCCTCGAATTTTTTCAGCGTCTCTTCTTCCAATTGTGATAAACGGTCCGAAACTCTCTGTTCGAGGTATTTGCTAGCCACTTGTTGTCTGGCGTAATCGCCTTCTGTCGACTGTTCCAACTGCGCAAGAAGCGTCGAACTAAAATCTACCTGTGTTTTGGGAGTGAAGACTTTCGTCTCTACTGGTTTGGAAGGCTGAGAGCCCATGCTTGATGCTGTATCAAAGGGGGTTATCGTGCGTTAACCAGAGTAAGCGTGGGAGTCAATGAGAATTGAGCGATCCAATCATTTTTAGTCTTGTTAATGGTCACTATTTACGTATAAACACTTTGTAACCGCTAACGTTTTGTCCCCGGTCGACAGCTTCGGATAGGCATAGTATCAATGTTTGCTTACTGAGACTTAAAAGAAAGTAACAGATCTGGAGGTAACGATTTTGTTCAGGGTTTCAATTGGAAGATGTAAGAATGGTAAGAATGGTAAGGATAGTCACGTGCTTTCCTTTCTCTCTATGATGAAGATGAATAAGGTGACCAAACATGGGAAGTTCGATGGGTGACTTTTGTGAGATCTTACCGGAGTATTTCCTCTCCAGATTCAGACGTATGTCTAATTCTCTAAATTTTACGACCCATTTTGTAACCTCGGTAATCACTTTTCCAGCCCCATTTTCGAGTATGCGAAAGACACCTCGACAAACGTTTCTGTCCGATAAAAACGAACGAATCTCAACATGCGCGACACATACCAGTAACTGTAAGCACGCGGGTTCTTTTTCCCATGGTAGCGTCTTAAACGACCCTGACAATCATTTTAGGTAGGATGTCGCACCTTACGAGCTTCTCCAGTGCAAGTCGACTGTCCCCAAGTGAATTTCAATGCAGCGGCGACATAAGAAGCTCGATCTTCACTGTGTTATTGAGCAAAGAATCAGACTTCCTTGACCCAAACGCATGCCCTAAACAAAGTCTCACAATGATGGGTAAATTCTAATGCGAACACTCCACTCTCAGAAAAATCAAGAAATTTGGCTGGGATACAACAACAGATCGTCGTTTGAGTTCAATTCTTCAACTCAAGTCTTGCCACGACTTCTTTCTTTCATTCAACTGTCTTGCAGTATCCATCTATTAAATCACAGCAACCCGTTTGAAACCCGAACCGCACCCAACGAGTGACCCATTTATGATCCGTTTGTTATCATCACTCATCATAAGAATGAACCGCTTAGAACCCATATTTTCCGTCACGTGACCCTCCTCATGCAGGGTCGAAACCTCAGGAGAGAAAGTTAAAATAGATTTGATAACAAACAAAGTAAATGTTTCGAGAATTAACAGCTTTGAGCCTAGATACAGAGTTTCAAACACATTCCAGGCTTAGAAAATTATCCTGGAAAGCTCAGTGTTAATTTTGTTGTACACTCAGAAGCGTAACAATTTATACAAAGAAGTTTTACGAAATCTTTTCGGTGTTGCTTAGGTGTGAGTAAGAGATTAAAAGACTATTGAGAAATACTACGTGTAAGAACCTGTTTTACAGTTGAGAATTTCAGGAAAAACATATAATTGAACAAAATCCACACAAAAAGCTTCAAATGGCTAGAGTATTCGGCGTGAGCTTTACTGCCGCGCTCGTGATTGTACAGTTCGCCGCTATGGCTTTTTTGATCATCTGTTGTGTGACGGCGCCTGTTTTCAAACAGATTGGAATTGCAAAATCAAGCGATGTGGTTTACGGTACTTTTGGGTACTGTGAGAAGGGTGTGTGCTCGTCAGCTGCAGCCAACTACCATCCTGAAAGTCTAGATACGTCGGGAAACTGGAAAATGAGCACTTCGGTGCGCGAAAAACTCGGCAAAATCCTAATCATCATGCCTGTCGCTGCAGGACTCACATTTTTCGCGATGGTGGGTACTATCGTCTCTCTGACCCCTTCCTTGAGTGCCTCTGGTGTCTGTTTGATCTTCAACGTGCTGCTAAACCTCATAGCCTTTGCAGCCTCTGCCTTGATGTGCGTGATAACGTTTTTACTGTTCTTTCCCAACGTCACGTGGTGCTCATGGCTTCTGATTCCCGCTGCTGTTATAAACCTACTATGTGTTCCATTAGCGTTCGTGGTACACTCCTTAGGGTCTTCAAACAATGACGAAAGAGACACTGACTCCATTGATAGCCCAAATCTCACCAGATTAGATCAAGATTACGCACCTGACCGCTACAGCATGGACGAGTATAAAGAAACTGTCAGGTCTGGCAATCACGACAGTCCCATGTATCCTGAAGTTTACAAAGGCCCTCAAGTTGTGACTTCGACTACTATAAACTCGGGGACAACGGACTCAAGATCCGATCGCGATGCTTTCTTAAGGGAAAGACCCAACACCAACAATGGCAGTGATACGTCGCAGAGTAAACTTGCAAATGCAGAACCCGTCCCTGACTTTTCGTTTGAAGACAGTTCAAATGCAGCAAAACCCTACTCGGCGATTGCAGCCTCTCACAACCTCCAGAGGGTACCTCAAGAGGATCTGGTGTCAAAACCAGTCAGAGTGCCACAAATGTTCCGCGGTCCTTCCACGACCTCATCTTTCTACTCACAAACAGAAGGGGAGCTATCACGTCAAGGAACTCTCAAAACTACAGAGCTACGTCCTACTTCAGCCTTGGATTTGCAATCGGCCAAAGGTGTGAATCCCAGCCATGACGAGTTGCAAAACATCATCAACGGCGCCATATGCGAAGAGGAAGACGAAGAATTTTTAAAGCAGCAGACTATTGATCCAAGTGAAAGACCTTCTTTAGATGATGATGATGGAATAAAAGATGACGATTCGGATTTCACTTCTGTTTCACAGCGTGGCATCAATCCTAACTACATGTCTGCTGCAAATGGCAATCGATTTGCACAGAGACCTCCACAATCCACGATGCAACGTCCTAGAGACCCCCGTTTCGCTGGAGACCCATCCTTTGCGAGAATTCCTAATCACAAGTATCAGGTTGTTCCCTCACAAGCGCAAAGGAAATTTGCGCCTTCGCCTCAAGGAATGGCACCCCAACACACCCTTTACCAGCCCTACATTTCGCACCAACCAATTCAACCGCCTGGGAGAAATGCCATGCATGGCAGACCGCAGCAGCCTCCAAATGCTATACACGGAGGGTCTGATGCGATCCTGAATACTAGTCCGGAATTTATGATTCCTGGCGCCCGTGGTCCTGCAGGCGCAGGTGGCCGCATTGCTCCCATGTATGGCGCACCCCCGCAAGCACCATCTACTTCTACTTATAAGCCAGCCTACAAGAAACGGCTACCGAGGCAAAATATTCCAGCCGCCTCAATGGCCAGAGACGGACCCTACAGTGGAATGACGTAAAAACTAGCCGGTTTAGTTTATTGTATAAAATACCACTTTTGAACTGTACTTACGTTCGCGATGCCCCTTCGGAACTAACATCATGTCCTGCATTGCTTGCTGGGTCTTGAGGGTTTGGTTGTTTTCTGGAGCCATCTCTTTGTTTTCCATTATGGGGCTTTAGCATTACGAAAAAAAATAGCGCCATAACCACCAGTGATAGCAAAAATATGACTTTACATTTTTGAGTTCTTTTCTGGTAAATTGTCGCTCTCTCAAGTTCGCGGTGAGCTCCTTTGAGCTCTGTCACCGTATTTTCCAAATTATAGTCAATTCGATCTATAATAGTGCCTTGATCGATGACCAGATCTTGCATTTCCCGAAAAATTGTGCTTACCTCTAGAACTCCTCGGGCTAGCTGTGTTATTTCTTCCTCTCGTTCCCGCAAAAATTGAGCATTTTTTCCATCCGTTTGTCTTTGACTTTGTCGTTGCAAAGTCTGCCTCGAATAGCTATCGATTTCTTGTTGTGTTGCACCGCCCTTTTCTTCCTCTTCTAAGACGAGAAGGGTATCGGCATCAGTAGATGAGCTCGGTAATGGCTTGAAATCGTCTTTGTTAAGAAACTTCAAATAATTGTTCTGTAACACCCTGAATTTATTAGAACTGAGCTGGATTTTGTTAGCATAATTCTTTTCCAAATTGTTCAAGACTATGAGACTACCCTGATTAAGCTGTTGGCCCTGAAATATCCCTGAAGAGCTCGAAGCTTTCAATGACTTCATAATAGAATAACATCGTTGAAAAAGCTGTATGATCTGTAGACCTAATTCTTCTATTTCTTGCTCGTCTTCGGTCTTGTCGTCAAATCCGGGGAGGGAGTTCTTGCGATACAATCTCGTCAATTGCAGCATACGCGGCTCCACCTGTTCCAGATTGCGGTCAATCTCCTCAGTAGGCTCAACGAAAAGAGACGACGGACTTTGCGCAGCGTCTCTCATGTCGATCATTGGGTGAGTCTCATCCAGCCCACTATCCTCTATGTCGAAAAATGAATTAGTGTCATTACTCTTGGGACGCTGGTAGCTTCGCGGAAATGTTCTGCGATATGACAAAAACAGATTAGTTCTGTCCCGAAACATGGCCTCGCTTGGGAAAAGTCGCTTTTTGAAGAAAAAGAGAGGTTCCGAAAATCAATCCGCCCACAAAGGTACAAGAGAAGTAACCGCTCCAACCAAGATATATAAGGTATCAACATTTAAGCTTTAGGGTACGCGGAGGATACATATTATGGTCCATAATTAATCTTAAAAGTAATTGCAGTCAACTCGTGATTGGTGATAAAGAGCGGCTCGAAGATGACAGGGTCTTCGACCTGGAAGGCAGGCCTTACAAGCGGGCTTAAGTTTTCATACAGTATCAAGTGAGATGTGCGAGAAGTGTTTCCGATCAGTATGCATGAAAAATTTGTCAGAGATCAAATTGCGTAAACGAGTCACCAAACAAAGATTTGGCGTGAAAAGAGTAGGATTACGTATGGAACTAGCGATATCTTTAAATTCCGTAGACTCTTGAGGACTTTTCAATGAAACGAGATTCGTTGAATACTTCGTTTTGTTGCAACGCAGATTTTGCGTGGTCAATGACTATGTGGGGTAATTTGAATACCTGTTTTAACTGACATCTCCGCACAGACGAAATTGAAAGAGAGAAGTTCATTCAGAATATAGACTTGAGCCGTTTTTGTTTTCTTTTGAAAATGAAAATCCGGTTAGCAAGCAAATTTGCATGAAGCACACCATTCAACTGCTTGTGAAGTTAAACAGGGTTTGGTCAGGCTTCTTTCGATTGTATAGTCAAACAACTTTAATAGCTTTTCAATACTAAACCATTTTCACTACTCGCTCCCAAATGTCTTGTTTTCAATTCTATCCAAACATTGAGAAGCGGCTGTATTTGGCTAGTATTGACTGACATTTGTGGAAGAGAACCTCCAGGAGGGCGATTCAGAATCGCCAAATTCATGAGTTTTTAGTCGCTCCATATTCATAAGCCGCGTTTGTACCCCCGCGAAAACTACTAGAAACGGCTCGAGGCAAGATAGAGCAAATACTCGTATCGCCGCATCTGTAATTTTTCTTCTGTGTATAATGACTCAAAAACCTTCAAGGTATTTACTGCAAAGCACTAGAAGAAGGAGAATCATTCCGTTGAAATTTTTCGACTTAGTTCACCGGTATCAGTATTGTCGTAGTCCTTTTAGTGTCGTCGTTAACTTATTCAGTATCACGTGGCTGTAACTCACGCTGATGTTGCTGAAAGCTTACTTCATTTTTTGTTCATGTATAGCTTATTAAGCTGCTGTTCGGTTACGTAAAACGTCCTACTTTTTGCAACTGGTGCTTCAAACAATTTTTCGGCAGTTCTTACGATTGTACTAATGATACTAAGTTAGGGAGATAGCGACGTTTTCTCTGAGGCAGAACGCGCCTCCTGTTCTCTTGCATCTTTCTATCGTAATTTTGTAAAGCTATTTCATGTTTTTTCTGGAAGTCTGTTCCTCTGAGATTAGATGAAATATCTACTAAACGACGCTTGGAGCAATGTGTGACTTTTTTAGCTTCTGTTCCACAGTCCTTATTTTAATGAGGTTAGCGTCAAGCTTTTAAATATCTGCTTTACTTTTTTTGAGCATGATTCTTGAGCCTACAATGCTTCTACAAAATGCCGTCTACTTTGCTGGCACCGATAAGTTAGGAAGGAATTCTCCTATTTTCGTCGTGGCAGCTATTGATTCAGAATCTTTGATGTCCTCTAAATATCTGCATTTAATTTTTTTTGCGACTCCGTTGGCATAAAGCCTTTTCGAAGTTCAAGGTCATCGGAAGACCACACCATGTGAAAGTTCATCTGAGAGGTATAAGGCTGCTTTTTTCCTAGCTTGTTTGGCGTAGGGGTTTTGAGTTGTTCCGTGACGTAAATTGGATTGACATTGTAACAGAGATCGAGCAATCAGTAAGTTGCACTATTCGTGAATCTGAACTCATACCACATTCTGCAATCCGCCGATGGATAATATTTCGTACTTATCAGTTCTCTGATTATTCGTATCAATTTTACTTGTGCAAAACTTGGATTTTTCAATCCAGCTGAATCTTCATTTATGATTGCCGAATGAAGTGTTCTGGAAAACATTCGGACTATTACAGAACGGTAAGATTTCTTGGTCTCAGGAAAATTCAGAAGTGGAGAATTATTGAGGCTCGACTACGTCGGCAGTGTTCGAGTTGTTAAACTGCTTCGTTTGCTCAGTCATGATTTGCTCCAAGTGAATAATTATGGTTATGGATTTTACTTATCTCTCCGTGTTTCTTTTGGTTATAAGTCTGGTACATTCAGTTTGACCAAACCACAAATATCTAAACGATTCTTGGAGCAACAATAGCAAACAGTAGGTAACATTTTAAACCCCAGCCATTAGTAAGGATTGCTCAATATAAGTTCTGCAATTGCTTGCAAATCCTGCATAGCGTTGACTTAATGTTGCTTCATATCTTTACGATTGGTACATTTCACCTGAGCGCGTAATATGTCATTTCTGATTACGAAATTGGCACTACCCCATATAGTTTACCAATCCAACAAGAACGACCTGCTCTCATAACTATTCCTGTTATCTGTTTATTTGGCTTAGACCTCATCAGCAGAGAGCACAGCACTTGATTGTAAGTCGATTAAATAAGACGTGCTAGATATTTGACACTGATTCCATTGCCACTTTTCAACCTGTTATATGGACTGTTTCATGGATTCAAACTCGTTGAATCGTCTATTACGCGCATTCTGGAGTTGAAATTTATAACCGACCCTTGTTCATCAAATAACTAAGCCGCTTAAACGGCACTCATCGTCTTGTAGACCAGTTCAAGCTTGATGTTGTTGTAAGAGCTCTCGTTGATCCTGTGACAACGAGAAAAGTGGAATAAGCACCTTGGGAGGTGTATCACGAAGAAACAGGAGAAATGAGGAAGTATTAAGACAACATAATGAGCGAATTTAATTATTCCTTATCAGTCACATAGTAGAGTAGCGAGCATTATCAGGGTACTTGGTCCTTACATACTTGACGTCTTTTCTGTGGTTTCCTGTATTTCTGACTTGCATGGATACGAAACAAAACCACATCTTTGTAAGCAACGGATTAAGGATTGAGATAAAGTTCAATGATGCCAGTCAGCGAATCCCGTTTTTGGTCAATGAGAATATCTTTTGGCTTCGAAAATGCCAAGAATTATAACGAAGCCTTCCGCGACTATCTGAGTCTTCATAATTGAAGACTTGTTATTGCAGCTGGAAGCAACCGTTAGGTCACTTTTGATTACCTCATCCAGAAAAAGGGCATTAGCGACCGATGCGGCAATGTAGCTTTCCGCAAGATCATCATTTAATCTACATTGTTAGCTCTTCAATCCTGATCATGATATATGTAAGGTCATTGGGGAGAGAATCAGTGCAATAGGCTTCAATGAAGCGCAATACGTTTGAATTAATCAGTTTTCCGCGTGCTAGTCAGCGTAGGCCGACACAGTAGAAAATTACAAAGCGGTCTGCTCTTACGCATGCAAGCTTAAAATCCCTCAGTACTGGAATTGATGTCAATTTTCAAGAGACTACACGCATCTTTCGACCAAGTACAGCGCGCATACATAAATTACATTTTATTGATCAGTTTTATCAGGAGCTTCAATCATTCGATGTCCCTTTTTGAGAATATAAAGAATGAAATGGACCAAAGCAACCATATTGCGACGTAAAATGTTTTTTATTGCGTTTAAATGCCAAGAAAGGTCGTCCATCGCCGGAATAAATCGCGTTTCTTGGTAGTGGTGCAGGCGGTGAAGCTTACCCCGTCTACAGTGAGTTTTTCTTCCAAGATTTCGGAATATCTGTCTAAAAAAAGACATTTATGAAAAACTTGACATGATAAGAATGGAGACTATGAACAGGCGTTGCAAGAGAATCTTAAGGTTTTTTGAAAAAATATAAGGGGGGATAAATAAAAGAGAACTGAGGTACGGGAGACAGACTGTCAGGTGCTTCATGCAAAAGCTGTTTTGAACAAATTGTAGGTAAAAAAAAAAAATTCATATCTGACACATTGTACAACAAAAAATACTCCTGGAATGTTAAGGATTTTTTATTTTCAAAATAAATTCGAATTGGAGAAAATTGCTATAGATGAGGAACTAAAATTGTTTAAAGCACAAATAGAGTTTATTAAGATAAGAAATTTTGATCAGTTACAAAAATATGTCTTCACAAAATATACCAAAAATCATACAATCGGATATTTAGTTTATAACAAAAACAAACTTTTTTTACATTCAATTGGATTACCTATAGTATTAAAATATCCTTTAAAAATGGATGAAGAATCTATATTCACAATCATTTTAGGAATAATAAATGGAAGAATGAGTCCCATAGACACTATCCTTAATTATAATAAAAAAAAAGATTGTGAAAACCAAAACAGAATTTTAGTTTTCTCAATTAACTCAAAAATAAGTATCCAAATTGAAAAAGTTAAATTTGTGGAAATCAGAGAAACGAGTAACATATACAAAGAAATATTTAGGTACGATTTTACAAGATATTATAACCCAAATTATTTGATAATCGAAAACAACAAAATAATGAAAAAAAGCATCTATGAACGTTTCGATTTTTTTGAAGTACCAGAAGAAAAATGTTTAGAAAAGTTAGTACTTACACTATGATATAATGAATATACCTACACATATAAATGTTCAAATTTAACCGACCCTCTTTGTTTTTCTGTTTCTTTTGATGTTAGCCCCAAATAATTTTTGACCACTTATTCAAAAATATCTGAGTCGTTGAGTGTAAGCTAGAGGATATTTGGTCAGACAGTGGAGCTCACCGCGTGTACTGTAATTTTATTTCTTCTCTAAGACTTTGAATTATC